CTGTTGTGTCTCCCGGTTGGTGTAAGATCTGGCTTGCTCCGATGGGGCGTCGTTAGATGTGGTTCTCCTTGCTCATGATTCTGCAAATCAGGATACAGTAATCTGCCCCTTCAGGTTTCCCCCACATTGCTTATTTTACTTTTTGTAGGGTGTGTTGTGTACTTAATGAGCAGTAGTATGTATACAGGGAGCTTGGTAGTCTCAGTAGGAGATGTCGAGCCATCCCCTCGGGGTTCTGCTTCCAATGTAGATCAATACTCCCACATCAGAAGATCCTCGACGGCATTACTCGTTTGCCATTCCCCTCGAGATTATTCCAACTGCATGCTCTGCATCGAATATGGAGGCTGGTGGCATATGATGTGCATAGTAGTATGTATTAGGGCAGTCAACTCGAAGTGGATACTGCCTAGGTGGATGCATACACACACAACACAAACACCAACCAACAAATTCACACCTGATAGATATCGATACACTCCATACTGTACAGTCCCCGAGACTTGCAGTAGTCTATACCAAACACATTACTTCGATACAGCCCACAGAAATCAAACCAACCTGACAGAAACGTAAATCTGTGGCCTGTGGGATCCGATCGTTTTGTCGCGTCACATGGATCCGTTCCATGGAAAATATCTCAAAACCTCCGAAGACACCGTAGTCCGTACGAAACGCAAACTCCACCTTCAACAACGGTTATCCCAGGGCCGTGCCGGGCTTTTACCATGGTACTGCGGTGAAAAAAGATCGAATCCCGACTGCTTTCCATCTCTTCGGGACCTGAGAAATGGGCACTTACATGTAGTCAGGCGCCTGCAACGGTCCTAGGATGTATGTACATTGTAAACATATCCCGTACAAACCCTTCTCTTCCGCCTCGCTGTTTGGCAATTTTCAGATCCACCGCCTGGACGTGAGAAATGCATATGGCGGAGCTGTGGCGGATAGCGGATAGCGCGGATACCGTACGCACAAAGACGTCGCAAATTTGATACGAGGTTGAGCTTGTGGCTCTAAATTCCTATTTGATGGAGTGGCGCAGAATACTCAGTGGCTCAAAATGCCTCACATCTACTACTACTCCGTATATAAATTCACTTAAAAGCCCGAGTAGCCATTCACAAAGTCAACTTGTAGATACTATATCGAATGACATATATGAAATGTGAGACTACATACATCGAACCCGTGACTACAGGTGAGCCCTCACCGGATCGAATTCGGAGCCGAGATAGTCACTTTTATCATACAATCAGGTTATCTCGTGTGTATGAGACGAAAAAGCTGTGTCTTTGCCCGGTGAAAAATCGACGTTTCGCGGCCCCTCTGCGGGGAGGTATAAGGAATGACAGGAAGGTTTTTTTGCACTTTCGTAAAAACAGATCCACTGCGCAGGTTTTTTTTTCTTTCTTCCTGATGCTTAAGCTGGAGAAGTTTCAAGGGTAGTGGTCGAGGTGCATGAACTTCATATGGTGTCGCAAACACGGCGACCCGTATATACGGAGTAAAGCTTGCCTCGTGCATATCTCACGTTGTTTAATCGCGTATTTTGTATCAATTATGTCTTGTCCGAAGCTTGAGCTGCCCTCTTTCGAGCCTGACGAAGTAAACGTAGCCAATATCAATCACCTGATTGAAAATATGCCACAGAATCTTCGTGAAGCCCCCACTGCGAATAAGGCCGACTTCAATTCACCACGCGGTTCGGGGTTGAAGGCAGTATGACTGACCCCTTTGGGTATGGTCCGACATACACAGTTTAACTGGGGCCGTGGAGGCTCAAAACCATGGTTGGCTGTTTTTTTCACTCCCCTATTCCCCGCCCCTTTTCTTTAGCTTTCATTCAATTCAAGTTGACACCGCCGCGGCCTATCACTATGCGATCTTCTCATCAGGGGTAACAGTAGTATATATCATTGGAACATTGCGTCAAATAGACCAATTGGTCTTCTCTATCACATAAAATCTGGCAAGACGTCTCCAATTCAGACATCGTAATCGGAGCTGTAAGCCTGTAAGGCTGTTCAGTACATCGCTAAGCCTGTTGGGGTTTAGGGCTTAAAACCGAGTGGGGAATACCCGTAGTGTAAGGAAAGAAAGGTCCACCTGGGTCCTGGAAGCTTCCAAGGTTTACAATGTGCAATTTTAAAAAGCTGTATCGGTAAATGTACACAGTACGATCGTTATGTCCGAAAGAGGATAAATTGGTTTGTATGTACATGATCTGTTGCCCTGAACTGTGCCTGCAAACTCGACACCACAATTTGAAATCAATCTGAAAGAAATTCAGAACAGCCGCAGGCGCAGGAGTAAGCACTTACGCCCCGTGTCTCAGTAAAGCTGAGATTAATGATACCGATCGCCTCGGCATGACTACTAATTAAGACTATGCGGTCATTTCCAGGTCGCGTCCCAAACTTCACGCTCTCCGTATTGCGCGTTCAACCTAAAGTGCAAACTAACACATCAAGCTTTGCAAAACAAAGGCGTACAAGACATCGCTAGCCTGGAAAAACCAAGGTCCTTAGTCAATTGCAATTTCCTGTTAACATACACGGGCTAACTAGTTATCAGAATAAGATTATAAGTTACATTTGATATTCCTTCTCCTGGACCTGGCACATGCAGTCGGCCGCTCGGTTACTCCGCTAAACGGCACAATCTTGCTTTCCATCTTGGCGTAGAACCAGCAAACTCTCGTTCGTGTGAGATTGGCATTGCGTTTATATTGCCGATCCGATATCCTTCCCTGTCTGGCAAACCCCAAAATTGGTATAGATACGCTGGTCTAACTCAGTCGCGCTCGATGACGGACTAAAAGCCAATTGGAGTCTATCGCGAACTATATTCACCAAGTCCTCTCTGAGTCCCTTCAAGGTCGCCATCGCCAGAGTGACAGCACGCGATCCCACGGGCGCGATCAGGGGCCGCCGAATCGACAAATAACATCATTCATGGAAGTTTCTCACAACAAGGAACGAGGGACTATCGGATCTGCGGACGAGTTCCACTGTGGACGGGATGACCTCAAAGATCGCGGTTCGTCTTAGCTGGATACATACGAACATGAATGTGGATCTAGTTGGCTTCAGCCTGTTTGTGAGATTAGAGACGACTGACAAGCACACGAGAAACAATCTATATAATTGACTTCGATGAGCCCGGTTCGCGGCAACTGGTTCCAAGGAACCTCAACTCCAAGCGACAAAGAGATCATCCAAAGCCTATCTTGAACCAACAATCGACTTGAACGTGATTCAGGATTCTCCAGATAAACGAACGCCCGGAGTACTTACTCCGTGTGCTTCCTACTACTAGTACATATCAGGAAGCCCAGGTGAACTATCGGTGCCATGCGCCCGGGATTGGGTCCGAGCCCACCCTGACCGGGGGGATCTGGCATAGTTACCCCCGCAGCTGCTGCCTGTAACCCAGTGAAATCCCGCTGTGCAATTCCCGCGATTGAAGCTATTGTTTCTCAGAATTGGACAGGTCGTGATGACAGGAAAGGTACGCCTGAATTTGCACAAGACTCACGGATGACATGCATTGCTCTGTTAGGCCCACCGCCCGCAATTGACTTCGGGTTGGCCGAGGTCATCTTACCCCCTCATCTCCCACACACTGGATTTAGGCCGTCCAATGACGAATTGCGGATACATCTCAGCCTCCCTTTTCATTTTTTAGCTCGTTCGTGCTCGTCCACTGATACGTTGTGTATGCGATTGAACGTGGACTGTCCGTTGAGATCCATGTACCATCACAGCCTATCACAGAGCTTATCTGCGAGGATCTCTGACATCGGGTACATAGGCAAGTTACTTCCGAATCAGCCACAACGGACCATGGCAAGGTAAACACCTTCTGACGTGGCAGCACATCGATGGACAGTCTGCCTTGTGTCGGGAAGGATCTGGATGGGGCTTTTGCACCCTCTTGCAATTGCATGCCGCCATTGGATGGAAGTTGTGTTGATTGCGGCACACTCCGTCTATTTGCGCCGACTTCTTCAGCTAAGCCTGCTTTTTGGGGAAGTTTCCTTGATAACTCCCTTATATCTGGTATGCCGATTTTCCGCACAATGGCCCTGAGAAGCGCAATGCAGTGTATGCCACGCCACCAGGATCGAACACTGTCAGCCTGAATCTTTAGATTGCCGCGACAAAACTTGCACGGATATCCAATGGTGCCGCCGAATACCCCTGATGCAGACTGCATGGAATGAGCTCAAGTCAGGTTTCTGAATTCTGATTGGGAATCGCACGTTTCTCTATATATGGATGAATGGGTCTCTGGCGGCTCCTTACCGGTTGGTTGGTTTGAGACCTGCTCATCTCTTTCTGTGACTGGGTTTGTAAGAAAGCCTTGGAGGTAACTCTTCGCGCCCTTGAATCAGTTGATGTTGCACGTCCTCGAATTGATCTAGGGCAGTGCTGTAATCTGGACACCTTGTGCATTGGACTTCAAAGTGGCCGCTTGAATGTATTCCGGTCAACCTGCCAACGTTGGCTTTATACAAGCCTGTACTTCGATTATGTCATAGTATTCTGGCACAATCAATTTGTCCTAGATATGACAGCCCAGTAGCTCAATTACCCCATACCTCTGAACCAGAAATATCGGTCACAGTTATTGTTGTCTCCTTTCTTGAACATTGATGTTGTTCGAAATTGTTGATGCCTTGTTTGTCAGGCATTACGATACCTGAGGCTCTACACGTGACTTCGGGAAAACATACCCAAGTAGCTAGGATATTCCGGCCGCTAAAAATTATCTACAGAAAAAAAAGTGGTAGCGCAACAGTCGCAAAGGAAAGCTTCGACACCACGTTATAATCGCCCCTTTTGTGTTGAAGAAATGAATGTCTAAAGGCTGATACCACAGCCCTAGCTGAAGTAATTCTGAATTGATTTCAGCGTCCCCTCATTTCCGATTTGCACACCGTTCAAAACCATCCGAAACGAACTCTCAAGGCTTCAAAGCCCACCTTCTCAATCATGGATATCCACCGCTGCCGTTTCGTTTCCTACAACCCACAGGCGATCAATGCGCTTGCATTTTCACACCCGCCATCAGCAGATCTAGCTGGACGTGGCGTACCCACCCTTCGACTAGCGATCGGTCGTGCGAACGGCGATATCGAAATATGGAACCCGATGCGCGGCGCCTGGTTCCAGGAGACCGTGATGCGTGGAGGCAAGGACCGCAGCATTGAAGGACTTGCATGGACACTCGACCCGCAAGAGGACGGGCCCGATGGCACCAAGTTGCCTGGAAAGCTGCGTCTGTTCAGCATTGGATACTCCACTGCCGTCACTGAATGGGACCTCGAGAATGGCCGCCCGCTCCGCCACTCCAGTGGAAACTACGGGGAGATCTGGTGCCTTGCCGCGCAGCCGCGCTGGCAGGCTACCAAGGGCAAGGATGGAAAGTTGGCTGCTGCCGCCGAGGGCGAGTTTACGGGCCAGCACCTTGCAGCGGGCTGTGCTGATGGGTCAATTGTCATCCTGTCCACTGCCGATAATGAGCTCAAGTTCCTGCGTCTCATGCGTCCTTCGACGAAACGAGCCCGTGTCCTGAGCGTTACCTTCCAGAACCGCCATACCATTGTTGCGGGCTACGCTGATAGTTCTATTCGTCTCTTTGATATTCGCACGGGTCAGATGCTGCGCACAATTTCCCTGGGAAAGGGCCCTACTGGTGGTCCGAAGGAGCTGTTGGTCTGGTCGGTGAAATGCTTGCCGGATGGCACGATAGTCTCCGGTGACTCGGCTGGTGAGATTCGATTCTGGGATGCGAAGAACTACTCTCTCGTTCAACGGATACAAGGCCATCTCGCCGATACACTTGATGTCGCAGTGAGTGCCAATGGAGACACTGTTATCAGTGGAGGTGCCGATCAGAGGACTGTCGTATACCGCAGAAAGGAGGGCGAGAAGGGCGACAAGAAGAGTCGCTGGGCTGAGATTATGCACCGTCGTTACCACACCCATGATGTCAAGACATTCGCTGTCTATGAGACAAAGGACATCAGTATCGCTGTCTCCGGAGGTATGTTAACCACGATCTGCTCCGCATCTGAGAGTTTCCAACCAATGCTAACTTATTTCGTTCAAAGGTCCTGATGCAACTCCGGTCGTTCTCCCTCTTCGTGAATTTGGAAAGGAACACCACCGAAAGCTTTCCAGCCTTCCGCAAATCCCTCAACTTACGTCCTCGCCGGCATCTCGTTTGGTCATGAGTTTCTGGGACAGAGAAGTGAGCCTGTGGCGGGTATCACGGGGCCCTGCGTCTCTGAATGAGAACATTGATGGCCAGCGGCACAGACTCGTCGGTAAGGTCCTGATCAAGGGCGAGGAAAACATTTCGTCAGCGATGCTGTCAGCGGATGGCAAGATCCTTGCTGTTGCAACCATTGCTGAAGTCAAGCTATTCTCCCTCCGTCGCCAAAAGGGCGATGAGAAGGGTGTCCTCGCCATCCAGAAGATTGATGTGCCCAAGACGCTTTCTGGAGAAGGTGCCCGCCTTGTGACTGTTTCCCCCGATGGCAGATGGCTGTCAATTGTGCGCCCCAACAGCGACATCTACATGGCACGCATTCAGCCCGCCTCTCTATCTACCAAGAAACCTCAGGTTCTGCCACAGTTTGCAAAGCTCAAGAGAGCCGCGCGGCATGTACGACACGAAAAGGCATCCCACGGAACATTGGGCGACTATGAAAGGACGATACGATCTGTGGTGTTCTCCGATGACAGCAAAGTTCTGGCGAGTGGTGATATCTCTGGTTGTGTCGATACCTGGATGCTAGACACAGCGACCGCTGCTACGAACGGTGTAGCCAGTCGTGAGTCTGACGATGAATCATCCGATGATGAGGATGAAGACGTTGTGATTGAGGGCGAGCGCTGGACTATCGCTGCCGCAGAATCACCAATTCCCCGCATGAAGGCTGGCATCACTTTGCTGTCCTTCCGCCCCAAAACCGCCCCAACACAGAAACTTCTAGCCAATGGCACTAATCAGTCAAGCGAAAACCGACTGATGGTTCTCACAAGCGAGCACCAGCTCATTGAGTTTGACGCCCGGGATGGCAAATTGTCCGAGTGGTCAAGACGTAACCCCAAGGCATATCTTCCTGCAGAATTCCGAGGTGTGAAAGACCGCGCTATGGGTTGCATGTGGGATCTCTTCGAGGGTCGCGAGCGACTTTGGCTCTACGGAGCCTCTTGGTTGTGGATGTTCGATCTGCTCCAAGACTTCCCCTCCCCGGAAGAGGCAGGCGCTGAAGAGGGCAAGACCGCGGGTCAGCTTGCCAAGGCATCGAAGCGCAAGCGCGAGGCACTCGATGACGACGAAGAAGAGCGCAGAAAGCACAACACCGGTGCCGGCGATCGAATTCCACAGTCACAGATGGACATCCACTTTGGTACCAAGGTCCGCAAGATTGTCGGAAGCGACGAATCGCAGGGAGAGTGGATCACGCTGGATAAGGAACGCCCCCGTGTCGCGGGTGAGGATGATGAGGCCTACGAGTACGACGAGTCTTTCGCTGCCACTAATGAGACAACCCTCGCCCGTCTACGACGCGGAGATGGAGCGAAGACTCAAACACCACAGAAGGAATCACGGAAGCCTCAATTGCCTTCTGGTGCCAACGGCGACACAAACCAACTGGTGGAAGCCAACGGTTCCTCGGCTCAGCCTGCACGTCGCTGGTGGCACACTTATAAATACCGTGATATCCTCGGTATCGTACCTCTCAACACCCTCGATGACGATTCCGACGACCAGAACCCAAGTGGGAATCTGGAAGTTGCGGTGGTGGAGCGACCTATGTGGGATGTTGAGCTGCCTGGTCGTTATGTGAAGGATTACGAATGAAGCAGGGTTGTGAAAGGGCTTCTGTAAAAAAATATATTAGAATGCAGCTGATTCAGACATATTGGTCATTTGAGCATGGAGCGGATGTTATCGGGCGTCTTATGTACAGGGATTCTGAATTGATTACCCTTCTCAAGGTAGCTTACTTATGACGCGTGGACCTCGTACAGTAAATACGTCTCTTATTCACCCGTGAATACCTACATCAAGGCCGAGAGGAAATAGTACGTATAGTTAACTACTACGTAGGACCGTTGACCAGAGGCTCGGGAGAGTGCGGGGGCCTTAGGCAGAGTACTTAAACCTCCGAGCTCAGCTCACTTGACTTCCGCAACGTCTGTTACGTCTGTTACGTCTGTACACCCTGGACTTTCACTCTCCTTTGAGTCCTTTAAATTCGGCAACCCTCAGCTCTAGTCTCTACTTGTCTACGTGAATCCCATTCTCCTTTCAATCCGCTTATCGGCTTATCGTCCAAACGTCAGTTGGCATCCCAACGACACATCTTCTTCTCTCCATAGATCCTTTGCAAGGACCTTGAAATATTGTTGCCATAAACCGAGCATACATATCTTTGGCAGATAAATCTCAGAAATCCACAAGGGGGCCAACAGCAGGACTGGGCCGGGTCCTGTCAGATCGAACCCGCCCAAACAACCCCAGATCGAAGAAACAGCAGACAAACATCCTGCGCGCTTCTAAATAAACGGCTCGCATATTCCCTCTCAAGTGACAGCCCTCTGCCGCTTCGGACTCACCTCCCAGGACCATCGAATACCATCTCAAATCCCCTCCCCCAGAAACACACTCTACGCCCATCCGGCAATAACCGCAGTAACTCCAACCACCATGGGTCTCTCCTACAACGTCTACTTGTCTGCCAACAAGATCTTCGGGTGCAAGAAATGCAAAACCCACCTGGCAGACTTCAACGAAATCATCAGTCGGGTATCTCTAGTCCTTATCTCCCACATGAACAAGCAGCTGCTAACCGACGACTCTTTTTGATTCCAGAACTTCCGAGGCCAGCACGGAAAAGCATACCTCTTCAACACCGTTGTCAACGTCACACCAAGCGAAGCTGTAGAGCGCAGCATGACGACTGGTCGACATATCGTGCGCGATATCTCCTGCAGACAGTGCAAGGAAACGGTAGGATGGACGTACGATAAGGCATACGAGAGCACCGAGAAATACAAGGAGGGCAAGTTTATCCTTGAGGAGGAGCTTATGTGTGTTGTTTGTTAGTGTGAGGGGGACCTCCACTAGTTTAGTCGCGATGGTGCCTTGGGTCGATACCTATCGATCTTCGATCCGGTCACTTGACGACCATCTGAGAAACGATCTGGGTTTCTCTCTCGATACGAGCGGGCTGCATCCTCTGAGGATTCTTATGGTCTTTTTTTCCATTTCGTGCTCTACCAAGACTGATTCTCGTGGCTTGATGATTATTTGCTTTTCTCTTTCTCAGCCCTGGAGTTTGCGATAGGCGTTGCAAGGAGCATTTGACTATTCGATTCGCTTTGAGACTTGGCCTTACATTATAGGTTACTCATGTATCATTGAAATATCAATCTGATGCATGTTCTACTTTGGGTATCCCGCGCTCACTCTCAGTGGGGACAAATGCCTGAGGGCGTTGGTCCAGCCCCACAAGATAACTCGCACAGAAGCCCGAGAAATTAGTCGATATCTTTCCTTTGGCTTCTTTCGGAGTTTGTGATTTGATCGTTTTATATTGAAGGATTGGGCTTTTGAATGTTAACTAAGCGCAACGTACACTCAAGACTTCTTCCTCCTTACCCAAAAAGTAAGTCTTAGCGGGCACTTCCAGATGAAAAAACGGATAGAATTGGCAATGGACTTATCGCCTTCAACAGAATGGCTCCCGCTCCCTCTGGTTCTGGCATGATGCAAGCAGTCGTGTTCCATGAGCCCTACAAGGTTACCGTTGAACAGAGGCCTATTCCCAAGGTGCAGAACCCGGAGGATGTCGTGGTCAAAGTGGGATATACTGCGCTTTGTGGAAGGTGAGATTTCATATATCCATTTCCCGCAAAGGGCTATATAAGTGCTGTGTTTCATAATGCGTTATAGTGAGCTACATGTGTTCCGCGGCATAGAGCCCGCCGGATCGGGTTTTATCATGGGCCATGAGTTTGTGGGTGAGATCGTTGAGCTGGGCAGTGCCGTTAGGAATCTTCAGAAGGGTGACCGTGTGGTCACTGCTTTTACTACTTCATGGTCAGTTGTCTACTCACTGAATGCTCGATCGAAGTGTGATCGAAGTTGTGCTGATATCATGGTTAGCGGTGAATGCTTCTACTGCAAGCAAGGGTGGTCTTCTCGCTGCGATAAGAACGGTCTTTTCGGCTGTGACAGCTTGGACGGTGGACAGGCTGAATATGTGAGTTTGTTGATACTGCTCGCACTTTCCCTTGTATTGATATAAAAGATAGGCCCGCATTCCGAATGCCGAAGGTTCTGTCATGAAGGCCCCCGAGGGCGTTGACGAGAAGTATCTGGTGCTCATGGGAGATATCTTCCCTACTGGCTGGTTTGCAGCCAACAATGCATTCAAAAACTCGACCCCCGAGCAGATTGCTGGGCAGACTGTCGTTCTGATTGGATGTGGACCTGTCGGTCTCTGTGCGCTCATCAATGCGCTCGAGTACAAGCCCAAGCATATCCTGGCGGTTGACTCGGTCCCGTCGCGACTGGAGCTTGCTAAGTCGCTTGGTGCTGAGCCGTGGAACTTCCAGCTCGATCGAGCTGGTCTGGACAAGCGTGTCCTGGAGTTGACGGATGGACGTGGCGCAGATGCTGTCATTGAGGTCGTTGGATTGAGTCCTGCCTTGCGCACTGGCTTTGAGCTGCTGCGACCCTTTGGAACTCTCAGCAGTGTCGGTGTTCATAATGGGGAGGTAAGTATCTCTAGGACTGATGTACATTCTGTGCATTCTGTGCATTCTGTGCATTCGGTGGCTAATGAGGATCATAGATTCCTTGGGATGGCAATGATGCGTATTCGAAGAATCTCACTGTCCAGATGGGTCGATGCCCTGTTCGGTCTGTTGCTCCTCAGGCTCTAGAGGTTCTCAAGAGAAACCAGGATAAGCTTGGGTGAGTGCCCTATCTACCTTTTAGGGTGTAAGTGAGTTGCTAACTGTGGGAATAGCTTCATGGCAGATAAGATCATGCCGCTGTCGCAGGCGGTGGAGGGGTATGAGCTATTCAACGCGATGAAAGTGCAGAAGGTGATTTTCCAAGCAGATCAGTAGAGAATAAATAGATAGTTATGAAGAGGATAAATAGCATAAATGTCAGTGATCATGTCAGTGATCATGTCAGTGATCTCAGAGATAACTTAAATTTCACGGGTGGCCTTGTCTCCGCTTAAGGCAAAAACACGACTGGACTTCCTCAACTTCACCTCTTTCACTTCCATCGCCCTCACCTTTCTTTCTTCCTCCTCCCTCCTATCCTCCATTCCCCTTCTCCCATCTTCCCCTCCTCTTCCCCTCCTCTTCCGCTTCTTCGGTTCCTTTCTTCTTTCCCCCCCTCTTCTCTGACTGATCCGACATTCTGCCGTTTTCCCCTCTCATCGACTTCTCCACTTCTATCTTCTTCTGTGAGTCCTCAACCTCGCGTTTGAATCCTTTCCCAGTGGATTATCTACCGGTTGAGCGTTTGCGCTTTACTGCCTGTCATGCGCAGTTTGACTTGATCCCTCATTTCACGAAACTGACTATCCTCCCCCTCACAGTGAAGTCTCTACCGTCCGCATCCCGCGACCGTATAATCTCAATAACTCCTTCCCCGCTCTCGCATTTCGCTTGACTCTTCTAAACCGAATCTCCTACACCTCTCCTACTTCCACCCTTTTTCAATAAAAAATGGAATCCACCGAGATCCACCAAACCGCTGTTGTGGACGAGTCCATGGCCGACTTCAACGACAACCCTGCCGAGCAGGGTGAGCTGGAGACCCCTCTCAAGTCCGATGAGGAGTACGCCGTCTCTGAGCTTACTCTCCGTGCCATCGTTTCCTCTAAGGAGGCCGGTGTTATCATTGGCAAGGCGGGCAAGAACGTTGCCGACTTGCGCGACGAGACCGCTGTCAAGGCCGGTGTGAGCAAGGTAGTTCCTGGCGTCCATGACCGTGTCCTGACCATCACTGGTCAATTGCGCTCGCTTGCTCGAGCCTATGCGATCGTGGCCAAGGGTCTCCTGGAGGGTGCCCCGCAGATGGGCATGGGCGGCGTTGTCTCTAACAATGGAACCCACCGTAAGTGCTATCTTTTTACTTGTCTTCAATTCCGAGGGTTGGGCTCTCTCTGCATGGGGGTTACAGATATTCTTTCCAGCGATCCCAGACCCCTCGTTCTGTTCTGACATCATGCTAACGTTCTACCAGCTATCCGCCTTCTTATCTCCCACAATCAGATGGGCACCATCATCGGACGACAGGGTCTGAAGATTAAGCACATCCAGGACGCGTCAGGTGTCCGTATGGTCGCACAGAAGGAAATGCTTCCTCAATCTACCGAGCGCATTGTGGAGGTCCAGGGTACACCCGATGGCATCGAGAAGGCTGTTTGGGAAATTGGCAAGTGTCTGCTTGACGACTGGCAACGTGGCACCGGCACCGTCCTTTACAACCCCGCTGTGCGAGCTTCCCTCACTGGCTCGCAGCCCCTCAGCAACAACGCCCCGGCTGGAAATGGTTACCCGAACAACAACAGCAGCCGTCAGTACAACCGCACCGGCAACGGTGCCGACTTCAGCGATGGTAGCTACAACCGCCGATCGAACTCCGATGCTGGCAACCGCGGCTACCCCTTGGTCACGGAAGACGGCGAGGAGATCCAGACCCAGAATATCAGCATTCCTGCGGATATGGTTGGATGCATCATTGGCCGGGGTGGCACTAAGATCACAGAGATCCGCCGCAGCTCCGGAGCTCGGATTTCGATCGCCAAGGCCCCTCATGATGAGACTGGCGAGCGTATGTTCACCATCATGGGAAGTGCTCAGGCCAATGAAAAGGCTCTGTACCTCCTCTACGAGAACCTCGAGGCTGAGAAGACTCGCCGCAGCCAGCTTCCTCAGGAGTGAGTCTTTGATGCTCCCTGGTGAGTTATGGATGAGATGGTCCTAGCGGGATTCCTTTGGGTTCTCTGGCCTTACGACTTCCTTGGAGACTGTCGGTCACGATCAGCGGCGGTCATATGCTAGCGCTTCTTTTTTTTCTCTTTCTATTTTCTTATTTGATTCCAAGTGCTTGCAGTTATCTTTCCTTTCCTCCTTTCTCTCGGCTCTCTAATGGGTATCTGGCCTCATACGTCTGATCTTCAAAAAAAGGCAAAAGTTCACTGCGATGGACGGTTACACATGCGTGTCAATACCAAGTCTCTGTTGACCATTGTGCTTTGGATTGCATCGCTGGGTGCCCTCTCGATCGTCTACTACAACTCCGCCACATTAATCACGACATACCTACACATCCATTGCCCTCTCTCGCTTTCTACGTCTTGACACTCGCGGCAATGTCCCTAATCCGCCTGTACTCTGACCTTCCATCCCAGTCTCTACCCTCTCCTTGTCCGCCGCCATATTTCCTCTACTTTTCTCTCCTCGACTCATGTACCTTCTCTTTCTTGCGATGCTCCATCCCTTGCTCACCCTTTTACCCTGTTCGTTGCCGTGTATCTTGACCTTTACCTAAACGCCGAAACAACAAAAAAACACTTCTCCCTAAATCTCTTACTCCACCGCCGCTTTTATCTGCTTGCTGCGTGCCGTCTTCACTATTCTCTGAACTATGGATATTTAGTATCAAGTTTCTATGGAACATTGCCATAATATGAAGGGATCAATACCTTAGAGAATAAACGGTTCCTTTCTTATTTATCTTCGCATCGGGTGTAGCAATACAGTAGCATCAGAAAATTATGACTTCTGGCATATGTATCGCCTTCATAGTTCGCCTATGCCCCTACGTACTCGATGTCGTGCCACTTCTTACCGGGAGCAACTTTCATGTAGCGAGTAGTAATCGCGAGCGCAACTTCAGGCAACTGTTACATGCCGGGCAGTACTTTGAAGAAAATAGTGCATTCAAACTAGAGCAACAAATCTGAAGAAAAAATAAGAAGAGAAGCAAAAAGGAATTAAACATGAAGCTTTCAACTCTCCTCTCCTCATAGGGCTCAACTACAGTCAGTCATCAACTCCCCAACCACAATGACTAGTTCAACCCCGGCGCTCAACCCTCTTCATACACGTCTGATCGTCACAGGAACAAGCAATCCCAGTGGTGAATCGATCCCGGCCGATAATAGCATTCGACTGAGTCCGAAGTCGCGACAATATCGTCATCATAAGCGCCGCACCATCTTCCAGAAATCCACATAAGATGGCATCCAGCTCACGTTGGGAATGGGCGACGCAGCCGCAGTGGCCCGATCAGTGCGATACGAAAACCCTCGTGTCTGTTACAAGCCAGAAGGGAACCCCGGAACAGAACAGAAGAGATGAACTGTCGCTTAGGGTCATAGCCTTGCAAATGACCAGGGATTGATACGCGCAGAAGATAGGCGAGATATGGTCGCCATTGATCTCCCACTATCGTGGTTGAGAGTCTTCCTAGACGCGTCCCATCTGCGACTCCGTGACAATCTAGCTGGATGCTGGCGCAGCTTCAGGGCATCACGCTTTCGTCCGGCGATACGGCGTGGGAGTTCAGGAAACATTTCTCCTTTGGCCTAGGCAGCTCTCCTTCGACTATATCTGCTGCCGATACTTCTTCCCCAGCTCCCATTGCACCTTCCCGCGAACGAGTGCGGACTCCTTGCTATCTGTTCGCACAGCATCGTCCCATAACTTGATTTTCATTGCACCCCAAACCTAAGAAAAGGTGCATATCCACTCACGAACCGTGAGTTGGCGCATGGGGAACCTCTGAGTGTCGTCGCAGACCGCGAACCCGAAAGTCATTCCTTCATCTCAGGGCTGGAACGGGCCTCACATATCACAGTCTGCCGCTGGTCCAGTCGACAATGCTACCTTTCCGGTACGCGCTGACAACGCCGTGGGAGCAGAGGAGGCCATCCGGGAATTTGAACTGCAAAGGCAGCAGTAATCCTTCCATCCCTCCTATATTCCAAGCACATGACCCGCTTCCCTCCCTTCGCAACTCTCCATCTTCAATTCCCTTTGAGTCCATCATCATCCCGCGCTCAACTTGCGCGTATCATCATCATTCGCAGCACTACCGTCATCATTTATCGTTCGAGGTCGCTGCTTTCCACCAACGACTGCATCTACGACCCCGCTTTAGAGCAGCCAGACCCAGCTGTAGCTTACATACACGCGTCAACAAGCACCACCGAATAGGACGTATCTGGTGATGAGATGCGCCATGCTCGCCCCCAACAGGAACTCAACCAGTAACCAGCATGCGTGGGCTTTGGTCTGCTGCAGCGGCTGCTTCCTCTGGCAAAGCGTCGGCTTCATGCCATGTCCCTTAGACCCCTTCGAGACAAAGACCGATATCTCGCGGAATCGGTCTTGCAAGCCACGCTCATCCCCGACATGCACTCGACCATGTTCGATGATGTGATCGTCGCCGGCGCATATTGGCCGCTGTGTGTTTTCTCGCCCAATTCTGTTCGAATATGCTCCTCGCCCAATTCAGCTTCCTCGGTCCTTGTCGGAGGAATGGCAAGAGACGCGAATAGTGCCAGTCCACAGCATTGCAAATGTATATATCGTACTTGTCACCTGCGTATATGTGGGAACTTGATTGTGTTGGTATGGGTGGTATGGTGAAGTAAGATGTGGTCAGAGATCCAAGCTATACGTATATGTTGGTACAGATAATTTCCGTAAGCCATCTCGGGGAATGGGACCTGACAAGGTTGATAGGCGTGCTTCAGTCCTTGTATTTGGATCCGACCTCATTATGTGATGAGGAAATTTCCAATGAAGGGTATGTGCCCCCCGGTATGGAGGGACCGAAGCCGAAGCTTGGCTTTCTCCGTCCTTGTAGGTGGAATGGTGCGAGACGGACACGGATAGCGCCAGTCCACGGCATTGTAGAAGCACATGTAGTGCTTGTCACCAGCATAGCGTGGGAGCATGGTGGTAGTGTCTTTTGGTTGGTCTTGGTATACCCTTGGGTGGTGTGCGTGTGAAGCGCGGAGTTGACAGAGATCCAAGCTATATGTATATGTTGATGTAGATGGTGTCCGCAGTCATCTTGGGGATCTGACAAGGTTGAGGCGTGCTTCAGTCCTTGTATTTGGATTCATATATATGGAAGTTCCATTATGTGATGGGAAACTTCGAATGAAGGATGTGGATGTATGTGGTGAGGGAGGGAAGAGAGAGAGAAGAAATTGGAAGGTGGAAGAAGTGGAAGGAGATATTTATGCTCTGCACATGACTAGAAGTGGAAGGTGCGCGATGTTTGTCACCACTCATTCAGGAAGGAGCGATCAACCTGAGGCAACTACACAGTAAAAGTGGAAGGCTCGATCTAGAAGTATCCATACCACGCAGTCTTTACCTACAAGTGTACATTTCTATGTGTTATATCATGTGATGCGTGCAAACCTTGTCTGTGCAAAGGTTGAAACCTGGTTCTTGGGGCATGCTGTGTGAACACATACTGCCCGTGATCCATGGATGTTGACCAGCACCAACATATTACTGGACATTGAATGGAAGTTGCAACGACTTCCCAAGGTTAATCATTCGACTATATCCATGTATGTTAGTAGATCTACTTGTATCTAACTAACTAGGTACCTACATAGTAACTAGTTGCCCACATCCATATAACCCTGATACACCAGTAAATTGGAATAGATTGATGAAATGATAATAAAACAATGTATCTTCTCCGAGAATACAATTTCGCTCATTCGCAATAAAACCCCAGCAGATCCAATAATAACCCACGCTATGCATCGCAAACAAATAAAAAGAGATAGGGCGTGTGGCCATATTAGCTCTCAACGCATGGGCTGCAGCTAGCTGCGAAGCAACGATGCCGAGAGGTGCACACGTAATAGTTTCAACAGTAACCAGTAGAGTTGGAAAGGTAGAAGGTAAAAAAATGGGACAAGGGAAAAGGAGTGAGAGAGGAAGAAAGGGAGGAAGGGGTGGAGCACGTAATAGTACTCTGTATAGCCAGGGGATCAGGAGTAGTGAAGCCTAACCAAGAGTGTAACAAGAGAGAGGAGAGTCCGAGAGTGGACAAGTATGCCCAGGGGTGTGTAACCAAAGTAAACAGCAAAAATGCCTCCGGAACTCCAGAATAATGATACAAGGGGAAGTAAGGGCAGTGAAGAGTGGAGACACGAAAATCCGGGGAGACGCAGGGATTCAGGGTTGGCGAGGCAATGGGATCGACAAGTCGAGAAAGCAAAAGGGAAGAACGGCACAGACAAGAATCCAAAGCATCCTCTAGACCAGAAGAAGTCAAGCCTGTCCTGATTTGGTTCAGGGGGTTTGACGCAAAGAGAAAAAGAGAGAGAGAGAGACATGGAAAGCGGTGACAAGAGGCATCCCCTTCGCAAAAAGGGGGCTTATCCCCCAATGGGCCAATGGATTCCACCAAACGCAATTTGGTCGATCACCGCCTCACTTTCTTTTCCTTTCTGGTCTTTTGGTTCTTTTTTTGCCGGTCTGGACCTTCGGCTCCGATTTTGGTGACGCGCGGTAAAGATTGGGTATCCGCGTCTTTTTTGCTTTCCCTTGGCGCAGACCCCAAGCCACCTACGCATTGCTGCACTTGCAGCTGTGTGTTTGCAATGCATATGGCGTAGGTGAATACTTCAAGGTTCAACTATTTCCAGCGTTGTTTGTCCCAGTCCGATGGACGCGTTTCATCGTATATTTGGCCGCCCTTGTTGTGTATGACCACTGGAGGTTTGCGGGCTGGATTGGCTGCTGCACTAGCTGCATTAGCTCAAGCTGAATCTGGAGATCTGGGACAGGGGTGCGGGTGGCCTTGACATACTCAGATTCCGGACTTTGGGGGCTCCGACTTGGTCGGTGCTGCTGCCTCTGCTGGCTAGCGTGGAGTTTGAGTCGTTGACTTTGTGAGGCATTGTGAATGGTAGGTGGTGTGAGGAGTCGTAAGATGAAGGCGAAGAAGAGAGGTATTAAAGGCAGAGAGACAAAGATGTCAGAAGAAGATAGAAAGCGTCAAGCTTGAGGAGGCACACAGTGTTGAACTGTGAGCAGATTATATGAAGACAATAAAGAGGATATATAAACAAGACAAGGGCAAGAAAGGAATATAAAGACGATGATGATATAGTTGGTTGACTGTGTTGTAGATTGGATGATAGTTGATTCAGCATCGAGGGCGACGAGCTTCTTTTTGTATAGCCATTCCGCATTAGAGCTTCACCCGATCTACACTCCGGGGAACATCACGGGAGAGTAAGTTGAGCTCTAACTAGTTCGGAATGGATCACCCCCTGACGTATTTGGTGCCTGGTAATTCTCGATGAGTAGATATCCTGGGGCCACGCTTGAGGCATTGATTGGGCTAGAGAGCAGGTCGAAAGTAGGGCAGCCAGTCAGTGACGAGGAACTCAACGAACGTCAAATACCAGGACAAGTATGCAGCTCAATTACCGTATTATTACCTGTTCAATACCAATAATGATGAGTCAGCCATTCCGGACTTCCAGGCACCTCCCCAGGCCAAGAATAGTATCAGGGGCTATTCTTTGCAGAAATGAGACTGGTCCTAACTACACAGTAAGCCAATTGACACTAATCCAAAAATGACCCTGCTGAATGCGTTGGGATACCTCGCTTCCCCTTCACCGCTAGGATTTATGCGCCAATGGCGGAAGAACTGAACTGTTGTATCTCACACCCAGGGGGGATTTTCACCGCCAGTAGAACTCCACTGTGGTCCAGAATCTGAGGGTCTTGCAGGTCCCTAAGGTCTCCAGGGTCTCAATTATTACGGGGTATTCCCACTTCATCCCATTGATCCTCAATTTTGTGCCAATAGTTAGTCGAGAGGTCTGCCTAATCCTCTTAGGTTCCATCTGAAGATCAGCCCTCCCGATTCATACATACATACTCCGTACATACATGGTCATGCCATAGGCCAAGATTAGAATAATGATTATGGGGAAAATCGTCAGGTACACATCACTGAATGTATGACCGTGTTCTCATAGAACAACACAGAAACCAAGTCACGGTAGGGCATGGAAGTGCGTCATTCCCTACCCCAGACCGAGATTCTGGCCCGGGACACCTCCCTTCCTAGGTCAACCACTTTCCAAGCTAAGTTTGACCCAGGGCGGGCTTCCCCAGCAACGCGTGAATCAGCAATCAGATTGCGAAGCGTGTGGGTTTCTGCCTGTCCCTTCTGACCTGGTCCCGTGAACATAGATTCCGCTCCCGTCAGAAAAGTTTCGACCAGCCTCCCCCGAAATACTTTCAACTGTTCTGTCCACCCTCTCGCTTCATTCTGTCCTGCCACCCATTCATGCTCCGCCGAATTCCCAACGTCCGTCGCGGTGCCTGTTGGATCATAGACATCGTGGTCGTGTGGAACGTCGAGGCTGACTGGAACCCACTGGTGGAACTATTGGGCTTCGACTCATCTGCCCCGGCTGTCTTATCTGCGGAGGGACTGTTGCTGTTCTGTTCCTGCGTCACCGACATCTTGGCGGGTTTCAAGGCTGTGGGGTCTGACGGGGCGGCCATCCACGTGTAGCCGTCGGGGTTTGTGGGCTCCAGTGTTGGCCGAGTTGGGATAAGTGGTCGTGGTTGCACACGGTGTGAGGAGAGAGGAAGGGGGACGGCGCTTCTTGGTCCTGGACGTTGGTTCTGCGATGATAACGCTTCGTATTTGCGGGATGGTGGTGGCTGCTGTCGATTAGGCAGAACTGGTCCCCTTTTCTGGGAAGCCCCTGGGCCTGCAAAGAAATTGGAGATGCTCGCCTGTGCGAGCCCGTCTTTGCTGCCTGGTTTGCTGGGCGATTTCAATTTGTTCGCTCCAGCTGCATCTGCAACTACATCTGCAGGAAGCTTTGAGGCTGACCGTGCGGAAGGTTCAGGGTTGGCTGTAATGTAATCCCGGGCAGATGTAAAGCCTGAGGAGGCTGTCGTAGGGAGCGTAAAACCTGTCGGGTTATTCATGGTATAGCCCGTCATGGACATATAGGTGGTTGATGTTGGCCCCTGGTTCATGTCTGACCGCCGCCGCTTTGGTATCGGTTCGCCAGAGGTATCACGAAAGATCAATATACCCAAAGGTCTGCTGCGATCTTCCTCACCATCTTCCTCACCATCTTCCTCACCCTCGGGTGTCCATCGGTCATCCAGCGTCGATGGCAGGGATTCGAGCCCCTTGTACATGTCTTCCAAAGACGGCCGAGGGCGGTGTAGTATATCCGCAATCGCGTATACTACTTTCTCATCAAGAGACGGTCCCGTTGGTCGAAAGCGTGATTTGGTCAATTTAGGAGGAAGGAATGGTGACAAGGTCGTCGCACCGTCTTCACCCTCTCCTAGCCTGGGCTGACGAATAGGAACGCTGAGGTATAACAGGGCTTGTGCTCTTGTCATCGCGACATACAGCAGCCGCCTCTCTTCTTCTATCACCTCCGCACGCGAGTGAGGAATGCTGCCGTCGTATACTGCGGGAACAAACACGACTGGCCATTCCAGGCCCTTGGCAGCATGGATGGTGGATATTGTGACTTTCTCAGTAGGCTGATCCCCCTCTTGTTCTTCCTCTTTGGTGGTGATCTCTGTAGCCAAAGCCACGTTTGCGAGAAATCGAGTGAGAGCCTCCTCACCGGGATGTGCCTGCTGCTGCTCTACACCTTCGATTTCAGGTAGATCCGTCTCTTTGTCCACTTCCGCCTCTTCGAATGCTGCGACATCAGTGGCCTGGTGCATCAACTCTTTGACATTCGCCCAGCGACTGTCTTCATCAAGAGGATATGTCCTGATCAGATACTCCTGGAATGAAAGACGCTCGGCGATGAACTCAATGAGAACACGTGGAGCCGACGCATCCTCACACTCCTCTAACTTCTGTCGAGCTGCTTCGATCAAATTCACCAATACGCAAAGTCCCTGCTCTGCGGGCTTTTGCAGTTTCTTCTCAGTCGAGCGGCGCCCTTGGATGACATCCTTGATGAAGTTCCACAGTGGAACTTTGGCCTTTTCCGCACCGCCAGTCAATTGCTTGATTGTCTCATCGCCAATCCTGCGTGGCGGGACGTTGACGATATTCACCAATGCGTCCGAATGTCCCGTGTGGCTGACAACTCTCATATAATTGAGCAGAATCTTGACTTCAGTTCGGTCGAAGAATTTTCGTCCTCCGACCATCCTATATGGTATTCCCGCTCTCCCAAACGCCTTCTCAATTTGTGTAGACAGCGAAGCAGACCGAAGCAGAATGGCAAAATCGGACATGCGTAGCAAACCTCCGGTCATTGCCGCACATCGCTTGATCTCAAGCACTATCCAATGCGCTTCTGCGCTGGGATTGGGAAGCCTTCGCAATACCGGCATGGTGCCGAAAGTGTGGGTGGCCTGAAGTGCTTTTGCAGGACGACTCTCATCCTGTTCAATCACGTCCTGGGCGGCTTTCAGAATAGAACCTGCAGAGCGATAATTGTCTTCCAAGAGCACAACCGTCGTGTTCGAATACCGCTGCTGCATTCGATTGAGATTCTGGATCTCCGCAGACCGAAAGCCGTAAATACTCTGATCCGGATCTCCAACGATAGTGATTCGTCGGTGCCGTGCCGCAAAGAGGTTCATGAGCTCATATTGTATAATATTGGTGTCCTGAAACTCATCCACCAAGACTGCTTGCACGTTGGAGACACATTGGGGGTGCTGCCGGAGCAAATCAGCACATCGCAGAAGAAGGTCATCATAATCTAGGAGATTAGACGCCGCGAGTGCCGATTCATATTCACGATAGATATCCAGAAGCTCTTGCTCCGCAGCTTTAGCTTTCTCCGCCAGGGCTTTAGCTCTCTCCGCCAGGGCATCGGGACTGAGTCCATGTGCCTTATGCCGTGAGATCCGGCCCTGGGCCGCCTTGACCTCAATGCCAGATTTCAGTCGTTTGATAGTCCTCTGCGATCAATATTAGAGAAAGAAAGCCAGGTAAAATAATAAAGCATACTCTGATAATCGCGCGAGAGTCATCCGAGTCCGCAATGCCAAACCCCTTCCGCAGACCAATCAGATACCCGTACTTGACCAGGTAGCGGCGACAGATGGAATGGAAGGTGCCGAGAATCAAGCGTGACTCGAGTTTTTCGCCAATGGATTTTGCCAGCCGCTCACGCATCTCGCGGCTGGCCTTGATGGTGAATGTACAGCAGATGACATCTTGTGGTTGGTATCCGTGATGGGTGAGCAGGTATGCGACGCGTGCTGTCAATGTCTTTGTCTTGCCGGATCCTGGTGGTGCGAGGACTTGGATCACTGAGCCAGACGAGGTCACCGCCTGGCACTGGGCGTGATTCAAGCCATCTAAGATCGGATCCATGACATGTGGGGGGTATTTGGATCAATGGGCGCGTGTTTGGGAGGGGGAGACGCGAGAAAACGCGATGTCATGTGACAATTCTGTCATATAGTGGGGAGTCGGTTATCTGGATGATTGAGGGTTTGGAGGTTATTTAACTTTATTTACGTTAGGAAATTGGTCTTCATCCGTGCCTAAACTGCCTATGGTTGCAGAGAGAGGCTTTTTGTGCAATGTGAATTCGGGGAGCTTCAAGCCTTCAATGCTCCCATCCGCAGAGGTGGATGCTTGCCGTACAACGCTTTAGGCAGACTCTGTTAGATATGCCAAGAGATCCGTGACTATTGAGCTCAAGGTCTTTGGTCCATTGGACACTTGAAATGGTCAATCTGATTTATGGTTATGTTTAAAAAAAAAATGCAAAGGGCGACATAATAGTGTTTTGTTTTTCGGGATCACATGGATCCCGCATGTCTAGACTCTAGATAGTGCTCAAGTATGGGTAGTTAGACGGCGGTTCTACTGTGGTATATAGACGGGCACGAGTCTCTCTTCGGTAGAACGCTACAGCAAACCTCCTCCGCGTTCTAATATGTACAAATGGATTGATTATTCGAGAAGCAAATGCCTCCTTGGAACATCAAAGGTAGAGAAAGCGCCGCAGGTAGGTATGAGTCATGACAGTCACCTTAGGGCTAGTTACACACCGGTGACCGTCCAAACTCACTGGCACACCGATATCCATGAAAAGCCATCCCGTTCCCGAGGTCCCAGCAGGACGAACACGATCAATATCCTTTCAGAGACAGCCGCATAGTCAGACCAATGCCTTTTCTCGTGTAAGACTGACCGCCCCCTCTTCCCCCAACCCACCATGTCATTACCGAGAACGGCAGGTGACGGCTCAACTTCGATCGCAATGCAGATAGACAGACGAATAGGAAAAGACTATAACTAACGGATGAAAAGCCACATCATCAAAGGCCCATTAAGGCAGGTCCACAACATCTAGATCAACAAACGTCATCTCAAGCAATGAAAAGGTCCACATAGGTCTTCCTACCCGTCGACGGATGGAACTGTATCCCATAATTATGCCGATTCGTGACGAGGAATTCAAACCGAGAGAATCCTTGGCCAAAGCCTTTTCGAAGAGGAAGCGGCCTAGTTATCCTTTTCTCCATAAATCGATGATACACACGGCACACATATCACTACACAATGTACACGTCGGTGAGCCCAAGTACGAAGCGGAAGTACGTTTTACCAGGGATAACACGGGACAGAACCGTTTAAATCATGCAAGACTACACATCACAATATACACACGGGATGATAGGTGGATTATTTGACCGTGATGTCAGCCACACCAATTTGACTACTGCAATTCCGAGCCCTACTTATGTCGAAATAGTTATGTAGTTAGTCATTATTCAATGGCCTAGAATATGTATGCTATTCGGACTCCGGCTTGACTTTTTTTTGTTGAAATGTTGAAAAGATTAACCTCGGATTTAGAGATCGATCTCCGGAGCCCCGCCGTTATGACTAGCTGGCAAGACCCTTTCCCCGTCTTTCCAATGGTTCTTAGAACCTTCTTTTTCATCGGCAATAGACCCCATAATGTTCTTTTATCGAGTCTGACCTGCCTATCTGACACAAGCGTCGAAAGAAAATGGGCAAGTGGGACAGCGTCGAAGATTAGGAGGCAGGACGCACGGCCGATTTTGGTGTGGCGAAGTTCACTGCCGTGGGGATTGGGACTAGTGGTTGATGAGGGTCTTGGAGTCCCTGGGGTCTTGGGGTCTTCGAGAGTCTTACTATGGGCCAGATGCTGCTTCTGGGGAGATACTGCACTATTCAAGAATATAGCCATTAGACCGAATGGAAAACGGCCCCGTCAACACTTTATCCTCTCTTCATTGGTTGTGAGCCAATATGTCCTCGGCACTTGTCCATTTGATAGGACTTGGCTACGAGTTGGTCCAAGGCAGAACCTAGGCGTCTCTGAGTTAAGAATGAGAGTCAAGAATGAGCTGGTATCGAATTATGTAAAGAATATAATGCTCGCTTGAAAACGCTTCTTCTGCATGCAAATCAATCCCACCAGTATATGTCCAATCGAAATGAAATAATAATCAATATTCTCAGAAGGGTATCCATCACGCCAGCATATGTCCCTTGCAAGAGACATTTTCAAAATGAAGGAAATGACTAAAACATCAAGAGAAAATGCCCAATGGCAGAGTCATCGCCACTTCAAAGTTGGGCACGTTGACCACTTCCGCAATCTGCAAATCACCAGCGACACTGGCAATAATGTAGGCCTCACTGCGAGTGAGACCCTTCGTCTGCACCAGCCACTGAATAAGGTTCCGAGTGGCGCTTCTGGTAGCCTCGTATAGATCAGACGAGATACCCATAGCACCGTAAGTTCCAAGATCAGGAAGAGGGTTCGGTATTTGTGCGCGAGGCGGCGTCTGGAATTGTGGGGCGGTAATCCAGGGCTGGTTCTTGACGAGCTCGAAGCGAAGCGTAGCGCGGATCGGGGTTTCGATAGCGGTACCACAGACCTCGCCATGGCCCTGGGCAGCATGACCATCACCGCAGCTGAAGAGGGCACCGGCAGTCTGGACGGGGAGGTAGACGGTAGAACCAACGCTGAGCTCACGGCAGTCCATGTTGCCACCGGCGTTGGTGGGCGGAACGGTCGATAATTCTTCGTCGCTGGCTGGGGCGAGACCCATGCATCCGAGGAAGGGACGTAGGGGGATGCGCATGTCTTTGAACTGGGCGAAGCCGGCTTCGCGGTTCAGTTTCCAGATATTGATCTGGGGCTCTGTGAATTCGTCTGCCAGCAGACCAAAGCCCGGGATGATAGCGGACCAGCCCCAATCGGCGACCTCCAGGTCGAGCACTTCGACTTTCAGGACGTCGCCCGGTTGGGCGTCGTTCATATAGATCGGGCCGAAGACGGGATTCACTGAGCCGAAGTCCAATGTCTTGATGTCCGAAGCCGTGGATGAAGAGTTGAGTTGGCCATTGCTGCTATCGATAGCATCGAAAGTGACCGTCTCGCCGGAAGAGACGGTTAGTTTTGGGGTATTGCGTCGAGCCCATGTGTGATGACCACATTCTCTTCCCACATGGAAGTTACTCCATTCCTTTGGTGCCATGTCTGATGATTGAGTCGGAAGTGCCCGGGTTTCGACCAAACTCATTGGAGAAGTACGATATTGATATATAGAGAAAAAGGACTCGTAACAAAAGTGGAAGCAAAAAAAATCCCGTAAGTTGGATGATGGGCGATTTTGTATCCAACGACCTCGGGCAGATTGCTCTCTTCAGGACTGACCGTTCTGGAAGGTGACTACACTCGGATCTTATGCTTCTTTTTTTGATCTTCTCCGAGCTCCACTCGGAGAACCAGACGCCTGCCTAAAGTGGTTGACAGAATTCCAGCAGATTGGTCCATCAAGAGACCCCTATTCCTCCCCGGTCGGAGCCTCTAGTCTCCAACAGCAGACCCCGATGGTTGGACCGTTGGTTGAAGAATCTGGTTGGATGGAAAGCGGCAGAGCGGCAGAGTAAGCGACGGTTCTTGCCCGTTTATCCGCGTCTTCAAGATAAACTTGCAGGGGGTATTCCGTAGTATACAACACCATTTTTAGAATACTTCGATCTTCTAGAATACTACTACTTCCATAGCCCTACTGTTTAGTACAACCAGACCAAGCCGGATAATGTGCAAGATTACTAGATTTTCTTCGTATAACTAGAGCGCCACCTTTCGAATGTTTGGATTTACGGGTCTTTTTCAATTTTCCATAAATTTCATTCCTTCCCTGTTTTTTCATCAGGTACATGTGTCAATCGAGACTGAAAAAAAAGAAAACCGTCAAAAAGATTAAAAATACCAATTTGAATGGAAATCGGAAACACCACCTTCTTAATCGGGTAAAGAGCGAACCGTTCCTGGACTAGGAGTGGCCCAACTGCATAACATTTTCTCTTGTGGAACTACTCCGAAACTAAATCTTAAGACTGGAGACTACGGAGTACATCCACACTGTATATATTTTCTACGTCACATTGAAGTATAGACATGTATACACGGGTCTATTGTATATCGACTATCTCAAGATCCTCGTCCGTCCAACATCGCTACTATGCACGATGCATTGTCACCGCGAGGCCTGCTGGCCGTATCCGTGGCGATTACTTGTGCAATTTCACCTGCTGGTTTTCCCCGCATCGACATTTTCATCACGTGCTGCATAAGGTTTGTGTCGTCCACTCGATCGGTAACTCCGTCGGACGCCACCACTAACAGATAACGGCGGTCTGTCTGCAATGTCCGCCGTGTGGTATAAGGATCATTGGATATGAAGTCACCGCGAGATTCTGTTCGGCTTGCTGCAGACTGAGACCCTGCGCGGTCTAAAACGGGGTTGTCCGTATACGTGTTAACCGGGTTCTTGTACTGCAGATCGCCTAATGCTCGAGACATGTTCAAGGACCCTATTGATATGATCAGTCATTTTTTTACTACCTTCGATATTGGATCGTTTCCAACCCACCAAGCCGATGTGTGCCGCGGCGGTTGATAACCATTCCGCCTGCTTCCTCAATTCGGGCCTTTTCGCTGGGGATTTCGGGCTTGTGAGCCTCGGTGAGACGTCGCTAGTGTGTCTTGCTGTTAGCATGATACTCAAATCAGCTCAATTGGGAGGCCATGCGCACAACGTGATACGGGTGTTCTGTTTTCGGGTCCCGCTCCGCCAAGATTACATGCGAGTCGCCCAGATTAGAGACGACCAGCTCGCCATGCGTGAGATTAATGCAACACATGGCGACTGTGGACCCGGAAACGGCGGGTTCGAAAGATTCGTTCTTGAATCTTTCCAGCAGAATGCGGTCCTCCTCAGCGAGTGCTGCCTTGATCGCCGTGGCCCAATCATCTTTTTCAAACTCCGGACGCTGTGCAAGCAGGTTGTGCAGACTGTCCTTCAAGTGATCTGAGACGAGCCCGGAACCACTGGAGATATGGTCAGTTGGAAGGCGGCAAACGACGCATTTCACGGCTTTCCTTACTGTCCATCATATACCGCAAAGAATGCAATGTTGTCCTTCGTATTCATATTCGAAGGAAACTGATTCGGAAAAATGAGTGCGCACCGATCTTCTTGGTATTTCCTACTTCCCTGGGACTATCTTTCTCATCAGCATGGCAAGTATTTGTGCGAAGGCTGTTCCCTTGCTACTTACTTGACCAGACCCAGCATCAAAGAGCGTGATTGCGTCTGAGGTAGACACTGTTTTACGGAACATATTGTCCCTCAGAGCGCGGTGAGCCACGACCATGTTAGGCCAGTCGATGTACGATATCCTTCCACTGTATCACTAGTGGAAAGGCATGTTCGCAGAATATGGGGTGATATCTCTGGACTATGATGAGGCACTGACATCATGAACGCCTTCTCCCTTCACTGATACTGTATTTAGCTAACTAGTCTCATTGGCGGCTAAATCGCCTTCCCCAGAGCCTAGCCCTCACCTAGACTTGCCACTGCTGTGAGCATTGACTTGTCGGCACGTGAACGAACTGATCGTCGGCAGTTGTTTAGAGGATATATGCGTAGTAGATTTCCTTTGACTATCTCACGCTTTTACCACCACGATCTTGACTAGTTTCAAGTTACCCAACCTTTAGTTCAATAAAAGAAATGGTTGGTTGACTTCCATCGAGTAGACTCCCAACTTGTCCAAAGTGCCGCTGCATAGCAGTGATAGTGCACGGACCAACCTGAACGGCGAGTCTGCAAGATCGAGATTCTAGATCAGATCATCAGACACACTCTCGAGTCACTCTTTTAACTCCTCGTGCATTGCTTTCCAGTCATCCAGTCGGCATGGGTTGGGTCGGCGTGGGTGTACTTATCGCAACTACAGGCTACTTTCTCTACCGATACCCTCCTCGCAGCTGGACGGAGCCTCGTTCTTTTGCCCCTTCGGAACCCACCCCCGACGCGCCGCCCGCTGATAAAGCCACAAACGACTCCGTGCAGGAGAAACATGGCTTAGAGCCCTCAACGCCATCAATAGAGACCGAGGAGGAGGATTTACAGGCCACGCCCAAGGCCTCGGCTTCGAGCGCACCGATTTCCGCCCGTGCGGTCCCCACCTTCAACCTCGACAGCGGCGAGAGCGAGCCATCGCAACCCGCCAAGATGCCATTCCTCTCACAAACGACAAAAGGGACAGCAGCGCAGTCACCAGCGACAGACCGCAACGATGAGGCATCAAAGTCTCAGCCATCCCCGCAGCCATCCCTCGCGCCACCTCCAAAGCCACAACAATTGTCTACAGCCCCTACGACAACCACCACCGGCTCCTCCTTAATGCCTCCACCTGCAGTACCTCGTCCTCGACCAACAACCCAAGCCAACCGCCTCTCCCCAACAAGCACACTCCAACCCCCCAGACTCAGCGGCAACTCTCTCGGCCCGCCACCGTCAGCAGCAGCCTCTCAACGCGGCCTGGCCGCGCCGAGCAGCAGCAGCCGTCTCACCAGCAGCACGCTATCCCCGACCCAAGTATCTCTCAAGAAATCCTCGGCTCGGGTGATTCTTGCACCCGGATTTTCCCCCTCGACTGGGCACAGCTAGCAGCAAACCCGAAGAACAACCTCCGCGGCGAAGGTCTGCCCCCAGGCCTGCTGCGAGTCACACCGTCAATGCTGAAAGAGCAACATGGGCGCAAGGGACGGGATGCATGGACCTCGTATCATGGGAAGGTATACAATATATCACCGTATGCCCCTTACCATCCAGGCGGGAAGGGCGAGCTCCTCCGCGGCGCAGGGAAGGATTCTGCACAGCTGTTCCAGGAGATTCACCCGTGGGTTAATTGGGAGGGTATTCTCGGCGAGTGTTTAGTCGGGATTCTAGTTTCGGAACATGATGTTCAGACTGAGAATGCCCTGGACGCGATGGACTGATACTGGTGTTTTGCTTTGTACTTTATCTCGGCTTTGCAAAGCCATGTATATCTTACCACACATAGATGAGATACCCTTGTTACCATAATACAAAAAGACTCTCCAACTCGCATGCGAAACCGGTATATAGTTATTCCTTGACCAAGTATGAAACCGAGTCATCAAAACTTCCCTCCAAGAGAAGCTAAAAGCATCAAATACGACACACTCAGAGCTCATCCTTCACACCATCAATACCAACAAGCTCAGTCTCAAAAATCAACGTCGACCCAGCAGGGATAGGCCCCATACTACGACTGCCGTAACCGAACTCAGGCGGGATAGTCAGCGTGCGCTTCTCGCCAATGCACATATCCAGCAATCCCTGGTCCCATCTGTAACAATTGAGTGAAATTAGCTTCATGTGCGACTCATCAAGTTGCATTTCCATCTGGGAGATAGCCTCTACTCACCCCTTGATGACACGACCAGTACCCAAGGCGAAAGTCAAGGGGGAATTGCGCTTGTAGCTGGAGTCGAATTCGGATCCGTCGGCTTGTAGGGTGCCGCGGTAGTGCATGGAGACTTTGTCGCCGTTGACGGTCTTGCGCTCGCAGTCGACCGGGTGGGTGACCTCGATGCCGAGGTCGGCGGCGGCGGCTAGGGAGCCGAGAGTTGCGACGAGGATGGTGATGAGACGCATTGTGGTGGTGTTTGGTTGGAAGAAAGGGGAGGGGGAGGGGAATTGGAGAGATGGGGTTGTAGGTAAGGTTGGGGATGTGGACAGATGGGCGGGGAATGGGCCGAGGGTTAGCGTCGGTCTGTGCTTTTTGGCTTATGGTACCTTGTGGGTTCCAAGGTTTAACTTAGTTACTTTGTTTATTTCTATGAAGGTCAAGTATGTGCTTGTACGCAGTATTCATTTGCATAGGGCTCCTCGTGTACTAACTACGAGGCCAATTGATGGAGGGATATGGCTTGTAAGTGTCCTCAAATCAGCCAGGTTGTCTTTCATAGAATATCTCAACTTATCACTTTGGACTTGGTGATATTAGACACTATACCTTAGGGTAACACTAACACAGGAAGTTATAACATTAACATCCTCTTCCAGACCCATCGCCACCCACAGCCAAATGTACCTTGCATGAGTACGACTGTACGGACTCAAGCCTTAACCGATTGACTCACAGTCTTATCCTCAAGGCCCGGCGCACTCGCCTGATCAGCCGCAGCCTGCAAGTCACTCTCACCCATCTCACCCACCCAACCATTCTCAACCAGATACGCCCTGAAATTCTCATCCCTTACCCTCAAATTCTCATCCGACAAATCAGGCACGAAAAAGTAAGTAACGAGAATCCCAACAACACCACAGATAGCAGCAACAATAAAAGTCCACTTATTACCCAGCTTCTCCTGAATCGGCAAGAACGCCTGCGTACCCACGGCAGCACCCGCCTTCCCAACAGCCGCAGAAAGACCATAACAGGTGCCGCGCACACCTGTAGCATACGACTCAGACGAGATCAACCCGAGCATATTTCCCGGACCGAAATTGCCGGAGCTCTGCATCAGCCCGTAGAAGACGACGAAGAGAGGAACGATCTTGACGATGCGCTCGTAGGCGCAGCCGATTATCAGGCCGAATATGAGGTATCCGCTGAAACCGATCATCATAATGGGCTTGCGGCCGAGGCGGTCGCAGAGGATGGCGCCTAGGAATACGCCTGGGAGGGCGAGGGCGCCGAGGAGAAGTTGCCATTCGCCGGTTTGGAGTAGTGTGCCGTCTCCTACGACGGAAGATATGATTGTGGCGGAGAAGACGCCGTTGGGGAAGGTGACGAAGTCTTGTGTGGATGTGTTAGATGTGTATGGATGTTATGGATATTGGAGTATTCGCTTACCGTAGAGAAACCAAGCACCACAAGTTCCAATTAGGGCCTTCCAATAGTATCGCAGTACGAGTATGTAGGGTACGTGCTTCTTGATTGCTCCACGTCGATACAGCACTGAGTTCAGCATGCGGATGCGGAAGTAGAACACCGATAGGGGCCAGATACAGCCGATTCCGAAGCACACGCGCCACACGGTGCTGTAGTGGGACTGCTGGCAGGCTGAGAGAACAATCAAGAATATTGATACTGCGAATGGTCCACCGAATGACAATGGGAAATTAGTTACCATGATAAAGGCAGGACCCCGGTGCTTTGGGGTTAGATCATTTGCTGCTTCTGAGGCGGAGGCTGAAGAGGCCGGGTATTCGCCCCCGGCGCCTGGTGATGGCATATGGGTCAGTCTTGCGGATATGCAAGCCATGCGACTGTATACCAGCCGGTGGGATTCACGTACCAAACCCGACGACACCACGGGCGATCGTCATCATCCAGAACATGCCGTCGATTGTGATGCCATGCGAGGCTGTGGCGAGAATGCCACCGATGACAATCATGAGAGTGGTGAAGACGATGGCGGTCTTACGGCCCAGATAGTCGCACGTCAAGCTGGTATTGAATGACTCGTTAGTCGTCGTAACACTGATCGGTCCTAGGATATGTCCATTTCATACCCAATTACAACTTGTCCAATAACCTCGCCGACAAGGAGAGCATTGGAGACACGCGTGCTGACGGTAGTTGTGTACTCCTTCGGATATTCCTTTTTGAGGAGGACATTGGTCATGGTCCTATAGCAATTAGACCTTGTCCAATATACACGGGGACAGCGACCCACATTAGGTTATTTTGATATCCATCGCTGATCAGAGCGAAGCCACTTGCGAACTATCGCGATGGGGAAGTGTCAGATGTATTCGCGAGTATAGTTCGGTAGATAAAGTGATCACTCACAATGGTGAAGAGGTCCGATAGACTCTGTCGCTTCGACGCCACGACTGGGATGTCCGCAGGGTCAACTGGATTGATAGTGTCCCGAGTCACAGCCTTGGACTTATGATCCTCGAGGGGCATGGTCAATTCAGGTTCCGAAGCCATATCCACAGGGCTGAAGACGCTTTCCGCCGAGACTTGAACTGTGGCCCTTGTCCTAGACCAGACGGAAGATGCTGGAGAAAGGAGAGTCCTGGATCCATAGCGGGAAACATGCAGCTACATGTACTTATATAGCTCGGCCTCCTGTTCAAATACGAGCGGGGAGTCCGGGGAAGTTCCGCCCCCCAGGAAGATCAGCAACAAAGACCAATCACCAAATTGGCCAAGCGCAAACTAAAAAAGAAGCTAAGGCTTATCTCCGCATGGCGTCGGGGTAGCTCTTGAAAATGGCTTCCAATAGATATCAGGCACGTGGGGAATACGAACGGGAGATACTGATAATTTGTGCACGTTTTAACGTTGATTAATATTGGTTGGTTGGTTTTGCTGGAACAGATATCTCGTGAAATAAACTCGAGAAACAACTCGCTAAAGTAACGCCGATACATGAATGGCTGAAACTAGCCAAAATGCCATGGGTATCACATACGCAGCATCAATATGTGACTATAAAAAAGAATTGAAAGCAAAAAGCAAAGACATGAAACGTAAGTGGGAAGATGCAAGTTCCCTGATTTTGATCGGCAGAAGCGATGCCTCTAGGCCCATTTGCCCAGCACGGCCATGAGCGCAGCTCCGGCACAGAGGAGGAAAAAGGCAATTAGCACGTGGGAGATTGGGGCCTTGCGCATGGAGTGGCTGAACATGAACTCGTGCGCCATCAGCTCGACAAGGGCCGTGTAAATGAGAATGCCGGCGGAGATGGAGTCGAAAACACCGTTGACGATGAGGGTGGTTCGGCCGGTGGGCGGGTAGCTGTTTCGGACACCCAGTCCAATAGCAATGGCAATGGGGGTGGAGACTCCGAAGGCGAGGCCCAGGAAGTAGGGAGTGTTGCGTTTTGATTTGGGCCAAGGAATCGTGGCCAGGCGGGAACCGAGACCGAGACCCTCAAAGGTTTGATGGAAGACAAGCACAATGTAGAGAGTAATGAACTCCTCGCCCGAGACTGCGAGAGTAAGACCGATGAAGATTGAGTGGAAGATGATACCGAATTCCAGAATGAAGATCGAAGTAAGCTGGGCGGCATAGTCCTCGACCGCATGGATATAATTTGGGGATTCGTCATCGCTGTTGTCGTGGTGCTCACGGGTATGGCCAAGGTGATCCTCCCCTAGAATGTGGTTCTTTGGTTCAGTGGAATCGTTGGAAACGGTGGATTCATCAGGAAGATGAGTGTGGGCGTGACCTTCTTCGTCGTGCACATGGCCTTGGCCAAAGCGTGAGAAGCGCATGACCATCAGTTCGACAAAGAACAGGACAACGATTGTCATGAGGACGATGCCCTCAACCCAGCTGTATTCAGTAATTGGACCAGTCAGACATTCGTTTGTCAGGGCCTCTTCGGCCGGGGCCAAAAGGTGGATGAAAGCAGTGGCAATGATCACACCAGATCCAAAGTACTTGGCGACGAAGAAAGCCCACTGAGGGAATCCACCGCTCTGGCTCCAGCGCCGGGCGAAGACGGGGAACAGAGCACCGAAGAGGGAGCCAACCATGATCACAAAGATGGAGGAGATCCTAAGGCCCAGCCGGCCGTCGAACTCATTGCCGGATTCACAGGCATCCTCCCGCTTGAGAAGAGTAGCGTAGGAGTCCATTGTGGCACGTCGCACAGAATGAGTATGGAAGAACGAGGATATGAAAGATTGTTCGACAATTATCTTGGCGATAAGACTGTCCACAAGCATAAATGATGTGTGCAGGATAAAAGGAAGGTGCCACGAGAGTTTCTCAGTTGAGATAGAAAGAATAGGTCTGACGAGCGACGTGTAGTGGGGGTTTTGTGCAGGAGACTAGTTGACCGCAATCCCCAAGGTCCTTGATAGTAGGCGAGATGCGTGCGTCGTTGGCCCACTATGCATGAAATTACTGGGAGATCCTGACAATGTCGAACTCTGCGAAGGGCCGATATGATTCGACGACGCTTCTTTCCCTGAGACAACAATATCTCAGTTGCACTGTTGAGTCGCACTATGCAGATTGTGGGATGTTGGAGGTTTTCTGAGGTCCTCAATGACGGAATGAGTACCCTGGGAGCAAGGAAAATTCAGCGGAGCGGATTGGAGGAAGCACAATTGTACCAAATCAGAATTCGCAAGATCTTTGGTCGTCATCAATCTCGGTGGGGTAGTCCTGGCCCTCCTGGGGACCTTGGGGACCTTGAGAGCTTTTCAGAGGTCAAGGCAGTTTGCTCATCTTGATAAATTGGTACCAGGTACCTGGTGAACCATAGTGTCATTGCGGGAGACGGAAGTATTCGGTACTCAGCCCTCTAGCGGGTGAGTACCTTGGGGACGGTTCAGTTTCCGTTCACGGTAGCGGAGAGTCACGTGGAACGATATAAATCCATACAATGAATAGACAAAACACTGTATCTAAAACATACTACTGTGTTTGAGTCATATCTGCTAGTACAGATATCTGACATAGTAGAAGTATGAAGGGCATGAAAAAACGTGGTTGGCAGGTCACCCCTGTGGCAGCCCTTTGAGGCGTCTCTGTCGCCAATCAGAAAGTCGGCGGCAAAAGGGCTTGGCACCGCGGGGTCATTGGAATCTGACCACGCCCTTGCAAACCACATTGAACATGGCTCCCATCCGACGATACCTTCGCATCAGCAAATACTCAGTCTTGGAATGTCGCATTTACCTAGAAACCCCATCTGATTCACGATGGCTACTCAACTCTCGCGATCCGGTCCTCCCGCGCATCATCGCTGCTATTCAACCGCTGGTCCTGCCAAAGCTGCGAGAAGAGAACGAGCGGCTATTCCAGCGCAAGAAGGGAAAACCAGTGAAGGATGTCATTTCAGAAGGTTTGAAACATCTGGTCACTATCGTCTGGAGACCTAAGCACGCTAACAGAAGGTTCTCTAGATGACTTCGAGGTGGCCATCTTCCTTCGCGAATCCCGTACCCGTCATTCTCTCCTCACGCGAAACAAGACATTCCACGGAAAAGGAAACCAAAACCAAGACTTGAATTCGGAGCTGAAGCAAGAAGCTGACTCAGGTGACACAATTACCAACCCGGTTAGCTCAGCAAACGGCGGAATTATGATCGAGAGCGACAGTGAGCCTGATCTGGACTTGCATGATATCCCTGAATCTGGCGATGAAGACGCAGTGCAGGATGCGCAACAGTCAGACAGACGGGGTCGGACAGCCAAGACAGGCCGGGTACAGCCGGAGGATGAGACTGGTGAAGACGAAAAGAAGCTTGGTTTCAGTACCCATTATGAGAGCTTCAATATCTGCGGATGGGTGTTGTGTTTGTTGATCACCCGCAAGGGGGCTAGAAGCAAACAACCAAGTGCTGTGAACTCCGAGTCATCTCGACAACCGCTCATGGAAGAATGGATTTCAACTCAAGCTCAGGCATCTGTTGACGAGGATTGAGACGCCGTTTGCTTGAGCTAAGCCACCAGTGATGGTGGAGCTGGGGATACTCAGTAGTGCGATTGACAAGGATCTTATTCTTGCTTACATCCAAGCCTTTCGACCTCGTATTACACTCAGTCATGGAGAGGGAATTGACCACATGGGCCCTGTGACTTACCGTCACTGCTAATACGCATTATCTCATACCCCTGCGAACGCTGCAAGCATGTGCCTCGCGTTTGTCTCATGTCTCTTAGTCCGCCGACGTGGGGATTCATCTCACGCGGTACTTCAATTCCATGATCCAGTGGGCTAAGTGTTACTATCGGGAGCACAGCACCTCCCACCCAACGAGCCGCGACAAAACTGGCACCGTGGAAATGCGTCATCGGCATTTGGTGTTTTCAACCCTCAGGCAGGTTACACAAGTCATGGACCGTCATACCCCGGCTTCTTCAGTCACAGGTTCAGGTTGACGGAACCGCGTGAGACGGAAATGTCAGCCACGGAGCCCGGGCGTCTTCACTACCACCAGTGATATCTTAATGATCTGCACGCCAGAGACATGGCGGAATATTGGCTTTCTACGATGTCCACTTACGGCTACATCGGCTTTCTGTTTGCATGTCTCGGCTGTGTTGATGACGCTTTACGATGATACATACAATATTCTATGGATCATTCAATTCCACTTCCTCAATTACATTTCGATTCCACCCAGTTCAGGAACTAAGGATCCCCATGTGGAATTGATTACCAACCTCGGCCCGCAACTTCCAGAAGACAAGCTAGAAGATTTTCGAGTGGAGCTCGGAATGAAACAGTCCGTCTCTATCGTCCCGTAATACTTGACCTTCTTAGAGACGAACCTGTGCCGGTTTGCTGGTCCGGAGAATCCCCTATTCCCATACCAGTCTGAAACAAATGACATATGAATAGAATCATTGACAGTATTCTTATCCGACGTTGCGTATCTATCTCCGTATCCGATCAAGCATCAGAACTACTAATGTGTATCCTGTAGCCTATCTTGGCCTCCAATCCAACAGCCAATGACCAAGCTTTGCGAATAGTTCAAACCGATCGTGCTACGGACCAGGGGTAAATTCCCGATCTAGCAAGCTGAACTTTCTCAAGTTCAAAAATCTCCGACTCCCAACCGCTCAACCGCCATCGCCTCTTCCAACAGTGCGGAACGGTGGGATGGAGCCCATCTAAGTGGGCCCTCTTTGCCTAACGGGGACGATTTATTGAAGTTTGCGGTCCGCTAGTTTGAAAGTTGAGTTTTCTTCCCATGTGGGTTTTTACTTTTTTTGCCACTCTTTCCCACTTTTCCCTTTCCCCTTTCTTGGTTCCCCCGGCCTTAGTTCAGGAACACCCGTGGAGACGCATGAGGTTCCATATTTTGCCACTCACTGCCACCCCCACTCCGCACACCTCTTTCTTCTGCCGGTAAGTCGGGAAGTCAAAGTTTAAGCGAATCTGGATATCATCTTCGAATTATTGAGGAAGCATTTGTCATTCACCTTACACTCCTATCTAAGTAATATCTGGAGCCTGATTTGCAAATCCCGAGTGGTACCGTTGTACAGTGTGACTGACATCCGGGCTAACAGAAGCATTGACTTGGTATTACTGCATAGGGCAGAGTGCAGTTGTGTGGGGATGCCACATAAAGTACTCTACACAGTATGCAGTAAGTAATGCGCTGACCAGCTAATCTCTCTGCCTTGATGTGTTAAGGGCAGCCAAGAAATTAAATCAAAAAATAGTTAGGGAGCACAGCGGTATGTAACGGGGAGACCCAATGCATTGCTCAGGGGCCACCGGGTAATTTCCGGGGCACTGTAAACGTCCCGAAGCTGGGGATAACCTTTGACTGAGTAATACACTGTAGCTACGAGGTAGTAGTACGTAGAGTCTGTTGCTGTTGACAATTGAGCAGTTTGATACATGCAAGGCTCACACCACACAGACACCACAGAAGTCAGTAACCGTGATCCACGGTGAGCACGCCATCAACGCCACACCAGGGGTGAAGGAGATCACCCATCATGAAACTTGAGGTCCAGTGATGTACACGGCCCAGCCACTGGGGATAGAGACACAAAACAAGAGTTAGGTCACTCTTGAGTCTTAGGTGGACAAACCGTTCATTACCAGCCAATGATCATGCAATGAAGACTGGCATCCTGCAGAGATTATTGCATACAGGGATCCGTCTTTCTCCAGATGTGCTACGACGTTGTTCTGCATGACTTCAAATAATGATGTGCAATGCATAGTGCTCTGCAGTGAGACGATCGTGGCCAGGGACCATCAGCCACAGTTACTATACTTCGCAAGCGGAGGCTAACCGACTCTGTACTCCGTCGGCTGGTAAGTGGAGTGATGCTACGAGCCACATGACCCAAAAATGGGGCTTATTATTCCATGTCATTATGAGAGGGCCTAAGCAGGAGGGAAATCGATAGTTGTAGTTAAAATGTAAGAGATGAGGATCATGTATGATGTTCGGATGTACGCACTAGGGGTGTAGTTATGTACCGGACACATAGTATCCGTGGGATAACTTATCAGTAGAGTAGAGGCACACTCCGTACAAGATACTATACATCAAACGGCCGTTAGAGGTCACCTGAGAACGTTTTGTACCCCAAAGATTTTCTATTCTTCCATGTCTCAACCATACCATTGGTTTGGTAGCACGGGTACGAACCACGGTTCAGGATGGGTCCTCGATGTGAGACTTCCAACCCTTTTTCTCTTTCTTTTTCCTTTTTCTGTTTTCTTTATTATTTTTTTAATCTTTTTGCTTTTTGCTTTGCTTGTCTTGATCGTTTCTTTTGAACAAAAGAAAAAATTGCCCCTGAAACGGTTGTATGCACCACCCTCGTTTCCCTTGATTAGCCTTGATTAGGTCGCATATATTATATGCATACGTGCATATGTACCTAAGTGAAAGTGGGATATGTGCATGATCTGTGTGTGTAGCTTGTAGCCGTAGGATGAACAGGCTTATCCTAATCCTGTCAATCCCGATATTCTGGGAGGTCGGCTGTCACACCCCTTTAGGGTGGGCAATCAATACGAATCGGCCATTTTGTTCTACTTTAATCGATGGAAGGAAAAAGGAACGGGAAATGCCCCATGATCCATTTTATTTTTATTTTTAATTTGTTTGCTTTTTCTTACCCGCTAACACCGCTCTCGGCGATCTGCAAACCTGCACGTGTTGTGACTTGACGTCTTCCAATGGTGATCTGTTATTGAGTTATGGGATGGAGGTGCTTGGGCCTATCAATGTACCTGGGTATCATGTTTCAATAACATCCAACTTAGGCAGGTTGTATGACGGGCAAATGGAAGAATATTATCTTGTTTTCCTCTTTGAAAAGGAAGAAAGTGTCCTCTCACCGCATCCAACAATCTGATGGAGCCTTGGTGGGCCCACGGGAGATTGTCCTTTACCAGTTGTCATCTCGCGTGGTTTCATGATTTACCGTACATATACGGAGTACGTAGACGGGGTTGTGAGACTGGAAGCAGGATTGTCACAGCTGCGTAGTCCATAAACATACACTTTTTAGATCCTGGTCTTCATCTTATAAACTAAACGAGGTTGCACGACAGGCTTTGTTTGATTGCTATGTCTCATTTTCATCCACATTTTTCCTCCAGTGGGTTCACAAGAAACACCAGCCGCAGAAGTAGTGGAGAGCTTCTAGAAAAAATTGAGAAAATTCCATTGGATTACCGCTTGGGGCATTACCATCGAGGTCAATAAAATGAATATTTTGAATTTCTAAAGTCTCCTACGTCAGATCAGGTGGATACTCAGCCTCCTGTTCATGGCAGGGATGTTCGATTGATTTTAGGATTTAATCTGTAATTCTGAGTTTCTGACGGTTGACCGGAAATGTTGGGGAGTTCCATCTCTATAAGAATCCCGTTCCCATAACCTTTTCCTTTCCCCTTCTTTCCTCTATCAACCTTGAACTACCTACATATACTCTACATATTATTACAACCTACAGCCTTTATCTGTATTGTCTATTGACAACCTGAAGAACCTCCGCTCGAATACCAACCTACCAATCTACCAACCCTCACAACCACACCACAATGCCTTCCGTCGGCTCTTCTCAGTTCCCTCCATGCCCGGGCCCTCCTCCCAAGGGCCCTCTGCCGCCGCTGCCGAAATAAAACAGTCCAGTTTCTTCTCTTCAACGAACATGATGACCCTGGCGCATTCTGGTCATACCCAGATCCGCTCACGACCTGGACTCTCGGCATGGATATCACGACTTCTCACTTCGACTTCGATCCGGTTTCGACTCTCAACTGCGATCCTTTGTGTTGGACTCGAACTTTGAATACACTTAATTTTACATCCGTCTGAATGAAACCCTTGTGAACTTGGTCTCGAGACGGGCAAGACAAAGGGCGCTAGCCTTTGCACTGTCAATGCCCGGCTCTTGGCACCCCATTTCAACGACGCGCCGTTAGCCACAGCTCAATGCGCGCGAGGGTGGAAAACTTGTTTCCGATGGGTCTCGAGCGGTTATTTCTCTTCACATTTCCGACTTTTCTTCACTTGGGGTTTTGGATTTTCCCCCCTTTCTTCTCAACAACCTTGCTCGCTATGGGACCCAGCGCCGGCGCTACCGTTCCTTTCGACCGTGCTTTAATAGTCCTTTCTATTTCTCGCTACTTGTCTCACTTCAACTCTCGACCGATGGATCGTACCCCAGTCTTGAGCGGGGCTGTCCTTTCAACGATTCGATCTTTGAATCATCTGTGACGCACAGATGCGGAGTTTTATGCATGTTCTCCGCTGCACATCAATTGGACAATGTGGATTCGTCGACCACCCCCCTGTCTTGGGATCTGTGATCAACTGGCTTGCGATCGTCCCGTTGTCTTTGTGTCATCGATCGGGTACACTGAGTCTTTTATCTTTCTTTTTCTAATCCTGTCGATCGTTATGACATGTCTTTTTAATTCTCTTGGTTGTTTTCTTTTGTTTTCTTATCTGCATCTGGCCGAACCTGAAACAGCATGTACCATAGACTTAATATACCCAACAGAGCAATTTGTCTTTTCTTCTACAATTTGACCAATCCCGGTAGTCTTCGGATGTCGTGCATAATCTAAACCTGGAATGTGGGTGAAACATCCACCCGCCTCGTTTCAGTAATCAGCCGGGTAGCCAAGTTTCCCGGATAACATCACTAGCAACCAAGCTAGCAGGAATTCCGATATGGCGGGTGTCGCGGTAATTGAATTGACGCTCTATCTCTCACTTCCCTCGTAACGCATACCAGGTACGATTCCTCATGGAGGCCGCTCTGTATCTACGCACTAGGGAGTACTCCGTACAGCCGTATTATTTCTATCTCTGTAAGATCCGCAGTGGCACCGATCTAACGCGATCCTTATCTAGCTTCCCGTTATGATTAACGGCGCCTTGGCCGCCATTAGTACGCTGCAGATGCGTGTATTGTTGCAACTGGAAATGATTGGGTATCGCGTCTTTTTAAGATTGCAGATACGCATCTGACTCACTAGTCCACTCCGTACTCTTCGCACGAGCTAACATGATATGCTTCATCCCACAATGATCGGCAATCGCCGAGGCAACATAGTAAGATGTCATAAGCACACAGGCTAAACGCCAAATTTCAACAAGATATGAGCTTTTCGCCCCATCCGAGCGTCTCGGCATTTGCGATTTAGAATTGCCCCTATTGTTGTGATCATTGTGTAGAATATTCAAACCTGTGCCTGGTTCATGGTCGGTCTTAGAATACTTCCTGGTCGGATTTCGCATTCTCCAATTATTCTATTCGCTGCAAGTCAATATATCATCGTCATTGAAGAAAATCATCATCCAATCAATGCCGCCGAATCCCCGCTTTCTACCCCTCGGAGTCGGGCCTCTCATGGATTGTAATCAGATTTTCCCCGGGTAATTCCATGAGATCAAGTGACCAAATTAAGCTTTGGGCTCTCGGATATTTTTCCTGCCAAATCTCATCTAATCGATGATTCATTCGAGGTCTCAGCCTCTCAGGCCCCATGTCCGTGCTCGAGCTGAAAATAATCTGGATGGCCAAGGGCCCAAGAGGCTTGGAAACCCCTGGTACAGCCACGTGTTGTCATGTTGCGCAAGATGAGGTCATTTCTTGTCTTGCCGTGTTAGGATATATTTTTTGCTCGTACTTTGACAGGAAGACAGGAACAGGTTCGTGTCTCAGGCAGAGACAACCCCCTGCTTGGCGGACATCTGAGTATGTTATACTCCGTATAACTATACAATGTACTACTGTGCATAAATGCCGGCCAACTACTGCATATCCGGGCTATGCTTGAGGCAGTTGTGACTTGTGAAGAATGAGGCTCTCCTGAGGCGTTCGAGGCTTTAATTGATCTCGTATGACTGGGCCTCAGACTTTGGTATCTCGATACATCTTACCTGGGCTGAGTGAGATCTCGGCCTGGACGAATTTGTCAGGTCGAGCACGGAGTACGCCGTACTAAGGCTACTTCGATCAAAGTAGGAAATGACCCTTTGTGGAAGATACATCCGATTCGCTAGGCTTCTGTGAGATAGCTATTTCTTTGCATTTGGCTATTTGCTCAGGATGAGATATCGTGAGCCAATTATTCTGGAATGTGATGTCCGAAAGAAACGGCGATGCCTAGCTCGTAACTCAAGCCACATGGCTTACTGCTTACTTCCAGGAAGCTTGAGATCCATCGTCGTATTTTTTTAGTTATTTTATTTTATTTTTTCGTGATTGAATTCCCTTTCTAAAGGGCATACTGTGTATGTGCTTATCTGGAAGTTCGGCTGGACGAGAACAAACTGAGATAGTGACGATAAATTTCATTGTCTTGTAACAGTCTTTCGTTTGGAAGAGACCATGATCTCGATACTCTAGTCACTAACAAGATATTGTACATTGCCCAGATGTAGTCGACGTTACCTCCCAGTAAAAGCCGAATATCAGATCGCGGGTAAACACACGTGATTCGCCCGTCCAAATCAACCAATGCCGTACACACCCGTCTTTCTCCTCCTAGCGCAAAGCAATCATGGTACTGCAATTGCATGTATGGGGCCCGGCCTTTTCTCTGCCTTCAATCGATGCACAATGCCTCGCTGCAATTGCATACTGTTCCGAGGTCCTTCCTAAAGACTCCTGGGAGCTGATCGCGAGCAGCGATCCCTCTGTGTCTCCAACAGGTCAGTGACGTGATGCCGACGAACGAAGAAATCAGCAGCAAGTGACTAACACCTTCATGGACAGGCGAGCTCCCAGCTCTTCAAAATGACTCGGTGTGGGTGAGCAGGTTCCGCAACATCGTTGACTACCTTCGCCAATACTCGGAGGGAGACTGGGACCTGGATCAGAACCTCGACGAGGTGCAAAAAGCCGATAGTGTTGCGTACGAAAACCCGGCCCCTACCTTGCTGCCAGAATCAAGCTAACCAATCCCAACCAGCTTCTCCTCCTTCGTCGAATCCCGCGGCCAACCCCTCCTCGACCTGTCCCTCTACGTAACCAGCCAAAACTACTACACCAACACCTCCCCAGCCTACGGCGCCCTCCTCCAATGGCCAAACCAATGGATCCTCCCTCCAAAGCTCCACGCAGCCGCCAAAACCCGCACCGAACACCTCGGCCTCTCCTCCCTAGACCTACAAGCAATGGAAGACCAACGCCAACGCGAGCACAACGCCGCCGTCGCCTCCGGCCAAATCCCCAAGAACCTCCTTCCCTCCCAACCCAGCACAGTCTCCAAACTTCTCGGCCGAACAGCCCAAACAAATCAATTCCGCCTGGTCGCCCTAACAGCCGATTTCTTCGAGCCCCTCGAAGCAATGCTCGCCCGCACAAAGACCTACCTCCTCCCCGCAGACAAGGACAACGAAACCCCCTCTTCACTAGACTGTCTCGCGCTAGCATACCTGTCTCTCGCGCTAGTCCCGGATCTCGCCTTTCCCTGGCTGCGCGATGCTATGCGCTCCAAGGCCCCGCTGCTGGCTGCGTATACGGAGCGCATGCGCGATCGCTGTCTAGGTGAGGATTCTACCCCTGCGCAAGCATTCAAGCCTGAGGAGCCGTCGAAGCTCCCGTGGCGCGCGCCGGAGCGGATCTCTGTGTCGACTGTTGGGAAGACACTGCTCGGTACGTTGGCCGATAACACGCCGTTTCTGAGTGAGGTGCGGCAGAATAGACGGTTGAAGAGGGCTGTGGAGGAGGATGAGAGTTTTAGCTCGGTTGAGAAGCAGGCTCTGTCTTCGTATGCGGATGCCAGTACCAAGGATATGTTCGTTTCTATTGCGGCTGTTGTTGCGGGGACGGCGGCTTTAGTTGGGTACATGGTGCAAGTGGGGTTGCTTTCTTTCGAACGTCGTGGTGCCGACGAGGAGGAATTTGAAGAAGATGTGGGTATGTCTCATTTTGAGCCTGAGTCTGTCAATGACATACTGGGAATTTGAGGCAGGCATGAATCTGCCCATATCGTGGGTTCAACATCTTTTTCGGTCTCGTGAATGTCATGGGACCGGTATTTTAAGTCACTGTTCTTACCGGTGTGAAGGCTGTACGATAGCATTGCGCTCTGTTCTTTGTTCTTGATCTCGTGGTGAGGATGTTCCCACGGTTCCTCTCTACATCAAAATTGCAGGGTCTTTGATCTGCCCTATGTACCGCAGTACTTGGAGCCATCTCCTTTGTTCCAACATTGAACTTGAACTTCTAGCAATTCAAAGAAAGTCAAAGTATACCTATGTTTGCTGGTGTCTTTGATGGAAACCTTGAATTGACAGCATTCCTGCATTCCTCTGAAGCCCTAACTGTGGACTTCATCTTAGATGTTTTAGCTCGGCCTCATGCAAGACATCACGGTCAAGGATCATATGCATGGTTGACTCCACCTATGTAGGGTATGCTAGGTAGTATCCCCTCGCAGGATCATTAGTGTCAATACCTGTTTGCCAGGTACAAAGTCAGAGTCAGCCACAAAGTGAGATGAACTGCAATCCTGTAAACTTCGCCAAGTCTCACTAGCAGGGGATACCGGCAGGGGGCTTAGGGATACTAAGGGAGATGAGATGCATACCCACTCAAGGGTTGACCTAGCTCAATGTCCATGGTAATCGTTCCTAGATGACTGTTACCTATTCTTAAGTATAAGGGAACATAAAGTGACTATGTATAGCTTAGATGGAAGGAAAAAGAAAATGATATCAACACTCAAATCAAATGGTATATGTACAGAGAATCAGACAAAATTGACGCAAATCATGACCACAGAGATATGTATGGACTCCTCGACAGAAAAAAAAAGTATCTGTCGAAGAGCAGCTCGAAGATGCAAAGATACAAAATCATCTCCAGCATTTAAACCATGTGCGCAAGAAAGACGAAGTCTCGGTAGATAGGAAAATGTTGCGTGAAATGGGCAGATATTCGAAGAAAAAAAAAAAGGTGGCGTGGCCATTTAAGCGTTCCAGCCCAGGTTGACGACCAGGCGGACAGGACCAGGGCCCTGGGCGACGGCAAGGTCGGGCTTGCCCTGGTCGGCAGCGGTGTAGGCCTTGACGACCTTGCTGGCACCCTTGCTAATGGAAGAGCACTTCTCACCAGCGTGGTCGCAAATCTGCATACCATCGATCTCCATTTTGGCAAGCTCAGCGATGATGCAGGAGACGTCCCATCCAGAGAAGCCACCGTTCTGCTCGTTGCTCATGTCGAACTCACCCCAGGTGGAGGCGTACTCGCCGACGTAGTTAGTGGGGAGACCCTCGCCCTCGGCGGCACCCCAACCACCCTGAGAGTTGTCGTCGATGGCGACGTAAGTGCTGTGGCCGGGCTCGACGGTGAAGCTGAGAGCCTTGTTGGGGGACCAGAAACCGTTCAGACCACCGCTGGGGCCGTACGAGTTCCACATGACGACGGTCCAGGCCTTGTCGTTATCATTCTCGAAGCGCAGGACGTGTTTGTACTGGCTGGCGGTGTCTTCCTCGACACGGATCATGTTGCTACCCCAGGGGCTGCCGACGTTGCCGATGTAGTCCCAGTCGAGGGAGCCGACGCGCTTGCTGGAGGTGGAGGCACCGAAGCCATCGCGGGAGAACTTGCCGTCGGAGGGGAAGTCGGCCCAGTTGCTGGAGCCGGAGGAACCGGAGGACACGGGGGTTGGGCTGACGCTGGAGACGGCCTCAGTAGCGCTGGGGGCGGTGGTGGTGGCGGCAGCGGCGGTAGTGGTGGTGGCGGGGGCAGCAGTAGGCTCGGCAGCGGCCTCGGAGGTCGAGGTCTGCTCGCCGAACCAGTTGTTGATCCAGGAGACGAGCTTGCCGTCGATGGTAGCGAAGACCTGCTCACCACGCTTCTCGACGTCGTCGACCTGGCCGGCAACGGCAACATTGGGCTCGATATCGAGGTCGACAAGATCACGTTGGGCGTGAGTGTGGCGGCGTTCGTGGCCGTGAAGACGAGCGACAGCCGACCCAGCGGTCAGCGCCGTCATCAACAGCATGGACTTAGAGAAATGCATTTTGGGGGAATTGAATGGACTTGTAAAGGAGTGACTTGAGCGAAAACACGCTCTAGAAGAAGAGAATTCAATTCAAATGAGTGTGTGGGAGAGGAAGTGAGAAAAGGAATTGAGAAAGCAAGTGGACTAGGGGGAAGTAGTATTAGTACAATACCGAGTTACACACCAACGGGGCTCAGGTCTGGGTCTGAACCCAAAAGTGAACCAAGGCTCCAAAATCAGGGGTGCTTGATTGTTATTGGCTGGTTCCTGGCGGTTTTTAGCCGTGCGCGCTTGCCTTTTGTTTGATTGGTTGTCCATCGGGGGTCCAGACTTCGGTCTTTGGGTACCAAGGATGTACTATGTACTTGGCCATATTATGGCTTTTCTCGCGGCTGTGCAAGTACTGGTTACCTGGGATAAGGGGTGTCTCCTGCCATGGTAATTTCGCGTTCTATTCTTCATTGTCTGTCTATTCTTACTCTCTAGTATTCTTGTGATCAATTTTGATAGGGTTGACATTGTCCATTCTTCTATCTAACCGCCCAATGTCAAACACGTGTACGATCGGAATGCTGGATACCTAAGAACTGCCAACACTCCATCAGAGCCTAACATTGACATGAGCATTCATGAGCATTCATGAGCATTGTAAGAGAAGTAAAGATAGCCAAGATTAAGAAATTTCAAACTTACACACATGCAGTTCAAGGCACTCCATCTCCCCGTCATCCGAACATCCCCACATAGGCCAATCGGTGAACCGCGCAGCAAGGATCGTAACCTGTCTTACGACTCAAGCCAATCTTAACAATACAGAAGCCAACTCATCACCTACGTGGACAAATTTCCCTCGACGTGTATAAAGGTCAATGAACTATTCGATATACCAAGTCATTTGCGCCCAACCCATTCTCTATCACAATATACTGTTTGATACAATTAATTAAGATATTCCAACTCACCCTGTCAATCGTATCCACGGATGTGCACGTAACAAGGCCTGGCCGCAGATCAACGGCACATATTCGCCCCTACGATACTAAGTACATAAGTCGTAAATCGTCGGTGGATCCATCTAACGCCCTCGATGATTTCTTCGGTCTCCAGTACGGAGTACAGAGTAAGGCACACACTTTTGCCCCCCTGTCCACAGATAGCGTCTCAGCCATTCCCCACTCGTATGACGAGTCTCCCTTAAGCATCGTGTCTCCATCGGATGAATGGCCCCTCTTCAATCCAGACCTTCCATTAGGCACACCGAAAGAATAGCCCAGAATGTTTCATGTGTCCAGCCTCACTGAAACCTTCACGGCGCCTGGCTGGCTGAATAACTCCGTGTCTTGGATACGGTGTGTGTATGTGCGTACAACATTGTATTGTGCGTATTGTTGTTGCCGCCGGTTTTTGAAACTTTAGGGTTAGAAGTGCAGGTACCCGCCTTGTCCCTGGCAGATTCTTACACTTGTTATGCAGACACGCGCCCTTGGATACACGGCGGCTCCAACCTCGTTAAATTCACATGAAACTGATACTCCGTATTTATTTAACTGTTTACTGTGTGGGTAAATAAACAGAACCAAGGTCTGCACGGGAGTGGTCCTCGGTCCGGTCGATCGGTGATGGATATTACTGGCTGTAAGAAATTTAGGAAATTAGACAATTTTCAACGCCATGGAAATTGTCACATGGCATTTTGGACCACCCATCCCGGTAGTTTGATGTTATCTAATGAGACCGAATTATTTCCAGCAGAGGCTACAGCGCATTTTTTTGGAATGTTGAGAGAACAGTTCAAGTGACTGATCTCCTGTCTGGTGTCTATCAAGGTAATCAGGGGAGAAGGTAATATTTACAGACTGAGTTTCCCCCTCTTCCTCCCGAAGGGAAGTTTCCAGGGCCAACAATTCAGCCAACATTTCAGATGAAGCATTTGTCCCATTAGGTATCTGGTGTATACGATGTACTCCCTATCTCGTCCACGGGATACCCGGAGAGCGCTCACGATGTCTGTACGCGAAACGACATAGCAATCCTCGAAACGTTCACTTCTGTCCTAGATCCACGCCACCCTCGAACGCGCTGCCACCAGCAGCAGCATCCACTTTGAGACTCTCATCCAGCCCGCAGACTCTAAACAACATCTGAGGCGTGACCTCCTTGTCCAAACCAGGCAACCCATCACGCTTCAACTTCTCCAGACCCTCCCGCATAGCCAAAAGCGCCGGTCCCAAAGTGGCAAAAGGGTAAATGATAATGCGGAACCCAATCTCTTTGGCCTCCTGCGCCGAAATCGAAGGCGTAGACCCATGCTCAACCATATTCAACAACAAAGGCCACGGCGCAAGATCTTTCACAGCCTGTCTCGCCATCTCCCGCGACGAGATCCCCTCCAAGAACCCCACGTCCGCACCCGCATCCCTTGCCGCACGCAACCGCGCCAAACCCTCCTCATAGCCATGCTGCTGCAGCGAGTCCGTCCGCGCAATAACCACAATGTCGCTGCCAATCCGTTCGCGCGCCTGCACGGCCGCCCGGATGCGGCTGACGAAGGTCGCTGTGTCGACCAGCTGCTTGCCGAAGAGGTGTCCGCACCGCTTGGTCTGCACTTGGTCCTCGATGTGGAAGCCGGCTACGCCGGAACGTGCGTATTGTTCTGTCGTGCGGGCGACCATGATCGGCCCACCGTAGCCGGTGTCGGCATCGGCGATTAGTGGGGTGCTTGGGGAGAGGTTCGCTAGCATCTCGGCGTTTGCGCGCATGTCGTTCAGAGTGCAAATTGCTAGGTCGGCTTGGCCGTGTACTGAGGCTGCTGTTCCGGCACCTGTCTGGACTTTTGTGTTAGCTCGGTTGGCTTTTTTCTTTGCGTCGGCTTCACCTGTCGCTCACCATGTATAGCGCTTCGAAGCCTGCGGCCAGCGCGAGTCGTGCTGACATTCCATCGTAGACACCCGGGGCTGTGATGAATGTATTGGGGTCTTCCAGCGATCGTCGCAGAGTGGTTGCTGCCGATTTAAGGGCCATGATTGCTGTGTGCTAATCGGGATAGTAGGGACTGGGAACGATGTCGAGTGAAGCCCTGTGGTCGAGGAAGAATCAAGAGCTACCTTTTTTTCGCGGGTAGGACATCGGACAATATTTCGAGGCATTGTCAGCCATTTGTAGGACAAGCTTTTTCCACATCGCTTCCCCACTTATCAGTCGTTCAGGCAATCTCATCGTATGCTCGAATGAAATGTTCTCTCCACTTGCTCAACGCCGATACCGGTGCCCCCCGCTGACGTCATGACTCCTTTCACTACTAGCAACAGAGCTAACAATGATTCATGGTGATGGTCCGAAACCGTCCGATGGATTCGGCATTTACTCGGAGATCAGACAGGCGAGTTACGATGTCCTGTGTAAACATGGATGTAGATGTGGTTGTACGATGGGTGTTCACGGCAAATTCGATATGCAGACCTCGGGATTGCTGAGCTTCCGCGGCAACCAAGCGGGGAATTCTTACATTTAGGTAGTTCTAGTGCTTCATGTACAATGATTCTGAGAGATGCTCAACTTCTGGACAGTGACTAAAGAAAAAAAAAACAATTGAAATGGCATCTACCATATAGTTACTGTGTACGGAGTACGGAAGAACCTTTCAGTTTGATACCCGGCCCTGTGAGGGCGGTGAAGCGGCAGATCTGCTTAGTCAACAAGTGGGACCCTTCGGTCCATCTTCAACATCTTCAATTCCATTCATCGCATCTGATGTACATTAAGAAATGATCATTACACTCCTATTTCTTTGACCACCGTTTGTTTCCCAAAAATAGCCTCCATGGCACGCTCCTCCGTGGTTCAGGAGTACGCACCACCCTCCGCGCCAACCATCTCCGTCGACCAAAAGACCACATCCGAACTCCAGAACGTACAGATACCTCGACCAAAAGGCTACCGAGTATCATGGCACGCCAATCCCGCCGTTGAGCCCCATCACTTTGGCGTCTCACATCCCATGAAGCCATGGCGCCTCACACTCACCAAACAACTCGTCATGGCGTACGGCATGCACCACGCGATGGACCTGTATCTGGCGCGCGCCGCGACATATGAGGAAATGGCCGAATTCCACGACTCAGACTACCTCGACTTCCTACAGCAAATCATGCCCAGCAACATCAACAAGCCCGAGAACGCAGACAACGTAGCCCGATTCAACTTCGGCGACGACTGCCCCGTCTTCGACGGGCTGTATAGCTACTGCTCGCTGTACGCCGGCGGCAGCGTCGACGCCGCGCGCAAGCTCTGCAACAACCAATCCGAAATCGCCATCAACTGGTCCGGTGGCCTCCACCACGCCAAAAAAGCAGAAGCCAGCGGCTTCTGCTACGTCAACGACATCGTCCTCGGCACCCTCCAGCTCCTCCGCCACCACCCGCGCGTCATGTACATCGACATCGACGTGCACCACGGCGACGGCGTCGAGCAAGCCTTCTGGTCAACCGACCGTGTCCTCACCGTCTCCTTCCACAAATACGACAAAGAAGGCTTCTTCCCGGGCACCGGCTCACGCGATGAGACCGGCCCCGCACACCCGCTCAACCCAGGCGCACACCATGCCGTCAACGTCCCACTCAACGACGGCATCGACGACGAATCCTACATCGCCCTCTACAAGGAGATCATCGGCGCCTGCGTCAAGACCTACCAACCCGGCGCAATCGTGCTCCAATGCGGCGCCGACAGTCTGGGCTGTGATCGACTTGGCTGCTTCAATTTGAACGTGCGCGCCCACGGCGCCTGCGTCGCTTTCACAAAGACCTTCAACCTCCCCATGCTCGTCGTCGGCGGCGGCGGATATACCCCACGCAATGTCTCTCGCGCCTGGGCGCACGAGACCTCCATCCTGGTCGAGGCAGACAACATCCTCAATCCCACTATCCCGGACACGGTCGCCTTCCGCAATCACTTCGGCCCCGATTATTCGCTCTTCCCGCCGCTGTCCGAGATGCGCAAACTAGAGAATAAGAATTCCCGCGCCTACCTCGAGGGCCTCGTCGAGGCCGTCCATGAACAGCTACGCTACATCAAGGGCGCGCCCAGTGTGCAGATGAGTTTCATCCCACCGGATATACTGGGTTTGCGCGAGGATATGGAAAAGGAAATCGAGGAGCAGATGGTTCACCGTGAGGAGGCGAGAGAGGAATATCACGGTGCCGGGTCAATGGCTGCTGCGGCTGCCGCCGCCGCTGGGTCTGGTCTGGCCCATACTGGCTCTGCTGGTGCTATTCCGCGGTCGAATCGCCGGCGGGATGCAGAACGGGGGGCTGGTTCGAGGGGGGAGTTGTATTCATGAAGTGTGGACTGGGTTTGTTTCCATGGCGCAAAACGATGGTTGAGGCGTTTCTTTCGTATTTTTGCATGCGGATACGGGAAAGGAGTTTCGGTTTACCTTTTATCTTTGTGGCATCGGTGGATTGCCATGTGTCGTTGTGATATCCCTCCTTTTAGGAGATGTACAGTAATGGAGAATCGAACTTAGACAACATTCAAATGATCCCATCGTCGGTAAACTGGTTGTTCTTTCGATGTAGTCAGAGATTTGAATATTGTGGAATAGAATGTATTAGAAGACTCCAACCCAAACATCGCACCAGAGAACTAATTACAGAGTAATGCCCCAACCCTCCCCATCTCAAGTTACACCGTTATGTATGAACCATTGCTACAGCTATCCCCATCTCCGCATCCACAGTTGAATTGCTCGAGAAAATATGAGAGAATATCCTTTTTGAGTTTTGCGAAAGTTTTTAGAGATATCAAGGGTATCCAGCAATGGGAGCGGCATGATGACCAGGGGTGAAAACGCTGTGTTGAAACATCAGAGGGGTAGAGATGGGGGAGGGGAACTATCACAATGGCCGTGGTCACGGCTGCCTCTTGTGGTTGTGCCGGGGGTTTCTGCGCAGGTTGACTACGTCGTGGCAGAATGAGAGGAGAGGGAGGAGGATACTCCGGACCATTAAGACATGGAGGTGAGAGTCGAGAGTTGGCTCTTGAGAGACCGACATTGTTTGGGTCGGTGAGAGCATACAGGGGGATGTCGGAGGTGGACGCAATGGGTGCTTTTCGCTTTTCATGGACTATGAAGTCTCGGGGGCATCTACGAACTCGTCCACGTCTGATGTTTCGGTGTCTTTGCGTTCCACGACGGGTTGGGTGACGTCGCTTTTTAGATCCGAGGCTGCGTGGGGGGAGGAGGTATTAGCTGGTTATTGCTGGGAGGTGGTTGGGTCTTGGCTCGCGGGTGCGGTAGGATGAGGGTGATGCGGCGGGATTTGAAACTGGGAGGAATCCTTCTGACCTGGGAGAATGGGTGCGATGGAGAGGATTTGCTTGGTGGCTGTGTTGGGATCGGCCATATCGCTAGGACTGTCAGTTAGCATGTCTTGGGCGTAGAGATAACTGTAATGGTTCTTACACTGGAGCATTGATGATCCAGTCGAGATCTTCCTCGCCTTCGTCTGGGCCACCAGGGCCACCTTGGATGGCCCGGAAGAGACGAGGATGCCACTCGACTCCGTCCTCGACGCGCTTCGCAGCCTCCTCCCGTTGGCGGTCTTCGATCTTGGTCTTCTCGTCCGTTGCAGCTTCATGATTCCGGGCCACAATTGCATCAACCGTAGGTTTCCATAAACGCTGTGATTCCCGCTCTCCTTGCTCCTCAATGGGGCGGGCGATCGGAGGCGTATGCTTTGCGTGCGTCGCATCGAACAGGAGGTCCTTTTTGTGGGTCTGGTCGCACGTCAGTATTGAATGGGGTCATCCTGCGGGTGGAGCATACGTGAACATCCTTGAGGTGCATCTCCCCGTTCCATAATCCGGACAATTCGTACAGCACCTCTCCGGTCTCTTCGTTCTTGATCGTTCCCCCAATTGCGTTATAAGTACCGGAGAAATAACCCTTTGTCTTGAACTCGATATCGGCCACGAGGTTGTTCTCGGGACAGCGCACGTAGCTGTGGTCACCGAGCTCATACTTCATCTTTCCGAAGAGGATGCCGCGCGCATACATGTTGGGTTGGGTCACGATACTGGCTATTGTCAGCAAGAAGATCCACCACAAGATCGGCGCCACATACTATCGTTCGCCCTTTTCCTTATCCCGGCCGTGGTTCATCAAGCGCAAAATGGCGATGCCTTCCATCATGCTGGCTGCGGAGTTGCCCAAAAACTTGCTACGCGGCTTGAGTGTTCCATCGATGCGAATATGATGCTCCGGCGCAGCAAAGAAATAGCTCGACTTCGGCGGGTGGTGGGAGGTTTGTTCGGAGATGTAGTAGCCACGGGTGCCGTCGGGATAATCCCAGTGGCAGGTGAAGGTTTCACCGAGAACGGGATTAAGCGGCTTCTTCACTCCTCTATGCAAGCCGTCAGAATTTGTTCGCAAACATCCACGCAGACAACATACGGTGGTTTGATATGCCATCCACTCAGATAGAATTTGACCACAGATACAAAGCGCTCGACCGGGTCTTCGATCGTCGACATGGGAAGGAGAGTTTCAGGGTGGGCCATGAAGCTGTAGGCAAAACATTTGGGTTAGCTGCTATACCCATAGACTGGCAGACAGCTCCAAGCTGCCGGGGTTGTGGCGTACTTGGTGATCCGCTCCAGCATAGAGCGAGGCTCCAGAATGAAGGTCGGCAGGACTACCCGACTCAAGTCGGCGCCTGGCCGCAGCTGAGAAATAATATGCGAGAGGACTACAGTCGCATCATGTCAGTGTGTGTGCGCCCCGCGCCAGCTGCAAATATGCACGCACCATTTCCCTGGTCGGGCTCAACAACCTCATCCTCCCCACTTGGCGGGGAATCCTCCATGGATGATCTACCTGGATCTGCGTTAGTGGCCATGGTTCAGGTTGTCGCAACAGAGAGGTGGTGGGATCGAAGGTAAGAGGGGCGGGGACAAACTCACTGGCCTGGGAAGCCCGACGGAGGTGCGGAACCGGCATGTTTTCGGAAATATGTAAATGCCAAACAGGAGGGAGGATTTGGTCTAATACCTAGGCATGTATAGGACGAGGAATATAATGCAGGGTCGAGGGAGGTGAAAATAATAAATAGGTGTAGATGTCTGAAAACGAAACAGCTGACTTATGTGGCGGAGAATCCGGAAATGGGGCTTGTAATAGAAAGAGACCGAGGGAGAGGGAACAACAGAGGGAGAAAATATAAGAAATGAAAAATGATCAGACTCTTGACTTAGAAAAATGCTTAGCTGCTGAGAGCGGGCTAGTGACGTCTGTTGGTACTTTCTTGTTCTTCTCTCTCATCTCTTCATCTGAGAGCTATCACCTCGTGACCTCCCCTCCGTCTTCCTCTTACCACCTACCACCTACCTCCTACCTCCTACCTCCTCGGTATTCCACAACCTCACCTCCGTGATCCAATGGACCAACAAACCTTGCCCAAAGCCTAAAGATCGTCGATGAGGGGCATGGCTTGGCGGGGATCTCATACTGTGTCCAGCTGTACCGTCTGTACCGTACAGCTGCATACATCATGCACCCCGGTTGAACCACCCTCGAGGGTATGACACACTCGCCTCGTGCATACTACTACATACCTACGAAGTACGACAGAGCCAAAAACACACCGATTTACAGCTATACTGTTCCTTCTATACTACTCCACCACGTCACAATCGTTCGATCAGCGGTACATCTCCCCGCGTGATCTCCCCGACAAATTCCATATCGGGCCGATGGAGCATGACGTGGAAATGTTCAACCCCAGGCACTGATTTCAGCGACTTCCAGTTCTTAAACCAGACAACCTGTACGGTCAGCTTCGTTTATCTCATGTTCAAAGACATCTTACCTGCTCTGGTGGCACCCGAGTGCAAAATGTGTCCTGCACATAGCTCTCGATAGCTGCTTGCGCACCCGTCGTTAGGTAACCTGTGGCCGGGTCGTCTTCCAACTCGAACTTGGTCCAAACGACCAGATGGATGATATCCTTGTCGACTCCATATGGCCAGTCGTTATAAATGATCTTGATATCGTCTATGCAGTACTGATCAGTGTCCACCTTCCAACGTGTCCGAACCCCGATAACTACCAGAACGTGCCATACCTTCGAATTCAAAAGGACCACCTCGAGGCTTGACGGCTTTCCCATTGCCATCGTCCCAGCCCAGCCTTTCCTTGACCATGAATCTCAAAACGGATCCATACTCTGCTTTAATGTGTGCCATATATTCCAGATATTTGCGCAGCTCACTCGGGACACGCTGGAACCGATCGATCCGGTTGGTTCCTATCGTTCATAGGTGCTGTCAGCGGTCTGATGGAATACATCGATATACAAAGCCGCTGCACTCACTGACGATCTCCTTCACCAGCTCCCAGTCCTGTCGGGTATAATGATGATCGGGGGTCGAAAGACCTCGAACATTTTTCGGGGATTGGTCGCGTAGGAAGCTAGGACATTCGGCAGTCCATTGCGACCGCGGTATATTGACCAGCCAGTACGGGAGGGATTCGGTAGTTCGGCTGTGCTCGCGGAAAATGGGTACCGAATCGGCATCGACCTCAGTCAATGTGTTGAATGTGGCGATCGTGGGTCGTGATGGACTGCCATGGTGAAGCATTGTGACTAGATCGACTTCCGAGCTGGTCTGCTCCGTATTGAGATGTGATCTCTAGGCTCGAGTTCCCCCTTGGGACGACGTCACTTTGCAGCAGTGCCGAAAGGGGTGTGAAGGGTGAGGCGTTTCCGGCCGTTGCTTGTCGATCGCGGATCCACTCGGTGGCGATTTGTTATTACCAAGGACCAACGTACTGGAGTAGCATGCTGCACAGTGTGTGTAGTTTTATGTTGTATAAATAGTCCATTGACAGTAGAACCGACCGATTGCTTCAAGTCATTGTACATAAGTTAGTTGGTCAAAACCTAGCTTGCATGGCTTCATTCTTTCTGATACCGAAACTACCGAAATCGGCAACTCCGCCACGTGCTCAACACAATACTAATCCTACTTTCCAAGTCCCTCGATCAAAGGGTCACCCATGCTAATGACAGACACCCCAGAATCCTTCAGTTCCCTCTTAATATCCTCCCAGTTAGCCGGCACAACACACTTCGTCCCCTCCTCAACAACCCAGCTCTTGAACCCAACCCTAGCAGCATCAATCGCCGTAGCCTTGACACAATAATCTCCAGCAAGCCCCACAACAACCACATCAGTAACACCCTGAGCCCTAAGAGCCGCAGCAACATCCAAGCTAACCGAATGTGTATGTGCCCCGGGATCACAGTTTCCAAAAGCATCCGCGAAGACAGAGTACATCTCGACTTCGGGACGCATGCCCTTTCGAACCACTAAATCGACATTAGAGGAATCGATCTCCGGAATGATTTCCGCGCCCGCAGTATCCGCCACACAGTGGACTGGCCATAGCTGCTGTAATTTCGATTCTGATTCTTTGCCCGGCGCCGGGTTGTTCATAGTGACGTATGAAGAGAAGGGCTGGTTTTCTGGACCTGGGTGGTTACTGGCGAAGGAGATATGGTCTTTTGGGTGGTAGTCTTTTGTTAGGATGCGCATGGTGAATCCTGGCTTGGAGAGTAGGGTGTTGATTATTGGGGCGATGGTGCGGCCTTCTGGTACGGCGAGGGACCCATTCTAGTCTTAGGGTTAGTGTGGCTGGGCTTTTACGGTGTGCGTCGGACTCACTGGGGGGCAGAAGTCCTCTTGCATGTCCACCACTATCAAGGCTGACTTGAAAGGTCTATTTGCTGCCATTCTCGATGTAGAGAGGTGCCAAGGAAGTTGTTGGCAGAGATTGTTGTTTGGACGGTGTGGGGATCTGAATCGGTGTAGTGTTTACTTATTGCTATATCTTGGGTGAGAGGATTAGCATGGAGGTTTATATCGTGTACACCAGTAAGATAGAGGAGAATGAAGAGGAAAGAGAGCGACAAATGGTACTTCCGTATTTGTCAGGCAGAATACAAGCTTCATCTGCAGGTCCTCCTTATATAGAAGGCGGAGAATGAACCGGTGAGAACTGGCCATGACTAAGCCAGGCACTAAAAACGAACCTTCCGGCGAAACTTGCTTCTTCTCTTCTTCAAGGCTACGGCCTTCTTTAACTTCTCGATGGTTTGAAGATAATGAGAGATAATTGCAAGGTATGTCTACAGTCTCACCTTCCTCCCTTTTCCAACATGATGAATATATTATTGGAGCTATCTGAGCTTTTGCTATGCGGATAAACTCATATTACGCTTTTGTCTGAATCTGTCGTTCTTCACACCCATCTTTGACCTCAATGTCACCAAATCAGTCGCTAATACTCTGATAGTCAACAGGATATTGTAAACTCAAGAAACCCCCATGATCTGCTTGACGCCAACTACCTAGAACCTCTTAGTCTCCCTCTATTACCCTCCATAGTCTCAAAAAAATGGCATATGATCCCCGCCGAACAAATTCGGGAACTTCAACTCCCCAACCTCCACCTCCCCCTCCACCACCAGAGCAATCCACAGCCATGGCAACGACACAGGTCCTAGAATCCGCCAGCCAACCGCCAGACTCGTACAAGCTGAAGTTTTGCACCGTCTGCGCCTCCAACAACAACCGCTCAATGGAAGCCCACCTCCAACTCTCCGGAGCACCAGCCGCCTTCCCCGTCATCTCCTTCGGCACAGGCTCCCTCGTCCGCCTCCCCGGCCCATCAATCACCCAGCCAAACGTCTACAGCTTCAACACAACCTCCTACAACCAGATGTACGAAGAGCTACACAGCAAAGACGAGCGTCTATACCGCAGCAACGGCATCCTGAACATGCTCGACCGCAACCGCCAGCTGAAATGGGGCCCAGAGCGCTTCCAGGACTGGGTGCCCGGTGTGCCGCGCGTCGAGCATCTCTCAAAGGGCGACAAGGGCGCAACCGGCACGGAAGGCGGTGTCGTCGATGTCATCATTACTTGCGAAGAGCGCTGCTGGGATGCGGTCGTCGATGACTTGATGAATAAGGGCTCGACTCTCAATTATCCCGTTCATGTCTTCAATGTCGATATCAAGGATAATCATGAGGAGGCGTTGACGGGTGGAAAGGCGATTCTGGATCTGGCCAATCGCTTGAATGAAGCTGCCGTTGCTGAACATCGCATTCATGGTTCGCAGGGCTGGGAGAATGGGACTGGTCCCGCGCGTCAGAGCTTCGATGAGAAGGTCCCTGAGATTTTGGCTGGGTGGCAGGAGAAATACCCTAATTTGCCGGCCTTGTGGACTTTGGCTTGGCTTTAGTTGTTTGGGATGTGGGTCATGCAGTCTATCTGCCTACGGTCGTCGTCCCTAGAGGATATAATTCCAATGATACCGGTTTTATGGACGCCAGAATATTGTTTTAGCCAGTGTTGGGAATCATGAATTAGCAAATGATATCCTGTTGGGTTCCCTTCCCTGACCTTCCGCATCGTCATTACCATTGTTCGACAATTTTACGCAACTTACAGACTAGTCAGGACCGTGGAATAGCTCAAGATACGCAAAGTGTGATCCGGGAGGCTTCCGTTCGTTGTCTTCCTCAACTTTGTGTGTATGGTACCACCGTACCTGAAGGCAGCGCCTATTTCAAAGCCCAACGGGTTTGTCTTGATAGGGACCGATATTGAGGATTTGTCTTTCGCCATTCACGAGTCATTATATCCTCCAAGCTCATCCGAGGTTGCGTCAAACTCTGTGTTTATCGGTGGAATTTGGGAAAGATGAGTCTATCCTTCGTTCCTCCTGCATTACTTTCTCTACCAAACGGGCATACCTATGCATATCTCATGTGACGAAAACCTTGATCCAGCTTGAACCATTGGAATAATTGCCCTTATACAGCTAGCCCCGGGAGGTTCCTTCCTCCCCTCCTACTCATGTTTAACATACACCTTAATGTCCTCCTTGATATCCTCCTTGCTATCCTCCTTAATGTCCTTCTTAATATCCATCTCCTCCTTAGGCACTTCATCCTTAACCACACCAACAGAGAGCACCTTCTCCCTCCTCTCCCGGTACCACCTCTCAAGATAAGCCCTCCTTTGCGCCTGCGTCATACCCTCAACAACGAGCGCAAACTCCGTAGCATTAGGAAACCCAAACCAACGCGCCATACTACAGAACTGCCTCCGCATAACATCCTCCGGCGGATGATACCTAAACTGCACCTGTGACTCGGCCGTCTGAGAGACAGGCTGCGACGACATGAAAACCTGCCTGTCACCCGCCGTATCATTGGGAGCCAGTTCCGCGCGCCGACTGAGATCCTCCTCGACACGCGAGGACCCAATAACCTCATTGTTGAGATGAGTGTATTCCACGCCGGCGCCGGCGAGAATCGCCTGCACGGGATCGTGTTTGTGTGGCGTGGGGAGGGTAGCTGCAGGTTTGTGGTTGTCGTCGTCGCCGCAGATCATGGCGGCGAGTTGGCTTATGGCCTCGTCTTCGGATTTCATGGGTCGGTCTGTGTAGTCGTGGGTTTCGTCTTCTGGGTTGAGGTCTATGTCGGCGACTTGGACGCCTGCGCGGCTTTCGGCGACGTTGGTTCTGTTGACGATGTCGCGGAGGACGGTGTTGGTGTTTTGGTAGCCGAAGAAATTCTTCAGACCGAAGATCTCGCCCTTTTGGTCTTTCTTTTCTTGGACGCCTTTGAAGTAGCGGCGTTCGGAGCTGGCGTTGTAGCCGATGTTGGCTTGTTGTTGTTTGTAGATTTGGCGGGCGTAGACGATTTCTTCGATTGTGCCGGCGGAGATTAGTCGGAAGACTTCCACGTCGCGGTGTTGGCCGATGCGGTAGGCTCGGTCTTGGGCTTGGAGGTCGTAGGATGGGTTCCAGTTGGGGTCTACTACTACCACCTTGTTTGCTGAGGTGATGTTCAGCCCGACACCGCCCGCCTTGGTCGATATGAGGAAGACGAACTGTCGTGGATCGGCGTTGAACTCGTCGACGGCTTTGGCGCGGTCTTCGTAACTCATGGATCCGTCTAGGTAGCTGACGTTGTAGCTGGTGTGATGGAACAACATTTGCAGCATCTTCAGAAGCCGCACGCTGTGCGAGAAGACAAGTACTTTGTCTCCATTCGAGTGCCACCACTTGAGTAGCTTGCGCAGTACTTTCCACTTACCACAGAACTCAGGATTCGCGTAGTTGACGATCGAGTCACGCGAGCGGTATAGATCTTCCCACTTGTCAGGTAGCGCAAGCTCCAGCCAATCCTTGTTTTTCTCCTGCTTCTCTTTGGGGTCTACCCCCTGTGGAATCAAGATTGCGAGGTGATTACTGAGCTTCTGGAGCACAGTGATAGCAGGGAACACATAGGCTTGCCAATTTGCAGGGTCTCGACCGGGGATGAGACGACGACAACACCATCCGGCTTTCTTCCCCGATCCACAGTCACAGAGATCCGTGGAACCCTTGATGTATTCAACGATATCACTATCGAGAAAGTTCTCGTAGGCCTCGGCCTGTGTCTCGGTCAGAGGGCAGAAGACAACACGGTCGCTCTTTTTGGGCAGTTGATCTGCGATCAGAGACTTCATCCTCCTGATGAAGAATTGTGGAAGGAGGTTCTCGACCAGCTTCTTGGCTGTTCTGCGTGCTCTGCTCAGCTCGCTCAGCGTAGCATCGTGGGATTGTCCAATCTTCAAAGGCTCCGATATTTGCGCCTTCCAGGTGGTTACCGGGCCCAGGACACCCGGGTTTGTCCAGTTAAGAAGAGTCCATAGCTCTTCATATTTGTTCTGGATGGCTGTGCCAGTAAGCCCGATTCGACATAATGCATTAATCTCGTTCATGGACTGGGTGGTTCCCGATTTGCGTTCCTTGATTTTGTGGCACTCATCGGCTATCACGCAGTCCCATTCAATCATATTGACGGCGTCTTTGTTGTTCATGTATGTGGTATAGGTCGTGATCAAGATCTCCACCCTCCCTGACTTTGCCGCATCGAGAGCGAGATCCTTGTTGTCGCCGTGGTAGCTATCGACATGCCACCATCCCCAGCGCGCAAACTCGGCCTTCCAGTTTGCGATAAGGGTACCTGGACACACGATGAGCGTGCGTGGGTACCAAGCATTCTCATCCGATCTGCGCATCTTTCGCATGCGCTTTGCGTCCCGTTCGTCGCCTGTCTTTCCATAGGCGGCAGTCAAAAATGCAATCACCTGAATGGTCTTGCCGAGACCCATGTCATCTCCAAGGACACCGCCCTTTTGATATACAAACAGCTCGTGCAGGAACGCGACTCCCTCCACTTGATACTGCCGTAGCCACTGGGCGATCGGCGCAGGAATGATGCCCAAAGAATATGGAAGCTGGATGTCCTTGTACTCCTGCTGTCGGGGAGCATCCGGAAAGACAGGCCGTTCTTGAAGCTTTTCCAATCGTTCGTCATCGGAAACGTCCACATCCTCGTAAGTCGGTGGGAGTTTCAGCCCATGTTCTTTCAGCTGCTCATGCTTCCGATCAAACTGTGTCCGACGAGTCTTGAGATATGCGGGGAGAGTGTGTTCCATCAACTCATCCTCCGAAGAAAGTTCACCCCATTGTTTCAACGGTCGTTTGGGGTGAGGCGTTGGCCGCTCTAGCTTAATTCGACCAACGATCGCATCTCCCCTGGGCATTTTTACCTTGCGAGTAGCCGCTGCAGTCTGTTTGCGCTTGAGCGTTTTGCGTTCTTTGAACTTCTTATACGCTAGCTCGCCAGCATTGACGTCGTCCTCATCGCTGTCCACTGGTTGGACTTTTACAGCGCTAGATGAACCGGAAAGCAAAGTACGCGTCGGTTCAGATTTGACCGGCGTAGCATTTTCATGTTTGATGCTGGAAAGCCTGTCTAGAGAGAATGTGAGTAGTCTATCAAACGCGTCGGAGAGGGTGTCATACTTCTCGCGACTGGCGTTGAATAGTGCGTCACCTCCAAGTCATCATTATCTGAATCGATGGTGATAACCTCGTCCGTGTTATCATTATCGGCCATATTCTCTGCATGATCCAGACCAGCTCCAACGGCTGAGAGAGGCAACTTGAAGTGGGAGCACCAGACTGCCGCGACAAAACGCCATTAACGGTAGTCAATAACGGCCACTAAGGGAAGTCAAAATGCCAGCTCAATATACTAGCTTCAAAGATATTTATTGAATACTTCTGCTTCACATGCGGGTAAGTTGAAGGGTGACATGCCCCTTTTATTTGAGGCCTGGGTCTCAACGTGTATTCATATACAAACTGTCGAAGTTGTCTTTGCCGCCTGATAGAAGTCAGATTGTTAGAACCATGGTAGATCACGTGACATTAAAGGCCGGAAAAAAGATGTTGAACGGTTTGGCATACAATTCTTTACACAAGCAATAAAGCCAACGTAAGTTGAGGACATGTCTCTACCTTCCTATACGCAATAAAGATACACAGAGCTAACCTCGACCAACACAGACCAACAAGACAAAACCACAATTACCGAGTTAAACCCAATTATTCCGCTCAAGACATCTCCCAATAACCAGAAGCTCAATTCGCAAAGATGCCGCTAGATACATCTACCACATATCCTCTTACAAAGCTGCGCCTGGACGGCCGTCGGTGGAATGAGCTCCGTTTACTCCAAGCCCAGATCTCGACCAACCCTGCCAGCTCCGGCTCTTCATACCTATCCATGGGCAACACGTCAATCATGTGTTCCGTCCACGGACCCGCCGAGGGCCGTCGCGGAGACGGCGGTAGTGCAGGAAGCGGCCATGCCGTTGTTGAAGTCGACGTCAACGTCGCCGGTTTCGCTGGTGTGGAGCGCAAGCGCAGAGCTGGTGGAAGTGACAGGTACATTCAACCCTCCCTCTTCCCTACGTTCCCCAATTGCATTTTTACCGTCACGCGGGAGAGAGAATAGAGAGATAGAGAGAGAGAGAGAGAGAGAGAGAGAGTCTTGCTGGAATATACCATATAGTAAATTCAGAGCCAATGCTAATCTCCGGACTACAGACAATCAACGCGGATTGCCACAACTCTCCGCTCGACCTTCCAGTCCCACCTGCACACATACCTCTACCCCCACAGCACAATCAGCATTCACATCTCCGTTCTGTCCGCGGATGGCTCTCTACTCGCCGCCGCGATCAACGCTTGCACTCTAGCCCTCGTCGATGCGGGTATCCCAATGCCGGGTCTGTTGTGCGGTTGTACGGCCGGTATGAGTGGTAGCGCGTCGACGCCGCGTGACCCACGGCACGACGAGCTTGATCCTCTTTTGGACTTGTCGCTTCCAGAAGAACAGGAACTGCCTTCGCTTACGGTTGCAACGACGACCGTTGTGCCGGTTGGCGAGAACAATATGGATGAGGACGAGGAGACGATGAAGGTTTCTGTGCTCTCTATGGAGTCTAAGGTTCACGCTACGTATCTTGAGACAATGTTGGCTGTGGGTATTGATGGGTGCAGTCAGATCCGCGAATTGTTAGCGGATGTTATCAAAGGGTCTCGGAGATGAAAAATAGGTGACAGAACCAGCAAAAGCAAAAGAATTAGAGACATGTTGATACCCTCCAGTCATGATCAATGAAATTATCCGGTACCAGGTACCCGTCCGGAGTTAAGTTCGAGAATCTGCTCAAACTGCCTCAGTCGTATCAGAGTTCGGAGATTTAGCTCTCCGCACGTCTATAGGCTCGCAAAATCTGCTCAAGGCAGGAGCAATGGATCATACGATTACCACTTCTTTGGACTCGACCGCCTTTTTTCGCTCATTTTTAATCGCTATGCTAGCACCTCATGTTCTCTCTTGATCAACGCCGCGGTGAACCACCTTCATCTCCATCGTCGAAGTCGTTTATCATACCCAGCGACGTTGACGACGACCACGATAACTCCAACCCGCAGCAATCATGGACATGGACATGGGCAACGGGCATGGGACCGCTGGTCCCAGCTGCAAGATTTCAGTCCGTTATCCCAGACACCCCTAAACCACAGTACAAACCCAACTAACATACAATGAAACAGATGCTTTGGAACTGGAACACAATCGATGCATGTACGTTACCGCACAGCCTCATCTCCCCACATGTATCATCAAGTACAAGACCCTAACCAATCGCAGGCTTCCTAGCCAGGTCCTGGCACATCACCAGTCGTAGCATGTTCGCTGGCTCTTGCATCGGCGTTATCTTGCTAGTCGTTATGCTGGAGTTCCTTCGTCGCGTCGCCAGAGAGTACGATGCCTTCATCGTACGCAACGCTCGTCTCAGAGCCAAGTATCTCCGTGACTCCGTCAATATTCTCACGTCTGCCAACGGAGCAAAGGACGATACTACGACTGCGCAGTCTGGAGGCGAGAACGAATGTGAGAGTCAGAAATGCGACGCTGCCCTCCCGCCGTACCGCCCTTCGCTGAAGGAACACATCGTCCGCTCATTGCTGCACTTGTTCCAGTTTGCAGTCGCCTATTTCGTCATGTTGCTGGCGATGTACTTCAACGGGTACATCATTATCTGCATCTTCATTGGTGCCTTCCTAGGCGCACTCATCTTCTCATGGGAGCCGATGAACTTGGGCAAAGAGTGAGTTTTTCATCCTGTTGTGTTCATTGGGGATACTTCAATGTAACTGCGCTAACATTCAATGTTCTTGTTAGATCGAATGATGCGTTGTCGGTGACAAAGTGCTGCGGTTAGTCGCTCGGTATCCGAAATCTCGGACTATCAGCTTGGTGGTTCTATTCCTGCATCTAGCGAACTCGGCATTGATATCCATACTCCCGACTAATTTCAATACTTGCTCTGAGTCCCAAGGTCTTTTGTAAGGTCAAACAATCGGGATGATGTGCACTGCGCTAAGATCTGGCTTTCCACTTTTCGTGATGTGCCTTGTTTTCTGTGTGTGTACCCCGTATATTTGACCGGCGTACCTGGACGATGATATGAATTTATTTTTAATCAATTCCACTCTGATAATAGTGTTAAGACTTAAGAGCGTAGATGTAGAGTCATAGTCAAATAGATACTTGTTGTAGCAAATAACCCTGGTGATAGGTAAATGATGTAGCCAAGTTCACCTTTGTGGAAACCTTTTCCACCTCAAAAGAATTCAACGCGGGGTAGTCCGGGATGGAAATCCTCGAGTCGCCACTCAATCTACTAGTAGCAAAGAACTCAATACGCTGTTTCGTATGATCGTGCGAGTTTACAATTTACTTATTGGACACTGAAAACAATGGTTCCCCCACAACAGGTGGCATGTATGAGCTAGCTTCGTAGAAACTTCTAGATTACAAGGCAAACGGGAAAGTCACCTTTGCTAGTCCCACGCCATACTGCAGCCAAGGGAATCCGGAATATAAACTCTTTTGAGAGACGTTCATCCTTAACACTCAACTAAAAACTCCAAATGGAGCTGTTTAGTTGCCACCGCAGTTGACAATGGTGGGCTTGACGTTGGAGCGGATGGAGCCGGAGGAGGAGCCGAGAGCCTCGATCTCCTTCACGACCTGCATGGACTCGGCATCAGCGACCTCGCCGAAGACGACGTGCTTGCCATCGAGCCAAGAGGTGACAACGGTGGTGATGAAGAACTGGGAGCCGTTGCTATAAAAATTGATGGTTAGTATGAGCTAAGAGCTAGCTGGGATATGAAATTGACTTACGTGTTGGGGCCAGCGTTGGCCATGGACAGGAGACCAGGGCGGGTGTGCTTGTGAATGAAGTTCTCATCGGCGAACTTCTCGCCGTAGATGGAGCGACCACCGGTACCCTATTCCGGTAGAAAAAAAAGTCAGCCATCGAGCTCTCATGAGACTCATGGAAGTACGGAAAAACTCACGTTGCCACGGGTGAAGTCACCACCCTGGAGCATGAACTGGGGGATCACACGGTGGAAGGAAGAGCCCTTGTAGCCCTCACCCTCCTTGGCGTTGCAAAGCTCAGCGAAGTTCTTGGCAGTCTTGGGGACATCGCTGGCGTAGAGCTTGAAGTTGATACGGCCAGTCTTGGCTAACGGGAGAGTCAGTATCAATTTCAATTTCAATTACTGTGGCACGATGCAGTGGTCCCAAGCTACATCCTTGAGATTGAGGATGCTGGAGCTCAGACAGTAAGGTGAGACAAGAGGTGGAGGAGGCGAAAACTCTCTGCCCCGCCAGAAGGGAATCAAAGAGCTGAGAGAAAACTTACGGGTAGAGGAGCCAGCAGGGGCGTACTGGACCTCGAAGAAAGCGGAAGTGTTGGACATAGCGGCGGCAGATGATGCGAAAGTTCGGGCAGCGGGATGAATAGAAGTGCAATTGAAGAGAGAAGAAGAGAAGAGGGAGGAAGGTGGGGTTATTGACCTCAGTCGGCAGAACATGGTGAGGGGCAGGGCGGAGCGGGTGAACTCGGATGCCGGGCTGCTTTGGGGTTAGCTTGTTGGGATTCACGTAACGACCACTTATGCACTTCCTGCCTGAGGCTCCACATTAGAGCTTCTCCAGACTCTCCAGGGGGGATGCGTCGCTCCTTTTCTTGCCCAAGGCCGTCGCTGGAAGAGTCCGGAGTAACGTGGAAAAGCACCCCGACAATCAGATGACAAGGAATCGAGCTCACTTACAAATGGTATTGATTGATGAGAATTGGGTAGTAAAGGAAGTAAAGGGAAGAGATCGAAGCTCAATGCCGAAAAAAGCGTCTAGAGCTCCGGTGATTAGTAAGGATTTTCGGGATATCCGTTCCGACATAGCCATCGCTTTAAAGAACTACGCAGTGTTTTCTACGCTATACAACATCGAAGGGGCAAACTTATCTCGCTTATTGCCAGTCATTGTCAAGGGATAGATGCTTTCATTTCACCTGTACGCATCCAAAATGCAATAGAATGACCGACACCAGCGTCGGGTGATAAACAGAACCAACAGATTTGGCCATGAAACCTAAATGGACAATGGAAAGAGGCTAAATAAGGTACAAGAAAGAAGAGAAATACAAGTCACCAAAAGGAGAGGAAGAGAAGGATGCATGCCACACGCGTCGGGATATCGTTTCGACGTTGTCCACTCGTTGCCATGCTGATAGTCGCTGAAAAGCAAGGGGCGAAGAGGAAAAGAAATAAGGCAAAGTTGGGAGACAAAGAGATGCGCAGCCCCGAAGTTCATAACATAGTAAACAATGCTTCCTATACAGGTCATCACCGGAAGTCGTCTTCCTCGCTAGCAGCAGCCATGGTATACTCAAGGCGCTGGACGAGATCTTTGGTCTGCCGGGCAATTTCAAATGCAATGGGAGGTAGCTTGTTGGTGAGCTCTCGCAATTGCTCGGGGTTGGTGACATCTTCACCCTCACCAGCTGTGGTCGCCAATCGGCTACGGCACTGGTCTAATGCGGCAATGACCGGCTCGGAAGCTTGTCGCAAACTGACGTCCGCACTGCGTTCGCGCATCAGGTGCTCTGTAGCGGTAACCACATTCGCGACGACGTCCGAAATAGCAGTGACGTGCGTCTGGACGCTTTGCAGGTTGTCTTCGGCCCGAATACTGGCCACCAATGCCTGGATTTGCTGTACCATGCCATCTGTCTGATCCTCAACGTAGAGCTACAATCACGTCAGTAAATTGAGTTCGTTGTGATAAAATCCATTCGGTTCGACTCACCTTGAGCTCCAAGACCTCGTGATCTTCCTGTACATGTCCCCAGCCATGATTGAGACCATTAGCCAGATCATGCTGGGCAGGGTACTGAGAGTCATCCGGGCGACTTATAGCACTGTAGACCGAGTGATTGCTCAACCTCTTTTGGCTAGCAGAGGTATCAAAGTAGTCGGGGTACTGCTCCTGAGACACATCCGCCTCGTCATAATCATCCTCCAGATCATCCGCAGGTGAAGCCTGGATCTTCACCACCCGGATCAAGTCCACAATGGCAGTGCAGACATGGGAAGCAGCAGCGTCAAGAAGCGATACTGGAGACAACCCATTTGAGCTGGCGAAGTTGCGAGCAGCAGTGATCAAGTTGTTTGCTGTCGTAGACACCTGGCCCTTGGCCTTTGCGCGCAAAGCAGCAGAGCCATCTACCGGGACCTGGGAATGTTCCACGTCCTGGATAATATGGCGAACCGCAAGAACCACCAGCTTGATCTGGCTGAGTACCACAGGCGATTCCTCGAACCGCGCAGCCCGCAGGAGTTCGTCGATAGACATCTGGAACTTGGTAACGTGGATATCCTTGACCAGCCCGTCGGCCTGCACCAGCTCGTGATCCTTGGTAAGAACGCTTGCGTCAGGCCGCGAGTCGGCGAATCCACCGGACGATGTGCGAAGCTGTCGCAGTTGCGCCTTGACCTTCGCGTAGCGATGCTTCCATTCATTAGCTTCTGCCTGAAGTCTGTTGACCTCATTAGAGAGCCGTTCTTCTCGCTCCCAGTTGGAGTGACTCTCGGCTGAAAGAGCCTTCATTTCCGTAAGGAAGACCGATGCCTCGCGACGGACTTCGTCAGTCACTTGTCGTTGTTGCTCCAACTCTGCTTGCAAGCTCTGGTGCTTGTTCTCCAAATCAACATAGCGGGCTTGCAGACCCGCATCGTCAACACCCCGAGAGGCGTCATTGAGCTGGCTGCGAAGATCCTGTTCCATGGTCTCATGCTCGGTTCGTACCCGCTCGAGTTCGAGCTGGAGCGAGCTGTTGAGATCCTCGGCTTTGTACACCTTGCTCTCAAGCTCCTGTCGCAATTCATCCCACTCTTGCCGTTCGTTGTGGCTAATTCCAGACGAATCTGCATCCTGTGATGAATGGGCCAACTCCTCGTCCTTGGTTCGGACCAATTCTTCCAACTTTTCGATCTTACTTTGGAGAACAGACACCTGCATCTGACTCTCCACCAGAAGCTTCCGTTCACTATCACCCAATGTCGTCGTGGTGCCGCGACGACTCAGAACAGCATCTAGACCGAATGCGTCGCTCCGAGCATCGTCCTCATCGTCAGGCCCCATATCATCGCTATCCTCAACCATTGTGCTCTTATTCGGAACCATAGTATTGCTCTGGAAAGCCCGTGGAAACGGCCCGTCTCCGTTCATACTCGGCGGGCCTCCAAGAGAGTTGCCGCGGGGAGGGAATGGACTGCCCGGCGGACCGCCAGATGGGTATCCACGCCCCATGCGCGAAGGAGGGCCCCGGGAGGAGTGTGATGTGCGAGCGCTGGGAGGTCCCATACTGGGAGGCGGGCGGCCGCGGTATTCCCGACTGGTGAAATGTGGGAACCGGCGCTCCAATTCACAAAAGACGTCGGTCGCCAGATCTCGGAAACGTGGGTGGTGGAGGGCAGCCAGCTTTTGACGGGCATGATTGCGCTTTTCGTGGAAATCGTCGCGAGGAGGGAGGTAGGGAGGTACATCTGGACGGGGTGGTCGTCCCGGGGGCGGCGAGGCCTGCTGCCGCCGGATCAATTCATCGTAGACATCGGTGGAGAGTTCGTGGAACTGGGTTGGCGACAGGCGCAGCAGTTTGTCCCGGGCTTTATTTGACTTGGCCCGGTCGTCGCGATTTGTGCCATTCAAGAATCGTTTGAGGACGACGTAGTGTTGGCCCAGAATCTCCTCCATCTGACGGTAGCGTCTTCCATCGCGCTGGCCGTCGCCCAATGTCCCAGAACTGGACCTTGCTGCGACCGAACTGGGTGGGGATGGGTTGCCGCTCAGGTTGGAGGGTGAGAGTGAGGGAGGTGGCCCGTTGGGACTCAAGGGTGCGCTTGGGATGCCGGAGGTTGGAGGTGTGGCTAGATTGGCTCGTGATGACGGGAATGTCGGGGAGAATGTTGAGTCCGATTTTCCATACTGATTCAGTCCAGACCAGTCGCTACCATCGACAGAGACAGGCGACATGGCTCCCGATGCGCCATTCATATCAGGGTCAAAATAGGGGATGTCGCTCCAACTGTCTCCACCAGTGGTGACTATTCGCCTCGCTATACAAGGGGCCAGTTATGACGAAGAGTCGATAAGCATTCACGTCGTTACCAAAAAAAATGATAAGTCCCCCGTAAGATCCACCAGGATTCCAACGATCTGAGACAATGCGGGTGAAATGTAAGGAAGAACTCGTAAGCCGGCACGAGGCAATAGGTGGAAAGGTGAAAAGACTAGTTCAACCGAATCCGAAGGAGTGAAGGACTGGGCTGAAGAAGTAGAACAGGGAGAAATCAAAAGTGTGAGGGAGACTTAGTGTCGTCGTGAACTCCGGAGATTCCCTTACGGACGATACCCAGTATTGTACGGAGTACTTCCTTACAGGATTGTGCAGATAACTCGTTATGCATGCATTGACAGGGGTCTGGGGTTCAGACGATATATGATCTCTGCACTATTGGAATTTTTATTGCTTGACTCTACATATCTTTAGCATCCTATATCCTACTGTCCTACAGTTCCTCAGCAATAAATGTATCGAGGTACATTGATGTACGAAGTAGAAGAAATGCCATACGATACTTTGTATTTAATACCCCTGCCAAGGGCCACGAGCCACACAGGGGGGCAGGTCAAATTGAAGGATGCAGGGATGGCGCATAAGTGAATTAGAGAAGAGGCATAACATAACTAATGGCATAATTAAAATAATTGTAGAGTAATGAATATTCATAGACATCTTTCCAATCTGCCATGTGCTTCTTTTAGAGAATCGGAGGTGAGAAGAAAAATAGAAGAAACCCCCATACTGTATATTGGGCGCTCAGGAGTCGAGGATTCTAGGCCCTGGGCCCCATATTTTCTGTACACCGTACCTGTCCCACTTGTATTGTGCCTAACCGGTAGAAGAGGGAAACAAATGGATTGTTTCCATATCTATTGAATATGAAAAGAAAACGAAAAACACCTAAGTACACAATGTAAAACAACAGCTTCAATACCCGCTTGAATGCTTTTTGAAGCGTTGATTTTTGGGGGCTCCAACAAATGTCCCTTGGGCCTCATGCAGAAAGGTCAATTACCGAGGCTATCCTCTTTTCGGATATACCGGTATAGACTGCTCATTCCTGGCCAGACGAGAGGAAGTCTCCCGTGATAATGCAGGGCCAAAGACCGGGCGATGTGTTCGCCGGAAGGTCTGCATCAGAACAAGTGAATGAATGAGATGGGGAGGAAAACAAGTGGCCACAAATATAGCCACACATATACATTAACCCACAACGGTGGGCCAGGAGCTGGTCATGTCATCATTTACTTGGAGGTCATGGAAAGGCCACGGGCGGCACCGACGGCAGAAGACACCGGGGTCGAAGACCGCGTGGGGGCGGCGCTACGGTTGTGAGCCATGTGTGCCTTGACCAGATGACCGGCGGCAAGCGCAGCGCACAGGCTGAGTTCACCGGCGAGGACGGAGGCAGCAATGATACGAGACAACTGGCGCGCGTTTTCACCGGGCGAGGTCGCGTGAGCGCCTCGGACACCCAGGAGATCCAACATGGCACCTTGGGCTTCCAGAATGGTACCACCGCCAATGGTGCCTACCTCGATAGAAGGCATAGACACAGCGATTTGGAGGTTGCCGTTGTTGCTGTGGGGAATATGGTTAGTATCATTGCAGAAAAGCCGGGGTGAATGATAAAAGGGAAAGCTTACTTCTTCATGGTGGTGATACAACTGCTGCTCTCAACGTTCTGGGCAGGATCCTGACCAGTGGCCAAGAAAATGGCAGACACAATGTTAGAGGCGTGGGCATTGAAGCCACCCAAGCTGCCAGCCATTGCGCTACCAATCAAGTTCTTGCTGACATTCAGCTCAACCAGGGCGTCGACATCGCTCTTGAGAACACTCTTGACAACATCGCCGGGAATGATAGCCTCAGCCACGACGGACTTACCACGACCATCGGTCCAATTGATTGCCGCGGACTTCTTGTCCGTGCAGAAGTTACCGGACAGCGAGATAATGGACATGTCATCGAAGCCACACTCCTTGTGCATGACGTCTAGCGCCTTTTCGCAGCCCTTGGAAATCATGTTCATACCCATAGCGTCACCAGTGGTGGTCTTGAAACGAATGTACAAGTAGGTTCCAGCAAGAGCAGTCTTAAGGCTCTGGAGACGAGCAAACCGACTGGTCGAGTTGAAAGCGGCGGTGATGATATTCCGACCTTCCTCGGAATCGATCCAAACCTTAGCAGCGGCAGCCCGAGCCAGAGTGGGGAAAGTGACACAGGGGCCACGAGTCATACCATCACCCGTCAGGACAGTGACTGCACCGCCACCAGCGTTGATAGCCTTGGAGCCACGACTCGTGCTAGCTACCAACACACCTTCGGTAGTGGCCATAGGGATGAAGTAGTTTCGCCCATCGATGTTGATAGGACCAGCGACACCGAGAGGAAGGGGCAAATATCCAATAACGTTCTCACAGCAAGCACCGTGGACAAGGCCATAGTTGTAATCCTTGTATGGGAGCTTGGAGGTCTCCAAAGCGGAAGTGATATCAGAGGTAGCAGGAGTACGGGAGACCACGGCTCTCCGAATCTTCACGGCACGAGTAAAGGCATCGACCCGACTCATCAGCGTCTCGTCCTCCATAGACTTCTCCAGCGCGTAACCAGGCAGCTTTCCGCGGAGGGAAAGATCGATCAGTTCTTCATCAGTAAGAATGGGGGCACGCTTTTGCTTGAGCAGTGCCTCGCATTCCTCGGGGGTTCGGTTTGACTTCTGCTCATTTGCTTCAAACTTAGGGTAAACCTTCGGCTCGGCCACAGGCTCGGCGGGAGAGGCCTGAGTGGCTTCGGAATCCTTGATACTCCAACGGGCAGCGTTGAAGAGATAGCCGTTGAGAATGATGCTGAGAGTCAACGCGGCGATAATCCACTTGCTGATGATAGGGTCCTCTACACTCTTCAGCAGGCTATCGAGGACCTTGCCGCCAACGGCATCCAAGAATTGATCGGTGTATTCGATGTCGAACGAGCCTGAATCGGTAGGAGCTGCGTAGTGAATGGAAGGGTACTCCAGTTTGTACTTGATCGGGGAGAGAATAGTAACAACGGTCTCCTGCTTCTGGCTCTTGGCAGCCACATACACGGTGTCCAGGCCATTCTCTGCCACTTTGAAAGGATCGATGGGAGTAGGAGACATGACACTGGAGAAGCGGGAAAGCAGGCCACCGTTGCCGGTGTTGCGGAAAGGAATAGCCGACATATTCACGACGTTGATCAGGATCAAACCACCAACCATAAGGATCTTGAACCGGCGCACGTTGCTAGACTTGATCTTGCGTCCAAAGATGCTGGTATCTGCCTCGTTGGTGCCCGAACCGGCGCTGGGCCAATCGTTGCTGGAAGCGACATTCTCGGCAACACTGTGGGTGATGCCATCCTCTTCCAAAGCCTTGCGCAATGCCACGTGACGCTTGATCCGAGTGATCTCAAGCTTGATGCAGAGAATAGTAGTATAGAAGGTGAAGAGAAGCACGCAGTCGAAAAACAAGATCAAGGCAGCGAGGAAGCAGAACTGTTGGAGCCCACCTTGGACACCAGAAGCCGCACCCAGAGCCAACAGACCAATCTCAATGCAGTAGTGCTGGATGATCTCGAAACCTTGCTCCTTGATGGCAGCAGCGATGGATTCCTGAATGGATCTCGGGGTGCTCGAGGTCAACGGGCCAGGAGCAGCACCGGGACGGGGTCGTCGATTATCCACGGAAGCCTTCAGAACGGCGCGAGTGAACATGATCGGCTTCTCGAAACCAATGGTGACAACCAAGAATGGGAGACCCTCAGAAAGCAGGACAAGGTTGATAGGAACACCGAGCTTAGTAGTCACATGCAGACCAAAGAGGAAAGCGAATGAGCCAGAAAGAAGCACGGTAGCCGCGAGCCAAAAGTTGGAACCCAGTCGTCGCATCGAGAAGAAAAGCGAGACGAAGCTCAAATGCATCGAGATGTAGCCCAGAGCCATGATGACAATATCAATGGTCTCTGCGTGCTTGATCAAATCAACAAAAGAGTTCCAAGCATCCGCAATCCAGAGCTTCACAGCCCTGCGAGATCCATATGCCGGACCACGAGCAGCTCTCATGATCCACTTCTTGGATTCCTCCTCATCCTCATCCGTGGACGGATTAGGGATCTCCTGCACGGCCCTCAACAGGTCCGAAACTTGGTCGAAAGGCACAGTGTAAACCAAAGACGCATCATGTGTGAATTGCGAGAAGAGATTCGGGGTGTAGGGCACGGAGCTAGCGGAGATATTGGCGGGGATCGGGACATCCTCAGCTGCGGGGGCAGTTGAAACAGAGTTGGAGGTGGAATCGGGGAAGATGAGGGTGGTCAGGGCCAGGTGCTGAGCACCGGGCTTCTCGATCTAAAGGATTACACCGGATGAGTACTGCAATTGCAACGGCTAGGACCGCAAGGCAATATCGAAAAATAATAAAAATCTTCAGCGTACCTGAGAGTCTGTCCAGGCATCCTCCGCCTGCCACTTCCACGAAGTTGATTCTCCGAGCCGCAGATTGCGGCTTCCCTGGAGAAGTGCATCGGTATCGACATGTCCAGCGACGCTGCGCGGGTCTTTGGTTGTATCCAAAAGGCTACCCTCGAGAAGCCCCACATAGGTGGTGCTGGCGAGGATGGCAATCACCACGAGAGTGTGTATGGGGTGCACACAGGCACGGCGGGAGATCGACTGAAGGCCCGATACAATCTGACGCCGAATCCAACTAGGCTGAGTGTCGCGGTCTTCCTCTGTTGAGCGAAGGCGCTTGGAGATAAACGAGGTGGCCATATTGACGGGGAGGCGCGGAGGGAGCGGTGAGAACGTCTGTTGAAGGCGTGGGTTTGTTTTAAGACGGTCCGCAGGGACCAGAACCTGCGAGGAAAGCCGTCGTGGTTTGATGTTCTACACCAAAACCAACCCGGAGAAGTGTACTTGAATTGTCACCTAATTGTAGGACCGCATGTGGGCCGCACGAGTCGGTGTTCAAGGACTAGCAGATCCACGAGAGTCTATTTGTTCGTCTTCTGGGTTAGTGAAACCACTCACAAGTCCCTCAGTTGGAAAAGAGAGAACATACCGGGAAGAAGGGAAATTCAAGGCACGGCCCTTTTGGAATTGGAGGTCGTAGAGGGAAAAGCCAGCAAGCCCCCTGAGATAAAATAATAGTAGCCCGAAATCGCGACTGGAATTAAGTATCGCCGGATTGCCAAGCCACCACCAGTGGGGAATTTTGCGTGGGCTTTTCCAACAACATGTACGAGAGAGAATAATTTATTCGTCTACAGAGAGGATAAGATGGTATTTTATATAAAAGCAATATTCACAATTGATACATAGGTACATCGAAACAAAGGGAAGAACAATATTAGGACGAGTCATGGAGTCACGGTCTTTCAAGGGAATCGATAAGGCTTACGACGTTCAATGGTCCAGCCCTGGAGAGAGCCGGCTTTGGGGGGGGCGCAGGGCATTATGGATATTCTCCATATAACTAGTCCGGAGTACTAACTAGGTAACTGTACGGAGTAGGACTGCATAGGAGGAAGCAGCAAAGAGATAAGAACTATTTTCTAGGGTCATTGCCGCCAAGATAGAATTTTTCCCATAGTTAAACACTAAAGCTTGTCGTTCTGACCATTTGCAAGACGTCGATCATCCAGATCACGAGACACGTAGGACTATCAAGGAATCAAGGCATTGAGTATCACTGGAATTACCCTACTCTTTTTACCTATATGTTACACACTGCCGTCACTGTACATAATGTTGTACAACCTGGACAGGAATGTGGGAAACGATCAACAGACTCCACATCCTTAACCTTGTACAGCATCCCTGCCCAGATGGAAAACGTGAGGCGATCCGTCCCGCTCACGTCAGACACAGCCTGCATTGCCCTAGTCAAATAGTACTACGTACTAAGAAAAATGTGTCGAAGGCAATTCGCAATCGTCGTGCAAATGTCTGCGAATACGAATGCGAATGCGAATGCGAATATTAGTTGGCTTGGTCACGTGTAGATTTTATGTATCAATACCGTAGAGAGCAGTCAGACTCACAGCCCAAGTGACAAGACTAGGTACTAGGTTGATGTTCCGTGCCTTTCGAACAATGATCCGCAGACCTCAGGCTTATGCTAGGTACCAGATCTTTCGAATCAAGGCTGAAGGCAGCGGCTGGTTGGAGAATACCGGTAAGACGCTAGGTCTATCACTGGGTGTTCTCCAGACTATATATCTCTCAACAGCATCACTTTTCGCACCGTCTCACGGTTCATATTTTAGAGAATGTCAACGTATTGGGCACTAACAGACCCCTACCACGGCTAAACAATCTCACTACTGCGCCTTCAGCCAACTCTGCACTCTATTACCATCATCGAAACACGTCGACACATGTTCTTGAAATAAAGTTGTCAGATTCATCATTCAAACGCGGCTTGTCACTTGCATAACAAACTGCACGTGATAAACTTTCTCTTATTGGGTGGGAGTTGGTCTTGGCGACTGCGCAATATTGATCTTGCGAATACAGATGTTCATAGATGTCTATTGTCTGTGAACAACGAATGCGAAAGCGAAAGCGAATATCTCGAGATGGTACGTGTATTTGTGCCGACCCCTAAAAATGAGCAGACATCCAATGCCACAATGTGGACAGTGGGAGGCGTCGGAAATGAGTCCAACGGATGGCATCCTGCTACAAGCGAGATAGAATCCACCCAGTGGAGCATCGGAGAAATCTGATAAAAATCTGATAACTCGGACCAAATCATATCCACCGATCCGGTGCAGACTCCATTATTTGAGCTTGCCAAGCGAAAAAAGGGGGGAAAGATAAGATCGTGTCCTCGAGAAATACCGCGTGGAGAATGTAGAGAATCCTCGGTCCGGGTGAGTATGAAACCACTGACTGAAGTGGATGGATTCAAGTATTCGTTGATGGTGTACCCAATTCTGGTAGTGTCGGAATGCTAAACTTTTGTTCCTAACATATGGCCTCTTAGGTGAGACGAATGGCATGATTCAAGGTGGAAGAGTTGCCTAATGTGAGATGGATCATGGAACCAGGTGGTCAGGTGAACACAGAATGCAAACAAAACAATCCCAAAACCAACGCTCAACATACTTGCAAGAAAGGAGAGAGACCCCTTCATGTCAGAGATTTAAAGGCACTCGTTTGGTTTGGGTCTCAGAGACCGAGGGCTAAGCGCCAGGGGGGCCCGACTCAGCCAATGACCATGCTCTGTTGGCCAGTTGACTTGCAAACTTGCAATATACCTACAAGCTCAAATATCATGCAGATGCCAGACGGCTAAGCGCCAGGAGCGGGACTGAGCATGTCTCAAATCATCCATTCCAAACATCTCGCGAGAGTCAAGCCCCTTTCCACCTATCATTCCTGGTCATGTCTCTATTTCGAAATGGGGGTGGGCACAAATCTCGTCTATTAACAGACACTTTCAGTTCTGAAGATGGCCATGTCGGCGTCAGGCCTAGAGCTTCTTCAATGAGCGTGACGGGTCGAGGTCAGACAGCTCGAAGCCAGGCAACCAATTGCTTGGTTCTTTATGTGTGACAGATGCCCTTCAAACCATCCAGGTTACCATTCTTGTTCCTCCACTCTCATTGTGGCCTTGGGTGGGTGTTCTGTGAAAGACCGACAATCAACCCTTTGTCTATTCACACCAGCCATTGCCTCAGATCAATCACCTCTATTGCCCTATTTACATTGACAAAGCGCATTGTTGCAGCCTTCGACCTAACGTCTCCTACTACTTTCTGCACCCAATAAATACGGCCTGTCCCGCTTAGGCAAGCTCTTTTTGTTCCACTTCTCTATATTCAAAGAACCAACACTGCAACACCTACTCGACCTGACGCCGCTGGCCGCCGTCTTCTTCCCAAGTTAACAAAGTCCCCATCCTTACAGTCTTCGACTCGAACAGAAAACCACCGTCACGATGTTGATCATCCTCCTTCCGGTGCTGCTCGCTCTATACACCCCAATCGACGCTCATTCTTGGGTGGAACAGCTCACAGTCATTGCCCCAAATGGAACTTTCGTCGGCGAACCAGGCTACGCCCGTGGGAATTACGAACGATTAGCAGGCCGCAGCATCGACCAACAGATGACCAATTTGATCCCGCCCCTCGGACGAGCCGTCGTGACCCAGGCCTCACCCACCGACTATCTATGCAAGGAAAGCCAGCGGACCCCAACCCAGCTAGAGGGGGCCCGTCTCAAAGCAAGCCCCGGTGCGGCAATTGCCCTGCGCTACCAAGAGAACGGCCATGTGACCCTGCCCGCGAACCAAGCCGGCAAGCCCGCGAATCGAGGAACTGTCTATGTGTACGGCACCACCGACCCCAAGAAAGACGAGAAGCTGCTTGATGTCCACAAGGTCTGGACCGCCGATGGCAAAGGCGGCGATGGACGGGGTGTGCTGCTAGCCGTGCAGAATTTCGACGACGGTCGTTGCTACCAGATCAACAGCGGGAAAATATCCGAGGACCGACAAGCCAAATTCCCGCACACCGCCATCGAGCTGATGGGAGCGGATCTCTGGTGTCAGTCGGATATCAAGCTGCCCGCTAATGTCCCCGTTGGGAAGCCATACACGCTCTATTGGGTGTGGGACTGGCCCACCCTTCCCGGTGCCGACCCTACCTATCCAAAGGGAAAAGCTGAGATCTACACCACGTGTATGGATGTGGATGTGGTGGCCAAGTCCAACAGCAAACTGGCGATCAAGGATGGATTCGTCAATGGCCAGGATCTCAATAAGGCTGCTATTCCCGGAGTGTTCAATACGCTTGGCAAGGCACAGTCTTTGCCACCTCCAACCACTTTTCTCACGTCGATTGCTCCGGCTGCTGAGGCTTCTGCGACAGGGGTGGAACGTCAAACGCTCACTGTGACAGACTGGGTGACCAGCACGAGCACGATATTTATGGAGAGAAGTCAGCCCACGTCAATGGGTTGAAAGACTGAGACATTTAGGTTCCGATACGTTAACTAAGGCAAGAGAAGTTTATGTAAGAAAGATTGTTCTTTTGGTTCCGTTGTAAACCAGATGTGTTTTAGACACTGTTCCGTGTAAGAAGAAAGAAGCCAACATAAGGCATTGCCCAATGTAGAACACATGTGTGTGCTATGTAGAGAAGGTACATCCAGTGGTAAGGCCACACTCCATTCTAATGCTCATCTTGGTAACTATCATGACAGAAAACGGAAGATTCGATCCATGTACCCGTTGACAAAGAATCTGCTAGTAAATTAACAACTCAATGGAACCATACAGCCTTTCTCGTAACATATTGCGTTCCATGGAATCTACTGTGATCAGGCGAGTACATGAATCAAATGGTGTAAGCTCGTAGTAGTTGAGAAATCTCCATGAATCTTGAATCGTTATCGCTTAATTATGAATCATAGGCTATTGTATTGTACAAATGAAGAGGTATGGTAGTCTACTTAGACTCCTTGGTATCCTTGGTTTCCTGCTTGCCTTCCTCGGCGAGCTTCTCGACTTGCTCCTTGCGCTTCTTCAGCACCTGCTGCAGTTCCTCAAGAGTCTCCTTGAGAACACCCTGTGCTTCGTCGCCCTTCGCCTGTGCAATAGTCTGCAATGCCTGCAGCTGGGGGATTACTTGGGAACCACCGGGGACCATGTTGAGCCACTTGTCAAGGTTGCCCAAGTCGGAGTTCTTGGCCTGGCCGACCTTATCCTTGACGTACTTCTCGACTTCCTCAGTCTTGCCTGAAGAAGCACTGTCCTTGACAAGGCCCCACAGCTCTTGGAAGTTGCCCTTTTTCAATGCATCGGCGTTGTTCTCGACCAGTTCCTTGAGCTTGGGGTTCTTCTCTAGATATTGTTGAGACTGCTCAAGTCCCTTCTGCCAGGCCTCATCGCCGTATTTCTGAAGCTTCTCCTTCTTATCTTCGATCAATTTCTTGATCTCAGCGACCGTGTCCACACTCACGCCACGCTGCACAATGCTGGAGATCTGCTCCCAAGTCTTATTGAACTCCTCCTTTGCCTGGGGTCCGTAGGATTCACCCATCTGCTTCAGCTGGTCGTAGCTGTCTCCGAACTTCTCCTTCAACTGGGGGTGGTTGTCAAGGATGTTGCCGGCAGCATCGCCAGCCAGATCGAAGAGGCTCTTGGAGTATTTTTGTAGGATTTGCAGTGCCTTGCCTGCCGAAGCGGTAGTGACACCCTCGCTCTTTGTAAGATCATGTAGTTCCTTATATGCGTCACTGATGACTTGATCGAATTCCTTTCCGTGGTCTTTGCGAATCTTCTCCAAGTCGTCGAATGCGGTGTCAACGTAGGCACGGGCCCCGGGGATGAAGACGGCGTAGCTCTTGACGGTATCTCTCAACCAATCGAAGGCCTCGTTGGGTTCGGGAGTCTTCTCGGCAATCTTTTGTTTGGCTTGGTCGAAGTAGGCTTGTGTTTGTTTGCTGGTGTTCACGACTGTCTTGACTCCGGAGAAGTGGTACCAGGTGTATCCAGTAACGACTGCGGCAGCTGCACCGGCAGCACCACCGACTAAAGCAGGGTTGGCACCACTTGAGCCGGCATTGGATGTAGTAGATTGGAAGCGGGCATTGGGAACACGGGCTTTTGTTCGTAGCTGTTGTCTAGCAGTGCGGGCAGCGGGTCCTGAAGTTCGTCCGAGCATATTGAGAGGATGTGTAGTTGATGCGGGAAGTGAGAGAGTAAGTATAAAGTATTAAGAGTAGGAATGTGTTGAGGAAGAGGAAGAGTGTCGGGACTCGGGAAGGAGAAGGTTTGATGTGAAGTAAGTTTGAATGACTGGAAGAAGGTAGGGATATGAGCTTTAATATAGCTTTCTCATATGATGTCTACGATCCCCTGCCCATCTACAAACAAGAATAAAATCAATGGCGTGGACGGCTACCAACATCGTCAAGATGACGTCGGTCATCGCTTCCAGGCCGGTTCTTTCCAAGCTTGGAACCTCGGGATCTTGGCACTCTCCCAGCAATGTCAGTGGCTGAGACCAACCGGATTTTGACTTCCGTCATACTACAGAGTAGAAACTACACTGTAGAAGCAATCGAAGTACGGAGTACACTCAAAGCGTTTGGTAGTTCTTGATCCTTTCAACTGTTAACTTAAATGCTTCTAAACTTGTTCACTCTTAGGTTATGCATATATTTATCTGATTCTCTTAACCTACGTAATTCAGTGTCCATCTAGTTAGCTGCCGAGAGATAACTACTCAATGTGCCACCAATTTTATTGATACCTCTTATATTCCTATCTAAAATTCTAAGTTACACCTCAGGCTTCAGCCAGAAGGTTCCAGAGATCTACTGGAGTTCAACTTGAGGATTCACCAACCTCGGGCCCGCCCGCGCACTAAGTCCCCGCCTTTAGGCGAACGCCTGTTCATTTGACAATAAGTTAGACCAGCATAGGCGGTAGTTATCTACTCCTTCATACGCTGCTCTTGGTAAAGGATAGGGATGACCGTTAAGCAGGACTGGGTAACTATAGGACAATACATGAATGATGACTCTTAGAAGTCAGTGGCACTTGTAAGTTGTCAATGGCTTGGGCAAGAATGCTTCATGTATTTTTGACTCCATATAGGGCTTGGAATTGATATCAGGACTTTCATAGAATAGTTAAGTTAGACAAGTAAACCGCAGTACTCCGTAGTACGATTGATAAGATGACCCAAACAGGAATAGACGAAACCACACTGAAACACGCTAAGACCGGACAGCACGTGATTCTCGAGGGTTTCAAGCTTCACCCTTCACACACGCCCAACTCTGTGACTCTTGAGCGGCTGTCGTGCATATTGGCTGAATCTGGCTGCTTTGTTTACCTTTGTCTGGCTCGGCAAATCCTCCTATCCTAAAATTACCAGCCCCCGATCCAAACCCCATCTACGTGCTGATCTTTGCTTCGCTTCAGCCTCCAAGGTATGGCCGACTTCGTTCACTTGCACGCCGAATCCTCCCCTCTATCTCATTATTCCCATGCGGTCTCGGCCTAATCCCTGTCACTGTGCTGTCTGCACAATCTTTTCCCGCATAAGCGCTGTGCCTCCGTTACATTTGTATCTGACATTGGCCCTTTCTGCAGTTTCTGCTATATTTAGTAATTCCCTATCCTCGAGATCGCGGGACAAACGGTTCGAATACCGGTTCTTGGTTTCGCCAATCCCGCCTTGATATTCACTCTTGCGCGCCGAACCTTGCAAGTTCACTGGCATCCTCGTTGAGACCGTTTTCTCATCGTGAGATCTTCCCCGTCGCGGTTCGGCGTTCCACTCGGGCCACACTTGCCCCCCCTCTCGTGTCGTTTGCCGATTACCTACCCACCCATTCGCCGCTCAACCCGGGACCCCTTGAGAGAACATCCTTCCCCAAGCAGATAGACCTTCAAGGACTGGTTCGGAAAACCGCAAACCCAATTTTGGTATTTGACTCCTTACGACTTGGCGCTTGTTGCAGCGTACCTGAACCCAGTATCCCTACGATATCCGAACGCAAGATATACCCACATCGTCAAAACCTAAGGGCCACTTGCTACATACGACTACAACTACAAAGCGGAATTGACCGGGTTGCGTCAATCGCAATGCGAAACTAAGGCGCCAACCACGCGACCGAATGAACTACCCCACATTTTCTTGAGATCCAACCTATTCTTTCTCATCTCGAACCTAATCTTGCGCCTCTCTTCGTCATGATGTCCTCTCCGACATCATCGCCAAATGCGCTGTCTACAAACAATCTTTCGGTTCTACCACCCATTCTCACCGATGGGACGGTGAAGCGGTCATCCACACTCCCAAAGGATCGGCTATCTACATATTCGAATGTCTCGTTCGTATCACAAAATCGCTCCCGCCCAGGCTCCCATGTCTTTCCGATCTTCCATACCAGCCTTCCCTATGCCCTAGTTCGAGATTTCGCCTACCCGTCCAGCCAACCACTCCATTATGGACCTCCTCCCCCGCGAGCATCCGGGGTCTCCACACCGGCAAGCGAGCATCGGCGCCTCTCCGACCCCCCGCCATCGTGGGATACAATGCGGGGATGGTCAACAGGGCACTCGGGTGCGGAGTCTCATACTGGCTTTGTTCCCCAACAGTTGCCAGCCATGTCCTTTGGGGATGGGCCACCATATAGCGAGGATGAAGATTTGCATAGCCCGGTCGTGACGTCGCGTCATCGCAAGAAGACTTCCGAGCATAACGGTCATGTTGACGAGAGGGTTATGCATGGAACTGGCCAGGCAGGGAACAATGATCGCGGAACGCTCGTTGGCATTAACCCTGATGGCAGTGAGACTTACTACGTGAATGATGGAGATTCATCAGAAGATGGACCCGGTGGGGAGTACGTGACATATCCGCCAAATGAAGGACGGTATTCAATCATGGGATATAACGCTCCTCACCAAGGCTATGAGCATGACCCGGGCTTTGAGTCTGAAGATGAAATTCCTGGTGAGAACCGGTACTCGAGAGACTATCAATTCGCCGTTGGCTGCCCGGATGAAGAGATGCATGGAAAGGCCGTTGCTCTCTTCGACTTCACGAGAGAACATGAGAACGAACTTCCTCTTACCGAAGGCCAAGTGATTTATGTTTCGTACCGACATGGCCAGGGTTGGCTGGTTGCCGAGGATCCTAAGACAGGCGAAAATGGTCTCGTTCCGGAGGATTTTGTGCGTCTTTTGCGAGAAATCGAAGGGGGTCTAACGTCGCTGAACGGGGACCCAACCCTAGACGTAACCGGAACCGTCGACACCAGTCAAGACACTGATCACTTATCTACTCCCACCCAGACTGAGCTGCCACCATTTGACGTGAACACTCACTCTGGAACGAAGGCCACCAGCGACAATGCCCCAGCTGCGACCTCGACTGAAAACACAGGTGCATCTCAAGAGTCGAACACTGCCGAGGGCTCCGGGAAGCGCTCAAGTACACTGAAGAAGCCGTGAGACAGCGCAACACCAACCATAAATGGCTTTGTTCGATCCATGCCCAGCCTCGGTGCTCCGTGCACGAGTCACCGGGAGTGGCCTGTCCGTTTCAGATTGCGCCACGAAGCCACGACAGCCGATCGACAGACCCATGCACTATCAACCTCCTTGCCACCTTATGATTGGGAGAGCCTCAATCATGAAACACACACATCTAGCATGGCTATGTACGCTGTCATTTATCATTGAACACTCAATGGCACCTCCTAGGTGGATCACCCGCCCAAACCGATCGAACTGAGACCTCCATACCATCCGAGATTTCTTATTTTCCTCTGAAACAAACGCCTTTTCAGACACGGTCTGATCCGCCACCTCCTTCCAACCTCATTTCTCAACACCGCAAGCTCATCCTTCATATTAACGCATATCACCCTTCACGATTCCAGTTCATGTCATCTAATTATACACGGGGAGATCTAGGGAGTGAAGAGGATTGAGAATTCTTTTCTTCTACTACATACCCTTCCAAAGACTTTGACCATCATATCACCTCGCTTGTTTCTTGTTTTCCCCTCGCCTCTTACTAGCCCCCCTATTTTCTTCCTTCTCCTGTATCTAGCCCTCTTCAGCGCAGGCGTTATACCAGCATCAATGATCAATGAGCATCAGAATAATGCCTTTATAAATCTATCAAATTATTACAATTTACAACTCACTGAGTGTATCCCCAACATTATATTGCGGTATGCCAGAAACATGTACACTGCCGAACTAGTCAGGTGTTTTTAGGTCTACCACATGAAACAAGATATACGGAAGCTTCGGTCATGTCGGTATATCATGGATTCTTTGGAGATGTACGATGTGTATAGACTGTTCTGTTTTTTCACCGTCACTGGCAAGATATCAGATCTAGTCCCGAGGACCCGAGATTTCGTGGACTGGGCACCTGGAAAGCAAGGCATAGACAGTATCGCGGAGAATTTTACGTGAGGATAGGGATATACCCTGCTCTGCTATAATGCAGATATATCTAGGAACAGAACCAAAAGAAAGGCGATCGAATGATCAAATGGGGAAAATAGAATGGAGTATCCAACAAAGCAGAAGAAAAGTAGAACAAAAAGGCGAGAGTCAAATCTGGAATTCTGAATGCTAAAAGTCATGGCCTCAGATCGCAAATGTTAAGGAGTTTTGAACTCGACAGGGTAGAAAGGGAAAGGGGGGAAAGGTAATTAGCAAGTTACAAGTGCTGGCAAATCAACCTAGCAAATCATCAAAGGCCGAGCTGGACTGTTGCTTGTGCTGGGGCTGGCTTGGTGTCGAAGCGCTGCTGGATGGGGCTGGGGCGCCCCAGATGCCGGCGCTGGCTTTTTCCTTGGCCATGCTGGCAAGGTTGGGACCCTTCTGGTTGCCTGTGTTGGTCTTCTGGATGCCGGCGCTGGCGCTGGCGGTCGACCACAGCGAGCCGAAGGCGTCGCCGGAGGGCTTCTTGGCTGCTGCTGAGGCTGGCTTGGTCGCTGTGCTGGATGGGCTGGCCATGGAGGACACGGAGGAAGTGGCAGCGTGGGAGGATCCGGAATGTTGGGGCACGTGGATGGAGGTGAAATAGTTTGGCGTGGCTGCTTGGTATCCGGAGGGCTTCTGCTGTTGCATTGGGGCCATCTGCGAAAGGGGAGTGGCCATCCCGCTGGAAGAGGGGGTGGGTGTGGCTGAGGTGAATCCAACCAGGCCGTTGATGTTGGCGCCCTGCGAGGCCGAGATTGGCTGAGGCGCGACGAACTGGGTGTTGGAGGTTGTGCTGGCGGTGGATGCTGGAGGAGGAATGTTGAACTGGTTTGACGACTGAGTGGGCTGGGTAGCCGGGGTTGCGGACTGGAAATCGTCGAATTCGTCGTCATCGTCGGCTGGGGTGGGGTCTAGAATGTTGAGGGCACTGCCGGCGGGTTGCTTGCCAGCCGCATTGGAAGTTGTGGTGACAGGCTCGTCGTCGCCAAAGTCGAAAAGGTCCGCTACAGGCTCAGGAGCTGGCTCGGGCTTCTTCGCCTGGGGCTTCGCTCGGGCAGAAGGCGTACGTGCGGGGGCATCGCCCTCATCATACTCATCATATTCTTCGAAGCGGTTGGACCGGCGTCCGGCGTCTTGGAAGTCGCCGCTAGATTGTCCACCAAACCCGCCGCCGTCACCGAAGACACCTCCGCTGTATCCGCCGTACCCCATACTGTCGCTGCCAAAGCCCCCATAACGACCGGAGCTGGACATGCCACCTCCAGTACCACTGCCGCCCTCGAAACCGCTGAACTTGTTGCGGTTGTTCTTGGCCTTTTTCCTTTCGGTGCGAATCTGGTCCACATCACCCAACAATTTCACCAACTCAGATGATCGATTGCGCACATTGATACCCTGATCCTTGCCATTCATATCAATATAGTGGAACTGTCGGAGCATCCGTATAAGCGACATATGAGATCGTGCATCATCGACAACTCGTTCGGAACCATTCTTCACAAGGAATTCGAGAAGCTGGAGACTCTATAAAAGGGAAAGAATTAGCTTTGGTCATAGCATGTCTAATTGACAGTCATGCTGCTCGTACCTTATAGATTTGTCTCCATTCCTCTGCGGCCTTATCGGTAAATCGCTTGTAGATCAGGGGCATGATCTCATTGAGCAATTGGCTGCAATAGAGAAAGGTCAGCGCTTGCGCATTGGATGGGTAATGCCAGGCAACATGGACTGACTAGCTGTGTGTTCCATTGGCAATCTCCTGCATCAACGTGGTCGAGGCACCCCAGGGTTCATTGTTTGTAGCTTCCCGGACCTAACCTGTGTAAGCATTGTGTCGCGAGATTTCTCAAATCCCACGCCCGGACTGATCGGATTCTGTTGCGCCGAGGCGGGCGGACGCGTACGAACCTTGGATTCCATCTCGGTATAGTTCATGACGGCTATGACGGGATCGAGTCAGCCTCCATAATGTGCAAGATTCATACAAGCCGATTCGCTTTTAGGATGCACCCGGGCCAGACGGGATTGGGACTTACCATTCTGGACCTTGCGGACACCAGCCTTCAGGTCATACAAGGTCATGTTGCTGACCTGGTCTTTGAGGTTGGAGAAATCCATCGCGAGGGGTGACTATCGGTCGTCAGGACAAGTAGGGGTAAATGGTAGCCCAAGATAGAAATAAGATCAGATATGCACAGGCAATTGGAAGCCAAGCATAGAACGATCGGAGCTCCCTGAGGATAGTGAACAATAGTGGAGGGGAAGGATGCCCGGCTTCAAGCTGGCCCGATTGAATGCCACGTCACGTGGTGACCCCTGACTCGAGCATACTTCCAGCTACCTACGGAGTACATGGAATCAATTATCTACTCCCGAGGTGCTTTGTAGTCTATCCGACTCTACTATAGACAGTCACGAAGGAAATTAAGAAACTAATATGTTCTACATGTAACAGTGCATGGTATCTCATACTGTGTACATGCCCCATCCACCTTGAGCCGAATGCTATCGCTATCAAACAAAATACCCATGGTATCTAACAAAGAAAGAGTAAAGAAAAAAGAACGATACCAGTAAAGATGTGCACCTGTCATCCCTCATCAAAAGTCCATAAGCCACTCATTCGTTATAGAATTTCTTCATGATCAAGTGCAAGAAAAGGTTGACATTGACTCGCATCTGTCCCTCGAACAAGTCCATGAACTGTGTGTTATTGAACTGGGCCTGCAGCAGATCGTCCAGCGGTACCTGTGCGTTGGCACCAGGGATCATCATGACACCGCTGCTGCCGTCGATGGTGAATACACCAACCTCATTACTTGAGATGGTCAAGTCGACCCGGTCCCATTGCCGCTCAGCGTAGCCCTTCCAGGAAACCAGGACGCCTCGGTCGGCCAGGGTGCGCGCAGAGTATTTGAAGGATCCAAATTTGAACACTTTGCCTGTCTTTTGCAGCTCTCGTTGATGGTCCCACTGCTTGGTAAATGGCATCAGGAATCGCTTCTTGCCCTTCTTGTTCTGTAACGTGATCATGGCCTGCTCAATGTAGTCGTTGTAGGTCTTGAGCTGCTGATCCAGGTAGACAGCTTGGTCGCTGAGACGCTGAGACGTCAGCCGAGCACCCTCTAGCTCGCGTTCTCGCTGGATTCTCCGACGATGCTTGGTGCGGATATCGATGGCGATGGCGTTCAGCAGATCCTGATAATGGTTGTGTCGGCTGATCTTGCCACTGTGTTCAAGTCGAAGAATGTTTTCGAGTGCAATGCCCTTGAGCTCGGAATAGCTCATAGCGCTGATGTCAATCAAGCTATTCGCTTCGGAGTAGGCACCACGGCGAGGGGCGTTAGTGCTCAATTCTTCACGGACTAGGTTGTGCCAGCGTTCCTCGTCCTCTACTGTCGGTTGCTTGAGCATAATGTCCATCAGGTTGGCGCCGGTTTGAACTCGGATGATGTAGAGTATACAACGCTTGGTCTCCATAAAGAGCGTCTTCACATCTGCTTCGGGGTCTGAAATTTCGGAGTCAGCAAATAAAGAAGAGACTGCCACTCGATTGCGATTCTTACCTTCAACCTGAGCCAACTTGGGATTCAACGTGAGGTTGATCTCGGTAGAGCTTACGCCCATCAACTCGTTCTCATTGCTCTTGACGTTGCCAAGTTCTCGAACAAGATCCTTGAGGAAGTCATCGGGGTGGGGGCACATATGGGTAATCTCTGAAGCCACAAGTTGGTGGATCGAGAAGATGTCAGACATCTTGATATACAATGTGGGTTTGGCCTTGGCATAAAGATCATTGAATTCATCAATGTCGAAATAGGACTCTGCATCCTGGACTGAGATCATCTCTCCCCAAATACGGCCTAATCGCTGGATCGAGTCGGCGATATAGCTATTGAGCGGCTGAAGATAGACGTTCTCCGCCCCGAAGAGTCTTCCAGAGGCGATTTGAGCAACGACCTTGGAAATTTCTCCAAGATTGCGCTTTTGTTCGTGGGTGAGGCCTCGATCAATGACACCATACTTCTCGGGCTCCAGCACAGCAGGCTGGAAATAATTCTTCCATACCCAGTGGCCGACAGTCTGAAGAATGAATCCGTGGTCTTCACCAGAGAATCTCTCAAGGAGATTTTGATACATCTGCTGGGCAAGATATCTGATCCCGAACGGCATGCGGTACAAGTGGTCCTCGAAGCCTGAGAACAACTGATCGACGATGTCACGAAGATCTTGCAGGTGTTTGATGAATGTCTCTCTGGTCTCAGGGTCTCTGATGGCTTCTTCTCGGGGAAGGTCCGGTTGTCGGCGGCTTCGTTGGCCGGTTTGGAGCTCCTCGTTGTTGATTGCGGAACGGTAGATCTGAATTGGGTCACTCTCCAAGTCAAGGTCTGGGTTATCGATAACTGACTCTTTGATCAGAGTTCCCAAGATGTCGCGCATGAATTTTCGATCGCGTGGTGATTTTGCATATGAGGCGAAGAGCTTGTTCCAGAAGGAGGTGCAGCGTAGGTACTCAGGGAGAGAAGTGAAGCTTTCAATGTCTTCTTTGGCAGATCGTGCTAGAAGCTTGATGAGATAGTACTCCTCGCGTCGTTTCTGGGAGTATCCAAAGAGACCCATCATCAAGTGCCGGATCCGCTCATATTCCTTGTCCGAAGTGTTCACTTCGCGCAATCGCCGGAACAAACGAGCAAGATACTGTGATTGGGTTTGAAGAAGGAAGAAAAACACCTGATATTGGTCAAGCTTTCGCCTTGAGGTCTTGTTGAGGGCTTTGAGATCGTAGGGGTCCTTGGAGGAAATCTCAGTGTTGGATAGTAGGTTACCAATGTGGCCACCAAAGTGCTTTTGATGCTTGACAACTTCATCCAGAGTGATCTTGTTCTTGACAAGAAGGGCAATTTTGATGTCAAGTTGGCTGATGTATTGCTCAGCAAGCTCATTCTGTCGTACTTGCTGGATAACCACCTTCCGCAGACGTTCAAACTCGATTTCTTCATCGAAGTCGAAATCGCTGTCATTGAGAAGATGCACGAAACCTTTGACAGTTCCGACAGGGGGATTTTTTCCGCTTGTCAGGCTCTTGTAGGCTTGTCCCTGGATTCGTCCTCGGATAACACTCTGGGCCTTAATGACCTTCTCCATGTTCTCGTTATAATGTTGGCGTCTTTCCTCAAAGCGGTTGCGGATGATGAGTCCTCTGATACGGGCTTGGAAGTCCACGATGACATCTTCCTCTGCTTCCAGATCAGTGAGGGTTCCGCCAACTTCGAGTCGTGCAAGCATGGCCCGAGCTAATGACTGAAGCTGAACAACTTCATCCTCATTCTCCTCAAGGCGAGCCAACACGCCGCCCACCTCCATTCGTGAGATAGCAGCCCTGGCGAGGGCCTGCAAGTCAATAACTGCATGTGTTTCCTGCTCCAATTCAGTTCGCTGTGCAAGGAGTTGTCGCCTGTGGATAACACCTCGAACGCGGGACTGGAGTAGCAAGATGGAAGGTTCTTCATTAGACAACGCAATCTTCTGCGCTTCCAAAGTGGCTCTCAGAGCCTGCCCCCTGAGAATACCCTGGAGGTTAAGCACCGGCAAAAGATGTTCGGCAAGCTCGGTACGGATGGCGGAGGTGTTTTTCCTCACAGCAGCGGCCCGCGCTATCGCTTGCAGTGCAGCGCATTCATTCTCGGTTTCTTCCAACGCCTGCAGCACCAGCGTTTGACGCTCTCTGGCAATTAGAGCCCTAATGTTCGATTGAATGCGAGTGATTTGAGATGCTTCGTTATTCAGCAAAACCTTCATCTGAGACAAATCCTGACGGGCAAGCGATCCCCGAATAGCAGCCTGGAGCGACTTGACAGGAGTGTCAATCTGCTTCACCTCATGCGAGTGAGCACTCATCCTTCTCCGCTGCAAGGTGCCGCGGATTGCTGCTTGGAGAGTCTTGATAGAGCTGCCAACTTGTCTGACCTCTTGAGAATGTGCTTCCATACGTTTCCGTTGTAAAGCACCACGAATCACTGCTTGGAGTGACGTGACGTCGTTTTTGGCTTGCCGAGACCGTTCGTATTGGTCTGCAACTTTCATCCGTTGCAATGCACCTCTGATAACTGCTTGAAACGATGTGACATCGTTCTCAGCTTGACGAGTCTGTTCGTATTGGTCTCCGACATTCATCCGCTGCAATGCACCTCTGATCGCAGCCTGGATCTGCTTTATGCCAGACTCTTCTCGACGTGCGCGGGTTTGCAAGAGAGTGGCCTGGCTGCGCGCCTTGGAACCTCGAACCAGGCTCTGGAACTGCAAGATCTCAGTTTCCTGAGCTTGTCGCCATTGCTTGTCGCCTTGTTGACGGCGACGGACAATGAACCCACGACTGATGGCCTGCAAGCCAACTGCAAATTGGAGCATGCTAAGGCGGTAGTCACTGATCTGACGCGCCCAGTCTCCACGTAGACGTGACTGTAGCTCAATGAGAAGAGGTTCGAAGTCCCACAAGTCGTTCATCGTATTGCCGAGTCGTAAACGCGTCATAGCACCTCTCACTTGAGCCTGGAAATCGCATATTGAGTCTTCGTTTGCGTGGAGTTCTCGGTCAATGCGATCCTCCTCTGATTCAACAGGCTCGGGCTCAGGTTCAGGTTCCGCGCCAAAGTTTGCAGCCATGCCCGCAAAGCTGGGCATACTAACACCGGCCTTGTCAAGCCCCTTTTGGGTCTTCTCAAGTTCATGGTGTTCAAACTCAAGCTGGCCAACCAAGTTACCCATACGGAAATCCAGCATGCCATTTTTGAAGAGTAGCCATGACAGCGCGTGGATACAGTGGATGACCTTGGGGAGGTTTTTCTTCTCATACAGGTCGATGAGTTCGAATCGAAACAATTCTGGCAGCTCAACTTCATCGAGGAATCGGAAAAACAGGGCAATGTTGTCCGAATGGCGATACTGTAACTTAGGGTGCCGGAAGATACGAAGTGTTTTGCCTGCGTACATTGCTTGCACCACTTCTGCGAGAGTGACACCGTCTCGCAGTGCCTCCTCTAGCTCAACGATTGGCGGAATTTGCTTTTGGATAACATCCTCGATCCACTGTTTGGCTTCTCCGATATGACACAGGTACTCGTAGGCTTGGATGAACTGTCGCTGCTGGTCCATCCAATTCCCGGCTGCCCATGAAGACGCCTTCGGCTTTTCGGGAGATATTGCCCCATTTCTTGCGGCAATGGAGTCTGCTCGTTTGAGACGTCTTCGGCCTTGTAGACCGACTACAGAGGCGGCGGCTGCGCTAAATTCGTTCTCGCCAGACTGTGCGAATTTCGAAAGAGTCCTGAGATGGCGGGTCGAAGATTTCTGGAATGTCCGAAGCTCTGGGGCAGTAAGCGCTGCTGTGAGCTGCGGGGGATGAGTGCTGTGAGACGTGGTCTTTTGTGGGGACGAGGAACGCGACCCGCCGGGCACAGGAGACCACTGACGGGGGGAGGTGGGTGCTGGAGGACTCTGAGGTTCGTAGGCGGGGCTTTTGTGACACGGAGGTTGGTTTTCCTGGGGGTATAGTTGACGCGATTCGGGGGTGCTAGGTCGGTTCTCTTTCCAATGGTGTGATTGATCAATTGTTTGGCTTCGTGAATGTCGGTAGCCCCCAGTATTTGCGGTTGAGGGTGGGACATTGGAGGTTTGTTGAAGTGGTCGTAGAGATCGGCGGATGTTGTCGTACGCTGTGCCAGCATTTGACCAACTCCCATGCTCCATTGCGTCCGTAACAGTGCTTGCTGAATTTATGCTGCTCGCCTCACTCTTCCCTCGGAAGTGTCCCAAACTGATGGGTATCGACGCATTAGAGGAGACTGTGCTAGTCCGGCTAGGCGTGAATGAGCTGGACGCGACCGAGTATGCAGACGAGTTTGTGGATGCTGTCGAATCGTGTCGTAATGGACTCGTGGATTGCGCAGGAAGGTCCGTCTGGGCCCGCTTGAGAGATGGAAATTGACTTGCCATCATTAATCTCGGAACAGGTATGCGATAATAAATTGAAAAATGTCGCGCTCCTTTGACCGCATCCCTGCTCTGGTGGCAGAAGTGGAATGTGCGGAATAAACAACGCCTCGAAAACCTTTATTCGGCAGGACGTCTGGAATCGGTCAAAAGTCAAGGGCGACTTCCCATAATTCTCCTTCCAGGAAATCAAAAGTAAACCACTACGTAAGTGAATCGATACGTCGTGAGTTCGTGAGTTCCCGATGGAATTGTTGACGGTGGGGGTACAAGTGCAACCAAGATCCCCCGAAGTGGGCGCAGGGGGCACAACAAATCTCCATATCGGGTATAGCGCAATCAGGTGACTGTGGCTCCCCGATCTAAAATTCACGTGATATTGTGGACACAGATTGCGTTACTCGACAAGCCACACCTCACCTTTCTACTGTAGTCTGTGTACCAGTAGCTACCTACAGTCTACAGATATATATACTGCTACGGCTCGCTCGAATTTGAATCTTAGAAACAAGGTGTTTTACAATAGCATGATTAATGCTGAGCATTCCTTTCATTCCCTATATTTGGATTCTGGCCTATCAAACCCGTCAATTGATCGCAGTCGTGGTAAAAGCGGCTGGTGTGACCTAGGTATTAGGCAGGTCTTAAGTAACGTTATACGCGACCGAGCTTCAAGGGGAAGGGTACTCATACTGCTAGATCTTAAACTAGGTAGTCTAGAGAAAGTGGCTTTTTATCTCTGTGACGTTAGAATATGTAAGATGTCTGCCAAATACTGATGTTGGTCCTACGGCCCCGACGCCGAATGTAGAATTCATGACGGCGCTATGTACCTACTATTTTAGATACTATCTTGTATGCTTTTCTCCTCACCCACCATTTCTCCATCTCTCTATCCGGCTCACGCTCAAAGTCCACAGTGGAAGCTGAACCATGACTCCGCAATCCACGGATAACGGGACAAGATGCACAAGAGCAAGACTATGGAAGCAAAACGCGATAGGCGGATCACCCAGCCCTGTCAAGTGTCAATCATTGTCCATGTATCCGAAGACCCAGCTCAAGATCCGGATATCTTCACGAGGGTTGGCTCTCGGCGAAAAGCGTCCCCAAAATAAAAGATCCAGCCAAAATTCTGCACAGGTTGGGTTGCGGCCCTTTCCCGTGAGAAGCGTTGAATGAATTTGGTCACTATAGCTGTTAGCACTGCTCCTAGTGCCGGCCCCAGTACTGATCCTACCAACTGCAAGCCGCCCTGGATCCAGGCTGCGGTGATGGTGTCCGACATGATCGTGCTCTTAACAATATCGGAGCGGAAGAAAGAAAAAGGGTTAGATCAAGAGAAAATATAACGTTAACGTACCTTTGGATTTCTAGATTCGCGCAGTGAAGAGGAGAGAAAAGGAGAACAGAGGGGCAGACGGCATTTGACCTGGGAGGTTCACAACTTGAGGAAGCTGCTGCTGTGGAAACTACAATTTTGCTTGAGCCTTCCTTGATGGCTCAACGTTATATTTTCTCTTGATCTAACCCTTTTTCTTTCTTCCGCTCCGATATTGTTAAGAGCACGATCATGTCGGACACCATCACCGCAGCCTGGATCCAGGGCGGCTTGCAGTTGGTAGGATCAGTACCGGGGCCGGTACTAGGAGCAATGCTAACGGCTATAGTGACCAAGTTCATTCAACGCTTCTCACGGGAAAGGGCCGCAACCCAACCTGTGCAGAATCTTGGCTGGATCTTTTACTTTTGGGGACGCTTTTCGCCGAGAGCCAACCCTCGTGGAGATCCGGATCTTGAGCTGGGTCTTCGGATACATGGACAATGATTGACACTTGGCAGGGCTGGGTGATCCGCCTATCGCGTTTTGCTTCCATAGTCTTGCTCTTGTGCATCTTGTTCCGTTATCCGTGGATTGCGGAGTCATGGTTCAGCTTCCACTGTGGACTTTGAGCGCCGTTAGGCGTCGAGAGCCAAACTCTCGAATCATCAAGCTCCTTGAGGGCTTGGTATCCACAGTGTGGCTTAGCCATGATCCTAGCTATGACGGAAACAAGATGTGATTGCTATCAGACTTGATTTGGTCAGTCGTCGCAGCGTTGCTTGATACTTGCTATACTCCCATGTTTCGGCGCGGCTGACTCTGATGGATGTGGAGTGCAAGCCACCAGCACCGAGCTCGCACTTCTTCGCAGTGCTGGTGACTAGTAACCTTCGGGTGAAGCTAAGTCGAGCTCATTTGTACATAGAACCTTTCTCATGAATTGACCTACTATCATTTTGATTAACGCCTTTTGCTTCTGTGCAGTTTCTGTAATCTCATAGTACCGTCAATGCAATTTAATGAACACTCCTCTCTGCTGAAACAGTGAAAGTAGTATCTAGTGTGTTGGAAGAAGAAATGGTGTGTATGAGTTGGTGAATGGCGTCACTCCCGAATAGGCCGAAAGAGCTCTTTGCAGCTGAGGGATAGACAAGCTTGATCGACTGGTAGTGAAAGCCAACTGAAAGGTGATGGTGACGTACTGATTGCAAGTTCTATTCCAAAATAACGAGATGATTGTTGTTCCGTTACTGTTAACCGTATATAGTTCTTCAGGGACCTCCCGCAGTAAATTCGGTTTATTCAATTTGAAACCCCAGGAACACGCCACGAAGTTAGAGGTTAATACCTAAATTTACGTAGATAACTTTAGGGTTCAAAAGCCAAGCCTAGGCCAGGGGTGAATCCAAATATCCAATAGCGCAATGATCCCAGTACATTCAAAAAGCAGGTTGCCGGTTGAACCGACCCCGCCAACAAAACCACCGGACAAAACTTTGTCCCTCTTCTGGTCACCAACCTTGAGCATCAAACCGGTGAATTATCTTACTCCTTTTCATCGAATCATCAGGGCTTTACCATGGAATCGCTACTATCTCAACCTCGCTACATCTACAAGATTGTGCCTTCCACCACACCGGTCCGCGAGCCCATTCCTGAACGACTGGAAGTAAGCGATCTTGACAAAAAAGATGGCTATATCCACCTCTCGATGGCGCACCAAGTGGGAAACACTCTGAAAACATTCTTCACCGAAGAACCGCTTGTCTATGTGTTGCGGATCGAGTATCATCGCGTGATTCAAGACATCAAATGGGAGTCACCAGATCTTAAAACTTGCGGACCTCGACCTGGAGAGGGTCTCTTCCCCGTAAGTTACATGATTTACTTTCCAATTGTGACTTGCTGAACAGAAATATAGCACCTTTACAATGGGCTTAAACTGGGCAAAGAAGAGATTGAAAGTGTCGCCATCTGGCAGAACGATGAGGGATGGGACAAGGCTCTGACCGCAGCGAAACCGTGGCTTTTGTACTGAGGTCGGATACTGTTACATTCCATCCAATTCGATACCAATGATAACTTTGGAAGCATATGTTCAAAGTATCTAATGCCCGACAATGTTTCCATCGTTATTTATTGCTGCCCCTGGATGGAGTGGATGGATCATGGGTGCACTTAGTATTCACCAAGTGGGTGGTAGTGCAGCACTTGATCGTCTTTTTACGCTATGTTACCCCTCTAAGAGGGAAATATAATGGGTTGAAGTAATTAGGCATGGTCCACTCACAGTACAAAGAAGGATCCGCGCTAGCCAAGACCATGAAGCTTGTCGCAACCTCACTTGGTTCACCTGGCCTATTATAGGAATCATGTTTGGTTCAACGAATGGTATGGATGATGCTTAGTGGACGCGACTGCATTGGCCTGCTTTCGTGCTCAAAAGACATTCCAGTAGCCTCTGCATCAGGCTGTTCCGTATACAAAGTTATAAATGACGGCGCGATAAGCACCCTCCCTGGCCATCAAAATATTCATTAATTCTTTGTACGGCCAACACTGTAAACAAATACATTCTACTGTTACCTCTAGTACCCGCAGGTTCCGGGGGAGTGATAGGTAACCTTTTGCTTTGGCATTTGTGTTCTGCGGGATAGTTGATACTCAGCTAATAACTAATGAGGACTTCGGACAAGAGCGAGGCTGTTAGGTTCTAGGGACTGCCTGTTTAATGCTTTTGTCCAACAACTTCAGACATGACGCTTCCAATATGAGATGAATTATGGAAACCTTGTAAGCCTACTGATCGTGATCTATATCGGTATCACCACAAGTACTGGAAGGCCACAGTAACGATTCATCGATGTGCGACGAAGACTTGCCATCATGCCATGCAGCAAATGAGAAGCTAAAGAAACATGTAGACTCGGCCTGATAACGGTACTAGCATCTCACATTTCCTTGGCGGAACTGGTTCAAGTTTTCTTTGTGTTAAGCACATCTCTGCATATTCTTCGTGTCCATTTCGTCATCCCCGATCTTCGATCAAAGGATACTCAATTACTTATTAGTTATTACAGCATCTAGAAGACTAGAGAATGTTTATTGGCGGAGCGACTGTCTAATTGTCAATTAGGCGTAACTGCATATATCAATGCACATCATACATTCGAGGTAGCACGCAGATCCATCAAGATTGACACCGTCGATTTAGGCTAAGGATAGATCAGCTTACCGCCTTTCAGGTTCTCGTTTACTGGCCAATCAACAGAGCCAACCGTGAAAAAGCCGGTGCGCTATACCGGATGTAGACAAGCGTCCTGTCTGGGTTGGCCGTGCACGGAAAAGAAAAGGGACCAATTTTTCGCTCGAACTTTTTCTTCTTCTTTCTTTTCTTTGGGAAAGCTCGACTTTCTCCATCAGCAGAACGTTTCTTTCTGTTGATTAAGATTTTACTTCAAAGTCGTGTCTCCATCTTTATTCTGACTTCTCTCTCTTTCTTTTAATCATGCCTATCACCGCTGGCGATGCAGCTCCTGGTGCTGCCATGAAGGCTGAGATCACTGACTACACCAAGGCCCTGGAGGTCGTGGAGACCTACTCTACTCGTGATGGTCTTGATGTTGATACCCTGCTTGACTCCGATAAGCACGGTGCATTGACTTACAACGATTTCCTGATCCTTCCCGGTTACATCGGTAAGTTGGATGAACCCCGCAGACAGATTTTTTTTTTCAACTCGTCCTAACTTGCATAGGCTTCCCCGCTTCCGATGTCTCCCTGGACACCCCTGTTACCAAGCGTATCTCCCTGAAGGCCCCTCTTCTATCCTCTCCCATGGACACCGTCACCGAGCACAACATGGCTATCCACATGGCTCTGCTCGGTGGCCTGGGAGTTATTCACCACAACTGCTCTCCCGAGGATCAGGCGGAGATGGTCCGCAAGGTTAAGAGATATGAGAATGGTTTCATTCTGGACCCCGTTGTCCTTTCTCCTACCGCCACCGTTGGTGAGGCCAAGGAGCTGAAGGCCAAGTGGGGTTTCGGTGGATTCCCTGTTACTGGTAAGATACACCCATCTATTTCCCCTAACACCCACCCGCCAATCTTGCATGATGAACAACCTTCTTTAATTATAACTTTCGTTCCACTGTAGCAACGAAAGTTGCCCTGTAGAGAACCAGATCTTGTCTGATCAATTTTTGCCCATCCCAAAAATTTTCTTCACATCAGCTTTTTGCAGCATTTGCTAATGTTTGAACGCAGAGAACGGAACCCTGAAGTCCAAGCTTATTGGAATGGTTACCTCCCGTGACATTCAGTTCCACCGTGATCTTGATGAGCCTGTCACTGCCATCATGGCCACTGACCTCGTTACTGCCCCGGCCGGTACCACCTTGGCCGAGGCCAATGAGGTTCTCCGTCAGTCCAAGAAGGGCAAGCTTCCCATCGTCGATGCTAATGGCAACATTGTGTCTTTGCTCTCTCGGTCTGATCTGATGAAGAACCTCCACTATCCCCTGGCCTCCAAGCTTCCCGACTCCAAGCAGCTGATCTGTGCCGCTGCTATTGGTACCCGTGAGGAGGACAAGGCCCGTCTCAACCTTCTTGTTGAGGCTGGCTTGGATATCGTTATCCTGGATTCCAGCCAGGGTAACTCTATGTACCAGATCGATATGATCAAGTATATTAAGAAGAACCTGCCCCAGATCGACGTTATCGGTGGTAACGTCGTCACCCGCGAGCAGGCCGCAGCTTTGATTGCTGCCGGTGTCGATGGCCTGAGAATTGGCATGGGCAGCGGTAGTGCCTGTATTACCCAGGAAGTCATGGCTGTCGGTCGCCCCCAGGCTGCCTCCGTGCGCAGCGTTGCATCCTTCGCCGCTCGCTTCGGAGTTCCCTGTATCGCCGACGGTGGTGTCCAGAACGTTGGGCACATCGTTAAGGGCCTGGCCATGGGTGCCAGCACCGTCATGATGGGCGGTCTCCTTGCGGGTACCACCGAGTCTCCCGGCGAGTACTTCGTCAGCAACGAGGGCCAGCTCGTCAAGGCCTACCGTGGCATGGGCAGTATCGCCGCCATGGAGGACAAGAAGGCTGGTGGTGGCGGAAAGGACAGCAAGGCCAGCAACGCTGGTACTGCTCGCTACTTCTCCGAGAAGGACCGCGTCCTTGTCGCACAGGGTGTTGCTGGCTCCGTTCTGGACCGTGGCTCCGTCACTAAATTTATTCCTTATCTCGTCGCTGGTGTCCAGCACTCGCTGCAGGACATCGGTGTTCAGAGCCTTTCCGCTCTGCACGATGGCGTTGACAATGGCACCGTGCGCTTCGAGATGAGAAGTGCCAGCGCTATGACCGAGGGCAACGTTCACGGTTTGCACAGCTATGACAAGAAGCTTTACTCGTAAGATCCAGGCTTTCCTTGTTAAGACGACTGGACTTTTCTTCTCTTGTGAATATGTCACCGGGGCCACCCCGATGATGTGGCCCCCAAAAAATATAAAATAGGGGCAAAGGATAGGAGTTTACGATTTGAAGATTTACGCCATTTCTGTTAATGAGCAAATGTTAATTTTTTCTCTTCACTATTCATATTTCAATAGTAAAATAATGTACTGTGCACTGCGCAAAGACATGGTGCGGCGTTCGGCTAAGCTGGATGAGGTTTAGCTGCACGCGGGGTACCTAGGCAACTTGGAACTGCCCAGGATCTCCCGAGGTCTGGTCTTCGGGTCTTCGCTCTTTACTATAAACATCAAGTAGCCGTTCCTCGGGTTGGAAATTGTATCATGCCCCTTCTTCAACAATATTTCTGTCGCCAAATAATACAACGATTTACTGTTGGCCTTGGGTTTCAGACATCTTGCTCCTCTCGCATTTCTTCCGTTCTGTCATCTCGGCATCCAAGTGATCAATCTGCTTTCAGGCTATACACATCTACGAACAATCCAACGTCCCAGAAAATGGCTGGCGCAAAACGAAACGCTGGGCCTGCAGTGCCCAGTCCTAGTTCCAGGTGAGCGAGTAGCAAGGGATCACATAACCAATATCCGCGGACCCAAATTATCCAGATAGGATCATAGGACGGTCTCAAATGAACAAGACTGACTATTCAATAGCGTGCTTCTCGTATCCTCAAAGAACGAGATTCTTCTTCTCCATCGTGTGAAGACCTCTTCCTCTTTTGCATCTGCGCATGTCTTCCCGGGTGGCAATTTATCCAGCCAAGATGGGGAATGCCCACCACCCGAAGACCTCACTCGACATGAAGATTCCCCTAGTTACCGACGTGCAGCCATCAGAGAGCTCTTCGAAGAAAGTGGAATTCTTCTCGCGAAAGACCGGAAAACCGGGAAGATGCTTGCCGTCGATGAGCCAATCCGTGAAGCAGGCAGACGGCTCATCCACCAGAACAAGACCACTTTTGATGAGTGGCTGAGACAGCAGAACCCCGATGCTGAGCCTGACCTAGGTTAGTTCCTAGGTGATTTGGTATTTCATATGCAGCATGCTGACTATACAGACCCGTTGATTCCGTTCAGTCGGTGGATCACGCCAACTAACGTGCCCAAACGATTCACCACGCAGATGTATCTCTACTTCTTGCCATTGCCAATCAATGTCGACAAGAATGTTCTCGCTCAGCTCCCTGCAGAGGGCGAACACGACCAGCTCGAGGTCCCAACCAGCGATGGTGGAATTGAGGTCACGGAAGCACAGTTCCTTCCGGCCTCAGAGTGGATTAAACGTGCACAAAGAGCAGAGGTCATTCTGTTCCCACCTCAGTTCCTTCTTCTGCACTTGGTATCGCAGTTCCTGGACAAGGAGCCTCGTGCAGGTGCCTCCATTGAAGAGATGGAGAAGCGTCGCCAGGCGCTTGTTGATTTCACCAAGTCAGGTTCTCCCCCATGGACAGATAAGTGCATCTCTCCCACAGTTGTTCAGATGACCAGTGACGGGCAATCTATTTTGAATTTGAATAATCCTGGACCTGAGTTGAAAGGGTCGACTAGGCGGGGAGAGCCTAACATCGTTGTTCTCGTGCGGTTCAAGAAGGGCAGTGCAAGGGAGGTCTCTGTGAGATGGAAGAAGGATGTTTTGCAGGAAGAGAGAGAGAAGAGTAATCTATAGAATAGTAGTTATAGTACATCTGCTGAATACAAGTCATGGCATGCATCCATATACGCAGTACCGAACAGCCAAGACTCAATTGATAAGAGGTGGATATTGCCACGGCCTCTAGTATGGTAACCAACCAAAACCAGCTAAACGCACGACTTCCCCACTTTCGAGACACCAGCCCTCGACAAGGGGTCACATGACCCACACAAATCATTTGAGTCTTCAATTTAATGTGCGGCAGAAAAACCCTCCACCTCCAACCTCACCGTCGCCGTCAAAACCTCAACACCAAGCCCGCCAAAATGGAGAACGACAAGGGAGAGATCGTCGATCTGTACGTGTCATGGATTTTACACCCGTTCCTGCAGTCCCAATATACCCTGTGCCCTGTGTCTGCGTGACCGCATACAATCAGCAATTTCCACCTCGATCCCAAGTCAAAGAGTCGGAGCAAAGTGTGATCGGAGATTATGGGACGCAGAAGATCGCTCGCGCAGCGGAATTGCGATCGTTGCAAGTCACTAGAAAGATCAGGGCACACTAGGGCTTGAGGGGAAACATCTACAAATTCCACCAAGAATGACCACAGACAACTAACATGGCCTTCCTCTCAACAGCTACGTGCCCCGCAAGTGCAGCGCCACCAACCGCATCATCAAGGCCAACGACCACGCCTCCGTCCAGCTCTCCGTCGGCAAGGTTGACGAGAACGGTCGCTACACTGGCGAGAACCAGACCTACGCTCTTTGCGGCTTCATCCGTGCCCGCGGTGAGAGTGATGACTCCTTCAACCGCCTCGCCCAGCGTGACGGTTACCTGAAGAACGTTTGGTCCGCCTCCAGCCAGCGTTAAATCATCCACAGCGATGTGGTCTTTTTTCACCGGGTGGTGTTGACGGGTTGATTTGATGGTGCGTTATCGGCTCTACACTACATCGACATGATTCAATGAGGCTAATACCTGCATAGGAACCGTGGCTCGATGGTCCGTGTTCGGGGAGTTGGTTTTAAGACCAAAAAAAGGACGCAAGGGATATAGCTAAATATGTTCCCAAGTTCATTTTTTTCTTTTTCTCCTCAGAGAAACGCCTGTTTTCCTACTGTCCTATCTATCGAAATGAATGGAATATCGACGACTTAATGGGTCAGGTCCTTTTTCTCTACGAATCCCACCTGTTCCTCTTTATGCGATAGACTCCCAGCCAACCTCATGAAGCACAAGAAAAAAAGCAATGCCAAAAATCAAGACAATATGCCTTTCATACATGTATTACACCTTAGTCTCTTTCCTGCCATCTTTCTTCACCCCCTTCACCTCGCCCTGTTTTGGCATATCAAGGCCTCCTCATTCAATGTGGACTCAACCAGACCGGTTCGTTGGTCTTGGTCTTTGATGTCTTCATTCCCATGAGTGGGGAGGTAGAGAATTTCATCGCCGAAAATCATGCTTACGAGCTTCGCCTGCTGAAGAGCCACTGTCGCAGAGATCCATGCGCTGGGGCACAGATACGGGCGGGACATCCATCACCTGTCAAGTTATACATCCTGCCTGCTGCACGTGTAGGACTCTCTACGTTTTATCTACAACCGGAGATAGTTGAATGAAGTAGTTTATTCACATCCTGTCCATCATTGATATGCAATACATTTCCTTCTACGTAAACTCGTGATTGCAAGCGGAGAGCTCGCAAACAAAACACAGCTAAGCACGATCTTTTTTGCTTTTCTATTGGCGTTTCCCTTTTAATCTTTCTCGAGACGCACGGCCGGGTTGGTCTCGATGAAGTTCAGGTCGACCTTGTGGCCGAGGAGTTCACGGATGTTGCTGACGCCGTACCTGAAACTCATTAGTAAATGGAAAGAAACAATACCAGCTCTTGGAACTTACTTGATCATTGTGGGTCTCTCCAGACTCAATCCCCATCCGTAGACTCTCATGTCCTTGGGAAGACCCATAGACTCCAGCATCTCTGGTCGGAACATGCCACTGTTACCGATTTCAACCCACTTGCCCAGACCCTCGTGGTGACCGAAGATCTCCATACTGGGCTCGGTGTAAGGGTTGTAGGCGGGCTTGAAGCGCAGCTTGTGGATGCCCATCTTGGCGAAGAAGACCTCCATGAAGCCGATCAGACCACCCAGGGTCAGACCGAAGTCGGCAATAACACCCTCAACCTGGTGGAACTCGGCCAAATGGGTGGCGTCGACAGCCTCATTACGGAAAACACGATCGATACTGAAGAAGCGAGCAGGCCGGGGGTTGGCGGCCAGCTTGTGCAGCATGTAGGTCGAGATGGAAGTGGTGTGAGTGCGGAGCACCAAACGGAGCGACTCGTCTGCGCTCCAGGGGTAGCGGTAGCCAATGGAACCGAACTTGCCGTGCTCGTGGACCTCACGGACATTGTCCCAGTACTTTTGGTAATCGAGGGGCTTATCGTTCTTGGTTCGGACGGGGACATGAGGGTCGTTGGGAGAATCCTCTCGAGGACCATCTGCCTTGGCAGGGTCGGAGATGTAGAAGGTGTCCTGGAGATCACGGGCAGGATGTTGCTGGGGCACGAACAGAGCGTCGAAGTTCCAGAAGCCGGTCTCGACGAAGCGGTTGGTGGGCATCTCCTCGAAACCCATATCGAAGAAGATGTTGCGGAACTCTTGTCGCACCTTGTTCAGCGGGTGTAGCGTACCAGCTGGGGTCGGGGCACCCTTGGCATTGAAGTTATAAGGCTTGAAGTTTGCCGTCTTCCATGAGCCGTTGGTGAGCATCTCGGGGGTCAGGTCGGTCTCCTCCTTGACCAATTCTCGGGCGTACTTGGGGCCCTTGGTAACCTTGAAGTTGAACTCCTTTGCCAGGGCAATCAACTTCCTGCGCTTGAGATCCTGCAGGGCCTTTTGATCCTCCAGAGTCTTTGTTTTCTGAACCGCAAGCAACTGCTGTTGTGTCTCGTCGACAATCGATTCTTGGGATGCCCGCAACAAGTCCTTGTCCTTCTTAATCCAGCCACGCTTGAAGGCGTTTCCCTGACCAACTTTGGCATTGTCTTTGCCAACGATTACTGGCAATTCGGAGATCTTCAATCCGTCCATGGCAGCAGCGACGGCGGCGAAGACCTTGGCTTCGTGACTACCATTGGCGGCAATTTCTTGGCCTTCGGCAGTCAGAGTAACGACGTCCCTCTCCAAAGTCTCATATTGGACCATCTGCCGGGCATCAAGGCGGTCGAGCGCACTCTTGACATTCAATGAGGGGGTGGAGGGGAAGGCTTCGCTGGAGAGAATGGGCGCATCGGACGCGGACAGGGCGTCCAAAATCTGGGTTGTCAAGTCGGACGCCATGGATGCAGCCGTCTCCTGCAGAGTTGATTTTGTGGGCGGTATGAAGGGCGTTCTTTTGATCGAGATATTCGCAGAATTATGACTCTGCGGGATTCAAAAGATAATACGGCGGGGCACTCCGACCACTTCTGCCGTTCCACCCCGCCATTGACACACCGCCCGCCAGTTGTCTCTCTTGCCCTAAACCACGAACACATTCAACCTCGACGAGGAAGCATTTGTATGTTTCACTTCATCCATACCTCACCATGTCTCCTATCGTCTGTAGAGGCAACCTGTGAATCCTCAATATATCGGAAACACACGTAGTTATAGATCGGCAAGACTAAATTAGGTACCGTCAAAGTCAAACACGTTCATGTTCTGATTCTTCGTACTGGCGGATGCTTGGCCAACAGCCACTACCACTCCATAGCCGTGAAGGGCGCCTAAGACGCTAAGCCCGATAACCCAGTGTCCCAGACTCCCAGTCACCAAAGAGACACATGTTCCGGTGGGGTCAAAACGATCTGTTGCAGGCCCTAAAAGAGAGACATTCTCGTGAATTTCTCATAGGCTCTGACTAACTTATACTGGACCCCGGATGGATCCCATCCAATTGTTTGAAAACTCTGTCTCGCCTATCCTTTCCTCTCTCTGGTGGTTTGAGCATTTGAATGGTAGAGATTACCTTGTAGACTAGTTATCGAGCGGCCGAAACAACGAACCCCGAACCCTCGTGTGATCGGCGCTAGTTCCTGAGTCGAGTGATTGTTTGGTTGTGACTAGTGACTACAGTAGTTCGGCCATATGAAACACACGATCTCGATTTTTTTTTGCGCCTGTACACAGTATGTACTGGGTGATACATCGTAGATTATGAGATCGAGACCTTTGATACTACAGAGTATTATATGATACACAAAATATGTCCTTGAAAAGTTTAATAAATAACCAGTCCGTGCACATGCAGTCATGTTTCTGTACGGAGTAGAGGTGCATTGTACATGTACGATGTAGGGAGACATCCTTTCTCATTTCTTTCGTTCTCATTTCACCGTCAACGCAGTATGTACTCATCGTAAAAGTGGCTTCTCCGCATAGATTCGACCGACAAACATAAGGAGGAAAAAAAGAAAACAACCGCATCGCAGCCTCTTTCGAAACTCCTTCCCTTCTTTCCTCCTCCTCCAAGAGATTCATTTCTTCTTTCATCCCATACTCGAATCTCTCCTCTTCTTTTTTTGTTTTATCGTCGATTTATCGTACTATTTTCTATCTCCCCGCATAACTGGCCCGGGCAAAGTGGTGGCTTAGTAACCGGGCGGTCTTTCCCAAGTTTCCCCCTTCAATCTCTCTTTTGATTCCCTTTCAGAAAGTACCATCCCCGATTCTTATCGTGGGACCTATTTTATTCTATTCCTCTTATTTTTCTCTTTTTTTTGCCTCATGTCGCCCTAATTAGAGTACTATCTCTTATCCTGTCAGGATTCCCGACTTTCCAGTGAGTATTCCCTAAAATCTGGGACTGGCAGCCCGACGAACCCCCCGTGTTTCCGGTATTCGATCTGGACGATAAAATGTCCTTGAAATTAGTTCACTGAACTAACGTCATGTAGGGCACAATGGCTGGCGCGGACGAGACATTCATAGCCGCGACTGCCTTGCTGCAGAATCTGGCAAGGGACGACCCTACCCCCGGTTCCTCTTCGCCCCCGTTCGACTTCCAGTTGCAAGCCAACGGTGCCAAACCGACCACACTTCCTGGAGAACCCAGTCCCGCCAAGGCAGCCTTCGAAGCCGAGCTTGAGGCCTTAGTGCGCCGCGTGCACCATCTGGAATATCAAGCTGTCAGTCACCACAATTTCCAACAGCAGGCGGATCCCCACCCGACCACTCCGTCTGCTGGAGAGACCAACGAGAGGAATTTCTTGGGGACATTTGGGCTCTCTCGCTTGTCGTCCGGTCAAGATTCTGACTCTCTGTCACAGCAGCAAAGAACGATCCAACCGACCCCCGCGGGCGACGACCCACCTATGGGTGAAATTGACGACGAAACAGACGATGAAGATGATAGCGGTACCCGCGTCGTGCGAGAGGAGGATATCAGCTTTCTCCGCAACCACGTACAAAAGCAGGCTGAGGAGATAAGCAGCCAGAAGGATATCATCGCCCAGGTTCGCGACGAATTACAAAAACAAGAAGAGCACACCCGCCGTGCTCTCACTAAAGTCGAAAATGAGGATGTCGTTCTCCTCGAGCGCGAGTTGCGAAAGCACCAACAGGCCAACGAGGCCTTCCAGAAAGCTTTGCGTGAAATTGGGGGCATCATCACTCAAGTCGCTAACGGTGACCTCTCCATGAAGGTCCAAATTCACCCCCTGGAAATGGACCCCGAAATCGCCACATTCAAACGTACAATCAATACTATGATGGACCAACTGCAGGTCTTCGGTAGCGAAGTGTCTCGTGTTGCACGTGAAGTCGGTACTGAAGGAATACTCGGTGGACAAGCCCAGATCACTGGCGTCCATGGAATTTGGAAAGAACTTACAGAGAACGTCAACATTATGGCCAAGAATTTGACAGATCAAGTGCGAGAAATCGCGGCTGTTACTACTGCTGTCGCCCACGGAGATCTGAGCCAAAAGATTGAGAGCCGAGCTCAAGGTGAAATTTTGGAACTACAACAGACTATCAATACCATGGTGGACCAACTTCGAACATTCGCCACGGAAGTTACTCGAGTCGCGCGTGATGTCGGTACGGAAGGTGTTCTTGGAGGACAAGCTCAGATCGAGGGCGTCCAAGGCATGTGGAATGAACTCACGGTCAATGTCAACGCCATGGCCAACAATCTTACAACACAAGTGCGAGATATCGCCACTGTTACAAAGGCTGTCGCCAAGGGTGACCTCACGCAGAAGGTTCAGGCCAACTGCAAGGGGGAAATCGCAGAGCTAAAGAACATCATCAACTCCATGGTGGACCAACTCCGGCAATTCGCTCAAGAAGTCACCAAGATCGCAAAGGAAGTCGGCACAGACGGTGTTCTCGGCGGCCAAGCCACCGTTAACGACGTCGAGGGAACATGGAAAGATTTGACAGAAAATGTCAACCGCATGGCCAACAATCTCACCACTCAGGTGCGTGAGATTGCGGACGTCACCACCGCTGTCGCTAAGGGCGACCTTACCAAAAAGGTCACTGCCAACGTACAAGGAGAAATCCTTGATCTCAAGAGCACTATCAATGGCATGGTGGACCGGCTCAACACTTTCGCGTTCGAGGTTAGCAAAGTGGCCCGTGAGGTCGGCACCGACGGTACCCTTGGTGGTCAAGCCAAGGTGGACAATGTGGAAGGAAAATGGAAAGACCTCACTGATAACGTGAACACCATGGCGCAAAATCTCACGTCCCAAGTGCGAAGTATTTCTGATGTCACGCAAGCTATTGCCAAGGGAGACCTAAGCAAGAAGATTGAAGTGCATGCCCAGGGAGAGATCCTCACCCTGAAGGTGACCATCAATCACATGGTGGGTCGACTTGCCAAATTCGCCACTGAGCTGAAAAAGGTCGCTCGAGATGTCGGTGTCGACGGCAAGATGGGTGGACAGGCCAACGTGGAGGGCATTGCGGGTACTTGGAAAGAAATCACCGAGGACGTGAACACCATGGCCGAGAACCTGACATCGCAAGTGCGCGCTTTCGGCGAAATTACAGATGCTGCTACTGATGGTGACTTCACCAAGTTGATTACGGTCAATGCATCTGGTGAAATGGATGAGCTGAAGCGCAAGATCAACAAGATGGTTTCCAACCTGCGTGATAGTATTCAGCGAAACACTGCAGCCAGGGAGGCTGCCGAACTCGCCAATCGCACCAAATCAGAGTTCTTGGCCAACATGTCTCACGAGATCCGAACGCCCATGAACGGTATCATTGGAATGACCCAGTTGACGCTGGACACGGATGATCTCAAGCCTTACACCCGAGAAATGTTGAATGTTGTGCACAACTTGGCCAACAGTTTGTTGACTATTATCGATGACATTCTGGATATTTCTAAGATTGAAGCCAACCGCATGGTCATTGAGAGCATTCCATTCACCGTGAGGGGTACTGTCTTCAACGCTCTCAAAACCTTGGCTGTCAAGGCCAATGAGAAGTTCTTGAGTCTGACATACCAAGTCGACAACACCGTCCCCGATTATGTCATTGGTGATCCATTCCGTTTACGCCAGATTATTCTTAACCTTGTTGGCAATGCTATCAAGTTCACTGAGCATGGTGAGGTCAAGCTCACCATCCGCAAGTCGGACAGAGAGCAGTGCACGACCAATGAATACGCTTTCGAGTTCTCAGTGTCCGACACCGGTATTGGAATTGAGGAGGATAAGCTTGACCTCATTTTCGACACCTTCCAACAAGCTGACGGCTCAACCACCCGCAGATTTGGCGGTACAGGTCTGGGATTGTCGATCTCCAAGCGCCTCGTGAATCTGATGGGCGGTGACGTTTGGGTTACCTCCGAATACGGACACGGAAGTACCTTCCACTTCACCTGCGTCGTGAAACTGGCGGATCAGTCTTTGAGCGTCATTGCCAATCAGCTCCTGCCGTACAGGAACCACCGCGTGTTGTTCATCGACAAGGGTCAGAATGGCGTTCAGGCTTCCAACGTTATGAAAATGTTGAAGAAGATTGAATTGGAGCCGTTGGTCGTACGCAACGAGGAACATGTTCCGCCCCCCGAGATCCAAGACCCTTCGGGCAAGGAGTCTGGTCACGCCTACGATGTCATTATTGTTGACTCCGTAGACACGGCTCGAATTCTGCGGACGTTCGACGAGTTCAAGTACATTCCCATCGTCTTGGTTTGTCCTCTGGTGTGCGTGAGCTTGAAGTCCGCTTTGGACCTCGGTATCAGCTCATATATGACTACCCCGTGTCAGCCAATTGATCTGGGCAATGGTATGCTACCAGCCCTGGAAGGCCGGTCGACGCCAATCACCACAGACAATTCACGCTCATTCGACATTCTTTTGGCGGAGGATAATGATGTGAACCAGCAGCTTGCGATGAAGATACTACAGAAGCACAACCACAACGTGTTCGTTGTTGGCAATGGCTTGGAAGCTGTCGAGGCCGTCAAGAAACGTCGATACGATGTCATTCTGATGGATGTTCAAATGCCAGTCATGGGTGGCTTTGAGGCCACCGGCAAGATCCGTGAATACGAAAGGGAGAGTGGACTTCAACGAACCCCAATCATCGCCCTTACTGCCCACGCCATGTTGGGTGACCGCGAGAAGTGTATCCAGGCTCAAATGGATGAATATCTGTCCAAGCCTCTCAAACAAAACCAGATGATGCAAACTATTCTCAAATGTGCCACGCTTGGTGGGTCGTTACTGGAGAAGAGCAAAGAATCCAGGATTTCGAGTAGCGGGGAAATGCATCCGAACTACTCAATGTCTGAGAATCAACAGCAGCAACAACCTCCTCAGCAGCGGTCAAAACAGCAACCCTTGCCATCCCCTCGCCCTCTGGTGGAATCCCGGTCTATCACAACCTCCGGTCCCATCGCCCGAGGGAGTGTGGTGAGTCCACATGAAGAGAAAGAACAGATGATCGATGAGCGGGTACGTTAGCTGTATGTTCGAGGTCGAATCTTCAAACCAGCCTGGCTAATGACTTTCTAGGCATTGCTGCGATCGAACAGTACATGAGTTTATCACATTTATTTCCACGCAGATGATTTTGATGCGACTATACCCTGTCTATATGAGTCCCATCTACCTTGTTCCACTTCATACCCACCTTCGTCTTTCCCGCTTCTGCTACGCTCCTCATCAACATCCCCACCCGCATTCGCTTTATCTCTCATATCGATTTCCCCTCTTAGGGGATGGTGTTTGGCGCATACGATGCTAGGACCTGGTTTTATTCTATATGGAAGAATGACCTAGTAGGGGAGTTTTCGCTTACCAGAGGGGCGCTTTGTTCTTTTCTTTTCCTTACCTCTTCTTCCATCCTTCTCTTTTCCGTTTTCATCACCTCTTGCTTTTCCTTTCACTCTCAACCTTAGCATTTTCGTGCTATTCACTCTTGTATTGTATTTAGTTATTTCGCTACTGGTCATAACAAGTGCGGCACAAGAATCCCGCTCAATTTCCGTGAGGCTTGTGTGTATTTCGGCCATGATTCTCCCCCAGTGGGTCTAGACGTGATTGTACCTGGATAGTGATCTCTTTCTTATATGTAGGTACCTAGAGAACAACATTCATTCAATTGAGAAAGCCCGAGTGGCAAAGATCAATACGTGCGCAGTCAAGAGTCCTGGAGTAGAGACTCATAGACCTGTGTGGCGTTTGATTTGCTACCTATAAGTTGTGAACTCGAGTTGAACCACTTCGTCACTGTGCTTAAAACATTGGCACCTCCGGGCTCGGTTGGTGGGTTGCCTTGGGTTGACCAATTGAATGACTCAATACCTATGTGCGAGAGAGATGTCACAATGACTTGAAGGGAATATCTGTTGGGGTCGTTTTCCAAGAATCTCATTATGGTCGCTGACCACTCTGGTCACTATATTGGCAACCTATGTAACATTTTGGGTCATTTCAAAGACATTTTTAGTAGCCCAAACAGCAGGGCTAACAGCCCACTGGATATGAGATATGATGAAAAAACATTGATTTGCTTTTTAAAACACCCAAGCATGCCCAACTCCGAAAATCTGCTTGTTGCAAGAACCGTGTCGTATCTGACGAAGCATTGAAAACAAAAGAAAGAAAAACAGATGCCCAGGGAAGATTTAGTCGATATCCATTTCCTCCTCGACTCCACCATCCACCAAAAGCTTGCTCTTCTGCTTTTGGCGGATCTTCTCCTGGCCGTGGACTCTGTTGGCGGCCTTGTTCTGCTCGAGCACCATGGGTTGACCCTCCTCGCGCTCGCGGAGTTCCTTGCGAATGAGGTGCTCGCCCTCGTTGACGACCTTGCGGTCTGCCTCGCGCTGGCGATCGCGGGCCAGTTTTCCGGCCAGGCGGCGTTTCGTGAAGACACGCTCGCGGCGGGCTCTGATCTCCTCGACTCTCTCCATGGCAGTGAGGGTGGCAGCGACCAAGTTGCGGTCGTACTTGACGGGGACGTTTCTCTTCTTGGCGAACTGGGACAGCAGAAGGGAGGAGTCCACAATCATCTCCTTTCCGTGAGCGGCACGGTGAGTCTTGGTCCACTTCAACTTGCGGGGCTGACGCTTCATCTTGAAGTTCTTGTGGCACTTTGACCGACAGAAGCGGAATTGTCGGGCATCGTTGCGGACGAATGTGATGCCCTTACTAGGGAAGGCCGGGCGGGAACAAAAGTGACAGGTTTCAACACTGCCAGAACGTTAGTATTGGAAGTTGTCGATAGAAAATATCAAAACTTACCGCATGGCTGTGGATTGGTGTTGGTTATGTCTTCGTTGTGTCGCAAGAAACTTTTTCTGTAGCTTCGGGCCTGAATGGTGGAGCAGACTACGCTAAACCCTTTCGGGACCACCCGCGCTGACTTTTCTATCCCGGCGCCTCCTCGTTCATTCCCCGGTCTAACTAACATCACCACTTATCAACAATATGGCTTCTCCTCTGGTTATTGGACTTGGTATTGCCACGACTGCCTTCCTGGTGAGTGGGGAAAGCCGTTGTGTCTGCGATATGAGACTAACTCTGTAACAGGGCCGCGCTGGTCTGGTCGCCTACCGTCGCTCCAAGGGAGGGTTGAGTGCCGCCGGAAAGGCATTTTACAAAGGGTTCGTCAAACACTCTGGTTCTTGATTGCTATATTGTGGGATATTGAAGACTAACGGTTGTGCTACAGAGGATTTGAACCCCGCATGAACCGCCGGGAAGCCTCCCTGATTCTGCAACTCTCGTATGTGCCGGTGATCAATTCCCGATGTGCCAAAACTGACAAAAACCTCTCAGTGAACGAACCTTGACCAAGGATAAGATCCGCAAGAATCACCGCCAGCTCATGCTGCTCAACCACCCCGATCGCGGTGGCAGTCCATACTTGGCCACCAAAATCAACGAAGCGAAGGAATTCCTCGACAAACATGTTTAAGACCGGTGCAATGCGATTTCGACTTCATTCATTCCCAGCTATCGCAGTCCGGCGATGAGGGGAATGTGAAACTTATCTCGACATTGAGCATCTGGTCATCATATTTTGGGCAACATAGCGTGGCGTTGGTTTGGCATTTTACCAGGTCGGAGGAACAGAACTGCTCCTACCCACCTTGTTGTATTATATGCACTGTTTTTACATATCCCTGAGATCGCCGCTCTTCTTTGAATGTACTTCTACTGTACTTCTACTGTACTTCTACTCCTTCCATTCTACGTCTCCAGTTGTACTCTAGAACCGGTCATCACCGATATCGTTCTCATGTTGGGACTTCTCTTGAAGCATCCATCTGCTTAACTTGTGTAAAACCGAGCACAGCGAGGCCCTGGACAACCTTATGTACTGCGTAGACTTGCTGAGGTCAAGTGGGGTTATAATGCCCTGTGACAACATTGAAGGCACAGACGCTGTCCTACCCCACCACGTAGCATACCAACAAGTTTGCAACTATAAAGAGGAAAATGCGGTGAATAACTAGGAGTAGAACGATATTTCCTTCGCCAAGGCCTAGAAAATCAGGGGAACAGAGGGAAGGTCAAGTGGTCAACCCCCCTGTTTCTCCGGATCGGACGAGTTCGACCGATTGAATTTTGGCTCGGCGGTCGGGTATCGGGGGTTCCGTCATGCCACTAAATAATCTTCAAGGCAGCAAAGACTCATACATAGCTTTCACTGTTCACATATTCTCGATATCATACGCCCATCTACGTCCTTCTTTCTACCTTACGTACTAGGAGTCTCCGACCTTTGAATGATCCTCATGATCCACTAAATCTTGAGAGAGAGAGCCGATCCTTTCATGCGTCAATCATTCCCATAATCTTCGGAGCCCTCACGGACCTCTCTTCTTTCACAGCGGGAAAAGTACTGTTTGCCGAGGACGCATATCCCCCGCATCGTCCACTACTTGATATCACCGTTACTTCCAATCCGCTCAGTATCCGTTGCCCCTCAGACGAGCAATGGACGGCTTGGGGGACGGCGACGGCTTAGGCTTTGATCCGCCCACGATGATGAACCAAACCCCACAACTCTACGGCTATGATAACCCTCAAATGCAAGCGGGATCTATGTACGATGATTCGTCAATGGGCGCCGGGGACGAGACCAACGATGCGAAGCGGCGGAGGATCGCAAGGGTAATCGTTATTTCCCCATATATGTTGAGAGTGCATCTAACCAAGAGCTAGGCGTGCGATATGTGCCGGAAGAAGAAGATCAAATGCGATGGTAAAATGCCGAAATGTTCACATTGCATCAACTACAAGACGGAATGCATCTTTACCCAAGTGGAGAAGAAGCGGAATCCCCCCAAAGGGTACGTGCTATGTGTATACTTGATTGCATACTGAGTCCTTGATCTGACCCTGAAGTTTCTGTACAGAGCGAAATATATCGAAGGCCTCGAAAACCGCCTAGGGCGCATGGAGTCGCTGTTGCGTTTGTCGGGTCTGTTGTCAGAGGATGATGGCGGCAAGACAGATCTTGGGACATTAGAGAAACGGCTCGCCGATCGTTCAAATGCCTTGAATGCAGCGAAAACCCCGAATAGATCCGTGGCTCAAGTAGCCCAACAAGCCCCCAGCTCTCATCAAACCACGCCTCGTATGGACTCCATCTCCAGCCCTCAAACGGCCGCTACATCACCGGAATCACAAAAGTCGGAGACTGAGGTTGAGGCACTGTCGGATATGATGTGCTCTCTAGTGACAAATAACTGCGGCGAGACCCGGTATATTGGTATGTCATTATAGCAATCGTTCGGGGGGCACGTATATTGATTCATCGCAGGATCATCATCGGGATTCTCCATATTCTCTCCAAAGGGTATCCAATGGGTCAATGAGAAAACCGGCGATACTTCCTTCCAGGATATGATCTCGTCAGCCTACGTGGATGACAATAAATGGATGTACTGGAAGCCCGAGATCTTCAGCGATATCTTCGCAAGGCGCGTGTTCAAGCCTCTTCCGCCGAAGGAGGAAGCTCTTTCTCTCTTCAAGGACTTCTTCGAGAACTTCAATTGCGTGTTTCCACTTTTCCACGAAGCGACGTTTATGCACTTGGTGGAGCGGCAATACTCGCGTGATCCATATGAGGGCTCGGGCTGGTGGGCAAGTATCAATGTTGCCTTGGCCATTTCCCACAGACTTCGGGTCATGAGCAACTTGGTGCCACACGAAGAAGACAAAAAAGCATGGCTTTATCTGAAGAATGCCATGGGTGTTCTAACCGAACTCACCATGCGTAATACTGATCTCTTGAGCGTGCAAGCGCTATTGGGCATGGTAATGTGGTCTTCCTCTATATTCGAGGGCATACTTCTTACCTACACTTCTAGTCTCTTTTCCTTCAAGGAACCCCTAACCCACAACCTGCTTTCTTCCTAGTCGCTGCCGCCATTCGACTCTCCCACAGTATTGGGTTACATAAACGTGGTTCTGGCTTTGGTCTTAACCCTGCAGAAGTTGAGCAACGGAAGAGAGTCTTCTGGATCGCCTATCTTCTTGACAAAGAGTATGATACGCGCCCAAACGTCTACGTACCCCTCTTTCACTGATACTGACCAAATTCTTAGCATCTGTCTACGTTCTGGTCGACCACCAGTACAAGATGATGATGATATGAACGTCGAGTTACCAAGCGAGGACCCGCCAGATAACGTTGGAAATGTGCCCCTATCCGACGGTAAAAGCCAGTTCAACCTCTTCCGCTCGTTGTGTGAGTTCGCTACCATCGAAAGCCGGGTATATAAGCGACTCTACTCCGCCAAAGCATCGAAACAATCTGATGGTGAACTGCTCAATACCATTGGCGAGCTCGATAAGGAGTTGGAAGACTGGAAAGACAGCATTCCTATTGACTTCCGGCCCGAACATGAAATTCAAGCTACCCACACCCCCTCATCATCCACGTTGTTGTCCTACATTTCGCCTACTACAATTGCTTAACCACCATTCATCGCATGTCAGTTCACCATGGTTATTGGACCAGTCGATTGTCCAACTATGCCATTCAGGGATTGAATGCGCGGCCGTTGAACCCAAGGGTTTTCTTGTCGGCAGTCCTGTGCGTCACCGCCGCCAGAGCATCGATTAATTTGATCAAGTATATCCCGCAAGGTGACTTTGCTTGTGTTTGGTACGTCTGAGAAAATCGTAAGAATGAGTGGTTGCTGACTTTAGCAGGCTGATCCTATACTACCCGGTGTCTGCCCTTGTCACTCTGTTCGCCAATATCCTTCAGAACCCGAACGATGCTCGTGCTCGGTCCGATGTCAAATTAATGAACGTGGTGGTCAACTTCCTGTCTACCTTAGTTTCGGATGAATCCAATGGCAGCATCAAGCGCATGCTAGGCCTCTGTGGCGAGTTCGAGAGAATCGCCAAAGTGGTCTTGGACAAAGCCGAAAAAGAGTCCCATTCGCGAAAGAAACGCAAGAATGCCGACGACTCTACAGCCGCGGCCGATGAACAATCGACAGCCTCGCCCTCCGCAAAACGTACACAAGTACCGCCCACCTCCGCATCCTTCTCCTCCTCCATCTTCACAGACCCTACGACCACAGCCCCTCCGCCCGACACGGAAACACCATATCCGGCAACTGCAATGCCTCCAACCAGCGGCATTTCTGCTGATCTTCCAAGCAATATTCATGCTATGTCTGGCATCGGGCAGGAGTTCTCAGACATGCTGAGTCCTGATCAAATGGCTAATGTTGGTTTCCCCGACCAACCTCCATTCAGCACTGCTAGTCCCGGCATGGTGCCATTCCAGCAGCCATTTGTTCCACAGGATCTTTGGCAGATGCCAATGACGATTGAATGGGATTGGGCGGACATGTCCACGAACTTCCCTCCTTTTGAAGGAGCTGGTCCTGGTGGCCTGCAGTGATCATAACCGTGCTAAGGGCCAGGATCACGTTTCTAATCTTTTATGCGGCTCATTGAAAGAGACCACTTGCCCACGGTCTTAATGTCCTTCTAATGAACCATCTCTACACATGTATATTAAACGCTGTTGTTTTGAAACTCGTCCTGAGGTCTCTAGTATGATGGCCGGGATGATTATGAGTTCCATGCAGCGAATGGCGCAAAGGCGGGGCCTTTTCTAGGCATATGTACAGACCAGTCTCCAACTGAATCCAATCCACTCTGAAAATAATCAGTCAATTAGTTATCGGAGTAAACCACGGCGTTAAGATTCAAGAGCACTCTCGGCTTTAAGCCCATTTTCCACTTGGCGCAGGCTTCTGATGACTCAGCCGGATCGGCGAAAATTTGGAACCGACTGGAACCACAAGGCGTCACCACCGGGCTGGGACGCATTGGAGCCTCTCACTTCACAGCTCAATTCCGCTCCTCCCCCCTCACGTTTAATTTTGATGGATTGAGGATTCATCCGTCAATTTTAAACTCGATTGATCACCCTTTAGCCCCCGCCCTCGCAGCCCTCGGGGCTTCCATTCCCCGACTATGGCTACATTACTCCGACGGCCAGGCAATCTTGCTCGCTACTCGAAGAAGGCCGCAGAATGCACCGGTCGCACGGGACTGGCTCCCCTGCGTGTGCAACCGTCCAGGCTTTCATACTTGGTACTATCACACCGCGCGAGAACCTACTCCACGCAGGGTCCGACACCACCCGACAATAACAATCGGAACAACTCGTCAGACGGCGGCAACAATGACAAGCAAACGAAGCACACTAAGTCGGCTCTGACCGAGTCTGAACTGAGAAGGGTGGATGAATGGCTAGAGGGTATGGACGTGGTGCGGCGTACCCAGATTCGGGAGTACCTCATGACCAACGGGCTTCCACCAGAGGTCAGGCTGCACCTCGATCCGGACCACCCACCGACCCTGATGGACCGGATCAGGATGATGCGATTCTTGTGGACGGTCACAACTTCCGACGCTGCATTGGAGGCGCTTCGAAAGCATGACGAAGAGCAGGCAAGCGCAAAGCGCGGCTTCTCGGACACGCGGACTCCCGAAGAGAAACGCCGTGACGAAGAAGCCAGCGTTCATTTCAATAAGGAGTCGGAGCAGAAGCCGCAGGGCCAGCAATCGCCGAAGGAGGGCCAGCAACAACCCAGCACAGAACCACCACGGGATCCCAAACAAGGCAAGGATCCTAAAGATGAAAAGGATTCCTCGCAAAAGCAAGATCCTAATAAGGACAAGAATAAGAAGCAACAGGACGGCAAGAAGGGCGGCAAGGTTCCCCCGAACATGGGCAAAGTCTTGGAGTTCCGCTTCGACCCCATCTCGTTCGCCATAACCTCCCTCGTTACATACTACGTCTACCGCAGCGTCTTCCCCGGCGAAACTGGGGGCAGGGAAATCACTTGGCAAGAATTCCGGGCTAACTACCTGGAGAAGGGCCTCGTGGAGAGATTGACTGTAATCAACAGCAACAGGGTTCGGGTTGATCTTAACCGCGAAGCTGCAGCCCAAGTGTACCCTGACTCAAATGGCCAGCCTGCCTCATATGTCTACTTCAGTATCGGTTCCGTCGATAGCTTCGAGATGAAGCTCGAGGCCGCTCAGTATGAACTGGAGATTCCATCGCATGAACGTATTCCTGTCGCCTACCACGATGAAACCCCATGGGGTAGCGTTTTGATGTCATTGGCTCCTACCCTCCTCTTCCTTGGTGGTGTTTTCTGGATGTCGCGGCGTGCCGGTGGCGGCGCCGGTGGCCAGAGCGGAATCTTTGGTATTGGAAAGAGTCGTGCCAAGCGCTTCAACCACGAGACCGATATCAAGACCAAGTTCGCTGACGTTGCGGGCATGGACGAAGCCAAGGTCGAGATCATGGAATTCGTCAGCTTCCTCAAGCAGCCCGAGCGCTTCGAGAAGCTGGGTGCAAAGATCCCCCGTGGTGCTATTCTCTCAGGACCCCCAGGCACCGGTAAGACACTGCTTGCCAAGGCCACTGCCGGTGAATCCGGCGTGCCCTTCTACAGTGTCAGTGGTTCCGAGTTCGTCGAAATGTTTGTTGGTGTTGGTCCCTCTCGTGTCCGTGATCTGTTCGCCAATGCCCGGAAGAACACTCCCTGCATTATCTTCATTGATGAAATTGATGCAATTGGAAAATCCCGTTCGAAGTCAAACGTCGGTGGGGGAAACGATGAGCGTGAAAGCACTCTCAACCAGATTCTCACCGAAATGGATGGCTTCAACACTTCTGACCAGGTGGTTGTCCTCGCCGGTACCAACCGACCGGATGTTCTCGACAAGGCCCTCATGCGTCCCGGACGTTTTGATCGACACATCTCCATTGACCGACCTACCATGGACGGTCGCAAGCAGATTTTCCGTGTTTACTTGAAGAAGATCGTCACAGACGAGAACCTTGAGTACATGGAGGGCCGACTCGCCGCTCTGACTCCTGGTTTTGCTGGTGCTGATATTGCCAACTGTGTCAACGAGGCAGCTCTTGTTGGTAAGTTCTCACACATAACCTCCCTATGATCGTATGAATGCTAACGCTCCTGCCTCTAGCTGCCCGTGGCAACGCAGACAAGGTCGTGATGAAACACTTCGAGCAGGCTATTGAACGAGTGATTGGTGGATTGGAGAAGAAGTCCCTTGTTCTCTCCCCCGAGGAGAAGCGGACCGTTGCCTACCACGAGGCTGGCCACGCTATCTGCGGATGGTACTTCAAGTGGGCTGACCCATTGCTGAAGGTGTCCATCATCCCCCGCGGACAAGGTGCATTGGGTTATGCGCAATACCTCCCCGCCGGTGGTGACACCTACCTGATGAACGTCAACCAGATGATGGACCGCATGGCTATGACTCTTGGTGGTCGTGTCAGCGAGGAATTGCACTTCGACACTGTGACCAGCGGTGCCAGTGACGATTTTAACAAGGTCACTCGCATGGCTACTGCCATGGTCACGAAGTTCGGCATGTCCTCCAAACTCGGCTACATCTACTACGAGGACGACTCTCAGCAGCAGCTCCACAAGCCCTTCTCCGAGGCTACTGCCCACTCCATTGACATGGAGGTGCGCCGTATCATCGACGAAGCCCACAAGCAGTGCCGTGATCTCCTGACCGAGAAGAAGAAGGAGCTTGGTATCGTCGCCGAGGAACTCTTGTCTAAGGAGGTCCTGGGACGTGATGATCTTATCCGTCTCCTTGGCCCGCGTCCTTACCCCGAGTCTGGCGAGTTCGCCAAGTACTTCGACGGTAAGGGCGGCAAGACCATTGCGCCCCCCGACACCCAGAGCCCCGAAGAAACCACTGGCAAGGATGGCCGGGACGAGACACCTATTCCCCCTTCATAGATTCGGGGGTCTGGTGTTCTCCTCTGCTTTTGTCCATTTGGTTGTTTCAGCTTTGGGTAACATGATATCACTGTACCCTCTCTTCTGTTTGTATTTATCGATTGCATCTCCCTTTTTCTCTCCTCTCTCATCTTCTCTTTTCCCCTACCCTCGTCTACAGCACCTTTCTACCTTCCCGCCTGTCGTGCAATAAGAAGACTGTTTCTTTTTATTTCTTCTTTTTCTCTTCTATTTGTCCCCTCTGTCCATCTCCATGGCCCGTCGGGTATGCACAACTTGTACTAGATGTATAATAGGGAGTTATCTCGAAATGTGTCCTGGATCAGAAGGACTTCCAAGTATCTACCTTGTAATATGTAAGAGCCGTCTATTGGCATAGCTTTGAGTGAAGAAACGAGAGAATATCCGCAATCGCTAGCCGTTTGATTCACCACTAGGTATAGCCGGCAAGCGATCTTTGTGGTCTACATGTACGTAGCAAGCAAACATCCATGTCACTCACGGGCTCTAGCGCGTCTGCTAGTGAGCGACAGCCAAGGTACCCATCACCCAAGGGCGTCGACGCGTCTGCTAGTGAGCGACAGTCGATGTACTCAGCACCGCAGCAAGTTGGACCCGATGCTGACTCCCCATACACCGATGCCGACAAGTACATCGATTGTCGCTCACTAGCAGACGCGTCGACCCCCTTGGGTGAGCATGTGACTCTCAATTCAAAACGGTCAAAGGGCACTTCGTTGGGAATAATGCGAAATGGTCAGAGTAAGGCTCATTAAAATAGTATAAAAAATAGCGAAAAAGAATCCACCCATCTGATATAGCTTCTAGCTCTTTTCTTCAGCTTCGACATCAACCCACACCTTAATTGCTCTTCTTGCTAGCCTTTGTCTTCTTAGCCTTGACAGACAGGCGAGGGATAAACCTGCCAACACGAGCCTGGTAGTCGCTGTACTCAGGATACTTGGCAGCACTGATACTCTCAGTCAGACGGGTGCTTCCCTGGAAGATAGCGAGATATCCCAAAGCGCCAAGGCCGGCCCAGTTGTAGTAAGTCTGGGTGCGGTAGCAGGACCACAGGTACAGGGTCACCCAAACGGCCTGCTCGGCGACAAAGTTGGGGTGGCGGGACCAGGACCAGAGGCCACTGACAACGAAGCCACGGTCGAGATCTTCGGCGGAATATTGGTCCTTGTGGGCCTCGGAAATGCGCGCGTTGTTCAGGTATTCCTTCTTAGCATTCTGGAAGTTCCACTGTTGTCCGTCGGCGAAGAACTCAATGATAATGAAGAAGATGATAGCGCGGGAGAAAGCCAAGTCCGGAAGGCCGAATGTCTCTGCTCCCTGGTTGTATGCGGTGACCAGGAAAATGTAGGTCGGGGCAGTGATGAGAAGAAGCAGCAGCGACTGAGCCACTGCAATGAAGCCAAGATTGAAGATCATGAAGACGAAGCCATTGTTCACTTTGGAGCGAACAATCTCCCAGCGGTAATCTTCTGAGCCAATCGAATATCCTCCTTTGCGCCAGTAGTTGAAAGTCAAGCGAACCTATTGCGACATTCCACTTAGCGCATGCACAGGGTCGCACGGTGAATCTAACTTACACTCCAAATAACACTGACAACAGCGATTGTATCCAAAGTATGGGTTTGAATGCCGGATAAACGAGCCCAGACGGCAAAATGAACGTTGTACACTGCGGGCAGAATGCTCCAAAAGCGGTCCACTTGCGAGTAGTTTCGGTTGATCTCAGCGGCGATGAAGAATAAACCGGCCAGAACACTAGCGAAGGCAAGCGCAAGGACGAAGGGGTTGGTGGCAAGATAAACAGCTCGCAAGCTATAAACATCAAGACCAGCTTCGCGCAAGCTGTCGGGCAGCCATCGCAGCTGGGATAAGTAGGGAAGAACGGTAAGATGGAAGGAGGTCGCGTCCACAAGGGACTCGACGCGGGGAAGAGGTAAGTATGCCATCTGTAAAATACGACACAAGCCACCGGAGAAAAAGAGCGAGATTAAGAGTGGCTGCTAGTTAAGGTGGAGGTCGAAGCTTTGTGATGTTGTGTCGATTACCTCATCGGGAATAGTTTACCCGCTGGGTGCCTCAGGCGTCACTGCGCGTCTCAAGCATCTCGTTCGCGTCTGAATTATCCAGAAGAAGATGTGATCGACATATCAGGACATCCCCATCACCATGAATCCCATGTGATTCGAGGAGCTCATCATGGCTCGCAAGATCCTGTGTGTGGCTGAGAAGCCTGCCATTGCTCGCGCAGTGGCCACTCACCTGTCCGGCGGTTCTTTTCAGACAGTACGTTTCTTATAGAGGACCAGGTACTCATGAAAAGCTAACGAAAATCCATAGCATGCAATCCGTGGGAATCAGTATGTGAAGAACTATGAATTTGATTTCAATTTCGGTGGTGCCTGGGGCAATTGCTCGGTCACCATGACCAGCGTAGTGGGCCATCTCACTGGCCTGGACTTTGACCGCCAGTACAGAGGATGGATGTCCTGTCCGCCGGGAATGCTCTTCGAGGCCCCTGTGCAGGAAACAGTTGACCAGGTAGGGAGACTGACGAGCTGTTTCGACTACATACTAATACTCTTAATAGGACAAGCTACCAATCGCCGATAATATTCGGAACCAAGCAAAATACGCCAAAGCTTTGTTTATCTGGACTGATTGTGATCGTGAAGGCGAGCACATTGGTTCCGAGGTCCGCAATCAGGCAAAAGCAGGGAATGCGCGAATCGAAGTCAAGCGAGCTAAGTTCAGTAACACGGAAAGCGCGTAGGTCATGTTGATATTCTGTGTGTGATCGGAACTAACGAGAGGTAGACATGTCCGTCGGGCTGCTTTGGAACCAGTGAACCTCGACGAGTATCAGGCCAATGCTGTAGCTGCAAGAATCGAGCTGGATCTTCGGATCGGTGCTGCATTCACTCGCCTTCAGACCCTACAGCTACAAACAGTGGTGGCAGCCTTGAAAGAGAAAGTCATCAGCTATGGTAAGTCCATCGGGTCATAGCCATACCAAGAAGTGAACAAGCTAAAAACTTAGGATCCTGCCAATTCCCCACCTTGGGATTTGTTGTTGACCGATACTTGAGAGTCAAGAATTTCAAACCAGAAACATTTTGGGGCATCAAGGTTATATTGAACCGTGAGGGCAAGAAAGTCAACTTTCTTTGGAGACGGGTACATCTCTTCGATCGAGCAGTTGTGACGATGATGTTAGAGCGATGTTTGACTGCAAAACAAGCCAAAGTCACAAAAGTGAATCAGAAGCCTACAAGCAAATGGCGGCCGCTGCCTTTGACCACGGTAGATTTACAGATGATGGGCAGTCGATTCCTTCGTTTGGACAGTCAGACCATCATGAAAGTAAGAAAAATTACTGTCTGGTCAGACACTAGCTGACAAGCTCAAAGGTAGCAGAAGGACTCTATACCAAAGGATTCATCAGTTATCCTAGAACAGAGACAGATCAGTTTGACAAAGCAATCGACCTCAAGAAACTGATCGAAAAACAATATCCCGACAATGCATGGGGTCAATACGCCCGAGAGTGAGCTTATCAGACCGGCCTGTCATTGTCCTATATGCTGACGAAGGTCCAGACTCATTGACGGTAAATTCCGGACTCCTCGATCCGGCCGCCACAACGACAAGGCCCATCCACCCATTCATCCAGTCAGCTGGGTTTCACCTAATCAATTGAATTCCAATGAAAAAAAAGTCTACGAATTCGTTGTCCGCCGATTCCTCGCCTGCTGTTCTGAAGATGCGAAGGGCAAGAGTACAGAGATTGAGATCCAATATGGCGAGGAGTTCTTCCACGCCAATGGTCTCATCGTGCTGGAGAGAAACTATTTGGATGTATACGTCTACGACAAGTGGGAAAGCAGCCAGCAACTTCCAAACTTCGAACTAGGGGAGTCATTCGAGCCCACAGAGGCTAATATCTTTGAAGGCAAGACAACCGCTCCAAACTATCTGACCGAGCCCGAGCTGATCGGTCTGATGGACGCCAACGGGATTGGTACGGATGCCACAATGGCAGAACATATTGCCAAGATCAAAGAACGTGAATACGTCGCCACAAACCAACGGGGCAGTGGCCGCACCTCGGTGCAAGAACTCATCCCGACTCGCTTGGGCGTTGCCCTTGTGGAGGGATATGACAACGTCGTTACCGGTCTACCTAATAGTGTGTCCCTCAGCAAGCCGTTCCTCCGCAAAGAAATGGAATTGCGAATGCTTGAGATCTGCTCGGGCACGAAGACACGACAGGAGGTCGTTCAGCAGAGTCTGGATATGTACCGAGAAGTCTTCATTCATACACAAAGACGCATCAATATGCTGAAAGATGCCTGTCGCAAATATCTAGTTGAAAGCGCCACGTCATGAACTCGAAAATTTTATCCAGGTACTCTCTACAGACACAAATCAAATCTTCAACTGATGATACATTATACTTGAATCGCTAAAAGTAACTGAAAGCACATCTCGAAGCCTATATGCAGAGGAAAAACAGAATGAACATTTTCAAAGCCCGGGCAGTGTGACCATTGCCCCAAGCTGGACCTCCTTCTCCACCTCATCATATGCCTCGACCCGAACGCTCAAGGCTGCGGATGCTTCCCCTTCCACCTGTGGCTGATGCTGACCCTCCTGTCGGTATTGGGGGTTTGAGGCCCAGAGGACCGGCCGTTGGAGTTGGGCCGGCCGTTGGAGCTGGGCCCGCCGCTGGAGTTGGGCCGGCCGTTGGAGCTGGGCTCGCCGCTGGAGTTGGGCCGGCTGTTGGAGCTGGGCCCGCCGTTGGAGCTGGGCTCGCCGCTGGAGTTGGGCCGGCTGTTGAAGCTGGGCCGGCCGTTGGAGCTGGGCCCGCCGCTGGAGTTGGGCCGGCCGTTGGAGCTGGGCCCGCCGTTGGGGTTGGCTTCGGATGCAGCGTCATCCATGGTCTTTGCGATTAAAAGGTTTAGCCAGGCCAGTTGCTTTGGAATCTGATCGATTTTCTCAGTATTTTTCATCAAGCGCTCATGCGTTTCACTAACCTCGTCGAGTTTGCTTCTTAAGCTCTCCTGTGTTTCACTGACCTGGTCGAGTTTGCTCTCGATCACAACCATGCTCGAGTTGTACTTCTCTTCCATCACGCCCATTACATGGACCAGGCACCGTTGCATATCGGTCGTACATGACCGAATGGTGTGCTCCAGCCAAATGATGACGGGGCGAAACTCGTCGATCTGTCTTTGCAAGTCTCCAAGCCCGAGCCCGATGTTCATCATCTGCTTGTGAATCCCGAAGTGCAGGTCTTCGACGTATTGGTTGGTGCTCTTCGCTGTCGCGTAGTTGAAGAACTGCATCATCAGATTGAAGACGAGAAGAGCCATCAGCATGACGAAAAAGAACATGTTTGTCAAGGATTCTTGGTACGATTCGACCTGCGGATAACGCTCCATGGTGGAGTGTTCGTCCACGTAGATGTACGTGGGTTCTGCGGTGGGACTGGGTGAGAGGGTTGCGGAAGTGACCCCTGGGATGTTGCTGTACTCCGAACCTGCCTCGATCGATCTCTCCAGGGCTAGCCTGGCGTTCTCGTATTCTTCGAGGCTGGTGGAGTACTGCAGGAACACGTCTCTGTTGGAGACGGCATCATCCTCGGGGAAGACGTATGGGTGGACCTTGCGGAGGCTGTGGATGGACCACACGATCTCGAGAGAGCTGAGACTGCGCCACCATACCTTGTTGGTGGGAGTGATCCCAGTGAGAGGGATGGATTGGTAAAGGCCAATCCCGTTGAGGGTGGCAAAGAAAGCTCCAAGGACAAACTTGTCCAACATCTTGGAAGTAGAGATGTAAGAGTGAGTAATGTTGTGAGTAAAGGTCTTAAAGATGAAAGATAAGGTGAAAAAGGTTCTGAGGAGATCTCCATCGTTCTCGATGGACGTGAGGACTTTATATGGAATACCTTGAAGTTGACAATATTTGAAACAATGAAGACAAGGCAGGTCTTTGTTCGAATTGCCTCCATTGGCAAATAGACCCATCTACCCAAACTTGAATAACATAGATGGGCCTCCATTGTCTATTTGTTTCATCGTGGATGCCGACATTGATCGTTTGTCATTGCATAAAGAGCTTAGAGGAAAGATCCTTGCCTGCTTCCATTAGGTTTCTAACTTTAGATAACTTTAGATAAGCCTCGCTTCAGCTTATTCTCCCTTCGGATTATTGACATCAACAGGAGCTCAGACGGGGAGACCATATTGGTATAGATTATAGAAATTCGGATGTCTACCTATAGTCTCAATCAGACCCAATAGGGTATCTCCGAAATATGACAAAGAGCAACACGCAAACCACATCAGACAAAGGGAACAAAGAGATGTAGACAAATAGCATAATTTAGTACTCTCTGATACTAGTTAACGGGTTGGTGCAGGAGATAGCCATCTACAACGCTCACCTGAGTCAACCCATGGGGAACTTACATCGTAGGTTCAAGAACAGAAGACCCAAACTGGGCCGCAGCAGGCCCGGCGAGAGATAGGTAGCACCCAACACTTCGAGCATGTATATACCTGTAATGTTTAAATTATATACAAAGAGTGAACAGGACACGTCCACAGTACCTTTCTAAATAAGATATCTACAAAAATCTTCTGTCCTGTTATCAGTATCCTTCCCGCCAACTGGCAAGCCTCCAGCCAACTGGCATGGAAGACTAAGGTATCCCGGCGGCAGAAGTACTCGTAGGTAAGCGGTGAAAGGGAGCCGAATGAGCGGAAACTGAGCCGAGCCATCCACGAGAGAATACAACAAAGTCCAAATACTATTGTCAGTAACGTATTGAGGTTCTAGTAGATGCTCTATTTTTCTCATATGCTGGAATAGCAGTAGCAACTCATAGAGAGCTCAAAGCTGAGAGATATGATTACAGAATACTTGGCTATGTGTAGCTACATAAAGTTCTAAGGCAGAACGGGAGGCGTTAGCTTAACTAGTGGAGGCTGTGGAGCAAGCCACTTCATTGACATTCTAGTATCTGGTGTCTACGCTGGTGGTGTACTTTAGCTTATTCCAAGCACACCAATACCCCTGGTCTCTTGTAAGTTGTCTCTATTTGACAGATGAGTCAATGACAATATCCTACAAGCATTCGCATGAAGGTCCACTCATTACTCATGAGTCATGACCCACCAGGTTATGCCCTCCCCCCATGGGGTATCCCCGCGTTAGGATTAGCCGATCATACCTAATGGAAGGATGCGGCTTTCCACCGTGCGCCTCTACCCTGCTCCCTTCGGTTCATTCGGCAATTCTCCAGCCAATGGTTCAAAGGGCTTTCGAGTCCAATATTGCCCTAGTTCCCCTTTTGGATCGATGGCGCGCTGCTGCTGTCGATCATGTTACGTGAGTGGCACCCCCTATACCTCTAAGCGGCTGAAACCGCTTAGTGCTTCCCGGGTTTCTTGCTGGTTGGACCACTTTAGCGTGTCGCCTGGTTGGGACCGAGAGGCTCTCTCAATTTACAAAAGCGAGCCATGCCCCCTCAGTCGGAGTCAATCCCCAGAGAGCTTTGAAGATCTTCACTATCGCCCTAAACAACCGTGCAGTGCTCACTCCCCGACGAAATCTTCTTTCTATTTAGAAACGCATATATCAAAGCAAGATGAGGGAGAAAGAATCCACGGAAAAGGTCGAGCAGGATGACGGCGCGCTTCCAACCGCTGTTCATAAGGAAGTTAAGACAGACATTGAGGACCATTCTCGTGGCAAGCTCAGTGCCGTCTTTGAGAACCCTCTCGCGGGGATTCCTCGTCAGCAACTCTTTAAAGATGTTGAAGCTTTCTGCAGCAAACATGATTTAATGGAGCACGTCGAGACCTTTAAAAAAGGTGCTCTCATTTCGCAAAACCCGGCTTCGGCAACCAGCCTCCCAGAGTTGTCGGGTGACGAGAAAGAGGCGCTTGAGCGTGAACACACGCACAAATGGTCCCAGCCATGGCAGCTATATTTCTTAGCATGTATGTCCCATTAGAAGGAACCACTAGTCCATGCTAACTTTGTTCGAGCAATGTGCTCTGTCGCTGCGGCTGTTCAGGGTATGGATGAAACTGTCAATAACGGTGCCCAGGCTATCTACTTTGCTGAAGATGTATGTTTCCTATTTCCCCTGTACAGTTTCTGGCGACTCATAGTTTTAGCAACTTAACATTACATCCAAAAATATTCAAGGTCTCGTTGTTGGTGCCCCATACTTGGCTTGCGCGATTATTGGCTGCTGGCTCACTGAGCCTTTGAACCGTCTCTGTGCTCGCCGTGGTACTATCTTCATCTCATGCCTGATTGCAGCTGTTGCCTCCGTATGGGAAGGTGTTGCGAATACCTGGGTCAACCTTTTCATCGCGCGCTTTGTCCTTGGCCTTGGCATTGGCGCAAAATCTAGCACAGTCTCTGTATACGTTGCGGGTAAGTGACATGGCTTGCTTGATCAGTCTTATCGCTAATTTGATAGAGTGCTCCCCCGCTCCAATCCGCGGTGCTCTAGTCATGATGTGGCAGATGTGGACGGCATTTGGTATCATGCTCGGCAACATAATGGGTGTGGCTTTCATGAGCCTAGACCGCGACCTCAGCTGGCGTCTCATGCTAGGATCCACCGTCGTACTACCCCTTGTGGTCTGCGCTCAAGTCTACTTCTGCCCTGAATCTCCAAGGTGGCTGATCCAGCACGGCAAGGTCAAACAGGCCTATACCAACTTCCGCCTCCTACGTCCCACGGACATCCAAGCTGCAAGGGATCTGTATTATGCACATGTGGGCGTGGAGCTTGAACGAAAGGTCAATAAGGGCAAGAACTTCTTTACAATGTTCCTCGAGCTCTTTACCGTCCCCCGCAATCGACGTGCCACACTCGCCAGTTGGATCGTGATGTTCATGCAGCAATTCTGTGGAGTCAATGTCATCGCGTACTACTCTACCTCCGTCTTCACCGAAGCCAGCTACAGCCTGACCAGTGCGCTACTGGCATCCATGGGCACCGGTATTCTGAACTGGGTCTTTGCCCTCCCAGCTTTCTTCACAATCGATACCTGGGGTCGTCGGAACCTGCTACTGTTCACTTTCCCCTTCCTCGCGATCACTTTGCTCTGGACTGGCTTTTCCTTCTGGATCGAAGAAGGTAATGAGACCAGCATAAAAAGGGTTGCAATGGTTACGACGGGCATGTACCTGTTCGAGATATTCTACTCTCCTGGAGAAGGACCCGTCCCATTTGCGTACTCTGCCGAATGTTTCCCACTCCAAGTCCGTGATGTTGGCATGTCGTGGGCTACGGCAACTACTTGGTGCTTCAACTTCATTTTATCTTTTACTTGGCCTTCCCTGGTCGAGTCTTTTAAACCACAAGGTGCTTTCGCTTGGTATGCGGCTTGGTGTGTCATCGGCTGGTTCTTGGTGCTGTTGTTCGTACCTGAAACTAAGTGTAAGCTTCTTCATTCCATCTGAGATTGATAGTGCTGAGTCTGACTGGCTGTCTTTAGCTCTTACTTTGGAGGAGCTGGATCAGATATTTTCCGTCTCGACCCGCAAGCATGCCTCATACCAGATTAAAAATGCTGCGTGGCACTTCCGCGTCTGGGTACTCCGTCAGAAGCTGGAGCCGCTGCCAGAGTTCTATCAGGGCGTCGAGCGACTTGCGGAAGTAGGCAATGCAGCTTTTACCACAGCGGGGAAAGGAGAAAAGGTACATGATAAGGCCAGTGACTGATGTAGGAGACAAGATAAGCTCTTGTTCCCTCAAGTACAGAGCGGGGTATTTCGTACAATTAGGGCCCATGGGTGTGACTACCAGTCCTTCGGCTAGTCGCTTTGGAAAACACTTCCGCCGCGAGATGAAGTTATGTGACGATTGGAGTGTCATATGTTCATATGTATCATGTTGTTTCAGTCTTGATATCGAAGAGAAGAGAGAAACCTATAAACTATGTGCAAAATGGCTATATAGGTTTGTACACCGCACCTTTTATCGAGTATTGCCGTTGACTCTCGATGCCACATTACTCAAGTCTCTTGCTCAGCACAGCACCGTACCAGACAGTAGCAACCAAGCTGACCAGATTGACCAAGCTTGAGATACCATGCACACGGCCGAACTTCTTGTTCAAGGCGAGCATCTCCTTGGAATGAGGCGCCGGGTCATAGCTCCTCTTTCCATCACGGGTTTCTGCAAGAGTTAGAATAAATAAGATAATGTCTTACAAAGAGATCAACTGTTATCTCACGCACCTTGGTGCTTGCGCTCGCGCATCACATTAGCGGTGATAGGAAGCAGCACGAACATATTCACCAGTCCCGTCACTGCCACAGTTGCCAGGGGCAGGAGGGTGTTCATGCGGTTCTCCGGTGCAATGAGCCCAGACAGTCCCAGGGTCTCTCCACCACGGGAAGCAGTCAAAGCGACCACTACCGGCAGCGCACTCTGCAGGGAGAAGTAGATAGGGAAGATAGCGGTCTGCAGACTGGAGAACTGGGGCCGCGGAAGAGCACGGAAAGCGACGAAGCCTCCAACAAAGGACTTTGGATATATTAGATGATGCTATTGAGGAGGAGGATCCAAAGAGCGTCTTCATTTCAGATCTCACTCACCTGGTAGAACTGTGTCCCCAAGAGGGTGCCATAGCTGCCTCGTTCATCAGCTCATGAGCCGTGAAATTCATTTAAAGCAACCTACCTCAGGATGTGATAAGGGCGAGGATCCATGTTTGCTGTGTTATGAGACGGAAGTTCAATGTTGACGATAGAGATGAGAGCCGAGGTTTCCCGGACTTTGAAGGGAAGACGTGATGGTTATTTCTACGGCCCGGCACTTAGTGAGGGCTTTATTGCCACCGCAAGGCTCAATACAGTTGGCATGTATCCACGCACTAGCCACCAATAACCAATACGCAGTAAATACGTGCGCGGCGGTGCGCCGGGTGATGTCATGTGCCTTCGCGTCTCGTTCTAAACCGCAAGTGGAAATATCACGCGTCTGCCTGATGTCCCACGGTTGTCTTGAGCTCTGAAGCAACTTTGACCTGCCATTTCCCAACAACATCATCATGGCAGAAAAAGAGGCTACAGTATACATTGTGGACATGGGACGGTCTATGGGTGAGTGCCACCACGGCCGTCCTATGACCGATCTTGATTGGGCCATGCAGTATGTCTGGGATAGGATTACCACTACCGTATGCGACCTCAAATCCATTCAAGGCCAGTGGAGTGGACTGACAGTTCCAGGTGGCCACCGGTCGCAAAACGGCTCTAGTTGGTGTCGTGGGTCTCAGGACAGATGGTGAGCGATACCAAGCCAGCCCTGGACTGCCCATCGGGAGCTTTATCTCATACTTCGAACAGGAACTCGCAACGACTTGGATGAAGAGAACTTTTCTAATATCTCAGTGCTTTTCGGGATTGGCCAGTATGTGTGGCTTGATGTATTGTGTATTACCTGTCAAAGCACATGGCTAAATTTTCTCTTAGGGTCCTTATGCCTGATATCCGAAAACTGCGAGAGACGATCAAACCAAGCAAAACTAACAAGGGCGATGGTATGTGATAGGCGAGAACCTTTTCAATGACCTATTCTGACTATACCCAAGCGATCTCTTCAATTGTTATTGCCATGCAGATGATCATTGAATATACCAGGAAACTCAAATACAAGCGGAAGATCATTCTAGTGACCAATGGCACTGGTATGATGAACGATGACGGTATCGAAGACATCGTCGAAAAGATGAAAGAAGACAACATTGAGCTGGTAGTCATGTATGTCTCTCGCCAGTGAGATTTGCATTGATGCTAATTGGATACCCAGCGGAGCTGATTTCGACGATGCCGAGTACGGTGTGAAAGAAGAGGAGAAAGACAGTCAAAAGGTACTTGATCGTCATTAAGATGTACAAGATATCCATATTGACCATGTTTTTGCAGGCTGAAAACGAAAAGCTCCTCCGAAACCTTACTGAGGAATGCGACGGTGTCTTTGGAACACTGGAGCAGGCTGTCGCTGAATTGGATACTCCCCGCATCAAAGTGGTCAAGAGCATGCCAACCTTCAAGGGAAATCTCATGCTTGGCAATCCCGAAGAATATGACACAGCGATCACCATACCCGTGGAGCGATACTTCCGAACCTATGTCGCCAGACCGATCACTGCGAGTTCATTCGTGCCATCCTCTGGCACCGAACCCGGTAGCCAACCCCCAGGTAAAGCTGGTGGAGGCGAAGCTCTCACATCTGTACGCACAATGAGGACATATCAGATCACAGACGAGAGTGCACCTGGGGGTAAAGTTGATGTTGAGCGTGACGATCTTGCTAAAGGATACGAGTATGGACGTACGGCGGTTGCTATCGCTCAAGCTGATGAAAGCATCACGAATCTGCAGACATTCGCCGGGATGGCGATTATCGGATTCATCCAGATGGATAAGGTACGTTTCTCCACGCTGATGTCGAATTCCACAAGCTGATTTCGATAGTATGACCGATACATGCATATGTCAAACACAAATGTCATCATTCCCCAGCGAGGAAATGATAATGCGGCTCTTGCATTATCCTCTCTCATCCATTCACTCTACGAATTGGAATCTTACGCGGTTGCTCGATTGGTGACCAAAGAAAACAAGCCACCGATGGTCATATTGCTAGCTCCGTCCATCGAGGCAGACTACGAGTGTCTGATCGAAGTTCAGCTTCCATTCGCAGAGGACGTGCGGTCATATCGATTCCCACCTCTGGATAAGATAATCACCGTCTCTGGCAAAGTAGTAACTGAACATCGCAATCTGCCAAATGCTAGCTTGAAAGACGCAATGAGTGATTACGTGGATAGTATGGAACTGATCACCACAGATGACGAAGGGTAAGTACAAAACCCCCAGTCTACCATCCAGCCAGCCATACTCACCAACAAAACCAGGGTACCCACTGACAGACTCCCGATTGACGAGTCATTCTCACCATTACTCCACCGCATCGAGTCAGCCGTTCGATACCGCGCCGTGCATCCCGATGATCCAATCCTCGACCCCTCAGACCGACTCACCGAATTCGCCCATCCAGCGGAAGAGCTAATCCAAAGTTCCAAACCCCATCTCGAAAAATTGATATCAGCAGCAGATGTCAAGAAAGGTAACTCCATCCCTCTTCTAACCCTCTCCTAACATCCATCACAAATAAATAGTGAAAGCCCATACTAAGCAAATTCACAGTCCCACCCAAGACAAAAGGCCGCAAACGCCAACGCGAAACCGAAAAACCATTATCAGGCCTCGACGTCGACGCACTCCTCAGCGTCGAACCCAAGCGCACGAAAATCTCCACCGAGAACGCAATCCCAGAGTTCAAGCAAACGCTCTCCCGTGCCGAGAACGTGGACGCCATCCACGACGCCGTGCAGCAAATGGCCCGGATTATCGAGAGCCAGATCACGCACAGTCTTGGCCATTCCAACTACGACCGCGTTATCGAGGGTCTGGGTACTATGCGCGAGGAGCTTGTGGATTACGAGGAGCCGTCGGTGTACAATGACTTTGTGCGTCAGTTGAAGGGGAAGTTGTTAAACGAAGAGCTTGGTGGGGATCGCAGGGAGTTGTGGTGGTTTGTTAGGAAGGGGAAGCTTGGGCTTATTGAGAAGAAGGAGGTTGATAGCTCGGTTGTTGAGGAGGGGGAGGCACGGGAGGTAAGTTTTTCGGTTTCTTTGTGAGAATTGGGTGCGAATGCTAATGTTGGGTTATAGTTCCTGGCTGCTAGTTGAAAAGTGGGAGTGCTAGACCTTCCCTCTGGTATGATCGTCGAGATGAAAGCGAATTCGTGCTCTTCATCCCTGTTTCAGATGTATTTGTTTAGAGACTGGTGCGTAAATGAAGCCGTGGATGCTGGAATGTAGTATGCCGCAGTATGCTCGACACAATACCAATGTTCCTTGGGGGCTAGTGGCCACTTATAAGGCGAAGTTATGCGGCACAAGTCAATCAGATAGAGCCATGTGTCACTGGACACGATTTGACAATATCAGCTAGAGGCCAATAGTCTCTAGGCCTTTCAAAATGAATTACAGAGAAAAGGAATGTCGAGTGAGCTCATCAATTGTCATATCGACGTAAAATGGACACATACAGAAGCGAAACTCGCAGACGAAGCACGAGTCGAGGCTCATTTGCAGGAAGTCTGAAGATGCGTAGATCAACAACAGAGTGAACGCCGTACACAGAATGCCCAAAAACCAGTATTTGCTCCAAGAAAAGAAACCAGACCGAAAGCATTTGCAAACTCAAACATTAAAAAGCATCCAGATGCATCACGGAAAAGGGGTATGCAGAAGTGGTGTCCCTGTTGGACGGTGAGAATGGAAGAAGAGAGGCTTCAAAAACAGTGCAGTGTTTTTCGAAACGGAAGAAGAAAGGACGTGAGATTTAGTGGACGGTCTTGGTTGCCCGCACAGGGCTGATGTTGTTGCTACCAATACGACCACTTGGCTTACGGACGCCGCGAGTCTCGCTCCGGGTGCTGTCGGTTGCCCGACGAGGGCTGGACCGGACTTTGCTGACCGAGATGGGAGCAGCACCGCTCTTCCGGCTGACAGGAGTCTTGGGGGCTGAGTGGTCTACCCAGTTCTCTTGGTCCTGGTGACCGTCTTCTGTGACGGTATAGCTGGCTGTGACGGTGGCCGAATAACTGATAGAGCGTGAGGTAGGCGATGCAACAGGAGATCGGGACGATCGTTGGGCTAGACGGCGAAGCTGGATCTCCTCCTCACTCTCACTGCCCTCATTGCTCTTCCTGTGGCTGCGATGGCCACGCTGCTCATTGTCGACGGCAAGGGACCCAGACGTGGTCCGGGAATAAGGGTGATGACGTGAGTCCTTTCGGTGGGACTTGCGAGGTTGGCCAGGGGTGGGTGCGGGGAGATCCTGGTCTGGGTATGCTGCAGCTTCATTGTGATCGATCTCTCCAAGTGCCGCACGCTTGGAGTGGCTATTGTTTGGTGGTGTTGACACCACACCATTGCTGCTGCGCTTCTTGGTTGAAACTCGGGGAGTGGCTGGCGCAGCCTGTGCTAGCCTCTCACGCATGCTATCTTCGAACCACCATTCACGGAAGGCGCCTTGGTTCAGGTGAAGCCAATGTTGTTGAGGTCCAACGACCATACCCGGTCGCATGAATCTCATAAAAGCAATCACCTCGTTGGCGGTAAACCCGTACTTGTAGATCAAGTACGCTCCAATCAAACATCCTGTGCGGCCTAGGCCTGCTTTGCAATGAACTGCGATACCCTTTTTCTTGATGGTGATCATTTCGTGGGCCATTTTAATAAACCGTCTGACCAGCTGCAGTGGAGGGCACGTGCCATCCTCGAAGATCATGTCAATGTGAGCGATTCCCATTGCGGTAAAGTATGACGGACAATACAGCTCAGAGTTGAGTCGTACTACCAGACCAACGTTGCGCTGATGGAAGTGTGCCAGCACATTCTTGAAAGGCATGGGAAGCTTCGAGGCGGAAATTTCTGAGATCGTTGTGGGCAATGCATTGTATTCAGGGGTGTTCGCAGGGATTGGGGCCACGGGTTGCTGCTGGGGGGACGCAAAGGCAAGGAAATCAGGCGAAATCCAGTTGAAGTCACCCATATCGACTCGCTCGAACTTCTCATATCTGGACAAAGTGATCAGCATACGGTCATCCACGTGTAGACAGTGAACACTTACTCTTCGAGATTGAAGTCACGCAGTCCGCAGAGAGATTGCTCCTTGGCCTTCCAGACTCCGTAAACTACATCTTGAATGTTCAAGATGAAATCAGCCTGACTGTATCCGGCATCACGGAAAGGCATGTAAGGCGGATCTGCCTGTGCGATGGGCGCCAGAGCCAAGTGCGGGGGCCACGATTGAATCATGACCATGTAGCATGCAACAAGACATGCCGCATTGGCGCGACTGCGCGCATCTGTCTTGCTGTAGAACACCACAGGGCGGTCACTGTTGGCTGGGTCACCGAGGATCTCGTGGAAAAGCACGGCGAATCGGTAGAGGTGACCAATGTGCAGTGGGCCGAAATCAGCATGGAACGCGTTGTAAAGAAGAGTGTCGTCAATCGTGAAGTACACAGGAGAGCGGCGCTTGCTTGGAGTGGCGGGCTGCGCACGAGCGCGCTTGCTCGGGGATTTGGGTGCGTCCAGATGAAAGGGGAATGGGGTCCTGGAGCTGGGAGCAGAATCATAAGATGCAAGGTAGAGGCGGTCTAAATGAAGTTTTGTCTTAGCTGTTGTACCTCGGTGGAAGACGTCCCAGTCGTCGAAACACATTGTACCAACCTTGGATGTACTCAATCATCTGGCCGCCGTGGCTCAAGTCGTTAGACATATTTGTCATTGCTGTTTGTTGAGGTGGTTCCTTGAGAGATGGGATAAGGCTAATAAACAGCGAGATGGATTGATTGATATGGTACCGCTGCAGGCACTGTTGTCGGTGTGACTCGGAGAATTGCGAAGCCAGTGGTAGAAAAATAGTCGCGATAAGTGTGATATCTAGCGTCCCATGATCAAACTGACGAGGATCTGCGATTGTAGTATGGTAAGGATAAAGAGAAAGAGACAGCCGGAAATGAGAAAATGCTGTACAGGTGAGGGGTTATGAAGAAGAAGAAATCAACACAAAGTCCGAGTTGACGATGTTTGGGCCAGCTGCCATGCCACTGTTATGTTGTGCTTTCCCTGTTTGGGACTAGTCGCCGCCGTTGGCGTGACAACCCGGTAGCCTCAGGCATCAAAAACGGGTGCCTTCCACATTCCAAACAAAACATCACAACACCAAACATCACATACAAACATGCAAACATAGCAAACGTAGGTCCTCCATCTCATACCTCACATCTCATACATCTCACACTTCTCCCGGGTTGAGGTTCAGCTGCCCTGAGTGCCTCGCAGTCTGCTCCTGTCGCATTCCAATGGTGCCAACTATCCACAGGCAAATCTCTTCAGAATGGGAGCATGATCCTAGATGATTATTGAGGATACGTTCCCTTTGATAACCGTAACTGCCCAGTCGCGGGCAATGATGATCAAGCGTTCAGTTCAGGTCCATAGCAAGGTGTACAATATATAGTCATCATGTGCCCCCAGATCTGAAGACGCAACACTGTGACTGGGAGCCTTGGGCGCCTACTGTCTCTTTTACTACACCTTGAGCAAGTGGATCACTTTCAACCTAAGTACCTATGGGGTACAGTGGTCACTGCAAATATCTCACTAGGTAGACTACCTACTACCGGACCTTTGGGTAATAGTGTATCAGGGAAAGCGGAATGGAATCGACTGCTTGGTTGAAATTAGGTGCTGAATGACTGAGCTTTATCTAAATCCTGGCAACCTGTGCGAGGCTATTGTGGCCATTCTCCGTCCGACTAGTCAGTTCGTGCCACTTTTCCCAAGAAAGTGACTATGGCAAGTGGCAACATTATCTGCCTCGTGATTCTCCCGGCGAAAAAAGGGCCGAACTGAATTCTCGAGAAAGACGAAAGACAACATAAACAGTCATCAGTGTGCACCCAATGGGGTTTGACCCGATGGATTACAGTGAAGCCAAGGCGTAGAGAGGCTTGCAACCTTCTCGGGAGAGGCTGGAACCTCCGCACTCCGCACAGTCAAAGCAAGGGTGCGTGTAGCCGAGAATGATTCGTTTCTAAATCGAATGTTCCACTTGCTCAAACTCACGTTCAGCTCTTTTCCCCTGCAAAGCCGTGATCGACACATGTCCGAGTCCCCGCATACATCGAAATAGCCCTTGCCTGAAGTTATCGGACGGTCAATGCGTTGACCTACATCCCTCACTTGCCGTTTGAGATAGGTCCAATCTTGAGAAGATGATCTTATCATTGGTATCGAAGAAAGTATTTGCTTCAGTGGCACACGGTCCGATTCCACCTACAAACAAATGCACTAGGATTCAAGCTGGGCGGCTGAGTATCCATAACCTCGTCTATACGAGGCATTCATCGGCTCTAACAAGCGACCAAGACTCTTCGACTTACTGCTGTGCTGTTTGGGCTAATTCTTGCTAAGGGACTATCTTAACTACAGATCACACCGCTTCAGACCTGTCATATTATTCGGAGCCCAAGTGGGCACATCCCTTCTTTCGTGCAATTTCCTGGGATGAAACTACCTGCGCGGCTTGATGGCTTATAACCCGTTAGCGTCGATCATGATAGTTCACTGCGCAAATGAACGATAACAAGCACGATCAAAACATCACCCCCTGATGATCTCGAATGCGAGGGAGCTCTCATGGCCGTGTGGAGCACAGTCAAAACAAAGCCGAAGAAATGTATATAATCCTGTCTCCAGTGCCAGCGACTCTGGATCCTATTCTCCATCCAAGTCACTCATTCACTTCTAGTCATTCTTTTCTACCTTTGCACTTCTCCCTCACCAAGTCACTCTTTTATAACCTTTCGAGTCTTTGCAAAACATATTGCCACAATGAAGTTCACAGGATTCACCATTTCGCTCGCCCTTGCTGGCTCCGCCTACTCCGCCGCCCTGCCCACCCTTGGCAACGTCCAGGGTACCGTTGCAGGCGTTGAGGGTGCCGTTGGTGGCGCTGTTGACGTCGCAGCCCACGTCGTTGCCCCCATGGCCTCCACCGCTGGTGGCCTGACTCACGCTATCAAGCGTGATAACACTGAAGCCGTCGGTCAAACTATCCAGGCGGTTCCAGGCATTGTCAACGGCCCAATCGACATCATCGGCAGTGCCGTTGGTACCGGCGAGAGCCTCGCATCTGGCGCTGCTTATACCGCCGAGAATGCGATTGGCGGTGCCAGTGGTGCTGCCAAGCGTGACAACGTTGAAGCCATCGGTCAAACCCTCCAGGCCGTTCCCGGGACTGTTAACAGCCCAATCGCCATTGTTGGTAGCGCTGTCGGTACCGGCGAGAGCCTTGTGTCTGGTGCCGCTTACACTGCAGAGAACGCTATCGGCGGGGCTGGCCCAGCTGCTAAGCGTGACGTGAACAACCTTGTCGACAGCACTGTTGGCCGTAAGTTCTATCTTCAATCATATTATTTTCTTCATACTAACATAATGGCAGAGGCTGAAGCCGTTGTTGGTAGTGTCGTCAAGCGTCAGGGTGTCGCTGGCAACCTCGAGGCTGCCATTCTCGGCGCCATCTTCGATCTCACCAACAACCCCCTTGACCTCCTCTCCGCTCTCGGCAGCCTCAAGCAGGCTGTCAACGTTGGCGAGATTACCCAGGGCCAGCTTGCTGCTCTTCCTGCTCTCCAGAACATTCTCGCTCTGACCAACCTCTAAGTCAGCCCGGCTGTGTGATTTATACCTTCAGAATGACCTGAGATGCGCTTCAAGATGTCATGATTACATCCACTACCTTTGCGATATAGGTATCACCATGTTTGTTCTTCTCTACCTATGTACCTATGGGCGGTACTTTGATTTTTGTGACTCGTGTTTTCGTGTACCATACTTCATGACTTCTTTTCTAGGTATACGTACCTTACGATTTTTGTATAAGTAACCTACCTGCTTGAGAGAAACCCTTCTACCATAAGGTGCGGTTTATAGTTTTATCTTTCCAGATGCCCCCATTGGCTGTAACTACTGTAGTAAGAGACAGACAGAATCCATCTGATTGAGCTTATTCTTCAACATATCTCCACCCTTTCCCGTAGGTAGTGTAGTGGGAGAACTGCGCCATCGTGGTGAAATGAGCGGTGTACGGATGACTCAGCATTTGTGATATAAAAGGCTTCATCGCGCAGATAGGACAGACAGAGACACAGACACACTTCTCCTCTTCTAGACCACCCCTGTGTTCTCCTCTCCTGTAGTCCCACTACTCCCAGTGGCGGACCTGGTTCGCAGACAGGTTCGCGTTTCTCGCTCTTCAGTAGGTACACCCAAGTAAGTGCATAGCCACGGTATGTAGACTTATACAGTCTACTACAAGCATTACGCAGTAATTAGCATATTTTGGCTCTCGTCGCCAGTCCATCCATAGCAGAGGCTTGGAGTATTCCAAATCATTAGGCCCCAGTTAACTATTCTTAGTCCATTTAGAGTGTCCAGAGAGCCCCGTTTATTAATCAAATGATTTGGAATTGTTATCACGACCCCTGTATACCCCACTACTTTATATACGCGTTGGCAGTTATGAAGCCACCCGTGGGCATTATCATAAGTTCATAAGGATTAATTCAGGATGTACCAATCAAAAGGCCAGGAAATAAAGAAAAGACCTAATCGATTGGCTCGGGCGTATTGCAACTCCGTCGGCATGTCTCGTGCCCGCGTCCAGCCCGGGGCCAATTGGTAAGATCAAAGTTCTCGACCTCGGTTGAGCTTAACTATTAAAAGATACAAGAAACGGCCATGTTCTCGTATCCGCACGTTTCTAGATTATCTCTGTCGCATTCTGCCAAGTATCTCCGATCTTCAACGACGTCATACATAATTCCTAACGTCCCTCACACCACAAACAAACACCTCGCTTTTCCACGTCAAGCAACAACCATGGCCTCCGCAACATCTTTCTTCGACTTCGAGCCCGTTGACAGTACGTATCTACTTACCCCCTCAGCAAAACCAGTTAATAAAAACCCCGCTAACCCAATCCCCGCGCGAAAATAGAAAAGGGCGCACCTTTCCCCCTCTCCTCCCTCAACGGCAAAGTCGTGCTGGTCGTGAACACAGCCTCGAAATGCGGCTTCACACCCCAGTTTGAAGGAATCGAGAAGCTCTACAAGAAGTTGTCGGCCGAGTACCCGGAAGATTTCACCGTCCTCGGATTCCCCTGCAACCAGTTCGGGAACCAGGACCCCGGCACCGACGACGACATCCAGTCTTTCTGCCAGGTCAACTACGGCGTTTCGTTCCCCGTGCTCGGAAAAACCAATGTGAACGGCGATGATGCCGCCCCCGTCTGGACTTTCTTGAAGGAGCAGCAGCCTGGACTTCTGGGCTTGAAGCGCGTGAAGTGGAACTTTGAGAAGTTCCTCGTCTCTGCTGATGGCAAGGTTGTCGGTCGCTGGTCTTCTGTTAGCAAGCCCGAGGGTCTGGAGAGTGAGATTGTTAAGCAGATTGAGAAGGCGAAGGCTGAGGGTAAGCTAGCTTCTCAGAAGCCTCAGGCTGCTAAGCTGTCCTAAACCTGCTCCGGGTTTGTCTTGAATGATTGTGATACCTTGTTGTCTTTCCTTTGTATTCATATACCAGTTCTTCTGCTTTTGATACATATTCCTTCTCACCTGTGATATCCTGATTGGTTTGCGCTGAGATTGTATTCAGTGGGAACGATAGTATGTAATTAATTCTATGCCTCAATAGTACCGATTCCCTAAATTCGCTGGATTGTTCTGACTACCAATTGTCTCTTACTGTTCCACTTGAACTAGTCGAGGTCTTGGGATATCCTAATCTAAGCAGAGGCGCCCCCCTTAGGAACTAGGTTCCGTAGCGATAGGTCGTAGACAACATCTTCGACCTTCTTGACCTGCACCGAACATTAGACATTAGAGACTGGTCAAACGCTGAAAAGGGTCAACCTACGCTGTACTTGATTCCATCGCTGCGCTTGCGCAGGATATCATTCTTCAAGTTTAAGAGCTGGAATCCGGCGAACAGTTCCTTGATGAAGTTACTGATCTCCATGGGGCGGTTATAGTCACCCAGGGTGACCGAGTTAACAGCCAAGCGAGACTGAAAACAGGGTCAGCTATGAACAGAAAAGCTCGATAAAGAAAGGGAAACGAACCAGTTCCTCGACCATGGCGATCAATGCGAGCAGATACTCCTCGATAGTAAGGTGGAAGGCGTCTTCCTCCTTGAGGTTGACAGGGACTACATAAGAGAAGTCAAGGTTAGAATATAGTTTCCCTAGGTGAATCCATCACCTGGAGCACTGAGCACGATAGAAAAGATAGACAAAACGTACTTTCCAGGAACTTGCCCACATCCTCGATAGTCATGAACGATGTCGAGCTGGGTCCCTTGTGCTCTTGCAGACCGCCCAGCCACGCGCAAAGCTCAATGGATGCGACCTGATAGATTGAATTAGCAGATGTCTCGGAGCATTGAGTCCCGGAAGACGAACCAAGTTCTGGAGCTCACGAGTCCACAACCCATTGTACTTGTAAAATGGATGTTTATCTGCCACAGCCCTCAGGCGAGCGACCTCCTGCTTCTGTGCAAGGATCTCTTTGGTGGCATCGCCCAGGACAGGCTTCACTATCGCGAATGTCAGCATGACTGTTTATGAAGCGAAGTACTGTCCCGGAGCAAAGAGCGGCAACGAAATCAACTTGGTTCAATCACCAGCTGAGCGAAATACTTACACTGATCGGCAGGCGTGGAATGAGCCCGTGACAGAATAGCCTGCGTGGAACGGCCTGCATAATCTACGGTCAGTTCCTGACTCCAAGCCGCGACGTCAACCCGGAAGTGCCGTCCCAGCTGGAACAGATATCCTGGACAACCGGTAGACGCGATAGACTGGAAGACGTACCTCTCCTGGCAAGCGACTGGATAATCTCGTGTAGTTCCTATGGGAGTTATTAGCTATCTGCCTGTGCCCAGATCTCCAGGGTCTTTTTCCGGTGTAGGCTTGGCGCGGAAAGAATTCCACCAAGCCCAGCTCGCGCTGGTGAGACTCACATCACGAACGGTAGACTCCTCGTCAATTTTCGTCTGGAGATTCTCAAAAATAAGTTGGTCAATCATTTTGTCGGTTGTGGTTGTAGGAAGAAATCTGAGAAATTGAAGGCGGGTGTGGTGCCGGAGGTGAGTTACGTCAAAAGGTCTTGGTGAAAAGACGATAGTTTGCGCAACGCGCCAAAATTACGAATCATACAATGAGAATGGGACAGTGAGCTTTTATGTAGCTCTTCATGTTACATTCCGTTCTTTCAAGGTGAAGATTTCTCTCAGGTGGCGGCCCTGGCGAGTATACGGTGCTCTGACAGGGATCTACATGAGCAAGCCTACAGCTTACAACGTACACTCCCTTGTACGCAAGATATCTACGCATTATTCAACAATAAGCTCCAGGCTGTCTAGTATCCTGCTGGCCTCGTATCTCGAAAAGCGAGCGATACTCTTTTTGATCTCACCTCCAATTAACATTGCAAAAACACCTCAACTCCCCGAACATAATAACTCCAGAATTATGTGCATATTTTCAGGTTTTATTATCGCTAGATCAAGTCTATCGATCGTCATAAAGGTCGTAAGGAGGCACTGACAGGTGCCAGGGCGATCACGCGCCAAGGGAGACCGGGCTCAGTATCGGTATCTGGTCGAATAATCTGGAGGAGAAGGTTGTCAGCAAAGGATAACTCCATATTGAACCCATGAGCAACTTTACCTTTAGGACTGACGACTAGACCACGACCCTTCTTTGCGCCCTTGTATATCGTCTCGATGATGTCGATCAACTCTTGCTTGTCTTCCAGCACCCAGTTCAACTTGTTGTTGTTTCCCGTACCGAAATCACACATCATGTGCTTATTGCGGTAGAAGAACATGATCGTCATCCGGTCGTATAGCTCGTACATCTGGTTGAAGTCGGGGACCTGGTCGACGTCGCAAAGATAGATCACGGCGAAGTCTGCAGGCAAACCTGTTAGCTACTGCTCGGGACGTTTTGGGGAGGGGTGTCACAGTCACTCACTCTTTACCCGCTCGGCAATCTTGTAGAGGACTTCATCTTGGCGGATACCTATGAGGATGGGTCAGTTTGAGCCGCTGGGAATGGTTGCGACTAGCACTCACAGTCAGGATCGTGGTCTCGCCCGAACCGGATCACCACTAGGCGTTCTTCCTCGGAGAGGATAGCCTGGTCAACATGCCAGGCTGTTTGCAAGTGAGGTAGAACGATAGAACCCATTGCTATGGCCGATATGTATAGACACAGGGAGTATGGGGAATGGATAAAAGTTGTAGAGCTTATCGGTTCGTCCCGCGGTTGAAGCTATTGGGTCACGTGCCCGTGCTACTCGAACAGTCTCGAAGGTTGCTGGTGACGACAGGGTGTCTGCGATGTCACGGTATAGTTAACGGATCAACGAGGAGAGCTAAAGGATATCGTAGGTAAAGCTAGAGTCATAGTACTGTTTTCAGGCGTTAGAGGGCGACGTAGGCTCTGCCTCAAGCTTCGTGGTGGCGTCAAAGCTTGCTCATGAAGCTGGGAATAATAACCTCAAAATTGCAATATCTGAGCGTACACGATCCATAGCCTCGCAGTAGACGAAATTTTATGGAGCTACGGGTTACAGGGGTGGACCAAAAGGGTGTACGTTCGAGGAGCATGTCAAGTTGGTCAACACTTGGTGTCTACACAGTACTGTGTACTCCGTAGACACAGGACAATGTCAAGCATAAAAACGAAAGCAGAACAAGATAATTTGAAGAGGAATAAATGGCTACCAAAAAAATCAAAATCACATCTTCTCCAAGCGCCCGGACAAGCCGAACAGTTGATGAAAAAATGGTCGCGTCGATCGGGGGCAGTGTAAGCCCGATGACACTGTGCAACGAGGCATGCGCAAGCACAGAGGCCAAGTCGCGGGGTCCAAAAATAGGAATAATCAAAGTGTTTCCAAGACGGAAACTTTCAGAGATTAAACTGAAAAGAACAGATACTACACTTGATCTAAGCCAATAGGCAAAGAGAGCTGAAGAAGAAAGAAAAGAAGAGGAAGAAGTCATGGAGGGAGGACATATTTATACCCCTGGGGACGCCTGGAAGAAAGTTCCTCCGCCACCACAAGCGATGCAATGACTCATCCTTTCGGTCGCCAAGCGCTAAACCAGACTGGGACAGTGCCCTACCCTAAGCACCCAAATTAGGCCTAGCGCAGCACACCTCTGGCTCGTGAATTTTCGACAATCCAAATCGGCTCCACCGCGAAATTTAGGAAGTTGTCTTGACCACTCTCTCGCCGGCGCAGGATATTCACCTCTTTGCGACCTCTTCCCAACTTCCCAACTTCCCAAATACCACTCCCCCCCTCAATCCATTAACAATGGCTCCCGCTGCTGTACGTTGAAGTCCAAATCGCTTTGCTGTTCCCCCCACCGGTGTCTCTGCGGGCTGTTCTCGAGACTGGGAATATTCGATATTGAAAAATCTATCGAGTATGCACCATGTCGTCGAAAACAGTTCGCAAGACTACCACCGGGGCTCGACATTATGGAGCAGTAGGCTAATTAGATTCTACCCGGAAATAGGCTCGTGGTCGCAAGGCCCAGAAGGTTACCCAGAAGTTCGTTATCAACGCTTCGCAGCCCGCTAGCGACAAGATCTTCGATGTCTCTGCCTTCGAGAAGTTCCTCCACGACCGCATCAAGGTCGAGGGCCGTGTCGGCAACCTCGGTGACAACGTCGTCATCTCCCAGGTTGGCGATGGCAAGATCGAGGTCGTTGCCCACATCCCCTTCTCCGGCCGCTACCTGAAGTACCTGTGAGTTTCCCCTGTCTAACCCGCGGATATGAGCCCAATCGCCCGGTTACAGTCTGCTGACCGTTGTCTTTCTCGCGACTTAGCACCAAGAAGTACCTCAAGAAGCAGCAGCTCCGTGACTGGCTCCGTGTCGTCTCCACCTCCAAGGGTGTCTACGAGCTCCGCTTCTACAACGTCGTCAACGACGAGGCTGAGGAGGATGAGGAATAAGCGTGTCGCTCTCGGCATGTCTTGTGTGCATCGTTGATCAATCGGTCTAGTCCGTGTATCGCGCTTGGAACGTCTAGATGGATTGAGCGAGAGCCATGGGGGGATAGATTGGTTTATGAGGCCATAAATAAAACTAAAAAGTTTATACCCTCATACGTTTACGACTGTAATGTAATCATGTAAGTCAATAGAATCTCGTAACTAATGGATAACAATCAACCTGGCTCAATGGACAATGATAGACTGGAGCCAGATAGGCAATGAAGTGCACAAGATCGCTGAGAAGCAGTACTCCGTATGCAGGGTATCAAATACATCGTCAAGAAAGAGGCAGGGGAAAGAGATATTGTTCCTCCGTCATTTCCCAGATTTTCTCTTCTGGCCAGGGTCAGGGACCGTTGTCCATGAAGCTGGAGGAGTTGTCGCTTCTTTGCCCTCCGGATCGATCAACTTATCCTCATGGAAGGAATATCCGAGCTCTTCCAGGTTGTTCCATCTACTACCGACCTTGACTCTCAGCAGATCACCGGTAGTGATTGAATCCTCCCTCGAATCGTGTCCATTGGATCCCGTCTGGATCTCGCGACCAAGATACTTTAGCGCAAGGGACTTGAGACCCCAACGGACGGGGAGACCCTTCGGGTGGGGATACAAGAGTGCGGTATCGATGACCGTGGGATGAATGATGCGGCAGACGTTGAGATCGTTCTCGATCGAGTGGCCGATGAGAAGTGTCTCTGGCTGAAGGAGGTTCAGGAGCAGATCGCGTGCCTCGGCGGGCGACTGGACAAGTTGCAATGGGAGATTGACCTTCCCTTCCTCATTCGAGGATGAGGAACTTGTGGCCGGCATTGGAGTGCCATGGGGTTTCGCAGAAGCATAGTGTTCCGCCGTAATGCCGGAATATCGAGTGTTGAGATCTAGGACTTCGCCCATCGGTCGGACCAGGATATCGAGCAGGTCATGGCCTTCGGGCCAGCTGACGGCAGTGAGGCGAATCAATTCCATACCCAGAGTGGTATACCCCATCTCACAGTCAAAAGCGACGGGTGGCATGGGTCCTTTCTCGGGCTGTGCCGGGGTTGTCTTGAACTGAAGGATGGATGCAAGACGCTTGGCCTCCGAGACTCTGAAGACATGCGATTCGGCCTTAGTGCAGCCACTAGATTTGTCCAATGCTTCGCTGCAGCAGGAAAAGTACGGGTGCGAGGGACCAGTGACGCGATCTGTTTTTTTGCGCTGGGGATGGACTGGCCTTCCTGGATGGTGGATACAGGGACCACCACTGGTCAAAGCACCATCCTCCCGACGACCTGGGAAGACTTGGAATCGTTGCTTACACCGACAGCATTGCTCCCAACCCTTGGCCTGTTCGAGGCCTTGCTTGGCAGTCTCAATCTCGGCATCGGTGGCTGGCTTTGTGACATACCCATGCTCTTCGAGATTAACAAGTGATGTGACCAGCAGAGATGCGACTGCAACTTCTTGGGCGGGGGCGAGACCTGTGTCGACGGGTATGGGCTGGACCAGAGGCTGAGGCTTTTGGATGGGGTTGAGTTTGTAGTAACGCGCATTCAGATGAGATGTCACCTCCTTGACCCATTCGTCAATGCCCATCTTCGTGACTTTCACGATGCGAAGTTTGATAACATTCACATAAACGCTCGCGTTTTGCTTTGCAAACTTTTCTTCCTCGTCGAGAGCCATTGTGATGACTTCATCGGCAGTGAGGACGAAGCATTTATTCGCGCTGTCCTCGTCCTTGCTCAACCTCTCGTTGAGAGAAGCCATGGCAGCGTGCAGCTTCACAAGAATAGCAGTTCGACTTTGATGAGTTGCTGGTGCATTGGCGAGCATACGAGGATTGAGCGTTTCTTTTGGGGCGTTGCGAGGAGGCAATTGTGTTGGAAGTCCAGCCGAAGCGGAGGAGGAACCAGTATCCTTTGGAGGTTCGCTCCCCGAAGGCACCGGCGGACCATGACTCGGAGCCGGTTGACTGACCTCTTTTTCGGTCGAGGACCGAGTCGTCGAGGCATCTTGGCCGGGCCTTTCTTTGAGAAAACCTGGCTTTTCCGCGCGGCGTGCCGTCTCCGATGGCAATTCGTTTGGGGTTTCAGGGCCAATCGGAGGTTCCGGTAACTGGGAGCCGTCCAATTTGGCCCTTTTGGCAGGCGGACTATTGTCGGCCGACATTGCAATCGTGGAAGGGTGAGGTTGAGATGGAGTCGGCTCAGGAGCGGAATGAGAGAAGAGACATCGCAGAAGCGTGCAACGTTTGCCCTTTGGGCACGGAAGGTCCGCAAAATAACCAAGAGGTGTGAACATGATCACTTGACCAGATGTCGCCGTCGCCGTCGCCAACGCCAATGCGTGGACGTCGTTGACGGTATGGTCCAAAGGTGCGGATGTGGAAATATGAGAGCTAGCGATCACGGTCGATCCAATTGCCTAGAGATACATAGCAAGCTGATGGATACGCTGCTGCTCGGCGACGCTTATTGTTTATGTACGAGATGTACTGAGGCAAAATACTGCGGCAGCGGCGCAGCGCTATGGCATAAGTTCAACGTTTCTCCCGGCGAAAGACCTCTAGAACCGATCGGCTTGCGCTATTCTAGAGCTAGGGTTCGGAATAGAAAGGCAGCAGGTTCGTAGTAATGTAGGTATGTTCATCCGCCTGCCGCAGAAGATAACATTAAAACCGCCTCCCGAGATGTTAGAACTGTCCGACACTGCAGTTCACGGGAGAATCTTCCAAGGTTGGGATAAGTCATGTCCGATGCAAAGCAGACAAACAGTGCCTGACATAACAGGCATGAACCCGTCATGAACCTGGGCAACTGTTAGCATTGTATCAACGTAGGTATCATGTATGTTTTCTAGAATACTCAATACTATCCAATAATCCACTTTGAGTCTAGCATAATAGCATATTCACTCTGTATCGATTTCTCGGAAAGAATGTGCAGAAGAAAAGACAACGTAGTTAGGATTCGCGCTACATCCGACGTTTTCTTATCGCCTTTCCTTATCGCCGATAGCTCCATGACCCTGCGCGGGCTTCGGACGAATAGGACACCCGAACGGACGATGATAAAGACTTCTCCCTTTCTCATTTCGGTTTTCTCTCATTTTTGACAATGAAACCAACTACTCGAACAATGTCGGATACCTCCAAAGCCCATCATCTTTGTGTGTTAGTCCATGGGTATGCTGTTCTCCCCTTTACCGATGACGTATTGATCAACCTGCTAACGCGACACATCTGAACAAACAGACTATGGGGAAACCCTTCACACCTTGATTATATCGCATCTGCGCTGAAAGACAGATATAGCGACGATGATCTCTACATCCTCTGCCCGAAAGCAAATAGCGGCAATTATACCTATGATGGAATCGAGCTAGGTGGAGAACGACTAGTGCATGAGATTGAGGAAACGCTCGAGTCTCTCGCTGAGAAAGGACAGAAGATTACAAAGATCAGCATGGTTGGATACTCACTCGGTGGTCTGCTCGCACGCTATGCGATTGGCTTGCTCAACGCCCAGGGTTGGCTGGATAAGCTGGAACCGATCAATTTTACGACATTTGCTACACCACATGTTGGAGTGAGAGCGCCCCTCAAAGGATACAAGGACCAGATTCTCAATGTTCTCGGACCAAAGACGCTCTCGGCCTCTGGACGCCAAATGTGGCTGGTCGATTCGTTCCGAGATACCGGGCGACCGCTTCTCAGTGTTATGGCTGATCCCGATAGCATCTTTATAACGGGACTGAAGAAGTTCCGACAGCGGTGTGCCTATGCGAATATTGTGAATGACCAGTCGGTCCCTTTCTATACCTCTGCTCTTTCCAAAGTGGACCCATTTCGAAATTTGGAAGACTTGAACATCAATTACGTCGAGGGTTATGAAGATGTCATTGTCGATCCTGATCTTCATGTACTCCCTCCTTTGGAAAGAGAACACGGGAACACAGCAGCACGAATTTGGAAAAAGCTGAGATCACTAGGCATCTGGATACCACTGTCCCTCCTCTTGGTTGTTCTAGTACCAGTGGCTTCGTCAGTCTTCCTTATCAACGCGGGGATCCAAACGATCCGCAGCTCAAAGCGGATCCGTCTGCATGAACTCGGCGATAATCTCGAGCGCTTCGGCAGATACAGAGTGCCTGTTGTGGCCAATTCTGTAGAGCACGCCGTGGAGCAGGCTATCGAGAACGTCACCTCTACACAAGACCCCGCATATCTGTCCAACAGTGATACCGAAGTTTCCGATACGGCCCCTGAAAAGTCTCGTCGATCTTCCTGCTCCAATAGAATAGAAAATATCGTCGACGCCGAGTCTGCATCGGCTAGACGTTCATCTATAAACGCGGATTCCACACATGGGCATACACTTGCACTGACGAATGATCAGTTCAGCATCATCGAATCCCTGAACTCAGTGGGGTTCCGGAAATACCCTGTTCATATTCAGAAGATCCGACATAGCCATGCCGCTATCATTGTCCGAGCTGATAAGGCTGGGCTTAGAGAGGGCAAGATGGTGGTGAAGCACTGGTTGGATAATGAATTTGTGGTATGATCCCTTGGTTCCATGCACATAGATCAGTTTAGAGCGTTGAAGCATGTACTTAATACTGTGTAATCCCACCTCACGTCTCCTATCTCACATTTTACATCTATTTCCTTGGCCACAATAGCTGAGACATCCGACTAATCTTCTGAATACTACACAGTATTACTCACCATTTCGGGTATAACTGGGCATAGCTTGGAAGACGGTCTGCCAGTGACTGCGCGAGTCTACGGTACTTAAGCGCCTGGCATCTATTTCATGATTCATATTTTTTAACTATATTCTATCTCATTGAAATTGAGTGTGTGTGTACAAAAGACCCACGTCATGAAGCAACAAAAATGCAGACCAACAGAACGGGGAATCACATCAAGACATGTAAAGAAAAAGGTAGAACTGAAACGTAGGGAGATATAAACGAGACCAGCGAGACCAACTTAAGAGCCTCTTTAGTCAGAACCCAGCTCACCCTTGGAATTCTTCCGGTGCTCGCGTTCAATGGCAAACTTGACCGCATCAAAGACAGTATTGCAAGTCATCCTGGGCTTATAACGCGGGGTAGCACCATCCTGGTAGACACCAGTCTTGACCAAGATCGAAAACCAGTCATTGTCCGTGATCTCATTGAACTCGTTCGTGCCACGGATATCAGACTCAGGTGTATCGCCGATAAAGTAGACAGTAGACGGGGAGCGGTCGATGCCGCAGGATTCCTTCCGCCACTCTTGCAAAAGTCGGGTGGCGAATTGATACGTTCCGATCTGGGGCTTGCCAAAGGCCATGGTGTTGAGTTTCTTGCCGGTCAAAGCCTGGTAAACAGCCTCGAGGGAAGCGCGCAGCGCTCCCATTCCGAGACGCGAGTGCTCATGTGATGTTGACCAGACGACGTCGGTGTGCGAGAAGAAGACTGGCGGTCCTTGGTTGAAGGTTTTCGAGCGTGTGTTCAACCAGCCGTCTTCGGTCATGAGGCAGTCCAGGATGATTTGTTGGTCGCCGGCCCAATCGCGGCTGTCTGCGAAGACGAAGACGGCCTCGATTCTGATCTTGTCGAGGTCGAGCAGGCGGGAGCTCTCGTACTCTTCGTCTGTCAATGTTCGGAAGGGCGTGGTGTCGTGTCTTGTCTTGATGATATCTCCGGGCGTGATGACATCTTTGAATCCGTATCCTTCAGCCACGATTCGGCATTTTTCACCCTCGCCACCGACGACTAGAACGGTGTGGTACCGCTCTGCCATGTCGCGCATTGGCGTGTGGCCGCAGATGAACTGGCCTGGGTCAACATCCAGGTCGAGTTGGCGACTGAGATCGAGGCATCGCTCTTTCTCTGTTTTGCCGCCTCCGTTGGTCAAGAAAATGTAGGGACTATTAAGTTATGGTCAGATTTGGCTCTGCTTTTCAGTATATTGTCACCCTCATAATGGGTAAAGGAAACAAGAAGATAAAGAAATTCCTTTTTCATGATAAAGGGCAAAGGCTTACACTTTGACTCCGTATGGGTTTTCACCATTGATATACTTCATGGCATCAACAGCTTCAGGGATGGGTTGCCCGCCCTTGATGAGAACGCCATCGATATCAAAAGCGAGTGCAAAATCATCACTGGTGACCGTAGGAGGGTTTGGCATAGGCGTATTGATTGGTGAATTGTCCTCTTCAGACGAGACTTCCTCTTGATGTTGGTTCATATCGGATAGTTTGGGGATATGGTCAGAAGTAGAGGCCATCAAATGCTTGGGAGGAATGACCATATTTGGGCCACGATAAAATTCGGCCCGAGCGGCATTCATACCATCACGTTGGTAGGGGATACCGGTTCTCTCATCGGCTGTGGCCATTGTGAATAGAGTATGAGAGGTGTGGGGGCAGACTGCGGGTACAATGACGATGGGTGTCGGCGCGGTGGGGACACGCGATATGATGGATTTAAGATCGTCCAACGTGCGAAGTATGTTGACGATCACTTATAGAGCTAAGGGGCGTTGATTAAAATCTGCTGGTGATCTTCTGTGTGTGTTGGTCTGCAGTCTGTAGGGAATCAAATAGGCTATATGGAGTAAGTAGAGGGGTATAGGAAAAAGGGATATGAATCGCATGTGGGTTGCGCCTATGGCGGGGGATATGAAGGGCCATTAATATAGCACCCTCAGACCCTATGGAACCGGACGCTGCATCATCGACAGTTGTCACAGTTCGACCAAAATATGGGGTTCCTCGCTTTGCTGAGACCCAGCGTCATTGCGACTGATCTGGATCAGAAGAAGGCCCAAAGCATTTGAAGTCGTAAATGAGGATGCTAATCCACAATCCACAGTCCACTTGGCGCACGACAATCGGGGCATCACGGGTGGGGCTAGATAACAGTGATTGGCCAAGGAATGAGCGTAACTTTATCGGGCTTAGCGAAGTGGAGATTGTGGCTGTTCCAAGAGGCTTGACGTAAGGCGATCGGTAGAACTTCCTTCCAGGGTTGAGGCACTTATGAAGACCAATGATGATGGTGGCAGATATGAGAACATCCCGAGGTTCGAATCAACAATATAACTCAAGTACCTTTTTTGTTTGCGGCTGTTGGTGGCTGTTGGCGTACATCATAGCCTCTATGTAGGCTAATTACACAGTAGACTGTAGAAGGCGTCGGTGTATCCCGTAGTTCAGACCAGCACATTATTGAGAGAGTCGGCCCGAGGGTGCATCGCAGTACTCCGTAGAGGCTCCCAGCTCAACACGATCGAATCCATACGTTTCGAAATACTGTAGGTAGTATGAAGTTATGGACTGGAAGGTATCAGACCCCTGACGTCATAATATGAATCGGACTATCAAGCCTGCATTGACCCGCCAAGGTACGTAAGACATGGGTCGAGGATCACAGGCCAGAAAGTTATGCACAACATATGCACTAGTGTCTCTCATGCAGCAATGAGGAATGGCACGATGGAATAAAGCCTTTCTGTCTGACGTCTTCAACTCCACCATTCGATGCAATTCCGGTAAAACACGGCACACCTACCACACTCGGACACATGCACAAAATGAACCCTGTTCAAGGCTTTATCCAATCCCATTATCCCGGCGGGCCGCAACCCTACCGCCCGGACAGCCTCTTTGAGTGATGACGAGGGTCAACCATAGTCTCCCTCGCCATACGCGGCTACATGGAATCTCAGCCCCCAGAGAGATTGCATCCGAGCGTAATATGACAGAAAACGGACTGTGGAGTTAAGCCGTGGCGGTTTTACCTTTGGCCCAAGCACGTAGATATCTGACTTCGACGTCCATGGCTGCAACCGTAGATGGGGGCGATTTTGTCAAGTTGTTTCCGGGCCCGCTTGGATCTCTATGCACAGTCGAAGAAGGCGGGTGTTTCGATGGTTATTAGTCCCTGTTTGAACACGATATCGGACATCAGGCTCTCGACAAGAGCTGAGGAGCCTCGTAGGCGTGAAATAGACGAATGAGGTCTTTCAAGGCTGTTTTAAAGATGTAGTACGGAGGTACACAGTAATTGCCGATACGTGGGGATCATGATCGCCAGGGGGAGATCCCCTGTTGGGTCTCCACCGTTGGTTAGTTCTTACTGTGTAGTAGTAGTCTGTTGCTTGATCCATTCGGATTTCGACGGGGTCCTACAGTAGGAGCATATTCACAAACGCAATGTAGAGACGGACAAACGTGCAGACTTCCATTGAGATGAAGTGCTGTGAAGAGCGTGGGAGAGCTTTCCGGACATCCGACCGGAAAGCCGTCTACAGTTTCCAATGCGTGGAGTGAAAATGAGGCCTTGCCCTACTTGTATAACTCTTAGGTCTGATTGGACTGCAAAATGACTAGCGATACAGCCCATAACAGGACTCCTAAAGTTCTGCACGCTGAAATTTGATATTGTCGTTATCGAAGTATGGCACTTGCATAAACTCCGCTCCCACTAGTTATTCAACGACATCTCAGCCCGAGATGTCAGATCCAAATCCTTCCGAGACAAGATCTTCAATCTCGTCGTCCAGGTCATGCTCATCGTCGATGTCGGCCCAGTCATCATAGAACACGTCCTCTTGTTCATTCCCTTCCCAAGGCACTGGTAATTCGACTCTGGGATGGAAGAACATGCGGTGGAAGAACGGCAAGCATTCGCAGACACACACCTCGTATTTGGGGACATCGAGCGGATACGGCACAATTTCCGCGCGCAGCTCCACATTGAACTCCTCGAACTGGCTTTGCCAGGTGTTGATCACCTGGCAGATTTCCGTGGCAGGCAGATTGAACTTGTCTATATTGGCTGAGGGAAGATGTTCAATGATATTCGCTACCTCGCAGGTGAGGAGACGCAGGTTCGGGAGCCAGCCGCCCTGCACACATTCGTGGACATATGAAGGCACCCAGGATTTCACCTCGTCATAACGTATTGTGAGACTCTCAAGACTCGGTGGCAGAAGTTCATCCTCGGGGGTCAACTGAAGGCAATTTACGCCTGCCAGTGAGCTGAGCGTGACGGTGAGATGCTTGAGTTTGGTGAATATACTGAAGTATGTCAAGTCATCACTGCCCCAGTAGAGATCGTAATCTATGTACTCCAATGAATCCTGATGCTTGAGCAGCGCTTGCGTATAGTCATTTTCTGGTTGGTATCCGTCCGAATCCGGGATTCTAGTCGCCCTAAAAGTAAACCGCTTCAAGGCTCGTGGACATTCGAGCAAATACATCAGATCTCTATCCTCTATGACGCAGTTCAAGAGGGTCAAGTCTTCAAGCTGTGTGTTGGTGTGTCTCAACAGGTGAGAGGGATCTAAAACCAATTGGAATGTAGCCCCAGTGATGCAGAGCACCCGTAGACCTGGATGACGGAAAATGGCCTCGTTGAATTGCGGTAAGTTAGCACAGTCCATGTTGAGATTGTGTTTGTCATGGTTAAAGTCGCTCCCAATATGACCTGCATTTCATTAGCCCCGATACCTGGGGATTACTCAAGATAGAAAAACTTACAGACACGCAGTGCGGGCAGTCCTGGTGGGTGTTGGAGCAGTGCATGCCAGAATAAGGTTTCGTCGCCACGGTCGTAGTCGAAAGGAATGGTTCGGATATCTGGAGGACTGAATTGTGACTGTCCAAGAGGTCCAAACCCCATGTCGCGGTATTCTCCGACAGTCTGGGCTTCTCTGGCCGCTTCCCGTGCCTCCACGGTTTGTATATTATGGACGGTCCACTTATCAAACTTATGAGGTCTGGGGTTTCTTCTCAAACTCAGCGTCTCCAAATTCGGCAAACCCGCGGCCATTTTGTAAAATTTTAGATGACGTCCGGAGGACAACTCTGAGCCACTGTCTTCCTTGTGTCGAATTTCACGGATGAGTTCAGCCAACTCTGGGCGTTGTTCTATCGCAACAGCAAGACGAGCCCCGCTTTCCGAGTTGGCAAGGCATACTGGACTGTAGAGAAGAGGTAAAGTCCTCTGATAAAGCATCTGACATGTTTGCGCAAGTCGGCTTAGGTGCTGGGGAGACTCTTCATGTTTTAGCTGCTCGATGATCATATCCCAAATCTCCAGAGGGAAGTGCAGAAAACTGGATTTGTCCGAGCCAATAGACATCTCGTTTGTCGGTGTGTCCATTGTGATGGCACATGTGAATAATGTATGAAAGTGGCGGACAAGGGAGATGACGAAGGAAAGTGTTGGGTGGAGAGATGAAAGCTGGGAAGGGTTGAGGTCGTGATCTCGGGAATTTTCTAACCGTGCCTGGGGAACCCGCGTTCAATCCCCCAACGCGGTTTCCTATGTTCCCACTTTTTCTTCAGACTGACTTCTGATTTATGACTTATGTTTTCGACTTTTAGTCTTCATCTGGCACTTCATGAAATACCTATTTGAAAAGTTTAGCGAACACTAAAGTTTACGCTGAGATGATCGTGTATATGACATTGGAATATCCCCGTTGAATCTCGATCTGTACAGACGGATGCTGTCAAACCATGCAATGCATGCAGTGATAACGTGCCATCCGTATCAGGGGAACGACATAATATACAAGAAAGAGAGATCAGGATCTCTGAAGGCAGGACCCCCGAGGCCATGCACTTCTTAATCGACACGAAGGATCAAGTCCTCGCCCCTTCTCGACGGAGTTAAGTTGCGACTAGTTGGAGAAACCCGATTTGAGACAGTGGCAGCCTGTTTCTTCGGGCTATCGGGGTAATGCACAGCCCCAGGACACAGGTCTGAAGGATATGGTAGTTCTCCTGAAGGCTCTCGGGATCTTGGTGGTGCAAGGGCGCGGTTGCGCTCTAACCACAAGTCATCTGGACAGTACGGTACGACGACTTCGCTGGGTTGTCGTGGACTGCCGCGGATCTGGACACGTTTGATGTCGTTGCCGTGGACAATGCGAGGCCTGGACACTATCTCTGAGCCTGGGGGCAGCGTCGATGATGAGGCAAGGGGAGGTTGGGGTGCTGGTCTTTCTGGTGACAATCTGCGGTTCTGGTTCTGATCTTGATTGGTCATGATGGGAGCCGTGAGGAGTGTTGAAGTTGAGGAGGGATGGGTAGTTTGTGGTGACTCGGAAGGTTGGCTGTTTACCGAGGTATTGTTGGGTGGCGAGGCTCTAACGGCTGCATTGGGGTTGAAAGGTGACGCTAAAGTACTCGGATGCTCAGACTCTTGTTTGTAGTACCTTGCGTTGAATCCCTTTTTGAATGCACGAGGGTTCGCAGGCAGTCCTGCGAATTTGGGTTGGTCCGCTGGCTTTGGGGAGTTGTTCTGCGTCGTTCCTGTCGCTAGTGCTGCTACCGCTGCTGCTACTGCTGCCGCTTGTTGACCTTCGTCTTCTTCGAAAAGTGTCTCTCCACTGGGTGGTCGGTGTGTCCACTTCAGCGGTTTTGGATATAGCCCAGCGTTCGAGTCTGGTAGCAGTCGTGATACGCTGCGCTGGGAAGATTGTGTCCGAGGCGAAGTTTCCCAGTCAGACTCGGAGCTTACGGCACACCCAATCCGTTCTTGGTCGTCCGGCTCCCTGTCTTGCCCTGGATGTGATACTGTGGCGAAATGGGGCGAGTATCGTGATGCTGATTCGACAGTGTTCATTGTTTGATAGGTTTGCGGCCGCTGTGACATTTCCCCATTGCCCCTGGCGAGGCTATGTGAAGACCCTAAGCCTAGGCCATCTGTTGGCGGTCGTGGCATAGGGTTCGAAAAGTCGGAGGGCTCAGACATCGCGCCTCCGATCTCGAAACTGTGCGGTGCTGTCTCTTCCCGATGCTTGCGTCGCCACCTCTTGCAACAGAAAAACACAGCTACGCCAATAATGAACGACCCTGCCAAGCCCGATGCCACTGACATACCAATGATCGCTGCTGGCGAAATATGATTATCATGCTTCTTTTCTGTATCTTCAGAAGAATCAACGGGAGGGGGGTCACTCTCCCCGGTGGGGGTCGGTTCCACTCGAGACTCCGAGGATGAAGGGTCATAAGTAGTGATTTCAGAAGTTTGACTGGAAGTAGTCGGCGTCGTGTATTTACTTGACGAGGTAGTGCTAGCTGATGTTGTGAAATCAGTCGCCTTTGCGTCATTAGTCTTCGTCGTCCTAGTATCCGAAAAGACGGTAGCGGTGATCGTTTGGTGTGTTTTCGGGAGGGCTTCAGACACCAAGTCACATATATGATAAGCTTCTGACTTCCTGATGATCGCTTGTGGACATATAGACATAACACAGCTCAGAGCCGCCTCCCCCAGTGTCAAGCTACTCGTTGTCTTGGAGCGGCAGAGGCACATGATATCGGACGATGATGTGCATTCCGTGGGGCTGTACTCGGATCTGATAAAATTGTCCACGCAGTCCTTGGCACAATCTGGGACCATCTCATATAGAGCTTCGTTTGATACATTGCTGGGGATCTCGTCTGCCGCAGAGCAAAGCGCGAGTGAAAGAAGGATCGCGATGATTATCCGGTGAACAGGATGGACGAGCATGCTGCGGTAACCCTGATTTTCCCCATGAGCGATGATCCGTCAGATACACTTGGGACTTTGACTCACCTTACAGACTCTTACATGGGTAATGTTACCCGCGAGATCTTGTGCATATGGTTACCATTGTAGGAGATGTGTGCCCGTAGATTGAATAACAACTGGCACAGAAGTTGCAAAGAAGTACACAATGCCAGGAAAAAGAAGTCAATGTCAGCCAAAGTATCCGCAAGAGGGAGTCCAGTCTAATTAAGCACGAAGCCAAAGCGCAACGCCAGTGTACGCGCGAGGCGAAACTGTCCATGACGGTGGCCATGGACCTTGGGCTCAATAAGCTGGGTTTCGACATCATTCTGAAACATAGTACATGAGGCTGTGCCTGCGCAGGCGCTAGAGTAAAACTGCCTGACATATTAGACTGTCGGACTTCCTCGAATGACGAATCGCTGCAGTGATGTAGCGCCCTGTCTGGATTCGGTCTAGTCAGCGGCTACCATACGCGCCGGGCCATCGAAAGCGCTTAGGCTGCAGAATGTGTTACTCGTGGGGCCAGGATTGGCCCGGGATAGGTTTCAGATCTCGAAAACTAAGTGGATGCGCAACTAGGATCTGTTGGGTTGGTGAAATGTGCAACCTGCAACCTCGTGATTGGTCCTTTGTTAGGACCTAGCCGCCTGCGCAGCAGCAGCGCAGGGCTGGCCGGGATACCCAGGAGGGTCATGTGAGGGTTTCTGGAAAAGTTCGACTCGCGCAGGAATCGAGATGAGTCAAGTAATGAGAGCAGGCTTTATTCTCCTGTTGTGTTACCTATTTACTCTGCTTTAATCTGCTCTCGTGCGCTGCATATGGGGCAACTCGCCCACAGGTTGCACCTATCATTTTGGACCAGGCTAACAGAGGCATGACTGGGGCCCACAATACTCATACTAATGTAGAGCTCATTGGTGCTTGGTGCAGAAATCGGCTTTTCGGGTCATGCAAGTCTTTCTTCCTGTCGCATCCGAGTAAACCGTAACCGTGTACGCAGTACGGAGGTAAATTGCCGCCATGCTGGACTTTGGTTTTATTGACGTAAACGCATGGAGAACACATATGAGGCAAAAGATGAAGCGGGTAGATTATCAACAAGAGCGACAACTACCTCACGGTATACTGCCATGGATGCGACATGCACACTGATCATACCCACGGGTCTCCCCGTACAATGCGCGCCTACACATTACACCTCAGGAAGAACTCGATAGTAGTTTTGAATAAACCATGCATGGATCATAAGCTAGCCAACAGCGTGCATTAATACGAAACGAAGCCCCGGGGGTCGTATGAGCTGGTATCATTCATAACGAAATAGCAGAAACACGCAGTATCGAGCAAGACAAAGGAAAGTGTTTGAAAACAAAACGCGTCACCATGCAACCACAGGAAATATTAAGGAATTATGGACATCACATCGGACCCGATGCCAAGTGTGGAAGCTGCATTAGGCTAGTCTCAACCGGACCTCGACGGAACCACGCCGACACCGATGTTCAGGACATACAACCGCACCGTCCCTTACTAAAAGGTAAGGCAAGTGCAGGGGTTGTTGTAGAGATACCCGCATTATCGGATTTTCAGCGGATATTGATTTTGAAAAGCGTCGGCCGAAAGTGTGGAGAAGGTGGTATCTCTAGTACTTGAAGATGATGTAGCTGTGATAAAGTCAGCGGTTGTCGCGAAAGATCCAGTGTCAGAACAGTAAACACATACATGGCGTGGATGATACCAGGGATCCATCCGAGAATAGTCAAACAGATGTTGATCAGGAGATCAGCACCACATCCTCGCTCCAGGAAAACACCCAGGGGAGGCAGGATGATGGCGAAGATGATCTTGCAGATGTCTCTATTGAGGTTGTTAGTACACTGAATACCCGGACATGGTCTTTGTGGCGGGGGAACAGCGCGATTTGGCGGCCTGAGCGACGGGGGGTTGGACGTCGGCTCTGAGAAAAAGACTGGGGAGCTCGACAAGAGGATGACAAGCCGTAACTCGGAAAGATGCCAGAAAAGCAAAAGGTAGTAACTTACGAAGCGGTGAAAGCCATTTTGAATCAAATTTATGGTTGATGGGGAAAGTAAGCAGGAGGTTGAGATAGAAGGTTGGAGGGAGGGAAGTGTTTAAAAAGGAGACTGAGAAACTCGCAGGAGCTTGGGTCATTACATCATGGGTAAAGTGTGGCTCGTGTCCTACTTTTACGCAGATCAAGGCACCAAAACGTGGCTTGATTATGACCAAACGGCGTTTTATATTTCCACACTCTTAAATTACCTGGTTTAATTGTTGATCATCTACTAGTTACATGGTACAATTGCGATGTTGTGATTACGATCGTTTTGACTATCCAAGGAAGGTTGAGCTTTTGTCCAGGGGGTGATGTCCCTTGTAAAATGATCTGCTGTGCTGGCGGCTGCGTCCCCATCCACCGCTGCCCTATCCCATCAATCCTTTTGCTCGCTGCCTGGAGGAACCTTGGCGCTTGGAAATGAACTACGTTTTCTTCTTGTTTTATCGCATTCTGTTCTATATTTATTTTGTGCTGTGATGAATCATGATACTATATTACCTAGAGTGCACTTTGAGTTTCATGGCGACGATCCCTACGAATGCTTGTACTTTTTTACATTTACCGAGGATCTTTACGCAGTACTTGGTGAGTATCCTGGGTCTGTCTGCCAAGTACTCTCGGTGGTACAGTCTGTGGTGTCAAAACTCCCAGGGTCGTGCCCAGACCACGACGATGTACGCAGTACGCAGCGTACTCGCCAGCCCTACTGATGGGCCGTTGCCCCCACCTGCCAAGCCGCCTATCATCATGTGGCCGGCCTATGACTTCACTACAAATTACGCAGAAAAGTGGGAAGAGTGGCTGGGCCGGTAACTTACGGGGGTGAACAGGGCTGAGTAAAGAATCCATTTAAGCATCGAAGCAGCTGAGGAGCAGCGGAGCTGCCTAAATCCATGCGCCGCTCATGGAATGTACAAGGCCCGTGTTACAAGCACGTCCATCGGCGTAGGTAGAATGATTAGTACGGGCTGCGCATGAGAGGCACCAAGCCGTATTTACATTTCGTTCTTCAACCAGCCAAAATCAACATCCTCCGACAAAGGAGTTGACGTCTAGGTCGAGCACGACAGCCACTAGCTCTGAACAAAGCTGCTGCATTCCCCAAAGTCAGCAGTTGAGTTCCCCTTGCAATCCGGCACGCTGCACACTGAGTACGTCCAAATGACTGCCAGCCTCATCGACCACGAACGGTTTGCCGTGTCCACCAGCCAATAAGCCTTTTAGCCCTGTTCCGTGAGGTGCAGCGGTGCTACAAGTGGTTCCTTGCTTTCGGTAAGTGCAACAGCCTGCGCGCTTGGTATAGATACGTACCGGATTTCCATGGCATGATAAAGACAGACTCGTATTCAAACAACTATGTTTCACTGCTTTCATAGCCGAGAATTTGAAAGCTCGTTCAATTGTACTGCGCACTGTTCAGAGGAGCACTTATCTAGTGATGGATACGGTGGAAACAGATGATCCGCTCCGCGACCGACCCACTATCCTCCGCAATGACTTTGGCGTTTTCCTGATTAGAGCTTGATCCATCCTGATGTATCAATGTCGATGCGATTCGAACAGATGAGGTTGGCCCTCAATGCAGGGCGTCGGCATTTCTTGAGCTCATATCAAGTCCCCAGAAGCCTCGGCCGCGCCAATAGATGGTATGCGACACAGAACCCGGCCAAGCGTGGGCCACCTTTGGCGTACACTTGGCTCACCGAGGCAGCAGAAGAGACAGTGAGTGCTCAGTATGGCAGAAATTTTGGTTTGATGCTGAACAATGACAGACTCCGGATGATATCTTGTCCAGCCTGCCTTCGGGCCCTATGAGCCTTACCGCCGCGCCCGCCTCCGTGCCTATCCTCCTCGTTACCCCAAGCTTTGCCCCCTGGCTTGATCCTGCTAGTCCGTTCTTGTCACGTTTTCTCAATCGCCTTTATGGAAACTCCACAGGGAATGAATCTCTCTGCGCCGTCGCAGCCGTGGTGGACGCACTCCCCAACACGGGACCCGAAAGCTCCATTTCAAGCGAGTCGGAAGGACTGGCTGTTTTAGTCGTCGAAGAATCAGCTGTTCGAGCAAAGGGCACACCGCCTCGTCTGATCAGAAGCTCTGCCAGCGAGGAGACCAATCTCTTGTTCTCAGTCCAGCCTCAAGAGATTGGTCAAACCAGCAAAGGACCCTCGCACGAGATCGGATTACGCCTTGCCAATACTATATTTGTCAATGGGAGAGATACAACTCTTCTCGGTACACGCTGGCTTTGGAATCAAACCATCAACGGCTATGAATTGGACGAGTCCCATGACCTTACAAGCTGCATGGTCACGGCGACTTCTCAGGCGGTGGATACCGCACTGGAGTTGCCATTGCACCCAGTGACTGAACGACGAAGGGTCATGACTAGTATGGGAAACATTCTACGGCAGCTGGCAAAATCTACGGATGCGACATCGACAGAAACAATCCCTGCCTCGTCAGAACTTGAGAAAGAGCTCCCTCGCTATATCGCAGAACATAATATCATGGACCAGCGTGTCTCTGTATGGGCGCTGGTCGAGAGCCCTGATTCGGAAGTAGCTGATCCAGGCTCATCTACCCATGACCGCCTACTCCAATCCTTGCAACAAGGTGGGAAACTGCACCGCGTCATGAGCGGTGGAGGTGGATGGGGAAAGAAGCAGGGTCTTCTTTCATTGGATCCCGAGATCAGCTTCTCAGGGACAGCCAATGCAAATGAACTGGTTGCATTCACCCAGGTTTTCGATCCTGATACTGCACACGTGGATACACTTCCTCACATTGACAATGGGATCACTGTAGATGACCTGTCTCTTCTTTCACAGGTGGCTGCCGCGGGCGACTATATCCAGTTCTTTGTGTCGGTAGAACCGAGTGTCACGGAGACCAAAGTCTCGGGCGAACTTGACTCACAGGAGGACGCTGTCAGCTATCACTTTGGAATGGTTGCGGACTCCATGAGCCATGTAACACACAACTCGGATGAGGACGGCAATTCAATCGTGTCTCTACCTCGCACCTTTGGAGCATTGTCCGAGAAGGCCATTGCCTACTCACAACCGATGAAAAGAAAAATGGCGTCAAATTCCTGCACGAAACTGGATATACCAGGATGCCGAGTCGTTCTCAAGACTATGTAATATAAAGAGCACCATGTACAATACTACAATAAGTAAAGCAAGAGTAAAATGATCATCACCGAATCTCTACTGCGTACATATCACATCCAACCTGTCGATGTGGATATGCCAAGACCATCCACGTGACTCAGAGAGGCCAGCATGTTTGCCGTCGACCTCCACGCCTCTGGACCTCCATCCACCCCGACCGCATCCAAGTGAGCTTGCCGACCTAGGGTCTTTTTACATCTTTTCAAAGCTCGAACAACCTCATAGAAGCCTTCTTGGATAACTCTCCATCAAAATGGCTACCGAACTTTGGTATGTCGTCAACCAGACCTCCAGCCCCCTGGGTGCTTAGCAACTTCCGATCGACAGCTTGCTATCATGCCCGTCATTCCCGAGGAATTATGGATCAGTAATGCTAACGTGTGAACTCTTACAGCCCCGTCTATGCGGTGAGTCTTTCAATATGCTAGATGCCGATACCCGAACATGATCAAACCAATTGCCCGTGTCTCGGCCACTCCGCGTCATCCATATCCGCTCAAAATGCTTCGAACCGATAACTAATTGAATCCTCTAGCCCTTCTTTGGCGCGCTGGGCTGCACCTCTGCTATCGTCTTCACCTGCTTCGGTGCCGCATATGGAACCGCTAAGGCCGGTGTCGGGGTTTGCTCCATGGCCGTCCTCCGCCCCGACCTGATCGTTAAGAGTATGTGGACCTCAACACGATGAGATAATTGCCAATATGGCAACACGATACCTCTAAAGCCCACACGGGTACGAATGATATCGGTTTGCTGACTCGGTTTCCAGACATTGTCCCCATTGTCATGGCAGGTATTATTGGTATTTACGGTCTCGTTGTGTCGGTCTTGGTCGCCAACGACCTGACCCAGCAGCTCCCTCTCTACACTGGTTTTATTCAGCTCGGCGCTGGTCTGTCTGTCGGTCTGGCTGGTCTTGCTGCGGGGTAAGTTTGCGACACAAGATGTCTCCAATGGTCCGTCAATAGTTTTGTTTCTAACTGAGGTTGCAGTTTCGCTATTGGTATTGTCGGTGATGCAGGTGTTCGTGGAACGGCTCAGCAGCCTAGGTTGTACGTCGGAATGATTCTTATTCTCATTTTCGCCGAAGTCTTGGGTAAGTCGTCGCTTCTCCCCACATCATATATAACGTGACATCTGATCACTTCTCCCACTCGCAGGTCTGTATGGGTTGATTGTTGCTCTTCTCATGAACTCCCGCTCGAAAGCAACATGCTAAACAAATGACTCCCCGCCGCATTTCGGGAATCGGCCCTCGAATCGCCCGATGGACCGCACCCACGCGGTTCGTGGTTGGTTCCCGTGTGTGCATTCTCGATGTTTTCCCGACGCAACTCAATATGCCTCCTTGGCCGGGAAAGTTGATGTGACAAAGATGGTGCGGGTGCAGGATCGGATGCTTTTGGGGGTGACAAGTCGGTTTCATCCCATCTTAGAGAGAAGATTCGATGGAAGAGCGGGTGTAGAATGGGAGAATCTTTTCAACATTCGTGCCTGACCCGGAGCACAGAAGTGGTAGATATTGGATTTTTGGCTTTACATTGCATGACACCGCGCTGGACTGTACTTTATATGAAATTCGCTGATCCTGGACTGAGTTCTTCATCCTCTTCCACTATGGTAGTAAGGAAGGATCTACTGTAAGGTGTTTTATTTGATTTTGATTTCGGTCTTTCCTGTGGCCATCCTTTATCTCTATCCGGTATTTGCTTGTACCTGAAGGAGTCGGTTGTAATTTCCTCAATATTCGAATACCGCGCTTACGTCTAGTAATGCAGTCTACAGCAAAAGGAACCAAATTAGAAAGGGAGTAGAGGTATGTGTAATTTGGTCGAGTATAGGTTAGAGAGGAAGGAAACGAGAAAGGAAAAGAAAAATGTATGAAAACAAGGGATATATGCCCTGAACTCTCACGAGACTAGCCTCGACCCAAAATGCACAGGCCGTAATATGCAACTGAACAGAAAGAACAAAAAAGCAAGCCGGAGAAAACAGCCTCAGACGCTCTACCTCTCGAGTTTCCGTCTCAGAGTACGCGTCCTCTTCATCAGCTTCTTGAACTTATGCTTCTTCATCTTGACCTTACGACGTCTCTTCGTGCTGATGGCATGCATGGTTCGGTTATTACGCACCCGCTCCATGTATGTCATGCCAGCGGTAGAATCAGCCGGCGCCTCGATGGAGATTTCAGATGAATCCCCCATCTCCCCGTTACGCACGAACGGCCCCGTGTGTGCCTCGTAGGTCTTGCGGCCATCGGCGTGGCGGGCCTCGCGGATCGTCAGGACAGTCGAATATGTCTGATATTCGTTGTCGATCTGGGCGTCGGTGGACTCCTCGGCCTCGAAGGCGGAGGTGTCCATGGGCACGGGCGCGGGAGGAGGCTGGAATGGACGGAGACGACGGGCGTAGTCTTCCACGGACATTGTTGCGTCGTGGCCGTCCAGCATGCGGAGTTCGCCGTCCTGTTCGCTGAAGGTTCGGAACTGGTCTTCGGACTCGGTCATGGACTGGGTGCCGGCTTCCATTGACTGTACGGCTGAGGAGAGAGTGAAGATTACGTCTTCGGGCTCGTTCCGTGCCGGTCGCTTGGAGGAGAAGATGGCTTCGAAGGCATCAGTGCTGGAAATAGGGGGCACAGTGGTTGTCACCGAGATTGGACGGTGGATGGAGAAGAATGATGCTACATGGACATCTGATAGCAGAGAGAACAGTTAGCTTCCGTCACTTCACCGCGCAGACAGCCATAGGAGAAAGACCGTAGATAAGGCTGGGGGTTGGATCACTAACCATGTGGCTGTCGGTGCTGTGTCGAAGGGACACTCGGTAGGTTGGAAAATGCCGAATACTGGCTAGATTTTGAAGATCCGTTGCGGGCGGCGCTATCCTTCCCCCGACGGCGGCTGGTCTTGCTCTTCTCCCCAGTGGAGTTCACTCCCTTAGCTGGGGTGGAAGTGTCCAGTCGTCGGGAGCCATCGCTGGGCGGGACAGGCGGTTTGGAGGATGAGGAGTACCGGCGTTGGTGCAGAGGACGAGTTGCGCCAAGCAGGCTGTTGGTAAGATTTTGTCCAGCGCGAGATACCCCCGGTAGCGGCATGGGAGTCCATGCCGCCCGGCGTAACGAGGAGGACAACATGGTTGGTAGATGACCGAGATACTGAGGAGGGTGAATGAGTCTGATTCGGAGGCGAAATCAGTCGGGCCGGAACTCGGGGTCACCTGATCATGTGGAAATTATGTAATTTTAGTGCCTGAGGCGTCAACAATATACGCAGTCAACCGCAGACCTAGGTTGCGGAAACTTGACTCGTGTTAGTCGTGTAAGTCGAGTTTGATGGAAACTGAAAATTCGCTTCATAAACATGCCCGCTTTCTGATCGAGTTTGGAGTCACGGGCTTTGTATCTTCCCAAAGTTGGATTACAGGGGGCCTTGGCGCAATATAGCCTGCAGAAGTGACCCATGACGTGGGATCTACAGCAAGGAATCCGATTGTAAGCGAGTGCAGGTCTAAAGTGAACACTGAACGTACACTTGACAGTTACCTGCTCATACTACATGGACTTATAGATTCAAAGACCTTAATCAGAGCTCAAGGGTTGGAACTTTGCCCATGAAAGGGCAGGAGATCGAGTTCATTCAAAGATGAGATAGTAAATAAAACCCAGAATGATTGCGATAATACAGAGCAGTCGTTGGTGAACAGCTGCGGAGACAAACAAATGGTATCATCCTGCAGTAAAACAAAAAAAGGAAAGCAGACAATAAGTGGAATAAACGACACTGTCGCTAGAACTGAAGCGGGGGCATTAGTTGGCGGAATCGGATGGGCTTTTGGAATGCAACGTGATAGACCCAGAGATGCGAGCAAAGAGCCGACAACAACCTCTCCAATCAAGACGCCTCGTAAAAATAGAAGGGGAAGAAGATGAGTGACAACAGTCACAAAGACAAAAAATAGCCGCCCTGGAATGCAACCGGAAAATAAGTAGGCTGAAGAGCTTGAGAAATAGAAATGAAGAGATGAAAAGTATGTCATCGTCACAGACAGACGTGGGAGATTGAGGAAATGCGAGGGCTCGGTCTTATAAAATCAAGGTATGCAAATTCTTCTGGATGATCATGTCCTGCACTGAATCCATGGTCGCCTTAAGCAGCGTTGTATCAGTTGCGTTGGTGTAATGAATATAAATCTCGCGGTCTGGAATTCGGTTGATGCCTCGGAACCGATCTGCAAAGTATTGTGCTGCGGAATCATAATCGGTGCTGGAGCCAGCATAATCGGGGAAGTGTTTCGAGATAGGGGAGATGGCAAGTTTCCCCTTGAAGAGATCGATCTTGTTGAGGAAGAGGATGATTGGTTTACGTTTGAACCATTCACCGTTGACTAGTGATTCGAATAACATCATGGCCTCGTGCATTTGATTCTGTGAAAGTCGGGATTAGCGCAGGGAAGAATATTGGGGAAGAGCGTACTCACAGCGTTCTGATCTTCAACCAGACATTGATCATATCCAGACAAGGCAACCATGAACAACAGGCATTGGACACCTTCAAAGCAATGGATCCATTTTTTCCGCTCTGATCGCTGTCCTCCAACATCCATCATGCGGAAGTTCATTTGTCCGAGTTCAAACAGAGTTTCCGTAATACCTGTCGTCCGAAGTCGAGCCTGCAGCATGTCCTGGTTGTCAGGGAGCCAACCCGGAGCGAAAATGCGGTCGAGAGATTCGTAGAAACTGGGGATTGTCAGCTTGGTGTCCGCGAAATGGATCGATTCGACTGACTAGTACAAGTTGTCATGAAGAGCAAATTCATGACCTCGTGCAACCGCCTTCTTAACGCCTTCATCGTTCCACATGACTCTCATCGCATCGCGAACCTCGAGATTTGAGAAAGCTTCGTCAGACCCTACATCTGGGTCGGTCTTGTCTAATAGTTCCGCACATGGCTATCGAACCCGTTAGCGGATATCGCTCTTAGAAGAGGCGGGAATCGTACTCTGGTCTTTTCTTCATTCTCAAAATCAATCTCTTCGGCATTCATGATATCCAACAAGACTTTGAAGGCAATGAGAAGGTTCGAGTAAATAATCGCACGGGTTTGGTGACGCTCTTCCTCGGGAAAGCCCCGGCTATGAATGATTCGCATCTGCTTGATAATGGTGGACTTGCCCGACTCTCCCGCTCCTAAGAAATCGTTAGCATCGTGATAACCCCAACTTTGTTAACAGCGACAGAAGATTCACTCACCTAATAGCAGAATTTTGATCGTCCGGTCCAGTGTCTTCTTGTCATTCTTAAGACCCCGGTCTATGCGTGCGCTACGCTGAATGGCTCCCTTATCCACCTCCTCAGGCGTCGAAACTAAACAACCCATGATGGTCTAATAACGATAGACCTAACGCGACGGTCAGTAACGGTTCGTTGCAAGCTCGACTGGCCCAGTGCAGGACTCGAGCGGTAGTCGATATTCCGTCGATCTGAATCAGGGATGGCGGTTCAATTGCGCCACTCGGGAGTCCAGACGAAGCTCAGAGACAAAAGACACGGCTAGACTCCCGGCAACCTTAACAGGATCACTTGAGCTTTCCGCGGTAGATGTGCCTACCTGTTCTTTGAGTGTCTTTCCCCGACGAAACAACAGTTATCCCCCTTCTATTCTCCAAGATCCAGCCGAGCTCGAATGGTGTGCGACGTGATAGGCAGAAGCTTTGAGGTTCTTCGGTCCGTTGATTCCCCACAAGTATCGACCACGTTCCGTTGTAAATTGGACCGGTTATGTTTCCAATTGGACCAGAATATCCTCCGAGACAGGCGAATTCGTTCGACACCACAAGGCGCAAAGTGGAAAGGGTTAAAAAAGAAGGTTGGCGGCTGACGGGGGGGGAGGAGAGCTCGTTCGTAAGGTTTTTGGAATTCAAGGTCAAGCCGAGTCGGGGAAGAGGGGTTAAAGAGAGAACAGAAAGGGAAATTTCACAGTAAAAGAGTAAGATAAAAATAAAAAAAAAATAATTAAAGGAATCGGATCGTTCACAGACTAAGCGGGGAGGAAATGGAGAAGAAGAAGAGGGAGATCGTTTAGGTACTTTTTTCTTGAAGAGGAGAGTCGTCAACTCGTAATACATTCTGGAAGTACTTTATTTGCCCCTGGAATGGAACAAGATATACTCCGTAGCTAGTAGTTTTCTACCTTTTCTTCTCTACTCCGTAGTTATCTGACTATTCTTTGTGTTCTTTTTGTATTGTTGCCAAATACAAAGCCTACAATGCCTTTCACTCCTAAATCTTCACTTCCAGGGGCGCGAGATCCACTGGGGTGGACCCCCTGTCTGCAACATCTGTGATATTTTACTGCGTCAACAGTGTTTATTTTTACTATGTTCTATTGCACTACTTTTTATCTTTCCTTGGCTAATTGAGGAAACATAGATACAAAGAGACTAAAATAGAAAAGAAGCAACATAATCCGACATAAAACATGAATGCAATAACTAAGGAAAAGAAGAATCCCGGAATGCAAGCTGCAGCGATCGACACGAAAAGTGTTGAAACCCGCATGGCCGTGTAATGCAAGGTCCTTTCTGAAACGCTGGCGGATTCCTGTCCCGGGACTAATGCTTGGATCCCCATGGGCATCTTGCTCTCATGCCCCAGTCCATTACTAGTACAACATAGGCCGTGTTTCGCTAGAGCTCCGAGCTTCGGTCTTTCATGGAGAGACGACATACTGAAGAGAGTACTAAACTTCTCTCACCGTACTGTGTATGCCGAGGCTCACACATATCGAAGGCGCAATACCGGATTCCAGCGCTTAAGGGGTTCCGCGCAAACCAATCAGAAGAGCTCGAGTTCCACCTTCACTTGCTTCCATGCCAGCCACTGAGCCTTCTACGAAGACAGAGCTCCATTCCAGGAAAAAAGCAGTTCGGTGGACCACGGCTGTCAGTTACTCCGTACCTGCAACCCCCACACACAGCGCACGAATTCTGCCCCGATTGAGCCGCAGGTGAGCCCTAACTGTCTTCTATCTCGTTTGTCGGAAGTCCTCCGTAAAGAGTGAATGGCCTCTACCACATCCGCCTACTAGTACTCTACCCCGAAGGATTCCTAGTCTAGTGCACCAACCCCGCAGTACTACTCCCAAGCCAAGTCGGACGGTTCGCATTCCCCAATTCCTAAGATGACTTTTGATTAATTGCGGGCAATCTCACGCGCCGTCGGAGTACTAAGGCAGGGGCTTGGTCATTTTCGGACTGGTCAACTGCATGTGTGGAGATCCGGCCTCACAAATCCCCTATCTCGAGCTACGGAATCTTGGCAGGAAATTAGTACAGTAGTAATCCGCAGTAGACTACATCCGGATCAGCCTGGTCGTATGACCGATCTTGGGACGAAAAATCTCCGTCCGATCCCGCTACGCAGAAGATTCATCGAGACCTGCCGGCTGCCAGGCTGCCAGGGCCTCCGTGCTCCATATCTGGTGGGTCGATCATCCACCGTTCGTAAACAAAGACTTTCCAGTTTCCAAGTTTTACTGGAAGTCTGGAACCCCCTGAAACCTAACGTTGACTTTGCCTCCACGTGTGATTAACTTCGAAGCAAAATTTCCACGTGGTGGAGTAATATTATGGTTCTCGTGGCAGTGGGTGGGCGATAAATTATATACGGAGATATGTACTGTGTACTCGTCTTGTGCCATACACAGTACTACTTCCATGTTTGCAGGGCTATTTATGCAGAAGCCGATCTCCACTACGGAGTAGTAGCTAGATTTATGACGAGAACGACGACAGGGGAGTCTTGACGAGAGTTTCACACTAAAAAATAAGGCTAGCACATAAGTGCCTTCCCCCAATGGCGAATCAAAATGCGAGTTCACAACTATACCACATGTATTATGCTTCATGCACGGCAAATCGCTCTTATCTTAAGACCTATCTCCGTCGTAGTTAGCACTGCAGTGGACAACATAGCTAATGACAGGTCACAGGCCAAGACAACATTGACCACACGTACAACATCCAAATACGAAAATTAGCAACTCCGCTCCAACGTCCAGAAACCAGTAATGGAAGTGCTTCGCACGAGTTCGGCATCCCCCACTCCACACATCATATCAATCTCAGGATTCAGGAAGGAAACCGTCACTACCGTGAAACAGCCAAACGGCAATTGTTCAGGGGGCGTTGAGCCGGTGGATCTCCAGCAAATTAAACGTTTGTCGATCAACCTTTGACAGCTGGTCCAGACCCTGGTTTTTCAAACCCCGGGCGTGCCTTGACAGGAAATAGCCCCGGACTGGTATACCCAGTTCGGCGTAGACTGAAAACACAAGTCTGAGAAGGGCATCTGGTCGGGTTCTTCGGGTTAAAAGGGGGGAATACCATCAATGCCGATTGTCTCCGTGCAAGGTATCTCAAAGGATGGAGAAGTAATACCCGTAACCCGTTTTTAGTGGCCGTTTCGATGGGTCTATTTCTCCAGATCCCGGCCTAGGGTTTTGGCAGGATCGTTTCAGGGCTGGAGCCGTTCCGGGGAGGAACCGTTGGGAAGATATCCCTGCTTTTCGGTATTAGTTTACTGTGCAAGTGCCTACGAGTGCGGAGAATTTGTTTCGGGATGTTTGGTGCAGGTGCTTTTTGCTAAGGGGTTGGTGACTAGTACGGATACTGTGTAGGTACATACAACGCAGGCAGATCGAGGCCGAGGGATCCTTGGAGGTTTTCCGTAGATTAGTATGGCGATTACAAATCTAACAAGCTCCCCAGGGCTCCATCGCCGCAGAATAGGTAAGTGTAGGTACTAGGTTCCATGTCAAGCCTCTATTGAAGATATCGAGACCGAATATGTACCTTACTCCGTACACTGTTATTCCATGCAAGAGCACCTCATGAGGCCATTGAGGATCGAGGATCGCATATGACTTCAATGGATGATTCATCTATACGCTGACATTCCTACGAGTTAAGCTGAGCTCAGGTTGAATTGAATTTTGAATATTCTAATCTATGGAGTTGCTCGACACTTACTGTGTACTCCTACAGACATCGGCCCCACCTCTCCCAGGGGGGTATTTCTCCCCTTTGCCCAATCAGACCTCACCTCGGGTGAAGTTCCCGCCCTACCGACTCTGGTGTGATGAAGGAACAACTTGCTAAGATGAACTTCGATGAATTGGATCGAAAAGAGATGTTTCTGTCTGTCTGACGCCAAAACAGAGAAGAGCAGAAATCTGATAATGGAAATGTTTCCCACCTCACATGACCTCAAAATTCACAGGGCTTCATAATAATGACGTCACTGCCGAAACACAAGCATCAGAGCATCCTGGGAGTGGGAGACCCTTGCACCTCGCCGATCATCAGCCTTATCATCCAGTGCCTTCCAACCCTTCCAAATGAGTCCCGTTCAAAAGAAAGCGCTAGTGGTTATCTTTCCGGGATTCAACATCCTCGACGTGAGCGGCCCAGTCTCCGTCCTCTTCAACTCAGATTTCGCCGTGAGCTACGCCGCGAAAGATGAGCTCACAACCTCCCAAGAAAACATGATCGTCCGAAGGAACATATCCTTTGCCGAAGCCAAGCTTCGGATGGACGACTATGAAATATTAATTGTCCCCGGTTCACGACCGACGAGCACCCTACCACTGTTACAGACCGACGAGAATGACCGGTCATCAGAGATAATCGATTTCATCTCCGGCTTTGCCTCGGACTTGGGTCACAATGGCGTGCGACAACGCACTGTCCTGTCTGTTTGCATTGGGGCCTATTTCTTGGCTGCTGCCGGTGTGCTTGATGGCCTTGTTGCGACTACGCACCGTCTTGCGGTGCCGGGGTTACGGATTGCCGTTGCAAACTATGTGGAGCGGCATCCCGGGGCAAAGGGAACGAAGATTGTTCCTGAGAGTCCTTCGGATTTGGTTCCTTATATGGATGCTGGGCGTAATCCATCTGGGGTGAGAGTCATCACGAGTGGTCCGATGGTTCATGGCATTGATGCTGCGCTGCACTTTGTCAGTCTTTCTGCTGGTCGATCGGTTTCGGTGGAGATTGCGGAGCTTATCGGGCATCACTGGAGAGAGATGTAGGTCGGAGGTTGTGGGATGTACTTGCCAGAAGGAACGCGCCGGGTTTGTGGGTTAAAGCTGGTCTTCTCTATAGATTTTCCTTTCTTATGGCCAGGGATGCATTGATAGACTGTGAGCACAAAAGTACTGTCTAGTTATAACAGATTCGGGATATTTACAAGCACAGCTGAAATGATGTTGGGGGCAAATAATGGGTACCTATGGGTCCAGGGTGGCTATCCCAGGCCGCAAATACTCGAATTGATCTCTATTCGTCTAACATCTAAGATCTAACATTGATACTTCATAATCAAAGACCGTAATACCATCACTTCGTACTCAAAGAGTGTAATACCAGTTGGACATACCCTCAATCTGGCCATTGGTCTCCTTGGCCTTCTTGTTGGTTTTCCAAAAGTAGTAATCCATAAAAACGGTCAAGAAGATACTGACCATTGTGATACCGAATGTCACCCAAATGCCTGTGTTATAATACGGGCTTTCATCAGACTTGAAACTGACACTGGCAATGATGCCTCCAAGGCCACCGCCAATCAGGCAGGTTGCCGATGCGACTCCACGCTTGGAACGGGAAGTAATGTTGTTGGCTTGGAATGCAAGCACACCGGGGATACAAAATTGTAGGAAGCCCACACCTACAGCGTCCATGGGTTAGTTCAAACATACAAGCGACATAGAAGGAGAAAATAGAAAAGGAGCTCTTACCCAGGAAAATTCCAAAGTATCTCACCCCCATGTGACCACCATAGGCTGTGATCAACATCCCGATTGCCGTCAGCAGTTGGTGAAGAGCAATGACTGGCCCGCGGATTTGATATTTATCAGTGATCCACCCACCCATGAAGGTGAACCCTGCAGCTACGATGTAAGGCGGGGCACTGAGAAGCTGACTCTGTGTGCTCGAGAATCCCATGCCCATGATGATAACGGTCTTGAAGTAGCTGTACGCATATCCAGGCAGAGTGGAAGCCATGAGCTGGAACGCCCAGACGTACAGCTTCCAGTCCTTGAGATGATGAAGGGCACGTTCCCAGGTGACTGGATCTTCATGCGCGTCTCCACTGTCGTTGTTGATCCGGTCGATGATAAACGCTTGTTCCTCTGGCTTCAGGAACTTACCAGCGCGAGTCGGGAAGTCGATAATAATGAACCATCCAAGCAAACAGATACCGACAGTGATGGCTCCCTCGACGATGAAGATCCCTAAAATTCGACCCAGTCAGAAGTTGCTTTTTTGTATATGGCCCGGAAATTGATAACTCACAGCGCCATCCTGTTAGGCCGTATCTCCCATCAAGGAGGGTCAAGGCATATGCGAAGATTGCAGCGAAGGCATTCAGGATAACAGACACCAACCAAAATGCGGCCAGTCGCTTGCCTACTTCGAATCGCGTGTACCAGCATGTAATCAGATATGTGCAGCCTGGGTTTTGTCAGTACTGTTGAACTTGAGAACACGGCGGAATTGGTATGCATACCTGGTAAGAATCCAGCTTCCATGGCTCCTGTAACGGAAAAACACCGGTCAGCAGGACAAAATGCATGAGGAAGAACACGTCTTACCTAACAGGACTCTGCAGACAGCCATTGTACCCCAATTATTGACAAATCCCATACCGATCAAGATCGCTCCAAATCCAACGCCAAGGAATGCCAACCAGTTTGCTGCACCAGCTTTGGGAAGAACGAGATTCTAAATATCCGTTTGTCAGCAATGATCCTCAGGGCTCCAGAGAGGGGGCCGAGGGGCTATCCATCGAAGAGGGCGGACATACGCTGGGAATCTCGAAAAGACTAAGACAAGAGATTAGTACTGGGTTTGCATTCAAGGGCTGTCGGGCAATATAAAGACTCACATATATGCCACAAAGAACACCATGACGATGACGGTATATCTAGTTCCAACGTCAAGTCCAAGCTCCTCCTCCATCCCTGCCACGAATGCCAGCCCAAGGTTGGTCCGATCAATAAGGGATATGGAATACATGATCCCAAGGATTGGAAGGAGGCGGAGATCGACGCGGCGACTGATTGGAAGATCAGTCAGTATTTCGGTCTCTCTACAGCATTGGGATGCAGGAGGAATTGGGAACACACATCACTCTCTTCTGATGAGCCTCATCAATGCCATATACCGGTGCTGCGGTGCCGGGCGTACCCTTTTCTAGCTCTTGTTCTTCATGGTGGATCGACTCTCGCTCTTCTTTCGTCCTGAATTCATTATCCGGGGGATTTGCCAGAGTCGTTGCCATATTTGCGCTTAATCGTTCTTCTACTTCAACGGAAGGTGAAAAGGAGACGAGAAGTGCAAACTGTGCAATTGAGAACTGATTTACAGGCCAGGACTCAGTGGCACCGTGGCACTATAAGAGCCCTCCTTACCAGAGCTTTAGCCGAGCTACTCCAGCATAGAAGAGGCAAAAGCCTCGGATGATATTGAGAACTATCAAGATCTAGGGCAATCCCAAGATTTACCCCTCGTCTCCGCGATTGATGCCAAGGAGCCAAGTAAAGTATCGAATGCTCCGTACTCTTGGCTATCTTGGCCCTGACGGTAGCAACCTATCATGTCCGGAGCTACTTCAGAAATGGTGTGAAATTGTTGAGAGAGAAGCTAGGGGTATGGGGACCCCGCGCAATTCCCCCGCGCAATACTCCAGAAGTATACCCTTAATAGGCTGTGTTGGGAAAGTAGCCTATATCTCGACTCTCGGGCAGCTTGGCAAGCCGCACAACGGATGGCAAACTGGGCAAACTTAGACGGCAGTCAAGTTTTAATATATTTGTCTTGTTATTCTGGTGGTGAAGCTTAGCGCCGGCTGCAGATGCCAATTGTGCTGTCAACGTGTAGCCATGCACCTAGGTAGAAATCAACAGACCAAGACGGTCAAGGAGTACAGACATCCCAAAACACTCATTCAGCAGATAAGATGGACAAGGAGACATACGCAGAGGGCCAATGAAGAGCAATAATATTGGTCGGGGTTTTACCGATGTAGTGGAGCATAGACCTTTCGTTCGCGCCATACTGCTGGTTTTGGGATAGACCTTTCGAGCGGACCTGGGACCCTAACCTGCTCTGTAGCGTTCTAACTGGCTGGGATGTCCCTCCAGGATCCAAACATCGCATCCCCACACTGCATCCCACCAGCCCCATTGCAGGCCATGGCTCACCCAGCCTCCGGAGGGTGAGCTAGCCACAAGCCGAGAGTGTGCCACAATGGGACTCAACCTGGGTGTCTCTTCCTACGCCAATCACCCCGTGAAGGAAATCACAGACGGACCGTCTCATGATGTTATGCAGCTCTACTCAATGAGCGACAAGCCTAAGCAGGAGCGGATGCTTCGTCCGGCAGAGGCTGCGGGCGAAAGGCTATTATTCTGACTGCTGACAGTCATATCCTTGGGGTACGGTGGAATGAATTAAAGGTGTTCTCGCTGCGGAGGATGTGGAGATGCTATTGATTTTGGTTGTGGTAGTTTCTTCATCAGCAACCATGGTGGTCCGGTGGACGGCAGTTGGATGAGGCACCGGCCACTATCGATGTACTTCCAAGGTTCCTGCGGCCTGCCTGTGTTAAGGCCGCGCGGGGCAGTTCGGAATCCATGGATGTGGACGGTGGAATTCGATCTGGTGTGACGGGTGACCTGTGACGCTCTTGGTGCTGAGTGCTGCTAAGGTTGTGGTGTGGTTCGGAGGGTTACGGAGGTTTTACGAAGGTGCCTTCTACTGACTAGGTCGTAACTCGTTTTGTGGTGCAACGGCCAACCAGGAGTCGAGCTAGAGGTAATGGTAATGGGGCTCTGGCTAGACTTCCATATATATTGTATGGGAAGGCATATATTTGCCGAGGGTGTCTTCAAATTAGCCCAAACTGGGTGGTGCAGGTGGGCACTGAATACGTACTGATGAGGCCATACAGAGGCCGACAATGCTAGGTGGGTCAGGCCGCATCCATGCGGGGCCCCGGGGATGCGACCCGCTGAGTCATCGTCAATGGGACCGCGAACGTGACGCCATTCCCGACTGTTTCTCGTCACTTTCATCCGTTCCAGAGCCCAGACACTGGCAACTACTACCTAGCCAGTATACTAAGCTCTGTTATCTTATAATATAGGTCTGTCTCCATGAACATCGTGATTGGCAGACACGGAAGGTGCTAATACTGAGTAGCCTATCAGTGGTCATAGCAAATACGAGGATAGGACGCCAACTACTCATTGAGTCACTGCACAGTATGCAGTCTGAGAAGGGCCCGCTCGTGGGTGTAGACGAAGTCTACAATTCCGAGGACAATGACTTTGTTTCTAGCCACGCCTGGCACAATAAGCGACAAAGAACTCGCCCCTGTTGGGCAAGAGCCCTGAGAAAAGGGCTGAGCGTCCTGGTGTTTACCGGCTTGATTACCTACTATTTAGTTCTTCCGAATGGTAAGACCATAAGAGCCAACCTTTCTACCAGAGTGCATCACTGACGTTGCCTTTTTTCCATCAGTCTCTCCGTCAACCGAGAAGAACCCGTCCCAACACACCGACGCTTCCCCGCTTTGCCAGACACCAGAGTGTGTTCATGCTGCATCGGAGATTTTGTACAATCTGGATCCCAATTATAAGGACGTAGACCCCTGCACCAACTTTGACCAATATGTCTGCGGCGGATGGAGGGAACTCCATGACATGCGCCCCGACCAGGGGTCTATTTTTGCAGGCACAATCATGGAAGAGAACGCCCAGTCCAAGCTGCGTCATATCCTGGAGCGTACAGAGCCGCCGCAACCATCCGACGCCGATAACTTCAAGAAAATCAAGTCCGCATACGATGCTTGCTTGGATGAAGCTACGGTCAGCAAGCGGGGACGCAAGCCTCTGACCGATATTCTGCATGAGCTGAAAAGTATTTACCCCGAGAACGCAGGTCTTGTGAAAGGATCTCAGGATAATCTCACCAAAGCAATTCTGTATCTGATGAACGCTGGTGTCAACGCTCTGGCCTCTTCTGGTGTTACTGTAAGCCCATGTTGGCAATCCATTCTGCCAGACCTTTACTAATAAGCGATAGCCTGATGATCGAGACCCTGATAATGTTGTCATTATGATCTCCCCTCCTCGGCGAATTGGCCTTCCCGCACGAGAATACTACAATAACACGAAGGTCGTGGCTGACTACACAAACGCACTGAAGCAGGTTGTTGGAGGACTTGTCGGCGATGGACTCGACAAACTTGCCGAGGATGTTGTGGCTTTCGAGAAGAAGCTCGCGGATGTCACACCAGACACTCAAACACAGGAAGATGTCACCAAGTATTATAACCCTTTGAGCGTCAAGGAGACCGAAGCACTGATTCCTGAGATCTCTTTTGGTGATATTACCTCATCTCTGGCGCCTCCGGATTACAAAGGAGACCGTCTTATTGTTGGATCACCTTCCTATATGCAGGCCTTGTCTGGTATCTTGAAAGACACGAACAGAGAGACCGTTCAGCTCTTCTTGCAGTGGAAGCTCATCCAAGCATTTGCGGACGTTATTGAAGATCCCGCCGTTGAACCACTTCGACGGTTCAAGAATGAGCTCGCGGGCAAGGAACCGCAAGCTAAAGAAGAGCGATGGCGTAAATGTCTTGGGCGCTTGGATGACGGGCTTCCATGGAGTGTCAGCCGTTTCTATGTGCTCGATGCATTCTCCGAGGCCTCGAAAAAGCTTGGTGACCAGATTGTGTCTGATATCAAGGAGCGATTCATTTTCACTCTGGATCAGACAAGCTGGATGTCCCCGGATGTGCGGAAACTCGGAATCGAGAAGGTGGAGAACATCGTCCAGAAGATCGGATATCCCACAAAGAGCCCCAACTTGTTGGATCCCGACGATGTGAAGGAGTACTATCGGGATCTTGAAGTCTCGAAGGATACTTTCTTTGAGAACGAGGTGGCTGTGGCGAGATTCCAGCTTCGCGAGGAATGGTCTAAGCTCGGGAAGCCCACCGATCGTGACGAATGGGGCATGAGTGCACCAACTGTCAACGCTTATTACAACCCACCTGGTAATGAGATCGTATTCCCTGCTGGCATCATGCAGCCGCCAGCATTCTACGGACCCACCGCTCCGTTGTACCTAGCATATGGTGCGTTTGGTGCCGTCAGCGGCCACGAGCTTTCGCATGGTATGTTGGATGTTCTTTTGCGACCCTACCACCTTTTTGTTAACTCAATGACGTGATATAGCTTTCGATTCCACCGGTCGACACTACGATGAGAGTGGAAACTACACCAACTGGTGGGACGACAAGACTGTCGAAGCATTCGAAGACCGCGCCCAATGCTTCGTTGACCAATACTCGAAGTTTACCGTCACTGGGCCTGATGACAAGATCCTCCACGTGAACGGACGACTCACACTGGGCGAGAATATCGCGGATGCCGGAGGTCTGACGGCCTCCTATCATGCATGGAAGAAGCGCAATGACGCTAAACCTGATCTCCATCTCCCGGGCTTGGAAGCGTTCAGCAAAGAGCAGCTGTTCTTCATCGCGTATGGCAATTGGTGGTGTGGGAAGACTACAAAGGAGGCGGCCGAGCAGGCAATCTACAACGATCCCCATGCGCCTAAATCAGCTCGTATTATTGTAAGTCCCATCAGTGCATTTCATTAACGTGCTACCACTGACCACTTCTGCAGGAAACAATGGCCAACTCGAGGGAGTTTAAGGATGCCTTTAGTTGCCCAGAGAAGGAGCCAACCTGCAAGCTCTGGTAGCTATGAATTGTTTAATGTTTATCTGAATTCAAATTTGCTTTTATGGACGCCCGATATTGCAATGCATTACTAGATTATCTTGCCAGAGCCCTCTGGAAAGAGATATTGATGGGAGGCCATATGTTCATTCCCACCCCTAACTAAGCCAAATTGTAGTTAGTGGGGCAGTGGGAAGGAACATAAGGTCAATATCTGTACACCCGACAGTATCTTCCAAGGTTGCTCAATGCTTAAGCTTGGTGCCAGACTGCCAGCACGGGGCAGCACCTCAGTCATGAGTCATGTCCAAAATGGGAGGAAGCGGCCGAGTTGCATTGTGAAAACAGCTAGCTAGCGGATCTACCTAGTTACCAAGCTCAGCAAGATACATACCAGCCCCTCACCTCTTCAGATTTAGTTTGATGTCTTATTGCTTATGTTGACCTGTCAGTTTGATCTACGTCTGACATGTGATATCTCACCGGCGGCTACTCCGTAGATGTCAACACACGGAGAGGAATCAAAAGCCAGTGTGAATTGAAGAGTATAAGCTGCTTGGTGGCTAATTGAGGACTGATCAGGTCATATATTTATGAGACTGGCAATCTAGGCTTCCAAGGAAGAGCCCGAATACGGAGAAAATACGGAGGAAATATTTCCGATCTTCCTAACGCCCTGCTTGATCATCGTGGGACCTCAGATCCTGTGTCAGGTGAGACTTTCATATTATCGCTAGTGTAGCGTCTCAGGTGATTCTAGGGCAGCCAATGATCTAAATTAGGACGTTGCTGCACGGTAATTTGTTTTGCAGCAAGAGAGGTCACACAGCGCACAATCAACATTATTGTCAAATCTCACCTAAGGGACTTTGGAAAACACCGGTCACTTGAAACATGCCTAATTTTGAGCAGAACATGAGGGTTTGAGCAGTCAATGTAGCCTCAGACCGGAGGTATGTCAGTATGGTGTCAGACAGGTCCTGTAGGTAGCTCCGTTCGCCAATTCTCTATGGCTGATTTTTCCCAATTTCCCGTCACTTCTGCCGAGTGGAGATGGAAATAACGGGCTCTCTAGCCAACCAGAATCCTTGTCTGCACTGCCAATCCTACCAATCCTAGACAGTTTCTCGCTATTCGCCTTCGCCAACGACGTAAGTACGGAGTACGGAGTAGTGACCTATCACCTCCTTCCAACTTCGAGGCCTTCAGCTCTGTACATAACTAGTATGTGGAAGAGCTTAGAGAAATGTTTTGAGAAGAAGTGAAGATGAGACTGGGTTGTATACTAGCTGTAGACGTTAAGAGAAGAGGTAAGAACCGATCAGGGGAATTTAATAAAGGGGAATTTGGATGAACCGTGGATGAGCCTTACCGTTAGTTTGGTAGACCCAGAAGTTCGAACGGTACCGTTCGAACTTCCCGCCGCGTCGGTACCTCCACAAAAACAGAGCTGTTCCATTTCTTTTCTTTTTCCCCTCCCTCTCATGCTTGGACTTCATAGGCCATGCCGTGACTTTTGTATGATTTTGCTTTGACTACTTCCCAGTGGTACAAACCCTGGCCCCGTCGCGACGGGTTTCGCGCCGCTCAGATAGATTTCGCGTCATGGAACCATCTCCTCCACCCGTCGAACCGCCGCAGTTCAAAGATGCCTTTCTGGGCCCACAAGTCCAAATTAATGAACTGCCGGCCTCAAATCGAATACTCAATGGACAGAATACATCACTTCGACGGGCTAACACCGTAGCCCAGGGTGGCAACATCAAGCGCAACTTGGAGCTGAAGGCAGCACGCGAGAGAACAGAAGCAGGGATATACGCCAAGAATAGCCATGAGCCTTTACGACAGTACGACCTACAGCGGTCCCAAACACATCGCGGCCCGCTAGAGGCGCGTCCACCTGGGAGGAAGGTCGGCCACTTCACCGTGAGAAGTGTCGGCCAAAATGGCAAAATATTTCTCAGGTACACCAATCAGTTTGAAATATTCCGTGCTGTGTCACATATGGACAGCCTGCTAATAGTATGACTGTTCCAAATACCTAGGCCAATTGCCAATCCGCCGCAGAAAGGCCCGCAGCCGGCATACTTCTCTCCCGTTGAGACCGCAAAAGCCAATTTCCTTCAGCCGCAGCGTCATGCAAATGTCCGCGAAGACTCGTCCAGGTGGTCGAGCTCACAGCTCTCCGAGCTACGCCCACGCGAAAAACCCGAAGATCCCGAGCCCATCTTTTTTGAATTTCCTCACGACCTCTCGAGCCAGCACCGCGCAAGGCCGGTTTCGTTCTCGACAATATCGGAGCAGCAGTCGACAGCCGGTGCTGGGAAACGCGGGGAGCTGCGCATCGTGATCGACCGTTCTGACGACCGGCCTAAGTCTGCTCATGATTCTTCAACACCAGCGTTGGAGGTTCCAATCCCTCGTTATCGGCTCGGGTCGCCGCGTTTCAACGCCGACGGCAGTGTAATGATGCAGAGTTCGGTGTATACGCAAACCTCGATGTCAGACCAATTTAGGAATTCAACTCTGCTGGGGAACATGGCGGACCCTCTACAAAGTCTTCACAGCCCATATCCCCGAGACACTCTCTCACGGCATCGGCCGTCTTTCGCAATTTCGATGTTTTCGGGGCCCGCGGCGGGCATTGATATGAGTCGAGCTTCAACGGCCCCGAGGAATTCCATGGTTCATGAACTGAAAGAGCCGGTTGAACCATCTATATACGAAACGTTGGTGTACGATATGGATGATGGGTCCGTTGTTCGATATGTTCCGGGGACAAAGGATGTCAGTGCTGCTACACCTGCCAGAATTGTTGCGCAAATCTCCTCCGAGTCGTTCCTGGACTATGAGCTAGTATCGGACTTTTTTCTTACCTTCCGGTCCTATCTATCCACATCACATCTGTTGGCGCTTCTTCTCGCGCGACTAAAGTGGGCAATCAACCGGTTGCAAGATGATGGACGTATCATCAGAATCCGCACTTTCGCAGCTTTACGGCATTGGATTCTAAATTATTTCCTCGATGACTTTGTTACGAATTATGAACTTCGGGCTCACTTCTGCGACACCGTCAACGAGTTATATGAAGAGGTCAGATCTAGAAGCCATGGCGGAACGAGTGATCGAAAGATTCTCATTGACTTGAAACGGTGTTGGAATGGCAAATGCTCGATGTATTGGTCTTCCCCTGATCTGTCTTGCGCCTATAATGACCCCGAAATCCCCATCCTTCCCGGAGATGCTCAGATTGAGCTACCCAGAGTCGAGGATTTGCGTCAAGTTGCTCCTCCCTCTACTACGACCCCCCACGCAGACACCACCTTCCGCGAAAGTATTCCTTTCTCAACTCAGCATGATCGAAGTGATTCTGCTGCAACGGCACAAAGTATCCCGTTCTCCACCAAGAGCGAACAAAGTCTGATGGCGTTGTCGTGTTCATTACCTCCCAAATCCCCCAAGCGCTTCTCCATATCTGCTTCTAAAGGCAAGGCGCCACGCCCCGTCGTGCTAGGTCACGCCAAGTCCAAGTCGCCGTCTAGAACCCACGAGCCACCCACCTCACCTGTGTCTCCTAAGGCCCGGCACCCATATGGTCACAGTCACAAAAGAAGTGGAAGTTTCTCTGACTCGGTGCGTGATGATCGACTGCCCATGTTTACGACAGAAACAGAAATGGGATCCGCACCGCAGGAGGTCCTTGATCCGGTTAGCCTGATACGCGGAGAGATGTACCCTCCCGCAGAGTCTTACATGACAATGATGGCACCCGAATCGCCTCCTCTTCCTCCACCATCAAAGAACGCAGGGCCGGACCGCCGGAGCATACCAGATGCCCCTAAGCCGACACCTAATTCAGGCATGAGAACCATCATTGGCTCGATCAAACGGGCTTTGCACACGAGAAATGGTGGACAGAGCGTGTCTGCTCGTATTGTGAATGCTCACGACGCTGTCTCATTCCCTTCCCGCGGGAAGACATCTGCTATGCCAATCGGCATGGCATTTGGCTCTGAGCTCTACCGAGAGAGGAAGATGGCAGCTGTCCCGAAGAATCCAGCTCGGATAGACGTACTGTGTGATGAGGTACTCAGACAATATCGTCAGGCTATGATTAAAGAAGAGACGAAAGACCAAGAGCAGCCACCAGTTGCATCTGACATTCACGAAATGTCCCCACAAGACCCTCCACCAAACAATGGTAGTCATCTGCCCATACAAAGTCCCAATGCTGCCAAATTGAGGAGTGGTATCACAATGCCGAGTGAATCCATCGTAATTGTTGATGATACTGGCTTCGAGATGACCTCAATGTCTGGCGCAGCACCGGACTCAATACCAAAGACCGGCGATATAACTCATCGAACGTCTGGACATGATGTCCCCCATGACGCCTCAACGCAATCAGTACTATCAGTACCCGTGGAAGGGGAATGCCTCCGAGCAGTCTGGTATAATGCCGATGAACCAGAAGCAGTTACCCAGCCGGACCTGTCCCACCCGCCTGGCCCTTTCATACCTCAGAGATCGTCCTCTATCGAACGTGGTTCCACGTCCACAAATCGGAAGAGAAAATCTCTTTCTCTCCGACTCCGAAAGTACGCATCCTTCCAAAGCGGGATCTCGAGGCAGCGGTACTCGATGAGCAGCGAGGCGGCCCAATCCACCGTCGGCTCCAATGCGATGCAAGATCAGAATGATAAACGACCAGGGCCAATCCTTCGCAGGCGCCGAGGAGGAAATCTGCGTCAGATGCAGACTGGAGATGAGCCCGACGCTCTTGCGGGTCGGCACTCGTTTGCGTCCTGGGATGACTCGGTTGCGGATGAAACGGCCACATCTGATGGCAGTGGCTCGCGACCCCCTTCAACTTTGATTCCTCCCAACCCTCGGTACTCACTTATTCAGCCGCACGCTTCCCCCAACTCAGACGTTCGTTTGAGTCGGTCCTTGCGAAGTTTGCACAGCTCCCCGATGACGACGATGGCGGTATTGAATCCACGCTGCTGAAGCTGGAAGGAAAGTGGGATGGACCAGCTAGCGGCAATCGAGCCTCTGCGCCTGCCCAGGCAGAAACATCTCATTACAATCGAGAGCAGCCTTTGATGGGGCACGGGATCGAAACGGTTAGGCCTGGGTGGGGTGTTATTTCTCGCAGGCGACAGACGGACAAGTCCATGTATTCCACTGTTGGAGGGCGATTGGCACCACCAAGACCGTATTCGGATTCTGTGACCGAGTCCGAAGAGTCCTACAACTCTACCCCACTTCTCGAAAGAGGATTGACCGATGACTCCATGAAATGGCAGGCAGCAAGCCACCCAATCCCCTACGAACCGCACGGCGCTCCGCTCACCCTCATATCCAGTCGCGATACTTCTGAAATTCCCTCCTCACACCCTTCGATTCAGATCGTGCATGAGACCGACAGCATGCGTCGTATTCCTCGTGGCTCTACCACTCCTGTCTCGCTTCATTACGACGCCGGCCAGATGACTCCGAAGCGTTTCTCGGCTCTTTCCTCAGAAATGTCGGTTGACATGATTGATCGGCATGAAGCCTTGGGCGCGAGACTGTCGACCGACACCCGCAGTCTCAATTCTTCCACCGTTGAGATCCCACCCCATCCTTTGGCGCAGCCTCCTTCTCCGCCGATGACCATCCAACATCCGAAATCTTTCACTTCGTATCCTTCGCCGCTGGATAATAAGGTCTTGTATCAGGCCAAGCCTCTCACGCCCGACACATCCCCCCGACACAAAACGATGGGCAATATTGCTTCGCGTCCAATGAATATCCAGCAGGTTTCGAGCGATGTCTTACTCAATTCAGAAATCGACCGTCCGGACCAGGACGCTATCATAAATCCTGTCCCAGACCATGTCCCCTTTATCCTATCTTGCGAATCCCATGTCCTCGCACAACAATTGACAATAGTCGAAATGGCCGCTCTCAGTGAAGTCGACTGGCGAGATCTAGTCGAAATGAAATGGAGCAGTGCCTGTCCCTTGGTCACAAATTGGGTTCAGTTCCTGACGTATGGCGAACGCAAGGGCATCGACCTGGTCGTCGGTCGCTTCAACCTCATGGTCAAATGGATTCTGTCGGAGATTATCTTGACCCGCGACATCAATGAGCGGGCTCGTACTATCATCAAGTACATCCACACAGCCGCGCATGCACGCCGCCTTTGCAATTACGCTACAATGCTCCAGATCGCCATTGCCTTGTCCTCGTCTGATTGCTCTCGGCTGCAGAGTACGTGGCAGATGATTTCCACAGAAGACAAACGACTGTTCAAGGATATGGAGTGTCTGATTCAGCCGGTGCGCAATTTCAACGACTTGCGCGTCGAGATGGAGACGGCAAACTTGCAGGAAGGCTGTATTCCCTTTATCGGTAAGTTACAATGTCGCCTAAAATGTCCGCTGGTTATTGTTTATTGATATTCTTCTTCCTAGGTCTTTATATTCACGACCTCACTTATAATGCCCAAAAGCCCGCACAAGTGAATAGCAGCACTGGCGGGTTACTCGTCAACTTTGAGCGCTATCGCACAGCAGCGCGGATCGTCAAGAGCCTCCTTCGTCTTATTGACGCCAGCACGAAATACAGGTTCGAACCTGTGCCTGGCATCATTGAACGGTGCTTGTGGATTGCTTGTCTTCCTGATGAGGAGGTCCAGGCTCGCAGCAAAGCATTGGAGTAATTTCCTCATCCGTTCTCCTTCTTCCTTTGGTCATCTTCATCTTGGAATTTTTGCGTCCATTCTTGTACTATTACTGTCTTTACACCCGTCATCGGATGTCTAATACCCCCTTTCCAAGCTGTGAATCCCCTGCTATATACGTTGTACCGATACCTGCATCTGAGCGCTGGGGTTATCATGCCCCTTGGACTTTCTTTGGAGACCTTCGAGACTAGTGATCTATTAGAATATGCAGAATCATTCCAGATATGAGATATTCTTTGATTCAGTACTCTGCCAATGTTCTCTTTGAACTCATCTTTCCTGTGGATGTTAGTCCATACAATTGGTTCAAATATAACGATATCTAACGGACTAGCTAGGATGCCAAGCTCGAAAGGAGAGGACGACTTGGTGTTTGGACTCATGATCTTCCTGCCTACGGCAACTCGTGTTTAACATAGAAATGCAAGCCCACAAAATAAATTGATAAATTGATGATTGATAGGTAGTTGATATAGTTGATACAGAGCTTTGAAGCCCTACTGGCTACTGCATACCTTGAGCTTTTTGTTATCGTTATCGGCCTAGGTCAAACCCCTTAACACCGCCTTAGGCGCGAAAGTGCGTCATCTCTCAACGCGGTCCAGGAACGGAACACCAAACTTCACCTTTTAACATCTCTCACTCTCCTTCGATTTCCAGAGCCTGCCCTACACAACGTATCCCCCAGAGAGGGCTTCGAAACCTCATCTCCAAGCCAACCTTCCATGTTCAGCCGCAGGTCTATCGGACAGCCAGCCCGCATCAATGGACACAACCGAACCGCGGCGCGGGGCTTCAGAGGATCCCGACGCCAGTGATCACAGCAACCACAGCCCCGTGGAATTTCATGAAGCTAAACAGGAACTCCCGGATGATTTGCCCAAGTCCTTAGACGATCGTCGCTCTGTTCCCGTCTTTCAGCCTGAGACTGAAATGTACGATGCTTGGCAAGGTGAGTGCTTGACCGGAACTCTTTCCCCGACGTTGAAATTTATCCATATTCCCTGGGTATTCACTTTTTGGGATACTTACTGGCTTCCTTTCACATTGAGAATTAATCTGACCGTTGGATTTATTGCAGGTCAATCTCAATTCCTGACTGCACCGGTCGCCGCAAAACCCTTATCCTTCAGCCTAGCGCTTGACGATCATTCACATGACAATGAGCATGAGATGCGTGCTCATTATGGACGCGACATCGAAGATAGTGATGCCAGATTAATGGAAATGCTGGCCGCCCAGGCTGCTCATCGGGAGGTGGATTCATTGACTGCGGACGAGGACACGATCGCTGCCGACGAGAAGTTAACCGACGATGAGAAGCGCGACATACTCCAGAAGCGCTTAAATATGGCAGCCAGTAATGGCGACGTGGAGCGCGTGCAGAAACTGGTACAGGGCCAAGCGAGAACTTTCGTCGACGTTAATATGGCTGATGATGAGGGGATTGTACCGTTGATATATGCTAGTTGCTTTGTGGGTTATTCACCGGATGTAGAACCGTTTATCTGAGGCTGACAGTCTATGATAGGGTCACCTGGACGTCGTTTGTGCGCTCATTGACGCCGGCGCCGTTGTCGATAGACAGGATCGCAACCGGTGGAGCGCTTTGATGTGGGCCATGACCAACAGACACAAGGTGATAGCAAAGACGCTTCTTGACCATGGGGCATCGCCAGATATTAAGTCATCTTCTGGGGGAACGGCTTTCGATTTCGCGCAGCCTGGAAGTGAGATTTCTGAGTATCTGCATGAGAACGGTTACAGCTTTGGCGCTGCTGCAATTGCCAACGACTTTTATGATGCCGGACTGGCACATGGTCGTTTCGAGCAAGAACTAGCCGAGAGTGAACAGAAAAGGCGAATGATGATGGAAGAGAGTGCTTACAATCTGGAGGTTGATTTGTCCAGCTTGGGCCTTAACGAGAAATTTGAGGTAGGTTCGCATAGCGGAGTCTATTTGTGTCATTCTACTGACTAGAACATTCATAGCCCTCTGATGAAGATCTCGAGGAAGATCAGCAGGAATTTGCCTGGGACAAATGTTTGAATGATCAGATGTTCGTCTTCCAGGATCATGAGCTGGAGCGTATTCTGGACATGATCATCACCGACATGACACCCCAACGGTCTCCTTCCCAGAAACCAGTGCCCGCAAATCTCATCTTCCTCAGCGCCCGTTATGCGCACTATCACGCCAGCCCTGAGCTGCTCCATGCTCTGTTCGCGTCTGCAATGGAGAAGATCAACCTCGTTGTCGCACACTATCAGTGGGACATGACAATGCAAGCTTTCTGGCTGTCGAATGTCACGCTTCTGCTCCATTACTTGAAGAAGGATGGTGGCCTGGTTGAATCTACCGTTCAGTTCCAGCTCCAGCTAGCGGAGCTGATCAATGATATCTTCGTTTTTATCATCCGTGACGCCGAGCGTCGAATGAACAAAGTCCTGGATGCGGCAATGCTGGACCATGAGACCATCCCTGGACTGGAAGACATCGCTTTCCAAAATGAGTGGAAGCTGTTCCGCAAAAATAAAAGCAAAATCGCCGAGTCCGACGAGAAGCGATTTCGGCCTCCATCGCCGCGGCGACGGGCCCAAGTCTCACCACGGAACATCACTTCATTACTGTCATCAACCCTTTTCGTTCTCGAGCTCTACGATGTTCACTCAGTGATCGCGACCCAGATCATCTCCCAACTTTTCTATTGGCTCAGCGCCGAAATCTTTAACCGGATCATGAGCACGAAACGGTATCTGGCGCGCACGAAGGCGATGCAAATTCGCATGAATGTTTCTGCCTTAGAGGATTGGGCGCGCACGAATAATCGCGTGCCAGAGCATTACGAAAATGGATCTACCAACACTACCGGGGAGTCTACAATGGACGCCGCTCGTCGACATTTAGCCCCGGTCATTCAACTCCTTCAATGGCTGCAATGCTTCTCGTCCCTCGGCGATGACCACGAATCTCTTGTCACGACCCTTCTCCAACTACAACAACTCACCCCCACCCAGCTCCTCCATGCGGTCAAGTCGTACCGCCCCGAAGTAGGCGAGAAAGGTCTGACCAAGCAGGCAATGAAATTCCTCCTCGGTATGCAGCAGGACCCTGAAATGCTATTCCGTCGACAGCAGGAGATCCAAGAAGAGAAGTCCAAGGCAGCAGCCGGACCTGGACCCGAAGCAGCAGCAGATGGTCGTCCGAAGACACCAGTGAAGGAGCAGCCCTCCGAAGCGGCCACATCTCCCGACGGTGGATTATCCCCCGGCCCAGCTGTACCATCCCGACTTACGAGCATGATCGCTAGTAGGAACGACGAGCGCCCCGGTGGCAGCAAAAGCGTCTTCCTAGATCCTACCCTCTTCCTCCCCTTCTCTCTCCCCACCAGTACAGACATGCTGATCAGCTACGGTGCCGGCTTCGGTGGCACAAACCGCGAACGAGCCCGCAAGTACATTCCGACGGTTCCACCTGAGGTCTTGAGCCGATTTGATCGTGGCGACTAAGTCAAACATGTTCATAGCTTGTTTCTTCGCTTTTCCTCTAGCCTACATTCCTGATGGGATATGCCATGTTGGTTGAGACAGTGCCGTTTCGGGGCCCGCGAGTGTGATTTGGGGGAACTACCAGATAAAAGCGTCAAACTAAGCAATATGATACCCTCATTTACATTTTCCTGGTACCGTAGATGGGGCTTGCATGTTAGTATCCGATGCGCTGACCATATACTGACAATGAAGCTCTTGTATAGCATTGTATCCGACCACTGTAGAAGCTCATTGATAGGTCCCCCGTGAGCCCTAACCATGCTGGTCCAGGGTTACAGCTGCGCTGATGGAATTGTCTTAGTCTGCAGGTGCTCCGGATGTACTTGCATGATGTAGGTGAAGTATCTCCATGTTACCTTCCCCGTCTGGACACGAACATTCGGTTTCCTATTGAGATTCTTCTTTCTCCCTACATGATCTTAGCTAGGTACCTGACCTTCCCGTGTACTTCCTGAACCCTTTGGTGTTGTGAAGTCATTACTGCCTTCCTCGCAACACAAAATAGCTCGCTGTGAGGTTATATACTGACCAAAAAGATGTCTACCGACGCCGTAACGCCACCGTGTCTGCCTTCAATGAAGACATTCTCGTATATGGCGCAGATACCCAGCGATGTGACACGCTCACTCAATGACCTCAATCCGCCATCCGGCCTCAGCCGTCATCTACCACCTCCGCCCCCGATGCCGACTCCCATCCCCCCACTGCCACACACGTGGGACGGCACAGAAGACATGAAGGTGTGGTTGAATGCCAAAATGGAAGAGGATCGACGCAAACAGGAAGAAGCGAGAACGCAGCAGGAGCAGATGAAACTCGAGCGACGCCGCTGGGAGTGTTCATTATTGAGCAAGTCCATAAGTGCGGGTGTCGCGCCAAATCTGATCCCACAAATCTTCAGTAGCGCCTATAGCCGTGGTACCAATCCTCCATTTGCTGCTAAATTGCAGAGGCTGTACGCTCAACTTCACAGAAATGCTGTTGCCAATAGGAGTGCCCCGGTTCCCGCGAACGTTCAGCCTCCTGCGGTGCCCCAACAACATGCCCATCCGGGCACTGCAGTGCATGCAAGGCTACCAGTTCGAGTTGTGCCTTATGGGCCAACTGCTCGGCTTCCTGGAATGCCTCAGCAACACACTGATTTGGGAGCTCCAATGCCGACGAGACCCCGGGCGCTGGTTGAGCCTCGACTGCGTGCTCAGCTTCCTGGAATGCCTCCGCAGCAAGCTTATACGGGCACTGAAATGCGTGCAAGACCCCCGGCTCCAGTTGAGCCTCCTATGCAACATGCAGGTCATCCGGAAAATGCAGTTCCCGCAAGGCCTCATTTCTCAGCTGTGCCTCCTCAACGGCCTGTTCAACAGCTTTCTCTACAATCACAGCAGGTACCGCGTAGTCAGTCACCGCCCACTGCTATATCGAACCCACCGGGAATGACCCAGAGCGTATCATCGGGAGCAAAATTAGATGGACATCAACCTCGATCATGCTCTGTCAATAGGCAGCCGAGGGAACAGCCGGAAACCGAGAAAGACGAGTTGGCTGACAAGAACACTGTGGATTCAGATTCCGCACAGAATCATGCAGCCACGGGTCCCACGTTGAGCCCGGTCCAATTGCCTCTATATTCGCCTAGTGCTTTTCCACGTGCCAGTTGGAAGGAGTGGAAACCAACGCTAGCACCTTTGGAAATCCATTACCATACTCCACTTGAGTTGAAGCAGTACCAATCCCAATCGGAATCACCAATGACGATAAGTAGTCATGGCCCTAGTTCGGCTGGCTCAGCAACCCAGCGTGTGGAACGATGGAGCACTGGCTCAAAGCGAAAAAACAATGAGTCGCAAGAGCGAGTGCCTCCACCATCAGCTCGTCTCAATGAACCGGTCTTCGTCCGACGGGACCTCGATAAACCACCACATGATCAGAATGAGCAGCAAGATGATATCTCCAGCTCGTATGATTCATGTGTCTATGATGCTGAGTCTTCTAAACAGCCATCAATCTCGTCCAGATCGTCGGTAGACATACCCAGCCAGACTCTGGGTCAAGATACTCAAAATCGACCATTGCACATTGTGATATCATCTGATTCCAGCTATATTTCAATACTCGGGGAAATGGCTTCGCCAATGGAACGCGAGTAAATTACAATGACAATATGCATGGCCTCGAATGTTGACAGACGGTGCTTTCTTTTCCCGTTTTCCATGCGGATTATTATTACTGATCTTGAGTGATGGTCTGCTCTTGATGTTCTTCTGAATCTTTGCTTGTGCATACGGGGGCCGAACAGGTGTTTATGGGCGTTCAATGCGATTTTGAGCTTTCGGCGGGCAGGTTCTGAATATACATCAGGGGGTTTGCGTCAATTGCAAGGAGACTAAATGCTGCTATTGTTACTTTTTGGACAGGTTAGCCACCCATTGACCGAGGTTTATGCTTATCCTTTTCTCTGCTGTCAAAAGATATCGTTATATCACCAAAAGCGCATAGTACTAGTAGTTACTATGTGCAACAGGCTCCACATAAAAATAGAAATAGAGTTATCTCAAACTCTTGGCATATGACATGACCCTACGTCATCACTACCGATAACCATCACCGCCCCTGCCAATCTCCCGAAACCTGATTTAACACAATCCCGAGGTCGGAACCAGGACGTATTTAAGTCTCTAACTATCCTATTTGCCTTCCGCCAAACAAACCCTCTACCACAACCCTCCTCCAACGAAACCAAGCCAACCAAAAACCAAAAACCAATCTAACACCACCAAAATGACCTCCATCATGCGCTTAAGAACAACCCTCCAAGCTCGAAGCCAACTCCCAATCCTATCATCCACGCGCATCCAACAACCCCCAGCTATCCTTACCAGAAGCTACGCGAACAAATCCTCCAACGACCCCGAACAGCCACCTACCGCAACACCGGGCGAAAAAGGCTCAAAAGGCTCAAAAGGTGCCCCAATTCCCTCCAACAAGGCCAAGCCCACTCTCAGTGAGGGAGCGCAGTCACCGAAGGATTACCCGCAAGACGTGAAGCAGCATAATAAGGAGATGGAGGAGAGGTATGATCGGCCTTATAACGGTATTACGGATGAGGGGACTGTTGAGCCTACTTTCAAGAGGTAGATGCTGAAGTACGCAGTCGCTGAAGGCTGTTTTGATGTTTTGGATGGTGCTGGTTCATCATCTTGTTTCTGTTGGTCTCTTGTCTGTGAGCGAATGTATTTCTAGATTCTTGGATCTTTTGGTTTTCCAGGTTTTTGCTGTATGAGCATGGTACTGAATGTACTCCGTACTAGTTACTGCGTACATCAAAATGGAGGATTTATGTCGAGCTGTCTACGAAAAAGCTTCAAGTACTTAGATGGATTGTATTTGTCGCAATCAATGTTCAGCTAGTTAAGCTCGGGATAAATACATACCGAGAGCCCTTTGGGGGTTTCTTAAGCAAGCATAAAATCCATGGGAATATCGCAGTGTGGTATTACGAAACTCGGACATCCGAGGGTCCGGAAAAAGCAAAAGTTGTTGGTTACTTTTCTTCTTTTTTTTGTATTTGAAGGTGGCATTGCCATGTCCTTGGTGGACCGAACTGCCACAGAGGTAGCAGTTGACGAGTTGTTCAGCTCACGGGCAGCCTGTTCATATCACCCTTACCGCCCTTGATCCACTCAGGGTCAACCAGGCGCTCGCGCTCATGGTACAATTGCTTGTAGGCACCACGAATGGTTCCATCGCTGACGTGTGCAACTTGAGAAATCTCCTTGGCAGTCTTGCCGTGACCCATGAGGTACGAGGCCATGTAGATGCAGGCTGCGACGATAGAGAGAGGAGAACGTCCGGCCAGGTCGCCCATGACAGTAACGCGGTCCGAAAGAGAGACAGAGACGCTGGTGACCTGGTAGGGAAGTTCGAGAAGGTTGCAGAAACGATTGCAAAGATCGCTGGGCTTGGTCGAAGTAGTGGCATTGTAATCGCCAGTAGTGTCGTGAGTCTCGCCATTCTCCAAGGCGGCGTTGTGGCGCTCGACGTTTTGAGTGGTGAAAAACTTCTCCAGGGCCTTGTAGATGCGTCCAATCTCCTTTCGAGTAACCTTGGTCACGGCAAAGATCTCAGTGAAGGTACGCGGGACCTTGCACTGGCGGCAGGCGATGAAAATGCATCCGGCAATGATGACTTCCTGCGACTTGCCCTTGAACGCCTTGGCGTCATCAACCATCTTGAAGAGATACTTAGCGGTATCCGCAACAGTCTTCTGGATGTTGAAACCGTCGCACAGAGCACCGATCTCCTTGTAAGCTGCCAAAAGCGCCTTGTTTGCCTTTTCGCCTGACTGCTTGTTTTGCGCGCGGTACAAGTCACGAGCACGGCCGGAACCTCCACTTGCGATGGAGGTCTCCAGTTGAGCGCCGTTGAGAAGAGGGTTCGAGGCGTCTCCAACACGGGAGGGGTCATCATTGTTCTGATCGTCGTTGGAAAAGGTACGCCATTCAGAGTGCACATCAATCTCGCGGTCGGCAAGCACCAGTCCGCAGGAGCCGCAGACGGTCTCATGAGAATCAGGGAACTCCAGATTCGGGGGGTCCTCCTTGCACTCGGGGCAGACGAGGTGAGCGGACAGGTTCTTCTTCCAAGGAACCGTGCTCTCGGGTTTGGAAATAGCAGAAGCCATTTTGAGCGGTTTCGCTGGTCTCAGGGATTTCAGGTAACTTTCGTTTCTTTGGTGGCACCGTTTGGAGAGTAGCTTCGGAGCTATGCGAGGCAAATTGTACTTGCGTTTATAGACTGCAAGTAAAAGTGGCGAATACAGCTTGGCGGCTGCAGTGATGGGAGAAAACGAAAGCGAGAGGGAAAAGAGAGCAAGCCACGTGCAGAGGAATTCTCAGCAGGGGAGAGGTCGAAATTTTCGAAAACGAAGAAGTGATCTGCTCAAGGCCACTACCGCGCAGTCATGTTAGCCCAGCCCAGAGTAGAATCCTTGTCTCCCCCACATTGTCTGGTCCTTGACCTCGATTTTCACACCAGAATGGACAGAAAACAAAGAAGTCTCCATTACCTTTCAGAGCCGGCGAGATTCAAGGAGTAACCCCCAGTCTTAGAAGAGCTTTCACCAGTCTGCGCTTTCTGATCAGAAAGTGGAACAGCGTCCTAGCCTCAGCTTGCCCAGCCGTGTGGAACCAGTCAAGGTCTCCGTAAGAAGTCTCTCACGAAAAGGGGACAGGCCGAGGAGCAGAGAAAGAAGAAGTCAAGGACCGGGGGAGGGTGAGGGAGGGTGAGGGAGGGTGAGGGAGACGATAGGAGTGAAGTGAGACGACAATAAAGCGGCTGGAACAAAGACGGATGCCCGAATTAGGCTTGGTAAGCTATCACGTGATAGCGATAAATTGGATAGACTGATCTAATTGGTCAGTGAAGTATAGCGAAACTTCTATTCTGTTCCTTTGTTGCAGTTCTTTGTTCCATTTCTTTCATGAATTACAAACAAACGTCAAACAGTGCTATTACCTAGTACCAGGCAGATTACCGTTTAATGCACTTGCATGTCTGAATACACAAAAGCCAGGAGATATGGACGTTCTCGACGGATGGTCTCGGAGTACGTAGGGGTCTTTGATCCAAGGTGTTATAGTCCCCGTATTTTCCCCTAAGACAAAAGATCCTCATTGTAACCATTCGTGTGCACTGTGTTTTGACTTTTGACATTTTTCTATATAACATGAATTCAACAGCGATATCTTTCCTTATGTCGGTAGGTAGTTCCAGTCCAGGAGAGGTTCGGGTTGGAACTTGACCCGGCTGAGTGCTGAGTCATCTGCCAAGAAATCCTTTCCGAACAGAAGTCGTTTGAACCTCCAACTTCACGGAAAGACGGATCAGACCTATTCTATTGAGAACCACCCCTCATCCCTCATCTACACCGTCGATCAAGATGATGTCTCAGTCTCTCCGGGCCTCGGTGAGTATTGTCCCGTCTCCATTCATCTATTCTGGCCTTCGACTAACGCGAAACACAGCGCACCCTCTTCTCCCGTGCCTCTCGGGCTCAGGTCTCGGTCGCTCGCCGCACTTTCCTGACCTCCGCCGTCCGCCAGGGTATGTACCTCACCCGGAAAAATCTTTGATATTATCATGATCAAGATTCCCGTCTATACTCGATCAAACAACCGCTAAACCCCGCTGCAGCCGACCCCGTCCAGGACCTGTACCTCCGCGAGCTCAAGGCCTACAAGCCTACCCCCATCAAGGCCGGTGACGCCGAGCAGCACGTCCAGAAGTTCTCCGCCCCCAAGGCCCCCAAGTCTCCCGAGGAGGCCAACCTCGCCAGTGAATTGTCCGCCTACGAGAGCCAGGAGGTTGAGGTCGAGGGCCAGGCCGCCGCTGGCGAGGCCGCCCCCGTCGAGGAGAGCTGGTTCGAGGAGGAGGAGGAGGCCCCCGCCGCTCACTAAGTTCTCTTTCCTTTTTCTTTAGCAAGGTCTGGGGTGATACGAGGGCTTGGCTGGCTTTATATGCCAGTGGCGCAACTAATGTGGCCGCCTGTCAGGTTCCGAAGCATGTAAATTAGACCACATTTTTGAACGTTGAGACTACTTTTTCCTTTGGTTTTTATCTGTCCATGCAGCTGTGCAGAGTAAATGTTCTGGATTTGGGAGAGAAGCGGGGTGCAGATATCGCAGACTGGCTTGGGTGGGTGCAATAGATACCAGACTCCATGTGCTCGCATCGTATCTTGCTAGTCTCTATGCCTCCTGAATGTCCAGAGTGGGGTCCGTAGTATTCGAAGGTAGCATCTCAATGGAAAGCGTCGATATCAACAGGATGTTGATGTTATTCTCTTACATGGATCGCCACGTGACGCTGTAAACTGACAGACAGGCCATGAGGCATAGGGTCCCGGGGGAGAATTGAACCACAAGTCACAACCATGAGCCGTATGAAGAGGTGCATGTGGGCAACCTAGGCACGGCGTTCTGTCGGGCTGCATCCCGGGATCGTTTCACCGTCTGACTTGTATTGAATGTCGCGCATACGCAGATGGACATAGCTCCGATGGAACATGGGACTGCCCGGTTGAGTAATCTGCTGTAGGATAGGTATCGATTCCCCGTTCCAGGTATATGAAGGTCCATAAGGAACTATTGATACTCACTATTGGATCCACTACTGCAATCGATAGATCCACAAACAAACAGACCAGAAGATCATAGAAGCATTGCAATTGATCTGGTGTATCAAACTTTCACCTATCAGACGCGCCTCCTTGATCGATATTCCGGAAGGGAACAACCGAATCCCCCGGAAAAGAAGACTATCGAAGACTATTGCGAGATTGCATATTCCTCCACTTCTAGTCGTTCAACATCAACTTGGGTCCTGATTTTCCCAGCAGGGGACGCAACGGAAGGCCGCCAAGGCCTTGTGCAATGTGATCCATGGTGTGTCAACACTCAACAGGGCTTACCCAGTTGGATACATCGAGATGGAAAATAATGAAAGAAGCATCCGAAGACCTACAACAATTTGCTTATCAAGGCCTATTATGATATTAAAGCGTCTTATGGCTCATATACCCCTGCTGCCCTGCACAGACGAGGTATCCCGAAAGGGAACCTGATCTCTACCCAGCTCCGGATGCTGTGGAAGGCAGTTTCGTATGATGAATGGCACACAAGTCAAGAATGCACAAATGCACAAATGATCGGGGCATTAATAAGGCTGATATACGATGCCGAGTCAGACCGAGCACATTCCAACATTCCATAGCCAAAGAATGGGGGAATACGAGGACTAGATCTGTACCTGAGATGTACAGCTGTCATCCACTCGGTGAAATGCCCTTGAAGTTCCGGACATCATGCGATTGGTTCTATCGGCTATAGCGGTCTTGCAATTGGGGCTGAACACAGAAGGCTGTCCTATTCACCAGAGTGTATGCAAAGACGCAAGCTGAGTAGCTGACAGAGAATAGTATTACGCGATCATGATGGCTACTGTAGGAGGTAGAAGAAGTAGGTTTGGACTCCTTGGAGTATATTGTTAGGGTCGAGAGAAGAGGAAGATGAGAACCGTGGGAAAGAAAGTGGAGTAAAAGTAAAAAAAAAGTCAACAGTCTCACTTGAATGTCTCAAATTCCTTTTTAAAGAAGGCAGTGTAGATGTATCTATGCGCATGAGAATAGTATGAGAATACATAAGAGTCAAATATAAGCAGAGATGGATGTCTCGTCTCGAGTTGATTATCTTCATCTCTCAGCTAAACAACAACTTCTTCCCCTTTCGGGAATTATTCATTTGGTTCTCCCTTTTTTGTTTATTTTCTTGTTTTGATTTTTGATTTTTGATTTTTTTCCTTTTCATTTCCTTTTCTCATCACTTTTCTTCTTCCTCCCTCACTTCTCTTGAGCCACACCTCCCCACCCTTTACCCTTGTGCAGGCGCTTGGGGGAAGAATCCCCGTCGATCATTCGCTCAGAGTGGCGCCCTTTAAGCATAGATCTATCCACCCCAGCTCCTATTGTTTTTCTCTTGGTGCTTCTCTCGCTCTTAGTTAACACGGGCATTTTCTCATTCGTGATCGTTGTTTGTCGTTCCCAGATGCAGCGCGCCTGACCACTTCGACCTGGAAACACACTGGTGCACAGAGGAGCTGGTCTCTTCTACGCTCAGAATTACTTTAAGGGGAAATGACCAGATAAAAAGGCCCCCGGAATATCTTCAGCTGCCTCCTGAATAAAAAAGAGATAATGTCTTCGCCCTCTCCCGGGACACCGGCCAGCTACCCGAATGATGACCAGACCCCCGAGCTCTCTCGTGCCGCCAGCTACACCGAGCTTCCCAGCCAAGCAGCAACAGAACCTCCGACATTAAGACGTACCTTTTCCGACTATGCTGTTCCAAATGTGGCAGAATCACCGACAAAGGAAAGTGTGGCTGCGGGGAAGGACATCCTCCGACGAACCTCGTTACGCTCCAAGGACAAGCCAAAGTCAACCCCCGTGTCCCGTTTCACACTGTCATCATCGGAGGATTTGACGGACGCAGAATCAAATATACCAGAAACTAGGGCTCCGGAGCCGGCGGTGCGGCCATCCAAAAGCCTGTCAATGTCAGGGCGGATAGTCAGCTTGGCGAGAAAACCCTGGGGCTCATCCTCCCGATCCCCCTCACCTTCAGCGAAAAGATCCAGACAGCAAGATTCCCCAGACCCAACTCGGACCACCGGTAGAACCACAGACGATGATCAGATGCCGCCCTCCCGCCGACGGACGATCCTTTACAAACGCCCGCGTCGCCCAATGCTAGCTGTCGTGGCCAAGGGACCTGAAGACAGTCCGAGTTCACCGAGCAGTCCGACGACCAATCCACTACGGCACCGAACCTCATTCGAGAAGTTTACAGCGTCGCTTTCGGTCACAACCCCGGTGTTACCACCTATGCCAAGAGGAGCCGTAGAAACTGCAGCGGCGTATGCGAATAGCGGTGTCGATCGTGCACGCCAGAAGGATGAGCTTTGGAGCATCTTTCGCGGTTTGGAAGCCGACTTTCAAAAGTAGGTACAGTTCGCCTTGAGCATTCGCATCACGAGTGTTGACCCGAGACCAGGTTCCAAGCCAAATCTAGCTCGCTCAAAGCCAATGTCATCCGCACCTCCCTCCTCCCTTTCCTCAGTCGCCCTCAGATGCACGCTTCGTGCAAGAACCTCAGGCCGGAGGATCTCGATCGTCGGGTCAATATTCTCAATAAATGGTGGATTGGGATGTCGGAGATGCTCAATGGCAAGAATAACCAATCGATCTCGGGAACCGACCGACCAGTGTATCTGGAAGCTGTGGTGGGGATCATGGCTCGACCAGAATGGCGCATCCCCTTTCCCATGGCCCAAGGCAGTGGACCTACAGATTCGTTGAACTATGCATCGACTTCGGTGTCGGAAACATCGGATGTGTCAGGTTCCTCGGGCTCGGATTTCTTGGTTGAGTCGATTCATCACAACATTCGGAACATCTTCATTCAAAATTTGCTATCTCAGATGGCATTCGTGGTGGAGCGAATGTCTATGAGACATGCACCAGCTAGTTTGGTCGCTTTTTGTGGGAAGGTCTGCGCGTATGCCTTTTTCTTCTGTCCCGGGGTGCCTGAAATCCTGGTCCGCCTGTGGTGCACACCTCCCAAGATGTTCCGGCGTATTTTATCGGAATCTGGAGGTTTACGCGCTGGAGACCGTGCATACACACAGGAGCTCGCCCTGTCCTTTCCACCGGCTCTCCGCCCTCTCGCATACCACTCTCAAGCGCCTCTGTTGCGCTACCTGCGCCAGAGCCCTGAGCTACCCTTGAATACCACCCCTATCGATTGGAATCGACCTTGGGTCACGCGATGGGCTGGACGCGACACAGACCTGTTCTTTGTCTTTGTGAAATACATCCATATCCTGTATGCGGAGTATATTCCCTCGGAAACCGAGAAGGCAAAGCGGATATTGGCACCTGGACTATTGATGGTTCATGCCCAGCTCCTTTCCATTATAGAGGACACGATCTACAAGCAGTCAGCGCAGCCACTAAACGAAAACCCTTACACAGTTGCTGCAATTACTTTCGACGATTTCATAGAGTCACCGGATACTTCTGCTGCGCCTCACCATCTCCGAAACGGCAGCAACAGCCATCGATCGATGGCAGAGAACCGTTTGGTTGTCCTCCTACGAGATTTACTCTCCGAATCGTCGGTTGAACCAAACCGTGCTCGTTTACTGTTTGCCGAATCATTCTGTGGCATCATCAAAGCTGCTGCGCAGAACATATCCCTCTATGATCATCCTGCATGTTTCTTGCTGTGTGACTTGCTGGAAGAGATCATTCCAATTGTCACCCGCTACGCTCAGTCGATTGAAACGGAGCTGTTCGATTGGAACTTTTGGCTTGCCGTTTGTCGTCAAATGATGCAGAGTCACAACTCGCTCACCGAAATCCGCGTATTCTCTTTCCTGTTCAGTGTCTGGGGCATCTGGACTGCCACAGACGAAAGGAAGGCAACTCTCTGCCTGGACTTTTTGTTGCATGAACCGGTATTCTACTACTATTTCAATCACTGGAGTCCAATGGTGCGAGCGTATTTCCATCGTTTGTTGTGTTGGAGAGTCGGGCGATTCAACCCGGATCCCTCTTCTCTTGACTCGAACATCTATGAAGTACTTTCAGATCGACTCCTGCGAGTCTGGGAGTATTACATTGCGTTCCAATCCAAGGCCGAAGAGGACATGACAGCCCCACTGTCCTCTGCTCCCTGCACACCAGCTCCCGGGCGAAGAATCATCATTATCCGATGCGACAACCACCTGTCTCCAGTCAATCTTTTTGTCAGCTTCGACCGGGTCGTTCCCCCCGTGCCTTCAGACCAACTTGTGTCACAACACCGACGAACGGGATCTTCCGACTCCAATAACTCCGATAGTCAACCACCTAAAAAGCGATGGGGGCTCTTCAAGGCCATGTTCGGCAGTTCTTCCAGCACACGTTCCGCCGAGGGCGTCAGCAGCAGTCCTGATGACTCTGATGGCGTATCCGATCTTACAGTGACGCCCGATAGCAAGTGTAAGGATGACCATGAGAAAACTCCGAGCAACAGTACGGACGAACTCAGCCGCCCCAAAACTCCGCACCAGCCATTCTTCTTCAAATTCTCCCTCGAATGGACGGACCGCCCACTTGGCCCGACCAAAAACAAGCGTCTTTTCCCCCCTTGTCTCCCTGTCGCATCCCAGTTGCACGTCGAGAATCGACGATCTCCTGACCGATCGGAGTATGACACAGCCTCGGAGGATCCAGTCCAGTCCGAGATTGAGGCTGATCAGGAATCCCAACCCCCCGCCGACCAAGATACCCCTACACAACTTACTTCAGATACATGGCCGCGAACACCCACAAACAAAAACTCTCCCCTTCCCGATCTCCCCCTCAACCTTCCTACGACCATCTTGTGCCTAGCAAATATGCAGGCCGTGCCCTCGCGGAATGGGCACATGTTGTCTCCGAATGCGACAGCTTTTTCGCCCGTCGGCGTGACGAGGGCGTCCCAAATGATGGCATGGTGGAGACGCCAGCTTTGGGAGCTGATAGCTTCCGCAAATAAGCGTCGCAAAAGTGCATTCCGGCAGACACATTATAGACTCTTGACATGTTCAGGCTGATGTCTGTTTTAAAATGTTTCGGGTCATTCTTCTAGTTTCGTTTCTAGTTCCATCGTGTGCATGGCGAATATCGAGCATAGGGAATCGGCGTTTAATTAGCCTTTTGTTTCTTCTCAGGGTTTCTTATGTGTATTAGGACACACAATAATCATAGTAAGACACCATTTTACTGCGATCAAGTTTATTCAATGCATTATCTATTGCAGTAGAATCATTTCGCCTCAGCCTCCTCCTTTTCCTGCGCCAGCTGTTTATTCAACAGATACAGCAAAGCCCCCTGTACATCCTCCCTATCCATAAACACCTCAACAAGCCTAACCCCCTCCCCATTCCGAATCTTCCCATTATCCAAAACCTCCCTCAACTCCCCACAAGTCCTAGCCGTAAACGTATTCTGTTTGGCATGCTCCTCATCAGCACCGAAATAGTTCAGCGCCTGCGCATGTCTCCAGAACGGCACATCATTGTAAACCTGCTTGCGACCATGAATAACCCGCTCGATAGTGTACCCATCATTATTAATGATGAAGATAACGATATTCAGCTTCTCGCGAATCATCACGCTGATCTCCTGCGCCGTCATCTGCAGACTGCCGTCGCCGATGAACAGCACAGTCTGCGCCTTGCTGGCTGTGTCTTTGTTTAGCTCGCGCTGAGCCAGAGCGGTGCCCAGCGTTGCGGGCAGCATGAAGCCAATGGAGAGCCAGGTTACGGCGCCGAAAAAGGCGGCTTTTGGTGGGGAGTTTGAAGTGCCGACCGCCGTGGGCGGCGGTGCCGGTTTCTGTGAGGATTATGTCGCCTTCGCGGAAGAGGGGGTTGACGAGGCGGTAGAAGTTGGTTTGGGCCAGGGCGTCGGTGTCCTGGATGTCGGATAGGGTTGTTTCTTGTTTTGGGGGTGCGGGGGCGTTGACGAGACGGGTGGTGTCGAGGTCATTGAGGAGGGTTGAGAGGATCTTGTGGGCGGATAGATCGCGGTAGGTGTCGTTGTCGATTTGGACGGTGCTGCCGGAGAAAGTAATTGCCACTGCAGTCTTGGGGACCGTTGTGTAGAAGTAGGTGTTGGTGTCGCTGTTGTGTGGGCCGAAGGATAGGACCAGGTCTGCTTCAGCGAAGTACTCCTGTGCGGGCTTGTCGCCGAAGGCGGCCGCGTATAGTCCGTAGGCATTCGGTAGCTGTTCGTCGACCAGGCCCTTGCCGTAGACAGTAGTCCAGGTTGGCCAGTTGGTTGCTTTGATTAGGGAATCAAGCTGCTCGACGATGCCGAGAGCTGTACTTTCCCCATCGACCAGGATGAATGGACGCTTGGCGCTGTACAATCGCTCCAAGATGCGGGCCAGCACCTGCGGCTCGAGGGTGGAGCTTGGTGGCTCGGGGATGCGGATCTCAGTCTTCAGGTTTGCCGCCGAGACAAGCACATCGGGCATATCGTCTGGGACCTCGAGATAGACTGGACGGCTGTGAATCAATGCCTGGCGGAGGACATGGTCGATTCTTTCCGGTGCGGTGGTGGCATCTTCCAGTCGAGCCTGAGCTGCGGTAATATGTATCGACATGTTTGCAAAGCGACGGTAATCGCCGTCGGAGAATGTGTGGTGCATGAATGCCCGCGAGCTCTGGAGCGGCCGTGGGGGTGTCCCGACAATGTGCACCACGGGCGTGTTCTCGGCATACGCGCCGGCAATACCGTTGAGGGCGGACAGCTCGCCAACACCGTATGTGGTAATCAGTGCGGAGAGGCCTTTGATTCGACCATATCCGTCTGCTGCGTAGGCAGCATTGAGTTCATTGCAGTTGCCAACCCAATGGAGGCCGGCAGGGCCGACAAAGTCCAGTAATCGGAGGTTGTAGTCACCAGGAACGCCGAACATGGAATCGACGCCCAGCTGGCGCAGCCGGGTGAACAGATAATCTGCAAGCTTTATGTCTTGAGTCATGATGTAGAATGTGGTTGGTGTTGGACGAGAAGAAAGACCGGGCGTATTTATAGTTCTAGATCGGGGTAGATGGGGGGTGTTCGGTGTTTCCCCCGCAGCTTATCGATACGCCGATTACTCCGATCTCTCCGTGGTTAGCCGTTGGCTTAACTTCATTCTTTTTTCTCCACTGGCGGGTCAAACTCCGCCAGTTCCAGTCATGTCGGCGCGTCTGGCTGCCTGCGAAGCCTGTAGAAAGGCTAAATTGGCTTGTGACCATAAGCAGCCTGTTTGTACGCGGTGCAGTGCAAACAAAGGCATCTGTATCTACAGGACCACGCCTTTCAAGCGGAGAAGAGTCGAGAAGCAGAAGTCGGTTCTATACTTGCCCTGGACTTGTATTTCAAATTGGCTAACGCTTTTGTTAGCAGCATCGGTTCACCAGATGAACCACCGTCATTCAATCCAAGACGCAATCCATACCCAAACCCAGGGTATCTAGGGTCGTCTAGCCATGCAGCTATATTCAAGCACATCACTCCGGAAGGAGACCATGGCCTCGGTAGTCACCAAGCAGCACCAGAAGCTCTCCACTCAGACTTATTCGGAGACAATCATCTGGTCCTACAAGGCGCAGACATCCTCAAGCATCTATTGACAACATACAAGCTGTCAGCTATGAAAGACCTCGTCATGTTCTGGCTAGCGAAAGGCGCCAATCTAGCCCTAGCGGAGCCATTTGTTAATGAATGCGCCCAAAGTGTGTCCCAACTGTTCTCCTACAACGATGACAACTGGCATCTCGTCTACGCAAGATGTCTCATGCAGAACTCAGCCCAGCCACTGCAGTTCAACGATACCACCGACCTGGCCGACTTCTCGGCTCAGTTCTTGGACCACAATGCTCGCTGGGAGACGTTGGGGATATTCTTTGCTGCTGTCACTCGAGCAACGATTGACATCGCTTTCTTCCCGTCGTTATACACCACCGAGCAAGAACAATACACACTCCGCAGACTGTGCACGAAACTTTGTGACTTCGCATTGGAGATCTCTCTTTCCCTCGATTGTCTCAATGATCTCCAACTAATCATGCAATACGAGAACTTCATCGTCCACTCCTACGTAGACGGAGATCAAAGTAAGCCATCAGCACCCATACGAACCCACATACTAATACTAATCCCATTGCAGGCTACCATTCCTGGCGCAAACTAGGTGACGCAATATCCTCCACCTTCGCCCTAGGCTACCACGAGAACATCGAAACAAAACCCAACATCCCGCCCTTCCTCCAAGAACTCCGCAAAACCGCCTTCGCCCGCATCTACTCCGCAGACAAAAACATAGCAATATTCCTCGGCCGCCCACCGCGAATGAACAAGCGCTTCTGCCACTTTCAGATCCCATCCTGCCACAACGCGCCGCACTCCAGAGCCTGGTCCTCAGACGCCCAGGCCGGGTACCGGGCCGACACGCGGTGGTCTGCGCTGTGCGCCTCGCTGAAAGAGGAGATCTGGGAACTTCTTCAAGATAAACATGATCCACAATGTGCGTCGCGAGCAAGGTAGGCAAAAAATACTGGAACCAACCCCAAAAGAGCCCGTAACTGATGTACATCAAACACAAATAGTGCAATCCAGCGCCAAGCAGAAACACAATGGCAACGCCTGCCACCGCATTTCCGTCTCGAGAGTAGTCTGAAGGAATGCACGCAGGGACCGTTCGAGCGAGATTTCGTTGCTGGCGTCCGACTCCACCACTTGCACGTACTCTTCCTGATTCGTCTTCTACTTCTCAAGTCGCCGACTGAGCCGGATGCGCCGATCATCGAGACGGCGGGTCAGATGCTTACGCTCGTTGTGGAGATTATTCTGCTACGGGATCAGCTCACCAATTCTGGGACCGGGCTTATCTGGAAGGTATGGCTTAACCTACCTTTTTTTTTGGTCTTGTTCTTCTTCAAAAAGAAAAACGAAAGCAGTCAAACTAACGAATTCTCTCCCAGGTCGCATATTACGGCCTACCAGCAGCAGGAATCCTGCTCCTAGCAATGCTAAAACAACACATGCCACGAATGCAGCGAACGCGCTCATTACAGGATCTCAGTGTTTTCGTCGCAGAGGTGCAGATCGGGACGATAGTGAGAGCCGGGGATCCGAATTATGCGTTGCTATCCAAGGCTACGCGGACTATACAGCGGTTTCTGGACTCGACTCATTCGGACACGGCGCAGCCTGTTGCTGAGGTGGCGGGACAGGAGGGAACTGACGAGTGGGCGACGTTGTTGAGTTTGGATTTATGGGATTTCGAGGCTGGGTTTTGGCAGAGTTTGGCGGATCATCCGTCTTTGCTGGCTATTGAGCCTTCTTTACCTCCTCTTTAGGTTGAGTAGTGATGAATTTATGATACCCGGATATATGTGAAGGATTTAGGTATGGTGGATCGGAGTTAAGGTTGAGAGTAGCAAATATCATGGATTGGCTGGCAGCTTCCATTGAAATCCTCTAGGAGGGTAAGGTTAGATACGAAATGTGATATATCCCCATATGAACGCCGGTCCCTCGGGACTAGGAAATGAGAAGCTAGATACATTGAAAAGGGATGAAGATAGACGCAACTGGAGGAGGCGACGAGATATTCCGTCGACTCCCGTATGAGCACAAGAGATATGCATGGTTGGTATATGACGAGCTGAAAAATATCCCAAGATGCAGTTAGAAAGCTTTCCCGACTGCCACATGGCGTCAGGCTGTACAGTGCTTGTTTAAAACATGCCAAGAATCAATCCAGTATGTGTGGAAGGCGGAAAAGTAAAATACATTAGTGGAGCAGCTTGTCGCTGGCGTGGTGGATAATATTGGCGACGCGGTCGATCCAATATTGAGTCAAGGTCCAGTTCCCTGTGTTGATGCTATCCCGAATTGCAGGGAAGAGTGAGGCGTCATAGCCAGACCACAACTCTGGACCGAAGACGACGTGTCGGAATTGTGTGCGATTGGGAATCTGTACACGTTTGTTAGCTATGATTCAGCAAAGAAGCCGCAAGGCCAACTTACACCTCCGCCTTTTTCCAGATCAAGTAGATTCGTATCGAAAGCAGCCATTCGAGCATTGTGGTTCACGCGCTGAACTGCCATGACATTGCTTTCATACCCACCCATACCCCAAACAGTATCATGCCAGATCTTGTTCCAGGATTCGAATTGAATAGCGTTGGCTGTCATCTCAGCCGCAGCTTTGAACATAGGTTCCATGTTCACTGCGGCCTTCTTCGATTTGGCGAATTTGTCCAAATCCTGGACCCATCTGCTCATGGAGTTGCCATAAGCTTCAAGGTCGAAAGGAAGCATGGCATTCTCAGAAAGGTCAAGCAGGAGCAGGCCCCAAAACTGAGCTAAGATCTTGTGATATTGAAAGTCAGGATCGACATGTTTGACCATCCAATCATAGGTTTCGTAGCAGCTGTGGTAGGGATAGGGCTCGCCGTCAAATCCAAAGTCAATGCTCGAGGTGCCAGCGATATCCTGGAACGCAACATAATCACTCCCGGCGCCCAGCGGGGCGATCTTGGAGCCTTTTTGATCCCAGAGGTCTTTCAACGTCGCGTTGGCATAGGGGTCTGAGATACGGCTCAAAATCTGTAGCACAGTACGCTCAAAAACCGGTGATGCCGAAACACGGAAATTCGGCCCGGCGACGCCCACATCGACATTCAGGTAGGCAAAGGCATTGGCGCGGAGCTCATCGATCTCGTTCTCGACATGTTCGGTTGAGCCGATGAGATTGTACTCCTCTCCATCCCAGCTGACAAATTCGATGGTGCGAAGCGGACGCCACCCGTAGGTGAGCAACTCGCCGAAGGCTCGTACGACCTCCAGGAAAGCAGCAGTGCCACTACCAGGATCGACACTACCCATGCACCACGAATCCCGGTGGTTGCCAACAACGATCTTCTTGTCACGCTCTTCCATTCCCTCGATCCTGCCGTGGATGTTGTAGATAGGTTGTCGCTCGACTTCGTCCTGCAAGTTCATCAGATGAACGACCGGGGATTTCTCGTCACCGGTCCACCACTCTTGAATCTTGGGAACACCGCCCACCCATTCCTTTGGGACCTTGGAGCCATGTCCTTTGAGGGCCTGCAAAAGTGGCTGTGCATCGCGCCAGGCGAGAGGAAGACTAGGAATCTTGGGCAGTCCAGGACTTTCCTCCGGGGATAAACGATGCTTTTCTCCCGGGGTGGATGCCCATCCGGGGCTAAGAACATCGCCGACAACCTGCGACATCATACTGACACCGCCCCTTTGTACGCCATCCTTTGGCATGTAACGACCTTCGGGATAGGTCGGGCCTTGAACGAATCCATCCTGGGCAGGATCGGAATAGATGATACAGCCAACCGCTCCAGCTAATTCAGCGGCCTTGATCTTCAAGGCACGATCGGTCTCGGTGCCATAGTAGCGGACTAAAGCAATCGATCCCTTGAGCGAAATTCCTTTATTTGCAAGCAGCTTGAAATCATCCCGGGATCCGAAATTCGCATATACCAAAGGTCCAGTAACATTGCCTGACTTCGAATGTCCATGGAAAATGAGATCCTGGGCGTTGTCCTCTTCGAGTTTGGCTTCCCAAGCTAGACTGGGTGGATCGATGATTGCCACTCTCCTACCATCCTTGCGTGGATAGTTGAGGTACACTTGAAATTCTTCCCGCGTGACTTTATCAAACCCTGCATTGTGGAACTCCTGTTCAATCCACTGTGACAGGGCAAAGCTGCCTTCCGTGCCAGCGACGTGGGTGTAATTGGTAACTCGTCGCAAGTTTTCGGCGATGTTTGTCTCGTTGATATGACCTTGTATGAAATTCTCGACGGAGGCGGCGCTATACGACTGGCCCATGGACATGCGACTGTTGATATTGAAGACGTCGGCGATGAAGAAGACGTATACTAGAGTGACTACGAGTAAAAGAGCGAACACTCGTAGTAGCAGAATGCACCCCTGATCTTTGAAATGTGCCCTCGTGTCGTTGAGGTTTATCGTAAAGCGAAAGTTGGGCATATATCGTTGGAAGGGTCGTTGAATAGCGGACAACGTACGGCTCAGACTCGATAGCTGTTTAGAGAAACGATGTCGTAGCGCGGAGTGTCTACCGGTTAAGGATGTCGACGAGTCATCCACGTCCATCTGGTCTAATTCCCGTCGCAGTTCCTCCACGGATTCCCGGTCAGAGCGTGAGGCAGCCGATTCCAGTTCATCGAGACTGGTGCGCGCCGACTCCACGGTTGGTGGGTGGTAACCGCGGGTCTCAGCATGATCGCGACCGAGTAACTCTTGTCGTTCCAGGTCATTTCCGTCGCCGAGATCGGATCGAGAGGAGGAAGGCTGACCGGTTGCTTCTGCGTAAGAGGGGATGGGGACCGCCTGATAATCAAACTTCTCGTCGCCCATTGTGAGAGATACGGGGCTCCGGGGAGCCGTAGCAAGGGTGTGCGAGTGCGGCGATCCGGAAGATCATGATCTGTTACGAGGATATGAAATGAGCGATCGACATCCTATGCCGACGAGAAGACTCCAGGAGTTGATGAAGTTGCAATAGGAGAAGGAGAAGGCAGACGTGGGCGCCTCCCCGGACCCACGGTCTCGGCAAGTTCCTTACACAATCAGCATTGGCACATTCTGTAACTATGCCTGAAAAATCGTCTTATGGAAACTCATTCATTTCCTTTACTTCTGATCCCTGGAGATGTGATGCTACCATGGCTATGCTAGGAAATAATACTGCGTATATGGACGGAGTACTGAATAGCGCAATGTTACGGAGTACATACCTTCTGTCCAGGTGTCCACGCCAAGGACAATCAGTACACTCGTGACTCGTGAGCCTGAGGCACATGGCATACCTTTGACACGGATATCAGGTGCTTTGGAGAGACAATCAAAAGAACCGATGGAATACCTACGGAGTACATATCCATTGTAACCTACAACTGTACAAATGGGTATAGTGAGACAAGGGAGATAAAACCTAGCAACAAGACAAGCCATACACTGGCCCATCCTATCTGAAGGAGTTATGAGAGGTCCAAGGGACAAAGAACATTGAAGTAGGAACTAGTTAGCTACGGAGTACAAAACCAGCTCGATGTACGATGCCAACATTGAGGGTATGGGAAGCAAATGGTAGAGCATGTTGGCTGCCTGAGTGCCTGGATGCCTGGATCTCTGAGTCTGGATCTGGCCTGGCGGAAAATAGAAACACCGAAAGTATGGGACTCTTTTTTTGCTTTGTCGCCAGCGGCCAGCTCGTCCTTTATGTATGGCTTTTTATCTACAGTCCCCTTCATGTACTCCGAGTATATTCCCTGCTGTAGTTACATCTTCGGAGTCCAGCGGAAGTTACTCCACTACACTAAAAACAGCTAAGCCAACGTTATAAGACCTTGGAATGGTCCCAGGGGAGACAGAGGAAGCGTGGAGACCGGCGGATGAGGTGGATACAGATCGATAAGATGGCAGACTCAGTTCTACACCGTACACATGGAAGTGAGGAATTTTTTGGGCAACGCCACGTAGCAAGGAGAAGAAGCATAGACGGACTGATAAGTTGTATCGTCTTACTGTAGTATCTTAGTACTTTCATTCACGAGTACAGAGTAGTTATGAGGAGAGTGTGGTAGTTATGCTGTTGATATACCTCGTTATGGAATAGCTTCCCGTTCACACACCACACAAACTACACACATTCAACAACATTACAATAGTTACACAGTAGTAATAGCTAGGCATTTATCCGGCCCAAAGGAAAGACAAAGCCATGCAGGTAGATCTCCCCACTTAAGGAGAGAGGGAAATGAAAAAATGAAAAATAAAATAAAATCGGCTGGTGACAGATCGTACACTGTAGATCCGAGTACACAGAACTCCTTTTTCATTCTTATATCAATTGCCCTCTGCCTGACTTCTTTTGTGGTGTACTCTCTTCCTCTATTCCAACCCTCCATACTTCCACCTTCAGCTTCCTTGTGCTTTTCTTTCTCGCTACAAAAAAAAAAGTTGCTAGCCCCTCCATACCCCCACCATGGCTGCTCGTCCCCAAAACATTGGCATCAAGGCCATTGAAGTCTATTTCCCTACTCAGGTGAGTGCTCTCGGAGTCTTCCCCGTGTTTTTCATCGCCAGGGCTCTTTTACTGACATGTCAATCACAGTGTGTTGACCAGGCTGAGCTGGAGAAGTACGATGGCGTCGCTACCGGAAAATACACCATTGGTCTCGGCCAGACCAAGATGAGCTTCTGTGATGACCGTGAGGGTATGTTTTCTTGGATCGCCTTCAAATTGGAATCCAACTAACTGAATGCCTAGACATCTACTCCATGTCCCTCACCGTCCTCTCCTCCCTCATGAACAAGTACAGCATCGACCCCATGTCCATCGGAAGACTCGAGGTTGGCACTGAGACCCTGTTGGACAAGTCCAAATCTGTGAAGTCGGTCCTCATGCAGCTCTTCGCTCCCCATGGAAACACCAACATTGAGGGTGTTGACAACGTCAATGCCTGCTACGGTGGTACCAATGCCGTCTTCAACAGCATCAACTGGCTCGAGTCCTCCGCCTGGGACGGCCGTGATGCCATTGTGGTTTGCGGTGATATTGCCCTCTACGCCGCTGGTGCCGCCCGCCCCACTGGTGGTGCTGGTGTTGTGGCTATGGTCATCGGCCCCGATGCCCCCATTGTCTTTGAGCCTGGTCTCCGTGCCTCCTACCTCACTCACGCCTACGACTTCTACAAGCCTGACCTCACCAGCGAGTACCCCGTTGTAGATGGTCACTACTCTCTCCGCTGCTACACCGAGGCTGTCGATGCCTGCTACAAGGCCTACGGTACCCGCGAGAAGACCCTGAAGGCCCAGACCAACGGCGTCAACGGCGTCAACGGTGTCAATGGCACCACCGAGGAGTCCACCTCCCCCTTGGACCGCTTCGACTACATTCTGTTCCACGCTCCTACCTGCAAACTTGTCCAGAAATCCTACGCCCGCATGCTCTACAACGACTACTTGGCCAACCCCTCCAACCCCGCCTTCGCAGAGGTCGCACCCGAATTGCGCGACTTGGATTACGAGAAGTCTTTGACTGACAAGGTCGTTGAGAAGACCTTCATGGGTCTCACCAAGAAGCGCTTCGCCGAGCGTGTCAACCCCGGTCTCCAGGTCGCCACTCAGTGCGGTAACATGTACACCGCCACAGTCTACGGCGGCCTCGCCAGTCTGCTCAGCAACGTCGCTTTCGATCCCAAGGAGGTCAAGCGCATCGGCCTGTTCAGCTACGGTTCCGGCCTTGCAAGCTCCATGTTCAGCGCCAAGATTGTCGGCGATGTCTCTAACATGGTTGAGAAGCTTGACCTCCAGAAGCGTCTCGATGCCCGCACTGTCCTTGAGCCCGCTGCATATGATGCCATGTGCAAGCTCCGTGAGCATGCCCACTTGAAGAAGAACTTCAAGCCCGCCGGTGATGTCGAGACCATTGGATCCGGTGTCTACTACCTGACCGAGGTGGATGACATGTTCCGCCGCAAATACGAGATCAAGGCTTAAATCTAAGCTTTGATGATGATGTTATATTGCCTTTACCGTTCATATTTTGCCTAGACGGTTCAGAGAGATTCCCCCGAGCGTTTTGTGTGTTTTACCAAGGTGTATAGACCATGGCAAGGTCATTGGGACCTTGCTTCCACTTTTTTTTACTCTTTCGGTTGGGTGTTTTTGAATCAGTTCGACCCACTTGAAATGAATGTCATGAAATAATCAAAGATAATAATGATACAATTCAAATGCATAGCTTTTCGTTAGAACATACATTGACTGTTATGAAACGTTGCCAGGGGTCAATGCGCGGTTGCGTGTTGATCACCCAGATCTGACCTCACTTCCTCTTACACTCTGCACTACTCTCCACATTGGCACGAACTCATCGATCAACTGCATTAATTGATGCTAATTATGGGACATTTCTGTCTCAAGCTCATCCAATCACTGAACGTGACGCCCGTCGTCGTTCGGCGCGTACTTCAAACTCATCCCACGCCTGTAGCCGCCGACTTCGATATCACACTCGACCCTGGCGCCTCTGGAGCAGAGACCCTCCTTTCAAACACCTTCCCACCCTCTTCTGAGGAGTCGGTGTGGATTCCATAACCCTGATGCCTATTATTATCCCCCTACTGTCCTGGAACCCTTAACCGCTGCCTTGGCAAGTCTTGAAGCAGGGAGAGTCACCAACAAGTCTGCTAATTAACTCGAAAATGCGACCTAATTGTTTCCCAATTTAGATCATCTCGAGCAACCTGCAGCAAACTAACCCTAACGGGGAATCTGAAGAATGCTAATGAAGAAGATGCGAAATATAGTAACACCTTAACGCGCGACAGTCCGATGAAACCGCACTATACCGAACTTGACCTCTCGGAGGTATAGTTTCAAGTGCTTCTGTCGCGCGACATGCCTGTCTGCCAGGCACAATGTCGGCAGTTTCGCGTTTCATCGCGTGGATGCTCCTCTGATCGGAGACTAGGATCCCAAAAAAAGATCCTGAAGCTCCGTGGGCGTCACAATGGGGCTCTTCTCCATGTTTCAAGTCTTATAGATCCACCAGGGTTCGTCAGTCGAGCCTTTTATATGCATCGAGCTTGGCTGTTTGAGACTTTGTCAGTGTCCATTTAATATCCAAATATCCTCCCTGGATCATGCCTTCTTGAACGACTTGGTCAACAAGACATCGGTTCCTTCGTTCATACTCCCGTGATAGATTGTCATTGTTGACATTGATCAACACGTTCACCATCATGTCTACTGTCGAACACGCTCGCTACCGGCCGACGACGCCGCCGCGTCTCTCACTTGAGGAATACCTCAGCTGTGGACATGCTCGTCATCCCTCCAATTCCTCTGTTTATTCAAGCGAGTCATCTCCTTGGTCAACTGTGACTGGCAATACTAGCCCTACCTCATCACCAACCAGATATTATCATGGCCCAAAGATATTGCCTAAGATTAGGCCTCAAGATGTGGTGGTTGAGCCAATGTCTGCCGGCGGGCCTCTCCGTCACCGCAGGGTTCTGTCCAATACACGGAATCCGCCTGGCTTCATCCCTTACCCACCACCACGGCCGTCGACTGGCCGTCATACACGCGGTGTCGTGGACCACCTAACATTGTCCATGCCTATCTCGCCATTGCCAATGGCTGTACAGGGCAGCGTCTCTGCCTTGTCATCGCCTGTAACGCTCACGCCTTCATATAAGCGCAAGGCAGGCGGCGGCCACGCACGTTCAGTGTCAGCATCTATCATTGATGCCGGTCCTTGGAGTCGATTTGGTTATCCCACCTGCCCTGAGCTGCCCAAAGATGCATCTCCAATGCAGGCCCCGGCAGCTCCGGCTACACCGACGACTCCTATATCTCCCGTCACTCCCATCATGGTCAACTCGACATACTCTCGAAGACTCGGAGACCAAAGAGCTCCTGTATGCACCCAACTTCCATTAACAGTGCCAACACCCCAATATGATTACCGCCAGGCATCAGTGGCCCAGCAATCCCCCGTCGTGCTCAGTCCCCAGGAAGACCTCACGCCCAGATTCACGACTCTATTATCATATTTGACCCTGCCAATCCAACCAATTAACCTGGTCCGCAATGTCAGCGTGGTTCCCACCCGCGGCATGCACGATTATTTTTGGTGGGATATCCGCAACCTGCGCAGCTGGACCTCTTTCTCACTCGCTGCATTTGGTTCCCTGGACAGCCAACTGATCAAGCTTCTAACGGTCCCGGTTCAAGCAGAGTGCACGCCCCATGTGGCAGTCTCTCCCGCAGCCCTAGCACCTGAGTCAGAACCAGCCCTCGTCAGCCTAATTCGTGATCTCTATGCACCACGAGTAAACGCCGCCCTGGCCGTCTCCCAGGGCACAAACCCTCTCCAACTCTACGCAGCCCCAGATGTCCGCAGCACAGGCCACAAAAACCACGGCCATCCCCATTTCCTAGCAAACTACAGCTCAGACACCGAATCCACAAGCTCCGGCCTCCCTCGCGGCCGACTAGTCGGCATCGTGAAAAGCTTCGACCGGTGGAACACCGGCATGCGAAACGAGGCACCCCACCGACGCGTCGAGTACCTCAACGGCCTTGCCCATCTTCAGCGCTGCATGCGCGAACACTCCTGCCGCTACGGCTTCATAATAACGGAAATCGAACTCGTATGCGTACGCGCCGGCTGCGATCCCGGCGACGACGTCCCGTACTTCGGATTCCTCGAGATCGCCGCCTCAATCCCACTCAAGACGTCAGCGAGCAGTGGTATCAACTCGCAAGCACCAGCTCCAGCGCCGCTAGCAACACCCATCAGCGCGCGGTCTTTCTCCTCCTCGTCGAACTCGTCGTTCCCCTCACACCACGACTCCCCGGAGCCGGAGGATATAGAGGAGGCCACTGCCATGCCCATGACAGCCGGCCTGGCGTTGTATTTCCTTTTGTTGCTTTCGAAGGCTGTGCCGCTTCCAGATCAGCCCTCGGCTCATCTCAACGTCGGCGGGCCCGGGGCGCTTACACGCCAGCGTATCCTGTCGGAGCCCAAGGATAAATGGATTCCCGAGCCGCAGATTGGAGAGAGGCGAGATGCGAAGAGGGTTCGGGGATGGGTTTGGCCTCAGGATGCTTGGCATCGGAGGGAGGGGGGGTGGTGCGCCCAGGGCGAAGTCTGGGGAGACGAAGAAAAAGAAATGGCATAAATAAGTATATGTTCTGGCGCTGGGGTGGGCACTTTCTGGGGTCGAGGATTTGGAGCTTTGCTTTCATATTTGTCATTTTATTGTTTTCTAATATTTTTGGTTCGGTGCTGGTGGTTTCGTCTTGCTATTAGGTCCCCCTTTCAAACATAATAATCATTTCTTTTTGAACAGATACCTATAACAGTCCCAAGGTCCTCATGGATCGACAATATCCAATATTCTAATCGTTTATCGGAGAGTATGGAGCTTTCCCTGATCCAGTCTTGTGTCAAGTCCTAAGGACCTTGGGGGAAGAGTACCTCGATAGCCAACTGAGGACATTGCGATAGCACCATCCATTAGACTATAAAAGATCGACTCTGGGGTATTTCTCTCCTGATTGTCTCCTAGAATCCTGGTTTATCCTATAGCCCTACACCGTTAATCCACCGTACTACGTTCCCTATACCTACACACCCGCTCACCCTGACGGTTAACCCTAAGTTACCACCCCCAAGATGTCCTCCCCCGAACCACCACCAGACTCAATCCACGACGTAATAATCATCGGCGCAGGACCCTGCGGCCTCGCCGTCGCCGCCCGCCTAAGCGAAGAAACCCCCTCAGCAGTCTTCACAGACGAAGAACACCAACGCTACCACTGGATCAAGAAACACAGCGGGCGAATGAATCTCGTCCAGGCCCGCCACAGCAAGATCAACGGCGTACGCGCAGCAAAATGGGACTCCGAGCACGGTTGTCCCTGTCACCAAAAGAAGGATCGACGAGCCTCAACGGACTCGTCATCATCAGTCCCGTCTCTGTCATCGGCATCATCTACATCATCGATTAGGACTTCGTCGTCTCTTTCGACGCTTGTCCTGGATGGCTCGGGCAATAAATGGATGCAGAGGTGGGACAATGCGTTCCGCACGCTGGAAATCAAGCAGCTTCGCAGCCCGATGTTCTTCCATGTTGACCCCGGGGATCGGGATGGGATGCTGGCTTATACGAATGAGACGGGACGGGATGAGGATTTGTGGGAGATTTCGGGGTGTGTTGGGAAGGAGATGAGCAAGCATAAGAAGAAGAAGAGGAGGCAGATGGGGAAGGTTCAGTGAGTCTACTATCTGACTTGTTTTCTATTTGTATAGATATAGAGGTCACTAACCCCTTTTGCAGGACTATCGGATCAGAGATCGACGAACGAGATCGAAAAGACTACTTCTCACCCTCTACAGAGCTCTTTTCCGATTATTGTTCCTCGATCATCCAGCGGTATGCCTTGGATGAACCGGGACAGATATTGAAGCGTGAAGCCACGCATCTTTCCTACGATTATCTCTCTGCTAGCTCCGACTCGAAGGTGTTTACGATCGTCACTTCCAGTGGAGAGAAGTTCTATAGTCGGGCTGTTGTCCTGGCTGTCGGTCCTGGTGGAGCTGGGGTATCCAAGATTTATCCATGGAGGCCCTCGAGCGAACAAGAAGGGGCAGCTGGCTGTTGTCACAGTATGGAGATCAAGATCTTCCCCAGTCCCAATGTACAGAGCAAGATCCAGCGTCGACAGGAGACTAATGTTGTCGTCGTTGGTGGTGGACTTTCGTCTGCACAGATTGTCGATATGGCTGTTCGAAAGGGTGTGACGAAGGTGTGGTTTTTGATGAGATCAGGCTTGAAGGGTATGTATAAATCACCTTATACCCGCCTGCAAGCAGACACTGGCTAATGTCTAATACGAACAGTAAAACACTTCGACATCAGTCTACCATGGATGGGCAAGTACAAGAACTGGGAAAAAGCAGCATTCTGGTCTGCCGACACAGACGAAGGCAAGTTCATAGGGAAACCAACACTAAACTCCTAAGCTAACGTCTCCAGAACGCCTCTCAATGCTCCAAACCGCCCGCAACGGAGGTAGCATAACACCCCGCTACACGAAAATCATCAAGCACCACGCATCCCAAAACCGCGCCTCCATCCACCCCTACACGAAGATAAAAGCCCACGAATACAACCCAGACACACAAACCTGGTCTCTAACAACCGACCCACCAATCCCAGATCTCCCGGAAATTGACTACATCTACTTCGCGACGGGGGCACGGGCCGACGTGCGTGAGATGCCGTTGCTACGCCAGATGAACGAGCAGTACCCGATCGATGTCAAGGGTGGCTTTCCCTGTTTGACGAACGATCTGGCGTGGAGGGATGACGTACCTTTGTTCGTGACGGGGCGCATGGCGGCTCTCCGATTGGGGCCTGGGGCGCCGAATTTGGAGGGCGCGAGGGTGGGTGCTGAGCGGGTTGCGTGGGGTATGGAGGAGGTGTTGGGGAAGGGGAGGGAGGTTGGTGGGCAGTGTGAGGGGTTTTGTGGGCTTGGGAATCGGTATGCTTCGTTGCTTGGGGAGTGTGATTGAGACATGGTGTCTATTCGTGATATCTGTGAGCGTTTTGTATAATTCTTGTTTGGCCGGCAGATCGTTGGCTCTGCGCTGGTTCGATAACTCCAACTGAGCTCGTGGGACTGTTGGGTTGGATAAATTACTCTCTTCGGATGATTAGATCTTGCATTCCATGATTCCTCCCTTCATTCCGTCTGCTTCAACCACCAGAGTTCCCTGATGAGGTCTGAACGTCACCCGTGCAAGGCTGGAGATTTGCTGAGTCCGAAGAATGTGCACGATCCCTTGCTCTCACGGAATATAAGCTAGTCGATGTAATATTGCTGGAAGCTCAAGTCCTCGGCATATAATTCGACCTCACCTTCTCTAGCAAGCCCATGTGGCGAGAGAGTATACATCATGGCGACAGAACCGGTACTGAATAAGGAGCCGATGGAGGCATTCAAGCTCCTACCGAACAACACAAACCCCAACTGGATCAAAGACAGGGGCCTCCGGAAGCTCAATCTGGCGATTGTGTTTATGTTCTCGACTGCCTCGTCAGCGGGGTATATTGGAAGTCTCGTTAATAGCTTGCTTGTGCTGCCAGAGTGTAAGGATCTCGATTTCCAATTTTATACGAGAAATTCCAAATTAACAATGGCACAGTTGGTTCTGTCATCGGTGGTCTAGACCCGAATATAGTTGGTCTGATCATTGCAGCCACTTCACTAGGCGCCTTACTATCTTTCGCACCAGCCTCTTATATCGCCGATATATTCGGACGCAAGACATGCGTGAGTATCGGAGCTAGCATCATCATCGTGGCAGCCATCATCCAAACATCCATCCATAACCACTGGGCCTTCTTCGGCACAAGGATTCTGTCGGGCATAGGAATGGGGATTACCCAGACTGCAGCACCACTGTTAGCCACCGAGATCGCCCACCCACGACAACGACAGACCGCCACAGCCCTGTACAATGCATCCTGGTGTCTGGGCGCAATTAGCTCCGCGGCCGTCACGTATGCAACCATCGGCATAGAGAACAGTTGGTCTTGGCGGGTTCCTTGTCTGCTGCAGATATCATATCCGTTATTCCAGATGCTGGGGTTACTCGTTTTTGTGCCCGAAAGCCCGAGATGGCTTGTATCCAAGGGCCGCAAAGACGAGGCTCTGGCTATTCTGGGGAAGTACCATGCGAACGGAGATACGGACGACGAGTTGGTGCAGTATGAGTATCGCTTGATTTGCAGCACGATCACCGCCGAGATCACCAATGCGACAAACTGGGCCACGTTCTTCTCGTCCAAGGGCAATATGCATCGACTGGCGATCTGTGTGTTGGTGGGATTGATGCAGGAATGGGCAGGAAATGGTATGTTAAGCAGAATTTGCAAAAAAAGAGCTCTCGCTAATACCTGTAACCGACCGCAGGTCTCCTATCCTACTACCTCGCACCTATCCTCTCATCAGTCGGAATAACCAAAGCAGCCGACCAAGCAGCCGTGAACGTAAGCCTGAACATTTGGAATTTCCTACTCTCAGTCGGTGGCGCACTTGCCTCAGAGCGATACGGCCGCCGCGTCCTCTGGCTCATTTCCACCGAGGCCATGATTGTCTTCTTGTCCGTGTCCACGCTAGCCGCTGGTCTATTCGCCGAACGGCACCTTCCTGCAGCTGGCGTTGCAGTTGTTCCGCTGCTGTTCCTCTTTCTCGGCGCATACGATATCGCGTATGCGCCTCTGTTCCTCTCGTATCCGGCGGAGATTTTACCCTTCCAGCTGCGGGCTAAGGGGATTGCTGTCACGCTGTCGGTGGATGCTGTAGCATGTTTCTTCAATCAATATGTTAACCCCGTGGCGTTTACGGCGATTGCTTGGAGGTATTATTGTGTTTTTGTTGGGTGTCTGGTTGTGTTTTTGGGACTTATTTATTTCCTTTTCCCTGAGACGAAGGGGCGGTCTTTGGAGGAGGTTGCGGTGATATTTGATGAGAATGATGTAAATGAGAAAAAGACGCGAGGTAGATAGAATTCGATCTATAAGTCTCGTGATTGTGTTTGCCCTGATAGTTTGAGGTTGTGACGACGTTGCATTCCCCCGCACTTCCCCGCTGGAAAGCGATCTCGCCACTCACGGACTTCGCATTACGAACTAGTTATATACTGCGTACTCATCTACTTGGAAAAGGCCGAAATCTGAGAGTGAGACTGAGATCTTAACTCCCTAAGATCCTGGATCCAAAAGTCTGAATATTCACCTGGTCCCGACTCCCCACCCTGACCAAACCGACCATGAAGGAACCAATCCCATCCGATACCACCACCATCACCGGCTCCAGTTCGACTCAGCAAATGCGCTTCCTGGTGATAGGCGCCGGCTCCCGAGGAAACGCCTACGCCCGCGGCGTCTCAGCCACAACATCAGGCATAGTCCACGCCATCGCCGAGCCACACGCCTTCAAACGGCGCGACTTCGGACAGAAGTACATCTGGGGCTCCTCAGGAAGCCCAGCCGAGGGCCAAGAATTCACCGACTGGCGCGAATGGGTCAAATGGGAACTCTCACGTCGCAAGCTCGTCCAGAACCCCGACCCAAACTCAACCCAAACTCGAATCCCACCAGGTGTCAACGGCGTCTTCATCTGCACACTCGACGAAACCCACGTCGAAATCCTACAAGCCCTCGCCCCACTACATCTTCACATCCTCTGCGAAAAACCCCTAGCCCTCTCCCTAAACGACTGCCTAACAGTCTACCGCACCCTCCAGCCACCCTCCCCGGACTCCACCCCGCAACCACCCAAGAACATCTTCTCAATCGGCCACGTCCTCCGCTACAGTCCACACAACATCCTCCTCCGCAAACTCCTCCTAACCAACCGCGTGATAGGCGACGTCGTCTCCCTAGAACACTGCGAGCCAGTAGGCTGGTGGCACTTCTCGCACAGTTACGTGCGCGGCAACTGGCGGCGTCAAACAGCCGCCGGCGACGGCTCCCTACTCACAAAATCCTGCCACGATATCGACTTCATCCTCTGGCTGCTGTGCTCGCCGACAGACGCAGAGACAGCAGCACGCACAGGCCAAACGCCGCATTTCCCGCGCAGTATCTCGTCGGCGGGATCGCTGACGCAGTTCCGACGCAGTCGGAAACCGGCTGCTGCTGGGAATGCGACGAATTGTGTATCTTGTCCGGCTGAGAGGGACTGTGCTTATAGTGCGGTGAGGATTTACAATGAGCGGCATCTGGCGAAGGGACATACCGGGTGGCCGGTTGATATTGTGTGTCCGGATATTGAGGATGTGGTCCGCGTTCAGGGAAGAGATGCTGCGGAGAGAGTGCTGATGGATCGGCTAAGTGAAGACTATGATGAGACGGTTCAGGATAAGACTGTGGCTGAGAGGCCGTGGTATGGGCGGTGCGTGTGGGAGGCTGATAATGAGGTTTGTGATGATCAGGTTGTGACGATTAGTTGGGATGAGGAGGGGCCGCATCGGATGGCGAAGACGGCGAGCTTTCATATGATTGCGCCGACGGAGAAACAGTGTGAGCGCCGGGGCAGGGTTTATGGAACTACGGGGGAGATTGAGTATGATAGTAGTAGGATCTCAGTTTATGATTTTGCTACTGGGGAGACTACGGTCTTTGATGTGCCGAAGCCGCCGCCGGAACATCAGGAGTCCCATGGTGGTGGGGACTTTGGGCTTGCGAGGCAGTTTGTTAGTGCTGTTGAGGCAGTTGAGAGTGGGAAGTTGGATGTTGAGACGGCGCAGGCGAGGTTTGTGGGGTGTTCGCTTGAGGAGGCGGTGCGCAGTCATGCTGTTGTGTTTGCGGCTGAGGAGGCCAGGAGGGAGGAGAAGGTTGTTAAATGGGGGAGTTGGTGGGATGAGAAGTTGAGGGCGTCTGCTGCTGCGTGGAAGGCGTAAATGTTGAGAGCGAGGAATAAAGAATCTACGAGTGCATCTAGGGTGCTTTGAGAGATAATGTAGTTCTAATCCACTTCAAAAAGGTCCGGTAAAGACAAGCCAGGCTCGTATTATGCTAAAGGCACAGATTATATCATGCCAACGTATCGAATATCTGAATTTCATCCTGCTTTTCGCTCATCAGTCTTCTCACATTCAAATCATACTGCGTAGACCTGCAAATAAAAGGTGATCCCCATCCAGCAGGTTCCACATTAACCCTAACATAACCAAACTTAGGTCTTAACATCCGGCTCCTCACGGCCAACGTACTCCTTGAACTTGAGCAACGACAGAGCGAGCGCAATGTTATCAGCCAAGTACTCCTGAGCAGAGAGACCGAACTTGGACTTGTCGGCCTCGTAGCGCTCAACGTACAGACGGATGGTAGCACCGCTGCTGCCGGTACCGGATAGACGAACGACGATGCGGCTGCCGTCATCAAATTTGGCGAACAGGCCCTGGTTCTTGGCGACACTGCCGTCGAGATCGGTGTAGGAGAAGTTTCCGGCGTCAACGACCTTACGGCCGGCGACTTCGGAGCCAACGAAGGTGTCGCGGTTGGCGACCAGGTCAGACAGAGTGCCAACGACCTTGTTAGCGCCCTCGCTGTCGACGTTCTCGTAGTCGTAGCGGGTGAAGAAGGTGCGGCCATAGGTCTGCCAGAACTCGTTCTGGATGGAGCCAATGCTGGGGGTCTCGTTGGGCTTTTGCTTGGCAACACCGGCAATGATGTTCAACCAGGCAACGATAGCCCACACACCGTCCTTCTCGCGAATGTGGTTGCTGCCCGTGCCGAAGCTCTCCTCACCACAGATCGACATCTTCTTCTCGTCGAAGAGGTTACAGAAGAACTTCCAGCCCGTGGGCACCTCGTAGCTCTGCAGACCCTGGGCTTTAGCCACGCGGTCCACGGCACCGGAGGTGGGCATCGAGCGGGCGAGACCGTAGACGCCCTGCTTTTGGAAGTAGGGAATGAGCTTGGCATGGTGGGCGATGATAGCCAAGCTGTCACCGGGGGAGACAAAGCTGTTGGCGCCGTAGATCATGTTACGGTCACCGTCACCATCACTGGCGGCACCGAAGTGCACGCCGTTCTTATCCACAGCCTCGACGAGCTCGTGGGCATACACAAGGTTGGGGTCAGGGTGACCGCCACCAAAGTCTGGCTTGGGCTGGCAGTTCATGGTGCTGCTGGTGGGCAAGCCGAGCTCCTTGACAAAGATATCCACGCCGTAGGGTCCGGTCACACCGTGCATGCCGTCGAACAGGACCTTGAAGTCCTTGTGGGAGCTGAGGAACTCCTTGATGAGATCGAAATCGAAGATCTCCTTCATCATCGTAACGTAGTCGGCGGTAGAGTGCACGATCTCAACCTCGAGAGGCCCGTAGGTCTTGGTGCCGATGGTGGTGGTGTCGATGTCGGGGATGTCGACGTATTTGTATGAAGTCAGGGTCTTGGAGGTTTGGTAGATCTTGTTGGTAACACCCTCGGGGGCGGGGGCACCATTGGCCAGGTTGTACTTGATACCGAAATCGTTATCGGGACCTGAATTGGTTGAGGTTAGCTCAACCATCTTCCTCTTTACTCCGCATCACTACGTACCACCGGGGTTGTGACTGGCAGTCAAGAGAATACCACCAGTTGCCTTCCTCACACGGATGAGGTTGCTAGCAGCGGGAGTGCTCATAATGCCATTCTGTCCAATCAAGATTCTCTTGACACCATAGGCGGCACTGATCTTGGCAATCTTAGAGATAACTTCGGGGTTGTAGTAACGGCCATCGCCTCCAATGACGAGGAAGGCACCTTCAGCACCTTCGGGAATCGACAAGAGAATGCTAGTAATGAAGGCTTCGGAGTAATTGGCCTGCTGGAAGACCTTAACCTTCTTGCGGAGGCCGGAGCTGCAAGCAAGTTAGCTTGGTCAATTGCGGGGCAACAAGCATAACATACGTTCCAGGCTTCTGGTCAGCGAAGGGCTGGATGGATACTGTCTGAACAGACATTATGAAGATGATGGAATGTAGAGAGAGTTAAGGAAGAGAAGAAGAGAAGGGGGGGGGGTGGGGGAGGAAATCTTGGAAGTTGACCGACTTGTTAAGCTCCACGGGCCAAGCCTGATTTGGCGTCATGTGTTTATCATCCCGCCTGGACTGTTGTACTCCGTACACTTCAAATCTCTTCAGGTCACTTTGCCACTGCGACCAAGTTTTAAATATATCTGTACAGCTTCAGAGATTGTGTCATTGGCTCTACTCAGGCTAATCTGGAAGTTATCTGGCCAGTTTTATCTTTCCAACGGTCGAGCACTTCCAAATTGGCCGCAGATTATCCGGTGGGGAATCAAAATACTGCAGTGACTCGTACCACGACTTTTTTTCCAAAGTACTGTACAGTGAACAGTCTATACAGTCTATGCAGAGTCATGGGATGATCCTCTCTCACCTTCCAAGTTAGCAAAATGACAACCAATTCCCGTCACTTTAGTACTATTCCCCACTCCCCAATGCGGCCCCATAACCCTATGCAAGGAATCATGTCCATCACTCAAACAGCTTCTCCTTGTAGAACCGAATCTCCTCAATGCTCTCAAGAATATCATCCCTAGCAAGATGCACAGTCCTCTTGGACGGAACCTCCTCCAGCAACCGATCACTCCCCCACCTCCGCGCAGCCTCCTTCAACGAACTAACATCCAGAATGCGATAATGCAAATGCTCCAGCACCTTCGAGTACGGCTCACAAGCAAGGAAGGCCTTATCAGCATGCACACTATTACCCGCCAACAGTGCAGTGCGCGGAACCGGGACGTGCTGGCGGATGTAGGCGAGAAGCGAGTCTGCAGCGGTGGAGGGGGAGACGGTCGAGGCGCGCACGGCGGCGGTGAGGCCCGTGCGGCCGTGGGTGTCGATGCACCACTGCGACATCGCGTCGAGGGCGGAGTCCGGGACGTGGACGATGGTTTCGAAGCCGTTGGGTTCGAGGAGGTTCAACTGGGCGTCTGTGATGAAGCAGCAGATTTGGATAATTTTGTCGGTTTCTGGGTCCAGGCCTGTCATCTGCGGATGGGGTTAGTTGGTGGTGGCGGTGGTGGAAATTGGTGATGGGGGGAAGCTTCCGAATATACCTCGCAGTCGATCCAGACCAGCGGGTCTGTGGAGCGTTCGAGTGGCATGGTGGATTTGTGGCGGATGGAGATTATTCTGGGCTGTTGGAGCTGTTAGCTCTGACGTTCAATTGGGGGGTGGCAGAATCACTTGGTGGAGAAAGCCGGGCTGGGCGAAAACACTGCGGAATGCAGACGATGCAGGTAAGAAGATATTTCTGAGCATGGATTCATGGGCAGATATGTATACAGATATGTAGTTCTACTGCGTAGAGTTGCCCTAGTTCAAGTTGACAAACGTGGTTGGGTAATGTTGAGCTAACCTTCATGCCGGGAAGCTTCTCGGCTTTAAGTCAACACGGCCAGACTGGAATGTACAGCCTACAATACGTTATGACTACGCTGATGAAGATTATTATCAAGCTGTCCTGGCCGGCGCAGCAAAAGTTCTCTCCTTTAACTTATTCTCTGTAGTGTACTGGAGGGGAGTGGACGTAACGGCGTAATTGTAGAAAGGAAGCAACATGGAAAGCACTATGACCATCCACACCACTCGGTATTGCAATAGACATTCCGCCAACCTGCACAATCCTGATTGATCCACATGATAACAGCAAGAATGACTAGTGTTTCCCAGAGTGAAGAGCGGCATGTTAAGTCTCATGACGCAGACGAGATCTTGAGGTCAAACCACCCAGAGAAAAGAAACCCTATTTTCAATGATTCGGCAGCTCACAACTCCTCTTCAGTGGGTTTGGGTCCGACAGAAAGCTCGGGTGTCAGACTGAACGTATCCGCGATTGTGTTAGAATTGGTCGAGGCGGACTCAGCAGGGGCGGAAGAGCCCAAGACTTCGCTGATTCTACCAGAAGATTCGGCAATGCGGCGTCGAAGAGCGTTCTCATCGGCGGTCGAGACGCTTGCACGCTGTTTCTTCAGTGGGCTTCCGAAAAGCCCATCTGAAATTTCGACTGGCTGAGTAGGTTCGGGAAGGCCAGGCTCAGCGGTCGCAGTTTTCGGCGGTGTTGCCGAGCGCTCGTTTGCAGGCGGCGTCGATCCAGAAGCAGGGGAATCCATAGAATCGCCGACGCTGCCTCCAGGGGGTTCTGCGGAGTGCTGACGCTTAAGCTGTGGCGTGATTGTCAGTAAAGAATCGATAGAATCTGCGAATTGTACTTACTCGAATCTTCCGCAAGCTCTCTGCCAGCTCTCCCTGACGTTGAATATCATCCGGAGACAAAAACCGGTCGTCATCCCTGGCCTCTTCATCGTCTGCCTTGCCAAGTATGGGGTTGTCGTTCTCGTCGTCATCACTATCCATATCATCCTGGCTCTTCTTGCCCTTGCGCGATTTGGCGTCGGTTTCGCGGAAATTAAGGAATCCGACAGAGCCACCAGGCTTGATCGGACCAAGGCTGGCTAGATCAACCTGTAGTGATTTTCGCTTGGCGGCAGCAGGCGTTTCTTGCGCCTTGGAATCTTTCAAGATGCCCATCTTCTGTAGTTGACCTGTTTTGCAGTTAGACTTGAAGAGAATCACAAGTAAGGCACAAAATACGTACGTTCACCGCGATACATGAAAGTAAAGATCGCATATGGCTGATCAGTTGGGTCAATACCAGTGACAGTCTGCGTACTAATGGTCTTCGGGTCAAGCGTTTTGGGCTTTGCGAAACTCGTGGTGTGATCAATATCGGCGTCTCCGGCGCTATTATCCTGCGTACCCTCTTCATCATCGTGCGCATCGAATTGCGGGGAGTATTCGCCCCGCTTGATTTCCCCGGACGCCAATACTCGGAACAAAGCGATCTTGATTTGACCCGCTGTCTCGGGAATTGGATCATCGTCGTCTGAGTCTGAGGAGAGCTCGGCATCTGAGACATCCTCGAGGGGCGACTTCTCGTCATTGCCATATCGCATAATCGTCTTCGACTTGACAGGGTGGTTGTCCTCCATTTCCATAGCGGTCATGTCTTTTTCCATAGCGGTCAGGTCTTGCTCGGTCGCGCGCTTTGCCCGCCGTTTTTCCATCTTCTGTCGCCGACGCTCAATTTTGGCTGCCGCGTCCTTGCCTTCCAGGTCCAGTCCGTTGAGCCAGCGCTCAAGACCGACCTCGCGAAACAAGAATTCACGCTCGGCAATGCCCCCGCCTTCCGAGTCTGGCACGCTGACCCAGCGTGAGTTCACCCATGTCTCTTCTCCGCGCCGCAGCAGTGTGGCTACTTCCTCCTTCTGTCTTCCATCGAAGTAAATGTATGCAGCCACGGTCTCATTTGGCGAGTTTGTCAAGCCTTGATATGGTGCGACCGCTCCAGCGATTTGGCCTGGCTGCCCGGGCAGTTTACCCACAACCTTCGGTTTGGGCGAGGGGCAATCGGCTGTCGGCTTCGGAGCTGAGTACGGAACATCTTGATCCGGATTGAGGAGGGTGATGGAAATTGCAAAGGTTGATTGCTCCGCTTTACCAGTCCCTGACTCGGGAATTTTAGGCGGTGGCACAGGAATAAAGCAGCCTATCCGTGAAGCTCGGGATTGGCGTTGAATGGAGTATTCGGGAATTGGGCCATCAGGGGTGTGAATGCTCACGGCGAGCCCTTTGAAGCAGGGCATCGTGGAGAAGAGTTAAGGGAGGGTTCGAGTGTTGATTGAGATACAGATGTTGTTGCACTGCGGGGAGGAAAGTTGAGCGAGGCACAGCGCCAAATGTGCCCCACAAGGTAAGAAATACTTCGATCGGCGAGGAAAGAAAAGGAGATGTGACGGCAGATCGAGTACAGACGAATGACTTCTTTATTTTTTCCCCGCGGGTGTGTGTGTTCGATAGAGAATAAGCTATGTGGGAGGCGGTCAAGGTAGTGGATTTCGACTCGCCCAGCAGCCCACAGCAGTTCCTTAAGCTCCACTGCAGCTGCTGGTGAATGTATCGAGGTTTCGAGCCGTAGGGTCACAATGACGAGGAAATGGAGTGGGGTTGTCGAGTCGTGAGATATCAAACAAGAGAAAATGCGGGTTCCTCGGTCCAAGGCCTGGCACAAAGTAGAATCTAATAGAGCAGCGAAATGAAATGACCTGGTTAACCCCCTTGTGAAGCTCTTGAGGAAAAAGATGAGGGGCGGGTGGACCAAAACATGAGTGCCATCATGCCCCCAAACCCCCACGTGATACGTTACCATAACATTACCATAGTTAAGAGTTCTATTGCACGTGTGGTTTTTAGGGCTTTAACAGATATCAACAGCTTTAAACTGGTCTTGTGACCTTATACTCTGTATTTATGACCTCCAATATAGTGAATAACATTTATTTACTTCCTTATAAGTGCATATATGTTGTCAACTGTCCTCATCATACTCCCCAAACTCCACATCAGCTGATCCCCCAGCAACCATGCAACCATGGATGGGCTCAAACCTTGTGGAGCATTTTTCCTTTGAACTTTCCTAAGGCCATCTTCAATGCTTCATTCTTCAGATGACTATATCTCATCACTGTACATCACAATGATCACATAGAATTCTAAGAATTGATATCTTGTGACTGACTCTTGGTTCATCGCGGTCTATCGAGTCCTGTCTAATGTGTCGACAGGCACTCTCCTCTTTTGAAGTCATCTCTTTAAAAGCTTCCAATTTCATTCACTACGGAAATATGTCCGGGTCTCACCCATTACTCGATATCGTAAGTAAAAAAATGAAAGGACAGAAAAGGCAAAGTCAATCGATCCATAGTTCACGACAATACGGCAGGGGAATAAGAAAACTAAAACCATTCAACCAGTCAATGTGAGACCCTCCTTCTGTGGCGTGAATGTGATTTCAGCCTCACCCCCACCAGTGATGGTGTGAAACTGGTACAGAGGCTCCAACACCACATTCTGGCGGAAGATATAGCGCCTGAACCAATATGGCAGTGCCTTGGTGACCTGGTACTTCATATGAACGCGAGTTGGAACTGCGAAGATGTAATCCAGTTCTTCAAGGGTGCGCTGTTTGGTCTCAGGAACCCAGAGGAAGATCATGACTAGGGCAGTCACGTTCAGGCCACTGGATTTCGATGGTTAGATACTTGATGGATAGGTATGGAGTACCTGGAATATGACTTACGCATAGAAACCAAAGGCTCCGGTAGGAGTCATTGCGCTCAACATCTTCGGGAAAGTAATGGAAAGCACCGCAGCCCACCCTAGGCAGGTTGCCACCGCCCAGGACATGCCAACCTCTTGAAGTGAATGTTAGTCATTGCAAGACTAGATCAAAAGGAGGAGGAAGGGTAGACATACCTCGATGAGAAAGTGGGAATACTTCGGCCGAGTAAGTAAACGGCACGGGGCCTTCACCAGGCGAGTAGAATGCAGCAAACAAGAAAATAAAGAAAGCAATCGAGGCCAAATGGCCCGTGCCTTCCGGGGTCCAGAAGCAGAATGCAGCACCAAGCAAAGTCCATGCCATCTGCGGGAAAGTAAACAACAAGAGGGTTCGACGGCCGTATGTATCGATAGTCCAAATAGCAGGGAAAGCGAAAATGAAGTTGACCAAGCCAAAGCCCCAGGAAGCGAACAGAGCCTCTGTGTCATTTGCACCGGCATTCTTGAACACGGTTGACGAGTAGAAAGCGACGATATTAATACCACACATCTGCTGTGCGATCATGACAACGAACGAAGCAAGAGTAGCCCGGCGAACGCGAGGAATAGTGAAGAGCTCGACAAAGCGGGTGACATAGTTACCCTGACCAATCAGGCTAGACTCGATCTTAATCTGAGCGTGAATGTAGTACAGATCGCGAGCAGCCTGCAGAGGGGTGTTGCGGAGACGGCAGAGAGATTGGTAGGCCTTGCTCATCTCTCCGCGGCGGATGTACCAGCGAGGTGACTCTGGGCAGTAGTAAATACCAAAGAGCAGGGGAATAGCAGGAATGAAGGCAGATCCAAGTTGCAGCCTCCAGGAGATTGCGCCAGTGTCCTTAACAGCGAGGTTGGCGCTGAAACCGAGGAAAATGCCAAAAGCGGTCCAGAGCTGCCAGGACATGACCAGGCCACCGCGGATCACAGCAGGAGTATTCTCAGCGCAAAATATGGGAATCGTCGAGGCCTTCAGGCCCATTCCAATACCGAGGAGGAGACGAACCACGAAGAGCTGAACCCAGGTCTGAGCCACTGCAGAGCCAATGGGGGTCAAAACGCAAAAGATGGACGAGGCGAAGATTGTGCCGCGGCGACCAAGGAACCGGTTGCAGGGGTCCGACAGCCAGCAGCCGAGGAGGGCACTGGCAATATAAGGGGCAGCGTTGACGATGCCGACGAGCCACAGGTTTCGATCAGCCTGATCACTCTTCGCTGGGTCATCTGAAATACCAAAAGCATCGGGGAATGACAAATTAGCACCATTGGAGCCGGTTTGATCCCATCCTCTGTATTGGTGTTAGCACTATTTTCCTCGATGAGTGCTGGGGAATATCACTTACTGCACAGCTGCACCAATGGAGCAAAGGATGATAGTGAAGTAGAGTGCTTTGGGCTGGCGCCATTTGTGATCCACTTCATCGCGCAGCGCAGTGCGCTCAGCCTCGGTCAAGTCTGAGACGGTCTCGAACTCGGTAGGATCACGGGCAACCAGTGCTCCCTTCTTCAACTCGGGCAGGATAGCAGTTACGTTGTATTCTTGGGCAAACTCCTCGACGCCTCGAAGCAACTGGCTCTTTGTCAAGTCGGCCAATGGGTTCTTGATTCTAGGTAATTGTTAGTGTTGATCTTCGGGGCAACGATGCAGGTAACGAAAAGATATTGGAATGTATCACTGCGCGAGAGATACGAGAGGGAGTCTTACTTGGCGGAAACATTGTTGTGCAAGTCAACCTGTTCAAAGCAACCCTTCTCGGCACTGTTGTAATCATCGCTGGATCTTGGAATTAGAATGGTGCATAGCAAAGTGTTTAGGGAGGAGGGAAAACCTACCGTTGATCAACGCCCACCTCAGTGATGGTCTCCTTATTCATGGTGAATATGGTCGCCGCAATTTCTAATAGGTTTGATAGAAAGTGTCACAGATGAAGAAAGCCACGTGATGGTAGCAAGTCGATTCAGAAGGGAGAGGGGAATGGGAGGGGAATATCCACCCTTTTATGTCGTGTCCTGTCTACCCGTTTCTCAGTCCCCCAAGCCTCATGGCCAAGTCCAGGAAGGTACTAGTTTGAGTGATTCCATTGACATGACCCGTTGCCAAGTCAGATCTACTTCCCGAAACGGAAACCTCCAAATCTGGGGATGCGACCTCGTGTCAACTCTGCCCATGGGGAAGCCGCGTGAAACTGGAAAGTGGGACCACCAGCCTTCGGTTCGAGTGGAAGCTCCATCAATGTTGGTCTCGGCAAAATGTTACATAGATCTCTGCTCTGCTACATTGCCTCGAGCCAAGAACCAAAAGCAACAGTGAATGAGGTTCCCGGCCTACTTGGACCTTGCATGGCTTTGCCTGTCGGGCGTGCCTAGGAAAAGCATGCTTCTAGAGAGCCAAAGGAAATCTCGCGCCTTTTTCTTACCCTTGGCCGGGATCCCAGTCAAGCTGGGCTTGTCCAAGTCCTTCATGGAAGAAAGGTCCTGAACAGCGAGAGCTATTGAGACTCAATTCGTTCACCAATTTGATCGCAAGAGCAATTCCAATGCACAGCCCCATGCCATAAGTCAGTCAGATAATACACCATCTTCCATGTCACCCGGGAGTTCTGAGATGCGAAAAGGGCAGTCAAATCGCTCTCGGGATGACGTTCCCCAAGTTCCAACGCCACAATTGAAAGGGACCGGTTTCGGTGTAGTCACCTCTGGGCAGGGGTAGCCACTCTGATTGGCGAGAAACAGTTTAAGCGTATTACTAGAAACCAGATGATATGTTTCCTAGCGCTAACTTGGCTTAATCAAGCTAAGTTTCTGTATTGGAAATCGCATTGGCTTCATCCGGCTTTAATAGCTCGGACATTCCCTTGGCTCATAGCCTCATTCTTGCCATTTGACGCTAAATTCGCAGTGTCCTGAACCGTTCAAATAGAAACGAAGAGCATTTAGAACAAGCGCCTTCGAATTGAATACCCTCGAAACTTTTTTTTTGCTGTGGCATATTGTGGAGAACTATCAAAAGTTGAAATCCGGGGTGCAATGCGTAGGTGTCGGCACTGTCGGGTGAAAATCCCGCGATCCACTTTCTCTCGGGAAAACTTTGCTCCAGGAGCCGGTCCGACTTGGATGAGAGTCGGACAGGTAATACTCAGTTAGACATGGCTTGCCGCTTTCCAGGCACCGTATCACCGTGGACCGCTGTGCTCCTGAAACCCCTCCAGTGTTACAAGCCATAAGAAAAAAAGAGCAGAAGAGATAACTTGTTCCTGTGCTGAGAATTAAGGTAACAGAATTGGAGAAGGGAAGAGGAGAGAAGAGCTGCGCTGAACTCCTTCTTATGTTCTTCTGCCATTGTCTGCTCCTTCTCTTAGCTGTCGTTTGCTCATCACATGATCATCACATTCAGATCCCAAGAGCTTACCTGTATGCAGGTTGCATCTAGGCCGCAGACAAAGAAAGCCCCAACCGAATGTTCATGCTAGTCGCACCCCCAGAAAAAGAATACAACCTGATCTCCTCGCCAAGTCGAGCTTCTCTCTAATACTGAAGATATCCAAAGCAAGTCATCGCCAAGTCCAAGATCCCTAGAAGTACAAAGCGGCAAAGCCACAAAACAATGATCGCATCATCTACGATTCCAGAAGTCGGGTTGTGACTGCCGTCTCCGGCGATGTGCCAATGTGCTTTTCTCTGAGGCTTAAGCGAAGCGGGCCTGTCTGCGGTTTATCTGGGGGTTACAATGCCAAGGAACTCGTGGCTGAAGCCATGTGGGGATCGACTGCTTGCGTATCCCGATCCGGTCATCCCTTGGAGGGGAGTATCTGGGGTATCTCCAGGGGAGATGGAGTCGTAATCTTCTCAGCCTCTTATGCAAGTCATGACATCTTTATCAGATGATGCTTCCAGGCTTCATTCCGTGTCGAGCCAAGAGAAGATCAGGGTACTGCTGTTCCGCTTGCGGATTGAGTTCATCGCGCTTAGGTTCAAGCACGCCTGCCCAGGTGCCCAGGAATCAGGGTATGCTTGACATGTCAGGCACAGCGAGCCCTAGTCTGGCGGGTTATTCTCAAATATTGCGAGTCCCACATGTTCTGGCTGGAAGTTGCTCCATGGCAATAGCTGGAGCGGATTTGATCAGCCGTTGAGTGGCACGCAAAGCCTCACTGAGAGATTGTCACTGTTCGTGGCGAGGATTTATCTGCTGCCCGTTTGTTTGCGGACTGGGGAATAGAGGACCTGGGCCCTCTGTGAGTTGGATCGGAGATCTTTCTCTGTAGTGCGGTCGACGTGGACGATGGCATTCCAACCTTGGTTCCAACTTCCAAGTACATACGCAGTAATTACTAATCGATCCAAGAATGTGGAGTGGGTAAATGAGCCGCCGAATGCCCTAACGGCGTTAAGAACGGCGGATATCTGATGCTGACGCGCTGACACGGAGCTAACTTGATTAGGAAATATGGAGATTATTCGGACTTAACGAACTATACCACTTCTTCCATGGCTTCGCAGATTTGATGATCTGTTAAATACCTCTTTGCGCCCTGCGTCCTGGTCTTCGTGTATTCGATCCCTCTTTACTTCTATAGCTTCAGTCACTCTTCACACCACAACACCTTACACATCAATATGCCTCGCATCTGGTTCATCACCGGCTGCTCTTCCGGCTTCGGCCGTGAACTGGCCATTACAGCCGCAAAGAACGGAGACACCGTGGTCGCCACTTCGCGCGATCCCTCAAAATTGGAGGCCTTGGCATCTCTCGGCGTCATCGCGAAGAAGCTGAATGTACAGGGCAGCGATGCCGAGGTCAAGGCAGTCATCGATGATGTTCTTTCAACCATCGGCCCAATTGACATCCTAGTCAACAGCGTTGGATACATCCTAGAGGGAGGCATTGAAGAATGCAGGTAAAGCGCACCCACTTCCAAAAAAAAAACAAGTCCAGTCCAAGTCCCTAAGACCTAACATATTCCAGCCACGAAGAAATCATCGACCATTTCGACGTGAACGTCTTTTCGCAGATGCGCGTCCTGCGAGCAGCCCTCCCCTCAATGCGCGCTCGCAAAACAGGCGCCGTCGCCACCTTTGGTTCTATCGCTGGCTGGAGCGGTCATCCGGGTGCTGGAATGTACTGCGCCACGAAGGCGGCGGTCGCTCTCTTCACAGAGGCTTTACATCATGAGCTCGCTCCATTCAACATTGATGTGACATGTATCGAGCCAGGATATTTCCGCACGAACTTCCTCACTGCGGGCCACAAGGTCATCGCGAAGAACCACATCGCCGAGCTGGACGTAGGCACCAAAGCCACTCGCGATGCCATGGTTGCATACAATCTCAATCAGCCTGGTGATCCCGCCAAGGGTGCGCAGGTTATCTTTGAGGCTTTGACTAAGACTGGTCGCTGCGAGGGACGGAGTCTTCCCGCGCGACTTGCTCTTGGCCGGGACGCCCAGGGCGTTATAAAAGAGAGTATCGACCGCGAGCAGGAGATGTTGGATGGGTGGAAGGATATCATTGGATCTACAGACCACCAGGATGTGGGAAACTAAGGCATTGGTGCCTGCACTAAACTAGAAGAAGCTAGTTAATCCCGACTCTAATCCCCTCAAATATGAATGACCAGTATTCGCGAGCTCCTCGTGTTGACCTGCCGATCTTATAGTCCCTTTAAATCCGTGGCGCAGCAAATGCGCAAGGTCAATCTGCTTAAATTTGGCACTAGTACTAGCCATATACCGACCTGAACACGGGCCCGCCCTTGTGGCTGCCGGGGGCTCGCTCGGGCCCGAGCCCGCCGAAGACACCCCCATGCCCCAGGTGAGGCCGAAGCGGCAGCTGCCGCCGAACGTTAACATACCATACCAACGGTCAACCTGAACAGGCGGTTACCTATTGGCCCCGCATAGTTAGCACAACTGTGTACTGGAATGAAGTTCGAATAGGTAGGCCTTCGATTAACATCCAGCTAGTCAAGATGAGGTGAGATGACATCATCTCCCTCTGCGTATTCCTCCGGGGCTCCGGGCTGCGGGCATTTTGCGGGGAGCTGACAAATTGAGCATACAAACACCGAGACCCCGAGCTCGTGCTCGTGACGACGCGCTCGTATATATTCAGTCTGATTGTGCCATTAGAGATGTTCTCTCGCTCCTTAAAGGCTTCCTCTAGGCTAAATAGACTGTCATCAAGACGTTTCGCACCATACTCAACCATGTCCTCGGATATTACTCTCTATACCTGGACGACAGGGAACGGCTTTAAAGTCTCCATCACACTCGAGGAGCTTGGTCTACCCTATAAGACCGAGGCAATTAATATCAGCACGAATCGTCAGAAGGAAGAGTACATATCCCTTCATTATCACAGAAAACGTATAACATGCTGATAAAGGGTATGAAACAGATGGTTCTTGAATATCAATCCTAACGGCCGCATTCCGGCCATCCTCGACGGTGGTCAGCGCGTTTTTGAGAGCGGAGCAATCATGACATACCTGGTGGACAAGTACGACACTGAGCGCAAGATTAGCTACGCTCCTGGGACACCCGAGCATGTTGAGCAAACATGCTGGCTGATGTTCCAGATGAGTGGAATTGGACCAATGCAAGGTACGTACTACGTGTTGTCTGAAAGTTCCCGAGTTTGTATTGGGTGGTCTTTCTAATATCCAAACAGGCCAAGCTAATCATTTCCGTTTCTTTGCTGGCGCGCGCTCTGACTATGGTATCAAGCGTTATATCGAGGAGACAAAGCGTCTCTACTCGGTGCTTGAGTCACGATTACAGGAGAGCACCTACCTTGCGGGTGAGAAGTTCACTATTGCTGATATTGCGAGCTATCCTTGGGTTTCCGGTGCTCCGGTTTCGCTGCAGATTGATTTGTCTGAGTTCCCTGCTTTGAACAAGTGGGTTGAGGAGATTGGGAAGCGTCCTGCGGTGCAGAAAGGTGTAGCTGTTCCGCATTTCTGGCCGCAGGAGGATATGGCTGAGCTGTTCAAGAAGTGTCGCGCGAATATTGATGCCATGACAAATTCTGATCAGCATTGATTGATAGGATATTTGGATTTCTGGTGTTTTCCATGGTTGACAGAAATCATCTGGACTTTGAAAGTTCAGCAGACAGGTCAAATAAATCGAGCAGGGACGGGTGTTAGATAGTATTGGAGAGAAAGATAGCATTCTCGAAACCATGCATTCAATCTAGGAAAAGCCGCGCATAGTAATGACCCGAAAGACCTGAATCTGGGCCGCTGGTGATTGGAGATACAGGTAATCATAAGGAATAACTTGAAACAATAGAGATGAGACGCTCACAGCTCCCCGGGCCTGTAGCTCCGCCAGGTCTCAAAGCCAACTTGTTCGTACCATCCATCCAATGCAACCCAGTCCACAAATACGCCTTCAATGCCGCGTTGCTTCATGTTCTCGATGGCGTGGCAAATCATGGCCAGCCCAATGCCGTGCTTGCGGTGGGCCTCGTCAATTCCTACCGCACCAATCAGTCCTGTGTTTGGACCACAGGTTTGTGGGAAAGCCCAGCCCTCATTCAGTGCATCCGAGGGACCAAGCATCAGCGTCCACCCGACTTGTTGACCTTGAGAGTCGAACGCTGTCATCACGCAGTCTGGATACTTATCGGGATGCAGCGTGACGTAGGCTTCCACCCAGCCCTTCGAAGGGAATTAGCATGTAATTTTTGATGAACATGAACATTGCACTGCGGGTACTTACACCTTTATCTGAAAAGTTTCTCCTTTGGCCAACCAGGCAGGCCTCATAATCCTCCGACTTCAAGGGCGCGAAGCGGAAGCCGCGTTCTCGGGCACGAGTGACGTACTTTTCTGGGGAATGGAAATCACGAATATCTTGGTACAGATCAACTGATCGGGCACTGGGAGGATTGAGTCGGAAGCCCCGATGGGTGAAGAAATGTTGGACTGTTTCTGGGAGATCCCGAGGAATCCCAGGCCAGAAGCGAGGGAACGAACTACCCAGCTTCACCGTATTGAGGGAAAACTTTGCGCGGAAACATGCTCTCGTTTCCTCTAGCAAGGAAATCCCAACACCTTGGCGTTGGTAATCTGGCGATACAGCAAGAACAGCGATGTATGCGGTGTTTGGTGCACCGTGGGCATTCGTATAGGCGAGACAGAAGCCTACTAGCTTCGATCCCATGCGCGCAACGAAGTGATGGCCGTGCGGACGCACTATCAAAGACCGCAGGCTTACAGTAGGAATAGGGTAGGACGGGAGAGACACGGCCCAGACGCCGATTATCTCATCCAAATCTCTTTGTGCGTCGAATGGCGTCACTACTGCAGAGGTCATGGTCAAAGCATTCGGTCCCACTGGAAGAGCACCTGTCGGAATAAGTGCTCCGAACATAATATCTGCAGCCACTGAAAATGCCTCGACAGTCGGCTCGTATGTGGTGATATATGTCTTGATGCTGGGTGCATCGAGGAAGTCATAAGGATTACAGATAGCAATATGTACCACTGATTTCACACGCTGAGCAAGCTCGAGGCCAAGCGATTCTTGGTATGACGACTCCCTCGCATTGAGTGAAGTGAATATCACAACATCGGCGACTTCAATGGCCCGCCATTGCTCCGATGTCAGACCAGACTCCCCATACTTGATCTCAGCAATGGAATTGTTGTGTTGCCGAAGGACATCCAGATATCTTTTGGACTGATAAAAACCTTGCCTACCTGTTCCTTCGCCATCGACAGCACCGCCAACCGGAGTCTTATCTCCAGGAAACAAAAAGATGATGATTGAAGTCTTTGACAGTGGGAGGACGTTATTTTTGTCACGAACAAGCGTGGTCGATCGAGAGTATATGTCCATTGTGGTCTCGGCAATGCTGTTGTTGAGTGAGCTTAGGTCTGCGAGATTGGATCGCCGTAGGGCAGCATCCCAGTTCAGAAACTTGTCTTTCACGGTAGCAACATGGCGACAAGCGTCCGCCAGCCGTGACTGATCAATAGTGCCGGATTTGATTGCTTCACAGACCCTCTTGATTGAAGCCACCTGCACATCAAAGGTATGGCATATCATGATACTATCGCTACCAGCGCACAATGCCAGCACCGAGCCTTCTTCAGTGCCGAACGTGGAACGAACCCCATCCATCTCCAGACAGTCTGTGATGATCATACCATCATAAGCCATGTCAGTGCGCAGTATACCCATAGCAGATGGGGATAGCGTTGCAGGCCGCTTAGGATCGATACACGGCAGCGAGATATGGGCAGTCATGACGGCCTCAATGCCTTCAGCGACCGCCCTTCTGAATGGAATTAGCTCACAACGTTCCAGCTGATCTCTTGTCTTTGAAATAACAGGCAGTCCATAATGTGAGTCAACCGCTGTATCTCCATGTCCAGGAAAGTGCTTTACACTCGGGACAACGTTGTGTTCCCGTAGACCCCGCGCGGCCGCACTCGCAAACCGGCCAACAAATTCCGGGTCATCACCAGGACTGCGGACGCCAACGACAGGATTTAAAGGCTCTGAATTGATATCGCAGACTGGCGCATAGTTCATGTTGACGCCGAAGAAACTCAAAGTTTCCCCTGTGGCTTTCCCCGCACTGTATGCACACTCTGGGTCATGCGTAGCACCCAGTGCCATAGGCCCCGGTACCTGGGCAGCCATCGGGGGAGGGATTCGAGTGACAATACCATTCTCCTGATCAAGTCCGATCAACAATGGCCGCTGGTGTCCAGCAAGTTTGGCTTCATGTTGTAAAGCTGACGTTAATGCCTGGAGAAGACGGGTCAGGCCAATAAATGACGATATGGCCTCGAACATCGCACCTGTAGCTGTTCTGCATCTTGAAAATTGCGCCTGAAGAGAACAATGCCTCCGACATGGTAGTCATGGATCAATGTTTTGATTTCAGGACTTGGAGTGCAGCCATGGAACCCCACCGCGAAGAGCTGCGATCGCTTGTGAGATAACAGGAAGAAGGGGGTCGGACGGCTCGCTTACCTGGCCCACCTGCTTTTGAAGATCCGAATCCATGTGATGGTTTGGGGGGATTTTGAATGCAAGTCAGTGATTCAATGGTTCAGACGTTGACGTTGACGTTGGAAACGGGAGGTGTGTTGGTACGATACGACGATGATCGGGGTTGATCCGGGATCCACTTGGATGCAACATCGCTTACTGGGGTAAAGGACTGAAAGCCGCCTCTCCCTCAAGAGCTAAGCTGTTTAGCTCTTTCCTGTGATTGGAAATGTAACAACAAAAGATAAGAGGCAAATTACCACCCTAAAGGAATGCGGGGTAACCTAATTATTATGAAGTAAGGATGATATCCACCTGAGACCTCATCCTGCTTCTTCAACGGTTCGACTTAACATCTCCAATATGGCGGACACGGACATTGATCATGCCCCAGAAAGAGATGACCCACCAAAGAACGCGGTTCATGTGACTGCGACAGCACAGCCACCTTCCACCTTGGAGGAGTATGAACGGCTTTTTGGTGTTGACGAAGACGCCTATGAACAGCCAACCACCACCAGGAGAGAACTGTGGTCGTATTACCTCTATTACAATGGTGATAACGGTGTTGGTCCTGGATCGTACAGTCAAGCGCTGTAGGTACACCAAAAAGAAAACACTTCATGACTCCAAGTCTCCAACTGACTTAAACAGCTTCCAATGGGCCTTGAATGGTGCTGGCCATCAACCTGGCTCGAATCCTCCCAAAGCCTGCACGGGCTCCTCGGCATGTGTAGTCCCGTGGGCTGGAGGCACAAGATCAGTAGCATCGGTTGTTCTCATCGCTAACGGTCTTTGCTTCACTTTCATGACAGTTATATTTGTCTGGCTAGGAAGTGCTGCGGACTATGGCTCATTCGGCCGATGGCTCCTTCTGGTCTTGACGGTGGTCTGTTGGGCATTGCAGTATGGGATGATCTCCATCAGACATCCGAGTCAGTGGCCTGCAGCGATGGGAATGTATGTTGTGGCATACGTTGCCTATGGTGCAACTTTGGTGTTCTATGCCGCTGTGTTTCCCCGTCTGGCACGTTATACGCCGCATGTGCGTAAGGCAAGAGAAGAAGATCTCAGAGAAGGAAAGATCAGCCAGGAGGAATACGATGTCATTGAGTCCTTAGAGAGGAATCATATCAGGTGCGCTGATCCCCTCTGCATTCGTTATGATATTTTCACTAACGATATTAGCAATATCTCCACTGCACACAGCAATATCGGATACCTATTGACGCTGGTGCTCAATCTGAGCGTTCTACTTCCGCTCCAGAACAACAGTTTCTCAAACAATCTGGCTCTTTGTCTCACCAATTCATGTAGGTTAATCCCCAGTCATATCAGGGATCGGATTGTTTATCTGACTTTTGCAGATTGGGTCATTCTTGGTATCTGGTGGTTCATTTTCCAGCAGAAAAGACCGGGCCCAAAAGTACCCAAAGGATCAACTTACACCAGCATTGGCTTCAAGCAAATTTGGCTGGCTATTCGAGAGATTAGGGCTCTGCCTCAAACGTTCTTGTACTTTTTTGCCTACTTTCTGCTTGCCGATGGCCTCAACACTACTGGTAGGCTTTCCCTGCGCTTGGATGAGTCCCAGCAAGGCTGAATACTATATGAGGACCGACTGACCCTACCAGGTACACTTGTCTCCATTATTCAGAATGACTCTGTCTCATTCTCCTTCTTACAACTCACGTATCTCGGTATTGTTCAAGCCGCTTGTTCAATAACCTCGACAATCGGCTTTTGGTACATACAGCGGTACTTCAAGTTCAGCACCAAGACCATGTTCCTATTCACCAATTTCTTCAGTGTGTTCATACCCTTTTGGGGGATGCTGGGACTGTGGACGAACCGCATCGGCTATCATAACAGAGTATGTATGAGGTCCCAGGTATGGAAATATCACTGACAACCTGCAGTGGGAGTTCTATTTCTACAATGTCATCTTCGGTCTCTTCCAGGCCCCATACTATGCGGTAGGTGGAAGTTCGAATGATCTTCATTACACAATTTCTGTGGTTTCTAACATTTACCAGTACGCACAAACGATGATTAGTGAACTAATGCCTCGTGGCTACGATAACATGTTCTTCGCACTCTTTGGAATAACAAATCGTGCAGTAAGTCGATTTACTTGCTGGCTTTGCTGGTAGCCATCTCTAACCGACTCATTAGTCTTCAATCATTGGCCCCAATGTGATTCAGGCAATCATCAACAGCACCCTGAACAACTGGATGGGCTTCCCATTCTTGTTCGCCATTTGCGCCGGAGCCATGATCACCATTTGCTTTGTAGACATTGAAAAGGGCCGTAATGATTGTCGGAAATTCGCAGAGCAGCGCAAGTTAGACCGAGTTCTGGCAGAGAGTAGCTTAGCTGCCGATGATATTGCAAAGGGGAAGCCATATGGTGGCAATGGAGGTGTAGACACTGCAGATGCGAGCACTTCGGCGAGAGAGTAAGGGCGTGTATTGCGGAACTACTTGTTCGTTTCGGGGCTCTAAGATCATGATTCATGAACATTGAATCATCCTTTCATAATTTCATTGAGTTCTAGTTCTAGAGACTAGATATCTTTAGGGCTAGGGCTGTGATCCCGAGACACCACCCGTGGCCGTCCCATGTGCTAAATTCTAATCCCTTGGCGAATGGGACGCCCTACAGATATTTTGTGGCACCCCCGCCGCGTGGAGAGAAACTATCAGTGGGGAAACTCAAACATCCGGGTACGGTCACGTGAGGAAGGCAGAAGGCGGAAGGCCGGAAGCAGCATATAGATCACGTGACTATACACCGGTTTAAACTTTAAGCTTATGTTTAACCTCCAGTTTGCAGTTGAATAGTGGAACCACTTCGGGAATCCATCAGCAATGCTATTAGGACAAGAATCTATCTACGCTAGTCAAGCTAGGTTGTTTTACCTAATTTTCCAAAGGTTGCGACGTTGCGTGTCAATCAGCTTTAGCAGTTAGCACACAGCTGTGCCTTGACAGATCCATCCTCAAGAAGCACTCCCAACATTTGTTTTTTTCCGTCTTTGTTCGTCTTTTTCTCGAGTTTTCCTTGGAAAGTGGATGCACAAATAAAAAATTAAAAAAATAAGGAATGTACGCAGTATGCAGGGTAACGGAGACTAAAGAAGAACCATGCCAAGTACACAGTAAATGGTTCGTCGTTCAAGTAGGTTGAAGAGCTCTCTCTCCTGAAATCATGTTGTCTTCACGGATCGACGTTTTGGGGGACCACTTGTTCTGACAGTCGTCAAGTAGTGAATTCACAAGGAACTTGCCGTAGACATTAGATTGGTTTGCTTGTTTGCATCTGACGCTCACCTTAAATACCCGACCTCGATATAGATCCTAAGGTCTTGTCCTCGCTTTTGACTATACCAGGTCTCCAAGCTTCTTTGAGTCAGGCATCCAAAACGTGCTGGAAGCGCCTTGATTCGTACCTGTATTTTGGTGAGTGGTGTTTTCTCATATCGTGGCATTTCGTTTTCTCGTTTTCGTGTCCTCAGGTTCTCGTGTGGTATTGTCATCGTGTTTCGTTTGTTCATGAACGGTCGTCGTTGTCGTCTCTGGCGGGGCAGGGACTCGGCGACTATATAGTCTTTCTCTTCACTTGTGGTGTTCATTCCTCTTCAACCATCTCCAACTTCCTCCTCGTCCATCTTCCTCTTTGGCCATCTCCAACTTCTCTCTCTTCCATCACTGCTCCGTTCTCACAACTTGCTTCCTTGCCTCTGCCTGTTTTGGCGGCTAACGTGTTGTTTTCAGCACCATCTGACCAGCCAGCTGCTTCTCGGTCCTCAGTCCGTTTTCGAATATCGTGCCTCGTCCACGACACCTGTTCTGGCTCTCACTTTCCCCGGCCGTCACATCTCATCCAACTTTCAACAACTTAGGTAAGTTGAAGCGCCCATACATTCATCACCACCCTCGTGCCTCGTAGCAGCACTCTCTAATAATAACGTCTCTCACAGTGCTTTGCTGCCTCTAAACACTGCATCATGGCGATGAAGGCCAACTTGACTGCTTCTGAGATGGAGGAACTGAGGAGTAACGAAACGGTCGACTTCCTGGCATCTCGCCTGTCGCGGGGTGGCACAATTATGAAGAGGACTCAACTGACCTTGCACCTTCGTCGATGGATGAGTGCGGTTGAACGGTATGGCGAAGTCCCGTCTAGGGCTCCTGCATTTCTGTTCCGTATCTTAATCCATTTTACCACCGCCGAGAAGGCGGCAGAGATAAGAAGGATCCAAACACCAGAAACATTCACGGAGTCGGAAAGATTGCTGGTCATGCTTCGAGCCTTAATCGACGAAAAAGCAGATGAGAGGGTGCTGCGGCACTTAGAAATGCTTCCCGAGAAAAAAATCACCTGTCAGGAGCTCTTATCACCAGACTTGGGTAAGTACACTGTTCAACTCGATCATCAGTGAGCGACGTTGACCATACGAAACTCGGTAGAGAGCCTTTATCACCCACCGGCGAACCCCACCGCATCCGAACAATCTGGACGTGAGATTCGAGACATAATGAGATCCGGTGACCAAAAACGGATGAAAGAGAACCGTGAGGTTTTCTATATCACTGGCAACATCGCCTGGACAGTTAGAGCGCCTTATTGGCATGTTGCCTTGGCTACTGACTCTCAAGGCGATCGGTTTTTGTCGGATGATGTTCTTGACCGTGCACTGCCAAAGTGGAGACTGATTCTCACTGGTGAAGTAACTCCAACCCCAAGGTACCCGAGGACTGTTGAGTCTTTCCCTGCGTGGCTGGACGCCGAGGAGCGGAAGGCCCGTCTTCTCGGCAAGCCTTGGCCCCAAATTCAACCACCTACCACTGTTGCGCGCCCTCCGTCAACTCCGAAGACAGCAGACTCAGACAAAAGATCATCGCCCGTCCTCTCTCGCCTTCGCTCTGGTGGTCGTGGCTGCACGTCTTCGTTTGAAATAGAGGATCCGCAGGAGGTTGAACAAACTCGTCTGCTTCGAGAAATACTCACAGAAACCAGAGAGACAAAGAAGCTGGTTCAAGATTCTCTTCAGAGAAACACGGTTCATCCCATGACACAATATCCCCAGCTCACGGATGTTGCCATGTCTTCAGAGCATATGACCAGACCCGCTTTCCAAAGCAATCAGGGAGCGCAGCCCTACTACCTGCTGCCATACCCTACGGAGGTTCCGCAACCTGCCCCGACCGCTGATGCCGATTGCCCCGTAGCGCCAGAGCTCATGGAACAAAACCAGGTGGACCCGCTCCAGCACATCACACCCACACCTGCCCCTGCGGAAGAAGCCTGGGCTGCCTGCCAGCGTTGGCTGGGTCAGAACTCTCAGAAGGGCAATTGAGCTTGTTTCGCCGTCAGTCATTCTATTTGAGGTTAAGGACGAAAACACCAGGAGAAAACAACTAAAAAAAGTTCAAAAAACAAAACACAAAAAAACCCCCAAGTGACAAGTTTACATTCAATTCGGATTCCAAGAACGAAAAGCGAAAATCAAACAAAAAAAACGGAGGCAATGGCATCATACGTTGGAATTTTTTGCTATCTTCCTTTTGGTTTTGATTTGCTTCGATATGAAAGGAGAAGAGGAAACTGAAAAGAAAAAAAAGCCAACTGCTGGATGAGTGCTTCTTGAGGATGTGTCGAGGCGCCGCACAGCTGTCAAAGTTCTATCCCTTGTAGATAGAGTGCGGGTTATGTCACATGTGAATGTCGAATGAGTTATTAAGAACCTTGGTTGTTTGAGTATGTAACACACTACTTTTCGTAAGTAACTAGTCACTTCATAAAGTGATCCATGGAGCACAGGCATCGGCATCCCGCATCACCATGGGCGTGCCGCGTATGACTGGTCCTTTTGATAATTGTACACATCTTCATGCGCACATCCGCGCCAACGGTCATCAAGTATTTTACCGCACTGTTGCTTTTACCTCAGCATGCTCAGGCGGAACATGATTTCGCTGGGTCATGTTCACATGACCTGTCAGACTGAGTTCGGTTCAGCTCAGAAGTTCCAATGAAGCTTCCCAATCAGGTTAGCGTGGCAGAATTTCATAAATTCGGCAAAATCATAAGCGGTGGTCTGAGGAAATTGAGGCAAGGACGGACTTTTGGCTTGACCAATCATACCGCTCCTTTCTATATGTTTTCATGCTTCAATTCCAACCTATCTTTTTAAGGATCCTAGAAGATATCCATGAGTTGACACTCGAGTCTAAGCTTTTTCCGATCCCTGTGGTTCTGAGGCCTCTTCCTCAACCTGCGTCCCAGCCTTGCGCTGATTCTTTTCCTCTACCTTCTCACGCCATTGTTCGCCGAAAATAGTCGTGAGCCACACACATATTCCAGAGACAACCAAAAATGCCGCACTGATCGTGCTAAACCACCCCACTCCCATAGCCTCGATTGCCGGAAGAACGAGTCCAGATCCCAGAGCACCAAACACGTACCGGAACAAATAGCTTCCGGCAACGACTTCGGCACTCCTACCACTTGACTGCATAACATCCAGACTATAAGTATTGAGACTGGGAAAGCAGAATAGCTGCCCAACTCCCTGGAAGAACATCGCCAGAACAGGGACAGGGATTCCCCCCACAGCCTTGTCAACCGTCCAACCGTAGATCAACATACAGCCGGGAATAACAATACCCAAAAATATCAGACAAGACTTCAATCTGTCCTCGGGTACGCGGACACCACCGCGCTTCTGAATCCATTGTTTCACAGTGCGATCTGCCCACCTGCCACCCATAAACGTACCAAGAAGATACCCGCAACCGGGCGCGATGTAGAACAGTCCCGTCTGGATAGGACTTGTCAAGTGGAAGCGGGGGTTGAGCACATATCGAATTGGCGTCAGGAGGGAATACTGGTTCCACACGAGAGCGCCAGCCGCGAGACCAGTGCAGAACAGGTTGGGGTATTTGAAGAGCATGATTGCTACCTGCAGAGGCGAGATCCGGTGCCAAAGGATTACCGCTTTCTGCCATAGTGGCATGTCATGCGTGTCGTTTTTGGTCAGGTTCGGGTAGGTCTCTGGGAAGAAGAAGAAGACGAGCAAAGTGCCGCAGCCCCCGAGTGCTGTCTGGAGCCAGAAGATTGCGCGCCAGGAGTGAAATGTGACAATAACACCCTGTATTGAGTGAATTAGCAGGTTTGTTGTTGTGTATAGTGTAGGTGTCAACGTACGCCGATGAATGGCCCAAAGGCAGGTCCAATCAGCGTTCCTGATAAGAACCATCCTAGGGCTGTTGCGCGAGCTCGAGGCTCGTATACATCTCCTAATGCCGAGCTCCCGACGACCAGGAAAGACGTTCCTTGGAACGCAGTCAACACGCGGAAAATATAGTAGGCTGGGAGGTTGGGTGCCAACGCGGTGCCGACGCTGAATACAAAGAACAAGAAAGCGCTAATAAGGAAGATCTAATCCCGGATTTAGCTCGCCATACCTTAACTCTGTTTTTTTGGTCATTACATACCGGCCGTCGGCCCCAGACTTGGCTACAGGGACCCCAAAAAGGAGCCGCAATTCCCATGAACGCCATGTACAATGCATTGCTTGCGTTGATGACACTCCCGGTAGTGGTATATTCCTTCGCAACTTCCGGTATACCAGCTAAGATAGACGTCGACGAGATCGGTGCGAGAAATGAGCAGAAGGACAGAACGCCAACAATGATCATTTTGCGAGCTGGTGAAAAGCGTAGATACTGTTCTGCGTTGACTTCGTGGAAGTCTTCATTGGCAACCATGTCATGATGCGATACATGGCTCCTTACATGGTCGAGGCTATTTGCCAGCTGTGAACGTTGCGACCCGGATCTCTGAATTTGACCTTTATTTGCCGGGGACTGGGAGTGCCTGTCCTCGCTGGATGCTCTTGAAGCAATTGACGCACTTGATGCAGATGCAGGCATGGTGGAAACCTGTTAACAACTACTTCCTGCCCGCTTGTGATATATAGGAATCAGACTTGAATTGCTCGTAGTGCATATGAAATATAAGAGGAAAATTTTTATTCGGCAATGGTCTTTCGGAGTCTGCCCGAGGTCGTGCAAGGTTGTCGGGTATGGCGTAGACGCGCGGGAAATAGGAAATAGTCTTCAATGGATTAGCAGACAGCTGACAGTGTCGGAGGAGAAGCGATTGAAGTGAATTGAGACAATTCGATGAGCCAACTTGGATCGCGACTTGAGGGAATATGCGCTTTTCGCTTCCTCGCTATCATCCTGGGGGTCGATCGGCGGGTTGTCCGCGACGTGGCATTGGAGGAGGGCCCTCTCCAAACAAAGGGCTTGCCATCTCTCTTGTTGGGGTCGTTCTCGCTCCAATTCAGAGGGCCAGAGGCGATGGATCACTGTGATTGGAGACAGGGCGACGTGCCGGACTAGAGGGGGGGCGGAAAAGAATCCGAGCCCGGCGAGCCGGAACTACGTTCGAGCGGGGAGCCTTGGAGGTGAAGTCGATGAGATATGTGTACTGTGTACTGCTTTCGACACTTTCAATGCTATTGCGGACATGAGTATCTAGTACACGGGTACACAGAAATAGTTGTATCCTTGGCCTACTAATAGATCATTGCCCGATATTTTATCTCTTGATTTATGCCATCCCCCGCAACAACGGTCAACAGTCCAGACTCCCTGATAGCCTCACTGGGCCTAGCAACACGATCCACTAAACGATGGACCGGGGACCGATGGTTGAATGACATTTGACTTAACACTCGAATCAGACGAATCTCGATTTCAGAAGTCTTTTAAATGAGCGTCTAAAACACTAGCCGATGTGGCTGTGGACCCTTGTTCACTGCCCCCCCTGACAGCAATGACGTTATCCGCTTCTGACCGCCAACATCCAATGATCCAACTTTAATCTTCCACCTCCCCACCTTGTCGCTTTGTCAATTTGAAGCGCTCTCGAATTTCTATCATGTCTCAAAGTCAAGTTCCCGCCCACAGCAAGGGCTCATGGACAAGTTTCCTCAAGGTACGCAGCAACCGCGACTTAAAGGTGTACTAGGGCTAACAAAGTTCTAGTCCATCGCCTCCTTCAACGGTGATCTATCTTCACTGACTGCTCCTCCTTTCATCCTATCTACCACCTCCCTGACCGAATACTCCGCCTACTGGGCCGAACACCCTGCCGTCTTTGTGGCACCAGCGAAGGAAGCCGACCCCGCGAAGCGTGCTCTCCTAGTGCTCAAGTGGTTCCTCAGTACTCTGCACCAGCAATACTGCAGTCGTAGCGAAAAGCTCGGCAGTGAGAAGAAGCCCTTGAACCCGTTCCTGGGTGAGCTGTTTATCGGCAAATGGGAGGGTGATGCGGAAGTGGGAGAGACCAGCTTGATCAGTGAACAAGTCAGGTATGTGAAGCTCGTGTTATATGGTACCATGGTTTAGCCGCTAAATTAGAATAAAGCCACCATCCTCCGGCTACTGCCTACGCGATCCGCAATGAGAAGAACGGCGTTGAGGTGAGTTCACGAACGAGCATACCAGGTCATTTTGAGATACATTCGCTGACAATATATTGTAGCTGCAAGGATACAACGCGCAGAAGGCCTCGTTTTCGAGCACTATCCTCGTGAAGCAGATCGGCCATGCTTTGTACACACTCACCCCGCCCGGATCCACCGAGAAGGAGCAATACCTGATCACGCTACCCAACCTCCACATCGAATCGCTCATTTACGGCTCCCCCTTCGTCGAACTGGAGAAGTCAACCAAGATCGTCAGCAGCAGCGGCTACGTTGCCAAGATTGACTATTCCGGCAAGGGCTGGCTGAGCGGCAAGAAGAACACCTTCATCGCGAGTCTATTCAAGGAGAGCGAGGGCGAAAAGAAGCCCCTATACACCGTAGAGGGCCAGTGGTCAGATAAGTTCACCATCAAGGACGCCCACACCAAGCAGGTGGTCGATTCCTGGAACTCCAAGGAGAACCCCGTTACTCCACTCAGCCTGGCTCCACTCGAACAACAGGATCTATATGAGAGCCGACGGGCCTGGAAGGACGTGGCCACCAACATTCAGAAGGGTGACATGGATGCCGTTTCTGGCTTTAAGTCACGTATTGAAAATGCCCAGCGTGAGCTGCGCCGCCTCGAAAAGGAAGAGGGCCGCGAATGGGAGCGCCGGTTCTTCAGTCGTCTTGAGCAGAGTGACGACGACGCCCAGACACAGCGTCTTGCCCAGGTGGCTGATCTTGCTCTTGAAACTGATAAGACAGGGGGCATCTGGCGTTTCGATGCTAAGAAGGCTGCTGGTGCTCAGCCGCCTTATCACAAGGTCGGCGGTGAGGGGCTCGGTCTCACTGAGTAGATTGTCCTGGGGCTTGGACCTTTGCCCATAGTTATATGGGGTTTCTAATCTTTGGTTGTTTCTGTATCTTGCATTCCGATTGTACATATTGGGGCGCGTGGTTAAAGTTGCTTATAAGCTTGGACTTGGCGGTTTGACCTTTTCAAATTTAGAGATGTTGGTTTCTACACGGCAATATTGCTGGTATGCGAAACGTCGAAGACGAAGACTACGGCGATTACTGGGCAGAGGGCCTACTCTCGAGTCTCGACTCAGTCTCGAGGAGGCTCCTGCGCGGTGTAATCTGTGTAGTATTCGTAGTTGTTAAAGCTAAGAATGCAGGCATCGCGAACTACCTCTTAATACACACAGACGCACGCTAGGTCACATGACTCCTTGTTGCCAGTTCCAGCAGATGTTCCCGATACGATATCGGCAGAATTTCGAGTCTCCCGATAATTTCGAGTCTCCCCTCCCGATATTATCGCCAGGATTTCCGATATTATCGCCAGTTAGCCGAACTTACCACACAGTAAGCAAATGATTTAAAATTCTTAAATACCTCCCTCCCCCTCTGATTCCCCTCTCCTTCCATCCACTTCACTCCTAATTTCACTTCCAACCTCCATAATGCCTGACAGCAATCCCGCATCGCAGCTTATACTTAGAGCGAGCTACATCGAGCAAATGAATCTCTCTTTCTCTCTCTCTTTCCAACCTCCATAATGGATTTCAACGAAAGGACTATGCGGAGTGTGCCATTGACTATGAATTGCTCATTGGTGGCCCTGGTTCGCCTACTTAATGGAGCGCTGCCATCAGACCAATTGACTGAATCTGATATACCTCAGTTTGTGCAACTCGACGCTGATCATACCTCTATAGATCACTACTCTCTTCTGTTTTCAGATATCTTACCTCAAGAATTTGCCTCACAGACCCAGTCTTTTCCTCGGACGATCAAGAAGCCTCGCACAGCACCTACCATTCAATGGGTTTGGAATCACTTCTCCACGGAAGTATCCCGTGAGTGGACGGAAAAGCGGACAGGGAAAAAGATGACTAGACATCGAGTTATCCGCTGCACAGTCGTCTATGACAAGACTGGTATACAATGTGAGTGGGAAACCATGGATTGGCAGCACCTGGCAAAGTACTTAGCACTCCATTTTCCCATCTCAAGCTCAACATTCGACGCCAAATAGTCGGGATATCCGCAAGGTATTCAAGAAACAAGAGAACCTGTCGATTCAGGAATGTCTTGAGTGGAACCTCCTGCGTCGAAGTTTGGGATTGCGGTGGGGAAATGGAGTGCTTTGCCGGGTGCCGCCTCATATTTGACGTTGAGTGGGCCTTTGGGAATCCAAGGTTTGCCAGTCGCATTGTTTTCCGGTCTTGCCATCGATGACTGTGCAGCTGATATCCTGATCTCTGGTCATCTTTTTCACTGTCCGCTTTTCCGTCCACTCACGGGATACTTCCGTGGAGAAGTGATTCCAGACCCATCGAATGGTAGGTGCTGGGCGAGGCTTCTTGGTCGTCCGAGGAAAAGACTGGGTCTGTGAGGCAGATTCTTGAGGTAAGATATCTGAAAACAGAAGAGAGTAGTGATCTATAGGTATGATCAGCATAGAGTTGCAAAGACTGAGGTATATCGTATTCAGTCAATTGGTCTGATGGCAGCCCTCCATTAGGCGAATCAGGGCCACAGGTAGGCCAAATATAAGTGGAGTGGAGCCGAGTGAGCCCATGACTTCTACATTACATACTACGAGCGTGCTACAACGTACCAATGCTAGGCAAATCTCCATATTCAGGTGGCCATACTTGATCATACAGAACACACCATAATTCATGACACTTTTAGCCCAGAATGCAACCGAGCTTTGGATCTACCTCTACCAGACCCCTTGAGCCAGCCATCATAATCATCAGCCCATCAGTGGGGTCATAGGACATCAGAGGGTGAAATAGGCAAAAAAACGTGACGGGGAAACCGTAGAAACAAGTGACATACCGAACCCAAGAGACACCGACTAGGTTGGAAGCGAGAACAAGAAAAACAAAAAGCAGAAGGAAACCTAGAGAGGAATTGGTGAATTTAATACAGAAACTGCATCTGTTGGGAGCAGTCGTGTCAAAGAAGAGCAAGGTGGAGAGGATAAGAGAGTAAAGCAAAAGACAATAAAAGCAGATAAGTAAAAAGCAAAATATCAAATGGACAATTCCCCGTAAGAAAAACCAGCCAAAGCTCCCCGAGAGGTAGAGATTACACAGGGTGAGAGAAAGATGAAGAGAAAATTCTGGGTTCTGCCTGCCTGCGACAAGACGAGTGTTTCCTTTTCTCTTGTGTAAAGTGAACAAAAAACCATACCCCCTTTCAAATCACTCGCAAATGCAACGCCTTATGTGTTTGGTGGGTCATTATGTCTCCCTGTCGTTCCATCTTTCCCCTTAGTGACCGTAGTTGCCACCCCAGCCGCCGCGGCCGGAGTTTCCATAGTAGTTACCAAAGCCACCGCCGTAGTTGTTGTAGCCAGAAGCCTGGTGAGACTGAGTGGCCGCACCCTGGTGACCAAGACCGCCGAGTCCACCGTACTGGGGGTTCAGCTGGGGGTAGCTTCCAAAGGCCTGCTGGCCCTGCTGACCCTGGAGCGGGGGAAGCCCGGTCTGTCCCTGAGGCTGACCGGGGACGCTGCTGGTAGCGGATCCCGGACGGTTCTGAGCAAGCGAGGGGCTGGGGCCACCGGCCTTGGGTGCTTCAAAGCCCTTGGTCTCGTCGTTGGTGACAGGGGGCTGTCCGGCGATGGGAGGGTTTTGGCCGAAGCTGCCCTGGGAGCGGCTGAAGACATCAGACATTCCAGTGCCGAAGGCATTGGCGCCAGTGGCAGACTGGTTGTCGGTCTGCTGAGTAGAGCCGCTGCGGCCGTAGACGGAGTCACGGCTGGGCACGGACTGACCGAAGCTGCCAGTGGTGGCGGGGGAAGACGAGTGTTGTTCGTAGGAGAAGGCACCGTGGGGCTGACCGTACATGCCACCCTTGCCACCATAGGGACCGTACTGGCTACCATAGCCGTACTGCTGGTTGTGCTGCTGCTGTTGCTGCTGCATGTAGTGGTCCTCGTAGCGGCGAGCATCATCGTATCGCGGGCGATTACCGCCAACACCGTACTGCTGCTGCTGACCCATCTGGTTCATGTAAGTAGCGTAATGGGGGTTGTTGTAGTAGTTGGGGTACTGGTAGCCATAAGCTTGGTGCTGCGCACTCTGGCCAGGCATGTGCTGGGCAGTGGGGGTCTGCTGGGTGGCGCCAGGAATAGTGGGGTTCGGGGTGTTGTGTCCGCTGTTGGTCGCATCAACGGGTCCATAGCGGTTAGGAGGCTGCGTAGTGGGGATTTGAGCCTGGGCTTCAGCACCAGTGGCACCGAATCCAGCTCCAGCGCGGGGTCCAGTAGGGATATCCTGGGTCTGACCGTAAGAGCCGTATGAACCGTAGTAAGGGAAGCGCTGTTGGTCGGCGGTGTAGAAAGGAGAATATTCGCTGCCAGTGGTGGCAGTGGGCTGAGCAGGAGCCTGATTGGCAAAAGGCTCGGGAATCTGCGGCTGCGGCTGGCTCACCTGTTGAGTGAAGGGATCAAAAGGCTTCTGCTGAGGCTCAGAGTAGCGAGCAAAGTCGGTGAAAGAGTCTGCGGCAGATGCTTGGGGAACCGGGGGCAGACCGGGAGCAGGACGTCCAGCGGCGCCGGACTCCATCGAGGGAGGTGCTTGGTTGGCGGGAGGAAGCGAGGCACGGGGCGCAACGGGGGAGGGCTGCGGGGGCTGAGCGCGGGTCTCTGGCTCTTCGCGGTTCTCATCGATATCGATAGCGTCACCGTTCAGTCCCAGGCTACCGAACTGAACAGCAGCACGGTCCACTGCGTGGTTGCCGGGCATAACCACGGCTTGCTGCTGCTCCATCACACGACGCTGAAGACCAGGGGTGCGCTTGCTAGCGCTGGGAGGGTAGGCGGATGAGGGGATGCGGGAGGGAGTTGCAGCTGCCGCTGCGCCCGCGGGGTCGACGCCACTGCCGACGGTGCTCGCGGCGGTGTCAGTAGGAGTAGGACCGGACGCATCGGGAATATTTTCGAGGTTTGTCTTGGTCAAATCGACCTTGTGTGGGTTGACAGCGGCGGTCGGAACGGCGGGAATGACGGGGTGGGTAGGTTTGGCAATGGGAGTCTTCTGGGGAGCAGTAGGCGCAGTCACAGGCTCCGGGGCGGGAGGAGATGGCTCCGCCACAGGCTCAGCGGGCGTCTCGGCGACAGGGGCAGGAGGAGCAGGTTCAGGCTTCTTCTGAACGGGGGGAGGGGGCGGCGGTTTGGCGAAAAGGCTAGCCCACCCCTTCTTCGAGCCCTCAGGAATCACACTGCTCTTCTGTTCGGTCGACTCCGATTCGGCGCCTTCAGCTGCTGGCTCTGCAGCAGTCTCTTCCACATTGGAGGCTGGCCACCCCGAAGTCGAAGTCTCGGTTGGCCATCCCGAAGTCGAAGTCTCAGTCGGCCACCCCGAAGCCTCTGCAGCGGGAGCTACGGCCCGAGTTCCATTTGTAGTGGCTCCTGCGCGGCCACCGCGGCCACCACGGCCTCGGTCTGCGCGAGCACGTCCACGAGTCTCTAATCCACCACGGCCACGGGTTCCACGAGCGGGGGCTGCAGTCGTCTCGGCGGAGGTGCTCTGAGCATCCTTGGGCTTTGGAGTCTTTTTCTTGACCTCTCCCCACTGGGATACATTGCCTAGAAAACGAGTCAGTGACAGCCCTCGATTTAAGATGTTTCGTTGTTATGCAGTCAGGAAATGGGGTTGAGGGGTTGCTCGACCTTCACTGATGCGCTCGATTGCTTCCAAGAGTTCGCCGTTCGAATCTTCTAGTGCGAACACCAGATCTTCGTCCTTCCAGTTTGGGAACATTTCCTTAAGAGTAGGGAGATCGTCGGAGTACTTCTTCTTCATCTGTCCAATTTCGCCTTCCTCGAAGGATGAGACTTCTGAGTTGTCATTCGCAGATCTGTTCCCACCACGACCACCTCTGGAGCTGAAGCCGCCACGACCGCCACGGGCGGATACCCTGCCCCGCGAGGCGGAGGATCGATTCTGAGTATCGGACATATTTATTGATGATGTGTGTGATGGAGAAGTATTGGGGGGAAGGAGGTCACGATGGAGGCGCAACTGGAAGGGAGGAAAGGTTATCGAAATGGAGCACCCTCGCAAAAGAGGAACAGCACCAAAACCACAGGCACGGGGGCCAGAAGAGACAGAAAAAGAGGTAAAATCAAAGTGATTAATTGGGGGGAGGAGAATGAGTAGGAGATGACTGAAGAAAGGATCAAAAGCTAACGGGATCTGAGTTGCTTCCCTCAAGTCTTGGCACTGCTCTGGCTTTTAGCGAGTGGCGCTTATTGGTGCTGCCTTATTTAACTAACAAAGAGACGACTTTAGGTGGCTAAGAGGCTAAGAGGCTATAGAGTAGAATACAATTATCTATCATTTATCAATTGTATTGGAATTACAATCATGTTAAAGTAAGATAAACACATTCATACGAAAATCTCGGCAATCGTTCTTTCTCTTCTTTAGTGTGGTTTCTTCTACTCGTCATTCACCTTGGCTTTACACAGTAGGGGTCACTTCTCACCGCCCTGGTCGATCATCGCCTTGGAGTCCCCTCTTCAGTGCTTCACCCCCATGCATTCAACATACCACTTCAGCACTCACCGACATCATGAAGGGCACCTCAATTTTTCAATTCAAGTCCTGGCCAAAGATTCATCAACCCTTACCTCGTACTCCACGAGAGTCGCAGCAACTACTGAATGCTCTCACATCTTCCTTTCGTCGTCAGTTAGACGGGGCTTATCCCGCGTCCGGCAACAATCATGGCAGACCCCTCTCGAACCCCGAATCGTCAGCACATGCCACCGACCAGCATTTACAGAACATCCTTGATAATCCTCTTTTCCGCATAATTCCGGCTGTGCCTCACTCACAAGTGCCTACATCATTGCAAAGCGTGGAGGGTCAGCGACGGCTTGCTGAAGAACCCATGGCAGTTTTTGATCAAATGGCCGCAGCTGGCTCAGTCACTGCAAGCACAATTACTGAGTGCTTGAAGGCCCAACTTCTTCTTTCAAGGTCCCCAGCCGATATGAAATCATCTCGGGCAGCATCGCGGATCGTCAATTGGTATTGGGCATCTGATGGCACATCAAGGCAAACGTTATTGCGCTTGCGACCAGCTACTACGTCGTTAACCAAGTTCATGGTTGCAGAGGGATTGCATGACACTGTCATGCAGTGGTTGCAAATGCTCATCAATCAAGACTTGGGCAGTCAAAACGGCCGGCTCACCGAAGGGCTCGCTCGGCAGACATTCAGTCATCTCCTCGTTGATTTCATAGACGCGGAAACTTGCTTTGGGGATGGCTTTGGGTCAGCAATGGCATATTATTTACGTGTATGCCAGATGCACTTCCACAGTGCATCATCTCATAAGTCAAGGAAGCCGATGCTTCTGGCCGCAGGAGCTCACCTGAGTCGCACGGCTATGGAGTACAAACCGTCAGGCGAGGAGGTATCGGTATCAGTATATGATGAATTCAGGGACACGGTTTCCCTGTTGACTCCTCGATCTCTATTGGCAGCATCTGTGGCCATCTGTCACCCAACTAATCCTGACCCACGTCCATTCGTTCAATTTGTGGGGAACCTATCACCAATTAAGTTCCAGGCCTGGAATGGAGCCAGGCGAGATGCCTTTTTTGAAATTGGATCCGAGGCCCTTCGAGTGCTGGTTGAACGCAAACGATTCCGCGATATATCCAGGCTGGAGCACCATATTTCCGAATTGCTGCCAGAAGAGCCAGCAGCCCAGGTTGCTGAGAAATCACAGGCATCGCCCGAAGTTGTGGACATCAGTCGTTTGAACTGGAGCTTCACATGATGCTTTGGTTCAATTTTGCTGAACAATCCATTCTCGCCCAACGCGGGGACCCTCGAACAACATTCAGATCAACCCCACCACCCAGAAGGCACACACAGCATGCCTCTCTCATAAGACCTCAACATGTACAGACACCATGTTGACGTGTCGATACGCCAGTCGGGTACAATCCCCACCCGCGTTCATTTGTGTACTGTTGCACAATTTATTCAACTCCACTACAGGGCGTTCGATCAGCCTTTGGGTTGTCAAACGCCATTCAAAGGCAATTTACTGCTGCTACTCCACTCTCGCTAGACTATCTGAGTCAGAGCCTCATCTTCTGAGCCCTTTTACATGTTCTTTCTTGGCGAAGCTTCAAGGGCGTGAATTGCCAAGAAGACGTGGCTGAACAAGCTTCGGAAGTTGTTATACAACTCAAATCAATCAAACATCACAGCAATTTTGTGCGGACTTGACTTGCGGTCCCAAATACATCAGTGATGTCCCCTCTTATGTTCGCATTGTTTCTGCTATAGCATACCCCTGTTAGAATAGTGGTGCGCCCAACCTTCTAGACCAGCCCTTCCAGTCCAGAAGAGAATAGTCATAAACAGTTGTGATAATAACATCGACCTTCTGTAAAGAACATTGGGTGGCGACTGAGATATGGAACTAATGGAGGCTGTGTGACAGAATGCCGTGGAGATTTAGAGGGCTGGAGCGAATCAGCCCTGGGGGAGCATCTCCAAAGCTATTAAATCAACTACGTCACCGCGCGACCTCACGCTCACGCTCCCCCCAAATAGCCCCATATAAGCTAACTGCTCTTTACTTCTCTTTCCCTCGCAAAACCTCGCCCTAACAAGAATCGCAGTCGCATCATCCTTGCGATAACCCTGCCACATAGTTTGAATCGGTATATGAGAAAGCGGGCAGTCCAAGTATCTGACATCATCGATCCACAATGGCTACTGAAGGGACCTCCATGCAGGCCAATGCAAATTCAGGTATGTTCGTTGATTGGCATGCAAATTATCTTTAGTCAAAAGAGCAATTGATCCCAGAGACATGGTGTTCCTTTACTCTATGGTCAAGTTCCTCCTGGTGGAACGGCCTCCTAGCTCCTTTCAAAACTATATGCTGACTAAGGGATGTAGCAGACACTGCGGAAATAGTCAAGGAACACTCGCATGCATTCCAGAACAGATTGAATACGACACAAACAGACAGTGACCCTGCTATCGACACAGCAAAGCCCAAGCTGGACGGACAAGAACGTAAGGCAGCTACTGAGGTTGAACCAGCTACTGAGGTTAAGCCAGCTACCGCGGTTGAGCCAGCTACTGAGGTTGAGCCACGTAAGTCCGCTGCAGACACCGAGCCGCCTGTTGCAGAGCAAACTACGGAGGAGTCGACTGCAGCGGATAATGTGGAATCTTCTGTCGGCAGTGTTCCCATTGCCGCCAAGTCGCAGGAGACACTAGGGCCGATGAATGAAACAAAGGTCGGCGAAAAGCGTGACCTCGATTCAACTGTGACGCCTGTCCCGGCTGGAACTGCGACGAACGGGCCTGAACCATTGGAGGGACCTGGTAGCAAAAAGGCTAAGACAGACAAAGAACTTGTCCCGGGTCACAATGGCACTACCGCTGCTCCTTCTAAAGCAGAAGACGAAAAACCGAAGAAGGATAGCCGATCGAAGACAGAGAAGATCAAGGACGCTGTGAAGAAGGTTGTTCATCCAGGAGATGGCGTTGGCAGCCGGACCCGCAGCCGGACCAAGGATACTTGAATGAATGAGAACTTTCAGGTTGTAACGTTGGAGGTTTTCTGTGGTAGTTTATTCCTGTCATGGTCGCTCCAATCTTGAATTGAGTTCGTTCATCTCCGGAGGTTCTCCCATTTGCAGCTGTACTTAATCGTGGGAAGAAACTTCACAAATCAAAGAACACCCGGAATTCAATATCATGTTGGTCTTGTCAAGGGCTCATACGACATACTCCAATAAGAGCTATTCGAGGTAGACACCAAGTGGACGTCAGCGAGACCTTCACCTTCTAGGTAGATGTCTGCATGCATTGCTTTCATCACTCTTTGTAGTGCTTTCGCAAGTAGTTTCAGTGCCGTAGGGACATGTACCTGTGAAAGCCCATACAGTAGTCAAATAACGACGGGAGTAACAGGTAACTAAAGCCAATGCTCTTGACACAGTACAATCTAGTTACATGTACTCTGTAACTAAAGTAAGAGTTTAGAGGGCGCCGATTATCGGGACTGAGTCATTCCTCGGACCGGGACAACACTTTACCGGTCCCGCTATCACCAGTGTGGAAGGCTGTGTCATTGCTGGCGGTAGAGTAACTTTTCAATATCTGTTGAACTCTTTTTTCTATTCCTTATACTATATTCATTAACCTTCAAGATGGCTGGACAAAAGATCTGGCTGCGCGCCGAGACCAAGCCCGCCGAGGCGCGGTCTGCCTGTGAGTAGCCTTATCCCACCGAATGGCGGGGGGGCAATTGGCTAAAGATTGCGGTCACTAGTGACTCCTACTACTTGCAAGGCATTGATTGATGCTGGATATGATGTGACCGTTGAGCGGTCCACCCAGCGCATTTTCGAAGGTATGTCCCAAACTAATCATGTCCCTGTCACCCTTCGCAATTGGACTCGATTGCTAATGACGCCCGCTAGATGAGGAATTCGCCAAGGTATGTTTCACTCGACAGTTCAGCTCGGATTCGCCCTAAATACCGTCAATTGCTATAGATCGGAGCTCCTCTGGTCGAGGAGGGATCCTGGGTCAAGGACGCGCCGAAGGATGCCGTCATTCTAGGCCTCAAGGAGTTGCCCGAAGATGACTTCCCTCTGGAGCACGTTCACGTCACTTTCGCCCACTGCTTCAAGCAGCAAGGTGGTTGGGAGAAGGTCCTTAGCCGCTGGCCTCGCGGAAAGGGCACATTGCTCGATCTGGAGTTCTTGACCGATGATTCAGGCCGCCGAGTCGCTGGTAAGACTCCTTCCTGTCTTCGAACATTCTTCTTCTGACTCAATTGACTGACCTCCCTCTTTCTTCTAGCCTTCGGATGGTCCGCCGGCTACGCAGGTATCTTTACCGTGAGATGTTTGCTCGAGATAATCTTTACTAAGACATGGAATAGGAGCTGCTTTGGCCGTGAAGAACTGGGCTTGGCAATTGACACACCCCGACGAGGCCCTGCCCGGTGAGGTCCCGTATGCCAACCAAGGTCGCCTGGTTGAGTCTGTGAAGGAGTCGCTTGAGGCTGGCAAGAAGGTTGCTGGCAAGGCACCCAAGATTCTTGTCATCGGAGCTGTGAGTCTTGCCCAAGTCGAGAAACAGCCACGTGAATACACGGAATACTAACGATGTTATAGCTGGGACGCTGTGGCAGCGGTGCCGTGCAGCTGGCCAAGGATGTCGGTATCCCCTCCTCCAACATTGTTGAGTGGGATATGGCAGAGACCAAGCGAGGTGAGTCAATTGATGTCTACCAGCTGTTTCTCTTGGGCCAGAACTAAAACATCCGCAGGTGGTCCTTTCAGGGAAATTTCACATGATGCGGATATCTTCGTGAACTGCATCTACCTCTCAGCCAAGATCCCCCGTAAGTTTTGCAATAATGAATCCCCAACTCGGAACAAATCGCTGATATCTCGATTAGACTTCGTGAACTTGGAGTCCCTTTCCGCTCCCAACCGAACTCTGTCCGTCATTTGCGACGTTAGCGCCGACACGTGAGTCATCAGATTTGAACTATGCAAGCGCACGGCTAATTCTCCCAAGTTCCAACCCCTTGAACCCCATTCCTTTGTACGACATCACGACCACCTTTGATAAGCCGACGGTTCCCGTGACTGGACTGCCGGCTGGGGGTCCTCCCCTGAGCGTGATCAGCATTGACCACCTTCCTTCCTTGCTTCCCCGCGAGAGCTCGGAGATGTTCAGCGAGGCCCTCCTGCCCAGTCTCCTTACGCTCAATGACCGGGCCAACTCCCGGGTCTGGAAGCAGGCCGAACAACTCTTCGATGAAAAGGTTGCTACACTGCCCAAGTCGCTTTAGGCTTAAGCCTGTCGCGCTGGTATGTGGTAGGTCTAGGAGATTTTCATTTACATGCATTTCACGGTCCATATGACTCAAGACAAAAGTTGCAAATTCGAGAATACCATATGATTAGAATTACAATTTTCCGGGGTCCTCAGAGATACCTATCACGTATATGTCTTGGCTGCGTAGAGCGGTCGTACCTAGAAGCCAGGTTGTGGCATCCCGTCTTTGTTGTCAGGGCGGGAGTTTGGCCCCTAATACCCGAACATGCCCATATATAATTTCATACCTTCCATTGGAAGAATCTTGTGCTACCTATGGAAGATACGTATGGCTTTACCCCAGATATTTCAGTGTTTAACCCACGGCCGACCCCTGCGGGGATGTAAGACGGATACCCGGAGAATCCGTCCGTGGGGGTCTAACCCACTGCCACGACGCCTGGACCAAGAGGAATGTTCCAGCCATTGGATAAAACGAGAGTTCCACGCAAAAATATCGAAGACAGGAATGCTCACAGCTCATGTGTACTGAGAGGAAGCTTCGTATCGTGATGATCATCGTGATCGGAGTTTGACCCGTTTGATAGGCCTAAGTGGCCAACTTGATTTCGGAGAACATCACTGAAATGCCCTGGATCGTCTCGATCTCCGCATAAAACACATCGATCCGCTCTTGTTCTCCCCTCTTCCCCGGTTGAACTCATTCACCTCTGCATTCCCTCGAACGTTCGTCCTCCAGCTCCCTTCTAGCTCTCCGCACTCGGCGAAAACTCCGACCCACATTGATACTCTCCTGTTATCTGTGAATTACCGGTCGTTCAACGTCTTCGCCACGATCAGGGTCAGACCGAGGATGGGACAATGAGATAAGACGTCTGCCCTGCTTCGACAACCTACAACAACCGCCGAACCTCCCTTTATACCACTGTGCTTCATGCAAGAAAGGCCGACAACGGTCGCCGCCTATGCGGCCGGCGCCTCGCTGGCAGCCGTTGCTCTTTTCTACGTATTCGGTCCGAACTACACAATTGACGGGGACGAGTCGAATGACAGCAATCGCAAGAAGAGCATCGTAGGCCTGTCCAATCTGGCCAATGACTGTTTCATCAATTCGGTGCTGCAGGCTCTAGCCGGGTTGGGTGATCTGCGAGTCTACCTGATCCACGAGCTACACCGGCGCCAGCTGGACGGACCGGAAACATACAATGCGCTGCCGAGTGACGAGGAACTCACGCCGGCACGGTCCGACAAGTTGCGGGAGTTACAGCAGGGGATCACCACCCGCGCATTGAAGGAAATGCTGGACCGGCTGAACGAGCGGCCGATTTTCAAAAAGACCATCTCGGCGCGCAACTTCATCCAGGCTTTGGAATATGCGTTCCGCACGCGCATCAGTCGTAATCAGCAGGATGCGCAAGAGTTCTTGCAGATCGTGCTTGAGCGACTCTGCGATGAATATCATGCTGGTGCACGCGCACGTCAACGAGCACTGGGCGCCATTGGCGTGGCTGGTCCCACGACGGAAGAAGAGGGCAGCGCACAGGAGAGTTCGTCCGAAGTGGAGGTGCGCATAGATGACGGGTCGACCCATGGACTGCCCGCCATCATCGATACGAAACTCAAGGAAATTGTCCAGGAGTCTGGTTTTCCATTCGAAGGCAAGATGGAGTCGCAGATCGAGTGCCAGTTTTGTCATTACCAATACAAGCCGAATCAGACGGCATTCGTCAATTTGACGCTACAGGTTCCGCAGAAGAGCTCGACTACGCTGAACGCATGCTTCGACGGTCTCCTCAAGACCGAGTATATCGAAGATTTTCGCTGCGATCGATGCCGTCTGCAGCATACTGTGGATGTCAAGACCGCCGAGTTAGCTCGTGCTCGAACCCAAGCTGACCGAGACCGATTGGAGCAAGAAATTCCGCGTCTCCGCGAAGCTCTAGAGACCGACCCTGAGGCCGAAGTAGAGGGAGTCGTATTTCCTCCCGCAGAGACTATACCGAAGCGCAGGATTGCGCGCCATATGCGCATTACGGAGTTCCCCAAGGTCATCGCCATTCACCTTTCGCGATCCATCTTTGACCAGAGCAGCTCAAGCAAGAACGCAGCGAAAGTCTCTTTCCCCGAGCGGCTCCCTCTAGGTAGCATCTTGAGCCAAAAGTGGTACAAGCTCCTCGCCATTGTCTGTCACAAAGGTAGTCATCACAGCGGACACTACGAGTCCTTCCGCCGAAACCACATCTACCCGCCCTTTTCCACCCCGGAGCCCTTCAGCTCCTATGCGCAGAGTCGCACTGCCAGTCAGAGCCCCTCTGCAGCGCCCAGTCCGCGGATTGTACCACGCAGTAGCCCGGATCCCGATGGCCTTGGAAGCATTTCGAGAGCAGACTCATCGACCTCGCTATCCGGCGCCTCAGCCTCTGCTTCAGCGACCCAACTCACTCCTCCTCTCCCGCGGCCCACAACCTCCGGCTCGCGTCGTTCTTTCCAGAGCACCACCTCCCGCTCTTCTAAACACACGTTGTCCCCTGCCTCGGATAGCCACAGTCCGACGACGGACCAGGGTCGCTGGAGTACGTCTGCCCCGCGTTCTGGCCCCGTACCCCGCTCTTCCCAGGATAGCCCCACGGTTAGTTCCCGACTTCGACGGCGTCGGAAGCCGAACGATCGCTGGTGGCGCATTTCCGACGAAAAGATTAAGGAATGCAAGACCTCCGATGTGCTGGGTATGCAGCGGGAGGTCTATTTACTGTTCTACGAATTGGAGAAACCTGAGCCGGTTCAGTAGATGATACATAGTATACATATGGCATAGAACTAGGGAACAATATAAAGATTAAATGATTCAGATGGTAACTACACAGTGTGTACATGGGATGTGAATTCCTTCCACTCCCGGAAATGTAGAAATGAAGTTCCGATGAACGGCAACCCGTGACCCCGCTAAGATGATGTCACCAGACTTTCTGCAGATCCAAGCTCTCTCTCTCTCTGGTGTCATTATGTGGACCCTGAGGCAACAAGAAAGTAATAAGGACAGCTTGATTGAAGGAATTGGTAGAGTTGACAGAGTTGATAGAATTGATCCGGTTTCTGTAATGATATTACGTTCTCACGTTCTCCAATGTACGAGGGTGGAAATGCAGCGAATGGCTTCGAATTCCTCGGCTCTCCCCCGCCACGAACAAAATACGGGAACATTTGCAGCTCCTCTGGGAATTGGTTTACTGAGTGTATAGTATGTAGCTGTAAATGGCTGGTATAGCTATTGATCTAGCTATTATAGCTATTATATACTGTAGCTACTGTGTATCATAGGCTCATAGCTATTATAGGTATCGTGAAGGTATTCAAGTACAGAATGCTAAACCTCATGTAGTTACACAATGTATACTGTAGTTCCGCCATAGTCGGGCTATCACGGAGCAGTCCGGGACAGGGGAAGAAGACGAAACGACATAAAACCAAACCAAAACCTTCTTTTCCTTCCTTTTCTTCTTTTTTTCCACTCTGAAATCACGCTGACCTCACTGTTCCATCGAAAAGCTCCACCGGTGAGTCCTGTCCTCTGTCCTCGTTCACCGATGACGCTGTGCCCCTCCAACCCCACCCCTCCTATTTAATTCTGCTGTCCAGCTCTTGAAGAAGCTTACTCTTTTCCACATATCTAACATTTCATCCTTTTCTTCTTAACAGATCTCGAACTATTTCCAAAAACTATTTCCTGTACAAACTTCATAATGGGTGTCCTCGAACAACTTTCCCGCAAGTCCGGCGTCATTGTCGGTGATGATGTCCTCCGTCTCTTCGAGTACGCTAAGCAGAACAACTTCGCCATTCCCGCCATTGTGAGTTGCTCTCCCGGAAATCTTTTCCTTGAACATGCTCTAACCTAAATAGAACGTCACCTCCTCTTCCACCGTCGTTGCCTCCCTCGAGGCTGCCCGTGACCAGAAGTGCCCCGTCATCCTGCAGATCTCTCAGGGTGGTGCCGCCTTCTTCGCTGGTAAGGGTGTGAGCAACGATGGCCAGAAGGCGTCCATTGCTGGCTCCATTGCCGCCGCCCACTACATCCGTAGCGTGTCTCCCGCCTACGACATCCCCGTCATCCTTCACACCGACCACTGCGCCAAGAAGCTCCTCCCTTGGCTCGATGGCATGCTCGATGCCGACGAGGCTTACTTCAAGCTGCACAACGAGCCCCTCTTCTCCTCTCACATGATTGATCTGTCCGAGGAGCCCGTCGACTACAACATCAACACCACCGCCGCTTACCTCAAGCGTGCCGCTCCTATGAAGCAGTGGCTCGAGATGGTAAGTCGTTTTCTACTTATCATAAAGCCGACCTCGTACTAACCCAATCATAGGAGATCGGTATCACCGGTGGTGAGGAGGACGGTGTCAACAACGAGGACGTTGACAACAACTCCCTCTACACCCAGCCCGAGGACATCCTGGCCATCCAGAACGCCCTCTCCGCCATCAGCCCCTACTTCTCCATTGCCGCTGGTTTCGGCAACGTCCACGGTGTCTACAAGCCCGGCAACGTCAAGCTCCACCCCGAGCTGCTCTCCAAGCACCAGAAGTACGTCAAGGAGCAGACCGGCTCCAAGTCCGACAAGCCCGTCTTCTTCGTCTTCCACGGTGGCTCCGGCTCCTCCAAGGCCGAGTTCAAGGAGGCCATCAGCTACGGTGTCGTCAAGGTCAACGTCGACACCGATATGCAGTACGCCTACCTGACCGGTGTCCGTGACTTCGTCCTCAACAAGAAGGACTACCTCCTCCAGCAGGTCGGTAACCCCGAGGGTGCCGATAAGCCCAACAAGAAGTTCTTCGACCCCCGCGTCTGGGTGCGTGAGGGTGAGAAGACCATGAGCAAGCGTGTCCAGGAGGCCCTCGAGGACTTCAACACTGCTGGTCAGCTGTAAATGTCGATATCCGTGTGATATCGCATGTTTTGATTCCCTTTTCCTTTTCTTACCCGCCTTTTTGATTACCCTCATATCCTCTCTTCATGCGGCCGAAAAAGCGATGGGCGTGCCTTGGACGTCCCGGTTGTATGTAGCGTTGTATTCTGACACGCTGTAATGAATGTCCATACCGGTCCTTATGGCCGCTACTTTGGAATATGAACTGTGAACGTCCTGCTGGTCATTTCACTTCCCAATGTTTAATAGAATGTAAGCCGTAAAATACTTATATCTTCCATTCCTCGATCCTCAAGCCCGCTCAACCCTTATCTACCGGAAAACCCTCGTTGGCCTAAGGTACAAACGCACAGAACAAAGCATCCCCAACCATAATCGCAGACGCAGTAATATATCATCGAGGATCCTAGGGATTCACAATTTTCTCCAAAGAGCGAAACCCCTCCATGGTGCAGGAATAAGAATAACATAACAGCATTTTAGTCGTAAGCCATAGCTCAATGAATACCGCTAACCTCTATGATCAAAGCAAGACCGCAACAATGCATATTCTCCCCTCGACCTAAGTATAGCTTCCTTTCCTTCTCTCGCCCATACGCAGTCAACGTTTGAAACCCTCACTGCGACGCACCAGCATACTTCCTCGTCCACTCCCGCGCAACCTCCTCATACCGCCCATTATCATTCTTGTACTGCTCAGCAATCCTCCCCTCAACCGCATCATCCGGCATCGGCTCAGCGAGCAGCTGGCGCGCGAATTCCAGAACAGCAGCGATCTTGGAACTGGGTTTCCATTCGTCGGCGCGGAGCATGCCGAGACACATACTGCCCTTGTCGTCGTTTGTGATGTTCGGGTGGTAGATCTTTGTCACGAAGGAGACGGTGGGTGGTTTGAAGGGATATTCGGTTGGGAGGGAGAGCTTTACGTGGAATATTCCATTCTGGTTTGTGTTAGATACTTGCGTTGCAAGGAGATTGTATTGGGGGGGGGGGGGGGGATGCTTTAGGTATTCGGTGGAGGATGAAGAAGAGTTGTGAGCAGCATGTGTGTTGTTTGTAACGTACATGGTATGGTGATCTTTCGGGTCCTTCCATGCTAATCTTCCATTCGTACAGGTTTGACTCATCGGCCAGCTCGACTGTGATTCCATCCGGAGGGGACTCGGTGAGCTCGCTCAGCTCCTGGGGATTTATGTTAGTGGATTGATATAGAGTGTATAATCGGTGACATCGGTATGTACCTTTGATATGCGCTTGATGCTGCCCATTGTGGTTGTGTTGGAGTTGGGGGATTTGGTGGGGGGCGATAAGAGCGGGGAGGTGAAGGGGATGCAGAGAACGCGATGATGCGATGCAGAATTTGCTAGGTCGCTCAGGGAATTGGAGCAATGGCGAAACGATGATGCTATGTTCGTGAGATGAAAAGATGATATGCGACAGGGCGGTAGGTGGATGGGCGTTTTGGCTTCGGAGCTATCAGAGTGGGGTGCGCGGCAAAAGGCATCGACGTCAGTGGAGATAGTCGGGATGTCTGTGGGCTGCTACTAGTATATGAGAATATCCTACACTTTTGATCTTTGTCTTTACAACCAGACAGAGGTTCTGCTACTGGAAATGTCATGCAACTGACTGCATTTATGCATATGCACGCCTTCCACACGATCTATTTTCGTACACCTACTCGCGCTGAAGCATCACCATCAAGCCCATGATTCCCAGCATCACCGTCTTGAGCCAGGGATGCTCGCTGAGCATGATAGTCACGTAACCAACCATAGGTATGTAGCCACGCACACTGCCCACAATGTCCTCCGCCCGGTTGAGATGATCTTGATCTGAAAGGTCCGTCAGCAATCAGTGGAAAATTGTCGCATCTTCACATCACTCACCTTGGGCATATAGCTCGGTATCATCGGCCAAATTGTTATCACCCTGTTTCGGACTCATTAACAAGTAGTCCAAGTCGACTAAATCGTGAGGATCACCTACCTTGGTGAGTAGCATACGAGAACCAGACGCATCCCTAGATCCCCTATTAGCACAACAAGCCAGTAGAAGCAAAATGCCGAGTAATGGCAGTAACATACACTGTGACCTCCTTCACCTTCTTCGCGGATGCACGTCCTTCCACCTCGGGGAAAGTGCGAACGACCCTATGGACAATCGGAATGTCTTTCCCCCGGACATTGTAAACCACCACCTCCCCAAGTTCCACGGGGCTTCGGTTCCATAGAAAGAGTAAGTCGCCACGCTGAAATGCGGGTTCCATTGACCCTGTAACGAGAAGCATGAGTTAGAGATTCAGATTGCCGGGAGGAAGCTGTGTGTGTGTGTTTACCGGATAGGACCACGACTATTGGTGAGCTTGATGCGGATAAGACTGAGAGGCCCTTCCATAGCATGAATGCCGTTGATAGGACGAGCGCGAAGTTTAGCACTTGCGCGATTGATTGTCGGGCATTTGTGATGCTGGCGGAGAGGGAGGATAGCATGGTGGGTGGACGGGTTAGGATAGCTCCTGATGAGAGTGTTGGTTAGCGAAGATATTCAGCCTGTCCAGTATGAAGCAGAAACATTACCTATTGTCCTATTGTGTCCTGGTTGAGGTGTGTTTTGATCGAGGTACGCAGTAGATTTGGCGTGCGGAGAGGTGGCCTCGTCGGAGATCGGTCTTGGCGCAGATCTCACGGTATCTCACGGGCTTCCGCCTTGTCCTGTACGGTCCTGTCAACATACCCTTTGACCTATGACACTGGAAATTTCTTCATGAAACGACATGATATTCTTCCTCAATTTATATGTCTGGCAATATGTTCGTGGACCCAGCCAGCTTGCAAAGCTGGCTCATGGTGAGCAAGACGATGAATGTTTACAGTTTACACCAACTGGCGTGTTTACACCTTCCAGCTCTTGTGCGAGCATACGCGCTATTCAAGTATCCCGGGATATGAGAGATCAACATTCAACACCTGCATGGAACTACTAATACAGTACTACTCGCATTGAACACGACCAGAACAAGTGTGGCACCTGTGCCTTGCTTATAAGCCAACCATAGGTTGATGAAGGTGAATAAGGTGATCTCGATCGCCGTAGATCACCCGAAACCCTTGCAAAGCCGATGTTATTTCGCAGGTGCCTGGTCCTATCTATGCTGTTGAATTACCGATCCGGCGATCTTTCCTTGCTTCCACTTCAAGCTATCTCACTTCTCTGTGGAGTGTCTGGAGTGTCTCTTTCAATATATCGGGCTGTCTTCCAATGGAGGTTCGTACCAACCTAAGTAGCCATCCAGTTTTGTCTCTTTATGCTGCTCACCTACTCAATGACCTCGTTGGGCGCATAGGTATCTTGACACCCAAGGCTGTTATGTCCGTATTTCGAGACATTGCACACCCATCTGGCCAGTCCTAGGTTTACATACGCTAAGTACAAGGAAGTAGGTTACAGGCACTTGACATCACCAGTAGATCTTTTCTCAAAAGGATTACGATCTATGATTCTCCTAAAGGTGTCAGTGCCGAGGTGCACGGAGTATTTACGAAGAATGCTGGAAATACGTAGCTATCCCTAGAAATTAGGTCATAGCTTGCGTCTCGTGGTCTTATAGAATGGGGTTTCTTGACTCAACGACCATAAACGTAACAGCGCTGCATGCTGTACACATGGCTCAGAGACATGCAAGCCAAGCAAGCTTCAGCTGGCATCGGCAGATGGGGGACTAGCAGGTTCTAGCAAAGTCCTGACATAGTGAAAGATGGCGCGTGTTCATCGATCTCCAGGACTCCACGTATTTTGCAAGGGGCTCCATTCCTCGGGCAACAGAGAAATGTCCGAGTAGAAATATCTGCGAGGTCAAAAGCTCGAATCCCGAGGTCTCTTCCAGGTGTGACTTAATCAAGTGTTGCAGGTAAAGGTTGGTTATTTTCGCTACACTCCCAAGTCCCATGTTTTGCTCCAAGGTTGCCCACCATGCAGCCTGTCTCATCGGAGTCGTCCATATCAACAGAGCCTAAAGCTTCCATCCTCGAGCTCCTGCATGAGCACTACCTTGAGCTTACCCCGGATGGAAGATACGTGCGATGGTTGCGTGATCATCCCAGACATCCTCGGAATTGGTCAGGCCTGAGAAAGGGCTATGATATTATTCTGATATGTCTCTTGGACCTTATTATGTATGATTATCCTGATACTCCTTGGGATGTTCATAAGCTAACGATGTCTATAGAACAGCATCTAGCACCGCAGGTGTGAGTGAACATACCCTAATTGGGCGAAACAGACGAGCTAACAGACGGTCAGTCGGCGGCAGCTGCACGAGCGAAATATGAGTACGACATGAGTGCGACGCTTTCTACTTTTATATTCGTGACAATGTGAGCATCTTCGCTTTGGTTCACTTGCAAGTTTGAAGTCTGACGAAAAACAGATTTCTTCTTGGTCAGGTGGCAGGCACCATCTTATTCCCCCCATGGTCGGAGGCATTTGGGCGCAAGAACATGTATATTGTCAGCAGTGGGCTCAGTGCAATTTGCTGTATGGTAATCGGGTTTGCGCGCTCTATGCCACTGATCATTATCATGCGCATCGTTGCCGGGGCTCTTTCGGCAATCCCTTACACGATCATCGGTGGCAGTATCGAAGACATGTTCAACGCCCATGCTCGCATCTGGGCCATGTTCTATTGGACAATTGCCTCCAACATCGGTCTTATACTTGGCCCCATCATGAGCAGCTATATCATTGCAGGACTCGATTGGTATGAAGCACTCAACCCCCTATGACCCTATGTACACATCTCTGACCAAATATAGGCGATGGAACTTCTTCATTTTTGCCATCATCATTGCTGGAGTCACAGGTGGTCTCTGCTTCATTCGAGAATCTCGACCTTCCATGTTGCTGGCATACGAGGTACAACGACTCACGGATGCAACTATGCTGTCAATTCCACCACCTCTCAACCACGACCATATTCCGGATCTCAATACATTCGCTAAAGAAGCCCTTTTCCGGCCGGCTCAGCTGTTCTTCCAAGAACCCATCATTCTAGTCATTGCAATAATCATTTCCGTGGCTATGTCTCTCATTTACATGTTCACAGAAGCCCTTCAGCCCATCTACGAGTTGATGGGATTTTCAGAAACGACCGGTTCGTTGATCTTCATCGCAATCGGCCTGGGAACCGTACTCAGCACATTCACCCGCGTGCTTGACAGCTATATCCTCAATCATATCCGCAGCCAAGGACGCCCTATCAAGCCAGAACATAAATTGTTCGGGCTAGGCATAGGTGGTCCATTTCTGGCCGCGGGTTTGTGGTGGTTCGCCTGGACTATTCCACCCGAGACGCCATCTCCGTGGATTGTGCCCACTATATCTCTTGTTCTCGTGGGTTATGCGCTGACGGAAATCGATACCGTGCTCTATGGGTATATTTCGGACGCCTATTTGAGTTACTCGGCCAGTGCTACGGCTGCCGTTGCTCTTTTGCGTGCACTGCTCTCAGGTGCTTTCCCGCTCTTCACAAGGCAGATGTTCGATGGACTGGGGAATAATGTCGCGATGTCTGTACTTGCTGCTATTGCAACTGCGTTCTGTATAGTGCCACCTGTGTTTATTTTTTATGGAGAGCGCATCCGTCGCGCGAGCAAGTTTGCTCGGTACAGCTGGGAGATTCAGGAGGAGTTGGGTAAAGATGAAGGGGATTGGTGATGGAAATCTGTGTAATACATAGTGTGTGATTGAAAAGTTGATTCTACCTATACAGCACATTGGCAAATGAATTAGATGGACAAACATATGAAATCAGGGATAACTCCACAGCCAACAGGGAAATGGAAACCAGGGCTCATACCTCCCGATCAGTACGGGCAGTGGTATCTTCTTGAGGCACTCCTGCTTCCCAATACTTATTTTGTTTGCCCCTGTTAGCAAACAGTCCATAAATATCAAACGGATCAACAACAGTCTGCAACCAATGACGGGGATCATCGTAACCCGGACCTTCAATCTCCGTAACACCGTCTTCAGCAAGATATATCTTGTTCGATCGCGGAAGTGAGCGCATCGGATGAAAGACATTAAGCAAAGTGGTGTTTGTATACATAAACACAACTTCGAATACCCAGAAAAACCACTCCTGCTTCAGAACAGGACTGATATGCTCGAGGTCAGAGAACGTATTCAGACTCGCAGCAGTGAAGTACTCCACCGTGCGATAGATAGTGCGAATCGTGATGAGCGTACAGCTGCAGTACAGCACTAGCAGTGCACGTTTAATCTTGTAATTCAGAACACCGCCCTTCGAGCAATTGAAGTGAAATCGGCCGGCCAAAGTCACGAACCCGGTCATTAGGAAAATCTGCATGATGAGCGCTGCTTTTAACAGTGCTTTGCCGGTCTCCTGTGCGGAGACGCTGGAGTCTGCACTTGCCACGCGGGCTGCCCCATTCGCGGTGATGGCTTCGATGACTGCGCCTAGGGCGATGAACGTTGTGAAGACCCGGCCTGGGTGGATTGGTGAGTGATACGGGATGTAGTAGAGTATGCGGCCCAGGATGAAGAAGTTGGCGCCTTCGTATACCGGGCTAAGGATTGTTAGTAGTGCGTCTTGTAACTTGTAGGATGGATGGGGGGTGCTTACGGTCCGGCGAGAAGGAGGACTGTGCTTGCGATGTATATGCCTATGTTTCCCCACTGCCCGAATGCTCCGATGGTTCTTGTGATGAAACCTGCTGTGAACAAGAGAGCGGACCATGGGAGAAGGCCGGTGACTTTCCAGGACTTGTACTTGCTGGGGAAATGGTTAGTCTGGAGATTGCACATATAAGTGGTCGGAATATGTACAAGCATTGGTATCCATGAATGCCACCGGAAACAGCGAAGAGAATCGCAAAGGCAATTGCTGCACCTTTATTTGGTGCATAGAACCATAGGCTGCCCTCCTCTTGGTCGTGTCAGGTAAGTTTTTGCAGTTGGGGAGGGGGTATATTTCTTCCACTTACGGAACCCGTCGATCATAGTTCAAGTGTCCACAATATATATTGGTTATACGGACGTTTTGACCTCGTACTGAGTACTGAGTAGTAGAAAAGAGAGTATCTTCATTTGGTTCAAAGCTATCTTCAGCAGTAGGGTATTGGGCGGATATATAACTACTCCAAGACCAGTCTAACTGTCTAAGTCGCCTGAGCCCCAAGCAAGCGAAAACGAGGTACATACTACATTGGGTTAGCGCGATGAGAGCACTGGCCAATCACAGATAAGATCAGAAGGAAAAAAGAAGGTTCGGGTGGAGTCTCCGTATCAAAAGTGGCTTGGCATTTCAACAGGGCTCAGCCGCTCAGAGGCAATACGAGCTCACTTGATTAGGGCTAGTTCCTGTTGTCGGGCGGATGATGAGTACAAAGTAACAAAGTACTTGTACTTATCAGATGTATGTATAATGTGGGCCGTGGCAGTGCATAGATACATACACAGTACCTAATGTAGGCTTTGTGGTTTCCTCCAAAGTTGCAAGGTTGCTCCTACTTCAAAGCGGCTGTGACTGTGAGCAATGAGCATATCTTCACGTGACTACCCGTTGTCAGGGTAACCCACTCCCCAAAACGGCAACCGCAATGTTTATCTGTGGATGTTCTGGACTTTCGAAGTTTGATTGCCCGCAGGTGTTTCGACTTGGATTGCATCCTCCCCAGCTTTCGAAGCTTGAACGTCCGCCACCTCGTGTTATCAAAGAGATATTCACGAATCGCCCAAGATGGCACCCAAACAGCCCCAAGCATCGCTGTTCCAAGTTTACCTCCGTCTGCGCCCGCCCATGACCCTGAAGCACAATGAGTCCGACCGTTTCTTGAACGTGGAGCCCCCAGAGGCTTCACAAGAAGAAACAGAAATTGTCACGCCGGCTACCACACACATTACTTTGCAACCACCAAATGATCTGCGAAAGCGCGCCGTCGAAAGGTTCGGGTTCACAAAGGTCTTCGAGGAAACTGCCTCACAATTGGATGTCTTCCATGATACTGGGATGGAGCCCATAATACGGGGCGTTTTGAAGGAAAACAGAGACGGGCTCGTTGCTACGCTGGGAGTAACGGGTAGCGGAAAGGTCTGGTCCAGACCGTGGTCGTATCGCAATTAACTAAGCTAATGTATTCATCACAGAGTCATACCATTCTAGGATCCAAGATAGAACGCGGAATGACCCAAATGGCACTCGACGTTATATTCCGCTCCCTGGAACCGACTATCAAAAACGAGGATGGCAGTATTACCCCCGTGATGCTTGCCTCGCTGGCCGCGGCGGATGCTTCTGAAGCTCAATTGTTCTCCGCCCAGACATTTTTGGAAGCCGTGTATGGCGAACCAACCGGACGGACGTCGAGAGCCCAAACTCCCATGAGCCCATCTCGTGCCAATACACCAATGACGGTACGAAGCCCCCATACCCTAGATACTCCCCAAGGATCGCCGATTCGGCAACCACGCACCCCTGGATCATCTCTCCCCATACCGAGGTCTCGACCTGGAAGTCCCCGCAAGGTGGACTTACCTACCAGTCCCACTGCTCATCGAGCTGGCCTTGGCCAGATCTCGACAGAGTACTCTGAATGGATCACCCCCGGATTTTCCACTCCCATCCCCTACACCCACTCAAATTTTGTCGAGTCCCAATCAGCTAAACCTCGACTTTATGTATTGAAGGAACCGGCACCTGCGTTGAATTTCCCCCGCCGCCACGTACGGGACCGGCCGAGCGCTCTTCCCCGACTCCCTGACATGGGCCATCTCACTGTAGACATGGATGCAAATGCCGATTGCGTCGTCTTAGTGTCTATGTATGAGGTATACAACGACCGAATTTTTGACCTCCTGTCTCCCGCCATCGCCTCTGGTCAAGGCACCATGTCCCGTGGGAACAATCAAAAGGAGCGACGTCGTCCATTGCTTTTCAAGCCGACCGAGGGCTCACCAGATCGCAAATTGGTTGCCGGGCTACGCAAGATTGCCTGCAGCAGCTATGAAGATGCACTCGCCATTTTGGACGTCGGCTTGACTGAGCGCAAGGTAACCGGCACCGGATCAAACAGCGTTAGCTCCCGGAGCCATGGCTTCTTTTCTTTGGAAGTGAAGAAGCGCACATACTCGAAACGGACGGGCGAACACAGCTGGACCGGAAACGCTCTCACTGTTGTGGATCTTGCTGGTAAGTATTGTATTCGTAGATATCATGGTGCTATTACTAACGAATATAGGTTCTGAACGCGCACGAACAGCTAAGACGGCCGGTGCCACCCTTGCTGAGGCTGGCAAGATCAATGAAAGTTTGATGTACCTCGGCCAATGCCTGCAGATGCAAAGCAATATTCAGGATGGAATGAAGGTATGTACTGTACTCATCGCCCATGAGTTTAGCAGCTAACAGATGAAGACTGCTCTCGTTCCTTACCGGCAATGCAAATTGACCGAACTGTTGTTTTCGAATTCCTTCCCATCTCCCCATCAGATGTCCCGGGGTCAATATCCCCAGAAGGCAATCATGATCGTCACCGCCGACCCTCTGGGTGACTTCAACGCAACCTCCCAGATCTTGCGTTACTCCGCCTTGGCCCGCGAGGTCACAGTTCCTAGAATACCGTCGATCTCTGAATCTATCTTGTCTGCTAGTAGTCACCGCTCAGTCAGTGGCTGCACATCACCCAACATGGATTTGACTGAAGAGCTCGAGAGAGCCACTGCCGAGATCAAACGCCTCACACGAGACTGCCATGGTCTGGCTGTCAAGCTCGCCGAAGAGGAGATTGCACGCGCTGATGTCGAAACGAGGCTACGAGCTGCTGAAGAAAGATGTCTTACGATTGAACAAGATGTCCGAGAAGAGTGCTGGGCAGAGATGGATGAGAAGACGGAAGAAGAAAGACGTCGCTGGCAGAAGGCTTGGGATGAGCAGGTGCGTGGTCTCAGATCGGCTTGAAACTTGTTCAATGCTAACATTCACTAGCTTGGTCGCAACGACGAGCACATCGACAAGAAGGTCGAGCTTGTATCTCGTGGATTCCAAAGTAAGTGGACATCCAGGACCAATATCAAAGAAAACGTTGAACTAACCTTTACCAGTCTTCGAGGATTCGGGGTCCAGTGAAAGAATCGAAGAATTGGAGCAAGAGAATGACCAGCTTCGCCGCAAGCTCGCCGCACTTGAGCGTGAGATGCACTGTCAATCTCCGACAAGAAAGCAGAGGCCCAAGAACGCTACCCCGACTCAATCTGATTTCCTCAATCGCGAGCGTGTTACTGAGAATGCGCCGCAACAAATGGAGCAGTTGAAGCCCATGTTTGCGCCCAAGAACGCTACGCCGGCCCGATCTAATTTACTCAGCCGCGAAAGCGATATCGAGAATGCGCTGCAACGTATGGATCAGTTGAAGCTCACAGACACCATGTTTGCTCCCCCGTCACCTAAAACCTCGCCTGTCAAGAAGACGAGGAAAATGGGGACTCGGAAATGGGATCTTGGACCAGAGGACCAGATCTAGGTCCTTTGTTTGCGCTTGCTGTCACGACTGTTACGAATTGCTCTTCTTTCGCTGCTTGAGATACTGATACTGGCACTTTTAATACCTGGATTTGTTTTGGTTGTTATGGAATGATATCCCCTGGCCGAGGCGTTGGTGATCAATTCTCTGTTGATAATTGTTGATAGTTCATTTCCCAATTGATCCAGATTTGGACTCGTGAATATTGTACATGTCAGCTCGTAAGCCTGATCTCTCGACGCCAGCCTGTACTCCTAAAAAGTTCAGTCTTGATAACGCCGCATGCTCCATAAAGAAAAGAAGTGAAAAAAAGAAGAACGAAATCAATCATCCACCCGTGTGGATATGAACCGAATCCCTCACGACTCAAGGTGTGATATCCATAACATCATCTTGCTTGCCGGTCACAACCTCAGTTTCCGTATCCTTAGCAGACTGATCAGCAGTCGCAACATCCTTCTCCTCTTTATCATCCTCCTCCAAGCTCGGTTCCTCATCTTGCATCTCCTCATCCTCATCTTCATTCCCCTCATCCTCGCCCTCAACATCACCTTCACCCTCACCGTTATCATCGCCCTCATTCTCATTCTCATCCCCGTCCTCGCCCTCACCCTCATTCTGACCATCCTCCTCCTCATCACCATCCCCACCATCCCCTTCATCCCCTTCATCCCCTTCATCCACACCCTCCTCAGCATCAGTAACAGCCGGGAAAAGCACCGAAGCCCCCTCATCCCCAATCTTAGTCTCGTCTATCTCACTCATCTCCTCCTCATCCCCAGTCTGCTCACCACTACCACCCTCCTTATCCTCACCCCGAAGCGCAGAAACCGGGCCCGGAGCAGCAGCAGCCACATCACCCAACCCAGCCTGCGTCGGCGTAGACGGGTCCGTCTCCGCAGCAGGAGCTTTACTCGCCACAGCACGAGGCGCCAGCTTCATGTTGACGATAGTATCAGCGCGCTTCTGGATATCGCGACGAGCGATGCCCTTTGTACGCCCGCGGGGCGCGGGGGTGTCAGTCGCCGGGGGTGTATTTGTAGTTTCGGCTTCGCCGGTCATGAGGAGATTGTCTAGTTTCATTTTTTCTTTGTTTTCGTCTGTTGCTTGTTCGACTAGGGCGGGGGTGTTGATTTCGTAGAGACGGGCGTAGAGGTCGGCGATTAGGTCTTCGAACATTGTTATTTTCATGAGGTTGTTGTTGAGTTTTTTGAGTTCGAGGGCGTCGTGGAGGAGTTCTAGGATGGATTGGCTGTCTGGGGCTAGTTGGGGGAGGCTTTCTAGACGGGCTGTTTTCGTGGAGAATTCTTCCCAGCCGATTGGTTTGAAGATGCTTTCTTCGTGGCCTTCGGTTATGTTGGCGGCGCGGCGGATTAACTGAAGGGTGATGTGAGTTTGGATTTGTGAGGGTTGATCAATTTGATAATGAAGTTTGCTCACCTTGGCATAGGTAAGACAGATGTCTTCCCATAGCTTGGTGTGATTGAGGAAATCGCCTTGCTTCTTTCTTACACGGCGTAGCAATTGATCCAGGCTTGCACGATCGTCCAGCTGGTCAAGTAGGTTAACGAAGAAGTATACGTAGCGGGTCGTGTAAACGAAGTGTCGTCCCGGACGTTCAAATTCAGGACGCCACACTTGGATTGTCAGTGTTTTGGTGAATATCTGGGAGAGTTCTTGCTTGGCAGCGAGGGCAGTGGTTGCGTTTTGCTGGTCGTCGTAAATGATATGAGCAGCCTAGGAATCGTAAGTATTGTGACCGATCATATAAGGACATATTGTGGGGACAATACCTTCACGCCCATGCGATGGTGCCAGTTAGACTTGTCAGCACTCTTGAACTTCCGAATAACTTCCAGTATGTATGAATTCCACCCCTCGATGCTTTCGGGAGCATCGATCTTGCGGGCCCAGGGTGTTGCGAGGAGTGTCTTGCTTCCCTCGGCAGGCTGATGTCACTGTTAGAAATGCTTTTTCTTCCAAGAGAGGCGTGGCTTACAGTCATTTTCCCTCGGGAAACTAGTTTGTGCACAACAGACAAGAGTTTGAAATGGGGCTCGAAGATTGGTTCAGAGCGCGAGTCTCTTCGTTGCGGAAGCGCAGCAATAGCATCAAGAAGAGCATTTATGATCTCTTGCACTTCCACTGCTTTAGATGTCGTTCTCAAGGCATCCTTGCTGCTGTACATTTTCCAAAGACACTTGCCTAGCGTATAGTGGGCCCTGTTCAGGTGTCAGTACCAGATCAGACGCTAAACCTACAAATTCACATGGCAATAACTCACATCCAGCGCTTGGATTTGTCCGCCGTCGCGCGCTTGAGAAGGTTGCTGGCGAAATTCCACGCCGAATACAAAGACATCTCCTTGAAGGGCATTCCCTTGTACATCTGTTGGCTCTCCTCACTGCTGAAATGACGAGGGAAGTCCGCAACACTGAAGGCTCCCATAGATAGTGGCTCGCGGGAAGATGAGTACAGGCGAAGTCCAAAGTCGGAGTACAGGTCAGCCATCAGTCCACTGGTCTCTGCCGTTGGTTCTGCAGTCCTGGTTGCCGTCGAAACAGCCATGGCATAGCAGTGGATCGCGTTTCGCTGCAAAGCGGCCAAATCTGAACGATTGTTATTGATTTTATCAGCCGTCCATGTGATGTCTTCGTCCAGCTTTGAATCGTAGGCCTGCGCGAGCCGATACCAGGTTTCCCATCTGCCTGTTCCATGATCTAAGTCTTGCCGGAAGAATCCGATGGCATCATCAAGCTCGGTCGTTGGGCCAGGGCTGAGGCGTTTCTGAGATCGGAACTTGGTGAGTGCGGCGTGGCCGAGAAGGAAGAACCAGCCTTTTGCAGCGATCTTCCCATTCTCAGTGGGAACTACCGTCGTCGAGAGCTCCGTAATGCCCTGGATAGCACGAAGAAGATTAGATGGGTTGAGTGCAGCTTTGAGATATGCGTTTACAAGACGGCGATTGAAGGTGAACTGTGGTGTCTGCGAAGAAGCCTTGGCGGGGCCAATTGCTTGTTGCATCTTCTCGATGGTAGTCTTCAGTTCTGACTTGGACAAGTCCTTCATATTCATCTTGTTTGCCTGCTGCAGGACAAAATCGATCATCATGATGGCCGTGGGGCGATCTAATTTCTCGGAGGGACATCCATGATCCACAGTCCCATCGAATGCAGAGAATTTGATACCATGAAGGTCGAGAAGTAGCTGACACATATCAAATTCATAGTCTCCCTTGCTTTCGAGACCAAACAACTCCGCTTTGAGAAGCCTCAAGAACTTCTTCTGCGAGTATCTGCACATCGTTCTAACGCCCAAAGCGTTATGAACGGAACGAAGGAAATGGATACGGTCTTCATTTGGATCAACAAAGAGCTCCTTGTTCTGAGCAACCGCGTCCACAAAAGGAAGTATTGTAAAATCCAGCAGCGAACGTAAAGCTCTCGCATTCTGTCTTTCAGGTTTTCCAGTGATTTGGCAAGGGGGCCCCGGAAGTCACGTCCGGACACTTGGCCTACTCGAACCGAGTCCTCGTAGAGGATAAAGCTGTGTAGAAGTCTGGTCAGGCGGGCAATAGCCGACATTGAGGTTCGTATATGTTCCATATCTAGGCAGTCGAATGCTTGGTCCGACTCCTCAAGAACAAGAGGTATGGATTTGGCCACGATGCCATCAAGGGCTTTGAGCCAGCCCAGCAAAGCGACCTGACGAGTGTTGCTTGTTTCTTCGTTATGTTTCAATGCCTCGAGTTCTGTCATTACCACTTCAATGCTTCGCAAATAGCAAGATAGAACTTTGGGCGGGTAGTCAATAGCTTGGTAAGCCTCCTGGAGTCTGCGCCAGAGGAAGAGTCGCAGTGTAGCATCCCCTCGGTCTAGGAAGGCAGCCATCTCAGCGAGATGTGATGTGGGGTGGTTCATGTCATTCCCCGTTGGCGTTTCAGCGTGCTCAACCGATGCGGGTTCAAGAATTGGCTCTATGGCTTCGATGAGAGACACGGGATCCTCGGAGTCTGAGTTGAAGACCTTGGCGAAGAAATCCATGCACTTGAGCTTCAAAACTTCTTGGTCTATCACAGCAGCTGACAGTTCGGACATTGTAGCATTGTTGACGAGATTGACATTTGGGTCTCCCAGTGACTTGAGGATTCTCTTCAGGTCTTGGAGACAGAGCAACACGTGTTCACGCTGCGCGTCCCCGGCGAGATTGATATGGAATGCCGATGCCCACAAATGGCGGAGCGTGAGGTTGGTTTGGCATTCGCCAGATGGACCGTGATCGAGGAAATGATCTATGGATGAGCGAGCTAGCATACCCCAGCGAGCCAACCGATCTCGCTGCGCGAGTACTGTACCCTGGGCTGCCTCACTGCCAAGGCTGTCAACCGAAGCAAAGATATCCAAATGAAGCTCGTAGATGTTTTGTATCATCTCAAACTCGTAGAGATCATTGGCCATATATTCAAAGCCAGCCTCATTGCCGAAACTCAGGACTCGAGCCTCAAGACTTGCGATCGATTTCTTGCAGGTCTGGTAGATGAATTCGTCCTCCCGAACTAGAATTCCAACTACAGTCTTCTTGAGCTCTCTGGGCCACAAGTAAGTGACGTAACTAGATTTTGCCGTCGTCCAATCTGGAGTCTCCTGGCCAAATTCCGGCATAAGAAGACACTTGAGCCACTCGAAGGATGTTTGATGGGGATGTAGCCAGCTAGAGTTGATTGCATTGGAGAAATTATAGAGCTGCTCCCCACAGGGAAGCTCTTCCTCGACGCTTGGCTTCCTAGCTCCTTTCCTTGAGTGCTCAAGAAAGACAGCTAACCCAGACTTGCTTGTGCCGCGGATGTCCTTGAGGGGAGAAATTTCGTCTTTCTGTTGCATCGACCGTGATTTTTCATCATCCCACGTCTTGATGAGACCTCGAAGATCCTGAAAGAGTCGCAACTCAATATCTTGGGGTCTCTCCGTTGAGTCGATTTGAGAGCACTTTTCCCTCAGACCTTCAATACTACCCAGTGCATCAATACCGACCTTCGAGAAGAGAGAGTCGACAGTGCTGAACATCCAATCATCGGCATTGATAAACACCTCAAGACGGTCTCCGTAGTACTTTTCTTGATCAAACGCAACTTCCTCGAGCGGCGCCAGACCATCAGCATTGGACTCTCGGGCTCGCGTCCGTCTGCTCTTCATGCGCCCTCCTTCTGGCTCGTCGTTTACCGCTGAAGCCGACGATCTCTTCCGGGCGTCTGTTGCAGAGTTGGTGTCCACTTCTTCTGTCTGGGTACCATCTTGTTCGGTCTGCTTATCCTGTGGTTGCGTTGATTGACGTTCCAGTGATTCTATGAGTTGCTTTTCAGCACTCTGGTCGCAGGTTGATTCTTCTTCGCCTGGTTCAGAGGGCTCTTTCGTTGGCTCAGGTGCACCTTGGTCCGACTTAGCATCGTTCTCAGTTGTCTCAACCATGGCCACGTTGCCATCCTCGTTGTCGTCCTTGCTTCCCAGCTCCACGGCATCCATGACCATTTCTGTGTCCTCTTCATTTTGGATTGGCGTGATTGGAGCCTGAGAGCTCCTTGCAGGTAAGATGATTCCAATTGGTTTAGTGGGAACAGCAGCGAGCGAGGCATTATCTTCTTCATCAAGCGCCTGAAGGAGTGCCTTACCGACTGCCTCCCAGGTGGGGGCGGATGGTGCTATTTCTCGACGGGATGTGCATAGAGCAAGAGGGTGCTTGGACAAATCTAAATCACACAAGTCGGCTGGGAGGGCGGGTAGATTGGGATATGGGTCCTCATGCTGCTTGAGGTATTTCAGAAGAGCTCTTTTGGGCCTTTGATCGGGCATTTGACACGCAGACATTTGGTCGAAAAGGGACTGCAGCGTGCTGCGCAGGCGTTGCTCCGCAAATATTTCCTCTATGCCAAGTTGCTCTGACCGCAATTCCAAGCGATTATTATCGTCCGCCAGTACGCTTTCTAAGCAATACCGCGACAAACGATAGCTGTTCAAAGCACTGCTGAGTCTTGCGCTTTGTCTCCAGAGATTGAGATCCGAGTCATCTCGTTCGAGCGCATCCCCGAATGACCTCAGAGCTGTCGTAGATGCCTCCTTCAGCTTTGTTTGTGCTTCCTGCTCGGTTTCGGGAGACGGTAGCGTTCGTTGCATGGAGTTCAGTACTGAGTCGAGGACAAATTTGCCATGATTCTTGTAGGACAGATATAGCACTTGGAATAAACTGGAGGCGGAGTCGGTGCCATTGTATTCGGCGATCGATTCGGGAGCAACTTCATCGGAAATCTGCTGGGCTTGCGCATCGTCGAATGCGCTCCTTTGGAATTCGGAGACAGACTCTGGGTATTTGAAGATCTCCGAATTGAGAAGCGCGTCGTATGCATCCGCAGCCTGAGCATAGTATTCTGGTCCTTGGGAATGAAGCTTCAGAGCACCGTGGTAAAGCTTCAAGGCTTCTTCAATCTGAAGCTCCTTGGTGTCGTCAACCTCTTCTTCAACAGCCTCATCGGGCTCAACATTCAGTGCGACCCAGCTCGACATTGTGTGAGCTCCAGGGTTCCTCAAGAAATAAAGAGAAGGAAGGAATTAGATGACAACATCTAGATGCCAGTTCCTAGAAACGGACAGCAATGAGCGAATCAATCATTGCCCTCGTTATCGCGGATAGACACGCTACCTATCACGTTATATCACGCGTCTGATCGGTGTGGGGCTCGAGTGCCTGGGCGCCTGGGCACCTGGGCGCCTTGGCGCCTTGTTGCCTGAAGCCCTTTCTTTGGAGGGAGAGAGTAACTCCGGACAATTGGAGATTCTGTTACTCTTCATTCCCCCTCATCACAGCCCCTGAACGTCTTACGATTGACGCTTTCTTTAATCCAAATACTCCCATCTTTGATTTCGTTGCGCTTGTGCAGGCGCCATGGTTGCGCCAGCTGTCCCTGAGTATGTTGTTCCTGTTCCCCGTTTACGTGTTCCCCGGGTTGTGTACGCCCGATTGTTCGGGATCGAGCCATTGCGGAATTAACATGACATTGTGGCTGACGTCGCATCATCTAGGATCCATGAGGAGGAGGATATCTATGTTGCCGTTGATGCGCGAACAGAGTCCTTGCAGAGCTTGCGTGAACTAGGCCCTCCGGACCTGGTCTATTTGGTCAAGCAGCCCAAGGCCAATTCAACTCGTCAGGTACGCCGACCTCTTACACTGGCCCGATGTGTACAGACCATTGATCTTATCTATCGCAGACCGGCGTTTACCATCATGTCACTGGAATCGACGCCTCCTCGTCCGCTAGTTTAGCTGCCTATGTCAACACTCTCACATTTTCTCCTCTCGACAAGACACATAAAGTGGTATCGGGCATCTATTGGTGAGAACTTATTCTGAACGACGGTTGTCCATGTGCTGATATCTGCTCAGTTGCTACAATGCATTCTCCCACCTCGATATGCGCGTCGAGGTCAAAATCCCCGGAAGCCTAGAGAGCTACTGCATCGATGAACGGGGCGACAAGCGAGTTGCTACTGAGGCTCTCTGGTTGGAAACATTCCTCTGCGCCGTCCTGAGAGCATACCTCTATGCGGACGATGGAAGTGGGGATGCCATCAAGAAGATCGTCGGGGTCCGTCGCTTCAACCCAGTGACAAACACTGAGATGGAGCACAAGTTCTTGGATGCTGCTGAGAAGCTTTTCTTCCTGGGTATGCCGGTTGGCAATATTTCTGCGTGTATCTCGCTAACGACACTTTGTAGGACGCCAATTAAGCTCCGACCCCGAAACCCAAGTGCCCAACACTGTGACCAACCACCTCACATCCGGCATCCTCAAATATATACACACTACTGGCCGCTATACATCTGGTATCAACTTGTTTGAGAAGCTTCGTACAAAGGATGTGGAGGTTTCGTCCCTTCTGGCTCGTGTACAGATCATGGCAGACGAAGAGGTGCAAGCTGTACGTCTTATGTACGACGCTTTGCAAGACGTTCCGATGGACTATGCCCTGCTTGACTGCCAAGCGAGCTTTTGCCAGAGCAAGGGCGAAAGCGAGATGGCACTTGAATGCGCCAAGCGGGCAGTCACTGCCGCTCCCAGCGAATTCAGCACATGGGCTCGCCTAGCAGAGGTATATGTTGGTATGGAACGCTGGGATTTGGCGCTTCTGACTCTCAACTCTTGCCCTATGTTCACCTATCAAGATAAAGATACCCCTCGCATGCCACAGCCATCTCGTATCATGCTTCCCATTCTTGCTGAAAGCATCCTCGATGAAATCGACGAGGGCCAGCCAAAACAGGGAGACCCTCACGACTATGTTCACCCTTCGCTTCGAAAGATTCACGCTGCTAGTTATCAAGGTACCTTTTTGAAGGCCTACAACCTTCTGACGAAGATTGCTGCTGCCATTGGATGGGACCAGCTCCTCAAGGCTCGTAGCGAAGTTTTTGTTATGGAAGAAGAATATCGCGTTGAGCGGCAGCATGTTCCTAAACCCGCGCACCCGTCGGGGACAGAGACTAACGGGAACAGCTCCGACACAGGAGACGACTCCGGTTCCGTCGCTGGTCCTGACTCGACCGAGTCGTCTTCAGAAGAGGCTACCAATGGAGATCTGCGAGACAACCATTCTCAGAGCCCTCTCGAACGACCGGAGCAAACCGTTGCCTCCGAGGTTGTCAAGTCTGGCAACGAAGATGTATGTTTTATCACTTCTACGTGCAGTGTCTACGTCTTCATATACTAATTCTTTACTTCACAGCCTGACCCATCTCACACCTCATACACGCAATTCAGAAATAAGCGACTTTGCGAAAGGTGGCTGGATAACTTGTTCATGGTCCTCTACGAGGATCTCCGCATCTACACCATCTGGCGGACAGAAATGGCCCAGTTCCGCCAACAAGCAATTGAGTACAAGAAGTCAGCTACCGAGTGGGAAATCCTCGGCGAGCTTGCGGAACGTCTGCACCATTTCGACGAGAGCATTGAAGCGTATCAAAACTGCCTGGCCGTTCGCTTCTCACCCAAGGCCATGCGTGGAGTCTTGAGGTTATATGAACAACGAAACGACACCAGGGGTATGCTCGGCGCATTGATCCGCTTGATCGCCTGGCAATATCGCTGGTACTCTGAGGTATGTTCTCTATCCGGTAGCTCACCTAATAATGATCCCATAACTAATCAAACTCCAAGTTCTCTCCCGAGCTCTTGTTCTTAGTCCGCAAACTCATCGAGGATGAAGGCGCTGTCAAAGTCCGCAGCATCGTCCAGGCGACAAATCTGCCCCAGCCGGTCCTCGACCTCACGCACCAATACTGCCAACTGTGTGCTACTTTCCGCAGCAGTGGGAGCGACACCTGAATGCGTTGACGAGGATTGAACAGAAGGCGAGGTCGTGTCGATAGGGCTGTAGTTGATTTTTATTGTCTGGATATGAGGATAGAAAAGCGAGGGGGCGCAAGGGCTAATGACCTTCCTTGATTCATGACCTATTTTCTTTCCATATCTTATTGTCACTCAATTGTTTATTAGGTAGTCCACTTAAATGGTATATACTTCTCCCATCTTCAGTGCGGAGTATCTGATCGTGTGTTCCCGACCAGATACGTGAATACGTGAGGTGGATCCGCGCATCTAAATTAGGGCTTTGGCTTTGTATCCATTTGGGCCTCAATTTCTCCAATCACTGCCCAACATCAGTTGCATTCGGGATCCGCAATCCACTGCAGTGGGGAGAACTATTAGACTTGACCAGTCAGAGAAGCAGTGTCAACAAATTATATGCACGTCATCTCCATATCCCCAAGTACACAGCGTGGATTGGCTACTTTTGTGAACTAGCTGATGTTCCACGCATTTGTATCAGCAGAACCTACCAAGCCCTACAACATACATCGTACATCTATCTTCATGGAACTCTGATCAAGACCTAGGTGATGGTCGTATACAGAAGATCATCACAGTGGAGCAATGCAAGCAATCACACGTCGACTTCCATTTTATTTCGGCGGAGTATTCTCGCGGAGGAAAAGATCGCAGAATTACTCTTCCTTAGCAGCCTCCTGAACTTCAGGAACATCCGACTCCTTAGGAACGACATCGCCCTTTTCCGAAGCAGCAGCAGCAGGAGCACTCTTGTCAGCAGTCTCGGCATCCTCCTCCTTGCCGTTCTCTTCGGGCACTTCATCTTTCGCGCCGTTCTCCCCGCCCTCAGCAACCTCGACATCCTTATCGTCAGCGGGCGCAGTCTTCTGCTTCTTAGCAACCGGGGCGCCTGGAAAAGCAAGTTAGCGAGACCGTCCCTGGGAACGAGTGCGCCAACACCGCGGGAGAATAAGAAGATAAGGAAACATACCTTCATCTTTAGCTTCAGCTTTAGGCTTAGTCTCGGCTGTTGTCTCTTCCTCCTCATCTTCATCTGACTCAGACTCGCCCTCGACCTCTTCCTCATCCTCTTCACCCTCGCTTCCCTCGCCTTCAACCTCGGAGTCTTCATACCTATCCCGCCGCGCGCGGTTAGTAAAAGATCCAATGGGGTGTTTGGGAGCTTGCGCGTGGTGATAATCCGGTGCGTGATGGCATTGCGGTTGTGGTGCGATCGGTATGTAGGTGCATAATTGCGGTGGAATGATGCGCTGGGTGTCGGCGCAAGCATGTGGGAGGGGAATTGATGGGGATTGAAGGGCCGACTTACTCCTCCTCCTCTTCACTTTCTTCGCTAGGAAGGGCCTGGAGTTCCTCCTCGGTCTCTTGCTTTCTCTTGCGGGTGGTCATGGTGGCGGATTGGAGAATATAATTAAATTAGGTTGTTTAGGGTAAGTGGGAGGTATGGGAGGGTGTATGGAAGAGAAGAAGAGAAAGGTTGCGACAAAAGTACTGGAGGGGGAGGACGGGGGAATTAAATAGGACAGTAAGAAGAGAAGGGGGAAAGCGGAAGTGACGGTGACGACATGCGAATGACCAAGACTTTTGGGTTAACTTCGCTCCTTGAAAGGTCCACGGGTGATATACAAGTGCGTGTTCAATGCTGAAGTGCGTGTCGGTATGTATGAGGGGAAAAGGCCTGGATTCTTCTGTGATTATTTACATTCCACCATATATTCACGCTCATCTAGGGATTCAATGTCGTCTCTCTTAATATCCTGAGATCCTTTTACGATCTCAGTCATTGCGTCAGGAAGTCAAAGTCTGCCATGCTCGGATCAAGCAGATTCTCGTCAAGGCCGAATCCATATGTGCCGACCATGCCATATATAAGATCCGGCGGAGGGAATCCCTGAGCCATGGCGTTGGCTCCCCCAGGGACTTCGCGGCCGTCAAGTGCAGCCTCGGTGCTCCCTCGGAACTGCCAAGTAGCCTCCCAAGTGTCAAAGCGCTCAAGCATCTTGCCTAATCCGCGGGCAATATGACGTGTAAGATGTCGCTCGCCTGCAGAGACACAATTCATCAACTCAATTACACGCTCAACTAGTCGGCGCACTTGGCGTGCATTGATGCTGAGGTAAGCTGTGTTCCAGTTGATAGCGACCTTGAGCAGGAAGACTGCGGAGAATGTGACCATAGTGTGGGTGAAGATAGGGACACCGACGATCGCATCCCGGATATCGGGCTCCTCGAGAACCATGTTCAAACATGCCATCGCCGAGGAAATGGCGACGTTTGCTGATTCCTTGCGGTCTAGAGAGAAGACAGGTGTGTTGGATGGGGAGAGCCCACGAAGGGAAAGCGAGTTCAGCTGAAACTTCGCGAAATGGTAGTGCAGAACCACTCCTTTGGATGGATAAGTCCGCACCCAGGCGCTATCGGCTGTAATGCATTCCAAGTTATGTTAATACCGAGACTTGCAGCAATTTAGGGGGGAACGCATCACTCACCAGATCGAGGTTGCCAGAGCAGTCGCCATTGGTCTACTGCGACGTTGTATACGCGCAACTGTCCGAAATCCTCCTCGGTCAATGCCTGTTCGGTGTCGCTACCGAACATTCGATATGCCTCGGTCAAAATCATGAAAAGCGCAACTTGGGCTAAAAGTCGAATGTCTCCGGGGACAATCATCGATAGCCCAAGGAAGGTCTCGCAGTTACGGATTGCCACATCCTCATGGATGACCGGCGGTCGTCCATAAGCAATGCTGAAATGATGATCGCACACATAAAGCAGATACCAGAGCTGGGCGCGTTCGTACTGATCCGTATGGCCACGCGTCAGGCGTTGGTAACTTTGATGGAGACCCATCTCGGTCGCAATCCGCACTGCATGCCCGGACAATTTCCAGCTCAACTCTGACAGCCAGAATGCCCCGACGCAGAGGCCCCGGATATCATCAAGAGTGTGGGCGCGCGTCAGGGCCATGTTGGAGACGAGCGATACATACTCGTTGTAACACCGATTTAGGGTCTCGGTGCGGTTTGGGATATGGAGCGCTGCAACGGTCAAAACTGCAGCAGAGAGAACCGTCGATGCGCGACGGACAGAAGTTAGATCCCGGTGTACAAGGATGATTCCGCCCCACAATAGCTGGTTCATGGTGCGACTGAAGTACGCAAATAATTCCTCTGCTTCGTGGAGTGAGATCAGTCTTTGCGAAATAAAATCTTCCTCTAGTAGCGTCTGTTTCGGCGCCTCGATATGATTATTTCTCAGGTTCCGTAACTTGGTGACCTCGTATAAACTGCGCATAGGCGCAGGCACTAGATCCGGGTCTTGGAGATCCTGCTCCGGTGACGGCTCCCGGGTAACATCCATCACAACTCCTGGTCCATCGGTATGACTGGTTTGTGTCTGTGATCGATCGATGGAGGGACGGTGAGCATGGTACGATGCGGCAGGACTGGGACCATTGAGAGCGTCGCCGGAGGAATAGGTTGAGAGCTCAGGAAGCCCGCCTTGTCGCAATAGATGCGAAACAGCCGCCTGCAGCTGATGCATAGTCGCAGATGCTTGGGACTTCCATCTACACCAACATTGGTTAACATAGCTCATGGTAGCTCCAAAGTTGGACGACCGAGGCGGGGTCAGAAGCACACATACATGCCATCATCATCGACGAATTTCTGTGAGAAGTCGTTCACGACACATTTGATACCGCTGCGCGTACATTTTGTACACGTTGATTCCCCTGCTCGAAACTCGCAACGAATTTTATGGCGCTTGCATTCTGCGCCTGCTGCCATGTTAGTGCGGTACCGAACAAGGTGTGGTGTGGGGAATGACTTACAGGCACGAGCTTTAGAGATCTTGGGGGCAGATCTTGTCTTATTGTCGCGGGGTGACTCCAGCCCATCATCTAGAGACCGCTTTCGTGGAGCAGTGGTGTCCATGATGTGACTTGGAAAATGGGAAGTCGGTGATACTCCGGGGCATGCGGGTTAGGGGGCGAAGTTCTCCCGAGTGGAGGCTAATTGATCGGAGAAGAGCGAGATGAGATGAGCCAAGGCCAAGATGCGATCAAGTGTGGATTTTACCAGGTGACTTGGGACACTTGGTCACTAACGGGGGATTAACAAGAGAAAGAAGTGGCCCTGGGAAATTGAATGTTGATTTTGGCCCCCGGCCGACTCGATTTCCCGTTCCATGTGTCACCGACCCTCTTGGTTATGCTATGTTTATGCCTTTATGCAGTTATTCCTTACTTCTACTGGTTATCAATCAATTGAATTGGATATATTGCAGGCTTTTTGACTCTAAGCATGATTGCGACTTCATTCACGGCACATTCCCCAGGATTCCAAAGTCCAGCCCCAGAGAGAAAAAGAGGGGCCTAAGGATCAGACCCAAGATCCGCGATTCGCGCAAAGCAGATCCACTTCGACTGCTGTTGAGCCGGTCCAAGTCCGGTGCGGAGGGACAGCCAAACTGATCGTCTCGGACTTGATGCGAATGCGGAGAGAAATGCGCCCAGTCACCATGAGATATAACTTCTTCCCATTCCCATCGCTGTAGTGCGTATATCACAATCAATTGACAATTCTATTCCAAAATGCATATTCTCATTACCGGCGCTGCTGGTTTTATCGGCCAATTGCTTGCAAAGGAGCTACTGAGTGACCCTACCTACCACGTCACATTGACCGACATCAATGAGCCTCCGATTCCCGCGGGCGTCCGTCACCCTGAAAATGCAAAGGCAATCAAGGCCGATCTTCTCTCGGGAGCAAAGGATATCGTCGATTCAACCCTGGACGCCGTCTACGCCTTCCACGGCATCATGTCGTCCGGCTCCGAAGCCAACTTCGATCTGGGCATGACTGTCAACATCGATGCAACCCGCAACCTGCTCGAGGCCCTCAGACACACCTGTCCCGGTGTGCGAGTTATTTACTCGTCCAGCCAGGCCGTCTACGGCCAACCCTTGCCCGAGATCGTGACCGACAGCGTCATCCCCACCCCGGAGTCCTCGTATGGAGCCGAGAAGCTCGTATGCGAGACCCTGGTCAACGAATACACTCGCCGCAAGTTCATCAATGGCTTTACCTTGCGCTTCCCCACTATATCTGTCCGCCCCGGTGCACCTACCGCTGCGGCTTCGTCCTTCCTTTCGGGTATGATCCGTGAGCCCCTCGACGGCAAGAGTTGTGTGATTCCTATTGAGGACCGAGGGTTCAAGTCGTGGCTCTGTTCGCCCAAGACCCTTGTGGAGAATCTTCTGGTTACTCTCCGTCTACCTGCCGACTCCCTGCCCCCGCACATTCGTCAGATCAATGTGCCTGGGATCTGCGTGACAGTCCAGGATATGATGAATGCATTGGAGGCTGTGGGTGGTGCGGACAAGTTGTCTCTCCTCACAGAGAAGGAAGATCCTTCCTTGATTCCTATTTTGAAGTCGTGGCCGACGCAGTTCGACAACAGTCAGGCCATCTCCCTGGGCTTTAAACGCGACGAGTCTTTTGAGCAGACTGTGCGGGATTACAAGCAGTCATTGACTCAATGATGTATCTAGATTGTGTATAAAATAATATAATGAGTGAACCTCGGGTTTCTCATTCCTTCCTCTGCCATCTCTATAGGTATATTCACGGGCACCGTAGACCACGCTGTCGACAACACCCTACCTACAGTGGTAGATAGGGAATACCTGGTGTGATGAAATACTATAGTGAATACCGTAGTGGATACCGTGTTTGTTCGTATACCAACAAGAGTCGTATATACCGTGATTTCTGAAATACTTGTGCGCAATGGAATACTGCATTTGAAACGGTATATGACCTAAAATACCGCAACAGCAATAGCATTCAAGCAAAAGTACGGTATTCGATTTCTGGTGCTGCCAACAAGGTATCGACACTGCTCCAAATTTTGATCCAACATCAGAAACCCATCAGACATACCTCCCATGGCGTACTGCGAAACAAAAAGAAAAACAAAGGCATACGTCTTTCTGATATAGACCAGGGTTGTGCCAGTCCGACACAGTTGTCAGCCCAACTTCCCAAGTCGTTACAACCTCCCACCATCCCACCAGCCGAGCTCCATCACCAACCCAAACACCATACCCTAATCCCCGTAACCACCAAAATGACCACCCAAATCTCCATCCTCGTATACAAAGGAGTACCAGTAGACTTCACCAAATACCGCCACACAGCCCTGCACGCACAGTACCCAACAGGCGAATCCGACTGGCTCCACGTTGTCGGCGCCCATCCATTCTTCAAATTCCAAAAGGACTCCCAGAATCCTAGTTCAGAGCCTCCAATTGCATCGATCCCCGTGTCCACGGCACCGGAGTCCGTTTCCAAGTTCGTGATCCATATGGCGTGTGCGAGCACCCCGGTGCGAAATAGAAATCGCGACCGGGACTGGAATTGCCAGAATTGGGTTGGGGAGGCTTTGGCGGAGTTGGTTAAGGTCGGCTGTTTGACGGAGGAAGAGCGTAGACTGGCTATTGGGGAAATGGTTGAGATTATCTTGGAGGCTGAGTTGGAAGATGATGTGAGTTTTGTTTCTTGTTATACCTACCTCCAGTACCTTATCTGTATGTGACTTGAGAAGGGAATATACTGATGTGGACTTTGGTTTCGTACGAATAGGACTCCATGTTTTAACACGACTTTCTTCTTGTTCTGGGCAGTTGTACTTGTGCAAGGAGGTTCTTCTTGTTAGAGCCTAAGATATTCGGGTTATAGGATTTGGCAATGACGGAGTTATTTTCGGGATTCGAGTATTGATCATCCATGGCCTCCGGATATTCCATAATTTCATATTATATCATGGTCCAACGACATAACCCCCAAGGGCAGATTGTACAGAGGCCATCTGACACATGAAAAGGGACATGGACATTGAACCGGATATCTCATTTCCAAACCTGGGATTGTCTTAGCAAGCATTCCGAATCGAATCAACAGGTCATCCAAACCTGTCCGTCGATTGCAACAAGCCGATTGAATAGTTGGTTCCTGGTCCCCATAGCCGTGAGGTGGTAGGACTGCGCAGGCTTCGTGCCAGTGATGAGCAGCCCATCAACAACCACCTTACTACCAAGAGCCCAACCGACAACCAGTTTGCCTTTCCATCCCAGACCGCCCAGCTTTCTCATCTCCTGGATCTCATTGACCGGCATGGTAAACAGGACCGATCCAGCCTTGCGAGTCTCCACTCGCACCTCTCCATCTGTCGGTATGTCGGTGGTGAAGTACAGCAGTGCAGGCTCTTTGGTAGAATCGATAATGACAGTGCCGCGCTTTCCTTTCCATCGCGCGTCAAATGCCACAGGACCATTTGGCGTACTCACCTTGCCCTTGTCGCGTAGGACGCCGACGCGCTCCTTGGCATGACGTGAGCCGATTGCTGCTCGGAAGCGATCAAGGCCTCTCTTGCTTTCCACGCCGGTGGCAGTGGTCCCTCGGAAGAAGCCCACCACGCTAGATGCCCATGTCTTTTTGTGGCTCTTCTCTGATGGGACCTCGGCCTCCTGAGTGGGCTCGGCAGGTTTGACGAGGGCTGCCTCGTTTATTTCCTCACCCGAGGCATCTAAAGTCAGCTGCTCATGATCCAAAGAGGCTGGCCGTTCAGGCACCTTCTCCTGCGAGGTTGGAGGCGGCGGAAGTGGGGATGCATTGGCCTCGCCGATGCGGAGAAGAGTAACGGTCAGCTGAGCGTTTGTCGGAATACCCTTGAGGATGGAACTAGCCAAGGGTCAGTATTGTGAAAGTAAATGGGGGTTTGGAGCATACTTTTGCAATTCAATGAGCTTCTGCCAATTAGGGAAGCGGCGATTCAGGTATGAGACCCCACGGCTGATGATAGGATCTCCGAAGAAGGCAAAGCCAATGAAAAATGTGCTGAGCTTCATAAAAGCGTAGCTAGATGTAACAAGTGAAAGAAGGCACGCTGGGCCCAGGACGGCCACCAGGCGAAGGCGAGGTTGCAATCGAGGAAACGGTGCAGTCGCAGATAGAGCGCTAGAGGAGGTCAATGGTAACCATAGACAGGGAACCACAAGCTGATTACTTACTTGCCCATCTTCTCATAAGTATCAGTGATATCCCCTACAACCTGCATCGCAAGGTTCGCACCATCCATCACGCTTTGCTTCATAGGCTGTCGAGTCTTATCATGGGAATCCGATGGCACATTTCCATGGGCGGCGCGTTGCGCATCTGCTGTATTGGTAACGATGTCCATCGCATCTGGCACATCGTCTTCGAAGGGTGCATCTTCAGGCACAGCTTGTTCATGCTTCCCCGCAGCGCCACCCACAGCAACGCTGGCAACACTGGTTACCCAATTACTAGCCTCTTGTTCGGCTGCCTCCCCCTTAAATTTCTCTGGTGCACCGGTGATGCTGTCATGGGATCCAAGAATGCCGGCCTTTGGCTTTTGTACACCACCCGTATCTTTGTCGACCAGAGCAATTGGGGCTGGGGGAAATAAGAGTGGCCGAGAGGGTGGGTATATCACCAGGACAATTGCAGTCGCCAGCATAGTTGGTACAAGCAGATCTAGAGCCCATGATAGGAGATAGACCTGCACAGGATTAGTGATATTCAAGTAGAAAGATGGTCTTTCTCGGATCGGGACATGCCGTGCAAAAGGCAGCAGTACGTCGTGGCTCCCTCCAAGATCGTAGCCGCGCAATATGCTTGACGCAATTGGTCACGCCGACAATAACAGTGATGTAAAAGCGTTCAAGCGTAGCTCTGAGTTTATCCGGTGAGAATTCATCGTCGTCTGTTCGCGAGAGATCTAGCCGCTGTAACGGAGCATCGGGGACTGCTTTGACTCGATAGACTTGCTGAAATACAGTATCTCAAGGTCAGGTCCAGGAACTATACAAATTCACAGGAGGTTCAGGGCAGACCTTATCAAATCGTCTAATGAGCATCCACAAGTCATCATTTGATATCCCGGCCACCAGAGGTTTCGCAATGAAATCGTGAGGTTCGTTCCATCCGAGGTCGGTGATTTCTCTAGTCTCGCCAGCTTTCTGTGAGAGTCCTTTTTCGTCCTGTTCAACCTGGGACAGCACATGGCTATCTGTTGGCCCTTCTGGGAGTTCAGGTTCCGCTCTAAGATCGTCGGCCCTATTTATCGCATCGTCGGCTGAAGCGGATGGCACCACCATCTCACCGGTTGTAGAAGGCGTGTCTTTAGTATTTTTGAATCAAAACTGTAGCTTGAAGGAGTAAAGCAATCCATGGGTGATGAAATCTCTCTCGTGGTTAGATCCAGATCGTCGACGTCATCATCCTATGAATCCGGGGCCAAGGTGTCAAGGCAAACAAGGCACACGAAAAAGCCAAGATGATGAGATCCCTGCCTATGTCAATGTGGACGCCACAATTATTTCAGTAGCAGCTACAAAGTACAATATGAGAAGAGGGTATTTGGTGAATATCACTAGGATATTCCTCTTTCCTGGAATCTGGATTGTTCAAATAGTGACTGTAGGATGCCTTGTCACGCTGCCGCGCACTAATTGCCGCATGACAGGTATTTATCAATTGGTGGTAGACAAGCTATAACTATCCAGCTGTCTACGGTATCTTATGAGACCATAGTTATCGAATATGAGTGTCAGGCAGTGGATGTAGAGAGAAAGACGGAGTGACGGACCTCGGGATCAACAACTTCTCGACTGCGTTATCGCTCATCGTCAGATAAGGCGTTTGCTGCTTATCAGCACGTGCCAGTCGCGTTCCCGAACAGGAAACATCGCTTCGGCATTCGCGTTCAACCTCTCGCTGATAGTCCACTCCTACTATCTGCCACTCAGCTCCTGTAGGTAACACCCCATTCACCATGAGCGAGGAGTGTGCAAATCCACTTCTCCTGGGGTGGATCAAGGAGTGGCTGGACCAGGCCAGAGAACGAAACAGCAAAGGCGTGACCGTGTACGTATGTCTTGGCGCTTCCCGAAGGGACTGTACCTGACGATGTTGCTTAGTTACAAAAAGGCATATGATTCAATGAAAGCCTGTCCGTTAGAGTTCCAACACCCATCCCAAGCACAGCAATTGAATGGACTGGGACCTAAACTATGTGACCGCTTGACTGATAAATTAAAGGCTCACTGTCAAGAACATGGGCTCCCCATGCCAGCACCGCCTGACAAAGGTTTGTGGCCTTCATAGCTCGTCAGCGCCAAATGATAGTCACTCATTTTGGTTGAATAGGTGGCAAGAGAACCTCTGAAGGTGGTGCCGATGATCAACCGGCGAAGAAGGCTCGGAAAGCCAAGCCGTATGTGCCAACCCTACGGTCTGGACCATATGCATTGATCCTGGGCTTGGGGACTCAAAGCGAGAATGCATCACAGGGGATGACGAAGGCTGAATTGATAGAGGTGGCCCAGCCATACAGCGACAGTTCGTTTACGGCACCCCCAGACCCGACAAAGTTCTACACTGCGTGGAATTCCATGAAAACTCTTATCCAGAAAGACCTGGTATACGAGCATGGACGCCCACTGCGGAGGTATCTTCTTTCCGAAGAAGGCTGGGAAGTAGCCAAGCGTCTCCAAAAGACATTGCCGGGTGCTGCCCGAACCGACTCCCAAGCTACCGCAGCAGCCGAGTCCCAGCAAAGTGCGGCAGCATTTGATGCCGATTTACTTCAAGAGGAAGAACCTCTCACGGAAATTGTGGACAACCTAACGGAACAAGACATAGCGAACATTGAGCCCATTTTCTTCCCACCCAAGAGCTTCACAATCGAGCTCGTATTAGACACCCGGGAAGTCCGCACCTCCACCGACCGAGACTACATCTCCGGCGAATTGATGAAACAAGGAATCACACCACAAGTCCGCGCGCTGGAAGTCGGGGATGCAATGTGGGTAGCGAAATGCCGCGACCCAACTTTCCTCGCCAGACACGGCGAAGAGGGCGACGAAGTGATGCTGGACTGGATTGTCGAGCGCAAGCGTCTGGACGATCTAGTCGGGTCTATTAAAGACGGCCGCTTCCACGAACAAAAGTTCCGACTTCGTCGGTCCGGCATCAAGAACGTCATCTACCTCGTTGAAGAGTTCACAGTCGTCCATGCAGACTCAAGTAGCGGGAATGCAGCGACATACCAGGAAATGATTGCGTCGGCCATCGCCTCGACGCAGGTTGTCAATCAACACTTTCTCAAGAAGACCAAACACCTCGACGAGTCAATTCGGTACCTGGCGCGCATGACTCTGCTCCTGCGGAAGATGTTCGGTGTCGAGGATTCGCCGTCGAATGGCGACCCAGCCAGCGTTCCTAGCCGTAGCACGGTACCCCCAACTCCGGTATCCAAGATCGCCCTCATCCCCGGCCGCCGCCTGTCCACCGATTCCTACCTTACCATCCTTGACAACCTCCGCTCTCGAGACCCGTCTGTTACATACGGAGTGTCATTCACTACTTTCTCCGCACTGACATCAAAGTCTGACGTCCTTACACTTCGTGACGTTTATTTGAAAATGCTCATGTGTACCCGCGGCGTGACAGGCGAGAAGGCCCTGCAGATACAGGAGATCTGGCCAACGCCGCGGCACTTGGTCGAGGCGTACATGGGTCTGGAGCCTAAGGAGCGAGATATGATGATAGCAAATCGGATTTCGGAGGTTGTTGGACGGAAGAAAATTGCAAAAGACCTTAGCAAGCGGATTGCAGAAGTTTGGGGTGAGCCAAGCTGATATTGAATAAGTTCTATTTCCATCACCTAACTCTGCATACAAACTTGGTGCAGCGTTCAGTCGCAACATGCATAAGATAGCGCTAAAAATAATGGAACTAACTAAGTATAAACATAATGACTACTTTCTTCTCACGAGCTTCATAATGCCCTCCTTGTTAACCCTCAAGGCCAGGCTGCTCAGCACAACGGAGATGCTGCTCAATGCCATAGCCAATGCCGCCCATACCGGACTAAGTCTCCAATGCTCATTGACCATCGCCATCTCACCACCCACATTCTTCTCATGATGGCCGGTGACAATGGGATATAAGACACCAGCGGCAACGGGAACCAGACAGAGGTTATAGACGACTGCCCAGCCGAAGTTCATACGAACGCGATTGAACACTCGGCGACTAAGCACGACTAACTGCAGAATAGTGCTGAGATCTGAGTTCAGAAGGATGAAGCTGGCGGAGTTGATAGCGACGTCCGAGCCAGATGCCATAGCAATGCTTACGTCCGCCGCTGCCAATGCCGGGGAGTCGTTCACCCCGTCGCCGACGAAGGCGACAATCCGACGTGCTGCGTTTGATGCCGATGTAGCCTCGTTACCGGCGGGTACTGTATTGGGGCTACCAGCCTGGACCTGACGAACGAAGCTGGCTTTCTCCGCTGGCAGGACGTTGGCCATTACCGCAGAGCGTGGGATGCCAAGCATGTCGGCGACGGCATGGGCGGTGGTTTGATTATCACCGGTACACATGAAGACGCCGACTTTGCGCTTCTGGAGCTGGGAAATCACATTGATAGCCTCGGGGCGAATTGTGTCGGAAGTGGCGAAGACAATGGCGGGAATGAATGTGGATGTCTGAGCAGACTGGGGATGTATTTGACGCAGTGAGAGTACTGCGGTTGACTTGCCTGCCGACTGGTATTTCGACAGTAGGTTGGAAACGAAATATGTGTCTGCCTCGGGGGACATGACACTGTTCAGTAGTCGCTCATTTCCAATTGCAGCTTCATACCGTGCATCGCCCTGGGGACCAGAGACAGTAAAAGTCCCTTTCATGCCTTGCCCGGAAACCTCGTGGACATCGGCCGATTTGACAGAGTAAGAGGATCGAGACTTGCAGAATTCTGTGATTGCCTGAGCAATTGGATGGTTACTGGTCTCTTCCATCTTCCGGGCCAAAGCCCATGCGACTTTCGCAACTTCCGCGTCACGGGTCACAACTTCGTGTTCAGAAACCCTCAGGCTTCCACCCTCAGTCAGAGTTCCTGTCTTATCAAAGACAATCGCGTCCAGTCTGCTGGCTTCTTGAAAGGCTTCGCCGCCTCCTTTGACCAGGATGCCATGCTTCGCTGCTAAGCCACCGCCCACAAAGAGCGCCGTGGGCGCGGCAAGGGCAAGACCGCAGGGACAAGCCACCACGAACACAGAAATTGCAAACTCCAAAGCCCAGAAAGTCCAACCGCCATGTGCGACATCGAGGTAGTCTGCGGGGAGTACGCCTGAATGGCCAAGGGCCAGCCAGATCACAAAGGTGGAAATGGCGATCAGAGTGATGAGGGGGACAAAGTGAGAAGTGAGGAGATCGGCAACTCTTTCCAGAGGTGCGCGCTTGCTTTGTCCCTCACGAACCACGGCGATGATTCGGTCGAGCATCGACGAACCACCAAGCTCAGTGATGCGGATCCTCACCGGCTGCCCGACGTTCACTGAGCCGGTATAAACTATTTCGTCGGCTGTTTTCTTGACTGGTCGCGACTCTCCAGTCAGCGAGCTTTCATCAAACTGATATGAGGCACTGTCGACTATGGCTCCATCTGCCGGAGGCGAGGCGCCGTGAGGGATGCTGACTATGTCACCAATCTCCAGGAGGTCAACCCTCGTACGCGTCATTCCATCCTCGGCAGAATCATCAGCCAAAAGTGCCTCGGAAGGACGAAGCTTGCCCAAAGACGTGACAGCATCGCCAGTTTTGGCTTTACTGTACGCTTCCAAGAACCGACCAGCAAGGATGAATAAAGTCAAGAACACAACCGAGTCGAAATACGTTGTGCTGTGCGGACTGAACTTGGTCCCCACGACAGCATCGACTATAAGCACCGCCAGAGATGAGATATAGGCAACCGATGTACCAGCAGAGATCAAAAGATTCATACTTCCGAAACGGTAGAGTCTCCGAAGGATCGGTACCCGACTTCCAGGCCGCCATAGAGCCCAGACTTCCTTGATGGCTCGAGTGTGAAACACATCAGTGCCGTAGAACATAACAGGAGTCGACATGATAAGAAGCGACCATTCGATGCGGGTCACACTCCCAGACCACATTGGCTGCTCGAGATACACCCGAACTCGATTTTCAGACGAAACGAGAGACATGAACACAATGCCAATAAAGAAAGTCGGTATAGCACACACGAAGACAAAGAGTAATCGTGCCAACAGCCGGCTCCTTTCATGATGCTGAATGGCTCGAGATCGGTCTTCAATGCTGGGAGGGTGATAGACGGTCGCATGGAAATTCTCATTTACCGCGTTGATAGCCGATATTATGGAACGAATGGTGAGCGTAGGCGGCTGCGGCGTGTAGGTGACCTTGAGGATGGGGTTCTTCTGAGACAGTACCTCCTCGATGGTAACACCCGAAAGCGGTTTCACTGCAGCCAGGACATTTGGTGGGCAATGATGACAAAACATTCCGTCTACTCGTATAGAGACTGTTCTGGCCTGCGCAGTGGTGAGAGCTTTTGGGCCACTTTGCACTAGTGAGACGTTGTTGACAGTAGCGTCGTATCCCAGGTCTTCGATCTTCTCTATTATTTTGTCGAGATTTTCTCTGCCTTCAAACACCACTCTCCCGCTGTGAGAAAGCAAGTTAACGGACACGGAATGTATAAAGGGGAGCTCTTCGAGTCCTCGGGTGACCCCCCCAACACAAGATCCACAGGTCATGCCGGTGATTGCAATCTCGCTGACATACTGTGCTGCTGATTCGACAGAGACCGGAGCTTTGGGGACCTGGGTCAACTCATTGAGTGATGCTTCGAACCCAATGTCATTTATTTGCTCAACGATGTCGTCGGCCTTTCCACGAGGCCCAACGAATATTACTGTTGCGCTGTTGGTGAGAAGGTTCACGTTGATATCTTTCACAATCTCAAGCTGTTGGATTTGTGTGGTGATACTGTTGGCACATGACGCACAACTCATTCCCCCAATGCTGATCTTGGCAGTGAACTCATCCGCCAAGTCAGTGGAAGGGCTGAGGGGTTCTGCTATCTCTGCGGAGGTTGTTAGATCAGACAAAACAGACGGAACGTTCGCTTTATACGTACCATATGAGTGTCGACTCTCTCGCACAGCATGCTCTGGCGTTGTCTCAAGCCTTGCAGTGAGATCCTTCTCGTAGTTACTGCTCAGGGTCCGGTAGACTGTCTGTGAAGACTTTTCGGCTAAAGATCCCACATCTGTCTGAGAATATGGATAACGAGAGAAACTCTCAAGTTCCTCCTTCCTGCATGCATCGCAATTGGCTATGTGTCGCTTTTCTCTGCTGGCCTGAAGTCGTTCTTTGATGTTGGACGAGATGCTAGAGACAGAGGTTCGCGGGGTGCCGAAGAAGGCAGAGCCACGGTGGTTCCAAGAAGAGGTATCGAGCTCCGATATGAGCTCGCCTTGTTGATTGAAGGTAGTGACATACTGCACTTCAAATGCAGCGTTGATCAACGCGTTGACAAGATCGGCGGGCTGAACGGTGATGGCATGGTTGACCCGCACTTCATGTGTCAGGATTGTGACTTCGATGTCTTTGACTGTAGGGATCTCAGAGAGCACTTCCGTGATGTACGCAATACATGATGCGCAATGCACATTGGTCACGAAGAAGAGACTCTTCCGCGCATCGAGGTCTTGCTCGGTTGCCCCCGGTTTGGGAGACTGGTTCACGTGAGACGGAGGCATGATTGATGTAGATCTCTGGGGTCTCAAAAGAAGTGTGGTATGAAGGCGAGGTCCCTTCAGAGAAGCTAGAAGCTTAACAGAAGATACTTCGGGAACTTGCTCAGGGAACTGTTGGAATACGTTGTTCAGAGAGAGTGGTCCCGTATCGAGATGGCTAGAATGGAAGCAACCAGCGAGGTTTTACCATGTAAACTGGAAGGAAGAGAGATGACTCGATTTGACATGCGTAGTATGCATCATTATATAGAGAGAAAAAGAAAACCCTAGAAGTGAACAGTCAAATCAAACATCGCGACCGAAGGTGCGCCATTTGTGCGTGATTCGGAACCACGCACAAATGCCGCATTCCAGACATCTCAAGTCATGCCCCTTGTGATCTCACATGCATTCAGTATATGGAGGATCCAAGTTCAGTCACCCAATAATGAGGCCCTCGTGTTTGACATTGAAAGGACAACCACGTGTATCAAGTTTGATGATGCAGGTAGAGGCAGCAGAGCTCATGGATCATCCAGGTACTCTCAGGCAGTAAGGCGTGACAAAGATATGCCACTAAGCCTCTTTGGACTAGCGTGTCATGAATCAATTAAGGTCACATGACTGCCAAACAAAGTAGTATGAATGAACTGAGACAATCAATACCCCAATAGACATCAGACAATAGAGAAAGACCAGGAACCCTACTGGCTTATCTCTGACTGATTTCATACTTCTTCACCCCTGTCTCTGAGAGCTCTCTGCAGTAATCTTCCCAAGGTCCGAGGTCGCGACGACGCTTACATAAGCTGGTTGAATACTTTTTTTTTCTCTGGGCACTTCCACTTTCATCCTTATCGCGACTTTCGTGACGATTGATAACCTCGACGACCAAAAAAAACGGCGTGACGCTCAGACAAAACACAACACTGAGGCTGTGAGGACCTCGGTTCCTCCACCGAGCGCTCCTGTTTTGATTACGACCTCTCTATCATCTACCACTCTGCGCTTCACTCACAATGTCGGCGCCCCGATCCGGCGTGCGCCCAATCCCTCCTCCCCGCGGCCCCCGGGCTCCCGTGGGACGGCTGGCCAGTCTCAAACCTCCTAGCTCGACTCCTATTAATCGTCCAACGTCCATTGGGCGTATCCAACCACCCCGCCCGACAACACACCCGAAAACCTCAAACTGTCCTAACCCAGGGTGCCCTGCCCCGCATATCGTCGAAGATGCAGGCGTGAAGGTCTGCTCGGGCTGTGGTACAGTCATCAGTGAATCCAACATCGTGTCTGAAGTCACGTTCGGCGAATCCTCATCCGGTGCAGCTGTTGTGCAGGGATCCTTCGTCGGAGAAGATCAGACGCACGTGCGCAGCTATGGCCCCGGTTTTCAGCGTGGTGGCGCCATGGAGAGCCGAGAAATGACTGAGCAAACCGGAAATCGCTACATGACTCAACTTTCCCGAGCTCTCACTATCCCTGAAAGCGCAACCAAGGCTGCTGGTCAGGTGTTCAAACTTGCCGTTGGGCTGAACTTTATCCAAGGTCGCCGCACCAAGACTGTGGCTGCGGTCTGCTTGTACATCGCCTGCCGTCGTCAAAACGGCAACACTGTCATGTTGATTGACTTCGCTGATGTGTTAATGATCAACGTGTTCAAGCTCGGTCGTACCTACAAGGCTCTTCTCGAGGAGCTTCGCCTGGGTGGCAATGTCTTCCTCATGAACCCCATCGACCCCGAGAGCCTAATTTATCGTTTTGCCAAGCAGTTGGAGTTCGGTCCATCTCTCATGGCAGTGGCCGGCGAGGCAGTTCGCATCGTGCAACGAATGAACCGCGATTGGATGACCACCGGTCGACGACCAGCTGGTCTCTGTGGTGCGGCACTGATTCTTGCCGCGCGCATGAACAACTTCCGCCGGACCGTTCGTGAAGTCGTCTACATCGTCAAAGTTACTGAAACTACTATCAGCCAGCGTTTGACCGAGTTTGGTTCTACCGAGAGTGGTGAACTGACCGTTGATCAGTTCCGTTCAGTTCAACTAGAGAACGCTCACGACCCTCCATCCTTCAGTCGCGGGCGAGAAGGTAGAAAAAGACAGAGCAAGCATCTACCCGAAACTGCTGCAGAACTCGAAGAAGATGACTCACCGACCGAGAATGAAGTAGAATCATCGCAGCCGCACCGCGTGGATGCTGATGGCTTTGCGATCCCTGATCTTCCGATCGACCCGGCTTTGACAGCTAATGGTCACGGCAGACGTTCATCCGTGGTCTCCAAAGCAGTGGATGAGGTTCTCCAAGATATCCAGAACGAGCCAGTCCACCACAAAGGCAAGGGCAAGAGACGACCCACCCCGGAGCCGTCTGCCGCGCAGATCGCATCCGAGGCCGAATTGGAGGATGAAATGCGCTCAATGCTCGCTCAAGGATCCGAATTGATTGAGAGCGTCGGTACCAGAAACCCACCGCGACCGGCAGTTTCTGACAGCACCGAAATCGATGCTGCTGAATTCGAAGATGATCCCGAAGTCATGCATTGTCTACTCTCACCTGCGGAGGTCGAAATCAAGGAATCAATCTGGGTCACCGAAAACAAGGAATATCTCCGTACACAGCAAGCGAAGATGCTGAAGCGGGAGCTCGAAGAGTCCACCGACGGAGGTGCACCTCGCAAACCACGCAAACGCCGCCGTGGCCGCCTCGGCGATGTCACCTATCTGGAGGGTGACGGCGAGGATGGCCGCAGCTCTCGTGCCACGACACCCGCTGAAGCGACACGTCGCATGCTGGAGCACCGTGGATTCAGCAAAAAGATCAACTACGGTCTCCTGGACTCACTTTACGGCGGCGAACCGACAGACACAAAGTCACAGAGCATGAGCCGCAGCACGAGCCGCAGCCAAAGTGTTGCTTCACGACGCAGCGCCAGTGTCGAGCCACAGGCAGCTTCACGATCCCAACGGGCAACTCCCTTGAGTGCCAAATTGGTCCGGCCTACTTCTACTGCCCCACTTCCGACCCCACCTTCCACTGCTCCGGTTGTCGTCCACGGCGCACAGCCCGCCGTGATCGAGGGCGGCCCCGTCGGAGGTGCCAGTCTGTATCCTGAAGAGGATGATGACGAGGAGGATGATTATGACGATGACGAGAAGGACGATGGCGTCGAGGACGCATTTGCAGGAAACTACGAGAGTGACTATGAGTACGGCGACGACGATGACTGAGCATTTTGATCTTAGCAGCTCCGTCGAGCTCATATCATGTCAATTCGGGCGAATACAGGGCGTTACTGGAATACGGTCACCATACCCTTGGTTTCTTGGTTTTTTGGTTTTTTTTTCCTCTTTTTTGGTCTTATGACTTTTCAAATGATACCACCATGTGCTGAATGAATCCCTGCTAGCATCGGGATTCGAGAATTGAATTTTAACATTAATACTGCAATTGCGCTATGTTCAGTCGCATCGATTTACTCTAAACAAGCATCTTGCTGTTCCGGGCGACTAGAAGCCCCTGATATCGATACTGATCATTGTTCATTCCACTCAATAGCAAGTCCTACCCCCGATTCAAGTCCATATTCAAGTACCGAGTCTGCAGTAGAGGAAAAATCTCATAAAAGCATGGAAAACCCAGCATCAGCCCACTTTCCACGGAAAAAGTCCCCACAATTCAAGCATAATAAAGCCGACACAGCTTGTTATACCTCATTTTGTCAAATTTTTCACAGCCCCTCCACGACCGAATGAGGTCATCACAAACCTCGAGCATCTCCGAGCGACCAGAACCCCAACCATAAAGAACATGGGCCCGGATGTTAAACACACGATCCATCTCCCTCGAAACGAAAAAGGCAACACCATTCCTTCTAGAATAATCCCAGTAGTCTTGTTCCCAAGTAAGGCCATACCGGTCGAAAATGGCAGTCTTCCATCGCTCGGCGGTAGCCGGGTCAGTCTTTGCCTTGGCTACGATTGCCTGAATATCAGCGTGGATGTCGCCTTCATAAATTGGAACTTCGCATTTGCCACCCCGCGACGGGGGAAAAGGACACTTGGACCATGCCTCAAGGACTGCTTCGCGACTGATGGGGGTTCCTCGCCACTGATCGGGGGGTCCTCGCGCTTTGTAGAGCTTTCTTGTACTGACTCTAGGGCTTCGACGCGGTGCTGAAGGGCCCTGACGGTTGTTTCGAGTTCTTTGATTCTTTTGATAGTGTACTTGGCTGGGGAGTCGTCCACTTCTATGTCTTTAGACATATTGTAATCAGGAGTCGACGGTGTAGCAGATATCTTTAGGTCGTCCAGGCTGTCTTCAATGTCGGACCAGGAGCCGCTCTCCAGGTCGGACGTCATGGTGGTTCTGTTTCTGGTGTCCCGCTTGAAGTACAGTCAACAGTGTAGGTAGGTTGAGTATTGGATTACCTATGGAGGTCGAGAGAAGGGTAGATAGAAGCTGAAAGATAGTGATATTGGTAGGTTAAGGTAGGAAGGCTCACTTTATACTTACAACTTCATTTTTAACCTTCCAGAAGCTTTAAGGCATGTGTGGGAGTAGTAAGATAGTCTGGTAGAAGACGAAGAGATGATGCTTTCATATAGAAGTGCTTGGGTGAACCGTAGTTTCCTTGCGCACCAACCAAACATTGGATACCTATGACGGAATTTCTTTGGTAAAGGGCAATCAAGCCACATACAAAGTAATATGCTGCACTACCAGTGGTGATTAACAATTGTCATGGGTTTGTTATGAAGCTTCCTGTTTCTTTTATTTATATCACGTGACATCGGTTCTTCAACGCCTGGAGAACACACTCAATTACAAGCTACATAAAGCACCGAAGCAGTTTGAATTTCTTTATCTGATTGAATGCGGAGATAGTCGTAAATAAATAAAGTTCGTCCAAAACATGCAGCAAATACTTGAAGACCCAGATTACGCCAGCATTTTTCCCCAGCAGAAACGTAAATAGGCGAGATACCCAACCCATCAACCGGCTGATGAGAAAGAACCGAATTGTGTCGGACTGGGTCAGTCAGGCGTGTGAGTGGCATAACTAAATAGGCGATAGTGAAAAAAACCAAAAAATAATTCCAAAAAGAGAATCGAAAGAAAGTGACGGCCGAAAAATGTCCGAATGCGACATGCGGATTGGTCGGAAGTCAGGGTTCGATGGCGGATCGGCTCGATGTCGGATCACACAGGGATGAACGGAATCGAATGCATGCTTTGGAGAAATCAGGAGTCAATCTCCATTCCCGTTTCTACGCCTCCGCTCAGTCCATCAAAGCTCGAAGTCTGCGGATTGCTGGCAAGGGCTTGTTGGAGAAGTGGTACGCTAGTGTCCGTGGTGTTGAACGAGGCTGGTTGCGCGTCAGGTCGGTCGGTGGCTGCGAGTGGGACGGCGCCCTCGAAGACAATTGGAGAGCTGCGTAAATTTTGGAGGCATTGCTCCCAGGAAGAAGCCACAAGCTGACCTTGCGTAAGGTCTTCGGTAAAGAGGTAGAAGGCAGGCGAAACCCCAGAGTGCGGAGTGGCAGCCACAAGATAGGCGTTCAGAGCACGGCTTTTGATGAGTATTTGCGAGTCACGCAGGTGGGCTGAATACTGATTGTCGATGTACTTGGCCCAACCGCGAATAGCAGGAGCCATGTCATCATCGGCGTTAATGCGCTGCCAGCCAATACCCAGGAGACGGGTAGCATCGTCGATTAACGGCTCGGCAGGCGGAGCGGGCCCAGTGTTGAGACCACGATGCTGGTCACTGGCGCCGGAACCGTTCAGACGCTGGCGGATCGAGGAGAGCGCAATATCATCTAGACCTGGTGCAGATTGATCGAGGCGTTGAGACTTGCGGCTAACTTCCCCAATGTCGGAGCGCAGTGCATTCGAACGCGACGCAACAGGCGCAGCAGCAGCCTGTCTCAGCTCGGATTCTTGTTCATACCATGTACCGGTCTGGCTCTCGGCAGACAGTGCCAAGCCAGTCTGTGGGTTCAGAAGAATCATGCCTTCTCCATATATGGGCTCGACTTTAGGTTTGGGCGCCTGGGGGGCTGGAAGTGTACTAGGCGCAACAACCTCTTCACAATGGGCTTCATCACGAGACCTCTTGCGGGAGGGCCTGGGAGGCACGGGTGTAGATGAGGCGTCGAAGCTTGATGGAGAAGGCTGCGCAGAGCTGTTGCTGCCAAAGACGACGTTTGAACTTGCGGGGTAGCCGTTGAAGGTCCCTGGAGAGTCAATGGATGACTGAGACGGGAACTGAGCGAAGGCGTGTTCCTGGGAAGGGGAGAGGACCGTTGCCGGGCCGTCGGAGAGGCGATTGAGAATCATTGGACACATCGTGCACTCGATATTGTCTTAAATCCAAGACAAAGGGAACTGTTCTGTTAGGTTAGGTGAGTAAGACACGAGAAGCTTCAACCACCTGTGGAGAAACAGCGGAAGTAGGGCTGAAGATGGGATATAGAAAGATAAAGGAAAAAGGAAGATATATAAATGAAAGGAGAAAGAACTGGTGAGGAGAGGGAGGAGAGAAAGAATTGTGAGAAGAGAGAGAGAGAGAGAGAGCAAAGAGGGAAGAACAAAGTCAAGTAGGAGAGTTGAGAGGGTAAGAGAGTGAGACAGGAAAGAGCGATCTGAAGAAGTGAATGGATCGATGCGCGAAATGCGGAGGTACCGAGCTAAACGGTACGTTACCAGCTAAATGCAGCTATCCGATCGGCCATAACGGTATTAATACAGATACGGTGAAAGAGCATCATTGGCCCCTGCAGCCAAAACGCCTCAGGTGGAGTCAAAGTGGATGGGTCCAGCCCCGAAGCCATTGGCCTATGCCTGACGCGGATATGTGGTCCGTCGAAGTGGGCGTAGTGCCCCTTCACTGAATAAGAGAATCACGTGCTGTGGTCGCTCTCATCCAATCACAGTTAAATTTGTCACCAGATCACGTGAAACCTAAGCAAGAGGGAATCACGTGGTATCCGTGATATCCTTTCACTGTTCACATTCGCAGTATGGGATGCATCATGCGGCCACAGGGTCACAGGTAAACTTTGATTCTTTCAAGTCTATTGGGGTACTATAAAAACAAGAATGGTAGAAAAAAAAAGGCCAAGACATAAAGCCAAGTCCGAAGTAAACCGACACCAGGGCTCGTGCAAATCTAACGTCAAATCACGTTCGCAGAAAACAGGGGGAAAAGGGTACACCGCCTGCAACACCAAATTCATGTCACTGTATACATCACGGAATGGGGCTGGAAAAAAGCATGGGTGATGGGACAACCAAAAAAAGCCATACCCATCGCACCGCAGGGACTTGGAGGAAGAACAAAGCACAAGCAGCGGTCTCTGCGTGGTTCCGAGAGAGGGAAAGACTGGACGCCGCAAATGTGCCTGCACTTAACCACTTGCACTCTGATCTCGACCCACAATATTCAAAATTGAAATTGTATCTCCTAGCGATGGGTCGAAGGCCCAGTATCCTAGTTTATAGGATGTGCGAAGACTCAGGGCTGTGGTGGATATATTTAAGCATTACCAGCGGTGGCACCACCGAGGTAGCCTTTGACACGGTCAACGGAGTCATTGGCATAGCTGGGAGCCATAGATCCAACAAAGAGGAAGAACATGAGAGCTGCGGCACCAAAGACAACAAACTTGCGCTGAGCAGGGCGAGTGTTACCATACTCGGCCCAGGCACGCCCAGCGGAAGAGGTGTACTCGCGCATCTTGTCACCGCCGAGCTTGTACCAGACAAGACCTATTAAGGCGATGGAGTAACCGAAGAACTGAAGGCCGGTGACAGGAGTCTGCCACAAAAACATAGAGGCAGCAACCAGCAGAATATCCTTGAGGACACCGCAGAGGGTCATGACCAAGGAGGAAGTTTTCCCAATCTGTGTGGAGTATTAGCGATATCTCTTTTGAGGTGAAGTTTGAAGTTCCGGAGACACATACCAAGAAAACGACGGAGACGTTGAGAAGGAAGGCCACAACCGCGTTGAGAACGAGAATCCCGACACCAACGGAGTACACGTGGTCCATGGTGACACGGGGGAATTCCAGGAACAAAGCAACAGCACCATTCATGACAGCACAGATGGGAGCGAAGTAGTACAAGGAAACCATAGGGTCCATCTTGAAGTCGGCGGAGCTGAGCAGGCCCTGAACCATGACCAGACGGGTGGCCTCGAAGACAATACCACCAAGCTGGAACAAGAAACCGACCATGTTGAATTTGATTTCACCAAAGGAGGCGATGACCACACCAACCACAATGATAGAGACGTTGGCCAAAACCTTCATATTGGCCGGAGCCATACCCATACCCCAGGTAGCGAGCAGGACGGCCACCGGTGTGGTGGCCTTGAGCATTTGGATGAAAGCAACACTGAGGTAAAGGTAGGTCATGTTCCCGCAAATCAAGCTCAAACTGAACATGACACCGATAGGGACGATTGCGCGGAGGTAAACACGGCCGGTCATCTTGACCTTCTTGCGGCCATCGAGGAGGTTGGTAGTGCGAGCGAGGATTTGGGTCATAATGGTAGCGAAGGTCAAGTGCCATGTTGTAAGAATGATAGGGAAGCCTATTTGCAAACGGTTAGTGTTCGTTTCCTCGTGTTGCATCTCTGGTCAAACGTACGGAAGTTGGCGTAGTCGAGGAGGTACTTGTTAAACAAAATAACGGTGGAACTCAAAGAGATCCAGGCACTGTCGAGATTATCAGTGATGCGGTCAAATCAAGACCCTTCTTGATGCTACTCACGTCACATAAACCGCGGGGTGGAATGCAGAACTGGGCTGCTCTCCCTTCTCCGCAGCGGGGTTCACAGTAGGCAAAGACTGCTCCCGGGGAGTCTCGCCAGAGGCGCGGACCTTCTCGCCTTCACTCATTGTAAAGTTTCGAGATTGATCAGATAAGAAGCGCTTGAATTCGAAAGGTTGTGGCCGGGACAGGCTTCCTTGATTAAATGCGGAGGAAGCCACGGGGGAAGTTGGCGATATCAGCGAAATTAGGGATAGCGATCACTAAATTGCTCCTGAGGTTAAAGAGGGCGACAAGAGTTGGACCATAAAATCAATAGAAACGAGTGTGTAGATGAAGAAATGATGATGAAGGTTGAAGGGATGGAATGGGGTACGTACTTCGGATGTAATTTTTTTTTATCGGCACCAAAGGTGGTTAAGTTCAGTTCAGGATGGAGTTAAGGGAAATTACTGCATAAAGAGAGAAGAGAACCGTCTCATGAAAACAGACAGGACAGACAGGACCAGACACGACAGGAACAGCACAACAAATCTTGGACAGATCCACTCGCCGCAAACAGAAAAGTAAGATTGGGGGAAGAGGCGGGTATGAACATTGGTATTGAAAATTACTGTTACATCTTCTGCTAAGGCCACCTGTACTCTTTTCGTACACTGGGGACGGATTCAGCGCCGGCCATTTGTCAATTCTCTGACGTAGTGGGTAACTTTCGGTATGCTCGTTATACCCAAACCCGTATGTATTGTAATCTCCAACACTGCAGTACTGCAGTAGACTCAGACTCATTCCCCAAACAGCCTCTCTTCCTTCCTTTTTTTAAACTTGACAGTGCCCTTTGGCCAAACGGCCATGGCCCATGGGTTGCTCGGGGCGAATCTCCTCTCTCTGGCCTGATAGACTCACCAATCACATATCCCCAGATGTGGATCCACATGATCTTAATTGCACTCTTATTCTTAATTTCAACCATGCAATGTTCCAATTCCCACACACAAGTGCAATCTCAACATCCATCAGATGAACGTGAACACTGACAGACTCGGAATGTCCTACGCCATTGGCTTGAAATAATACTACACCCAAAACAGCGCAGATCCAAATTAAGAGCATTACGCAAGCAGCTGTGAGCCAAGACCCACCAAGACCCGCGTTCAGTGACCCTCTGGTCCTTCTGGTCCCTTACGGGTGGAGAATGCGGCGATCCGCTTTGCTGAGGCTGTGTGTGATGCCATCAGGGACTACTTCTCGGTAGTCGGTAGTGATATCCCCCCCACACGTACAAGTACAACATACATTGTGCTTGGACCAGTGGGGGGATAGGGCCCCCAAGCTTTGGGTATTAACGCGAGTTTAGAGACTGGTGTTCCAAAGAGGTAACTGCCACGGTTTCCTGGTTGTTCGAGAAGATTTTCCTTCCAAGGGCCGATCAATGGCAAGATCTGTTGCTTTGAAAAAGGATCCTCGCTGCATTACTCTCTTGGGAGTGACAATCAGTGGGACCGGACGCTTGTCCCATGAAGTTTCGCAATCCCCGTTCTCTCCTCGAGACCGCCAGATGGGATGATCAACTGCGGATATTGATCCGGGAGGGTTCAGTGTCATCTCTCATATGAATTTTTCCCCCATTGAGATGGATCTCTTGTATCGGCTTCGATGCATCGAAGTACTGTGTATACGTTACACATACTGTATCTACTCCGTAGGCTGCCTGTACTTGAGACGTACTCATGGTAAAGTTGATGCTATGTACTGTGCCACAGTAGTACTAATGCTAACGTGCGATCTCGAACCTCGAGGTAGGAGACACTAGCTCCATGTTCCATCATCACTTTCGAGGGAGATCCATACAAACCAATCCTAGTCATCGTGCGCAGTAATCTAACCATAACCAACAGCTTGTCGGTACCTACATCGGTGGCGTTTTTAGTCCAACCGCATTGGATCGAGATACAATGTTTGCCCCTATCCATATCGCCGCCTTTTCTATTTTTTCCTCTTCCAAAGTATCGAATGTTCCGAGATGGGGATTGATATGATAGAAGCATTCCAAACGGGGGCGCTGTTTATTGCCAAATGCCCGCCAAGGAAATTCCAATCTCGACTCACCCGCATGCGAAGATTCAATGCACTCCAAGTCCCTGCTTTTGGAGGTTTCATGATAAGCTTCAGGCCAATAACGGCTGTACATCCAATGTGATATGTTCAATTGTTGGGTTTCTCAGACGGTGTGATGACCTTACGCGTTCTTATTCACTTACCAGCAGAACTTGGCACTCCCCCTGAGTAAATTGTGTTGCTGTGCTCTACTATGTACTCCGTACAACATTGAATATCCATGGAGGGCCTCGATTGAGCGGAAATCTAGATTCGCCTTAGAAATTAGGAAGACCATGGGAAATTAACTCCATAAAAAGAAGAAAAAAGAAAAAAAAAAGAATCTACTGTAAAATCGAATCGTTATCTGCCGCATCAATACAAACAGTACGAATCGGTAAAGCTGAAACAGGCACGCCGACTCCACCGGGTCCGTCAACCCACAGAACCAGGTGCGTCCAGGTACCTTAGCTTGGCTCGTCACGTTGTCCTCCCACTTTATTATTCTTCTTGGGTTTCTCCGCTTCTTTACCCTTTATTATCCCTCCATTCCCTTTGATTTATCTGCAGACTCCTGCAGCCGTGCTTCTATGCTGAACGTCGCCCGTAAGACATTCAAACGAGTTCCCAGCTTCCAGGATCTCCTACAAGGCAGAATGACCCACCCCGACATGTAAGGATTCAACAACTCGTCGGTGTCAACACCACCTCTAACAAGTCCTTCCACAGTTCTGTTGACGTTCTCGTCATTGGTGCTGGACCTACTGGTTTGGGTGCCGCCAAGCGTTTGAATCAGATTGTGAGTTCTTTCCATCATCGAATGTTGCTCTGGGAGGGGCACAGAAAAAAAAAGGGGGAGGGGTATACGAGTGAACTCAAGAAAAACTAATTGATGATACAGAACGGCCCTTCATGGTTGATTGTCGACGAGAACGAGGTCCCCGGTGGTCTGGCTTCCACTGATGTTACCCCCGAAGGTTTCGTAAGTTGCGCCTGGTCTGGTCGTTGATGACCACACCGCTGACCTGGTTCACAGCTGTACGATGTCGGCGGTCACGTTATTTTCTCCCACTATAAGTACTTCGACGACTGCATCGACGAGGCCCTTCCTAAGGAGGATGACTGGTACACCCACGAGCGTATTTCCTACGTTCGCTGCCAGGAGCAATGGGTCCCCTACCCCTTCCAGAACAACATCTCCATGTTGCCCAAGGAAGAGCAGGTGAAATGCATTGACGGCATGATCGATGCTGCCCTCGAGGCGCGCGTTGCCAACACCAAGCCCAAGAATTTCGACGAGTGGATTGTCCGCATGATGGGTACTGGTATCGCCGATCTCTTCATGAGACCCTACAACTACAAGGTCTGGGCTGTTCCCACCACCAAGGTAAATTTGACCACTTCCCCGAAAAAAAATGAACCAAAAGCTTATACCTATTTATAGATGCAATGCGCTTGGCTCGGTGAGCGTGTCGCTGCCCCCAACGTCAAGGCCGTGACCACCAACGTCATCCTCAACAAGACCGCCGGTAACTGGGGTCCCAACGCTACCTTCCGTTTCCCCGCCCGCGATGGTACCGGTGGTATCTGGATTGCCGTTGCCAACACCCTCCCCAAGGAGAACACTCGCTACGGCCCCAACAACCGCGTCCAGAAGGTCAACGCCTACAACAAGACCGTCACCCTTGCCGATGGCACCACCATTGGTTACAAGAAGCTGGTCTCCACCATGGCCGTCGACTACCTCGCTGAGGCTATGAACGACGCTGAGCTCATGCCCCTCACCAAGCAGCTCTTCTACTCCTCCACTCACGTCATTGGTGTTGGTATCCGTGGTGCCCGCCCCGAGCGCATTGGTGACAAGTGCTGGCTGTACTTCCCCGAGGATGACTGTCCCTTCTACCGTGCCACCATCTTCTCCAACTACTCTCCTCACAACCAGCCTGAAGCCTCCAAGAAGCTGCCCACTCTCCAGCTCGCCGATGGCTCCAAGCCCAAGAGCACCGAGGCCAAGGAGGGTCCCTACTGGTCCGTCATGCTGGAGGTTTCCGAGTCTTCCATGAAGCCCGTCAACCACGAGACCCTCCTTGCCGACTCCATCCAAGGTCTCGTCAACACCGAGATGCTCCAGCCCGGTGATGAGATCGTCTCCACCTACCACCGTCGCTTCGACCACGGTTACCCCACCCCCAGCTTGGAGCGCGAGGGTGCCCTCACCCAGATCCTGCCCAAGCTTCAGGAGAAGGGTATCTGGTCCCGTGGCCGTTTCGGCAGCTGGCGCTACGAGGTCGGCAACCAGGATCACTCCTTCATGCTCGGTGTCGAGGCTGTTGACAACATTGTCAACGGTGCTGTTGAGTTGACCCTCAACTACCCCGACTTCGTCAACGGTCGCCAGAACACCGAGCGCCGCCTCGTCGACGGTGCCCAAATTTTCGCCAAGAAGCAGTAGATAATCCCATTTTCTCTCTAATTTGTTTAACTTGTGTCCCATCACTATTTACGAAGTGAAGGACTCTTTCCTTTTTTGTTCCTTTTCCACTTTTTTGATACAACTGAACGAGCTCATACCGTTATGGAAAAAATTTATACAACGAGGGAGCATTTGAAGCGGCATTTGGAAGACTATCGATCGATCTTTGGCGTTTCATCTTGTTACTTAACCACATCTAACCCTCACCATCTTTGTTCTTCCCAGCTTCGATGAGGAGCCGGGACTTGCTCTTGATATACTATATTAGACTGCCTTGACTTGCGCAATTGCTCAATATGAACTGACTCAATTGACGGATGAACATCTTCATATTCCCATTGTAAACGGTAGAGTATATATCAGTCTCCATACATCCATGGATGTATCGTATTCTTCTGGAAAGTAAGAGGCGTTCCTCGGAATCTTCCGTTGGTACCATGGAAGGCGTTGTCAACAATCAGCACGTGACTTGTTCCCTAGTACTCAACAGAAGCCCTGAAAAGTGAAAATCCAGTCAAGCCACTGTGTAAAGGGCTTGGAAAATATCTGACTACGCCGTATGGCAATTCTCACCCAGAAGTATTTCATGGGCACTGTCAATCCCATCCCATCCATCTCACATCCCCACCCCTCCCTCGCCCCCTCAAGTTACACTCGCCACAAACGCAGATCCCTACTCAGGCCGATCACAAACCCACACCGCAAGAGGCTCTCCAAGCGATGTGAAGCCCATCCTAAACACTTAAGTCCATCTAAACGAGAAGCAAACGCCCCTGTACCGTCCCTGAAATCTGAAAAGGCTAATACACCGGTAACTCCCGAGTTCGACGCCATTAACCACGGAAGAAACCCGGGAGATGCAGTTCGAGGCTAGTTCGAGGCTACTTCATGCGGTGGCGTAGCGGTAGTGGATCCCCGGGCCAAAAACACGCGAGAGAAACCGTGAACCAGTCTTTTCGGTAATCGGGATGGGCAATTGTACAACGTGGAATGCGGATGGATGTCTTGCAGGCCTTGGGGGAAACTATATTTGTTCCAGGGAGAGATGGTATTTGATGCACGGTGACGTACATGTAGAGATTGAATATACGGCCGATAGGTTGTCCGATGTCAGATGTGTTCGGCCCCCAGACGCGTCAGATCTGGAGGTGGGCTGGTGTGTGGTTTTGATCCACTGAGCTATTGATAGATTTTGGTCGTCATTTCAGTTGTTTCAGTTGGGGATGTCTATGGGCATTCTAGATTGCTTCTTTTGCACTTTAACGTGAGACATTGTGGACCGGACCGCGAGTTTGGGGTTATTTTCGTTGTCTTTGTGTGGCCTGGAACTGCTTTGGCGAGAGGCGCAATGAGACAGGTTGGGGTATTAGAATATTATACCTGAGCATCATGCTAGTTATCTATACAGAAGTAAGGCCATCCGGGGCTAATACAAAGGCACAAGATCGATAGGAGCTCCGTCGGAAACAGCCTGTGGCGAAGTCAAGCCGGAGACTGCAAGGATAAAGGTACTAATTTCAAGCTTCGATCCACGATCCCTCAATCCAGCTCCGTGACGAGTTTAGCGTGAGATCCGCGGTCCCCGCCGATGCTAGCTGGTGAGACCGTCCGCTCGGCCACCATTGCCTCGTCAGTTGCCGGCGCTAAGGTTAGGTCCCGGTGTGGGAGTGGGAGTGGCAGTTTTGCGGTAGACGGACTCGACGACACAGCACATGACAAGAATGAGATCTGTGGCGTGGAAGATGAAGAGTCAATGGCCACGGGTGGTGGCCCGATAGCGTCAATGTGGCCAGCCTGGTCGTTGTTTCCACGAGGATCTGAGCAGGAATGGTCTGTTAGATGGAACCGAGGTTCCGTCCTAGCTTGACATACCTGTTTCTCCTTCGGGTGAGTGAGAAGACCCTTTATGTTGGAACGCTTGCGATGATAAGGCGAATTTCACCTTTAGTCGTGCTGGGTCAACAAACCGATCTGGTCGACATGGGTATACCTCGGAGGAAACTGCGTTTTGCGAGGACGAGGACTGTTGCTGGCGCATATCGGGGGATCTGAGGCATGACTTGATCACGGAAGTAGGTGGATTTCCATCGATGGAAGCACAGCTTTTATATTTAGATGAAGATGCATCTTCGTAACGGGAGCATCCTCCCTGGCCCAGGCCTGATTCCTCGATATCCTCTGATGGGTCTGACGAAACACCCGAGCTCATGGGGAGATGGGCTAGTAGATCGAAGCCCTCATTCTCATTTAGACGTAACTGTTCGAAGCTGGTGGTCAAGCTATCACGGAGATAGATCCGCTCAAGATGAGAATCAACATCATTTTGGTCCAGGACAATGATTGTTGGAGCTCGTCTGATCATGTTTTCCCTCAAGTATAGTGAGCGTGTTATGAAGAGTTACGAGAAGGATAGCTCTGGCGGCCTGGCCATAGACGTCATATTCTAACAGAGGCAAGGGCGTGTTTAAGAAAGCTCGACTGGGATGAGCCGTGGTATCACATCCTTGAGATGGTTAGAAATGTTTGTCTCCATATGCTGTATGATTATGCCAATCCCCTAAGGATCTCGAAACTGGACAAATCAGAGATCTTCATGACCGACATCTCCAATATATCTGCCTTCTCTGCAATATTCCTCGCGTGGGAAATATTAATAGTTGTCACTTGTCAGACTCAGCCCCTCGACACTAGACCCAAATTCTACGGAGCCTCCTGTTGATCCCTTCTCCCCCCTCTCTCTCCGACTCTTACAACTCTGCTTCCTCTCACCTTCCCTCGGATCATGCATCCGCAGTGTTTTCTATCGTCATAGCCTGTGTTTTGTGGTTTGTTCCATTCGACACTACTTTCCCCTGAAGCCGAATCAACGACACTTCATCTCCGCTCACTGCCACATCTCCCCCTCCAACAACCCCCCTCGAAAACACTGCCATGAACGGCGACCTCAGTTTATCCCAATCTCTGGGGGGGCTTCGGATAGCCAATCCAGACGATTCACCTCTGCCGCCAGATGATGCGACCGTTGTGCCGTCACCAGGCTCCAGCCCGTTCGGATTCCCGAACGGTTCGGTATCAACACAAAATTCCACATCCTACGACGATCCATCTGCCTTTCCTCCTGCACCCTACGAAGCCCCTGCACCAGACGATCGCCAAGCTTCGTTTAATCAATCCTCTTTTGAGTCACAAGCACAGCAATCAGGCTCCTACCAGGCATACTCAGCTCCCCTCTCAACGCCTCCGAATCCCAACCGACCCCTTTCCTCCATATACGCGAACGGTTCGGCAAATTCAGTCCTCCCTCGTGACAATACATACCGCATTCGAACCGATTCCGGTGCTTCGTCTACATCTACCTCCCAGGCACGATTAGATACGCGAGGAGGTGCGTCGGCATTGCATGCCGGTGTTCCGGCGCGCGACAACTCCCACAGCGACCGGTCTTACCGGACAGCGCACATCTCAGGGAATGCTCCGGCGCCGATGCGTCAATCGTCTCGAGCACAAGCAAGAGCTGGCGGGACATCGCAGATGCCGCGCACATCTTACATGGCGGAAAACGGCCCACTGGCGAGTAGTGAAGAATGGCAAGAACGGGGTGCCGCGGTCTCTGTGAGACAGGAGGTGGATGCTAACGGCCAGACTGTGTCTCGCTATATCAAGAAGGGAGTCCGGGATTTTTCGTTCGGGAATACACTCGGTGAAGGCTCTTACAGTACGGTTGTCTTCGCAACGGACCGACAGACTCTGAAGGAATACGCAATTAAGATCCTTGATAAACGACACATCATCAAAGAACGGAAAGTGAAATACGTGAACATCGAGAAGGATACCCTCAACCGCCTGACTGAGCACCCTGGCATTGTCCGACTATATTATACTTTCCAGGATGAACAGTCACTTTATTTCGTACTGGACTTGTGCAAAGGGGGAGAACTACTGGGTGTTCTGAAACGGATGACCACCTTCGACGAGGAGTGTACGAAGTTCTACGGCGCCCAGATTCTTGACACAATAGATTACATGCACAAGCGCGGCGTTATACATCGAGATCTCAAGCCGGAAAATGTGTTGCTCGACAGCAGTATGCATGTCAAGATCACCGATTTCGGCACGGCGAAGATCCTCAAGACTCCACGAATGGATCCCAGTTCAAATGGCATTCTTCCCCTGGACTCGGCCGAGCTTACGAAGGAAGAGCGGGCTAGCTCTTTTGTCGGCACAGCGGAGTACGTCAGCCCGGAGCTGTTGACAGATAAGAATGCTTGCAAAGCTAGTGATCTCTGGGCTTTTGGTTGCATCATCTACCAGCTTTTGGCCGGTCGTCCCCCGTTCAAAGCTGGAAATGAGTACATGACATTCCAGAAAATCGTGGCATTGGACTACGAGTTCCCCATTGGCTTCCCTGCCGTCGCCCGTGACCTTGTCGAGCGTCTTCTCGTTCTAGATCCCACTCGGCGTCTCCCGATTGAACACATCAAAAACCACGAGTTCTTTGACGGCATCACATGGGGTCCAGATCTCTGGAATCAGAAGGCCCCCCGTTTGAAGGCCTATGTTCCCCCCGCACGCGAGCCCATCAAACTCAACGATAACGGAAATGGGGAGAGCGCACCTCCGGTCGTCTCGACTGCTCCCTCTAACGCACCAAATGCCAGTTCGCGTCACCTTCCCCGGGTGGTGACTGAGCTACCACCGCCGAGTCAACTGGATATCGAATGGTCGCCAGTCCTGAGCAAATCTAACGAGCGGATCTTGAAATTGGGTAATTTGGTTGTATTGTCTTCTGCTGCCACACACAGCCCGACGTCGAAGAATAGCAGCGGCGAATTCGAAGCTCCTCGGAAATTCTCTCGGTTCTTCTCAGGAAGCGCTACAAAGAAACGGCAACGGTTGGTGATGGTCACATCATCTGCACGTGTCATCCTAGCCGCGTCAGGTGGTGACGATAAAAAGATTAAGCTCGAGATCCCTCTACTCGCTCCAGGAACGACCTACCGGAGTACGACTGATTCCAAAGGGATGTCATCTTGGATTATTGATACGGTATGTCTTTCACGCTTCATCAGTAAAGATACCACATCTAATGCAATTCACAGAGAGAAAAACACTTCGTTTTCGAGGACCCCAAGCCGTCGTCTAGCAACATTGGGGCTACGGCGGTTCAGGTTCAAGAATGGCTGGACGCATTAGACAGGTCCCGGGAGATGGCAGCACAGCAGCAAAGTGCAGGGTTCTCCGACGATGCTTTCCATTCTTCTGGCTTCCCTAGTCCCGCCAATACACTGGACCGCACCTCCGAGATGCAGAAAGACGACAAAGGGCCCCCACCATCGGGTCGAAACCACTTAGTGAAACAGCAGGGTGACAACGAGTCAACAAAAGGAAGGAAACGATTCAGCAAGCGTCATTCAAAGAATGGTCTCGCTGCGGTGTTCTAGTGACACCAACAAACCGACTTGCAACTCGCATTCCATCCGTTCAACCATGCTAAACCTGTCCTTTCAACTGTCATCGGCATCATCTCGACTACCATTTACTGTACTACACTGTCCTGCCTTACCTCGCATCTCGCCATCTCATCGCATATGCACCACCGCCACCATCAGCCATCCCATCATCCCCCAGCTCTCTACCCTCCCCTTTCTCTCTTCCATGCACGGTCATTCGCAAAAGGCTGGCATTTCATCCCAGCACATTGGTCATTCACCTTTTGCATATTTCAGAGACGAGCGTATTCTTCAATTTGTTCATGTTCTTCGTTGGGAAGCATGTTTCTTGCATTTAGAATTTGGAAAGGAAAGCATGCGTATACTCTTTTGACTCTTTCTATTGCCTCATTGTCTCATCGCCTGTTTTCCAGAGATCCTCTTTCCCTGTCCCTTTTCTATGTCGTCCGGTGTTATATATCCCTGATTTGGCCTGAAGCATCACAACATTGAGACTTTTTCGCTTGAATTCTTCTCTTCTCCTTCCTGTTCTGCTTCTAGGGTTTCCCTTTCAAGACTGACTATTGATTGTGTTAGGTAAATACTAAAGTCAAGTCAAGTCAAGGCGTATAATGCGTCTGTTTTCTTGTGTTCATTCTGTCTGTCGTGTCTACATCCGGGTCCTTTGGGTATTCCTGGTCAAAACTACCTACCTTCCTTATATCAGCGTTTCTCGGGTCTTTTCAATCAGGTGGCATCTTGAATGGATCTGTCATCACTTTCATTGCGACTTTCCCTCTGCACATTGTACGGCATTTTCATCTCATCTCTTGCCATACACTTCCCGCCCCATTGTCTCTGGTGTTCTCTCTTGCTGCCCTAGGCCGAGAAATGATATATACCCGATCTGAATGCGCATCAACCTCGATCTCGACAACTCTCCATACATGTTTTGGAATCAATCGAATCAACAAGAGTCAGATACCTCTGCGAGTTAAGTCAAGTAATCACATTTATAAACGTAGACATAGGTAATTGTATGATACAAACATCATTCGTAAAAAGGCACATGTGCATCTCCATTACATCCATTCGACTCAAATAAACAACCAGTCAAGCCGCGAATGATCCAACTCCTCAATCCAATCGAACTCAACATCATAATCATCATTATCACAGCCCCTTTTAGTCTGTTCATTAGGAACTTCTCCACGTTCACTTCGTTTCAAATCCTGCTTCTTCCACATCAAGCGCAGAACCCAGGCAGCATTACGCACATTGACACTAGTCAGAGCCTCATAGAGCTCACCAAGCTTCTCAAGAATCAAAGCGCGCTGCGAGGGACGACACTCCGCACCAGCGATGAAAGTAGGCCAAATAAGACACTTGAAGTGCGGGTCTGAGGGCGGGATGAGACAGATCTGGGCGATGAGGTTTGTCGCGATGAGTCTGTGGTCGGGGGGAAGGCCGACGTCTGTCCAGGGGGGTGAGAAGCCCTTTCTTGGACGGGAGAGGACGCGGCTTGTGTAGAGGTAGACGGCGTCTTGGTAGGAGGTTGCTAGGGCGAGGCGGTATTCGAGGGTTGGAATGAAGTAGACCTTTTGCATTTCTTGGCTCCAGGATATTGGGTCGAAGTTGCGGATTCCTTGCAGGAGGCTGCTGAAGGAGTGGAGGGTCAGGGATTGGCCTGGGTGGATTGGGGTTGGGTTGATGGTCGGTTGGGGGATGGTGGGTAAGACTTCGGAGTCTGGATACCAGAGGGCGTGGACGTAGAAGATTACTTCGAGGAGATAGGCGGGACAGCCGACCCAGGAGTTTTCTTCGAGGCGTTTTAGGATCGATGGGTCCATGGATGTGGAGTAGAAGGGCTTGGAGAGCGCGCCTGGACGTGCTAGTGTTGAGCCCATGATTTCCATTCTGTATGGTTAGCAGAGGATATTTTTGATCAGGGGAAATCCAACTTACATTATACATCCGTCGAGGGCAAAGGCATCCAGATCGTCGAGTATTCCTGAACCCATGGTCTTTTCAGGTCGGCTTTTGAGGAGCTTCTTCGCGCCCTCGATATGATAACTCCAGGCGCCGCTGCCGGATTCAATCAGGTCTAGGAATGCAAGCAAGACTATAGCGGCTAGAGTCCTGCCATCGTTCTGCATGGCAGGATTTTGAAGATCGACAGACAATTGGCGAAGGGCACGCTGCTTGAACTCCAAAAAATGCTGATATGCCTGCGAGGTGGGATTCCGATTACTTGCCGGCGCAACAATGCCTTCGATCTCCTCTGCCGACAAGTTTGAATCCTCCAAGGCTAGGTTGCCGGATGACCATGGAAGGACGGACGAGTCTGAGTCAGATAAAAGGGAGCAATGAAGAGCTCCAAGCGCGGTGATGCCATTGGCGAGAACCGGAGCCTGGTTGACCAGTGCGGTAAGATCTCGAAAGGGATTCTTGTGTTGAGAGTACAGTGCAAAGTCGTTGACCATATATTGGTTATCTTTACCAGCTATTGTCAGCGTAATCTCATGTAATACATAGCGGGATTCTTACAGTGATGTATGTAGTACCTCGAGAATTGGCTGAGATCTTTAAGAAGTGGATCAACCAGTCCCCATGGTGTTGGAGTATAGTCGGTGTGTTGAGCGGGAGTGGCTCGAGGAATGTGAATAACTGCGGTGTCCTGTTCCTCGGGTGGGTTGAATTCCATCTGCGCAGATACCGTCTCCATCAATGGCGTTTCCGCTTCGAAGGCCCAGGCATCGGTCTCTGGACTAAGCTGGTTCCCTGAACTGTGCCATTCGGTATCGGAGGAGGATTCAGCGACAAGGCCGAATCCACCGCTCGCCGCAGTAGAATCGTGCATCACAGTAGCTTCCTGGCTTGTTGGCTTGCTTGAAGGTTTTCCCACATCCTCAAAGCTGCGCCCCATCATCTTTCCTCGACTAGCCACACCACCCTTGACCCAAACCAGCGGTTTTTGGTACCCCAAGCATTCTTTCCCCGCATCTCGACATTTCCGACAGGTGGGCTGGCCATTGTCGCAAATGATGCGACGTCGTCGACAAGTATAACAACCTTTTGTCATTCTCCGGGCGTTGAAAATCGTAGTTTCAGAACTGGATAGCAAAGAACCGAGCCACTAGTTGATCGGTGCCACTCGCCATCGTCAGCTATGGTCAAGTCTCAAGGGATGTTGACAAAGCCACACGACCATCGCTAGTCGTTTAGGAGCTCTGTCGAAATCAAATGACTTAGAAGTCGTCATGGGAGGCTCCGCGATTTAGAAGCCGCGGAAAGCTTCTAACGCGGGGGAGGGCTGACTAAGAAAATCTTGTCGATCGAGACCTTCCTCCAGACTCCACGGAAGCCCAGGCTACTCCAACTCTCCATCTGCGAATTCTATCTAACCAGTTGCTGCTGGAATTCATCGAGGATACTGAACAAACGCCAAGATGGTCTTGAATATCTTATTCCGGAGTGTGGAGGTAAGTGTTTCCGCTTCGCCACTGCCGTTCTTCTCTAATGCTTTTCCCAGGTCTGGCTCACCTATCGAGTACGTTGCCCCGACACTTGCCGACATAGATAAAGTTCGTATCCTAACCTTGATGCAGCTCCTTCGAAGTCCGATCTTTCATCGCATGGTGGGTCGAGTTCACCAGAAAGTTCAACATATCAGGCACGGAGTGCCTCCGGAAGAGCAAGGAGGCACTAAACTCGAAGGCCAAGGTATGCTTGCGGCAACCATCTCGGCGGAATAGCATGACTGATTTGTTTTGTTCAGACTTCGAGTACAAAAAGTTCCTCAGCCATTTCACGGAAGAGTTGAGGGACCAGATAAAGGGAAATACTCGGAAAAAGTATTGATACATATGGCGCTTGTTTGATAAGGAGACCGATGATACCCCCATGAAATATGAAATTTGGAGTTTTTGCTTTCGATCTATGACTTTGGAATTCCTCTGCGTGCTTATGTCGATGCCGGGTACACAGCGAGATGCATTTTCGCGCTCCATGAGCTGCATCTCCTGTTTCATCCGCAGAATGAACATGATTTCAGGACTTGCCTTTTCTACTATTCTCAGCTGTATTCTCATGCAATCGGGCTGGGAGATTATCACTGTGGCATATATATGGATCCAGTCGGACAGGGGAATATCTTCAGACTGAAAGTGGCCTGGTCTCTAGTCCCGACCTATCCCCTCGTCTGTCCCGAGGGAAGGACAATTTGCGCGGTATTATTAGTGTGTTCTATAGACTCCCGTCGGCATAAGGTAGGTATTGTGATATTATTGTATTTTTCTATCTTATGATAGCTTATATTAAGATATAGGTTCGCGCTATGATACTGGCAACTAGAAACTGCCGTAGGAAGCGTGGCGGCCAAGCAAGGAAAGCTTGCAACCCCAGCCAACTCAATTGGACATACCCCAACGAGGCGCGTTCACGATGATTCCTGTCAGACAACCAGCAATGATACCGGCGCAGGGAAGCGTGATGATCCAACCCATGTAAATCCAGGAAACCATGCGCCAGTTGATCGTTCGCCAAGTGCCGTTGCAAAGTCCAACACCGACGGTAGCGCCAGTGATACACTGGGTAGTGGAGACGGGGAGCTCTGCAAGTATGACATGTCAGCGAGTGGTCTTATAAGTTTGGGGTTGAGGGTTTCTAGGTGATAATTCGGGAACAGATAGAAGGCAACGTACTCAACCTGGTGGCAATAATAACAGCAATGGCAGCACCGAGCTCCATCGTGAATCCACGAGAGGGAGAGTGCAGGGTAAGGCGGTTGCCCAGGTTGCGCATGATGTGATAACCGTATGTCCAGATACCGATGGCGATAGCGGCACCACCGAAGACACTAGAGAATGTGATTAGCACCAGCGCATCCTTATGAAGAAAATGAGACTTACAGAATCCACATAGGGACCTCGGTCTTAGCGCCTTCAAGGGCACCAGTTCTCCAGATAGCATAGATAGTTGCGTAAGGGCCGACAGCACTGGGGATAGTCAGTGTGTGGGTCAATAGTAAGTAGGTGAGATGGGAAAACTCACTTGGCAACATCGTTCGCACCATGGGTGAAGGAAGCAGTACAGGCTGTCAGAATCTGAAGGAAAGAAAACATGTACTCCGCTTCGTTATCATAGTGGGCAGCATGGGCATGGGTTTTTTCAAGATCACCGCCGAGTTTGCTGTCGCCCTTCTGGGCGCTAACAATGTCTTGCTCGATACCATTGAAGAAGGACTTCTTCAGCAGCCAGAACAGGACGGGGGAGCTGTACCATGCTCCCTCGGGTCGGGGACCACAGAAGTTGATGACATCAGGATCCATGGATTGTGTCTCGTTATCCGAGTTGGCAGTGATCTCGCTCTGTGCCTTTAGATCGGGTGACACAGGCTCACTGTTGGTGCCGTGGCTTTGTTCGAGATCTGTGGAACGCTCGGCTTCCAGTTCCTCTAGGGTTTTGTGACCGCGATAATAGTCACGGACGGTCTTCACATGAGAAGGGCGGGGAGGGACTTCACCACGGCGGAGGAGAAGAGGACCGTAGACCAGATGCCAAGGCTTGAGTTCCCAGTCACTCTTGATGACTCTGCGGTAGATCCAGGGGCAAAGGAACACGGCAGAGAGAAGAGCCATGCCAACGCCTACACCGATAACAGTTCCAGCTATCTCACCCCCATTGAGGTCAATCCTGCTTTTGCCACCCTTCCAGACAATAAGCACTGGATCTCATTAGCAGGTGATACGGAGGGGACAGAGTCTTGAGGGTTGGAACATACTAGTAAGGAGGGCGCTAGTCAGGAGGAAATAGAATGGAACGGTGAACAACGCCTTGAGGGCGGGATTCTTCCGCAGCAGGATACCATACTTGGTGACCAAGAAGACAAGTGCAGCAGCGACACCAGATAAGAGTGGTGCAATGACCCAGGCAAGGAACACCTGGACGACGCCGGAGTTGATATCACCTCCCCACCAGATAATATCATCAGCACCGACAAGCGCGATACCCATTCCAAGAATACCACCCAGAATAGAGTGGGTTGTAGAAACAGGAAGGCCGATCTTGGTACAGATGGTGAGATAGATAGCGGAGGCAACCACGGCGCAGCACATTCCAAGCATGAGGAGAGGGGCGTTGTTGGCGAAGGCATCGATCTCAACAATCTTGGTACGGATAGTATCGGAAACGCTGTTTCCCACACCAACACTGGGAGCACAACATTGTGAGTATGAGGCCGGGAAGCGGAAATCAGGTCATGAACTTACGCTCCAGCAAACTCCATGATAGATCCCAGAACCATGGCCTGCCAGTGCTTTAGGGATCGCGACGAAACAGACGTCGACCAGGAGTTGGCGCAGTCATTGGCACCAATGTTCCAGGCATCCAGGAATGCGAATATCGTGCCAACAGCAAAAATGTAGTCGTACTGATGAAGAACCATCTTGACGGTTGGCAGAAAGCAGCAGCGCGCTGGCTTGTCCTTTCTAGAAGAGCCTTGAAGGGTTCTGGAGAGCTGACTGGTTCGAAACAGAAATCATCAGGATAATCTTGGCTTTTAATATGTGCCAGCTCCGTCGCTGCTCCGATCCTGGCCGGTGGCATGACAGCCGTTGTGCTGTTGATACAGCAGCCCAGCGATCTAGATCCTAGCGTGCCAAGCTTCCCCGGCCCGCCGCGACGCCAAGCAATCTCTCCGGTGTCTGTGCACTAGCCGAGATGGACCTCCGCCGACGAATGCTGTCATCGCAAACAAGAACGTGGTCCACCCCATGAAAACCCTCCGGACCACATGCTCATGACAACGCTACAAGGCCGGACGATTTCCCACGAGGCAGAAACCCTAAATTCACTCCGCGAATGTCTTTTCCCGACCCACACACCTGCATCCTCCTCTTGGACAGAAACGTGAAGCCCTCAATTGGACCTCAGCTCTACTGCGTATAGCAATAATTTCCACTGGTCTTGGCAAGACGGATGAGGCCGAGTCGGTGCGCCAAGTAGGCATCTTACACAATCCTCGGAGCTTGGTATTCACCACATCGTGCTTGACTTCAACTTTCTTATTGGCTGGGTCAATTAGTTTACTGACATTGAGCTCTGGGTCTGATTCTGATATCCGGCGTACAGCTAGACATTCACCTTTGATATCGCGTGCACACCGTGATCCAACCCTCGGTTCCTCGACCTATATCTGGAGGTGTTAGATATACTCTACCGCTGTCTCGACTCCCGACCAGTTCTGCCTAGCCGAGCTAGTTCCAAGTAAGCACATTTGTTTGTCATGCCACCTGAGGGGATCGGCTATTCCAGTTACCTCCATGCCTTGGTGCCACTGGTCCCTTCATTTCCCGCATCTCCTATCCCCATCATCCGCTCTATATCGCCCAGCGCTTGCTTTGATTCGGACTCGTTAACTCTGCTAGATGCCACCGTGTCACCTCCTCTAAGCCTCCGTTGAATATTGAGTTTGAGACCCATGCTAACTCTTCATTCACCCACAAAGAAGCCCGAGTCAAATTTGCCAAAATGGCACTGCATCTTACCAAAGATTACAGTGTACGGACTACGGAGTAAACTGCAAGAATAAGCGAGATCACGTGGATAACGGCCAGGAATTACCATACCACAGTACTAACGATCTGCAGTACAAAACACCGAGTAATTAACAAAAATGCGCTTACTATATTAGGGCTAGCCGGGGTGCCAGCAGTCCCTTCCGCATGAAGTTCAAAGGTGGAGCCATTATCGTCTATCACTCATGACATCATCGAGAGAGGTTGACGGAACGAAGTGAGAAATGAGAAGAGGAATTAAAGAGAATACGAGCAAGTACTGTGAAGTAGCTGCGATGTAGCTGCTAAGTAGTCAGTCACCTACTACGAAGTATGCCGTTACTGTAGTTCCTCATTCTCAACCAAGGATCGACTTCAGGTGATCCTTCCTCCCCGCATTCTCCCTTCAACATCTCCACTCTGTTTCTCTACTTTCATAACTTCTTACAACTCTCTGTACATTCGTTACATCTTATTAGCTCCTATTGTTATACATCCCCAATCCTATTCTGGTCCGTTTGTGTTACATTAGTGACCATGCGGGTGTCACTCGTGGCCCTGGCCTTCCAGGCAGCGGTTAGCACTGCATCTACGCTCACTCCACCCGTAATCCCCTTGATCGTACGCAATCCATATCTCAGCACTTGGCTTGCAAATGCTCGTGACGAACCTTGGTCAAAATGGCCCATGTTTTATACCGGAGAGGAGATTGGACTCTCTTTAATGGCTCATGTCCCCAGTCTGAATGCGGTATATCCTCTTGTCGGCAAGCCGCATGATTCTTTGGATAAAAAGGCACGGTATGTATCAGAAATCAGAAGATACCGTCATTGGGGAATTAGATGCTGAAACATCACAGCTACAAGATCAGCTTCCCTGATTACCAAGGTCTTAACTATGATGCCTCAACGACCAATCTGACCTACCATCTTGAAATGGGCTCTGCAGACCCTATCGATATCACTGTTTCATTCCTTTCCCCTATTACTCCGACTTCGACTCTGCGGCAGTCGATCCCGGCCTCTTACATCACAATTGATGTCCAAGGCGATGTCGATGTCAATATCTATATGGATGTCGATGGTCGCTGGGTCAGTGGAGATACTGGTAGCAAGATCAAGTGGAAACAAGATAGCCTGAAGACCCCGAACGACACGCTGGTTCTCCGCCATTGGCAGGTGCAGAGAGAAACTGAACTACTGCTAACAGAGACTCGTGACCGCGCGGAATGGGGAACTCTGCATTTCACTGGCCCATCTGTAAGTCTTACCCAACAAAAGGAAGTGGACCAGTAGCTCATCACAACACAGGATGCTACATTCCAGTCTGGAGACGCAAATGGAGTACGCCGAGCGTTTGCTAGCTCTGGGACCCTGCCAAATACCAATGATAACAAGTTCCGTGCTATTGGAGACCGATCCCCGGTGTTTGCGTTCTCCAAGTCTTTCCACCTTGGCCATTCATCTAAAAATTACGCCGACAGCGTCACTTTCACCCTCGCTTTTGTCCAAGTCCCTGTTGTTCAGTATGCAGCATCTCGTGGGCTTACATTGATGCGACCTTTATGGGAAGCCTGGTGGCCAACAACCGAGGCGCTCCTGAGTTTCCACTACAGCGATTACAATGCAGCTAGCTCTCTAGCGTCCAATTACTCGCAGCAGTTGGAAGAGGATGCGTACCTGTCGGGAGCCGATGACTATGTCGATATCGTTGCTCTTAGTGCGCGGCAAGTCATGGGGGCAACTACCTTTTCAGGCACCCCGGACGACCCTATCCTGTTCTTAAAGGAGATATCTTCAAATGGTAACTTCCAAACTATCGATGTCATCTTCCCAGCGTTCCCATTCTTCATGTACACCAACCCCCGGTGGTTGGCATACCTTTTGGAGCCGCTGATTGAGCATATGCTCAGCGGGCAATACCCCAATAAGTATGCGATGCACGATTTGGGTACGCATTTCCCTAATGCCACCGGCCATCCCGACGGGAAGGACGAGTACATGCCAGTTGAGGAGTGTGGCAACATTCTGATCATGGGGTTGGCCATTGTGAACTCGCTTCGCTATGAAGATTCTACCACGGCCTCCTCCATCTGGTCAACCCAGGGCTTGCCCTCGCCCAATCTCGGAAACGAGACCTCCGGACTCTTCCCCCTCACTGATCTGCAGGTTCTTTCCGGCATCGACTACCAAGATAGCAAATGGGGCGGCAGTAATATTGGACAGCACTTGGCCGAGAAATGGGTGAAGCGAAGCTATCGTCTCTGGAAGCAGTGGACCGGATATCTGGTCGAGTTCTCTCTGGAACCTGCCAACCAGCGTACGTGGAATCCTTATTTGTACTCTGGAAGTGCCCCAAGCTAACCTTAAGAGCAGTCTCTACCGATGACTTTGCAGGCTGGCTTGCACTCCAGACAAACTTGGCTCTCAAGGGAATTGTGGGCATCAACGCCATGAGCAAGATCGCCGAGGTAGCAGGCGAGGAGGCTGATGCTGTTCGCTTCAAGGTATGGACAGGGCTCAAGTTTATGTACTCCGACAGCTTGACTGATGATACGTACAGAAAATCGCGAGCAAATACATCGCCAAGTGGGAAGAATTTGGCATGTCCCGGGACGGCTCCCATGCCAAGCTTGCCTACGATTGGTATGGCTCTTGGACAACAATCTACAATCTCTACGCGGATGCCCAGCTCTGCTTCCACCTAGAGGGAACCGACACCGATTCGCCGGGCTTTGTTCCGCGCCACATCTACCAGAAGCAGTCTGTTTGGTATCACTACGTGCGTCAGACGTACGGCCTTCCTCTCGACAGCCGTCACCTCTACACCAAAACAGATTGGGAATTCTTCTCAATGGCTGTGGCGTCCAAGCCTGTGCGTACCGAGATTCTCGATTCTGTCGCTCGCTGGGTCAATGAGACTGTCACTGATCGTCCATTCACGGACTTGCACAAGACGGAGGGTGACGGAGGATTCCCGGGTCCGAATTTCTTTGCTCGGCCTGTCATTGGTGGCCATTTTGCTTTCTTAGCGTTGGAGCGTGCCTGTGGTGGAAAGGCCATGCCTGGTCTGTCTTTCCTTGACGATGTGGATGACGAGACCATGGCACTTTGGGTCGAGAGTGCTGAGTCTGCTGCGAAAGAGTTCACTATGCCGGAATTGGTCCGCCATGCCGAGGGAGAGCTGTAGAAGTCTTCCTTCCATCAGGAGGCGTAGACGGAGAAGTTGCTGGCAGTGGATTTGCTGTCGTCCTTCATTCCGCATCCATATCCCCCTAGACCAGACTCCTACACGGTATGGCTTGGGCATCTTATCATTACCTTACACAGTACATAGGGCTCCGCAGCACCTTGGGTTGATGGCCCCGGTGCTATGTACACAGTACAAATACATTCATCCTCACACATGGTTGTAGAAACATACTATTGCTAAGAACATACGTAGAGACTAGGCTACTAAGAAATAAAGAAGCAGACATGTCCCGTAATTCAATTGAAGATTCTTTGCGTTCCTATTTTTTTTGATGACTTCTGGATCGATTCAAATTACATGGGCCCATCGAATTCATTCATCCAATTCGCGTTTGCTCACCGAAGGCAAATGTAAAACACACACATATCAGACCAACCCGGAATAAACTGGGCAGTTTTTGCATCCAGCAGAGTACGGAGAAACCTTCAGCATCCGCAAACTCCCTTCAAAAACCCATTCCCCATGGAAAAGAGAAAATAAAAACCATCACAGATGAAGCGACATAATAGATACCACCTCCGGGTGAACTTGCACACCTAGTAGATGGAGAAAGGGCATTGAAAGAGTCGAGAAAGAAAAAAGTTCAACCACCGTTCCTGGGGAGCACGAGATTTCCCGACTAAGTCAGGCAATTTAGTTGCCGCCGAGGCTGGGGAAGTTCTTCTCGTCGACGGTAGGGCCGGCGGGGCCACGGGCGTTGCCACGGGGAGCGGCAGCACCGCCGCGGGCGGGGCGGTCACCACCACGGGGGCCACCGCGGCCGCGCTCGGAGCGCTCACCACCACGGGCAGGGCGGTCACCACGGGCAGGGCGGTCACCACGGGGGGCACGGTCGCCACGGCCGCGGGGGCGGGGCCGCTGCGGGGAGGCTCGACGTAGCGGAGGTCAACGTCGAGGAAGTTCTTCTCCTTGCGCTGCTTCTCGCGCTTGGCCTTCTCGTGGGAGGGGGCGATGTAAGCGGCTTCCTCCTCCTTGGAGAGCTCCTTGGCGGACTCCCACTTCTTGTCGAGCTTGGTGCCCTCGTTGGCAGCGCGCACGGGCTTGGCGGCCAGGGTCTCGCGCTGGGCCTTCTCGGCAAGGTAGTCGGCGAAGGACTTGGAGTTATCGGGCTCCTCCTGCTCCTCGGCCTCGGCGGGGGTCTGGGGCTCGTTCTCCTCCTTCTTGGCGATGTTCTCGCCCTGGCGCTCGTCGTCCCAGGCCTTCTCGCCGCTCTCGGCACCCCAGCCCTGCTCGACCTGCTTGCGGGTGTCGCTGTATTATCGAATATCAACGTTAGTTCTCCATTCATCTGATTTGTGTGTTCCACGAAAGTACTCATGGTTTTTCGTGATTTTTCGAAGACTAGAACGTTTCATATGGATTCGTTCATTCGGAGGGTCGCTTACGTCTGGCCAGTGCGGGACTGGCGGTCACCGCGGGGGCCACGGCCACCACGGCGGGCGGGAGCAGCAGCCTCGTCAGTGGGCTTCTCGCGGTTGTTGTTGCGGCCGGCGTTGCGGTCACGGTAAGCTACCCGTTGGTGTTAGTCCGATTGTCTTCCGGGCAGGAGTCGGGTGATTTCGGTCACATACCAGCCTCGTTGCCAGCGGTCACACGGCCACCACGGCGGGCGTTAGCCTCGGTGTGACGGGCTGAGGGCTCCTTGGGGGCATCACGCTTTCCGGAGCGGTCCACGGGGCGGTCGACAGCCTTCGTGGGGGGAGGAGCGGGTCTGCTGGGGTCGAGCTCTGGGTCGTTACCTGATCAAAGGCAAAATTAGCGATCAATTGGACCGATAGACGAATGCGATCGAATTTGTTTTGTTTCGTCGGAAAAATAAGACCACAATCTCGTCGGAAAAGATAGCCGAATTTTTGTATTCAAGGGAGGGGAAATTTACCCAGAAGCTCGTAGAGGTTCTATAAAACAAACAATTCAAATTAGTTATTGATCTTCATGATACAAATCACGCCCAATGTCCCGAATCACTTCCAGATCGCGATTGCATTCAACATTGCGGCGCCAGCAGCGCGCGAGAGAGCTCCAAATCTGCGTACCTTGGACCGGACGTCCGCCATGACGCCTGTTGTGTTTCGGAGACCTTCCGGAGGGAGGCGCTCAACTTTAGACAATCGGTCTAGAGGAGTTAACGGGGCACAAGGCAGAACCCAAGGGAATCCGGCCTGTCAGAATTGATGATGATGAATGAGCAGGGTGAAGAAGGGCCCACGGTTTGTGGTTGCAGGGTGCAAAGGTGACTAATCAGGAAAGGCGGCATCTGTTTTTAAGCGAATTTGTTCACCAATGCTGATTGGCTGCCCGCATACTAGGGCTTAGGGTACCTTACATAATGATGGCGTCAAGAAATGGAATGGGTGTATACTTCTTTCTATCTTGCTGAATGCTGGGCATTGCTGGGCTGGGCATTGCTGGGCTGGGCATTGCTGGGCTGGGCATTGCTGGGTATTCATTGATCTGAACATTTCTACTGTGTACAGCAGATTATATGAATACCTTCTAACGAACTTCGAAGCACATTTCCCAGCTTGTCCGAAAATGACACGCCCTGGTGGAGCTCGTCGATCTGATTGTGGCTACGTGTGCTACGCACTCTATGGAGGCCTTGCAGAAGCTATGTATGTAATCATGGGGCTATCGAGGTCTATGGCACAAACGTGATGCATATGTTTGGATTAATCAACAGGTGAGTGGATCTTCTGCATCACCGAGCTCCCGAGGTCATCAACCGCATTTGTCCTGCTCTGCCCGTTCCGGGCGTGAGGCGAGCACCAACTGTTTGCTCACCGCCAGGAATACATGATGTACGGGAAAGGACAATCTGAATCCCGGGACAATACAAAAGCCCATGAAGTCTTCCGTTACTTCTGGGAATAAAGTCCGGCCTTGATATCGTCCAAGAGCTTTCGGCCAACCGGCTCCCAGCCAAGGAGCTCCCGAGTCTTTTTGCTGGAAACCGGGTTATCGGCGCTCATGATAAAAGACATGAAAGTATTAAGTCTCTGGACTTCCTCGAGCTTCTTTGATACAACAGGAAGACCCAGACTTTGACCAATGGCCTCTGCAATGTCCTTCATGGGGACGCCCTCCTCGTCCACCGCGTGGTATTTGCTTCCAGCAACACCCTTCTCCAAGACAAGGCGATAGAGCTTCGCAGCGTCGAAGCGATTTACCGCAGACCAGCGATTCAATCCTTCGTCGATGTAGATAGCATTGTCCTGTGAGCGAGCCAAAGCAGCGCACATGTGAATAAATCCGTGGTCCTCTTCACCGTGAACGGTGGGCGGCAGGCGAACAACACAAGCACGCACGTTTTTCTCAGCGAACTCAGCAACAAGAATCTCGGTTGTGGCTCGATTGCTCATCGGCGCTTCGTAATCCACTACTTCATCTTCGGTGCTGAGCTTTCCTTTGGTGAGCATAAGGGTGCCGGACGTGCTGATCAGAGGCTTGTTGGTTCCGATCATAGCTGTGCCTAGGACTTCGATAGCATTGCGCTCAGCTAGACAGCTCTCTTCATATTTGCTGAAGTCATGGTCCATGGCAAGGTTGATCACGCCGTCAGCCTCGGTTGCTCCTTGTTTGAGGATATCCCAGTCGTGGAGGGTCCCGCGGAGCACATTGACACCCCTCGCTTTCAGGGCGGCAGCGGATTCTTCGGAGCGGGCGAGACCTGTGACTGTGTGACCAGCAGAGATGAGCTCGTTGATGACGGCTCTACCGACAAAACCGGTGGCCCCAGTGACGAAGACGTGCATGGTGGATGCTGGCGGAGTAATCTGGGGATCTTGACAAAGCGATGAAGCTAATTGGAGATCACTGAAGTGCGGGAATGAGGAATGGCTTGCTTAAAGCTAGCAATCAGATACGTGCTGGTAGATGTGGGCTGTTGCGATCCCTTATAACTTGCGCCATCGTCAAGTGATGTTGTAACCAACGGACATAATCCTCTTCTTAACTCCGTTACATTCATTCCTCCTAACTCCGCTACACCAGTTCGTCCCGGCGTTCCTGTTAACCCCTATGGTTTCACACTCTGCCAGTTATCATCTTGTCAATGTCCGATGACATTCCAGTTTTACAACGAGTTAACTCCATCGTTCCTACAACATTCATATGTACAGCGTACAGCGTAGCTGCCTGGCTGAAGTGTCGGCCCCACACTATCAACCAATCACATGATGTCAGACCATCCATTGATGATTGAACCCTAACCCGGCAGATTTCAAAGCACAGCAACCAATGTTGAAGATGTACTTGACCTGCAGACTTCTAATTTATCTAGACAGCTACCGACAGTACCGAGTACCGAAAGCCTTGGTAGAGGTCCCCTACCACAAACATTAAACAATTATCCTAGTTGGGTTGTTGGAATACTAGAAGGGAAGGAGGAATGATCAAAGCCCAAAGGTGCCAGGCCGAAAGTTCTTGTCGGCTTTGGGCATAGGGAGAATAGCAAGACCCCAACCAACAACTACATAGCGAATGGCCGATATCTTCTGATATACAGCAAGTGCAGTTATGTGTAGTTGTTGTTGAATAATTGAATAACACTCGATCGAACCTTCAAAGGTTGGAGGACAACAACAAAGACAGCGAGGAAGGAACGTATGCATCGAAGAACTAGGAAGGAAGGAGCAGGGAGTACATTCGTTTTTATAGCCGCTGGAAATCATCAGACAAGGAGCCAGGAAGCAGAGGGAGATCTGTCTCCATTTCCCTTGGAGCAGAGAAAAGGGACCGATCCATACATAAGAAGGGACTCTATCTGTTTCTAGAGAATGATACTCAAAGTCCGTCTTTGCCTTTGGCATCAATCTCATTTCTAGTTAATTAGTTAATAGTTTAGTTTCCTTTTGGCGTCATGTGTAAAGCCTCCGCTAGACTTGATATCCACGCATGCTGTCATAGTCTGGTCTGATAAGGTGTAGCCCGTTCACTGTGTTACCCAAGAGCCGGGCTCTTTGTCCTCGGTGGCTCTTGGCACTTGCTCACTCCATAGACTAAGCCCTATTGCCCGCTACATTGGCGTTTGAGGAGCGAGGCAACCAAAAACGCCATGACTCACGCATTCTGAGCCACCGGGGCAGGATGCAATGTTACCTAGGCATCGAAAAGCAGCCAGAGACCAGACAAAGGAAGAAAACGTCCACGGAGAGTGTCCGCAGTGGGACGAGGTGTATGCAATAGCTCGTGGGCCGTAACATAATATTGTGCAACCGCCTCCACTATTATGAATAATGTTAGCAAGATGATGATCGGTCAACTGAAAATACGGCAAGCGCTGTTGCAGAGCAAAATTCCAGAACAGACCGGAGACCCAGATCACCCGAGCCCCGAGGTATCCGCCTGGATTTATTGAATCCCATTAGGACTAGTTTAGGCAGACTCCGGCTGTGCCGGCTTTCAGTTTAGTTGAAAGGGTGGGGATTCAGGTACCCGAGTACGGCGTAGTGTAACTTGACACAAAGAATAATACCCCTGGAGACCAACAGCATGTTGTACTGCGTAGAGAGATGCCATACCAATAGTTTAGGAAGCATTTCCATGTCCATCGGCTCTGGAGCAGTCCCAATCATATGGGCGATCAGAGGCAGATCACGGGAGATGTGTTGCTAATTATGGCACGGACAGCGAGGGGCCCTCGTCACACATGTCCACACCTTGCAGATTGTTTTCTTTCCGATTTTGTGATGAATCGAATGTGATTTATTCTACTGTTCCTTTTGTATGTTAAGTTAACTATGGAGTACATCTCTGCTAAATTCAACTGTTCTACTCTACACAGTAGTCAGTTACACAGTACTGTTCAAACCGTTGAAAGAATATTCAACAGGAAAGTCCAAACTTGGAATGAGCGAACAGGCGACCCAATCTAACGTGTTCTATTGACACCACAGCCAATAAAATTGCTAAGAACAGTGGAGCTGGACCAGAATCTGAGACTAGCGTAGCCTAATCAGGACTAGTGCATTGGGGACAAACAACTCAAGTCCCGCTGGCCCATGGCTCACAAATCACAATCTCACTCTTCTCAGGAACTCCTTTTTCATCTTTTCGTGGTTTTCATCCTTTTATCATCTCTGGACTGGACTCTTGGTAATTTCCTTCGTTATTTCACATTCGTTTACGAGCCATGCGTCTATCCAGCCTCTCGTTCTTCATCCAGGCTCTGCTGTTGACTGCGGTCGCAGCCCAGTCTGGGATCCCGAACATAGGGAAGGATATGACAACTTCAACAACAACTACTTCCGACCCGCCTGAATCCACGCCGCCTGCTGACCCGTCCTCCTCGAGCTCTACAACTTCGAACGAGTCATCCACCACCCCTGAACCTGATCCCAGCTCCTCGAGTTCGTCCACTTCCGCCACACCCACCGACCCTACCACCCCGGCAGAGCCCTCTAGCACCCCAGAGCCCACCCTTCCTCCATCCACCACCCCCAAGGAGCCCAGCCCCTCCACGTCAAGTACCGATAGCACCACTACATCCAAGAGCAGCACCACCCAGACCCCTGTCGTTAAGACCATCACCTCTTACGCGACCGGCGTCGATGGATCCACCTCCGCCAACGTCATGACCACCACCTCCACCCCCGCTCCCGATGCCAGCTCCCCCTCTCTCAATGGCGACAAGGGCTCCGGCGCCAGCGGCGTGTCTTCTTCCGACAAGAAGATCATCATCGGTGTCGTCGTGGGTGTCGGCGGTGCTATTCTGATCGGTGCCGTCGGCTTGGTCTTCTGGAGACTTCACAAGAAGCGCAGCGAGCAGTACGGTGATGAGGATGATCTGATGGGCGGCACCGCTGTGGGTTCTGGTCCTCGCGAGAAGGCTCCCAGCCCGGCCGGCAACACCCCCTTCAAGAACACACTGGATCAGTATCACAATCCTGGCCCTGTCAACGCGGCATCCAATTTCTAAGTGACCCGCACTGGCTCGACACTTGTCGAAGTGTAAAATTGTACGATCATCATGCTTTTCGCCAGGCGCTATGGACAGGATATGCGAGGATACCGTTGCGTTTTGCTTCCGTTCTGAAACTGCTTTTTTTCTCTTTTCCGTTCTCTTTAGGGCGTTTTCACACCCAGCCTCTCATTGCACTAGATTGGACACCGCATTCATTATGAGCCTTCTGATTTTGGCGACCATCACATTCATTTTTTTTCGCGATCGGAACTCTCAATCCTTATTCTACCGACAAAATACGGCATCACTTATCTGTTCTGTTTGTTATTTACTCTTATTCCCCGTGTCGAAGCGCTTGCTTTCATCCTGTTGCAAACACATCTTGCCTCATCCAATCTTCCCTTCTCTTGCAGCAGTAGACGTCAAAGAATGTATAGTGTTGATAGTCATCGGCTGCCAAGGTCTCTTCCTGTTGATCTTTGATCTGTATGTATGTAATTTCGAGGCAAATGGATATCATCAGTGAGACTGTGCTCAATGACACATGCAGCTAAATCGTAGCAGATCAGAGAAGAGAAAGATCGACTGGACAATGGACATCCATCAGATCGACGTCTATCAATCTTGGCGTATGCACCTCCGATCAATTCACGTGATTGCCTCCCAGCACGCGTCCGACACGCGAGATCGATGCATAGACAATTCTAATTTCTACGACTACCTCCATCTTCATCTAAAACCACTTTACCAACTCCTCAGACCCTAACCTTCCAATCAATCCAATACCAATTACCAATGATCCCAGAATAATACCGATAAACCCACCAATCTCAAAATCTCCGCAACCGACCATCCGCATCCGACCCACCATCTACCATCACTCAACCATCACCAAACCCTCACCATGTTCGCAACCCACACAACCCCCAAACCCCCTTCCGCCAAACCCGCTACACCCCGCGCCCCTCACCACTAAGCCAACACACCACAACCCCAACCTGGAACATGTCACCGACGCCAACACCTTCCCAAAGACCCCAAACCCAAACCCACCACTCAACCCCCCTCGCGCAATTCATCCAAACCGAGCCCATAACCCGCCACACCCAGCCCTGGAACCCCTCCCCAATCCCCATGAACTTCACCGCAGCCTCCGCATCAACAACGCCCACGGGAACCAACCCCTTCCAGCCCCGAGCGCAACCGACATCGCCATGCACGCCAACTCGCGCGCAAGCGCAAGCGCAAAAGCCGAAATACGAAGCGCGCTATGCGAACATCGCGAATCCGATGAAGAATACTTCTGCGTTGGCGCGCGCGAAGACGCGCAAGATGTTCCTTAATCGGGTGCGTGGGGAGAGGGAGGAGGGGAGGTTTGAGGCGCGTGGGGAACAGATGATGCTTATGGAACATCTTGCTGATCGGCGGAGGTGGGAGGAGTGTATGGCGAGGGAGGGGGGGGGGTTGTTGTTGAGGGGGAGGAGGGGGAGGATGATATGCTTCCTGGTATGTTTACTCTCTGAAAGGAGGGAAATGGAATTGGAATTAAGGAATTGGAATTTCTGACGTTGGTTTCTAGATGATGCGGATGTGCTGGATGAGATTATTGCGCAGGAGGAGGAGGCTATGCAGAGGGCGTTTATGGAGACGCAGAATGGGGTGCATGGGAGGGTTGAGCTTTTGCGGGGGGATGGGCCGAATGTGTCGTTTAGTGATGATGAGTATGAGGATATATTTATGGGGTTGTCGGATCCTCAGGGGCAGCAGTTTCAGTCTCAGTCTCAGTCTCAGGATATGGATATGTCGTGAGCTGGGGGGGTTGACTGGTGGTTTATTTTTCTTTTGTGTATTGCATTGGGCGGCAGTTTTTCATTCTCATGTGGGCTCGGTGGAAGTCCCGGTACATAATGTAAGTCAATAAGGGTATCGAGATGTGTATATGTACAGTGCAGAGACGGACGATTGTAGGTATGACCAGGGAAAACAAGCAAGCCTTGGCCTTCGGGCGATATCTTTCAGACCTCATACACATTTCAACTTCTTACTGTTGCGGGCAGTCAGGCACACCACCTGCAGCTGCCGCCGCTGCACCTCCCAGGTCGTCCATGAGGGGATTCGCAACTAATTCCTCAGGCGGGCTTCCAGCTGCTTGCATCTGTAGACGTTGTTAATATAACAAGATTCGATCCCCAATGTAGATTTGTAGATTCCACTCACCTCTTGCATCCTCTCCCAGATATACTCCCGACATTTAGGATCATCATCAGAGAAGTTCTTCTCCTCAAACTTCTGCACAATCTGCTTAACGAGTCGCGCCTGGGTCTCAAACCGCTCCATATCCTCAGCATTCACCTTCCCACTCTCCTTGTTCTTCTCAATCCAAGGCCCAAACTTCCCATCCAACTCCTTCATAGGCTCATACAGCATCTCCTTATTAGAAAGCTGCTCCATCATCCCCATAAACATCTTCGACAAATCCCCATCATCGCCCGCACCAGCCGCACCAGCCTCAACAGCCTTCAACAGCTGCGCCAGCATATCGTCCGAGAGATCCTCCTCCGTACTCGCCGCAGTAGCCTTATCGCCACTCTCCTTCATCCGGCCCATCGTGCGTTTAATAGCTTCATTGAACGAGTCAGCCGGTCCTTCTGCGCCGGCGCTCGCGCCGGCCTTCTCGTTCGTGCCGGCCGCTGCCGCTGCCGCTGCTGCGAGACCGTCTGCCGCGGCTCCGGGGTTGGAGCCGTTTTCTTCGGCCATGACGTCGGCGAGAAGCTGTTTCAGGAAGTCGCCGGGCGGGATGCCGCTCTCTTCGAGCTGTTTGGCGAAGACGTCGGCGCCTTGGTCGATGGTTGCTTGGAAGGCAGGGTCTGAGGTGTCTCCGGCGCCGGGGACCATCATCTTTGCCATGTCTTGTTCAAGTTGCTTTAGGAAGGCATCTTCGTCGAAGTCGGCGGGGGTTATGCCTTTTGAGGGGTCGGGGTTGGTGGCGGAGGCAGGAGCTGGGGCTGGTGTTGTGGCTGCGGGTGCGCGTTTGGGTTTGGAGAAGTCGTCCAGGACGTCTGTATAGGTGTGAGTATCGATGTTGATTTCGTTCGGCGGGGAGGGGTCGATGAGGCGATGGTGAGGGGGGAAAATGGAAGGGATCTATATTTACCGTCTAGCTCATCAAACTCTGAGTCTTCGTCTTCATCGTTTACAGCTGCCTTTTGAGGTGGTTGTGCTGGTTCAGGTGCGTTGTTTGGTTCTTGGGCTTCTTGGGCTTCTTGGGCTTCTTGGGCGGTTGGTGCTGGAGCCGATGCTGGAGCCGGTGCGGCGGGGGCCTCTTTGGGGCTGTCGGCGGGCAATGTGGAAGCCATGGGGATGCGCCAGAGAATGGGAATTGGAATTAATGTTCCAATGCTAGTCCGAGATATGGAGAGGACGGTGTGTGGCTCAATCTCCAAGTGAGGTTGTAAAAAGAAAGTCTGGAGAAGTTGGCATGTGATGGCTTTGGCGGGGGTACCGAATGCCGATCGCCGAGGGTGTGCATTTGTACTGTTTGTTTTACTTTTGACGACTGACTATCCAATTATGTCCACGGGTGTCCAACATTGAGGCTCAAGCGAGGTAATGCAATTTTATTGATTCACGTTGAGATTTAAGTTGTAACAGAGTTCTTTGCCGTTTAGTTCCAGGAAGCTGTCCCCGGCTCCCCGCTAGAGGCCGAGTCAGCCGATGTCGATGCTCGGCAATGATGTGCCTTCCCCTGTCAGATGAGATCCTGCAAGTCTCATCACATCCACTACGAGATCTAGACTATGCGTCCAGTAGGAAAAGTCTACCAGGTGCATCACAGTGTTGCCGCTGTTGCGTACATACTCCGTCTAAGCTATGAGATCATAGTCCAGACCAGACAAATCTCCCCTCCCCTGAAAGTCTTGGCAGATTCACCCCCGCATAAGTGCATCAACGTGACTCGACCAGGTAGTTGCATGCGAGGAAATGTTCTTTATTACGAACATAACTGCGTATGCAAGCATTCTAAGTCCGGGGTAGGAGTGATGAGTGGCGACGCGTGATTCGCTTCCCGGCGCCCCGATGGGGGTTCAGGACCACAAATTGGAGGTCATGTGGTTTTGGAGAAGCTGAGGCGGGGGACTCCGATGCCAGTGTGATCTTGTTATACGAGCCGATGTCGGCTTTTGAGTATTCAGAATGTTCTCCGCGGACAATTATCATGAGTTTGTAGGTGAGCACCGTGAGTTATAGCAAGTATCTTGTCTTGTCTTGACTATGGTTCCAAGCAGAATACACAAGCCCCCACAAGTCCTTTGTGGATCTCCACTCATAAGGCCATTCAGCAATTCAAACGTGGTTAAGGAGAGAATAATAAGTGAAGAAGAGAAAATAAATACTGAAAAAAACGAAAAAATGAAAAAAAAAAGAAAAAAGTGAAAAAGTCAAAAGACCCAGACAGCTAAATACTAGCGAAGAGGCCCCTCCTGACCGAGCAGACTTTTTAGTCAAAGGTTTTACACCAGTTTTTTTTCTTCTTTCCCCATCAATTTCGTTTATCTTCGATTCTCTGACTCTTCCTTTCTCATAATTCAGTTTCCTTTATGTCACAGCATCCTCTCTGATTCTCGCACGTCCCCATTAGCCGCGCGTCTACGCCTCCCGGTTTATCCTATTTATCCATTTTCCTTTTTTATCTTTTTTTCCACTCTATTTTTGCCGGCCTGGTCCCGGCAAACGCGGGGAAAAGCTGGCTGTGTCTGTCGGTCCGTGTGCGGAGGGCCGCTTGCAGGCTTGAATTTCCATAGATATTATAAGATCATGGTCTCAATGGTCGAGGAGATGACTATGGACCCTATCGTCCCTAAACATGAACCTGGTCCTGATGGCTCTATGAGCTCGGCTGTGTCGACGCCAGACCCGGAAGCCGAACCTTTGCAGGATGCAGCACAGACGCAGAAGAGGAAGGGAGGCAGAAAACCTGTACGTAACATCTTCCACAATTTCTGGGGCCCCGCATTCATTGAATTTGACTCCGTCACTTGTCCTACCAATTGTCTGGATCTTATATGGCATTGAACTAACGCAAGAACAGATCTACGCCACCTCGGAAGAGCGCAAGCAGCGCAACAGACAGGCCCAGGCGGCCTTCCGTGAACGCAGGACGGAGTATATCCGTCAGCTAGAGACGACTATCAAGCGCAATGAGGAATCCCTCCAGAGCCTGCAGCAGAGTCACCGCAGTGCCGCTGACGAATGTCTTATGCTGCGGTACAAGAACTCTCTGCTAGAGCGGATCTTGCTCGAAAAAGGTAACACCTACTCTAGCCATTGGTGTTCATTACTTGGTTATCCTTTCAAGTTTCAACATCAAGGACTAACAGTTCCCAGGCATCGATGTACAGGCTGAGCTACGTCTGAAGACCGGGGCGCCGGGCGCTCCGCCCAAGGCAAACCCAGTGCCCCCAAAGGCAGCGCCTAGCGCGGCAGGGCCTCGCGCAAACCAGCGACACCCCGCAGGCATCGCCTCCAAGTCCGAGGCATTCGGCATGTCGCAGCGGGAAGGTGCATACGGGATGCCGTCACCGCAGTTCCAAGCAACCCCTACCTCACACGTCTCCTCACCCTCGCACGCCAAGTCCCCAGGCTTCGGCTTCCAGGGCGGCATGTCGCCCGTCGGTGTCGACTCCCAGGCCGGACGGCCACAGCTTCTCCCCCAACCTCGGACCTTCAATCAGACCTCGCCGCCGGCAATCAGCATGCCGCAGACCGAGCCGTCAGATCCCAAGTCCCAATCCCGGGGGGCCATGGGTCCTCGCGGTGCGCGGGTCGCAGCGGCAGCTTATTATCCTTCTCCCTTTCAAAAACACTATGATCAACTCGGTAAGCTGGCCTTCGCCTTGCTGATATAATGTCCCCCCAGCTGACCTCTCAAGCAGAACAAGAGTACGACGCTCAGGCCGACATGGCTGACGATGACCACGACGGTTCGGCATCATACGTCCCGGGCTTTACACCCCAGTCCATTGCCTCGGGCCCTCACAGCATCTCTGGCTTCAATCAACCGCCAGGCGAGGGCACGTCCGGCGATTTCGGACATGCAAACTCCTTGCTCGGCTCGTATGAGCCGATGCTGGATACAGATCCATTTGGGTTAAGTGCTAGCATGCATTTCCCGACGCCATTCAACTACGAGCACAACAACTCGCGGCAATGAGCGGCTCACTAAAAGAAGTGCTCTATCCTTATCCTCCATATTTTCTCTCTTGTTTTATATCATATCTGTCCATCTTATATGGTCAATGATCATCACTCCCGAAAAGTTTGATTTGAGCATTGCCCGGCGTTATTGCAAGGGTCTCGATACCAATACCCATGTGGTTTTCTTCAGAGGTATATTTTATATTACATTCTGGATATGAATTATGTGAATTGAATCTTCACAACTCCTTTTTTGAGGCACGGCATCTTTATAGTCTAGATGGTGAACTGCCAGGTGACTGTGTATCCCAAGTAGGTGAGACGCATGGATCGAACTAGATCTGCAGCCTATAACCAGTCCAAGAGACACGGAGCATTATGTGAAACGCGAGTCGCGACCTTGCACGATACATTGATCTTCCAAAGCATTCCTTTACCCACGTGAGACCACAAATGTGCCCCCTTGATTCAACCACCCTCGTGGGGTCTTGGCCATTGTGGATCCAGGCGAAAGTCCCAGACGCGCCCTGGGGTTTGAGCGCTCATGCATGTAATTGACCTTTGTGAGAGACGTGAAAAAGAGAACTGGGAACCTGAAGCCAAGATCAAAAGGCGTTGCATCCAATACCCAGAGTCAAATCACGAAGGAGTCAATTGTCAATTAGTTCAGATCACGAACAATGGCAATGTTCGGAAGCAAACAAAGCCAAGCAAGCAAACAAGTCAAACCACAACGCGTGCTGAGTGGAGTCGGAGTTCTATACAAAGCTAGTAAGGTATCGGGGACTATACGCGACCTACGCGACCTCACTTTCTCTTTCTACTTCTTGTTTCTCAACTACTTTCTACTTTCAACCTTTGTCTCTCCATCTTCTACTGTTCACTTTGTGGGTGTAACTGTCTCTAGTCCAATTGCCCCGTTCTCATCACGAGACACCCCCGCATCACCGGCACTCCCCAGCTTGCTATTCCATTCTCCTACTCTTGATTCTCCCTGAAGCTCGAACACGACTTCCATTTTCTCCCAACAATGACTTCGACTGTACAATTCAATCCCGTCAAGGATGGCCGACGAATTCTCGGAGAGAAAGACTCAAACGCGTGTCTCTCGCCCGCCAGACACGCCAAACATTCATTCCCAGCAATAGAGACCCCGGAGAAGCGGGTGTCAGTTGCTGCTTCACCCAAGAAGCTCCTCCCATCCCCCGTATTTGCAGGCCAAAAGCGGACACGGGAGCAAGTGGACGAGACAGAAGAAAACCTCGGACACGTGCAGAAGCGGGAATCCTCTCCGCACACCGGCGTCCAATCGACAAACAATGATGATATGCAAAGCCAGGTACGCCAATGCGAGACAAACAAAAGATACAATCTTCATGAGACAGAAGCTAACCCATGTGACGATGTATAGCTCGTTCAGACACCCACACCACAGAACTCACAACCTGAACGCGAAGTACACGACCAGATGGACATGACCCAATCCTCCAACGCGCCCAATACCTCAGACCAAGAAACGCGTAGTGTCATCCCCTCAGACACCAACGCGCGCAAAGTATTCATCCAACAAGTAAGCAAACCCCCCTGACCACAGATCACGGTTAGTTCTAACAACCAAACCAGAAAGCAAGCCTCCTCCGATCCAGACTCCAAAGCGCAATGCACAATGTCACAGACCACCAATTCGACCGCCGAGTCTCCGAGCTAGAAGCACACAGTCGCAAATGTCCACGACTCTCCCTCTCCGTCCTCGCCACCCCTCCCCTACCATCCCGCCACCACTTCACATCCTTCCCATCCTCGCAGATGAAGACACCCAGAATCGGCTGCTCGGCCTTTATCCCCACCCCCTCCCACAGCACCCCAGATCTCCCGCAACCTTCCCCATTGTCTTCTAGAGTCGTCCAGCAGCGCACAAAGTCACAACGGACACCGCCGCGCGGGCTTGGCTCTCCGATGCAACTGAGCAGTCCTCCGGCTACGGTCGTCCGTCGGGAGCCTGGGAGGGAGATGGATCTGGGTCCAAGGGCTGAGATGGGTATGCATCATGTGCATACTGTGTCGCCGTCACACAGAGGTGATGCGGTTGATGGGTTGCTGAAACTTATGAGCACGACGGGGCATCAGAGCTCGGACGCGTGGACTGGATGAGTTGGCGTTGTGGTGTCTTCCGTGTTGGCTTCTTGTTCGGACTGTTTGCTTGTCGCGGGCATGTCTGAGTGGACGAAGGTGCATTATACTTTAGTAGCCATTTCAAAAAGATGTGCGGCATGAGGATGTATAGGGTTGACCAAGTATATCATCTTTCCACATGTTCTGGTCCTGACCGGACGATTGGAAGAGCGTTATTGGATTAATTAGTCTGCCCTACGATCAATGATACCTGTGTATTTGAACCGTAGTAGTTGATAATACACCGGTTTTATTAGTAGCGTTGCTCGGCTTAGGGCAAGACATGCAAATGCCACGCGGTGTCCCACCCAAGAATGCTACAACCACGTGCTACATCCCTTCTCGCTCACTAAGATCCTCTGGATTGCAACCGCTAAAAATATCAATTGATTCAATGTGGTATCCAGCATCTGCCTAAGTAATACATCCACCTAATAATAACAAGTCGGCAGTTCACCCCTCAACGGACCTTCTTCAACTTATTCCTCTTCCTTCCAAGAATATCCCGACCCTCCTCAATCTCCCCAACAGCCTCCCTCTTCGCCTCCCCAACCTCCTTAAGCAGCGAAGTCCTAACAACCCGACTCTCAATATTAACACCCTCCTGCATAAACTCCTCCATCTGCCTCCCAACCCTCTGCTCAATAGCCAACACAAGCTCAACATCCCTCTGCCCAACCAGCGTCGTAGCCTCACCACTCCTTCCCGCACGCGCCGTACGACCAACACGGTGCACATAGTCATCCGGGTTACGCGGCACATCGAAATTAACAACCAGCTCCACGGAAGGAATATCCAGACCACGCGACGCCACATCCGTCGCAATCAGGATGCGGGCCGCAGTCGCCCGGAACCGGGCCAGGTTCGCCGTGCGCTCGGACTGCGGCAGGAGACTGTGAAGCGATGTGATGCGGTGACCGAGACGACGGAGAGTTCGTTCCAGGACATCGCAGGTCTTGGTGTGATTGCAGAAGACGATGGCGGGCTTGGAGACGTTTTCTTCGGTGGAGAGTAGCGCGTGTAGGAAGGCTTCGCGGTGTGTCATGGGGACCTTGAGGTATGTTTGTTTTAGTGTTGGTGGGATTTTTCCTTGGTGCTCGGTGCCGATTTCGGTCATGAAGATGGGTGGCTTGGTGCCGGCGGATGGCATGGATTTGAGCGCGCGCACTTCGGCTGTCATTGTTGCGGTGAAGAGGAGGGTTTGCCGCTCGGAGGAGGGCGGGAGGGCGCCGAGACAGGTTTCGACCGCTGGGAGCATGCTGCCGGCACCGCTGGCGAGGAGGCGGTCGGCTTCGTCGAGGACGACCATTTTCACGCGCCGGAGGCCGGCCACGGTGTCTTCGCCGGAGGTCTTGATGTGGTCGGCTAGTCGGCCGGGTGTGGCGATGACGACGTGGGGTCGACTGGAGAGCTCAATGGCTTGCTGGCGCATGTCCATGCCTCCGACGACGAGGATGGGTTTCATGCTTTGGGGTGCGGAGACGGACTTGAATTGTTCGTGGATTTGGAGGGCAAGTTCACTAGAAATAGTAGAAAACATTAGTCCAAATTGTCCACCTTCGAATTCGTCTAAGACGTTCAAACATACCGAGTTGGAGTTAAAACCAAAGCGTAGATACCGAATGGATTGCGCGCCCATTGCTGCATAATGGGAACCGCAAAAGCCATAGTCTTTCCCGAACCAGTCCTACTTCCACCAATACAATCCTTCCCCTTCAAGATCTCAGGAATACAAGCCGCTTGAATAGCCGTTGGTCTTTTGATTGCCATAGTCGACAACGACGAACAAAGCCAAGGCGCAACACCCAAGCCCGCAAAAGTCGACAGTCCACTCTGTTTCCCCAGCTCAATTGCCTCACTGATGAGCACCGGTGCCTCGTCCTTGAATTCGGGCTCCTCTGTTACCTCGCCCTTCTTCTTGATGCGGGAGAGGGTGGGGAGCGGTGCAGGTGCAACGTAGGAGTCGGTTGAAGACACGGAGAGACGGCGACGCTTCGCGGCGGGAGCATCGACATCGTGCTGTTCATCGTCGGAATGGTCTGTTACGTCGGACATCTCGATATCCGGGTTCTTTTTGATCGGGGGTGCCATCTTGTTTGCGATGCTATCGAGATGAAATAATTTTGTGGCAGAAAAGTTATCTCCGAGCGGTGGGATTTTGGTCGCCTGGTTTATCGGGCAGAAATGGTTGACAGCTTCAAGATTTGGCGCATCAGAAAATCGAATAAGCAGATTGAAATATTGATCAATCATGTGATATCATGATATGTTGTTCCTCAATGTCCCTACTGTGTTACGTCTGTGTAGACTACTTGTCACATGGTTGTTGTCAGAAAATAAGGTAGAATCATATTAACAGACCACTGCCCACAGTCTAGAGAGTGGCAGTATGCGGCGTTGAGACGAATGTCTCTTTTTTTTACCTGCTATCGCATCATCTATTCCATCCCGCTAACTGTGCTCCTTCTGTGCGAGACCCGAGACGGAAGTTCATACGCTTCACCCCGCTCCAGATCATCTTCGACCGCCGATTCCGGGGACGTCGATGTTCGATTCCTCATTACCCCGTCATTTCCACTCAAAGACTCATCCTGAGCCCCTCTAGCCATAACTTCATTGTACTCCTCCAATCCATGAGTGCCACCGACACTCTCCATGGTGAGCGGACTAGCAGTAGGCCCATCAAGTGCAGCAAGTTCCTCACGGGTGAACCACTTCGGCAGCAGGAACGAGCGAACGGGGATCAGAAAGAGAATGATAACCGGGAACCCGATGGCAGCGATGGTTTGAGTGATGGCGAAAGTGGCGCCAAAGCCAACTAATTCAAGAAGGACAAAGACCCAGATGGCAGCACGGCGCTCGAGTCTCTTGAGAGGGTTGGATGCGGGGGTGAAGCCCTTGTCTTGGGCGAGGAAGATCAGTTTCTGTGTGATCCCATTGCCCTGTAAGGCCTGGACACCCATGACGAAGAAGAGACCGGCCATGACACCCTGTGGAATGAGATGGAGCACGATGAGTAGGGGCCCGGTCATCGTTCCCAAGGTTAACAAGCCCTGTGCGAGGTTGCTGACTCGCTGCTCTACGACGTGGTCGGTTACCCGGATGGCTTTGCCCTTGTTTGTGTCGTCCTCATCCGCGACTTGACGAGTGACACAGAGAGCGGCGGTGTGGAAGGGGGCCTGGGGGATCAGACCGTTGGGGAATGGTATGCCCAGAATACCAGCTACAAAGGTCGTGAGGCCGAGGAGCCAAAGGTCCCAGTGGAAGCCAGCTGGCTTCCGAAGGGGAAATTCTGTTCCCTGGGCAATGAGTGATGACACTAACGTGGTGCATTAGCCAATTATTCGTCTTGATGTCCTCGGCGGTCTGTTATAGTACTTACCGTTGTGATCAAAGTAAAAGAGAATCGTGAGAAGGACAGCGAATGGGATGGCCAGGAAGACATCTCCAACGTCAATATCCCAGAAGCGGACCAACCAAGACCGGTCTGGCGTAGGGAAGAAAGCCTTGCTTGTCGGCAGCGTAGCCACATCAACATCCCTCATATGGCCGATATGGACGAATCCGGTAAAGAAAATAATGGTCAAAGGCGTGCCATAGTCCTCGAGGAATTTCCGAATCCAACGCTTGAAGAGATTGCTATTGCCCAATTCTCCGCAGATCCACGCACACATCAAAACAAGTAGCGCCACCATGATACTCAAGTAAGCAGAGGTTTCTCCCACGGAGCCCCATTGCCTAGTGAGGACTTGGATGCCCTTCTGGAGATAGATGCAAGCAACATAGAACCCGAAGATATCACACGAGAAACGAGTGACATATGTCAAAGCGTTGCAGGAGTTAGTGATGGCCAGGATCCAATGCATGACCAAAGACCAACTACAATCGATATCAGTGGTGCCAATCATCAAAAAAGGGAGGGAAAAGAACTCACATTCCAATCCAACACATGAAAGCAAGAAACGGCGTCCCTCGGGGGGCGATAATATCGAAAACAGTGTAGTTGAACACAGTGATAGGACCTATAACCATCAGTCTGAAGCCATCATGATCACTCATACAGTCTCCTTACCGGTAACACCGACAATGACCAATGGCTGAGCTGAAAAGAACGAAAACACCACGGCCCCAAGAACAGACGCAAGTAGAACTTCATTGACGCCATATGTATGATCTGTTTTCTCAAACATATCTAACGAGAAGGCCAGAGCGGGCAAGATACTACAATGATGGTGAGCAAAAGTAACGATGTGCCAGAAAGGCAGATATTGATTAATTTCCAAGCAGAGCGAACATACTTTGCAAAATACATATAAACCGTCGCAGGCACAACACGGTAATCCCAAGCGTCGGTCCAGTCGCTCCAGTAGTAAGGTGCTCTGCGCTTAATGTCATTGACCATCCCGCGGAATAAGTGGATATGCCACCATTTCGATGGAGCTGAGTGCGCCGACGCATTCAACGAAGCACGGCGCTCCGAGTATTCTGGAGTGCCATCTCGTTGGCCTTCGGACCGGCCTTGACGCGTCGTGTTATGGCCTATTTTACTTGAATGCGCTGAGCGGGCTGATGATGGCCGTTGCGACTGCCTAGAAGGTTTGCGCTGAGCTGACGTCGAAGCTTGCATGTTGGCAGGAAGTCGTGCGACGGCCCTTGCATATGCAGCGGTAGAAAGGATGCAACCCTTCAGGGAAAAGTAGCCAACATGAGATTAAGAAGAGCCAGGTGCTTATGTAGATACTGCAAAAGAATTACAGGAGAGCAAGAGTTCAGACGTAATTGAAGAAGCTTTTGCGGAGAAATGGATGAAGCTACGAAGTGCGCCAAGACCTAATGTGGGGCCTGAGGCCACTGCACTATGACAGTAGTACGGAGTACTGCCAGTCAGGATCAGGATACAGAGGCCAAATGAACAGTCAAATCGACATTGAGAAGTGAACTGGAAAATTAGAAAGAATTACTGAACATGGCCTAAAAGGTAATCACTAGTAGTGCTTTTGGAGTCGAATGTTAGCAAAGAACTGTGCGCTGTCCAGGTTAATGCTGAGGTCGGTTTTACGGAATCCCAATAGACAATTCGCCAATTCCTTCACGCATCAGCAACTTTTTACGTCATGGCGTCCCTGTTCACTGAGGCGGAGGTGGGGGAGGGATGTCGCTCGGAGGGGGCGGGGGCGGCGCATCACCAGGTGGAGGTGGTGGCGGAGGAGGACTGCCAGCAGCACCGGGGTACATCGGAGGCATACCAGGCGGGGGAGGAGGTGCGCCCATACCGGGAGGTGTAATACCGGGAGCTGCCATACCAGGTGCTGCCATGCCAGGAGGATAAGCCGCATATCCACCATAAGCACCATATCCTCCGTAAGCAGGCTGTGCGGCAGCAGCGGCCGGTTGTTGCCAAGGGGCAGCACCGGGGACAGCGCCAGGAGCAGTATATCCACCTGGAGCTCCATAGCCGTAGTCGCGGCCTTGAGCTTGGCTCTGCGCGGCCCAAGGGGCGGGGCCACCAGGAGCAGCCTGATTGCGTGATCCATAGTCGTCACGGGATCCGTAGTTGTCACGGGGCGCATAATCATCGCGACGGTTGTCACGGCGTTGTTGCCAGGGGGCCACGTCACTTGGAGGCGGCGGCCCACGTTGCTGCCAGGGCTTCGCGTCACGATCGTCGGGGTACGCATTGTCACCACCGGGGCCGGCTTCAATGCGACGGGGCTCATGTTCGCCAGGAGCACCACCAGACAATTCGTTCATCAGTTGCTAAGTAGAATGTTAGTTGATTCATGCTCAATAAGCCTGCCGTGTGTAAAAATAAACTTACCTGCATCTCACGATCAACAGCATCCCCGGTATCACGGATACCACGTCTATCCGGACCGTTGCGCCAGTCACTGCCGCGCTGGCGATCGGGACAATCGCGAGCCATATGACCAGCATTGCCACAGACGCGACAGATGATATTGGCAGTGAAGTTACGCTGCTCGGGGCAGTCATACTTGCGGTGTCCAATTTGACCACCTAGAATACACCCAGATTAGCATAAATGATACAACTGAGGGTGATTAAGGGGATTCAACTTACAGTTCTGGCAAGCCTGGTTCTCGTCGTCGCGAAGCGTACCGTTGAGAGCAGCCAGCTCACGGAGTTGGTTGCGCTTGAGCTCGTTCTGGCCTTCAGGGATGGATGCGGCCTGATGATTGTTAGTATCAAGTAAGCACCTAGCGGGTCGGGCTCGGGAACGGACCGTTTCGATAACGTTGTGAACAAGCTTCTTGGCCTTGTTGACTTTTTCTTCGGTATCTGCCATAATGAGACAGTGAAGATCTTCTTCCTGGTTGCTACCGTGAGCGGCATCGGAGCGACCCTTTCCTTCCTTGACGGAGCCTTTACCACGAATGGCGATCTTTGCACCAGACTCAGTCTCCATCTTTTTCAAAGTGTTTCCACGGGGTCCTATAAGTAAGCCAACTGTAAAAAGTAGCAAGAACTAAGTGTTAGTAATCCTGTTGTTTTTGAAAAGCATGGGCAGCATCAAGCGCCAAGGTTTAGCAAGAAACGAGCTGAGGACATCCAATGAGGTATGACTTGTCAGCCCGAGTCGAGCAGGGACGCATGACAGATATAATGGAAGAATGGTTAGGAGTTAGAGGGTTAGTTATCATACTGAAGTTAATCTCTGGATAGTCATTCACGGGGACGTAGACCTTCTCTTGGGTCTTGGTCGGGCGTCTGTAGTCAGAAGGCGGGTGGTAGTTAGGAATGGTCTTCATGGCTTTCTCGACCAGTTTATGACGCTCTTCCTCGAGGCGTTTGCGGTAACGGTATTCGCGAGTGTTGACACGTCTACCGAAGTTGTCATACTGAGGGGCCGGCGAGGGAGATCTGTGGCGAAAGTCAGTACAGAAAAAAAATCGAGGATGAAAGAAGGGAAGCACGTACCTGTCACCATCGCCTGGGACCACATCGTTAATCCGAAGCTTCTGGCTGATCTCCTCGATACGAAGGTGAAGTGTGTAAGCTTCAAGCTGCTCGCTAGTGAAGTTTGCCATGATCATGGTAGGCAAGCCCATGAGGCCGGCAGCCTTGTTCTCCTGCTGGTCGCCCCAGCGGTTGCGCTTCTTGCGCCTTTTGGAGCCATCGGCTTCGAGTACTGGTTCGGCTTTGAGAGAAAGAACGGTCAGTTTTGGGCAACGCGGGATATCTTGATCTGGCAAAAACTTACCTCGGACAGGGCTGCGACCACGCTTGGGGCCGTCGGGGCCCATGGACGAGGGCACGGATGAAGGGGTCGCAGTGCGACTTTCCTCATCTCCTTCCTCTCCGCCCATACGGCGACGCCCTAGCGGGATGTTGTTGGAGCCGGTGACACCTTGACTTTGATTGCGCCACGACATAACTGCTGTTTTAGGTAATGAAAGTAAATCTGGTTAGTGATACACAGATGGATGAAAGAGAGATGAAAAGAAGCTTCTTCTATCTTGCCGAAGAGTGGCCACCCATCACGTGGAAGTGGCAGAACATATAGGCGGTGAGAATGGGCTTACACTGCACGGGATAATCACTGCGTAGGATGACGACGAAGGCTACCTTTTGGAGGGAGAATATTAAGTACGTGTATATTTACAACCCGATAATGAGTATTGACTATTGAGTAACAGTGCTACGACACTACACACCTTTCCCGGCGTAAGTGTCTCCTAGATGATAATTCCGAGTGATTAGGTACCTTTTATATGCTGACCCCATATAAAAGGTACAACGACATTGTAGGTACCTAACCGGGACTAGCCCCTATAGACTACTCCACTTTATAAAGCTTGGCGCTCCACTCGCGTGAAATAGGCACGCAGTACATACTCAAAACCTCGATGAATTCATACTTAACAGAAATACTGCATTGCGGTGCAAAATCGCAAGAGTCTAGAATTTCGAGGATCATCAGGGCCAATTATCGGTCCACTGGCAATGTGTACGCCAATGGTTCTATATATGGGGAATATTTACTAATGAGTTCAGTCCCGAGGATTAAATGGGAGTTATGGTAGGTTGCTATCTAGGTAGAAATTCCATGAGGGACCCGGGGAGCTTCACAGAATCTTTTGAAGTCACAATGTATCACCTGCTATTCGCTTGCTAACAATGTTTTAACGTATCTCCATACACATATGATTTAAGCCTTGCTCTGCTTGGCATCGCTCTGCATCCCCTGCTGAATCCAAGCCCTATTCTCAGCAGCCCGTTTGTCCGCGAAAGCCTTATCCTTAAGCGTATCCTTGATAGTATGAGGAGAAGGTACATGGCGACCCTTCTCGACACCGGGTCGCTGAGCCATGCGCTCTTCCCACGCCTTAACATGCGGGAACTCATCAATATCAAGACCAGCCCACCCAGCAGCAGCGACCCATCCCCAGTGTGTAATATCAGCGATAGAGACGTGGTCGCCAACGATGTAGCCAGACTTAGATTCGGCGAGGTGCTTGTCCAAAACACCATACAGTCGGCGCGACTCATTGACGTATCGGTTCACACCGTACTCGATACGCTCAGGCGCATACCGCCCGAAGTGGTTCGCCTGACCTTGCATGGGACCCAGACCTGCGTTCTGGAAGAAGAGCCAGTTCTTCATCTCGTAGTACTCCCGCGTGCCCTTTGGAAAGGAGATTTTGTAGTCTGGGTCGTACCGCTCTGCCAAGTACTCCAGGATGCTACCGGACTCAAATAGACGGATCTGCTGGCCATCGTCGAAGGTATCTGTCAAAGCGGGAATGCGGCCATTGGGGTTGATCTTGAGGAACCAGCTGTACAACATTTAGATATGTTCATGTGGGGTCCTTTGTACAGGTGGGGGCGCATACTCTTCCTTTTGTGTGTTCTTTGAGATGTCAATCTTCTCGACCTTATATGGCAGACTGCGACCTGTCAGTACTGATCTTCAATTGGTTAGGGTAGCTACCATACCCCAGCTCTTCGAGGGCAATGGAGATCTTGATCCCATTAGGAGTCTGGGTCGTGTAGAGTGTGATGTTTGGTTGACTCATGTTGGAGTAATAGAGAGGACAGGTATTCTAGGAGATAGTATGAGAGAATATCGAAGTATGTTAACGCTCAAGTCGACAGAGGGTTTAAGTATGCGATGGCTGATGTCACGTCAACGTTTCCCCACTTCGCGGATTTATAAGCTCGTGGAAGGTTCTCCGCAGATCAATCGCCCCGGTTCGCCCGGTTGAATAATCGCACGCGGAAGGGAGATCGACTATATATTCTAGACCCTTTCCTGAATAATAGGAGACTTGATAGTTAGAGCCGTCAGCGACTAGGATGGCATCGAGAAACTAACGGTGAAGATGACCTTACATACGGAAACCGCCTATCAATATTGCGAATGCTATACACAACCATGTTCTCATTAGAGAAGCTTCCAGGAATGGAGACAGAGGATACCGCAGTATAACCTCACGTATAACAGAAACGATGAGCACGCTAGTTAAAACGCTCAAACGCCAAAGGAGCACCCGCTTATACCAAACCCCCAATCTACCAAGAGAAGCTCTCTTCCACATAATCAACATTGGAATGAGCCTGTCTCCTCCGACAAACTCGGCGAACATCATCACTCAATCCACCGTTTCCACAGACAAGCACGCCCATAGCGCCGATCTGGTTCTCGACTTCCATGCCGATTAACGTATCAATATTGGGTCGACCAGGGAACATCTGCACAGTAGCAGACGGACTCTGTATCTCCTTTGTGTTGCGCGGCCGCGTAACAAACAGCATAATGCGCAGAACTTCGCGACGGCGATCCATGGCCAGGATACTGGTCATCCAGGGCCGGATCCACTCCAGGTGTTCCGGCGATTGGATGATCCAGACGAGTGTGACGCGACGGGCGGCGACGGTGCCGTTCGCGAACCCGTCGACGAGGTGCCGTACGAAAGGTACGTGGTGGGTGATGCCGACTCCGCCGGCGAAGAGCATTACAGTGCCGTATGAGTCCATGGTGTGGATGTTGCCGTATGGGCCCTCGGCGAAGGCGCGGAGGGTGATTTGTGAATCCGTGGCGTTCGCTGCGCGCTTGTAGAGCTTGTCGGTCATTCCGGTGCGGCGACGGACCAAGAGGGAGATTGTTTCCTTTTGTGGCACATTGAGGAGGTCTTCCTTGGTGAGTGGGAGGGATTTCTCGTCGAGGCTATCTTCAGTTTCGCTCCAGGCGACGGAGAAGGGGTGTGATGTCCACAGGCCCACGGCTGGGATATAGAGGTAGATGTGCTGACCCGGACGGAAGGTCCAGGGTCGGGCAATACGTATGGTGATCCGCATTGCATCGCCGGCCAAGGCCTCGATGGTTGCGGTGGTGGATTCACGGCCCACATTGCGGTACATGATGATGAAAAAGCGAGTGGCCCGCTCGAGGCCCCAGAGGACGATGGCGGCAAGTAGGTAGGTCTGGGCAACGAGTCCGTTGAGGTGGACCCACAGGAAGCCCATGGATACCGCTGCGATGGCGATATGCAGATGGAGGAAAGTCTCATAGAATGCATGACGAATAGGCGAGGGCGAGTGCAACAAGAGGGTGGTGAATGCACAGGCAGCCACCAGGCCGGTCATCAAGAAGCTGCTGTGGCTCAGAGCAATACCAACAACTTTCCAGCCACTTTCTTGGCCTTTGGGAATAGCCCATGCAAGCACATGTGCAAGACTCTCCAGCACCACAATGCGTCCTAGCCACCGGTGAAGCAGGTTCCACGTATCAAAGGGCACATGGAGCATAGCAATCAGAGGATTGTTACGACCAGCCATGATAACCAATGGGATCAAGTTCACGGTAGCCATTGTGCCAGTACGGTTACGAACAATACCAGCAAGTGTGTCTTCCTTGGTTCCATAGGGAGTTGTCACACAGCAAAGGGTGACGTTCATGGCGATGACACCAGTGATAAGGAAAGCATGGAAGCGGCTGGGCAACGTACCCATGTTGAGAGCCGACGAGAGCTGGAGCTCACGGTTGTGTCGGCTGCGGAACAAAGCCGCATAAATGATATGCTCCTTGATCCAGGCAAACGTATCATGTGTGGAGACGAAGTAATTCTGTCGGTCATCACCGAAGCTTGCCAGTCGCCGAAGATGGCGGGAGAAACCGAAAGCAAGCTGCCATATGTAATAAGCGGCGGCAGCACAACCAAGAGCGAGAATTGCATAGCGTGCCAATTTATCATTGACAGCTTCGTGGAACATTTCTTCGACACCGCCACCCCCGGATCGTTTTTCGATATGTTCGATGTTCGTCGCGCTAGTCAGTCCGGCCAGGGACATAGCCAGAAGAAAGGGCTGCATGATACCCCACGAAAGACGTTATACGTCAATACTCTATATCGGAAATTGTTCGCGATTTAGCGAGACCAGCTCGCTAAGAGAAGTAAGGATGAAAAGAGAATTTTGGTCTCAAAACCGACGCCACAGAAGGCGCGGATGATATCGTCGAGAAGCAAGACCGCAGAGGAAACAACCCCAGGTTGTTTGTGTACAATTGATGGAAAGAAGGATCGTAGGATGATATGTCGTTGGGTGACTGGTATCGAGTACAGGACCTGCCTAGATCTAACGTAGAGAAATCACTGGGAAAGCATGGAAAAGCTGGTTGTTGCAAGTTTCTCGACCCAATTGGTTTCAGCAAGGAGCAAAAAGGTCCAGATAATAGCGGGGATGGTCGTTAAAGACTGTTCGTGTCGGTGGGCAACGAGAGGAATGCTGACTGCAACAATGGGCTAAAGATGGAAGATTGTCGCGTGGAACAACGGGGATTATGTCTCACAAAGAAAGACGAAAGACATGAGACAATGTGGATTGTAGAGTTTCAAAAACAAACGACAATGGCACAATGAAGATGCCGAATTAGATAGAGAAAGGACCGTTTGCCCTTGTCCAGGTCAGTACGGAGAGAGAGTGTGTGAGAGTCAGACCCAACCGAATATGTAGAATTCACAAGGCACATAGGCACGGCCCGCACGATGTCATGTTATGTAACTGATCAATTTGATGAATTTTGCTTTTCATTTCCCGGACTTTTCTCAATCTTTCTTTATTCGCTATGAGAGGGGTTTGGCGCGAAGACAGATCGGCTCGAGGGACTACCATCTGGAGACAGGGGAAGCCGATCCCTGCAAATCATAGAGTTTAACGAATGAAATATTCATTCCAGATCGCTTGAAGAATCTTCATCGGAAGATTGGGACTTTGAACACGCGACAGGTCGAGTTAATCTGTAACAAAAGTGGAGGGTATACCGATCAAGGCTATGACTGGTCAGCGATGAAACAGCCACTGTGCAGACAGTGTTTGACGAGCGTCAACGAGCGCCACAGGAGTCCGTCGTCGATCCATCTCGAGCCTTGGCCTACGACTGGCTGTTTGAGAAAGAACCCCTGCTTCGTCGATGAGCCAATCATCTGCAGTGAACGTGGTAGCGTTGTGGGGTAGGGGAAAAGGAGGTTGTGCAGTAATTCTTGACACTCGAGGGTCTCTTGTGTCCATTAGCGCTCATATCAGCGTATCAGCTCCGTCATAACCATTGGAATGACCGGAGATCACACCCAAATGCAGGTTGATGAGACAGTCCGGTCATAGGCTATTGCCATTTCAAGCCGCATTGTAAAGCATAAATCGAGGGTCTCTGGCTTCAGGGGTCATTTCTTGGCGCAGATTTCATTTATATCAAACCTGGACATTCCACGAGGCATTCTGTCCGAGACACGGCGTGTCATATCCCCTCATAGTGTAGATGTTGTTTCTCGGTGGTGCGGTGGTTTCGGCCCGTCGGGGCGAAGAGCTGATCACGGGATGGCTACATCGTAGGGACCATATGCTCCATAAGTGCTGGGATCCTGCCGATCTACTACAATAAGCTACACGCCATATCTTCCGTATCAAATAGAGTAATTGTAAAAAAAAAACTTCATTGTCCGGTGAATGCCCGTCCAAGTGACGTCTTTGCATCAATGCATAGGCACCGCATATTGAGATTCAGGTCCGAGGTCTCGAACACGGGGAACTGGGATGAACGCAGGTATTCGACACAGTATTTGCACATGAGAAGCAAAGAGAAAAGAAAAGAAAACACCAATCCACGACCAAGGGTATCAAAACAAAATTCCAAAACACCGATCCCCAAAACAAGGCGGACCTCCCATATCCACCGTTTCTTCAAATGAGATGCTTCAAAAACTCTAACATTCGGTCAAGCTGGACCACAGGGACAGTCAGGATATCCAATGCTCAAGAACGAGACCTGTCCGTGTTGTGATGTAACAGACGCCAGAAGAGGAAAACCTGCGGGAAAAATGGCCCGCGTCCGAAGTAAGAGCAGCCAGGGAAAAGATCAGGTGACCCGCTTAGAGGAAGCTAAGCTCGTCATCACTGTCGTCATCCTGGGGATAGGGAATGATTGTCTGTCGGCGAACAAGTGGCTCGACAATCGGGCGCATAGTTGAAATTGGATGGCGCGTAAACCTTGACCGCTCCACTGTACGATGAACCTGCTTTGCGACACGCTCCGGAGTAGGTCGGACGATAGGCAGGCCCGGGCTGCTTTCTTTATCGTTGATGATGACGACTTCGACTTTGCTCGACTGCTTTGCTGCAGTAGCCGTTCGTCTAGTGATATTGATGCTGCGTTCTCGCAGGACGTCACGGCGAGCGACTGGCTGAACAGTAGAATTCAATCGAGTTGGGGTAAGAGACTGTCTTGAGTCGCGCCGTTCACCACTGTCAACTATGATCACGGGAGTGGGTCGTCGTCGTTTCCGGGGCTGCGTAGATAAGGAATCAACGTTCTCGAACGTTCGCTTAATCGCCATCGGCGGAGGTGATGAGGTGAGGCTTGAGGCAGAGTCCGAGACCCAACCAGGTTCCGATGAACCGCTCTCCGTATCTGTAGAACATGCGCTAGATGGCATTGGGCTTGATAGCATGCGCATGGGTCTTTGGGCCACTTGCGCTATTATTATCGGCTTTCTCTTCGATACTGGTGTACGTGCCACCCACTCGCCTATGCTATCTTCCCAGCGGAACAGACCCATGCTCTGACTAGACTGCTCCGGCTGCTCTGCAGAGTCTTCCGGGGTTTCTTTCTGCCTTTGCCTTGCGACGACCGCCTCTTGGACATCGACAGCCCACACGTGGTCATCCGGATCACCTGTAGCTTCTGCAAAGATCATGGCCGCCTCTGCAGCGCTTCGTCCAAGGAAAGCAGACAAGCCTGGGGTGTCGGCTAGGCAGGTGAGTCGCGAAACCATGTCCCGTATGTCTTCACCAGTGTGTTCGGGCTCATCTGGTGCGGTTGCTCTAACCCTAAGGCAGCGGAATGCTTGTTGCACAAATAACGCTAACTCTTTGATCATGTCTGGGCGAGATGCTATGATCTCTGCACATTCATCAACACTGGCAATCGGCGTTATCATATGCTGATCGTCATCCAATAAAATGGTGTCGTTGCACTGTACAAGGCAGGCGGCCATCAAGACGCAGCCACGCCGCAATAACTGGTGAGGGGTAATAGAGGGCCGCTGCCCTACAGACTCTGATGCCAAATGTCGTTGTAAAGCAATATGGATATAGCTGATGAGATGGGTCGCCTTCGTTCCATCCGCGCGACAAATGTCATCACTGGCACGAGACCGTGAAATATGCATACCGCAGAGCGCTCCCATGAGACTGATGACATGATTGCTAAGTGCATCTTCCACCTGCAAGGGGCACGGCCGCACGAGGTTCGACATTTCCGGTTCAGTGGAGGTTGCCCGAGTCGCACGGGCACAATCACGAGCAGTCTTTCGCTTAACTGGCAGCTTCGAGGGAGAAGACTGGGCAGGCAAATCAAGGCGAACATCGCTAGCCGAGAGCAGCACTGCTTCAATCAATCGTGAGGCCGCCGGGAAGTCCTCATCCTCTTTCGAAACGGATATGGTAGCTCTGGTCATCCAGCTTGTCCATAATTTGGTTCCCATCCACTCTGGGGGCAGCACACCCCGTAACAGAAGCTTTGCCAGTTCATCAAAAATGTAAGAGCGACTGGCAGCGCCATGTTGGGCATATTTGCGCAATAACCGGATAGGGTCCGAAGGGTCATGGTCAACTATTGGTCTTACCCCCTGGGGGTATGAATAACTGTTGCGGGTGGAAAGCAATGTGGAGAGCAATAAATCACTTTCTTCGGGTGCAAATGAACGACATTTTTCAATCAGCGCGCAGGCAATTGCGTCTGTTATCCAATGATTCTGAATCATAGTAGAAACCAAGTAGATGCCCTGGGCGCGGACCGCCTCCCGGAGTGGCTTCCAACCATTCCCGTAAGGCGCATAGTATGCTTCCAACTCTGTAAAGTATGCATCGCACATATCTTCGTCCCCATCCTCGTCCAACTCATCCTGCTCTTCTTGTTCCTTCGCAATAAAGTCAGGTAAGCTTCGCGCCACCATCGACAGCAACGAGCGTGCACCACGCCTTGGGGTTTCGGGTGAGAGCTTTCCTTCACGTCTCGAGGTGGCTGTATTGTAAAGGAAGTTCTGGAAGACACGATCAAGATTGCGGGCGATGTGGGCGAAGCCCGGGTCACCAGACTGGTCCAAAAGTTCTTGCCAGGGACTTTTGTGAAATGAGTATCGATTGCGGAAGGCTTGCGGTTGCGGTGACTGGGCGTTCGGGTCGATCCGGCCTACAGAGCGTTGTGACTGCGCACTCGAGGGCATCTCCCATCTCCTTCCCGTGATGAGCGGTGTCGCGACCTGAATGGCACCAGGCAGGGTGCGCGGAGACTCCGGACTTCTTATCGACAGTCTAGTGCGCTTCTTGCCGCCGTTTTCCTCTGTTTTGGACGAATACTTATGTCTGGCTTTGCGTCGCTCGGACTTTCTCCCTGGAATCCATGCTGGGTCGGTCTCGTCCGGGTCCAAATCCGAGTCTGGGCAGTTTCGTCCGCTTGCAGCGTTCAGTCGGGATTCTAGAGCAGACGCGTCTGTTTCTTGTGCCTTCTCTTGTAGTTTCGACTCGGTCGCGATCATCAACAACGTTTCTTTGTGCTTCGCGATTCGACGGCAGATGGAGGTCAAGGGGCGCAGGACACGGTTTGCCCATTTCGCAGTGCATTGGGCGTCCTCCATGGATAAATAGAATAGCGATATCTACCAATATCATACAACTGGCGAAAGTATCAGCACCGTCACAGGTCGTCTGGGTTTTGGAGTTCGCACTGCACCAACCTCGCCGTACTGACCACCTCCTCAACAATGCATGATAAGAACAATAGTGGCACTCTACCTACAAGGTGTTGCCAATAATGCAGCAATAATCCAATGTAGTTAAGATATGCCGAGGAAGTCAAGGACGCGTTAAGTGGGAGCTGGGTGACAACATTTGGGACACCCGGAAAACAAATAAAACAAACATGGACCAATGCGGTAAAGCGTCTCCGGTGTCAACATATTGCCATTTATGGCGTAGCTCTAGCCCTGTAAGTACTGTGAACTCCGTACTGTGATAACTACTGTCCAGATCCTGAATTAACATATGCATGGGACTCCAAATATTGACATGTAAACGTAAATGAATTCTACCCAGAAATAGAAAATGACCCAAGTCGCAGATGCAAAATCCAGATGCAAAGCCGTAGAATGCACCAGATATGAACCCATGTAAGACAACCGAGTCCTTTCCATGCGATGCCCAAGAGACAACCCAACCTGGCAGACGAAAACCAATGATAATAAGAGAGAGGAGAGAGATCTAATATACAACAGTTCTTTTCGCTCATCAAGCCTGCCCACTGATCCCCAAACGACAATGGATATAATGGGATTTGACTGTTAACACAAGTGACAACCAAGAAATTTAATACGGAACCCAACTCATGCCTTAGACTGCTTGGAACCACGGAGCTTAGGATTGGCGGCACGCTTCTTCTGCTTGGAGCGAGAAGACGTGGCGTCGCTGCCTTCAATGAACTTCAGAAGCTCATCAATGCTGCGGGAGTCAAGACCCGAGGGATCGGCAGGGGCTGTGATTTCGGGCGCGGTCTGGCCAACCTGGGGCTGAACGCGAGTGCCCATAGAAGACACACGAGGGTTGATGGGGTTGCGGCGCAGACGACGGGCCTGGATGTCCTTAGCGTGCTTGGCGATAGAGACAGCGTTCTGGGTGAGCTGCTCGAGCCAGTTCTCGGCCTCCTTGGTGTTGCGGTCCTCAGCTCCGAGCTGAGCAAGGAAGATGTTGTACGCCTCGCGCATTTTGCCGACTGCAGCCTTGGAGTCCTGGTCCAAGGCGAGAGCCTGGGCGAGCTGGAAGAGAATGGTGGCGGTGTTGATGGAGTCCCTGCCAAACAGGTTCTCGCAAACGGCAAGAGAGGCCTCGAACCACTTGCGGGAATCGGTGTACTGCTTGAGGTGTTGCAGCATCACGGCGGCGTTGTTCATGGTGGTGATGGAGTCGGGGTGGTTAGGACCGTAGATGATCTTCCAGACATCCATGGCGTGCTTGATGTACACCAAGGCGGTCTTGGTGTTACCAGAAGCATGCTCAAACAGACTCAGGTTAAGGTAGCTCAGAATAGTGTCAGCGGAATCGACACCCAAGGTGCGCTCGGTAACGATGACAGCCTTGCGGGCCAATTCAACGGCAGCCTCCTTTTCATCAGTCTGGTAGTACAGCATGGAAAGCTGGTGGTAGAGCTTAGCAACCTCGGGGTGCAAGATACCGTAGATCTGCTCGTGCAGGGACAAGGACTCCAGGATGAGCTCCTGGCCCAACTGCTTCTGGTTCTGCATGAGAGAGATACGACCGGCTTCCAGGGCCTCCTCCGCCAATGCGCTGCGGGGAGAGGCATCACGGACCAAGGGAACGACATTCAGGATGTCATCCGCGGTGAAAGTGACCGCGGCCTTAGCCGGCGCCGGGGCGGCGCGGGCTGGGGACTTGTTATCACCGCCCTTCTTCTTGCCCTTCCGCTTAGGCTGCTGCTCTTCGTGAGCAGAGCCGTTAGTGACAGGAAGAACGATCTGTTCCTTGACCTGGGCCTTAGTGAAGGCAAAGTCGCGGGCTCCGAGCTGGAGACCCAGCTTGATCGAGATATCACGCAGAAGCTGCAAGTGCTTCAAAGAGTTGGCCCAGTCCTTCTCGAGGGAGAAGCGGAAGCGAATTGTGACCTGCTTCTCGATATCGGCGCGGAGAGATTCCGGAGTGACCTTCTCGAAGGAGAAGTCACCCTCCGGGAAGATTGCACGCAGAGATTCGTCAATCTCCGCCTTGGGAGTGGCGTTGACATCGGCACCGAGAAGACAGTTCAGCAGGTGAGCAAGGCAGGGAGCGACAAAGGGTGCGGGGAGGTTGCTAAGGTAACGGTTGGCAATGTGCTTGAAGGCACGAGTAACCATCTCCTGGACCAAAAGGGTAGACAGGGCCTGCAGGCGAGGACCCTTCTCGGTGGACTGCTGAGCCAACTTTCCGAGGTAACGAATGTTGATACCACGCTTGTGCAGCAGCTGGGTCAGCGATTGGCCGTCCATGGGGAAGCCGACGTCGCCATCGTGCAGGTCCTTGAGCAAATCGGGGATAACCTTGGAACGCAGGTGATCGCAGGCATCACGGACTTCCTGCTCATCCTTTGCCCATTGTTCCTTCTCCTCCTCGGTTTGGGGAACCTGGCCGCTGAAGACATCGGGGTTCAGAGCCAGCTGGAATCCGGAAATGTCAACTCGCTCCTGCTCGGCGTTCTCTTCCTCGGACTTGCCGTCCTTGGCGGCCTCAGCGCTAGCAGCCTTGCGACGCTCCACCTCAGCCTTCACGTACTGGCTCATCTTGTGGCGCCAGTAGGACTCGACCAACTCAAGTCTCAGGACGGACATACGGTGGGGGTAGACATCGCTGCCATCCTCTTCCTGCCACTCGGCATCCAAAGGAGCCACGCGGTAGAGATCCAGGACGTATTTTCGGCCATCGGTACCCAGAAGACCCTTGGTCTCCACGCTACCTTCCAGGTCGTGGCGCTTGTTGTCCTTATCCCAGACAGGGTGCTGCTTGACACGCAGCGCCTTGGAGAGCTTCTCAAAGACGGGGACAAAGTCGGGGTGGGTAGCCACGACCTCCTTGCCCTCAACACCACCGTAGTCAATTTGGTGCTCGCCGGGCTCGCGCTGCTTGAAGATACCTGGAACAATGCTCTGGCCAACAATACGCTTGCCCAAGTAGTCAACTACAACGGTTCCGGGGGTGAACAATCCATCGATATCGAGCTGGTTAACAGCCTTGATTCCAAGGACGTCCTTGCCTACGGCCACACGAGCGGCTTCGTCGCCACCCTCAGATGTGAAAGTGCCAACGCCATCAGCACCGAAGGAGTAGAAGATGTTGTTGTAGACAAAGATCTGGGCGTCCCGCGCCTCAGTGGGGTTCAAGGGAGCAACCTCGCCCCGAGCAACCAGGACTGCACCGCGAGCAGCAGCCTCGTTGTAATCGGCGAACAGCTTGGAGGTCAAGCGCTCCCGGAACACACGATCCTGGACGGTCTCGCGGGGCAGCTCACGGGTTGTCTGGAACTCCTCGTTCCAATCACGCAGAGTCTCAGCGTTATCAACACCAGAGATCAGGTAGTTCTCCTGCGAACGGGTGATATCGGGCTGGTGGGCATTCAAGCTCGAAACACTGGGGGCGATGAGCCATGGGCTGTTGGGAATGGCATTCTGGAAGGGGAAGGTGGTCAAAAGATCCTTCTCATTGTTGTACTCCTGCAGTGCCTCGAAGGAGGCATCGAACGAGGGGGAGAGCTGGGAGATCAGGGTGAGCAGAGAGTGGGCGCTGCCCTTCTTCGGGTGTGTGGGTTTAGGGAACGGGTCGAATCTGGCGCTGGAGCACTTGTTCACGAAGAACCCAGACACATGAGCGGTGATTTGGAACTGTTCACCCTCATTGGTGGCCACCACGAGGTAGAGCAAGTGACCCTTCTGGCGGAGGTTGTACGGAACAGGGTTCCATGAAGACAACGAGATAGATCTCACTGTCTTTGGCAGAGGGGCCTGTGTGGTGGGCAGGATAGTCTGCAACGAGGATTCTCCATTCAGGTCATATTTGGAGAGCGAGTGTTCCTTCTCCGACTCGCTGGCCTTGGTAGCGTCCGCCGAAATAGCATCGTGCAGGGACAGGCCAGCAGAGATACCGTGAAGGTTGTCAACACGGTCACCAGAAGCGCCAAGCAGCTCCCTGATGCGCACAACGTGCATGCGAGCCTCCTTCTCGGTGTAGGGATCCTCGACCAGGACAATCTCGGAGTCGGCCTGAAGGCCTGGCACCTCGGACAGCTCGACAAAGTCGTTGATACGGTTGCCGTTGAATTCGAGATGGAAGCAGGTATATTGGAATGTTCCCGGTAGCTCGACGATCGATTGGCGGACATCCTGGACCTGCTCTTGATTGGACACCTGAGGAAGATAACAAGTCAGATGAATTTTTCCTCTCCATGACCTTTCAGAACATCAAACCTACCATGACGGAAATCTTATGCGGCGCATGAGGCAACTTCACGGTGATCTGGAAAAGACCTAGAACTGAGTCAGAATGTAGTTATACATTTCTACGGCCAGTGGACAACATACCACCGGCGTTGTCCTCCTCCGTGCCCTCGGGGGCATTGCCATTGGCAATCTCTTGGGAAGCTTGGGGAACCTCTGTTCCTCCGTTAGCATGCGTACCCTTCAACTTATAGTACCTGATATTTCCATGCTGTGCTCCAATGGACGTTGACCAGCATCGAGTCTTCAATTGAACCAAGACACACCTTTCGAGTGCTCCAACTCCCCATTGGTCTCTGCCATTATGTCGATACAGTTATGAAAGAAGCTTCAACAAAGTAATGATAGCAACCTCTATCTCGCAACCGTTGTACCGGTGAGAGACGAAAGTTCGGGGAAATGGGAGGGAAAGAGAGGTAGAGGACCTGCGGGGATAGGGCAGGTAGAGCAGAATTTTAGTAGAGTATACAATTGAAGAAATGAAGCAAGAAACAGAACCCCGTACCCCAGGAAGTTTGATAAAGGAAGGATGAATGGATCGGTGAAACTGGGAAACCGGAGAGAAAATTTCACGGATGCGGCATTCCCTCGGAAGTGCTCGGGCGGTGGGTTCGGGGAAGGGCGCGGAGGTTCTCCACAAAGTCGAAAGTTGACATCTTGGAAAAAGAGGGTTTCCGGTTTACTGAGTTCTGGATCGGGGTCTATATAAGAGTTGTATTTGTATGTATTTTGAAGCTCTCTGAAACCTTGATTAGCTTCATCTCGAGGCCCTTGCAGAGATCAATGAGAAGATTTGGGTGCCTCAGGAATCAACTTATACTGCGATGCGTCAATGTACACCGTGGCATCTCAGCTCATAGGTTCCATTGTCGGCCTTGTAGGTTTCCAAGATAGAACCTTGCAAGGTCCTCCCGCGGGCAGAGTATGTCCGTTGTATCCAACATCCCATCTAGGCAGTTTGAAATGGCGTGGGCTGCCCGGGTACAGCGGGAGTATTATATATCCCGCACTTATTGTGATGCTAGTGTAGCAGGTTTAGGTCCTTGGCTCCTCGATCTAGAGCTCAATTCCAACAAGATGCTTCCCCTTGACCAACACTCAACAGGATCAAATTCGTTCCGTGCTGATAGCAATCCACCACCAAGCAAGTATAGACTTTGTATTAGTTAGTCGTTGGTAGTCCAAGTAAACAACAAACATGATCACATGATCTAAAATAACGTGATTTTAAGGGCACAAGAAAAGTGGCAGTGCACAGGAGAGGTGGCAGTGCACAGGAACTGGCCAATATGATTCCTGCTTGGCGACTGCTTTCCTCTCGATATCTGGTTGGAATCCCCTTTAGATTGGCTCTTATCCGAAGGGGGAGGGGTGTCTGTATCAATCCTCCTAAATAGACTTTTCCTTGTGTTTTCTTTGGCTTCTTTGCTCAGAACACTCTTTTGTCTCTTTTTCATTCAACATCGTCTCCAGACACGACACGTCATCCCCTGAAGGCGTGGCTTTACGGAATCCATAAAGCTAGAATTCTAGCAGTACTCTCCTTCATTGTGTTTGTTCAAACAGACCCCACACAGATTATCTGTTGGATTGCGCTTGACAAACCATACCAATTTTCACTCCTTCTCAACAACCTTTGCTAAAGTAATCTACATCCCTGCTTTGCAACCCCGGCGTACATTCGCCAAGAAGTCAAACCAGGATGCTATGGAGCCGACTTGCGCAGCCCGCAAGGTCCTATGCCCGACATGGCCTGCCGAGGCCACTCAGATTTAACAATCGCGTTGTGGTGCATACACCCAAGCGGTTCAACTCTTCCCCCCAAGGCACTGGGCAAATGACGCCAGACCCCACCGACCAGAATGACTCGGATGAGGGCAGCGGAAAAGGTGGCCGTAATGGCGATTCAGACCCCAACTTGAAGTCTACGATTCTCAAGATGCTTGAAACTGCTGCAACAACAGCAGCATCAATTGCTGTCCTAGGGTAAGGTATACCCATCGGATTCGAGCTATGCCTTACCGTGGCTGATTTCTCCGAAGTGCGGCTGGATACTGGTACCACCAGTACTACAAGTATTTGATCTTGGACAAGATGGACAATGCGTTTTCCCCAGGTGACCCTGCGCTCGAAATTGCCGGTGTTGAATATGGAAAGCATCAATATAACCATGAGGAACACTGGGTCGTTCGCAGCGAGCAGTCCAAGGTTGATGATATCATAGCTGGGCGACAGAAGGGTCACTACTATTTAATGATTGGCGAAAAAGGCACGGGGAAGACCTCAATGTTGCTGGAGGCCATGCGAAAGATCAATGGAAACAGCTGTGCCATGTTTGAAGCGCACGCCGACCTTGAGATCTTCCGGATTCGACTGGGCAAAGCTTTGGACTTCGAGTTCCATGAAGAGTAAGCCCTTATTGCCATTATCATACAGCTTCCATGCTAATGAGGGGTTTCTAGCTATATTGGCAGCCTTTTCAGCATTCGAGGACCAAGGGACACCACGGCGCTCTTGGACATTGAGCGCGCTTTCAACAAGCTTGAGAAAGTGGCGCTCACCAGAAGGCGCAATGGCTCCGGTCCTTTGGTCTTGATCATCAATAGCACGCATCTGGTTAGAGATGATCATGATGGACAGGATTTACTTGAGATGATTCAGCAGCGCGCCGAGCAATGGGCAGCCAGTGGGCTTGTCACAACAAGTAAGTGAACCGGCGAACGCTTATTCTGGCATAACTAACCTTGGTGGTTTTAAAGTTCTTAACAGTGATGATTATTGGGTATACGAGCGCTTGAAGCGTTACGCCACCCGCATGGAGGTCATTCCTGTGACGGATTTACCCAAGGACATGGCGATGTCTGCTTTGAAGAAATATCGGCAGCAGTTCCACGACGAGGTACTCCCACCTCCGATTCTCGAGCAAGTCTACGACAAAGTTGGTGGTCGACTATCTTTCTTGAACCGCGTGGCCAAGTCCCAGGATCTCATGAAAACGTGCGACGAGATTTGCCAAGCCGAGAAAACGTGGTTCCTGAACAAGTGCTGGATTCTCGGAAAGGAGATGGACGACGATGTGATGGACGAACAGAAGTATTCTGTAAGTACCTACCTCGGACACACCTTGTTCTTCGTTCCTGCCATCTAACATAACTCACACAGTCTGCCGCTATGGTTCTGGCCAAAGCGTTGGTCGATCTGGAAAAGGAGATGGGCTCAAACTACGACCCAGAACGGGGCCATATTCTACCGGAGATCCCGCTCCACAAGGCGCGTCAGATCATGACCCGTGCTGATTTCATCCAATCTTACGACCATGAAAATATCTTCACGATTGATTCGCGAGCTTCGGTGCGTGCTGATTCGGTACCTATGCAGCGTGCTTTCCGAGAAATCTGCTCTATCGAGAACTTCGATGAGTACTTGGAGGGCACTCTGGAGCGCATTGGAGATATTGAGAGTCTTGGCCGCACTCGCGAGTTGACTATCAAGGATCTTTGGGACAGTGGTAAATATCGCGTCGTCGTGCGCGATAACCGCGGACGAGAGAGTGGGACAGTCGAGTTCGCTGTGGCCCAACGTGAAGGCGAAGATGAAGATTAGTGGTTCAACTTTTGTATAAATATGCAGCTATATACCGAGTATTGCACGCAGGGAGATTATCACAGCTTTACGCCCATTCGATTTCTAAGTTAGGTTCCACACCTGGAACGAGATGTTGAAATTATCGCGAATTGATTCATCAAACGCTCGTATTGTAGGGCAAGAGTTCTTCTAGCTTAAGCTCAATGGATGTTACTTCCATAATTCAGAAACTCACTTGAAAGGAACTTGAAGGATTCATATAGTTACTGCCCGTGTAAATCCAGAAAGTATGTCTTCCACGTATATGACGCCCATTGGCTTGAGATCTTCAGCTGCCGCTTTGATGGCCGCGTTGCCTGGCGGACCTTATCATTCAGCTGCGGAGTGCCAGTCTGAGTCTCGACTCTCGAGTCGAGTGCCATGGTACCTCTTCGTATCCAGATTCTACACAGTAAGAGCTCCAACTTTAAATTAGCTAGAACAGGTATTGAGCTGGGCAAATCATGACATCATCGTATCTTCACCGCCCACCAAACATTCCACCCGCGCGTTTTCTCTTTCAAACCTCAGTCAATAGCAGCAATCGCAGATAATTTTCGCTTCAATCTTCCCCGCTGGAATATCATCAGACATGTCATCAGGAAGCTCCAGGAAGCGAACTGTGTCGTGGAGCGAGAGCTCCCTGGCGCGCGAGTCGCACGCGACCCCCTCCAGACTGGCGAGCATCCCCTCCCCCGCCCGCTTCGTCCTAGTTGTCCTGAGCAGCCTTACTGTGAGCTCTGTTCTGTTTACATTTACCTCCTCATTGACGGCGGGCGATCTCGGGCCTATCAGCAAACACCTCGAGGAATGGTGGGAGGTCGCGGGTTTGATCGGCTGGAGGGCCATAGAGGTCGGCCTAGCTTGGATTCTTGGTTATGATGGTGAGTACTGCGTACCCCCCGCAGCTTCCACGACCCCTTACATGTTGTGTCCGAGCTTCCTGGAGCTATGTAGATGTACGAAAGAAGCTAATCTTGTGTGATCATTCAAAACAGGCCGCGATGTGGCATCGTTCCTATTCTTGACCCACATGCCAACATACTCTCTCTTGACTTTCTTCTATGGCATCCGCCCGACCTCAGCACTGATCACAATTGGCGTCACGATTGCCTCGACAGCACTTCCGTTCGCGCTCCTGCGCCGGCCCTCGCGTGTCCACGATCTTTCGCATACGCCTGCCGATGCAATCGCCAATCGCAACATTCTGCAGGACAAAACTACCACGGTCTTGACTACGATTCTCGCAGCCTCAATTTTCACCGTTGTGCTCTACACCAGCTATGCGACTTGGCTTCCTGCACGGTTGGTCGTTCACTTCGAGGGTCTGCCGGATATCAGTGCTGCGCATGCAGGCCCTGCCGGCTTCCCAGCGCTCTTTCTGACGCTGATCCCTGCTGGTTGGGCGGCGCGCGACTTTTTGTTCGTCAGCTCCACTGGCTATTCGACTCGTGCCACGCAATCCGCCAGCTGCCAGGGCTTGACTGGCAGTATTTGTCGCAATACCTGGGGCAAACTGTCTACCAAGACTAGAATTTTGATCTCGCGGTCCATTGTTCTTGCCCTTGGCATCCAGTTGAATACCATTGTTCAGGTGGCGGGCACAGTCAGAGATGTCTCTGTTGAGGGCGCGGCTACTTGGGGAGCAGTCTGGGCTTTTGCGTCTGTCGTTACAGGAGCAGCATTTGCCTGGATCGAAGCTGTCGATGGTGTATAATCTCGTGCACCTCGATAACGTGAGAGGACGGGTACTCAGGTGTTGCTTTTTTCATTTCAGCTGCGCCTGGTGCGTGAGGGGGTAGAATGCTGTGATACGCATTCTGCATTTCCCGAATTTTTATGATGCTGTTGGTCTCAATGACAACGTCATTGCCATTGCATTGATCGGCCGTGGGGCGATTGGTGTGGATCACTTCTCCGGTATCTACTGCAGCTGTCAAAGTGGTTAATTTGCTTCAGGGCGTTTCGATTACCCTTTTGTTCTTGTTTTGATGTACTACTGTGTACTTCTAAGTTATTGAGAATTCAGGCCTAATTGTATGAACGCTGATATTGTACTGTATGCTGCATGCAACTAATACTACATTCTAGGGCCATCAACAAAACAATTCCAAGTCATATACACATTTCCCATAATCATGAAACCACCCATCACCAATTAGTCAACGGCCCCTGATATCTCTCTCTCTCCATCCTCTCCACCCCCAATCCCTCCCCTACCCCCTCCTCTTTCTCCTCATCCCTCTCACTAATCTTCTCAGGCAACAACCACCCAGGATGCAAAACATTAAAAACCCCAACCGAAACAACCATCATAGCCCCATCCAACGCAATAAAATACGCCTCATGCGTAATCAAATACCCCTCCCAGCCCTGCGAAAGCTCAATCGTACGATAAATACTCCTCACATAGATACAAATAATCGACAGTATCATCGCACCAAACAGCGGAATCGTCGCTCCGACCAGTAATCGTCTCCGCATCGTCCGGCGCACGAAATCGATTGCGCATGCGACGAAGATCGTTATCGAGAATAGTTGGAATACGATTCCGGCAACCATTATGTGTGTGCCTGGTGCTGTGTTGCCGTTGATCTTGTCGGCTTCGCCGGAGGCCATGCCGCCGCCGATGGCTTGCACGACTAGCGAGATTACGTCGCAGGTGCAGAAGATCCAGAGGTAGAGGGTTGGCTTTAGGATTGAGGTTGATGGTCCGAGGAGTTGGATGAAGCGGCCTAGAAGGACGTAGATTCCGGCTGTGAAGAAGGTTGGGGCTGGAGAGGTGTTAGTCTACTAGTGTATTGGGTGTGTTTTGGATGTTCGTGAGGGGCTTTACCGATGATGAGGGTGGAGATTTGCATTAGGAAGGCGGTTGAGTTGTAGGGACATTGGGCTGACCAGGTTCGACCGGCCCAGCCTATTACTTCGACTGTTGGGTTTGTTTTAGTATGGTGGTTGCGGTAGGGTTGGGTTTGAACTTGATATGGGCTTAGGGCTTCACTTACCCAAACAGCCGATGCTGAATACACTTGCCCACCATTGTCGTTTCCAGGTAAATTGGATTGTGTGGAGGATCATCGAGAGACCGAAGAGGACGCAGAAGGCGATTCCGGCTCCTAGTGAGGGGACATATCCGTATGGGGCTGGGATGCCCTCAATATAGGCGGGACATCCAATGCCCAGTCGTATCCTTTCGGGCATCGTGAAGAGAGGGGTGTTTCGCAGTGTATATCCAAAAGTCGATGATAAAGCTAATGAATAGGATATAGTAGGGTATTGCTGATCAGGTTGGAAGAATAGAGGAGATTCCAGAGACCTTTGTAGAACGGAGATTTATAGACAATCCCACCGTTTGTCCCCAATATGAACGCATAGGATAAGGAGAGAAAAAGACAATCAGGCTACAATAGGCAGGAGTGCGCCATGGAACTTAAGTCAGAGTAAGCAGTGAACCTTGCCCAGCAAAAGCCTCTTCATGTCCAGTATCAGACCCGCATCGGAGCCGGGAAGAACCAGGCCCGCTCGCGTGGCTCTTACCAGAGCGGGTTGATAAATGGGCCGGCCCCGGTTTGAAGAGAAAGAGCATAGAAGAGAGAGAGATTCTTCTAACCATTACATCCATGTCCATTGTGTCCATTTGAACTAACTATAGACCTCTAGCCTCTCCCCCTCCATGACATCAAAAGCTATGATGAAAGAGAAAAATCTCCCATCGATCTCGATTCGGGCCGAACTGCCGAAGTATAGAAATCGACCGGCGCACGCTCGCAAGACCAGCCCGTTTAAGTTTAGCGTCTTGTCTCAGCCCTAGATTGACCTTTTTCCTTTTTTATCTCCGCACCTTACATCACAGTAACTAGAGACTCGTACAATTAATATAGAGTAGACATTCTGTGAATGGTATGAGTCAAAAACAAATCGGGCAGGAGGGCTGAAGGGAATCCGACAGTTTACGTGCGGCTCAACTGTGTAATTGGAGGATCCCTCGGAAGATCGGAAATAAGAGAACTTGGTCCGCGGTCTCGGATCTCAGCGGATGTGGACCGTGCCTTGGTGACAGGGAAGACTAAGAGGTAAGAAAAAAAAAGAAAAGAAATTTAGTGGGATTCCACGTGTTTCGTTGCTTGTTCATGGACATTGATAATCTGAGCCTCTCTACTCTGTACCTTGTGGTCTCGCGAGTAGAGAGTATGTTGTAGCATTAACCTGTGATCCATGCCCATACTGCCTGTTGTAGTGGGGAGCTGTGAGTGTGACGTTCGAGCGTTCCCCTCGTCACTATGTATTGTGTTTATGCAAATACCCTTATGTACACAATTGTTCGATGGTGATTTGATACTCACCTGCCTACGAAGTGAATAGCCAAGTTCAATCAATCAATCAAAGTTCTATTAAGCTGTTGGAGGCTGAGCATAACTAGTAACGTAATAGCTATGCAGACGCTTCTTTCCAGATGAAGCAAGAGCTTGTGTCCCAAAATGAGGCTGATTCTCAAAGTACAGAAAGTGAGGCTGAGTGGGAGTATGATGAGTATCAGCCTATTACATGTAAGTAAACCCATAAAGCCCATAGCCAACTTCCGTACCCAAGATAGTAAGGTCGTCAACATGAACTTCCATCATATACAAGGTACGGAGCATACTCCGTACGCCGTATATATACTGCGTTCTGCCTACTCCCACCATGGCCCGAGAGCCAAATCGCTGAACCTCATAGACGCCATAATCTCACCAACAGTGGAAAACCAACAGAAGGATTTTACTGCGTTCACATCCCAAATTAAGGTCGATGCACGAATATTGTCCTGTCTATTTACATTGACCACCAGATAACAATTTCACCCGAGACCAATTTCCAAACTTCCCAGTCAACTATTCAAGATTCAAACAGAGATCTCAACTACATCGTCCAACTGAAAGGAGATTAACTCGTCTTGGCGGGCTGGATGTCAACGTCGCGGAGCTTTCTGGTTGGATAGATACTTGTGCTCGGCTAGAAAGATGTCATCAATCGGATGATTCCCGGGTGGCGGAGCACGGGGGCTGGATTTAGGTAGGATCTGAAACGTGATACGGTGTCTGCCTCGACATGTGGCTATAGCCTAGGCCCAATGTCCTCGTGGTCTGTAGCAAAACATTCGATATGACTATTATGAGATTTAAAGATACTTCGCTGCTTAGAGGACACTCGAGTTGTTGATCATGAATTGGCATTGAGATACTGAGGACTACGCAGATGAACACGTAACACCTATGCTCAACTAGGCAGTCTTCGTACAATTGATATAGCCATATCTCTAACCAAACTTGGGCATATCATAGACGCCCTCGGGATCTAAGAACAGTCAGTAAGCACGTCACAGACGAAGAAGGAAAGGTAAGCTGCTTACCATTATGATTCTGCTTGATATACTTCCTCGTATCCACGATCCGCTGCTCAAGCTGAGCATTGAGCTCCTGCTGACGAACCCGCACCTTCTCATTCCTCGTTGCGGCACCACGAAGAGCTTGCTGCGCAACGTGGTAACGCGAGACATGGTTGACAAGCATCATGTCGAAAGGCGTGGTAGTGCTCCCCTCCTCAATGTACCCCGCAACGGTGACACGATCCATATTTGGACGTCCAAACAGTAAGCCCTGCAGCTCGGTCGGGTAGCCGTGGTAATTGAAGTGAACAGGCTTGTCGGCGGTGAAAATGTTGTTGAAGGCCTCATCGGACAGGGCATGCGGATGTAGACCCTCGTTCTCGAGAATCATCAGGTCGGTCACGTTAACGACACAGACACGCAGCTCCGGGATGAGTTCGTTCAGCAGCTTGGCTGCCGCAATCACTTCGAACATCACCTCGACGCCAATGCCGGCGAGCACGACGTCTGGGTTTGCTCCGTCATCTGTGCTGCAGAACTTCCAGATCGATGCGCCGGCGCGGCAGTGGGCCTCGGCTTCTTCGGGGCTTAGGTATACTGGCGTTGGTTGTTTCGAGCCAACCATCAGGTTAATGTAGTTCTTGGATTTCAGACAGTGATGGACAGTCGTCAGGAAGGTGTTCGCGTCGGGTGGTAGGTACACGCGGGCTGCGGTGGGCTTCAGTTTGAGGACGGAGCCGATGAAGGATGGGTTCTGGTGGGAGAAGCCATTGTGTTCCTGGCGGGTCCAGGTGCTTGACTCGATGTAGTTCATGCTGCTGACTCCGGAGTGCCAGGTTGTTTCTAGTGCCTACAAATGATCTGATGAGCACGGAATGGATCTAAAGAGTAGAGGCACCTTACCATCTTCATAAACTTGGAGTATTGCACCATCATAGTGTGAATGATACCAAGGAAGCTCTCATAGGAAGGGAAAATTCCAGTGCGGCCGGTCAGGGTATAGCCTTGCATGAATCCCTGACACATGTGTTCGCTAAGGACTTCGATGACACGGCCGCCGCGAGCGTTGGCGAATTCGTCCCATTGGAAATTGCGGTTCGTGTCCTCAAACACGGCATCGAGCTTGTTGCTTTCTAGCTCGTCAGGCGAGAACAGCCGCACTGAAGTCGGGTTGTCCTTGAATGTCTGGTTGATGAATTTGCCAACCACTTTCATCGCGCTCTCCTCGGAGCCTTTTTCCGCGCAGAAAGCTTTCCATTCCGGCATCTTTGGTGGTGTATAGCCATTGTAGACTTCGACCCGCTGGCCAAGCTTCTTTTTGTCGTTGGTGGGAATCACAGATTTGATCTCGTCAATGATGTCGCCGTTCGAAGTGAACAGCTCGTTGGGCTTGTAGCCAGAAAGCCACTTCTGCAGCAAATCCAGCTCTTCCTTGTCTTTCTTTGCTTTCGGCAAAGGAACCTGGTGTGAGTGGAACGAGCCTTCGATGAACTTGCCATGCAGCTGCTTCGGCCCAGACCAGCCCTTTGGAGTCCGCAGAATCAGCATCGGCCATCTTGGTTTGAGGATAGGGTTCCCAGAACGGGCAGCCTTTTGGATCTTGTGGATCTCCTTCACGGCCCACACCATGGAGAAGTGCAAATCCGTATCAATGTCGTTGATGTCCTCCACAAAGCGGACTTGATATCCATATCCACTGAAGAGAGACACAAGCTCCTTGTGGTCCATGCATCCGAAGATGGTCCGCTCACTGATTTTGAACCCATTTACATGCAAGATGGGCAACACTGCACCTGACTCCTTGGGGTCAATGTATTTGATTGCATGCCAGGACCTGTCAGCGGTTAGCGTTGTACAGCGCAACGGGGAAAGTGATCGACGAACGCAGCGGTGGGACCTGATTCAGCTTCTCCATCACCCACGACACAAGGGACAATCAGGTCAGGCCTATCCATGACAGCGCCAAAAGAGACTGCCAGAGCGTAGCCCAGCTCTCCACCTTCGTGGATGGCGCCGGGAGTTTCGGCGTTGATGTGACTGCACATAGGAATTAGTCAATGCATCAAGCAGCAGGGCAAAAGAGGCTCACCTGGGGAAGCCGGAGGTTGTGCTAAAGTTCGAGATCAGATTGTGCAGGCCTTTGCCGTCTCGCGAATACTCGGGGTAGAATTTCTCCAGCGAGCCTTCTAGCCAGAGTGCGGCTAGGATTGCCGGTGCGCCATGTCCTGGCCCGACGACATACAGCATGTCCAGATCCATAGTCCGGATCAAGTAGTTTAGGTGAGAGTATACCAGGATTAAGCCCGGGCATGTTCCCCAGTGACCTGCGGCACGGTATCAGTCTGCTTGATCTTGTTCAATAATTTTGGATCGCTACTCACCCAGTAATCGAGGCTTGACATGGTCAAATGTGAGTTCCGACTTCAGAAGAGTGTTCTCTTGCAGGAATATCATTGCTATATTTTGGGTCAGCCGCGCTAAGCACCTCTATGATTCCCATCGCACTCACCTGCAGCAATGTAGCAAGCCGCTTGACGAAACTTAAACAAGGCATCGCAGGCCTTCTGGTCTAGGTGCCCAGGAGGCACTTCCACGCATAAGTTCTCAAGGTAGTCTGGTAGATGGGATGGCAGTGGTTGCGGATTCGGCTCGCTTATAACTTCGCCAGGCATGATGGATGTGTTTAGTTCGGATCTTGGCGCGGATGATCGACACTGGACCCAAGATGGGGAGGAATGTGAGATGCGATCTAAAATTCTAGAATTCTAAAGTTGATAAAATCTTGTGTAGGAGATGTTGAAAGAAGATCATAAAGAAGATCATAAGAAAATCATAAGTATCGGTGCCACTGAAGATGTTCTGCCTTGTTCTCCGTGGGCGACGTCATTCCACATCCTTAGTCTGACATCATTGCGACAACCCAACATGAGACATTGGAGCCAACAAATCAAACAAATTATTATTTCCAAAGTCTCAAGCAATTCTAGCAATTCCCTACATTACCAACTGTCAGGCTGTCAGCTTCAAAATGCCTAAATCTATCCTCGCTGTCAACGCCGGATCTTCCTCGGTCAAAATCACCTTCTATACTTCGGAGAAGCCGCCAAGAGCTATCGCAGACGCGTCGATCTCAGGAATTACTGCACCCCCACCTACGCTCAAGTATCAACTGGGCGACAAAAAGCACAAAGAAGAAGTCAACGAAAAACTCACCACGCCTCAAGATGCATTCAAATACCTGCTGAAGCGCTGTCTCAGCGACCCTGGCCTGTCCGAAGTCGCCAGCACCGACGACTTGGAGTACGTCTGTCACCGAGTCGTCCACGGAGGTGACCACCGTGAGGCCGTGGAAATCAATGAAGAGACACTGAGCCAGTTGGAAGGATTGGAAGACCTCGCGCCGCTGTAGGCCTACCTTTTCCCCGAATATATATATGGGTCTGAGATTGCCTCGGTATCGCTAACATATCTCCGAAAGCCACAATTTCTCAGCACTTGAGATAGTCCGCCTCTGCAGAAAAGAGCTCCCCAATGTCAAGAGCATTACATTCTTTGACTCCGCGTTTCACCAGACAATCCCCGAAGCGGTGCGCACGTACCCTATCAACCAGAAGATTGCCAAGGCAAATGGTCTGCGCAAGTATGGGTTCCATGGGATCAGCTATTCGTTCATCCTGCGGTCTGTAGCACAATTCCTCAACAAGCCGATCGACAAAACGAACCTTATCGTGATGCATATCGGGAGTGGGGCATCGATATGTGCGATCAAGAATGGGGAGTCGGTGGATACCTCGTGAGTACCCCGTAGTGGATGCAGCCTATTACCGTATTACGTCTACAACTATGCATGAGTTGGAGATGTGCTAACGTAGCGACTAGAATGGGGCTCACCCCTTTGGCGGGATTACCCGGCGCGACACGAAGTGGAAGTATTGATCCCTCGTAAGTTGCTACTAAATGGAACCCCGACAATGCGGCCATGGGAACTGATGATGATGTAGATTGGTGTTCCACTACACCAACCAAGCTGGCACGTTAAGCCAATCCAGCACGAGCGAAATGCATATCAGCACAGTATGAATACCCAACTTACAGAGTACGGAGTGAATGGCAGACTGACAGATGCTGCCAGGCCGAAGAAATTCTCAACAAACAATCGGGCTGGAAAGCCCTGACGGGAACCACTGACTTCGCTGAGATCGCCGTGCCGAATCCACCTAGTAAAGCACATAAACTCGCCTTCGACATATTCGTCGACCGCATTCAGGGTTACATCGGCAGCTACTATGTCAAGCTCGACGGCCAAGTAGACGGTGTAGTCTTTGCTGGCGGGATCGGTGAGAAAAGCTCCCTACTGAGGCGGACGCTGGTGGACAAATGCCAGTGTCTAGGTTTGGCAATCGATAATGCGGCCAATGACAAGGGGCCTGGAGATGAGGAGACGGTCAAAGATATCTCCAAGGGTTCCGGCAAGGGGCCCCGGGTTTTGGTTTGTCAGACCAATGAACAGGTATGTTGTCTCAATTGTTGAGGAATAGTTGACCGTAACATTAACCTTGACCTCTCGTGGAGGTTATGGTTATTGTTATGGTTATGCGTTGTTTCTGGAGACCTCTATGTCCTGATTTACTGACTTGTCTTCTTGCAGTTTGAAATGGCATATCACTGCGTAGCCATAGGTGCTCGCGGTGCTGGTAAATCATGATGCACTGTATCGCTTTCTTCTCGGTGTCATATCTAGTATTTGTCATTGATACTCACATTGGTACTACTACCTTTAATGAAGCAGGCTGGAGAGCCGAACATGCGCGGGTTAAGACAGATTATATTGACTAATGCCTACATACATCCGCACAAGGTTATCTACATTGCCTACACCCCGTACATACTCAATCGAAGTAAGTATTTCAAATAATATCCTCAAATCGAGGCCAAATGTGACATAGTCTCGCCCCGTCCTTTTGACACTCGCCACTGAGCAAAAAGGGGCCGCTAGTGGCTGGGGTGACAGGTACATCTCCGATGCGTCAGGTCTCGATCGCCAGGACCCGGCGATGGGGAAATCGGGGAACCCAGAGCCTTGGTCATAATATGCGCCTCATTTCATTTCAATGCAATGCAATGCAATGTGGTCATTACGCAGTATCATTCCTGGTACATCAATTGCAACAGCATACAGTATTTACGGGTGTACATCGATGTACACCGCAGGTAGGGGGAAACTGCAAGAAACCTGAGGACACAAACAGTCCCTGCATACCAGCGCTCCATTGGGGTTAATTCGCTGTGGATCTGTACCCCGTACTCCTGTACAATGGGGGGCAAACCGGAAAGATAAAAATAAAAAGACAAATAAAGGCCGAATTGCAAGATGCAGGAATGTGACACGTCCAGGTTGTCGGATTTGATAGCTTCGGGGGAAGGCCGTTCCCCGGGTCGGTCCCAGGTTAGTGTTTGATTATATGCAAGACACCGGGGAAATCAAAGGGTTGCGATCGGTAGATGATCTCCTCGGGGAAGATGATCAGATTGAAGAATTAAACCATTTCCTGACGATCTGCAGGCTAGCGGTTTCGGGGGAGACAATGGGCTGACTAGTGAGGAGGAGACGCTAACTATTTCGTGCTTAAAGTCAACTATCACTCTTTGGCTTGTTTATTTGTATCCGGGGGATCAGACAGCCCTTTCTGCATCGCAATCAGCTCATCAGATCAAGCAATGGCGCTTTCAAGGGTAGATTTTGCAGTGATCGACACTGCAGAAATTTGAGAATGTACGCACGCAGTAGTACATCTAACATAGGCTCGTCCTCAGCAGCGTGTCATACCTACAGACATGCACCTGTACTCCGTACATCGTACATAATATGCTCCATGTATATTGTATGCAGTACTTCTTCCCAGGGGGTTGGGGTGATTCCCCGTGCAGGAGTACGGAGTACCTCGGGGAACAGTAGCCGTTCATGCGCCAAGTGGTCGCGGATCCCTCGATGAGAAGCCGAAGACCCTACTCGATGGATTTGTGTGGCTCGATCAGTCGAATTTGCCCTTCCTGTCCGGTGTCCACTTCATCATGTCGGTACTGAAATAGGTACCCGAAGTCAGGGGGGAGCCCGGATGGAAAGGAAAGAAAAAGAAAGGAGATGATCGAACCCGACACGCTGGTGCTGGAGCCGTGGAGCTGGCGATCCTCATCTTTTTGCTTTCGCCTGCGAGTTAATCAGGTTATCCGGGTGACCGGGTCATGATGTGGACTTGGGCCTGTCACTTGAGATCCAGACTCTACGACGTGGAGAGGTCGAAATGGTCAGTCCACTTTTTATTTATTTCAGTGTTTGGCTCGGCTGTGAGCCGTCGGTATCGGGCATACCCAGTCGGATCAAGTCGAACTTGTGATGGAGTGTAGATCTAAAGAAATAGGAAAAGCTAAGAATTGAGGCGGCTCAAAAAGCGTTTCGCATCTTTTGGTTCGGGACGGGGAAAGCGGTTCCAGTTCCAATTGTTTGCATCGAGCTATGTTTTCTTTGTTTTGTTTACTCTGCTTCTTTCTGTTTACCTCGTGCACCGAATCGACTTCAACAACCTGAGTACCTGACTTGCGGAGCAGGACACACCAAGTACTCCGTACAGTCGTACCTATCAACAGTGTCAACAGTGGACACTACCTTCTACTATTGGTAAGCCGTCGCGACCATGAAACTGGAGCACATAGTGCTTCCAGAATTTTCCAAATATGGAGCCTTCTTTTTGAGGGAATCGGAAATGAACTAAGATCGCCCGGCTTCACATCCGCGGAGACTTAGTGCGCCATCCTCCTGTGCCTAGTGATATTTAGATTGCAAAGCGAGAAACCACCCAATCCAATTTCGCCATAGCATAGAACAAACCGAGAGAGGAGAAAAAAGAAAAAAGAAAAAAAGTCGCCGACATCCACCCGATTTTAAGACTGTCAACACATCCACATTAGCCTGTCAGATGAACAAAGAGCTGGATGATCGATGCATCGTGAGTCGTGACCAGGCACCCCCCTTGCCATGCGCTGCACAGGCAAACCCCAAAGTCAATGTGGTTGTTAATCCGCGACCGTTATTTCCATTCGACGGCACACGGAGTCCGTCTTATGCGAGTAGGCAGTCAACAGTTCCCAAACAAAGAGAGGAGGTTCATGTAACGAAGAGGAGTCTCGATGGTCTCGGGAAGACTAAGACGTTCCGGAAGCGATGGAAGGCGGTTCATGCAATCGCGCAACCTTGTTTGGTCCACTAATGCATCCAGCCGCACTCTCCAGAAATCCCGAGTTACGAGGTACTGTACCTGAGTCTCCGTACGTTTACCTCCAGTCTCGGACCTTGGACCGCCACTCTGGGTCTCGGGTTATTGTACATCGATGGAAGATCCTGAAACCGTTGGGCCCAGAGATTGCCAATGGGGAAAAGGGGCAGAGAAATCCGACTGGGGCCATTAAGGTTGACTACTGTGATGGAATTGGAGCTATGGAGACTCGAATGGGGATTTAACTGGGGGTTCCTGGTTTTCCTCCCGTTTCTAGTGCCGTTCTAGCTGTAATGTAAACGGCCCGTACAGTTTCTGTGGACACTATGGAAGAATAGGAAGCTGCTTTTATCCTTGAGATCATCGGCTTTTACGTTCTCTCCGGTAGATCAGGGAATCAATACAAATCTTGTATAGTTATTGCGTACCGGCTTGATGACTTAATTCCCTAATATGGAAGCTGGATCCATGTGATATGATCGCCATCTTCCCCTATTTCACACAGGAATGAGAAGGAACAGTCTCCTTTGGCGAACGACAGACAGCGTCTTTCTTCACTCAACTGTGTCAAAAGTGTCAAAAAGTAAGCTCAGGTCTTAGGATGAATGTTAGTAGTATTGACCCGAGATCTCGAATGGGCGCGTTCGAAACGGGTCCCGAATCTCACGGTAAGCTGCAACCTAACGACATACGGTAGATCACCCAGCCCCGATTTCCACGAGGAGACCCATTTTTTTGGGCGCGATGGAAGAGGAGCTTCCTGTTCCTGGCATGGGCTGAAACCCGCCTACGAGTCTCCGTTTGACGGATCGTAAAGCTGGGACAGGCCATCACTGGAGGGCAAATTGCGGCTTCCCCTGGAGCGGGTAAGATGTCTCCAGTGTGGCAAATATGAGGAGAGAGCTGACGCAGAAAGGCAGAAAGGTACGGAGTACGGATACATTATTACTCGTTAGGTACTTTAGGATGTCCCGGATCACGGGGGTGGATCCCCCCCCTTCAGAATGTTTCCAGATGTACTGTACCTTTGGTATTACAGTTCTATCTGGACCCAAGTCCTCGGGAAGGAAAGGGAAGGCTAGAAGGCCAAAAGAATGTTCATACGTAACCGAGACGGGATTTTGCTTTTGTTGGGGGCTCCGTAATGATGCCCTTTTCGTGTTTTAGCGTATCTCCACCCCCTATGATGGAGCCGAGGATCGTAAAGATGGGCATGATTATTCTTTTTTTCCTCTGGGTCTCTCTCGCCGTTGATCGATCGGCCAGACCGCGGCGCGTCGAAAAGCATGAGACAAAGAAGATGGGAATGAAGTGAAGCGATGGAATTGCGATATGTTTAACGATTGGCTGATGTGTCTTGTAGTTTGTGAATTGTAGGCGAATCGCGACGGTTTGATCCAGGTCTTCCGAGACCCAATTCGAAGTTTGCGACTGGTCTCTCAAAGTGAGTAGTATTGCACGGGGAACCGCGTGCAAGCCCGAATGTCCTTGATTGAATTTTTCCCAAGGGTGTTTTGGCTGGGTTGGCTGGGGGATTATTTGACCTAGGCATCATATGTCGACTTTTGGCTATTAGGGTTATCTTATTACTTCCCCTTGGTCTAACACAAGTTATCTAAACCCGATAGAGCCCGACCACGCGGGAAAAGAAAATACATCAAAAATAAGAGCTGTCGTTCGGAGGGATCCGTTCTGTGTTCCTGCGGCTGTTTTTCCGTCATTTTTCTCCACTTATGCACTCAGGCTGCCCGGAGATTTGGTTCCTAGCTTCAAAGTGGAGAGCTCTAGTTGATACATACTGCGTAACTTTACAGAGAGTTTCAACTTTGAGTGATGACATGGGATGTATCTCAGATAGTGATTGTGATGAATCAGAGATCTTTCTTTCTTTGTTCCAGATATCTCAAAAAAGTACAAGCCTAAAGATCAGAGTTGGAATAGAAAGGGGGTACCTTTTTCTTGTTCCCCGGAACCAGGGACGGGAGAGCCGCCGACTAAACAAAGGAAAAATCACTGATTTAGGGTCTGATTTATTCGATTTGGTCGATTTATTCGATTTTATTGGGTCTGACTGGCTAGTATCCTCCTTATTTTATGTTATTTATTTTATTTTGTCCATTTATTGATTTTCTAGAATAGAAAAGGAATAAAAAAAGGATTACAGTAAAGACTTAAAAGATAAAATCAAACCATAAGAACCTTGGAATACACTCTCTATATCAACGTAATCCCCCCTTCTTGTTCTCTTCGACATACCTGATAACTATCTTCTACATCACCCCCCTACCGCTCTCCTTCGCTCTCCCTTCTCCCTTGCGATACGTCGATTTGAACTTTGTCCGGATCGACCGGAGCCAGTTCCGGAGCACTTCTCCTTTGCTCCTTGCCGTCTACACTTCATATCCCTTCTCGCCCCCCCCCGGGGCCGTTTTCTTGGTTCAGATCGAGATTTGATGGATTAGCTGCTGCAGCCACCCTCGCGCTTATCATCTTGCGTCCAATTTATTCTTTTTGATTTGTCTGAATAAAAAGCAACGAGCTGCGACCTGTCCATCATCTTGCTTTCCATAAGAAGACTCCACCAACTTCTTATTTGTTGGGCCCATTTCACATTCCTGCCCTACGATTCTGCTGGCTCCCGCATTGTCCCAGTGGTTATCCTTCAAAAGGACCGTCTTTTCCGATCTCGACTGCTTCTTGCATCTATCGCCTGCACCGTCGGTTTTTGTCTAGACCTTCTTTTATTTTAATTTGCATTTTCACGGGGGGTGGATTGGGACTTCGTTTGCCTCTTGTTTCCCCGAAGATCTATATAAATCCTGGCGTCAACGTCGTGTTTACTTGGTGAGTCCTTCTATCATCTCATTCCTCGCCCTGTCGCATTCGCAGAATTCTTGTTTCTTCGATCACCCCAACAAAATCTCTTGCCTTCAAGTCATTTCTAACGATGACTATCTCCGCAGACCTGAACATGATACTTCGAGATCTATCTGCCTTCAACATGGGACGAGGAGCTTACGACACGACCGGCGTGAAAAAGCCCGGGGTACCTCCACCACCACCAAAATAAATGGGTTGGGAAACTCGTCATACTCAACATTGCTTTCTACACCACTCGGTCATGTTTCGGATGGTCTGGCGCCCAACAGTGGCTGGAGTTTTTGACGCATATGCGTTTTGGAGTTTTAACTGATTTTGGTAAGACATGCCAACTCCGAAGCCACGTCCCTTTGGGCATCAAAACTAACCGGTCAACTAGATATCTGTAACACTATCTTTTTTCCTTCTTTGTGGCTCCGGCCACAGCTCTTTCTTTTTCCTGCCTATTCGCTATGGGCTTTGCGCGACATTATACCCTTTTTAATTCGGCTCGACTTTCGCCTTCTGCATCTTCTTTTTCGGATACCAAGCGCGGACACCTCTTTTTCGACATTTCATCGTCTTCACACATTCACCTTTTCACTTTCGGGCCCCTCAAACCTGATTCCGCCTCGCATTACGCTTTCTACTTCTTTGATACGACTCGATACCATGGTCCAACCTCAAAAGTGCCTTTGTTTTCTTGTTTTTGTTCGATTTCTTTTGTTTATGTTCTCTGTTTACGGCGTTTCGGTATAGACGGGATGGATTATTGAATGGGATGCATGGGTTGATACCAGAACCTAGAGCCTCGACCTCGCGGTCAATAGCACGCTTTGATTGCTTTTCTTGTTTTACTATTGGATGGGCACTGCTCCCGGGTGTCTTTATTTGTATGAGTATCTGTACCATTTGATGTTGATGCCTGTGTATCATATACCGCGCGAAGGCCATAATTGTCCGCGGCAATCCAACCTTTTTTTGTCTTCATTCTCCATACAGCTAGTCTAGACCACCATTGCCGACTTCTTGTACATTGTCTATATGCAGTTTGTACCCACGAGTTTGCAACTCCACCTCCACCTCACGTTGTACTCCGCTTGTACCTGACCGACCGCGGGTGCGCTAGCATCGGGCAGATTTGCTCGCCGACCAATACCGAGACAGGCACGACAGTTAGAATGTTGATGCGGGCCTGGTGCATCGGCCGGTATATGCCGAGCCTGGCCCAGGGTCCATCCTAACTGGCAGCCGACATCATCTTGCAGGCCAGTTGGGCACTAGCCTGATCTGCGTTGACAACTGTCAAGGTGCCAGGAACATGTTTATCCCCGTTTAGGTTATCCTTCATCAAGTCATAGTACGTGGCCTGGGTGTTCATGTTTCCCAAATGTTCATGTCCCGACAGCCATGTCCATGTTGTTGGCATGTCATTGTCGGTGCACCATGTCCAAAGTTAGACATCGTTATGCTGGCAATGGTCTAACATCAAGTTTAGATCTTATGTCAATTCCTTCAGAATATATGACAAGAGAATTAAGCTTCAGGAGATCCTTGGGAGTATAAACAAATCAAATCTATGCTTTGAAGTTGTTTTGGAAGTATGCAACTTGTATACTTCCATGGCGAACACCCCTCCCGTGACTGATGAGTCGATGACCACGCTAAGCCCAATCCAGGCACCCCATCATCATCGACCTCCGCTTCACTCTTGACCCCATCAATCACTTTTGTCTCAGTAACGTCTATACCAGGCTTTACATATCTCGTTCCTTGCCCAGGATTAAATAACTCTACCAATACGATCGCGTCAGCAGCGACTCGTACCTCTACCCCCTGTCTTACTTCCAGGCAGCCCCCATTTCCGAATTGCGACCAGCTGAATCAACCTGCCAACCCATCCGCCTGATCGCTGATCGATCGAAGGCGAATATCCTACGGAAGGCCTGACTGTGGTTACTCCACTCGGATTCGATTTGATTACTTGTTTCAGCCATGTCCGACTCAGCGAGCGCAAATGCCCCGAAGCCCAGCAGCAGTGTCAAGCTCGTGTTGCTGGGAGAGGCCGCAGTAGGCAAGGTACTGCCCATTAGTTCCCCGTGCTACACGATCATCAATGGCTAACATCTCAACCACTCATAGTCATCGCTTGTCCTCCGCTTCGTCAACGATGATTTTCAGGAGAACAAGGAACCAACCATTGGCGGTGAGACTTCCCCACGGCCTTAGCCCCCGCAAGATACGAGATGCCGTCCCTTGAAAACGACGGATTGTCCAAAAGCCTAGGGGCAGTGCGTTGTATCACATATTGGGTTGTTCCCCGCAACGGCCTCGAGCCCCCCAAACAACAACTTTGAAACTTTTAACAAGAATGATCAGCTAACGTCATCGTTCCAGCCGCATTCTTGACGCAAAAATGTTCCCTCCCTACACGCACGATTAAGTTCGAGATCTGGGATACCGCTGGCCAGGAGCGATTCGCATCACTTGCCCCGATGTACTACCGCAATGCGCAAGCGGCGCTAGTCGTCTATGATGTTACAAAGCCTTCGTCACTAACGAAAGCCAAGCACTGGGTTGCTGAGCTGCAGCGCCAGGCGAGCCCGGGAATCGTTATTGCCCTCGTCGGTAACAAGCTGGACTTGACTAATGACGGCGGAGATGCTTCCGAGGCCGCTTCCGGTTCACCAGGCGATTCTGACTCCGCTCAGGATGGCGACGAAGGCGCCGCTGAGGAGGACGAGGCCCCGGATGCTGTTCCCGGTGACGCTCGCAAGGTGTCGACACGAGAGGCCAGCGGTTATGCGGAGGAAGAGGGTCTTTTGTTCTTCGAGACCAGTGCCAAGACCGGAACCAATGTCGTGGATGTGTTCACGGCAATTGCCAATGCCATTCCAGAAAGCAGTCTGAAAACCGGTCGCGGCGGCGGCGCGGGAGCAGGCCAGACCTCGCTGGGTGGTCGGTCGGCGGAAGATTCGCGGGTCAACTTGGGCGATCGCAACGTCGCGACAGCCAAGGAAGGTTGCGCTTGTTGAAATGTTTTCTCAGAGTTGTGTATTGCAATTATTTCCATGGATACAGGCGTCTGTGCTTTTCTCTCTCTGATTTTTTTGCTTGTTCGGCCATGGAAGACTGCCTCTCACGGTCTACAGTTATTCCCCGGGAGGCACCTTGCCCCGACGTTGTCATTAGAGTGTAAATTCTTGAAATTGGTATTGGCAATTGAATTTAACCCGTACATAACAGTTAATTGTAGATATAAGCAATGAACTGACAGTGAACTGACAGTAAACTGACAGCAAGCTGAATCCAAAGTGAAGGACAGTTTCAATAGTGGGTCTCTTCATCAAAAGCCAAGCCAATCAGCAACGAGCCCTAAGACGGCCACGCTAAACCCAAACAAGTAATCGTGCACCCTAAGCGAAGCCGCCGATCCCACAGCAAATTCCCATTCGATTCAAACTGCGAACCTCCCCTCCGTCGACATCACCACCAGCACTTCCCGCAGCACCCCGTCGCTCGCAATAATGGCTGCCATCAACAAGATCGCCTCCAACTCGCCGTCCCGGCAAAGCCCCTCCGAGCTGGAGACCGCGATCGCCGGCGCTCTCTACGACCTCGAGAGCAACACACAGGACCTGAAGGCCTCCCTTCGTCCCCTGCAGTTCGTCTCTGCCCGTGAGGTAAGAACTGCCTACAACTTTCGACACGCGAATTGAATCATTCTGGAATGGCGTCTGCGAATTTTTGAAATTTTGGGGGAATTTTCGATGCTCCGGGGTATTTTTTACGATTTGTGGATTAGTCCCGATTCACCTCCACCAACGACAAAAGAACATCAACAACATGGAGAAGGATCATCGATGGAAGGGAAACATTTGGATATGAGAAATTCGCAGAGCAAGACGCCGTTCCAGGAGGATTTTTCGATTCTGTGTACACGACACCTTTTCCGGACATCGCTCTGACATTATCGCTATTTAGGTTGAGGTCGGCCACGGCAAGAAGGCCATCATTGTCTTCGTCCCCGTCCCCCTCCTGGCCAACTTCCACAAGATCCAGCAGCGGTAAGCACCAATCGGAACCTTTCGAAAATATACGCAAAAAGAACGAAACTAACAACAACAGTCTGACCCGCGAGCTCGAGAAGAAGTTCTCCGACCGCCACGTTCTCTTCGTTGCTCAGCGCCGCATCCTGCCCCGCCCCAAGCGCTCCGTCAACTCGCGCTCCAACCAGACCCAGAAGCGCCCCCGCTCGCGCACTCTGACCGCTGTCCACGATTCCATCCTCGCCGATCTCGTCTACCCCGTCGAGATCGTCGGTAAGCGCACCCGCACCAAGGAGGACGGCTCCAAGACCCTCAAGGTCATCCTCGACGAGAAGGAGCGTGGTGGTGTCGACCACCGCCTCGATGCCTACGGCGAGGTCTACCGCCGTCTCACCGGCCGCTCCGTTGCCTTCGAGTTCCCCCAGAGCGGCGCTGAGTTCTAGATGCAAATCTTAGAATTCCTTGTTCACTTTGACACATTTTTTTCATGGGGATGGGGCTGGAATGTGCTCGGTTGATGCGTGGGGAGAGAAATTGGCATTTGTGTCTAGTTTTTTTATTGAATTGTTGCTAGATTCAAGGCCACTGATGGGTTCCAAAGAGATGATCTCCATAAAAATGCATTAACGGTTTTTTCTCTTTTCCCTTTTTTTATGCCCCCGGCCACTGGTTGGTGGTTTGGGTGAGGCGATGGAGTGGAGGTCTCTCTCTCTCGATCTAATGAGGATGGGATGGAATGTCTTATAGTCCAATCAACAATTCTGATTCATTACTTTTTATTGTAGATATAGCTGCAGTAGATTTCTGAATTGGATTCTATGAACAGTAACTGGGGTATGAACAATCTACAACGAAGGCTGAATCCTCCCAACACCAAGGACCATCCAATAAGCCAACTCCCTGGTAACCTTCTCCTCAGCCTTAGACCCCTTCCCGACATTCTGATCGAGCTGCGCCTCGGCATCCCAATCCATATGAACAAAAACCGGAATCTCCAGCACATCCAGATCCTGTCTAGACTTCGCAACAGCCACAACATGCTCATCAGCAGCTTCAGCAGCTTCAGCAGCCGCCTCAGTACCAGTACCTGAGGAATCACCCTTTCCACCCTCCGCACTACTCCCGGGCAAAGTACTAGGAACAACCTCCAAAACAACAGTAGTCCAATTCCTTCCCTTATCCCACACCTTGCCAGCTTCAGGGACACCGCGGAGCGCAGCCGAGCGCGACTCGCTGCTTAAAGGCGTCGAGGTACCCTGCAACGCCTCGTCCCAGACATCGCTGTTGGCGCCGATTTCGAACTGCGGGGGAGAGCACAGTCACCTTTGTGGCGACGTCGCCGGGCGTTACGGGGGGTGTGGCGAGGGTGATGCGGACGGGGTCGAACATGTGGTTTTTCAGGGTGAGGAGGACGTGGATGGGGCGGAGGGGTGGGAGGGCGTTGAGGTCTGGGGTTGGGGATGCGGCTGGGAGGGCCGAGGAGGATGATAGGGCTAGAGGGCGGAGGGTGGGAAGGGGGATGTAGCTGAGGGCTATGAGACGGATGCGGAAGCGGGTGGACTGCGGCTTGCTTTCGGGCTTCACGAGTATGTGTTTGCAGGACTTGCAGCGCTTGGCTCGTTTGGTGCGGAGGAGGACGGGGAGGGGGAGGAGGTCGGAGGTGAAGCGGGCGTCTGGTGATTGGGTTGCGCGCTGCTCGATTGAAGCGACTCCGTCCCAGCCGCATTCTGGTGAGTGTAGTCGGGAGATTGTTTCTGCTTCGCTGGTCTCTTGGGCGAGTTGGAGGCCCTCGCTGGCTGTTAGGGCTTCGCGCATCACTGGTGGCTTGGACTTGGGCTTCTTGCTGCCGCCGTATAGCCCGCTCAGACGCGCTGAGGAGGTGTAGAGAGACATGAGCCGGTTTAGGGCGCCAGGCGAAGAAAACCCGAATTCTGAGCTTAGATGATCGCTCGGTGAGTTTGACGTCTCGGAGATCTGTGTACGGTAGAAGTTTTTCAGAGCTGCAAACCGGGCATCGGCACCCATTGGAGGCGCAGCGGGGTCTTCTTGCGGTGCTGATGCTTCCTCACGCTCCCGCGCATTGGATTGCTCGTCCACCGAAGCAAAGCTTGACAGGGGATGCTTCAAATCCCCAAAAGTGCGAGAAGCTTGCCTGGACCGATCAAATGCAGGTGGGGGAGTGGAATCGGTCATCTTCTGCAGTTGACTGCGGACATTAGTATATTTGTCGAATTTGATGCCAATGTCCAGGGATGTCCAAAGACAGTATCCGCAAGACAAGACCCATGGACCCTTCGCGTTCCCGGTGGTATCAACGCTGCTGACGGACAGCGGAGCTGTACAAATAGGACAGTTAAAGCAGTTTCGACCGCATCTAGGTACGTGTGAGCCAGTACTCGAAACATAGATATTGACCTCAAGTGTCCCTAGAAAATGTACATACCGATTACCATCACTCCGCACCATGCTGCTCGGTGTTTCAAACAGACAGCTGGGACAGTACCAGCTCACAATTTCCTCGGTGATACATCGCGGACATTTGATCTGATGGCACTCCTCGCAGTAGAGAAGCTGTTCGGGCGGGTACAGCGAAAAGTTGGACCGTGGGGAGCGGGGATCAAAAGTCTGCTCTTCGTCCTCGTCCTCTCCTTGGTATTCTTCTTTTGTTGAGTCCTTCTCATCTATGTTCGCACGCTCCGGTGGTGGTTTCTGCGGTGACTTTTGCGACGATTCCCTAGACCTTCGCTTCCTGGCCGGGTCGGGGACCGGGGTATCGGCGCAGGGGCAGGAAATGTAGGTGTAGGGAAAAGGGCGCGACATTGTGATATCGATGTGAGGCGCGAATTATGTGGTCGGTGTTACGTATCGGGTCAGATTACGTCTCGTCTCCGCGGTTCGGTAGTGTATACAGTGGGCCAGCTGATATAACTGGTAATTGAGTTGGAGGAGACGAGATAATGTTTCGTGTCTGGAGGAACAGTATGCGTAGATCGCTGTTCTCAACCTTGCGCCAATCGGAGACCCTGAAGAGGAGAGCTTGGCGAGTCGCTCGAACGCGGTCGCAATGGGTTTTGCGTGGTCAATGTACTATGCACGATATGTACATTGCAGGATAGGACCAATTCACCCCAAGGGTCTCAAAAAAGAGGCGACTTGCAGCAAATCCACTGAGTCGGCACTGACCGCGGAGTAGGGAGCAGTTCCGCATCAACAAATCGACGTCAGATCCCGTCATTTTCTGCCCGTCGTCCCCGCTAGTGAACCTTTCCCCATGCTTGGAATTTGGATGGCATAGATTCCTACCAATTCAACAGCCACAATGATTCCCTTACAGACATTACGTGCCAGCCTTTCAAGGCGATGTATCGCCCCAATTACCATCCGGACATATGCCAGCCAAACGCCAGACAAACCGATGCTCGAGGTCTTCAATCGCAAAGTCAAGCACCTCCAGAAAGACCGGGCAGCCCGAAATGTCGAAGAGTCTCGAAAAACCGACTACCTCAAGGATGAAGTAGCAAGGCGGTTAGCCGAGCGGTTACTGGTGAGCCACTCAGCGAACCCCAGACACAGAAGTAGAAAGCCATAAAAGAAAGCACCTACTAACAGCTTCGAACAGGACATTAAACGCGATCTACCGCATGTCCTCGATCTAGGCGCAAACAGCTGCAACATCGCCCGAGCCCTCACATCCCCCGATCTCGACTCCAGCATGCCGGAAGGAACCATCACACCACCACTCTCCAAGAAGATCTCCAAACTGACCTGCGTGGAGACATCCCGGGCCCTCCTGCACCGCGACGAAAACGAGCCCTTCAACCAAGACCTCGACATCCAGCGCGATATAATTCCCGACCTGGAGACGCTGCCGTATGCGCCGAACAGCTTCGACGCCGTGCTCTCGTCGCTCTCAATCCACTGGATCAACGACCTGCCCGCGCTGCTGGAACAAGTGAACACAATCCTCAAGCCGGATGCGCCGTTCATTGCTGCCATGTTTGGCGGTGATACGCTGTACGAGCTGCGCGGGTCGTTGCAGCTGGCTGATATGGAGCGGCGCGGCGGTGTCAGTCCGCATGTGTCGCCGTTGGCGGATGTCAAGGATGTGGGGAGCTTGTTGACTCGGGCGGGATTCAAGATGCTTACGGTTGATGTTGAGGATATTGTTGTGGAGTTCCCGGATACGTTTGCGCTTATGCAGGATTTGCAGGCGATGGGGGAGGGGAATGCTATTATGAATCGGGATTCGGCGCCGTTGTCGAGGGATGTCTTGTTGGCTAATGAGGCTATTTATCGGGCTTTGCATATGGAAGAGGGGGATCGTGGTATCCCTGCGACGTTCCGGTTGATTTATATGATCGGCTGGAAGGAAGGGGAGGGACAGCCACAACCGTTGAAGCGCGGTAGTGGTGATGTTAATCTGAAAGATATTCTGGGTGGAGGTGACTTCGAGAGGCCATGAACAAAAAGGCATACAAGAGTCTAACAAACCACGATATAATAATCCAAGACTAGGCTTTACAGCAAAACTCGAGAGATATCATCCACGGATATGTATGGAATTGCGCACGCCTCCACCATGAAGACCACGGTGAAGAAAAAAAGGCAGACAAAAGTAAATCATAAGAAAAAGAACCACTCCATGCTAAACTCACCCCTCAAACCGTCCTACGATCAGTCATAACCCGAACAATAGACCCAGTCCCAGCAATCTCCACCAACCGCTCATGCCAGCTCAACAAAACACTCATCTGCTGACCACCACCACCCTCACCCAGATTCCGAGCCTGAATCTGCGAAAAGCCCGTATCCTGCGGCGAAACCGACTTCTTCGGCGTCTGAGCACCACTCCCAGGAGCAGCAGACGACATGCCCTTGTACCTATTTCAAAAAATCAGCCTCCAACCCTTCCTTACACCACACAAGTAATCCCCCATCTCCGAAGTGAAGTCAACTTACAAGTATTTCATCAAACAATCCGCCCGTTCCGCACCACCCTCCCCACTACAAACACCCTCCAGAATCCTTGTCATCTCCCCCTGCCGGATCCCCTGCAACACATCAATGACAGTCGCCAGATGCACCTCCTTAGCGCGGTCGTCGCCGCCCAGCGGCGCGGTGTCGAGAACGGTCCGCAGTGCGCCCTCGGGGTCGCCGCCGCGCAGCATCTGGCGCACTTGTGTGGCGGCGTTGGCGGCGTCGCTGGCGCTGGCGGGCTGCGGGAGTGTGGCGGGGAGGAGGGATTCCAGGGGGAAGTTGGCTGGGGACTCTGGGTCCAGGGCGTCGATGTTGATTGTGCGGTAGTTGATTTGGGACATTTTGTGGTGTTTGTATTGTTGGAATGGAGGAGAATTGGGTTGGTGGGTTGGTTGTGGTTGGTATACGGAGGGGAGAGCTTCGTGGAGCTAGCTGGGGATCTCTATGGTTTATTTCGTTCGATGGAGGTCCAAGGGTGGGGAATTGGTGTGGATGTTGGTTTAGGCCGAGTAGGATGGAAGAGATGATTTGAGTGAGTGAGATAGAGACCAGGTTAATTGACCACAGTAAGATGGGTTGACTGGGTGGGCTATGCGGAGTCAATTGGGGGGGAGGTCGACCGGGGGGCTGTGTGGCCTTAGGCAGAAAAGCAGGTTTAAATACAGTTGCCTTCTATTTCTGACATCTACAACTATAGCGGTATACAGTCCACTAGGTAGATGCTATTGAAGTATTCCTAGGAGGAAGCAGTGATCAATTGCAATGTGTTTCCATTGTCGTGGTGGTACATACGCACTTTCTATTAATCCCATGTTTTATGTACAAAAACCGCAAAAGCGTAGTAAATCCGTAGTAAATCTCCACCCAAATAAATAACGCCGACGCTAAAATGACTATAATCAAGGAGAAGTCGTGATCGTAATAGGCGGCACCACAAGCGTAGGCGTAGCAGGACGCTCTACAACCTGACCAGGCGCTTCAGGATCGTCAGCCTTCGCAGCCTGCGAATCGAGTCTAACATCATCCTCCACAGGCTTCTGCTTGCGGACAACACGACGAGTAAATCTCTTCACAGGCCTGAAAAAAGCCTTAAATCCATGACCGATGGCCTTGCACGCGCGCGAAAGCGGACGCACAATAACAGCTATACTGCCAACAGCGGCATTGAAAACAATCCCAAAGTGACGGTCGGGGATGAGACGGAGAACAACAGCCCATGGCAGACAGGCGATAGAGCAGACAATGCAGATGCCCCAGAGGGAGGCGGATAGACGGGTCACCTCGAAGGCTTGGCCGCCGACGTAGATTATCATGACCTGGCCGCCGACCATGATGGCGTTGATGCCGAGGAACCAGTAGTTTTTGAACATGCCTTCGAAGATATTGAATTTGTTGTCTAGACGGCGGTTGTTGAATTCGTTGAAGATTTGCATCCAGACGAAGGTGTTGAAGACGACGGTACCGAGTTCCTTTGCGCGGTGCTCGGGGTCGCTGCTGAGGAGGCCGTCGAGGAGTTTGTTGCCGGCGAAATAGAGCATGAAGGTGACGGCGAGTTGGTAGACTGCTTGGCCGAGGATCATTTTCCACATGGTCAGGGTGAAGAGGGAGGCGTGTTTGGGGACGGGTTTGCGGTCGAGGATTTTCTCGGTTGGTGCATCTGTGGCTCTGTTGAGCGTTAGCGACGATGTGCAGGGTCGGGTGGGTTGAGTGAGGTTACTTACAAGGCAAGAGCAGCGAAGGTGTCCATGATCAGATTGACCCAAAGGAGCTGCACAGCGGTGAGAACACTGGCGTTATCACTGCTATACACAGACGACACGAAGGTGAGGATCACGGCTGTGATATTGACCGTAATCTGGAATTGCAGGAACTTGGCGACAGCGTCGTTGACGGCGCGGCCCCAAGAGATGGCGGTGACAATGGACTTGAAGTTATCGTCGAGAAGGATGATCGAGCTGGCCTCCTTGGCGACTTCCGTACCGGCGATACCCATAGAGAAGCCAACGTCGGCAGTCCGCAGAGCGGGTCCATCATTGGTACCGTCACCTGTGACAGCGACAGTCTCACCAAGGGCCTTGAGCCGTTCGACCAAGATCCTCTTATCCTCGGGCGAGGACCGTGCCAGCACCTGCAGACGGGGAATGATCTCGTCCATTTCCGCGTCAGTCAGTTGTCGGAACTTGGGCCCTTCCATGACCAAGCCATCTTCCGTCTTGATTCCACATGAGGTCGCAATAGCGGTGGCCGTGGCGACATTGTCGCCAGTGACCATCTTGACCTGGACGCCAGCCAAGTGACATTTGCGGATGGCCGCGGGGACTTCAGGGCGAAGAGGGTCTTGGATACCTACAACACCGGCCCAGGTCATACCGTGGAAGTAATCTTCAAAGTTCAAGGAAGCATCATCGGAGTGAGTCGCCTCTGCCGGTGGCCAGGCAGTGAAGTCCTTGTAGATTATGCCGATTGTGCGAAGGGACTTGTGGGCGTAACTGTCGATCAGCTCGAGGATGTGCTGCTTCTGTGTCTCAGAGAGGTCCTCCACATCGAGCCTCTCCTTCGAAGTGTCGACGTTGGTGATTTGGGAGGTACAGACCCGGACCATCAACTCGGATGCTCCCTTAACAAGCAGTCGGTAGCCAATACCAGGAACACGGTAAACGACACCCATGCACTTTCTTCCGGAGTCGAATGGAATGAGTTGGACGATATCAGCAGACCCGCGCTCTGATGCAACGTCCATGCCCATGTAATCCCGGGCCAATTGGAGCAGTGCGACCTCAGTCTTACTACCGACAAAATCCTTGGAGCCGTCTTTGTCCTGCTCGAATGCGGTCGAGTTTAGAGCGATGCTCTTTACTATCAGATCTTTGACAGGAGCCGCCATTTGCTGGAAAGCTGCTGAAGTAGTCCTTGAACTCTCCACGGCTTCGTCTGCGATTCCCTGGCTGAAGCTCTGATCCGAGCCCCAGGTTCCAGCGACGACAGTCATTTTGTTCTGTGTCAATGTACCTGTTTTATCCGAGCAGATGACTGTGGCATTGCCCATGGTTTCGCAGGCCCGAAGGACGCGGACAAGGTTGTTTTCCTTGACCATCCGGGTGGTAGCAAAGGCCAAAGCCAGTGTTACTGCGAGTGGCAGGCCCTCTAGAAGATCAGAGTGTCAGTAGAGCATCAAATGGTTCCGTAAGATAGAACCAACTTACCTGGAATGGCAACAACGATAACCGTAACAGCAACAATCAAGATATCCACAAACTCTTTGCCTCTCATCGCACCATTTCTCTCTGGATGATTAGGGATATCGGCTACAAATCGGAACAATAGGACGAAGAACAGGATAGCAGCAGCTCTGTTCGAGAAGTATCAGCAAACTGATATGAGAAAAAGGGAATAGACGACAAACTTACGCGGTGCCCAGATATCCAATCCAATTCGCCAACCGACCCAGCTTCACCTGAAGCGGCGTCGGGTCATTAGGAGTCTGCAGCGACAGCATAATCCGGCCATAGGTGGAATACGGTCCAACACTGGTGACCATGTAAGTGCCCACGCCTTCGAGGACCTTGCTGCCGGAGATCAAGAACGGGTCGAGTTTCTTTGTTGCCTTGCCGCTGGCGATTTTCTCCCAAACCTCTTGGCCCGGTGTCTTCTTCATTTGATCCGATTCACCGGTGGCGGAAGATTCATCGCATTTGATGCCATGACCCGTGACCAAGACTCCGTCTGCAGGGATGGAATCGCCTGCCTCGAGATGGAGAATGTCGCCGACAAGGATATCGTAGACTGAAATCATAGAGGTCTTGCCCGAGCGGGTGACCTTGACTTCACGATCATCATTCTGTTGGACCTGTTAGTTCACATCTCATTTCCTCTTTCTGGGAGGAAAAAGTACCCGTTTGTTAAGTTTAGTAAACTGTCTCTCTTTCTGCCAGTCGTTGACAGCCGTGACGACAGTGACAATCAAAATCGCCACACAAATGGCAACGCCCTCCACCCATTCGACACCCGTGCCTTCTGACAATGTCTCGTATATCCCAAGGGAAAGTGAGACCACAGCAGCAATGGTCAATAGAATAATAATCTTGTCGTTGTATGCATCCCAGAACAACTTGAGAAAACTGGTCGATTTGCGAGCAGGAAGCCTGTTCTGGCTGAAGACTCGAATGCGATCTTCAAAGGGTGAACCATCACCAGACGACACGGGTGCCGTCTCCTGTAAGGCTTTGGGTTTCCCAGTAGACGTATGTTGCGTCACATCCTCGAAACTGACAGTACCCTCCAGCCGGCCCTCGTCGATTGACAATCCGGCATTCAGATCAGTCCGCAAGCCCCGTCCCAAGCCCGCCAAGCCACCAAGAGCCTGAAAAGCAGCTAGGGACTTTGGGTTGAGTAACTTATTGAGCTCACCAGGGGAAAATGCAAACCGATTGTCTTGAACCTGAAAATCGGCCTCGTTGCGAGGATCCGGCTTTAAGGCATCGGCAAGCGAGACATCGTCGTAGGCAGCGGCTTTGGCTACCTGGGATGAATCTACATAAGAGCCTGATCGTGAGCGGACAACTGTGTCGGCAGAAGACGCAAATGAATCTGCTCGGGTGCGTAACGTATCGCCATCAATGGATTGAGATGGTCGATGTGATGATTGAACCATCAAATGTGTTGGGTCAAGATTGCCCGCCATATCTGGTGAGATAGGTGAAATGGGACTGTGGTTTAGATCTGTAGGACCTGACCAGGCGGATGAAGCTGTTGATGTAGATCGCTGTGGAAAAAAAAAGAAAAAAATTGGAATATCAGCGCAAAAGTTCAAACATTGGGTATATGGGGTCTTGACCTACCTCTCTGCCTGAAAAGTCCGTAACTATAACGGGGTTCAATAATGAGCCCTGACGGGATGAGTCGTTCAACGACTCATTGTTTGAAGACATGGGGTGCCACACTAATTTTCGGAATATCTGCGAATAATGAAACGGCCCTCGAGTGAGTTATTTAATATGAACGTTTCTCTCTTGTCTCGACTACCGCCGGGCTTGCGGTCCCCTTGTTGATTTTGCCGTCTTGGGATGGGGCTGTGTAGACTGCCCAGACGCCGAGAAATCAATGCTTCAAGGCAATTCGCGACGAAAATTGTTAATAAGATTTCAGTAAGTAGTAGAGAGAAATAGAGAGAAATAGTCTATCGACCCCTGTTTTTGAGGAGAAATAGCCATTTGAAAGCCAAATGGAATATAAATCGTTAAATCGTGGAGGAGAAAGGTTCCAAGATGTTGAGGGCGCTCGGGTCCAGACACAGCCCCCTTTAGCTGCCCTTGGTGGAACCCCAAGAGATCGCGACTGGTGACATCGACTTGATTATTCTATGACAGTTGACATAGAATAAAGTATACAAATGAATAGCTGACTGCGAATGACAAAAGTATCAGATGTGAGGGATATACAAGTACGTACTGTGTATGTACGTACCTCATTGTGAAGCCAAGCAAATCAACAGGAAATATTATTCCCTCACAATAACATTCAATACGATCAAAGCCACCGACGATAACTACCACGCCAAGTCCCCAACCCCATTCCCCGGGAGTATCACTTTGTAGAAGGCAGCACCCACCGTGATAGGTACGCACCTTAACCTTGGGGAGAACTGACTGTAAGCGCCGAGTCATCTCTCCTCATTTCTTCAACTAGATGACCCATCAGAGATCCGCAGTCGAATCTAGAATCGATGTGCAAGGTACAATAGAGCGTTACGCCACGAGAAGCCGTCCAATACCAGAGCTCCAGGAGCACTTGATGATTGTGGATCAGCAAATGTATCAAAGTTGCTGCGCCTCGACTTTTGACTTCTGGTCCAGTGATGATGAATTCATCTTCAGGGTAATGGGCGTCAACAAAGGGTGTTTGCGTCATGAGACTGCTTGACAGGCGGTTAGACGTGTCGGCATCATTGGCATTTGCTAGACACCTATCATAAAGACAGCCTGGATGTCCTGCGATAAATGGAAACAAGGATCCTAGCTTCTCAGATAAGCCAATCATATTTCTGTTCTTCTCTTTTTTTCATTATTATTTCTTTTTTTCTTGTCTTTTCCGGATGAAAGGGAAAATGTGAAGAGGCGGGCTGTCAAGATCGCCATCTGTGGCGTACTGTGGCGGTGCATTGAGTATGTGGCAAGTGAATTGAGTATGTGGCGGTGCATTGAATATGTGGCGAGTGCGATTGCAGCTTGACAGTCTTGTTCTCAACTGAGGCGAAGAACATCCATATTCCATAATGATGATACCGAGGTCCTCCTCCCACAGTCGTCAGTCACCCCTTCTTCAAAGCTCAAGTTCTGAATCTTACTGCATGATTGTATGGCTTGCTTTAAGGAATTGCCAGGATCACGGTTTGAAGTGTCATCAGGAAGTCCTGATTTCTTACGTCTCAAATGGCCGAAGGAGCCCAATGCAGCAAGCCAAAACATACGTTTTGCCATACACTTGATCTCACGTGAGACATAGATCTCGCGTGGGAACCATACCCGGATAGCAGTGTCATGCATCACGTGATCTGAATCTTGCGCATACCGGTCCCAAAATCACAGATGTTAATCGGTGAAAACCGGCAGAATTACATTCTTGACCAATCAGATCCCGAGAATCCATATTTCGACAGTATACGGATACGGAGTCTTTCTTTACTTCTACACACCAAATTTATCTTTCCCTGCTCGTAATGTCTTCCAAGGTCTGCACTCGGTGAAAGCGCTTGCAAGTGCCTTCCAATAGACTGGTTTTGATCGAAGACTGAGAGCGAGAAGTGAAGCAGTGCCAGCATCACTCTTGGAAAGGTAAAGAAATGGCTCAAACTGACAGAAGTCAAGACCAAATGAGCACAGAGTAAGAGAAATTATATTCTGGATAGATGAAAGTAGAAAGAAGAATATGTAAAGATAAGAGACATGACCGGGAAAGGGGGTATCAATAGTCACGAATAATAGAACAAGAAATGAAATGTAAGACAGAAAAGGCGCTTGGGAAAGCAGAACAAAAAAATAAGAGACGAAAAGATGTAAAAGATAAAAGATAGTAGAAAGGCATGCTCAGAACGAACCCTGAAGGCTTGCGTCCACCCATCGCTCATTTCCTCGTTTCACGTATTCCATTCGCGGCCGTGGCTGATTACAGATCAAGGCTCTCGGTGAAGCGACTGCCTCGACTCCCATCGTAGCTGTGCAGGCTACGACCGAGTCCATCTGGCCGCGGTGGCACGAAAGGTGCCGCACTCTGCGGCTGCGCAACGGGCTGCGCTGGCGTAACGGTGATCGGCACGCCCGCATTGACCGCGCTGGACATGGGGAGGTGCACGGGGTTGGGCCGCGTGGACGGCGTGTGCTCCTCGAATTCACGCGTGTAGGCCGAGTCCAAGGGGCTGCCGAATGGGGAGGTCGGGGGCGCAGCATGGGAGGTCGGTGAGCCCATTGGTCCGGTCGGTGGTGACATAGGAGGAAAACCGGGTACGGTGGGAGAATCGCCATCCAGGCCCCCGCCATAGCCGTCACCACCGTGCGTGAAAACAGGAGGAATCTTGCGACCGGCGATCTTCTGGAAGCCACGTTCGCTGGGGGCTGAGTCGAAGGTACTTCCGGAGCGTGATGTTGCGGTTGACTGGCGCCAGCGTCTCATCAGTGCTGGGGCTAAGTTCGAGGCTGTGAAAAGAGGAGTATTGCTCTCCCGCCGCTCAGTGATTTCTCTAGCGCCACCTCCAGCTGCGACACCAGCCGCTGCGTCATCCAACAGAGCGGGACGTCCGTTCTTCCCCATCAGGTATCCTCGTCGACGGAGGAAGTATAGAAGAAGGAGAAGGATCAGAGCCATACCGGCGACTGATCCTACTACACCGCCAACAATTTTAGGTGTGTCGGGGTGTGTGGTCGTGCCAGAGCCCGCCGCGTGTGTCACGCTCGCAGTTGGCGCAGATTCGGTTGCTATGGCAGTACCGGTCGACTCAGAACTTGTGAACAGGCTTGAAGTGAGGACATCGTAAGTAGAATAAGTAGAGGAGTCAAAGGTCGAAGTCGCGGTGGTACTAGGACCAGAATATGACCAGAAGTGAGCCTGTGGTGAGGTTACAGCACCAGACGTAGAGCTCGCAGGACCGACGAGGGGAGTAGAGGTCCATCCAGGCGAGTGGATGACAGTGGCCGTGGCAGATCGCAAAGCCGATGGGACCTGATTCGCGGAGGTCAAGGAAGGTTGAGTGGGGATCACGGAGCTGTTAGAGGATGACGTATCGGGCAGTAGCGATGTTGTCAATTCAGCAGGGGGAATCGAAGTTTGGGCCGGCGGCGCAGGTGTCTCCGTGGGGGAAGCAAGCGTTGGTGACACCAATGTTGGAATATCTGTCGAGCCAGATGCAGATGCAGTTGTAGATGCAGTTGCAGTTCCCGTTGCAGTCAGGCTCTCTGAGCTCGGTAGAGTGTAGGTCCCATGGATTGAATCAGAGATCGTCATAGGGAAATGAGTAGCGGTAGATTGAAAGAGGATGTGTGAGCTAGCATCGACGATTTTCAACACAGTCTCGACCGCAACCTTTTCCGAAGACGTCACAGTCGTCTCTTCGCGCTTCTTGTGAGAAGAATTGGGTTCATTCAAGTCATGTTGAAGGCATGAAAGGGAGTCCTTGGACATGTCACAAGGTCCGTCCGGGAGTATATCAGACGGTGGGATGGTGGGATCTTGAGATGGCTCCTCCTTCTTAAATAGCTCAGTGTCTGCATAATCGTCCAGGAGCTCAGCTTGCAGGCGGCGCTTGGCGTTAATGAGCCTGCCGATGCGGGAGTGACGGTAATGAGTATGAGCCATGTTGACGTGTTATGGTCAATGTTGACCCGCTTCGGCGTGCTTTGAGGGAGGATGCACACAATTTCCGGGTTGTGTGGTGGGATTGATAGACAGAAGAGAAGAAAAGGAAAGAACAATCACCAATCCTCAGAGGTTGAGTTCAGAGGATTGCGAGAACGAGAAGAGTAGCGTTAGGGTTGTTGAGAGAAAAGAAAGGCAGAGTATTGGCAATTGTTGCCAGTAGGTGGAATGGCAAAAGATCAATCGTGGGTTGCGACAGAGATTGAGTTTGTAGCGCGCAAGAGATGGGAATAGCTGTCGTCGTTGTTGTTGTTGTTGTTGTTGTTGACGTCGTCGCCGTCGCCGTCGACACGAAAGAGAAGCACGACCTAGCGTGCGCAGAAGTTGAGTAAAAAGAATAAGATAGTATGGTGCTGAGAGCCGAATGACCCAGTGAAAAGAGAGAATGAGTGGATGTCGACGAATTGGATTGTCAAGTATGCGATGAATAGGAAAAGACAGAAGCCTCTTAAGAGGATTATGGCGTATGGTGCACACCTGGGCAGTTATGGGAAGGAATGGAAATCGTGCGACGACTAAGCAGAGTTAGGATGATGCGATGAGGGGTTCCAAACGATGTAAGCAGGCTCAATTGAACCACCAATTGTGCTTAACATAGGCATACCTGTAGTAATAAAAGAGCGACAAAAGAAGCGAAATAAGAAAGAAAGCCCAGCCTCACGACCTAATCCATCCTGTTCTTTTGGATATCTCACCAGAAAGAGGGATATAGAGTGGGCAAAGTCGTTGACCAAGAATGTAAGCGGGTCAGACGTTTTATGAGGTTAAATTGACCGTCCTGAGCGCAATGTGCGCAGTTCACACTCAATGGTACTGGGCACAATGACTCGCTCCAAACTCCCAGGCTTTAGGGGGGCAATAGAAGCACAGAAAGGCCAAACAGAGAAAAGAAGAGGTCAGGAACACACGGAAGAAGAGAAGCAAAACGAAAAACGGTGGATACGAGGACCCAGACCGGACCAACAATCCCCTATCGAAGCCAAGTCTAGGCGACCCGCCTTAAATGACGAACTAGGCTCGGGGTCCGACAGATCCTGGTCGGGGTCTGGATGATGGCTGGTATTTTATGTGAGACTACCCTTTGTATTGGGGATATCGAATATAAGACTGTCTTCTCAGGGCAAAGAGGTCAACAAGAGAAAGCAAAACAAAGAGCAAGACTCAACGCAGGTACGGGAATCAACGAATAGAAAATGACAGGGCCCAGATCAGGTTCTGGCCAAGAATACTAGTCTGATTTCGGGTTAGTGTTCCATGCAGGTTTAATTAATCTAGAAGTACGGAGTACGGAGTACGGAGTAACGGAGTAACGCTGTAAATTAATCTGAAAAGTACAGTAAAAAATACAACCCTCCTGAGTTTCCCTCCAATCATCGCCCGTCTACACTTCCTCGTCCAATCAGTTCTCACGACACCTTCACTGTACATTTGAGACACTTTACCGTCTCCATTCTTCTGCCACTCCATGGACACTTCCATTCCTTCCATCTTTACTGTCCTCTATTCCGTCATTTTCTACTATATAAATGTTCATCCCTCTACAACCTTCGTTGTCGCCGTGGTGCTCTCTATAAGTATGTCATGTTCATATTTGCGGATAATCGTTGTGAAGCCATGGGTCCTGCAGTAGCTCCTTCGCCGTACTTCGCTCTTCTGGTCTCCATTTGATCATCCGTTTGACGAAGTTGATGAACATCCTCTTCTCTTCCCCATCAAACTTGGAAAGTGTGCTTTCAAAGTTAAAGCTACTAGGGACAAGATCTTCCCTTTTGAGTATTCCTGAAATGCAGTGTCAGTGAGATACGCATAAAATAGGGGATATAAAATATTCAATGGAAACAACATACCAGCAGCCGTATAGAACATCGATGTCCTCTTGCCCTGGCCAACAAAGTCTTTAGGGGCAGGTCCCAAAAGCGACGTAATATACGCAAGATGCGTTTCGCCATCATAGTCTTCAATGATGCGTGGATCAACTGCTTCAAACAGGGTTCGTCCTTCTAGGAAATCCCATAGCTTTGTTCAACGGTTAGTTGTCTGCCTTAGTATAAGTGGAGGGAGGACAACTGTGTACCATAACACCCAGGCTCCATATATCAGCACTATACGTGTACCCTTTGTCAAGGATGACCTCTGGCGCACGATATACCTCTGCCTGTATACAGCCATCCTGGGGAATATCACCTTGGACTGCTAGATCAAAGTCGATGACTTCAATCAGTCCGATGATGTCCTTCAGCCGTCCATAGCCCTTACGAGACAGATAGATGATGCGTCCATCATTGCAATGTTTCTGCGGGAGTGGGTTTTCAAACTCATCTAGAGCATCCTGGGATAAGAGCCCACGATCCTCTAGTCGTATCATGATATTATCCGGCTTTAAGTCTGTTGCTTTGGATGAGAATCATCTCGTTAACTAACAATGATAAGGATTCTTACCGGTATGAATTATATGACATTCAGTGTGAAGATAATCAATCGCTTGAAGTATTTCTTGGAGGATTATTTTGAAAATCTCCGGTGGCATCACACCACCTTGCCATCGTTGGCAATATTTTGCTAGTGACTCACGTAAAGGTTCAGAGACGAGACATACATGACTCCCTGAGATTCCCTGGACAGAAAACGAGTCGAGTAATTTTCGAACGAACTGCCAGCCCTCATGTTGACGTTTAGCTCTCGTTATATGTCGCAGAACCTCCAGCTCAATGCTACCAGCAACTTTCCGTGCATGGGTATTATTGGAGTTGATTTTAAGAGCCACATATCGCTCGTTCGACCAGCGCCACCTAAACCGTCAATTATGTACCTTAAAATGTGCATTAGGCCGATACGAACTGGTGAAGGTCCCTTGCAAGCCATACAGTCGATCTGCTTCCGTGGCCAAGCTTGGTCGCAATTTGATACCGGTCATTAAGGACTTCACCAATTCGCGCTGGATAAAAATAGGCTGGTTCGTAGTAGGGAGAATTCTCCTCTTCAATTGACAAAGATGGGTCGATTCGGGGTGGAAGGGCGGACGATAATGCCCAGGGCGTTTGACGCAACACCTTCAAGGGATGCGTGAAGATATTGGGAAGATTCCGCATCATTATCATGCACGAATTCAAAAACACTGGTATTGCTCCAGGTTCATGTGGCCTTTATGGGGAGAAAGGGGTAGTCCGAACTTCGAGATCCAAATACTATGGCTTCAGGCTTGTTTAGACCCCATAGGCGGTGACGCGGTGTAGTCCGAGCTTCTAGCTCCCCAAATGCACGGGCACGGAAGATATGCATGGCCCCACCTAGAGGATCGAGAGTCTCTAAAAATATGTGGAAAGTTGCCAGCGAATGGGATCAGGAGGCTAGGAGCGACAACCCTAACATGCAAGTTAAGAGCGGGGCCGTGCTAGCAGGAGCGGTGAACAGCTGCCCTCAATCCCCTTTGCCCCTTCGACTGTGAATAAAGTCACAAACCACGATGTCCGAAGAATCATCTAAAGGCTGTATCGCATGTGGTTGGACACTCGAACAGCAGGAGCAATGCTTTTACTCGAGCCATGTCAAACTCTTCTACGGTGCAAGCAGACGGGGAGCGTGGTCAATCGGGACTGATGTTATTCTGAAAGAACGCCCTGACGAAGGCCCGAAAACCGAAGTGACCACCCTGAATTACCTTACAACCCACTCTGATATCCCCGTTCCAAAGGTCCTACGTGACTGGGTTGACGGTGACAGGCGATACTTTGTACTTTCAGAGCGGATAAAAGGCCAAACTCTCGAGCAGGCCTGGTCTTCGTTATCAGAGTCCCAGAAAGTGGATATCGCAGATGAGGTCGTTGGGATTAGAAAGAAGCTTCGATCTTTGCAGTCGACATCTATACAAAGCGTTGATCAAAGTCCTTGTTTTCCCGGTCTACTCTTTCTCGACCGCGAGCCACACGGACCTTTCCATTCCGATCGCGAACTCTGGGATGCTTTGAGTCTTACTCTACATGATCCACCTACGAGATCATTCCCTCAACAAGCTTTGGATAATCTAAAGAGGCGACTGCCTAAATGTGAACCCTATGTTCTCACTCATTGTGATCTTAATTTAGGCAATATCATGGTGAAAGACGGAAGGTTAGCTGGGGTCCTTGATTGGGAATTTGCTGCATATTATCCTATCTGGTATGAATATGTCTCGGCCTCTTGGGGGTGGACAGAGGAGGACGCCGAGTGGAAGAAGCTTCTACGAGAGCGTATGGGTGTACATGGCGAAGGATATGAGGATGCGAAGGAATTTTGGACTGATCTGCGTCATCTGAGAAAATATCCGAATCTGGATGGAAAGGGTCGAGAAGTCTTAGACGGGTTATTAGAACGTGGAAAGTAGAGACCGCAATAGCCTCTCTATTGTGAGCCTGGATGACTACCTCGTGGAAGATATGGTGTACGAGTGTATGCATTCCCTCCATATCTACGTGCCCACCTCGTCTTATTCGACACTACGGAACAGCAGATAAGAAAAGGACATTGGGGTATTTAGTAGTCTCCTCCTCTCAAGCCCAGAATTCAATTCGCTCAGAAAGTCTCCAGCTCGTCAGCCACACCCTCGTCTCCCTCGGCGGGAATCTCGAAGCCATCCTAAGGGGATCATGTCAGTTGGTAATATTTTCGAGGAATAGCCAAGAGAACAAACCTCAGTGGAGTACAGAATGCCTTGGATGTGCTTGACAAGCGTATCCTCCTCCTTCTCAAGCTCGGGATCCGCCTCAATGGCACTCTGCAGCAGCAACTCAATGTCGCGCAGCTTGGCAAAGTAGAAGTCCCGTTCCTTCTCCAGACCGGCGATGGCCTCCTTCTGTGTGGCAATTTCCTGCTGCAGAGCAGCGGTAGCGGCTCCACCGGCTGCTGTGGCAACCCGGGGACGGGCAGCACCAGTTGTCGGGGTTACTCCACGGCGTGCGCTGCCGGCAGAGGGAGCGCGTGAAGCGGGGGCGGCGCTAGGGGCACCGGAAGCCTTGCGTCGACCGAGAGCATCATACTCGCCGCCGGGGTAGTGCTGGTCCCAGTATTTCTTGACCCACTGGAGGAACTCAAGGTTGTCCTGCATGCGACATTTTGTGAGGGATTGGACGGGAACGGGCTTGTTGACCTGGTGACGGGCGAAGACGTCTGCACGATGGAATAGGTTAGAAGATGCGAATTGGCCTCCAATTCAGAATTTCACATACTCTGGAGAACCTTGAAGTTCTGAAGGTAGGCATATTCTGTGTTCACGTTGAATTTGACCCGAGACATGGGGACATCCACTGAAAGAAGACCGCTCGGTCAGTAATATGTTCCACAACACAGTGCCAAACCGCCTGTGTTTCTTTGTTTCTTGACTCCGTCGCAAGTCATGCTTGATACATACTGAAAATCGAATCGAAAATCTGACAGAGAGCAGCGCTGCGGAGAAACACCATCAACCGTTAGCCTATCTGATATGAGAAGATCGACCACTCCCGCGGAGTTTATGAGGCCGGAGAAGAGAAGGTTGATCAAGCATACCCAGTTCCGCACTGCTCAATTTTCGTAAGGTTCAGCTGTAGCAGGTTGTTAAGCCATGCCAGCAATTCCTGTCTAGAAAGGAAAACCGATCGGCGTCAGTATGGCCCTTTTGATCGCGCGATGGCGGGGAATAGGAGAAAAGCCGAACCGGGATTCACCCATTTTGGTGGGGTAGATAGTATATGAATCGAATCGCTGAAGCGGAAGATGAAGTATGCAAGAGCGCTAAGCGAGAAATGAGGTTGAGAGATATTACACGGCAAGTTCAGGACTTCTTGTCAGTCTCTGCTTGTGTGGTCGATGGTAAGAGCAGAGGGATTGTTTTGATGCTAAATCCCACGGATCACTCTGGCACTAGCCCACTCTTACTGGCGAATCAGGTGTCGATTAGTTAATCAGTGTCTCTTTTCGATGTTAGCCTGAGGTGTCGATCATTCAACTGATCTGTCATATTACGATCTAATATATTGCCTCAGTGCATGGGATTATTGAATTTCTGGAAAAACCAGGACGTTATTGTAGAAGCTCAATTCTAATACACCAGATTCCTCACTTCTCCTTCACTTCGGATAATCGTTGATTCAACTTGTGCTGTACACAGTAGATTGACCGCGGCTCCAGGGCTCCCACCGCCCGATCCACCGCAACCTTCGCCCGGCAGATATGGCCGATCATCGCTGCCTCGTCGCCTAAAGTGGCGACCGAACTCGCTGCAGAGGCAACATTGAGCAACTACATGTAGCTACTACTATCTCGGTCCAGGAAGTTGGTGGTGTGATCGCGTAATATGCCAGACATGTAATTCCGAAATGATGCAACTGCAGACTATAAACAGCAAGACGCAACGAGACTCTAACTATTCCGCCAATGTTCCAGTCAAATAAAACTGCACCCCAGACGAGTAACGTCCACTGTAACAAACTCCTTTTGATCCCACGATGTATAAGAATGGCAAGCGGCCAACAAACGTCAAACAAAAACAACGCTAGAGAAAGATCAAACGGTATATAAGAAAGATGCAAATAGATCACTCCTCCAAGAGGTCGATCCCGTCTAGACCATATCCAAAGTCTATAATGACAGCCCGAGAGTCCTGGCTGGTCGCAACAATACGTCTGTAATCGGACTGTACACTCAACATCCAGCTTGTGGTCCAGCCAGGGAAGTTGAGAGAGAGGTTACCGGTATCACGGTCAAACACCTTGACGCTCATGTCGTAGCTGCCGCTGACGATGCGCTTGTTCGCGCTGTCCAAATGCAAGGATCTGATCAGGCCAGTGTGTCCGCGAAGCTCGTTGACCAACTCCCCCGTGTTGGCATCGAACTGATAGATTATGCGGTCGTTGCCGCCAGTGAGGATGGTCCGGCCATCATCACTGAACTCGACACAGGCGAGGCCACGGTCTTTGCTGGTGAACTCCTTGATACACTGGCCAGTAGTCACGTTCCACATCTTGGCAACGCCATCGCCGCTGGCCGACACTATGAGGTCGCCGCGTAGTTGGACGGCATTCACTGGCCCTTCGTGGCCGTGGAGCTGCCTCAGAAGTTCACCGGTGCTGCGGTCCCACACACAGATAGTGGTGTCCTTGGAGCATGAGACGATGTATCGGTCATCGAAGCATACATCGAGCACACCGGCGTGGTGACCTTCAAGACGGCGGATAGGTCGATAGTCGTCCTTAATGTCGTACACGATACAGGTGAAGTCCGAAGACCCAGTAACCATAATCTCCTCGTCAAACTGCAGACACAGGATTGACGCGCTGTGGTATATCGATTCTTGCTCCAATGGCGCCGAGATGTTACTCGTTTGATCCGCCGTAGGCCACGGGGGAGTAATAGTCATGAAGGGGGAGCTCCCCGTGGCCTGAGAAGTTGGGCTATTAATTGGACCACGCCGGAAGGTCCGCGCCGCCGGAGGCCCAATAATCTTCTGGCATGACCACGGATAGTGGGCATCCCACACACGAATTGTCCGGTCACGGGAGCCAGTGATAATTTTGTTTCTACAAAGGTGTTAGCAGTGCACAGCATTAAACCATCGACGTCCGAACATACTCGTCAAACTGAGAGCAATAGACACTGTCTTCGTGACCCTGAAGATAGATGGCCGCGGCCTTGCCCTCCTTCCAGCGCCGATCGAGAGCGCGGCGGACGAGAAGCTTCTGCTTCCAATTCTGATTGGGAATTGATTTTCCCAAGCCGGATGACTGCTTTACCTTGGAGGTTGTCTCGCTTGTCGGTCGTCGGCCGTAAGTGTTTCGGAAGACGTGCTTCCAGACATGAGGAGAAGCAGCCCGCAGCCAGTCACGAGACACCAACTCTGCGTTCATAAGAGAGTCAGGGTCCAGATACGACAAAACGTGTGCTGAGATTTCGGCCGGAAACATTGACATGGGATCTGAGAATTAGAGATTAGCAAACCGCACGCCTTTCTGCGAGGTAGTCCATCCTTACCAATCCGCGTAACGCCAGGCAAATCACAGTCCGAAACATCAGAATGATCACGCAGATCGATGCAAATCCCACTCTCCGAGTCCAATGGAATCTTCATATCACGAAGCTTGTCCTCCTGTTCCGCCTGAGCTCTACGGGCGGCCTCCATCTGCTCGTTCTGTGCTGCGGCCGCGGCGCGTGCCGCCGCGCCAGCGTTTTTGTGATTCGGCACAACGGGGGGTTCCTGCCCGCGACCTGGAATGGGAGTAGAAATCGAGACTGTGGGTGCGTAGAACACTTGCAAAGCAGACACGCTATTAAGAGAAGGGCGTCGATTGACGCTGTAGCCCTGAGGCCATTGTTCTTTCGTCGACTGAGCATCCCAGCTCTCGGAGGCCAGACGCTTGTGGGTTGGGAAGCTCGGGGCATGTTCTTCGCTGTCCACCACATGAATATCCTCGGTGACAGGAATAGTCTGCTTGGAAGGCTTGTGACGAAGACTGACAGACAAGCGGCGACCCAGGGCTACTAAGCCATCCACGGGGTGCTTCAGGTTCGAGAAGCTTTTAGCACCCCGACGTCGGGGGGCTGCGTTCGGAAACGGGTCCATCTCCTCCGCGGCCGATGTGTGGTCATTCTGGTATGCTTCGAAGTATGGCTTCTCCCATGTCTCTAAGGCGAATTCCTTTGTCGGGGCCGCATGGCCCATTGTACGTGCGCGCGAACGAAACGACAATGACGGACGGCGCCGTGTCGAGGTGGCGTTATGCTCGCGTGGCGACATGATTGATTGCTGATCTCGTCGTCAAGGTAATATGAATAGCAAATTGAATGAATCTGATCGCCGCAGATGATAGTGGGCGATTTTTCGGTATAGCAGAAGCCTGTCTCTGGTCTCTATCGTGTGTCGATTGCTGTGATGGCCCTTGGGGGTTCTGTAAGTCTAATGAAAATGTATAGATCAACGACCGTCTGCAACTCCAAAAACCCAGGAAAACGAAAGAGAGAGAAAGGCACAAAGAGAGAAGTAATGAATGCAATAGATGAGAGAGTAATAACCAAAAAAAAAAGAAACTGAAAACGAAGGCGCAAGGGGAAGATAAAAAGGGCGGAAGATTTCCAGAAGCAGAACGAACCGAACCGGTCTGAGAGTCGGGCGGTGAATTGAGGAGGAGTGATTGGTTCGATGGTCAAGTACCGAGAAGTTCCCTGGTACAAATATGCAATAACAAATCACATTTGGAACAAAGTATCTTGTACTTCTTTGTTACTTGTCCCTGTAGGAATTAGAATTTTGGGGGAGTTGGGGGCAAACCACGGGGGAGCCGCGGAAGTGCGGAGTACCACTACCTGGATCGCCGTGGTGATCTCTGCGAATCAGAGGTACCAACTACACCGAAACACCCCGGGTGGCGATCAGGCTTTTCTTTGGACATTATTCAAAAGAAAATTATCGGAGGCGTTAGTGACAGTTAGGGCTACCAATATTGGAAAGTTGAAGCTAAATTGGGCAATATCTTTGTATGACTTTTCTACCCAAAGTCCAAACCACTGGGGAAAATGTTGCACGACATGGGTCATCTTAGCGGGTAAATTGAGCTAAAATTAACCTACAAATCTAACCGTTCAAAGACCTCAAGGAACATCCCCATTGGATAGTACGTATCGAAGATAACAACCTTGAAAATGTTTATTTTTGTATTGCCGAATGCCGATTAACCAGAACATTCTATGCTATGATGCTATCAACCGAAGACCTTCTCATAGCCAGTCAGAGTGAATCGGTAGCGAACGTCTCCCTTCTTCATGCGTTGGATGGCGTCTTTAAGACCCTCCTCGCCAATGGGGATCTCCTCCACCCAACCCTTGAGTCCCTTATCCGCAGCCAGCTGCAACATCTGAAGCATCTCCCGACGGCTACCCAGGTGACTGGCACCGATGAGGACACCGTTAGAAATCAGGTTCTGAGCCTTAATGACCTGGCCCTCTTCTTCGGGAAGACCAACGCTGATCCAGCGGCCATGGACATCCATCATGGAAAGGTAGCGAGCAAGGTCGAATCCCTTAGAAGAGTTGGCGCAGTTGATGATCAAGTCAAACGAGCAGAGGTGGGGCTTCTCCCACCCCTCCTCAGCGGTAGCAATGTAACCATCAGCACCGAGCTTGAGGGCATCCGCCTCCTTTGCGCGTGACCGCGAGATGGCCCACGTCTCCGCACCCAGCGCCTTGGCAAACATGATTCCGAAATGTCCAATCCCACCCAGTCCGACGATTCCAACCTTCTTGCCTGGACCGGCACCGTTGCGCACCAACGGCGAGAACGCTGTCAGTCCAGCGCACAGCATGGGAGCCACGGCGTTGGTCTCGAGCGCGTCGGGAATCGGGAACACCCAGTGCTCGTGTGTCCGCACATGCGATGAGTATCCACCCTGGCTGACGATGCCGGAGTCCGCCCACTTTGAGCCGTAGGTATCCATTTGCTCCACTGGGCAGTATGTCTCGTTGTCGTTAAGACACTGCTTGCACTTGCCGCAGGAGTAAGATTGCGCGCCAACGCCAACGCGCTCGCCTTCCTTGATCAGGGTGACCTTAGGGCCGACACGGATTGCGCGACCAATGATTTCTAGGGCAGTTATCAGCATCAGAGTAGCCCACCCCGGTTTCTTGGAAGTACGTACCGTGACCCACACACAGAGGGAAGTTCTGGGCACCCCATCCTCCTGGAAAGGGTATTAGTTTGTGCTCTTATTTGATGATCTGACGGGATGCTCATACCGCTGATGGTGTGTACATCACTACCACAGATGCCACAGGCTTCGATCTTAACGTCGACATCTATATTAAATCAGAGTCAGTCGGGAATAAGGACAGGAGATATCCAGTGACCATTGGTACTCACCGTAATCGCCAAAAGGCTTCAGCTTAAACTATATCCCAATCAATCCAGGTTAGCGCATACCCCAACCAGTATGCAATGATGAATACGTACGTGGCGCTTGTGGAACTCGGTAAAGTTTTCAGGGCCATCGACCTGGAAACCCTCAGCTTCTTCGGGGTAAGGCATTGTGATACAGTGAGTTGTGAATTTGGGGTATAGCAAAGCCGTGCAAATGATACAATTGAATGAGAGGAAGAATAAAGAAAAGGAGTCCAGGAGCTAATAGTGGGGTGGAGGGGTATATCAATTGAGATAGGAGTGGAGATCGCGAAACATTCCCTGTTCATCCTGATCCTGGGCAGGTTATATAGGCTCAATTGATTGCACCTACGCTGTACTATCGTACCCCAACCGCGTCTACTCCGTACCTGGCTTCCCCGCAGTCAGACATTTTTCCGTAAACTTGCCCCACGGCCCCCACCCACGAATTTACCCAGTCCGCCAAAAAGTTTACTGTGTTACAGAGCAATTGGCGCAAACTATGACATCCACTGAAACAAGCCAGGTCGTGTGCAGCATCACGGGTGGGGGTCTGTTTGGTGGCGTTGGGGCCATTGCTCTACCTACTGTACATCAGAAGCATACTGCAGGGGTTGCCGTTCTTAGCTGCCGCCGCTTTTATGACCGCGCTCGGAATTAAGTCACTGGGTACATTCCAGTCTGACCCCAGACTCAAATGCTGTCTAACGTTATGCCTACCTACGGAGTAGTGTTATCCTGTTGTGATTCCATGGAGAGCTTGCTGCGACGGAACCCTGGAAGGGCAGGCTGCCTCGCGGAGATGGCCAGACACAGGCACTCGACGTTGAGATTGGACTTGCGCCAATCAATCTTACCAAGGCGTCCGTTTTGAAAAGCCTTTGGCCATCTATAAAAGTTGTTTGTTCATATCATCTTGTGGTGATAATACATACTTCGAGAACTGGTGGTGACATATGGGCACTCTTGTAAACGAAACAGAAACCACTCCTCTCCTGCGACATGACGATTCGAATCCAATGATGTCTCCAAGACGATGAGGGAGGATGAAGGAAAAAAAGAATCGACAGCTGCATGATTCGAACATGCGCCTCCGAAGAGAATTGATTTCGAGTCAATCGCCTTAGACCACTCGGCCAAACTGCCTTGAATAGGAAACTGGCCCATATTGCTGTACACGACGACACATGTAAAAAGCCCTCTACGGAAACGGCTCGCCTTCATGATTTCCACACTGCGGTACACCAAAACAGGGTCTATAAAAATAGCAGCAGTTAATGAGAATTGACTGGATTAAGGATTTAGGACATATAGTTATCCATCAAACTGCCATAATTATTATAGTTAGTTAAGCACTGGTTTCATAAACATGAAACAAAAAAAACAACCGACGGCTGCATGATTCGAACATGCGCCTCCGAAGAGAATTGATTTCGAGTCAATCGCCTTAGACCACTCGGCCAAACCGCCTTAGATGGTGGATAATGACATATTTGGCTTTATATTGATACTCATCTGATTTTTACAAGCACATATCAATCTCCAGGTACTATCGAGAGCAGCAATTCAGTCTACCGTTCCCTACATATTAGATCTTCAAATTTTCAGCCGTTCAACACTGGGCAAGTAGTGACAACATTGGGTGACAACATATAAGTATCGTTGACTGCACACATATCCAATCTTTACAGTCTCCTCTTGTTTTCAAGACGCATCCATCTCCGTTGCTGCCTTGTATTCATTCCATGCCGTTCATAGTTCAAGGCACTATATTGCACAATACAATGTCAGCATACTGTGGTAGACAGCCAAGATCCGACCAGACCAGCGACGTGCTCAGTTCTACTCGGTGGCCACAAAGCAGCAGTCCTTGAGTACTAAAGCGGGAAAGGAACGTCAAGAAGTGTCAGAGTAGGATCCACCCGGGTAGTACATCGGTCTCCGTATGTTGAACCAGGTTTGAATCAGAAGTTTTTCCACCTATGAGCGGGCGAGGAGAATCACATTCCGGCCGGGGCCTGCGTGGCTTATCGGCAACCCGGAGTGGGGGTGCCCAGGTGGGATAGGGCTTTGAATTAGGGCTTGAGCTTACAACCATCTTGTCTTGTTCAATGAATCTATTTTCAAGCTGGGAAACGCGAAGATACGAGCTAAGTACAGGTAAATGGCAATGCGGTAGCCTTTTAAGGATACCTCCAGGTAACATTGTCTAACACAGGTAACACGCCTCTCAAGGCTGGATGTATATTCAGATCACTCGCAGGAGTGTTGCATATAGAAGACTGGAGTATATTTGGTTGCTAGTACCTAGAGAGCAGCCCGGGAGTCCGTGAGTACAACTTATTCGTGAAAGGACGGCTATCCCGTGGTTAAGAGAATGCAGGTGTGGTGAATGTTTGTAACATATTGAGTTAGGTCCAGTGTTGTCTGTAGGTGTACCCTTCAATGGAAGGAACGGAGTAAACATTGAAACTTTATCTATCTGGAAAGTGCGTTCCACCTTCCCAAGGTTGGGGAGCCGTCGATGGCCTGAAGGACGAAGTTGTTGACTCATGCTACTACTCCCGACGAGGCGAAGTCCAATTTGAAAAAGAAGCAAAGATCTTGACACTTGCAAGGTCATCATATTGATCATAACTATTAATACACTAAGTTTATGCCACATCGGGTAAGGTTGCCTCCACATCCATCGCAGACTTGATCTTATCAGCAACGGCCTGGTACTCAGCAGCAGAAAGACGGCTGAGGGGTCGGCGAGGATACCCGCCATAACCGTAGTATGACTGAATAGCACCCTTGGTGCCAGGAATCGAAGCCTTTGTGAGAACCCAATCGGCAGCACTGAGCTGCTGCTGGGCCTCGATGGCCTCCGCGAGACGGCCCTCGGACCAAAGAGTGAAGACACGAACACACAGGCGGGGAATAACATTCGCACCACCGGCGAGGATGGCGGAGCCACCAGAGACAAGGGTTTGCAGAGCGAAGTCGGCAATACCGCCGAAGGCGACATATGGGTGCTTGGCGTTGGGCTTGGAGACAGTTGCGGTACGTTGGGCAGGAGCCAAGGGAGAGGAGGGGGTGATAGCTCCGAGGGCAGTAGCGACGCGGGTCAGCTTGCCAGTGTTGGCGCAAGTGAACTTAGTGCCCACAATGTTTGGGTGTTCGGAGATGCGGATGATAAGGTCAGAGTCCATGTCGATGCCAGCGACAGCGCCGGGGTAGTTGTACAGAATCAGAGGGATGGGTGAGCCATCGGCAACGGCTGTGAAGTACTCGTAAAGGGTTTCGTCATTGCCGACGGCGGCACGGTAATAGCTGGGGGGCACGATCAAAGCGTACTCGCCGCCAGAAGCCGCGACCTCCTTGCAGAGCTCGATAGTTCCGCGGATGCTGTTCTCGCTGGCACCGGCAATGACGGCCACATTGGAGAAACCAGCTTCATCGAGAGCAGATCGCGTTTCCCGAGTGACAGTCATGCGCTCTTCGCGGCTGAGGTGCACTGCCTCTCCGTTGGAGCCCATAGTCACCAGACCGACGAGGCCGGCCTTGGCTAGGCGCACGGCATGGCGGCGGATAGATGCGATATCTAGTTCTTCCGTCTCGGCATCAAAGAAGGTCATCGTCGGCGCGTAAACACCGGGGCGGAGCGGAGTGAGAGGCATGATTCTGGATCTTTGTGAGCTGAAAAGTGGCTGAAATTCGACGGAATCAGACCTACATGAATTTGGGTATATGGTGTTGGGTATATGGTGTCAACCCATCTTTGGCATTTGACGTCCTTATGAACATTTTCGGGGCGTACCTTCCCCCACCATTCTACCCCACGTCGGGCAATGCTCCGAGCTTGTTTGTATGGCGGAAAATCGTCTTCCACCAATCAATTCCAGGCACAGAGATGTGGGGGACCATGAGGGGTAACGGGGCGGATAAAGAAGAAATTCAACCGATGGAGCTCGAGGGCGCCATATCTGAGTCTACGGAGTACATAGATCAACAATAGAGGCGAGTATGTAGAAAGCACAATAGTACGTGCTGTATTTGGAATGTCCTAGAAATGAAGTTGGTGAGGAGAAAGAGACCCTGCAGGCCATGGCGCCAGAGGCCAGGTCGATAAGATACGACGGTTATTGAGGAACTGGAAATTTCAAACGCCGGAAGAATTATGTCCAGCGATTCAATACCCCAAGTTCTTGTACATTGTCCTGTTAAATTCACTTATTCCCCCAGACACCTCCTGGAAAACTAGACTCAAACTCCTCGCAATTGAACATCATGGCTCCCCCTAGTGTTTTGATGGTACGAGGAGAGACACCCCGCAGTATGTCTCCAGCTAACAGACTCGCAGGTCGGCACCGGTGAATACACCACTGGCTTTGTCGGCGGTGGTGCATCCAACTCAGACAAGAAGGTCGGCGTGGTGGGCCTCACTCTATTCGACCTGCGCCGGCGAGGCAAGGTGGGCGACTTGAGCATGGTAGGCGTCTCGGGCAAGAAGTTCCCCGGCATCCGTAAGTTGAGCGCAAGAAGATCAATGCAAGCAACAAGTATTCTAATCAGAGATAGGCGATCACTTGCACCGTAACATCTCCCAAGTCTACAATAACCTCGATACCTCCTTCACTTCGTTCCCAGCGGACGACCAGACGGACCCCGACGCATACAAGACCGCCATTGATGCCCTCCCCAAAGGCTCCGCCATCACCATCTTTACCCCGGACTCCACCCACTACCCCATTGCCCTCTATGCCATTGAGCGCGGTCACCACGTGCTTATCACCAAGCCAGCAACCCAACGACTAGAACACCACCTGTCCCTGGTTGAGGCTGCGCGCAAGCATGGTGTCTTCGTCTTCATCGAGCACCACAAGCGCTTTGACCCCGCATACTCTGATGCGCGGGCCAAGGCGAAGACTCTTGGTGATTTCAACTACTTCTACAGCTACATGAGTCAGCCCAAGAGCCAACTCGAGACCTTCAAGGCCTGGGCTGGTCGCGATTCGGATATTTCCTACTATCTCAACTCGCACCACATTGATATCTGCGAGAGTATGGTCCCCGAATACAAGCCTGTGCGGGTCACAGCAACTGCATCCCAAGGTACCGCCGCTGCGCTTGGATGTGTCCCTGAGACGGAGGATACCATCACACTCTTGGTGGAATGGCGCCGCCGTGACAACCCAGCGAAGATCGCCACTGGTGTTTACACTGCTAGCTGGACGGCGCCTCTAAATGCAGGTGTCCACTCGAACCAGTACTTCCACTGTATGTCTTTCCTCATTCTGTTGCAAAATATTATAACCGAACTCTCCTAACGCGTTGGAACAGATATGGCTGCCAACGGTGAAATCCGTGTCAACCAGGCTAAGCGCGGCTATGAAGTGACCGGTGATGACCAGGGCCTCATTCATTACAACCCGTGAGTTGCTAGTATGCCATGGTCACTTTTTCCATGCTAACTCATGATGTCCCAGATTTTACATGCGCTACGCGCCAGACGAAGAAGGAAACTTCAGCGGGCAGACTGGATACGGCTACATCAGCTTCGAAAAGTTCATCGATGCTGTCACGGCCGTGAACGAGGGTCGGGTAACTCTTGACCAGCTGGATGCCCGCCCACTGCCTACTCTGCGCAATACGATCGCCACAACTGCAATCCTTGATGCAGGCCGCAAGTCGCTGGACGAGAGACGGCCCGTGGAGATTGTCTCTGAGGGAGATAAGTGGGAGATGAAGTAGATCAGAGGACAAATATAGATCGTGTTACAACTTGCGACATACCGCTCAGAAGTATAGGTATATCTCCTCTGCTGGGCTATGCAGCCCCAACCTGCCCAAATATACCTATCAGCAAGGCCTCCCAAACCTTACCTTATCTCAATAAACTGGAGCCTGAAGGGTACGAGCGCGGGAGCGCAAACTTTGCAATAGTAAGCAGAAAATACGAGGCTCCCGAGGTCCCAGAACCCGGGAGACTCATAGAGTCATAGTTCTGTCCAACCTCCCAACTTCCGAACTTACCCCCCCCCCCCCCCCCCCCCCAACCCTTCAATAAAACCCATCCAGATCTACCTGGAAAACCAAATGATCCCAAAATGATGCGAAGAAAAGAAATCTACACAATGATCACCCCGCTCCCCACCTGCGTCCCGCACCAACTAGCCCTCGACATCCTCCACAGCCACAGCGAAATAATAACCCTGAACCCGCTGGTCCTCTCCCACCGCCCCATCCGGGCGCCTCGCGACGCAATCGCAGACGAATACTACTCAACCTGGTACGAGATAACCGAACAAGTCCAATACATACCCGGCCTCGGCAAGCTGGGCGCCGGCAAAATAAGCTTCAAGGGCTGTTTCCAGAACGTCGAGTGGGGGCTACGGACACACATGTATGCGCCGCTGGGGATAGACCTACAGAGCAAATGGCGCATAGGCGGGGACGCCGAGGAACGGGATCGGGCCGATGGCGCGCCGCAGAGCGGACTTTATCTGCATGAGGAGGTGCAGATCGATTGTAATCGGGCGCTGGTTTCGTTTGTTAAGGGTCAGTTGAAGGCTGCGTCGAAGGTGTTGGTTGATCGGTTGATTAGGAAGGCGGAGTTGCTTGATGCGGGCGTTTTGCAGGGGGTTGTTGAGGATGGGAAATTGATGACGTTTAATCCGGCGGACTTGTCGGATAAGGGTGCTTTGCAGAGGGGTTATTCTATGCGGGGTTCGCAGTCAGGGGGGAGGAGGAGGTCATCCGGGCAGGGGTTGGGATCGCCGATTGAAGCCGGGTCGGTGTCGAATGCTTATGCGCCGCAGTACGGGAGAGAACGGGGGAAGAGCTTTCCTGTGGAATTGGCGGGTGATTTTTATCATATGCCAGCTGAGGCTGTCAGTCCCCGGACTGAGGTGTACCAGGAGTTGCCGGCTAATGATCAACTTGCGAACTCGTCGAGGCTAGGGACAGGTTATGGTGTGGAACTTGATGGCACGAGCCCGAGATCACAGGAATACAGAGATGAAGGATTGCCCTATCGACCTTACAGCTACAGGTCACCTGAAAAGGGCTGAGGCTTGGATATCAGAACAATACAATAATTGTCATGAATGCTGCTTTATTCCCTTTTTTTTCTGGCAATTCCACTTGGTGGCAATTCTTGGGATTCTTCCATGCTTGGGCTTCGGGCATAATGCGGATCGAAATAGACCAAGCTGTACATACATTGGCAGTGAATATGCGTCCCAGAACACCGATAAATCGGCAGAAATATCCGATATCGTTCATAAGTTACATGTACAGACTTGAAATGGATAATCTCAATGGTAATGATATGATTTGTGTGAAAGAGAAGACAACCCCAAAAGCCAGCATACATCAGTACTCCGTTCACAACTCCTGCAATAAACGCATCTCGTGGTATCATGCAAGAAATATTCAATCCAACCGCTAACGCCGCGAACTACCCTTGATGATACCGTCTTCGCCCTTGTGCAGCTTGACACGGCACTCAGGGCAGTACCACTTAGCTGTGCGGGAGGGCACTTCTTCCAAGCCCACGCAGGCGAGGTGGAACCATTCACGGTCACACTGTAGCATATTAGTAGGAGTTCTTTCAGGACGAGTCTCGATAGACAGGGGATAACGTACATCTTGATTTTCGCAGCAGATCATTGTTCCAAAACTAACGTCGCCACAAAGACAGTATCGAGGCTCGTTGGCATCGATCTGCTCCAGGACGCCATCTTCGTCGACACGAACATCCTGGGAATCCCGGATACTGAGACGCTTCTTTCCTGGCTTGGCTTTGCGGCGTCCGTAACTTACGGCCGCGCCTCCATCTTGACCATTGGAGATGGGACCTGGTGCGGGACGTTTGCGCCGCCTGGCCGGGCCGGGGACACTTGGCGCATTGGACGCTTCGCGGACAGGGGCATTGTGAGCGGGTGTCGCGCTTTTGATGCGACGATCACGACCACTTGCTGCTATTATTGGGAGGGCGCCGGTGATTCCTTCTATTGATGCGGCAGCTGCAGACCGTCGCGATGAAGGCCGAGTGACCGGCGGAGTGGGCGTAGTGACGGTATGGACTAAGGAGCGGTTGGATCGTCGGGAACCGGATGGGCTGGGCTGAGGAGGGGAGAGTCTGGCTTCAGTGGTAGGGGACGTGCGGGTCTTGATTGGGGCAATGAGATCGTCGGTGGATTCCGTGACCTGAGCACCGCGACCAGATCTGCGCCGAGAAGCATCAGCCCTCGCAGGGGCAGGGGCGGAAGGTGCAACTGGAGCTGCAGTCGGCGCAGCTTTTGCCGTCTCGAGAACATGGAGTCCTTTATCTTCTAGAGTAACTTCTTCGAGTTTCCTTTTTCGTGATGACCGGTTCGCGGCTGGAGTGGGTTGGGCTGGACTTGGCAAAGCGTTGGTGGAGATGCCTTCGCCTTCCATCAATGCTTGTTCACGCGCCAACTGCTCGCGTTTCAACTTCTTTGCTTCGTTCAGTTTCATTCCACGATTGCTGAGCTTTGTCTCCTCTAGATCTTTCGCAATCTCCCCGCGCCGGGTTTCCTCAATGTTATCACAATCAACAAACTCCGCACCAGTCTCTTCTGCCAGAGCCTTCGCTGCACGATATGCTTCCCATCCACGATTTGCCAGGGCCAGTTCGCGGTGAATCATAACCTCGCTGGGTTGCCACACGGCATTCTTCTTCATCTTCTTTCGCAACCGGGTCATCTCCCATTCCGTCAAGCGCAGCCACGGCAGATCCTCGCTGCCCAGTTTCGCATCTGCCGGTGGCGGTTTCAACTGAGCAAGAGCTTGGGCGGTCGATGGCCCGATCCCAGAGCTGAGGCGACGCGCCTTTTCCTTCTTTGGAGGACGAGCCGGCTTGGGGATGGATCTGGTAAGTTCGCCCTCCAAGTCCGATTGCTCGGTACTCGCAAGCGGGGAGTCTGGGTCAAAAGCTCCGTCGACTGCTGGTATGCGGCTCCTAGTACTATCTCGCTTGTTGCGATTGTCCAACCGAAGAGTGATACGCGTCGGGACATCCTTGTTGCTCTTTCTGCCTCCACGCGCACGCTTCTGTGTAGGTCCTGGCGGGGGTGTTGGCTCCGCCGAGGCAGGCTTCGGCAGTGCCTCGAGCTTTTGACGAATGCAGCCCAGCCGGTCGAAGTGGCGATCGACGACATCGTAGAGGCGACAGGCCTCGGCGTATGCCGACTCACGCGCGTTGATGGCGCGATCCACCTGAGCGGAGATGTCTTTGCGCAATGCAATTGCGCCCGGTCGGCTCTCCGAGGGAAGGCTTGGGAGCTGGCCGTAGACCCGTGTCAGCTGGTGGACAGCTTGCGCGGAGTCGAGGTATCGATCGTCGAGGTCACGGATGAGGGTCAAGGAGCGGATTAGGTCTGCGGGGAGGTATTCTGTATAGTCAATGAAGTCGGTGACTGTAGCCTGGGCATCTGGATCGAAGGGGCCATCCAGGATGACCCCTCCGCTGTCGTCTGTGTCGTCTGTCATCGGCATGCTATTGCACGACGATGTTGAATGGTTGCTAGGGCTGAGGGAAGGGGTTCGTGAAGGTCTCAAAGATGCAGCTAGCGTTGGGGGGATATTAGAGCCACTGCAATCTTGCGATGAGCAAAGCGAATGCTGCGGGGTCTAGGCATCAGATAACCGATGCGCATTCAGTGGATGCCTTGCTCCATGAGGTTCCTAAACAGCGGATTAGGGTTACTCCGGAGCTATCCGGGGATAGTCACGTGTAATCCACTTATCTGTGGGGCCACGAAATCAAGGCGTCCGCTTCTGCAGGTCCGTTTTGCTTCATGACTACGTACTTGGATTCAACTCCTCAGATCTAAGAAAAAGAAGGAGAGATTCTGTAAAACGATCTCATACAAAGCCGAATGCAAAGGCACTGTGGCACACGAGGCAGCGATTCGTCCATGATTCTTGCTCGCCATTGAATCTTCATAGAGAGCCCCAATTACCTGATTTACCTCAAGGTACGTCCATTAAAGGCGCATACATCTATGCAGTACGACTTCACCAACCCCAGAGTGTATATCTAACGCTTTGGAGTTTGGTCAACAACAGTCATCTCTATACACTTAACATAACTATCACTTCCGGCTCCCATTCGGTGGGTGCAAGGCATATTATCTCTGCCGCCTGCTTGGAGCGTCATATTTCACCTCACACGAACTTAGGACGGGCTGATTCAATCAAGCCAAGGGGTTGAGGATCTTGAGATGGTCTTTAGGACAATCTAAGCGGGTGTATGAATGTACAAATAAGTACCTTGCTCGCACAAACTCACCCCAAGATACATCCATGTACACTCCACAGAGCCTGGGAGATATCAGAGCCGATGTGCAGGCACTTCCCAAGCCCTCGGAGATATAAGGGCCGATGCGAAGGCACTTCCCAAGCCATTGGAGATATAAGGGGCGGTGTATACTCCCAAAACCCTCGGAGATATCCGAGCCGATATATCAACTTGGAAGTCACGGCACAGCTCTTGAAGTTAGGTTGTCGCGTGATTAGTCTGCGCACCGCCCTAGTATTCACTTAGTTCCATTACTTGCTCATCGATGGCCTCTTCTCAACTGCAGTTTCGCCGCCGTTTCATATCATATTCCCGTTGACTTTGCTTTGTGATCATCCGAGTTTGTACCTAAAATGAATCCCCTCAACACACCGCAGCACCTCATGGAGATGGATGGGGTTTTGCCTGTCGACCCTGTTGCTGGCCTTCTTGCTGATGAGCCACAGGCCAATGTCAAAGACCCTGTAAGTAAACATCATTCCTGCTTTCGAGATCCAATTGGTCTGGTCACCATCCAGCGAAATCACGTATTCGCTGTTTGATGTAAGATTGGAGATAATACAGACAATCATTGACAGAAACCAGGATGTCGATTGCTCCCACGAACCCCGGAAGACTCACCTCGAGTGCCCGAGCGCCGACCAAGACAAGCATGATGGTGCTCACTCTGACAAGATTTCTGAGGGCCAGCTCACTGCGGTCCCGACTTCGTTCACTCCGGCCACCATAATGGCTCGTTTTTATCTCAAATATGTCCCAGAATCTGCATCTGATGAAGTCAATGCAAAGTTTTATGAAGGTGAAAAGTTCTGGAATCGTGGCTGGGATCTGTAAGTGAAGTCTAGTATCTGTTGTCAAAAATATCACCGCTAATCCTCATCCAGGTACCACTTGCCTGTCCCAAGGGAGATCTTCCCCGGGCCTCTCCTGTTGATCCCTACTCTGCAAGCGCAAGGCTTGCTCGATGAAATCAACTCGGCTTTGGACCTCCAGCTGACCTTGACGGGTCAGGGCAAGGAAGGCCTTGTGATTGAATTCAACGAGACCATGGTGCAGCCGACGTTCCTTGGCCGATGCAGCACCCCTGAGCAGAAGCAGCGCTATGAGGGAAAGGTCTCTGGCTGTGGCTGGGGACTGGAGACCGTAGCCGATGAGGCCTTGGAAGACCAAATCAAGCAGTCCGCGGCTGCAATAAATCTTGTGCGCAAAAAGAAAAAGATCAACCATGCCCATGAAGCCCGACGGAAGCAGTGGGAAGAGGGCTTGGGCCGTGTGCAAGCCCACTTTGGCCTGCGTCCTCCGTTGCAGCCAGGTCATGAACAGCCGTCGTTTGCCAATGGTCAAATCGGACCGGTTGATGTTCTGAGTGTGACTAAATGGGACTTCCACGATGCACCTATTTTCATCAGCATTGACCTTGAGTGGAAAGAGACCAGCATGGATGTGCTGACTGAGGTTGGGATTTCAACCCTGGATATGATGGACCTGCAGGGTGTGCCTCCTGGCGTTGGCGGCGAGACCTGGATAAAGCAAATTCGCTCCCGCCACCTGCGTGTGAGCGAGTACCGCGACTGGGTCAATCACAAATACTCTCACGGTTGTCCTGATCGGTTCGGATTTGGCGAGAGCGAGATGATCCCCGCTGCAGACATCGCAGAAGCCGTGGACGCTGCATTCCAGCCCCCATACATGGCTTTCAAGGAGAACGAAATCGTCTGCGGATACAAGGATCAGAAACGCACGGTAATCCTCGTTGGTATCGACCTTCATAACGACTTAAAAGTCCTCAAGAAACACAACAGCGAAGTGTTCACTGAACTCGACACCCTGGATAGTTCGTCGTCCGTAATTCGTGAGGTCGTGGATGTGGCACAGCTGTACTGTGTAGAGCACGGCATCAGGGACAAACCAGGTCTTGCAACGATGCTTCGAAGCCTGAATCTGCCGACGTCTGACCTGCACAATGCGGGCAATGATGCAAACTGCGCCCTGCGGGTTCTCGTGCGACTCATGCTGCAAGTTGCTGGCGAGAAACTGGATGTGGAGCCGAAGGACAAAGATGAGTCCGCAACGCCAAAGGATGTTGACGCCAATCAGGCCAAGTAAGGTTGACGAGCCGCAAACGCCATGTCGGGAATTGTTGACCAGCCTTTCCTCTTTGAGATGAATGAAATCTCCGCTTGACCCAAACATATCTCAATAGCCTATAGATACATGCCGAGTGTAGAAATATCTGCCTACATTGTATTCCGTGGGTGGCAACGTCCTTACAATTAATGTTGTTATGTCTCACTGACGACATACTTCAATCTCTATCCCCACCATCGCCCCCACCTTAACCCACCTTAACTCTAAAATCTCCCGAGATCTTCCCCCAACCTCAATTCATAGTCCCTATCTTACTTCCCTCCTCAACAGAAGACCACCCAAACCCAAAAATGTCAAGCCAAGGCCCCCTAACCACCTACCTGCTATCCAGCACCCCAGACGCCCTAATCCGCGCAACAACCCACCCCTTCCTCGCGGCCGCCGGCCACGGCACCCTCCCAAAAACCCAACTAAGCCAATGGCTCTCCCAAGACCGACTCTACGCGCAATCCTACATCCGCTTCGTCAGCCTCCTCCTCTCCAAAATCCGCCTCCCAAGACGAAACCCAACAACCCAATCCCCATCCCTCCCCACCCCAGAAGAAAAAGCCATTTCCGTCCTCATCGACGCCCTAGTCAACATCCGCACCGAACTCGCCTTCTTCGAACAAGTCGCCACCGACTATGACCTAGATTTAACCGCCATCTCCCCGGAGGAAGGTGGCTACGCCGTCGACGTCCGCGGCTCGGCTTCCTACATCACCACCTCCGCGGGCATTTCTACTACCGGCTCCGGTAGCTGTCCTGGCTTCACGGGCGGCGAGGGAAAACCGCCTCGTTCTAAAACCTGTACGGACCCGCTCTCTTCGGATGATGCCGATGGATCCTCGGGGTCGAAACACGGGCTTTGTCTTGCTCAGGGCGAGTGTCAGGTTCCCTCCGGCGGTGGGGAGAATTGTCTCCCTGACCCCTTGGGAAATGGATCTGGACGCTGCGGGGCGGTTAGTGGTGAGAAGCTGCCAGTGGGTGCTGTGAATGCAGATGCGGGGAAGTCTGGGATGAGGGGGATGGAGGAGGCTGAGAGGGGTGCGACTGTATTCTTCTGTGCGAATCGTACGACGAGGGCGTATATTGATATGTTTATGTCGGCTGCTAGTGGCGGGGTTACGGTTACGGAGGGGTTGGCGGTGCTTTGGGCGACGGAGGTTTGTTATTTGAGGTCTTGGAGGTTTGCGGCCAGGTGTATGCGTGAGGATGGGGTGAGGGATTATAAGAATGATGCTGATGGGGGTGCTTTGAGGGAGAAGTTTATTGATAATTGGTCGAGTTCGGAGTTTGAGGAATTTGTTAATCGGATTGGGGATGTGCTTGATGCGATGTCGGGGCAGACTAAGGGGGTCGAGGAGTCGGAGATTATGAGGGGAAGGTGTTTGGAGTGGTGGAGGCAGATTGTTTGGTTGGAGGAGAACTTTTGGCCGAATGTTGATCAATGTTGAGCTGTTATGGGACAGTTCAGTTACTGTGTCACAGTGTGTATAATGGATGTTGTTCGAGGCGAGGTTGGCATAGATCTAAATAAACTTATCAGATCAACTCTAAATTGGATCTACGATCTACGATCACATGTGGTTAGGAAGTTTATTGTATGTTTCATTTATCATACATCTGACCTAAAACAAAAACTTATACTTACAAGGCCAACAATAACCGATGACAAGCCAAGCAGAAAAGCAAACAACCTGAAAAGAACAAAAAGCAATTAAAACGCCGTGTCCACATATCCAACAAAAATGGTAAAAACGCAAACTCCAAACTGCCAAAAACCGGAACAATGTCAAAAAAACATAAACAGTATAGGAATGACCATACCACCAACACCATTCATAAATGCGGAAGTATGAAGCAACGGAACAAACGATAAGATAAAATCGAAATCCAGAAAAGTGGACATGTTGTACACGGACCAAATAGTACCAACAAGTCAAGAATCAAGTAGCAGTCGCACGGGCAGCGTTGCTAAGTTGTCGATGGTATGACCCAATAGGTTCGAATCCTCTATAAGAGATATTAGTACCTTCCGCGCAAAACGCCCAACTTCGATATCACATACCTAGCAAGATCAAAGCCTGATCCATTATCATCCTCATCTTCATCACGACCTTCACCCCTCACATGTGAAAGCCCGTTGGCAGCCAATTCCTTTGAATCGGACTGAAGCGGGGGCAAGGTGCGGCCCGAGCCTAGACCGTTCGATGTACCTGGTTTGCTAGGACTAATCAGGTTCGGCGGCGGGGGAGAGCTACTCGGGAATCCACCGATGATGCGGTCCTCGACTTCGCCCTTGAGCGGGCTCATGTCCGGCGGCGGACGGGCAGGGGTACTCCCGATATCGGCAAATTTCCAGAACTGCGCGGGGGAGCTCATGGGCATGAACTTTGAGGGGATCTGGGCTGTGCTTGGGGGCGGGAGACGGGGTTGTTGGCGTTGAGGGGCGGGGGTGATCATTGAGGATGGTTCTTCGTTGTAGTAGGATGAAGAGAGCACGGGCGGTGATCCGGCTATATTATCGGACATCCCGTATGCTCGAGCCAGGTTGTTGCTGCTATTTTGCACCTGTGTGGAGATGCTGGAGCTATGATTGTGGGTGCGTGCTGGGAGTGGCGACGGTTCGTCGTAGTCCCTAGGGTTCATGTGTCGCAGCGGGTGGTCGGAGCCGAGGCCACGACCGACTCGGGATCCGCGCTCGGGTGTGTAGGCTTCTACCGGGGCCACGGGAAATGAGCTAAAACCGGGTGATGAGACGGGTGGAGACTTCTTCGCCGTCGCGGAGAACGAGGTGTCGAGCTTGGCGACGTGGTTTCCGCGCGCGGAGGACGGGGGCTCTTTCGTTGCGGGCGAAGATGGGGCTGATGATTGAGTGCCTCCCTTTCGCATCTGCTTCTTGCGGTATTCCTCGCGATACTCGACGGCGATCTGCCACTTCATACCCTTGCCCGGTTCATCTGTCCGGCGGGGGACCTTCTGGAAAGCCTTGTTCAGCGAAAGATTGTGACGAATCGAATTTTGCCACCCGCTCTGAGAGTGCCGGTAGAAAGCGTATTTGTCCATGATCCAGTTGTAAATGCTGTTCAAGGTGAGCTTCTCCTCCTCGCTGGAGAAGATCGCCTGAGCAATCAGCGTCGCATAGCTGTACGGCGGCTTCAAGTCCTTAGCAGAATCCTTGCTGTAGTCAATCTCCTCCGTGCTCTCCATCATCATGCCGCGGTTGTAGAGCGGCGACTGCTTAGCCGTGCGCTGGCCAGCGGTATCGGGCGACCGCGGCGGCGGCGTGACCTGGCGCTTGAGGAACGGCGGAGCCGGCGCCAATGAAGGGCCACTAGACGAGGAAGGGGGCGCCCCTCGGTGTTCGGAGCTGGAAGAGGGTGTGAATGTTGCGAAGCATCCCAGGAAACCGAAGCCGGATCGGGCTCCTGTCCGCTCGCAATGCGCTGGGCGCGCTCGATAAAGCTGGGCTGGATAATGGCTTCGTCGCCGGGTGTGACGAACATCATTTGTGTATTGGCCACTTCGATGATGTCGCCACAGGAGAGAACCGCATCGGTGCCGCGCTTGATAATGGCATTGTTCAAACGAACGCCGTTCCGGCCATTGACACGGATATGCCAAGCGGGCGTCTCCTCGCCATCGTAGAAAATCTCCGCATGCAGTCTCGACACGAATTTGCTGGGACCCAGGTCGACATGCACTTCCGGTAGCGCACGGGCTGCGATTGTGACGGGACTAGATTGTTCAACGGCCCGCGGTTCGCGGTCCGGCTCGCGGCCGATATTGACATGCAAGGTTTTGACGTAATAGGTCCAGTTGCGGCCGGCGATCTTCGCGTAAGCCTGGATGCTCTTTGTGTTCTCGGTCTTGATATTGGCGTGGTCGCGCGACACGCGCAATTCCTCGCGGGGTGTATTGAGGTATGAAATCACAAGGTCGACGAGGTCCTGATTGGTGGCGGGTTCGTGATCGCCCGCTGAGTCTTCGGCTTCGTCGCCGGATTCATGCTTGACAGTTGGAAGAGAGGGGCGTCGGTCAACCTGCGGATCAAAAAGCAAATCGGGTTTTAGCTCCTGTTTGCGCCGGGGATATCTTTCGTCTCAGTCTGAACATCCTGGTGTCTTGACTTACCTTGCGCTTCTTTGCGGACGGCCGGCTGGGTGATGAATCCGGTGCCTCTGCATCGGACGTTTCTTGCAGTTGAATTTCCTTGCGTCGCGCGCGGCGACGGTTCGTGAGCGGCATATCTTATGAGCAGCGCTCTGAATAATATCTTCGTAATCAAGTCGCCAGTGCCAAACGGTATAAAAGTTTTTTTTCCTCCGATCAGGTAAAGACCAGTCCGACTTGAAAGAGTACTCCACCAACAAGCGCGCGGGGCAGAGAGATGGAGATATGAGGCAAGTTCGAAGGCGAAAAACAAGAGTAGAGAAAAAATAACAAAGTCCACTCTGGACCCGGATTTCAGCGGTCGCCCCAGAATCGGAAAACCGTTCAGAGGTAGAACCAGAGAATGTGAGAACGTCAGAGCCAACCGATTGGGGTTTTGCCACCACGGAAGAATGGAAGGGCAGGAGATCGAAGAGAAGAAGATGATCAAGTAGAAGAAGCCAAAGGTTTCAAACAGTAAACAAGACCAATATTGAAGGCTGGAGGTTCATCTAGAATCGAACATCAATTGTGTGGCTGGATGTTATTATCGATAATCCCTAGGCCGATCGACACGCGCGATGGCGTCTGTTTGGGGTGACCGCCTTGTCGCGTGGGGAGTGTGTTGATATAGCTCTTCTACACAACCCTCTCTGTGCAACCAAAAAAAAGAGATGAATTAGCCAGAGGAGTTGAGTAGGACAGAGGAAAATAGAAGAACAAAAGAAAGAAGAAAGAAGAAAAACAAGTAGAAGTACAAGGAAAGAAAAATAAAATAAAATAAACGGGCGATGGGTGATGACCGTAAACAGTTTGGTCATAACGGTGTATACATACGGGATAACTCCACCGATAAGCGTGGATGAACCTGAAATACCCATACCATCATTACGTGCTCAACGTGGGATTTGAGGATGTTTCCGAGTGCAGAAAGTGGGACTGCCAGATGCAGAAAAGACTTTACATGGGAGAGAAGTTGGTCGAATGCCTTGATTTTAGTATAGAGATAGCTACATAGTATGTTCATCTCTCTACACTATGATCCCATCTCTATGAAAGCCATTAACCAGGTAGACAATCAACAATTCAACACACATACATGATACTCTTAATCTTATCTTCAATCCCTGCACAATCCCCGGATTTCACTTTCATAAATTCACTTCGCAGATCCGTTTTCATTTCCCGGATGTGGTTTAGCCTTATCTGTTGGAATGTGACTTACCCCCTTTGAGTTTGACATCTCGTGGATCTCAGGTAACATCCGATTAGGGTGTTTCGATTTGGGACTACACACTACCTCAAAGACGCAAACAACGATTCCCGTAAACAAACAGTTGAGATGGTTCATTGTTGGGTTACCCCTAATCATACAAATGAAAATAGAACAAAGGACACATTGAATAGTACCGGATGTAACCGGACCAGTAGACAAACAAACAGACCGATGAAAGTACTGGGTTGAGACCGCAGTCAGATAACAAAGAAATTCCTAAGGGAATGTAGAAGGGAAGAGAACACATGGAGAGATAGAGGCGATAAACAAAGGTCGTCACGGGCATAATTCAGGCTACAGCCTAGCACAGATCAAAGAGAAAGCAATCTACGCATCACCAGGCATTTTGGAATCTCCATCATCATCCTCATCCACACGTAACGTGGGATAGAAAACATCCTCGTTTCCAGACTTGATGTGCTCTTCCTTAGGCTGCGCGACATGTGCATCACCAGACTCGACTCCCTCCATAGCATCCGGGCCCGGAGTGGGTGAAGCAGAGGTGCTCTGGGCTTCGTACTCGGCATTCAGACCGGGAGCCTCCAGCATCTCAGAGACAATGCGGCGCAGGTTCTCGAGCAGGCGAACCTTCTCGACCCAGGCGACGTTGACGTCCCGCTCGGCGACCTCGGAGGCAGCTTGCGCAGTACGCTTGACGTCGTGATCGGGATCGGACGCGGTACCAGACAAAGCAGGGTCGATCAGATTCTCCGAGATGTGGACAGCTTGGCGTCCCTTAGGGGTGCGGTCGCCGTCCTTGTTATCCTGGGACATATCCATACGGTCCTCGGCAGGCTCGGCAGGACGAGCGCGCTGCAAGGTGCCACCAGTGTAGCGACGACGGCCATCGTGATCGTACGCGCCGCTAAGAGTAGAGGGCGGTGCGGCGCCCGAAGTGGTCGGGTAGCCTGCGGTCATGCTGTCGGCGACAGTGGTCGACGGCAGACGGGGGTACATGCCTGGCCCGCTTTCATGCGGAGGCGACACGCGGTGGGCCTGGTGCATGGAGATGGGAGAGCGGTTGGAGGTGTATGACTGCGCGCTGGAAGGCGGGGTCAGAGCCGGGGTGCCGACCGACGGGGAGTGAGCCGAATTGGCCATCATCGGGGCGGAGGTGGTTGCAGTAACGTGGCTGGGCGGAAGCTGGGTTGGAGGGGAGTGTGTGGCGCGATAGTTCATGCCACCGTGCACGTAATGAGCGCCCGGCTGGGCAACGCCAGCAGCAGCCACATTCTCATCGCTTTCGTAGATAGTGTTCTGCATTTGCTCGAGGAATTGATCAATGTTGATCAGGTCATTCTTGGTCCGGACGTTGGACATAGGGGGGAGATGGTAGCCAGGGGGCTGCGAACCAACGGGGCTGTAACCACCGCCGCCGCCGACCGCGACAGAGGCAGGCATTTGCTGATATTCAGCAACGGGGGCGTTGAGAATAGGAAGCTGGAGGGCTTGGAGGCCCAGAAGACGCTGTCCGACCGCAGCATAAGAGTTAGGATCGAACTGGCGACGCTTCAAGTCGCCAAAAAACTCGTTCAGTGCATCGTATCCGCGCTTACGGTCGTAGGCGTGGCCTCCATCTTGTCCCTGGCTAAGGGCATAGTAAACGTTGCCGTAGGAGTGAGGGTTGGGAGCCTGTGGCGGGGGGTGTGGCTGGTAATATTGAGGAGGCGGTGCGTGGGAATATTGCCCGTTGATTCCGTTGATAGGGTTTTCGAAATAGTGCGTGGCGGCAGCGTATCCCTTGGGATTTTGAGGGAACATCATATCAGGGTGCTTCATACCGGGTTCGGGAGATCGGATCTCGGAGTCGTCGGCATGAGTCTTGACATGTTTCTTCAGATCCTGGGGGCGCTTGAAGGCCTTGCCGCAGAAATCACACTTGTGAGGCTTGAGTGGCACATGCACACGTATGTGCGACGTGATATGATCACGCTTGACTGTTGTCGTGTTGCAGGTACCCCACTGACACGTCAAGTTGAGGTTGTTAGTGCTCTTACGTCCGACGTGACGCTCACAAACATGCTCCTATAAGGGACGTTAGCAAATTCCTCAATCGCCGGAAATTACTCAATAAGCATACATAAAGAGACTCGGCCGTGGGCGATTTCTCAGTACATCCGACCCATTGGCAGGACAGCTGCTCGCCACCACCGTTCAAGGAGGGGCTGTTCACTGCCGCGGCGGCAGCAGCAGCAGTTGCAGTAACAGAGGCGGATGGGGTCGGAGTTGACTGGATCGGCGCGGTTTCAGTAACAGGCGCAGGCAGCGTCGACTGCGAAGTAGAAGGGGGGTGATTATCCGTCATGGCGCCAAGAAATTGATCTTGAATTGGCGGAAAGCCGGCAGACTGGTAAAAGGAACAAAAGAAAAGAGAGAATTGGTTTGAGATGATAAACTATAAGGTGAGAACACCTGTATATGTATAGAATATGCCTAGAAAGTGCCGGAAAGAAAGGGGGAGGAAAGAGGTGTGAAAGAAAATGGGGGGTTCTCCGCAGAAGAGGAAAAGGAGCCGAGCCTTGCCCAGAAAAGACCTGGCGGAAGACAGGGAGAGAAGCGAAGAGACCAAGACCGGGCCAAGAAGTCGGTGCGGGCCCCAAGACCCGAGAGGCGTTGGCGTTAGAGCTTGTGACTGGTGGACCAGGGGGAACGAGGGGCTGTGCGTGAACATTCCAGGGCTAACACGTAGCACAGTAGTCTCCAGTCCGTATTTAATAGATTAACACGTGCGCGTGTATTTGGTGTATCCCAAGTCGTAGAGTGAGCTGACCTCGGGGATATTACAGTGAAGAACTGTAGGTGGCCTGATTATTAGGCGTAAAATACTCGGTACGTCGGTCGGCATAGCCAAAATCAGATTAGCGCCCAACATCCTGTAAATTTGAGGTAATTTCAAAATCATCACCAGTCAAGGTATTTTACATCTGACAGTTTCGGGGCTGTTTGGAATTCGAAGCAAAGAAGCAAAGAAGCAAAAGGGGATCAGCACATTGTAACTGGGAAGCGACATATCGAGGGCTTGTTCATATCGCCAAGCCAACCTCCCAAGACATAGCCCATGCCCGGCCATGGGCAGTGCTTTCTTGGCAGCCAAGTGATTCCTCTTGCCAATAATTCCCGCTCCGAGGACCAAGACTCGAGTCCTGGGTCTTGGTATGATCCAACGTCACTACCCCGTTCTCAATTATCCCTTTCGGCCGTTAGAAAATGTTCAAATGTCGCTTGACTAATGCGGCTGCCTGGTGTCCCTGTTTTGACCGGCCTGCATGAGTCGGATGGCTTCTGGATTCCGGGGTTCCTTGAGATGGAAGGGTCTGGGTCTAGCCCCAGATACATGCTCTACTGTGTAGTTATATGTGATCTTCTACTGCGTTTAACTAGTCTATTATCTGTTCAATTCATTTGTACACAGTACATCGGCTTACATCTCAGTCGGACATGTCAGACCAACCTTGAACCCCTTGATATACTCACCAAGCATTCAACGATGTCATCTTACAAGGGCTTAATCCACCCGGGCAAGCATTCCAGATACTCGTAGGGACGTGGCTTGGCCAGCCAAGCCCAATACACTCACACATGCTCTCCAACTCCCCCTTCTCTTAGCCGTAAACCATCTCATCTCCCCCGATTCCTCCGCTTCGGCTGATACCAACTCCAAATATTCAACCCAACCTTCTTTCCCCTCGTAACCGGAAACGCAGCGTGCCAAGTCTCCGGATACCCCGTCCCATCCGGACGAAGATTCTCCCAAAACACAGCATTCCCCTTAATCGGCTTAAACGTGATACCCATCTCCTTCCCCTTCCCGGACCGCTCACACTCCAAAAACCGACACCACTCCTTCCCAGCCGGCATCTTCAACCGCGGGAAATTCGTTCCACCGCCCTCACAATCTGCTTCAAGATACACCATAAATGTGCTGAAGCGGTCCCCGCCCCGAGCCAGTGATCCGGCCCAGTCGTAGTGGTGCCGGTAGTGGCCGGAGGCATTGTAGCGCTGCGCCCACATGCGCTCGATGTACAGGTCCGGATGCCAGCCCTGGAAGGCGCGCGCGCGGTCTTCCAGGCAGCGGATTGTGTCGTCGCGGTCGAGAAGGGCGCGGTCGGAGAGGCGTTTGCTTGGGTCTATCCGTTCGGTTTGGCCGTCATAGACTATTGAGGGTGTGTATTTGTTCACGCTGGGGGTGAGAGAAGAGGGTTCCGGGTTAGCCTCATGGGTTCTTTGGTATGTTTGTGTCTCTCCGGTTACACGGTTGATAGGGTTTACCTCTTGTCCAGTATGTGGTTTGCTTCGGCTTCTGATACAAAATTCTCGATGTACATGACCAGCGGCTCGCGCGAGAGCAGATGCACTTGATAGCCCTCTGACCCCGGGCAGGTGAACGGCACGCCATCTTCTGGGCTGATGAAGCTGTCGTCGGTGAGGTTGATTCCTGGTCCTGGGGCGTCGGACGAGTCGAAGAGCGAGGTGCTGTCGGGGTAGCCTGCCTGCAGGCCCGGGAAGGAGTCGCGTAGCAGCGGCTCTAGAATGAAGATATATACCGGGATGAAGTATAAAGTCCAGGTGAGGATGGTCGAGAACTTTGGAAGTGACGCCATTGGGGTGACTATAAATAGGCACGGCAATATGCAGGCCAAGTCAATGTGCAGGATCCTTCCTGGTGATCACGGCCTTGGCTCTTGATCCGACCGAGGAAAAAGCTGGGAAAGCTAAGGTTATGGATGCGACAATTGGCCCGGAGGATAACGATCAAGCCTCATAGGCGGCAGAAGGTGAATATGTGCAAAAGGGGTGCCGTGGAGCCTGGCCATCTTGCGAAACAGCGAAAGGGACAGACATCGTCGAAGATCAGGAGTCTATGTGGGTCTGCTAATTGATCCCTGTTCCCGACAATCATGGGCTAAGCATTGTTAGCGCCATAACTTAAAGGTGAGTGTGGATTTGTTAGATAGTTATTGGAGATCTAAGTAGATTGCCTGAATTTTCGGATCATCAATTGAAGAATTAACCTGACGTTGCGGGCTCAGAGCTAGCAGGGGTTGAAGATGGTGCCTCCCAAGAAGGGCAATATACTCCGAGGTACCCCGTACAGCTAAGTGAAGATCCAGTTACCAAGTACGTACTGGGTATATCATATTCAAACATGCCAAATGAAATATAGAGCACAGCAGGACACATAATCCGATATGTAGATTTCGTATATACGTAAGTCATTCGGATAGAAAGAAAAAAAGCGACTCGCCTAACCCCCAAACGCCAACCACCAGGCATCAACGGTTTTTACATAGGTAGCATATACTCGTAAAAAGAAAAGAAGGATAAAATAGATGGTAAAGCAGCCCAGATCAAGGGTTGTTAACATTCATCCACTGCGGCCATTCTTCAGCAGAGGCCCCGTTGTTGGGTCGATAGGCGGCGTTGTTGCCAAAGAGGTCGTCGAAGGAGATGCCCAGGTCCAGGTTCATGCCGTTCATGCCCATGTTGTCATCCATGCCCATGCTCAAATCAGGTAATCCGTTACCGGACATCTCAGGTTGTTGTGAGACGGATTCGGTGGCCATGGGACTCGGGTTGTTGGGTTGGAAGTTATATCCCTGCCAGGCGAAGTTCTGGTTGGGGATTGAGACCAGGTCTGGACTGCTGAGCACCTCCGCTGGGGGTTGTGCGATTGGAGAGTGGATGCGGGATGAGCTCCGAGAATGGGAGGGGCGGAGGTGGCTTGGCACCGAAGTTTTCATTCCAGCGGCGTTTGGGAGAGGGAAATTCGACATGTTTGTGAAGTCGAAGTTTGGGGTAGAAACTCCTGCACTGGAGTGATCGCCCGGTGTGGCTGGGCCCATGCCAGGCACCGAGTCGAAGGGATACTGCGATGGCAGTCCTGAGGGCAGTCCTGCCTGGTCATGCCGGAAGTGGTCATCTTCCAAGGTAGACATGGGCTGTGTTGGGTATGCGAAGGGGTCGTCAGAGGGGAACATCATTGGCATGAGATCTGGGAGGTTGGCGGGGTTGGTGAACTGCTGGGCCCATGCTAGGTTCGCGGGCTCTTGGTTGGGCATCGATATATGTTCTGGTGTAGTCATAGATTCTGTCAAGAGCTCGGGTGTGTTTGAAACCCATGTGGCCTGGTGACTGGTATCAGCAGAGCGATCGCTGACAGGCTGGACACTGTCGAAGCTCTGCTGTCGCCGGGGTTGCTTATCATTTGTAGCCGGCTGGGACAGCATTTGCGCGGGGAAAGTACTTGATCGGTGTGGTAGAGTCTTCTCGAACGAAGTCTTCAGCTCAGGCTCGACAGAATTGACAACCGTGTTAGATGGCGCAGGTCGCTTGAGGTTGGCCTGGGTCTTAGAGCTCTGGCGTTTCTTCAACATTTCAGGCAATGTCTTGAAAAGGCACTGCAAGAGAATTAGCCAAGGTGATGGGAAGCAGGTAGGATTGGGTAGCATACGTTTAAGCTTTGGGAGCATCGATCAGCGGCAAGACTTTTCTTAGCCAAACCAGCTAGAGTGTTCTTGCCCTCCATGGCATCCTTCAAAACACCGTCCTTGGCTGTGGGTGAATCTGGGTTCTCCAGGACAAAGAAGATCAAGGAGAGGATGGCGAAATAGGTCGTGTACATCGTAAACCAGAAAGATCCATTGAGCAGCCCCCTTTTTTGCATCCCGGTCGTGATATGGACGATGTTTCGGGCAACACTAATGCAGGCCGCTGCGCAGGCATAGGACCGCTTGTCCACACCGCGCGCTTGGGAGCCACCAGAAACGTAGTGGAGGAATGGACGGTACATCACCATCTGCACATGAGCGTAGCTTATACGTAGCAATTGGCGGATACTAGAAGATGATGTTAGTGATGTTTTCAACATGCCGGCACTATATGCTTCAGACTTACCGTTCAAGCTGCGGCGACACTTCTGTGCCCGGTCGCAGAGCAGGAGGCAGTTCCTCCATCCATTTCTGCAGATCCCGCTCGATCTCACGAATCTTGGAGTGGCTGACCATGTATCGTTGGTCTGACTTGGATCGGTAGCGAGCGTTCTTAACTGGATAGATGTATTTTACCACCTTCAAGATAATATTTGAAAGACGAGTGTGTGCGTTGCATCCCGCCATCAATGGGGTATAGTTGGATGGTGGTTTGGTGATTCCTTCCGACGTGATGAACTCCCCGTCGATTTCCATTGGGTATTCTTGATCGATATCGTCGTCGCTCAGCATCTGAGGGAGACCGAGGAGCGTGCTCACGTACACGTCCATCTTGCGAACAACCCAGAAGATGCGCTTTCGCAGTTCTCGTTCGATGGGGTTGAAATCTGCTGCGACAGAGCGATGAAGGCCTAACCGCAACGCCGAGCGAAGCGCAATTCCCACATATGAATAGCATGTGCTCAACTTTGCCGATGATTGAAGGAACAGGACCATGAAACAGATTGCTTGGAGAGAGGTTAGATCGCGGCAGTCAGTGATCTCGAGCAGTTGCCGTCCAGCCTTGAAAAATTGGAATCTGGGGGGATACATCAGTCGGTGTCCTCGAATCACACGGAGGTCTCAGTGTGACTTACCCTTGACCGATTGCGCCCTCATAACCAGATACATCTAGCGTACCATGCCCTGATCCATCATCGGAGAACAAACATCCGACGGCGATAACGATGTACAAAAGCGGCAGGAAGGAATTCTCCTCGTTGGTGAACTGTTCTGGGGGAGTATCGTAGATGCGCTCCAGGCTTGCGAAGAATGAGGGTTCATGCACAAAGCGCATCAAGGAGCAGGCATGGTCGATTGCATTGTGGCACAAGCGGCGCGCAACCACCCGCGGAGGCAGCTCGTGGGTCGGAGGTAAGCTTGTGTCTTGAGGCGACTCGGATGTAGATTTTGGACTAATCATATGCGCGGTGATTGAGGAGCGAGTTCGTGCCATTGGGGCCGGCATCTCTGCAGCACCCAACTGCTTGCGCAATCGGCGAACAAAAAGAACACCCGAGGTGTGTCCGTGGTAATCCCAATGGCCCTGGTCATCCCGATCTAAACAACCTGAATTATCAACCATGGTCTCCAGTAATCCTTCATCGCCTCCATCCGGCACCGGGTCTGCTGGCCCCAGCGGTTTGGCATTGTCGGTTGTTTTATTCTCCTTCCGGGCGACAGGGAATCGCTGTTCGGGCGCTTCAACATCTAATTGCGGATCATCCAAGTTGACATTGGGGAGCACGGTACGGAGAAGGGCTTCCGCCTTTTGGAGACGATTCTCAAGACCCTCGACATATTGCGGGGTGGGGTTTCGACGGCGGTTGGAAGGTTGGTCGTACGAGCACTCTACAGAATGCACTTGTTAGGCGACGGAAACTTCTCTTTCTCGAAGATGCATCACAGTGATCAGCGTACCATAACTATAGACTGTGCAATGGGTGCATGGCTGCTTGCCGTCGCACTTGATCTTTTTCCTGCGGCACTCATCACATGCACGGCCAACGCGCCGCCTCTTCTGCATAGGTAATGCTTTAGAGTCTGCGGGGGAGGTATTTTGGGTGTCGTGCTGATCCTCATCAAGCGAATACCTGAAATCATTCATGGATGAATGATCCTCCTCATTCTGGTGAGAATGAGGGCTGGCCCTAGTCGCCATGACTGGAGGTCTGAAGTCCGTGAGGTGCACGGATTCATGTAAAGAGAAATGGGGGAGATCTTGGCTTGGGGCGGGCGATCCGACGTGATAGTCACTATCGCGGAAGTATCATGGATCGCCCCTCAGTTTGAGTCACGGGATCAAGATAGGTGAGAGTCCACGGGCCAAGAAGACTATTTAGGAGTCTGATAAGAGATTTGAAGATGAAAAGGCTTTTCTTTTTGTTTTCTTTCTTTTCTTATGAGGGGAAGAGATAGATGGGCTTGGGAGTCAGCGATGATGAAATAATGAGAGTTCGGGGAAAGCGGTGTGGGAAGCATCAAAATCTCCGAAGAGTTTTCTTTCTCCATATGAAAAGGTCAAGCTTCAACGGGTCTGACTTAGTCCGTTATATGTCTCCACCTAAGACTACAGCCGATGAGCCGAGTCTGCCTGCCAGAAATTTTCATTTTCCCTGGCGTTTAAAGTGCCCAACAGTTGGGATAGACAAGGCTTCTCCACTGTCTTTTGTTTAGACTCGATTTGTACTCCGTAAGTCGACGTTAATTGGACGTTGCATATTGTTTCTCTGACTGCATAGTCACCCAGTGACCCAACTATTGAAGGGTTCCAGTTTGAAATCGAGCTGACCCACCTTTTAACATGAGTTCTCCTTGTTCCCCTCTAAATGTAGGGGAATTAGGGCTGTATCTCTACAATGCGTACCAAATCCCTTCATCTTTCCTACTTACCGCATACCATAGGTTCATATTCTGTACCTCGTTCCATCCACCAAGGGTTGCGAAACAGCTTAAGTGATCAGAAAATGGCCATTCACAACGAGCTAGTTATTATCCATGATAATGTGACTAGTACACCAAAATGTTGGAGACCATCACTAGCGCTCACTCCACTTTCCTTATTGCAGTTTGTATTTAGCCTATGATCAGATAAAATTGCACCAACCTCATCCCTTGCGACAGATGTGCTCATTAAGGGATCAACCATGCAGAAGGAGATTCGAAACAAGGCACCATGTGTCAAAATGCTTTTGACGCCCTGTGACGCGAGACACGATTCGGAATGCAAACAGTCAAAAACTTCGTGATCCAAGGGTCTGGAATAGCCCTAAACCCCTGAGATTTCAATGGCTAAGTCTTCGAAGTTCACCTCGTCCTATGATACATCAACCTCATATTCACAAGCGCTGGATGCTACATCTTGTGCTTGTGACTTATCAAGTATTGCCCCATAGTTCGCACTATGCCGACGATAATTCTGAAACGACGCGGGCCGACAATCCCTCGCATCCCGCATGGCATTCCATTCGCGATGCAAGGTGGATCACAACGAACATCAACGCGACAGAACTTTAAGATATGAATCGCCTCGTCCGCAAAACTTTCCACGGCAGACCATGTAGTCGCGCTACACACAACCATGTCATTTTTCCTCGTCACCTTCTGCTGCGCCTTCGCCGCGCTAGGCTCGTTCCTGCTCGGCTATGAATCGGGCATGATCTCGTCCAGTATCGAGCAAGAGGCGTTTCTGCGCCGATTCGGGTCTCCCGGGCTGGTCCTGTCCGAGTCCGCCATGGCGGGGATCGTTTCTTCATATATCGGTGAGAACTACTTTATCCGTTGGATCTTTGCCCGGATTGGGATTCTCATATTCATGATCAGGCGGCGCAATTGTGGGTTCGATTCTCACACCATATATCGCGGATTATTATGGCCGTCGGATGGTCCTTTTCGTCGGTAGTCTGCTTGCTACACTGGGCACAGCCCTTCAGGGAGGTGCGATTAACATGGCGATGCTTATTGCCGGTCGATGCATCGCAGGTCTGGCTGTCGGGCAGATGTCAGCCACCATTCCGGTATATTGCGTACGTTTTCCACATGGTCCACCACATGTCCTGGTATCTAACATGAGCCTAGAGCGAGATGGCGCCGCCCCAGATTCGTGGAATGTTAGCAAGCATGCAAAACTGGATGATTGGTTTAGGGATCCTAGTTGCTGTGAGCTGTCTTCCTTCCACTGAGATATCACCGGACTCCAAACTAACCGATCCCAAGCAATGGGTGGGATACGGTTCCTCCCTCCGAGACGGACCTTTCTCCTGGCGCTTCCCCCTCTCCCTCCAAGTCGCCCCAGCAATACTCCTCACTCTTGGCATCTGGTTCCTCCCCGAATCACCAAGATGGCTCGCCGAACAAGGCCAAAACCTCAAAGCCCGCTCCGTCCTCGCCCGCCTCGACAAAACCGCAAACATCACCCAGCTCGACCACGAACTCTCCCAAATCCACCCACCCCAAAAGCAACCCCCAACACCATCCTGGCGCACCCTCTTCTCCGCCCGCTATCGCCGTAGACTCCTTCTAGCCTGCAGCCTCCAACTCTTCACCCAATCCACCGGAACAGCCCTCATCCAAACCTACACCCCATCCCTCACCAAAACCCTCCCCCAATCCCCGCAAACAACCCTCCTGATAATCGGCCTCTGGACCGCCCTCTCCCAACTCTGGAACACCCTCTTCATGCCCCTAATCGACAAACTCAACCGTCGCACCCTCCTCATCCCCTCCCTCCTCGGCACAGGCGCAACAATCTGCATCGAAGCAACACTCCTCCGCACCCTCAATACCAACAATTCCAATACAAACACCCCCACCCTCCACACCGCAATCGCAATGTTCTTCCTCTTCTCCCTCTTCTCCACACCACTAAACATGATCTCCTGGATCTACCAATGCGAGCTCTTCCCGACCCCACTTCGCGCCCGCAGCTCAGCACTAGCAACAGCAGCGAACTGGATCGTCAAGCTCGTGCTGGCACATTGCTCGCCTGTGGCATTCGCGCATATCGGATACAACTATCTGTACTGCTTTGCCGGTTTTACTTGGGTGGCTTTTATCGTTGTTTGGGTGTTTTTCCCCGAGACGAACGGGAGGACGCTGGAAGAGGTGCAGGGGGTTTTTGAGGAGGTGGATGATGTGAGGTCGGTCAGGTCTTTGGAGGGTGTTGTTCAGGTTGATGCGGATGATGTGCGGAGATCGCAGATTAGGGCTAGAGGGTTGCATCCGCTTTCTATGCATCCTACGTCGACGGGGAGTTTGGGTAGTGATGGGGGGAGTCGGGATGGGTTTGTTGAGGGGAAGGAGGTTTAGATTAGATGGTATAGAGTTTATGAATCATGAATCGAAGTTCAAGGGCAAGACTAAGCCCTGGTCTATACAATCTGGCTATCTTAAGGCGCATGTTGGAGGAAATTGGGGGTTTCCTGCTGTTCCGCTTATGGATCGTTTCAATGTAGTAACTGCATATGGGTATGATTTGCATGGGCAGAGTGCGTGTGGGAATCCAATATTCAATACTCTGTACAATCTATCCGTCTACCTCTATCCATATCTATGTGGTCGTCTATTTTCGTGTGAAACAAATGAAACCCTAGATCACAATAACAGGTACGTGGCAGCAAATCATAGAAAACTCCAACGAAGGGACAACATATCACATGAAACATCGCTTAAATCGGCTCGTCACGGGGCTCAACCAAGATCTCATTGACAGAGACATGCTCGGGCTGAGTCAAGGCGTAAACAATGGAATTGGCAACATCTGAGGGATCGAGGATCTTCGCGCCAGATGGTTCTCCGAATTTCTTGACGGCTTCGGCATCCGTGGACATACCAAGCAAATCAGTGGAGGTGTTGCCGGGCTGAATGCTCGTCACGCGCAAACCGGTGCCGGCAGTTTCGAGGCGTAGAGCTTGGAGCGTGGCTTCGACGAAGAACTTACTGGCTGAGTACACACCCAAGCCAGGGAAGACCTTGCGTCCAGCGTCGGAGGATATGGCGACGACATGGCCACGGCCACGCGAAAGCATGCCTGGGACTGTCGAGGAGAGAGCATACAAAAGACCCTTGCAGTTGACGTCGACTGTGCGCTCCCACTCGTCCATCTGTGTATTGGCCATCATTGTGAAGTACATGACACCAGCGCATGCGACCAAAATGTCCACGGGACCGAGCTCCTCGCTTGCCGCTTTGACAAGAACTTCAACCTGAGCCTTGTCTGTGACATCCGTTGACCGGAGAATACACTTGACGCCGTAAGCTTCCACCTTGCGCTTGGTGCTCTCCAGGGCATCCAATCGTCGAGCAGCAAGAGCCAAAGCACAGCCCTGCTTGGCTAGAGCGACTGCCACCGCAGCACCAATGCCTGAAGATGCACCAGTCACAACGGCAACTTGGCCGCTCAGTGGACCCTTGGCTGTGACCTCAGTAGGTCGGTTGAAAGCATGCTGACGTGAAGGGCCCCGGGGCAGCCATCCTCGAGCAAACCAGTGGCGGGTGTAAGTCTCCAGCAATAGGCTGTCAACCTTGGGGCGCTCGACCTCGGCCCTGAAAGGCCTGGTCAAAGCATTATCGAGTACCACGATATCTCGAAGGAAGTCAACGGTCGGCATACCACTGCGGAGAATGTCGACGGTAAATGACCCATCACCACCCTTGGCCGCGCCTCTCTTCTCGAACCACAGGGCCACCCACTCATCCCACGGGAGAGGTTTTGTCTCATATCCAAGCTCTTTGAGATCCTCGAAGACTGATCGAGTATCAACTGGCTTAGGATCACCGAGATGGAACAGGGTTTGGTCTGTCTGTGTCTGGGTGGCAAGGTGAACAATGGCTTTGCTGACAAAGTTCACAGGAGTCATCTCGGCACGCCATCCTTCCACGTCTGGGGCATATCCAAGCTGGATGGATTCCACGATCAATGCAGTCAGCAGATCCCAGGCATTCGCGGAGCCCGTTTCACTGTGACCACTGATGGTGCCACATCGGTGAATCTTGACGGGCAATCCGCGGTGCCCGGCCTTGAGAACGAGCTGCTCTGCAACCCACTTCGTCTGACCATAACCGTCGAGCAGTTTCTTGGGAACATCTTCCACATCCAGCAGTGTATTTTCAGACCAACCATTCTCGCCTGATGGTGGCAAGACACCGTTGGTAGATACGTACTGCACGGTCGCGCCGCCCTTGGCGGCCAGGCGAAGAATCTCTCTTGTTCCGCCAACATTTGCTCCACGGAGTGCAGCGTAGGGGTAGACAAGGTTGACCGTAGCTGCGGCATGCACAATGACTTGAACTCGGGCTGCGATGTCTTCAAATTCATCTGGGCTCAAGCCCAGTCGAGGGCGGGACAAATTTCCTGGGAGGACCTCAATACGGTCCAGAATTGAATCGCGCCAGAGCCCCATGTCCAGGAGATTCCTACGGATTCTAGCCACACCTCCAGCTTGATCATCCTGCTCAGGGTCGCTGAAACGCACAAGACAGATAATCTTAGCTGTGGTATTCTCAATCAAATCGTTCAGCAGGAAAGCTCCCAAAAAACCAGTTACACCTGTCAGCAGTACCGTGTCAGCCGAGGTGATTGACGTGAACGCAGTGTTTGTGGACTTGATATCCTCATCCAGCGTAGCGTCAGAAAGCAAGACTGCAGGCAGGTTTGCTTGCACCTCTGCAGTGTGGCCATCTCTGACAGCACGCACAGTCTCCAGGTGGCCGGAAAGGGTGGTATTTTCAGCGAGACGAGGAATGGGAACACGGAAGCCGAAACGTCTCGAAAGTTTTGCGGACAGATCTGCCAGGGACAAGGAATGTCCGCCCAAATCGAAGAAGTTGTCTTCAGGCTTGATCAAGTTCTTGGAAACCTTCAGTACAGCCTCCCAGATCGTCGCAATGTCATTGAGACCAATCGGGTCCTTCCCCGCGCTCTGCTCACTGCCATTCGGGCTGGAGCTGCGAGGTGAAGGAAGGCTCTTCATATCGACTTTTCCGGAGACCCCATTAGTAGGCAACTGGTCCAGTGCAACCCAGAGAGCTGGGATCATGTATTGCGCCAGGTGGGTTTCGAGGGCACGACGAGCGGAGGGACTGTGGCCCGACTCATTTATCACGACCTGCGGACGATCAGACGAGGCCTCCTTGTCGGCAACAACATAGGCAACGAGTTGTCGTTCGAGACCCTCGCCATACGCAGTAACAACGCACTGCTCAACCGCCAAGTATTGGCAGATGTCACTTTCGACCTTCGCGGGCACAACGGAGTACCCACGCAGCTTGATCATTGCGCCAACTCGGCCGGTGATCTCGAGAAGTCCAGAGGGAAGCTTGCGGGCCAGATCGCCGGTCCTGTACATGCGAGCACCGGGGTGGAATCAAAGGGGTCCGAAACGAAAGCTTTGGCAGTAGCCTCTGGAAGATTGATATATTCCCGTGCCAGCAGAGGACCTCCGATAAAGAGCTCTCCCGAATTTCCCTCCTCTACCTGCTGACCGTCCTCGTTCAGAACGTAGGTATGTTTGGGGTCGAGCGACGGACCGACTGGACAATAGATAGAACTGTCATCTACTATCTCGCGGATATCTCCGCAAGCAATTTCATGCGTTTCACACGCACTATAGCAATTGAGCAAACGAGTATTTGGGAGGATTTTGATAGCCTTGCGGGCAAGATCGGTAGTCACAACCTCGCCGTTCAGCCACACGATGCGCAAATCAGGCACGCGAGTACCGAAGCGGGGGTAGCGGGAAAGAACAGTTGCTAGCAGAGTAGGGGTCATGAGCGTCTCAGTGATCTTCTTGGTCGCGAGCAGATCAACGAGAGCCGCGGGGTCATAACTCGATTCATCGGGCACAACCACGACCGTAGCTCCACGCAGTAGCGGCCGCAGCATCTCCCAGATGAAAAAGACATTGCAAGCCACCCGATCACCCGGTTGTACATCCTGCACGGCGAATCTCAAATCGTACGACAGTACCGGGGCACGATGTGGGTTGGCAATTCCCTTCGGTTTGCCAGTGGTTCCTGACGAATAGGACACAAACGCCAAGCGGTCCAAATCATCATCTGCCGGCAGTGGAGTTGGTTCCTTGGCGTATCCATTGGTTTCAGCAACCGGCGCATCCAGGGCGATCACTGGAATGGGGGCTTTGATCTTTTCGGTCTCCGACTTGTGAGTGAGTATCACCGCGGGGTTAGCGTCCTCGATGACATCCGCCAAGAGATCCGCGGGGTAAGCCAATTCCAGAACAAGGAAGGCACCACCCGCACGGAGAGCTGCGAGACAGGCAATCACGTAATGTGCGCTGCGAGGCAGGAGCACACCAACGAGGGTGTCACGGCTCACTCCATAGGTTCGTAAACGATTGGAAAGAACCTCAACTTCTTGGTCTAGCTGGGTATATGTATATGTCGTGGTCTCATCCTCCAGGGCAATGGCGTCTGGGGTTGTCTGCACCTGTCGTTTAAAGAGTGTGGGCAGGTCTTTGGTGATGTCGAGAATAGCCATGATGGCTTAGGGCGCAAATTCACGATAAGAAAAGAATTGTAGAGAGAAAGTCATACGCTGACGTTCCAGAAGATTAAAGAATGTAGGAGGTTCAAGGTTGTGTGACTTGTGTCATTAAGATCACGACACTTTTGGAGGAAGAAGGAAAAGAAAATACTGTGGATGGGGTCCTCAACATTCTGTTGAGATTCTAAGAGCTTCGAACACTTTTAACGGAAAACTAAACTTGAAGTTACCTAGCACTGGCCGGGTTGACGTGGGGAATCGCCTTATCGCGTCTCGCCGGGTTATCCCCGGTCAGTGCTTGGCATTGAGGATCATGCCTTTTAGGACGACAAGATGGCACTCAGTACTCACATTCCGGCCATTTTATTATTGGATTGCACTGCGTGAATCTACACAGTATCTGCTCCCAATGCTAGTCCCTGCCATATTCAACAATTGCTCCTTCGCAATGAATCACATGCAAATTGCTGCGCTTGGCCCCCCACTCCCACCCCTGATTAGCATGTGAAAGGTTCCTGAATTTCCCAACAGTTTGGTTTTCCTGCTTGAGGCGTCATCCTGTGGCAATTCAGAGTCATCATGGTCACTGTGGATATATGTACCATACTTTATCACTTTACACTAAAATTGGCTTTCGTTTAGACCAATTGCTTATCGACATAGGGACCAGGACACAATTCAAAGTGTGTGGGGAACCCCATCAAAGTTGACACCTCATATATCAGGCGGACTACGCACGGACCATATGATCCGGATACAGTAGGTTAGGGCTATCGCCACATCTACTTCTTCGAGTGGAAGGTACAATATGAGGAGCTGTCTTTGATATGGGTTAGAGGAGCGATGGTAAATGAAAAGGGGTCAGCCAGTATCGTAACAGATAGAAACATGGGAATATGAGAACATGAAACATCAAAATATGTAGACGAAAGGTAAAGAGCATCAAATCCTCCTCCATGCAGACAAAACTCAAACCGTGCACCCAGCGCACAGCTATGCGATGAAACATATACAGCGACAAAGGCCGAAAGTCGAAGATAAAACAAAAGAAATTCACTCAATCAATGAGCATAAATCATAGCCATTCAACAGGCGCATCGAGAATCTCCTTGCGAACATCCGCTTCCCAAAGCGCCGTCGAAGAACCCTGCACCTGCAGAGTCAAACACGAGAACAAAAGCTCACTGACGCGGTACCACGACCAAGCACTCAGCCGATGGGCAATTTTCATCATGCGGCCGGCGAACCACGGACGCGCAGCCGGCGAGGTAGCTGTTGGGAAGTATTGTGAGAAGTCCGGAAGGTCCTCAATCACAGCAGCAGAGGCAATGGCGTCTGGACTGGTGGATGACCAGCTCTCGAGAGAGCCGTCGTTGCGTTCTAACAGAATCTGAAGGAGGGCTTCAACTGAGCCGGTTATGCCAACGTTGCTGTCGACCATGATTTTCTCGAGGTTGGCGAGGAAGAGTGCCGCGCGGGCTGGGGTGTACCGGTAATCCCATAGCGCAGCATTGAGAATCATCAGAGTTGTTAAGCGGCTGGCCTCATGTTTCCGGTCCTCTAATGAGGCGAAGCGAGTATCAGGGGGTGCAGCGAGGATTTGGTGGAGGATGGATGTTTCTTGGACTGCTGTGTGTCGGGTTATGTATGATGATTGGGGGTTCTCGCGTTGGTAGAGGGCGACCTGTTCACAGCGCCGAAGGAAGTCGAGGAACTCTTCGCATTGAAGTTTGGATTCATCTCTCGGCGATGATGTTGGGGGTGTTGGGAGTACTGTTTGAGATTCAGGGGCGGGCGAAACCTCAGAGAAGGTTGATGTGGAGTACGGGGGAGACGGCACCGAGTGCAAGGATTGAGTAGGGGAGGAAGCTAAAGCCTCTGACGTGACGGGTGATGGTTGCTGGTATTCAGAACAGAGACCCAGTTCCTGACTCTCATATCCAGTTAAGACATAGTCTGGCCAATTGGCCAGCTTATGAGTGTGTGCAGACGCGGCGGGCCCGCCGCGCGCTCGAATCATCTGCCATGCAGCTTGCATGTGTGCTTGGCTGAGTTCTTTGTGCCCTGGTCGTGAATTCAAGTCTTCTAGGGTTGCAGCACTCAACCAAGAGACGATTGCAACATCAGAAATGTCACTGTGGCTGTTTGAAAGGTGCTCCCGGAGCATGGGGGCACGATATTGGGGTAGAAGGGTGTTTTGGACTTTGCCTTCATTTGGAACAGAGCCCTAGAGTCAGCTGCATGTATAAACATGGTGTTCTAGAAGGGACATTACCTTTCGTTCCTTCTGGTGCATGGGCAACGGTATACCAATCGTGGGCCGCAGCTGACGGGCCATGAGGCTCGTAGGAGCAGGTCGTCACATTATCCACGTGGTAGTCAGATAGTATTGATCCATCTCGGTCCGGCCCGCTAGAAAGGGTGTTGAATGGGCAATTCTGCGCGGTATTTATCGCAGCATCTGGTGATTGAATGAGCTGATATGATGTTGTGGGCAACGATGGCCACGAAACATCGTGCAGATCCAGACCATGGCTCTGAGGAATGTGTAAAGGTGTACTGGCAAAGCTACCCATCAGGGAAGGATGGGGTTGGGATTGGGTAGAAGATGGTCGGAACAAGACTGATGCGGACATATCATGAGATTCGGCCAACAGGGGACTAGATGAGATGACATCCTTCGCAAGAACATCGCGCCTAGCCTCGACATTGGAGCAATCTTGTGTTGGCGCAGCGTGCTGCTTTCCGTTTGATACCCTTCCTCGAGGCTCATTGTGAATGCTACCCTTGTCCGACCTTGCTTGCTTCGGAGCTCTTCGTTTGGTGACCCGATTGTTCTTGGGTCTCCCACGTCTTGCTTGTGGCCGCTCTTCTTCGCTGTCGCTTTGGCGAGAGACCCCTTTCTTCTGGCGCATATACTCCTGCATAACATGGCGTTTCACTTGCGTCAAGTTGGCTCGACTGTTGTTGGAAGAATCGATGAATTGCCAGCGCACGTTGGATGCAACCGAGACATTGCTGGAGCTAGCCATATCAAAGCAACTGACCGTGTAAAAGAACAGGCATCAAACAGGCGCAGTGACAACGCAGGGGCAAATCCAGCAATTTGAGCCTAGGGGATAACAATCTGAAAGGATGAATAATTGATGGGCGCGTCAACGTCTGTACTTAAAAGACGGATGGCCTGGTAAATACGGAGTACGGAGTATAAGTAGCGATGAAGATAACAAAAATCAGACTATCCAGCAAGTATTATTTGCCTCCACACTTGCGCTTCGCTTTTTGACGAACTAGGCAGAACTAGAGTAGTGGTCTTCCAGGGACCAGCACCCTGGTCGACGTGCGTGGGTCAACTTTGCAGCGAGTCAGGGCGCAGATAGGCGTACAAGCAATGCACATCCCAATAGCCTGGGGGCCAAACACGCCGGCATAAAGAGTTCAGACCCTAAACTAGCCCTGGTGGGTCTCAGCGATGATCTTATCAGCCCTGAGTCCAGGGGCCCGTGACGAAAGCAACTCCTCGACAGCCTCCATATTGGTCTAATCGCGATCGATCAAGTCCACAATTGAAAGCCGTTTAGCCAGCTTCAGTCTCCACTGCATGGAGTCGGTGCTGCGGCTGCGTGTAGTCAGTGGTTTACCAGGAGGGATCTGCCCGTCCGCCGCTCCTCGACTTCGCAGATTGGGAAAGGTCACCATGTTGGTGCTTTCCGTTTTATGCGTTTGCCACATGGTGCAGTATTTCTGTGTTTTTGCGCCCCGTGAAGGAAGGCTCGCCCCTGACATTCATAGGGAGGTGCGAGGCATGTGTGGAGTCTTTGGACCTCGGGGTAGTTCCGTAAACTAAGTTAACTGTATTATCAATGGAAGCATGGCTCATGGCACACCCATTGTGATTCGCGAGATGTAGGGACTAGTCCGAATCTGGATCGAGGTCGATCTTGGAAATGCTGGAGATTATGGAGAACCATACAGAGTAGAGGGTGGCTTGAGCAGGTACGGTGACTTGTCGGGGTCGAAGGGAGATCTCTGCGGGGGGCAAGGGACAACGTTCAGTGATCCACGGTTGCCTATGTGGCTTGCTATTAATACCCAGCCTTACCAATCGCGGTCTATCTTACCTGAGAATAAGCTCAATGAAATTACGGAAATCATGTAATTACCACTTGCCAACCCTACAGTATGCCTTCGAAAGACCCATCACACGGTGATAGACCTGTTCTGTACAGGCTCACAATGTAGTTGAGCAGAAGAGGTATCTTATTACTTACTACAATAGCTGAGTCAATTCCGGAGTACTACTAGACTCTGTTCCTGGTTCATGAACATCCCTGCCATGCATGCAAGTGTGGAACTATGAAACTATCCACCCAAATCCTTCGCCCCCACGCCATTATATACCCAATCCACTGCGACATACCTTCTTGAGCTTAGCTTTGGCTGATTACCGTCACCGGCATATCTTCACCATTGCCGGGATATGCAGTTGGCCCACATTTATTCCATCCCGTCATAACAGATCTCGGGCGATCCTGTGGGTGATATACTAAGGCAATTTACAGAGCATTGACCGTGAGGAACATTCTCCAGGCATTCGGTGTGCTTCAGAGAGCGACCTGTGGCTTCAAAAATGCTGTACTGATCAAGACACGCCTTGCCTAGTCGAATTTATTGAAGCCACCATTCTGTAAGCTCTTCAGCGTAAGCGATGACTGCATGGATTCGTACTCTCCTTGGCGATGTCTTGCACCAGCAACGAGAGACAATTACCGCCTAGAAAATGCGGGGCGCTGTCGGTAATGCCGACTTGGCCAATCTGGATCTTGCAAAGTACCAGGTTCATGATCTCTTCGTCGGTCTGGCCGCCACGCGACATATCGCCGGGTAAATGAGCAGTAACCCTGCAATACTCCTGCATGTCGTCGTGGGGATCTGCGATATTCCCCCTGCCGTTCATAAAAACGCTCGCTTGTGGAACCTAAAATTGTATCATCTGGTTAATTAGTAGATCAACTGTTGACTAACGTTAGTGAAGACTGATCTTGGTCTGTGAGGAGAACAGTGCGTACGGCTCGAAAGATACCCTTCTTTTTAGTACTCTTTAGATTTCCTTGTATGAGTTGAGAATAACTCAAGGGCATAGAGGCATCTTATAAAGTGTTGCCACATTGTGTTAGATGCGAAGACATTATTCGCTTTGAGCTTCATGAGAAACAAAGGTCTTTCATTGTTACAATGGATATCTTATTGTCTCTATTCTTTGACTAAGAACTCCACAATAACGGGGCCTTCAGGATCCTGTGGACTGTGTCTGTGTGTACCGATCTCCCAGGTAGTACTTTGACAGGGACCTTGATTTTTGTTACAAATACACTCATCTGTGGATAGTCACAAGTCTCGGAATTCCCGGGCTCTCTTACCAGAGGCAATCAGGCAATCATTGTATCCATCAATCGATCACCTGATTGGAAGAGCTGTGCTCTGATAATAGCGTAGCCCCAGATCTCAGTACATCATTGTGTATTGTGATTATTCTACGTAAAATGTCACCATTGTCTGGTATCAGGACTCTCCCCGGAATTTCAACTTTTGATGTTCGGGAGGGTCCCAGGATCCGAATACGACAGGGTACGATTATCCTCCATATGAACAGGGCATGGGTGATCCCATCCTGATCGCCCACGACTATCGAAATGTTAAGAAGTGATATGGCTAGATGGCAGGATGTTCAACCTGAGGTTGTTGAGCAGGAACTCTAACCTTTGATCTAGCAAGTTTCAAATAACCAAGAGCAATGTAAAGAAGGTTTCATCGTATGATGATCGGGTACATGCTTTTTCTAAGTTAAGGCATGATCAACCTGGAAGTTATCAGGCTCCGTGTCCCGTTGTCAATGCGGCAGCAGAGCTACTAAGACACCCAGTAAAAGAACAGCACCTGGATGGCCGGTAGTAGGTACCTGCAGATCCTCTATTCTAAGAAGAGGCTAGGCAGCTTGCCATGTATGGATTGGTGGCTCTAGCCGATGGAATGTTCTATGCAGGGTGCCAAATATTCTGACTCCAGCCTGCAGGGCACATTAGCGTGAGAGATATATGCATGACGAGACATAGGAAGTCTTGATGAGCCGTCAGCGAACTGACCAAAACCCGAAGGATTTCGGAATACGCGAAGTAGAAAACCGTTTGATTCAATCAATATGCGGCGACTCCGGCAACCTAGAAGCCGGGACTTCCGATCCTGAGAGGAATCAGAGGATGCAACCTATATGCTATCTCCTAGCGATAGCCTGGGCCGCTTCTCTGTCGTACTTCATTCGATGACTTCAGCTCTTCGATCGCAATTAGGCAAAAACATTGGAACGTACTTTTCAACGTCTGCCTATGCATACATCTCCCGTAGATATGTCCTTTCCAGAGCGAGGAGGATAGCATAAGCCCTGTGGCGTAAGTGAAGTTGTATGGACTGTATGCTGACAAAATATGCCAAGTGCTCAGAAATTGTTTGAGATTAGATAGGGTTCTGGCCTATCCGTGGATCGACAGTAAAAGAGTGCCAAGCTGTACGGAGTACCAATCTTCCATTCTCAGGCTTTACGGCAAGACTTTCGGATAACGCGACTTCTCCATCCAGAAAGCTACATGTAAGTATACAAAAAGATCCTTGGATCACGAGCAGATGAGATATAGAAGGCCTCTCCCTCCTAGAGCTGGTTAGGTTGCCGAGGAACACCGAACACTGACGATGAGATTCAAAAGTATGTCTCGTAGTTCACATCCATTGCCAATGTTCTTTTGAAAAAGGGTGTGGTGCTGGAGCGGCAGTACTATGAGTGGCTTCGGCAGAAGCCAACTGGATTAGTTTAGGTGTCAAAGCCTATCGTCGAGCACCTCGCTGCTCAGAGGAGCTACGAGAGGATGATGCAAGCGTTCTCTCAGACGTGGCAACACCAAGGACACGTGAACGACGCGTTTTATGATCTCGACACGAAGAACTCCGGTTTGTCGTCCGAAAAAGGTGTGGAGAGGCAATCCACGGGCGGCTTGAAATCTCCCGCTTTCGACGTAGAGAAGGCCTTTGGACGCATGGAATTGCTCCTCCATAATTCCATGCGTTCAAGGCTTTATCCACGTGGAAAGACGTAGAGTAAGGAGCGCGGGTGAGGGTAGGTTGAATACTGTGTATGAGATGCGGTGAAGGAGGGCGCGTAACTTCCAAAAGGGGTAACTAACCTAACGTAAACAGAAATGATTGTCAATCGCATTGCGTGACCCACCTGACTAATTTGGGACTAGTTACTTTAGTTATTAGTTTATTTTGGGAAAACCCCGATGACTAATTGAATCACGTGGTTTCACTTTTTCTCGAGGTCACCATACCGACATATTTGTACCAGGGCATTACGCCACATGCCTCCCGACGTCGCGTCTCACCGCCTTGGTAAGTCCGCAACTCCGATAAGATTCACTCCAGACAAGAGGCACAGAACACTGGACCAAACCAGACTCAAGGGGATTTGCATATTCAAACACAAGCTTCGGTCTCTTAATATCTATTTCCACATCCAAAGCGCCCCTCACCGAACTCATCGAATCAAATCGTGTCGCACCGATCAGCAGTGGGATCGCGCCAAATCCCAACCCTGTGGAGAATTCAGCAGTCAACGCAAGACCACCAAAACACCCCCGGAATTGCAGACTGGGGAACATTTCCATTACTTGAAACTATTGATGCACTCCGCATGATGTATCCGAGAGTCTCGGTACAATCCATATCGCTTTAGCTCTGGCCGCGCAACCTTCGCGTATCTGAACCTCGCAGGTTTCCCCACCAAACGCTGTTCCTCACAGATATCCTAGGGAAACAAGGAAGAGAAAAAGCTGTACTCAGAAACAAAGGACAACTATACCTTCTCCAGTTGTGTCAGCCATGGCGGAGATGGAGGAGGCTGGCGCAAACCATGCGAACGACTCCACGGCTACGAAACCCAAAGCCAATCCCTATGAAACCAGCCTCGAGCACATTCCCAGCGATGACCCATTCATCTCCCAAAGTGTACATTACGGCCGATACACGCCGCGCGCCGACGATTTCACACCTCGCTTCATGCACTGGTACCGGCCTGACCCAGCCGTCAATGCTTTCTGGGAGCAGGTTGCACAGAAATACTGTACTTCAGAGTACTCACTCAACATCTCCGGGCCTCGGGAGGCTTTTGCGGTGGGAAGTATAATAATTCGGGTGGATCGCGAATTGGTGGACGGACTCGCGGCTGAGGGATATTCATATGCAAATGAAAATGAGCTGTTAGCGGCGCAAAAGGCAGAGGATTCGCTCAGAGATATCGGCGTGGCAGTGCCAGTCATATATTTCTACGGGACGATCGAGGGCAGAAATGTCACAATCGAGTCGCGCATTGCGGGCGTCTCCCTGGAAGTTGCATGGAAATATCTCGACCGAGAGCAGATCGAAGGTCTCAAAAATCAGTCTCGTCAGATTATACAACGTCTCGGGAAAATTGGCTCCACTACAGATGAACCGTCCTATGTCTGCCGTGACCTTAATGCGCACAACGTGCCCTCCGTCGAATCCCGCGAACGAGATATCCTATTTACCACAAAAGACAAGGAGGACGACTTCTGTCTAGCACACAACAATCTGGTCCCGAGCAATATCATAGTCCGGGACGATCGGGTAGTGGGGATCGCGGGATGGCGACAATGCGGATATTTTGGCACGGCCAGGGCGAAGAAGGTTCATCAGCTCTTCAGGGATCTTGATCCTGCACCTCAAAATGGCGTAGCCAGTTCCGAGAAAATTGCGACTTGGACTGACCTCTACGATGGCGCCTACGACCCAAGCAATGGTACTCCGCTGGTCGCCAACCAAGATACGCCCCTTCCATCAGTGAAAACTGAACCGACAAGCAATGATCTCGACAAAATCTCACCAAGCAATGACGTGGAGACGGGTTTCGATGGTACGGGCGACTATGCAACGTCGAAGACAGTGACCAACCTCAAGAACGGTATTACCTCGAGAGCACCATCGTCCGACCGATCATCCCCCGCAAATTCCGTCAAGCCGGCAAACAAAAAGCCCGCGGCCAAAAAGGGCACCGCGAAGAAGCCTGCTCCCAAAAAGCGCAAGGGTAATGACCCAGACACAGAGAGCATCGATGGGCGACGTTCCAATACACCCGCACCCCGGGCCAGCAAAACACCTGGCAAGAAGCAAGGCTCTGTCTCGATAGCGGGATCGCCACCTCCCGAGGAGAAGAAAAAGCCAACGAAGAAGAAGAAGAAAAAAGGGACCCAAGGCAGCTGCTACTCAGGACAATGACGACTCCGACAGCTTCGACGAGAATGCGATTTTTTGTATATGTCGCCGGCCTGACAATCACACGTGGATGATTGGTTGCGACGCCGACTGCGATGATTGGTACCATGGAAAATGCGTCAATATCGATCCCCGAGATGCAGACCTGATCGATCGGTATATATGTAAGTTTCCACGAGACATGGATTCATATCATTAAGCCCTAGATCTGACCTCTAGATCACAGGTCCGAACTGCGCAAGTTTAGGCAAAGGATGTACAACATGGAAACCGATGTGTCGCCTGTTGGAGTGCCGGAAACCAGCGCGCGTGAAAACGAAACCTCCGAGTAAATATTGCTGCGACGATCACGGCCGGGAATTCATGCGCCGACAAACCCAAGAACTTAAAAAACGTGCGGGTCAGAAGAATGGTCTGTTTGAAGATCTGGGTAGTATGGGAGGAATCCTCACAGCTGCGGACCTGAAAGCCGCCATCATAGGTGTAACATCCACACACGAATTCCGAACACTTGGGAATCGCATCGTCTCCCCCGCCACCAGAAGCAGTCGATAATGCTGATTCTGATGTCAAGGCCGAATCCAAGCCGCAGAGCGGTGGATGGTTGGGAGTCGACGTCCATGAAAACGGCATGGAATATTCGCCCGACGAGATTGCGAAGATCGAAAAGCTGCGCGCACAACGGGAGGACCTTCTCCACCGCAAGGAGATGCTTGCCGCACGCACGAAATTTGTCTCGCTACTCAAGCCACGGGCTAAAGGCCTAGTGGAGAAACTGAAGCAGCATGAACCCAAGGGCGGATGGAAAGATATCTGTGGCTTTGACTCACGGCTCTCGTGGTCTGACGAGGAATTCGATGAATGGCGACTCTCTGAGGCTGGGATGAAAGCTCTCGCTGAGGGCACAGCAGAGGCGTTGGCTCTGAGCTCTGCATCGAATAACGATGCAGACGGGGACTCAATGATGACTGGTGACAGCGATGATGATATCACGTTTTGGACGCGCGGTGTCTGCACCAAAAAGCGCTGCGAGAGACATAAGCAATGGGTCAAGGTGCAACAGCAGGATATCCTCTTCGAGGAGGAGACGACAGAGCAGGACCTCGCTAAGTGTGAGGAGGAAGCTCGGGCTGTGGTGGAACGGAGTGTGATGAGGCGATGGGCTGAGAAGGATAATCAGACGTGAATACCGAATGGTGGTTCCCTGAGTATTTCGTCACGGCCAGAGCCAATATTCCACAGAACAATAGCTTGATACCCCGTTGTTGCAGAAGGCAGACCAAATGGCTCATCTTTCATTACTCATTCCATATCCCCCACTTGCCTAGACCCGTACCAACTCGATCTTTGATCACTTCGACTATCTGAGCTCCTCTCAGATCAGAAATCAATAGATGAGTATCAATCCCTTGGTCTAAAGCCTTCATGAGCAAAGTAGGGAACAGGGAGGGAATGTCCGAGTGAAAGATAGAGTGGATCCCATCCTCCAGCGGCTGCCTCGTAGCACCATCTCCATGACTAGCAGTGTTTCCAGTCGATTGTTTATTCTTCTCCCACTCCGAATTTATAGAACCTACTCCATTAGTATTGACCAGGATGATTGAAAGATAAGAGGCGTGCACGCGAGACAATCTCGTCAAGGTGCGGAGCGTCGCCGTCAAAACGGCAGCACCCCTAGCCGGATTAGACACCCGAATTACTCCTTCCGTTAGGGTATCGAGACCGGCAACAATCAACAAGATGGGGTTATTGCTAGATGTGTTCGGCTCGGTCGGTTCTTCTCGCCGCTCTCGCTTATCTTGGATCTTGTGCAGAACATCCGAGACTTGGCCTATGGCCTGTGCGGCATTGGGAAAGTTGTGCACAGGAAGCAGCTGCACAGAGTCTAGTCTCTGGATCGCCTCGTCCCGGGTGAGGCTGGGCTGGTCATGGGAAGAAGCTTGCAGCTCGTTGAGCAGAGTCCTTGGAGCAAAGGCTTCGAAACTCCCTGGATGGATGATGAATGCAGTAGGATCAGACGATGGATTAACGGCCCGCAGATGAGACGTAAGTATATGTCGAGGAACCTTGCGCAAGATCAGTCACTCGAAATTAATACCCACGTAAGCTACCTAGAGTCATACCTGTCCGATATACTCGTTGCTTTCCTTGCTTCTCATTCTCAGCCTGGAGAAGCCGAGGACAACTCCGCACCGAAAGATGGATTCTTTGGAAGATTGGATACCCCGAACCCAATCATTTTTGAGACTCCAGTCACTCTTTGAGGCTTGACCTGGGGAGGATGCTGCTTTTTCCATTGGGATTGGCGGTGGGAGTAGTGAATCGGCAAGAATAGGGAATGCAGGCTCTGCAGAGTACACGTTTGTGGTACAAGCCATACTTCCTCGTAGGGAACCTCTGATTAGATTGCTACGGAGCTGATATGATGATATCGGGTGAGCGAGTGTAGACGATGGAGTAGTTCGAATAGCTGGGTAGTTGACAGAGACAAAAGAAAAGTGGATATCGCCTCGGTCTGGCTTCCGCCCCACAGAAGCCGTAGAAACTCAATTTCTTGGCTCATGAGCTTACTCACATTATGTGTGTCGAATCTTTTTGGTTGGATTTTGTTACTATCTTAATAGGTATACGTCTTACTCAGGAGGTCTGAGTGCCATCCCGGCCCATAAACAGCCACAAGAGGCCAAATTGAAGAGGGTAAGATATAGAAAAACTCGTCAGGCGCGCCTCCAAAATCCGCGCCCATCATGTACCCAGCCTCCATCACCGATGACATCGTCCAAAGCTGCAATTATATCCTGCCGCATAGCCTCAACGTGTAGATCGCCGCACCTGAACTCCTTCAGAGAAGGCATGTTACTGACAGTATATGCAATCAACGAATACGAAGTTGCGAGCTCCATCCATGGATCATTAGGATCCATAGACCCTCGTTGTTCGAGCTCGGTGATATGATTGCCCCGACAGGGAGCTAGCTGCACATCGAGGCGACGCAATTGATCCATTCTTGAGACGGCATCGAGTACGAGTTGCGAGTGATTGTAAAAAGGAAACACGGCCGTATAGGAAAAGGACGTGAGACCGTGTAGGAGTATCGATAGGTCGTTTGGACGTTCGGCCACATGTGTTCCAAGCCTCACATTCATTCCCCACGCCGTAAGGAAGGATGGGACACGAGTAAGGAAGTACTCGTAATGGTTGTATGCTTTCAGGGACGATGATTCATTGAAAGTCATCGATGTCCATGGGCGTGATGCGAGGAGACAGGTACAGGTCTCCAGGTCAGGCAGCCGGGGTGAATCACGAGACATGCATTCTCGTCCCAGAGCCAGGATTTGCAAAGGCATATCGAATGCCCAGGTATGATCGTCATTGATGGTGGTAGCTAGGGTTTTGCCAATGAAGACTGGCGGGGCGACCACTATCACATGGCGAGGATCCAGATAGCGGAGGACGCGGCGCCACCAGAATGGGTCGACCCTGCGATCAGAATTGTCGCTTGCAATCGCTACAAGAGAGTTGACATATGGAGCGAGATTCGAGTTGGTCATAAAGGAGTGGAAGTCGGCTTCGTCATAGAGGTCCAGGCAGACATGACTGAATAGCCGAGGTCGCACAAGTTCAAGTAGACGCTGTGAGCACTGTGAGAGATGCTTGAGATCATTCGTTGGAGACTGGGTAAGCTGTAGATTGGGTGGATGATGTAGTTGGCCCAAGGACGGCGGCTCCGTGGTTAAGTGGGAGATGATCTGATCTAGGAGCTCATTGGGGAGGAGCTCCAAATGAGAATAGGCTGGCGTCGACATGGCAAAGTGCTCATGCCAAGAGCCCTGTCCCACATGACATTGATTGGATTGCGGAAACTGTCCAATGCGACAGTAGACAGTAGTGGTTACCCTAACTAGAGCCTGTACAGATGTACACAGGTCACAGATGTACAAAGTGGTGGTAGGCCGTCGGCTGAGAGATTGAAGTGAAGTGCCGGCTTCTCCACTCGAATCGCCTCGGGGTTCTCCACTGCTCCACTTTGACTCTTTGTCATCTGTGACTCGGCTAGTTTTGGAACGATCTAGTTATTCGACATTTTTTGTTAGGATAATGAGTGTTCGTAGTGTAGAACTGGGAAGTCGAATTGACAACCCGACTTGATGAATAAGTCATCGGAAGTTGAGAAGAAAATAATTGGGAGAGAGGCCTAAATCGTGGGGTCACTGATGGTAAGGTCTAATGAAGCAGATCAAGGGTCAAATCATCAATGCGTGTACTAGCAGGCTAACCTTCTTAAGTTCTTACCATGGGCCATGGCAGAATAAAGAAGCATACATGTGGCCCGTGCACTGTAGTAGACAGGTTCAAGACCTCACTTTCAGAGCCATGGACATATGAGATCTCGGACAGCCCAATTTATTATCTCCCCAAATACCTTCCGACAATGAATTGAAGCTCTACTCCGTACCATGGCCTCGAATTACAGCCTGCCTAAACCAAACAATAAACCACGAGCCAAGAGATCGGCACCCGCAGCCACGAATTCGGAATGGGAGAAATCTCATACGTGGGGAGCCTCAGTGTTTGTGGGGCAACGCCTATCACGGCAATTGGAGAGCGCCGGTTGAATTTTGAAATGGCAATGGCAATTTCATCGGTGCCCCTCTTTTGCAGTTCTGGTTGATCTTGACTTCCCCCCCGAACTTGCTTCCTCTCTCTCCATATCTCCGTAATTCAATCCAGGTATGTACGAGGGCATCACGACTTTGTATCAATGTAAACATAACGCTCACCATTCCGCGCAGTCCATCTCCCTTCACAATGGCTCCTCAACTACACCAGCGTCCCCCCTTCCGTGCGGAGCACTTGGGTTCTCTCCTGCGCCCACACCAGCTCCTGGATACTAAGCTTGCTTTTGAAGCCGGCAAAGTCCCCGAGTCAGAGTTGACCGCTTGCGAGGACAAGGAGATCAAGGCCATTGTCGAGACCCAGCAGAAGCTCGGATATGCTGCCATGTCTGACGGCGAGTACCGTCGTCACAGTAAGATACCCCGTTGACATGGACTCCGAACATTGCTGACGTTATTTAGTGTTCTGGGGAACTTTCTTCCCCGGTTTGGACGGTTTCGAGGAGGTCAACAACATTGATGTCGATGACTTCCGTCCCTATGCCCCCGACATTGCCGCATTCCTGGAGGCCGGCCACAAGCCTGGCGAGAGTGTCATCTGTACCGGCAAGATTAAGCACGTCGGAAGCACTTATGTCGACCAGTTCAAGTACCTTGCCAGTCAGGTTCCCGCCAACGAGGTCGGAAACCTGAAGATTACTCTGGCCGCACCTAACTGGTATCACCTGCGCTACCGTGAGGGCAAGGCTTACCCCAAGTCTGTATACAGCAATGATGAGGACTACTTCGGTGACATCGCCAAGGCCTACCAGGCCGAACTTCAGATTCTATATGATGCTGGCTGCCGTAACGTTCAATTCGATGACCCTAACCTGGCTTGTAAGGCAATTCCCATCCAGACATGTTGAACCAACGAAGCTGACCATTGATCCAGACTTCTGCTCTGAGAAGTTCCTTACTGGTTTCAAGGAGGACCCCTTGAACGTGTACTCCGCCGACGACATGTTCGAGAAGTACATCAAGCAATACAACGACTGCTTCGCTAACCTCCCCGCTGACATGCACGTCGGTGTACACTTGTGCCGCGGCAATTTCGTCGGCAGCCGCCACTTCTCCGAGGGTGGCTACGACCGCATCGCTATCAAGCTCTTCCAGGAGCTGAACGTTCACACCTACTACCTCGAGTACGACACTCCCCGCGCCGGCGGTTTCGAGCCCCTGAAGTTCTTGCCCACCCACAAGAACGTCATTCTGGGCGTTGTCACCAGCAAGTTTGCCAAGCTTGAGGACAAGGAGGAGATGAAGAAGCGGGTTATTGACGCTGCGAAGTTCATTGCTGAGGGAAACAATATCTCTCTGGATGCTGCTCTAAACCAAGTCGGTGTGAGCCCGCAGTGTGGTTTCGCTTCTCACCGCGAGGGAAATGCTATTGACTGGGATGGTATGATCAATAAGCTCCAGCTTGTTCGGGATATTGCCAACGATATCTGGCCCAACCAGGCTTGAAGCTGGACATTAGAATGAGAAAATGAATATCCTCTGTTTTTTGGTTTCACCATGTTCATCTTATATACTGTGAAAGTTCTCAAGAGAACATCGAGTCTCGTATCAGAAACAGGCATCTCTCACACAACATCAGGTGGAACAGAGGAGTTACCTACCAACGGGAAACACTATCCGACCATCTAGGCCACCTGCATCAAAGACCTTGCCAATTCCAGTTTCTGAGGCATGACAATCTTCTCCTTAACCAGCCTAGCAATAACACGCAGCAGCCATCCCTGACAATTCTCCGTAACGGACTTCCTCTTCTCCGCCCGTGGCGGGGGCTCTTCCTCCGCAGCCTGCTTGACCACCTGCGCCGCCCTAGCCTGCCCCTCCGACACAACAGCCAGTGTATATACATGGGACATGATGCCCGCATCAACGATATTCATCTTCTCAGCCGAAGGCTCGTATCTGATGTGCTCCGCATCCCCCGTGACTTGGTAGACGTATCCGTATTCGGGCTCGTTCTCGTCGGCAAGGAAAAGCGCCCATTGTTGGGGTTCTCCGGGCTCTTGTTCGCCTTCGACAAGGTAGAGATATAGCTTGGGGTTCTCTTCGGGTGGCTTCAGTTCTTCTGGGTTCGACAACCTCGTGTCCTCGGTCCATTCCTGTACTCCTTTCTTTCTGAAGTATGTGCGGCCGTCGACTTCGCATACTTCTCTGAAGCCTCTTGTCTTGATCGTAGTCCCCGGGGGTGGAAAGTCGCTCATTTTCTGGAGAATTGGGGTTTCAGTATACTGGTTTCATGTGGATGGTCTTATTTGCCCCTGCCGTTGAATCTGTGGTGGTCGAAGTGAAGAGACCTGAGATTCCTGGAGCGTTCTTAGCTTTCGTTTGACCGCAGTCTGGATATATTGTCATGTTGTAACGGATAGTTAGCAGTGTGACTGGAAGACGTCAGTATGATAGAACTCCAGATAACATGCTGTTTCGAGTTGTACGTCTGTTACGGGTCATCATCATATAATCAAGGTGCCCAGAAGTCCCCCGGCTCTTGATTCTGACAAGAATCGATCTTGGAACAACAGACAACACAATCTGTTTTCCAATCTCTACGTGATTATCTTATATCTAGTGTTCACTTCGTTTCATCCAAGCCTTGACGTACCTGCCGTCGCGTCTCTATGAAGGCGAGATGAACGACTACTATATCCAACCCTAATGCGCGACTGCCCTCATATAGAATGTATCGCTAGGCTACTTAAAGTGTATAGACGAAGCAATGCAATTCAAATTGTCTATGCTAAGCCAATATACATTTTCTCGTGGGGGTACGACGCAACGCCTTACTCCGCAGGTCCCTCAATGTTGCTTTCCTTGATGTTCGAGCTCTTGTGAGTATGCAAGTTCTCGATTTTGTAGCGTTGCTCGTCGTCAGATGCGCTACGGCCGCCTCCAGCCATGGTTTCCCGGATGACTCCGACACTTGAGCTGGTCCTGGAATTTGGGCCTGTACATCGTTATCCGATATCCGGGTTATGCTCTGAATAAGCGTATCTTACCTCCGACGGGTTTGTAGTTGACCTTGTCTCCTTCCTTGTACTGAGGCATTGCTCTTTCAAGGTTGACGCTGGTGACGGTGGGATTGGTAGAAGGACCTAAGAGTCGTGTTGGGAGCAGAGCAGTGTTTTGATCTTTGTGTTATAAGGCGTTCGGGAATACCAGGATTCAGTAGACATTAAGCTCAGAAAGCGTAAGATATCTTTGTATTTATACAGTGTGTGTGATCTCGGATTGAATCTTGTAGCAGTTGCCACGGCCCACGGGTCTGACCTCCGTGTTCGGTCCCAATGCTCCTAAAGCCCTGGATCAATTCCAATCCAGTCGGTTCATATCCCAGCTACCTCAACGTGACGATAGCGGAACATTTTCCCTGAATTGTGGCGTCATGAAAGCACCTAGTTAGCTATATCTATGGACTTGATTTCCTCTGCCACTTCCTGGCGTTCCGTTTCGGCTTTAATGCCCAGTCCTTGCCGCATTTTGCTCACTGAGTACAAGGTATCCCGGCGCCCAATGGTCTTGGGATTATAACCGCGGCTCTCAGCTTCCCCTAGCCATTCTATTCGTGCGTAATTCAGTAAGCATGGCCTCGTAAACGGACCAATCATTAATGCCATCCACTGTGGTCCTCTGACTCATTGTCCTCGTCGGCCGGCTCCTAGCCTCCTAGGATATCGTCGGTCATTTCTCTGATGGACTGCCTCGGGTCCAAATACAGCCGTCATCTCCGATGTGGTTGGAACATCCCCGTTACAAGACTCGATCCATTCGAAGTCTATGACAGACACAGAAGGACGGGCGGCATGCTGGTGGTAAAGCACGTTGTGCGGACCGGCGTCTGCCCAGAGAATCCCGACGGTCCGAAGAGCCTTGACGGCGGCTAAAACCTGCTGATAGATAAATCCTTTCTGACGGGCAGGTTTACCTGCCCATCTGCTATCAAGGGGCTCTCCCTTCGCCCTCGTCAGAACGAGTATGTGGCCGTAGGGGAACAATGACGAACAGCGGATCAATCCTGTGGCGTAAGGGGAGGGGAAAAAACCTACCCGCCAGGGTACTTCTCGAGGAGACGCTCATAGGTGATCCTCTAGCTTTCAACTATTCAATAGTAGATTTGGGTCAATCCGAACCTTTGGTAGGCAGGCGGCGCCCAACCCTTGGCCACTGCAGGCTGCCCATGCCAGAGGACCCTTGAACTTCTGAACCGCTCGGAATATTCGCTGGATAAAAGGGATCTTGTGTCGACGAGGATTAGCCCACTCATGGGCTGCGCACGCCGCAATGATCTGGGCTGTTCGTTGACTACTGCTGCTGCCCCGCGTGGCAGCACCCGAATAGCAACAGTCCAGGACCGCGACGACATCCATCTTCTTCAGGTCGGGGTCATGGAAAAGCTCCTGCTTGATTGCGGGCCATGGCACAGATGCTGTGCCGGGCTTCCCAGACACGGAATTCAGCACGTCGTCAATTATGGCCCCGTGTCCCGCATAGTAGAACACTATCACGTAGTGCTGGTTGGTAGCCTGGCATTCACTGATAGTGTACTCTACACGTTCGCGGAGTCTCCACTTTGGCATCTTATCTGTTCCTCGGGACATACGTCTCGTGCTGGATACCGAAGCCTTGCATCAGGCTAGCCACGGTATTAACGTACGTCGTTCTGGGCATTTGTGTCCTCGAAGACGGCCTTATCTTTGGCAAGTGGCAACACGGATGGACTTCGTGACCTCGACAGACTCTATCGCAACGGGGGACTCGTGGCCGCCAAAAAGTATTGTCTGCGTGGTTACAGGGAATGTCCGGGGAGGAATTGAACTATCCGCGGCGGAAGGGTTAGAAGCGAGGTAGTCTCGCAAGCCGGACTCGCGGATCGACGCTTGGAGGCCCTCGTCGGTTCGTAACTGCCCATAAAGGATTTGTCAGTATACGTTCTAAGCGCGAAGAATGCTTCCTACCGTACCGATCTTGGATTAAATCCGGGGGACTCCTGGTACACCGGGGCCTCAGAGGCGAGGATAACAACCGCCATAAAGCACTGCCTGACGGATGGTTGTGTGGCAGTGTGTCGGATAGGGTTCGTCATCTCGAACCGGCAATCCTGGACCCGCTTGACAAAAACGGTGTGGGCATACGTAGACAACACACCATAGATGGTTTGGTTGTCTCTCATTTGCTCAACGAGCTGGCCTAGATATCTTTGCAGTTGGGGAACGTTGTAAAAGCCAGCGCTGATCGGGTACGCATTGAGGCGGGCAGTCCAGAACGTTTTCAGCTCGATGGGTAGGATGGTCCTCCGAAGTGGCTCAGGCTCACCATAGTGAAGGCAAACGACGTCAGGAATGACGTTGGACACAGGAAGCACGGCTTGGCGATCGCCGAATTGCAAAGGGAGCCCGGCAGACCTGCATGCTAGGGAGACGGCATCGCAGACATACTTGCTGAACCGGCCGGTGAGACCAAGTTCGCTCCCAACCACGTAGGCGTCGTCGGTGACGTCCGTGCACGGGACAAGCCCATTCAGCTCAGTCCTTTGCATCACTTGACGAACATCTTCCTCAAAAGACGCCCATTCATGGAAGAATCTCATTTCGATAAACGCGCGAGAGTTTGATTAGGGTTCGTCATCTCGAACCGGCAATCCTGGACCCGCTTGACAAAAACGGTGTCGGCATACGTAGACAACACACCGTAGACTGTTTGGTTGTCTCTCATTTGCTCAACGAGCTGGCCTAGATATCTGTTAGTCGTGTGCCTTCGACAAAACATTCAGCCGTCTTACCGAGATGGCTTTGCAGTTGGGGAACGTTGTGCAAGCCAGCGCTGATTGGGTACGCATCGAGGTTGACAACCCAGAACGTTTTCAGCTCGATGGGTAGAATGGTCTTCCGATATTGACCAGGTTGAAGAAGCTGGAAAGAATCCACATTTGTTACAAGCCAGAAGGAAAAAGAGCAGAAGAGATGACTTGATCCTGTGCTGAGATGGGGAAGGGAAGAGGAAAGAAAGAGCTGCGCAGAAGAACTCCTTTTTATGTTCTTCTGCCGTGTTTGCTCCTTCCCTTAGCTAGGTATCGTTCGCTCCTTCCCTTAGCTATCGTTCGCTCCTTCCCTTAGCTATCGTTTGCTCCTCACATGATCATCACACACAGGAAGACTTTTCTCCTACTCCGTACGCCGCCCCGTGATAGATAAATTCCGTGCCTTCCAATTTACGTCATCGTGCTCTAGTGCGTTATAATTTTAGAGGAGAACGAGATCGGAAGATCGTACACCTCAAAAGTGGGCTTACGGTGAGAAATGGATGGCCATAAAAAAGTACACTACGTACGGAGTAGTTCATGAATAAACAGAATGTAGTGCAAAGGGCTTCTTTGGGTATGGACTGAGCGTGGAGTCGTGGACTGAGTGCTCAATAGATGGCTCTGAGCCGTTCGCTGGGTCTGAGCCCAGACTGAATGGAAGTTACTCAGAGAGCCTGGCTCTGGGCGCCTTATAAAAGTGGCGGCCGCTAAGATAGGAAAGCCCACCCGGCAGAGGAAATATAGTACGTATATAACTACCAGCCTACCTAGGTACCTTCATGACGCCACAATCAAGGGAAAATGTTCCGCTATCGTCACGTTGAGGTAGCAGGGATATGAACCGACTCGGTTGGAATTGATCCAGGGCTTCAGAGCATTGGGGCCGAACACGGAGGTCAGGTCCGTGGCAACTGCTACAAGATTCAAGCAGAGATCACACACTGTATACGAAGTATGTCATTCGTTTGTCGATCTATCGAATAAAAGCCGCGTAGGTTGCGGCCAAATTTATGCAAAGGATGGCGCATTCAGAAGACTGAAAAGGGATCTTAGGAAAACAACGCCGAGTAAAGAACACAATGAGATTAAAGTATTAAAATGGACCCAGCAAGCCCATATAAGAACAGAGGGGATATCATAGAAGTGAAGATAAACAGCGAATAAAGCAAGATAACAAAAGCCAGACAGAATGAAAAGAGCAGAAAACAAAAGTCCAAATGCTGCGTCATCTTGTCATCACACGCGGACATGAAGGGAAAAGAGAAAACACTTGTCGGATAATGCAAGATGTTGTACATGAAGCTGCTCTAGAAGCGCCTCTCGAGACCACAGCGGTGCATCTTATTTCTGAGCCGGTGTCTTGACATTGTTCGAAAGCCAGGCCTAGCAGAGAATGACAAAGTTAGCCTATGGTTCTACAGCATATACCAGAGTTAAGTATTCAACTTACCAAACCTTCAAAGATACCGGTGCCATCGGTTGCGACACTGGGTGCAACGTACCACAGCTTATCCTTGAGCTTGGTCAATTGAAGCTGCTGGGTGATTTCTTCCGGAGTCAAGTCTAAAATAGGTCAGCGGACAGGTCATCGGATTCAGGTACCGAAGATACGCACGGCCTGGGATATCTTGCTTATTGGCAAACACTAGCAGCAAAGCATCCTTCATTTCACGATCGTTGATGATCTTGTGCAATTCCGAGCGAGCCTCCTCTACACGCGCCGTATCGCTGGAATCGACGACGAAAATCAATCCTTGGGTGCCAGAGTAGTAGTGTCTCCAAAGGGGTCGGATCTTGTCCTGACCACCAACATCCCATACGTTGAACTTCACGTTCTTGTAGGTCACGCTCTCGACGTTGAATCCGACAGTGGGGATGGTAGTCACATCCTGGTTGCTGAGTTTAAGTTTGTAAAGAATAGCTGGAAGGTGTATTAGCTTATTTGAGCCGCGATCTCAATTGAGATATAGAAACAGGGTAACATACTCGTCTTTCCAGCAGCATCTAAACCCAACATAAGGATGCGCATTTCCTTCGTTCCGAAGATCTTCCCCATCATCTTAGAAACTTGTACACCCATTGTTGCGGTGTTTGACGCGGTGTCGGAGCTGGACTCAGGAGTTGTTTGGTGGAATATCAACAATTGCTCCCCAGGTATGAATCGCGGGGCTGGATGAAAGTACAGAAGTCGGCTTTTCCGTACAGTTGGACTCCAGAGAGAATGACAGCTCGTCAAGGAAAGAACAAGAAAGAAAAAGGGTGTGGTGCGTGAAGATCTTCAATTCAATTTCCCTGAGGGCGGGGGAAAAGGGGCTTGGGGCTTGCTTACTCATCAGTTGAACCCACGCGGGATACGATGGCAGTTTGCAGTTTGATCGTGTTTGGCTTCTCATCTTCAAGTTATCTCCCTCATAACGTCGCGACTTCAAGCTCTAGAGGTCGCAATGTCTCTCAAACACTTCACCCAAACAATTGCATCGAAGGGCCAACCGTGGTTATGTTCTACGTCATCGCCAAATGATATTATGAGGTCATACGCGCATAGTGCGATTCTCTACTCCGTACAGATAAAATCATACAATCTTGACTTTTCCTTTTGATTCCTTTCTAAATCGACTATCTTAACTTTCCTAAACACGATGTCCGAGGAAACACATCATAAGTTCGAACGCCGTTGCTCAACCACACAGCAGCGTCGACTTAACTTACAGTTCGAGCGCAATGCGTGGTTAGGGCCTCCGTCAGATGTATGAACGTTTCACAGGTGCACGGTAACAGATCTTGTATAACTGACAACGGTATTAGAATATCTACGCAGGGGTTTCGGTCAACTTTGAGTCGCCCCATTCGTCAACTATAGCAATCGCAATCCGCGACGTCACATACCTCCTGGACTTTATCGAAAGGGAATTTCGGGGCGAGCAAGCGTGTCCAGAAAATGTGGCCAACTTCATCATTGCAGAACTCAAATCTTACTCCGATAATCACTTGGAGAAATTCATTGGGATATCAATGCCACAATACGTTGCAGATGAATGCCCTCGGCTCTGTCCTCGCCTCTGGGCGGAGCTAGATATTGTTCCACTGGTCATGTCGAACACCTCGCTGGTAGACAGGATAAGTGTTGCACAGACTAACGAGGGTGATGACCTGGAGCCTGAGCAATGGGACATAAAGACCATCGATGAACAGGCAGAGTCCATGGCACGGAAAGGTGTCAGGTTCGTTGGTCCCATTCAATCTCACAAGGGAGCCATCGGACTTATAGTGTATACAGGCTTTTTGGACCGGACAACACCCCCTGCTACAAGTCGGCTTCCTTGGTCTTGTGGAGGTCGACACAGCTTATCATGTCCGGACTGCAGATTTGCAGGATTTCAGGGACACAGTTTCAGACAGAACTTGGTCCGCTGTTCAACACTATGCCAACGACCTGAAAGAGCGCAAGGTCAAGGTTGCATTCTTCAGTTCCACGCCTCAGGGAGGTGGTGTGGCTTTGATGCGTCACGCTCTGTTGCGATTTTCGCACTGTTTAGGCACTGACTTCAAATGGTGTGGCTGCACCTGTCTTGTGCAGTGAAAGTAATGGTCAACACTAACTTGATGTCTATAGGTACGTTCCAAAACCACGACCGGGCGTTTTCCGAGTTACCAAAACAAATCACAACATCCTGCAAGGTATTGCTTCCAAGGGCGAACGCTTGACATATGACAACAAGAAAATCTTGCAAGAATGGATTGAGGAAAACGCCAGGCGATATTGGACCCGAGCAGGCGGGCCTTTACTTCCACCGTCAGAGGGCGGCGCAGATGTGATAATGATCGACGATCCTCAGATGCCGGGCATCATCCCGATTGCCAAATTGTTGGCTCCAGACCGTCCAATTGTATTCCGGAGCCATATTCAGATACGAAGTGACTTGGTCGCAATACCCGGCTCTCCACAGGCAGAGGCGTGGGACTTTCTGTGGAGTACCATAAAATACGCAGACTGCTTTATCAGTCATCCCGTGAGCTCGTTCGTGCCGCACAACGTGCCTCCTGAGAGAGTAGGCTATATGCCTGCATCAACTGACTGGTAAAGCTTAAATGACTGAAACTCTGATTCCATCTCGCTGACAACGGCATAGGTTGGATGGGCTGAACAAGACAATGCGGGACTGGGATATTGCTCACTATGGTCGAATATTCAATGCAGCCTGTCGTAATGCGGACATGCCTCCCATCCAATACCCCGAGGGTGAGTTGTCGGAGCAGCACTTGTGATATCTGAAGATTAACACGGTCTAGATAAATTCATCGTTCAGATTGCCCGGTTCGACCCGTCAAAGGGCATCATGGATGTGATAGTCTCATACGAAAAGTTCTACAACAAACTAATGGCCAAATCGCCTAAGACACCCCCTCCCAAATTACTAATTTGCGGACATGGATCTGTGGATGACCCGGATGGAGCCCAGGTCTACGATGAGATAATCAATTATATGGATGAGAAGACCGAAGATATCCGCCACCTGATCTGCGTGATGCGGCTGCGCCCAGTTGATCAAGTCCTGAATGCCCTTCTTTCCAAGGCGACTATATCACTGCAACTCTCCACATTCGAAGGCTTCGAGATCAAAGTCTCCGAGGCAATCCACAAAGGCAAACCAGTCATTGCCACGCGAGCTGGTGGCATCCCGCTGCAGGTTGAGAATGGGAAGAATGGCTTCCTGGTTGATGTTGGCGATACCGATGCTGTGGCGCAGCATTTGTTCGAGCTTTGGACGGATGAGAAGTTGTACCACAACATGTCAAACTACGCCATCAGCCATACCAGTGATGAGGTGAGCACTGTGGGCAATGCTATCGACTGGCTCTACCTAGCTGCCAAGTTGTCGCGTGGCGAGACTGTCCGGCCCAATGGACAATGGATCGATGATATGGCGTTTGAGGATGCCGGAATTACCCCCAACAGTGAGGATCTGCGGCTGACACGCGCAGTGAAGGTAGAGCATATGGGCTAGTGGTGTTCGACTTTGCTACATTTTGTCGTTCATCTTTCCTAGGTGCCAAGGTTTGTCCAATGGCCAAAGTCAGTCATGATTGGCAATTCTTCTTCTGTACGAATGACAATAGACAATCATCTACCACCGGAGATACCAAATTCAGGAGTAGATCAATATCCACACACGAAGCAGCAATAAAAGGTACATGTAGCAGGGGTATCATAAAAAGCACCTTAAACCAAAAGAAAAGCAACCGCCCACTAAACCCTCAGGGCCGTCCAACAACCCGATACATCTCCCTCATCATACCCCCCTCAGCACCCTCAACACCATACCCCTCCCCAACCTCACCAACAATCCTCGCCGGTCTCCCCCCAACAACACACCAACTCGGCACAACCATTCCAGCCGGCACAACTGCATCATCAAGCACCCAAGCATAATCCTTAATGATAACCAAACTGCCTATAACAGCCCCCTTCCCAATATGCACATGACTCCCCACAGACCCAGCCTCAACAATAGCCCCCTCGCCAACAAAACAATGTTCCCCGATCCGCAGCTGAGTAAACACATGCATGCCGCCCATCACCTTGCTCGGCGGCCGCAGGATCGCGCTCTTGGAGATATACGTGTATCGGCCAACATTCACTGCGACGCTGGGCGTGTTGGGGTTTTGTGCCTGTGTTGGTGTGCTTGGGTTGTTCGCGTCATTGGATGTGGTGGCGGGCCGAGATAGGGATAGGTCGCCGCGGATGACGGCTTCGGCTTGGATTACGGTTTTGCCGCCGAGAACTATGTGCTGTGTGCCGTGGATTTGTGATCGACGGGAGATTTTGTTTCCGGTGTCCTGTTCAGGTTGTTAGTTTGATCTTGTGTTTGTGTTGGATAGAGAGGGAGGTGGATGTGGGTAGATTGGGAGATGAGGGTTTTGGTTTGCTTACGGTCTCAATGTATTCGCCCTTGGCTGCCTTTGATGGAGGCATTTCTGGGAAGAGACGACGAGATTTGTCGTGGAATGCTGCAAGTTTGGAATTGTAAAAAGCAGCTTCACCCCGGGGATTGTACTCCGTAAACACGGCAGTATAGCCCTAAGGCGGTGGGAGGAAACGAACTAGTATGACGATTTTGATGTCCGTGATACTTCCTCTACTCCGTAGTTATTGTCAATTGACTACTGGTTCTGATGCAAGGAAGGCGTTGTTTTATAACAAATGGACAATCGACGAAATATACACTACACAGATACAAAGCTTCAACAATTTCTGGATATCCTGGGGACCGGACGAGTCCCCGAAAACAAAACAGTCAACAACAGGCGTAAAATCATGGCCAATCCCCCAATAATTACCTCCGCATAACATGGCACATCCGCAGTTTCCATACCAACAGATCCCAAATCCCCAGTTACGCCTTCGAAACACTGATACTTAAGAAGAGGGAACCTTCTTCTTCGCAAAAGGGCCGTCCCAGTGTAGCTTGAGCGACATAGGGAAAGGCGAGTAAGCAGTTCCGTCACCACGGAGGTAGACGTGGTAGCCGCCCTCCTGGGGAATCTTTTTGAGCTGGCCTTGGGCACCAGCAGCACGACGAAGACCCGGCAGACGACCGACAACACGCAGCATAGCAACGAGAGCGACCTTGCTAATCTGCTCGCCAAAGCCGGTGGCAGGGCCCTGACCTTGGTTGAGATAGGACTCGAGGGGTCGGTCGAGACGGACCTCATTGGGCTCGGGGAAGACGCTGGAGTCATGGTTGGCCTCGTGGAAGGCGGCGAAAACCTGCTGACCGGGCTGGATGACGTGGGTCTTGCCGTTCTCCTCGACCGTGACGACCTGGGTGGCCTCGCGGAAGGCACCGAAGGTGCCGTTCAGGCGGATGGCCTCCAGGCAGTAGCGGTTCAGCAACTCGTCTGAATCGGCAGAGTCGATGTGGGCCAGACGGTTGATCTCGGCCAGGTGGGCCTTGTTCTCGGGCGAGGTGTAGAACTCGATGATCTGGGTGAAGACCTGGCCCTGGCTGGGGACCATGTTGACGATGGTGGGGATGATGGCGGACCAGGTGATGTCGGAGGCGCTGGAGCCGGCCTCCTTCATGCGGCGGACGGCTTCGGTGCCGAACTCGCGGAGGGCGCTGTCGTGCGGGCGGAAGCTGTTCATGAGGCCAGAGAAGAGACTACTGTTCGTGTCGGCCTTGACAGTGGACTCGATGACTGAGCCGAGCTGGCTGGAGACGGCGGAAGCGGCGTTGTTGAGGGCGTATGAGCGGGGGGCGTCGACGTCGAAGAAGAGTGCGGCGAAGATGGTGGAGAGGATCATGTACATCTCATGCTCGGTGAACAGGCCTTGTGGGTTCTGTTCGGTCTTCAGAGGGAGACCGAAGATGGTGGAGGCGAAGTGGACGTGGGCCAAGTTGCCAACATCGCGGGTGATGTCAATCTGGTTGACCTTGCCAAGCTGGCCGCCCTTCTCGGCAATCAGACGCTGAGTGATGTCCTCGTAGAACGTCTTGACGAGCTTGGGGAACTCCGGAGTGTTGAGAGCCCTGCCGATAGCTTCACGCTGCTTGATGTCGAACTCGCCCTTGCCGAACAGCTTGGACATGCTGCGGGCCCAGCTGGGACGGAAGTCCGTCTGGTTCGCCAGGACCATCTTAGCATTCTGGTGGGAAACCAGGTTGACACGGGGCTCGATGAATGCAGGCTTGTCATAGGAGTAGTCCTGTTCGCGGCCCAGATCCTTCATGATCTTTTGGTTCTCGCTCGGAATAGTCATGGGGTAGTGGGCGTAGATAGAGTCAGGCTTGTAGTAGTTGGGGAAAGCCCGTGTGGCCAGCTTGTAGAAGACACAGCCCTGGTTGATGTTCAAGTCGTAGCGGCACTCATTGTAACCCCAGTTGGTCAGGTTACGGGGGTTGTAATCAACGGTGTAGTGACGGTCACCACGGACGAGGGCAACGGCATCCGATAGAACAGCGCGTGAGATGGTATAAGTGGGAGCGATACCAACACCAGGAATCATAGGCTCCTTAGCCTCCTCGCTAACGATACCGGGGTACAGCTCGATGAAATCGGGGTGTTCGTAGAGGTGGCGGAGGGTGTCAGCAATCTCGGGGTTGGAGTTGACTTCTTCGAAGGTCTCGTAAGGCTTCAGACCGAAGTGCTTACGGAATTCGTTGAGGGAACCGACGTGCCACCTGCGGGAAGCCTCGATACCGAGGATCTCAATGGAGCGCATGGCCTTGGGCACGTTGCGGGGGCCGAAAGAACTGGCCACATCCTCGGTGGCGTGAGTAAGGATATTGACAAGTTCTCCGTCATCGAAGAAACCGTCCTCGTTACGCTTCAGGCGGGCAAATGTACGCTTGGCGGGATCAGCCTCGAGACTTCCCTCGACCTTCTTCAGGCCCATAAGCAGCTCAGGCATGGTGACCTCCTCGGCAGGCTTGCCCATGAGGTCGTAGTAGATCTGCTCAATCCACTTCTCATCGCCCTGACTGATGGTCGAGTGCCAGCGGTAAGCCAAGTTGAACTCGACGGAGCACTGGTTACCAAGACCAGCGGGAGTGGATCCGGCCTTCTCCATCTGGGCACGGGGATCCAAGCACCAAGTGGAGTTGGTGCGGTTCAAGTTGACAATGGTGCGCAAGTAATCGTACAAAGTAATGTTGATGTACAGACCGCAAGTAATGAGACGACCGGTCTGGAACAGGTCCTCATCACGCTTAGCCCAGGCGGCCTTGGTTTCCTCCTCGGACAGGCCAGGGCGAGGTTTGCTGAAGCGGCCGTTCTCGTTGATCTCGGCCAGCTGAGTAACAATGTGGTTGTGGAAACGGTTCAGCATAACCAGCAAAACACCGCAGGCAGCGGGAAGGGCCTGCAGACGGCCCTCAGAGAAGCAATCGGGCTTCAGCTTTCCATCCTGGTGAGAACGGATGAGATCCTGTTGCTCCTTGACGTCGCCGTACAAAATGGAGAGGTCGAGATAAGCAGAAGTCTTGTTCAGGTGTTGTTGGCGATAGTCGGTCTGGAAGATATCTGGACAGGCACATCGACATTAGCGCCAAAGTCGCCTGCTTGGAGAAGATCTACTTACCATGAATAATCAAAGAGGCCCAGTCGAAGAAGACACTGGAGACCTTGTTGGGGTGGGGAGTAAACTCCTGACGAGCAAATAGGGTATCAAAAATCAGACCGGCGTCGGGCAATCCGCTGGGCTGGATGGTCAGGGGAGCAATAGTGCGACAGTATGGGGTATTAGCAGCTCCCAGCCAGGGGAGAGTAGGGTTGTTATTTGAGCCATCGGCTGAACGGTACTTGTACTCGTCTCCCATGTAACTATTCACGGTGTCAGTGTGCAATCAGAGAACGGTCTCAAATGGGCGGGAGTTCTCACGAGAGAGGGGGGTGAGGAATTGAGTTCCACAACTCATCCAGGAATACATTGGTAAGCTCAGTACGGTTCTTTGAGTGCCCCGGAAGATCAGCGACCATCTGGATCACGCGCTCCATCAAGTAGGTCTTGTCATCAACGAGCTCGCCAGAAGCCTTGCTCGCGACCAGATCCTTAACAGTGCTAATATCCCGGAAACCCAGGGACTTGATATCACTGATGAGACCGGACGACTTGTCATGCTTCAGGAAGGTGCCATCACCAGTCTGGTTGGGCAAAGGCTCCTTCGATGCGTGAATTGCTTGCGCAAACTTCTCAAATGTAGCTACAACCTCGGCACGCTTCACGACATGGTTGTCCTCCTGGTTCGAAGTAGACTTTCGTCCTGGCGAGACCTTGGAGAAACGCTTGCTGCTCTTGTCTGCGCTCTTGTCCACGCTCTTGTCCACGCTCTTGGGCTCTGTGTCCCCATTGGTGTCCTTGGAGTCTTTGGAGTCCTTGGACCGCTTGAACTGGGTAGAGAATCGCCTCAACATTGTGAATGATTATGACACGAACAAGTCCAGAAAAAGGATCAAACTAAGTAAAACAAAATCAGGTGGCTACCAAGGGCCAGATCAAGGAGAGAATAAACGAGAAGCTTGCGACACGCTGCTCTTTAAACCGAGCTGTGCAAGCAACGCAAGTCAGCTGCAGGACTGTGGAGCATCCAAAAAGTGGTGGATTCGTTATCACCAATAGTTGATCGACTGCATGACCGGACAACTGTGATTTGATGGAGAGCACCAAGTAGCTCGATCGTTTCGGAAACATACTCTCTTGAGCAGACATCACAGCCCCGCATGGTACAAGCTCAGTTCCCAAGCCCAGTGGAGTCTACAGTGGACCCTCGATGCCAAATCGTCTCAATATGGTAACTGATCATCTCCTATGACAGCCAATGGACAAACTTTGCATGGTTCCTGAGAAAGGGGGTGGGACAGACGGTCTGTGTACAGCCCTAGTCCTGTCCTTCGATACAATGTATGATGATCTTGCCATGGCATGATGGCATGCATGGCATACTCGGACCATTGAAGGCGAAACGAGAGCAAATGTCACAAGCTTCCCAGGAATAGAAGCTCCATGATAGGCCTGAGAAATAATCAGCGGTGTACAATTACTGTACGGGGTACAACCGTACAGGATACATACATGTAGGCGTGAGGAAAATAATCAAAACAAACAGAATATTGCAAGGAAGTGATAGATCCACACTGGGGATCTCAAGATCGAGCTAAATCGGCACCATGTGGGGAGGAATATTTTCCCGAGCATTTTACTGTGGTTCTTCCGGCTGAAGACCTAAAAGAGATGATTTTTTTCCTACTTCGTATTACCATCCTTGGTGGCTGGCTGGAAACAAAGAACCGGTTCGAGATCTGCTGTCCTCCCCCAAATCATTTGCCCAGTATGTATTCATCCAAATGAGGGGCTTGTTGTGTGGAAGATGGTGTCATAGAACTTGGGTCCTTCATTGACGCAAGGAAGGTCCAAATGTGATATGGAGGCAAAAGCATGTTATTGTAAGGAAAAAGATGCCTTTGTACAGTACTTTCTGTTTTTCTTTTCCCTCTTTTTGTTTTTTTAATTTCTATTTTTCTTTCTTTTACGATCGTCGCAGCCCACTCTTTGCCCACAGACTATGGATTCTAAGTGGAGGACGGGCCGACCAACTGCACGAACCACAATGTGTCTTTTGTCATCGGCAGCTGTGTCTGCCAGTCATCGTCGTGGATTGCATCTGGAATCTGAATTACAGCTCACGTCGAAGCACCCACCTTCAGGGTCTTATTTTTGTGTAACCATTCCACTTGCCTCGTGGCGCTTCCCTCGGTAAGACAGGGGTTGTCAAGAAATTGCCTGACGTCGGAACACGACGATCGAGATACGAAGGATTCTTTCTCGAATCACAGATCTCGGGATTTCATCATTGGTATGTACTCCGTACAACATACAACAGCATACTCCGTACCTCACACGGATATAGTAGTTCTGATATAACAATGACGAACCACGGGTCAGCCATTCGCCTCTCCGTCTGGACACGGCCCCTCCCGAAGCATAATTCGGGTATGCATAATCCTTCCCAAGGTTCGCTGAATCTTTTCCAACCAGCTTGGCAATGCCAATTGACAGCCCCCGAGCTAAAAGCCCTTCTTCGGCCGTATCATCGAGCTCTGGAAATCCGGCAATTAACCTCTCTCTCCTCGAAACTTACAGGCTGGCAGTGCGGCCCACCCATCCCGATACTTCGGGTCAAAAGAGTCCCACGCGGCACGATCTCTGATTGTCGTACGGAGTTACTCCGTAGATATTCTACCTACGATGTATGTCTGGATATTACTCCGTATTGCCATGACACACCATATAATGGCACATGTGACGGAGCATGTGATATCCATCCCCATCACAGTGGCACAGGCCCCGGGAATGCCAACCTCTTCTCGACTGGAGTTTTGAAGAAACTGACGGCGGCGCAAACAGATCCACAGGTGGGTCTCTGCCCGTCTGGGCGCTTTGAAAGGACGAGCAGTTTGATTCGTCGACGCGCTATGGATCGATGCATGGTAACACTAACAGAGCTCCGTGCCAATGGTGATCACTAGCGTCAGACTTAGGCTCGATCGCTCCCCAAGACCAAACCACCGCGGCGGAACGGTACACGAACACCAGTTTCTCTGTATCACCCCTTACGACACCTCCAAATTAATTGGCGGTCAGAAGCTCCCAGAGGCGGCTCCGTAGGAAAGGATCGACGGTCATGTCCCGAACACCAGCGAGATCGCCTCATTTGAGATCCTTCATAGGTTAAACTCGATCATGGCCAGATCCTGTTGTTGTAGCCAGTCGCGTAGGAACGGATATTTGCCAAAATCTGCACATCTCTGTTTTCGTTCCTTTCTCGGCCGTAACACAGAATTCCAAATCCACCCTCATGCGCGCTGGTCCGGGCCGCGCATGCCTCGTGCATAATCGTTCTCGAGTCAGGTTCAGCCCTGTTTTCAACGGAGTTGCACTTCCAGCAATGATACCCGGCCCTGTCTATTGGATGGGGTATGCCCCCAGGCCCCAACTACGCAGTAAAACCTTGAGTTAATCTTTTGTGTAACTTACTCAAAACGCACGCTGAGGGAGAGGGCCCTGTTTATGTACACATAGGGCGCTGGCCACGTACAACGTGGTTGTAAAACGGATCCTACCAGAAAGAATCTTGCAGTGGGGAAAGAGTTCATTGTGTGATTGAAATGTGTCAAGTCCGGGGGCCCGCCCGTCTGTCCGCTCCGGAGGCTTGACGTATTATTTTTCTGAAAGCTGCAGTGATCGACTAGTGGGTTGAACAATCTTATCCTGCCGACCCCCCTTTTTGAATGGGTCTTATGTTGGACACTGATTCGTGTAAGGTCAAATGTAAGCAGCCGCATCGAGGCATCATCACAAGCTTTATTTTGTCCCTTTTGCGTATAACTATAGCCCCCTTGGGGCCTTATCAGACGTGCCTGAAGTTTCAACCAATATCCCTCTCACTGACTCTGTTTATTTTGATGCCATAATGGCTCAAGGGAATGAACATCAAGGCCCATCGGCCATGCCGAAACAATTCGTGCTCTGCTTCGATGGCACGGGAAACAAATTTGCCGGCGATGAGTCGGATAGTAATGTGCTCAAGATCTTTCGTGTGAGTGGAAATTTATAGAGCCAAGCCTCGGAATTGGGGTTGACAACTTGCAGATGCTCGACCGCAGCAAAAGCCACCAGTACCACTACTATCAACCCGGTATTGGCACATATGTGACGTCGAAGTCACTGTCTAGTCATGGCCGAATCCAGCGCATCAAGTCCGCGTATCAAAAGGCCAAGGACTCGGCGGTCGGTTCCTCTTTTGACGAGCATGTCATGGGCGGGTACAAGTTCCTGATGCGGTACTATTCGCCCGGTGATGAGATCTTCTTTATCGGCTTCAGTCGCGGCTCGTACATCGCGCGATTCCTGGCAGAGATGTTGGACTATATCGGTCTGCTCGAAGCCGGAAATGAGGAGCTCGTACGCTTTGCATGGAAGACATTTGCCAAGTGGCAGCAGCGCTCCGGTGACACGGAAGAAGACCGAGAAGAAAAGAAAAGGCTTTTCACATATATGAAAGCTTTCCGTGAGACCTTCAGTCGTCCCATCTCACGTATCCGCTTCATGGGTCTTTTCGACACTGTAAACAGTGTGCCGCGCTTTGAGTCCGCATGGATGCAGCGCACGAAATTCCCTTACACAGCTCGGAGTTCAGCCAAGATAATTCGCCACGCTGTGGGAATTGATGAGCGCCGCGCAAAGTTCCGTCAAGATCTTATCTCTGGGCCGCGTCCAAACGAAATGAAACACCACCGTCACCGCCACCATTTGCCTAAGAATCCTCTGGAGCACCACATGGACCGTCATCGCGATGCCAATCACCATCTGCATATCTTCCATCAGGACCAGATAAAGCAGAAGCCTCAGGAGGAGCAACCAGACAACGTTGATAACGTTGACAACGTCCCGTCCTTCCGTCTCAATGATGGACCGGAGGAAGAACCGCAGGGGGGTGAGACTTCGGCGCCAGATTCCCAGGTTCCTGGATGGGGACCCGGTACCGGAGAGACGTACTACCACAGTGGGCGACCAGCTTCGCGTCCGGGTTCACGTCAAGGCTCACGCTCTGGGAGCGATGCCGGCTCATTTCAGTCCCACAAATACCGCGCGCCCTCTCCACGAAAAAGCCTCGCAGTGCCCGACCTGACAGGTGATGGTGCGCGCTCAGTGAGCTCAGTAAAGAGCAAAGACTCATTCCAGAGCATCCACTCCAACACGCTCTCGGTGCAGGTCCCCGCCATCGTAGACGCCGAGTCAAACGAGGACGAAGAAGAGCAAGATATCCACGAGGTCTGGTTCCCAGGGTGTCATGCAGACATCGGCGGCGGATGGAAGCTCTCTGACGGCGAATCGTGGGCTCTCAGTCACTCCCCACTTGTATGGATGACGCAGGAAGCACAAAAGGCTGGGCTGGAGCTGGATGAGCGCAAAATGAAGCAGTTCCAGTGTCTTGAGGAGTTCAGTGGCGACTACTCGCCCGTCCAGGCGGAGATCGGCGCACATCGGTCGAGTCGATGTGTTGAGCCTCATGCTAATGACCCGGATGCTTACCGCTCCATGCCTGAGGACAAACAGCGCTCTGCTGCGAGTCGCGACTTCTGGCATGCGCTGCACATGTCCAGTACTAAGGGTCTGCTGCACGATTGCTTGATGTTCAACCAGGGTATTCCTGCCATGTCAGTTATCACATGGCGCATCATGGAGTGGCTGCCGTTCCGTCGTATGGATTTGCAACCTGATGGGTCGTGGAAACCAATCAGCTGGCCGCTGCCTCGTGGTGAGGTGCGGGATATTCCAGAGGATGCCGAAATTCACGTATCCGCTATCCGACGTATGCAGGCAGATCCCAAATATCGACCTGGCAATCTGATTGTCGGTGGCGGTGGTCGTGGTATTCGAGTTGCGCCGCCGGAGTACGGTATGGGCGAATGGGTGGCGTTCAAGAATGAAGGCGATGCGGTGCGGGAGACTTACGTCCGCAAGGCTGTCTCTAAGTGCAAGGAGAACAAGGAGAGGACTAAATCTTAGAGGTTCTTCTCTTTTTCTGTCTCTTGATCTCTTCTTTTACATATTGTCTCTCTGTCCCTTGTACTTGTCATGTTCCATACTGTCGAAATAGTTAATACATCTTCAACCACATCGGATGCCTGGCGCGTTGTGTATACCTACGTGTAGCCCCAGATGAAGAAAAAGAAGAGGTATAGAACCCCGGTCAGGATCAAACTAGGTCGCCCGTGTATCTCGATGACAAGTCTACTTCCAAGGTTAGCACTTATCTCACTAGCCAAATAAGCGTGCATGCTCCTAAAAGAGATGTAGCAAAGATTAGAAAGACCGGATGATCGGCCCTGATCGAAGTCAAACTTTGGAAGTGACTCTCGGGATCTGTCTTCAATGACCTAGTCACTAGTGAAGCAAATAAGAAGTGAAAATGTGGAGACAGGAACCATAGCGGCAGTGTGTACTCCGCAGTCCGCACCGTGTCATCCATGGATAACTTGTGGATACAGTCCCAGGATGTCTTAGTCTCGGTATAGGGCCGAAAAGTCTACTTCCAAGGTTCCAAGGTTGTAACCATCTTAACGGGTAAATAGCTCCACGATTGGTTATTGTAGGGCTGACCTAAAAGTGTAAGCACGGCATCGATAAGGACTCATCACCCTCATAGTACTATGTAGGCAGATCAAGTCCTCCGTTGAATACGAGAGAGAAACCAAGGTTCCAATCGTTTTACTATGTTCAGTCGGTCATTCATGGGCAGTGAAGTTCTCGAATGTTTATATGTCAATGACCCATATATCCCAACGGTAACTCCGTGCAGCAAAGTCTAAATAGATCGTGGGTACTATTTGTGGAGCAAATAAGGATGCAAGTGACATGTAAAAGATGCAGCTAAATACCTGAGGATGATCTACGAGGTAAGTCAGGTTGCAAATACAGATAGAATGTACGCAGTAAGGCATTTGGTAGTCCAGTAAGGGAAGACAACAAGTGAATAAGTTGCAACAGAATATGAAGTAGAGATAAGCATGGAAAGAATAGCGATAAGCAAATAAGAAACCAAGACAGGAGGCTCTAAGAGATCATCAGGGTGAAGGTTGGGGGGCGATCTGGGCCCTTTGGCTTTCGGCCTTCAACCTTCTTTTTTTCCTTTCCACATCTGTGGTCTCACCATTTCCTCCCCTCCCACGAACTTCCCATTACTTTTTCTCCCACTTGGCAGGTCCAAGAGTTGTCACTTAACTGTCTATGCCATGATGCGAGACTGAATTTCATTTACCCCTTTTCCCTTTCATTTTCCCTCGACATGGAGTCACGACCAGATGTCGTGGCTGCGCGTAACCCCGGACCCAACTCCGGGGCAGACCCCGAGGAAAAGGAGGACGTCACCACATTTTACCTCGCTGAACCACCGGCACCACCCCGGACCAGATCCCCTTTGGCCCGGTCGCATCTTCGCTCACGATCACTGGCTGGAATCCCGGGCATGCCGTCTATGACGCGCGCCTATTCTTCTCCCGGGCTGGACTCCCAGGGTCGATATATCTTCGTCAATGGCCGCGGATCACCGGTCGACGCAAAACGATACGGTCCCCTGCAGATGCGCTCTGACGATCACATCGAATCTCGCATGGGTTCTCTGAACATCTCAGAAACTATCTCAGAGACCGCCGAGCTCGAAACGGTGCCCAAGTCGCCCTCTCAATCAGGGTCCCCCGTCCTGATGGCGCAGAGTTTTCCCCGCATCGGTCGCCTGCGGCCGACTACACCCCTTTCTTTCCAGCCCCCCGCCAGCCCCTCCTTGCATTCCTCCCCCGTGCTTGGCTCTAGATACAACGAATCCTACCCCGGCCACTCGGGCTCCTCCGTTTCCTCCATGTCGATTCCGTCGACCCCAACCAGCCTACGATCTCGCAGCCCTAGTATCTCCTCCCTGGAAACAATCCCCGATATTCCTGATGCCGAGAATGAAGCACTTGAAGAGGAACGAATCGCCGAGCTGAAAGCTGCCGCTGATGCTGCCGACGCGGCAAGCAATGCCAATCGACGACGCGGGGCCTCCGATGCGCCCAATTCATTTAGCACAATGCGTGGAGGAATGGGATACGCTGCTCGGAGCGATAAGCGCAAACGATGGAGTGTCTGTGGTGCCGAACGACGTCAAGACCTCGACCTAGAGACTATCTGGGAAGACTGAAGGGCATTTTCTCAATCCTATACGTCTCCTCCAGTATTCATCACGTCGCCGTCTCTTACGATCCGACACCCTTCCGCTTCTCACATGATCGACTTCGGTGGAGTTGAACTTCACTGCTCTTTTCTCAGCTTTCCTTTACTCCATGGAGCTCTGCATCATTCTCTGAACTTCCTTGATACCCTTCATTTATCACCGATCCGTACATACCCGCGATCGCTCTTATTCATCATTTTCGAAATGGCTTTTTCCTCGGATTTCCACGGCGGTGACTGCGGTTTGCATATTCCCGCTTCTTATGGCTCACGAAGTTCGACCAGGCGCATGGCTTCTCTTTTCACATATTATGCTGGTCATAACTGAGTCCGTCCTTTTGCTTATCTTGCTGTGCATCTATCTCAGGCACTTGCGTTGCGATGCCTCTCAAAATCGGTTTACCAATCCAATCGGCCTTGAGCCAACAGTGATCCAGATTGCATCTATCGTAGTAGTAAATGTGCTCTCGGCACTTGTAAATTGGTGTTCACGTCAGTAAATAATTTTGGCTGATAAGAGCATGTGGTTCTGAAAGCGGGATCCAATCATCTGAGCCCGCCGCGGGCCCTATGACAACTTAAACGTCAAACTTTTAACATTTATCTTGTCCACTTGCGACTTATCCCTCCTTAGTCTTCGGTGCATGCACGCTATGACTCCGAATCCACACGTCGGCATCATCGGCGCAGGTATTTCAGGTCTCCGCTGCGCCGACATCCTCATCCAAAATGGAGCTCGAGTAACAATTCTCGAAGCAAGAGATCGAATTGGAGGCAGAGTAAGTCTTTTCCGGATGCCCGAACAATCCAGCCAGGTCAATTTTTTGACTTTTTTTGACTTTTTGATATGCATAGGTGCACCAATCAACGGTTGGAGACCATGTGGTGGATCTGTACGTGCCCCTACCTTATTCATGGTCCATAATAGTCATGGCTGTCATGACTGTTTACAAATAAACACCAGCTAACATATCTGATATCATCCAGCGGTCCCAACTGGATCCATGGCTCGGGAGAAAACCCCATCATGACCATAGCGGAAGAAACGGGATCTGCTATGTATGATGCCGAGTGTGGAGGCAATATCGCTTTCTCGCGCGATGGCGACCTCATCAACGAAGAAACAAGCGCTAAAGTCCAAGACTTTGTTTGGACTACTATAGCGGAAGCTTTCCAGTACAGCAATCAGCATGGAGAAACCATTCCTGTGGAGAAAAGTCTGTTCGATTTCTTCTGCGAGCGAATTGAGCACACATCCTTCTCGGACGAAGAGAAACAGCTCTGTCTCGATTCCTGTAGATTGTGGGGTGCATACGTCGGCGACCAAATTGACAAGCAAAGTCTGAAGTTCTTCCGTCTGGAAGAGTGCGTCGACGGAAGTAAGTACATGTGTCCATTTCGAAGTAGAAGTCGAAGTCCTAACATCTCCCATCAGGTAACTTTGTCGTGGCATCCACATACAAAGCTATTCTCAACCACATCTCCAAAACCGCCCTTGAAAAAGCCGACATTCATCTCAACGAGCCCGTGACAAACATCACTGCTCCTCCCCGCAACAAATCCCCATGCACCCAGGTAACCGTAACAACTCGTCACGGAAAAAGCTACGCCTTCGACGAAGTCGTCGTAACCTGTCCACTGGGCTGGCTGAAGCAAAACACCACCGCATTCACACCACCCCTCCCACCCCGCCTCCAGCAAGCAATCGCCAACATCTCCTACGGCAGACTGGAAAAAGTCTACGTGACCTTTCCCCGCGCCTTCTGGCACACCGAACAAGACCAGAAAGACAACACCAGTACCAGCACTGGCATTACTACGCAAACCAAACCCCAAAACAAGCACACAAACCCCGTCTTCGTCCAATTCCTCGAACCATCCTACGCCCCTCACCCAGCAAACATAGAATGGAACCAAGAATGTCTCTCCTTCGCCGCTCTCCCCTCCCCACACGCCCACCCAACCCTCCTCTTCTACACTTACGGCTCAAGCGGCACTGAGATAGTAAATAGCATCTCGCATCTCCACCCTTCATCGCCGGAATACAAGGCTAAATTGGTCGAAACACTGCATCCCTACTACTCACGGCTGCCGGGGTATGATGCCGAGGATGCCGGGTGCGTGCCGACGGCTGTGCTGGCTACACAATGGCAGAAGGACGAGTATGCGGGTCATGGGTCGTATTGTAATTTCCAGGTTGGGGTGAAGGAGGCGGATAAGGATATCGAGGTTATGAGGTGTGGGGATGGGATTGGGAGGGAGAGGGGTTTGTGGTTTGCTGGGGAGCATACGGCGCCGTTTGTTGCGTTGGGGACTACGACGGGGGCGTTTTGGAGTGGTGAGAGGGTTGCGAAGGCGGTTTGTGAGAGGCTTGGGTTGAGGGGGGTTGGGGGGTTGGGGGTTAGGGATGATTCTTTGCCTTCTATTGGGGGGTGGTCTGCGAGGGGGTGAGTTGGAGTGGTGGTCCTGGATAAGGTGTAAATAAGTTGGTTTCAATGCATTGCGATTGGAATTAGAGTCATAGAAAAGTTGAATATAGACTTGTGGGCACTTTGCGTATCGAAAGCACCTTCTGAAAGGGAACAACAATATCAAACCTTGTTCTTGCTTTCCAAATGTAGCAGCCAGCGTCATCTTCTAGCCGTTCGAGTCTACAATGAAGCCAGCAAGTCGAACGTTGTCATTCATACTTAAATAAGGTACAGGTCGTTGGAATCATTCCGATTAGTTATCTTCCTCGGGAGTTTTCGCCCTCACTTTGTTCAAACAAACTCCCAGCAATAGACCGGGAGAAACCAGCCAGATCCACGTCTCACACAATTGACGAGACGACAGAGAAAGTAGACCTGGCGCATGAAATGCAGTAAAAATAGAACAGGCCCGAAGAGAAGATAGATCATGGACAGGTTCACGTGACAGTGGCGAAGACCGCTTGCGCAATAGAAACAGGATAAGGAAAAAAAAGATACATCAGGGCTCCGAACAAAGGAAAATCGAATTCACAAAGGAAATGAAAAATGAGGAAGATTCAAGGCCATAGGCCCTCGAGCATAGGCAGCAGCGCGGAAGGGGAATGTCAATGTATGGGATTGGCCATCCCTTTCCTTCCTTATCGCCAGGCCCCCTGGCTCAACGACAAGAGACCCTGCACACAGTCCAGGTCATCTTCTTGATTCTCCCCTGAGCCACCGGCCATGAAGGCCGAGACCTCTGCACTAAGCTCTGGCGGGGCTTTGCCCTGTGAGCCGGCGTGGAGAGATCGGTTGCGTTTACCGTTGGTCGAGATGCCAAGACCGCGGTTGCGGTTGGCATCACGGAGGACTGGTCGTGGGGTATGTGAAGTATTGCGACGACGAAGATTTGCCGCCCGTGTACCTGGAACCCAGTTCTCCTTATCGGAGTCGCCGGGATCCTGCTCCAGGCCTGGCTTGTCAGACTTGGAAAACACAGGCTTCGACAGCTTTGATGGGTTCATGTTCGCCTTGTTCCGGCCCGTCTCCAGACGTCCAAGAGAAGAGACAGTCCGGGCTAGTTTCCGTCGCTTCTCTCCCATTGACTGGGAGATGGGTGTGTTGGTCAGGTCCGCATGGACGGCGAGGCTGTGCCGCCCGGAGGCACTACGGGGTAATGAACGCTGACTGCGAGATTGGAAAAGACCCGGGGAACCATTCGGCCCACTGGTTGGTGTTGACAGGGCGCTTCGTGCGTCCGTGTCGCAGAATGATTCCCAGTTACGTGGATCGCGAGACCGTCCGAAGGCTCGATCTTTATCGGCCATGCCCGCACGCGGCGTCGCTGGGAAGATGGCGCTGCTGCTCCGGCGCAGGCTTGACATTCTAGTCCGGCGAACTGAGAACATCGCCACGCGGTTTTTCGACGGCGACGGTTCGTTCTCGCCGCGAATGACTGCCTTTCCATCCGACGACATCGCGATGCGGAGTGCATTGCGACCTTTGGGTGGAGACGGGGTGAGTTCACCTTCTTTGCGAACCAAGGCTTCTCCGTCAAATGACATGGACAATCGCAGCGATGGCGGTGACTTGGTCGGTGTGGTATGTATGATTGCTGACTGTTGCTCATCTTCTCGCTCGCCCCGGATATCCGATACCGAACGCTTCCTCTTCGGTATCTGCAGAGATGGGTCTTCTGAGTGACCGATCACATTTTGGGAAAACTCTTCCTGGGTGGTGGGCGGAGTTTCGTTAGCGACATCTGTCGCCACGCTTGTTTGGGTACTCGAGGGTAGCTCAGGTTCATCTTTCTCTCCAGTTACTGGGTCGGAATCATCTGTAAACTGCAAGAGTCCCCCGTGCCATGACTTCGATGCCATTTCTTGGTGGTCGTGCATGTCAAACTGCTCTGCCCCACTTGAAGACCCCGGCTCCGCCAACGCGTTATCATCACTCGAAGGCTGACCGGATGAATCGACCATGCCCGACCGCGGGCCGAGTAATTCGTGAGGCTGGAGAGGTTTGGATTTTCGACGATCGTTCTGGCGACGGTTCTGGAACCAAATCTGTGCGGAGCCAGTTAGAAATGGTTTTCGTGTCTGAGTTCTTGGCATCACATACTTGAACCTCTTTCTCGCCGAGTGAGACGCGGTTCACGATACTCGTGCGGGCTGCCTTGTCGGGTTTGGGGTTTCGTCGATACTCGGATTCGAGAACTGCGTGATCCTCCGGACTGCAAAAAAAAATAGGTCATGAGTCAATTGACGCGTTCATGGTCGGATGCAACTAAACCATAACGTACCTAGTTCGACGTCGCTTTTGACGTGCTAGTAGTTTGTTGTCGACACGAGGAGGGAGGTTCTGAGTGAGGGTCTTTTGGGAATGGACGAGGAAAGCGTAATTGAGAGGATTGGAGTCGGTGGCCGGGAGAGAGGGCGAGGATGAGATCGCCACCGAAGGCTCCGGGTCAGACATGATAGGGTTATGAGTGCATGGAGGGGTTGGAGGAAAAGTAAAGAGGAAATAAGACACAAACACAAAAGCACCAAAATCACCAGACCAGAAAGAATTGAGAAAGATGGGAAAAGCCGTGAGGCTGGTGCAGAAGTATGCAGAAAACGGTCAGTGTATCGAAATCGCGTCGCGGTGTGGACGCGGAGTAGAAAGAACGTGGCCCGCGCTAGTCACAAAGTGCACCTTCAAAGTATCTGGTACTTGTCCACACGGGTCTCTTTTCTTTTCTTTTGGATCTGATGATTCTTATTTGACCCGAATTACCATTTACTATCTCCTCGCGTCCTTGGAAATCCTGAATTTACAATGGTTGGAGTTTTGACGCGTTGATCACAATGCGCTTGAAGGCCCACTTTGTATGAGGTTGCAGTAGTCTAGACAAGTTTCTCGTATGAAGCGTGAAGCGTGTTCTCGCGTCTCATACAGCCAGGTTTGGAATCTCCCGACGTTTTCTGGGTTAATCACCGAGAGTGATTTTCATGCAAACTCCTTTGTCCACCTTCTTTGCTTTCAGCACCTGATCTGCCCGTGGCCACCAAACGCGTGGTGACGCGCTCTCACGTGACCCCACGAGGAAGACCTGCACGTGGTGGAATGTGATCTTTCGGATTTTTTTTATTGTCAGGAATGTTGAATTCAAGATCAAGAATGGTCGCTTAAATCCCCTTCTTTTGGTCATGTTAGCGATGAGAAGACAGGTTTTCCTTTCGGACTCGCCGTCTACAGTAGTGCACTGTGGGTCACTACTCGCTGGTGAATCAGAGCCTGGTCCAAAGAAACGATCAAACGAAGAGCTTCAGATGGATTAACCAATGACATGCATGATGCAATTAAAGACCAGAACCAACATATTTGAGCAACCTTGCGCCTCTTTTGATTTAGATCCGAGCCCGTTTGTTTCGATGGGAGATCACAACAATGGTGCTGAGGCCCAATCGGGGCCCGGGGGACTTAAACTCCAAGTCCATCCATGGGTTGGCCGGCACAGTCCCTTGGGTCACTTTTTCTTAATTTTCCTTAAATCTGTATGTGCCATTCTTCTCTATGAATTTTGCCTGTGAGTTCACCAGATAGAAGCCTAAGCTTTCCTCTAATGGCTTGTAGTCATTTCCCCCAAACAACCTACGTACTGTGTACATAGTTTCTGAGGGCTCCGACTTCTCGTTATGGTAGGTTGTCTCCATTTCTGAGCCCTTCCAAACAGCTAGGTCGTGGCTTGTTCGACACCCTAGTAGATCTGTTATTATCCGTGAGACCAATATCATCATAGCTGGGTGAGCGCCCAATATATCCACCCAGAATCGGAAGGCTTACACCGAAGCTTCGTTTCGGTCCGATTTTAGGTATTCCATGCTTGACTGACTTTCACATACCTGGGCATCGGGCCATGTTACTGTAGCTAGCCGAGAGGCACAAGTAGCATCTATCAATTCTTCGATATGGACCCTTTGCTCCCGCTGTCCTGGCTATTCAGCCACAAACACCTTCCATCTCTGGTCTAGATCGAAGGAATTCGGTGCTGCGTCATTGGGCCTGAGTTACGTCGGTTCCCGGTTCCCTCCAGGGCTGAATCGGGACACAGCACACCTAGTAATCAAATAGTACTCCCTTCACAGATCGAATAATATGCGGTCCAGACCACAAAGCCCCAAATCACCAGAAAAGATCCAGAAGCTTCGAAGAATGCCATAACCATCAGGTATACTGCAATACCACCCTTGCAACGATAAAGTAGGGGAGTGGAGCAAGTGATGCGCATTGCAGCCTTGGCCGAGTTTAAATCGGTCATCTGATTCTGGCGCATATACGGAGTACACACATTGCCAAGCAAAAGCTTTTCGGCAGCTGAATGTCTCAAATACAAGAACACGACGGAGGGAAATTAACTAGGTTCCGTCCAGTATATCCGTACGATCGTAGGCAATAAGAAGCCATCCTGAAAATCCCATGATCCTCGTGCCACACAAAAGGTCAATCCAGCCGATCAACATTCCTCCACCCAACCCTAGGGCCTTATCCCTTTCATTTCATTTTGCTGATTGGCTCGATGATGCATGGGAGAGATGCTATTGTATGTGATTGAATAAGATCCAGGACCGAGATACCGCTGTATCCACTATAGCTGTCTCTTCCCCGCTTTGACGGGTCGATCATCCCCAGATGTTATCTCTCCTCTCGTTACTACACTTCTCCTTCTTTAGTTTTTCTGACTGATATATGGGACCGTTACCTTTGAGTTCGGTTGGGTTTACTATTTATCTCAGCTCTGTCCACTTGCGCGACTTGTTTTCTGTTTGTCAAGTCCTGCTGATGAAGCCTAACGCGATACTCTCGACCGGCGCGGCAGCCGGCTTGTGACACTCCGAATTCTGATTTTCTCTCGTGCTCGACTTGTGAAAGCGTCTCGCGATCAAATCATCATCAAAGCCTTGGATTTCGGTTTTATTCTTTCAACCTTGGCCTCCATCCTACACACCTTAGCTACGCCAACTTTGGCCCCCGTTCGTGCAACAAAGACATCCTGAACCCGGCGAGATGGGAGAAAATGATAAATTGAAGAAGAATCATATGGCCATCGTCCTCGGTATCGGACTTGGGGTGGTGCTACTCATTGTGCTGAGTTTGATGTGAGATTCCATCTTTCCCTCAGTTCTACTTCCAAGTTTTCCTTCATGTTTCCCCTTTCCCATTCTTCGCATTCTCACCGATACATTCCCTCCGCTCGCGTTACATGAAAAGCATGCCAGTCACTTTCTAACGAGATCTTCCAGTCTTACTATACTCATCAACCGTCGGGACAGGCGGTCATTCCTGAGGTCGAGGAAGAATCCCAGTGAGCGGTTAAGCAAGTTGGATAAGGTCGCGCCAATTTGCACGCTCGAGAAATGGTGGATCACGACGAAAGGGAACCTCGGGCTGTCGGAGGGTGTTGATAATCAATTTGTCTGGTATGTTTGTCTTGATTTTCTGGGAAGACTGGAAATAGCTGACTGTGTCAAGTGCGGTTTGCCTGGAACAAGTAGGCCGAACCCAAGAAATGCGCGAATTGCGGTGCTTGCATGTTTTCCACAGAGAATGTTTAGAGAAGTGGTTCTTGGGCGACCATTTCAATTGTCCGCTATGTCATCGAGCCTATTATGAGGCCGATACACCTCCTCGCAGCGATTATGTGTGGATGGTATGACCAGATACCAGCCATCGATCAGCGGAGAGAGTGGGATATGTATAACGATCTTATGAATGAACTATTAGTCTACTGATACTCACTGCGATATATTGACCAACGCTCAAGGTGCGAAGCCCTCGGCGAGCGGCAAAGAATCGGTATTAAAGTCCCAGATCGTATTATAGTTCGACCAGTTGAGGAAGTTGTCAAGACCAGTCGTAACATCATCCACAACGTGCTGCTGCACAGGCTGAGGGTCAAGTATCTGGTCAAGAATGTGCGATAGCTTTTTCTCGGCTTGTTTGCAGGTATGGTAGTTGCCGTGACCGGGGGCTGCGACCCATGACAGGAACGAGATGAACACGCTCAAGTTGCGCACCAGCTCGGCGCGCGGAAGAGGAACCGCGTGTGGACCCGGCTCGTGCGACTGGCGCAGAAGCTCAAGGAGAAGAACGCTGGCGGAAGGAACGCCGTACGTGAGGACCTGCCTTTGTTAGTGAATGGTTCTTTCTCAAGGGAAACAAGACATACGATCCACGAGAAGTGCCGACCTAGATCGATCATTGGAGCCCGGAAAGTATTCATATGAATGACAATGGCCAACAGCCGACGAGATACGTCACAAAGTTCTGCTTGCCCGGTGTCTGTATGCTTGATGACTGCTCGATGCAGCAAAAAGCAAGTGTAGAGATAATCCAAATAATAATAGGCGATACTAAGGCTCCCGTCGTGGAATTCATCGTTCGCTTGGCGGTCGTATCGAAGACGATCTGGCGCCGATTCCCAAATGGCGCGAGATTTCGCTTGAATTTCTCTATCCGAGGGAGAGCCTGTCAGCACTGAAATCAATGTGTGGACGGGAACTCATACTCAGATTTTTGCACTAAATTGTGTTGTTCCCGGGTGCCCAGTACCACCTCGAGAGTTTCCTCCCGAATGACGGACAGTTGATAGCGCAGGCGGATTGGGCTTACTGGGTGCAAGATCCCTTCCCTATTCCACCCTGCGCTGTCGAGCTCCGAGATAGCCTTGCTAAGGACATCGCCGCCCGCAACTAAAACTTCGTCGCTCAGATCTAATGGAGCATCGAGTGTGCAGAATCGGCCATTCATGAGTGGGGGTCGCCCAACGAAGGTCGCTATCATTTTGTCCATGTAAAAGGCACCGGTAAAGCAACGCCTCCGCCACTGGCGCAGGAAGAACGGGCAATTTTCAGCACCATTGTTCTCCAAGTGCAGACCAGCTGCATAAATGGTGGATACCAGATCACCCAATCGGCGCCATGCCTGGTAACCTGGAAGGTAGTCAGTAGATAGTTATATAGAGGTTGTTTCAAATGAGAAAGGACAGCCGTACTGGAATCGCCATATTGCTGTGTTCGTAGCATTGTATCACTGAATTGCAAGATAGCCAGTAGTTCGTTGGCCGACGATGTCTGATCGCAGAAACCAAGACATACGGCACTAATCACAGTTAATTGTTCCAGTAAGCGATCCTTCGCTCCGGGGTCATTCAATGCCTGAGTAACGTCGGGGTCCCTATCAGGTGTAATGATCAATTGCATCCCACAGAGAGTAAAGATAGACCCGAGGGCCTCCCAGCGAAGGTTGCGACCGGTGAAAGAAGTACAATACTCCTCAATCGACATAGATTTATGCGTCTGCATTGGGCGGGAAGTATTTTGGAAAATTTGGTTCGCCAACTCTTCTAGCTGTGCTGTTGGGTCATCGGAGAACCCGGTGAAGATGTGGCGAACCGATCGTAGAATCTCGTCCATAACCATTTTAGGCACGACAATGTTCCATGTCCGAACATAGAACCGTGCAATTAGCATGTCGCGCACGGTAAGATTGTATAAAAATCGCAGGACATCAACCCCAGATTGGAGTCGATCGGGCTCCACTACCAACCCCGCAGAGGAATCTGTGCTCTCTTGAGTTTCTTCCGGCTCAAACGGGATCTCATTGCGATGCTCCGTCAGAATCGCAGAGTAACTTGTTGAGCCAAGATAGCCAGGAAGAGCCGAAGGTGGCTCTAGTGGAACGAAGAGACGCCCGTTCCCCATTGAGCCTGCGCCTGGGCTGGACGCACTATCTCTAAATATTAGTACAACATCGCTACCGGCTGCAAAGAAATGCTTACTTTGAGGTTGGCTGATTGGATAATCGAGTAGGGACAAGTGTAGAGCCAGCTGGATCGGAGGGTCTCCGTCTAGTCATCGGAGCTGGATGATAAAAGCATTTGTCGCTGATACGTTTCGCAGCGCATCGGCGACATATTGGCCGGTCATGGTCACATCGCTGTTTGGATCTCCGGCAGGGCTCGCAGGATTGTAAAGTGCCGTTTTTACGCGTTGCTGGCGATTGAGAACGCCGATCACCGTTTCTCATGGCTCAAGGAGGACTGCATGAGGGTATGGGTTTACGGATAAAGAAAGGAGAAAATAAGAAATGTGCCCGTGATGTTCTCTTCTTCCAGATTAGGCTTAGCGTGTGTTATCTATGAGGCCTCTATCCTACGCAATATCCTTCCTCATGAAAACCGCCTTTATATCCCAGACGACCTCCCCATTCTTATCCAAGATCGGGTAATAGTTCGGCACAGTTTTGATCAGTCGATAATCCCGACGGGCATACCATTCTTGGTTCGTCATCTGCAAGGTGATAAGTTACTTGACTCGAGAGTCGAGACTGTACCGAGTAAGCTTACCTTCGGAACACCACCACCTGTTGCCCTCGCAAATTCCTCGTTCATCTGGTCATCCTTATGGACTGTATCTAACATCAAGGTCTTGGCTAGCAGTGGCTCTCGAGCAGCCATAGCCTCGACCTCATCCATTGCAGCTCGTCCAATTCCTTTGCCTTGGATGGTGTGCCTGACGTAGAATGTCTTGATCCAGAAGACATTGTCTGATGGCAGGTCCAGATCAATATGCTCTGCATCCGGATTTTTAGAGTCCAAGGAAATGTGCCCAATTGGGATGAAGGCCTTTCCCGTCGGTTGGCGTGGCACAGCATTAATTGATGTGGCTGTATCTTGAAGAATTGCATGCTCCTAGAAATCAATCTTTAGTGAATATTTATCTTGACTCATAGTACGGACTTCCTTACCAGTGGTTGCTTGCCGATATCAGAGGTCAGGTGTGACTCATCCGATGGTATTCGGACCTAGGGTTCACGCTGTAAGCATGCTTGTTGTCATTGAGACTGAGCATAAACGCAGCATAGGATAAAGCTCACAATCCAATAAATACACTTGTCACCTCTGACCTGCCGGTCTCTCCATTCTGTTTCAACTTTTTCCTGGTGCCAGGAGCACTCGACTCGTTGTTCCACCAGTGTTTTCCGATGAATATCAGACTCTGGATCCCAGGGGAACAATGCCACTTTGGAATTCACGCTCATTGTGCAAGGGACACACGAGTAACTTAGGAACTTAGAATGTAGAATGACAATAGGGCACCTCTTCAATTGGGCATACGAGGCTGAAGCGAAGTACTTGGAAACATAGCGTGAGATCGAGGTCCCGGGCAGGTAGGGCTCACAGTCGGGAGCGGTGGATATATTTTCCTGCTCTATAGGTAAGCTTATCGGGAGTGAGTCATGACATGTGCCTACTAACTGGTTGAGCCAAGATAGCCAGGAAGAGCCGAAGGTGGCTCCAATGGAACGAAGAGACGCCCGTTCCCCATTGAGCCTGCGCCTGGGCTGGACACACTATTTCTAGATATGAGTACATGGAACATCGCTAGTTCGCTACCGGCTGCAAAGAAATGCTTACTTTGGGGTTGGCTGATTTGTCAATCGAGTAGGGACAAGTGTAGAGCCCTGAGCCCACTGGATCGGAGGGTCTCCCACCGTCTCCGTCTAGTCATCGGAGCTGGATGATAAAAGCATTCCAGTCGCTGATACGTTTCGCTGCGCATCGGCGACATATCGGCCGATCATGGTCATTGGTCACATCGCTGTTTGGATCTCCCACAGGGCTCGCAAGACTGTAAAGAGCCGTTTTAACGCGTTGCTGGCGATTGAGAACGCCGATCACCGTTTCTCATGGCTCAGGAACGACCGCATGAGGGTATAGGATTAGGGATAAAGAAAGGAGAAAATAACAAAATGTGCCCGTGATGTTCTCCTCTTCCAGGTTAGGTTTGGCGCGTGTTATGTCTATGCCTATGCAATATCTTTCCTCATGAAAACCGTCCTTATATGCCAAACCTCCCCCTTCGAATCCAAGACATCGTAATAACCCGGTACAGTTTTGATCAGTCGATAACCCCGACGGGCATACCATTCTTGGTTCGTCATCTGCAAGGTTATAAGTTACTTAACTCGAGACTGTACCGACTACCGAGTAAGCTTACCTTCGGAGCACCACCTGTTGCCCTCGCAAATTCCTCGTTCTTCTGATCATCCTGATGGACTGTATCTAGCATCAAGGTCTTGGCTAGCAATGGCTCTCGAACAGCCATAGCCTCAACCTCATCCATTGCAGCTCGTCCAATACCTTTACCTTGGATGGTACGACTGACGTAGAATGTCTTGATCCAGAAGACATTGTCTGATGGCAGGTCCAGATCAATATGCTCTGCATCCGGATTTTTAGAGTCCAAGGAAATGTGCCCAATTGGGATGAAGGCCTTTCCCGTCGGTTGGCGTGGCACAGCATTAAGTGATGTGGCTGTATCTTGAAGAATTGCATGCTCCTAGAAATCAATACTTAGTGAATATCTATCTTGACTCATATTACGGACTTCCTTACCAGTTGTTGATTGCCAATGTCAGAGCTCAGGTTTGACTCATCCGATGGTATTTGGACCTATGGTTCACGAACTGTAAGCATGCTGGTTGTCATTGAGACTGAGCATAAACGCAGAGGATAAAGCTCACAATCCAATAAATACACTTGTCACCTCTGACCTGCTGGTCTCTCCATTCTTTTTCAACTTTTTCCCGGTGCCAAGAGCACTCGACTCGTTGTTCCACCAGTCTTTTCCGATGAATATCAGACTCTGGATCCCAGGGGAACAATACCACTTTGGTGTTCACGCTCATTGTGCAATGGAGACACGAGTAACTTAGTAATGTAGAATGACAATAAGCCCCTTCAATTAGGCATATGAGGCTGAAGAATATTTACGAAGTACTAGGTTGGAAACATAGCGTGAGATCGAGGTCCCTAGGGCTCACGGTCGGGAGCGGTGGATATATTTTCCAGCAATAAGCTTATCTGGACGGCAGTCATGACATGTGTCCACATCCATACCTAGGTGCAAATGGGTTGCCCGAGCCCGACAATCAATGATCATGCGTCATGCCCGACAGGCTTCCAGCCCTTGCCCAGGAGATAACTGATAACTCGAAGTATCGTTAAAATAGACTTCGGGAGAGGCCATGGTTGTCAAATTGATGTCGTAACCTAGTGGAGGTCAAGTTTATATTGAGAGAGCCAAAGCGCGCATAATTCCATGCCTCTCATTAGCACGCATCTTCTGTCTCCTTGACGCACTCTGAAGTCTCCCAACCTAGGTTCTCTATAACGTCTTGTGACTTTCATATTCGTATCGCAGGCAGAAGTACAAAGTAGTAAAAGCAACAAACCAAAAGGATCAACGTCCTGAAACCATGTTGTCGTGATGGCCCCAAGAACTTGCCGCAGACACAGAATGGCGGGGATTTCCCCCATTATTAATTAAGCAGAAAGCCATTCTGTCCAAGCTAGTCCAAGAAGCAGAGTATCCCTTTATTCTGCCTTGGGCTCGTTCTTCCCGGCCTCAACCGGTGACGACGGCTCAGTCTCTTCTGAGCTTATCGCCGATGGAGCATTCTCGCCCGTGACGAGCTGGCGGTCAACACGAGCTTTTTCTTCGTCCGTGGCGCCAGTAAGTTGAATGGCAACCTCCTCGCCGAAGTTCTGGGCAATTTCCTCCAAGGTGAGACCGGCAGTCTCGGGGAAGAAAAAGTAGATAACTGCAGCTGTGTTAGTTGAAAGAGTCTTGATGTGCGATATAGACGTGACTGGAGATGAAGCTTACCTGGAATGAAGAATGCAGACCAGCAAATAATGACAAGATAGTACTTCCAGCCAACGTTGCCGAAACCCATGGGAGCGGTTTGTAGGAGGATCAAGGTGGCTTGTCATGTCAGTCAGAATTCACAGAGAAATACAACGCCTGAACTCACCAGCAAATTGGCCGAAGAGGGAGAAGCCCATTCCAATCGGACGGATCTCGGTCGGGAAGATCTCCGAGACATAAAGATACATCGTGGTGTCACAGAAGGTACTGCAGGATTATTAGTTCATTGGTCTGGTTAACATGATAGCCAGGAACTTAGAACTCACCCTTGACAGGCCAGATACAAGTACATGAAGAATATGCCGAATCCATTCCCGACCTTGTTAGTCGTTCCAGCGTACTCGGCAGTCATGGCCGCCAGACAGGACGTAGACACAACGATTCCCACAAAGCCGGTCATATACATGCCACGCCGAGAGTTGACTTTATCATGAAGCCAGGCGCCCAGTGGGTTGTAAATCAGACCTAGTATAGGTTAGCAGCCGAGGCAGATAATACAATGCTCGGCGTTTGTACTTACCAGCTGTTGTCAACCAGACGGCACTCAAGAGCAGAGGCATACCACCCTCCATGCCCAGGTTGGTGTACAGAAGCACCGCATAGTTGTTCTAGACTCTGTCAGAATGGATTCCATTTATTATTGACACTTTGAACTTACGATGATCAAAGGTCCGCCAAATTCAGCACCCCACTGGGTAAGGAAACCGATAGCCATTCGCTTTCGGTATGACTTCTTCATGAAGATAGCCTTCCATACACTGCCATGAGTAGCCAATCTCTCTGCCTCAAGTGCAATTTGCTCCTTGGTCTGGAAGAACTCCTCCTTGGCGACCAAGTTGTCAGGGTCATCGGGGGATTCACGAAGTCGTTCAAGAACATGCTGCGCCTCATCCAACTTGCCCTTCGAGATTAGCCAACGAGGTGAGCGCGGGAGCCAAGGTGAACCCAGAAGCAGCGCCAACGCGGGGAGACACTGCAGAGCCAGCGGGAACCTCCAACCGAAATCGGACAGGGACCCTGTGGCATAGTAGCAGGCATATCCAACCCATGCGGACAGCATGTATCCAAAGACCAGGAAAATGGCGTGGTGACCGACCAGCCAGCCGCGACGCAAGGCACTTGCCATTTCGGACAGGTACATAGGGCAGACGGTTACGAGGATACCAATGCCAAGTCCGCAAATAAAGCGGCCTGCTTGGAACATGCTGAGAGAGGTTAGCGCCAGCCCAACAACGTCCCAGAGGAATAACATACGCCAGCGAGTTAGAGCCAGCCTGGAGGGCTCCTCCAAATAGTGAAAAGAAAGCACCGAACTGGATATTCGCCTTTCGTCCAAAGAAATCGCATGACCACATTATAAAGAGTGTTCCGACAGCACCACCGGCACTGAAGACGCCGTTGGCCGTCGAGATTGCAGGGGTGGTGATACTGGCGTAACCCGGTTCACCCTCGGCCGGGAGGTTGAAGTATGCGTACCATCCTGGCTGGCCAATTGTACTGGAAATGATTGAAGAGCAGTATCCATATGTCTATATTTGGGTAATGTTGGTAAGTAGCTGTGGTGTCGATTTGGGTGTGCTTGAGAGCTCACCATAGACCCGATAGCAACAAAAACAATCACCAGCCTGTTATAGGTACTGGTCTGAGACCCGAACGTCCCCATACTGTTGTAGATTAGCTGTAGTTCTTTACAGCCTGTATTAACAAACTAAGGATATATGAAAAAGCAACGCCGGCATCAAGAGCGAACGCGTGGGTAATGTGAGAGAGGATTTGAACCCTTCAAATTCTTTGCAGCCGATCCGAGCAGGGGGGTGCTGCCCATTTGACATGCAGTGGAGTTGGTCCACTGAGCTGCATTGAGTTCATCAGGAGAGTCCGAATGGCTCGCCGATCCCTAAGGCTAGAGCAGTGATGGTGTTAGAGCTAGTACACCATAGGTCAAACTAGACTGACACGTTATTGTGTGTTATGAATCATGATCTTTCAAGATCCACCAAACTTACTGAATAGACCGTAAGGGATGATGATCTGCAGAGGGGATGAATCTACAGACATTAATCATCTGAAGTCTGCGGAACAAGTCCGAGCTAGGTCCGAGGCTATGGACGTCGGAAAAAGGGTTCTTCGGTTTATGCAAGCTCATGTACTCATCATGATCATCATGCATGCATAAAGGCTTTGGATCAAAAATCCCGCACCATAATTAACTACCCCTCTACGGAGTATACGAAATAGTTATCACATCCCTGTTACTCACAACTCCAGCAGTGACGACAATTATACTACGACATGGCTCAATCGCCCTTCGATACACCATTCGACCAACTTCCCAACCCTAGACAGGTCTGGCTGGGAAAGCCCGGTAGCTATGAAGAGGGATTGGGAAAATTAGCTATTCTTACCCCTGAGGTTGTCGCCGCAGCGGCCGCTAGCGAGATCAAATGTGGTCGACGAGTGACGATGGGATGGGAAATGACAAAATTGGATTATCCCAACCTCAACCGCCAGCCATGTCACCATCAGATTGTGCCTCTTCTGCGTGGCGTGGCGTTCGATGATATCTATACTATGAACCCACGTGAGTTGAGAAAGACCTGGTGGTTACTCTTCCCTCGGCGTTCGGGATCTCATTGACGATTCAACAGAGCAAAGTAGCCAGTGGGATGGCCTTCGTCATTTCTCCCAGACAGTGCCTGGTCAAACCGAACGGGTGTTCTACGGCGGTACAACTAGCGAGGAAATAACCGATCGAAAGAATGATCGGATTGGCCTCCAGCATTGGGCCCGAGAGGGCATTGCAGGTAATCATACCCTTTGGAGGCGTGTCGCTGGATCTTTTCTGACGCAGCTTGAACAGGACGTGGAGTCTTAATTGACTACGCATCATGGGCCGAGAAAAAGGGAATCAACTATACCACTTTTTCCACCCACCAAGTGAAGCTGACCGACATCCTCGAAATCGCAAAGGAGAACAACATCACCTTCAAAAAGGGTGATATTCTTTTCGTCCGCGTCGGTGTCACCAAGGAGTGGGATACGTCTATGACAGACGCCCAAAAACAAGCTTACTCCGATAATCCCAGCCCAGAGCATGCTGGAGTCGAAGCGACCACGGAGGTTCTCCGTTTCTTGTGGGACACCGGTTTCTCTGCCATCGCCGGTGATGCTATCAGTTGGGAGGTAAGCGACAAATTAATGACCCCAATTATCATATCATATGGCACGTGGATATCAGAGAATGTTGACAGACCCGCAGGTTTACCCACCCCAATCTCCTGATATCTTCCTCCACGAATATGTGCTTGCTGGATGGGGAATGCCGATCGGTGAGTTATGAAGACCCTGTATTTGTCGATATTTTTTTGGAGACCCAGCGATTAACGAACCGCAGGGGAACTTTTCGACCTGGAGGCGTTGGCCCGCACTTGTCAGGAACTCCAACGGTGGAGCTTTTTCGTGGCGTCTGTACCTTTGAACATGCCCGGTGGAGTTTCTTCGCCCCCGAATGTGATGGCTATCTTCTGATCAGCATGTTCTACATACGTGTACCACGTATTTTTGCATAATCAACAACGAACATGCAGACCCAACGCGGCGATATTCTCGCGTACGGTTCAGAAATATACCCCAATAGTCATTTCCCGAAGGCTTCTGTCGTCGGCACCATTGAATGGCTATCATTGTAGATTTGGGGTACCTCCTCCCATCAAGTATCTGGATGACATACTAGTCCCCGAAAAAGCTCCACAAGGGTAATCCCGGGGACAATTCGCCTGTCACAAATACAAACGAGCCCGAGACGAGCCTTGGCGGGAGATAGGCGGCAAATCGGAATGGGAATAGATTCCGGTTGGCTATCCACTGCCCTCAATAATACTTGACCAAATGATACGCAAATCACTTACCCAGCAAAGACAAACTATCCAGGTGTGGATTTCGCCTCGTATTTTGACATCGGGGTCTGCATCGGGGATTCGGGGGCGCTGCCACAGAAAGTTTCCTGTTCCCCACCGCAAGCCTAGGCTGAACCCTGTGGCCCACAGCCTATTTATTAGATCCCACTTAAACTGACTCGCGACGAATCTGTACCGGCGAAATAAGGCTGCTGGCGCAGCTAACCTTATGCTCTGACCAACCATGGTTGGGGGCGCCGTTGGGCTCCACTATTGACTCCACTTCCCGCGTGTCCAAGTCGGCCCCTAGTTAACTCAGTTCTAAGTGATCGTCCCGTGAATGACCAGTGAATTCTGCAGGGTAAGTTGATGTCACCACATTTTGTCCAATCAATATGTCAGACTTGAATGCAGGTGTACGGATACATCTGCCCACATTCAATGCAATAACGGGCCAATTGATATGATATCCTGAGCCTGTTTTGTTTTGTTTTCTTTTTCTCACTGGGAAAATAACTTACCCACATTGGTCCTTTTGTACGAATTGTACGGAGTACGGAGTACATTGTACTGTGTACGTAAAAACAATGGCTTTGTATACAATAGTTAAATACAGTAGCTCAAGATAGCGTGGAAGCGTGGTCCTGAAGCGTGAGTATCTAGCACAATACACTTTCTATAGAGCTCAGTCAGTGCGTACCTAAACCTTGCGTTGCTTGAGATACAGATGGATGTATGTTGTATGCAAAGATCTCGAACTAACGCTGGACCCCTGAGATAGATCAGAATAGTCACCCCATGTATATCTAGATCTCATTCAACGCAGCCCTTTGAATATCCTATCATCGATAGAAGCTCCTTGTTCGCTGTAGTCTCCCGCGCTGTGCCTAATGCGGTTCGCATCGACAGGGTTAGCGTTCCTTTGGTTTCAGGAGATCATCATGGGTGATCGATCACCTAATTCTGACACTACAGCTCGGGAAAATTCTCCAAACTCCACTAAACAAGTACTGCGTAATGCCGAAATAAACTGTGCTGGCCTTGTTAATCTCGGCGATTTCTCGACTCGTAATTATGGCCTGATCCCTTAGCTGCGAAGCTCTTCACATTGCCATTGACTCAAATCAACAGATATAGACAGTTGGCTCGGTCTGTGGCATCCCAGACATCGTCGATAGTCATGTCGTCGTTAGAACCGAGCTCTGCGGGTGCGCCCATCGATAAAAGTGTGCAAACGATCAACTATGTCTGCCAGTCGCTATGCATTATATTCATGACGCTCTTCTTCGGACTCCGTGTCTATACTCGCACGTTCATTCTGAGTGGTTTTGGGAAAGAGGATTGTGAGTGACACCATGGCATGGAGGTTATCGGAAGCAAATGAATGCTAACAGTCTCTATAGGGATATGCGCAGTTAGCTGGGTAGGTTGACCTGATGGAAAGGTTGATGTGGTAAAATCGACTGACAGTATGTTTCACACAGTTCCTCGGTGTCGGCTACTCCATCATCGCAATCATCAGTATGTCTCTCGTACCGCAAGTCACAAATTTTGTCTAACGCAACCACAGTGGGCCATTATGGAGGAGGTTTACACTGGTGGGACGTTCGAGAGGAAAACAAGATTCCTTACCAAAAGGTGAGCATGAGATTGGAAACGTTCGCAACCTCTAGTTCTGACTGTCCAGACAATATACGCCACAATGGTGATGTACGGACCAACTGCCTTTCTCACGAAAGTGTGCCTCCTCTGGATCATGGCTCGTGTGTTCAGTCCCTTCCGGAAATACGTCATCTTCATCAAGGTCTTCACGGGTCTCATGCTGGCCTACTATATTCCGGCGGTGATTGTCAAGATTCGAATCTGCAGCCCAATCTCCAAGTTCTGGGACAGTAGTATCGAGGGCACATGTCTAGACCAGACGGCGATTATTCTGGCTGATGCTGTCGTCAGTAGCGTCAGTGACTTGATCATTCTCGTCTTGCCATTGCCATTGACCTGGTCTCTGCAAATGACGACAAAGCGCAAAGTACGCGTTATGGGTATTCTGGGTGCGGGTGGTCTGGCGGTTGCAGCCAGTATCATCCGACTGGCACTCATTGTCGCTACCGGGCAGTCAAAGGATGGCTCTCTTGCGTTCATGCGTATCAATATGCTAGGGTATGTCCCATCCCATACTGTTATCTTGGAATCATTATGCTAATTGATATCGTTCTAGTAATGCGGAAGTCTCCATCGGTGTTATCTGCACTTGTCTCCCTTCGCTTTCGGCCCTCATCGTCCGCGTTTATCACGAATATTCCAGCAACAAAGCAACCCTAGAGACCAATTACAAAATGAGCACAATAAAAAATCAGGGCACGACCAACCGAAGCAAGAATCAAATCAGTGTCAGGGCGACAGACTCCGATGAGGACATGCTCATGTACCACGCACAAGGAAATCCGAAGATTGAAACGATTATCCACGGTGCTAGTGAGCAGCGGCAAGGCACCCAAGCACTGAACTTCAATGGCATAGGTGTTACGCGGTCAGTTGATGTGTCGACATCCGTGGAGCCTCGATGATACAAAAGAGAGGGAGATTTGTCTCTGAGAGAAGGATATGAACTGGGAAAGTTGGACCACATGGATCATAGAACTAGACGGAGAGAATGTTTCACGCTGTATATATTATACTATTCTATTAATTTTGACTTGCTTATAGCCTTATACCATCTGACCTTGAATATGATTCGCCTATGGCGATGCTTTGAATCAAGTGATATAGGCTACCTAACATATGAGAGCCCGGTACCCTCTACCCGCGGGACTATTGGACAAAAACGGAGTATTTAGTGCAAGTAGAAGGAAATGATTGATGAGATCAGTCGCTGCAGACAAATTGCTTGAGGAACACCGAAGAACACGCTTGAAAATATGGACAGAGAACTACGCTTGTTGGAAAATGCTCAGCCAAAATCAAGAGAATCAAGAGATCTTTCCGATCCTCTTTCTTCCAATATCGATCTTGGATTTCAATCTAGACATATAGTTAGCGAGACATATCAATAAAATCAAAAGAAAGGGATAGACGAACATATCAGCCTCCTCATCCGCCATCCTGAGCAGCTCATTCTGCACCTCGAGCTCTTCGTTAATTTGCGTACCGAGCTCCTTCTGCCGAAGGATGACCTTCCTCAACTCATCTAAATTATCATCCTGACTCTTCATCATCTGCCTCTGCAACTGCAGCACACCCTCATTGTCAAGCTCTCGCGTGCGCTCCGTCTCTTTGCCTAGGACCCTCCCCGCCCGCGCCGTTGACCTACGCCCACTACCATCACCAGTATTCCCGGCATTCATCAGTGCTTCTTTCTCTTGTATCGACGCGACGGTATGATCGAGCCGGCTCTTAGTCGCCATGGCATGCAAGAGACCTTCTAGACCATCTTTTTCCTTGCGCGCATTGATGAGGAGATCCTTGCGTCGTCGGATCTCGCCTCCGCCCAGACTGGACGATGCCTGGGACTCGGAGCCCTTATCCCCGCGTCCTAGGTTCTTCAATCCTTCCTCCAGAGTGGCGATCATTGCCCCTGCACGGACGAGACTACCTTTCGCATGTGCAGAGCTCTCATGTTGCTTCTGTGGCGTTGTCTCCTGGTCTCTGCGAGATAGTTGTAGTCGTGCCTCGTGAAGGTGGTTCTTCATATCCCTGTAGTAGTCGAGCCATAGTGTCGGGTCTGTGATGGGTGCGTTTGTAGAGGCTGGGTCTGTGATGGCAGCATGGAGTCTGTTGGAGGTGTTTGTTGATCCATTGCCGGTGGACGCGACTGCGGTGGGGAGGTTGAGGAATGCTCGCCATGCGGGGGAGGTGCGCCAGCGGCCATCTTCAGACTCGTTAATCGCGCGGAGGTACTGCTCTAGACCGCGACGGCGGTCTTCGCGCAATCGTTCATTCGAGACTGTTTTCGAGAACCATGTTTTTGAAGGTAGAGAGACTGGCGGTGCGGCGTCAGTTTGGGAAATGAGTGTGCTGTGGAAGGTTGAGAAGTCCGAGTAGCGTTTGGGGACCGTGAAAGAGCGGAGCGGAAGGCGGAGGGTGATGTGGTAGATGGTGTACGGCGGGGAGGTGTTGGAGAGGCTGGTAGTTGGGATCGATATCTCGACGGTTGGCGCCATTTTGTTCAGAGTTGAGTGTTGTCATTCGAGAGTTGGAGGTGACTAGGTGACTACCAAGAGGTGGGAAGGTCGGGTGTGGTTACTCTCCCCAAGGCCGCATGACGCAAAAGCTTAGACCAGCCCGATAAGACCTCGGGATCATCAGGCACTAGTACTCCGTACATAACAACAAGACATCGGCATGTCGTAATACAGATTCAATTAGAATTAAAAAATTAACAATGGGCAATGGGTATCTCATGCAAATTCTAATACCAAATCTTTTCAAAGCCAGACCTCCCGTCTTTCCAACAGGTCGCGTTGGCCAAAGAACTCGCCCACCACGGTGATGATCATATCGAGTAGGACGTGGATATGTTTTATCAGTTCTCTTGTGTCCTCATGGCCCTCGTCGGGATCAGAGTTGGCAGGCGTCTCGACAGTGTCGTGGCCCTCGTCGGGGTCAGAGTTGGCAGGCGTCTCGACAGTGTCGGCGTCTCCCCGAAGCCGAGCTCGCAAGCGTGTCCTGGCTGCCTCCAACTTAGATTGTTCCGAGGATGCACCTGACATGCTAGAATAGTGTGCTTCCATGGCCTCTGGCGCTTCTTGCATAGTCTCCTTTTCATCTTGGCTTGTGGATTCTGGCTGAGCCTGAGCACTGGTATCTTTCTTCTCCTGCTCTGTCACAGACCACTTGGCAACGACCCATGATGGTACCTTGCTCTCTATCTCTTGAACCTTCTGCAGGATAGTCGCAGCTCGTTTGCCCACATTTCGAATGATCCCCACCTCCTGGCTAGAGAGTTGCCCGACTTCCAAGCACTTCCCCAACAAACCCCACGCCCAGGCTCCAATGCGCCGCACAAGTTGGACGTCTTCGCTCCGTATCACATCAGACACCATCCGTGCTAGTATTTCCAGGACTTCTAACACACTTGCCATGTCCATGCATGCCAGTTGGACCATTTGTGGATCGACAGTGACCAACAACCGGCGCCAAGCTTTATGCGCAGCTACGGCGTTTCGAGGGAGACTGATGGGATGATCATGGTCGAGGGCATTGATAGCTTCGACAGGGGGACTGCATCGCAAGGTTGACCGCAAGAGAAGAAATCGGTGGTGAAGAATGTTATAGTAGGATGCTTGCGTATCCGGGTAGACGTTCGGCTTTGCAGAGGAAGGCCCGGCCTTGTGTGTGTTCAAGTCATCTCTGGGAGCGACGTAGGCTTCGTCCACGAAGAAGACTCCTGGCGTAGGAGAGTCAGACGATTCATGTGATTCCGGTTCCAGTGGTGTACTTGAAACGTCTTCCGGGAGATGTACAGCTTGGACTGGTCCGTGAAATAACCCAGGCAGTGAGTTGGCTTCGGATCTATCAAGCAAAAATTAGTTCGGACAACAAATCATAAGGCGCGCGGGACTGCAAAGGCCTGAGCAGTTCCCGGTGAACAAACAACAGGTTCAAAAAGTAGAGCGACACATACCGGACCATGCGAAGATATTCCAATCCATCTTCCGGGTCACCGTACAACAACTCATCGCCTCCATCATCAAGACCTGGGAACGCGCTCTGCTGGCCAAAGAATGGATCGTTGTTGGGGCGCTCCTGAGGCATTGGCGAACGATCGCCATCTTCTTCCTCGGCATAAGATACACGGCGGCGTTTGAAAGAGGGGCCCGGCATAGCTCCTTTTCTTTTGTCGCCCATGTTCGAGGAGTTGAAGGTGGTAGGATGGCAGGAGCTTGGGCCATCTGTAGCTCTGGAGCGGCTTTAAGGGTCCCGCACGTGGGCGTGGCCAACAACCAAGGACCTATCACAATCTAGTCACGAAGAGACAAGTCAAGATATTCGTGGAGAATATTATCTGAACCTCATACATATCACTATCAGTGATCACTGTCTCCATCATAAGCGTCACATTACTCTTGTATTCTCAGTTTACACTCACTTCTCCCGCTCTGTCATTGGCCCATTCCTTCTCACCGCTTTTATTGCAAGCAACATCAAGGCGGTGAGGGTTTTTTTCGAGGGCGGGGACCTACATCTGCCGGACAAAAAGATAAGGATCGTCATCGGCCGACATCGCGATTGTTGCCTCGGATCCCCTCGTGCCTTTTCGTTAATTGCTCTCCCTGGTACTTCTCAGTCGGAGTCAGACTGTTCCAAATCGACTGACACCTGTTGTCTTACTCTTACAGTCTTCCCATCTATTGCCAACCCATCAACTGGGAAGTGCCGATTGAGTTTTGCATGAGATGACCTAAAGTCCTCGCCTCTTCAGGAAGCGATTGGGCTCTTCTGTTGATTCTCCGTTCCTCTTCTCTCGTGCATCCATTTATCTGAAAAATCTCAACCGAGGGCTTCTACACTGAGACACTGACTGGAGAAAGTTCAATTGTGATGGCCTCTCCAGAAGTCATGCCTTCCACCACCCGATATATTCACCTTCCCACGGAGGTCTTAAGTATTATTGCCAAATTCATATTCAACCGATACCGGGTCTCGCCTGATTACCAAAGCAGACTTTACACCTTTTGTCTGGTGTCTCGTCAATGGTACTCTGCCGGTATTGGATTTCTCTACCGCCGACCTGGACTGTATGAAGGAAATAGATTCTCGCTGTTCACCAGAACTGTGTGCCCATCAGTTCGGTCTCGAGAACGAAGAGTGGATCTGGGCTCATTAGTTCAGAAGTTAGACCTCTCGCAATTGGTACATCACAGCTCCAATAGCCTAACGGCACGGCTTTTGGGTCGAGTGAAACAGAAATTAAGGATTTTTGTTGCTCCGAGGGTCTCTTTTGCGTAAGATTCGAGTTGTGATAACAATCCATTTGAAACCAGTCTGACGTCTCTCTTCAGAATCAATAGCCTTGCGCCTTTATCTAAGTGCAGGGAGCTTTTATATCTCGACCTTGCCTTGGTGAATGACACAATCGCCTTTTCTGCTCTTAAGAAAGCCATCAGCGGTCTCAACAAATTATGGGGACTCAAGCTCCCATCTTCAATGTGCATCACGGACGATGGATCTGGTGAAGATTGGCCAATCAGTCTCCAATACCTCCAGGTCGGCGGGAGGCCTGATATACAAAAGATGCCTTCTTTTAGGTGGCCTCAGAATATACGCAGATTAGATTTGTGTGGTTTGTCTCTCACAGCTGAAGTCTTGGAGAACATCCTCATCAATGAGCAGCTCCACGCCACAATAACACGTTTGTGCATCCACAGTTCCAATCGCGTCGCGGAACTTTGGGATTCTGCAATTCTGGGAGAACTATTTATGTTGGATGCCCTTGAAATACCCGTTGATCTGTTTTACCGACTACTGCTTCATCCTGCATTTGACACCAGCGTTCTGCCTATCCCAATTCGTCAACTGGATCTCCTTGCACCGTGCGACATGGAATTCGCGATGATCATGGGGACGGAGATTGTTCCTGAGGGCATATGCGGCGCTCTTGAACTGACCCTCTCTCTAGTGTGCAGTCTCGGTATCAGCCGTGATTGTCTTGGGATTATTCCCAAGTCAAAACATGCCGAAATCGACAAGTTGGTGTGGAAGAATATTGATCGATGCCCTGAGATTGAACTTGAGACCATTTTCGAATTGGGCGTCTATGTCATTAATCCGCCAGCATGCTGAGCGATAATGTATTTTTGACACATGACATAGATTCTGCTGCGCTTGTAAGAGCTGCTTCGGAAGAAGAGGGTCATCATATCCTCCTTGGAATAGGCCAAGTTGCATCGCACTATCGGTGCGAGATATCTTTGGTACGTCTAATGTTCACCATGGAGTAATCTTTACTGGACTGTCCAAAACCCAGTCCGGGAATGTCATCTGAGCCTTCGTCCATTCACATGTCTAGATCGTGCTTTCTTTTGAACCTTGCGCAACAGATGAATCGACTGTTTGGTGCTACCGTCGTTTCCAACCACATCCTAATTCTCCTTGCCGACTTTCCCCTGCATAATCTCCCCGACTTCGCGTGTATTTCGCGCTCGACAAGGTCATATTGAGCTAGGCTACCACGGTACCACCATCCAGAACCTGCGCCTCCCCTAATGAGGAGCTCATAACAAGCAGTAAACGAGGGCTTTGCCCTTGTCACAGTCATATTCGCAATGGCCGTCCAGGCCATACAGTACTTAGCTAGAGCTGGCTCAATAAGTCAAGTATATTCCTGATAGTTGCTGGCGCATTCATTGCGGCGCGAAACGTCGCGTATAACTGCCGAATATCTCACTCTGTGATTTTATTCTTTGTGCCAATCCTTCTAACATCTGGCCATGGGGTATAAGCATACATTGGTCTTTGATTCTATGGTCAGACTCCAGCTTCTGTTTTACCTTCCAGTGTCTAGTTTTCCGATACACGAAGGCTTTACCCTTCATTTTTGCTTGGCTCATGGTACACTTGAAATTGATACGAATTGCCCTGGACCAATACCAATTAATTATTGATTAGAAAGAGAATTTCTTCTTTGAGCTATGTTTGGTGGTTCGGTTGATTCGAACTTCGGAGGGAAGTTGGAGATTTGTGGGGCACATCGAAGGCACGACATGCCGCCCGGGAATGACGTATCTTTTCTTTCGTGCCTGCGTATACATCTCCAAAACAACTTCCACCATGAGACCACAAACCGTCTGGCGATCAATTGGCCTGTTGCAACGCCCGACTATCTCTCGCCGATTCATTCCTCACCGAGCCATTCAAACAGCTACCTCACGACCGGTTCCCAACTTCGCTTTCGCTTTCGAGTGAGTCGTATCTGCCAAACACAATCCAGTTACTCCCGTGGCTCGATCTAACCAGACGAACAGCATCGATGGTGTACTCCTTCGTTCCTCCAAGCCTTTGCCCGGTGCCGCCGACTCACTAGCTCTCTTGAAGGAGCAGGGTATCCCCTTCATTTTGCTCACCAATGGTGGCGGTAAACACGAGACAGAGCGCGTCGCAGAAATCAGCGAAAAGCTAGGGGTTCCTTTGGATGCTACGGACATTGTACAAAGCCACTCGCCCTTTGCTGAGCTTGTCAAAGGGTCGGAGGAGACCAGCGCTTTAGAGCACAAATGTGTCTTGGTGGCCGGCGGTGATGGAGATAACTGTCGTCGCGTGGCAGAACAGTACGCTAAGGTCCCCTTCCTATCATTCAATGACATGATCTAAAGAGTGAGAATAGGTATGGTTTCAAGAATGTCGTCACTCCGGCAGATATTCTCATGGCCAACCCCGCTATCTGGCCGTTCTCGAACAACTTCAGCGCGTACTACAAGACATTTGCCCGACCGCTTCCCAGGCCCATTGATTTTAACGATCCCTCGAAGACCTTGAAGATCGACGCCATCTTCGTGTTCAATGACCCTCGCGATTGGGCATTGGACACGCAGGTTATTATGGACCTCCTCCTCTCGTCACAAGGCCGTTTGGGCACTTTGTCCGAACTGAACGGCCGAGTTGAGCTTCCCAATCACGGATACCAGCAAGACGGGCAACCGCATCTGTACTTCTCTAACCCTGATCTGTGGTGGGCTGCTGCCCATCCTTTGCCGCGTCTTGGCCAGGGCGGCTTCCGAGAAGCGCTCGAGGGCGTTTGGGCTGCAACTACAGGTGGTCCCAGCAAGGGCATCGAGTTGAAGAAAACCGTGATTGGGAAGCCTTATCACCCGACCTATGAGTTCGCAGAGCGTCAGATGCTTCGAAATCGTCTGAACACCTTCGGTAGCTCTGCAGTAAATCTTACACCCTTGGAAAGAGTCTATATGGTCGGTGATAATCCGGAATCGGATATTCGAGGAGCCAATTCCTACCGCAGTACATTTGGCAGTAACTGGCAATCTATCCTTGTCCGCACTGGGGTTTACAGTGGCGGAGAACCTGCCTGGATCCCTAAGACAATTGCCGACAATGTATACAAGGGTGTACAATGGGCGCTGAAGAGCTCGAACTGGCCTGCTGCTTAGCTGCTGGTGAGCCTTAGCCTCGCTATCCCATTGATATGAACCTTGGGAGGATCAGTATGAACGCAGTGCCAATTGTGTGTTTATATGTATAGTTACTAGCGTCAACTTTCACATAAACAGTCAATACATTGGATCAATATCTAGTTAGCTATCGGAAACCAATTGATACCTCAGGCATCAATATCAACAAAGTCACGATCAGAGATTGGAACGATATAACCAATGAAGTCAATATCTTAGAGCCTCATGAATATAAGCAGCTGTGAGCTATTAGATATTATAGCTCTTTTAACTTTCCAATTCAAATACGATTAAAGGCAGATGAAGGTGAAAAGCTGCTATGAAGAACATAGCAGAGAAGAGGCCCACACCGCCTACCCCTCTTAGGGCTTGGTGTCCGGCGGGGTGAGTCAATCTTGGAACACTTTTCTCTTGCTCTACTTACGATCAGCCTGCTGGAATAAGTCCTTCAAATCTCTTGGCATAGAGTATCATTGCGGTAGGTTCTGCCATGCTCTAACATACCTCTTATTCCCTCTAATTGCCCTCACAGCACCATGGCCGACTCCCAATTGCCCCACCATCCCAAACCCGAGACGCCGGCTGCCTCCGCTCCCGCCGAAGGTGAGACCAAGAACGCCAGCAAGAATGCCCTGAAGAAGGCCGCAAAGGATAAGGCCAAGGCAGAGAAGGCTGCCGCGCGTGCTGCGCAAGAAAAGGCCCAAGCTGCCGCCCAGGACGCCAACGACACAGCCAAGCATCTATACGGTCCTATCCCCGAAAAAGAGGATGTCATCCCAGCCACCCGATTCAGCGATCTCTCAGAGGAACACTACGAGAAGGAGGTGACGGTTGTGGCGCGCGTGGACAATGCGCGTGTGCAGAGTGCCAAGCTGGCATTCTTGATGCTGCGCCAGCAGGGACAGAAGGTGCAGGCCGTCATTGCGGCCGCGGAGCCCATCTCCCGACAGATGATCAAGTTCACTGGTGGATTGAACGTCAACTCGATTGTGCAGGTCACTGGTACGGTGAAGAAGCCCGAGATCCCCATCTCGTCTGCTTCTATCAGCCACCTCGAGATCCACATCAGCAAGGTCTACATGATCTCCGAGGCTATGCAGATGCTTCCCATGCAAGTCAAGGATGCTGAGCGCCCGCCCCCAGAGAGTACCGAAGAAGGTGTTGACGCCGAGGGTGCTCCCATCGTTACCCTCAAGACCCGTCTGGACAACCGTGTCCTCGATCTGCAGACCGAGACCAGCCAGGCTATCACCTGGATCTCCAGCGGTGTTTCCCAGCTCTTCGCTGAGTACATGATCAAGAGCGGCTCCCGCTGGATCTCCACACCCAAGCTCGTCGGTGCCGCTACGGAAGGTGGCAGCGGTGTCTTCGAGGTCAAGTACTTCAAGCGCAATGCCTACCTCGCCCAGAGCCCTCAGCTTTACAAGCAGATGTGTATCGCCGGTGATATGGAAAGCGTCTTCGAGATTGCTCCCGTGTTCCGCGCAGAGGAAAGTAACACCCACCGTCACTTGACCGAGGTATGTTATATTTCCTAACTTCCCAATATCCGTCCAACAGAAACAGTCATCCCCTAACACTCCCACCTCGCAGTTCTCCGGTCTCGATTTCGAGAAAACTTTCCGCGGCCACTACCACGAAGTCCTAGAATTCGCCGAAGACCTCCTCGTCTTCATCCTCACCCAGCTAAAGGAGCGCTACGCCTCCCAAATCGCCACCATCCAAAAGTCCTACCCCAAGGCCGGCGACTTTAAGCTGCCCAAGGACGGCAAAGCCCTGCGCATGAACTACATGGACGGCGTAGCTCTGCTGAAGGAAGCCGGCGTCGACGTCACAGAGCAAGAAAACTTCGAAAACGACTTCACCACCGCAATGGAGAAGCAGCTTGGCCAAATCATCCGGGAAAAGTACGATACCGACTTCTACGTCCTGGATAAATTCCCCATGTCCGTCCGTCCTTTCTATACCAAGGCCGATCCCACCGATAAGCGCTTCTCCAACTCGTATGATTTCTTCATGCGCGGCGAGGAGATCATGTCCGGTGCTCAGCGTATTCACGATATCAAGGAGCTGGAGGAGTCCATGCGCGCTAAGGGGCTGGAGCCTAATCAGGAGGGCTTCGAGGATTATCTTAATGCCTTCCGTCAGGGTTGTCCGCCTCATGCTGGTGGTGGTCTTGGTCTTAACCGCATTGTTATGTTCTTCCTTGGGTTGCCGAATGTTCGTCTCGCTACGCTGTTCCCCCGTGACCCCCAGCGTCTGCGTCCTTGATTTGGCAATCCCAATGTATGGGAGGATTTCATAGCATTACGAGAAGAATGTAAAAAGAACAAAAATAAATCATTTTTCTGTCAAATGTGTGCTCATTCATGATGGTTCCAAGGTCCTATTGCTTATATGCGCGAGTTGCTGCAACATGAATCTTGAGAAATCACTAGATACCCACAGTAGGTGTAAATATGATATGATATTCAGGAGGAAAGTTGCATTGACAAGTTTTGAAGGGGGTGGACGGCGCAATCTAACGAACCCAGACACATGAAAAACACACACGCTCTTGCCCCCCTATCCAGGATTAAGCAGGTAACGACCAAAAAAAAAGAAGTAGAGAGATTAAGACACAGAAGCAATCACAGCAGCGGCAACGCCCTCTTCCTCGGCTCGGACGGTGATCTTGGTAGTTACACCGCTCTTGCTTGAGTAGGCCATCTTGATCAGAGATGCAACACGACCACCGAACACGGTCTTGCCGAACAGCTTGAGCGTGTGCGTGCTGCTGTTGAGGGCGACGTCGGTGCCCTCGAGGGGTTGCAGAGATAGCGCTGAGATCAGTTGTTCCGTGGCATCTGGTGATAAATTGTCAGTTTTTGTTTTGTAGAAAGGTATTAGAGTATAGATGCGACTTGAACATACCGTTGATACCCTTCATGTTGCTGAGCTGCAGGGTTTCGCTCTCCTCTTCGCCGTTCGCGCCGGTCTGCTCCCAGATGTGGTCGAAGCTGCCAGCAAATGTCGGGATGACATAGTCGCTGCCGTTCAGCTCGAGGTCTTCCACCTGGTACTCGTCATCGTAACCGCTGTCCTCCGGCTCGCCGGTCGTAGGGTCGATTTCTTTGCTGGTGAACTTGAGGATGTTTGTGAGGGAAGTAACGGCTACGCTGTTCTCGCCGGAGAGCTTCTTGAAGGCAACGTAGACAACGCCAGGCTCGTCTGTGGGGACCTTGGGGGCGGGGATGATGAAGTCGTCCTCCAATACATCCTCTTCCTCTGGCGTGGCAGCCACAGTGACATTCTCCAGAATGGTATCTGGAAGTGTGTTCTTAATGTCGTATTGCACGACAATGTGTTCCTTGAAGATGTGCTTGACAGCTGTGACAACGTATTCGGTCTCGCTCTCGGAAAGTTCGACAGGTGCGGATGACTTGAGCAAAGTACCATATGCCCGGATGTCGGGGAACTGTAGAAGTTGCTCGGCGTATTTCTGAGTGGCAGAGGCGCTGGCTGCTTCGGCCATACCACCGGCCGCTTTGCTCTTGGGAGGACCGGCCGATGGGGCCTTGAGAGTGGGGGTGGCGGAAGTGAGCTTCTTAGTCCTCTCTTCAGCGAGAGCCTGCTCGTGTGAGACAACCGGAATAGTGGCAACATCGAACGCAGCAGCGAAGGTCTCCTTATCACCCGACGTCACGTACATGACAAGCTGGTGTTCAAAGGTAGAAAGAGAGTACATCGAGTCTAATATAATTAGTAAAGTGAAGATTGCCAGTCATGGACAAGTACGTACCGTTCTTAATGAAAGCACTAGCAGCCTCGTCCTCTTGGCTCATCAAGCGCAGGTTAAGCGCAGCACGGTCTCGTACCTCGTCGTCGGTGTCATCAAGACAACGAGTGAGAAGAACATGAACACTTGACTTGACTTCAGGGTCCTTTTGGCCAACACCGAACTTGGCTAATGCGGTGACAGCAGCGGCGCGTACGATGGCGTTCTCCAGCACGACACGGTTGTAGATGTAGCGGATATACTTGGTGGGGTGGGAAGTCTTGGGGCCCTCGGCACCGAGCAGGTGCAAGATTCTGACCGAGAGCTTGGTGAACTCGCAGTCTTCGATGAACTCGCAGAGGTGGGCAAGGGCGTCTTCCTTGCTCTCGGGAACAAACTTGATCAGATCGAACATGCTCTCAACAACAGTGCGTTTGAATTCGTATCCGCCCTCGTCCCGCAGGATGCCGCTCAGGAAGACAAGCATACCGGCCTGCTTACTGGGGAACTTTAGGCACAAGGTACGGATAGCCTCGACAATAGTAACCTTGAACTCGTCGGTGATATCGGCCATGAAGCCAGAGATCTGCTTCATCAGACGGTCGACGCTAGCTTCATTGCCGGTCTTGAGCAGAGTGGTGATGGCGAAGGTGGCAATAGAACGGTTCGAGTTGGAAATAAGGGACTCCATATCGGGATTGCAGACGTTGACGACATGTGGCTTGAAAGAAGCGAAGTTGTGGAGGATACGAATGGCAGCGAACTTCGTGATGGATCGGGGGGAAGACAGGAAGAGCTGAAGAACGTGAACTGCCTGGGTTGCCTCGGCGTCGGTGACATCGCGCATGTCACAAATAGACTTGGCCGCCTCGAAGTTGACCATCTCATGCTTGTGGCGGAGCCAGCCATCCAACATCTGCATCATGGGTTTCCGAAGGCCTTGGTCCTCTTCCGCCAATTTGGCCGCCAGACGCACCAACAAGACCAGAGCAGCAGGGCTCTTCACCACTCCTGCAGCACCGTATTGCTGTACCATCTTAACCAAAGACATGCGGTCGTGCGAGCGCATCTGGTACAAAAGACCGATGGCATGGTACTGGGTCATGAAATTTGAGTTGGAGATTGCGTGGGTCTGGGAGCTGGAGGCGAAGCCAAGGAATCCAGTTGACGATTTCGATGACGAGGCAGCTTCCTGTGTCTCGCTCTGCCATCTCCGGACGACGTCGCGTGCAATAGGGAGGAGGTGATAGGAAGATACCAAGGCGGCGGAGGACACCGAAGGGGTCTTGTCGACAATAGCGGTCTTAATCAGTCGTTCGATACCCTGTACTGTGGAGCCCTATTCAAATTGTCAGCATATCCCTCGTCCACGGAACTTATGGCGACCTGTTTCATACATCAATAATGCGGCAGAGCGCTCTGATAGCATTGGCCCGGTACAAAACATCACTTCCCACCGCAGTGTCCTTCATGATGATACTCGTCGACATGATCACATCTTCGGCGGTGCCAGCAAGCTCCTTCAAGATCAAATAGACCATCTGCCGCAATGACGGGTCCTTGTTCTGGAAGAGCTTGGAGATTCCGAAGAACAGAGTTGTGGCTTCATTTGTAGGGAACTGCTCCCCTGTGAACATGAGCACAGCAATCTTTGTAAGTAAAGTCCGACATGTTCGCGGCGAGATAGGAGAGGAATTGAATAGGCGTGCTAGGAGAATTGAGTCGTCAGCATTGAATCAACGAAGCGCAATGGCGGCGCCAGGGGTTATTTGTTGATTGCACACCATCTTGGAATACGGAGGTCCGATCAAGCTTAATCATGACCTGGTCCGCATCTTCGTCTTTCTTCATGTAACTCATATTGCCCAGCAGCTGGGATGGCGCCAGCAATGAGTGGTTGCTGTATTAGAAAGGTGGAGTGGATGCAATTGGGACACGGGTCGAGTACACAGAGGCAGGATAGGGCGGTGTAAGCGACTTGAGCATCTGGGATAACCCAGGAATTGACGGGTTGAGAGTAAAAGCGAAGAGTGAAGAAGCAAATAAATAGAGAAACAAAGCGGTAGTGAATCTCGAACCCTCTCAAGCTCAGAACTGTCTATTGGGGACAAGTTGAAGGTGGCCTTCCGTGGTGTTTGGTCCGAATCAAACACTGCAAACAGGTGGCATCATGATCGAAGGCAGCGCATTTATCTCTCGGACTCTCTTCATTTCTTCCATATTTGGTGGGAATCTGGATTGATTTCAAATTTGATCGCAATTTACCATGCAGGTTGAAGTTAACCCTAACGAGGACACGGAGTGGTGAGTATAGTCACCTACTACTGCATCCCCCGCTGCGGTAGATATAGACTGCATGCAGTGTGCTCACCATTTCTCGAATACAATACAGGAACGACATCCTCCGACAACATGGCATTATTCCCGAGAAGCCTAAAGATCCCGAACCTCTCATCCAGGAAGCCCTGATCGCCGCACAGCACAGAGCGCACGAGAACCGACTTGAGGACAAGGACCTTGACGAGCTGGACGCACTGGAAGAAGAGGAGGACGAGGAATTCCTCAACAGCTATCGGTGAGCTTGCGATCTACATAAATAGCCACAACGGTGCTCTGTTTCTTACAGTCCGCTTAAACAGACAAAAACGATTCGCTGAGCTATCCACTCTCCAACAAACCAGTGTCTTCAATCAAGTCTACCCACTTCAGAAAGTCGACTATGCCCGTGAGGTGACCGAGGCATCAAACAATGCTTTTGTGTTAGTCAATTTGACGTCAATGGGTGGGAATGTCGAATCCCGCGTGTTGACAGAGCTCTGGCGACAACTTGCTGCCAAGTTTGGCGACATCAAGTTCTGTGAGATTCGTGCCGACATGTGTATCGAGGGATATCCCGAGAAGAACACGCCCACGATTTTGGTATACAAGGATACCGAGATCAAGAGACAGCTTATTACGCTGCAGCAGTTGAAGGGTCCGCGGACCAAGATTGAAGGTATGTTCCTTTTCAAGCATGGTCCGAGCAAGTACCTGTATACTGATTGAATCCATAGATATCGAGCGTCTGCTTATTGAGATTGGTGCTTTGAAGGAAGGCGATATGCGTCTGAAGAAACGTGATGACGAGGACGACTACAAGAAAGCTGATGACCTGGACGTTGAAGATTATGATGATGACTGGGATTGATTCCTATGCTGTGAAATGTGATGCAAATATTATGATTGTGTATATTACGACAATATTCAAAACAAGTTACCCTATTTGGCGATTCCAGGGTGTTGTCGATACCGTCTTCGGACATCCGTACTCTCGAAGTCGTGTTGACGACCTCATGAGTCAATGACGGCTATCTATAGAGTCTACCTAATATTGAAGGTGTCAAGATCTCAGAGGATTCAATGCGCAAACAACATGAACATGAATTCCAGGGAACAAGATATGGAAAGAGGGCTATAATCCACATGAAACCAGCCCAAACACGCCAAAATCACAAAGAAATCAAGATATACGAGGGTCATATCGATAGACCACTCGCTTGAACCCATTAATCCCACCAATCCCAGCGCTAAACCAAACCATCAATCATAATCATACCGAGAGTACGGAGTAAATCATCAAATCAACTCATCACGACCCAAAGCCGCACTCTCCTCAATAACCTGACGAACATCACTCTCTCTGAAAGCCGGACCCTGCCCATCGCACTGCGCCCTCCCCTTAAGCCGCTCGACAATATCCGCAATATCAAGCTGCCCGCGCTTAAACAGTTCATGACCCTGAAGCACATCCCACAAGGCCTGCGCATCTAAAAGCTTATCACCCGTTATCGGACACACAGTGATACGATGCTGCGGGCTGTGAGGCGTCGGCGGCCCATCGGGCATCAGGGTAGAATAGAAGTCCGTCGGGGAGTACCTCATGGGTCCCGTAGCCGTTGGCTCAGGGTTCTGGTTCTGTGGTACATGTCCGCGATTAGGGGTATGGGATGTCGCCTTCAGGATCTCGTTTTCGGTTGCGTATCTGGCCAGCTCGCGTTTTAGGCGCTCGTTGTCGGCTTGTAATGTGTCGGAGGCTTGTTCCAGGGCTGATACTTTGTCTTCGAGCTCGCGCACGTGGCGCTCTTTGCGCTCCCGGAATGCTCGTTGGCTGTGTTACAACCGGGGTATGTTAGCTTTTTTGGTCGCTTTGAGGACATGGGGTTGCATGTTCAAGCCACGTGGGGCTGAGATATCACATACGCTGCGCGGTTCTGTGCCTTGCGCTTGCTTTGCGCGGGCTCTGAATCTTTCTCCTCGCTGCTACTCCGCACCATGGACGGGTCTCCATATTGAAGTTCGTCCCCGTCGATAGATGTGGGGTCTGTGTGCTGATTGTGGGCATCGCTGCTCGAGGTGGACTGCTTGGAGAACGAATCTGGCGGTGAATATGGCGGGGGGTGGGACGAGGGGTCGAGGGGGAACGTGGGGTCAAAGCCAGGGAAGTTCTTGTCGTAGTCGTTCTAGCAATTGAATTAGGGCAACGCCTCAAAGGGCTGGGGGAACAAAGGACTAACCACCGGGGCGAAGGTGTCATCGAGTGGCGCATTGACTGGCACGCCCGGGGTGGGCAATCCGTACAGTGGAAAGGGTTGCGCTGGGCGCCCGGTATAGTAAGAGTAATCCATTGCAAAATCCAGGACTCACAAAGGTCTGCCGGAAAGTTAGGATGTAGGAGAGGTGGAAGTGGGAGAAACTTGAGACCCCAGAACAGCCCGCTCTGGTTGAACCGGAGAGAGACGTTACTTCCTTCCCGCTCTGTGGTAAGGCCAACGCTTATGATAGGCTGATTTCGCAGTGCATATGAGCGTGCTTACAATTGAGCTTCTTCGAATTAATTGATTCCTAATCCAAATTGCACTCCTAGGGTGGAGCGTTTGGTCCGTGCATGGAACGGCCAGCCCTGGAGACTGCCTGCGCAGGTGAACTCCCCCGGGCCGACGTCGTTGATGACCTCACCAACATTTCCCTCTCTAAGTTTGGGCCATTAAAGTCAAATGAGAAATACGACGGGCATAGTCGGGATGCCCAGGTCTAGAATATTACTAAACACGGAGAAACGTGAGAGAAGTAAGCAAATTGAGTGTAGAGAGCTAAAAAAAAGATAATTTGATGCATCGACGCATACCACCCCGGAAGCGACCCTAACCATTGTCCTTCGCCGACCACACGAGATGCGCCTCCCCCAGACGGGATCACATCAAAGACCATCTGTCACAGTGGCTTCTGCAATGTAGGAGCAGAAACACAGAAAGCCTGTAAAGCAATGTCCCCAAAGAAAGCCGTCTCTGTCGCCAGAATCTCCTCCATTTGGCCTCATTTTGGCCACCCCTCGTCCCCATTGAGCGTCGATGTAAACAAACTAAGAATCGCCAAACAAACACGGGAAAGTCAGGAAAAGAGCACGGGCATAGGAAAGAAAAAGAAAAGGGGGAAAGAAAATGATGGGCAGCACATCCAAGGATGCAGTCAAGGATCTCCAGTAACAGCAATGGGCTGACGCCGTCATTTGCACCTCCCTCAGTCTTGCCCTTGGTCGATCTGGCCGAAGATGTCAGGTCATCAAGAGGAACCAAAGGGACAAAGACGAAAGAATAGCCACAATATCAAAAACGGTTCGACACCGTGTGATCAGTTGCCCCGCAGGACGGGTGCAAGATTCCGAAAATACAGAAATTTGTCGACACGGGTTGTCGCAAGCTCAAGTGGAAGATTTGACCACGACGTTGAACAAAAGCGAGTCGAAACGGCTGGGATCAAAATTTGATCGAAAACGGGATAAGAGGGCTGTCCGGGAGTGCAAAATGAATAGAGATCCAAGAAGGAGAGAAAGAAAAGCAAGATCCGAGAAGGCTGAATGCGACATGGTCCGCTTCAAGGCCACATGAACGGGTCCCCGAGTTCCTTAGTAGATAGACAAGTGTCGGCAGACAGGAGGACATGCGAGCCTCACTGTCATATCAACACAATTAATACCACTGGGCACCCGCTCCATCGTCCCGCTTCGAACGGCCACCAGAAGGTCCATAACCCAAAGCAGCACCTTTCGAGGCAGAACGCAGCCTAACGCCGAAGACTATGCGATTAGTCAGATTCAGAACATAAGGAAGGGTCCTCCAAGCCAGCGTCACGAAAAGCAAACCACTCAACGTCGGAGTTAAGAAAGAAGGGGTTCCCTACTCGGAACCAGGTTTCATGTACTCACATCCTATCACTTCCTCCCACGGCACGGTTGGTGTCCGGAGTGTCGAGAGCACTGCGTTCGACGACCTTACGGCGCTGGTTGGAGATGCCACCGGGCTTGGCAGTCCCGCTGGTTGCCATAGCAGCAGAAGGCAAAACCTGGCGACGCTGCTGGTCCTCGGCATCCTTGTCCTTCTTGGAAGCATCCACGATCATGGCGGCATTCTTCTGGTATTTGTAGACGGTCCAGTCGAAGACGTAATCGTACTGGAAGGACTCGCGGACGAAGAGGTCACGGAAGATCTTGCGAAGGTAAGAGTAATCGGGCTTGTCATCGAAGCGGAGCGAACGAGTGTAGTTCAGGTAAATGGCGAATTCGTTGGGGAAACCACGGCACAGGACTTCAGTGGGGGTGGTCATCTTCTTCTCCATGATCCGGTCGTACTTCTGCTTCTTGGTAGCAGCCTTCAGACCCTGCCAGGGGAGAGAACCACGGCAGAAGTAGAGCATAACATAGCCCAAAGATTCCATATCGTCACGACGCGACTGCTCGACACCCAGATGAGTGTTGATACTGGCGTAACGGGCAGTTCCAGTGAGGTTCTTGTTCTCACGGTAAGGAATGTGGAAGTGAGTCTTGGGGTCACGGTATTTCTTCGCGAGACCAAAATCAATCACGTTGACCTGGTTACCACGCTTGCCAATACCCATCAAGAAGTTGTCGGGCTTGATATCACGGTGAATGAAGGACTTGGCGTGGATGTATTCAATGCGGGAAATGAGCTGATCGGCGAGAAGCAGCACCGTCTTCAGCGAGAACTTGCGGTTGCAGAAGTTGAAAAGGTCCTCCAGACTGGGACCCAGCAGATCGATGACCATGGCATTGTAGTCACATTCGGTACCGAACCAGCGAACGAAAGGAATGCCGACGCCACCCGCGAGCGACTTATAGACACGGGCTTCATATTCGAGCTGGGGGTGCTTGGCCTTGACGCTCTCAAGCTTGATGGCAATCTCCTCACCAGAAATGATGTTTGTTCCTACAAGTTATGAGTTCAGTGTTCAATGTAGGCTCAAAACGTGTACTTACCGAGGTAGATGTCACCGAAACTGCCGCTGCCAATCTTGCGGCCAATGCGGTACTTGTTGCCGACTCGTAAATCCTAGCCAGAATGTCAGTAAAATGCATAATCAAGGTGTTCGCTGACCGCCAAGTTGCTACGCCAATATTAGAGCGTCATGACGGATTCACTAGAAGTATGGCTCCGAGTAGAGGACGAATCTGGCGATTTGGGGGGCTAACACTGACCATGGTCGTCATCCTGGATAGATGGGGGCACAGCGCTTAGCTGTGAGAAGAACTTGAAACTGAGATCGATTTTCGTCAGTACGCGTACGAACTGTTAACCGAGGAAGAATGGAAGTCCCAAGCTGAGATAGACGAGAAGATGGAGGAGGGAGAAGGAAAGAAGCAAGACGCGTGTGGTAAAGAGCAGGTTCAGTAAGAGAGGCGGGAAGTGACGAACTGAGCCTCAGGCAAATTGGAAGGCTGGGGCCAGATCAACCTGAAGGACAACAACAGGAAAACAGAAACCACGACCAGATGAAACGAATGAAGCGATTCAGAGGTACCAAAGGAAAATGTAATATAAAAATCATCAAAGGGAGAGGTCCCCAGGACTGGACAAATCACCAATCTAGACATACCTGGAGATAACGGGATCAAAGAGGCCGACCGTACTCAACTGAGACAAGCGAAAAGAAGAGTAGCCGGATAAATCCGGAATGTCGAATCGAAACTGAAAAACGACAAAATCAAGGGCACAAGAGCCTTTGATTTTAAGAAGAAGCTGATGTTGGAGAAGGGGGGGAAAGGAAGAGGATAAGAGGGGGCCAGTCGGTGAGAAGGGTCAAACGGTATTTTTTTTAGGCGAACTTGTCGTTACCGCGACAGTCACGCCCGACCTCGGGAGCTCCCTGGTGTCATTGGGCGTGGTATGGTAAAATTGGTATTGGGCTGCGAAAAATACATACTTCGTACTGGTAGTAGGGCGCGTATAGGGATATTTACTTCCAATTATTGCTCAATTTTACTATTGTACTAATATAATCCTCTATATGTGCCCTTTGTATAGTCTCTCATTCTGACTTGAGTACATGATTCAACCAGTTTCACGGGTGGCAAACCTCAGCTGACTACATCCAATGTAGCCCTGTACTGATCAATAGAGCTACGCCTCGGCATCACTTTAGCCACCACATTATTACAACTTACTACGAGTAATTAGAGTATACCCAAGTCCTTATAGCAGAAAACTACAAGTCACATTCCTATACAATCATATCCTCCCGAGAAATTGTATTCCTGTCCCAGCTGAGCGATAGTCTTTCAAAACACCAGATCCTATCTATGCGCGATTTTCCTCAATTGTCTCAGCCGACTTAGACTTGGATCAAACATGCAACACCATGCTTACATCAACTACCATGATAGAAATCACAATTCCTCCTACCTAAAACGGTTCCATCGTAACATGGCATCGCTGCTGCGGGAGTTCATACCTGTCAAATCGGGCTGGTGACAGGTCATACTCAACCCCGTGTATCAGAATTACAGAATTTCAAAACGTCGTAAGTATGCATTGTGATGAATAAGAGCTTCCACGTGGCAACTAGGTCGATTTTGAAGTATAAAGAGAATAAACAAGAGATTCGCGGTGAACATGCTAGTGGTACAGCCAGAGTCCAATGAACATCGGAAAACCGGGGTATAAAAAGTGCAAGCCGGGGGAAAGCGTCAACATCAAGGCAAACAAAGGAGAATGAGAGATGGAAAAAGAAAGAAAAAGACAAGACAAGAGTAGACGAAGCAGAACTAAGAAAACAGCACCGCCAGTGAGTGGGAACAGACCGGACAGATAAGACCCCATCAGACGTAATGAAGTGGACAAAGAAGCAGAAAAGAGACGAAAACAAATAAAAAGGGTTGGAATTACACGTGCAAAACGCTCAGACGGTGCAAATCAACATATCTCAGGGCACATAGTCGTAGACAATAATGGATGGTAAGATCCTTAGATCACGTTGGACGAGCGCTCAGGTCCACCTTCGGTGTTCAGCGGCTTGGTTTGCACATCGAAACCAGCCCGTTCATCATCTTCCAGTCTCTTCCTCCACTCTGCCAGGCTGTCGCTCATTAGTGCGGGGCCGTCGCTATTATCCTTGGTGGGAGTCCGCTCCAGATCCAGCTGGGTGCTCAAACGGTAGTTGCGGTTAGTGCTTTCCCAGTGAGAGCGCAGAGCATCCAACTCATTGGCAAGGGAGTCGAGAGCCATGGACCCACGGTTGTCGGGGAAGTTAGAATCTTGCGACACACTGCTATCGGCTCGGGCCCGCCCATTGCCTGCACCAATTGTGTTATCAGAGGCGTCGCTGTGGGAGCGTGAGATTCCGTTGGTAGGCCCATGCTGGGACTGTCGGCGATATTGACCCACCGACGTTTGGACCTGCTCCAACAGCATGTTGACCTTATGCTCTGCATCTGAAGCACGAGTTTCAAGGTGGGTATTTTCTTGCTTAAGTTGGTCCAGTTCGGCACGACTTTGCTCAGCGGCAGCAAGTAGGTCTTGCTTGAGGCGCTCGTGCTCTGCTTGCGACATTTGCTTCTCGGCCGTAGCCTTGTCAAGAGCGTCCTTGAGCTCAGTGATCTGGCCTTCGAGACTAGTGATAGAGGATGAAGTTCGGTCTTGGAGTTCCGAGATTGATTGCTGAAGGCGGGAGCGTTCGGCATCCCATTCAGCCGAAGATGCAGCATCCTGGCTGCCGGAATTCTCGAGGCCTTTCTGAGCGGCGTCTAGCTCAGATTGCAACTTAGCGTTGCTGGTCTTGTATCGACTTAGCTCATCCTTCATGCGCTTCAACATTTTCTCGGTACCCTTCACGTAGTGAACGGCCGATTGGTAATCATTCTCGAGCTGCTCGAGTTTCTCCCGGAAGTTTTTATCAGCTTCCTGCTCCCGAGTCTCGAAGCTGTTCTTCAACTCTTCGTGGGCCTTCAGGCTAGCTGAGAGTTGTTGCTCGAGCTCGCGGAGTCGGCCTTGCTCCGGAGTGCCGAATCGTGATCCGGGTGAGTCAAGACGCGGAGACCGACCGGAGTCACTGTTGATGCCGCGTTCACCAAGGAGATCCTTCAAGGCGGCGTGTTGAGTGGCCAGAGCTCCAGCTTCACGTTGGTGAGTCTCTAACTGGGTCTTTAGATCCCGGTTCTCCGCGGCCGCTGCTTGGCTTTCTTTCATGGCAGTCTGAAGCTGTCTGCGCAATTGTAAACCTTCGCGGCTAGCCTGTTCCTGGTATGCTTCAAGGCCAGCGATACGTTCCTCTGCGCGTCGCAACTTGTCTGCGGCTGCATTGGCGGCAGCCTGATTTGCCTTTGCCAAAGTAGAGGATCTTTCGACTTGGGCTTCCAAGGCAGCAACTCGCTGGTCGGCACGAGACCGGAATGAATCGTCCAGGTCCGTGGAGGCTGCGCGCTCTAGACCAGAGACAAAGGCAAACTTGTGAGTCAGCGCTTCTTTGGCGTGGATTTCTGCCAACTCCTCTGCATCTCGAAGACGACGAGCGACATTTTCCAGTTCGGTGGTGCGTTCTTCGTGCTCCGATCGGAGTTGCAAAAGCTTTCGCTCCAACCCTTCACGGCGTTCTCGCTCTTCGACAAGTTGTTTCTCGACTAGGGCTGTCTTCTCCGCAGATACAGAAACTGCCTCCCGGAGCCCATCAAAGTTGGAGCCATAGTCCTTCAGTCGGGAAGCTGAATCTTCAATCTGGGCCAACAACTCCTCCTTGTCTAGGCTGAGCTGTTTCAGAGCGGCTTCTGCTTCTGCACGTAACATAGCCTCCTCTCTGGAGAGAGCCTCCGCCCGGTGAAGCTCGGCGCGCAAGGTTTCGGCTTCTAGAGTATTGCTCTGCATCTCGAGTTCTGCCAGGTGTTTCCGAGTAGCCTCATTTGTCTCTTCAGCGAGTTCCTTCGCTTGGCGCTCCTGCAAGAGCTCGGTTGTCAGCGTCTCCAACTTGGCCTTCAACTCGGCCTGGGAGGCTAAAGCAAGTGCCAGGCGACGGCCCATGTCTGTGGGCCGTTCCTCGTCTGCATCCTGAGGACCTTCAGGCTGGGGAGTCCCTCGCTGGCTACCACCGTGGGCCGCGAGCTTGGCACGGGAATATGCAGCTTCGTTGATGGCCATGTCACGTTGATGTTCCACTTCTGCGACACGTTTAGACGCGATGGCCGCCTGTCGGTCAACGGTGGCCTGCATCTTGTTTAGGTCTGCTCTCATAGCCAAGAATGCCTCGATTAGTGGGCGATCCTCATCATTCAATGTTTCATTGGCTCGGTCGTCAAGCGCAGGGCTACTGGTCACATTGGGAACATAACCACATTTCCTTGCAAGAGCGAGTTCTGAGGCGTACCAGGCGTTGCGAGCCTTGATGGCCTCTAGCTCCTTGATCAGGGCTTCTTGATGGGGATTCAGTCGAGGAGAACGCGGTTCGTCGCTGAGAGTCTTGGAGTTGCGGAAGCTCCTGGATTCAACTGAGCCATCAAGATTGGCCTGCCGACCGAGGATTGATTCTTCGCCACTGTCTACAGATGCACGCTGTCGCTGAGAGCGAAGCGACCGTTGACGGCCGGGCGTACTGATCAGAGGAGCTGCCTCGCCTGCTTCCATGGCCTTCGCCGATGGCTTTTGATGTTGGGTAGGAGTACGACGGCCAGCCGACGGTGGGCCTTGGGGGTCCTGGGGGATGTCTTTCGCCACTGGTGATTCAGCGCCGCGCTCATTGTTGGCGGCACGTACATCAATAGTGGGTGTGTACCCACGGTCGTTCTTGGTGGGAGTTTTGCTTCGAGGGTTCGCACCGGGTGGGGGACCGTTCCCGCGAGGACCAGGAGACGGTGCTTGCCCAGGCGGCGGTGGACCGGCAGGAGCTTGGGCAATCGATGCTCGGGGCAGCCTAGATCCCGGTCCCAAGGTTGCGGTAGGGACCCAATCTCCTTGCTTCCCGGCAGCTGCAGCCTTCATCAAGCTTTCACGCGATTGGCCTGGTCCCCGTCGCATTTGCTGTTCGGGGCCTGCGTTCTGTGCCTCGCGAGAAGTGCGCCCAGATGAAAGTCCGATCTTTTCTATACTTGTCTTTCTGGAACCCTGCTCGGGAACTCGTGGGCCGTTCTGGTCGTTGGGGTACCGGATTTTGCTGGTATCAAGGATGTAGGACATACTAAGCTCGTTGGGATCTCTCGGAGCCGAGCTTGGTTCTCCCGCTAGGACAATGATCTGCTTGCCAAAAGCGGTCATGCTGTGGCCAGAACGAGGGGATGGTGCAGGGCCCATATTTTGGAAAGAGTACCAGCGTCGGGTTGAGATGCGGAAGGCTGAGAGATCTCCTAGGTCCACACCTTCATCCGTGCGACCTCCAAATACATACATAACATCATTGACCAGAGCAGATGCATGTCCCTCCCTAGGAGCAGGGATGAAGCCCACGCAGTCAATTTCAGTCCAGCTGTTAGCGATGTGATCATAAGACCAAACGTCGTTGAACCACTGAACCCCATTTGTGCCTCCAAACAAGAACAACTTGTCATTGTAACTAACGATCGTGTGGTTGGTTCTCGCTGGGGGAATTTGGCCTGGCGGAGGGCCACCCTCGTGACTGTTCGCAATGAGCACCTCCCATTTGTTCGCCGGGCTTTGGAGCTGGTTCAGATCGAATGCAATTAGATCATTGAAGAAAAAGCCCTCTACTTGTCCTCCGAAGACGTAAAGTTTAGACCCCAAGATGTTCAGGGTGTGTCCATACCGCCCAGAAGGGCGAGAACCGGGAGGAATAGCACGGGACCATTGGCGAGATGCTAAATGACCCAAAGTCAGAATCGGTGTATCAAGAACGGATAGATAGTTTGCTCACATGTGTTCAAAAGATACAGAGTGTCATCAAGGGAATCATTCTCGTCAATTTTCGTGTCACCGCCGAACACAATGAATGCGTTTCCGACAAGCAAACTGGCATGGCCCACTCGGGGGCCAGGGCCTTCGGATACTGTCGCAACCTGGAGGCAGTTCAAACCACCGCCACTGCTTTCAACCATCCATAGATCTCCCTTGACAGTCGATCCATCAATTAGACCACCCATCATGTAGATGTCGCCCTCCTTGGAGGCTACCGCATTGATTGCTGCTCCATAACGAGGGAACGGGTTTGTTTGGGGAGAGGTGAAGTTCAAACGGCGTTGCGACCAAGGATAGAGAGACGAATTCGGGCTTGGAGGGGGATTCCGTTCGTAGGCGGCTGCGCTCGTTGTACCTGACGTAGTCATTAGAGCTATGTCCGCGCAAGACCAAGGATAGCACGAACGCCTACCTGGGATTCTGATTCGGCTCGCTGTCGCGGCCGTATTGCGTCCGGACTCTTGGGGCTTGTGGCTGAATGCAAAGAGTTGCTAAAGCTACCACTTGGGGTTGGTGTCTGCGAAGTCATGGCATCCCCTTTGGCGCCATTCGCCGTGGGCGACCCAGTGGACGGAGCACCCTCGGAAGTGTGGACATTTCTGGTCGCCGGAGGTAGTCCCTGGCTCTGGGCCTTCTTCGATTTAAACAAAAAGGCCATCGTTATTTGGTCGTAGTCGGTCGTATCAGGGGATCTGGCGCAGAGTCAAGCTGCGCCGGCGGAGTGGGATCTCCGACCCTGGAAAATCTAAAGAAAGGCGTCTATCCGAGAGTTGAATGATAAAGGGGGGTTGTTGGTTGGAGTCGTCTTTTCGGATGGGAAGTGGGAACCAGGAACCACTAAGAACCATAAAAACGTTTCCATACGCTCAGCGTTCCCCGAAAAAAAAAAATTTTGATGGGCAGGGGAAGGGTCGTAAATAACATTCACACTGAGATCCAATCAAAGTGGTCGACTATATCAAGAAAGGGGGAGGAGATGGAGGCAGGAAACATAAAGGAAAAAGTCCTGGAGAGCGTTTCAATTTCCCTTGGAGATGCTCTAAGTCAATTCGGTCTTAGTTCATGCATACTCAGGGGCACGTCCTACTACACATTTAAAGATGGCTTTCATCTATTTCAATGATTCAAGCATTTTACTATGTTCTTCTCTCCCATCTCGTTCTTTCTGTTTTTATGTATTTTTATGTATTTTTGTTTTTATTTTCTTTTTGGTCTCTCCAGCCTCCAGGAACGCCTCCAGGAACCAGGGGGAGCGGCATTCCCATCACGGGCATATCCACAAACATCTTGTATGTACGGAGTACCACGGTTCACAAGTATTCTAATGTGTAAGGTTTGGTCAACAATGTTACAACAAAGTGATTCAACTATTCGACTAAGAATGGGTCAGAGGGAATATCACTGGTTAACCCTAATCATCATGCAATTTCTATATGGAGTCACGGACTCGGACACGGTGTGATCACTGTGAACATTTCCCAGGTGGCTGCAGGTCCAATGATAATTCACCCGGACACTGCATTCCCCAATTCCACACGACGATCCATACCCCACAATGTGCAGTGCAAGAAACCTCTCAACGATGCCTTGTACACAGCAGACTACTTCACGACAGTCGAAGATAGTCGACGGTAAGTAAATGTCAAGATTCATATCACAATGACCAGAGGCGTTCAATTTGATATTCTGAGGAAGGGGGGTTGGAGTTCATTTTTCTGCCTTCCAGAAGAATTTGGCAGATCTCTCTCATGTGCCGATTGTCGGTTATCGTCTATGCTGTAGCTTATGTAGGGATGGATTTGACACCGGGAATTGCTAAGGACACCCCAACTTGCTAACGGCACCCACCCTCGATCGAGGTACTTTTGCCTGTATATATAGGTAGCCATTGGTGATGATTATAGATTTCAACATATCTTTGACTGCCTGAGGGATTGAATGCTAGATAGATTGTAGATAACCACTACGTTGCGTTGTTCGTTTGCTTTGACCTTCTTCCAGTGAGACTTCTCCAGTCCCTTGTTGCTATTCTTGGCCTGAGATTGCTGTCTTAGGTAGTGATATCATATATGATATCCCATGCAGTATGTCGACTTCTTCCAATGTTTTAAGACAGAAGCTCAGAAATATTGTACATATTTGTGAGGTTCAGCCGGCTGTACCTATGGAGAAGGTGAACTACTGTGTAGGCCCTGTAGGCTGTAACCAATGCCGGTGCCCGGGCTCACCTAGGCAGACACAATATCTCGGTTTTATATCCAAAAGAAGTGAGCGATAATACATCTGCTATATGACTGTCGACTGAAGTAATAATTGCCTACTTCCAATCGTATGCACCTGCAGCGTATGCACATGGCTGGGCAACGCAGTTCTGTACCTAACAGTCAGTGGCATAGGTTTGACACCCGTCACCCTTGACCCCACACCGCCTTGCATGTAGCATTCTGCTGCATCTTTCTTTAGCGTGGTCTCCCATTACCCTTATGGGTAGGCGGTGTATAAAAGGCGGTGAAACAGACGAGGGTATTCGAACTTATCCAGCCACTGTATGCAGTAGTTACTCCTCAGACGCCAAGACCTCATCCTGAGTAATCGGCGGATTATCTCTCTTTCCGGATAGCAACCCTCGCCTTGCCGAACCACATTCGCTCTAGACTCAGAAGACTGAGCTCTTTGGACAAGCATCGAACAGGCTGTGCGCTGAGCTCTCTCTGCGCTCCTGGGATATCTCCAGGACAGTCGCAAATCGGCACCAGCCCGTTCACACCAGATCCGATCCAAGCTCTGCCAGACTATCTCATCATCTGGCTCCTCCTCCAGCTCGACAACATCCAGATACCTGCGAGCGAACAGACGGAGGAAAATCACTCATTGTGACCGGTGACTCGCCGGGAATTGCAGCTTGCCTCGCCACTCGTTCCAACGCTTCTTTCATCCCTCATACTCGCGTAACACAATGAACGATCATACAACATGAGGGATCCCACTACCGATATGGAACAAAACTCGCAACAAACTAGCAATGGGCCAACTGCCTCGCGTCGCAACCCGCACAAATCGGCACGCGTCGCGTTTGGTCCTGACCTAGAGACTACTATTCCCACCCGCGAAATATCTCCAGCCCCGATAAGTGGCCACCAGCGTTCACTCACAACCGTTGACCAGAAGCCCAATTTAGCACCACCCGGTCGCCCAACTAGCTCGTCGGGCGACACAGCTGTCATCGGGGAGCTCCCATCTGGCCGTCCATCGCTTCGGAGATCGGAGAGTAGCCGACCGGCTACGCTGAAGAGAGCCAAGAGTGACTATGGACCGAGTCGGATAACATTTGATAAAGTGGCGGGTGACGATGACGAAGATTTCGCTATGCGACATGGATGGCAAGAGGAATATACTTCCAGCGAATATCTCAAGATCTTACATTCCGTGAGTACAACTACCGTGTTCCTGAAGTTCCAGAAGCTAACCTGTGTACTCGCTCCATATAGAACTTCTATATGTATTTCACCGAAAAACGTCATGAAAGTAACGGCATTCCGAGGGATCCAGTCGGAAGTTGGCCTAGTCAGGACTGGCGCATGAAAGATCGCCTGAAAACTGTGTCTGCGGCTTTAGCTATCTGTCTGAACATCGGAGTCGATCCTCCCGACGTTGTCAAGACGAACCCAACATCGAAGCTAGAGTGCTGGGTCGACCCTACTTCAACCACTGGTGGTGGTCAAAACAAAATAATGGAGCAGATCGGCAAAAAGCTCCAGGAGCAATATGAAACCCTGAGTTTACGGACAAGGTACAAACAATATCTGGATCCATCCGTTGACGAGACCAAGAAGTTCTGCATCTCACTTCGTCGAAACGCCAAGGACGAGCGAGTACTTCTGCATTACAATGGACATGGAGTTCCGTTGCCAACTCAATCGGGTGAGATTTGGGTCTTCAACAAGAATTACACCCAGTATATCCCTGTCCCACTCTATGACTTGCAGTCTTGGTTAGCCGGGCCTAGTCTTTTCGTCTTTGATGTCTCACATGCAGGCAATATTGTCCAGAATTTTCACACGTTTGTGGAGAAGCATGAGAAAGAAAATATCGAAGCTAAGAAACGAGACCCAAATGCCGTCGTCCAAAACTACGGTGACTGCATCTTGCTCGCCGCATGCCAGAAGACGGAGTCCCTACCCACTAATCCCGATTTGCCTGCAGACTTATTCAGCTGCTGCTTGACAACACCGATTGAAATCGCACTACGATTTTTTATCTTGCAGAATCCACTACGCACAAACATCTCTATTGACGACTTCCGAGTCCCGGGTCGACTTCAAGATCGTCGAAGCCCTCTTGGAGAACTGAATTGGATCTTCACCGCCATCACCGATACAATTGCGTGGAACACCTTGCCTCGGTCTTTGTTCAAGAAGCTCTTCCGGCAAGATTTGATGGTCGCTGCTCTATTCCGCAACTTCTTGCTCAGCGAACGCATCATGCGCACATACAAATGCCATCCCATCTCTTCGCCGGAATTACCGGACACGCATCATCACCCTCTATGGAAGAGTTGGGATCTTGCAGTTGAGATGGTGTTATCTCAACTACCTGCGCTCATTGACCAGGAAGAAGGGCGTCGGCAGTACGAGTACCAGCACTCAACATTCTTTGCCGAGCAACTCACAGCTTTTGAGGTCTATCTCTCATCCGGTCCTACGGAGAAGAACCCGCCGGACCAGCTTCCTATTGTTCTGCAAGTCCTTCTGAGTCAAGCACACCGTTTGCGGGCCTTAATCCTCTTGAGCAAATTCTTGGATCTCGGGCCGTGGGCTGTGCACCTTGCACTAAGCATTGGCATCTTTCCCTATGTCGTCAAGCTGCTGCAATCAGCAGCTCAGGAATTGAAACCCGTGATGGTCTTCATCTGGGCAAGGATCATGGCAGTTGATCACACTGTACAGAACGATCTGCTCAAAGACAATGGTATTCATTACTTCATCTCAATTCTGAATCCCTCATCGCCCATACCTGTGGGAAATGCCAGCGAACACCGTGCTATGTGTGCCTTCATAGTCTCGATATTCTGCAAGAACTACCCTCAGGGCCAGAATGTCTGCCTCTCTGGCGAATTGTTCGACTCATGTCTCAGACATCTTAATGATGTGGAAAATCCATTGCTGCGGCAGTGGTCCTGTCTGTGCCTTAGTATGCTCTGGTGCGATTTCCCTGAAGCGAAATGGATGGGAATTCGGTGTGCAGCCCCCGCCAGACTCTGCGAATTGAACTTCGATCCAGTGCCCGAAGTTCGTGCAGCCATGTTGCACGCTGTGACTACCTTCTTGGGTATTCCGGACCTGACAGACCAGGTGGCACAAATAGAGGAGACTCTAGCCTTGGCAGTCTTGCCCATGTCTGCCGATGGTAGTGTGATTGTGAGGAAGGAGCTGCTGGTATTCTTCTCAACATTTGTCAAACGCCACCAAAACAAATTTTTGGTTGCAGCATTCGAGGAACTACAGGAAGAAAACCAGTCGATCCGTCACCGTTTAGAGAGTGAAACCTCAACCACTCGATATGGGGCACAACCCTCTCCGAAGCCGCCCCAGCTATCTCGCAACACCACTTTCGGGGCTATCTGGAAGCAGCTGTTGGCTATGTCGGTTGATCCTCATCCTGATATTGCCCAGGATGCAGAGGTTATCGTTGATTACATCCACCTAGCCCTGCTGGAGTCTCCAATGGCAGCACTCACCAACCAGATTCAGAACGAGGTTCTGGAAACCACAGGCTTGTGGAAATCTCAACCCCGCGAGCGAGCTGAAACAAAGAAGACTGCGCCTCCGACAACACCCCCCGTGGCTGGAACCGCAGCCGCGAAGCAAGAAGGCTATCTTTCATTGGGTTTCAGGCGGACTGCCAGCGTCGCTGCTTCCCTCAAGAATCTTGCCTTTGGCGGTTCAGCAACAGACGCTTCCTCTGGCAACCCGAATGGCAGCGCACTTTCAGTCGGTCGTATGCCAATCACCCCACGCGGCCGGGCCCCTGCTGAATGGACCCGACCTCCGGAAGTAAATGATCATGTTGTTCCCGCCACGGCGTACCACCAGGCTCCTATTCCCATGTCACGGGGTTTTGAGCCCAAAGCCCTGAATGTCGCGCCAACCATTCCCTTGAAGAGCAGGTTCCTAGACTGGTCTACTGAGGTAAGTTCGACTTCTCAATGCATCCCACACCTGTGAGGTTTACCTTTGCTCACCTTTCTCAAGTATTTCCGGGAGCCTCAGATGAAACCCAACGAGCCAGATGAGCCCGGTAGCTCAGACTATAACCAGCGCTTATGGAGGCGCGGACGGAATGAGAAGATCATCGCGGAAACCCAACCTCTCAAAGGGAAGGCTGGAGCGAGCCGGTGGGATAATTCTGTGGCCTTGTTATCGAATGGTAGCCAGCCCCACAAGATGTGCTTCCACCAATTCGAGGACCACATTGCCGTCGCTGATGACCGTGATACAATTTCGTGAGTAGGAACAAATCTTTGGAGCTCGAATCTATCTGACTCTCGGCTTTCTATAGTATTTGGGACTGGCAAAGTCACAAACGCCTAAATCAGTTCTCAAATGGCAACCCGGCTGGGTCAAAGATCAATGAAGTCCGGTATATCAACGAGGATGACCAGGCACTCCTCATGACTGGGTCTTCTGATGGTGTGATAAAACTTTTCCGCCACTATGAGACCAACAAGAGCATCGAAATTGTCACAGCTTTCAGAGCTCTTCCGGAGCTGATTCCAAGCAACCGGAATGCAGGGCTTGTGCTTGATTGGCAGCAAGGCCAGGGCAAAGCTCTGGTTGCAGGCGATGTGAAGGTAATTCGTGTCTGGAATGCCGCCACTGAAGTGTGCACGAACGTAAGTTTCCAACACCCGGTCTATATTCATACTCGTGACTGACCGGTATCAAATGACAGGATATCCCAGCACGATCTGGCTCTTGCATCACATCCCTGACATCGGACCAAGTAGCGGGCAATATCTTCGTCGCCGGTTTCGGTGACGGAGCGGTCCGAGTCTTCGACCAACGCTTGAAGCCAACCACATCCATGGTCAAAGTCTGGCGCGAGCATAAGCAATGGATTACGAATGTCCATATGCAACGAGGTGGTTTACGAGAACTGATATCGGGTGGCCGTAACGGCGAGGTCCGACTCTGGGATCTTCGCATGGATAACCCAGTTTCCACCATCTATGCCACCAAAGACACCCTGCGAACCTTGAGTGTTCATGAGCACGCTCCAGTGTTCAGCGTGTAAGTTTAACCGCCACAAGTTAGTAGTTTTGTCCAAAGCTAACATGACACAGGGGTACAAACCGCCACGAAGTCAAGACTTTCAACGTCGATGGCACCTATCTTTCTACCTTCGAGCCCTACTCGAGCTTCCTTCACCACAACCGATCCTCACCCATTGCCACCACTGCCTTCCATCCTCATCGGACCGTGCTTGCTTGTGCCGCCCTCAACGACCATCATGTGAACCTCGTATCCTGCTAATACTCCAACTTCGGAACCCATTATTCTCAGTGGTTTTCAAGGTCTTCTCTTCTCTGTCCCAATATTACCCTTTCCTGTAATATGCATACGCATACCCAAGCAATATCACATGGTGTCTTGGCGCTTAACTCAATTAACCATACATGGAATCATGACTCTGTTTTGCCTGGCTTGCGAAATCATCCATTGGCCCTAGGCCCTAGGCCCTTGATATTCCTTGTGAACCATTTTGCTTTTTACGTGAGATAGTGCACCCGTTTTCGGGCCTAATGAACCCTTCTCCGCTGTTCTTTTATTTCCATTCTATCTATTCTAAGCTCCACTTTCTGTGGTAGAGTAGCGCCAGTCTGGGTTGTCGGATAGACGAGTGTAACCTAATTGTAAGTCTGCACTGGTCCCGGCGTTTCCTTTTCGTGCTATAATTTCCGAATTTTCATCTGCGAAGTATTCATCGGCACCTTCCGTCGCATGGTACATATTTTTGGAACATTATATCGAGCGTTCCTGCCTAATCTGGCCTCATCAAAGATTGACCATAAATTTTTCCAATAATGCGAAAGTCAAGCGTTGATGACAACCGTAAATGTGCCAGTTGGGACATGCGCAGGAGGAAAAGCACAGACGTCGATTGATAGACGTCCACGATCCCAACGCGGAACTGCCCAGGCAAAGACGCGATCACATCTTTGAACTCCTCCAGGATCTGCGCGGGAGTCCCAGCGATCGAGAGTTCCACCAGAATACTTTGTGTGGTGGTTTCCGGGCTCAGCAGGCTCAGATTCCGTAGTGCTCGCTGCACAGACGCAGAGGAAGTTCCCTTGAACGGGATTGCAATGGGGCGGGTTCCTCCATCGTAGGTGAGCACGGCATCCGGCCTGCCGCTGGTTTTCTCCCGATTTATCTCCACGACGAGGTCTTCAACGGTAGCAAATGGTCCCCCGTTCGCCTTCAGATTCCGGGCTGCACGGTGGAAACGCCGTGAAAACGAAGCGACGCCGCCAGATCGCGCACGAGTAGTCTCCTCTGCCCCGCATGCAGAAAAGAACCTGACAGGCCCTTTCGGACCTCTCGCGGGTGGCCCCAGAGTAGTAGCAACAATCTAAGATGCCGAGGGTATCGACATTTGTGGTGGCGTAAGTGGGGGCGAAGAAGGAATTGTGGATCAGGGGCCACTGGATGTTCTGTCTGGTTGCGCCAGCAACCAGCTTTAGTTTGCCGGTAGTGGCGTCAATCGTGCCATGCCCGACGTATGCGAGCACCAGCAGGCACGGTAGCGCTTTCCCGTGGGGCTCCATATTTTCTATAGTGGAATGAATGGTCCTCATGAGACTCAACCCGGGCATTCTGTCGGATGCCGCGAGTTCCATAACAGTTGGCTGCATTGCAAAGACATCCTTAAAGCAATTCGACAGAGTTACCACATCATCCTTCGCCCCGGTGTCGTCAATTTCGAAGTAGAAGAAGACGGCAGCCTTGCTGTGGTACGCAGCACCACGAGCATTCACAGCGGTCTCCAGGGCGGCTCTCACTTCCGGGAGACGAGGACGGTCGGGGGGCCCCATCATGAAGGTACGTTCGACCATGATGACCGTATGACGATATGAAAGAGAGCCAAAGCCGCCTGCCGCGCCTTCTTGACGGCTATACTCTCTGCTTGGAGCCATCAGGTACCTCTGTGTCTCATGGTATTCGGGAGAGACCTTTGGTTCAGAAGTGCGTGAGATGCGTACGGATATTGACTTGATGGAGACAACGGGGGGATTTGTCGCGTGCCTGGCGTATGTGGTAGATTGGACCACGGGAGAATATTCGACCCTCCATATGCCTTTGTTATCGACGAGCTGGCTCAGGAAGATCATCTCGTTGTAGTTGCTGATAAATCCATACACACAGCCTAGCTTTTGCATGTACTCAATTGGCTGGGCGAGTATTTTTCTCTTAGCTCGTGCTCAACCTGACCCTCCAGGATGTGATCGTCAACCCACGGTACCTTGAGCTCCCCAACGACGGAAGTTGGACAACCGATCATATGGACTCCCTTATGCTCAAGTCGGCTATGGTAGGCGATCTGGCTGTGACTATAGTAAGGCGAATTAGTCGAATGTTTAAAGCAAAGAGAGATGCAAAATGAATAGAGACATGCGGACGTACTACTTCCTCGATTCCTCGAAGCGTGAGCGGTCAGTCAGAGCACGGTCCTGACGAGTCTTCAGGTTGTTCCAGCGCATGTTATTGCTTCTTGCGCTTTCGGACGGTCGTGGTCGATTACAGCCTCACATCGGCGGGATAATTTAATCCCCACTGTGAGGGGGACGAAGGATATGACATGGCTGTTTCGGCGATGTTCGCCAAGGATCCGAGATGTACCTGCAGCGCATGTCTAATGGTATCCCGGAACAAGTGGTTTATCGAGGTAATCGGCGACGATTCGCGTGGATGCTCATCAGCTCCCAGGACGAACACATGCACCGTTCTGACGCTGAACTGCTTTGTTGTTGTTGATGATTCGTATAGAGGTTATACAGGCGAACGATGGATAACCGAAAGGAAAATATAAATATATGAAGAAGAGAGAAACAGATCAAGGAAAGAGGAGAAGAGTCAATACTTATAGGAAAGGCCACATGATACCAGCTGGGTTGCAAGAGGGATGTGGAGTTCGGGTTTGACATCTTACGCAGTCCTATGACATCTGCATCAAAGACTCATAATCACATGATATCATACACAAAGGCTGTCTAGTATGCTCTCGTCAATTTGAATCAACTTCCTCATACGGCTCAGGAGAAAACACCTTTGCCAGGCGGAAATGCAACAAGTCACGGATCTTGCGGGGGACTATGAGATGTTAAGGTTAGTGAATACAGGGAAAGGAGTGCTTGGGTACGTACCACACTCCGCGACATAGACAGGAACGGTACCACCCTCCAAACCGACACCGGCGCCGAGAATGAATCGACCAGTGAAGATCATTCCAAAGTTGATGGCGCCTGCCTCCAGGGCGGCACCAATAGTGTACAAAATGCAAGAGACAATGATCGCCATACGACGACCGAGATACTCATTCGCCGGAGAAAGGAGAAGAGCACCGGCAACGGCACCGAGCGGCATGCCGGCGTTGACTAGACTGTTGTTCGCTGAGGTCAAGTGCAGATCGACAAGTAGGTATAAATTTGCACCACTGATGAGCGACTGGTCAAGTCCAGACAGCATACCACCCATGGAAGCAAAAGCAACGAGGATCCAGGTGAATTTCGCCGGGTCGGTCAAGGTCATCTCGAAGCGGGACTTGCGGAGAACATGCACCTGCTCTTCGAGCTGCTGCAGTTCGAAGTCCATGGCAGCTTCGCGCTCGTTCTGTAGCTTTTGGTCTGCCACATCGTCCATCTCGAAGGCCACGGCGTCCTTCTCTTCATTGTGAAGGTTTTGCGGCGCCTCCACGTCTTTGAGGTCGGCCATTATAAGCAAGACTCCTTCTGAAGGGATATATGTGAAAGGGTTTACTAATGTGTATGAAGTAGTTATACCGGTGGGGTCGAAGTGTCACTGTGTCACTTCACCCTCTGCCAGGATAGGAGAAAAAAGACGATACAGGAGATGGCACGACCTGTATAGGAGGGGAAATGCAGGGCTATTTGAGGCTACTCCCGATGCCGATCAGAACGATTTCTCGCCATGACGCCCAAGCTCGGCGTGAGGTCTTCATCTGGAACTAGGTAGCAAGTGCCCGTGTTTAACATAAAAGAGCATTGATATAGTTGAAACTTAATTCATTCTCATAAGACGATCTCAATAACTAGCTAGAAACACAAATTGGAGAGATTTCATCATCACATCACTCATTAAATCGCCTAGTACTGGCGCTGATAACCAGAAGGCTCATTCTGGTCAACCCGGGGGTCAAGCTTGTTCAAAAGGTCAGAACCGTGGGGACCAGCTGTCTTTCCAGTCTTGGAAGTTTGTTCATCGTAGGTGCTGGTAGTGTTGCTGGAGCCGAAGCCAGGCTGGCCGGCAGAATGTCCGGTAGAGCTACCGTAGTTGTCACTGCCAGACAGAGGGTTGCTGGATCCGTGGCCAGAGTGGCCGGTGGTGCCACCGAGGTTGCTACCGCCAAGGGCGCCGCTCGAGACAGGGTTGCCGGATCCATAGCCGGATTGGCCGGTGGAGTGACCAGTAGTGCTGCCGAAGTTGTCACTGCCGGACAGCGGGTTGCTGGAGCCATGGCCAGAGTGGCCGGTGGTGTTGCCGCCTAGGGCGCTACCACCAGTGACGGGGTTGTTGGATCCATAGCCGGAGTGGCCGGTGGAGTGGCCGGTGGAGTGGCCGGTGGAGTGACCAGTAGTGCTGCCGAAGTTGTCACTACCGGACAGCGGGTTGCTGGAGCCATGGCCAGAGTGGCCGGTGGTGCTGCCGCCGAGAGCGCTACCGCCTGAGAGAGGGTTGCTGGCGCCATGGCCAGAGAGACCGGTGGTGTTGCCGCCTAGGGCGCTACCACCAGTGACGGGGTTGTTGGATCCATAGCCGGAGTGGCCGGTGGAGTGGCCGGTGGAGTGACCAGTAGTGCTGCCGAAGTTGTCACTACCGGACAGCGGGTTGCTGGAGCCATGGCCAGAGTGGCCGGTGGTGCTGCCGCCGAGAGCGCTACCGCCTGAGAGAGGGTTGCTGGCGCCATGGCCAGAGAGACCGGTGGACTGGCCGGTAGAGTATCCAGAGCTACCGTAGTTGTCGCTTCCGGACAGCGGGTTGCTGGAACCGTGACCAGAGTGGCCCGTGGTGGTGCCGCCTAGGGTGCTACCGCCAAGGGCGCCGCTGCCCGAGACAGGGTTGCTGGAGCCGTAGCCAGATTGGCCGGTGGAGTGGCCGGTGGCGAGGTTATCACTGCCGGACAGCGGGTTGCTAGAGCCATGGCCAGAGTGGCCGATGGTGCTGCCGCCCGTGACAGGGTTGCTGGAGCCGTAGCCGGTCTGGCCAGTGGTGTTGCTGGAGAGGGGGTTGCCAGAGGCATAGCCAGATTGGCCAGCGGAGTGACCAGTGGTGCTGCCATAGTTGTCACTGCCGGACAAGGGGTTGCTAGAGCCGACTGCAGATTGTCCAGTGGAGTGACCGGTGGTACTGGTGTGCTTGGATCGGTTATCTGCCAAAGAATGTTAGTTCAATAATTCTGCTGGAACTTTTCCAAAGTCATATGCTTACCAAGGTCACTATCGACACGGGGGTCAAGCTTGTTGGCGAGCTTAGAGTTGTGAGGGCCGGCATTGACAGTGTTCGAGCCGGTGTTAGATGAGCCATATCCACTAGCAGCGTTCGATCCACTGCGGCTGTCCAAGGCCTTTGCTTCGCTCACATCCATGGGACCCTTCTTGGCATCATGGACAATTTCACCGCTTTCGCCAACATGGCGATGGGTGTCAGCGCCGGTACCAAAGGCTCCAGATCCAGTGGCGACAGAGCCATGGCGGGTACCTGTACTGCTGCCGGTACCGTAGCCACCAGCTCCTGTGGAAGAGCCATGAGTGTTGGAGCCTGCACCGGTGGAAGTGTATTGGTTGGAGCTGTTATCTGTGGTGGTGTTTGAGGATCCGTAGGTATTTGAGGAGTCTAACATTGGTAGAAGTTAGTGTCACGATACAATGTCTGCTCAGCAAGTATAACGAACCATTAGAAGCTCTGGAGTCATCGTTGTCATGGTGGTGGCCGGTCACGGCATCCTTGACTTTGTGGATAATGTTTGACATGATGGGTGATGGTATGTTAGGAAGATGAAGATAGAGAAGTGTTTTTTTAAAGAAGTTGTGTTGATATTTGCGTGGAAAGGTTGTTTGGTTTGGTTTTGATATTATGGAGAGAAGAGAAGGAAGGGTTCTAGCAGCTGCTTTATATGTGTTTCTGTTGAAGCTTGTCCCTGATCCGATCACGATAGATCGCTCTACCCACTAAGAGGCCCAGTGACGCCATAACGCGGGGTGGCATACGAGGATAACCTATGAAACATGAATCAAAGACTTTTCAATGTCCACTTTACCGCTGTCATGACGTTCCAATTGACCTCGTGCATATCAAAAACGAGCTTGGGTGTAAATGAAAAGAGCTACCCTGTCATCTGTCGTCATTTTCTGGGCAAAGACCAAATACGCCACTAAGCTAGATCAATCAGGGATTAGTCTCCACGGCCAGCCACAGTTGTATGAGCCTGGCCAGCGCTGGGTGGATGTCCACGGTTTCATCTTAAGTGGTTCAAGTGGGCTTCCACATACATGGCGCCAATTATACAGGTTTTGCACAACCACATGGGGAAAGCTCCTCAATCCCTTTCAGCTTCGTAACTAGTTATAGTGTGATGCTTCATGATATAATCATTGTATTCCTTATAAAAGGCTCTTCGGCAGGACAATAACCACGAAAGTAATAGACAAAGAGATTCTAGAATAATCCTGCGCTAAACCCTCTCGGGCTTAGTAGGCGATGGACGGAGTACGTCATGTGGGGTAAGATATGTTTACAGCGCTAAGCCTTATTTGGTAAGCCCTATCGATCGTCCTATCGATCGTCAAGTCCAAAAATATCCCATGTTGATCCAACTTGATATCTGCATTGAATGACACAATTCCCAATGTTGTACCGTTGGAACCTTCTACCAGGTACAGTGCGGACCAGGAAAGACCTTAGAGATGGGATCCTAGCAGCGATGACATAGTTGGCAGTGGCAGCTCTTCAGCAAGTACTAGGTACGAAGCAAAAAACATACGTACCATGATTCTGATGCATATTGCTACATGTACGCAAGCGCCGGGCGGCAGTACCTATGCTGAGAAGTAAAGGCCTCGGCAGAGGTAGCTAAGGTGGTTCTCAATCAATTCTCAATCACCACTGGCATGCGGCATGCCTTAGTGAGTCTTACTGTCTGTCAAAATCTTCCTTTTATTATATTGGGAGAGAAACCTCACATAGCTGGACAAATCACAAAACTGTATCAAAATGTCATGTCACTGCCATTTGTCTGATAAATACCCCACCCAAAGTCCAGTATGTTTGTGCGTAGTGGTCATGTGATTCAGGCATCAAGGCCGAAATTATGCCTCAGGCAATAAACACATGACACCGCGGCCATGCCGTCACCTGGGCACCTGCACTGACCCGGGGTTTAGTCAATCCACATCATGAGTTCACTTCCCCTTCTCCACCCGACTTGACCCCCACGTATCCCCAAATCTTGTCCTTTTTCTTCAGGTTGATTCTGCTGTTGCGTTGACCGGCATCCGTGCGCTTTTGTTTCCATCAGCCGTAGTGCTGCTCAGTACTCGATGAGTGGCCGCCTGCTCGCCTGCCGCCAACCGTTGGATTGGTCAGAGAGTCCACCCAAAGTACCCGCGGGCTGTGGTACAGCGGAGCCGTTGCCATCGTCAATCAGTCACTCGATCCACCTCGTCTTTACTCGACGTTAGATATCTTCGACCCAGCCAGTCTGCAAATTAAAGTGGTTTACCCCATCTGCCACAGATATGCGACCGCCACGCTTGCTCATTGTTCTCTTCTGCCTAATCTTCTTTCCGATCCTCCTCACTATCTTTTCCGCGCTTACATCGCCTGAGGTAGCAACGCCACATTCGCTCGCTGGTCGGACAACTGGGTTGCGCGCTTTCTTCTCCTTCAATATACCATCCTCCCTTTTCCCCCGTCGGCTATCATAAGTCTGACTGATGATAACTCGACCTTCTTTCTCGCTCGACCAGCGGCATTTGGTCCGCTTCTACCGACCAAAGGCCTCAGCGGTCAGCTATGGGTAGGAAGTGGGTTTAGTGAGGGGGGATTAGCTGGTGGCGTTGAAGGGGAACTTGGGTGCTCCGATATCCCAGGCTGGGGCGAGGGCACCAATCATAAAAAACAAGACAAGGTCTTCAGGAGTACGGAGCAGAGTTCCGGCATCTCCGGAGGTAGTACAGTGAAGGATCAATCACCAAACCATCCGCGGTCAGTGTCGCAGGCCGATACCACCGCACAAAATGATCGAGATGATACAGCCACTCCGCTGCTGGCGGACGATGGCACTGACGATCACCTGCACCATCCGCTGCTTGAGACCGGTGCTTCTAATCTGGGAATGAGTCAGAAGCATGAGGATTATGTCCCAAATAAGCCACCTGCGCATGCCGATATTCAATCGCTACAGGAAACCGCCGAAATACAGGGGAAGGTAGTGCTGTTGAGTCGAGGTGGCTGTGGATTCTTAGAGAAGGTCAAATGGGCGCAACGGCGAGGAGGGATTGCTTTGATTGTCGGTGACGATACTCGAGGTGGCAATTTAGTCACTATGTATGCACGAGGCGATACATCGAACGTTACCATTCCAGCCTTGTTCACATCGCATACTACCGCCCATCTTCTATCATCGTTGATGCCTGGACACTCAGGGGGGACGGCTAGCTTGGGGAATGTGCTCAAATCCTCTCAAGCGAAGCAGGCTGACCAGGCTGACGGTAGCAAAGAACGTGTCGCAACTACCACGACCACTTTGGCTACTCCGAGTCCAACAGTGAGCAGCCATTCTCCGGCTAAGGAGGGACCTGCGCGCACGTCTCATTCCGCAGGCGGATTTTTACGTTCCATTGGGTCATTTTTGGGTCTCTGCGATACGAACAGGGGCCCACGGCATTTGGAAGACAGCAGACGTCCGCCGAGCAGCGGGAATATCGATTGGATCGACCTCGGTTCATGGGATGAGAAAGAGGGATTGTCCAGCGCGTGGAAAAGATCGACGGGTCTCAACCATCGCAGTAAGCCCAAGGTGGACTCTACGCTTGACAGCCGCAAGGCCGACATGTTCCCTGAAAGTTTTGACGATGACGACTTCGTAATTGGGGTTCAGGACTGGAGAGATCCGGATCTGATGCCTCCCAAGATCAGCACAGCTTCAACCGGAAATGATGCCAAGACTACCAGTGCAAATAAGGATCCTGCAGCTTCTTCTAATGGTCTCCAGGGTGGTAGCATCACACCGGGGAGTGGAGAATACCAAAGCATTGACAAGTCCAGTGCTAGTTCTCATGGCGCGCGCCTCAAAGGGTCTGAGAAAGAATCTACTGCGGCTCATGGAAAGACTGGGGATACTGCCAAGGGGTGGTTTTCGAGTCACTTTAGCTGGGGAGGGGGCCCTCAGAAAGGGCCCCAGCCTTCCTTGTCGCCCTCGGTGCAGGGAAGCTCTGAAGCAACCCAGAAAACGCAAAATAGCGCTCATGCATCCGACCTTCTCAGTGCGCAGTCTCCTGAGCATGAAGGACTTTGGGTCACCATGACACCTACGAGCATGTCCACCAGCCCCTTCTTCGATACTCTTTTAGTACTTGTCGTCAGTCCACTGCTCACGCTGACAGTCGTGTACGCGCTTTTGCTGCTGCGGTCACGAATTCGCCGTCGCCGCTGGCGTGCACCTAAGTCGGTTATCGAGCGGCTCCCTGTCCGGACATACCACACAATCACTACCACTTCATCCTCTTCATCTTCCAACTCAACACGACCACCTAGCCCTGGTATTATCTCCCCGACGTCTCCGCTTCTTGGCAACGGAAGCAGACCAAGCGCATCACGACCAAACAGACCCCGCTCAGAGACAGTTCCGGGTACTATGCTAGACCCATCTTCCCTACCCAAGGAGAAGTGTAACTTGCAGGGCGGATCTACTTTGTGGCGACGCAAATATACAGGAAGGCAAGTAGAGTGTGTCGTATGTCTTGAGGAATATATCGACGGACAGAGCCGTGTCATGAGCTTGCCATGTGGCCATGAATTCCATGTGGAATGCATGTAAGTGAACCAAAATGATTTCCTCCTGCTGGTTTTTAACTCACCTTCTTAGCACCCCCTGGTTAACTACCCGTCGGCGAACCTGCCCGATCTGCAAAGGCGATGTCGTTCGTTCTATGGCTCACTGTCAGTCCGGTGACTCACGAGTTCGTCGGGGGCAGTCCGATGACGATGCTCATTCTTCTCAACCACTCTCCCGAGACAGCGCATCTTCCGCTCCGGTGTTTATCGAAGGTGTCACCAATGATGCTTTAGATGCGGAAGAAACCGCAAGCCTACTTGGTGACCATGCCAGTTCGGCCCCACAGTCAAGCTGGAGAAATTTGGCTACTCTTAGTTTTTCTGCTTTGAGCGGTGATACCATATGGCACCAGGCGCGTGCTGATCGCAATCGCTGATCCTTATACTTCGACCGCTCTTTTGTTTATTTTCTCAATCATATCTCACTCTGAGATTTGCTCTCCTTGTATTGACGCATGCTGTTTAGCGATTTTGATTCTTTTTCGACTTGAATCTGCTCGGCGTTGGGTGAGAGCACCTTGGCGTGGGCGGTTGCAAGTGACTACAAATTATCTACGGGTCAATCGCTCAGAGATGGTTCTTTTGGCGTGATGGATATTGATGGATACTTTCAAGTCGATTAACAGTTGGCTACCATTAAGTATTGCTATGCCACCAACATTCTTACATTATCATACCACTACCTAAAATTCACGCTGTGCAAATGTACATTTACCCTACGTGGGACAGTAGATGCGAACAAGTGAGTCAAATTCAGGAAAAAGGGCCTTCATAATGTCTACAACGACCAATAATAAAGGCCACAAACTATGTATACAATCACAATCCTATCAACATGCAATCAAAACAATAGATACAACCCGAACATGAAATCTCAAAGCCCAATACCAGAACCAAACCATCCTCAAACCGACGGCACACAAGATAAACTACACCCAAACCGTCGGAACGGCAAAGGCCTTAACAACATCCCATTACACCTCCGCAACTGTACACCACTTTCATGCGGGCTGATATCCCACCACTCCATCCACTCAGTGCGCGGAAGCACATACTCCCTTCCGCACACAGAACAGGTCTGTCCGCCAGCGAGACGTACTTCGCGTGCACGCTGAAGCAGGGGGACAATCAGGGGAGGAAAGTCCGCTAGCTCTTGATCGGTGGTTTGATCTAAGTAGGGGAGTTTGGACACAGCGCGGAGAGCGAGTTCGCGCAAGGAAGGGGCGTTGCTGATCTTTGATGTTGTTTCGGATGGTCGGTTGTAAGGGGTGGGTTGTACGGGCTTGCCATCCATGTCCATGGTGTTGGTTGGACCTGTGGCCACGAGGATAGGGGCCCAGACTGGGTTGGGTTCGGTGTCTGGACCGAGTTGCAATGACGGTGGTGGTGTCAGTTGCAGGTGGATTCGGAGTGGCAGTTGCATTTTGGGAAGAGTGGAGTTGGTGGTTGGTTGTGGTTCTGGTTCTGGTTCTTCTTCGGGTTCGCTGTCTGGTTCTGGCTTGCAGTGCCAGGTTTCGATCTGCGCTTCTTCGATTGGGTGGAATGGGTTTGGGCGTGAGATTACGTGGTTCAGTTTGCCTTGTTGGATCAGTTTGAGGAGTTCCCAGGGGAGGTAGGTGAGACGGTTGACGGAGAGGTTGAGGACTTCCAGGTCTGTTAGTCTGCCGATTGCGGGTGGGATTTCGGTGAATTTGTTGCTCCGCAGACTGAGGACTCTGAGATTGTTGAGCTCGAAGACATCATTGGGCAGCGCTGATAGGGAGTTGTTGGGAAGGTAGATGCGGAGGAATGGCTGTAGAGACGTGAAAGCATTCTCCGTGGCCGGCGGCTCCGTAAAAGATGGAAGCTTTGTAAGATGTTTCAAAGGCTGCAGCAGACCCGGTGGTAGAGATCCCAATTGGAATCCACTGTGTGTATAATTAGCAGAGGGGCATAAAAGACATAAGACGAATCAGTCCCATCATTGCATACCCGAGATCAATATGCTCCTGTCCCTTCTCAAGACACTGCCCAACAACCACACGCGCAAATCGCTGCGCCTCCGACTCCTCCGTACGCTGAAACGCAGCAGCGGGATTCAGCAGCACAGAGCCACTGTCCATAGAAGGAGGCGCCGCCAGTCCAGTCGGCCGAGGATCAAGTACCGTCTTGCGCAGGTCCTCCCCCCAATTGGATCCATCTTCCGACGTCAAGAGCGACTCAGAACCAGGCTCATCACTCCCCATCCACACTCCACTATCAAAGTTTCTCTTCTCTCTAAACTCCGCCCGTTTGCGCTTCGGATCAGCCACCTGCTCCCCCCACCAGGTCCCGCGATACCGTCGTTTGCGCCCCGCGCCCGACACCGTCGCATGGTAGTTCTCCAGGCCGGATGCTGGGATGTCGTCGCTGGAGAAGAGCGCTGGGTCACTGGATGGCTGGCTGGAGCGATCATCGAAGCGGGAGAGTCGTCCCGCGCGGTAGAATGAGGAGACAGCTGTGCTTGGGTTGGTGGATTTTGCGGGCGAGCGGTGTCGGATTCGCCGTGGCGGGGGAAGGGGAATCTCGTTGTCCATTTTCGGAGATGATTGATTTGACTTGATGAGTCGCGACAGGATTCTCAGTCTTCAGACCATTGGAGTTCCAATTGGGAACGGGAGGGGATGGGGTGGGCGCGCGTGACGCGTTATGGAGAACCCGCGATGGCGGAGCGTCAACAAACGCGCTAATGGCGCGATTGGAAGTCGGAAACAGCTGCCGATGTACTCGGTTGGACTTAATTGAGAAGTCCTTCCAAGATTTTGTCGAGAATGGATGTCTCAAAAGAAAGAAATGGAAAAGCAAGATCAGAGCATAGATAAGATCAGATCAAACACGCGTGGGTGCACGGGCATCAACCCCGGGACTGACTTCCCGCTCCTCGGGAATGTCGCCCAGGTGGTGGATCGACATGATCTTCTCTACATTCTTCACACTACACATCGATCTACAAGTCTATTATTGTACACAGTATATTGTTGGAATTGGTATCAGATGGGGGAAAATAAAATGGTGCCTATATTCTGTGAATGACTAGCCGACACATAAGCATAGCAGATATCAGCCAGACCAGTCCGACGACGGCCAAGTCATTCACGCAAGCAAATATGGACAGACGAATTGAATGAAACAGGTGTTGAAGAAGAGAAGAATAGAAGCATAAGCTCATGTCGGTCCACAAAGTCGTAAAGTATAAAGAATCAAAAAAGGGGGTATTTGAACAGGCGTTAAACCGTTTCCTCTCCAAAGATGGGCTCTTCAGCAAACCGAGAGGAATAGAAATTGAAGGGTATAAGAAGGTTCCAAAAAGGTATAATGAAGTATAATGAAGAAAGATCCCCGCTCTGCTGAAGACGAACGGTAATCGACAAGGCGGCAGTCAGGCAGGTATGGGGTGGATGGATATCAACACCCCAATACATGGTCAATGTCGGCATGAATTACTCTCTCAATGAGTTTTGAGTGGCAACTCGGCGGTGATCATAGGGCCTGGCCCACCATCACCACGATATAGCCAGCGGCAGCCAAGGCAGCTGGCATGCCAGCACCAATGTGGGCTGCGGCGCCGGACGAAGTTGTGGCTGGAGCGGAGGAAGTAGAGTCCGCGCGCGACAGAGGAGTCGATGTCGTCGCAGTCATGGTGGTCATGCTAGACATGCTGGGAGTTGGGGTTGCGGAGTTGACACGGACCAGGGTCTTGGTGATGGTCGTGGTTGCGGTTGAGGTGGTGGTTTCCTCTGCGACGGCGAAGGGTGCCGCGACCAGGCAGAGGGATGCAATGATGGCAGTGAACTTCATTTTGGAGTTGATTGGTGAAGATCAGGGACGAATAGAGGGAGCGAGGTGATTTGGCTGTAGTTCCAATGCGATATAATGTATACTTCGAGTATAAGATTGTAGTTGAGGCAAGGCGAGAAGTTGGATATGGTAACGATCGTGGGGAGGAGCGCTGCTCAGACTAAATGAATGACTGCAGGTATAACGAATGGATACGAGAAAGAATCTCTAAAGTGCCTGTAAGAAAGGGAAAAAAAGAAAGAGAAAAAGAGGAAAAATTGGCGCCATGGCCGGTAAATAAGACGAAGCCTGGGGAAACGGGGAACTGTCGTGACTGGTTATTTCTTTATTTTTTTTTATTTTTCATTTTTTGGTTTAATTACTTTTCCTTTTTTTATTGATTTTTACTCCCTAATTCAGTCCTCTGATTGGTCCAAATATCACACTAGGCCCTGGAACTATTCAAGATTGGGCTTCTAAACCCTCAGGGTCTTCTCTGACGCTAGGGGGACTTCAATTGTCTTATTACTATGGCAATGGCGATTACAATCTACATCTGTAGTTAACTATATCACTACTGTGTTACTAATTAGTTAGGTATTCGTTGTACTAGTTAGTCTGTTCATTTGTTGTGATCCCAACAATAACATGTAGTCTCGTGACTAGAGATGATCATACACTACATTTGATCGACAGGGACTCGATGTCTAGACACATCGATTGTAGATTAAACAGGTCTAAATGAACTCGTGTTCAAAGCGGGTACTCCGTACGGAGTACATACTCAGGATTAATTAGGGCTTGCCCAATGCCGACCCAATTCCCGGGGCCGGGTTTTCCCTGACACGTTGGAGCCAGCACAGAAGAAACGTGTTCACCGTTGAAGAGAACAAGACAGCACATTGTTCACAGGAAATCATGCAACATCATTTACTCTACTACATAGTACTCCGTACATTGCACGAGTCAACGTTCTCGGCCCTGTTTGGATTCTCTCTCATTAAACTGCGTACGCTAGGGATTCCTAACAAAGTAGGCCCGAGCGAAGATCGAATGCTAAATGGTTCATTTCATCTCTCGTACCTGGGAACTACGATCCACAGAGAAGCTGCATGAGAAAGTCTTTTTATTTTATTTTTTTCATTTTTCCACGCTTTCCCCCTTCTATTCTCTCTTCTTCTCTCTTGTGGCCAGGCCAGGGTAAATTCGCACCAACCCTCGGCCTTGGCTGGGGAACAAAATCGTTCCTGTACTCCGTATGCTGTACGCAATACACTGGTCGGTACGGCGAGAGATCAAGTTTCTCGGACTTGTCTGACGATCTACCAGACTACCACAGACCAAGTCATAACAAAGAAGTTCCCGTTCCTGACGCCAGGGGTACCGGAACCGACGGAGACACCCGAGAGGCGAACACCTGCAGTAGTGTGATGGCCCAAGCCCTCTGGCCGCTCTGGGCAGGGCAGAAAGACAGCACACGCTATTGTCAGCACTTAGGGAAACATACACCGAGCCCATTCTCGTCTCGTATTGTTAAACTGAGCCAGATTGGGACGGGGCCGAAATTACAATAGTAGTAGTTATGTAACTACTCCGTAACTGTACTCCGTACGTATCTTTACATAGTGTTTTTCCTCTGCTGGGTGGGGATTTTCTATCTTGCCCGGCTGCCGCCGCTTTTATATAAGGGCGCTCAGAGTCCGACTCAGTAAGTAAATCTCAGTCCGGGCTCACTATATACTTGCTGTGTACAGAGGAAACAACTAAGTTAAACGAAGAATAGTCTCAATACCGCCCACGTAGAGCAATGGGGGAGGTAACATTAAAGAGTGCTCTGAGAAGAAGAGGGAGCATAGTCATATCTCATAAAGGGGCGTCAGACGTGAGATCAACTTATGAGAACCAAGCGCAAATCAGTACTCCGTATCAAAAGCAAATTAAGAGAAAACCCAGGAAACTCGCAAAAAAGCAGGAAAATCGTCCGGAAGATACAGAACCACGAACGCAGAACAAAGACAGCAATATCCCGGCATTGTTCGAGGCATTCCTTGAATTAAAGTAACTTGTCTGTAATCTCCTCGAAATCTTGTTGCCCTACCACGATGTCCCTCTCCCCTGGACCTGGGGGGCGATCCTGGATTGCAATGAAGGGGAGAATCATGGGAGCCCCATCAACAACATTGGGCATTCCGGCAACAGAGTTTCTGGTGACATCAACGTGGTGGGCACAGTAGACTTGCTGAAGCTGTGCTGGCTGTCCGGTTAATGGTGGGATGTTGGGGGTTTGTGCGCGGAGGGTATCGATGTATCTCTTGGTTAACGGGCGGGGTGCAGTACTAGGGGCCAACTGCCACTGCTCGAAGCACACAACGTTCTCCCTCACATTGATAAGGATGACGATCCGGACGTCACCTGCGGAATCTGCGAACCATTTCCGTGCATCCTGACGCAGCCGACCAAGCGACTCAGAGACACCTGTTTCAATCACAAGTGATGGATAGCCTGCGTTTTTAATGGGTCGTGCATGGCGAGAGGGGGGCAAGTACGAGTTGTCAGCTTCTTTGCCTTTGTTCGTACCGAAATGGTACGTTGTAGATCCTAACCAAAACACCTCCCTACGAGGGAGGCCCATAGCTTTAAGCTCATCGTGGATTACCATGGAGAACTGTGATGTAGCGCCCTCGTGTTCTCCTCTGGGGACAACCTTGATAAGGCCAGTCGTTCCCTCCCATTGGAAGCGATACGGGACACCGTGAAGGGCGTTGCGTTTGGTCGTAAGGGTTTCAATTATTGTTGATGATAGACCAAGAACCACAATCCACTGATTGCCGCTGGTATGGTCTTCAAACCATTCAAGGATCCAGCGTGCCTCATGGCGCAGTGACCTTAGTGAAAACGAAATCACGTAGCCTTGCGGCAGATCAGACATGAGTGTGGGCGCCGGATCTGACATTACGTTCCGAGACGGATTAGACATGATTAAGGGAATAGGTAGGCTGAAGATAAGACGTCGTTGGTTCGAAGGTATTCGAGGCGGTATCGGGCTAATCTATCGAACAACCCCACAACCGTCGCCCTTTCCCCAAAATGGATGTGGGAATAGCCTCATTTTCCATTGCTAATTTCCATAGCAAATTGCTATGGAAGGCCCGTGGCGTGTCACGTGACTGACTTCACCGTGAGTCCGTGACCGAAGGACAAGGGTCATGTGATAGAGGAGGTGATTGTTTGTTCGTGCCTGAGGCACGTACCTGATGAGCATAAAAGCTCCTCTCAGATAGTTGCTTTCTTTCTTTCTCTTTCTCTCTTCACCTTTAGTTTTCTGAATAACAGCACTCTTTCCACAAAAGATTTGGCTCATAAGAACTACTGGCAAATTGAAGCTGGTTGCTGGCGCAACCAGACAGAACATCCAGTGGCCCCTGATTCACAATTCCATCTTCTACGCCACCACCAATGTCGATACCCTCGGAATCTTAGATTGTTGCTACTCAGGGGCAACCCGCGAGAGGTCCGAAAGGGCATGTCAGATTCTTTCCGCATGCGGCGCAGAGGAGACAACTCGTGCGCGATCTGGCGGTGTGGCATCATTTTCGCGGCGTTTCCACCGTGCAGCCCGGAAGCTGAAGGCGAACGGGAGACCATTTGCTACCGTTGAAGACCTCGTCGTGGAAATAAACAGGGAGAAAATCAGCGGCAGGCCGGACGCCGTGCTCACCTACCATGGAGGAAGCCGACCAATTGCAATCCCATTTAAGGGTACCTCCTATGCGTCTGTGCAGCGAGCACTAGGGAATCTGAGCCTGCTGAGCCCGGAAGCCACAACGCAAAGTATTCTGGTAGAACTCTCCATCGCTGGAACTCCTGCACAAATCCTCGAGGAGTTCAAGGATATCGTCGCATCTTTGCCTGCACAGTTCCGCGTCGAGATCGTGGACGCGTATGAATCCACGTCAGTGCTTTTCCTCCTGCGCATGTCCCAACCGGCACATTTACGGTTGTCGTCAACGCTTGACTTTCGCACTATTGAAAAAATTTATGGTGCATCTTTGATGAGGCCAGGTAAGTCCACTTAAAGCCTGACTGAGAATGGACTTCACTCAGACTAAGAAATTTGTAGCTTCTCTGCCTGTTCTGGTGGCCAAAGAGAATGTTCGGCCTAGCCCCCAGATGTGAGGACCCGGGTCTACAGGACTGTCGCCATTCTTCGTGGAAAGACCTTACTGTTGAGGCCTTGGTGCTTCAGACATACGATTATGCACTTCCCTCTGAGGGGATAACTAGTTAACTAGGGAGTGTACCTGCCTCCAGTTTGCAATGTAAGACAGCGAATTACATGGGATCCACTCGTCCCCATCTCCATGCCTCTTCACTTGGGAGTTAAGACTGACATATCCAGACCGATCCCGGAATATGAGTACCACATCGATGCTCACACGATCTTCCTGCTCCGCGCTGAGTTCAAGCCCTTCTGCCGGCTTCCTACTGAACTGCGCGTCATGATGTGGGAATATGCCTTGCCCATAGTCGACCCACCAGCAATGACGCCTTACAGACCTGGCTGCTGGCAACCCAGTCCACCAGAGAGCTTGGCTCAGGAAAAGACCATACCCGAGCGTCCTTGGCTTTCCACCACGAGCGGCTCGACCGTGGGTAACGCGCACCATCAGTATGATAGCGGATCTCCTTGATGCCAATGCTGATGGACGTGTGCTGAGGTTTTAACAACGGCCTATCCATGCCGAATGAATGTCGGTCTCGGAGATCCCAGGCTGAGCCGGGCCAAGATCTGCCATCAAGCGATGCCATTGAGACCAGAATGGTGACAAGATCCTTCTCGGGCCTTTCGCCACGTCGCCCGTTATTGCAGACCCCGAATCTACTGGTTCGTCTCGGAACGTAATGTCAGATCCGGCGCCCACACTCATGTCTGATTTGCCGCAAGGCTACGTGATTTCGTTTTCACTAAGGTCACTGCGCCACGAGGCACGCCGGATCCTTGAATGGTTTAAAGACCATACCAGTGGCAGTCAGTGGATTGTGGTTCTTGGTCTGTCGTCAACCATGATTGAAACCCTTACGACCGAACGCAACGCCCTTCACGATGTACCGTATCGCTTCCAATGGGAGGGCACGACTGGCCTGATCGAGGTTGTCCCCAGAGGAGAACATGAGGGCGCTACATCACAGTTCTCTATGGTAATCCACGATGAGCTTAAAGCTATGGGCCTCCCTCGTGAGGTGGTTTGGGAGGTGGTTTGGGTTGGATCTAAAAGATACCGCTCCGAGACAACAAGTTCAGTCCGGAGACGATTGTTGATTGGTCAGAGGGAGATCTACTGTAAACAATGACTGTTCTCTGGTCAATTGCATAATAGCATGGCCTAGGTATGTTCCAGGTATGGCGACAACTTCACCATACGACCGGATATCTTCCATGACCTTTTTGCCATGGGAGGATCTCGCCGGCCGCGAGTTCCTCACGCACTGTCCGCCGGATGTACCCCCTCGTCATCGAATTGTGGCTCTTTTAGGCACGACAGATCTCAACAATGCAAGCCGGCCCGGTGGCGACGGGTGGTTTGTATCAGATTGCTACCTTTTCCATTATCTCCTTGCCCAGCAATTCTAACGTCGTATGAAGCATGAAGATAGGTATATATCGGAATTAAACTGATTCATGTTGCAATCCATACCCTCAATTTGGCGATTAAAACTGTGAATATGATCTGAGTTATGTGGTGCGCCTCCATCGTTGGGGCTGTACCTCCATATATATATCTCCCCGGGGATGTCTGTTGCCAGGACTACCTCAGGTAAGTGCCACCGGGCTGCCATCCAATCCCACTAACTCTGTCAATGGATGTTCCATCCAGCCTAGGTAACTAGTAGGCAGCAATCCGACTAGAGGAGAGTCCGTGTAACACCGAGTGGATGACAAGGTTTCAAGGATTTAAGCTTGTTGACCTCATGAATGGTATCAAAAAGTTAAGTAGCACATAAATCAAGCATTAATATCACATTGTCAATCTAATTAATAACGTCGCTTTTTAAGTATCCACTAGGTCCTTCCTTTCAATCATTCCCAACCATCTAAAGCGAAGGCTTTTCATTTTTGAGACCCCCGAACTGATTCCTCCATAGGTTTTGATACTTCCCACCCTCCTTCTTCAGCAGCTCTGTATGTGACCCACTCTCCACAATCTGACCCCCATGCATAACAAGAATCCGATCCGCATTGGAGATAGTAGAAAGTCGATGCGCAATGACAAAGGTAGTGCGCTGGGCTCTCAGTCGGTCCAACGCAGTCTGAATATCCGACTCCGTGCTCGAGTCCACCGCACTTGTCGCTTCATCCAGCAAGAGAATCGGCGATTTTTTCAAGAAAACTCGAGCAATGGCTATCCGCTGTAGCTCACCACCAGATAACTTAACACCCTGCTCACCCACGGTGGTGTCGTATCCGTCGACGAAAGTCAGGATCTTCTCGTGAATAGCCGCGGCTCGGCAAGCTTCGTGGACCTCTTCGTCCGTGGCTGATGGCCGGGCATACCGCAGATTCTCGATTATCGAGGCGTTGAACAGGACCGGATCTTGTGGTACGACGCCGATGGCCTGGCGTAACGAGCTGAGAGTGACATCACGAATATCCTGGCCGTCGATCTCGATATGGCCTGAAGTCACATCGTAAAGCCGGAGGAGAAGTCTGAGCATTGTTGTCTTTCCTGAACCAGTCATTCCCACTAGTGCGACCGTAGTACCGGGATCAATGGAGATATCCACGTCCTTTAGAGTCTGTAAGCGAGCATCGTATGCGAAATTCACATGATGGAATGTAACACGCCCGTCGCAGGCTTTCAATGGCACGGCATTCTCCCTGTCTGTGACGCTGGGCTTCGATTGGAATAGGAAGAGTAAACGCTCTGCGTCAACTAGATCCGAGACGAGCCAGCGATACCGCGCGGAGAGATAAGCCAATGGCGAGATCAGCGAGGACCAGTACTGGATAAAGAAAACGAAGTCTCCCGTTGAGGCGCGCCCTAGGGAGATCTCATGCACAATTAGCGACGAGAGGCCAACGAAGCAAATCGGCTTAAGCATATCCATGAACGACCTGCCAACTGCGCGGCGTCGGTTAAACCGGGCACTGGCATCTAGACATAGGTCAACTGCTTCGCCGAAGCGGGATCGCTCATACGCGAACTGGTTGAAGTATGTGACTGTCTGCCAGCCTTGTACGGCCTGATGCATTATGCGGGCTTCGGTTCGTTGCGCTTGCGTGAGTTCCCGTCTAGACTCCATGCTCCAGTTAGAGGTATAGACCTCCACTGACACATATAGAATGGCAACCACCACGACCAACAGGGAGGCGTAGGCGTTGAACTTCAAGTAGAAAACAACACAAGCGATGCATAAATCGGCTAGTGTCGGGGCGATGTCTAGAATAGCAGCTTCCAGCAGATTATTCAGTGCTGCACCTTGGTCGATGGATTTCATAACTTCTGCCGAGTCATTTTCGATATGAAAGTCCATTGATAAGCCCATGACATGGCTGAAGGCAGCGTTGGTGATCTGCCGGTAGGAGAATTGTCGGATTGGAATCTTGACGAGGGATTCGATCAGGCCCAGCCCAGCTCCGCCGCGGATGAGCTGTAACAGCGCCCACTTTCCTAGCGAGGTATACGGGGTCTTGTGCGCGAAGATGCTGTCAGTGACATCCGCCAGTTGCTGAGGGATGAGGATGTTCAGCACTCGGTGACATGATAAACAGAAGATGCTGACAGCAATGCAAAACTGGACTTTGCGATTATTCCTCGGTACCAAGTAGGGTAAAAAGATCGCAAACCCTTTCAGATACTCCCACCAACCACCCAGTGTTTGCAGTTGCTCATTGCGGAGCCGTTTCTTGCGCGCGGCTGCATCGTTTTTCTTTGTGCCGGTGTCCGACTCGCTCCCACTCTCGGAATCCAAGCTGCTGTTGTCCGAGTGGTTGCCGTCCAGTGCACCGTATCCCGTCCGGTTGCCGTTGAGGAAGGGGCGAGCCTCGTCCGAGGTCTTCTTCGTCGTCTGTCTGTTTTGAAGGAGAATCACACTCACCACGCAGACAAGCAAGGCTAGTCGAACTGCAGAAATGGAAATCTGCGTGATTGGTGCCCATCGTGTTGGTTTGAGACACAAGGAGAGCGCAAGGAGTGGTGCCTCGAAACCAGCGGTGACGAGCGAGGCTCCAGCCACTTCGTACTTGTACGGTCTCTGTTGTCGCAGCCACAACGCAGACCAGACAACGACCTGAGAGGTCGTATGTACCAGAAATGGTTGGGAACGGTCGAAGTCATCGGTGGCGATGTCCAAGACGGTTTGACTGACATAGGTGAAAACAATCAGGGCAATCAAGATAGCCCGGGGTCGGATTCGGCGCTTGAAGCGAGCACTCTTTCTTTTCTTGACCGGGGGACGATTGAATAAAACACATGTCACAAGGTAAAGACTGGCAACTAGAGTACAGCTGTAATGAAGGACCCGAGACGCCAGCTGTGTCTCCATGATGGGAGGTGGGACGAACGAGGCTCTACTAAGCCCACCCTAGCAATGGGTGGTTCTTATAGAGATTTCAATGTTGAGCCTCATAGCTATATCTAGAACCTTGGTATCTGCCTAAGCGGTTCCTTATTGGACGCCCCGGGCACCGGTGTTCATGCGCGATTGTCATCCAACGAAGTGCTGCGCCAGGGGGGCTGGAGAATGAAGGGAGTCCAAGCGGGCGTCAAACCAAAAACTGGGCTGTGGCTGTCGGCTTTTCAAAAAGAACTTATTGGACAACCTGCAGATCGAAATGGAATGTAGCCTACTATGTACACCGTTGATGCTCCTGCAATGCTTTGATTGAAGGGCCATATAATTTATAACGTTGAGACCATACAGACTACAGTGGCTGGGTTGGCCCGTGAGGGCCGTGACTCATTTTTAAGGAATATCAGGGGGAAAATATTTGATATCTTTTCATTCTTTTATCTTCTGACGGCTAACTTGAAGATATCCAGTCAATAGCTTGCCACAGAATGTCCCTGACTCCCTTATACGAACTCATCCCAACAATTTGACTCACGTTTAGGTACTTGGCGGTTGAGTAGCCTATGAAATACCTACATACTCATAGGGCCTGCCTATATCAGAGAGTGTTAACACCTTCAACCCAGCTGGGATTGCCGCTTTGAGTCCCCCTTGGTGGCTGGAACAGAAATCCAGCGAAGACCATTGCAACTGGTTTCGGGATTCGCCAGAAACGGGATCTGGCAGATATGATACATTGCAGAGTGCAACAGTTGCAAATACACTGAGTGTTTGGGAGCCGTCTTCATTGTCTGTTGCCACTTCCACTGGGAAGAGTCAAGAGTCAAGACAAGCTGTGATCAGGTCGGCTCAGCCGTAACGACCTGTTAGCGAGAATCACTGACATTGCAAGGCTGACACAAATATCGAAAAGCACATTAGCGTGTTGGAATTTGGCGTTAACCCCGGGTTTACGCCACCGCGAGTTCTAATTGAGTCAGGTCTGAAACGAAACGGCGGGAGTTGGTCAGTCCCATTCCCCCATAGGGCAATTGGCTGTGGCTTGATTAGACCCAACAGAGGGCTTGAACATTCAACGTGGCCCTGCAAGCAATATATGGAGATATATGGCGCATCGGAATCCGTGTCACAATGCGCCTAGGTAGAACTAACTGGTCTTGCGCCCTGAAGTTGTACCATTCCGTGTCTCAGACCACTGTTTAAGAAACGTTATCTAGGTAGTCAGCCTGGGCTGCATGGATATGCATAATCAAGGGCATTCGGCCTGATACTCCACTGATCTATTTTTGACCTCAATGCAGTTCCCTGAGATGGCCTACCTGGTTGGCTTTGGTCCCTCACACCCGAAGGTTTGCTTGTAGACAAGATACTCGATCTGGAGTCAAAAAAATAGCATAATTCCATGAGAACGCCTAACTAACATGGCTGGGAGACCTGACAAGTGAATTGAACTTCAGCGTGATCCGGGTACTGCTGTATTATGTACATAGCAATGTTGAAGTAGCAAGTACCCATGAGCCCATCCGTCAAAACCATCTTGAGGTAGTATTCCTGTCTCTTGAGACCACCAGAAGGAAAGATCTCTCAGTCATACGGATTATAGGTATATCGTACAAGGGGACGTCGCCAGGGTTTGGTCATGTCGCATGTTTCCCAAGTGCAATCTGAGACTGCGGGAAACGGTGTTTACTGGCCCATCGGCCGGAGGGGGTTCTGCCGGGGGAGCATCATGGGAGGTCCGCGGGCGCGGAGCCAGGCATCGTTGACGGGACCCTCGTTGCGAATGACGCTACCGACGGACATGAAGAGGCTATTTGGAGATGGCTTGGTTAGCGGTCGATTCTCGAAAAAAAACGCAGCATATGTCCCAAGACTAGAGATCCAATCTTACCCGAACATTCCACCTGAGCCCAACATGTACTTGCCCAGAGTCCGCATGACACCGTTGGGACCAGCGCCGTACTGGAAAATCGTCACCGTACCTACTCCGGTCAGCTTTCCAGGCCCTCTTGTCTCTTGGCCAGGTTTACGAGCACAACGAACCGATAATGAAGCCCATGATACCGCCGACAGCTGTGGTGAAGCTAGGTTAGCAACCTCCCGATAAACAAGGCTCGGTCGTTTTGCGATCACATACTGGAACCCATCAAGGCGCCCATTTTCACTAGACTCCCGTTAACTCATCGCCCTAAGACCAATGTTGCGCTCTGAACAATAGGATCACCAAGGTGATCTATACTGCTCAAGAGCTGGGTTATAGATGACATACTCTTGTCGAAAGTCGAGGGACCGTGTGGGCCCCCTTGGGCGGGAGGACCAGCTACCACAGGCATTATGAAAGGCAGAAAGTAAACGTCTTAAAGAAAGAAATACAGCTAGCGGTAGCCGAGCTGAACGAAGCAACTGTTGTAAGAGTCGAAGAATGAGCTCTTTTTCCGTCCCCAGCTTGATGCTTCTCCGCCTTGATCAGGTGACTTATAACGGGGTTGATGAGCACACGTGCCGAATGCACACGTGACCAATTTTGCCTGGCGGCGTCAAGGGAGTAGGAACGAGTGGCCGTTCTTGCGCTTCTGCCCAGGTTTCCTCATGGCAACTATCTCCGACTTCTGATTCCTTTCTCGTTACATCCTCTAAAGGGCTGCCTGACGCCTGTGCCGAGGCGGCAGTCCCGTCTTGTGCTTCTATCAACGTCCTGGCGTGTGAGACCGGTCGCTCACGATTCTCCGTTCACACACCTCCTGGAACCTGGGGCACTCAATTATTACGGCTCCTGAGATCTCTTGGTTCACTTCAAAGAAGTAAGCTTATTGTCCAACCCCCTACAATCGTCTATTGTGGGGTCGAGGTAAGACCTCGACACTAGGGGTCGAATTATTTGTCTCTCATCCAAACAGCCACTAACGCGACCGTTCTGATTTTAGTTGGCCGACTGAGGCTCCAATCACCCTTGCGCGCATTCAATATTCCTATCTCTCGGACATACATCGAACTTTCTTAGACGTTGTTCTCTCTACCTTTTCACATCCCCACGGAACTCGGCCCCTTTTTTACAAACTCGCGACTGTGAACGCGCTTCGTGCTCCGTCTAGATATATCGTTCTCTCCAATTATTCGCATCCTTCTCCATGACTGCTGTGGCATCTCCGCCTAGTGTCGAATCGGGGTCTCGCTTGGGATGGTACAGCTCTGCTAACGGCGGACAAGGAGCTTTGTCTTCAGTAAATGCGGACGACGGGTCACGGATGTTTATGCCACGGAAACAGGTTCAACGTTCGAACTCCTCTTCCTCCCTAGGGTCGAACTCTTCGACATCCTCTACGTCTACCGTGACCACTACTCCACAAGACACCCATGCCGCGCAGAGTGCCGCCAGTGACTCAGGAACTTGGTCCGCAGCCAAAAAGAAGCCCTCGAAAAATCTCTGGCCCAGCTCGAAGTCCGAGCCGGTATCAGGGGTAACGAACGCGCGATCGCAGGCAGTGCCGGCTTTTTCCTCGGGTCCAAGCGCATCGTCTACAATGTCCGCAATGCATCAACCTCAAAACATCGTCCCTTCGCAGCAGATGCAACCTCCCTCGCAGCAAAATGGCATCCGTACGCCAAATGGACAGCCTTCCGACAATCCAGCGGTCTTGATATTGTCGCCAATGAACGGCACCTTTGACAGGAAGCAGATCAACGTGCCATGTTATCCCGAAGTCCTGCGAATCGGGCGGCAGACAAATGCCAAGACAATGCCCACGCCTGCCAATGGCTTCTTCGACTCAAAAGTTCTTTCTCGCCAGCATGCTGAAGTATGGGCCGACAGGTCTGGAAAAGTCTGGATTCGAGACGTCAAATCGTCAAATGGCACATTTGTGAACGGTCATCGACTCTCCCAGGAGAATCGAGAGTCGGAACCACACGAACTGCGAGAGGGTGATACCTTAGAGCTGGGTATCGATATTGTCAGCGAGGACCAATCCACCATTGTTCATCACAAGGTTTCGTCTAAGGTTGAGCATGCCGGGACTGCTTATGCCGCTGCACCTAGTATCCTTGATCTCAACTTCGGGGACCTCGATCCCGCCTCCGGAGGCGGTCTTCTCCCTTCCCCATTGAGCCAACCGCTTCCTCATATACGCGGACGGGCTGGTAGCAACGCGAGCAGCAGGAGCTCCCAGAGCGTTGCCAGCACTCAGCTGAATGCTTTACATCAACAACGGCAAATGAACTACTGGAACTCGCCAATCTCTATTGAGCAAGTTGTCAAGCGGCTTACGGTACGGATCATGGGCTATCATCATACTACCGTCTTGCTAATGTTTCATAGAGCGAAATGAAAGCCGCAAAGCAACAGACAATGGACCTTCACCGAACCGATGAATATTTGACGACAATCATGAAACCAGGCTATGCAGAGAAAGAGAAACATGCCAAGCCGTCTCCCTTAGAGAGCAATGCTCATCGCCAGATAAATGGCCGACCCAAAATGCCTCGGATCGACTCGTTTTCCAGATTTTCTGATCCACCCGCCCCTCCTCCTCAACAGCCTCTGCCGGAGAAACCTGATGCTTTGTCACGAAGTGCTTCTGAATCTTTCTCGTCTCTGAAGCGCAGCGACACGGAGAAGGCGAAGAGTGGCACAGGTTCACCTGTCTCCCGTGATTCCAGCCAAATCTTGAATCTCATTGAGGCGCTATCGTCCGCCAAGCGAGAGATTGAAACACAAGGAAGACGTGTCAAAGAACTAGAGACCGTATTGACTGAGGAGCGAACTGCTCGCAAATTGGCCGAAGATAAACTTACTGAATTGGAGATGCGCTCCGCATTGGGTGCTGGAGGAGTCCACACTGAGAAAGGCATTGTTCCACCTACAGAGAACGGTGTCCTTGAAACAAAGGAGGAGGCCGATGGAGATGTAACTGTGCAAGTTAACGGCGTCCACCCATTGGAGACTCCCGTTGATAGTGACATCCAGACGAGCGCACCTGTGGAAGACAAGTCCGCTGAACTTCAGGCCCGTTTGGAAATCTTGATGGAGGAAATGGCAGAGATGAGAAAGCAGATGACGTCTTTCAAAGACCGTGCCGAGAAGGCTGAAGATGAGAATGCCCATTCTCGCAAGTCATTGGCCGAAATGGTCGAGGCATTACGACAGGAACGCGCTCACAAGGCATCGGTGAAGGTGCTTGACAAGAAAATCGATACGCATGACGGCGAGCAAAGCACTGACTCGGCGGTATTCTCGCTTGCGAGCGATGAAATCTTGACGGAGTCCAAGCCGGAGGCTCTTCCATCACATAGCCTCGACGTTATTACCTCGCACAAGGCCATAGATGCTGCAGCCGCCGGCTTTGCAACACAACGCCGTCAGCACAGCTATGTTGGAGAAGCAAGTCCTTATGCGTCCATGTTTGGCGTGGTATTACTAGGAGTGGGTTTGATGGCCTATCTCAACGGTTGGCAAAAGATGGACAAATGAACCAGCTTGGCCTCATGTGCTACTTATGGGGTTTGGTGTTTTCTGGTTATTCCTATTGCATAGGCATTTGCATTGCCTGAATTTCCCTCTTACCTTTCTCATCGGCTTTCACTTTCCGCCAGTCATGATTCTCTGGCGATGAACGTGCTGGTCGTCCTTCTCTCTATTGAAGATAACCCTCTTCTTGTCTTCATACACCGAGCCCTGCTCGTTTAACTCACACTGTCTCTCTTATCTCACGAATTTTTGATGACTTTCTTAAGATCCCGCCCAGGGACTTTCTTCTCGGTCGTTTGTTCCGACGTCCTATCATCCCCCTCTTTCCTACTATCTCATTTCTCATTGTTTTCTTCTTCTACCTACTATGTCACTATTAGCCCGTCGCCTTCTTTTGGAAATCGACATCTCTCTTTCTCTTTTGTCTGTACATGATGGGGAAAACAAGGATACTTTCATGACTTGAGCCCTCTTTTCGAACATCTCCTTTAATTGGGTGGTTTTCAGGCCTTGTCATGCACAGGACATTGAGCGTATTAAGGAGTTTCATTAGTGCTATTTCATATTATTCATGCCACATTTTATTCATGCCATTTGGTTCCGCTGGCAGATGTGAATATCCATATTCTCTTTTAAACTTGTTCATTGGAGCAGTACTGTTACCCTATGGCCTCATCTCCGTCTCTTTCCTTTCATGCTAGTCTTTCCAGCATCTAGTCAGCGCCTCGGTTTATGTCCAAAACTGTGATGGGGCGTCTGCTGTGGCTGAACCAGCCTTTTGATTCTTAGGGACAATCTTGATGTACATGACTTCCCGCTAGGTGATACTCTAGCAATAAATGAATAGTCCATTCTGTGATTCTGCTCGGGTCCTTTATGGGCCTGCGTGATGTGGGTATCGCATTGGTGGAGAATTATACACTGGGTATTTGCAGTAGATGCAGGCTGGTAAGACGAAGCATCAGATTGTGGTCTGGTTTTGAGTGTCCTCGCCAGTACTCGGGATATGTATTCGAGCGAGAAGGCATCTTGGATGGGTAGCTGGGTTGGCGTATGGCCACCATGAGCGTGCCGTTGGATCGTGATCACTCGGCGGGATGTGGGTGAAATCGGTATGCTCGTTGGCAATCCCCGAGCTTAGCCACAGTCGTGTGACAGTGCGGGATATCCAGCCGCAGATGTGGATTAGAGCAGCTCAGCTGCATCAGAGCAATGAGTGGTGGTCCAGCAATCAGCTCTCCAATTTCGTGGGAATAAACGTCGGAACCATCATAGACGTTTTCACTTGAGGCGGACAGCAACCTCAACCATCTTGATCCACCTCGTCCGGCTCTCAGGCAGCTCACCATCATCTGCAGCAGCAGCAGCAGCAGTCTGACGTTTTCTCTTCTTCGCAACAGACTTGGACTCCGGCTTGGAGTCCTGATTTCCCCCTCCAGTCTCTCCACTCGCATTAAGCTCCTGCTCTTGCTGCCGCTGTCGTTTCTGCTCCTCTTTCTGTTTCTTCTCCTCATCCTCAACAATATCATCAACAACAAGCACACTTCCCGTCTCCACACGAACCGAATACTCAGCCTCCTTCTCCTCAAACCATTTAGCAATATTCAGCGTCTTCTCAATAGCCCTCCCCGTCGCCTTGACAAGCACCTCCTCCCGCTTCTCCGAAACCTTAGCCAGCTCGTCGAGTATCTGTTTCTCCGTCTTGCGCGAGTCCTCCAGGTTGATGTTCGCAGTAGCGCGCTTCTCGGCTTGGAGAAGGAGTTTCTGGGTGCGCTTGACTGCGCTCATGAACGGCGTTTTCGTCGATACGTAGACAATCTTCGGCACTGAGGCGCCGGCGTATGGCGAGGCAATTGGCGCATGGGGTATGGGGCGCTTTTCGACTTTGGCGTCTGTTTGGGTAGTGGTTAGCGATTGGGATCTTTTTGGTTCTTTGCTTCTGGTGGGGGACCTGATTACGTTTTGGGAGTGCGATGAGGTTTTCGTTCTTTTTCTCGAACTTGTAATTCTTCTCCAGTGGCCCTTTCATGGCTGAGTGCTTTGCTCGAATGGGTAAATTTGCGGAGTTAGGGCGAGCTTGGGGAAGTATTCGAGCTGCGCGTCTTATCGTCTGTCTTTTTCTGCCAGGCGGAAGGCGGAGATATGATCTGGTTATGTCATCGCCGTCCTAATTGGGAAGTTGTGTACACACAGTATTTCGTGCTGGACTTTAGACGAGTCACGAGACTTCCCATTTCACCTGATTGGGTGGCTTATTTAGGAATAGGCGTTTACTTTCTCGATCAGAAACAAACAGCAAGCCAGCCGACAAACATACTGAGTACTTAGCTCCTTGATTCTCCAACAAACTGCAAACAAAGAAAAATCCCACTGATCAGAAATGCAATGACAAATAAACTATCGTTGGCTTCTAGTTACTAACTACGGAGTAACTAGTTACCTACTCCGTAGGTGACCCTAACATTTGGACAAGCTCCCTATGGCTGTTGCCGTTGGGATCTCATCCTCTAGCGCCCAGCCATCAGCCCCTCACGTGGCACTACGCCCCCATGATCACTAGTAGGACTGTAGGACTAGGACCAATTTTCCGGCCAGCGTGAGGTGCGCAGATGCACGCTAGCTCTGTTGTGATCTTCTTCGACTCAAATGCTTAGAACCGACGACCCGTAGCCGAGAAATTGGACAGGTAAATAAGTACGGGAATGATACCGAGGTTCATATCACACGACATCATCGAGTGGTGCTTTGTGTTTGACACAGTGGGCCCGGATGTAAACATGGTCATCCCCGGATAGGCTAGATCGGATAGGGTCCCGAGGTCCAGGACTCCAGGTGTGTTCTTTGTCACCTATCGGGTTGGCCGGTTTGCTGCATGTCGGGAAGAAAGGAAGGTCATTCGGAGATCAGAAAGCTGCAGCTTCTGTGGATATATGAATTGCGATGCGATCTGTAGGAGGGTGTATCGTTGTTATGATGGTGAAATGAAATTCTGGGAGGCGGTTACCCGATCTGTGTGACTGTACCTGAGCGTAGTAGTACACAGTACAGTATGTATGTACACACTCGGGCTTGCTAGATGAAGGTTCTTCGGTTAAGGAGGCCGATAAGGTGTAAAAGGGGTTCTTTGTATCAAGTGGAGAATAGAGCTAGGCCTGAATAGGAGCTTCTCCAGAAGGCTCAAAGCTCCTGTCTTGTACGGAGTACCCCATAGGTACCTAAAGGGGGTTTGCTTGGGCATCTCTTTCAAGATCTTGCTTTTTTCCACTTTCCTTTTTGACCACGGTGCTATGCCGATATAGTTAGTCAGGGGCAAACACAAAATGAAAACGAATGTGGAATTGGTCCGTTGGATAAAACAGCTGGTGACGGTCTGAATTTTGTGGCAACATAATCATCTCATCTCGCTACCGAGACCGTCACGCGGCGGGCGAGACGAAGGATAAGGTCAAAGTGCCTGTTTCAAGGCCTAGCCTAGTGTTCACCCGACTGACCGGTAACTGGGAGCCAGAGGATCGCGTGTTATGCGAGGATCTACTCCGCAAGTCCGCAAATGAAGAGATGATGAAATGATCATCGTGAGGACGTCCTGAAGAGGTTTCTCCGATTTTCCTCGAAGCCGTTGACGGAAACCAATAGTACAGACGACGTACTCCCACAGAGCAAACAAAACGTCTTGACGATCATGGCGTCTGGACTGCAGGATCGACATACGCCTCGAGCTGGAATCTGATCAGGTGATACCCGCCAAACTTGTTTGGGAAGGTCGAGGATTCCCAGAGCTGGGGGTCATGTCGATCAATGTCGGGCCTTTTGTTATGCCGTTCTGACATGGGAGTGTCGGGCTATGAACAAGCTTGATCCTTGTTTTTGTTTTGAGCCTATGGAGGAATTCAAGAATTAGCAGATGTAGCGAATGATCTGGACATTGAGGTACATGGCTCTGGAGTCAGACCGACCTGTCATGTTTGCAAGACAACGAAAACCTGAGGCATAACTGAATTGGCGCCTCAGGCAACTAGGGCTTCTACTGTAAGCCCGCATGGGCAATTTTTCAACCATGGAAAGCACATGTTTGACCCATGGATGACATCTCCAGGCACGGCTATTTGTTGATCTACCAGAGTCTCGCTCATATTTGGTCTCCACGACCTCTGGGGACCTGGGGATTGTCAGGGTCTTTGCCTTTACAGGCATAATGGACGTCGTAGTGCTTGGGACAGAATACGGAGTATATTAAATCCCGGTTTTCTGTTCCGTGTGATTGCTCTGAGTCTGACGGTTTCTTTTCTTTTCGCGTGGACACAACACAACGGGTTGCCGGTGGTCTCATCCGCGGCGGATTGCGTACGCACCACGATGGCCCCACGGGCCCACAGGCAGATCGAAGCGAAGACAATCGTGATCGGATCTAAGAACAACCAGTTCAGTCATCACCTGTAATAGGACAGTCCAAGAGTCCATTGCCAGAAATAATGACGGAATTGAGGATATGGGATAGTCCTGGCTCATGCAGGTGGTCAAATCATCTCGAATTTTTCCAGGGGCGAAACAAAGTACGTTGCCACAACATGAGCCACAAACCGAAGATCCTGTAAATTCTGTTTGTACGACACAAGCTGAGGAGATATGCACGAAGTACTCCGTAGCTGGGGGCGGATCTCCGATATGTTTGTATTGTAAATTGACCAGTCCTGTTTGGCACCAAAAGTACCACGCGTTTTATGTGTCTGACATGACTAAAATGCGTTGCCTGGCTTAACGGCTGCTCAGTTGCAGGCCACGATGATAGTTCTGCGTGCACCCCATCTTCATTTGAATGCAAGGCAACGGGCAACCTTGAGCCGGAATATGACGGGGAATATGACGGGGATTGTGAATCCAGGCCACAGGCTCTTGGCTTAGAACCTCCCTAAAGAGGAATGGTGGTGAGCTACTGTAGCAGCCCAGTGGGGCCCAGAAATAGCACCAACGGCTGTCTCTGAAGCATTCCACGCCAATGGTAATTCATAGGATCGGGGCTAATGACATCTTCCAGCGGGTCGGTGCAGGTGGAGTACCCTTAATAACCAGAACCCATGGAACTGGACTCGGAGAGGAGGGGGGCTATGCCTGAACAGAATTAATTCAAATTGATTGAAATTGATTAAAACGAAAATGATGGAACTTGATTGTTTCGCGCATTTTTGCGTTTAAGCCGAGTCTCCACTGTTCCAAAGGCCTGGCCATCAACGAGTACACACTACACACTACTAATTCTTTTGTATGGGACTCATCCCCCTCAGCATTTTCATCTTCTTATTCTCCTCTCTTTTACCTTCTTGTCTATCAAATATTACATTCGCTTTCTCCATCATTTATCCGATCTTTGTTACATTTCTATCCATCCCTCTCTACTCAACCCTTGGAAGGGTTTTAAGACGTGTCTCACGTTTCAGTACTCGGAAGCTAGCCTTCGAAGCGGCTTTTTGTGTTTTTTGCATACATCAGATCTGGCGTGCAGGGAGATCCGAAAGATCGCATCTTCTGATTGGTCCTGCTATTCAAGGGATACCGCAAAACCAACTACTTGCCAGCCGCGAAACCTCCGCGTAACCTTTTTTTCTTTGTCGCCCTGCTTGGCAACTGAGTCAAAAGTACTGATCCAATCCACCGGGTCTCTACATCAGCCTTCTTATTCCCAATAGAGCATATCAAGTCACAACCCCTTTGACGGTTTCTGAGCTATCCCAGCCGCCAACGACCATAACTACTGCTCTTTAGCCACTGGAACTTGTTCTCCCTCTTTCACGCTCTCCATCCTCCTCACATCTGCAAACTCACATCTTATCCATACTATGTCTGTTGGCCACCGTTATGAGAAGTCGGACACACCCGATGGATCAGGCTTGACGTGGATCTTTGATCATTGCCTTCGTTACGCCGATTGCTACGAGATCTCCCTTCGTGCTGCATACGAACTCAATAGCCAGCCAGTGCATAATGCTATGGGTGGCTCCACTATGCCTCGGACGTCTTCCCTCTTTTCAGCCCGCAATTCCGTCTGGTCTAAGAATTCTCGCAACTCCAAAGCGTCTTGCTCCTCCGACGCTTCCTCACACGACACCAATGCCGAATTCCGAGCCTGTTTGACCCGAACCGTTTCCGAGTTGCCTTCTCAGCCTTGCACTCTCCCGCCGAGCTTCATCATCTCCTTCGTGCGCCGCTGCTTTTGTTTGGATCTGGCCTATGTCGACTTCGCCCAGGCCTTGACGGCTCTTGATTACATTAGGGATCTTCAAAACCGCTGGAAAAAAGAGACTCAAGCCGCCTTTAATAGACTCAATGTCGGTCCTGCCGATGTCCGTGATCCTGAGAGCTCCGAATTGGCTCGCGACTACCCCAATGTACTAGAGTGGTACAAAGAGCTCAGCTCCAAGGCACGCACCATTGATTTCATATACACTCAAATCTATGTCGGCTTGCGCCGTTGGGTAAGTCCAATCTTGAGGTTCAATCTGCGTGGTTCGTGTCTAACAAATGTTCCTGATATAGGTGCTTGTCAATGAGATGATGCTAGAGCCGTTTAACAAGGCCAACTGCCTCGCACTTCTTAACACTTTGTTCCCACCTATTCACCCCGGCAGCACTGCTCCAACACAGCAGTGTTCGATCGCGGCCCTTCAAGCCCATCGCGATACTTTCTTCAGTCTTATCACAAATTTCGAGGCCGATCCCTCGATCCTGGAACCTATCATGGCGCAGGGCGCTCGACCAGGTGAAGAGAACGGATGGCCCGCACTTCATGAGGCCATTGAACGATATATGACTGCCGTCCTCGAGACAATCGACGAGTGCACTTTGGTCACCGAGCCATGCCAGATTGGCAGCTCCGGCGTGCAACGCCGCATCGACTCGGGCATAAGCTTCACATCCCGTCCTAGTGGTCCCTCATTTGAGGAGGCCGAAAAGGAGGACGAAAAGCCCCTTCCCCATTTCCCAGAGTTGAGGCAAAGCGCCAGCAAGTATGGCTCGTTCCTGGATAGATTCGCACTCTCGGGGTGGAACAAGAAGAAGGATCTGGCGAAGGAGCAGGGAAAACAAAACAAGAAGGAGCAAAGCAAACAAGAGAAAGAGCTAGCTCGCAGCCTGAAGAAGATGCAGTCGTGTAAAGAGCTCAGCAGCACCAAGGCCTCAGCTCGCTTCAACAAGAAATTCTCCTTTGAATTGACCGATGAGAAGCGCGCACGTATGATTCATGAAGCCAAATCTCGCAAGGCATCCATCGACTCTGGGGTCGCTGAACCCGTGATTGGCCAGGCCATATAACTCCTGCTTCTTGCAATTTCTCCCTCAGGAAAAACGAAAACAACACCCACCAAAAAAACAACAGCGGCAAAAGAGGAGCCTGTTTTGGCTCCATATCCCCTACATTTTTATCCAAGCGACTGCTTGACAGCCAGCTCATTCGCAGTCAACTCATATTCTTATTCTCGCGGCAGCCGTCCCTCTGCCAGCACAGGTTTCATTCGGAGCTATCGCTCCATGTTTTGCTACGGACAAAAAATGGCGTTCAGATGGAAGCATATGGGGGTGTTCATTAATGATTGATGTCTTCATGATAGCGTCCATCTCACTGGGTTGAGAACTTGAAATTACATATCCTTATCTTATCCTTATATTATCATTATCATTTTTCATTTCTCTCTCTTCGTCTCATTAGATCCTAGTAGACTGGTAGGTACACAGTACATCCATAGTACTAGTTACTCGTGCTATTTGTAGGACCTTGGAGATTGCGCTAGTTGCCGCTTAGTCTGCCGTATAAGCTGCGATAAGAGATAACGACTTCCTCCAAGTGTCCAGATCCAGATCAGTCGGGCCATTGTACTGTCTTTGTTGAGCACTCTGGCTCATTTGGCTCGTCATGTTTCGCATTGAATTGAACTGCAGAATTGCTAATTGAAAATTAACACCCCGAATCGCATAAGAATCACCCGAGAAAGGGCTCTCCCCTATTCCATACAACATAGACATACACAACGCGCCCTCCAACACCACTTTGCGCGACAATGAGGGCCTCTATAGGCTCTCACATCTCCTGGCGGTGGCATGCTGCCCTTGGAGTCTCGTTACTGGGCTGTATTGCTAAAGCTGCCCCGGCTGTGAATGTGGCGCTCCAGGCCTCATTCGACTCGGCCCCATACCTTGTCGAGCTCTTGTATGTTTCCCAACAGTACAGACTGCAAATGCAATAATCTCTCTCATGAGGACAGCTGCTGATGGTTTCAAAGGGAATCTGCTGCTGAAGAAAACTCCACTGCGTATTTCCCCCTACTGGATCGCATTGCCGATGGCACTTTCGAGGACCTCACGACGGAGAAGGAGCTTTACAACCGCTTTTTGACAGTCATCCAGGATGATGGCCACCTCCAGACCCCCGAAAGCCTTTCCTCATTCAAGTTATCACTTTCTCTCCGATCGTCGGCGCCGCGGATTGAGGCACACTTCCAGTTCTATAACACCTCGGTACAACAGTCGTTGATGGTTGCCCAAGATGCGGTGTGTCCGGTTTGGATCCACTCAGAGGGCAAGCAGTACTGCTCGTCAACGATGGAACGTGCACAGCAGGATGTTATGGGAGAATTGTGAGTAGATCCCGGTTCATGGGGTATATACATTGGCAGCTGACATTGGCCATGTGTCCTAGGGATCCCAGAGCACTGCCGTTTGACCGCGTCCTGGGTGACATATCGCTGCCCCCTGCCGTTCTATACGCAGATGTGTCTTCTCCGATGTTCAGGGACTTCCACGACACCCTGAGTGATATGGCAAAACAAGGACAGATCTCGTATCGCGTGCGCTACCGACCTCCTCAGCACTGGAGCTCTCGTCCTTTGTTTGTGTCTGGATACGGCGTGGAGCTTGCTCTGAAGCGAACAGATTATATCGTGATCGATGACCGTGATGCCGAGCAACTTGAACAAAAGGGCTCCAAGAACGCTGCAGCTGATCCGGACGAGATTAAGGAAGATGCTCCCGATGATCTTCAGCCTTTGTCTTCCTCCGAGGTCACTCGTCTGGGTCTCAACGCCGTAAGCTATGTTATGGACAGTGCTGATCCTCTCGATACATTGATCAGAATGTCCCAGAATTTCCCCAAGTACTCATCGATAGTAGCGGCCCACAATGCCTCCGGGGAAATGGCACAAGAGATCCGCCACAACCGCCTTAGAACACTACCGGGTGGCTATAATGTCATGTGGATCAACGGTGTCCAAATGGACAACCAGCAGATTGATGCATTCTCACTTCTGGAGCATCTCCGTCGAGAGCGCAAACTGATTGATAAATTCCGCGGACTCGGTCTCTCTGCATATGATGCCGTGAAACTGTTGTCACACAGCCTTGTCACTGAAGCCCAAGATGGAGGTGAGGAGCAACGGTATGACTACCGGGATGACCTTGAAGGAGGTCAGGTCATTATCTGGCTGAACGATATGGAGAAGGATGATAGATACGAGGCCTGGCCCAGCGACCTTGACTCTGTTTGTATTTCCTTCATGCGTTTATTAGATCTGATGCTAATCTATCTCTAGTACCTTGCCGGCTCATATCCAGGACAACTGCCCGCGGTCAGACGGGATTTGCACAATGTCGTCGTGCCTGTCGACTTGTCCGACCCAGATCAAATGATGCTTGTCGCCGGAAACCTTCAGACCTTCATCAAGCGAGGCATTCCTGTAAGGTTCGGCTTGGTACCCACCAGCTTGTCGCCAGAGTCCGTTGCGCAGCTTAAGGTAGCCCATTACCTGTTTGATGCCTACGGTCTGGAGTCCCTCATGCAGTATTTGCAAGACTCCGCCTCGAAAGGCAAACGAGGTTTCCCCGACAAATCGTGCTTCCAATCTGCGACCAAACAACATGAGATTATTGGAGACCATGAACCTCTATCCCTCGATCAAGTCTTGAAAAGCAATAAGTATAATTCCCTGGCGACTCAAACTGCTACCTACCAGCGTCGGTTGAGCCTTACCGGGAATACACCCCACTTCCTGGTAAATGGTATCCCGGTCTCCCGCGAAAGCAACTGGATGCAAGGCTTGAGTATGCAAGTCAGCAGGGACCTGAAGTTGGTTCAGCAGGGTATTGCACAGGGCGTTTTTGAGGAGGATGCGTGGCTTCCAGAGTTCTTCTTGGCGGGCGCACTTGAGAGACGTAACACTTTCCTTATGCCTGAGGATCCTAAGAGTGTCCGGATTGTGGATATTGCTAGCATCATCGCGTCGGAAGATGTATTAAGCAAGTTCCCTCGTGTTGCCGCAGAAAGAGGAGCTCTGGAGAGCACTCATATGATCGTTGTGGGCGACTTCCAGTCCAAGGAGGGACTGAAGCTACTGGTCGATGCCCTTAATCTCCGAAAGGAGAACGCTGATGTGGAGGTTCTGTTTGTGCACAATGCTGCATCCGATGCAGAGGAGACTTTCCCTAAGAATCTTGCTACGCTCTATTACTCGCTTGCGAAGGGCGAAAGTCTCGACCAAGCAATGATTAACATTGCATCCGATGATGAGTATGAAGTCCCAGAGACTGAAACCCAAAGAATCTCGGCGGCTCAGGCTTTGCACGCACGTCTGGCCTCAGAACTTGGTTTCCAACCTGGCACTGAAGGAGTGGTTGTCAACGGAAGGGCAGTGGGCCCCATCGAGAAGGAATATCCGTTGAGTGTCAACGAGTTGAGCCAACTGATTAGTTATGAATGGTTGAAGCGCCTCGATGCCGTCGCGCGTGCTGTTTCCCAACTCGGATTTGATGCTAAGATCTCTAACACGCTCGATTTCGCCAAATTGACCTCGCTTGTGGCAATTTCCACCATCTCGGATGTCCCCGAAGGGATTTTCGAGAACACTCCTGATTTCAGAATGGACCTATCCGACAAATGGAGGACGGAGCATTCTGTGATCACAGTTTCGAACTCCGATGATCCCCTAATCCATGTAGCCGTCAGCCTTGATCCGGCATCTGAGATCGCCCAGCGATGGTTGCCGATTTTGAAGGTTCTCTCGAAACTCTCCGGTGTTGAGCTGAAGATCTTCTTGAACCCGAAGGAAGAGCTCAAAGAGCTCCCGGTTAAGAGGTTCTATCGCTATGTTTTGCAACCGGAGCCATCTTTCACGGATGATGGAGCTCTGGCTCGGCCTCAGGCCTCCTTTACTGGCGTGCCAGTCGAGGCACTTTTGACGCTCGGCATGGACGTACCGTCATCTTGGCTGGTAGCCCCCAAGGAATCAGTCTATGATCTTGATAATATCAAGCTGAGCTCGGTGAAGTCTGACACCAATGTTGACGCCATCTATGCCCTTGAGCACATTCTGATCGAGGGCCACTCTCGTGACGTCACGACACAGACTCCGCCTAGAGGTGTCCAGCTCATCTTGGGCACAGAAGCCAACCACCATTTCACGGATACCATCATCATGGCGAATCTGGGATACTTCCAGTTCAAGGCACAGCCAGGCCTGTGGCAGATCAACCTGAAGCCCGGCCGTAGCGAAAAAATCTTCAACCTCGACAGCGTTGGTGGTCTAGGTTACCGTCCGCAGGACGGTGATGACAACAACGAAGTCGCTCTGTTATCCTTCCATGGCCTGACACTGTTCCCTCGCCTGTCGCGCAAGCCAGGCCACGATGACGAAGACGTTCTAGAGACAGGCATACAGCCGGGCTCAGGCATGGACTATCTCACCAAGGGACTGAACTTTGCGTCCGGCGTCCTGTCCCGCGTCGGCGTCACCTCCAAAGGAGACGACCAACACGCAGACATCAACATCTTCTCCGTAGCAAGCGGCCACCTCTACGAACGCATGCTAAACATCATGATGGTCTCCGTCATGCGCCACACCAAACACACCGTCAAATTCTGGTTCATCGAACAATTCCTCTCCCCCTCCTTCCGCGCCTTCCTCCCCTCCCTCGCGCGCGAATACAACTTCTCCTACGAAATGGTCACCTACAAATGGCCGCACTGGCTTCGCGCGCAAAAAGAAAAACAGCGCGAAATCTGGGGCTACAAAATGCTCTTCCTGGACGTCCTCTTCCCCCTCTCATTGGATAAAGTCATCTTCGTCGACGCAGACCAAATAGTCCGCACAGACATGCACGAGCTCGTCACGCACGACCTCCAAGACGCACCCTACGGCTTCACGCCGATGGGCGACTCCCGCACCGAGATGGAGGGCTTCCGCTTCTGGAAACAGGGCTACTGGTCCAATTTCCTGCGCGGAAAGCCATACCATATCTCGGCCTTGTACGTCGTTGACTTGAAGCGGTTCCGGGCATTGGCGGCTGGTGATCGGTTAAGGGGTCAGTATCAGATGCTCTCGGCTGATCCGAATAGTCTTAGCAATCTGGATCAGGATCTGCCGAATCATATGCAGCATCAGATCCCGATTCACAGTTTGCCGCAGGAGTGGCTTTGGTGTGAGACTTGGTGTTCGGATGAGGATTTGGAGACGGCTAAGACGATTGATCTTTGTAATAATCCTCTTACTAAGGAGCCTAAGTTGGAGAGGGCTAGGAGGCAGGTTCCGGAGTGGACGGTTTATGATGATGAGATTGCTAAGTTGGCTGCGAGGGTCGCGGGTGAGCATCAGCAGGCTGCTGCTGGTGTTGAGTTTGTGCAGAGTGGTGAAGATGAGAACCGCAAGGATGAGTTATAGGCTTGGAGGTGATTTATTAGAGCGTGTTGCATTTGTATGTTCATTGCATTATGAAACTCATTTTAGTTTCACTGGGATTTCTCACACTGCTGGCTAACATGTAAAGAGTAGTATTAACTCAGCAAAGAAGGGTATTATTGAACAAAATAAAGAGAAGCGCAACAATGGAACCTTCGCTTTACCTGACATGAGGCTCACAGCTCATCAGCATTGCTGGGTGCAACTGGTGATGAGGATGCCGTGACCCTTGCTTCAGAGAGCCGCTTGGGCTTTCCTAAGACTTTTCCTCTTTTTCGCGGGCTCGGGGACTTCAGCATCGCTATCAGATGCATTGTTGGCCTCTGCCGCGGCGACGGTGTTCTCTCGCTCGTCGCGTTTCCTTCTCTTCTCATCTTTTCTCTTCCGCTTGCGATCCTTGCGTCCGGCATTTTCTGCCTCCTCTTGGGCTTCTTGTTCTTGCTGCTGTTGCATCTCCTTCTCCCGTCGCTCCTTCTCGCGCGTTATCTCTTCTATAATCTTTTGGGTAGGAGAGGAGGCGGATGGGATTTCCTCTATGGGGGCAGATGGGGCTTCCTCTATGGCGGCGGATGGGACTTCCTCGGTGTGCTTGCGCTTGGATTTGGACCTGGACTTCTTGGCCTTGCTGGCAGGCTCAGGCGGTCCAGGCTCATTCTCGCCTTGCACTCCATGGTCAGACTCAACATTGACTTCGCGACTGGGCGAAGGCTCTGCCGTATTCTTGGGCTTTGGGCTGGGCTTCGGAGTTGACTTTGGGCTTGAGGTGGCCTTTTTAGCCTCAGCAACTTCACCACCCTCGGAGTCAGAGTCATCAGTCACAAATCGAGTGCTCTTCCTTTCCTCCTCCAGTCTTGTGTTCCAGTTGGCAGTTTTCTTGGAAGCCTGCTTGGGGTCGTATACTGCGCCTGGCTGACCATTGGCCCGCATGATCATGACTTGTCTCACGATTTTGCGCCACTTGTCCGCGCATTGCTGTCGTGATCGAGTGTAGCCCATTGCCTTACTGATATTGCCCCAGAGGATCATACGCTCATTCATCTCGTAGAAGTCCTTGCCTGCTTCGTCGCCTAGCATTGGCTTCATGGTATGCCAGGACGACTCGACGGCGTCAAGGAACAACCTCGACTCTTCTTCTGACCATGCACCTTGATTCATAGTGTCCTGGTGCTCAAGCTTGTTCCTCCAGCGTTGAGTGACGTCGTCATCGCTACGCCCGATGAGCTTACCAATGTAACTCCATTTCGGGCCGTGCTTGGCGTGGAGCTCGATTAACTCCTGATCTTGTTCTTTCGTCCATTCGTGCGCCTTCTGCGCCGAAGCTTGGAAGTGTCGGCGCATGAACCGGTATACAGAGCGTCGGTCACGGTCCGGAAGAAGACCATAGATCTCGTCCCAAAAGTCGTTTTTGCTGATTATTTCCGAGGAGACCGGAAACTCGCCGAATACGCCTCGCTCGGAATGCTGGACCATCTCATCGAACAGAGAACCAGAGATACCATGCATGGTGCAGAAATTCACTTTGAAGGATTCAATTTTTTCCACTTCGTCCTGCGTGTAGAAGCCAATTCTCATATTGTCTTTCTCTCTGGTGCGTGAGCCTCTGACTCCCCTGACCCTGCCGCCTGGCGTGGTGCTACCCTCGGGGTTGGGCGAGTATGGGGTGGGAGTCCGCTTGGCGGCAGCGGTGTGTTCCACCGCGGAAGGTTCATCGGCGACTGCCGTATCGCTGGGATGCGAAGAAACAGGCGCATCTGCATCTTGGTCCTTCTTCTTGCGAGACTTCCGAGGCTTCTTCGCCGGAAGCTCGGACTTTGGCGTCGACTGGCTGGGAGAGGGAGGAGGTTGAACAATCGTTGCAGGAGCAAGCGGTTCAATTTCCTGCGCTGGCTCGATGCGATCTTGATTGTCTGATTTGTGGTGCTTCTTGCTCTTTTGCTTAGACTCAGGTTCGACGTCGCGCTTGCGCTTTGGACGATTCGGCACACTCGAGTCTGTTGTGCCATTGGCTAGTGCAGATTCTCCTGATAAAGCTTTGGGTTTTGAGGAGAGAGATTGCTTCTTCTTGTTTTTCTTTCCAGCATTCTTGGAGGAAATGTTAGGAGTTTCGGGGACTTGCAGATAACAAAAGTTAGTGAATCACGCGACATTAGAGAAGTTTGGAACCAACCAATGTCTCCAAAATCATCCGGAATCACGGGATAAGGCTCGGGTTGGGATGACGTATTCCCCATGGCGACGGTTTTCGACATGTGTCGGGGAAGATCAGAGGAAAATGCGATGAGAAGCAGAGACCGAGGCCGATTAAAATTTACGGCCCGCGAACGGATAATTTGGCAAAATTGCTGACCGCCCTTTGACCGCCTGCGTTTGCGGGGCTGCTGCACTATCACGTGATAAACCCTGAACAGATCCGGCGAGCTTGAGTCAGTCGACAACTCGACATCAAAGCTAGCGTACTCTCGGTTTGCCTCAGCAGCACTAGCAGTTAGGTCATAGTTTATTCATAGGCCATATGGCATATAGGCATATACAGATACTTATTTTGGGAAGCAGAATTCTTATGGTCGAACTATCAAAAAGTTCAAGGAAGAACAGAACTCCAACGTACAGCATTCATCCTATGGTTCAGACCCGCGTTTCAAGTACAGCTATATAGGACGAAGAAAGATGGTCGACTGGGTGTCCATTTGTCTTAGCACCGGAACCTAGAAGTTGCTCTTAGCTCTATATCACAATATAGATGTAGAGGCGGCCTAGAGCCCAACGTGTGACTCCATCTACCGACTTTAAGAATGGACAAAGCATTACAACACTCGAAGACGTGCAGGCAGGATACTCATTAATGCATTAATAGTGTACATGCTGGCATAGAAAGCACAAGAATCATGACTGCAAGTCGTAGCCCAGTAATCTAGATCCACAGACACAATCATGACACAAGCTTCAATTCCCGTAGGACTTTCGTCACCAACTTCTTTTGGTCATGAGCATGAAGATTCTGCTGATCAGTTTCCTGTAGACAGCGCCCAATTGCGATAGTGGCCTTGACAGCGCCTTCTGCAGCGTCGGAGCAATCCACCCACACCTTGCCATTGCGGCCGACAGCAATCTCAAACCCACCCAAGCTCTCCAGCTTCCTCCCAAGCTCAGAGAGAACAACCAACCCTTCGATCGGGTCTGTGTTTTCAACAGGAGCGGAGCTCGCCCGAATCAAGCGGGCCGCCATACCGGTCGAAACATCAAAGACCATTCCACCCGACAAAGGCCCCATACCCCCCTCAGCTTTGCCAGTTGCTGCGCTAACACAGGTGAGTTCAACTTCGGCGCCGGCGCCGACTCCCACGGACTGTACTCGGGCATACACCATTTCGCCTTGCTTCAGCATTGGCCTTGTCTTCTTAGAGGCGCCCTCAAAGGACAGCTGGCCCAGAAGCGCATGTGGAGTGTGTGGAGTGATCACGCAGTGGAAGAAGTCAGCGCTGGAGTGGTGGATTTGTGCAATGACGAAGTCGTTGACAGTAGGGATGTATCGGCGGTTCGGGAAGGTAAGCAGTGAGGCTGCGTTTCGTTTCGCGTCGATTGACAGCATACCAGCTTGTGTTGCTGTCAAGACATGATCGGAGCCTTTGGAAGAGGGCTGTGAAAGGATTCGGAGGCCGGGACCCAGACGCAGAGGGTTGGAGTTATCGGTAGGAAGATTATCGCGAGGTACCTCATCGCTAGGTAAAAGGACGGCTGGGGCGCTCATGTTGCCAGACTGCATATAAGTATGCTGGTAATATCCTGGAGGCAACAAGATCGTGGGATCGAGGTTCAAGGCTGTATCGCTGTGGTTGTTTTGTGGAGGTCGAGTGACAGACTGCATTGATCCTGCAAAAAACGACGCTTCTTATCACACGTGACCATGCATTAAATGTAAATGTCCTGAGGCAATGAATTCCTGCCCTAGCACGTGGCATACGATTATGCTGAGTACTATGAGCCCTTCAAGATCCCCAGATACCAGGCCATCATACCTATCAAGCTGAAAGCCATACTGAACATGGACATCAAGTCTCCATGGGAAAATGTTGACTGTGGCGGTGCGTCAATAAGAGATCGCCACAATCACTATCGATAAGCACCAGCCACATTTGCGGCAGACGAAAATCTTCAAAATCTTTTTCATCCCCGCTCAATCAAGTCTTCCAACCACCTCGAATACCCCCATTCCCTCTTTCACGCCGTGACGTGAGACTCTTATTCACTTAACCCAAAAAGTACATATTCACAAATTCGAGATGGGTGACGCCGCCAACAGTGCCGCTGAGGCGGAGCGCTATGCTATCGGTATCTCGTTTGGTAACTCATGCAGTTCAATTGCCCGTATTTCACCTGTACGTCGTGGTATACATTCTTCGAGGTATTCAACAGTGACTGACAAGTTTATAGGAAGGCAAGGCTGAGGTTATTGCCAACGAGGAAGGAGGTAATGATGTTAGAGCCCCACGCTTCGAGAACTCGAGTTAACAAATCCAGATCGTCAAATTCCTTCCATCCTTTCCTACATCGACGGCGAGGAGTACCACGGCACACAAGCCAAGGCCCAGCTCGTTCGCAACTCCGGCAACACTGTCGCATACTTCCGCGACTTCATCGGCAAGGAATTCAAGTCGATTGACCCTACTCCTTGCCACCAGTCAGCCCACCCCCAGCAGAAGGACTCGACTATCGCTTTCACTATCCGCGACACCGAGAGCGAGACACCCAACACCGTCACTGTCTCTGAGATCACTACTCGTCACTTCAAGCGCTTGAGAAGTTCCGCCACCGACTTCCTCGGTAAGGATGTCAACGCCGCTGTTATCACCGTCCCCACCGATTTCACCGATGCCCAGCGTGAGGCCCTCGTTGCCTCCGCTAAGGCTGCTGGTCTCGACGTTCTGCAGCTGATCCACGAGCCCGTTGCTGCTGTCATGGCTTACGATGCCCGCCCCGAGGCCACCGTTACCGACAAGCTGGTTGTCGTTGCCGACTTCGGTGGTACCCGCTCTGATGTCGCTGTTGTTTCCTGCCGCGGTGGTATGTACACTATCCTGGCCACCGTCCACGACTACGAGCTGGGTGGTGCCTCCCTGGACCAGATCATCATCGACCACTTCGCCAAGGAGTTCATGAAGAAGCACAAGACCGACCCCCGCGAGAACGCTCGTGGTCTTGCCAAGTTGAAGCTCGAGTGCGAGGCCACCCGCAAGGCCCTCAGCCTGAGCACCAACGCCCAGCTCAGCATCGAGTCTCTGGTCGACGGTGTCGACTACGGCTCCACTGTCAACCGCACCCGTTACGAGCTTCTTGCCGGCAAGGTCTTCAGCCAGTTCACTAGCCTGATCCAGCAGGTTGTCAAGAAGGCCGAGCTCGATGTTCTTGACATCGATGAGGTTATCTTCTCCGGCGGTGTTTCCCACACCCCCAAGATCGCCAACTTGACCCGCAACATCTTCTCCGAGAAGACCAAGATCCTTTCTCCCGCCACCTCCACCACTTCCCTTAACCCCTCCGAGCTCTCTGCCCGTGGTGCCGCCTTCCAGGCTTCCCTCGTCCAGGAGTTCGAGCACGAGGACATTGAGCAGTCCATCCACCCCATGGTCACTGTCACCCCTCACCTGACCAAGGCCATCGGTGTCGAGTTCACCTCCGAGACCGAGACCACCTTCCAGCCCCTCCTCGGCGCCGAGACCGCCCTCCCCGCCCGCCGCATCGCCCAGTACTTTGCCCCCAAGGAGGGTGGCGACGTTCTGGTCCGTGTGTGTGAGGGTGCCCGCGAGATCAAGGTCACCAAGCCCGAGCCCAAGGCCGAGGAGAAGCCCGCCAAGGATGAGGATGACTCTGACTTTGACTCCGAGGATGAGGAGGAGGAGGAGATCCGCGAGATTGTCTGGAAGACCGAGAAGCCCGTTGCCGAGCTCGCCGTCAAGGGCGTCAAGGCTGGCAGCAAGATCGAGGTCATGGTTCACGTCAATCCCGATCTTGGTCTGCAGATCGCCGTCCGCGAGGTCGCGTCCCAGAACGCCGTCCGTGGTGCCATCAACGGCTCCGCTTAAGTTTCCTTTTCTCCGGAATTATAAAAAAAGACTTGGATTTCGTTTATGGTGTGATGATGCATGCATGACTGATAGAGGCTGTGATTTGCTTTTTAACCCCACGATTTATACTGCTGTTGATCTTCATGGAGTCTTCTCTTTACTCGTTCTTACATAGACTCATTTGGAGGCGACCAATATACATTGGCTTTTGTTTCCAACTTTGATCTGCCAGTAGACAGATAGTATTTCTCCGTCATTCCATACCTAGGATGGTGTTCTCGCCCTCGGCGATGAATGTGCATTGCCTGGATCCATTCCCCTGCCAAAGTCCATGAGGTTTGTACTCGGTAATGGGAATACATGTACTTGATAGTGTACAATTACGAAGACAAGTAACGGTGATGGAAATTATATTACAACTAGATTAGACAATTCCGCAACAAGGCAACGCAGATTCCTGCATGGTCTTCAAATCAGACAATCATTGAATCATGGGATTCATCAATAAATCACCAAAATGTCGCGCTTTCGCATGCCGAGCTCGAAAAGGGGAAGAGCAAGCATCGAGAGAGCTCAATTCCCACCTCAATCGGAAACGAGGATTTATTAGATTAGTAAAGATCGTGATAATATCGTCACAGCATCAAGGGAGTGTGGTAGTTCGACCTTCCAGGCTGAACCCGGGCCATCCAGGCGCAGCTTAGAGAAATCAAACCAAGACAAGCGGTCTCCTGAAGAAAGTCCAACTCTCAAAGGGGATATCAACGCAGGAAGACAAAGTAGTGTTCGATTGACCCGGAGATCGACGGGTTCGAGTCGAGGGTTTGTATTCTCGGGTCTGGTGCTTGTCAAAGCCAGGAAATGTACCTCTTTGGCAGTGAGGGCGCATCCATTTAAGCGTAGTTTGCGCTCGTCTCCTGCTTCTGGCTTTTGACGCTGCCGTTACGCTGGGAGGAGAAGAAACCACGACGGCGCTCCTTGCGTCCACTGTATCCCCCACTGGTATCTTTCCGGCCGACGGCGCCACCAAGGCAGTACATCAAGCATGACAGGAAGAGGAGGGCGGATGCGGTCCACATAAATGCGAAGGCCTTGACACCCAGCTTTGAGACTTGGCCGTTACGGCTGAATGCACGGCGGCCTTGGACAAAGACAGCGCTGTCATAATAGTTAGCATAGTGTTTATAACACCCAACTGCAGTGGTACATACGTCATGAGACAGGTCGTGATGACCTGGAAAGTCAGAGCGATCCAGGCCAAGAGACCGGAGAGGTAGCTGGCAACGCGGGTGCACATGGCCAGCAGGCCAGTGAACAGGGAGCATACGGCGAAGAACAGGCCGATAATGATGAACGGGAACATGAACCGCGAGGTCAAGAAGTAGTGGTTCGTACTATTACATTGTAATTATGATTAGCGCAGCCCGATGACGCGGAAGGCTATGCACAACTTACCCGATGAATTGGTGAGGGACATTTTCGGTAGTGTCGAAGTTACGGTGGCTCGGGGGGTCGAATGGGAAATCCACATGCGTCGTTCCACAGTCATTCCTGCCATTCGCCGTCACGCCGCAGAGGTTCCAGAAGGTCCAACGCGAGGTTGCGGGTGCACCTGGAATATTCCCCGTGTCCGCCTGGAGGAAGTAAATCTGATTCAGCGGATTGCTATTGCGTGCACCTCCCAACAAAGTAAGGAAGATCAGCAAGATGGCCGAGGCCATGAAAAACAGGCCCAAGAAGCCCAAGGATGCTCCTATAGATTGGTCAGATTGAGATACCACCAAAGTGTTGTCAGGGACCAATTGACGTACTGCTGAGATTCATGGCGCTTTATCCCTATCACAGATCACGATATCTGATTTGGTATTTTCGTTTCTCGAGAGGATGTCTCGTATGTCTGGAGCAATTGGGGTGGTACCGGTGGTGGTCTAGTATTCAAGGAGAGTCGAGGGACGAGGAAGAAGTGTAGAAATTTTCAAGGGAAAGCACGAGCTGGTTTAAAGGGGTTGTATAAAAGTAGCCGGGGTATCCGGAACTTAACCCCAGAGTGATGAAATGACGAGTGAGCATCATTCTCTCTCAGTCGTTCTTTCCAAAATTGAGAACATCAACCTCATAACGTCATAGTTGCACCTGTTCGGCTAGCCGTTCGTGGTTTAGTCTGCACTTTACTATCCACGCTATACTTAATTAGGCTAGCGCCTCGCGGTCCATGACGAAGTGAACCAGCGCGCTGGCCGAGACAACGTTACAGCACACTCACAGCTAATCGCAGCTAATCACATCGAGCTTGGCTTAGGCTTCAAAGAAAGTGACGTGGATCATCCAATCTAAAGTTTCTTCCTTGCCCGGTTTTTGGGCCTTGACCTGCCAAGGTTGACTGCCCAACGATTCTGTGATTCTCTGTCCTTCCCCCAGACCTCCCGAGGGTGTCCGATACGAACCTGCCCCCTGCAATGGCGACCTGGGCATATCCCCCACTTCCCGCAGAGCAGATCAACCGTGAAGCGGATACTGCGCTGGTACGTAAATCATATATGGACCCTTACAGGCGATCACTCTACCACATGGGCCTGGTTGGCTCGTAGCTATCAATCGTGAGAGTGGACCCTCTTTAGTATATTATACCGACATCTTTATCTTAGGCTAAGGAGCTTGAGTGGCTGCTGCATTCGCTGCAGGACTCACTTGCCTCATTGAAGGAAGGTCTCCAAGAATGCGCCGCTCTCCTAGCTCCCCAGGAACCGGGGTCTACCTTGGTGCTGTCCTCGCTCCGGTCGGAAAATGTGAAGGGCTTCGTGACTAGAGTGGGCACCAAGCTGGTGAAGGGCGTATGTATCAAGTCACATGCCCTAAGTGCGAGGAATAGGCAACTAAGTTCTTTGTTTAGGACATCCAACTCCGTCTTGCATCGCTGCCCCCTCCTCGGGGTGCCCCTAGCATCCGACTGAACGTGTCGCAGTCACCCGAAGGCCCGGAGTTTGTGCTGCGGCAGCTCGTGTCCATTCGAGACCTCGTGGCGCAAAGCCTGGATATTGTGGACGTGAGCACATGGACAGGCGACCCTCTCAATGCAGGTTTCATCTTCGGCCAATTACACCTTCTGCACGAGACAATCAGCGAGGCACGACATATGCTTAAGGGTGAAGGAGACGAGACAAGGGGGAACTGGTGCGATACCAGCGCTAGTGAAAATGTATGTTCGAGATCTATGATTCAAGTCTACCGGTGGTATTGTGCTAAAAATAAGACGTTTGCTGCGTGAACAGATATTTGACCCTCCCCTTCCGTCGAATCTTTCTTTCCATCTTTCCATCACAGATTCCGCGTTGATCCTCGTTCTTCGAACGTTAGAGCCTGCGGCGCTCAATCATGCGCCCACCGCTTTTGCCACAGATATCTCCCTGACAGGATTCTCTTTGCGAGACAGAATCTTCGGCTCACGGGTGCCAACCCATGACGAGGCTAACGACCTGTTTCAATGGCACGGAGAGGCAGTACGCGTCAAGGAGAAGGTCCGGGTGGAGAGCCAGGACCCTAGTCTGATGGCGGTTATGGCCAAATTAACGGCCCTGGAGCATGAAGTGCTGCGGTGCGTGGCTGCGTTGCGAGTGCTCATGGGCAATGAAGATACAGAAAGCGAGGTGTAGTGACTCACATAGATACCCTACTGCCGAAGATGGTAGACTTCCTTTTGATATGAGTGGCGGATTTGATACTGTACATAAATTCGAACTAGTGACGAACCATGGCAGTATGGAGCAGTTTGCCACTCGAAGTAATTTTTTCCAAGACGATGTATGAACCGTTGCTCAACATAACTGTCTGGAGACCGCGACTAGGCCTTCTAGTTGTATATTTATGAAGAATATACTCGCAATGCACGACAGTTGAGATGTTAACCATACTCATGAGTCAGTATACTTTCTACTGTGTAGATGCTTAACTCTAACCTTGGAAGGCTAAAACCGGTCCCGATGGATGGGGCACTGGGTTAGCCAATGAGAAGCCCGCAGTTTGTGATGGGCCCAGGGTCTCCTTGGCATCAATTTTCTTAGGCCCGTCCTTAAGTTTCATTTCTCTTTTTCTTTCAGCCTCCAGCTGCAAATTTTCGGCGTCGTCAAGAATGCTGTCTAGGTCTTCAGCGTCAGGGGCCAGTCGGTCACAATCGTGCGAATTGCTTCGCACTTTTGCATGCCCTTCTGGATCGCGACAGCTCCGCGGGCCTGTTAGATCTTTGACAACACAGCGGCGCACCCTTTCCCGAAAAGCGTCGCCTTTGGTGGTGTCTAGCGCTCTTGCGCAACGAAAAAACGCTCCCAGATACGTGGCAGCGCAATGCCAGCCTCAACGGCGGTTTGTGTCAGGCCCGGCCTCCGACGACTCGCGCCCCCAGCCTACCGAATCCAACGAACCGGACGATATCAATGTCTTAATCGATCGAATCAGTGAAAAGGAAGCCGAGATTGTACAATTGCTCGAGGAACTGGAAATCCTGGGCGAGCAGGCCGAGGGGGCCGAGGGAGAAGAGTTCTCCGACCTACTCGACCAGCGAGACGAACACACCGCAGAGTCATGGGTACACATGATCAAACAGCGGTTCAGAGATGAGGTACCAGAAGGATTGCTGAATGATGCCGAACTTCAAATCTACGCGCGCTTGTACGGAGAGCCCATCATCCGGCAGGAAGTCGAAACAATGATCGAGGAGGAGGAAGATCTCAGCCTGCTCCGCGAAGACGGACAAGGAGGTTGGGAGGAAGTCGATATCGAGGGAGAATCTGCCGTGGAAGTTGATATCCCAGTCGCCTATGATATGGATGTCCCTCCGGAAGAACGCGAAACAATCGCGATGCAACGGACGAGGGAAGTGGCAGAACAGTTGGGTGGCGAAATCATGCTTGAAGAATTTGAGAATGAAGCAGTGCCCGACTTTGCACCAAGGACGCATCCGCGTACCCTTGACGGCAAATATGGCACTGATCCTAGCACTATTCATCTGCCAAAGGATACCGTTACAGGTCCTATCTCGGTCATTTTGTCCGAATATTCCAACAAACATATGTCGGAGACTGCTCACCGTCTGTTTGGAGGACCAGGCTTGCCTCATTCGACTACAACAGCGCCTCCACGTGCCCAGTTACCGCAGCTCCCTATTCCTCTCCATGCTTCGCAGCGTCAAATGGGAGAAATGGAGGCCAATACTTACTTGGCAGCCCTGTACCCCGGGATCTATGCTTCCACGCTCAGCGTTATGGTGGAGATTCGCAAGAGACTGGGAGTCGATTGGATCCGTAATTTGATTGCACAGGAGGGTGGTCCAAACGTCCTAGATGCCAGTGGCGGTGGTGCTGGCATTCTGGCCTGGCGAGATGTCATTCGCGCAGAATGGGAGCTCATGGTGCCCGATCATCCCGAGGGAGAGCCCATCCCTTATGGACGATCGACCGTGCTGACGGGCTCCGATGCGCTTCGGCTGCGCGCTGCTGCCATGCTGGACAACACTACCTTCCTCCCACGACTACCTGATTACGTTCATGTACGCGAGAAGCCCACAATCGAGGACTCGCGCAGTGCCCCTAAACGTAAGCAGTACGATGTCATCATCGCACCGCACTCACTTCTCGGCCTCGAGGAAGAATATGAGCGCAAGCAGCACGTGGAGAACCTGTGGGCGCTTCTGAACCCTAACGGGGGTATTCTTATTCTCCTTGAGAAGGGCCGCCAAAAGGGCTTCGAGGCTATCTCCGGTGCTCGTGAAATGCTCCTCAAGCGTCATATTGCGAGCCCCGGGTCGACCGAATACGACAACTTCCTTGAGGACCCCGACCAACGCGAAGTCATCACCAAGGAGCGTGGAATGATTGTCGCTCCCTGTACCAACCACTCAACCTGCCCGATGCACAATTCAGCCGGCCCATCCAAGGGCCGTCGGGACTTCTGTCATTTCGAGCAGCGGTACATTCGCCCGCCGTTCTTGCAGCGCATCATGGGTGCAAAAGACCGCAATCACGAAGATCTCAAATTCAGTTATCTTGCCGTGCAACGTGGCGTAGATCTCCGACAAGATCAATCAATTCGCCAAGATGCCGAGGCGACAGATGCGGCATTTGAGGGCTTCGAGGACGCAGAGGAGTCCGAAATTCCAAACAAGCCAGCCTTCAACTCCCTCGCCCTCCCCCCGCGCCATCTACCCACCCATGAAGCGTCGCGGTCACGTTATTTTCGACCTCTGCACACCCGCCGGCAAGATCGAGCGCTGGACCGTCCCGCGCTCCTACAGCCGTCAGGCCTACCGCGATGCCCGCAAATCCAACTGGGGAGACCTGTGGGCTCTGGGGGCCAAGACTCGCATCCCGCGCAACCTCAACCTTGGCGACAGGCATGGTGAGGGCAAAAAGGAGCGACTGGCTCGTCGTGCGGCGAACAAGGCTCGTGAGGCTGAGGAAGAGGGTGACTATGAGAATGGGGGGGATGAGGAGGATGCGGACTATGTGGTTCATGACTCGGATGTCCTACCTCCTGTCAGGAAGAGGGGTCAGCACATTCCCAGTTGGAAGAAGCATAATGATAAGAAGAAGCTCCGTCAGGCTTCTAAGAAGCTTGTCAACGAATAGTTGGCGTTGCTTTGGCGCTTTTTTGGATATCGAAGGTTCGAATATATGTATACTACTCACTACTGGCAGCATTTGGCGGGATTTGGCACCGGATTTTGTACACTATGACTCTCGCAATTCTACAGATGTAAATATAGCATCCTCACTCTGGTTTGATCTGATATGAATTGTATTCATGAATATTTCAGTATCTAAGTCGTGGCTGAGCCTCATCCTTTCACCCGCTTGGACAGTTGATACAGGCTGTTGAATATCCCTTGGTCCGTCGTGATGGACCTTGGTCTTTCATGGCCCCGAGCGGGACTTCTCCACGCACGCAAACGGCCTGTATCCATCTGATGCTGTTCTGAGAGAGAGCCCTGGGCGTGGTTCTTTCAACTGCTCCGTCCTGGGCAGCATAGAAGTTCTTGGGATCGCAGTCACCGGCTTCAGGCTTGGTAGCTTTTATCACCGTTGAGTTGGCAAGAAGCATGCCCGGTCAAAGGTGTCATAGAAAAAGCCCCGCAAAATTGACTCGTTGCAGCTTAAAGTCCTTGAAGACAATAGTGGGTTTCATCGTAGCAGATATTCTTTCTCGCAAAGTGGCCTTGGCCCATTCACTGCGCGGCCATACTCTTCCGCAACTGCCTTTGCTTCTGCGTACTTTGTAATTCCAATCGATCGACCGCAAACTTGAGTCGTTCTTTCTTCTGCAAGAGTCTTCTCAGCTCCGCTGCCTTGGATGCCGCATTACTGGAGGCAGCGCCAGACCCCGCCATGCGACCCCGCAGAGAGCTGCTCGTTGGTTGATTGCGTGTAGCCGAGGATCGGCTCTCCGGGGTGGATGTTAGTCGGCCTTCTTGCAGCTCACATTTCGCCTTGAGGCCTTGCTCGCGGCGCGCCAGCTTTTCAACGTGGTTTGATGATAGCGTGAGGAGGTGGGTGATGCTAGGGGTAATTTCGTCAAGGAGGGATTGTTGTGCTTCGCGCAATGTTGGCTCGGGGAGGAGCTCAAAGTGCTATTGTGGGATACTTGGTCAGCTTCACACTTCTCGTCTTTGGGGCAGTGGCACAGTGGCATGCTGGTTGAACATACTCTGGTTGTTTGAAGGACTTTACATAGCCGCGGGAGATCGTTCACGCCCGAATCGAGGGTGGTTATGGAATTGTCCAGTATCTGGAGAGACGACTGTAGCGATGTCACTGATGCAGACAATGAACCAGCCATGGTGGGTGATTTGAAGAAACCTGGAGTCGTTTGATGATTGTTTACGGTCGGGATAGATCGGGCGGTAAAAGCAGCATGACACCGCCTTTAAGGCGGCGGGACTTCGGAACCGGGCAAACCTCCCAAACCTCACTTCTCCTCTTCCGTCCTCCTGCCTCACCATCTCCCCCGAACCCTGAATCCAATCCACATTCGATTCACCTGTCACAATGTCTCTCCTCGGAAAGAAGTTCCCCGGCGCTATGGGTATGTGTTCTTTGGACACCGGTTACGACTTGTGCGAACCCGATATAAGGACCCACGACTGACGCATCCGTTCACTTACAGCCAAGCCTCTGACTCCCTTCTTCGCTGCTGGTACGCATATACTCTGCATTCCAAACTTCCCTGATATCTACGGACCCAACGAATTGCCGATTCGGAATACCGCACCCCCGAAGCCATTGTTGGTGGAACACTACTCTGACGATTTTCCTCTCCAGGCCTTATTGTGCTCTACGGCGTCAACTCCCTGCAGAATGCTCTGTCCAACAGTGAGTTTCTCCCGCGCAGCTCTACATGAAATTATCGGCGAGTTTCGCGGTCTTTTGCGACAACAAGATACCCGATACCCCGAAACGAGATCCCGAAGAGCGTCTGCGGACATGTCCCGCTAACTGTCACATCTGTACAGCCGCCGAGTACAAGAACGACCCTCGCAACCCCAATGCCAAGGCCCCCGGCAAGGCTGACCACTAAATTGGGTCGACAATGAATGCATTTTGAGATTCCACTCGTCCGTCGGAGAAGAGCGGGACGAACCGTCGCTATGTGTGGGTGGACAGAGATAGGCTAGGTCGTCAGCGACGGCCAGCATGCATTTTTTTGTGATTACTCTGCGGGCAGTTTGGCCCTCTCCAAGCACATAGATTATACCCACCTCAATGGGGTGGCTTGGATCAATTCACAAACTGTACCAGTACCATTTGGTGCCTTGCTTTACTCGTAGTCTCTATCCAGGACAGGCGATCTGCCCTCTATCAGAGCATATGGACCTTTCTGCGCCGAGTATCCTGCAACATGTGTAGTTTATGTGGAGTTGGAAGTTGCATGGGCTATGTGCTATACTTCACATCCCGCGTAGTCGAGGCGCCGTCTCACTCAGAGGTGGTCTTTTTGCCACTTGCGACCGCATAAGGCGTCAAATTCAAATCCTCATTTGGCGCATGAAACTTGAGTTCTAATTGTAACAGTTATGCTCATCTAAAAGGACTGTCCAGTAGTAAGTAGAATTTTGAGTGCTGCCAAATGTCCGAAGTACGCTAAACCCAATCAGGCCCCCAGTTTTCACCAACTCCGCCTTCGCCGAACATCATTTCACGACCTCAAACTCCGCGCTAACCCCCCAAATCAACGCGAAAATGACGAAAATGGCAGGGCTCTTCCGCCCCAAGAAGCTTGATCTCTCTGGCTTCGTCAACACTCGCTTGATCCGGGACAACAACAAGCGCATGGCCTTTGAGCAGACCGAAGCCGAACGGTATGAATATCACCCTCTGCTCCATCTGGCCCTGACCCACGACGCATAAGCATATACCCGATTACTGGGGAGAAGAGACTGTGAATTGAAGTACAATTGCTGACTCTGCGCTCTGCGCCACAGACAAGCTCTTCGCTACATGGTCCGCAACACCTCTCTGTCCGGCCGAGTCCGCGCGCAGGCCCAGCTCCAATTGGCGCAGATGCACGCCTACACTCGCCCGACACAGATCAAGAACCGCTGTGTGGCTTCAGGAACTGCTCGCAGTGTGTTCCGTGATTTTAGGATCAACAGAGTGAGTGGAAAGCTTGGCGAGAGGCTAGATCTTGCCTAGAGGGTTTTCGTTGGACAGTTGCTGACCTATGTTCTTCTCCTATAGTTCCAATTCCGTATGCAGGCTTTGGCTGGTGAATTGCCCGGTGTCCGGAAGGCCAGTTGGTAGTTTGCGGGATTTTACTCCGGCGCTCTTCTTGGTATCTAGAGCTTCGGTTGGTTTGCACGGCGTTTTCCTCTTTCCTTCCATTGGGTGGAAGCATGTACAGTATACATCCTCATTTGCAAGAGAAATACCATTCTTCTTTGTCATTCTGGTTTTTCGATGGTGTCCTATTGCGGACTTTGGTTTGTTGACAGGTCTAGGCATTGGGCTGGCTTTGGTCCTCGTTTGCTACGTGTGAGATCAGGAGATTGTTTTGTTGGCAGTCCTGAGAGGATATTGGCTGCGAACAGATGTTAATATGAATTGTGTGTCCTTCAATGTTGAGTAGGTGCCATGATCGTCAGGTGTTGAACAATCTATTTGAATCGGGATCTCTCACTATTCAGCTGCATGTTCTATCAAATCATCTCAGCGGTGCGTTTTCATTGCAGGCTATTGCATAGGCTGAAGGATCTCATTTCTTGCTGCTGTGGTCACATGGTCAAGGCTGGTGTCTTCCTGATTTGGTCTTGTCTTCACTTGCTCCTTCCTCTTCTGGGCCTTACCTATAAACCTTCTTTCATTCTCTCCATCTTCTCTCGTCTTCTTCTCTTCTTCACTTCTTCTCTTCTTCAACCATCTTCTCTTTCATCCTTCTTTGCCTTCATCTTCCTCGCTCGTGCTTCGTGGATCCTTCGTGGCTATTGCTTATTTTCATCTCAACCTATCATACTGATTTGATCCTTCATCATGGTGCTTTGCTTCACTGAGGATCTTCTCCCAAAGGATCCGGTTTATCCTGATGATTTAGAGAAGCTCGGGTAAGTCTCTCATGGATCTGAAATGACAACATGGCTTTCAGGGTCTCACAACCATCTGTCCACATAGGTTCTTCCTCACTAAAGATGATAAAGTCCGCTATATTGTCGCTCCCGATCAGGGCCCTCGCTACAAGATCGACCGCAATGATCGCGTGAACAGGGTGCACATTGAGGCGTTGCACGGTCAGTTGACCGACGTCCAGTTTCCTCGCTGGTTCGCATCGAAAATGAATCATTACTAACATCATTACAGGGAGCCTCAGAAAACTCGTCATTCAACGACTTGCCGGGCTCAACATGGATGTCGTGAAGCTCCCTAGTAGCGGCCCGAATGCTCCCATCATCGGGTCGCGCAACTTTAACACTGCCAGTAGGGTTGTTGTCTACTTCGGCGAGGTCATTGAAGACCTTGGCGTCTTCTCGTTCCGTGATATATGCGATGATGGGCTCGATTTTGGATCCGCTGTTGGCCTCGCAAAAGCCATTCTTCACGGGCAGAAAGACTCAGCGACAACAGCTCTCATCCTGGCAAACGCGGGCCAGCACGTCTGGCATAATGGGAGCGATGTTGCAATGACCTCGGCCAGTTTTAATAACAGGGCTCAGTCTTATATTGTCGAGAACCAGCGTCCGGCAAATTCTAGCAACATAGTCGCTAACAATAAGTCCCTCAATGCACATGTCCGCTACATTTTCGAGGACATTTTGATGCCCCATCTTCCAGTTGGGGCCAAGATTGATGTCCTTGGCATGTCTGAAGGTGGGACTGCTGCTATGAGCTACCTGGCTAAGCGCTGTGAGTATTTGGCTGAATACGATGATTAGTTATTTATGACTGACAGTTCCCTAGGGAACATCTGGGCACCTCACGTTTCTTGCATGGCCCTTGTCAACCCCGAAGCTTTGAGCAACGACCTTGACATGGGTGAAGCTACTGACTCGAAGTCCTTTGCTCATTTTTTCCAGACTCGTTGCCGTGCCTGGATCCTCTCCGATTCGCCTATCGGAACACTTGTGGATTTTCGTGATATCTATGGTTGCAACACCTACTCCTGTGGTGAAGACAGGAAGTCTTCCTGTATGATCACTCGTGGCTTAGGTCACATCTGCAGCTGGATGAAGATCATGAACCAGTGTCCACTGGCGAGAGAGGCTTCCAGCGTGGTTCCAGGTAGTGAGTCCAAGTCGAGCCGAGGACACGTTGGTGCAATCCCTAAACCAACCGACACTCGTCCTTCCTTGGTCAAAAGATTCGAGGTCGATGACCGTCTCGTCATTGAGCGCTTCTCTGAGTACATGACTGCCGCGTGGCTCACTGCGGATGTCATTGACATTGTCTCGCGTCTTTCCGAGGTCGATCAGGCCAATGGCGATGAGGCTGCGGTGGCAATTGACGAGGCGACAGAAGTCAGTGACAAGGCCGAAGCCCGAACGGAGTCTGATGGTGGCCCTGTTATGTGAGGCGCCTCGGTGCTTTTGCACTGGGACCTAAAATTTAGTGTTCTCTTTTGAATGGAAACCAGAGCACGGAGTTGATTTTCAAGGCGGCTAACTGCATACCAAGACAACTACCTATGATAAAGAGATGGGTTTTCGGTCTATTCTTTCAGGGCTCCAATTTATGGATACCACTTCGATTTGCTTGCATTTACCTTTCGCGGCGTAGGCACACGTAGGATACGAGGTATATACGAAGTTGGCGAAGTTGGAGTGTGCACTGGAGTGACAACCGATACATTGCCAGCTGTATGAGACTGACTTTTCTGCGTGTACATAACTACATATTGTAGGGGAAGTCACACTTGAACCATTCTCCACCCAATTAATATTCGACGGTTCGATTAAGCATCTATGAGGTGGGTTCGATTGTTGATCATGGACCAGTGGCGCGGGAAGTCCGAGCACGAGTATGGGAAAGATCCCTGGAAGTTGGACATGGATAATGACGGAGGTTACGAAATAAGGGAGTCGATCCCCCGCAAGTTCAAACCTGTCTTCTTCAACCTACGATCACTTCAATTCAGTGAAAATCTCTCATCAGATTATCAGAATATGGAGGATTCCGATGCGATTACTCGATGGAAACTGACTTCATGGCGGAGTCCGAAGAGAAGCCAAATGAACGGTCACGAGCCCGGCTGAATTAGGGCAAAATTAGGTAAAAGTGCAGATGTCAATAAGCCGGGGAGTTTTGATCGAGTAACAGCTGATAAGGATAACGGAAGTTCGCAGGTTGCCATCGGAGGTGGCCGATGGGTGGCCGCATCTTTTGCTTTTGCAGTTCCATGGTTCAACGCGGTTCAACGTGGCTAAACGTGGCAACAGAGATACTCTAAATCTCTGAAGACAGTGAAGAGACATATTGCGAAGGTACCACAGTACATCTCTTATCGCCCCCTGCTTACGGTAATGGCGAGGGCATTCGTGACGGTCCGGACTGTCTGGATCAGTTGCGCGGTGCGCCACCCGTCCATCGAGTAATCGCATCGTTGATCGTACTCCACGTTGACTCGGCAGTGGGACTGTGGACTGGGTCCCTGACTCCCTGCTCATGAAAAGAAAGAAAAAATGTGATTCTGCTACCCCAACAGAGGGGCCGTTCCCCCCCCGAGACCTTTTTCTCGGAGGAGGCGTTATTTATATGCCCCAGACACCCTTATCTTGCATCGATTGCCTTCCCCCTCCCCCTCCTTATCTTTCCAGTCTTTGCTGTTTATACTTATCTGAACAGCTTTTGTCTACTTCGGTCTTTTCTTTACCTCGAGTCCTAGACTGTTTGTATATAGTATGGCGACAACCAACCTCCCCCCATTGCCGTGGTAGCTTCATCCCGCGCCGTTATCTCTGGCCGTTTGACCTCTGCCACGGTAGTTATCTCACGGAGAACGGGCAAGATTACAGCTGTTTTCGATTCCGTGATTCCAGCTTCGGAGTTCCCCGCCGACACTCCGTATACCGACTACTCGCCTCATGTTCTGCTGCCCGGTCTGGTCGATGCGCACGTTCACCTGAACGAGCCCGGCCGCACTGAATGGGAGGGCTTCTACACCGGCACCCAGGCCGCTGCCTTTGGCGGTGTCACTACCGTGATTGATATGCCTTTGAATGCTATCCCGCCTACCACCACCGTAAACGGTCTGAAAGAGAAGATCCAGGCTGCCCAGGGCAAGTGCTGGGTTGATGTTGGCTTCTATGGCGGTATCATCCCTGGTAATGCAGGAGAGCTGAAGGCTCTTGTCCAGGAGGGTGTCCGTGGTTTCAAGGGTTTCCTTATTGACAGTGGTGTAAGTGAAGAATACCATGTGAAGTGCGCCATTTGTATTGACTTGCTGGATAGGTCGATGAATTCCCTGCTGTTGGAACAGAAGATATCAAGAAGGCCATGGCCGAGCTGGCCGATGAGCCAACAACCCTCATGTTCCACGCCGAGATGGTGCCTCCCATCACCGCTTCTGTCGGTGACGAAGTCCAGACCTCTGATGCACCTGCTGCCCCGGCTGGTCCCCTTGAGGCGTATGCTACATTCCTGGCCTCCAGACCGTCGTCATTCGAGACCACTGCCATCGAAAGCATCCTGTCCTTAGCTCATCTGGCTCCTAACCTGCCTCTGCACATCGTCCACCTTTCAGCGATGGAAGCTATCCCGTTGCTGCGGGAAGCCCGCGCCAACGGCGTCAAGATCACAGCCGAGACCTGCTTCCACTACCTCTCCCTGGCGGCCGAGGAAGTTCGCGACGGCGACACCCGCCACAAGTGCTGCCCGCCTATCCGCTCAAAGCTGAACCAAGATGGTCTCTGGGAAGAGCTGGAGAAGCACACCGGCGACGGCGTGATCAAGACCGTCGTCTCCGACCACTCCCCCTGCACACCGAATTTGAAGATTCTTCCCGCTGATATCCCCGGCGCCTGCGCCGGCCCCAAGGACGAGGAGCCTGGCAACTTCTTCTCTGCGTGGGGAGGTATCTCCTCTGTCGGACTGGGTCTGCCTATTCTCTGGACAGATCTCAGCCGTCGCAAGGGTCTGACATCTTCACCGGAAGATGAGAACACCAAGAATGCCCTTCAGGACATCGTTCGCCTATGCTGTGTCAACACTGCGGCCCAGGTTGGTCTGCAGTCGCAGAAGGGTGATCTGGTTGTTGGCTTCGATGCTGATATCTGTGTCTTCGATGACTCGGCTGAGTGGACTGTCGAGCCCAGCACCATGCTCTTCCGCAATAAGTGCTCCCCTTACCAGGGCCGGACCCTGCGCGGTATGGTGCGCGAGACCTGGTTGCGTGGTGAGCGGATTTTCAGCCGTGAAAAGGGCTTTGAGGATGAATCCCCTCATGGCAAATTGCTTCTCGAGAAGCGGGTTTGAGATTCTTCTGTCTTTTCCTCTTCTGTCCACGCTTGGGATGAGTTGACGCCTGGCAGTGCGAGCTCCCTTTCCTATTCCTGTCCTGCATTTCGATCTTAAAAGACCGTACCCTCTGATGAGCACTAATGACTGATCGCACAGCATCCATACCCGTTAGATTAATGACATTGCCTTGTAGCTTTGAGGCATAGAATACAAAAGCATTTGCATAAAATCTTTCTCTTTTCTCGAACAAGGCAGTAATGATCATCAAGTCGTAGCATACAAATACAAAAGTGCATAGAAGACATACCTAATCAACATCCCTCCCCTTCTCCCACTTCTCCCTAACCCTCCTCCTAACCCCCCCATTAACCCCCTTCCCCCAAATCTCCTCCTTTTCCACACCACCAACCTCCACCCCATCACCATCCCCACCCTCCTCACTCTCCCCAACAGGCCCAATAACAACCTTCCTCTCCCTAACCCTCCTCTCCTTATTCCTCGCCCTCTCAACCTTCCCCAGATAACTCCAATACAAAAACGACTCCGCAACCGCAACCCCCACACCCGCAAAAAGCCCCAACAAAACCTTCACCGCCTCGCTGGCCATCATCGCCGGCGCCGGGAACCGCGTCAACGCCGCATAAACACTAAACCCGGAAACCAGCACCGAGATGAATATACTCGTAACCAGTGATATCGTCAGCGTATCTTCTTCCAGTCCGCTGGCTTGTGTGGCGTAGGCGTCATGGATGTTTGGCTGGTAGGTGGGGTTTAGGAGGCGGTTGTAGGATTCTTGTTCTGTTAAGGCGAGGAGACGGGCTTTGGAGGCGAGGTATTCGGGTGTCTGTTTATGTTAGCTTGTGCTCTTTGGATTCAGATATGTATCTAAATGGGGAGGGAGAATCGTGATGTAAGGCAGGGCAGGGAAGTGAACGTACCGGCTCTGGCTTCTTTGGTGGCGGAGGGACGTAGACTTTCGTCCCGCAGAGGAGGGAGCCGAGGACGGTTGGAGTGTGGCTTGTGTCTTTAGATAGTGCTGGGTTTTGTTGAAGGTGGCTGGCGAGTCGAATCAATTGCTCGTGGGATATGGGACCTTGGATTTCCAACGTGGCAGGTAGGTCTAGCTCTTCGCGCTGCTGAAGCGGGATAGCTTCTAGCGCGTCGATGATGCGCTCTGTAGCGATGAGTTGGACCATGGCAGACAATGATCAATTTCCCTCCCACAATCCAGTTCGTGCCGTGGGTTTAGAACGTTGGACGCTCGCGGGTTATGGAGTAGAGTCGAGGAGAGATAAAGCGGAACCCCAAAAAAACAGTTAAGCTCAACCCCACATCGTCATCTTCTCTCTTCCCACTTCCCTCCTCCCAACAATGGCGGACTCAAAAGCTAAGAGGTAAGTCTTTCTGATTCAATTCAAGCAGTACATCGTTTCTGTACTATTCACACTCTTCCCAATCTCCCAATCCCACCCCCCCCCCCCCCCCCCCCCCACCCAATCAAAAACTAACTCCCACCAGCACGGTATCAACACAAACCAACCCGCGCGGAATCCCCGTCGCCCCCTTCATCGATAATGTCAGCGACTACGTCTCCTCCCGCGACGAGGTCGAGCCTACTCTCCGGAACTTCCAAGAAATGATCTCAAAGTACCAGTTCATGGAGGTGAACACCCAGCGCCGCGGACAGGGACTGCGCGAGAAGATCCCCGATATCAGGAAGACGTTGGAGATGGTTCGGTTCTTGCAGATGCGGAAGGAGGTAAGATCTAACCCCCTATATACCCCTATATATACCAGCGGGGGTACGGGATCGATGCGAAAATAAAGAAGCACAACCCCACGGGCGGGAGATTATGCCTGGTACACACAAACTGACACAGTTTCATTCAGTCAAATCCAACCGCAGACCTCGAAACAAATTTCGAACTAAACGACACCCTTTATGCCCGCGCATCCATCTCCCCCGCCGACGCGGAAGAAGTCTACCTCTGGCTCGGCGCGAATGTAATGCTAGCGTATCCGCTCGACGAGGCGGAGACGATGCTGGATGATAAGCTCAATGCTGCGGAGTCGAGTTTGCGGAATTGTGAGGAGGATTTGGAGTTTTTGAGGGAACAGATTACGGTTTGTTTTGCGGTCCTCAGACGGTTGGGATTTACTAATACGTATCACAGACGCTGGAGGTTGCTACGGCGCGCGTTTATAATTGGGATGTTGTGCAAAGAAGGAAAGAGAAGGGAGAGGGGAAGGAAGATGAGGATAAGAAGAGGAGTGGTGGTTGAAGATAGAGTCATTGGTTGAGGTAGGTCTATTAGAATTGGTCTCCTGTATGGAATTCAATCGGATCCAGAAATAGGATTGTATCGGTCTTGGAACACATTTGATATCAGAGACGAGAGAGTAGATATTAGGAGCGTAGGCTCTGAGGCCTGGTGGCATAACAAGCCTTAATGCCTGGCGCTCGTCTCCTGTCAGTTTGCATGTGACTGAACTGAATATGATCACTGATTAGAGTCCGTGTTGACTACTCAGTGAGCCTGAGCCTGAGCACCCTCAAAGAAGCGACGAATCAAATAGAAAGTCCACGCCAGGGAAAACTCGGTACGCAATTATATGGGCATATAGAACGAAACAGGATACAGCAATAAAACACATGTCATGAGTCGTGAAAAACAAAAGCAAGCAAAAGAGAGCAGGCTATCTTCGCCTTGACTCTCGAAACTGCAAATCTGTACAGTATTGATAGTAAACTCGGAAGGCAGTGGTAGAGTAGTGGGCTTGATAGCAAGGCCCTCAGCATTGCGCTTCATCTCGGAATTACTCAAATGCCAATCCCACAAAACCATGGGGAAGAAAGTAAAAAACTGGGGAAATAAACATTAGAACATATCAGCACCCAGCCTGTCAGCATCCGAAGCAGCTCGCTCACGCATGCGCTTAGAGATATCAATGCCGGTTTCATCGCCGATGAATGTCCATTCTTCGATATCATCAAGGTCATCGTCACCTCCATCGGGCGAGGCCTTTGCCATAGGCGTAGGAGAGAACGGTGTAGACGAGGCTAGAGACTTTTGTCTAGCCAAAGTCTTTGCGTATTCCAAATCGCGGTACAGAGCCTGAATTGCTGTGGCCACGCCGTCTTCCTAAATAGAGATATTCGAATCAGTACTCACTCTCTGAGATTTCGGGTTGGACTTGGGATGACTCACATTGCGGATCTGAACGCCCAGATCCCGTGCTTTGACAATCATGCGTTCGCTATGCGTCGCCTCCCAGAGAGCCCGCGAGAAGACGCTGACGTTGAGTTTCTTCAGGCAAATGCCGACACCCAGGTCCTCGACTCGTGAGCCGAAGAAGAACTGATCGCCGAAGAATGGCTTGACGATGGTTGGGACGCCGGCTCGGAGACTCGCGCCGGTGGTGCCTGCTCCGCCGTGGTGGGCTGCTGCATCGATCTGGGAGAACAGCCAGTCGTGTGGTGCGGATTGGATCTGGTGGATTTCTGGTGGAAGGGGGATTTCGGCTTTCGTGCTGGCTGGGTCACCCAGTCTATCCGACCATCCCTTTGAAAGAATACAACGGACATCGGCTTTCAGGACTGATTCGATGACCGTGCGTGTGAGGGCAGACGGATCAGAGACCACAATGGACCCGAATCCGATGTACACAAGCTTCTTGCCATCTTCTCGGGCTTGCGCAATAAAGTTTGATAGCTCAGTCGGTGGAGACCAGTCTGTGCCCTCGTTCAAGAACCAGTAGCCGGTGATCCGGATCCAATCTGGGTAGTCGAGAGGCGGGGGTACGACGGAGGGGGAATAGTTATACAGGAACGGGACTTTGTTTTGCTGCATTTTGTCCAGGGTAGTAGCCTTCAATCCCAGCTCGCTGTTTCGCCAGCGGTTGACTTGTCCTGCAATGGCTTTCCAGAAGATGTTGTCAAACATCACGTACGTTATGTAGTTGTACGCCCCGCCCATTCGATTCTCCGGCACGGCGAAAGCGTGAGGATACGCACGCGTTCTTGTCCATGGCATGGTGAATCCGCGGAAGTAAGGTATGCGTAAGGCTTCCGCAATGTGAATCCCGGCCATGGCGCTGGGCGATTCAATAAGAAGGTCACTACCTTGACAGCCGACCCAAGCCGACGACAAAAGATCATCGATCCAGCCTCTAAATTTCGACGAGGCTTCCCTGAGGAAGGAATATGTGAACATCCCGTTTTCGACGCAGATTCGCATGAGCTCGGCAGGATCACCATCGACGGGGGCAAAGCCGATTCCGTGGCTTCTGATCCAGGGTTCGAACTCCGCATGGGTCGCAATCTTCGGTTTGTGGCCCTCAGCTAGCAGTCCCTTGCAAAGCGCGATATACGGCTGTACATCGCCCCGGGAGCCGATGGTCAAACACGTGATTCTTAGTGACTCGGCGGGTTTGAAGTTGATGATTGAAGCGCGAGGGTCGTCAAAGAATGGATGAATTTCTGTTGAGTCTGTTGAGTCTTCAGTAAAAGTGGGAGGTACCTCGTTTCCTTCGGGGCTGTCAATCCTCGCTTCCTGAAGCATGCGGTGTTCGGCCTTCGCTGCCTCAACCTCATCTGTTTCCTCTTCTGCCAGTAACCCAGATTCCACCAGATATTTCACAGACTCTAGATTCTGGTGCAACGTGACTGCACAGTCGTCTCGAGATCCTGAAGCATTGAACTCGAAGAAAAGTTCTTCATGGCCACGGATGATGACAACAAGCCCATGGTATCCAAAACGGAAGCCTTTCTCCTTCTCGACATTCTCGATATCTTTGAACGGTAAGATCATTTTGGTTCGAGTGCCAGGAATCAAGCTGCGGAAGCATAATTTCCTCTGGCTTATGTAGATCTTCCCGTAAAGTGGGAGCACACGATGCAAGTAGGCATAATATGTCGCCCGAAGTCGCTCAGTAGACGGAAGAGCAAAGTGTGCACGGAAGCGATCCCCGTAATTGAATTCGCCCTCGGTGTCCTCTGGATCAGCGCTCTGATCATCTCGCAATGGACCTTCCCGCTCTCCGTAATGCTTCTGTCCACCGATCCACATGCCAGAGACCTTTTCTATGTACCCCATTGACTCCGTTGCTAGTAAGGAACTCATCTGCTTGGAGCGACTCTTCAGGTACTCTGCAAAACCTGCAGCGCGTTGAAGGGGATATGCGCCAGCTTTGACAAGCTCGTTCAGATTGGTTATCGAGTTTGGTCTTGAAGATCTCATCGAGTCGGATTGGTCGCGGCCTAGTGTTCTTGGTGGAGATGCTGTTGCTGCGCCCAGCTCCAGCTGTGCAGACGCAGATGGAGTCGTATCCTCAGAATGTGGTCGAGTGGCTCTTCCCACATCCGATGGGTGTCTTTGCAGTGTGTGCATAGTGGGTGCTTGAAACACATCGCTTCGGTTCAGTATTTGACTTGCAGACTCAGTAGTGTCTGTCATCGATTGTATGATAGGCGATGATCCAGTGCCTTGTTCCGCAAACGAGTCTGCCGAGTCTTGGTTTTCATTTTCGACACTGAGGCTTCGCTTGCGTGGTGAGCTATCTTGTGTCTGGTCGGGAACTCTAACACTGCTGACTGACTGTCTCTTATGCGTAGTTGATCTAGGAAGTCGTTTGATGCCAGTTTCATCTTGTGGCTCTTTTGCCGCAGTGGTAGGGGAAGTAGCATTGACCAAGCTTTTGATATAGTTGAAGGCATCTTGGCCTGAGTCGAAGAATGAGAAGAAGTACTATAGAGCGATTAGCAATGAACTAGTAAACATTCGTGCCACGGCGTACCTCATCAATTGCATATGTTTCCCCGTTATCGAGAACTCGAATCTTGAATGTCTCCGCAAAGTCGGCCATTGGACTTTGCTCCATATCGATGACGTTCTCTATTCGGAACGATACTTTGACGCTGTCCCCTTCATTGTGCGTGCGGAATATAACTTTCTGAAGAGCCTTCACCCATTCCTTAGCACTGGCTGCGCTATCCGCTCTGAAGTGATAGGTGCGCTGATCAGTAGTGACCTCGAAGTCTTTCGCATCACTGTCTTTGCCGGCAAGGGACGCACAGATTCCGTAGCGAAGATCGACATGGCCACTGGGAAAGTACAGGTTGGAGGGATCTGGGTAGTATGATAGGACATCACCCTTTAAAGTGAACCAATATCGATGATACTTAGGGTTCTTGCGACCGCGTTTGGCCAGATACCCCGACTTTATTGCCACATTGGACTTCTTTGGAAGGTAGGCATAGAAACATATGTGGCCTTCCGTCACATACATGTAGCCTTGAAGTAGCATGCTTTGGAGCAGAGAGCAAGCGTACTCGACCAACACCTTTTCAGGCTTCTCAAAGCCGAACATCTTCATCAGTCGTGTAGAAAGAGCGGATGCGGAGGACTGCGGTCGGCCTTCCATAGCTTTGTCTGAGTCGGGTAGCAAGGGTCCTTTGGCAGACGCCATGTCAAAGTTAGTCTGCGCTTCAACCATGCGACTGAGAACGGGGGCTGCTCGTGGTGTCGCACTGCGGGTTCGCCTCAAGGGAGCCGTAAGGGTCCCACCACTTTGCGTTGGTCCTTGATCCGGCTCGCCTTCCAAATCAAGCCGGGATACTCTCCGTAAAAGCTTATTGTCTGATCTTGCCCTTTGATGGCGACGGCCTCTTTCCTCTAGAGCAAATGGTTTTGATTTCGATACCTCGCTTTCCTGGCGAAAGTCTGACGATGCTACCGGCGGCAAAGCAGACGATGATTTCCCACTATGTGTCAAGGGTTGTGCCCGCTCCTCCGCATCTCCATCACTGTCACTGGATTCCTCAAAGCGGGTGTGGAAATCCGACTTGGATCCAACTGCGGCAATCATAGAGAAGAGGGACTGCTGCATGTAGTGCACGTTGCCATCTCGTGAACCCATGCCTTGCGGCGGAGCTAAGAAATCGAAGTTGGCGTCGTCTCCATCTTTGAATTTATCTGGCACGCGATCTGAAAACGGACGTTTGGACGAAGTTGGCCTCATACTTGCGCTCAACTGCCGGTCTGCCCGGCGTTTGGCGTCGTCCCTTAATGGCCTCATAGTTATATCTGGGGGTACCGATACGATACGATCGATGGAAAATATAGGTTAACGACGAGATCGAACGACGCTAGGTATGGCGTGGTGAATCACCAAGCTGGTCGGGCAGGCAGGATATCGAGGCAGGTGACAGCCCGGCACTGATAGGACGATAGATCGGATGGACCAGTGAAATGAGACCAAGACTCATCAAGCAAGCTCCACCTGCAAGTGACGTTGTCATGTTAGCCCAGTGGTCAGGCGATTACTACCTATGGCAGATCGTGATGAGGGTGAACGCACGGGGTCCCAGGTTCTAGGCCGATACCTAGATAAGCGCTTTGAAGCTCGGATATCAGTTATCTTATAGAGCTGTAACCTGTCAAACCATGCACACTCCAAATCAATAAAACGCCATGATCTAAAAGAGATGGAAATAATGATTATAATGGAATGGAAAAGTCCCAAATCTATTCCAATCCATAAAGTCTGGGAAATGCACAAAGAGCGAAACATCACCTGAGGCTCTCCGCACCCGCATGTGATGGCCCCAATGACAACATCGCCATTATGTCAGCTACATGCCTGAGGCAGAATATGCAGGTCATATCTAAAGTTACTCTAAAGTTAAGCTGGGAAACGACTGACTTTGAATAGGTAGGATAGCATAAGCATTTGCATGCTTCATTTATATTGAACTAGACTATCATTTCTTATACAGTTCCCATCGGGATTGACCTATGTCACTGGCTTGTTTTGAGATCGTCACAAGGCTAAGGATTTAGGCCTCAGCCTGATGGGGTAACCGTCGATCATAGATGCGATTTGCTATTGTATTCCATACTCCACTAGGCAGCATTACGTTGCCTAGACTTGTTCATGTCCATGATTTTTGAAATGTAAATTGTACATAGGATTGGGGACGTCGTTAAACAAAGCTATTTTCAAAGAACCTAACGCCAAATCATGCCTTTTCGGACTTCTTCCGCTTCTTTTCCTCCTTGTCCTTGTGGGACTTCTTGGACTTCTTCCGGCTCTTCTCATCATCATCACCTTTCTCTTCTGAGTGCTTCTTTGACTTCTTCCGAGGAACCGCAGCCGCTTGGGGAGCTTCGCCCTCAGCTTCATCGTGAGAAAGCTTTCTCTTCCGTTCCTCTCCCTTAGGGACCTTGAAGGAAGGCACCTCTGCCTCTGACTCCGAACTAGAACCTAGAGTCTCAGGGGGAGCATTGGCGGTTCCGACCGGTCGGAAGCGCATCTTCAAATTTTTCGGCTGGGGTCTAGCGGGCTTGACGTATTTGCGCATCTCGGCAACCACGGCATCAGTGGTTTCCGATGCGCTTGGGAGACCAATCAATTCCTGAACGTGGTAGCTGGGGATGTTGTGGGCTGCCGTGGAATATGTTTGTGTCTTCTCATCGAAGAGGAGTAGCGATTTTGTAGAGGGATCGACTTCGGTAAAAGACTCGGCTGGGATGCCGTAGTTCACACCATCGTGGGTGATGATCGGTTCACCTTGCAAGATCTTGGACATGCAGACCTCCTTGACCTTGGACAAAGGAAGAGATTCGGGCGCTGTAAGGTGGAGGATATGTTTGCCTTTGAGATTGGAGAAAAGGGAGGGGGCTTTTGAGGAGGGCGGGGCCTGCTTCTTCGCAGACTTGAATCCCGCGGGGGGGTTTGTAGGGCTGGGGACCGGAGATTGCGACCCTTTGGACATGTATTAGTCGTATTTGTGACTGATTGTGTGAAAAGTTCTTACTTGTTGCCTGAACTGGTGCTAGGTTTCATTTCTTTAGAATCATCGGAGTCGCTATCCGAGTCTGTCTCTGAACCAGAGTCTGAACCTGAGTCGGAGGTATCATCGTCGCTTGGTTGCTGCCCTTTGGCGAGTTTTGTCATTTTCTTTTCTTGCTCGGTCACAAGCTCGGGCGAGGTCGATCTGCTCGAGCTGCTATCGCTATCGGATGAAGCCATGGCGGCTGTTCAATGTGTCGAGGAAACTCGACCACGATTAGAGTTGCTTTCGTGAGGATGCGCAATGCCAGTACACGTCAGGTTCAACAAGTCGATTGCAACGGGTGAGCTGAGAGATGCAAGAAATATATATGCGAGCTCACAGCAATGCTAAATTGGCAGAAATAGATTGGTCCGACGTTGAGTGAGAATGTTCAAGTTCAACAATCTTTTTTTCTGCTCCGCGGGAGCACGGACCACCCGCCAACTATTTTTTGCTTATCGCCATTATCGAAACTGCGATCTTTCTTCCTGGCGCAAGTTCAAGGCTCGTGTACTTCGGTTGTACATTATCATGGTGGAGAAGCGAAAGGCTGAAAAGCAACAGCCTGCCGGTAAGTTTGCTGTCTATGCTCCGTGGCACGAATGTGAAGCTTACACACATGTTTCTCTAGGCCCCGTTAGCGCTGTCGCTGCTTTGGCCGCGCGCAGAGCTCGACAGCAGCAAGCTCAGAGCGCGCAGGCACCGAATGATGTGCCGCAAGTTGTTCCTGAGGCTGAGCCGCCTTCAAAAAAACCACGACCATCTCTTGAGGGTTTCGAGTCCACTGAAACAAACGGGAATCGCCGTGATGCGCGAAATAGGGCCACGAAAAAACACGAGCCATTGGCTGCAGTGATGATGGCCAAACGCCCAGTGGGAGCTACCCGGTCCCCAAAATCAGAACCAGAGCCTGAGCTAGATGTTACCCCCGAGCGCGCACAGAACGAAGAGTCTGGACAAGAGCATGCTGAGGATGCCCAAGAGATGAATGAGGACGACGTTGCGTCGGTTGTGGGTGACCCAGACGGCTATGAGTCGCCTGCAGAAACACCAGCGGAGCTCCAGAATTTCCCATTATCGAAGGCTCGGTTGAACAAAAGCAACATAGTGTATAGTGATGAGAATACCCTTTGCATTCGCATCAAGGAACGCACGGTATGGATTGTAATTTCCGGCTATTCGGCGTGGATACTGACTTTGATGTAGAATCTGGCACTGTTGGGCCATTATGATCTCTGGGTCAAAAGGGGTGTTGTCAGTCTTATGGGCGCGAAATTGCACCCATCCTCACAACTTCACAGAGTTTATGCCCCCTCTACTCACTCTTTGCCAGTCATCAAATGTGTAGCTGGCGTTGACGGTGACGCAGAAGTCGAAATTAAGTCGTGCAACAGCGGCATTGCCCGTCTTCGTGACCTTTCGCCTTTATACCAAAAGATCTGGACCGGCGATAACACCGTTGCAGATAAGATTACCCTGAAAGGTGTCGCCAAAGAATCGAAGCGGACTTTCTCGGTGGTATGTTATCACAGTACGCTATATTCCAAGCCGAGCTTAAAGCTGATTTGACTCCACAGTTGTATACTTCGGCAGATGATTCCTTAAACAGACATCTCCGACCACTCCACCTCGATAAGAAATGGAGTGCTTCGATGAAAGCACTCTCGCAACGTGAAGGTCGGCTACGTGTCCTAATTTGTGGTCCTAAGGCTTCTGGAAAGTCCACATTTTGTCGCTACTTGTTGAATCATGTTCTCAGTCCGACACCCGAGACCGAAAATGGATATATCAATGCCGACGGAGTTGCTTTCCTGGATCTAGATCCGGGCCAGCCTGAGTTCGCCCCTATGGGTCAAGTCTATCTTGCGCGTTTGCGCTCACCATTCTTCGGTCCTCCTTTCACTCACCCGTCACTGGACGATTCCCAAGGCGGGGAAATCGTGCGGGCGCATCACATCGGCGCAACGTCGCCGAAAGAAGACCCTGATCACTATGCGCTGGCCGTCATGGATCTCATGGATCAATACCGGTTATTGCTGGAGAAGCACCCTCAATGTCCTCTGATCATCAACTACCCGGGGTGGATCTTTGGACAAGGGTTAGAGGTTGCAACTTGGTTGGTTAGATCTCTCGGTCTCTCGGATGTGGTCTACATGAGTGAGAAGGGCCCGACAGAGGTTGTGGACCCATTAGGCCGGGCAGCTAATGAAGCTCGAGTTCCCTTGACAATCCTGCCATCTCAGCCCACTGATTTTGTGAGCCGATCAAGCGCTCAATTACGCGCGATGCAAATCCAGTCCTACTTCCACATGTCACATCCAGCCGACCTCACTACCTCACTTTGGTCGGATACACCTCTCTCTCGCACAAGACCCCTTACTGTGAACTATGCTGGCGCACGGCAAGGAATTCTGGGCATCATGGTCATGGGTTCCCAGATCGATCCCGATCTACTGCACGAAACACTTGAAGGTTCCATCGTAGGAGTCGTTACGGTGGAATCCTCCAAAGCCATCATGGGAGAAATGGCAACATCACAAACATCGAACCATGAAGACCATGAAGACATTGATATGGATACAGCAAACCCAGGCGCGGACATTGCAGCTGAGCTTGCCATGACGAATTGCATTGCCCGAACACCCGAGAACCTCCCTTACCTCTTCCTTGGATCTGGCAGTTGCACCCCACTGGATCCCAAGGCTTCAAACTGTCTTGGCCTGGCTTTGGTCCGCTCGATCGACACCACTTCGCACAAACTCGAGCTCTCTACCCCCATCCCCCCATCCCACTTACAAAGTGCTCTCGAGAAAGGCCACGGAATTGTGCTGGTCCGCGGCCAGATCGATAACCCGAACTGGGCTATCAGTGAAGAATATTACGCCGCTCGTGCAGCAGAGCGGCGCTATCAGCAGTCGACATCTGGATCGAAGAAAACTGGAGATTCCGGCATTGAGCAGTCTCATGAGCTCGATTCTTCCGAACATAATAGGACACTCGCCTTATTGCGAGAGAGAGTCCGCCGGGCGAGCAATGTGCCTTGGATGACTGTCGTGGAGGACAACAGCCGTGTCCATCGGGAGGCTGCTGCGCGACGAGATAAGTCACTATGGAAATTGAGGAAGAAGGCATATCCTGGCAGTGAGAGCGAGGCAGATTATTAGTCCCTCACATGTCAAATATATATGGAACACATTGCAATAATAGCATGCACAGCAGTGTCACACCTACTGTGTAGTTTTTAGGGCTTTTTAGGACCTTAAATGAGGGCTTATCACCCGCGGCCTGCCCCTCATTAGTCATTAGGGCGGTAACAACTGATATCCAATAAGAAGACGCCAATTGCGGCAGAATGGCGGATGTTCCCCATGTACCACTTTTTTTTCTTCTCTTATCGGGAAGTCTAAAGATTTCTTCTTCCCTTGGAGTCATTGTCATACACTTGGTGGCTCTTGTTTTTCAATTGGTATACCCCGTCGCATACAATCTCAGTAGACCTGTGGTTGTTTTCGACTCAATCCCAACTTTTCCCACCAAGAGCATTGTGTGACTCAACGCAACCATGTCTGAGCCCTCCAACGTGATTCCTCACAACCACTTCGACACCATTCTGGTGCTCGACAATGGATCGCAATAGTATGGCTTCCCTCGCAGTGATCAGACTTATGTCTATGGTCACATTCTTGCATCGATTCGTCGAGTCTAACGAAATCCTCCCTACAGCACCCACCTCATCACCCGCCGTCTACGAGAGATCAATGTCTACTCCGAGATGCTCCCTTGCACCCAGAAGCTCGCCGATCTGACCTGGAAGCCCAAAGGTATCATCCTGTCCGGCGGTCCCTACTCCGTCTACGAGGAGGGAGCCCCCCACATCGACCCCGCCTTCTTCGAATTGGGCGTCCCCATTCTCGGAATCTGCTACGGTCTCCAGGAGATCGCCCACCGTCTCCACGCCGACAACGTTGTCGCCGGTACCGCTCGCGAATACGGCCACGCTGATCTCAAGGCCACTCGCTTCGGTGGTCACGTCGACAAGCTGTTCGAGGGTCTCGAGGATGCCATGACCGTGTGGATGTCCCACGGTGATAAGCTCTGCAACTTGCCCGAGGGATTCCACACTATCGGCGAGACCAAGAACTCCGAATACGCCGCTATTGCTCACAAGTCCGACCCGGTGTACGGCATCCAGTTCCACCCGGAGGTTACTCGTAAGTCTTTTTGCTTGTTTTGAGTGGCATTGTCTTCTTGGTTCTTAGTACTGACGGGGCTCATAGACACTCCCCAGGGTGGCCAGCTTCTTAAGAACTTTGCTGTCGGCATTTGCGGTGCGCAGCAGAGCTGGTCCATGTCTGAATTCATTGGCCAGGAGATTATCCGTATCCGCAGCCTGGTTGGACCCACCGGCCAGGTTCTCGGTGCCGTCAGCGGTGGTGTCGACTCTACCGTTGCTGCCAAGCTCATGACGGAGGCTATCGGTGACCGTTTCCACGCCGTTCTGGTCGATAACGGCTGCATGCGTCTGAACGAGTGCGAACTCGTTAAGGAAGTCCTGCAGGAGCAGCTGGGTATCAACCTTACCGTTGTTGATGCCAGCGAGGAGTTCCTGGCTGGCCTGAAGGGCGAGCACGACCCGGAGAAGAAGCGCAAGTTCATCGGTGGCAAGTTCATCGATGTGTTTGAGGAGGAGGCCCGCAAGATCGAGGCCAAGAGCAACGGCAAGGTCGAGTGGTTCTTGCAGGGCACTCTCTACCCTGGTAAATACCCCTTCCTTTCATCAACATGAATATCACACAAGCTAACAGTCATCCCCAGATGTTATCGAGAGCATCTCATTCAAGGGTCCATCACAGACCATCAAGACCCACCACAACGTCGGCGGAATCGCCGAGCGTCTCATGGCCGGCCACGGCCTGAAGCTTATCGAGCCTCTGCGCGAGCTCTTCAAGGACGAGGTCCGCGAGTTGGGCCGCCAGCTCAAGATCTCCGAGGAACTGGTTGGCCGTCACCCCTTCCCTGGCCCCGGTCTCGCCATTCGTGTCCTCGGTGAGGTCACCAAGGAGAAGGTCGATATGGCCCGCAAGGCCGATAACATCTTCATCAGCATGATCCGTGAAGCCGGTCTCTACGACGATATCGGTCAGGCTTACGCCGCTCTGGACCCCTCGCGTGCCGTCGGCGTCATGGGCGATAAGCGTGTGTACGCTAACATCATCCTCCTCCGCGCTATCTCTACCAAGGACTTCATGACTGCTACCCCTTACCCCTTCGCCTATGACTTCTTGTCTAAGGTTGCTACTCGTATTGTCAACGAGGTCGAGGGTGTTTGCCGTGTTGCATATGACTTCACGAGCAAGCCTCCTGGTACCATTGAGATGGAGTAGATGATGTCTTGGTTTGGGATTGGTCGTATGAGGTTTATAATTAGAAAAGTTTGCGCTGTCAATACAGGTTTAGCTAGAATGATGGGATGCAGGTTACGAATCCATTTGCATAGATAGGAATCAAGTTCATGTTTTCATGTTTATAAGCAACTGTTCGTATAAGAATATGAAGCCAAACCAGCTGCAAGGCGATATCAGAAGTGAGACTTCCTATGCAGGACAAAAGGGTAGTTCAGAGCTCTCTTTCGGTTTCCCCGTGTGATGTCTCGCTGTGTATCTGATCTGTTGGCTTGTGCCACGAGTTGAACATGAGGGTTGCCACGTTCCGGCCCATCAGCGCACTAGTCTCCATTGTCGAGATGAAACTCTCAATGCCACTCGTGTACCACACATTCGGGGCCAGAAGGGTATCCTCAAAGGTCACACGCGGATACAGTAGAGGGTATGGATTCCACAGCTTCTCATGGAACCAGCTAATATCGCCTTTGGAGAGGTCTGCAATCGTTGTATTGCTCCCCACAGACTCACTATCCAGTCCCATGATCCGAGCAATGAATTCAGCCGTGGGGCGCTCTGGCGAGAAGATCTTATAAACATAATGCTGCTGAATCTCACCTTCCGGTTCTACCGAAGGATGATCCACTGTTCGGAGAGTACTGATACTCCAGAAGTCGCTGGGCCCAACGCCGGCCGGGTTTGAACCCAAGTCGAGACCCTCAGGCAGAGTGGTCAGAATAGTTTCAGGCGCGCGAGCGTCTTGGTCCTTTAGACCAAAGTATCGTGGTGAAATGCGGTGTCGAGATGCAAAGAGCGTAACGTGCAAATTAACGTATGGGATCTCGTCTGGGGTGTGCTCCAAGGGAGGAGAGACAGAGATACCAGAGTACTGCAATGGACCAGCAATGACAACGTCGTCGAAAACCTCATCCTCCAGGTTGGAAGCGATGTTTGGCTTTGTGGAGACCCGCACAGTCCCATCATCGTTGCGTTTGATCTCACTGACAGTAGTATTCACTTTGATGTTCGCACCCGAGGCCCTAATTGCGCCATCGAAGATACGCCAGTTGCCGCCCTCGACAGAAACCGCTCCATCGGTCGCCATACAGACAACTGATTCCAAGCCGTGAATCAGCTGCAGATTCTGTCCGTAATTCACCCGGGTGCTTGCTTGAATGATCTCCCTCGCAAACAGCGAGTCAATGCTGTTAGCCTGGAGGAAAACGTCGCCAGCAGACGCAGTAGCATTGATCAAGTCTGCCGCGACAGCAGCCTCCGAAAGCGACCTAAAAGGGAACAAAGGCTCTTCATAAAGCCGCAAGAACTTCCCGACCACGCTCTTCATCAGATTCTGCGTACGCAGCGGCGCCAGTCCGTACCGCCAGAAGAGCCGGCCGATATTCCACCAGTTATACGAGTTCTTCATCGAGAAGACGAACTGGTGTCCATCCCAGATCCCGATACTTTCCGATGACTCTTTGGGCCGCGCATGATCAGCGCTATTCACTGTCAACCCGAGGTCGCGGGTAGCGTTGACTAGGTTGTAGTTGACCTGGACGAAGATGGAAGCGCCCAGTTCAATCGGGTATGCCGGGTCATCAAATACATCGACTGTCGTTGAGCGACCGCCGACATATGACTCCCGCTCGTAGACTGTTATGTCTACGGGGGTATTGGCTTCATCTGCGAGCTTGCGCAGTTGATACGCGGCAAATGAGCCGCCGGCTCCGGCTCCTATTGGGAATATCAGAGGAGAGTGGGAATATGTCTGAATTGATGCCCACCAATGATTGCCACGCGCTTGGGAGCTGCGCTTAGGGGTTCTTTTAGAAGCTCTTGTTCTGCTGCATTGCCAAAGGAAACGAGTAGGGTTGCTAGGATGGAGTATAGGAAGAGAGGGATATGATGAGGCATAAACGCCCGCATGGTAGTGGCAGGACTGGCAGAATTAACTGTCGATAGAGTAGGAGGTCCCAATAAGCTCTTTATGTATAGGTCAGTGTAGATCCGATAAATTCAGACATCCATGGATGAATGGAGGCTGGTTGTCAACGGAGATGGGCGGAGATGGAATGATGACAATGATATCGGTAACGATACTGTTATCACACTGTAAGATATACTACGCTAGACTTGTCAAGGCTAGCGCGTTTCCATATCGCTTATCGGCATTTTTTTGAACGAGGGGCTCTTCACAGATTTGATGTACGCCCAATTTACTCAATACCCAATAATTGCGCCACCATGGATCCCTACGACAGTGACTCCAGTGTCGATGACGACCTCACCGACACCGGCGTGCTTCTAGGCTATGCCGCCGAGGAAGTAATCGAGGACACAATCAGCCATCTTGGAGGCTGGCCGGTATGTCCACCACTACAAACGCAACCACCATACCTAACCCCCCGCAACTAACACCCACAATCCAGAAATGGCTCGACGATAACGCCCCAGCCCCCGGCGACTTCGCCAATTGCAAAGTCTGCAACAGCCCCATGCTCCTCCTCCTCGAACTGCACGGCGACCTCCCAGACCACTTCCCAACCGACGAACGCCGCCTCTACATCTTCGGCTGCCCGCGCAAACCCTGCAACCGCAAACCAGGCAGCATTAGAGCCTACCGCGCAACACGCAAGATCTCACTCGGCAGCGGAAAGCCGCAAGAACAAGAAGAACCGAAGCAAGAGGAACCGCCGAAACCAGCCCAACCAAAGCAGGACCTCGGCGCAAGCCTATTCGGCTCCACCAACCTGACCAGCACCGTCTCCTCAAACCCAAACCCCTTCTCAACATCCTCAGCTCCGACAACGGGAACAAATCCCTTCGCAACGCCCGTGCCGGCAGGCGCGCCAGCCGAGAAGATCACATCCACAGCCGCGCTGGCATCCACCTTCGCGGAAAAAGTGCGTATCTCCTCGCCGCCCCCGTCAGCGCCAACAAAGGCAACCCCCGAATCGGCCACGGCCACACCCTGGCCCGCGCAATCTGCCTTCCCGCCACCGTACAAGAACTTCTACCTAGACGCCGAATACGAGACGCTCTCTCGACCGTCGACGCCCGAAGTCCCTGCAAACGTACAGATCGAGCCAATGGATGAAGACGGCACCGCTGCTGGCGCCGAGCTGAAAGATACGTTCGAGTCGGAACTCGATCGGGATTTCATGAAATTCTCCATGCGTCTCGAACATAACCCGGAGCAGGTACTGCGGTATGAGTTCCGTGGTTCGCCGCTTCTGTACTCGACCGGTGATGCGGTCGGTGCTAGATTGCTGGGGAAGAATATCTCTGGTGGAAAGATTACTACGCTTCCGGCTGGTAGTATCCCGGCTTGTGAGTATTGTGGGAGTCAGCGGGTGTTTGAGTTGCAGCTTGTGCCGCATGCTATTACGATGCTTGAGGAGGGGCGGCCTGGGGTTGGGCTTGGAAAGGATGATGCGGGCATGGAGTGGGGGACTATTATTATGGGGGTTTGTGGGAGGGATTGTGCCCCTGCGGAGTTGGGGGTTACGGGGTGGAGGGAGGAGTGGGCTGGTGTGCAGTGGGAGGAGACGAAGTAGGCGTTCTATGAGAATGCCTGAATTGCATTAGACAAGGCATTGCCTGCCTAGTATATAGTTTCTGCAAAATAGAGTTGTTACTTGATCTACCCAGATTTATATACATGTACCTACCTTATTCATGCACGAAATTTCCAAGTGATATATCCATCCCGCGGGCACTACAACTATAACATGCACAGATATATGCATACTCTCTCGATCAACAACTTATCTGAAACAGTCTCTGTAAGATTTTTAGTTTGGCAGCAAAGCCGGCGATCCAAGGATGCCCAAGTTATGTGATGGTATGGACATGACATCTCTCTCTTCCTCATATCATCCAGTGCAAATAAAGCAGGAGAAGTGAAAAAAAGGGAATCCAATACAGACAAGAGAAATAGAAATAGAAAATAAAACGCCCAGATGCGCCAGGTCCCGACTCATCTCCGAGCCCCTTCTCATGCGAAATCTATCGTCGGTTCGTCGGGGTTGGATTCATGATACTCATGTCATGGAATGGGAATCAAAAGCCCTTTCTTCCCTCGCACCCATTTTTGGTTTCAATGTGAAGTTGGAATACGAAGAAGTTGAAACATTCGATCGATGCGAAAAGTCAAAACAGAAGCCTCCCCAGTATCCCACTTATGCGGGCAATTCGAAGCCACGGCGAATGACACGGCCGAACTGCTCAATACCGACGTGCTCGCTCTTAACCTCAGAGCGGGCCTCGTTCTCCTTGTTGGTAGGCACACGGATGATAGCACCGTCAACCTTCCAGCCGCAGACGTCGATGACGAACTTCTCAAGGGCCTCGCGGCTGCGGATGTCGAGCCAGGACTCGAGGTTCTCGGCGGTGATGGAGCGGAAGGTCTTACCGACCTCGACGGCGATGCGGATGCGGACGAGCTCTTCGAAGCCGGCGACGTCGGCAGTCAGGTCGGCGTACAGGTCATCTGAGTTCAGGGTGGACCAGAACTGGGCGTACTGCGCGGACTCGAGGAGGGTGGAGAGGCGGGTGAGTTTCTGGACGGCCTCGACGAAGTCGGAGGTCTGCGAGGCGGCTTGGGCCTCGGTGGTGGTGGGGAAGGGCTGGGTGCTTGTTGGGAGGAGGGCGAGGCAGAGGGAGAAGGCGGGTGAGGGGAAGACGGTCAGGGCCTTGGCCAGGATGTTGGTCACGGTGTCGGGCTGGAGGAGGTGGGGGTTGAATTGGAAGCTGGATTCGGCGGAAGGGTTATTGTTAGCTTGGCTTCAAGGTATTCAGGACGTCTTGAAAACGCAGAACATGCCAATGATCTTGGGATGAAAGCCATGGCATTAACTCTTCAAATTCAGTATTCTTCATAGGGTTTCTCAACATTCCCAAGTTATTTGGGGTGTCAGGTAATAGGAAACGCTTTAAAGATACTCATCATAGAAGAGCCTCTCAAATGAGATTTTCGCAATGCAATTCTTCCAAGGAGAAAAAGGGTCGAACTCACAGCTTCAGCAGGGCCAAGTTGGCGTAGCAGTCGAATGTTCGGTCCTCGCACTGCATGGTCACATAGTCCTGGAACACGGTGGTGGTCTCGGGGTTGTACCGGTCGAGGCCATTGAGGATAGCCTCAATATGGGCCGGCCGGGTCTCACACTTGTCGAAGGCGACCATTTTGATATTGCTAGAGGTAGGTGGGAGGTGATGCGGGTCTTTGTCTCTGCGGGATGTTCTTTTTGGTGGGATTTTTGATTGTGGCCCGGTGGCCGGATTAACCCGAGCGGGTGAGTTTACCCGAAGTTCTTCCGGACTACTGTGAATAGGATGCAACTTTGACATCTACCTGCTTCCATTGTTGGACGCTTGGTACGATTACTGCGGTTATTGTCACTGATGGTAGATAGATAGTAAATGATACGCTACGTGAAAACTCGATTTTTTCGTGAAGTAGCTGGTGAATTGGTTCCTGATCGAATGATTCATAAAATTACATGTCTCTTGGATGCCTCACGGTCTTGAGATCACAATCATAACCTAACCAGCACCGGTCCCAGATTTGGAACTCGCTAACAGACACGATTGAACGTCGAAATCCGTGAAGATCAAAAGAGGTAGTCAAGAAAAGAAGAAAGGCATACCACCGAAAGGTAAGAAGGATGGAATCAGGGCTGGTAAACAAAAAACTCCTTCCGTATCTGTTAGACGCCATTGTCTATGCCCATACCCATATTGAAAGGAAAAAAAAAAGAAAAGCCGAGGCATTATGCAAAATGAGCATCGTGTCGTGAAAAGCTGTCGTAACGCCCTGGCCCTTTGAAAGCATGGAGAAGAAAGAGGATAATACAAGGTCAAGGTTGAAAGGTGCCTGTAAAACAAAAACAAAGCAGGCGGGTATCTCGGTAGAGGTTCATGCAAATGGTGAAAAAGTAAATTTCATGCCATGACGGGCCGGCGAGGCGCAATAGGAATCGCCTTGGGTCCCGTAGAGATTTCAAGGTTCGACATGTCAATGTCGTTGCCGTCGTACTTCTGATCTTCCTGTGGCTGTCGTGCCTTGGAGACCATAACTGGCTGAGAGGGAGCGGCGGTCTCTTCGTCACCGACGGTGCTGCAGACGTAGGGTTCCTCGTTGAGAGGGATACCACCAAACATTGAGCCCAGCTGCTGCAGGAGTGCGACAAAATGAGCATGTATTTCGGTGAAGATGTACTCGTTGCCAACGATTTCGGCCAAGTTACGGGCGCGAATTTGGCCGGCTGCGCGCCTGCCTGCCGGGTCCATACCGCGGCCGGTGAGGAAGGATGAAACAGGACGGTGCTGGGGGCCAGGCTGTGTTCCCGGGTTGTTCTGCTCGTCACGAGTCTTTTCATCCTCCTGGAATCGTTCCGCGGCGGTAATAATGCCGCTTGCGATGCGACCGAATGCGCGCCAGATGATGGGGCATGCACGGAAGGCTCTTCCGGCGTCTCGACCGGCCAATGCGACCAATGCATAACTGCGTCGCTTGCCGCGGGCCATGGGATCGGGGAGACGGAAAATGTAAGCAACGGTGTAGCCAGCGACTCCATCGCCGAAGCAAATGGGACCGGAGGAAAGTCCCCGGGGCAACAGCTCGCAGCTCAAGGTGCGAATAGATGAGCGTCGGAGAAGCGCATAGTCAGCGGGGTTTGGCGGCCCACGCTGGGAGAGATAGGTGTGAACGTGTGTGTGACAAGAAGAGTCCGAGGCGACTGACGCAGAGCGGAGCGAGTCGGGAGGAGAGGCATGAGTGTGATAATCGGCTTCGTCATCAAATTCCGCCTGGTTATTGCGGCAGGTGTAGACGAGCTCACGCGAGCGGAGTACGGGGCTGGTGGAATTCCCTTTCGCATCGCGGCTCCCAGGCGCACCCTGTGGCAACTGTTTGCTCACATTTTCCGGCAAAGACAAGGTGCAGCTGGCGCATGTGTCGCCATTTGCACCATTTCGATTGGACTTGTCTTCGGGTGAGGCCGAGTGTCCTTTGAGGAAGAATGGATGATCTTCGATTCGGGGCGGATTCGACTCGGTGGATTTCTGAGATCGCTCATGATCAAAGCGAGATTCGTGGGAAGCAGGGGTACCCTGTGGAGAGTGATCGGATTCGGAATGGCATTGCGGGCATGAGAAAGGTAGAACCTGCGAGCAGATGATAGAGGTTGGACCATGCACTTCACAGAAGTGCGTCAAGGAGAGCTTTGAGCGCGTCAGTTTGAATAATTTGAGTGGATGGATCAGAGTCTACTCACAATGAAATCCATGGTGGATCTGATCAAGCGATAACCGGCATCCTCAGTCCATTGTCGCAAGGCATGCTGTGACTGGATGATGACGAAAAAACCGGTATGCGCGGATCCACACAGGACCAGGTTCCCGGGGAAAGGATAAAAGGGGGGAAAAAAAGAATAAAGCAGAAATAGAGGAAAGGGGGATGGGTTAAGAGAATATTAAGAAGAAGGAGATGAGGAGAGAGTGGAGATGTCAAAGTGAGAGAACAAGCAATAATAGAAGGGGGCAGTTCTTCTTTTTACCTGTGGGGATTTGGGGAGAGAGAGGGGGCTCTGGGGGCTCTTAGTTCGGAGAGACCGGGACGTTCGTAAATGGAAGGACGATGGAAGAAAAGAACTTCTCCACCGATATTCTTTAACCCACACTTTCCACACTTTCTCGGGACTTTTCATTAACATACTCCCTCCTTCCTACTCCGTATATTTATTCTATTCTCTATGTAGTTACTGTTCTAATCTCACGACACCGCCTCTATATCTACCTACTTTGTGACCCGAGTTACACACCCTTCCGGATCCTCTTCCGATCACATTCCTTTCAGTCTCCGTCTCCTGGAATGCTGCATGTGAAAAGTATTCTAGAATCGGCCTGGCCATTCCCACTTTCCTCTAGCGTCGACCCGAAGAGCCGTTCACATCTGCCCTTGGTGTTTTAAGTGGGGGGTGGCTGCAACCTGTGGCTCCATTGTTTTAGTCTTTACTCTTTACTCCGTAGACCAGTTGAACTTGTTGTAGTTACTAGTTACAAAGGTACAATATTGAAGCTTCTCTCATCTTGAAATGCAGACTTCGCATACATAAATATGATCTATCAGCTGGCCTGCTTATGAGCCATGTCCCTCTTCCAGTAGCGGACACATTGCTTTTTCTTGTTTCCCTTTCATAGTACGGAGTACACAATATTTTCTTTTTTGCCTCTTCCCGTCTTTAATGTCACTCGAAAATCAGCATGTATCAGATCAGTCGACAGCCGTCTCCAGAGTCCAGTCCCGCCATCCGGTTTTCCTTGGGGTAATCTGGAGATAGCTCCGTGTTAGGGGCACGGCAAGGAGGCGAAAAGGAAGGGAAATCCCTCCGCTTCCGATTTGTTGAAACACGACGGATGCTTTATACGGTGAACATCATCACATTGGATGTGTACAAACGATCTACGGTTGTCGTGAGGCGTTCGGCTATTCCCGTGCTCACTTCAGGCTGTTTGTGTCTAAGACTGATCATGATTCATTCTGAGTGGCACACGAAGCAGTCACGTTAGATAGTGGGCACCGGGGGTAGTTAGCGTCGGCCAGAGTTAGACAGGGATTCTTCATTCTAAACTTTATGGGTAAATCTGACAAGCCGCAGTCGAGCGATCATACACAACTACACATACTAGATCCCATGATGGACTTCACATAGTATTCCATCGTGAATGGTTGATGACTACGGAGATACATATACTGCATACGCATCATGTACGGAGTATGCACGCATCGTACATCGTACTCGGGCCTCGTGTTCCACTCCACTTGATCTTCGACAGCTCCCCGTTCCTCGGGAGAAGATTCTCCCTTGGATCCATTAAAATCTGGATCCTTTCACCCGTTGGTAACGAAGACATGTCCGATCCTACTCCGGACCAGGGATAGTTACAGGTTCTCTAAATGAAATATACCCAATTCTTGCCCAACGGTAGAACCCCGGTAAAGCCCGGGCCTTGCTCCGGCATTGATCCTGATCCCAGATCCTTGCATAATTCTAAGGCTTACCGAGAACTTAGACACAGATGGCACAGCGTTCTTCCATCCACAATGCCATCTAATGGGACACCAAGCATGATAGCCCTGCCATCGACAATATCCTACAACTAGTTACATGCAATGGAATATCTACCTCTTCCTCGGTCATCGTGCCGAGAATATTATGTACGCAATAATCAATATTGAGGGATTTAACGATCGTGAAGCAGAAGCAAAAAGGCTAATTATCAGCAGAATAGGCCCAAAGGCGACCGGACCGGCCAAGACATGAAGCGGATCCCCTTTTTTTTCTTTTTTCCCGGACTTTAAACGGTTCGGGCTTTAATCGATCGCCGATTTCCCATTCTTCATTCCTCTCCCCACTATTCTCAAGATGTTCCACAGGGGAATTGTTCCATTTGCGCCCACCTTATTAATAAACCCCATAGAATTGACTTTCATTGTATCCACTGAGCACAATGAAATCTGGTCTCCCGTTGTCACGGCATTGGATTGGGAAGGTGGTTTCGTGAAGTGTTGTGCAGAAATCAACACCCTATTTGATTAGAAGGAAGTGGATCGGTAATTGGATATACGGATACGGATATACACAGTAACACCCGATTCTTTATTAGGTACACCGGTGATGGCCATGGAATATGTAGTGGCACCCAGATGTACTGGATTGGACCAAGCCTTTGTACCTAGACCTCTACGGAGTAGTTACGCAGATAGAAGGCGGTAGTTCTGCAAAGGTACCGAAACCCGCCCGGTTCTTCAGACGTACGTAGTACCATGGTTCAGTCGTCCCAAGAGTTTTTGACCTCTCCGTACTTCGGCCTAGGATCCACATTTAATATTGCCTGGCAGAAACCAGGGAATTCAATCCGTTTACTGTGATAGGGCGTGCGAGTTCAGATCAACCACTGTAGTAAGCGGTCTAAGTGGCGGTCAGACCTAGCGTGGAGCAGGGCAGGGTCAAATGTTCTGGGAACATGTACATTGTTTAGTGTGTACATTGTTGCACGAAGTATGTCGAGAGTCGAGAGTCGAGACCACCGGCTACATTAAAGCTTCGAGGATCTACCCACGTGGAAATCCCGCGCTTTGATCGAATGGCCAAAGTACCAGATTGATGATCAGCGATCCAGATCCTAGATACAAAGTACTGACTACTGCCCGTACAGCTGCATCATTTAGCATTACTACATCCGTCCTACTTGCATGTTGATATCATACATTTTCAAGCCACAGGGTCCAGACCGCTACATTCCTCTATCTATGGTAACACGCCTCTCTCGGGGCAATTGCCACTGCGGCTAGGTAAAACGACGTGGCTTAGCTTGTTGGATGTCCTCGGTGAGTCGGTACAATATTTTCTGGTTGTCGTGCATCTAGGCAGCCATTTAGATGCCGGTAATAGACCATTACTCCACGATATGGCATATGGCAAGTCTGTTCAACCATTACCTACCTATGGGGCCGTTATCTTTTAGTAAATTTCTGGTTTACTAGAATAGCAGCAAATCAAAGTTCTATATCAGCTTTCAAATATGTTTCCCGCCGGGCGTGGGATGTAGCTGATAATCCAGATACTTAATTGGAGGGGTATGATGTTTTGGAAGGAGGCTACTAAGCGCCATCAGCCGCAGTGGTGGCGGAAGCGATCGCCCAAAGGGAGCTCCTATTAGCATGGACATAGGATGGGTTGACCATCAGAGAGATGGTACCAGCAGCGTAGGTTCCAATGATGACCACCATGTCTCTTCAAGATGCATTTTCAGCCCTGTTATCCCAGTGTGCAGGGACATCACAGGACCATACGGAGCAGCAGACACAGAGACAACGCCCTGCTTTTTATCAATGTGGCGGTTCGTTCAGCAGGAGACAATTCGCCGGTCAATACCACAGGAGTGGTTCAAAATCCCTTGCTTGTTCAGAGGTTTATCTTGCTCTAATAAGTCCTTGCCTAATCTCCGTACTCGCTGATACCCATATCTCGAGTACCATGGGTGTATCGTTTTCTTCAAGGGCGATCGGCTTTCGGCATGCGCATGTTCATCATTGCCAGCATATTCCCCGCCGGACCAGAAGCACCGGCTTGGCTCTGAAGACTCTCCAGTAGATTCTTTGCCAGGTTGATATTGATGTTGTCATCCTCGTAATCTTCATCGTCTTCATCATCTTCGTTGGTCGTCTGGGCAGCCTTCCCTTTGGATGTACCTGCTTTGCCGGTAGACATTTTATGCTGGCGCCCGTTAAGATCTAGCACTCCCGTCCCTTGTAACTCCGCCTCCATCCGGCGGGAAAGCTCCTTGATCTCCTCCGTATCATCTTCGCCATCTGAGTCCAACTCCTGCACGCGTTTACGAATGGAATCAGATGAAGATGGCATTCCCATCATCTCTTCCATCATTCTTGCAAATTCGTCCTCGTTGAATGATGCATCTTTATCTTCGCCATCGCTGTCGACTTCCTCATCGTCATCGTCATCCTCGTCGACATCAGAATCGGAGTTAAAGTCATCGACGAAATCGGCACCATCGAAGCCCGCCGAATTATCATTTAGGAACTCTTCGAAGCGGGCAACGATCCGTTGGAGATTTTCTTGTGCACCAGCGTCACCAAAATCACCAGCTGCTGCTTTTTTCCCTTCGCCTTTTCCTTTGAGCTCTGTCTCCAGATCTTCAAAGTTGATATCAAGCCATTTTTGATCATCATCTGGCTTATCCCAGGTCTCTTGAATATCTTGGTCAGTGGGAAGAATTTCATCTCCTGTCTCCACATCCTCCAGCAGGAGTTTCATTTCCCTGACTGCGGCCTTGTCTTGATTCTGGGGGTCGTAGAGCAGCATCTCCAACCCACACGCAAGTTTCATTCCAGTTTCCGCGCGGTCGTACGCTGTTCGATCGTCGGTTGAGGGCAGCTTTCCCAGCCACGTATTCGGTACAGGGAATTCCTGGCTTTTGAGCTGCGCAAAGCCGACACGCGTGAACCGCACGCTGACGTCTACCAAGTCATCTGGCTTAAAAACGAGGTTGGAGGCATCTTTCGATCGTAAAGGACGCAAGGCGATTGGGTCGCGAACGTAGAACGCCTCTACAGCAGGTGAGACATATGCTGGCTTTTGATGTAGGAGGAACGCAGCCTTCCGGGGGATTGTGATGATGGCGGAGTGCAGATTCTCGCTGATCTGTTGAGGGTATTTGCGCAGACGGAAGAAGGCCTCTTCTTGGATTATTGTTGAGTGAAGAAGGCGACCGGGCTCGTCTCGGAGAATCGTTCGTGCCTCTGGAAGCGATAATTTCTCAGTGACCTGTCCTTGCGTCTCCCGCTTCGGCTTGATTATTCGGAGATCTCCTTGGTGAATCCACACCTGTTCGGTTGATATTGTTGATTAGCACACGAACCTCAGTCCCCGTGATGCACATTGGAAAGGCCAGGCACCACTTACCCTATTGTCTGCGACATCTGGTTCAATCCATGCTGGTATCGTTCCCGAAGCCTCGATGAGAAGAAACTCGCCATCACCGTCCATTACTTTGACCCATATGTCTTTATGACGCTTGGTCAATTCGCGGAGAATGTACACAATGACCCATTCATCTTCGATAGAGTCGCCAAAGTTGGTGCGACCCTGTAAACAGGTGATTCCTAAACCCCGCGGCGGTCAGCATTGATTGCGCTTCGTATAATCATTTTACTTAGATTGTAGAGTTCCATACCATCTTCTTTCTTGATTTCCAATCGAAAAGCCTCACGCTGCCAGATATAGTCCTTGAGCAGATCTTTGGTCAAGTCAGCTGCTGTACGCTGCACCTCCAACAATCGCGCTCGGGTCTCGGCAGCCTCATCGATAACGGTGGGGGCGGGGGAGGGCGAAATATGATAAATTGAGTATTCGACCGCGTCGTCCGGAAGCTCTGGTTTTGGGATAGGACGAAAGGTTGATTGAAACCACGCGAGATCCTCCTCTGAAGTCATGGCGGATCTTTGAACTTGTTAAAGGCCATGACCTCATGCATTCTTCTGATAGAAAAAAAGGCGGCGAAATTCATATCCCGTGATCACGCTAGGCCCAATTAGGCTAGAAATCAACAGAGGTGCTGACGCTAAACCAAAGGCGGCCGGGCATAACTCTCCCAAAACACGTCTATCATTGTCAGGCGTGAACTTCTAGTCCAAACTTCGCTCCTGCCCAAAATTGATGGTGATGGTTGCGCGTTAAATGGTCTTGGCCCACCCCTCCCTATACAACAATGGCCTTCCCCTACATCGACACACCGCGCACCGAATACGACGGCAACGCGACTTACCTCACAACCGGGTTTCGCAGCGCGGGGCGACACCACTTGTCTGCTCTCGATTCACTGGAGAATTCATTTCAGACACCGTCCAAGGACAACGATGTAATTAAAGGGTTTGACAGACGCGTCACGCCGCGCGCCGCCGCTTCGAAGTCAACGAGAAGCGCGTTACGAAACCTTCCAACTACAGCTCCTGGGAAAGGAGAGTTCACCCCGCTAATGAAGAGTGCGACAAAGAGCAACCTGTTAAGAAATATGTCTACGACCCGGGGAACAGATGGTCCAAAAACACCCGGATATCGGCGAGAGGCCTCCCGCAGCAATGCCCACACACCCGGTTTGCCTACAATCGACATGTCCGATATATACGAGGAAGATCGGACTATGGAAGAGGCTACTCCCGTACCACATGCCGCGAGCAGCAGTGCACAAAGTACGCCATTGCCCAGATATGCAGGGCGTGATGGAGGAGTCCTGGGCGACGGGCGCAACAATTTGTCGCTCAAGGACCAGGCCATGGTATGATGCTATTCCACATATTAGGCGGTGCTACACAGTTTTTGCGGCTAACACAAATCTTCACAGGCCATCGATCAGCTGAGCAAAGACAATTTCAATCTGAAGCTGAGGATTCACTTCATGGAAGAGCAGCTGCAAAAGGCTGGCCCAGAATACAACAACGAAGCACTCAATGAGAACCGAGAGCTCAAGGCTCTGCGAGTGATTATGCAACGCGATATCTCCCGGTACAAAAAGAGCCTTCAGCAGGCAGAGAAGGACCTTGAAGACTACCGGCTACAGCTGGTAGAAATGAAGGAGAAGGCATGGAGGGAGCAAGCGGATCAGACGGTACAGCGCGAAATGGACATGATGCGCGAAGAGCTTGAATCGCGTGATGAACAACTTCGAGAAGCCCGTGATGAGCTGAGGCATGTCAAAGACAACCAATCGCAAGAGACCGAGAAGCTTCATGACGATATCGCGGATCTCGAAGCAAGTGTACGCGAGAAGGATCGTCTCCTAGAGGAACGTGACGAAGAGCTCGAGCAACTGCGGCGCAATACCGAGGAGGCTGGAGCGGCTTCAGAACTCCAGCTTGAGCTGGACCGTGCCAGGGAGCAGATGCGAGAGCTTCAGGATAGCCTTGACCAGGCAAAATCTGACATCAGAGAATCCGAGAAAGCTGAAAGGCAGGCCATTACGGAGAAAGATCGTGCTGAGGAGGACTTGAGGGAGTTGCAAGATGAAATGTCAAACAAATCTTTCACCACCAAAGGACTCAGTCGGCAAATGGAGGAAAGAACTGGAAAGCTCGAAGAGGAGCTGCGCGACCTACAACAAGAAAACAATCATCTGAGGAAGGAATTGGAGACCAAGACAACTCTTGCAACTCGCCTAGAGGAGCGATATTCAACCATGCAACATGGCCTGGAAGACAACGCCCAGCATCTGGTTAAGGACCTTGATAAAGCTAGACGCGATCTTGATGAGGCTCGGCAGGACCTCAAGCGCACTTCTACTCAGCTGCAGGAGGCATTAGGTGATGTCCAGCGCGTAACGGATGAGAAGGAGCTTCTACAAACTCGCCACCGCGCGCTAACTGATGAATCGGGAGGGCTGCAGACCGACCTCGACCGGGCACAATCCAGAATCCGCGAACTACAAAAAGCGGTTCAAGTCGCTACTTCTCACGCCCAAGACGAAGGACACAACCTCCGCTGGCAGCACAAGGCGGAGGTTGAACGGTTGCAGGAGGAGATAGAGAACCAACAGAATGAGATCGAGGAGAAGGAGGGGCGTTTCGCACTCGACCAAAGCCGGTGGGAAAGCAGCGTGCGGGCTCTACAATCGGAGAAAGCCTGGGCAGAAGGACAGGTGGCAGAATTGAAGCGCACCATCGACACCCTTCAAGAAGCCGGTCAAAGTTATTCTGGAAAGGAGTCCAGATTACAAGAGGCTCTCGACAGCGAAAAAAAGCGCCACACACAAGAAACATCTATGCTGAATCGCCAGATTCAAGATCTCAAAGATGACCTCGACAAGACAAGGCGCAACCTTGATGGAAAAATGGACGAGCTACTTGCGGCAAAGCAGGATGCTCGGGCATCTCGACGCGAAGAGCAAGCACTTGCAGAGAAGGTGCGGGCTCTAGAAGACGAGGTTACTGTTTTGCAGGAGAGTCTGGCAGAGGAGCAAGAACTTGCCAAACGTCGACAGAATGGCGCCTCGGACATTAACAAGAACTTGGAGGAACTGATCGCCGACAGAAACGCACTCCGTGATAAGCTGGCAAACGCTCATGTCGAGCTTTATGACCTGCGAACTTCGCTGCAAGAGACTGAGGCCGAACGCGATGATCTCCAGGCTCAGCTCGAGCGGTTCCAGGGTGCAGACGACACCACCCGGTTCGACCGCGACAAACTCGAATTACGCAAGACGGTCACACGGCTTGAAACCGAACTCAAAGTGTTGCGAGGCACCAAAGCGACCCTCGAGGAACAGCTTATCTCTGAAAGTGAACGATCTGCGGCAGAGGAAGGTCGTCTTTCTGCTGAGATCGAACGCCTTCAGGACAAATTGCTTGCTGGGTCGAGTAACCGAGATCGGGAACTGACTTCGGCCAAGACCAAAGTCCAGCGGCTAGAGCGTCGCGTTCAAGAACTAGAAGCCGTTCTTGAACAGCAGCCATTGGTGGAGAACGAACAATCTGGACACGGAGATCTTTCCTTACTTCGACAGAGCCTGGAGGAGGCCAGGAAACGCGAAAAAATTCTCCTCCAGCGTGAGCACAAGCAGAAGTCTTCTGCGCAGACCTACAAGTCACGAGTTGAGGAATTGGAGAAGGATCTTCATGATGCTATGATGAACAAATACGAGTCACACTCCCTACAGAATTCTCCATCGAACAAGCTTCATGAAGAGCTGCGCAGTCTACGGAAACAAGTAGCCGACGCACACCGATCCCTTCAAAAAGTCAACACAAAGAACCGAGAGCTGGAACGAGCCGCGATGAAAGAAGAGGACCAGAAGGACTTCCATGAGCTGCTTAGATCCTCAACTCTCGAGGCTGAATCATTAGCCCTGAAACTTTCCGAACGGGAAGGACGCCTGAACGAATTGAAGACCCATATGCGCCGCATTCGCGAAGAACGAGACGCTTACAAGCGCGAAGCCGAAGCAGCAACCAAAAACATCGACCTACTGCAAAGACGCCACGACGAGATCTTAGAGAAGAACTCTCTTTCCAAGTCAACCAACAAAACCAAGCACGACAAAGAGATCCGAGGTCTAGGCAAGGAAATCATCTGGCTTCGTGCCCGTCTGCAGCGCGAGGAGAAGTTCCGCCGAGATCTTGCTTGGAGCAAGGGCTTGATGGAACTCGGTGAACGCGTCCGAGTCGCATGGTACGTCCTCGCCCAATTTCCTTTACTCTTTACACAGCATAGCTAACAGAAATACAGCAACGATGCCGACCTCCGCATAATTAACGAAATGGGCGTACAAGCCCGTGACCGCACCCCTGTCCGCACACCACGCCATAAGTTGAGATCCGCCATATCCCTCGTGAGGGCTGCAGTGCGGATGCAGAAAATGAGCAGCGATTGGAAGCGGACGAGGAAATTGGGCGAGGGGTTGAAGCGGGCTAAGACGGAAATGCTTAAACGTCGTGATAGCTCGAATAAGAGCTTGCTTGGGCAGTAGCTTTGTGTTTTGGTGTGTTATTCGTGATTTTGTCTGTTCTTCCAGCGTCGACCTTCTGTCATGAGAGATTCCCCCGACATGTGTTGCAAGTATCTTGGTTTTTTTTTTTCTTATTGTCGCCTTGTTCTGTCTTTCTGTGTCTCCTATCATTCATTCTTCGGGCGTTTCAGGGCTTGTTGGCTAGTCTATTCGGATCATGTGTGCATAGTCTTTCTGACGAGGAATCTGATAACTTAAGGACTATCATATTTGCCAGCGATGGACGTTGATTGGGCCCTAATTCCCATTAGCCATGCCTAGGGCACAACCTAGGGCACAGTGTAATTCGCGTTGCATTGCAAAGCAGTATGTATCATTATAACCTTGAATATCGGTGGACAATGGAGAAGTCCAAGTTTTCAGCAGGAGCAATAGTTTAAATTCGGCTGCATCTTGGGGTTCGGAGTAGTAGTATCGCATGAAGAGGTCAAACCCCTCTTGGTTCTTCTCCTTGAAATCGAAGATATCTGACGCTCGAACAACCAAAGTACCGTCAATGTTGAATCGGGCAGAGAGAATGCGCCCCTGTCTCGGACCAAACAACGAGATAACAAGAACCTAATAGTGGTATAAGGTTAGCGCTAACTTATGGGGATCACTAGCTCTATACCGGAAAAGTCGAAGTCTGCTTAAACTCGTCCTGGAAGAGACGGCACTGGATTGCATTAACAATCGGCCCAATCTCGCCATGGAGAAGGTTATCAGACTCGGCCACCGCTCCGGTGCATGTCATAAGCATAACATGCGGGCGGATTGTGTCTGGGCTCTCAGGGTCCTCTTGCCATTGTCGCCAACTTAAGGCTCTCCATTTTGGAAGATCGAGAGGTTTCGAATGCCCAATACGTAAACCACAGAGCATTCCTTGTGGTCCATCATTAAAGGAATCCTCAGCCCTAGATAAATAGACCTCATTAATCAACTGGTCAATTTCTCAATAGGTTATAAGTAATAGAAAAAAAGAGGAGGACCGAACTCACATGATCTGATGCCAGTTCGAGTTTTGCTCTATCGAAAAGGTATTATCGGCATCATCTTTCTCAGAGTAGTCTTTGAGGATGCTGATATATCTGGCAATTTGAAACGCCTTCTCATACGTAAGTGCGGTGTCTGATAGTGGCCATGACGAACGCCAATGGAAGAGCGCGTCGAAATCGTCATAGTGAGGGCGTATATGTTTAGGAATCCCGGTGCTGTGACTGCTGTCGATCTTGTAGGTGCTGTATTCTTCCTCAGATAAAGGTTTAAAGTCGAAGGACTGTTGGTCATCTGTAACATTGATATGTTGGAGAAGAACGCCAAGTTCACGGAGTGCATCACAGTCATAAGAGACCTGGCTTTTCGATTCTAACCCATTCAAGATGGAGTCGGCCTTTTCTTCAAACTTTTTTCTCAGGGCATCATGGTCCTGCAGCGCAGGCGGATTGACAGGTCTTGCAGTCATGATGGACGTGGAAACGCGACGAGATTGGTCGATAAAATGATGGAGAGACTGAGGGACTGAGAGGTGTGGAGATGGAGAGACGTGGAGGGCTGGACCAAATCTGGGGAATGTTTGGATGAAGAGGGTAGTGTACTGTCACCTGTGTACGCAGTCCTGTGACTCCTGTCGCTCACTCGCTCCTGTTCGAAAATCCCCTGGGCAGTGTCGGTGGCTGGATGCCTTTTTCAAGGGCAGAAAGAATAAGATAGTTCCATAACTAGGTAACTAGGTAACTAATTACCTGGAATAATAACTAACATAGGGTCCAGGGACCAGGGAGTAGACAGTAGTTATGTATCTTTAATATGGCATGCCCATGTAAAAGGTACTTGGATGCCATTCTGTTACGTCCCTCTACCAAAGAGTGCCTCACAGAGGACTTGGAGGAAGGACTCGAAGCCACGTGACCCTGCTTGGGCTCTCACTGTCCACAGGACCACAACAGAGACTGTCCGTAGCTTAGACTCCTTAGCGATTAGTCTGAATACAGAAATACCCCTTAGGATTTCTTCACTCCGTGACTCTGGTTCTAAACCCCTCATTTGGACCCGCCAGTACGCCGGTCCTAACACATTCGCACTATTTACTGTATTGGAGACACTCGCAGTAATAGAACACATGAAGCTCAGCCAACGCCTCGCCATTGCGAAAAAAAAAGAATAATAATGGATAACGCTTCTAGACAGCAAACCTCTTCGGAAACCCCCACCATAAAACACAGTAAGCCGTATGAGAGGAGGGTAGACTATGGGCAAGGGCATGGATTATTTGCTTTGGTCCTCTTTGGACGAGTCAAAGAGCGAGGGCTTTATGCTGTCGACCACCTAAGATGGGGAAAATGGAAACCTCACACGGAGAACATGATGCGAACTTGAGTCGTGTTCGAACGGATCATGCGCCTTCGCTGCCGAATTCTTGGGTCCATTCGGCGTTCCTCGTCAGATCCTCTCCGCTGACGGTTGGCCGTGAGTTCTTGACTGCCTTGATGAAGTCCTTGAGAAGAAGAGGTGGTTCGAGAAGCTGATCTGCTTCAATGTCAAGCCAGCTCATTTCCATTGCGCCCGCGTCGCCTGGTGAACATGGGGTTAGTTTCTCTGCGCCCTCGACGAGGACCTGTGTAGCAGTGGTTAGTCGCGAATTTGAAGGGTAAGAGCGGAGACTGCATACCTTCTTATAATGTGTTGCTCCTTGGATCTTGCGGATGGGCTGCATCAGAGCATCCTGCACGCAAATAGAGATATCACTGCCGGAGTAACCCTCGCTCAACTCGGCCAATTGACGGTAGTCGGCCTGGGTCATTTGACACGGTGTTGAGCCCACGGCGAGCATGAACATCTTTGCCCGTGCATTAATGTCGGGCAGACTGATGTGTACTCTTCGCTGGAATCGTCGCCGGATGGCAGCATCCAATTGCCAGGGAATATTGGTTGCGCCTAGAATCAGGACGCCCTTGGAATCTTTGCCGACACCATCCATCTGTACAAGTAATTCGGTTTTGATACGCCGCGAAGCCTCGGACTCTCCTTCGCCACGGGGTCCGCACAGTGCATCAACCTCGTCAATGAAGATAATCGCGGGCTTGTTTTCCCGTGCCATATTGAACAGTTGCTTGACAAGTCTGATTGCAAGTTAGTAGGTCTCTCCAAGCCAGCGGGTAGATGCTATTCCCTTACCTTTCACTCTCACCCATCCATTTCGAGACCAGGTCACTACTGCTGACACTGAAGAATGTGCTGTTTGCTTCCGTTGCCACTGCTTTGGCAAGGTATGACTTTCCTGTACCGGGGGGACCGTAAAGCAAGATACCCTTCCAGGGCTGGCGCTTGCCAGTGAACAAGTGCGGGAACTTGATGGGGAGAATGACTGCCTCTTTCAATGCTTCTTTTGCTTGTTCCAGGCCAGCAACATCCTCCCACTTCACGTTTGGCTTGTCCGACAGGATAGCTCCTTGAAGTGCCGAACGAAGCTTCTTCGCGTCCGCATCTTCGCCGTTATCGTCATCTTCCTTCCTATTAGGTCCGTGGTTAGCGACAAACGTAGGAATATGGGTCACTTGGCAAGCTTATCGATCCCAAGGGTTCGACAAGTAGAGCGAGCAAGACCAGAAACACAGCACTTACCCTCCCTTCCCACTGCCTTGCGCCACCTTTCCATTTGCGCCCACCGCACTAGGTTTCTTCCGATCCTCAGCGAGGTGATTCTTAAGCTTCTCCGCGCGATCCATATATTCGCCGGCCTTGGAGCGGATCATCTCCTTCGATTTCGGGTTCTTCTCCCATTTCAAGGCCAGCATGAACAACTCCAGTGCGGAGTAGTACATCTGATAAGCCTTCTCGTACTCGCCATCGTTGTCATTCTCGATCGCCTTCTTCACCGTATCGATCGCTCGCCCCAAGAAGTCCGTGTTACTCATCGTAGGCAATTCCGCTGTGCTTTATTGCTATCGGGGTAGAGGTGGCAAGTCGACCGCGGAGGCAGGTGATAAAGCGGGGAGAGAGGGGAGCAAGGGTTAGGTGCTGGGACCAGGCCGGAGGGATAGTCAAGGCGGTTCCGAAACAAAAGAAGACACGAGTAGTATGGGAATAGAGGAGCAGAGGAGAATAGAAAGTGCAAAGGCCTAGAACAGGGTGGAATTGGGAGGGGATGAAGAGTGGAAGTTGTTTACGGGCGGGATCGATTGATTTTCCCTTCTCCCACTTCTCCTCCAAGTTCAACATGGATCCCCAGAAACAGCTCCAAGCACTTTCGGAAGAGTTCCAGGGACTGCAGACTGGTATGTCTATTCCTCTACATGATATATAACATTCATTGACTTTAATCCAGAGCTCGAGAAGCTGGTCGACGCCCGCCAGAAACTCGAATCGCAGCAGCAGGAGAACGAAGGCGTTCAGGCGGAATTCGCCCAGCTGGACGATGACTCCAACATCTACAAGCTTGTCGGCCCCGTACTGTTGAAGCAGGATAAGACTGAGGCTACCATGGCTGTCAACGGTCGTCTGGAATTCATCGAGAAGGAGATGTCAGTGCCACTTCCTCTTAGCCCCGACCTGACGAAACTGTGTGCTGACTGAGAACGTACAGCAAGCGCATTGAAAGTGAGATTGACGCAACACAAGAAAAGAGCGAGAAAATGCGCTCAGAGGTACGCCCTTTTCGATAAAATCCAACCCCCCCCCACTAGTACATTCTGACCCCTCGCCTAGCTCATCCAACTCCAAAGCCAGGCTCAGCAGGCAACTGCCGCTTCGGCCTCAGCATAAGCTTCAATATCTTAGAGAATAACAGGCGGAGAGGGATATGTCGCCAGCAGGTGCTATATAGGTGGCGCGCGAGCTCCGGCGCTGGCGCCACGTGTGATGGGACCAAACATCCAATGGTTCACTGAGATGCAGAGCCTCCAGCATGCAGCCCTAAGACGTATCTTGGATTACAAGATGTCAAGAAACTCTGGGTATTGAAGGCCCCGGTTGAGCTGGGATACCTTGGAACGTATGATCTGTGCAGGTGCCCGACACCGAAACAGCGCATGGATCGGCTTGAAGATACCTATACCCTCGAGATTCAATGAATTCTATAAGAAACTGTCAATTGCGGCCCGTCTTGGGAAATGCCAGATGAATGTTTCCCGCTGTTCTAGCTCGGTGTAGCATAGGTATCCATCCATGACACTTGACCGAAGCTAGCCCGAATATATAGGTATCGCCCCGGGCAGGACAGGACTCATCCTCACCTCATGGGCTAGGTATAAAAACAAGTCTTTGGACCTTGGAAGAAAAAGAAACCGCGTATATGGATTGACAGAATCTATTCATTGAATCATAAACTAAACAGGTATGTACGGAAGATTTATTTAAGACTTGACCAGCAGGTTGGTGCCAGTCATCTCTTCAGGCTGCTCGACGCCCATCGCAGCCAGAACGGTAGGCGCAACGTCACCCAGGACACCATCCTTCTTGAGGCTCCAGTTTGCAGGGGCGTTGGCCATAATAAAGGGAACCTTGTTAAGGGTGTGGGAGGTCTTAGGGGTGCCCTTCTCGGTGAGCATCTCCTCGGCGTTTCTGAAATGTGTTAGCTAGCTATTCCCTGTATCGAGGTGTTTTTGTTTCTCAGTATGACTTACCCGTGATCAGCAGTGACGAACAAGACGTAATTGTTCTTCTTGCAAGCCTCGTAGATCTCGCCGATGGCCTTGTCAGTGGCAGCAACACCCTGGATAGCGGCCTCGTACACGCCAGTGTGGCCAACCATATCGGGGGAGCGAAGTTGTTCATGACAAAGTCAAACTTGCCCTCGCCAAGGCGCTCGGCCATCTTGGAACCGACGGCAGCGGCACTCATCTTCGGGTCCAGGTCGTATGTAGCCACGCGGGGCGAGGGAATCATGTCGCGCACTTCGTTGGGGAAGTCTTTCTCGATACCACCGTTGAAGAAGAAAGTGACGTGAGCATACTTCTCAGTCTCCGCAATGTGGCACTGGTGCAGGTTCTTCTTGGCGAGCCATTCGGCAAGCACATTGCCCATGTGCTGGGGAGGGAAAGCAACATCAAAGGTGTAGTCAGTCTTGTATTGGGTCATAGTGGTGAGAGCGATGTTCTTGGGGTAGGGGAAGTCGGGACGCGGGGAGCGGTCATAGTCGCCCAGCAGCTGAGTGATCTCACGGACACGATCCGAGCGGTAGTTGAAGAAGAAGACGGTATCATTATCTGTGGCGGCTCAGTTAGCCGTCATGATCTTGTCTTCTGTGTTCAGACCAAACTTACCCTGGACGCGACGCTCCTTGCCGCCAACAATGATAGGCTTCAGGAACTCGTCATTCTCATTCTTCTCGTAGCGCTCCTTGATGGTCTGCAGAGGATCCGAGCTTTCTTCACCCTCGCCAGTGACCAGACCCTTGAGGCCAATTTCAACACGCTCCCAACGCTTATCGCGGTCCATGATGTAGTAGCGGCCGACAACGGTGGCAATTGCGCCAATGCCGATTTCCTTGGTCTTTTGTAGGGTCTGCTCCATGTAGGTGACCGCGCTCTTAGGGTCAGTGTCACGTCCATCGGCGAAGAAGTGAATGAAGACTTGGGGGATCTCCATATCCTTGGCGACCTGGAGCAAGGCGAATAGGTGAGTCATGTTAGAGTGAACACCACCATCCGAAACCAAGCCGCAAAGGTGCAGGCGACCATTGCCCTCCTTAGCGCGGGTGAAGGACTTGAGGATGTTGGGGACCTTGCCCATCTCACCCTTCTTGAGGGTCTGGTCAATGCGAACACTGTCCTGCCAAACGACACGTCCAGCACCAATGTTCAGGTGGCCGACCTCACTGTTGCCCATCAAGCCCTCGGGCAGACCGACGGCGAGAGAGGATGCATCCAATTCAGCGAAACCCTGGGCGGTCTTAGAGTTGGGGTCGGCGAAGCCGGACATGTACGGGGTCTCGGCCGCGGCGATGGCATCTCCCTCAGGTGGGGAGTCGGGGCCTGCAATACCCCAGCCATCAATTACAACTGCAAGGTCTGTATTAGCCGGTGTTTATTTTGAGGACCTGGGTGGAAGATGATCATACTCAAAGCGACTTTCTGGTCGACCGAAGCCATAGTGGGGTTATTATGGTGATAGAATCACACCTAGACCGTACGATACTGATCAATTGCTGAACCAAGGAAGGTTGGATGATACCTAGGTAGATCTACTTACCTTTAGTAGTTGTTTAGAGGTGAAGAGATTGAATAAAGGAGAATCTAAGTAGCAACGCAGAAAAATGGCTCGCCGGTGAAGGAGGGGCATGGACCTCCCGACGTCACCGTCACCGGGTGCCAGGAGCGTATTTTTGCTGACATGAGCAGCTATTCGCGGCCGGGGAAGCTCCATTCTTCCGACTCTTCCCTAAACAACCGACACCAGCCGGGATCTACTCGTCCATCATATTTCTTTCCTCGGCTTCTCCCTGGTCTGGTTCTTTGGAAATGGCTTCTCGATCTCCGACGGTGGGCACCCCACTGCTAAAGTCCTCGGTAGCACCCGAGACGCCCTCGAAAGACGCGACTGCACCAGCACCACAAACAGTACCTTTCCCTTCACCACAGACCTTTGAGATCATCCCACCACTGCATGGAATTCTCTCTCGCTTGTTCTCCCCTAAAGGAGACGAAGCTGGTTCATCGGGAGCTCCCGGGGAGACAACAGAAGCACCAGGGGCTTCCCAGGCACAATCCCAACAAGCACCCTCAAGCGTACCTAGTGGTGCGGTGCCAGGAGTACCAGTTCTCAACCCGAGCGCCAATCCCTCCCTCGATGTGAAAACCCTTCCTACGGCAACCAGCTCTGTCAGGATTCGAATCCAGAAGGCTCGTACAGTTGTTGAAGGGCTGCCAGATGTGCATCGCTCTGTCGAGGACCAACAGATGGAGATTGCAGAGCTGGAAGACCGTTTGAGACGTTTACGCTCTGTCATCTCTGACTTCGGGAACCGAGCAGGGATGCTACATGATGACAATATGAGGACCGTGGAAGCCTGAGCACCACAGAAGCGTCAAGCGTCCCCTGGGATCTATGCATAGCGGGAAATCTAAGCTAGCCAGGTGCTGCAAGATTTCCAGGATGATTTATTTGGCGTTCTTATATGGAGAAAGATACCCTGGTGTTTTTAATGGTCAACCCAGCAACAGCCTCATTGTTCTCGATAAGCTGTGGCAACAGCCCGCAACAGCGCAGCGTCTGTTCTTGCCTCTTTGTACTTTTCTTTTCACTTTCAAAATACTTAAAAACCGAACCAAAATCCACTTTTGATCTTGTCAGGTCCAGCCAATCCCCCACAAAGAAAACGGCGACTTTTTTACAATTTTTCATAACATAATCACCTAATCCGGTCAGCTGTCTCCGATATCGTTCGGCGAGTTAAAAATCAGCTGAGGCGCAGATCCCCGCCCCCACTAACTCGAATTCTTTTTTCTTCTCTTTGCTTTCCCTCTCAACCTATCTTTCTCTGTTTTATCTTCAAGAAAAGACAGAAATTCATCTCTCATCATGGCTACTTACGCTCTGTCCGATTCCCACCGGGATGTAAGTACTCCGTCTGCCCTCATTTCTGGATAGATATTGACTCATCGATTACAGCAAATGCACAACACTCTTGTGGCCAGCGACCCTGAGGTCGCCTCCATCATGGTATGTCGAGTTTCAATCAGTCCGATTTGCAATTGAGTGCATTGACTACATCAAGATCTGATTTGGCTAATTCATATGTTCATTACAGGAGAAGGAGATTCAGCGTCAGCGCGAGTCAATCGTCCTGATTGCCTCCGAGAACTTCACTTCCCGTGCCGTTTTCGATGCCCTTGGTTCGCCCATGTGCAACAAGTACTCCGAGGGTTACCCCGGTGCTCGTTACTACGGTGGCAACCAGCACATCGATGCCATTGAGATCACCTGCCAGCAGCGTGCTCTCAAGGCCTTCAACCTTGACCCCGCCAAGTGGGGCGTCAACGTTCAGTGTCTTTCCGGCAGCCCCGCAAACCTCCAGGTTTACCAGGCTCTCATGCGTCCCCATGACCGCTTGATGGGCTTGGATCTCCCCCACGGTGGTCACTTGAGCCACGGCTACCAGACCCCCGCCAAGAAGATCTCTGCCGTTTCCACCTACTTCGAGACCTTCCCCTACCGTGTCGACCTCGAGACTGGTATCATCGACTATGACACCCTTGAGCGTAACGCCGAGATGTACCGCCCCAAGTGCCTGGTTGCCGGTACCTCCGCTTACTGCCGTCTGATTGACTACAAGCGCATGCGCGAGATCGCCGACAAGGTTGGCGCCTACCTCATTGTCGACATGGCTCACATCTCCGGCTTGATCGCCGCCGGTGTCATCCCCTCTCCCTTCGAGTACGCCGATGTTGTGACCACCACCACCCACAAGTCTCTCCGTGGTCCCCGTGGTGCCATGATCTTCTTCCGCAAGGGTGTCCGCAGCACCGACAAGAACGGCAAGGACGTCCTGTACGATCTTGAGAACCCCATCAACTTCTCCGTCTTCCCTGGCCACCAGGGTGGTCCCCACAACCACACCATCACCGCTTTGGCCGTTGCCCTCAAGCAGGTCGACACCCCTGAGTTCAAGCAGTACCAGGAGCAGGTCATCAAGAACGCCAAGGCTCTTGAGAATGAGTTCAAGGCTCTCGGCCACAAGCTCGTCTCCGACGGCACTGACAGCCACATGGTCCTGGTTGACCTCCGCGCCAAGAGCCTGGATGGTGCTCGTGTTGAGGCCGTTCTCGAGCAGATCAACATTGCTTGCAACAAGAACTCCATCCCCGGCGACAAGTCTGCCCTCACCCCTTGCGGTATCCGCATTGGTGCCCCCGCCATGTCTTCCCGTGGTATGGGCGAGGAGGATTTCAAGCGCATTGCCCGCTACATCGACCAGTCCATCAACCTCTGCAAGAAGATCCAGAGTGAGCTTCCCAAGGAGGCCAACAAGCTTAAGGACTTCAAGGCCAAGGTTGCCGACGAGAGCGTCCCTGAGATCTTGGCTCTCCGCAAGGAGATTTCCGAGTGGGCCAGCTCTTTCCCTCTCCCCGTTTAAATGCACGAGGGATGAGTATGAGCTACGGAGACAGAAATAAGGATTTATCCTACGACTTCAACATCATTTCGTTATACGATAGAAAAATACCTGGGTGCGTTTTTAGGGGTTAGATACCGGACTGTTTTTTCAACCCTGTCGCGGGTCATTGGGATTTGGGATTGTTTTTTATCTTGCATGTGAAACGAGCAATGTTTTTGGCGGTTGAGCCTCGCACTTATTCAACAGCGGGGGCTCCCATGATTTTCAGGAAAAGTTCAACATTATATTGGGCGTCCTATGTACATTCTACAATCTATTCTCAACACAAGGATCTATAGAATCCAAGGACTTTTTTTCCTCAGTTGCTTCTTCCTACACAGACTCACAGTATGGGTCTTCCTAATTGAGCGATGTTATCTAAGGTAGCATCACGTGGTAATCCCCTCTTTCCGTGGTTCAACCGTTCAAGTTTCTGCGTATCACCGTTCTTCACCTTAGATCGCTCTCTGACTTTCAATCACTGCCTGTTTCTCGTTTTACTCCATTGGACCCCCCATCCTCAATCACCCATTCGATCTGTTCTAGGCTCTAGCGATAAGGCAGTATCTTATCGCCCCAGAGTCCGGACCATCACGGAGGCCTCAACTACCTAGATCACCGGTCTCGTGGTTATCAAAGGGATCTGAAGCAGTGCAGTGCACTGGTGGACAGGTGAAAGCAGGACGTTGCCCACCATGGCCAATGCTGCTCAGTGCTACTATTGCTTTGAAACCCTCCTCGCTTCATTCGAGAACCGCGAGCCCGCCAGTCTGGCAGCCGTAGAAGCCCTCTGGGAGCAGCATGAACAAACCAAGAAGTTGTCGAGTCTGAAAGAGCAGATCGATGAGGATGATACAGACCAACAGCTATCCGTAAATGAGCAAGACGAAGACGACGATAGCAGCCAATCGACCCAGTTGAGTAGTCAGCCTCGGACGCTGCAGCTCCCTCACGTCAGTCGTCTACAAGGCGATTTGTCGGCCTCTTCGTCATCACCATCCAATACTTCTTCCAACTCTCTTCAGTCGAGCTCAACAAACATAACCACGCCAAGTACAGTCTCCGAGAGCCCCTCCCGGCTGAGATCACCTGATCAGCGATATCCGCTGTTCGTGACATGGAATATACTGTCACGAACCGGACACAAGACTCTACGCGGATGCATAGGCACATTCGAGGCACAGGAGCTTGCAGCGGGGTTGAAGTCCTACGCTTTGACCTCGTACGTGGTTCCCAAGACATACCTACCTGTCTGGCTGAAAGATACAAACTATATGTCTACATGTATCCACTGTCGACCGATTTGAATGTTAACTCTTTCCTTTAGGGCCTTTGACGATTCCCGCTTCCGACCCATCCCCGAATCTCTCCTCCCCTTGCTATCGTGCTCTCTCACACTCCTGGGGTCCTTCGAGCCATGTACAAATGCAATGGATTGGTCGCTAGGCACTCATGGGCTGCGTATTTCTTTCGTACACCGCGGCCGTCGCTATGGTGCCACATATCTGCCTGACGTCGCTGTTGAGCAGGGCTGGACCAAAGAAGAGACTGTGGAGAGCTTGATGCGCAAGGCGGGCTGGGATGGCGGCAGCGGCAGTACTGCACGGAAGCTACTACGGGGTGCGGCTAATGCGAGCGCAAGTGCCGCTAAGCCTTGGGAGCAAGTCTCGGATTTCCGGACGGTGAGATATCAGGGTCTCAAGGCTAGTGCTAGCTACGCGGAGTGGCAAGAATGGCGAGCCTGGGTTCTCTCGAGAGATGATGGGAAGGAGGTCCTGGAAGGCTTGCGATGATTGCATTTTGCTTTGACTATTGTCATCTCACATGTTGACGCTATGAGTGTGGGATTGAAAGACCGTTATGACCATGATGACATTATATTTAGCAGTGGCCTCGCATAGGCCTCGGTCAATCAAGATATTGGAAAGAATTTCACATGTTCACTGTTCAAAGAACCACAAGATATAAACACTGTCATCACTCGTTGTATGTCATCGAAAGGATAGTCGCAAACGAAAAAAAAGGCCAGCCCGTAATATCCCCATCAACATGGGTCAGGCAAGAGACAAAGGGTACGTATATGTATATACGCACATCCTAACGAGGAGTCCGATTCCACAGACCAGCAACAACCTCCTTAACCCTCCTCTCCTGCGCCTTGATCTGCTCCTCAGTCTGCCCCCGCGCATTACCCCGACTATCAAACTGCACCTGGCCCCCAGCGCCAGCCTCATCCTCCCTCACCGGCGCATGGGTTTTCTCCTCGGTGACCTCATCACCATTAACCCTTTCCGGCTTCGGATCAACACTCATAACCCCATCCATCATAAACCCACCGCCCTCACGCAGCTTATTAATAGCCCGCACGGTATCGATAGCACGGTGCAAAGTGCGACGCGCATTGAAGTTCTTCTTGACAGTCGGCAACAGGTCCTCGCCCGAGCCGACGGTGATCTTGTCGTAGGGCGGGTTGACCCATGGATGCTGGAGGGCTTCGTGAGCTATCATGCGGGACTGGGGGTTGATGGTTAGACAGCGGTTGATGAAGTCGCGTGCTTCCTGTGAGACGCCACGCCAGTACTCTAGTGGAGTGAAGGAGTAGTCGGCTGCGAGGATGGCTTGCATTTCTTCGAGATTGGAGTCTCGGTCGAAGGGGGTGTAGCCGCATAGGAGGAAGTAGGTGATTACGCCTATGGCCCAGATGTCGCTGTGGTGTGTGGTGAATATTGATATCCTGATATCCTGATAGATGGAAAAGAAAGGGTAAATGCTTACACTGGTTTGCCGTGTCCGCTTTTCTTGAAGATCTCTGGTGCCATGTACCCCGGTGTTCCGCAGGTCGTTGTCAGGACGTGGAATTGTTCTTCGTCCATTATTCTCGACAAGCCGAAATCGGCGATTAGGAGATCGGCGTTGTCTTCTGGTGTGCGGAAAAGGAGATTCTCGGGCTTGAGATCGCGGTGTACGATGCCATGGTCGTGGAGGTATGCGACGGCTGAGAGTACTGCGCGTATCAGATCTGCTGCGTCGGACTCGTAGTAGCTGCCTTTGCGACAGATGCGATCGAAGAGTTCTCCTCCCAGTGCAAGATCGGTGACCAGATATACTAAGCCTCGTCAGTGAATTGTCACTGTTATTTCAAAGTGGCCAGGACAAACAGTTGTTCATTGTTTCGAAGTAATCGACCAGCGTGAGGATATTCTGATGGCCCATCGACACTTTCTTCAATACTGCGATCTCATTCCGGACCTATACAATTCGAAGCTGTTAGCCAACTGCTCTCCTCTTCAGCAGATCTACAGCTGTGGCTGTAGCCCTTCCAGTACACACCATATGCTCCCGCCCGGACATTAGCCGCTTGTTGATTACCTTGGCCGCATAGTAGCGACCGGTATCAATGTGCACACATTCTTTGACAACAGAGTACGAGCCAGCGCCCAATGTCTTTCCAGTCTTGTACCGGCATGGCTGGACCTTGGGCTTTTGGCTCGGGGGTGGTGCTGCCATTGCGAATCAAACAGAGAGAGGGCGGGGATGCGCGGCGCGGGGGGGACGGGGGATGGTCGGGAAGTCGTGCGCCAACTGCGAGAAAGATAAAATTGAAGAGCGAGGCGCTGAATGGGCCTCTAGTATATAGTAGGCTGGGTATATAAATGTAGGCCGCTGTGTATGTGTATGCAGGTATTCGAAGTCAGCCTCGGACAGGCTGAGACAGCGCACAGAAGCGCGTACTCGGTCAGCCCCACCTTGAGATCGGCGAAACACTCACACTGGCCAAGAGGCCCAAGACTGGCGATGCGATGTGGTCTTATATGAGCTGATGTTGAGGATACGGAGAGTGCAAGGGGGAGATTGGAGGGGCTTAAATGAAAGAGCTGATGAATCTATAGAAAGTTGAATTAGCGAGAATAATGAAGATCAAGGCAAATGTTAAGCTATGTACAAGTTCAACTCCAGTCCAATGCAGATGTAAAACAATATAAAGCTCAGAATAGCTCTAACACTTCTTCGACAACGCGCTCCAGCAGTTGCAGCTTATGGAATTTAGCCACACTCTCCAGCACACGCAGTTTCTTCTCGATCTCACTCCGATCGACCGTCGGAGCCCAGGTCCCACTACAGGAGCAATGCTCGAGGAAATCACTGATCTTCAAGCCACGACACTTAGAGCATTTCAGATCCTGAGTTTGCCATTCAACAACAAATCCATGCACCTGACCAATGAGGAACTCTTCCGTAGCCAATCGGTCGTACTCAGCCTGACAGAACGGACAGCGCCAAGGCTGTGCAGACTTGCTGACATCTGCACTGGCATCAGGCAGCACATCCTCGTCGCGACAGAGGTCGAGGTCTCGAATAAGACAGCAGGAATTGCAGGACATCTCGGGCAGTTTCAAGCTAGCACTAGGGTTCTCGAATCGGCCCTCTTTGCTGAATTCTCGAACCTCGAAAAGGGCAAGGAGCTCACGTCGCAGCAACCGAGACTCTAGCGTTGTTGTCTTGGACAGACTCAGGACCTGCATTAGCAGCTTCGTCAGCTCCAGAGACGGGTTGCGATTGTCCTTGGCGTCGACCAGGACGCCTGGCAGGACTGGGAAGGCATAGTCAGACGCGAGTTCGGGATGAAGCATTTCGTCACGTTGCCGGCGGATCAAGGCTGAGATCTGCTTCTTCAACGGTTTTGAGAATCGGTCTGCCAGAATGGCGGTGATCTCTTCATCGTCTGCCTCGGCGGTGCGGCCGATGGGGATCTGCGTGGGACGGGGTGTTGAGGACAAATCCCCATCTTGGTCCGGTCGTTTCAAGCCGTGCATCAGCTCGATGTACTCGACGATCCAGTCGTGGAAGATCGTTTGCATAGGTATCGGTAGGAACCGACTGAGTTGCCAGTGCATGGCTGTTTCGAGGTCCTGTTCTTCGGCCTCGGTGACCTCGCGACAGCCCTTGCCACCGTAGTTGTATTCGTCATACCACACGAGATAATCCCAGTATTCCTTGATCTCCAGATCGATGAAGTGGAAGGAAGGGTTGGCGCGGATGGACTTCAGGACATATTGACTGTAGGCGTAGGCATTACCGACCTCGGTTTTGGTCGTTTGGAGAAGAAGACGAGTCGAGCTGGCGAAAATGACGTGTGAGCCGACGCGTCGGAATTCTGCCATCAATCTCTGGAAGGACTTTCGTGACAACAGTCGCACGTAGTTGTGCAATGAACGGTCGTAGAGACAGGACACAGGGCTCTCTACCCATCGGATCAAATGCTGGACCATGATGTCCGCCATGTTGTTGCCGGCGCAGGCTTCTGTCCACCAGTGTTTGACCATCTCTCGGAGGACGACAACACCGGCAGAAGCGAAGGCTTTCTCGGAATAGAAAACACCAGTGTCTTCACCATCTCCCGATGGCGCTAGCAATGTATCACTGCCTTCCATCTCGTTGATGATGGAAGAGGTTAGGATTGTGTTGATCGACAGATTGCGAACCTCTAATTCAATGCATACTGTCGAGTAAGCACCCGGTACATTGACAGATGGCATGTTGACCTTGTCCAAGGCGCCTAGAATATCATCTCTTTCATAGCCTGCATGATCAGGGCGCGGGCCCGGTGACCACCAGAGCACGACATTGTTTTGTTGAAGACGCCTGGCGTATGAGATATCGATGAGGTATCGAGGATCCTCACTCTCCAGGTTGCAGAGTGGGACATCGCCGTACCGAGCGAGCATGGTCAAGTGCTGAATCCAAGAGGACAGATATAGATAGCGCGTGACGATTCGTCTCGCAACGAACGCCTGCCAGCCCAGTGGGGGGAGTTCCATATCCGATGCTTCGGGTTTGACGGAGAGCACTGGATATTCTTTCAGGACTGGAATATCATGACACAGGCGGTCTTTCTGCTGAGATTGAATGACAAGAACCGCAGGTCCACTTTCCTCATTTCGGAGCTTTCTGATCACATCGCCGACCTCAAGGTGAGCCTTTCTCCGTGTCATCACCTGGGTGGTCTTGAAATGAAGCTTATCCTGGTAATCGAATGCGCTCAGAGACTCGTCACCCGCGGCTTGCATCTTACGTGTGAGAAGTTCAGTGTAGATCTTATCAACGTTGGGAAGTCCCTGGGCATCCCTGGTACGGTTGAGGACGATAATGTGTGCCTCATTCTTGGATGTCGAGAATATCGCGAAGACTTGCCTGTCTCCGGAGACGATGTGGTACAGGTAGTGGTATACCAACGACGAGTCCATCAGATAGGGCTGCTCAGAAGTTGTGTGGAGTAAGGTTGAGAGGTCGAAGCCCTTGTCCAAGCCGTCGCCTAGAACACCACGTTGCGATTCGTCAAAGGTGCAATGGCTTCCTAGCTTGAGCACTGCTCGAGTGCTGAGCGGAATGTTCCCCTCGTAAACGCCCTCTATACTAGGGTGCTGGAAAAGGATATCCATCTTGTCGGCTTCTTCAAGGTACTTCTCTTCTGACAGAGACAGCTTGAACAAATGGACTGATGGATGGCCATTCGGTAGAGTGTGATTCACCTTCTCGACCTCACACTCTGGCACCTCGATATCTGGCAGAGATTCCCGCTTCAAGTTCAAGAAGAATTGTCGCGGCACTCTTACGCTGAGGGCGTGGATCTTTTGCTCAATCAGCACGAAGGCTCGCACAACTCCTGGAACGCCCGTCTCGCAAAGCTGTAAGACCTGCCATGTGCTGATGTACAGCATCTGCGCTTGGTTGCGGAAGAAGTTGCTCAAGGAGTCCGAGGCAATAGTACGCTCGCCAAACAGTTGGCGACGGCGAATCCGCGCTTGCTTCTGGATCTTCCATTTCTGCTTTTGATACTTAAGGAAACCTTCGTAGTTTTCAGACATAGATGGCATGACTGCTGGAAGGCTAGCGAAGGGATCGAGGGCTGTTTTCGAAACATTTTCAGGATGTTTTCTCTTTTGAGATACTTTGTTGTTGGGCGATGTCAATTTTTGGGTCGAGCCAATTGCTTCATCTAGATCACCAGCATGCTGGACCCGATGATCCATGATATTGACATTTGCCGTAGAGAGGGGTGTCTTCTCTGATACGGTGAACAGATCGGTCATCTTCTTTTGCTTGAACTTGTCATCCTTTATTCTGATTCGACGTTGCAACCAATCAGGATGGGCAACTCGAGGCACTGGGTTCCGAAGCTTCTGAAGCGCAGCTGGAATAGTAATCAGTTTCTGGATCACAGATCCTAAACGCTCGAGATAATAATCCCAATCGATGACAGTGCGAGGATCCATATCGCCAGGGTCTTCTTTCAGCCATTTGCGCAAGAAGAATCGCTTGACGTTCTCTTCGGCGGAGAAAATAGCCACCGGAATGGCTCTTTCGGTAACAGGCGTGTTCCGTGGACGTGATGAGATGATGTACTTGCAGTTGAGGCCTTTATCCTTGACCATCTGCTCGCCCAAGAACTCTGCTAAACGCCTTGCTGTCGTAATTGACGTTGACTTTTGGGAGCCGTACTCTTCTAGCGTTTTGGACATGCTTCGATTCTCCGAAATGAGATCAATCAACTCTTCGTCGGCCAAGGTCGTTCCGTGCTCGTACAGAACGTCCAGCCACCGATCTGCAACTCGAGCCACAGCGGCGTAGGTCTCGGCAAGATTAGAACCCTCGAGGAAGAACTTGAAGAGCTGTGTTTGGAAAATCTTGATCAGCTTCAGCTCTCCTCTTCGCTTGACCTCGAATCCCTTGAGTTCGGCCAATGAACCATCGTGATTGAAAACTGCATATCGTTTCTTCAGGTTCTTGTCTTCCTCCTTTGACGTTGGCAAGATCATTGCTCGGTACGGTCCATCGACTTCGAAGAAGATGGAGTTTTCACTGTGAGTCTCGTACTTGAAGGTCTTCGGGTCGACAAGAGCCTGGTACTGGTGATTGGTGTACCTGGCGTGGACGAGGTGGTTGAGCATGACACAGGGGTATGAGATACCCAATTTCTTTCCGTTCTTCAGAGTGAAGGAGAAGTTATCGGGGAATCCTCCCGGAAGCATACACCAGATACCGTCGGTGTCCAGTTCCAAGGGACGGCCGATGCGTTCGACAAGCTCTCTCGCCATCTGAATAATATGAGCACCGGTTAAACAGGTGACACCGGCCATTTCCATTGAATACCACCGAGAGCCCTTTCGCATCACGTAACCGTAGAAACTGTTGAGAATGACCTTGTGTGCAAGCTGAAGAGAATCGTACAGAATAATCATTTTCTTCGCTTCCTCGATTTCAGCTGCTGAGCCGCCCGATGATTGTAAACTATCGGCCTTGTTCTTCCAGCCTTTTTGTTTGCCCTTGAAGTCATATCGTCGGTCACGGAAGTCTCGAACAGTATCGACATAGAATGGATTTTCTCTTTGGCAGATGATGGCCTCTCGCTCCATCGTCTTGCTGTCGTGGATCTTGTGGTAAATCTTCTTGCTGTAATCCTGCAGCCGTTTCTTGACCACTCCAGCTTGCTCTTCAATGCTCAAATCACCGAATGATCTCATTGGAGAGTTCGGATATCGACCTGGGAACCGTTCGTTCGCTGTGGCACGTCGAATCATGTTGTATTCATCACGTTTGGCAGGCAGGAATTCACCTCGCCATGCCCAAGGCATGCGTCTGTCACAGGTTTTTCCGGGTCGGTTGAAATCACAAGCTGCACAATTCGACTCATCAATCAATGAGTCCGGTTGCAACCGATTGGTGATCATGATATTGGGGTACATGGAGGCAACGTCCAAGTGATAAATGAAAGGAACCTCGTTCCGAACTGGATTGTTCTTAAGATCGAGCAAGCGCTCCACAATCTGAGCCCGGACCTCATCATAGTTCACCACATCGTCCATAGACTTCTTCTCTTCGACCTCGATACTGAACTTGAGAGCGTGGTCCAAGTCCTTGAGAAGCTCATCAATCGCGGTGGGATCAACGGTAAAGTGAGTAGGGATGTCACTTCGGAAGACACCAGCTTCGATACTCTCGACGTGGCCACCAACATAAGTCTCTGACTCCAGGAGGTGCCCTTCGTAGAAAGACTCGGGTGGGTCTTTGTGTTTGTTAGGCAGAACAATCTCATGCTTGTAGGCCTGAACCATGAGAAGCATTTCGCACAGAGTTCCAGTTCCCTTGCGCAGCGTTTCGTCGGGGTTGAGGGGAATGATTGTGCAGAGTGAGAAGATGAACGGGTGCACATATTTCATGTAGAGGTAATACGTGGCAACGGCATCGGAAACTGAGTACTCAGCCAAGGTCTGTGGCCTTTCACTGGCATACGGTGTCATAAGCTCGGGGTCAAGCTCGTCTGGATCATAACCAAGCTTTGCAACAGTCACAGCTTTCAAGCCACGACTTCCTTGAGGAAGGTAGCTGTCACGGTTGACCCAAGCAAAACAATCCATATGGACACAGTTGTCGGCAATGTAGATATCTTCACTATTTTTTCGGAAGCCGATCTCCATATACATGTCGAGCCCTAGAATACTGGCTCTCGTCTCGACAAAGGGCCAATCGAAGAAGTCACCGTTGTATGTCGCAATAACGGTTGGCTTGGCAATCTTGACATGTTCGAAAAATCGCTCGAGGACTTTCCTTTCATTGGGTTCGTTGAAGATCATGAAAGGCCCATTGTACTCTGGTTTGGGAGTGTACTCGAAGTCGTGGATATCCTCCGAGACGATCTCTCTGTTGGTGATGAGGAACCCTTGACCGTCAATCATGTACGAAATCATCATGATCTGATCAATCGTGGCGTCGGGGAATTTCAGCGGTAATTTCGTACACTCGATATCGAAAGCAAGAACGACAGGATCGGCACGTTGAAGCCGATCTTCCAGACAGGTCAGTGATATCTCGCCGTGATCAGCCTTCACATTATACCATTTCCCGATACGAATGTCTGCGATGTGTTAATTTGGGTTGCATCTCAAGAAGTAGGCAGTACCGACCTTTGTCAATGCAGACTCGGACATGGTATGGCACGTCATATTCTCGAATATCAACAATAAAATCACTCGCTTGTAAGTTGGCATTAGGTCGTTGCTCATTAATTATTTCGTCGTCAAACAAATCGATGCCGGCAGTTGCACTATGAGAACAATCTTAGTCCGAGGTCCAGATCAAATGTAATGCAGAACAAACCTGGTCATCTCAACGTATGCGTCCATCGCAGTCTCATTCTTCTTGTTCTTCTCTGCAAGAGGAAGAAGTGTCCTCCTAACCTCCAAAAGGTTGCTCACATTGGCGAAAGTGAGCTTGAGGTAGGTCTTCCGGTAGCCGAGAAGATGATTCGGTAGATTGAGATCCTCTTTCTCAAGGCGCCTGAACTTCTTGATCAAGCCTTCGAAAGTTCGGCGACACCACTCTTCTACCTCCATCTCGTAGCCCTTTTTGACCGCAATCAAAAAGTAGGGGTCATATTCCACAGTCGCTTTGAAACTACCCCCGTCGTCTTGGAGGAAGTAATAATCCACGCCAGCACGACCGCCAGGCACATCCGGGTCCTCTATCGATGTGCTGTGCATGTTGACCAACCATCCGGCTCGTGCCTCCCCAGACTCAAAGCGCGGGAATCCCAGTGTCTCATCGATGTTGTTAGCCAATCGAATGGCCTCGAATTTCTCATCTTGTGAAGTCGCTTCGGTCGAGCGTAGGGAGCTGAAGTCGACTGTTTTTGCGCGCCGGGGCTTCGATGATGCAGCACTGGACCGGAATTTGTTTCCATACTTGCTGGGCTTTCGTGAAGGCATTGCGACGCTATCGCCCGGCCGGGCTTGTTCAGGTACCTCTGTTCAAAGGGCGGGTTCAGTGTAGAAGTAGAACATGGGATAAGCACTTGTTGTGAATCAGGAAAAACAATGAAATAAGGAAAATGCACGGAGACACACGTCAGACGAGATCTGGTTCGGAAGTCAATGATTGTGTCTCTAGGAGCAACGACCTTCTAATCTGCCCTAATCAAATGTTCCCGACGCGTTCGCGTACCGCTCGCGCGCGTCTCATGACCTTAGTCAGCTTTCCGGAATAACTATCCCTTTCAGGTTTCCCGGAATATCCATCTTCCGATATTGACGATCTTCTTCAATAATAGTGGATGAAGACCGCGGAAGGAAATACAGAAGCTATTCACCCTACACGACCATGACAGAAGGCTCACAAGACCCCAGCTCTCTTCCGGGGGCTGGTAGCAACACACCACCACCCAATGACTCCGCCGATTCGCAGAAATCAAAGTACGAACCATCGCAGTCACAAACCGGAAAGCTGTGGGACGCCTTCGGAAACCCAGAAGAACCCGCGAACGCGCTCGCCCAAGCTACATACAAGCCCCGAGGCAAGAATCCTAAGGATGTGCCGTACTCCGAGATCATCGGATCTGTCTCGCTATCCGAAATGTCTACTATTCACAAACGACCTTGTGCTCGGGAATCATTGTTGACTGGCATCGGTGTCGGATTTGGAGTCGGTGGTTTACGGGGCGTGCTGAAAGGTATAGTCATACTTTTCCGCCAAGATATTGCAAAGGCAAGGCTAACAAGTGGCATACAGGACGGTACTATCTATGGTCTGCCGGAAACTGGGCTGTCGGCATGTTCGCGGTCACTTCATTAGCGTCATACGAATACTGCCGCTGGCGACGAAACAAGGAATTGAGCGGCATGGCAGAAGCACTCGATCTGATGAACCAGTTGAAGGCCAAGAAACAACGCGAGAAGGATGCTGCAGAGGAAGAAGCCGCATTGCGCGCACGCCTTGCTGAGCAGGAAAAGAAGAGCAAGAGTTGGACGGACCTTGCCAATTACAAGTTCTGGTAATGCTGCTGGTTTCTGGAAATGGAGTCGTGGAGTTCATGGGGTGTTGCCAAAACTGTGTATGTATTCCGCTCATCGGATGATTATTGACACCATGTCATAAAGTCATCTCTGTGTATCATAGCTCTGCAAAGTTCATACTGCCCATCAAACAATCGCTGGAGCCTCTGAAATCATCAGAGGAGCTCAAGAAAAAAAAAAGAAAACACCGATATGCTTGCCCTTGGGTAGAAACCTAACGCCGGAGTAAAGATGTCTGATATGTGGCTGCACGTTGCGAGCCATGCTTTGTCCCGCTAGAAGTCGAATTTCACTCGCTTCTGGACTGCGCCTTGATGTATTCCACGCAATTTGTCGGCCTCGGCGCCCTCTCTCCTCCTTTCACGCCTTTTCTCGCGAGCTTCCCGGGCTTCGCGGTTCTTCCATTCTGCGACTTGCTTTTGTCGCTTTTGAGACCTTTCCCATGCAATTGATGCAGTCGGCTTGAAACCTATGCCATTGATCCCATAACCATCGTCAGCTGGATCGGACGGATTGTGCCCTGTTATTTCCGAGTCATGCCACACAAGCGGATCTTCTTCTGGTGTGTGCGCAAGAGGGGGTGATAGCCGTTGCTTGCGCTTTGATGGTGATGGGGAATTCGACTGCTTGCGCGCAAAATTTGCAGTTTTCCTTTTTGCAGGGGAAGTAGGAAAAGAAACCGAAGGTCCCTGGGTCGCGGGCGGTTCGCATCCCATGGCTTGGCGGTCACTGGACTCGCCGCTAGCCGGTAGAGCTTCGGACATATTCTTTGGTCTGTGGGCGTCAGAGTCGCATGTTTCCTGTGCCGGTCGAGTAACAGATCCCCGCTGTGAGTCGCCGCTCGAGGTTGCAAAGTCCGAGAAAAGGTCGCTACGGATGGCTAGCTCTCCGAAACGTCCAACCACTGCAGCGCGAGGACTGGAACTCTCCTGCTCGTCCTCGTCCCGAAGAGGAATATCTTGGAAACTGGAGACAGAGATCGTCGACGTGGGCGATGCCGATGGGCTATAGCAGTCTGATTCTGAAGGCTCTCGCTTGCGCTTAGGAAAAAAGGATGAAGGTAGAAGATCCGTCGGCATCATACTGAAAACGGGTATAGTGGGGGCGTCGCCGAGCAACCCGATGGATCTCATTTGTACGCAGTAAATCGATAGGGTATCCACCAGCACGGTCTCAGGAAATGAGGATATCGAAGCTATTCATACTGAAACTCCCGCGAAGGGCGGAGGTGAGGGCTGAGAGGGGGTTCGTCATGGGATATTCGGCATTGAATCGGATTGTGGGGTACGAACGATCGCCACTAGATTGGTCGTGCATTCAACATCATTCAAGGGAGTATTTTGCGTAGCATCAGTAAGGACTAAGGATGAAAATATAGCTCCTTTGAGCTTGAAATATCATTGCTCTAAACCAAACGATAGGACATTTTGACACTAAAATTGAATGAAAACAAACGCAGCGATAGTCAGAGCTGCTGAGGCAAAAGGCCTGGTAATAATTTACAAATACCTGCAAGCCGTTCCCATCGAGTCATGAAGACAAAAGCAAAACCTAACGCCATGACGAAGACTCCCAAGTCCAAATGAACTGCGCATCTAAGCCTTTTGCTTCTTCTTGGAGGGCTCGGCGTCCGTGTCGTGCTTGCGCTTCTTCTTCTTCTCGGACTCGCCCTCACCACCCACAGACTTGCGCTTCTCCTTCTTCTCTTTTTTCTCCTTCTTCTCCTTCTTTTCTTTCTTCTCCTTCTTCTCCTTCTTGGCATCGACATCCTCCATCTCCTCGTCGCTCTGGTCGGCGTCGACGTCGAGGTCAGCCAGCACGGCATCCATGGCGTTTTTCTGCGAAGGGACTTGTTAGTAATCTATCGATCAATGTAAAAAGATGACGGGTCATAAACATACCATGGCGACCTCGTTCTTGGTAGGGGCAGCGCCGGAGGCGTAGAACTCCAAGCGCTCCTCAACTTGGCTCTTCAGGGCCTCACCGAACTTGGTGTTAGGGGCCTCAGAGAAGTTGTCAATGCGGGACGCAATGGAGCACTTGTTGGCAAGGAAACGGGAGATTCTGCCCTTGTTCTTGGGGCCAGCGCGGCCGATGAAGGAAGAGTGGTACAACAGACCATACTTGGGGGTGTTACCCTTGGTCTTCAAGGCACGGAAAAGAGCCTTCTCAGCACCAAGAATCTGGACGGTAGAGGCGGGGTACTTGGAGAGGTTGGTCAAGCTACCAGCGTGGGAGATCAGACGGGCGCCAACGACTTCACCGATCAGGGCGGCAAGGTTAGGAGCAACGACGCTCATCTTGGCGACTAGGTAGGCGTAGAGAGACTTGCGGTATTTAGCGAGCTTGACAACGCGCTCGGCGAAAGCGATGACATTCTCCATGTCAGACTCGGAAATCTCTTGACCCATACTGGTCTTGGCGGCATCAATGATGCTCTGGGCAACAGCCTCGTCATCTTCGACAAGGGCGGCAATATCGTGCAGGCTTTCGACGGTCAGAGTCTGCTTGTCCTTGATGAACAGAGCGAGCTCGGCGTAACGCTGGTTATCGGAGACGATCTTGACGAGCTCGGGGAAGTGCCACGAGTACCATTCACGGACACGCATGGAGAAGGTGTTGATAGCCTTGTCAAGCTGATCCAAGATGGCAATAGCCTGGATGATGTGGTTGTCGTCACGCTGGACGGAGAACTTTACCTTAGCGCGGGAGTAAGCGTGACCAAGACCGAGCTGAGCAGTGTCCATATCGCCATCGCGCAGCTGCTTGAGGAGCTTGCCAGCGTGGAGACGAATACCACGGAGAAGATCCTGAACGACCTCGCTGGTATCACCGGTCTCGCAGTCCACAAATGAAAAAGCGGACTTGATGCTTCCGGCCAAAGCCTTGTCGGCAAGACCAAGGACCACCTTCTTCTTCTTGTTCGGCTTGGGAAGGTTCAACTCAAGGAAGTTAACCAAAGTCTCGGATGCGACACCTTCGGAGACGTCGTTGATTTCTCCGAGAGCCTGCTTGTTGTTCCTACGTACTGTTAGTGGACCATGAAAAAACCTTTCATATAGGCAGATGAAGCGTACTCGAAGGGCAGGAAACTGGAAAGCTCGACCATCTTGCCGAACTTTGCAAGGTCATTGACACCTTCTTGAACTTCCTTCAAACCATTGCCGACGGTGTCACCCTGGTGGGTGACCTTGAAAAGCGAGTAACCCATAGGGCCCTCGAAAAGTAGGAAGTCGGCCATCGTATTAAGACCAATACCAGGTCAATCGCAAATAGAGTGATAGATATGTAACGCCAACCAGCGAATACACTCGAATTGCAATTTGATGGGTTGCTGGTGCGGGTGTTGGCGACGGGCTGGAAATGGGCAAAGTTCGAGAAATCGGCAGCTTTTTTTTCGCCGCTAGTGCGAATACGTGAATGTGGGCTTTTTGCCAAACACCGCCTTCACCGCCGGGCCTAACGTGGGACCTTGTTCTCAGTATCCCCGACACTCAATAACCATCCCTTAATTTAATACATTTTGGGTACTTCAGACGTGATACCCTGTCATTCATTACCTGGGAGATGTCTGCAACTCAACTACTTAACCCTAAGGCGGAGTCCAGGGTATGGAAAATATTCCCAGATGGCCCCTCAGTGATGTGCCCGCACACTAACATTCTATGCAGCGGAGAGGAGAGGCCTTGAAGGTAAACATCGGCGCCGGTGAAGGTCTTCAAGATGTCCTCAAGTCCAACTTGGGTCCTACGGGAACCCTCAAGATGTGAGTTAGCTGCGAGTACACCCCACATTCAAAGGCAATGGGAGCTGACAAAACCTAGGCTGGTCGATGGTGCAGGCGCAGTATGTCTCCTTTCCCTCGAACGACATGAAACAACCTTTTTCCTAATGCAAACTCGCTACAATAGATCAAATTGACCAAGGATGGAAATGTTTTGTTGCGGGAGATGGTTCGTTATGCCCTCATAACCTCAAATTCTGGAGCTTGCAAAGCTAATTTTTTTTTTGACAGCAAATTCAAAACCCCACGGCTGTAAGACGAACTCACCTTGGAAGACTCCTAACATACCGCTAATGCGTCGGAAAGGTTATGATCGCTCGTGCTGCGACGGCACAAGATGATATCACCGGTGATGGAACAACATCTGTTGTGTTGCTGGTGGGAGAGCTTTTGAAGCAGGCGGAGCGTCACATCTCAGAGGGTTTGCACCCCCGTGTCATCACTGATGGCTACGAGATTGCGAAGACCGAGGCTTTGAAGGTGTGTAATGTGCATCGAACGCCGCAAATTGACGTGGCACTGATATATGGCCCATAGTTCCTCGAAAACTTCAAGCTCGAGCGCCCCATTGACCGAGAGCTGTTGCTTTCTGTCGCCCGTACCTCCCTCTCCACGAAGTTGAACGGCGCCCTTGCCGAGAAGCTCACCCCCGACATCGTCGATGCCGTGCTCGCCATCCACAGAGCCCCTGAGAAGCCCGATTTGCACATGGTTGAGATTATGACAATGCAGCACCGTTCGTCATCGGACACCCAGCTTATTCGTGGTCTCGCCTTGGATCACGGTGCCAGACATCCTGATATGCCCAAGCGGGTTGAGAACGCTTTCATCCTGACATTGAACGTCAGCTTGGAGTACGAGAAGTCGGAAATCAACTCCGGATTCTACTACTCCAACGCCGAGCAGAGGGATAAGCTAGTCGAGAGTGAGCGCAAATTTGTGGATGCGAAGCTGCAGAAGATTGTGGAACTCAAGAAGGAAGTCTGTGGAAACGATCCCAACAAGGGATTCGTGATCATTAACCAGAAGGGTATTGATCCTCTCAGCTTGGATGTCCTTGTCAAGAATGGCATTTTCGCTTTGCGGAGAGCTAAGCGCCGCAACATGGAGCGCCTGCAGCTAGTCTGTGGCGGCACCGCCCAGAACAGTGTTGAAGACTTGACTCCGGAGGTTCTTGGGTGGGCCGGTCTCGTCTACGAGCACCAGCTTGGTGAGGAGAAGTTCACTTTCATTGAAGAGGTCAAGGACCCCAAGTCTGTGACTATTCTCATTAAGGGTCCCAACGGACACACTATCACTCAGGTCAAGGATGCTGTTCGTGATGGTCTGCGCTCTGTTTACAACACCATTGTTGATGGCTGCGTCATTCCCGGTGCAGGAGCCTTCCAAGTTGCCTGTGCCGCACACCTGCAGTCACAGGAGTTCAGGAAAACCGTCAAGGGTAAGGCCAAGTGGGGTGTTGGTGCTTTCGCCGATGCCCTCCTGATCATTCCTAAGACCCTAGCTGCCAACTCTGGCCATGATATCCAGGATTCGCTGGCTGCTCTTCACGATGAGGCGACCGACGGCAACGTTGTCGGTTTGGATCTGGTCACTGGCGAGCCCATGGATCCCGTCCAAGGAGGTGTCTTCGACTCTTTCCGTGTCCTGCGCAACTGTATCGCTTCCAGCACGGGCATTGCATCCAATCTCCTTCTGTGCGATGAGCTACTGAAGGCTCGGCAGATGAGTAGAGCTAGCGGCCCCGGTGGTCCGGAGGAGTAATGTGCTTCCTCTCTAACGAAGTCAGGCGGTTCATGTAAAGATTAAAAGGGTTAAAGACTTGGTTCTCTACAAAGTTGGGGGAACAAGAGCCGATCTATTCAAAAATGCACAAACTTCATGTTGCTTCTCATTACCGTCGTCAATTGGAATTAAAGTAATCAACGCTATCGTACATTAAACAAGCTGCCTCGTTCGGAAAATCAGTCTTCTTCCGAAGTGATGCTTCTTTCATCCTCTTCGGGCACGACAACGGGAGGCCAGAGTCCATCGAACCCTTCTTCGCTGACTGGGTCGTCCAGAGAGAGATGGTGTGTCTTCGCCCACTCCCAGACATCAGACTTGCAAATAGTGACCGTCTGACCTGCTGGACTTGGCATATCATCCACAGATCTTCGGTTGGATTTGCGCTTTTTCGGGGTGGCCTGGAGTTCGAACAGCCCCATGCTCTTGAGAGCCGTGATCACATCTTCGGTCAACATGCCGGTTCCTAAACCGAGTTCCTCGACGGTCATGGTCTCACGTAGAGGTCTCTTGCGGGAACTTTTGGGTGTGGAACCGGGCTTCTGCTGGTCGGATTTAACTGGCGTGTCGGTAGGCTTGCCGCGCAGCAAGAAACGGGCGATCCGTTCGGCCCAGAATCGGACATAGCTCTTCTGACCCAGCTCACTTAATGGCTTCTCCGGCCCGCCAATGCACCCACCATTGGAGTCCCATCCACTAAGCTTGTAGCTGACACCCATCAACAGCTTCCCCAGTTGCTTGTGCTGGTAAGGTGGGAATATCAGTATGCAGGCAAGATTGTTCGCATCCCAGGAAAGTTTCTCTTTTGAGAAGAAACCAAGCACATAGTAGCTTTCGGGGTCGTTGGGGTCGGTGAACGTGAGGATGTAATATAGGAAGGTTGCGACATCGAAGAAGACGGTCTTGTGGCCGAGAAACAATTTTGCGAAGAGAGACAGATTTTGCGCAAACAGTTGGTGATTTTGCCCATCAACTTCCCACACTGCATACCCTCCATGGTCGTAGACTTTGGTGCCGGGCGGAATGGTACGATGCTTGCAGACATATTTATGTTCCTCGAGTATGTCGCCATCGCATGAATATCGAAAGCACCAGCGACAGACGTAAAGTCGATCGGCATCCTTGGGGACCAGGTCTTCGGGGTAGATGGATTGATTCCACGGCTTGAACAGGAGATCGCCCAGGACAACGTTGTGGATATTTCGATCGACTGGAGTATGCAGTCGCGCAGGCTTTGGGCTCGCCATTGCTTGTTGTAAAGATTCGCAAGCGTTGAAATGGTCGCAATGCTAGGTTTCGAGGGCTTTCATGTAGTGAAGCGTCTCCAATGGTCCTGCCATTGGTATGATCGTCGAAATGGAAGCTGCTGACCGCTCGGATAGATGAAAGAGATGAAACAACGGTCGCACAGACCTAAAGTCTCTATGAATATACAACAATAGGCCTCAATTGGTATTATTCATTGCGCATTGCAGATGTCAATGGAGTCAATGAGGATGAAATTTGACGCCTCAAATTCCAGGCAACACGAGAAGTCGAGTCATGTGATCGGAGCGGGGTTTCCCCGGACTCCCGGAGAGCTTGATCATCTGCCTCTGACGTTTATCCTGTTGCCTGAACATGTACTTCGTCTGTGACCTCTTTTTGTTTGAAATCTAAGTATTCTTTCATTTCGAAAGGAAAGTCGAATCTGAAGATGGGAAATGTTGCCACAGGCAGCAACATACGAACCTCGTGATTCTCTCGTTTATACCCCATCCACCTCCGAACTAGCCCTGGAGGCATCATAATCATATTTTATTTCGTCTTTCTATCAACTTTAATTCTCACCTTTGTTTCCATTTCTGTAACGCTCTCCGTGCTCTGGATCTGCGGGGCTACACTCTTCCACGATGTTGAAGCCTTTCCAGATTAGAGACCTTCGGGCCTCACCTTCGCAACACCCCGAGCAACTGGCAGCCTCCCGCTCTACTCCCTCGGGAGTAGTCCAGATATCTGCTGCCGATTACGATGCTCTAGCATCGAACCATCCCCGCGCAAGGCTGACTTATGTGGATGAGGATGACGACGACGAAACAATCACTGTAAGTTCGCGACAGTCTAGTAGGTACCAACAAAGTGCTCACGCTCTCCCTTAGGTTGGATCCGCTCTCGAGCTCTCGCAGCGTCTTGACGAGCCGCTAGACGCCAGCACACGGCTCGAATCCCTTCAACTTTCGGACAATGACGCCACACCGATGCACATATTTGATATTCGTCGATCAAACTCCGTGACTGAGTTGTGGAAGCGTTTCGAAGGCATTGTTTCCGAGCACAACTCAGTTCATGAGAAGAACAATACGCAGACTACTCCTAAGGCGGTTGTCGTCGAACATCAACCTGAAGTCTCGGCACCTAATACTACATCTGCGCCACCGGTCTCCGAGGAGGAGCCTCGGTCTTTTATGGAAGCATTTGAAGCCGATCTAGCAGAAATGCTCAATGCTGCTGAATCCTCAGATAACAGAGCACCTCGAACCGACTCGCCACCTCCTGTGCAGCCTTCAGACAACACAAACTCTGGACAAGCCCGTCATCCCGTTGAGATTTTAGCGGCCCAGGTTCTGACCCAGTTGATCAGCGGGGCTACTATGGTACAATCTGAATGGAGAGCAAAACTCCCGGAGCTACAGCGACAACTGCAGAATGCTCAAAGGCAATTTGAGGCAGCACAGCAATCCTTGCCTGGGAACATGGAAGCGTCATTGCGGTCGCTGCTCGCCACTGTCGACGCTCAACTAAGAGCCGCTTTCAGCAACCTCCCAGATAACGGAAGACAAATGGCTGAAGATGCCTTTCAAGCAGGGAGGCCAGTGGCTGAGAATGCTGCCGATGGGTTGCGCAGTATGGCCGCCGAACTGAATGAGGTAGGAAGAACTTTGTTTGCAGCCTTTGAGAGCGAATTTGGGCAAGCTAGGCCAACCGCGTCTGCTTCGACCTCCAATACGACCTCCGAGACTAGGCCACTCTTTGATACTGCTACTAGCAATCAATCTGCGGCTCCGGGGCCCGTGTATCCTCAGAGTGCGGATACACCTACCTCGGCCACGGCCACGAAAGGGGGATCACCGTCTATCCCAAGTCAATCGGAGCCATCTGATACAGCTCAAGCAGGAGTACTTCCTCGTGGTCCTCGTCGTCAATTCATGAACTATCGCCCAAATCATTGGGCGCCCATGCCATGGCAGGCGCCGGCCTGGAGAACGGAATTCCCACATCAAGCCGGGTCTCCATCTCTATATTACTCTCACCCACCGGTAACGCTGCCGACTTCTCCATACTGGCCGCAATGGACACCTGGGCCTGCTCGTTTCGGGTTCAATGCTCCACGAAATGCTAGGCAGACATCACGAGCCAAGTCTGGAGAACCGAGAAAAGACTCGACGAGTAAATCTTTGTTTATCGGGAATGTCGGATTTCAGGTTACCGACAAGATGATACAGGATGTGTTTGCTTCGAAGGGCTTCCTCGTCAAGGTGGATCTTCCTCTAGATACTGCATCAGGAAGGCATGCAGGCTTTGGCTATGTCCATTTCCCTTCAGAGCATCCTGCTTTCGCTGCGATGGAATCTTTGCATGGTACTATTATCGACGGTCACTCGATAAATTTGGAGCTCATGGATCATACGCCCATCGAAAGTGTTCGACCGGCACATGTCCCTACATCCCGCTCGCAGGCTGAAACAGGTGATTTGAAGACGGCTTCTTCTGCACAAAGCGGTGCAATGCCGAGCCCTGCTCTCTCACCCCGTGTTGCCTTTCCAAGAAGGGGTTCATCCAGACACGGCAACACAGACAATCGCAGAAAGTCCGTCACCTTTGAAGATCATACACAGATCATTGATCCCCAAATTCAGACCGAATCGTCCGCCCTACTTGACTCCCCGAGCGATGACCCTGCGTTCAGCGCACGATTCCCATCTCTATTGCCCGAGATGAGCACACCGCATACCGCTCCATTGGGCGATCAGGAGGTTCCCTCGCATATGCCCACGACTAAATCAATGGACATGTCTCGTTTTCCACCAGTGTCTCAACGGGAGGCCCAGCTTCTTGCAAAGCAGAATTCCGGTGTGACAGAATCATCTCCTACTACATCACTTGGTCAACCACAGACCAACCAAGAAACCCCTGGGGAACTCTATTCTTGGAAACAATCCCCTGGCCAATCTCAGCAGGCTTCGAATCCTGACTTAATTGGCAAGGCATCACCGGCCGCTGATGCTGAACAATCGGCTGATTATAACAAGGCAAAGCTGATACAACTCGACGAACCTTTTTTTGCCACGAAGGCTGTGGATTCGCGCCGAGCGACTGGGCACGGAACTCATGGGTCAGATCATCACCAAGCTGCAGATGCTTTCCGCCACAGTCCCTTGATGCATTCCGCGAGTATGCGTCACCTTGGGGATAGATCACGGCTCCCTTTGCGGACAAGTCCATGGGCGCGGCTTTCTAGAAGAGAACGAAATGGTCCATCTTCTGACCAACAAGTTCTCGGGAGATCACCAGTGGAAGCGACAATGCAGGCCACAACCCCTAGACCACCTGATGCTGGTGCTCATCAGTCTGATGATCCAAACATTCAACGGTGTGTGGCTGCCCTTCTTCACATGGGCTACGGAACTGAACAAGATGGTGGCCGATCCAGGCTGGCCGTATATGCGGCAGCGGCAAATGGAGCCCTTATGGATGCGATTGATATGATTGAAGAAGAAAGGAGGGTCTATGAGCGGCGAGCTTCGCAGTGAGGGAAGGAAATTTGGTTTGCTCTTGTGTTTTAAGGTCCTGTTGGCGGCCCGTCATTCCTTAGGCTCTAGTCAACCTTGCTGAATCCCTTGTGGGAGTCAATGATATTCTCGGTAGTGTTGCAATACTACTTTTCGCTCTTATGATTTAGCACCAAGAATGAGCCACTTCAGGGGCCTGCCGTGCTCTCCGGAATGGGTCGATAATAGGTCTGAGTTGCTTACTAGCCCTGTCCACTCTACCTACTGTATGTTACCTATCCGTACCGTAGGATCCAAATCTGGAAGGTACATCTGGGCATAGTAGGTACCTAGGAAGTTTGGTTCCACAATATATATTCGGACCCGACAGGGCAATGTGTACTTAATTGGTACGGGATTACCTTAGGCATTGCGACCCCCGATAGCTGATTACCTACATGTATGAATCCAGAGGTAGGTACCTAACAGTTCTGACCGGAAGGGAAAAAAGATAGAAAGTCAACATAGAAGCTGGCAGCTTCTGTTTTTATAGATCGATCAATTGTAGTTGCTCGGCCTGAATTGGTATGCCGGACCGACGTCGACGCCGATCAGTTTCTTGGGCCGCAATCTCCGGTCACCGGACTCCGCGAACATTCAACCACCTTCAGCAATGCAGACATGGCGACGAACCTTCGCCACTTCTGTGGGCAGGTTAAGCCATAACCCGGTCAATGCTCGCCCCTCTATTGTGCGGTGCGCGCAGATCCTCCAACCTAGTCAGGCTGGTGGAGTCAGCAGCTTCGAGGACCGCGAAATCAAAGTGAACGGATTCATTCGGTCTGTGCGGAAACAGAAGCGCTTCGCGTTCGCAGAAATATCCGATGGCTCTACCGTGGAGCCAATGCAAGCAATTTTGAGCCCCGCGCAAGCAGCAGAGTACGTTCGATCGTGCTCGTGGCTCGGGATCCCCGAATTATTTGTGAACGAAGACTAACCATCGCTTTGTACCTCTAGCCTGTCCACCGGAACTGCAATTGAGATATCGGGGATATGGAAAGCTTGCCCACCGGGAAAAGAGCAGACTCATGAGCTCCAGGCAACCGATGTCACGGTTGTAGGCGCCTCAGATCCTGAGGTGAGCCCGCGAACAGTTTCCTGAAGATCGCAAGTCCAGGTACTGACTGTGATGTTTTTGACCACAGACATATCCAATTCAGAAGAAATACCACAGCCCCGATTTCCTACGCCAGATTCCCCATCTCCGCATTCGAACCCCCTTCAACTCTCTCCTCTCGCGCTTCCGGTCTGAGTGCATGTTCCAACTTGGCAATGTGTTCCATTCCCATCCGGACGGGGCCTTTACACAAGTGCAGCCTCCCCTTATAACTTCCTCAGATTGTGAAGGGGCGGGCGAAACTTTCACATTGACACCACGCGGTGCCGCCACGCCTAGCACAGAGAACGAGCATTTCTTCCGAGCGCCGAAATACCTGACTGTATCGTCGCAGCTGCATCTCGAAGCCTATGCTGCAGAGCTGGGCAATGTATGGACACTGACGCCCGTGTTCCGGGCAGAGAAGAGTGATACGCCGCGCCACCTCAGCGAATTCTACATGCTCGAAGCCGAAGTCAACTTCACGTCCGATCTTGACTCACTCACTGGCTTAGTAGAATACTTGCTGCGCGATTTGACACGTCGCCTGTATAATACCACCGTTGGCCAGGAGCTCTTGTCAGCAAAGCGATCTGGCGAGGCAGGCCAGGAAAGTGGCGCCGAGGAGGCAGGATCTCTACGGCAAAGATGGACTGATTTAATGGATGGCCCGAAATGGGACCGCGTCACATACACCCAAGCAGTGGAGATGCTCCAGCGCGCTGTCGCCGAGGACGGCGCATCTTTCGAGCACCCCCCAACGTGGACTGGAGGTCTACAGCTCGAGCATGAAAAGTACATTGTCGACGTACTCCACCAAGGGCGCCCCGTCTTTGTCACGGACTACCCGAAATCCGTCAAGCCCTTCTACATGGCTCCTTCGCAGGTCGCCGACGGTACCAACGTACCCGGAGAGACAGTGGCGTGTTTCGACCTACTCCTCCCCGAGGTTAGCGAGGTCGCCGGAGGCTCCCTGCGCGAGCATCGCCTACCTGAACTAATCCAGAATATGCGCGAGCACGGTCTGATCAAAAGTCGACAACTTCAAGAGTCTGGTGACCCAGCTTCGGGCGAGCCGCTGTATCCCCATCTTGCCTCTGACGAGGACCTGAGCCACCTCCAATGGTACGCAGACCTCCGTCGTTGGGGCTCTGCTCCCCATGGAGGCTTCGGGATCGGATTTGACCGATTTCTGGGATACTTGAGTGGCGTCTCCAGTATCCGGGATATCGTAGCCTTCCCGAGATACTTCGGCCGGGCTGATTGTTGAGACTTGTCAGATGTATACCTAGGACATCCAATGTACGATAGACCTGTAATAATATGCATGCAGACTCAATGGTTTGAGAGACAAACTACAGAAACAAAGACACATGAGCTGCTCCGCTTGGCATGTAACCATGTAACAGTTCCATCTTTCTTAGTTGGCACAGGAATTTCAATGGTGCGGTCAACACAATCGCCGACGGAGTCCAGAATAGGACTCGACGCACTCCAGCTTATCCGCAGCTATCCGCAGAATGGAGCCTCCGTTGCGCCACATGCCCGGATTCGACTAGCGGAAATACAAGTCTCTTAACGCTGGAGCTAAGAGAAGAGCTTGCAGGGGCTAACCGGTAGTGCGCGGGTGCACGGCTCAACTTGCATCTCATTTTACAGTGACGGGCACCCAAACTGTAACTAACTATGCTGTAAACAAACATCAAGGGGCTATGTAACTACGGAGTACATACGGGGTACGGAGTACGGAGTAGAGCTTATAGAATTACCCACCTTGCTATGCCCGTTGACTTGTGACCCGTGCTGTTCACTAGCCCGAGTCCAAGATTCTATTTTAAACCGAGGTCAAAGGCTTGGATATGACAGGGAGGCCTAAGATGAAGGGGTCATATCTCTCGAATCCAGGGGAAAAGAGACACCAGAACAAACATTATGCGCTAAGGACTCGAAGCATCCTCGGTTGTAGATCTGATGCCATGATCTCCGATGCTCTCATACCACAGACGGCACAGCCGCACAGGGTTTTGTAAGGTTAGATCAGTATGTGGTGACGAAGCATTTTTCAAGACCAAAGCCCGGATACCGCATGGTAGTATATCGTATGGCCGGATCTGCATGTGCCGACAGACAGATTTCATGCACAGGGCTGAGCGGCGGAGCTAAACACTAGGGGAAAGTGTAAAACTTGGGAAGTACCGCACGGAGCCACGGACGAGAGAGAAAGGAATGGAGGGATGTTTTAAGTTAGCGATGAATTAGAATTCAAGGCACATATGCGGCTGCATTAGCAGGGTTGCTAGGAACAGACGATCGTTTCACGATAATCGTCCGGATGGATATCATGGCGTATTTGTCCCATCGTTCTCGTACTCAGTACGGAGTAGAGTTGATCCTATTCCTAATCTATACGCCGACTTCCGGACCCCAAGCAAAGCCAAGCACTGTAGTCTGGGAAAGAGGCGTTCCACCGGGCGACTAGTAGAAATCGGGGTCATCAGTGGGCACTGACCCTTTAAGGGCGCGGCCCCAGTCAGCACAGTTGAATCTCCTTATTGAGATGAAGATAAGAATTTCCTAATATGGATCAGGAACCGCAGAGACGGGTGTGGACCGAGTGCTCAATAATAAACAGTCCCGAAAAAATGTTGCGTTTCAGCCGAAGGTGACGGAGTACGGAGTACTCCGACAGAAAACGTGGTCCCTGAATAATGTGGCTCGTGACATACCTTCCAAGATCAGTTATGTCGGAAACCGCTTAATAATGCCGAGCATTCCGGTTTCAGGCAAGGTTTATATAGACTTTATAGTTATTGCAATTTGTCTCTTATTATGTACAAGTTATGCAGAGTTTAGGGAAGTCGTAATAGTAATATGGTTTCATCAGAGTGAGATCAACATCGGATCACGATTGTTCGATAAGGTAAAAGATTATGAAGTCTAGCCGCATAGAAAGGTAGCACACACAGCCTTGAAAAATAATCAAATAGACTTCGACCAAGCGAGTACTAATTCCATGCCAATCAGGGGAGCAGGATCAGCAGGTAAGGGGCCCCAACCTTACCAGGGTTAAGCATAAGCAAAAAGAAGTTTCGGGCAGTGCGCGCCTTGTAGTACTTGCGAGTCATGCAGCAAACCATCCCTATTTGACGTATCACATGTGCAGATAGCCTACAGGGTGTAGAAACTGATTTACAACATCCATCGATAGTGTTGCAGTGAGGTTCATACAGTGACATGCGATTATTCTAGTATGCACTGGTGAATTGATCGGTAATCGATGATCCAGGATGTTACTATTTCAAGGTCACACTCAAAGACTAAGACAACTCACAGACCGGTCACAACTTCGTATTCGGGATAATAAAGTCCCCGAAGGAATAATGCATCCTGCCACATGGTTTATGCTCATGGATGTACTCCGTAAGTGAGACTAGACTGCGAACCTTGGAAATAATGGTAAGTTTAAGTAAAGTAAAGTTGAGTGGAACGAAGGTAAGCGTTAACCATAAATTTGAAGCCACCATTTCCACGGTCCACCAGGGGAAAACTGGGTTTTAGACTTTTATGACATTGCCTTCTCCGCAAGGCCAGCCATGGGTCTGGCCACTCAAAGTTGGCGTCTTCTTGGCATTCACGAGTCTCGGTCCCGAGACTTGAGGCTAACGGTGATTACAGGTAACTATGGGAGTAGGCATCAGCATTTGTGGTGCACTGCCTTTTCTTGGAGCCCTATGATATGCAAAATTGTTTATGATTGGTAAGACAAAACCCAAAATTATGCACATCTATTAGACTAAACTAAGATCAGACCCTTGGACCCCATGCAATGGAACATCACCTTGGTATATAAACGAGAGCGAGACAAAAAGATGACTAGTTACGGATAGTTAGTTGCGGAAAGGTAATTCTAATATTTGCCCTTTCAGTACATTTCCCTATTCGTCTAGACATTAGACACCTTCATCAAAATATGTACGCAGTATGCTAGTGGGGATAAGCTCGTGTGACGTTTCACAATTTTGGTTCTTGGCAACCTTTAATTCAGGGTTGCAATGGATGCATGACAGTACAGGGATAATTGATCGCACGTCATCCCCCGCTATGCTTTAATGTTAGTGGTGGCTGTCTTGTATCTTACATTTGGTCTGCCCTCAGACTAGAGGGATTTTGCTGTTCTAACCTAGGAAGACCTTGGCTGACTTGAAGCTTTAAGTCCATCAGGCTGCCTAGGCAGATTATCAATCGGAGATTATCTGTACATGAGTACTCCGTACATCGTACGACAACATGACAAAGATTGCTCTTCCGCAAGATAAGTGTACTGTGTCCACAGAAATTCCGCTCTGTAAGAACCGAAGATAGTCCGAGACCATTAATAATTAGACTAGCAGCTAACGAATACAGTTGCAGAAAGCCTGCGCGAACCATGGTCGGCAACCGTCGGCTTAGCCCGCAATGGCAACTCTACCAACGGGTCAGATAACTATAGTTAGCGAGATGTGGAACTAGACCCACCCAGGGAAAAGGAGCTTTCGGACGAGAATAACATGCACATGCGGCAATTCGCGGCATTGTTCCCTTTTGAGTTGAAATGTCTCTTCGACTGGAAGAAAACCTGAATAAGTATGGATACTGGCGATACCGTTGATACTTTCAAATAGGCAATTCTGAATTCAGAGATGAGGTGTAGTATCTGCCAAGCTGCCCCGGTGGAGATGATTGACCGTCTGGGAAAATGGAAGACATCAAAATATCCTAATAAGGCAAAGCTTGCGGATTCGTAACTAAGTATGCGCCACTATTGGAGACGGATTCAGGCGATCTCCAAAAATATAAACAAAATTGATCGGGGACCCGAGCTTTCAGTTTTCACGCTTACAGTCGAAGCAAGTACCCACCTGCCTGCCTACTTCACTTCTACAGAGGGAATACATGCTGTGATTGGTGTTATGATTTATGCTTATTCCACCGTATTGACTAGACAGTAATGGCTACGGAGTAGAGTCCATCGTGCAGCCGCATAGGCGAAAGAAGAATGATGCTAGTTCCCTCTTTGTTTGATCAGCTGCGCCAGTCTGATTCAAACTTGGGCTCCGGTCAACCACGATTATTATTCTCCGCCTATCATTATGTATTGTGTTAAACATTTTGACTGTGGCGACATAAGAGCACAAGATATCACTTGCACTAGTCCATTGATCCTTGAGGCATTCGAGGTTGTGCACTGTTTATACTCTACTTTGGCCACCCTTGTTCTATGATTCATTGAACACAGAACAAAGAAGCAGTGCGACGTTGTCCACTCCGTAGATCTGGTAGATGGAAGGCCAAGCCCAAGTCACTATGGTGACGTTCAAGTCACACTGGGCAGTACCATGTGAGACATCCAGATGCAGGCGACTATATCCCCAACGTTCTTAAAAGTTAACACGACCAAGGGCCACATCCAGATTAGGACCAAAGCCAAGGAGAATATCAGCTGCCAAGGTTTACCAGCCCCAACGCCCCCTCAAAACCCTATTAGAGTGATCCTTGTGCAAGAAGAGTTTGTTGGCGATACGCTTTCACTGGCTTGAATCATGACCGTGCACATAATATCGAACCATAGTGGAGTATAACTAGCATAAATTCAAACGTTCGGGGACTGCTACAGAGGATGAGAATTATGCATCAAAATGGAGGTCGTTTTTGAATGTCTCTGGTAGCTTTCACGCCCTATGTGATGTAGACCGTACAGGCGGGGTCCAACATTAGATCTAGAAGTGAGGCTTTACGCACCTGCAAGGCTAATGACAAGGCTAGCTCAGCCTAGCTGCACCACAAACATGAACGACAGGGAGCGCAAACTCGGGCCTGCTAACCTTATCGCCGAGTCAAGGCGTTGGCGGGTACCTATGTACATCAATGTAAGCACGAGTCAGGCGAATCAGGTGTTTTGTCGACGGCAAGCTGCTAGTGCGGTGCTAGTTTCAAGCCACTGATTGTTGTTATTCTTGATCGGACACGAGTGCACAAATCAGATGTGGCGCAGTGTACAGAGTATTATTTTATGAATAAATCACCAATAACTGGGAGTTGTAGAATGGTAATTTGTGCTTGCCCATGGTGATCCTTTTACATATTAGCTTCCTGGTTTTGATTTGTCGTGTGTTGATTGATATGCGCAGATGATGCGCACATACGGATCGACCATAAGGCAGAGTATGTCCTTGTCTGATCGACAGGACACTTTTGTTTATCTTCTCACATTGATTAATTGATCTAGACTAGGATCTTGTCAAGCTTTATGATGGGCGCAGTTAAAACCAAAACTTCGCATCACTGGACCCGATACGAGTACGAGTCACGAGGTTATGCCGCCAATGTGGCTTTTAAATCGATTTCAGTCGACCTATGAGACCTGGTATATCGGAGTTAACAGAATTAAAACTCCGGGCGAGATTCGCTAAGACCAACTTTGTTTGAATGTGACTCGTATGGAAATTGCCCACGCCAAGGGATAAGCTGTTGGATAAGGCTTCATTGGAGGGGATGACCAAAACCCTGTTTAGGCTATTATTAATCCGTGGGGGATAACTACCGGTCGCATTGGGTGCTAAATCCCGATGTGTTTGTGTTCACTTGAAGAACATAACTCCGGATGTTGCACACTGCTGTAATTTGCACACACCTTGGGTTAAGCATGGATCACGGGAATTGGCTTTTCCAGTACAAAGTTTGATTCGTAGTCCGAAAGGTAGAAAAGAGCATCTGACTCTGTTCTGCTCAATAATGTACTCCGTAGCATCTGAAGAATAACCCAAGGCCCACTACAATATAGAATTAATGAAAATGCCCCTTTTGCCAAGAAAAAAATAAACCAAGGTGGAGGGGTGGATGTGGCCTCTGTAAGCGAGCATAAAGTTCGGCGCCGGCCTCCTCGTGTTGGATTAAGCTTAAGAGTTCCGCACTAACTTCTTTCTGCGATCGGAGCGCCACTTTTCTAACACAGGGCAGTTTACGTTATGCAGCCTTTCTTCTGTATCGTGGTAATAAAATTACATACTCCATTCATTGCTGATCCTTTATTCCATCCTTCCAAGGTTTATCCCATTTTGGATTCAATCTATTTGGCAGGAATGGGGCATTTGAAGGGGGCCAAATTAACCTTACTGCCTTACCAAGGTTTTTCAAACCCCGTCAAGCCACAGAGCTCCCAAGCAAACAACGTGGATTGAACTTGCCTACCAATTTGACCAATCCGAAGTCCTCTTTCAGTCTCCATAAGAGGAGACATGGGAATCTAACTCTCGATTTGAACGTTTTTAAACTCTCAGTGGTCAGAACATTGGCGTGATCGATCGGGCATAGTTTACACTTTGCATACTGAGTCAAATTACCTAGGCTACACAATAATCATACATGAGAGCTTTGTACGATGCATAGCCGTGCCACTTCAGCCTCGCCACCCCATGTCGAGACTCTTCTCTTGTTCCAAGGTTCCCATGCATAAATAGTCGAGTGGATTTCAAAGAGAGTTCTGTGCATCGTACATTATCTGTCTTCTGTCCATTTTCTTCGTGATCCTTCTTATTCTGTCCACTCGTATAACCTGATGAGATCGTGTAGTCTAGGTAAATCAATAGGGCACTGAATATTTGATGAATAAATTAAAATACCTTCTTTTTCACATTCTTGGAATCTCGGCGTTTACCAAGTTCCGTCCGATCGTTTCGCTTGGATCGCTTGGCCCGCTCTTTGTCTCCCCGCTTCCCTTATTTAACCTTCTTTTTTTATGATTTCTGCATTGTTTCTTATAAGCTTCCGGGATATTTTAGTTGAATAAAAATGACTCTTCCCTTATTCTCTCTCCAACTACCTTTCCCTTTCTCTCTCTCCAACTACCTTTCCCTTTCTCTCCTTTCCTTTTTCCCTCTTTCTCTTCTCTCTTTTCAGTAAAGAAAAAGAAGACTCCTGCAATATAGGCCTAAGCCATACATTCAAAATCGTTGTGGAGTCACGAAGTAGGTCATCCACTCTTTTTCCTCTCTCTGTGTCCTTTCAGCCTTGGCTCTCCCTTGTCTGTTCGGCATTCTTACGCCTCAAGCCCACTTTGATCCACAACAATCTCTGTGGCCCTCTCCCCTTCCCTTTTGGCATAAATGAAAAAACAGAAAAAGAAAAAGAAATAATCTGCCTTTCAGCCAGTCTAACCGTGTTGGGTGACGTAAAAGCTCGGCCTTACCAGAAGTCCTACACAGGCTACCCCATACCCAACTGACTCGGATCCTAGTTCCTTTTATATTTGGACCTGAACCCTATTTCCCTTTCTCTCCACTTATGTCTCTTTCCCTTTCACTCTAGATCTAACGCTTCTCTCCTCCAGGCCTCCCTGGTGTGCACTCACCATCTGAAACCTAATAAAAAGCATCTGTTCAACCTGGCCATCAGAATAAATCAACCGAGGTCGTCGGTTGACTCTCGAGCTTGGATGGAGACGTATCACGGGCACGTCCGCACTCCTGCGGACGCTATCATTCTATTTGAGGCTTGCCGGATTGGTCTCTTACCCCGCGTGCAAAGGCGACTCTCAGAAAAAGAACGACAATCCATACGATCTGGTTCAGTCTTTGTATGGGATGAGCGAGAAGCGGGAATGCGCCGATGGACTGATGGGAAGTCATGGAGTGCTAGCCGTGTCTCTGGTAGTTTCTTGACTTACCGCGAAATGGAAGGCAAGCGTGGAGGTGGCAGTACCACCCAAGCCACTGTATCCCGAGGAGGCAAGACACCAGAGAGTCGGGGCAGTGACGATGACCGCGATGGAACGGACGAGGGACCTGATGGGTACCGCTACAAACCAGATGGCTTGATGAAGCAGTCTTTCAGTATCACGACATCCAACGGTCAACACTTGCACCTGATTAGCTATTACTCACGATCTCATCCTTCTGCCGCCAACCTACAACAACCAACTTCCGATCCTGCGCTGCGCCACGTTCGCCCCCAGAAAGGACTATATCCCGAGTCAACCGTCAATGATCAGCAAAATCTTCCCGTTGTCACCCGCGGTCCCATGGCAGGCGCTGCATATCCCATCACTCCTCACCCCCTCGGCGCTTATCCGCGCGCCACGCATCCGCAGCCATATCCGGGAGCGTATGCTTGGCCGCCCACCCCTCTAGCCACACCACCGACTGTCTCCGTTCAATATGGCCCGGGTCCTTCTTATCTTCCTCCGGTAGCCGCCAACGGACATCATCATTATGGCCCGCCACACCATCAACCGCCACACCATCAGCCACCATCCCACCAACATTCAGGTGGACTCCCTCCCCCTCTCCACACCATGTCAGGCCCATATGACCGCCCCCCTCATATGGAATCAACATTGCCTCCAGCTGGACCACCACCGCACCAGCCAAGCTACATGAACCGTTCCCCGCGATCATTACATGACCACGCCCACGAGCAACGGAGCCCACCCGGTTATGGACACCCTCTGGGCGATCCTCGTATGGCATCACCGCGTGTGCCAGGACAGTCCTTGGCGCAGCCAAATGGACATGCACACAGCCCTCACCTGACAAAACAGGAAAATAACGCCCAGTTCCACTCTCTCAATCCCATCGCTGCCTCACCAAAGCTTTCTGATTCTGCAAGTGCTGGAAATGGTGTCCCCGGCATCAACTCATTGATGAACGGTGCCTCATTAGCTCCTCTGTCTTCCTCGACTGCTTCACCTGGTGCTCCCGCGAGCTCGAACGGAGCGCCTGCACCGGCAGCTGGACCACGGGATATTCCCAATGAGAAGATCGGGTTTGGGGGCGAGGATACCAGAGCATTGCGCCAACTGGATCGCGCATTTATTGCATGAAGCTGTCAAACGAAACAAAATCAGAAACAAACAAAACCCTCCTAGACCTGTCCACATGACTCGACGCCCAGCCCTACCCCCGCAATCTGGGTGTCCATGCTCTTCTACTTGCGATAGCTCCTTCCAGATGGAAGTCCCATTGCTGTTCCGTGATATCCTTATGTTTTTTTTATCTGTATCTTGTCATTATTAGCATTTTGCATGGGCCGGGGCAATTTGAATTCTCTTCATGTGGGCGGTGCGATAGCTATTGGTTGGTTCAATGGAACCTTTTTCATACACTATGCATTGGGATCGGTCTATATGGGTGGGATACGTTATTATTTAAATATGGTGTGTCTCGTCAATCCAAATGATTCTATACTTAGAGACCATACTTCATGCGATTTGTAGATCTCTATACCTGCTACGATAATCAATATGGAAAGAACCACACTTTCACCCCTATACGACCAACTTCTATACTTTATGAATGAACCAGATTTCAGATACGAGGACCTTGGTCGCAGACGTCACCAACTCACCGCACTTTCTTCACGCTATTACTCCCTCACCCTTATGCTGCCGTCTACTCCGTACACTTTCCATTATTTAACTAAGCTTTTCCACCTTCCATACACCCGAGCGTTGTCCCATTATTCCATACCTCTGCTCAACTCTCCGAACTACACTTCTACCCTGCAATTTCCACTTATTCCTCGCTCACCACTTACTCTTCCCTCACGGCTTATCCGTCGTTATCACCAAGAACACCGTCTCTGCTGTGCCTACCATCGAAGCCGTACACCATTCACTCCCCAAACAACAACCTGTTCTACCTCAAACACGATGACACACTCTTCACACTCCTTTACCACTGTTCATACATTTTTGATGGCACAAAGGACATGAGCAGGATAAAAAGGTATGAATAGTGGTAAAGGAGTGTGAAGAGTGTGTCATCGTGTTTGAGGTAGAACAGGTTGTTGTTTGGGGAGTGAATGGTGCGTCGAAGGCCGGGTTCGAGCCATCGACTTGTCTTTTGTTGCCGTGGCTCACCCCAGTCCAGTCGACCATATGGGACTGGGATTGTTAGGGATGTTTGATTTGCCCTCTAAAACGGCAGGATATAGATACCCGTTTGGGATATCTGACAGAATAATGGAGGAGGTGTGCACCATAGATCATGAGATCAGGTCCATCATCCTGCAGCCTGCTACCTACGAGTCACGACTGAGGCTACGACACAGCATACGCGGCCTAATGATCTGCATAATAATGAGCTATACATACCGTTGGTTCGTTAGAAAGAGACAGTATGAGTTTATAGACGCGCAGATAGCTAGAAGCATGACTACCTAAAGTACGGGCCTTCCATCTTCGAGGCCTCTTACTAGCCTTGCTGGGTCATGCCAAATATACGTCGATCAACAGATAATGCTAACGATGAGAGTATGGTGCCGGCCCTAAGACTGAGTATGGACAACGGCACATACTTTTAGAGACCCTATTTCTCAGGACCAAGAAGTTTACCTTCGTGTTTAAAACAACCCGAGGCTCTAGAGTCTGACACGGTGCCACGCTGGTAGTGTTCAGTGTTCACGCAAAACATAGGAAGGTCCCCCAGGGAATGGGCCATGGGCCATAGAAGCTGATAAAACGTCCGAGCTATGGGGGTTTTCCGGGTGATCTCCCCGGAATCCTTCTTGGGGCTGCATTCAATTGCGATTGGCCCTGTGTTAAGAGTCCTCGACTGAATATTAGGAGCAAAGAAGTTGCAGTTACTTGGCGGCATATGATTCAGACTGTCGTAACCATAATCCCAAGCTCTACTCCGTAGTCTGATGTCGATCACACTGTCACTTTGAGTTCAAGAGTTAGCCGGCGTCATCTGAGAACCCAGAACCATCGGCCCATCGCTTGTCTCGGAATGGTGTACGACGCATACTATTGCTGTCTGGAATCGAAATAATGCAGGTACCCAGGTATGTGATCCTTCCATGAATAAGATCGACGAGGTCCTCCTACCATACGCTGCTCGGTTCACTCCGTCCACCGAACAGATCGTAATGTAGCCCTGGTAAACTTGTTTGTCAGACTTGGTGAAGAGTCCGAGCTTTCCTCGGCCAAGTATGTTTTATTCCGCGTACCTACGAATCACAATGCCCGATCATCTGGATATTATTGTCAGACAAGTGGGCATGCAACCAATACTTGCTCCTGCAGACATAGTCTCTTGTTGTACGGAGTAGATAGTTCGCTCTTCCCTTCTCCACGCATCTGAGATCCATCCAGTTAGCACTGTTCTTCCGGTAGAATTGCAGAAACTATCTCTCCTGATATATATGTCATATCATTCCAAGGAAGAAAACCTGATTATTTCAGATCTGTCTTCCACAGTCTCCCATCAAATTCCTAACGTAGCCCAAAGGTTAATCAAGACCTTGTGACCAACGCCCAGAAAATTCCGATTGTTCCTCTTAAGGCAGTTGGGGCTGAAAGAGGACGGAATATGACCGACGCCAAGGAGATTGAGAAGCGAGAACGGGGACAGCTTCTGGTCTGTTGGACATCAAGAGCTTCTTCCGGGAACATCATAGGTAGCTAAGTGGAGAGATCAGTTAGGTGGCTTGAACGGAGCTTGAATGGATCCAATGAGAAAGCCCAAACGCTAAATTGAATTTCAATGATATGATTAGTGTTCTGTTAGTCGAAGACCCCGGCCAGTTGGTTATTCGTGATTGGCGTTCAGCGTCACCAGGGGCCTAGGGAAGGTTGTGCAGCAGTTCGGTGCCTGGCGGGAATTTCCCTTACACAAACAACTCGTGTCCACATATTGTCTTCCAATGGAGCCTCCCATTGAAATAGTAACTGTATTGGACACTGCCATTTAGACAGGAGGTCAAAGAGCCAGCAAAGAGGGAAATGATTACTGTGTAGAGGGCGAGCAGAGCAAAGTGAAAGCCCAGGCCAGAACTCTCGGCTGAGTTACTGTGTTCGTCGATGGTCATGTGGCCCCCCCCTTATTAACCGGAATACCGGATGAGTTCCGGGACTTTTGTCCTCTTTCTCTCCATACGATGTGCCCCATATGTAGGTACGTGAAGCCATCACAAACCCCCCTGTCAGGAAACATACGATATATGAGTCGAAAAGCAAAAGCGTCGACCTAGGAACTGCTTTGTTTGCGGCCCCACTGAGCGGGAAGGACCGTCGACCCGCCGGAGACTTTCCATTGTTTACATTCTGTAGACAGGAGATTCATTGTAGAAAAGACATTCAAATGAAGGAACGGGAAGGACTTACTCCGTACTCCATAACTACATCAGGGCAGAATCATGATGCGACACCTAAAATAAAAGGAAAAAAAAAGAAAGACGTCCAGTACTTCAGAATGTTCCCCATATTTTTTTCCCAAGATCATCCGTCAAAGTTACTTGACTCGTTTAGTGGCACATACCATCATCGTAATCATCGTTGAGCGATTGGCCCATCTTCTTGGTCCATCCCCGTCATATCGATGGACTTGCAGAGTCGATCATAGGCACCGAAATTACGCAATATAGCAATTCTCTCATCGTTCAGTTTAACGACTCTGAACCCAATGTGTGAATCTACAATATTCCCGCACAGCTGAAGGTCGTACCAGGCAACCAGAGCACAGTAGCCTCGTCTCAGCTGAACCAAACGGATAAAAGGGTAATTCAAGGAGGCCCCAACATCCTGTCATCAACGCCAGATAGGTGTATTTCCTTGTTAGTCTCCCGGCAGATCCATGGGGGCCTTGCGCAGCTCAGTACTTTGGTTAAACCTTCGTCACATTCCACCCCTTATGACCGTCTACGGTCACAGGCAGTGAGTAGAAGATGATGAGAAATACCAGAGCTAACCAGAGCATAAAGACTAGTGGGTGATACCTCTAAACAATTCTATTCAGGAATCAGGATCACGGATTCCGAACCTTGTCAATTCCCTGCAGCGGATGTCCGTGCTGGTCGCACCAGAAGATCTGGCCCACACTTTACCCCAGATTTGGCGTGATCAGACGAAAGGAAATAATTCAAAAGAGCTGAAAATTTCAATCTAGACGGGGATCGAGGTGCGCTTAGACCTGAAGGATGGGGAACGGTCTACGAAAATAGAAGATCTTCCCTTTGGAACCGTCTTCCTGGAAGAAATGAAAAAGAGAAAAAAAGACAGTAAACATGCCATGATGGATGAAGAAAGCTTAGTGTGGGGGTCGTGGCTTTTACACCAGCTGAATGGTTCAGAGCTAAATAATATCCCCAATTCGTATTGCTATCAACCTAAAGCTACGCGGACCAGACACATCCGAGAAAGTGATGTGCCTTGGCTCCACGGATCAAGGGGGAGATGTCTTACAGGTTTTAGTTCTGGAGTATTACACATGGACTCGTGACGAATCACCCCATGTCGAGGTGACTATGCTACTTAGGACTAGCATGGATGTAGACAAACATACCTGTAGGGAGGTTTAGTATCTCATGAACCCAAGGATCAGAGATTGGGTCCCAAGGAAACTGGAAACTCGTTGAAATGCACAGTAAATCCGAATAAGCAAATCAAACTCAAACTCCAAAACATCGTCAATTTGCTTTTTTTTTGGGACTTCTTCACTGCAAATCAGATCGAATCCCCAACATGCTTGGCAGCCTCTCCCCCGCATGGGCATAAGTACATAGGCAAAAAAGAAAAAGAAACGTCTAATTTGAGGCTAATGCGTTCATATATAAGCCGAGAAACTAATGTGGCCCGGATTTTCATTACGCATTTGATTCACGCAAGCCATAGACCCCAACTGTACTTAGGTTTATATTCTTAACGTCCTTAATATTCTTCAGATCGGACTAGCTTTTCCCCTCTCTTCGCTCCATTTCGCCATTTTCTTTTCTATTCTCTATTCTTTTCCAGAGAGCGTATAACCTCTCTCTGATCACACGCACCTCGGTGGACCAAGCACATTTTCCCGTTATTTCTCCCCCTCCATTTATACCCGTCAGCCTCCCCCCTCTCTCGTCAGCAGAGCGCATCTGGGCTCTTATCGGATGCCCTTTCTATTTTGTGTTGTCAATGCATACCTCATCCTTTTTCACCTATTCAGACTTAAATGACTCTGAGATTCGAGAGGGGGAAAATCGAGACTTCGAGAACTCCACCATACCTTTTTCAGGAATTCGTGGCTCATTCGTCCGAGCCAGTACATCCAGCGCCAGCACCGGAGCTAGCACCGACGATGCCTCGGCTGATTCAGTAGACTGGAATGACGAAAAGTCACCATCGATCGACCGGGACCAAGGCCAGCAACTACACCTTCAGTCGCAATTGTTGGAAGATATCATGGAGGTACCTAAGGTGGAAGAAATCGAGGACGAGCTATCAAGCATCAAACAGGATGTGGAGTCCGGACCCGCCGTTCCACGAAAACGTGGTCGCCCACGGAAACACCCGCTGCCAGTCCCCGGGGGTCAGGCCAAGGTCACCAAAGGTCGCTCCAAAACTGGTTGTATAACCTGTCGTCGCAGAAAGAAGAAGTGTGACGAGACAAAGCCTGCGTAAGTTGGGATTAATCTCGATCTGGGGACTGTGTCTAAAGGGGATATAGGTGTTTGAACTGTCAGAAGAATGCGGTTGTTTGCGAAGGCTACCCACCTAAGGAGATTTGGAAAAGTGGCAGACAGAGACAGGCTGATGGTACACGTTCTTCGCCTCATTTCCAACTGTTTGTACTAACTTTTCTTCTTGAATAGCTCGAACCCAGTCCCTTGCAGCTATCCCGCGCAGTTTACCCCTCCTCATCGACGGCATCGAAACCGACATCGACCGCCGTTTTTTGGACCATTTCGTATACGGATTCAGCCGCGTGCTGACACTGATCAACGATGACTCAAATCCCTTCAAAGAGATCCTTTTGCCGATGGCGACGCAACACCGGGGGTTGATGCATTCACTAATGTGCTTGTCCGGGTCTCATCTTTCAGGTCTCGATCCTGAACCGAAGCTCAGAGAACGGAAGTATTTCCATTTCCATCGCGCGATTCAGGATCTGAAGGATAATATCGATGCTTCATCGTCCTCGAAGCCTACCGAGGATAAGGATGGACTACTAGTCGAGGACCCGATCATCGCATCCACCATCGCCCTCAGCTTGAACACCATCTGCGAAGGCGAAACCAACGGAGAATACCGACCGCACATGGATGCCGCCCGAATCTTGCTATCATCACGGCCACCCCGGAACGAGAAGTTCCACCAATTCATCGTCGAGTTCTTCCAGTACCACGACGTCTCAAACTCCCTCACATCCCTCGACCGCCGCCCCAAACTTTTACACAAGGAGTTGAATCTCCCAGACTTCGTCCCCGGCGCAGCAGCGGGGATGTTCCTCGGTGTCTTCGATGGGCTGTTCAACTATATTTCCGAGATCACCCAGCTCCGCGACCGGATCCGTGCCCGCTTCGATGAAGGCTATGAGCCGGCAGTAGACTACCAAACCCTGAGCGAGGCCGTCGCAATTGACACGGCAATCCGCACCTGGGAGACCTCGCACCAGGCCGATACGCCGAACTGGTACTTGGCTCAGTTATATCGCCAGTCGACCTGGGTATACCTGTATCGGACGATCCGGCCATCGCGACCGAGCGATAAGATCGCCCAAGTCGTTGATGACGGACTGTGCTACCTCGACCAGCTGCCGCAGGATGCGGGCGCGTTTAGTATCGTGCTGATGCCGCTGTTCCTACTTGGGTGTTCTGCGTTCCTGCCGGAGCAGCGTCAGCGTATCACGCAAGGGTTTGACAATCTCAAGTCCTATTCCAATCTGCGAAACATCGAGCCTGCTTTTAAGGTTGTTTCGCGGGTTTGGGAGATTATGGATACTCATATGGAGGATAGTTGGGATTGGGAGAAGATTATTCGTGATATGAATATGGATTTCTTGATTACTTGAATCTCCTCTTCTTTCATGTACTCTCATGTTCCCTCTCCTCTTTCTTACCCTTCTTATACCCCGTGATTTTCTATTTTACCTTTTGTTCGTCTATTCTTACCGCTGATTCTACATTGGGGCATAATGATCATCGCCCGGGTGGGGTTGTATCATGCGGCGTCTTATGAGTGTGACTCTTCTCGGAGGGTAATGGAGTGTTATGTTTCATGTTCTTTCTCTTCTCTTTGAATAATGCGCGGGATCTCCGTGTGCAGGGCGCATTCTCTACCTGTGCTTTGATTCGATATACGCGTCAAGCACTAAGGAGCCCTGGGGGTTTCTTACAAAACCGACCGGGATGGTGTTTATGGGGATGGATGTCGAGTGGTCGACTGGATGAATTTCATGTGTGACGTGGGCGTTCTATTGTCTGGACTCTGGAGAGGTGTGGCCTGGTCTGGTTTATTGGATTTATAGTGTTGATCGTACATATCGAGAAGTCCTCGAGGGGTGCATGAATAAGAAATTGGGCCTTGATCCTTGTACAGTATTGGATTGTGAGAGTGCAGACCGCAGCAGGCGTGGGATCTTTCATCTCCTTACGTTATTCTTGTATTTTGTATTGTCATTGGATCAGACATCCTTGAACATAAGTCGGTCATACTAACAATCTTTATGCAGAGATATGCTCAAACTTACCGTTGCTGCCAAAAGTGCCGAATGTCCTTTTCTGGCAAATGGCAATGGATTAGATTCTTCCCTCATCATTACATCACGATAGATTTAATCGTATATATCTACTCGGTCTATCTCATATGTCTTGTCATACTACATGTACGTGGAGTACACACCAGGTGGCACCCCGGTCAGTGACAGCTCCTCGCTTAATGCAAGGACCACGTTCTGCGGGGTGACAGGCCAATTGCATCAAAGCCTCGGGCGCTAAGTATAGTCCGGGGTGACGCCCGAGGGAAACGTCTGATATTTTTTATCTTCTTCTTTCTTGGGACAATTACCACTCAAGAGTGGGGGTTACTCTCGTCACTGATCTATAGTCGAGGATTCGATCCTTTAGCAGAAATTGGGGGGCCCATCATCCTGCGGTCATCCTGAGGTCCCATGTCCTGCATAACATCCATGAACAGGGGAACCTGAGACCGACATACACGAGTCACTAGGGGAAATGACCTGGTAGGTGCATGACTCGCAGCCACACAATCTCGCTAAATCGACAAAAACCATCACCATGGAAAAAGACGAGATCATCGCTGAGCTGAGCGTAGCGCAGACAAGTCTGCCGGCCGACGCATACAACCTCACGTTGCGCGCGGTGAATCCGGTAGACATCCAAGTCCGCAATCTCTCACTTGAGGTCAACACCACTCCTCCAATATGGGAGACCTCCCCAACACAGATTTGGCAGCGACTACGGGGCCACCAACCCTCAAAAAACACCAAGACAGTCCTGGATAACGTATCAGCATCCATGCCAAGCGGAAGTCTCACAGCTATCATCGGAAGCAGCGGCTCAGGCAAGACCTCGCTGTTGAACCTAATGGCCAGTCGGATGAGTCTGTCCCGAACAAACACAAGCGGCACAACGACCTTCAACGACAACCCGGACATCACGCGCATTCGTAGCGCCTATGTTATGCAAGAGGACGTTCTCATCCCAACGCTGACTGTCCGCGAGACTCTGCAGTACTCGGCAGACCTGCGTCTGCCGCCCCCAACCACGCCGGCAGAGCGCCATGCAATCGTGGAGCAGGTCATCCTCGAGCTGGGACTGAAAGAGTGCGCCGATACGCGCATCGGTACAACCGCGCACAAGGGCTGCAGTGGCGGGGAGAAAAGGCGCACTAGTATCGGCGTGCAGCTGCTTGCTAATCCGTCGGTGCTGTTCTGCGACGAGCCGACTACCGGCTTGGATGCTACGAGTGCGTATCAGATTATCAGGACTTTGAAGAGGCTTGCGCTGGATGGGAGAACAGTCGTTGTCTCGATACATGCGCCGCGCTCTGAGATCTGGAGCCTTTTTGATAACGTTGTTTTACTGGCCAGGGGGTCGGCTCTGTACAGTGGCTCGGTGGAAGGGTCATTGGCACATTTTCAGGAATGTGGGCATGTTCTTCCGCCGTTTGTCAATCCGGCAGAATTTTTAATAGATCTTGCCGCTGTGGATAATCGGACCGAGGCTCTTGAGGCTGCTTCGTATGCTCGTGTTGAGCGGTTGAGAGAAGTGTGGCGGTCGAAGCAGGCTGTGGCGATGGAGGTGGAAACGAAAGGAGAGAAGGCCTTGAAGGCTGGGGCTGATGACTCCGAGACTGGAGCTGTGAAGAAGGTTTCGTTCCGTCGACAGTTTCGAGTTCTGACTTCCCGTACTTTCAGGACTACCATCCGCGACCCGATGGGGGTTGCTGGTAGTCTTCTGGAAGCCGTGGGAATGGCAGTCATCACTGGCTGGATCTTCCTGCAGCTTGACGAAAGCCAGGCTGGGATTCGCTCGCGCCAAGGTAGTCTCTACACTGCTAGCAGTTTGAATGGCTACCTCATTCTGCTGTATGAGACCTATCGGCTGACAGTCGATATTCGACTGTTTGATCGGGAGCATAACGAGGGCGTGGTCGGTGTGCCGGCTTTCCTTCTCAGTCGCCGGGCAGCTCGGTTACCACTGGAAGATCTCCCTGTGCCGTTGCTCTTTGCTGTCATCTTCTACTTTATGGTGGGATATCGTCTTGATGCGGGACAGTTTTTCATCTTCTTTGTCCTCACTCTGCTCACGCACTACATTGCCGTGACTTTCTCTGCTGTGGCTATTGGCATAGCGCGCAGTTTCCCCGGAGCCAGTCTGGTGGCCAATCTATCCTTCACGCTGCAATCCTTTGCATGCGGATACTTTGTACAGTCGAACCAGATCCCTGTTTATGTGAGGTGGTTGAAATGGTGTGCCTATACCTTCTACACTTTTGGGGCCCTGTGTGCCAATGAGTTCATCGGACCGAATGGCCCAGAGCCCGGGCAGTTCTACGCCTGCCCATACTCTGATGATCCACTAGACCCAGCCTGTAAGCAATACACGGGTCGCTACATCATGCAGAGTCTAGGAATGCCGTCCAATTGGATTTGGCGGCCGATCGTCGTGCTCATAGCGTTTGTCTTTGGACACTATCTCTTGGCTGCTTTGTTGCTGCAATACAACCGCTTTGCCATTGACGTTGCTCAAGCACGCAGAACGGAAGGAGATCCATCGACCAGAAAAGCCAAGCTAGCGATCCGCCCCGCGGAAAAGGCGCGCAAGGTGGCAATATCGCTTGATCAGTATGCGCTGGATATCCGAAAGAAGCAATACCTGTGGCAAGCCGCGAAGACACTGCATATCCTGAGACCCATCACTACTGAGTTCAAATTTGGAGAGCTCAATGTTATCATGGGACCGTCCGGGAGTGGCAAGACATCGTTGCTAAATTCCATAGCACGCAGGCTACACGGGTCCACAGGGACACAATACCGTGTCCATGGTAACATGCTATACAACGGCGCCATACCCTCAGAGAGCGTTGTGCGCTCTGTGACATCCTTTGTAACCCAGGATGACGACGCGCTGATGCCCTCGCTAACGGTCAGGGAGAGTCTACGGTTCGCCGCAGGTCTCCGCCTCCCCGTCTGGATGTCGCGCGAAGAGAAGAACCAACGCGCGGAAGAGATCCTCTATAAAATGGGACTGAAGGAATGCGCCGACAATCTCATCGGCAGCGACCTGATTAAAGGCATCAGCGGCGGCGAAAAGCGCCGCGTATCAATCGCAATCCAGATCCTCACCGACCCTAAGGTCCTCCTCCTGGACGAACCAACCTCAGGCCTCGACGCCTTCACGGCAATGTCTATAATCGAGCTCCTTCACAGCCTCGCCGCTGAAGGCCGCACCCTCATCTTAACCCTCCACCAATCTCGCTCAGACCTCTTCACCCACTTCTCCCAAATCCTCCTCCTAGCTCGCGGTGGGTACCCCGTGTACGCAGGCTCGGGGGCGCAGATGCTAGCACACTTCGCCGAACAGGGCCACGAGTGCCCGCGAACTACCAATCCGGCAGACTTCGTCCTTGATCTGATTACGATAGATCTGCAGCAAGCAGACCGCGAAGCCGTCACGCGCGAGCGTGTGCAGGGTTTAATCTCCCGTTGGCAGTCTAGTCCCCCCGAGCCAGCGTTAGGCCGTCAGACGTCGCAAATTGCTACGCCCGCAGAGCTAGGTAGTCTGAAGCGACATATGTTGCCCTTCCGAATTACATTCCCGCTGGTTCTGCACCGCTCCTTCATGAACTTCTGGCGCCAGCCGCCGCTGGTCATGGCGCGGACGATGCAAATCCCAGGGGTAGCGATTATTATGGCACTTTTCTTCGCGCCCATGAAGAACGACTATGCAGCTGTACAGACGCGCATGGGCTTCATTCAGGAGTTTGCGGCATTGTATTTCGTCGGTGAGTTTGACCCCTTTTCCTAGACTCCATCCAGCTGTGTGTATCCATACTCATCTCTCACTAGGCATGCTCCAAAACATCGCCATCTACCCCAGCGAACGCGACGTCTTCTACCGCGAAGAAGCAGACAACTGCTACACAGTCTCGACGTTCCTCCTCAGCTACACAGCGATCGAAGTCCCCTTCGAGATCATCTCGTCCCTCATCTTCGCCGTACTAGCCGCCTACGCAGACAATATGCAGCGCACAGTAAAGATGTTCCTCATCGCCGCGTACAACTGCTTCTGCATAATCAACTGCGGTGAGTCCGTGGGAATAGTATTCTGCACTCTCTTCTCGCACGTCGGTTTCGCCGTCAACGTCGTCTCCATCCTCCTCTCCATCTCCACGATCCTCGGCGGCGTCATGAGTCTCAACGTCAATGAGGTGCTGCAGGCGCTGAACCATCTCTCGCCGATAAAGTACTCGATTGCTAATCTGGCGCCGTATTCGATTCACGGACAAGTCTTCCATTGTTCTGGTGCGGAGAGGCTTGCTAACGGGAATTGTCTGATTGATTCGGGGGAGCAGGTGCTTCAGCTCTACAATTTGGATAAGGATGGGCCGATGAATATTATGGCTCTGGGGGTCTGTACGATTATTTATCGGCTTGTTGCTTATGCGTTTTTGGAGGTTACGAGGTCGCACGGGGTTATGGAGCGGTGGAGGGAATGGCGGGCTCAGCGGAGTGATACATGAATTTGGGGACTTCAATGTTCTTTCTTTGTTTTTGACCTTGTCTGTTGAGATTCCCCCTTTACATGCAATTTATTCATGCGATTTATTTCCTATGTCCTGGACTCCTGGTTGGATTCGGACCTTTCGCAGATTGGCCTCTGGCTTTCTTCAAATCCTAGACCTTGTCCTAAAGACTTTTTTCCCTACCTACTGTGTAGTGTCCTGAGTAAAATATTGGTGACAATCTGAGAAGCGTTGACGTGGTGTTGATTACCTATGACATGCCAAAATGGATACAGACGGTGTAGCCAGTGACTCACAGATCCCATCCATTCTATGTGCCGGGTGCTCTCGGGCGTCCTCTGGGGCGGGCTCTCGGGCGTGCTCTCGGGCGAGAGCGCCCGCCACATAGAACATCGAGCACCGCCGACAAGAAAACTTCCAAGATGAATCCAACACACAGTTACCAGAACTCCATAGTTGTACGCAGTACAATACATTCGATTGAACCCATTAAAACTTGTTCTAGACTACGCAAGTCCAAGACCAAAAAAATTTAAAATTAAAACAAAAGCCCAAGCCTTACTGAACAAAAGCCGTTGTCTTGGCATCCATCGTAGATGGACTAAACGGCAAAATCGTCGGAACGAATTTAAGCATAACGCCAACCATTGGATGAAACAATTAACCTTAATAATCAATCTCTCGCCCGACAGTTCCTTCCGAGTTTTTGGTTCAGCCGTTCCACGGATGGCTGTCAGCGCGGAGGCGTGGTCGACCCAACTCGCTTCGGCCCTCAATAGGAACAGTTCATGGCAGATTCTGGGTACTGAGTGTGAATGGGTAACTCGGCACTTTGAGTTATGTTCCTGGTGGCTATGAGTTCATAGCACGTGGGGATTCAGGAACATCCGCTCAACTCTTCCTATGCTTCAGATATGACGAGGCTGTGATGTATGAAATGTCTACTTACTTTACATTAGATAACTAGATATTGCAAAACCGTGGCATAACCTACTGCGACGTTGTAGTTACTGCGTAACCACGCTGTCAAGCGCAGATCAGAGAGTGTCTTAGGGAAAAGAAATAGCCAACGAATCAGACTAGAAAGCTGAAAAATCTCAAAAATCAAAATCAAGTCGGAAATCGAAAATTCCTCAAGCCACGAACACCCCTCAGTGGGACTGCTAACGCCAACAGCCCACTTGGTTGGCGGAGGATCGACGCGCTGTGCGATGGACCTGAAGTGTGGAGCCGGATCTGCGAATCGGAGGATTGGTGTGCGTGTGTCTTGGGAGTGGTCCCTGTCTATCGTTTGTTCTAGAATGTTGGAATATACTACTTTGTTCGATGTGTTCCACTCTTTTGTCGAGTAAACCTGAATGTGGTCATTTGTGGGTGAGGGGATTTTTAACATTCCGAATTTTTCTCGCTCTTGGGTCTGTGGCTTCAGGATTGTTCTGATGATTGATTTTTTCAGTCTTCGTTCTCTGTGGCAAATAGTATTCCAAGTAACTCTGTACTCGCATGTCTACGTCTGATACTGGCAAAGATTGTATAGTAGGTAAAGATCGTATATTTCGTGTAATCTTCCAAGGACTGTCTATCGGTCTATTCACAAGTCTATATTTTCCTCCCACGTGTAACTCCCATATTCCCGTTCCCATTGTGGGGGTATTTCCCAAACAAAGCGTAAAAAATCATAGCTCGTGTGACATCCTGCCCCAGCGAGAATCAACCCGCCATGAATGGGGAGAAGACATGTCGATTCAACCGAACATGTTGCGTAAAATCACCAATCTCATCTTTGAATCAAAAGGCTATCACCAACTTGGGCGATATAAGAAGAAGTAAAAGAAAGAAAACGTCAGCTGCCGACTGGGGCTAGACATGACGAGTTTTGAAAGGTATAAAACATCAAAGAAAGGATGCACGGTTCAACCGGCAAGAACGATGGCATAAGACATAAAAAAACGACATCAGTCATTTAAGCAGAGGGCTGACCAAGAGTCAACTCGAGAGCAGTGTCGATGGGGCAGCCGTGGGTAGCGTGATCATCAGTGGGAATGAGATAAGCCGCGGAGCAAGCGGTATCACCAGCCGCGCAGATAGCCTTGGGGCAAGTCGAGCTCTCATCGGAAGGCTGGACAGCGAAGCCGAAGTTGGTGAACTTGTTGCTGGACTGCATGTCGATGCAAGACAGATCCCAGAAGATGGTGTCACCGGCAGGGGTGTACTCGAACTGCAGGACATCGTGCTGCTCCTGGTCGAGGGCGAGCTTGATGGAGATGCCGCCGCCGTTGGGGTTTGTGCGCCAGTTCTCGTTGTAGACGCCGCCGCCGCTCTTGATGGTCTCCATGGGGCCGACGTCGCCGGCGACGGACCAGGCGTAGACGTCTTGCTCGAGGTTGTTGGTGATGGTGACGCCACCGCCGTCACGCTTGATCATGCCTGCGCGGCGGACCATCTTGTCCTGGGGGAGGGCTGAGGCCAGGGTGGCGAAGAGGGCAGCAAGGCTGAGAGTCTTGGTGAACATCATCTTGAATGTGTATGTAGAGAGTGATGTATGTATAGTTGGTATGTTGGATTGAAGTCTTGTCGAAAGATGTAAAAAGAATGCAACGAGAATCGATCTCGAGATTGAAGAGAGTGTGTAAAAGAAGGAATGTACTTTGTACTGAAGAGAATGTGTTGATGAACAGAATCGAAAAGACAGGAGACTTGGAGGGGGTTTATATAACTTTTGAAATGGAGAGATCCCACCCCCGGATACACAGACTGAAAGAAAACGTGCAAATCGGTCCATACTTCGGATCCTCTGATCCATGGATCGCCTTAACGAAAATGTGGGCCATCGAAAGGCAAAAGTCAAAAAGAATAAAAAAAAGACTAAGCCCCCAACGAAGAGTGGAACCAAATCAGAGCGTCTCGCCTGGTTCCGAGTTCCACCATGAAGAGTCCAGACCGGTGGTTCAGAGGCCAAATGGGGATGAGCTCGGTAGATTCGAGTACTGTGTTAATATCAGATAACTCAGGTGGTGTACATTGAACATTCTATTTGTTGACATATATTGAGCTGCCATGGCAAAACAAATTAGGGCATCACCGCTAGTACGCTACTGCATATGCTCAATCTCTGCAGAATAATCAAAAGGATGTCGATAGTAGGTGCTGGCGTGTCAATAGCCCAACTTCCACGTCCCACAGCCGACTTGCCCCGCAACCAGTCTAAGACTGCCCCGCTACCAGCCTAAGAGCCACAGCCGCCGTGGCAACAGCCACAACGCTTGATCCACGTCATGGCCATTCGGCTTATTCGGCTAAGAACATGCCAAGAATCTCGGCAGCGTGGCTGCACTGACCCTTCGCTTACATTTTTGCCAGGAACCGTTCCAATCTACTTTCTGTTTCTCTAACGCGGATTGGCCACCACATTCAAGTCTTCTATCTTATTCTTCAAGTCTTCGGTCGACATTCGGGGATAGTTTGGAAGAAAGAATCCAGAATACAAAGTTTGACAGATTGAGGCGAATAGTCTTGAGGAAGGATCACGATAGTACACTAACATGTGGAACATCATAATGATGGTAGTTATTACCAAGCAGACAACTGTCATATGTATGGCAAATATTATGAGATTAATCTCTAAGCCAATGATTGATAGCCCTACAACATCACGAATGTGACCGGTCACTAATCCCGATGTTCTGACAAGAGTACAAACTTAGAAGGTGTGTTCTGACTTCCCCCACTGACAACGTAGACAGACCATTGTTACAATGAACTTAAGACAAACCCCTCGTAGAGCCCCAGGATCGGGGCCAGTTACCAGTTACCCCTGGACCAATGCTCGTAGTAAGTTGTTCTCCACCAGACGCCTCTGACGTTGAACCGGATCCTGGGAGTGACGGTGCCTGGCGATCGAGTCTGGATTCTCCTGTGGTGGCAATTATCGTGGAAGGGGCCAATTTTAGATTTAAATCCATTTTAAATAATTATTTGCGATCCCAAGTTGGTCGGAGCCTCGGAGGGCTCCGATCGCCCAGATTAAGGTATCTTTAGTCTTGCACCGGCGGCCCTCCTCCGATGCGATTCGACTAAACCCACCTTGGATGAGATGTGGGCCGAAGGGGCAAAGAGAAGGGCTTTAGAAGCATACTAGTAGTAGTAGCTTACCGGTGGTCGTAGGTGGCCCATTTCTTTTGATCTTCTAGATCTCCCAGACCGCCACTTGCCTCCGTTAGGTACCTCTGTGGGTAATGGTGGACATCTAAGATTCCTGACAATAGTTGCAGGTGCAAGGTCAAGCTTGTGACAGAAAAATTTTCAAAAAATAGAATGACTATCCTGGTATAGACTATCCTGGTATACACAAGAAATGAATTCTCCGATGGGTTCCACGAGTATTCCTGTTTCTCCTGGGATTATTCGCTATGCCCCTCGTGAGTGCCTGCTCCACACCCCCGCCCCCATCATTGCATCTGTCAGCCACTGAAGTCAGGGTTACCAGTCACCTTCCCAGTTTGGGGGATCCCGGGTTAGGAAGGACAAACTGGAGCCCCCCCCCCCACTCTCCACTCTCCGTCAGCTGCATCAATCAGGCCGCTCTTTCGCCTTCCCTGCAGCCTACCTGCAGCCTGGATCACCAGGGGAGGGAACCAACCGGTAGAAGACGGTATCAGGCAGGGATTGGACGGAGGCTGCCGGATCAGATATCTACCAATACGGAGCACGCATGGCCGACAAACTAGCCAATGCGCCCTCACCGGAGTCCTCCTTCTTGCGGTGACCAGCCAGCTCAAGGTTAATCTGTCGGTGGATGTGCACCAACCAGTCCACGTAGCTCTGGGCCTCGTTATTCCGATCCTCCAGCAGGAGTCGGGCGAACTCGTATTCCGCCCCGTCCAGGCCTTGCCGGGCCAGTTGAATCGTTACAGACTTGGATCCGCGGACCGTCGACAGGTATTGCAGCAGGTTGCGCACCTGTGCGTTTAGGTGCGTCTCGAGGACAGGCAGAGACGAGGTGTTGGGGTTCAACGCCTGGAGGGAGTCGCAACCCGGTCCGAATAGGTCCTCCAATAGGTTGGGTGAGACCTGTGCGTGTAGCCAGAGTAGAATGGCCTGGCCATTGTCCACGATATAGACACCGCCGTCTTCGATGCGAGAGAAGCTAGCCCGCAGACTCGGCGGGATTTGGAGTTGTCCCTGCTCATTCGCAAATCCATCTTCCGGCTGCATGTTGTGGACAGGAATGATCCGAGGGTAGAGATACAGGGACATTTCCGTGCAGCCCATGGACCTGATCATACGCATATCATGCACCCTTCGGTCTGATGACTCGGGTCCACCTTTGAACGCTCTCGATTTGACCAAGCTGAGCATGTACATTGAGAATTCTTTTAGGTTCTCTGGCAGAACTAACTGGCCGGGCGGATGGGAGCCAGAGAAGATCTTGCGGTATCCGCTGAAGATATCGACTGTCTTCTCTGAAATACTGGCTCGGATGTCCTTCAGCGTCTTATCCAAGGTTTTCGAGGCAGCTATGACGGTGTCAGTATATACTGTGAATGTCTCAAAAGACGTTGTAACTCACCCTCCTTGGCAATGACCGAAACAACGGCATCTTGGTCGACGAACTTCATTGTTTCCAGGCCTCCTTCGTTTACCGCCGCCACAACGTTGATACACCGAACACGCCGTTGCCCGTCAGCAGAAGTGTAGAGCAATGCGGCCTGGAAGTGGGCGTCCAGCTTGGGATCGAGTTTCCCATCGTAGCTGAACAGCACGCTAATGGCCTTGTCGGCGTCGACGCCCGCAATCTCTAGATCGGCTCCCATCGCGTGTTGAACAAAGTTGCCATGGTAGGCGGACACCTGAAGCCCATTGGAGCATCGAACTTTCATGAGGGTCTGGTAACCAGACTCACGAGTCACGGCGTGAGCAATCTCATTCCGCAGCTTGAGAATATCGCGCGGGGCATGGAAATTGGGGTAGAAGAAGGTCTCGCCTCCGGTGAGACTAGAGACATGTCCTGCGAGAATGAGTTAAATGATGTCTATTGTGTAAGGCGGCTTCCAACGCACCAATTGTTGCCACGTCGAGATAGGCGCCACCAGGGGCCGCCATGAACAAGTCCAACCCAACTCCAGCTTCAGCCAACTTGCTTGCTGTTTTCTTCCAGGCTGGGTTTTCCGTAGTAAACAGTTTCTTCTCTGCATCCGTCCCGTGAACCTTGGGGTCCTCTCTCACCGACAGATGCCCCGGACCGTACGTAGGCAAGCTAGCCAAGGCACAGACGATTTTGCCACCTGTGGCTTGCAGTGCGGAGAGCGCCGAGTTCAATGTCGGCAGCAAAGCTGACTCGGGGTATTTGATAGACGAGAAGATGCTTGGTAGCCGGCTAAGAAGAGAAGTAATAACAGACCTTGTGGAAAGGTTAGTCATCTAAAGGAAGCCTGGGGTAGGTGTCTGCATACTTTGATTCATATGGATCCACGAAGAGACCTTCACTCAAGGGCACGAATGGCTCATCCAAGTCAGTCATGACCATCATTTGTGCTTGGCCCAGTGAGGCCTTGAGGGGACGTTAGTGTACGAAATATCAAGGAGCGATAACGCACCACTCAGTGGGAAAACTTACAGTCAGGTTGTAAAAGTGCACTTCCTTATCATAAGTGACGATGCCGACCTTTGCTCCAGGAGGCAATTTTCGCGATGATTCATCACCTTCACCTTCTGATGATTCGGTGCCATCGCCATAGAGAGCATCCCGAATACCCTGACAAACACCCTTCAGGAATCCTCGATGAACTGATTCCCGGCTGACATCGATCAAAAAGAGAGTCTGGAGGCCCACGGGCTCTTTGTTCCAATATTCCTTTGGTACCGTGAACTCGACAGTTCCCATCAACAATTCTGGGCGCTGCATGCGATCTACACGCGCACCGGACGCATCCAGCGGCGCAAAGTATTCGGCGGGGGTATCATTGGGGAAAGTACACATATTGCAGACAAACTTGCTGCCGCCAGATCTGAAAGACATGAACGGGTTGATATATGTTCGGCATCGTCGGCATCGCGGGGGACCAGCATCCCCGAAGTCTAGCACGGGAATTGGCTGCTCGCCAGGATCCAGAGGCGCGAGGGGCTGCAGAACCATGCCCAATGGCAAACCAGTCGAGGTAAGGAAGTCCGAGGCAGAGGGGATGTTGTTGAGGGTCAAGCGAGCGTATTTAGGTGAGGAGTTGCCTTGGTCGTGGGCCACGAACGGGATCGCGGCTGGCGGAGGGAGATGTTGGTCCATTGTCGGATAAACATGGTTGAAGTAGTACTGAGCGGGCAGGTCGCGCGATCGCGGAATGCTGGGGATATGCTCGGGATCAATTCGACCTTGAGTCGGAACAGAACCTGCACCGCTCGGCCTACCTGGTATCTCGGGAGCAGCCTGCCCAGACACCAACCCCACTGCCGGGGAAACTGGCCGTTCCGCGTGTTGATTCAAGCCCGTGTTCAGGAACTGTGATTGCGATTGCGGCAGGGCTCCTTGACCATCGTTGACAGGTTGCGCGGGGGTTGCTGTGGCGCCTCCAATGTCATGGTGGGCATGACGGTGCTTCTTCCGTTGTGTCCTCGCCCCCGCATCTGCTGCAATTCCTAAACCGCTCATCTGGGAGGCTAAGCCTGCCATACCATGAGTTCCCGCCATACCCATTGGAGCTTGCTGTGCTGCATTATATGGAACGCCGGGACTCGCTAGACCCGGTTGTTGTGGTGAGCCGTAGGCGGGCCATTGATTCGGAGCTGGATTGGCGTAAGGCGCACCTGGTTGCGGAGGTACAGCGCCAGGGGAGTAACCGGCCGGGTAATGCTGAGGGGGAGGCTGTTGAGCCATGTAGTGCGGATTGGATGGGTCTTCGCCAGATCCCTGACCCATTGCGTTATACATTGAAGGGTCGGTCATTGTGGATCATGCCGCGGGGTGGTCAAAGGCGAGGTCACACGCAGGGGTGGGCAGCAAGAGAATGTAGCAAAAAGGAGGTGTGCGAAAAGAATCAACAACGAATCATCACGTAACGACAACGTATTAACGAATAACCTGAGTGATATGTTGACGGTATACCCGATTGACCACCTAAACTGACTCGGATTAACCTTGTTCCGAAGTTCTTCACGTGCGCTCCGTTTGTATCCCGAAGAGGGACTTCACTTGTTCGGATAAATGTTCCTTCTTACTTCTCTAGTACTCCTAAGTACTGTTAATCTTCTAAGTGGTCTGGTAGCCTCTTTTAACTGCATTTTGATGTGACACCCAGTATAATAGCCTGTTGTATTGCTCACATGCAGCAACAACAGTCCACTATTCGCCAAGGTCCCCGTGCTTAAGACAGACTAGCACGCGGAAGTCGGAGGTTTCCTGAATCCTTTGATTGTCCAGCACCCACCAAGATCCCTGATGTATCTCTTTGTCGTATCGAGCAATTGGGTGTCCTTTAGTTACATGACGACCCCGGTATTCCTGTTTCGGATCAATCTATGCAAATCGACGCTTATCATGTTCCTCCAATCACGTCTCAGTGTCTACCCTAGTTCCGGCCTAATCTCCTTGGTTTTTGAGGCGTGTTCATCTCACCGTCTCTTTGCCGTTGGTGAGGTGGATCTTGACCCCTCGATTCCTCGAGGCGTGTAGATATAAACACACTGTAGTGATTGCTGTAAGTGACTTCGGGGGTTTCCTTTCTTTTCTCTTCTTATCTTGGGTCCCTAAGCTCCTTGCATAAGCATACACCTCCTTTTACGATGGACCTAACTGTAAAGCCAGATCCAAATCTCAAGAAAGGACCGGAGGATACACCAAGCCTTAGCCAATCCTCGATGGCGACTATCCGCGATGATGACGAGCTTTTGCTGGCTCGTATCGGCTATAAGCAGGTACATTGCTCAAGGCTTCACTTCAAGACCATAGCGGGGCACAATCTGATAACAGCTCTCTACTCAAACTCAGGAACTACGACGAGAGTTCTCTAAATGGTCGACCGTCTCGTATGCCATCTCCATTCTGGGAGTACTCGGCTCCGTGCCGGCAACATTTGGTGCGCCGTTGGCGGCTGGCGGCCCAGCAGCGGCCGTATGGTGTTGGTTGATCGGCTCATGTATGGCGATGTGCATCGGAAGCTCGGTGGCAGAGTTAGTCTCGGCATATCCCACGGCAGGAGGCATGTACTTTGTCACAAAACACGTCGTGCCTCCTGACCAGGTCCCTATCTTTTCCTGGATACAGGGCTGGTGCAATCTCCTTGGCCAGACAGCAGGGGTGTCTAGCGTGGCATACACAGTCAGCCAGATGCTGTTAGCTTGTGTTAGTATGAACTCGGAGCTTGTCGAAGGCAGATATTCATATGCGCCGTAAGACACCATTCTGCCTTTCAAGTGACTATAGGTATCTGATGGCTTCAAGGTCGGCGCTGGAGACCGTTCTAGTGGCCATTGCAGTTCTCATTGTTCTGGGGGTGATCTGCTCATTGACCACAAAATCCTTGCATCGGATCATTCTGTGGTTTGCTCCCATCAACAGTTAGTGTGGACATCGTCATTACTGGTCCGGTACTGACAACTTCAGTTGTTGCGACTATCTGCATCTGCATCGCATTGCTTACCCTCACACCGGATCTGCAGCCAGCATCTTGGGTCTTTGGCCATTTTACCGACGGCTCAGGGTGGAACTCTAAGGTCTTCTCCTTCTTCCTGGGCTTCGTGTCAGTTGCCTGGACAATGACCGACTACGATGGAACGACACAGTATGTTACCCAACTCATTGAGCGACACATCTAACCCTGTTCCAATATAGTATGTCCGAAGAAACCCATGACGCCGCCGTGCGGGGACCAGTTGCTATTCAGACAGCGGTTCTAGTATCTGGAGCTCTAGGATGGATCTTAACAGTTTCAATGTGCTTCTGCCTGTCCGATCTAGATGGAATTCTAAGCTCTCCCACCGGCCTTCCCGCAGCCCAGATCTTCCTGAACGCCGGTGGAAAGCGAGGCGGGACTGTCATGTGGACATTTGCCATTCTGGTTCAATTCTTCACTGGCTGCTCGGCCATGCTGGCAGATACAAGAATGGCCTATGCCTTTGCCCGAGACGATGCACTTCCGTTCTCAAAGTAAGGAATCTTCCTCTTCTGGGTGGCAACAACGTGCTAACACACTACAGGTATCTTTCCAAAGTCAACTCCATCACCCATACTCCTGTTAACGCAGTTTGGTTCGTGGTTATCTTCAGCGTTGGGTTGAACTGCATTGCCATCGGGTCCACGCAAACAGCCACCGCTATCTTCAACATCACTGCCCCGGCACTAGACTTGTCCTATGTATCTGTGATTCTCGCTCGTCAGCTAAACAAGTCGAAGATCAGGTTCATCGAGGGTCCTTTCACGCTCGGCAAATGGGGCACCCCAATCAACTACATTGCTGTTACCTGGGTTATATTCATCAGTACTATTCTCTTCTTCCCACCACAACTTCCCGTGACGCCTGCAAACATGTAAGTGGATTCATTTACTGTTCTGGGGAAGTGATGCTAACACCAACTGTCCAGGAACTACGCCGTCTGTGTCGGTGGCTTTATCGCTGCATTTGCTTTGGTATGGTGGTGGGTTGCTGCGCGAGGGTAAGATACACATTCAAACCGTTTATATGGGAGAGTATTGACCTGTTGCAGGAAGTACACTGGTCCTCAAACCAACGACATCATACAAGAAGTTCCCACCCACGACGATAGCAGTGAGTTTGAAGAGCCAGATGAGCTCACTGCATAGAAACGGACAGATGTCCACTCCGGGGCTCTGCTACAGGAAAATACTTCGGAAAGTTGTCAGGCTAGATATAGATCATGTTAGGTTAAACATTCCAAGGTTGGGACCTGAGGAATTGTGTCGGTTTCAGGTCAAGATTGGGCATTGATAGATACCTAACTATAGGCTGAGGGTCCGGAGGCGCTAAAGTAGGAAATCGGATATTTATTGATCATGAAGTGATGGATTTACCAAGATAGAATTACATGTCATGTGCTGTATCAGTTGCCTGCGACAACAGCCAAGCCCTCATAAATCTTCCTCTTAACAGCCAGGAAGCTCCCTATTCCGCGCCCATTAGGACGACCAAGTGAAGACTGCGCCGTTGCTTCGATCTCAATCTTGCCCGTCCCGGATTTGCGCACAGCCACGGACTTGTCGATAAGAAGCGTTCCCTCGCCTCGGAACTCGGCAGTATGGCCAGCCGATTGCATGAGCTTGCGAAGATCAGCCAATCGCAGATCACCGACATGCAGCGGACGGGCCATGGACCTGGTTCCTGCAGCCATGCTGGCTGGAAGGGTGTCTAGTAAAGGATAGACTTCGATCTTTTCGTCTGATTTGGTATCGGGGGCGACAGCAGAAGTGGCTGCTTCGTCTTTTAACTGCTTCATCTTCTTGCCCGCTGATTCGGCGTCCCCGATCTCGGCAATGGGCTCTGGTCCTCGCAGCTGTGCTGTCAGAGCGACGACGCCGAGGCTGCGCACATGCTGCCAGTTCAGGCGTCTGACAAGGGTGTTGCTCAGCTTGACCATCCAGGCATTTGTGTCGACGCTTGCATCGACGACCTGGCCGTTGGCCGGTGTGAAAATAATGGCAGTCGAGTTAGAAGCACGCTCAGAGGCCATGGCATTCAGTTTGGCATTTAGCAGCTTCTGGCATTCGGCTGCCAATGCTGAGGTCTCTTCTTTCGAACCACCAACTAAGATCAATTTTTGAGGTTGGATGAGTGGGATCAACATCTCCAAGCTGCGTTTGTCATGCAAGCCCATGAAGTCCACAAACGCAATTCTAGCGTTGATAGTGATAGTGTGATTATGGTAGACGGCCTTGGCGGGTCCCTCGAATGACTGCTTTTCGGCTTCATCTTCGGATCCGGCAGCTACATCGGCATCTTCGCCGCCAGAGACCATGCTGAGATCATCATCCTCGGTCATTTTGCCGTCCATGTGGGGACGCTTCCGCCCAGCTGCGCCGGCAGACAATTTGCGTCCATGGGGGCCGGTGGTATCATCCCATCGTCGTTTCTGGCCTAGCTTAGTCTCGGCATCGGTGCGTCTTTGTTGCATGTCGATTTCTTCGCGTTCTTCCGCTCGGAGATACTCCTCTGGGCGGATGAATTCACCATATTCATCACCCTTTTTTCTGGGTGCCACGTAGGGGAACATGCGCTCGCGGCCCTTTTTGCCACGCACATCATAGTCGTAGACGTTCTTTCGGCGGAGAAGGATATTGATACCTAGATCTTCGTCGCTGACGGCGAGTTTGCTTCGAGTAGCGTGGGCAAGTGAGGCCGAGAAATTCAGCGCGCGACCCTGATGCTCGGGATCCGAGTCCTCAGAAGAGGTCGAGCTTGATCCATCGTCGAGCACATCTGCAGCAGCTTCAAGGTTTTCTTGGCCGAGTGTTTGGGAAGTATCTTGAAGTTGACGCTTGGTCGCGAGGTATTGTTGGTATACTAACTGTTCTCCGGCATCGAGTGGGGCTCGCTGCACATCTGCCCAGGACAATTCCCGTCCATTGCTGTGGACTTGCTCGATGTGTTCGCCATCGGATCCTTTCTCTAAAGCGACGCCATCCCTCCGTTCCTCGTACCACTGCCAGATTGTGCTTCCGATCGTTGTTGACTTCTGTAAGGCGCTCGGTTCAGTCGTGCGGAAAGACTCTGTCAGCAATAACAGATTGTTGGGCCCTTCCGCCACTTGTCGGAGAGCCTCCTTCGAGAAGCCCCAATCCATAGATATATCAGATGCAAGGATGACTTTGGGTCCCGGTTCTGCCAGGAGCTTCTCAAGTCGAGTCTTCCGCTCAATGATCTTGAGATGTTTGAAAGTGAATGGCCCTCCACCTTTAGCGGAAGACTTATCCTGCCCACCAGTCTTTTGCCCATTGGCGACATCAGTGCTTTCGGCTGCTTCAAACTCGCGAACGATGTTCTCGTCCATCCATTCTAACATACTTCGGGCAAGCCGGATAGTGTTAGTGGTTTTTTTGCCAGCCAAAAATAATCCAGCTCCTTGAAGAACATCTTCTTTGTCGCCATTCGCGGCATCACGCCATGAATGTTCTAGCGAATAGGCCAGTTCGAGGACCCGTGCGCTTGTGTCTGTCGGGATAAGGACGGTCCCGCCTTTCACAAGGCTACTGCGGATCATGTCCAGGAGAAGATCGTCTCGCTTTTTCCTGCCTCCCGATAGTGCCAGCTTGTCGCCTCCCTTTGAACTGCAAATCAAAGCTGTGGGTTTTCGTAGCTGTTCAATGACCTCTGCTCCACTGGCACCAGAGCCACCGAACCATGCAGCACCCGCGACCACGCTCTCACGAGCCTGGTTCCAATCCACCGCATACACGATAGATTCCAACCCATGCTGAATATGCCATATAGTTCCACCGACAGTGTGACCGGCATTGTAGGCTGTGAGAGTAAGCCCGTTCAAGGGCGGTGAGAATGGCGAAGGAGAAGGTTGATGCGGTTGTGAGTATTTGAGTGGTTGAATGAGGGCAAAATATCGAGCAATTTCTTCTGCTGTTGGTGATTGGAGAAGGATTCGGCTTGCGGTACCAGGGTTTTGAGTGTCACCCGACACGGTCGCAGGGCTTGTTGGCGATGCGCTAGGTTCTGAGACCGAAGCATTTGGTAAAAATGTGGCAGCAAGCGGAGCAGAGGCATAAAGGTCTTGTAGAAGCGTACGGCCGAAAGCGATGACAGGATTCGTCGCGTAGATCGGGATTTGTGTGAAGAGGGGGAATGTTCGGCAGCAGTGGACCAGAGCACCGATATGTGCCGGCGTCGCGTGCGTCAAGAGAATGAGGGAGAGTGTAGGGATGTGTCTGATAGGACGTTAGTGCATGCTGGATTGAGGATTGATCGCATGCTCACTTCTCGAGTTCGGCCAGATCCAGGGTGTCGAATGAATCATCCCAACCAACGTCGACCAGAATCTTGATCCCGCCATCAAGCTCCAGCAAAGACTGCGAAGCCCTCGCAGACGATGACTGCGCGCCAAGGAGGGGAGTGAAAGTGAACATCTTGTGAGTCGCCCGTTGCTCACGGCGGACGTAGCAGCGGCGATTGCCCTAGACCAGCGATGCAGCGACAGATCAGTTAAGATCAATGCAGCTGTATCTAGATATCTCTGCTCAGGTTCAGCATTGATTCATTCTCTCAGTCGTGTCGAATTGATCCGACTTTCGCAGACAGACAAAGAGGCCCCAGGTGAGCTCCGATGGGGATGCGTTTGTTTAGTTTGCATAGTTGATCTTTTGGAGAGGGGCGGTGTGACGTGGCAGTATCGATATATTGGACATCGTTTGCATCGTGTCGAAGGATTCATCATTGAGGCAACCACTAAACACTCCAAGCTCATAGCTTATTGACTATTCATTATTGCTGACAGCCTGACTCATGACTGCTGTGATTGACGAAAACCTTGACGTTGGTAACCGCCTTCCATTGAGACATTATCATTGACTCGGCGAGTCCCTACGGCAATAGCACGAGCGCCCGAGTATCTTGACAAACTTCAACCTATCCTGATCGCTAAAGTTATGCCTCAGCGATATTTTACAACCTATGAGACAGGGTAACAAAGCTTCGCTACGGTGGCATCGGAAGTATAGGTATCCAATCTAAATTTCAAATCAAGTTCAATTGAAACTCCAAAACTTCAAAAAAGGGATCCCAAACACGGCAATACTACCTGAACTCCTCTATGGAACGACATGGATACCCTATCAAAACAATGACCACCATGCTCTAGTTACAGACTGTTCTTCTGCAGTTGCTGGTGCCGACCTTCTCGTGACCCTCCCACTAGATTGCCTTGTGGTTCTCGAGGACGTTGTGCGCTTCGTTGGTGCAGCGACTCTCGGGGTCTATTAGGTCAGCCTGGCTCTCGCAAGATCCCACATGTAGGCACTCACTGTATCCTGCCACGAGCAAAAAGGTCGATGAACTCCAGCCCATGGGAGTAATGCCGCATTGACTCTGCGCTTGACCTTATGTGTGGCCAAATCCTCGCCTGCCCACACTCTGATCCGACGAACAGCAAAGGGATCAGGAAAGTATTTCTGTCGCAGAATTGGATCACTGACTATTGCCTTGGCGCTCTCTAGAAACTCGTCTTGCAGTTGCAGGTGATTCGGGGCCTCGGGAATAGGTGGGCTCGCCTCTGGTGTGTGTTCCGGTTTAGATTGATTCGCGTCAGAGATTCTTTCTGCTGCTGCTGCTCGCATTGCGACCCGTTGTGCTTCGACCGCTTGTGCAAGTACATCGTAGACCTTTGCTCCGTTCTCTGCTACATCATCTTCGGGTGGAGATGATGGTGACTCCTCCGGCTCTTGACCTTCCAAGTTGATCATATTATGGTCTTGCTGTGTGCCCTTCATCGCATCCGTCAACTGCATTTCCAAATTCAAGTTCTCTAAGGGTGGTTCTGGTTGGGTTTGTTCATCCTCGTGTGCAACCCCGTGTGAATTTACCTGCTCAAGAACATGTTAGCCTGATTATACAGCTAGGCCCATGTAAAAGGTGAGATCCCCACAAATCTGTTTCCTGTCGCTGCTACCATGCCTTTCAACTGATCCAGCGCTGCAAAGCCCTTTGCAGGAGTCGGAGTGGGTTCCCCGTTAGGCGCTGTCACTGTCAGCGGCTTCAGCCTTGCTGGACCGGGGTAATTCGCTGACCTCGCTGCCGGAGCCGAAACTGGAGCGAAGATCATCAGGTGATTGTTCTCGAAAATCGTGGGCTGCATTGTCTTCAAGCTGAGAGATATCACCGGAGTCATCACCAACGCTAGAATCAATCACCGAGGATTTTTCTAGAGACAGTCAGTTTTGGAGTCACGGTAAGTGCCAGTTGAGGCGAAAATACTCACTGGCTTGCGCAAACGCTTCGTCATTTCCAAGAGGAAGAGGACCTGCCGGTTCCTTTTGCCTTTGAGACAACACAATCCCAGATAACTGTTCCACAGCTAGAGATGGCCGCCTGGGGCTGTCTGAATCACTCTCTTCTTCACTGCTTTCCTCGCTATCCTCACTGTCCCCTCTGTCGCTATCAGATTGACCCTCCAACTCGGGACTTGGAGAGCGCGGGGCTGTCGGCCATTTTCTCCTAGGCAGGTTGTAAAGTTTGTTGGAGATAACGTGCTCGAATCCCCGTTGAACACCACCAGCTGGGCGGACAGCAACAGGCGGACGCTCATAAGCATCGTAATAGTAAGCCATATTGTTATTGGACCTCAACTTGAGCTTCTCGATGTTCCCAGGCCCAAAGTGTCTTGTGACAGGTTGGCTTGGCAGAGTCGGATGCCATCTTTTCCCCGAGGCCACGGCCTTGGACAATGGACCCTCGGCTAGGGAAGCGTATATTTCACTTCGGAGTGCTGAGTCGGCCATCATGCACTCGAGGCATGCCCAGGCAAGTTCGAAAAGAGCTCTATAATCTAGCCCGCCCCAATATGTGAAATGCCCTTCGTCAAGTCTCCATTGGACCCCTGTGTAAAGGTTGATTGCGGCTTGGGGTAGGCCAGGCTTTGGTATGGTTTCGTCTCGAGTGACCACCCAGCGTGGCCACGGGGCAGAGCCTCCAACATATATTTTTGGCAGATCAAATTTGACACCTTCTACGATCCTTTTGGGGACAGGGAGTTGCTTGGAGTAATCCCATTCCCCTATTTCAACTTGAGGTTTTGATATCGGCGGAGGTGGCACGTCCGTGAAAATAGGAAAACTACGAGCTTCGTGAAAAGTCGTCTTGTGTCTTTTAGGCGATGGCTCACGGTCATCGCCAGAATCCGAGCCCGACTCCGAGGCTTTCGCGCGCTTCGCGGGCTTTTTGATAGTCTTCGGAACCTTTGCAGGCTTCGCGGCCTTGGCTTCATCTTTGGCGGCCTTTGCAGCAGCTCTTGCTGCGATCTTTGCAGCCTTCGCTTCTGCTTTCGCAGCTTTCTCTGCGTCCTTCGCAGCCTTCTCTGCCTGCTTCGCTTCCTTTGCAGCTTTTGCCTTGGCAGCCTTTGCAGCTTTGGAAAGCTTAGGTGCGGGCGGGGGTGTTGGCTTGGTTCTTGTTGTCACCATCTTTTCGGCTTGGCTTAGTCGGGTTCGGTTCTTGTCAGTCACATAAAAGGTGGAATAACCAGAGCAAGATACTTACTCTTAATTGATAGTAAAGGAACTGATCTCGAGAGTGCTTCAAGAAAGTTGTAATGTAGTTGAAAATTTTGGACTTGTTCGTTCCATATTAATAGGTAGGAGACAGGCTCAAACGGCCAAACAAAGCAACAAGCATAGCGAGGTAGTTTGTACATATTCCAGCACAAAGAAGTATAAAAATATCTCTTGCTAAGCCTGCTTCTTTCTTATCCATGGCTAGTCAGTGGATTCATGGAGTGAGCAAGTAGAGGAAAGGTGTCTCAGGTTGGAATTGCATACTGGCCAGCCCATTATCGCGACGAACCACATAGATCGTCGCAGATAGCCCTAGACTATAACCAGATGTGCACCACTAAGCACTTGTCGGCACTCCTCGCAATATGGAAGAGAGACAACATGATGCATGCACTCGCTTTGGGTCCAAGCTTCGAGGGGCTGTTGGGACTACCAGGTCAGCGAATGAATAAAAAGTGAAAGCGGGGTTGGGAAGCTGACGAAATAGGTCAAAGGATCCAAACTTCCAGCAAAACAGGACTGCGAAAGACAAGAAAAGAGGATGGGTTGGGGCTTGATGATGCACGAGGACAATGAAAATGGTGGACAGTACCAGAAATGAGACCTGATTCAAAAGGAATCGCATGAAAGGGAACTTAGAAGCATGCTCATATACGATATCTGGTATAAAACCACAACCAGAGAGAAAGAAGTAATACCCTTGTCTTCCAGCTGATTGTATCCGCTCTGCTCGAGGGATCCACACCCTCATCTTGACTGCGTACATCAATGGTGGACTATCTACAAACACGGGCTGATTGATGTACACAGTAGTCGAGAATACAGACACCAACATACCTAGAACACCCAGAACAACCCTTGGAACGTTGGCATTTTTTATGTGATGAATAATCTCATCATTTGCTCCAATAGCCTAAGTAACCCTATCGAGAAGTGTTTCAAGTTCTTCTTTCCTTGTTGAAAGAACATCAGGCGGGGCGGGCGATGGAAGGCGTAAGACAAAATGTGGCTCACAACATGATTTGTTTCCCTCATGCCGCATGCAATTTCAACTCTCTGTTGTTAATGTCCATAGGACGATCGATGTCTTCAACTAAGTGCCTACATGGAGGCAGTACTACTAGCACTACTTTAAATAGATGCATGCCAGATAAGGTTTTGAGTGGGTCCTATAAGTGGGTCAGGGCATGTGGGAAATTGCGGGGATGTTAAGAACAAAAAGCGATGACCAACAACTACTGTAAGTCACCGAAGTGCTCACGCTTAAAGAGTACGACTTCACTTTCGGGCAGGTATCCTTTTCTACCCGAGTTATGGAAGTGCTGCAACTTCCCAGGGTGGGCGGTAGTGGAATTTTCCTTGTGACCAAAATAGTTCGCGGTCTGTTCTAAAGCCCATGGAAACTGGATCCTAGCGAATTGACATTCAGATATAATACAGTGTAACAAAATTGTAATAGCCAAGAAATCAAGACTTTCATTGAAGTAGCCTATAAAGCAGAAAGATAGTTCGAGTAGAATGTCCGCCAATGGTGTTACAACAGACTCTCACGTTCAATCTCAAAGCAACGTTCAACATATACTCCCCACCGAAACTGTCTACTGCCAGTACCTGGGCTCATCAAAGACGTGGTAACGGTGACCGCGCACTCCCTCGCCGCGGAACAAGGCAGGGAAGCGACGGCCAACTGGGACCATCTCCTCAGGGATACGCATCTCATTCTCGGGCTCGGGCTCGCCGATGACGAATTTGCCAACCTATGCACCGGGTCAGTTATAGAAAAGCATGCGACAGATCAACAGTAGAACTTACCTGGATCTCCGTGTCTGTAATGGTGTCACGGCTGACTCTGGCATAACCCACACGGTGTAGCTTCTTGAAGAGCAGATACTCGCACCATCTATCCCAGTCGGTAGGGTCGATATCCTTCATTTGGCTACGCTCGCTCACGTAGGTGTTGTAGTTACCCTCGAGAGGCTTGGTAACGAGGTAACTCAACAAGATCAGAGGGCGCGGGGAGTCGCCCATCAGCTTCGACAGATACTCACTCTGCAAGCGACGGTCCTCGGGATCTTCTTCCTGGCCAGAGTGGAACACCACAACATCAACCATCTCGCCATACATGTCGAGTGTGGCATGGATGGCAGGTGCCAACTCTCCCACCGGGGAAGGGAGAAGGTGGTGAGTAGAGTTGACAATGGGGAACTTGGACAGCAAAGCGGAGCCCCAAGTGTGCTTGTTGGGACCGGGACCGAAGTCGGTGTAGTAACCAAGATCCTCGGCGATGTACTGCGTGACATCGCGGTTGCCCATGATGATACGCTGGTTGTCGGACTCGAGGAAGCCGATAACGTCCAGTTCGAGTTCACCAATGACATCGCGCATGCGGCGCTCAGAGGACCACATATTGTTGTCAAGACCAAAGTGGACGGTCCAGATACCGGCGGTCACGACCTTGTCCTCCTTGTGATGAGGAGTGTAGTCATTGGTCGGGAAGCGGAGGTAAGCCACAGACACAGAAAGCAGCTGCAGCGCAGCAAGGACATAGATATAGTAAGATCGCTGTCTTCTGCTGTGGGGGTTGACGGGCTTGTGGAGCTTGCGGGGGCGAGCCGAGTTCGAGGTCGCGGCGGAGAAGACACCAGCACCAATGGACAGCATGGTGGTAGTCATGAGCCAGTCGGTGTGCTCACGGAGGAAGGGACCACCCGGCACGAAGGCATAGGCGACAACCCAAACGTGGAAGAGCAAGAGGAGAACATAAACAATGAAACCAAACCCAAATGTGCTCGCAGGAGAGTGACGAACGCTGGAAGTAATCAAAACCGGAGCAACGGCCATGATGTAAAAGGCAAGAATCAGGGCACCATAATAACCGGTCCAATGGTGATAGCAAGTCAAGAGAGCTGCACCAACGGAACCGGCACCATAGGCAGTCCAGCTTCCGGCAACACCAGGATGGAAGATGCCGTACACAAGACCAGCTCCCATTGCGAAGATGGTCAAAGCACCGTGAGGGGCAGCGATGGGTCCACGCACTGGGTATCCGTCCCAGACCCACGAGATCATGGTGCTCGAGTCGGTCAAAAGCGAAACGATGGCAAACATCAGACCACCGAATCCAAGACCAGCCAGAACAGACGAGCCCTTCTTGCCGCCTGCGGGCAGGTAATCACCGCCGCTGATGTTCGAGCCTCTCTGCGACCTCAAGACAGCAAACAAAGCGAAAAAGATGCCGATCTTGTTCCAACCACCGTTCTCGGCGTGCATAATCGGCCAAAGGGGGTTGTTGGTCTTGCAAGCAAACTTTGCAACGACCGACATCACCAGGCCAATGCCCCAAGCCATGATCCGGGCTTCGAGACGAGGACTGTTGGCCCTCTCGGCGAAAAAGCTGGCGGTCCATGCTGCACATGTGGTAGCAAGAGCAAAGCTGGTAACAAAGAGACGATTGGCAGGATTATGGAACTTGTAAGCGAAAAGGCCAACAAGCGAGAGCAGGTGAAGAAGGCGGAGGTTCTTCGCGGCTGCGTAACGCAGGGATGGTATGACATAGAGCAACGGGGATGTGCAGCAGACAATGGCAACTTCATAACCGGAGATACCCATGTGCCAGAGAGGGAAGTCTATCCGGGGTCAGAAAAGCTTGCTTCTTGGGAGCAGTGTCAACTTACACCAGACAAGAACAGGCAGAGCAGTCACGATGGTCCAGAAAACAAACTAACATCAAGTGTCAGTGAGGACCGTAGACATCACATCATGGCTATAGTTACCCCGTTGTAGATGTCGGACGCGGCATCAATGATCTCGGTCCAGAAGAAGCCCTCGCCAAAGGTGTTCGCCACGGGCTTCCCCTTCCTACGTACGTTGGTTAACTTTGCGGATAGTTGGTTATGGGATTGGTACACACTCTTTCTCCAAAACGGAATCGGCAGCCGATTTCAATTGCCTAATGAGTAGAAACTCAGACACTTTCTTTTTTATAACCAATGTAACCTCCAACTATACTTTTGATAGTGTCATTTTGGAAGCCATGGTACGTACCCTCTGCTAGCACCCTTGACATCCCTCACCACAACTTCAAAACTCTCAAAGTCAAGTGCTGTGATAGCATCAAACCCGACATCAAACAGAATCAAAGACCACTCAAAGAAAGCGTATTTGGTGTAGGCTAAAAGATCAGCAGAAACTCTTGTCCAGTGCGGGTGGTTACTCACCTCCAGGAACCTTGTGCACCTTGTGCTGAATGAAGTAGTAAACCAAGGGGACTAATGTTCCAAAGAACAAGCTAGCCATAATCTTCCTATACTTGATAGCACGGCGATTGTTTGGGCTCAGCGCAAGGCAGCCCAGCGTCCAAGGCAAGGTGGCCACCAAGTACGAGATCATGAAAATATCATGCCAATCGTGGTCATCGGTAGATGTCACATAGGTCCAGCCGCCGCATGTCAAGGTGCGGAAGACGCCCACACCAGCAACGAACTTGGGCAAGGTCGTGTTTGGGCGCGCAGTGAGCACGTACCACAAGAAGACAAGGGCGAAGCGCGGACCGGAGGTAATGGCAATGAAGACCTGGAAGAAAGACCGTTCGGGATATCGGTCACCGATGGTAGCGGATACCGAGGGAAACCATTCAATGGGGTAGCCGAAGTGTTCATTTTGGACGATCTTGTGGTAATGCAAAGACATGCCGACAACCAACGCGCTGAAGAAGGCAGCATAAGCGAAAACCGTGTGAGCCCAAGCAACCCATTTCCCATTGATCTACATGAGTGTCCCAGTTAGTGGCGTTCCAGATCCCACATGGAGCCGGTTAAAGCTTACAGCGACCACCGCATCTCCGTCTTTGTATCGGGGAGCCATGGCGGCGCGGAGAGGGGGGAAAGAAAACCAAAAAAGAAAGAAACAATTGTCAATTGGAAAAGAGCGTCAAGAAAAGAAACCGAAAGAGAGACTCAGTTAGATGCCATGAGCAAACGGCCCCTGAGGAAAGGAAAACAACGTCCGGATTCCACGGTGGTTCAGAGTGTCCTTAACGCTAACCGAAAGCGGTTAGGCGAACTCTGGGGCTGATCGGTGTTTTTTCGATGCGGGATGCCGACTTTTTTTTTGACATCTTCAGTGAACAGCAAAAATGTCCGCCGCAACAGATAAGGCTCGATTCTTCCTGGAGAAGTCCGTGCCTGAGCTCAAGGAATATGAGCGTAAGAAGATTTTTACCAAGGTAAGCCGTATCCCGGCCTTATTGAACTCAGAACGACAGCTGATCAAGTCTAGGATGAAATCTCCTCTATCGTCAAGAAACGTTCCGATTTTGAGCACAAGCTCAATGCACGTGGCGCACAACCGGTAGACTTTGTGCGCTATGCTGAATATGAAATGAACCTCGATGCTTTGCGGAAGAAGCGAGTGAAGCGACTTGGGCTTCGGTCGGCAGGATTCAACGGTCAACGACGGATTTTCTTCGTTCTCGAGCGAGCTACTCGCAAATTCCGCGGCGATATCAATCTTTGGGTTCAATATATCGACTATGCTCGGAAACAAAAGGCACACAAGAAGCTCTCCATGATCTTCACCGACGCTCTGCGACTGCACCCTACCAGTGCCGAATTATGGGTCTACGCCGCGAAACACGTCCTCGATGATCACGGAGATATGACACAGGCTCGGAGTTATATGCAGCGCGGTCTACGGTTCTGCAAAAGCGCAAGGACAATCTGGGTCCAATATGCAAAGCTGGAATTGATTTACGTCGCAAAGCTGGTGGCTCGCCAACGGATCTTGGGTCTAGACGAGAATCAAACGAAACCCGTCGAAGGGCCAGGACTCGATGATCATGATGCCGACATGATTGCTCTCCCTACACTCACAGCCGAAGACATCAACCCCAGCACCGATGGACAAGAAGTGGACCAGGTTGCGCTTCAAAATCTGAATTCCACACCTGCTTTGAGCGGTGCTATCCCGCTCACCATCTTTGATACCGCCGCAAAGCATTTCAATCACGACGATCGCTTCGGTCAGGAATTCTTTGATATGGTGTGGGAGTTCCAGGACGCGCCTTGTACTGGTAAGATTTTGGAACATGTGGTCGAGGTGATGCGTGAAAATAAGCCTTCTAGCCCGCGGACACAAATTTGCTATGCCAAGTTGCCAACCGCTGGAGTTTCTGTCCTTTCCGCCGAGTTCCCCCGAGCGCTTGGTAGCTCACTTGCTCGCCTCAGAGAGTACCCCCTGGGCAAGGATCTTGCACGCCAAGTGATCAACTGGCTTCAGCCTGTTCAGACAACGGAAGGCCTGGATCCTTCGTTGCAAAAAGTTATCGCAGCCACTGTCCGCAATGCGGAGCGCGTGGCACAGCAGTAGTACCATATTTTGTACTGAGTACTTTGGCGTTGGGAAAAATTCAGGGTTCATTGGCGTTTGTCCATCAATCATCGTACTTGCTTCCCCGGCGACTGCTTTTCTTGTCACTACGCTGTTTCTTGTCTTTTAGCCGACCCTCGTTCTGAGCGTGTTGTCTGTAACCATGAGTCTCAGCCAATGATCGCAAAAAGTAAAAACGTGAAAGTAAACATACAATTTCTGCACGCGATTCTTTTGCGCTTGGGAGGTTTCCCCGGGGATCACCTCTTTAGCTGAGCTCCGTAACAGCTGATAGAGCTTGTCAAAGCATGATTCCACATTATTAGACTGTTTCCGTTCCTCGTCAGATTGAATGACCAGACATTGGCTTCTTTCGGCGACATATCGCGAAGCACGTAGTGTGGGGTGTACCAGACGGGGCACCAGGGGTAACAACGAGTCCAAGGGGACTTTCAAGGTGGCCTTGGAATTGACCCTACTCCGTAAGCAAATCAGCAATGCAAAAATTGACGAGGGAAAACACTAACTTGTTTACATTTTGTCCACCTGGACCACTGGATCGACTAAAAGAGATCTCGCAGATATTGCGAGGAATAGACTTGGCATTGAGAGTTCTGAGCCAATCCCGCGCGATTTGCACATCTTGCTCGGTCTGGGATGCAAACTTGCGGGGAGATAATATCCACAGGCCATTGAATATGCGCCAAGACCGGGGATACATCACACAGAACTTGCAGGGCAGGGAGAAGCAGTGTTGGGAGTTGATGGAATCATCTGAGCATGAGTGGAAGGAAAGTTGTCTTCTCGCCTGGTCTAGCCCCACTAGCGCCAACTACTAGAAGCCTTAATTTAGATCCAGTTTGATCATTTAAAGGTCATGATGTAGTGGTAAAACGCAGTGGTGAGTGAGATTCCTGTCTCTATCTTGACCTAAACTCATTTAATCAAGTCTCGCTATTTTCCCCTTGATATCCGGGTACACATAACTGTATACAATTGTGGCTGTACCTTTGGCTGTACCTTCCGGTCAAGCAATTTCCTCAACGCCTCCAGCTCTTGCTCAGGTGACTACTTAACTTTTTCTCCAATTCCCACCTCACCTCCGAACCCCCCCACCAACTATTACTTACGCAGTATTTCCTTCACTTTCATCGCATATTCCCTTCACCTGAATTCCCCTCTGCCTGCTTGAAGTCCAAAGAGACTTGCCCCATTTTTTCCTTCCCATCGCCCCACCTTAGCTTGCGAGTCGCGAAAATTCCTACGAGGACACTCTACTTGCTCACTTCTCCCTACCATTTTTTGTAGATGAAACGTCCCCCCCTCCATGGTCTACATGACGCCCAGTCCTCCAGATGAAGCACTTCATTTTCGCGGGAAGACCCTGACTCCGGAGAGTCCTCGGCCGCTACACATCCCGGAGCCCGCCAATATCCCAGTCTTGGAGAATCAAATGGATCCGGTTTTTAACGATACATCCACATACGAGCCCTCGGTGCATAACAAAGATGGAAGGTCACACAAACAAGACTCCGGTCAGGCGGCCGCATCTGCTAGTTTTCCTCTCTCGCAGCCGAGTGCGGTGCCGAATGAAGTAACTGTTCCTGCATCATACTACCCTCCAAACCAAGCGTCGGCGTCCGAAACATCTGGCTATTCAGGGTCATTCTCTGTTCCGGATTCTCATTCCCACCCTGCTCCGGCTCCAATATCCCAAGGCTTTGCCACTGCGAACGAAGTAGAACATGCTCACCCGGAGCAGTCAAAGATACCGGACCGTCTAAATGCTGAGGGTCATGCGGGACATAACACTGGGGTCAATTTTCAGAGTCTACTGGATCACATCTCTCAGCCCAACCCTGGTGCGACCCTTTCCGGTCTTTCCTCGGCCCAAAACTCGTCCTTCTACCAAGCGCCCATCAACGGATCCATCCAAGCCCAGGGCATCCCTGCCCATACTCAAGCCCAATCTTCTTCTACCCAGGCCCATTACACTCCCATTGGCGAGTCATCTACCCAAGCAGCCCAAAACAGTAACCCCTCCGATTCGTCTACTATTGCCCCTGGCGCGCCTGCCCATCCAACCCCGTCTACCGGTGCCGAGTCCCAGGGCTCCGCGCAAGAACATTCTGCAGCCCTTCGGCAAGCCCGGTCTACCAAGGGCAACGATGAAGATTCGTGGTGGGGCCCAGAAGTTCAGAAGAAGTATGACGAGTTCCTGCATGATGAGCGAATCTATGTGACGGAAGGTCTGTGGGATCGGTTCCCCATGGGTTCCAGACTGTTTGTTGGTCAGTATTGTTCCAGACGTGGACAGAAAATTCTATCTAACATTCTTCTCATGTAGGCAATTTACCCACTGAAAGGGTCACTAAACGAGACATGTTTCATTTATTCCACAAGTACGGCAAATTGGCTCAGATATCGATCAAGCAAGCCTATGGCTTCATACAGTTTTTGGAGGCGAGTTCTTGCCGTGCAGCTCTCGACGTCGAGCAGGGAGCGATCGTGCGAGGCAGGAAGATAAGTGAGTGCCTAGAGTAACATACCAAGGAATTCAATGTCTGACCGGTCTCAAGATCTCGAGATCTCGAAGCCACAGCGATCGACCCGACCTGCCCAAGCACCGGAGCCCACTCATGCACCACCTCGTTCGCGATCCCCCGAATTCAGCCGCGCCGGGCCTGGGCGTGCCAATGCCCGGGCCGCGGATCGTTACGACCGGGCCAAGCCATATGAACCAAGTCGCTTGCCTTTTAGCGACTTCCGAGATGAGCCGTCTCATCGCAGTAGGAGGGACGACTATCGCCCACCACGGTCGCCTTCTCCTCGGCCATTTCGAGGACATAGGGATGGGTATCGGTCACGCGAGAGAACTCCCGAAAGATTCGATCGTCGTGAGCGAAGGCGCTCCCGATCACGTTCTCCACGATCCCCTTATGCCAGAGATCGACGGTATCACAGTACCAGCCCGAGACCGCGTAGTTTCTATGAAGGTGAAGCAGATTTGCCAGTGCCCCGACGAGGGCAGCGAGATGTGCCTGATGTTCAGATTCTTGTGCTGGAAGAACTTGATAGGTATGACGGTATGCCATTTCTACTGGAGTAAGCCACTGACATTTACATACAGAAACTTCATCCTTCATGTCGAGAATGCATTTCGTAACCGTGGATTGCGTGTGGATGTCTTGGTGCTTGGTCCCCGGATTCCTCTTGGCGCTGCAGTGCATCGTCAATTCATTGAAGGTGTTCTTGCAGTTGTCCGCCTCGCTCGACCAAACCAAGTCTCGCGGAAGATTCCTCTTCAGCTTTTTGATCGGACCGCTGGATTGGATAATGTCCGCTTCCTCGGTAAGACCATCACTGTCCTCGTTGGTCTAGCATTTTGCTTACTCTTATAGATTACCCTGAGCTCGAGCCTAACATGTCCGCTGAACTCCTGAGTCACCAAGCCCACGCCATGCAGCGAGGAGCTGCCCCAACTGCATTCGCGCCGAATCCAGCGTTTGTTGGCCCGTCCGTGCAACCCGTTCCCCCACCTGGCCTGCTCGGCCTGTCTGGCCTTTCCAATCCTCCGAACATTGCGAATCTCATTGGTTCTTTGGATGGCCCTAGCCTTTCGTCTCTTTTGTCGGCTCTTCAGCGACCTCCCCTTTCGCAGCCCGTATCTGCTGCACAGTCGCCTTTCTCCTCGCCGAACCTACCCTCAACTGACCTCGCCAGTCTTCTAAGCAACGCGCATCGCCCTCCATCCATGCAATCCGCGCCACAGCAGCCTCTGCCCCACCCATCCTTTAATATTCAGCCCTCGAATGCACCTGTTATCACTGATGCAAACCTGCTTTCACTCTTGGCCAAGGGCCTAGGTGGACAACAGCCACAGGGCCAGGCACCTATCGCTCCCCAGGTACAGAACCTGATGCAACACCTGGCGAAATGGAAGCAATGATTATACGACTTTTCTTTACCAACTCATTCGAACTTAAAGTTCAATTTGCAATTGCCCATTTCCGGCGCTCGGCGTTTCATCCTTATCGGTGATGTTGATTCGCTTGTGTCTTTTACTTGATTTCTGGCTGACTGCAATGCACTTATTGCCATACTAGGCGTTACTTTCTGTTTATCTTTGCTTCTTCATGGACCACTCACAGTAAGATATAGAGGCGTCTATTATGGAGTTAACCTTTCTTCAACCGTTTGGCCCCAGCATATGATTCGAGCCTTCCCCTACATAGCCTGATGTATATAATAATGCTTGTCGGCACCTTGTAGATCATTATACGACTTGCTCGTGAGAATCCAACGTGTTGCCATACTTGACCACAGCTTTGCCAGAACCCAGCTCAGAAATTGGTAAGAAGCAAGCCATCCTAGGCTGAAATCGTGCCATTGGTCATCAAGGCCTGTGTAAAGAGTTGATATGCTACATATTGTACAAAAGCTGTCTGCTAGTCCACCGGGCCTCTCATTTGGAGTTCCAGCCTTGCGACTTCAACTCCTGCACCTTGGCCGCATCCTCCTTCTGAATCCGTTCAATCGTCTTATCCCGGTTGTACTCCATCACTCGCTTTTCTTTGAAGTATTTCACCTAAGAGACCAATATCAAGTCAGCAACTCCGCAACGGTGTTCAAGTCCCAAAAAGGCGATCCAGTGCGCCCCAGTAGGTACGTACCCAGCTCTGTGAACATGCCGCCTCAAACTCCGCAACCTCTTTCGCGCACTTCTGTCGTGCCTTTTTGTCTTCTTTGATCCCGTCAAGGATATCATTCTTGTCCAAGCAGGCGAAAAATGCGTCACGGCCCTCCCAACAGCGTGCGCGACTCGTTCGGTCCGGGGCAATGCGGCCGCCGTCGGAGGCTGTGTCCTTTGAATCACCGGAAGACCAAGGTAGCCAGACCATATTGCCGGAGTGGTAGATGAGACGTGAGGAAAGGCGAAGGAATGATTTGTCAAGTCAATGTCGTAGAGATGTTCGTGGTTGCAAGTGAATTTGTTATGCCAAAGTTGGTGACGGCAGATGTCCAGCAGTTGGCGGGTCAGGCCTGTGACCGCCAAGACTGTTTAATCCCCAGGCAGACGATCGACCTCGTCGGACCCTTTTCATTTCCTACACACTGCACATATATTCTCGAACAATTGGACTAGGGCTGCTCGGTTGCTCTCGTTTCGCATATTTAAACGGAATTACCCTCCGACCTAGCATTGCGTGACCCATACGCTTCGCCTCCACTCCAACCCTGTCCTCAGAGCGCCGAGCTCAAATTGACCTTGAACAATTTCACGACAAACCCCCCATAATCTTTAGTTGATGCCCGCGCGACGGCGTCCACCAGCGGGGTCGCGCACCGAGCTTCCTCCGCTGAAAATTCTCCGCAAGATCTTCCTGCTACAGGCCGCCTACTATGTCTGTGCCGCGGTGCTCATCTTATTCACTACTGTCGTCTATGGCGCCCCATTCTCGCTAGACCTGATATTTGGCTGGGATTCACTGCGCGGCGATACGACCATTGGGTGGATGCTGGGGTTGGTGTGGATGTTGAACTGCTTCATCAGGTGAGTTGCCTCCACTGGTCTGGTATTGTGTGCAGTATATCGATCAGCGGCTAATCATATTCTTGGGGACATCCAGCGTCATCTTCCTCCTCCTTTTCGTGTCCCGCTCAAAGCTCATCCCGGATTTTGCTTTGACAATCCACTTCCTCCACCTCATCGCCACTACCCTCTACACACACTCCCTCCCGACCAATTTACTCTGGTGGGGACTCCAATTTGCCAGTGCTGCCATGATGACCTTCCTCGGCATGTGGGCATGCCAGAGACGGGAGCTGGAGCCTATCAAGTTTGGTGGACATGGTGGTAGCACGCAAGCTGGCCCTTCGCAGGCATCCGACGATGGCCAGCAGGAATCGACCTTTGGACGAGGCCGTGGTCGAGAGCGTAGCATGCAAGAGTATGAGATGGATGACATGAAGCATACTGGCGAGCATGCTGTATAGACACCATTCTTCCTTGCCCGCTGGTTCCTTTTTTTACGTTCCCCGTTGGGGCTATGACACGACCTTTTGCAGTTCTCTTGGATTTTTTCTTTTTTCTTCTGGGGCTCGTGTCTACGGGCCGTCGGATGCATTCTTTCCATTTTATATACTATACCCTTGAGGCGGCTGCATCTGTATAGATGGCGTTTATACTGGAGCAATGAATTCTCCATTCCCATCTGTTTACTTTCTTGAATGCCTGTTGGATGCGCACTATACTTCTGAAACTATTTTGATGAGAAAGACCTGGACGGCCAATACATTATTTTTATGCTGGACCTGCAGAGGCAGAGACAAACGTGTGCGGGCATATTTATTTGTCCACTTCTACTGAAGGAACCTTCCATTCGTCTCTTCAACGAGCAAGTCAAACTCGGGCTGGAACTCGGTGTAGAAATTATGCTTAGAACTGTTAGTATACGCTGTCCCACTCACTCATCACAGACCACTTACAGGATTCTGAGCAGCATCGGCAGTATATTTGGCCGCATCGTCCTTGATGATCTTCTTCGGAAGGCCATTTGCAGCAGCTGCCTCTGCAAGAAGTTGGGACTCGCAAGCATTCTCCAACATGGAGTATAGAATTGCTGCTTCATCGACGGTTCGACCAACAGTCAAGAGGCTGTTGTATGAGTCGAGTCAGTTAAGCAAGAGGAAGACTCAAAAGAAGCCATGACTCACCCGTGATTCTGCAAGATACATGCGATATTCTCCTGGCCCAAAGCCCTCGCAATGTTTTTCCCTTCCTCCGCGGACAGAACGACACCGCCATGATCTTCATAAACTCCCAGTCGACCAAAGAAGTTGCACGCATCTGTGTCCATCGCATTAGTATAAAACAAGACCCGGCCAGGATTGGAAACAAGTCACCTTGTGTCAACATCTCAATAGGCTTTCCAAATGCACTCCACGTCTTCCCATGAATACCATGGGTATGTGCCGCAGCAACGACATCGGGACGTGCCTTGTGAATCTCCGAATGAATCAAGAACCCAGCCTCATTAACTGGTAACTGGGCTCCACCCTCTACGACGAATCCATCGGCATCCAGAAGCACAAGATCCGAGGCCTTGATAGTCGAGAAATGCTTGGCGAAGGGGTTCATCCAAAAGTGATCTTTCAAGATCGGGTCTTGCAGGTTGTCAGAATACAGTTCGTTCGCTGTATCAATCATCCATATAGACATGGAAGGAAAAGTACCATACTTACCGCGCATTGAAATGTGCCCAGAGACACCCTCGCCATACCCAAGCTTGCCGAAATACCGGAATGCAGCTGCCATGTGTTCTTTCATCCACTTGCGCTTCTCATTCAAGTCTGTGAAGGTAGGGATACCCCGGAGCTTCAGAGTGCCGTTTCGGCCTCCACGCGCAAGACCTTGGAATGTCGCATCGTTGGCCGCTGGTGGGAGGGGAGGTAGTTGGTCTTCGTTTCTTACGCGAATCGACTCGCCTTGCTGTGTAACTGTTGCAGATGTTGACATGGTGAAATCTGTTTACTGGGTTTGTATACAGTGTCAAAGTATAGGGATGATATACTCGAGTTTATATGCGGAGGCGATACGCGGACATTTCCCCGCTTATCTGTGGGGGAACCCCGCTCTGTCTTTGGAAGGCGCTGCCGCACTGGCAGCAACAGGGTTTGGTGAATACAGTCTGGAATTGAAGTTTTTATTGAATATAAAGGCTTGGAAGTAAATGTGATTCTTGGAGTTGGCTAGCTTCAACATATTACATATCGACCTCTTACTGCAGTCTGCCTATAGCTCTCTACATCCGACTTCGAGAGACTGCGCAGTGGTGTAGATCCGGTCTCACATAGTCCACCAATTCTGATACTCAAAAATGCTAGATCCTACTGTCTTATCATTATACAATCTCCTCTTTCCCCTATAGTGTTCGCCCAAAAGCTGCCCTGCCCTGCTCCAGCGCTAAAGCAATCTATGGAATGACTAAGCATCATGTGACCGTTATCGGCCATGTGGGCTTTATCTGCTGGCCAATGTCGCTCCCTCTTTCTTCATCTGGTTAACGGTCTAGACGCCCGATGCCAATCTGAAAGCGACACACGGAGCATATTGCTTTGAATCTTCAGATCTTAGAGGTTGGCTCTAAGCGGTCTCTACTTCCTCTGCTACACCCGCTGTCACATTCTTCTATGTGGCCCAATTGAGATAAACATTGAACCGTCTAGACCACCATGGCGGAAGGAGAACCGTCATACATAGACTATGAGGCATTCTTAGACCCTGGCTTCTCCCCTGCTTCATTTGCCAATACATTGGTAACAAGCACAAACAATGCAACAGACACCCCGTTGGATCTATCAACGCCATTGTCCCGGGTGCTCTTTGATCTTCAGGAGATCGACACACATATCCATGCCTTGACGACCAGGTCAGCACTACCATTGCTTTCACACACCCAAAGCCAAACTGCTGCTGCTGATCGTATCCTAAAAGAATCGGGTACGCAGATTGCTTCCGTCACCCAAGGATACGAACGCCTGCAAAAAGAGGTGATCCAGAAGTGGGAAGCTGCCAACGAAGCCCGTATTGCCGCCGAAAACTCACTTGCAACTGTTCGCCTAGCAAGGGCTGCTGCGCGCTGTCTAACGCTGGGTAGACAGCTGGAGAGCCAAGTTTCTGAAATCACAGGCCGAGGCGCAACAGGGCCCGCCCTCTCAGCAGGATCGGATGGAGCAACATCGCCATCAACCGGAAAAGAAGGCTTCCGTGCATTGGAACGAGCAGCGTACACAATTCTCAGTCTACGTGAAATGTTCTCCGCTACGGCAGAGGGCGAAGAAGGCTATGGCTTGGACCGGGTGAAGGTCATTCGCACTCTTCGTGGAGAATTCGTCATTCCCGCAGAGAACTTGATCAAGTCGAGAGCGCAGCAGGCTATCAACAAGTTCTCCTTATCGTCAACCTCATCGAGCGCTGGCCAGTCATCCGTGACGTCTGGCTATAAGCAAGCTCGCGATGCCCGTGCACGATTGGCGACGGCCGCCACGACCTTATATCTTCTTTCACCTCCGCCAAAAGCAGACATCACTGCAGCCAATTACAAGCCCGAACTATTGTTGTCAACGCTACAAGGGTTCATGCACACTGCAATCATGACATCCGTCAATACCCTCTCCCGGGCACTTACCCAGCTCCCACTCATGGACCGAACCCTTGCCGACATTTCTGCTCGTTGCCAGGATATCGTCGCCTTAGAGACTATCCTCAGAAATCTGCGCCCACCATCACATCCTCTTTTAATATCGACCACCACAACCGACGGACCTGCCGCCGAGCCTCAGCCCGCCAGTTCAAACAACCTCAATCTCCTTCAACCTCTTTTCCAAGCTTTAGACACATCATCGCTCCCTTCCTATTACTGGCGCTCTCTCGCCTCGTCTCTCAGCCCGCGCGTCCAGGAAATCATCAACCGAGGGGGTGTCTCCGCCCGCTCATTGCGATCCAACCGGGATCGACTGAGAGTCGAGATCAAGGAGTGTGTGCTCCGTGCGTCGCAAATCTCTGCTACTAGTCTACCGGCTGAGAAGGGTCGATCTGGGACCGAGACGGTGGTGGTTGGAAATTGGGAGCGTGAAGCCGCCGTCATGGTGAGCTCGGTTGTTGGCCCTCTGGGACGGTAACGATATGGTTTTCCAAGGTACATAGTTCACAGGTGTCGAATTATCAAGATGCTAGTTTCGGCAATGTCTAGGGAAATAGATGTGTCGTAGGCACAGCCACAACTTTTGGCAAGATTACATGACATTATCTAGAGAAAGGTGAAATAACCTAACCCTCCCAAACCTAGGTAGCTAGAGTACTCTATTCCAGTTAACTACCCAGCGGGATGCTTGCTTTAAGCCGTAGACAGACTTCATAAGTAGTCCGATTTTGTCAGATGTAGGAGATTTAGCTTGTCGAGGTAAAAATTTCCTCGAATCATAAGAAGCCTTTGCGATTTTGGCTGTCTCTTCAGCTATCTTCTCAGCACCACCAGCAAGTTGGTTCTCAGGAAGCTCAATAAAAATTGACTCTTTGATGTCAGCATTCAGGAATGCCGTTTTGATATCAAAATGATGCATCTCCCAGCTGAGAGCGGCGGCAATTGCGCAGAAAACTTTGAAAGACATGGGTTTAGCGACAACAGCATACACTTCATGGAAGTCGACGTCTTTGATTTGATCGAGTGCACTCCCTTCAAAAAGCTCCACGGGTATCAGCCTGTTATCTCGCACCTTCGTGCACTAGGCTGTCAATGTTGGTTTATGATCCCTAGCTGCTTGGATTTCCTAATATGTCATATGCCGTCGGAATGGACCCGGCAGTATACCATGACGTACTGGAGCTGTTGTCGCTAGTCTCCAAGAGATTTAGTCTCGGCTGATCCCCCAACAACCGCCGAAGGCCTCTCTATAGACACGAATAGTGTTCTCGGTAAGTTGCGTCCAAGTCATATTAACCGGCGCACGATCTCTGACATTCAGTATTTGGGGCCGCTCATTAGTTACGGCTTCCAACCTAGGTTGAGGTATTTCCTGGGAGATCTCCCTGTACCCACCTAGGTCCCACATGGCAGGTATGTTGAGGTGTCAAAAATACCTAGGTCCAGGTGCTTACCTCGGTATATAAACCCGCGTAAGCACGGTGTCGATTCCGAGACATCATCAAAAGCCGGCGGATCCAGGACTCTTACTGGAATTACCTAGCAATTTGAATGTCGGCGGGTCCGAGGCTCTATATAGTCCCCCCGCAGGTCGCGACTCAGTCAACATGTAGGTTGTGGTTGGGCCAGAGTGATAGCGGTGGATTGGAAGAGCCGCACAACAGTTCTGGCACCCTGGTTCGTCTCTCTGGGGGGATATATAGAAACGCAAGAGGCGGTGCACCACGTCGGGGCTTGAAGCACACGAAACACGCACGAAACACACAACCTCAGCCGTCTATGGCAGTGTGTTGTGATGGAAGGACGGCCTTTGCAAGTCGCAGCAGCTTCGAGACAGTCATGATCATGTATAGCAGCGAGAAGGTTCTCATCATCGCAAGATGATGATGGGTAGCTAAAGGTTTCATATGATGTTAGTCATATCATGATGATTTCATGTGGTTGAGCCATACCATACCGACAGGTGGATCTTTGGGCAGGTAGAAGTGGACAATGAAGTCCAAGCACGCAATTAGTATAGCCGGGAATGCTCCGGGAAAGCTCGAATTTCCTTGGTGCCTCCTGTATTATATATACCAGGAAGGAGTCCATAGACACCGACACAGAACCCTCAGCAGTTGCGTCACTTCCATTGTGTATATAGGTACGGTAGGATGTAGAGCGGTGATGTGATATGCTTATAGCAAAGAATGAATGCTCTTACGAAGATGGCAGCTATGTAAGCAAACGAGAACGTGATGAAGAGTATATTGGGTACCAGAGTATTGAAGACAGGGATAGAAGAGGAAGAGGAAGAAGGATTGAAGCAAGAGTGGAGATGAGGATTGATATAGAGACGTGAACAAGCAAACATTTAACAGCGGTCCATGGCACATGACATGGGTGATGGGATATGTTCAGCTTGAGTATAATCCACGCCGTGACACTTGGCGCTCAGCCCCCATTTCCCATATTTGCAATGTTCGCCCATTTAGCAGAGCTTCTTCCTGATTCGGGGGTATCTGCCCTTGTTGACATGCTCCAAGACGAAGTTTCCGTGGCAGGATGGATGTCCAGGAATAGGATACCTAAAGTTTCTCATTCGCGTGGAGAGTCCGCTAAGGAGGTGACGGTCACGCCCTCTAGAGATTTTCTAGATCTGTTTGAAACTGAGAATATTCGGTTCCAGTTGGCGATGGGTGGATACGCTTTTCCCACGAGACTCCTCACTAATTCGTGCCAAGATTCGCCATGAATCTGTTGAAGCCCCCGTTCAAGGCACGAACCTTCGGGTCAATATCCCGCACGTCCCCAGCGTCCTTCAAGGACCTCTGCCGACGATGGGTCCGTCGTGATGGACCTGACCTGCAGATCGAAGGTCGGAGCGACATGCAGGCAATTGCGATGCTTGGAAGACATGGTAAGGACGTCGAGAAAGACATGGGATAGGATCGGAGAAGACATCAGGAGAAAGGTCATGATCTCGTGTGTGGGCAAAACGATCATGCTCAACACTAACACAAACTCCAATGACTCTTTGTGTATCGACGAGCTTTCTCAGCTATGCCTCTGCTGACATGAGGCAGGGTCACTAGCAGGGTCTCAATATCGGGGCTCCCATCCGGAAGGGCCAATTTGTCGAAGATGATATAGATAATATCAACGGGCATGACCTGAAGAATGGACTTGTTGCCATTCGACATGATGGGAAGGTCGCCGATGAATGACATAATGACAATGAGATGAATAGATGACTCTTGGTAGATGGAACTGGAGAAATCGAACTTGCGAAAACACTGTTGATGGGTTCTAGCGGAGGCGTTCGTGCCATCCCCGCGGACTCGTGCGTTCCATGGAACCAAGCGCGTGGCGACGGACACAGTTTGCCGGACCAGCCCACGCTTTCTTCCTATTCCGGTGCTCCGGCATATGCTCGGCATACATCGCATATCTTGCGGATAGTGTTGCCGAGCCCCAGAGGCGAGCCTGCTGCGAATGTTGACTGCTGACTTGCCAGTTGCAATTGGTGCTTGCTAGCGGTAGCTCTCGCCCGGTCGTGGTTCTTGCCCAGTCGTGCAGCAGCAGCAGTGCGGTTAAGCGATGAATCAATCAGGTACCTTAGACAAGAGTGTCTAGCTCTCGTGGAGAAGAGGTCCAACCCAAAAGCTCCTCCGTATGGAAATGATGCACGCTGCTGCCGAGGTGAGAGCTCGACAGAGTGCATGGAGGGACAACCCACATCTGTGTATATTCCATGAGGACGAAGCCCTGGAGGGACTTGGTAACCGTCAACCAGAATCAGACCTTTGTCTATAAGTCCTACATAAATGAACCCCCCATGCTAGGCATAACCTTTTGGGTTGAAGGCACTGGTTATAGTAATGCATTGTGTAGATAGATTCTGGGACATTTGATACCTGACATAATTCTGTTGCCTCCGATCCCCGAAAATCATTTCATCATCGCGATAATCACATCAGATGGCGCTTGGAAGATCGTGACCATACCTGGCCAAGCGCTGGTGTAATTGGAAGCCAAACTCCGAAAGAAGGCCGCTATGCCAGTGAGCCATCGGCCTAAGCCATTGAAATCCCAGTCATGAGCGAGGCGAGAGCCTTTGGACCCATAATATCTTCAATGGTCGAAAAGTAACTGTACTTTGGGTCCTTATCATCAGAGGGAATCTCCTCGTAGATTGGCTTCTTGTTTCTGCAGAACACCCTCAGCTCTTTGCATGCCACATCTCCATTCTTCTTCAGATACTCCTGCATGACATCACCACAGCTCTTGACAATTCGACTGACGATTGGACCAGTACCCGCGGAGGTGAGCCCCATTTGACGCGCGCTTTCTGCCGAGCCTCGCGCGACATGAAGAACCAGAAGTACAATGTTTGAGATGAAGGACTCATCGGGCATATAGCTAGCCGTGAAATACTGGACAAACTTGTGGTGCTCTTTCGCTTTGATCAGCCTCAGCAGCTCCAGGGAGCGCTTGTGCATGCCGAAGTAGTTGAACAGGAGTATAGGCTCCTCTTCGAACAACCTGCCCTTCAGAAGGGTGAGAAGTTGCAGGGTGCCGACATTGTGGTTTTTGGTCCACTTCTGTTGAGACAGTTTTTGCAGACTTGAGGGCGTAAGCTCCTGGCCGGTCACATTGAGACACAGTTCCTGCGAGAGTGTATCCAGAATAGCGTGAATGCCTTTGCCACTATCTCCAGGGCCAACGATATACTGAGAGTGGAATAAGTTCGAGACCGTATTTGTTGGCGTCAACACTCTGGGATTCTTTCCGTCGGGGCGATGGAACTCTTTTCTGTTGTGATCGCGAGAGTTGCGGGCAAACCTGGCAGCGGAGGATATACCCGTGGCCAGTTCAAGCCTATTCAAAGACTCGCTAGCATTCTTTGGCCGAGAACCGATAAATATATGAGACTCGCCGTGGATCTTGATGAAAGTCTCCATGTCGGGCCAACTCAAGTTCGAATGGAATTCACTCTTGGTAAGATTGTACAAGAAAGCCAATTGTTGGACATCGTACCATTGCGTGACGAGCTGTTGGCCAGCATCCTGCATCCGGACATTGAGATTAAACAAGGTCAAGCCACAAAGGATGGCATGCTGGGAGAAAAGCGTATGCTTTTCTGGTGTAATCTTGCCTGGCAACGAACGAGAACGCTGCCGTAATTCCAAGAAGGGATCCCCAATGATCCAGGATTCCACGGTAAAACGTATATCTTTGATGTATTCATCGCCCTCCTTGGGCCAGAATTTGGGCGGAGGGTGTGATTTGGAAACCTTCAGGTACTCATCGATAGTTCTTTGAATACGCAGTCCAGACATCCGAAGGTCATCAAATGCACCAAGAGTGCTGTGACGCATGATATGATGGACATCAAGGAGGATCTGAGAAGCGAAGCAAAGCCATGTGTCGACCTTTTTGGTCTTGGTAAACTCATGAAGACCTGTAGTAATCGCATCGGGCGTAATCATGCGAATACCAAACGCCTCGATCATGCAGAACTCTGGCAGTAGCTCGAGAAGAAGGATTTTGTCTTCGTTGAACTTCTGACCCAGAGACATCCCCTCTCTGTTCGCCTTGGGATCGTAAACACCGAAGTGGCCCTTCTTAACGACCGGCAAATGGTCATTCTCCAGGACACGCGAGAACGCATCCAGCAAGGTTAATGTGGGTACATAGCACCACTCCGCCACATCAGACATGCGTTTATTGTATGGCAGACCGACCTCAACAGATGGAGTCATATCGATGCCCCTGCTCATGGCAGCGACACCGAAGGCCACTTTCTGGAGGTTCTCATCGTGCGACATGTTGTAAGGGCTCCAGTCATCCATCACCTCCTGCACAAGTTCTCGCGCAAGTTGCAAAGCGCTATCGGTCACGAGAGCAGCGTTCATAAGATCGATCTTCTTATCTCGGTATTCTGACCAGGTTTGAGAGATAAATGCACGCATATTGTGCAGGTCGTGGAACAAGCAGTATGTCTTGAAGAATAAGAGACCGAGTGTTCTCTCCGCTTCATCCTCGTCATTTTCGACCAGCTCCACCTTCACAATCTTCTGCAATTCGGAGGATTTTCGCTCGCCCTCTTGAGTCTCAAGAGACTCAAGAGGTTCCTCAACAGTGAGTACAGCGAATCTGTTTAGGAACAAGTCGAGGTCGGCATCACTACCCCTGGCCTCCGAGGTTGGAAGGGGTTCCTCGGCATCCGGCCTGGAGGGTTTGTTCGTCTTCCATTCCAGGGTCTCACAGATCTTCTCCAGTGCAGAGATAAAATGGGCATGTCGCTTGTTGTCCTCCGAGTCCCCTTGCCCCCAAAAACCAAGCAGTGACCTGCCTCCTCAATTTGATCGCTCGTTTGACGATGACGATAACTGCTCTGGGCACAGCGAGAGCAGACTTGGCTACAATATCAGCCAACAATTGAAGATCCTTGATCGTCGCGGTATACTGGACTGGATCAGAGTCATTTGACGCCTTCTTTTTGCTTTTGTTTTTGTTCTTTTTTGAGGTGGAAGCGGGAGAAATGAGGTCGTGGCTCTGATAGCCACATTTGCCGGCTGCCTCTAGGAGCCAGGTTGCAAAGCTGTTGGTGTCATCCTTGTAGCGTCTGTAATTGCTTTGCAAGAAATCGGGCAACATGATGTCGACTGGGACTGGAGAAGCCAGGTCCGAGATTGCAGGGGTCACTGTAAGAGTGTTCAAGTCAAGGGGCAGATTTCACCCGAAAGGCAGCTGTGGCCTCATCGCCTGTTGTTTACAGCTATACAGCGCACAGTCCAGCCTGGTCCGAGATCAGCCCCACAATCCCCAGTAGATTGAAGATTCCTTCCTGCCAATCAGCCACAGGGTCTATGCCCAGGAAATAATAAACTCCGCAGTGCGTCCCACTGCCAGCCACGTGACATATGCAAAACAGCCACAGGCTTGAGCCTCACAGCTCATTTTCACATGTTGTCCTTGAGCCCTACGGATTGCATAACCAACTAAAACCCTCATTTTATTTTTCTGGGTTTCCCCTCACTCCTGAGCTCCCCAGGGCCTTGCTGCTTTTATCCCCAGGCTTCTAGCCTGTCAGATCAAACTTGTCATACTCGGAGCTATCATATGAGTCATGACGGATAACCACAGGATAAAACCAAGAGTCAAGACAGTGGTTGAAGGCTTACTGTGTGAGCCTAGTTGAAGTTTCCCACGAGGTGACGAGATATCAATAGTAACAACCGTACCTATCCCTAGTGGAAAACATCAGATAAGAACAACGTGAGTGAAATCGCAACGTTTTCTGGAAACAACCATCTTCAAGTGTTTATACGGTTTACCAACATCCACTAAACGAACATTGGAAACCCCTTCCATGGGCAACTGATTCCTGGAACATCATTCCTCCCATTTAGAACGAATTCAGATGAACCCAGGTGAATTCAACCTTCCTCAGAACCTCGGAATTCCAAGTCCCAGGTACCAAACACCCCTCAAACCAAATGCCAAGGAGTAAAAGAATTAGTGTACCTTGGTACCTGACCAGGGACAAAGCAACCTCACATGTACCCTCCAGGGCTGGAACCCACCACAGTAACACCAGGGTAGGTATCAGATCCAACACCGTCAGATCGCACAGATCCACACAGTTAAATCTCCGAAACCCGGAAAATCGTCTCTGCCATGCATCTCCAACGTACATCGTACACGTCGGCAAGATGTGCCGCAGATAAGCGGGTAGGTCTACATTTGCAAGTACGTTGTACAAGTACCTGAACGCCCCAAGTGTTCCGGAGGAGTCAGATGATCCCCACACCGTGCACTGTGGTGTAAGGGTCTCTGGGCAGCTGTGCAAAGGATTTGGAGCTGGGCGTGTGCACTGCATGGTCACTGCATGTTGATACAATGCCCTGGGCGCAGAGGTACAGATGCAAGTCAGTTGCTGGGTGAGGAGGCTGGGGTCCAATTAGACTGGGGGGTTGGGGGTAGGTATGGATTAGAGAAGGGCCCTGAGGGCGCTTCGTCCGTTTTTACTGGTCTGATTACTCTGATATTCACATGTGAACTGGTGGTTTGACTGTCAGCCTCCTCATCGTGGGTAACTAGGTAGCTCTTTGTCTACATGTACTCCGTACTGTGTAGATGTGGTATATGGGCTGTGCGGGTAGGCTGGCTGATGTGGTTTTTCGGTGTTAGAGTTTGTCGATGTTTAGCCCGAAGGATGTGCTGTCAAGATCTCGCTCGCTAGATCTTGATAATTGTATTATATGCCCGTGCGATACATGTTGTTCTATCTCTTCAATTAATATTCTTGTATTGTATTATTCCTCGGTAATATAGTCCCTTTCCCATAAAAGGCGGCTCCTAGGTACGTGGCCCCCACGCACCGAGACACATAATCAGGTACATTACATGGATGGACCTGGCATGAGATGCAGAACAAGGTGCCTGATTGGACCGATCATAAAAAATGAGCGCCATGCTCGATGACCAGTCAGATAAGCTGACCGCTCCAAAGGCAAACGGATTGTCTCTCCAGGACGGACCTACATAAACAATAAAAACTCCAAAAGAAAAGACAAGAAAAAGTATCTACTCCGCCCAATTCCTGAGAGAATTCCGATGATGCTGAATGGTCAGACGTTGAAACCTTTCCCGTGCTTAGACCCGGGTAATCTTGCAAGTCAAAGACGTCAGCATCCCCCCGCCGATCCGGGCGATTCTGGTTTATCGATAAGCCCTGCAGCCCCCGGTACCTGGCTCTACTTGGCTGTGCGCCTCCCTGCCAGCCCTGGTGGCGTCATGCAGATGTACCTACAGGTACTAGGGATTCCCCTCTTTACGTGATAATGGGGTGGCGATCCTGTTAGTAGTATTACCTATTTGATTTTGACCCCTCTTTTTTGCTTAAATAAGGTATAACGTTACCGGTCTCCGGTTGTCATTCGAGGGGATGTTCTTTTCCCAGCCGGTGGGAGGGGTAGAGAGGGGAAGTTCAACGGTAACTAAAATGTCGATCATATAGTGACTAACGGCAGGAGCCCCATCGTCAGTTTCATAACCCAGTCACACATGCTCGAATCATATCCCGCAAGTTCGATGTACGCCATCCCACACTACATTAAATATGATGCTAAACCCACCCACGTTTGCTCAAAAGGGGCGGGGGATCATGCCTTCTCTCCAGATCGAGTAGTGCATTTGGCCTGTTCTCTCTCTTCCAATCATGTTCGCTGGATCATAACCCAGCAGCCTCCATGCTGCCGATCTCCCATTCGGGTAGCCACGCTACTTGGCTTACCCGTAATACTTATACAGTAAACGTCAAATTCCAGAGAACCAGAACACAGATCATCCACGAGTGGCGTCAGATCTCAAGGGGAGAGATGTTAGGACATTGCATGTTAGAAGAGGACGGGAAGATAGAGTACAATAAAGTACTTGGCAACCAGGGATCGATGGAGGTTGTACAGCATTAACTTTGGACTTGCCGTTTGCAGACATGGACCAAGTTCTCGAGGAGGTGGGGAAACTTTAGCAGCGACGCAGGCACGATGGACCAACGGGCTTAGTCCCAGGGGGTCAAAAGTTTCAGGGAAGTTGCCTGAATGCGGTTTTGGCGGAGCTGTCGGATCCAAGTGACGAGTGCTCTTTTGGTTTTCGCTTAGTGTTCAGTAAGATAAGTATATTATGTGCAACCATAGAGAGAAAATGAGGTTATCTCCGAACTTATAGTTTGTCTAATGAGACTTCAACCTTTCTAGACTTCTACGCAGTCAGATGTACCAATGCAATAAGATGTGAGCTTCTTTCTTATCTACCCCCGCAGATGATCTATAATTACATGTATGGGCTCGGACCATTGAGATCGTACCTCCCATGGTATCAAAGGGCTCGAGCAAAAGTCAAGGAGAATTGTATATGAAGGTGTTCGTATCGGGACCGTCCGGAACTCTTTCTCCCTACCGCGTAACCATTCTAAATCTGTAAGAGTATGACGAAGATGTATCCACGCGATGCAAGGGGGTTAGTATTTTAAGTAGAGAGACTGGGGGTGGAGGAGGGGTTCGAGAGGATCCGATGTATACGAAGTACAAGATGGTTTAAAGATCTCCACTCCGAGTCTCGACCTTCCCCAAGAACCAAACTGTCAAGACTTGGCAGTGCCTATTTCCAGGGTCTCAACGAGATAGTCAACGTCAAGGACTTCAGAGTTTCAACCCCATGTATGATCCGTGGACCGTACCTGTAGCTATAGATCTTAAGTAGTAGACTCCCTCGACTCTAAGATCTACTCCACTTAGGCCTAGACAACTCTTCTCAAGTAACCGAAGTCACTAATGATTCATGGAGGTGCCTGGTGCCTTTTGAATAGTATGGAGACACGCGGCTAATCTGGTGAAACACTTGATGATTCGCATCGGTAGCCCCGGAAGAGAAGCCCATCGTCGAGTTCCTGACTTTTTCTTTTTACTTTTCGACAGCTTTTTCCTTTTGCCCCTCGCTTCCGATAAGCCTCTTGTTATTTCTCATCGTCACCATTCTTGACTTCTTTTTTTCCCCTTAAACCACTATATACGAAAATTATCTCTTTTCTTCGTTTCTTCTTTTCCTTTTTACTACTCTTCCGGCTGGTCGGATTTTACACTCTCCCTTATCTATTTGACTCGAGATACTGTGAATATCTTGATTCTGGAAGTGAGAGAAGAGAGAAAGAGAAATGATTGCGAACAACTAACCTTCTCTTTTCTTTTTTTTCTCTTCTTTCGACATTCTTCCTCAAACCCTTGCATCTTTAGGGATCCTGACATTCCATCTCCCCTCTCTTGCTCCCCTCTTTTCTCGCTCAGCTTTACAGAGCTTAGCACTTTCAAATCGTACGTGTCGAACTTCTCCGAATCTCCTTCATCCTTTTCTTTTTCTTTTGTGTGCTTTTCTGCGCTTCGAGTTCCTCCCCCCTCCCCCCCCCTTTTTACTAGTAGCACCCGGTTCACTGGAGTTGCGCAAATGTTAACGGTCGATCTGATCATCAGACTCCGCGTCTTACTCCCCTCCGACTTCTCTGTAGTGGTGCGGTTTCTACGACTCCATATAGAGATATATAGAACCCCGAGGGGCCCTGGGGTGATTATTCCGGCCGATCGGGTTACTGGCGCTACGACCACCGGTGGCCAGGAACATTCGCATTCAACTCTCCGGAGGCCTGACATCACTCCCGCCTCCCCAACCGTTTTACGTCGTCATGGCCTCCTTTCTCCCTGTCAATAACTCGGCCCCTGAAGATCACACGATGGATGGCGCAGCGACACCTCGAGCGGTTCCAAATGGCAGGCCGGTCACACCGAACGGTTCTTCGACGACGGAGCAAATTCCGGATAGCGCTTCACACCGGAGCCGAGGCAGCGATACTTCATCCCACACAACCTTGACTCATGTCCGAACCCCGTCAATGTCTGACGAACCGATGCACGATTCCGAGGATGAGCAAGACGACTCCGGTCATGAACAGGATCCAGCGAGCAACGCACCACCCACGAAAAAGAAGAAAGGTCAACGCTTCTTCTGCACAAACTTCCCTCCTTGCAATCTGAGCTTCACCCGAAGCGAACATTTGGCTAGACATATCCGCAAACACACGGGCGAACGTCCCTTCCAGTGCCACTGCTCTCGGCGCTTCTCCAGACTCGACAATCTCCGTCAACATGCTCAAACAGTCCATGTCAACGAGGAAATCCCCGGGGATTCGCTGGCGGCCACGGGTACACGGTTCCAACGTCAGGTTCGTACGGATCGAGTACGTCCACCAGGCCGGGCGCGGGCAGGCACCGCGGGCAGTATGGGCGGCCACACCCGCGGTCACAGCAGGAACCTATCGACCTCGAGCATCGCATCAACTACATCGACCTATAGTCAACCCCCGGAACTTCGACGCCGACCTCCGCCTTTGATCATGGCCAACGATCCCGCAGCTCGATCCCGACTGGCCATGGATGCTATGGGAGAACCTCCGAGCACACCTCCAGCTCAGGTTCGCGGCGCTCCCGGTGTCGTGACTGCCGGTTCGCCCTACACCCCGTCCAATATGTTTACCGGTGCCGGTGGAAGTCCCCAGTACGCTTCGCCCATGTCCGGCACGTCACGCGGATTTTGGGAAGGCAAGACGGCCGCCCGTCGTCTGTCGGTGCCAACTAGCAGCAATCCTTTCCTTGCACAGCACGGTACTGCATATCCACCGGCATATCACGCCCCCGCTGGTGCACCTTATGCACCTGCCGCCGGTGTATTCGCAAGCCCCACCAGTACACAGTACTCTGTATCCCGTGACGAGAGCACTCTCAGCGCGGCCGAGGCAGAAATGCGGAGAAGAACATGGCACCCCTCGTCATACACGGGATTCCCCCGCCCTGGAACCAGTGGTTTGAACCAATATCATACGCCAGACACGGTCCCCGCCTCCTTTGGTGCAGACGGGACTGGATCGTCAGATCATCCACCTCGTTTGCCCGGGATTGAGAGTTTCGACAAAGTAGTTTCACAACAGCGGCCGATGACCCCTCCCACCCGGAAAGCCAGTCCCATGCAGCTTGACCATCATCGCCCATCGCAAAATCCTGCCTTCGGGTCTGGGTTCAATTACACACAGCCAAGCCATCGTCCAGCGCCACCTATCTCCGGCCCTGGGCACAGACGAGGCCATGTCTCCTGGGATATGTCTTTGCATCATAACTTGACGGGACTGGATATTCGGGACCGTCGTCCATCCAATGCATCAGCGTCTCAATGGAGTCAACAAACGCTCGCCGAACTCCAAAACGTCTCTTCTCGCCCATCATCCTCCTACCAGCCTGCATTTGGACCAACAGCCGAGAGAAGTCCCGAAGAGTCTCGCGGACACCGCGCGAGCAATTCAGTGGGCAGCCGCACACGGACCTCCCCTGAGGACTCCAGTAGCAGCGAGGGTGTTCACACCCCATCCACCGCATCCCTCGAGTACCACCCGGCGATCGTGCACAGCAGTGGGTACATTGAATCGAATGATTCCTCCCTACCCTCTCATCACCCTCCACCGGTAGGTACTCCTCTCCGAATGCACGGCTATCGGCCCGGTTACTAATGCCGTCATAGATCTGTGGTCGCCAATCCTCGCATTCGGACGGTTACGAAGCCCACACCGAGCGGGATCCCCGCTCCGACCTATTCGCGGGCCATTCGGCCCGCAACTCGGACATGGGCCGGTTGGAGGCTCTAGTCGCCGTTGCCACGAGCGAAAACTCAGGTGCAGCCAAGCTGTTTCTGTAAATCAATTGGACAAAAAGATCTTCCATACTCTACACCATCCTATATATGAGTACATGGCAAACACCTTCGCTTTCCTGCAACTAGCCGGCAAACAAATCATATACTTGGCATACTCCCATTTTCTCTCCCGATCCTCTCGCTCTCCTGGTAGCATTCGCCATTATTCCCGCCTACCGTCTTTCACATTCGCCTTCGTCTGCCTTTCCGAGCTATTTTACTTCCCTTCTTTCCACATATTTCGGGGATTCTTTCAGCTGCCAATCCCACGGCTCTGGAGGGCCCTTGATGACTGATGACTTTGACGACCACTGATACATGACCGGGATCCACGTGCCCATCTTTCCTTACCTGTGTTCGGGGGTCTTATGCTTTCGTTCTATTCCAGACGGTTCTGGACGGATTTCTTCTCTTTCCCTTTCGTTGTTCTTGGATCAGTTCTCACATTCGAGCTGCATATCCGGCGTTTGTGTGGCGGGAGCTTTGTTGGATGGAGTCGTGTGTGCATGACGATACCCTACCTATCGATCGTTTGGTTACTCTTCATCTCTGCTCGGGCACCGCAGTGTGGCAGACTTGCATGTTTATATTTCTGCCTGCTGTTGTGCATCGGCTATCTTACCCTACCCTTATTTATATCTGATGACCTACCTTCCCGCCCTCTCGTTTCGCTTCGTGTCTTACTACTACTACTACTACTTTTTTGGTGAATTGTGTTTGATTCTCATGCGACACGGACTATAAGTATGAGCACTATCGATAACTGTTATGAGCTGAATATGACTGGAATACATTGATACGTCTGGGCTGTTCTCGGGATTTGAACGTAACTTTGTATTGATGTAGCCCGAAAGTGGAAGAAATGATCGTCGTGCACATTACATATACCTGATGAGCTAAAGGGAAAGCAACCCGAACTGGAAACTTCGCGATGTCAGGCATCTATCTCTCTTGACTCGTGGCGTGTGTTGGTGTGTCAACTACCTACGGAGTAGCCACCGCCGCTTTGGCTGAAATTCGAGGCCAATGAAGGGTCCAATGATGGCAAGCAGCGGCTCTATCTAGTTCGACAGTTGGCAGGGACCCGGCATACCCTTCATAGGTCGTTCGGACGGGAGAAGCATGCCTGCTGATGCATTTGTTTCGTATGCATTCGCGGTCTTCACTTGTTCCATAGGTACATAGTGAGAGGTGTTTGTGAGCGGGAAAGATGGAAAGATGGAAAGATGGAAAGATGGAAAGATGGAAAGATGGAAAGATGGAAAGACCGAATCAACATTGGGGGGCAGTCCTTAATCTCCTTATATATCCGTGTCCACTTAAGATAGTACATCCAGTAGGTATGTGGTAACTACACATACCTAAGTTCCTAACCTCAGTACGAACAACCATGGAACGAAGGTGGGAGAATCATGCGATCAGGTGACGCTCAGCGAGCAAAAAGCGGCAAGTCGTGAGCACTAAAACGGAAAGGGAAAGCTAGAAGTGGCATAGAGCACTCCGTATGTAGCTCACAATTGAACAGGAATCGGGAGGAGCTACACGTTCAGCTCCATAATCCCAATAACAATGAAACAATGAAGTAACATAAACTAATTAATTAGGGCAGAAAGAAGAAAAGCTGTTGATAGTCCTGTTCTGTGAAGTAAATGCGACTGGGAAACCGAGCCGTGGACGTCATCGGCTGAGAACACGACGTCATAAGGTGACCCGTTTCCCCGTGCTTGAACATGACCTATAAAACCCGGACTTCCCTGCAACTTGCTGCATCACGACTCTTTAACTCACTACTCCGTGCTCATTTCGATCTAATTCTCCAAATCTCTACCACACCTTCCCTCCATTATCACTCAATATGTCGAAGAGCCGTATGCCAATGTACCTGGGTCTCGCCGCGGCGGGCGCAGGCGGATACTACCTCTACAATGCCGGCGGTGACCCCTCCACAGCAAAGCACCAGATGCGAAGTATGTGCCCTCGGTCCACACATATTCAATCTTTCAATGCCATCGATGGATAGATTGCCTTGGAATATATCAAGCTAACATTATATCTCCCTGCTCCAGTCGATGCCGAAAAGGCGCGCCAGAAGATGCCCGGTTCAGACAACGCCGAATCGACCGGCACGCAAGCCGGCGCTAACGTCGATGATGCTGTAAGTTACTGTACGGGGTTTGGTACCACGTGTGCTCCTGCTTGATCCTCGATGCTCGATGTTTCGAGACATGGCCTACCGCCAAGCCCAATCAGGATGATGTGACATGATGCTAATGATGTTCTTCTAGATTGCCCGTGCCCGTGCTGAAGGCAAGGAGGCTAGGGACAAGCTCGAGGGACTTCGTGACGACGCAAAGACCAAGTTCAATGCCGGTGTCGAGAAGGTCAATGCTGGTGTCGACCAGGTTGACCGTGACGTTGAGAAGAAGGCTGCTGAGGCCAAGGGAGCTGTCTCTGGCTGGTTCGGTGGCAAGAAATAAGCCCTTTTACCATGGAGAGACGCTCGACGATTTCATGTCACTTTTACTTTTTACGGCGCCGGTCGGGTTGAGGACACATAATGAATAATTCAACCTTTATGAAACTTACATAACTCACTTTCATCTGTTGTCTGTCTTTTGTAGGTTGTACGCAGTAGATTGTAGGCTTTCTTTGTAAATTGTCGATGGAGTTGGAGTTCGTGTATCAAACGAGTCTGAGTGATGGACCAATGCGCCCGGCGCTGTCTCTGAAGGCGCGACATGAAACCAGGTATTTCAATGGCTTAGTAGGCTACTTTCAAATCAACGTGTGATGGATGTAGCGTCTGTCAGGCTACTTGTGCTTGAAAGATTGTCTCGGCGCTGAGCTTGGACGCAGTGACATTCCAATGCCGGAGCATTACCGTAGTGACCAGAATGCCCCGCGGTCTTGAGATTTCCTGTAAGAATTCCCTAGAATTTATTATAATAACCTGAGAACCTCAGTTTCTTCTTTCATAGAGTCCAGAGTCTTTTTTATATTTACTTCAATTTCTCTTCAACTTCAGAAGGTCTCCACGGTCTCCACATTAATTTACACTTCCCGTTCACGCGTTGCCATTTAACTTAAAGTGGCTAGCGTGATTTCCACGCGCCCTCGAACGCGTCCGACTCCTTAGTACTTTCTCTGACATCTCCCACTTTCCCACTTTCCACACTTTCCCACTTCTACTTGCGACTCTAAAATCTCGGTATCTCTTACTTTGTATATTCTCATACAGTTATATCGATCGCCCTTGCTTCATTATCCTTCATTGACCAGCCAAAAATTTTCAATCGCAGCCGCGATGCCGCGCATTTCCCGGTCAACCTGCGTTGCTCAGCAGCCAGCCATCCAAGCCTTCACTCGGGCAACCAAGGCCGGCATTACTCCGCAACTGCCTGCCAAAAAGACAACATCGCTGCCAGTATCGCCTTCCAAGAAACGCAAATTACAGGAACTCGAAAACATCGAATCCGGTAACAAGCAGGCACCAATCGAGGAGGAAGGCACGCCCTCAAAAACTTTACGACTCAATGAATTGTCCGTTTCGACACCGCGCAGTGGACACTATGCTTCACCAAAGAAAGCTTCGCCCCAGAAGTCCCCGAGTCGGACCCCGAGTCGACGGGCTCGTGCCCCTGTCAAGAACGCTCCCTCGACACCCGCAACCCCTTCCAAGCAGCGAACCCTGAATTTCGAGAAGGTTATCACAGTGCACGACGAAGTTCCAGTCATTGAGCGGCCCCTGTTCTTCAATGATATCCTGAACCTTCACTCGTCCTTCGTGCAGGCTTTCTCGATTCACATGGCACACAACGGCGCTAGAACCGCTGCTGATCTCCGAGAATTCCTCAACAGTGTTACCCGCCTTTGGAACAAGCGCAAAGTGCAGGTAAAGGACCTACAGCGTCTTGTGTGGATTTGGGATCAGAGCTCGAAAGCGCAATACGTGTCATATCGCTTGGCGAACTATGGACTCGGCAAAATTTGCATGGAGCGCACCGTTCAGATGGAGGTGCAGCCTCCGGCTCTGCAAGACTCTTTCGAGGAGGCCCTTGATTTGCTGTGGGAGAAGGCCCCTGAGGCCCTTCGGACTGCCAGGGAGGAAGATCAAGCAACTCTGTTCATCGAATCTCTCGGTCTTTCCACCATCCACGAGTCTCTCACCCCGTTCACGGTCTTCCAAAAGGGCCAGCAGCGTCTTCAGGATCTGAAGGGCGGTCTGCTGCGCTTGAAGGCCGAGAGACAACTCTCACAGTCCGCAGAAACGACCCCACAAGAACGGACAGCCACACTTAGCCGCAAACAGAGCCTGCTCGATCGCATCAAGAACAAAGAGCTACGCCAGTCCAAGTTGCCTCCGCCGCCTGCCAAGAAGGAGCTGCTGCAACGTGCCGCCGTTGATCGTGTCGAAGAAGTTGCTGGGGTTCTCGCCATGCTGCGTCCTGCTGGGTATGTCGGCAATGGCATCAAAGCTATGTTGGCCTCTCAGCGCAAGCCCTTCAAGCTCGATGCGATGGTTGAACATGTCCGCGACTCCATCCGCAGTGAGATTGCCCGCGACGAGGCGGAGATGTGTCTTGAGATTCTGTCAAACCCTAAGGTTGCCGGTGATTGGGTCAGCATGGTAACTGTTGGCCAGATGAAGTCGGTCGTGTTGAAGTCTTGCAAGGATGTCTCCGCCAAAGACATTGGCCTGAAAGCCGCCCAGCTGAAGGCTGAGTGGGACAGATCTGCAACATGTGTGCAGACCACTCCCTTGTGATCTATGTCTTCCATTTGTTTTCCCTTTCTCTCTTTTCATTTGTTGGATACCAGTCATCCGCGGAGTCAGTTCTGCTCGCGGCTTTGCATCGACGCTCGATACCCCCTGTACTCTACTACTACATGTCTTATTAGCTCCCTCACTACTTGAGGTAGTATTTAGCAATTAGGTCCTTGGACACTCAACCACAATACGATTAATTAATGAACTCGAATGAAAAAGAACCCGCCAAGAACGTAACATGAAGGAGTCGCCCAGTGTAGATCCCACTTAACGCGCGACGCGTGCACGGACCAGTTCCGCCACAGCGCGTCGAATTATTGGACTCGTCCAAATCATCTTGAGTCCTCGACACCAGCCTTTGCGTCCTTTGCTGCATTTCAATTCTTGCAACAACTGACACCATGTCTTCACGACCTGATTTGAAGGTATGATTTTCGTTCCCAGACTCTTCCTCAACCCGTCAACACAGCAAACACTAACTTGGACCTTGTATCATCACAGGTCGACGACGAGGCTGGCTTCATTGGCTTCTATCGCGGTCTCCCGAAACCCGACAATGACGAAACAATCCGCGTGTTTGACCGGGGTGACTGGTACTCCTCGCACGGAGCTGACGCCGAGTTCATCGCACGCACAGTCTACAAAACAACCTCCGTACTCCGCAACCTTGGCCGCAGCGAAACAGGCGGCCTCCCCTCCGTCACCATGAGCGTCACCGTATTCCGAAACTTCCTCCGCGAAGCCCTCTTCCGACTAAACAAGCGCATCGAGATTTTTGCGTCAGCCGGCACAGGCAAGAGCAATTGGAAACTCGTCAAGCAAGCTAGTCCTGGCAACCTCCAAGACGTGGAAGAGGAGCTCGGTAGCATGGGCGCTCTATCCATGGACTCGGCGCCCATAATCCTAGCCGTGAAGATCTCTGCTCGTGCAGCGGAAGCCCGCAATGTCGGCGTGTGCTTTGCAGATGCGAGCGTGCGTGAACTGGGTGTCAGCGAATTCCTTGATAACGATATCTACTCTAATTTCGAGTCGTTGGTCATCCAGCTTGGTGTGAAGGAGTGTCTTGTTACTATGGATGTGGCGCGGAAGGACGTCGAGCTGGCCAAGATCCGGGCTATTGCCGATAGTTGTGGGATCGCGATTTCTGAGCGGCCTGTGGCTGATTTTGGCGTCAAGGATATCGAGCAGGATCTTACGAGGTTGTTGAGAGATGAGAGATCGGCGGGTACGCTGCCTCAGACGGAACTCAAGTTGGCTATGGGCTCTGCATCTGCGCTGATCAAGTACCTCAAGGTCATGACTGATGCTACGAATTTCGGTCAGTATCAGCTCTATCAGCATGATCTGTCGCAGTACATGAAGCTCGATGCTTCTGCTCTCCGGGCGCTGAATCTTATGCCTGGTCCTCGGGATGGAGCTAAGAGTATGAGTTTGTTCGGACTGCTGAATCACTGCAAGACTCCTGTGGGGAGTCGGCTGCTGGCCCAGTGGTTGAAGCAGCCGCTGATGGACCTGGCGGCGATTGAGCAGCGCCAACAGTTGGTCGAGGCGTTTGTTGTTAACACTGAGCTGCGTCAGACTATGCAGGAGGAGCATTTACGCTCAATCCCGGATCTTTACCGATTGGCCAAACGATTTCAGCGGAAGCAGGCCAACTTGGAAGATGTTGTGCGAGCGTACCAGGTTTCCATTCGTCTGCCTGGGTTTATCAGTGCACTGAGCGATGTGATGGATGAACAATACCAAACACCTTTAGAGACCGAATATACCTCTAAGCTTCGCGGTTATTCGAACAGCTTGGCCATGCTTGAAGAGATGGTTGAGACGACTGTGGATCTTGCTGCCCTGGAAAATCACGAATTCATCATCAAGCCTGAGTTTGATGATAGCTTGCGAGTCATCAGAAAGAAGCTGGATAAGCTCCGGTACGACATGGATATGGAACATCGCCGAGTGTCCCAGGATCTAAAGCAAGACATGGAGAAGAAGCTCTTCATGGAAAATCACCGTGTGCACGGCTGGTGTTTCCGTCTCACTCGAAACGAAGCGGGTTGCATCCGTAACAGGAGGGAGTACCAGGAGTGCTCAACACAGAAAAATGGTGTATACTTCACCACATCTACCATGCAATCCCTTCGCCGAGAGCATGACCAGCTGTCCTCGAACTACAACCGAACCCAGACCGGTTTGGTCAACGAAGTCGTCAACGTCGCCGCTTCGTATTGCCCGGTGTTGGAGCAGCTCGCTGGTGTACTCGCCCACCTCGACGTCATCGTGAGCTTTGCCCATGCTTCGATGCATGCACCTTCCGGATACGTCCGCCCAAAGATGCATCCACGAGGCACTGGAAACACTGTTCTGAAGGAAGCCCGACACCCTTGCATGGAGATGCAGGATGATATTTCCTTCATCACCAACGATGTGTCGTTGATTCGTGACGAATCATCTTTCCTTATCATCACTGGCCCCAATATGGGCGGTAAATCAACGTACATCCGACAGATCGGCGTGATCGCGCTCATGGCTCAGACCGGCTGTTTTGTCCCTTGCACCGAGGCCGAGCTGACCATTTTCGACTGCATTCTTGCCCGCGTCGGTGCTAGCGACTCGCAGCTCAAGGGTGTGTCGACATTCATGGCAGAAATGCTGGAGACATCCAACATTCTCAAGTCCGCCACGTCTGAGTCGTTGATCATCATCGACGAACTCGGCCGTGGAACTAGCACATACGACGGTTTCGGCCTCGCCTGGGCTATCTCCGAACATATCGTCACTGAAATCCGTTGCTTCGGCTTGTTCGCCACTCACTTCCACGAGCTCACTGCCCTGGCGGACCGGTATCCGAAAGCTGTCAAGAACCTGCATGTCGTTGCCTTCATCGGTGATGGCGATGAAGGTAAGGCTGAGGCTGAAGCCGAGGAAAAGAAGAAGCGCCAAGTCACTCTTCTCTACCGCGTGGAGCCAGGCATCTGTGATCAATCTTTCGGTATCCATGTCGCCGAGCTCGTGCGGTTCCCGGAGAAGGTTGTCAATATGGCCCGTCAGAAGGCCGAGGAGCTTGAGGATTTCACCTCTGCAACAAATGAGGATGGCAATGCACAGACTTCTGCGCCCTCGCTCGATAAGTACTCGCAAGAGGAGGTTGAAGAGGGCAGTGCCCTCCTCAAGGCGATGCTGCTGAAGTGGAAGGCAGCAACTGAGGGCAAAGATATGACAGCGGAGGAGAAGCGCCAAGTCATGCGTGATCTGGCGCAGGCTGATGATAAACTACAGGCCAATAAGGTGTTCCAAGGTATCAAGGCTCTTTAATGATGTGGGCTATTCATGGGATCAGGCGTCCAGGCAAGGCAGGGGTTGAAACTTGAAAGGCATTACCTACATGTATTTTATACACATTGTTTCATACAACATTTCAGATGGATTGACTATCTATAATCTATTTTTGCTATGAGCTCTTTTACCTTCTCCTATTGACCTACGAAAGAAAAAGTTGAAGTTGTAGTCATCGATGGGTATAGATCGATCCATAGAGGTCAGTCACGTGTAGACGGGTCTAGACGATCACCGCGGGATTGTGACGAAGCAAATAATTCAGTCAACGCTCTTCTGATTTCTCTAATTCCTTCTTTCGAGGCCCAATCGTACAGCGGAGATTCTCTTCTCGGATCCTTGCTATCGCTGTTGCCTCTGAAACCCTCTCGACCGCCCTATCGAGCTATGCGCGTAACCTAAACACGGACGGCCTGAACCACCTCGATTCATGCACCCCTTTTCCGTCCTCACCCTTGGGATCTTCGTCGCGGGCTATATCACCGCTAGGTGGGACCTTGTTACCCGTCTGTACGAATTGGCCATCTTCGCCTGGGATCACGGTGTCGTGGTATGTTTCTCCATCCGTCATCGGCCATCGGTCCTTGGCCCTCCGCTTGCGACTTTATCAGCTTGGGTTCTAGCGCACATCATCTCGACCAGTTCCTAACGGTGTTACTTCTAGACGCGAACTGCGAAGGGCTTCATTTTGCTCTCCGTCTTCTTTTTTCTCCTCGTCCTGCCGATAAATCATCTTGCGGCCAAGGAGGGTCAATTGGTGAGCAGCCCCGGAGCAACCACAACGTTATGGCAGCGGTCAAAGACATGTCGCTCGGTTACAGGGGTTGGAACTGTATGCTGACCGTGTTGGGGGAAACAGCATCCGCGCCACGTGAATTTCGGCGTCTCCGCGCGCGAACAGTTACGCCGTCGAGGCTCGTTCTGAGACTCAGGTGGAGGATGACAATATGCTCATGAGTGATGGATTGCTGCGAGTATTTTGGCCATATGATCTCCCGCGATCCTCGTCCCCAGGTGTGATTGTCGGCTGGCGGAACTCGGAGCTTGATCTGTTCGTGCTCACGGTGTTAGAAGATGTCGAGGTGAGTGCTTTCAATCGCGTCGGTCTGCTCGTTCGATATAAGCTGACCATTTATGCCGTGGAATAGTCTCGCAATGTCGATAATGCTCTCCGGGCGGGCATCCTCTTTCGGAATAGCCCTCACCCGATCGTGCGCATCTTCACTCTTTGTGGACGCTCGCAAATGCATGTTCTTGGCTCGACTAACTCCCGCGAGCCTTCCACGGCGTTCAACTCTTCCCACCTTGAGGTTAATACAATGCCACCCGCGAAGGCTCCGCGCATCTTCTGCCCGCCGGAGGCAAATCTCTCTGTTCAGGTTGTCATGTACCACCGTCCTCACCCAACGCGCATGGAGTATATGTCGTTAAATCCGATCTCTCTGGCTTTGGGTGACAAAACGTCAAAGACGGAAATATGGGGGCCTTCTTCCGATGATGTTGAAATGGAAGAAGAGGGACACAAGGCTGGGCCAAAGCTGTTGGTCGAGAAGCTTAAGCTGCATACAGTTGTCAAGCATATTCCATCACAGAAGGAGCAAGCCCTCCCGCTAATCGTCAACCAGATCAATTGTGCCTATGAGATGGGGCAGCTCATGCACAAAAACAGCCATCTGATCGGGATTCGTGCAAAGAGAAGCATGAGTGTCGGAGAACGTGTTGTTGAATCGGCTCAAAGCTTGTGGGGATTCATTGTCGTCTGCATCGCCCACGTTTTCTGGCAATGGATCTGGCCCATCGTCACTCGAGTATTCGTCATTGGGCTTGTGGGCCATCGTTCCGTTGCAGAAATCGTCCTGCAGGTTCTCGAGTGGCGTGCTCGACCTGATGCGGCTGCTATCAAGGATATCTCGGCAACAGCCCAGCAGGTCGATATACGGTTGCAGCAATTTTGCTACTGGCCAATTCAATACGTCAAGCTTCGGCAAAGAAAGGATAATTGGGAAAGTGTGACGACCAGTCATCCAGACTATATTCGGTTCTACAACAGTTTGTGGCTTGTTGCCAATGATGTGATCATTGGAATTGCCTTGGGGTCATACATCATTGATAATGCCAATTGGGTCGCTTCACAAATCAACACTGTCTTGACCGGCTGGACGGTGGAAGGATTACAGCGTACCATATCGTGGCTAATGGATTGGCCAGCCGGCTTGAAACTCAACAATGAGCTTGCAGCATTCCTTGGTGACCTCTTCCTGTGGGTCATTGAGAATTGGGCAGCTTGCATTGCCAACATTCAACCTTACCTTCCTGCTGTCATCTACATTGTCGGATGCTCAAGCTTTGCAGGAGCTAGCATGCCGATTGCTCTGTTCTCCGACCTCCTATCGATTCTGACGGTCCACATCTACTCCTTCTATATTGCCTCCGCTCGTATTTTCAACTGGCAACTCACGATTATCATCTCTCTTTTCCATCTGTTCCGTGGAAAGAAGCGCAATGTCCTTCGCAATCGAATCGATTCATGTGACTATGACCTCGATCAACTCCTTCTGGGCACAATCCTTTTCACAGTCCTGTTCTTCTTACTACCAACAGTAGTGGTGTTCTACTTGACCTTTGCCTCGGCCCGGATGTTGATCATTTCAATGAAGGCAGGGCTTGACACCTGCCTTGCATTCTTGAATCATTTCCCACTTTTCGCATTAATGCTCCGCGTGAAAGACTCGCGGCGGCTTCCAGGAGGGATTCAATTTGAGCTGCGGGATGAACCAAACAAAAGCCCTGATAACCCCGACTCATCGGCGCGGGTTTCATATATCCATCTCGAGGTATGTATTCATTTTCCGTACAACAGAAGTCCTCAAAAAGTCCTAACCAAATCTTTAGTCTATACCACTTCCACTGCGTGCAATGTTCGACCAGTATTTCCAGTTGGGCCACCGGCTCCGAAAACACTATCTCGCGCCTCGCGTCATCTTCTGCTTGGTGACAGGCCGCTTCGTGCCGCCCATTCACCGTCGCAACCTCTATAGCATGCAGTATAGCATGTTACCTGCTCGCCGGGCAAGTATGGCAGAGGTATGGGCATTGCTCACGCAGACGAAAAAGGGCAACGGTGGAAGCAGTGGCGCTGGGTCCATGGGTGGAGGGAGTAGTTCCATGAGCACCTCGGTGCCTAAGGTCCCGGCCAACTTCGGTCAAGGTGATCTTCGGAGACGGGGTCATCGCTGAGATTGACCAACAATCCTCCCTGTACATAATACCAATAATGGTTTACTACTGATTTGATATTCTTGGTAACGTCTCGGCAAGCCGAAGTAGAAAGACTAGTAAGATAGAGGATTCAATATACGCGGTCCAGAGATGAGATATGCTATTTACACAGAACAAAATCCAGAAAGCCCAAACCCCTTGAACGCCTGTATAGATCACATAGTATACATGGAAAATGCATGCCATCGCTAAAAAGAGGAATGGCGCCGACTTCAGCCTGCCCATACAGTCCTGTTCAGGACTTCTTCAGGAACTCTGCATCTGTTTCACTGCTGCCACTCTTTCGGGCATCTTCCACCATGACATCAATGCCCCTTTCCTTGAGGACTTTCTACGAACATCAAGATACTCCGGTTAGATGTAATTCTTGAAATGTAGCGCATACCGCACAGGACTCACATTCAAGCAACCCTTATACTTCTTGAACAATTCTTCGCAGTCATTTGATGAGGTGTTGCCACGCAGATATTCTGTTCTGATATTAGCTTATGCTGTATAAGCTGGTATGCTATGCCAAGGCATAGACACATACTTTCACTATACCACTTGAGAAAGCAAGTGTCATATTTCCTGCGTTGTCACATCAGCCTCTGCTTGATTTTGTTGGTAGCTGAGTATATTGACTTGGACTCACTCTTTGATATCGTTGCATTCAGGGGCGATGGAAGCTGCCATATCGAATGTGGCAAATATTGATTGAATTAAAATCCGATGACCTTCTAGACTTCTCACCTGTCAGGCTCTGTCTGCGTCGTTAGAAGGACATGAAGAAGTCACGCCTCGAGAGATCGTCAGAGTACATACAAATTTCGCCACTCTGGGAAGGCGGTCAGGGCGGGCCTACCATTTCTCCATTGTCATTTTCTTGCGACTTTTTTTTCGTTGGACCTGCCATTACATTTCTTCCTATTCGCCCTTTTTTTTCTCTGTATCCAGTGAACTGGAGCTCTGCTAGTCATCATGGACTCTGCAGAATTCAGCCCGTTTCAGGATAAATTAACCTCCGCCCTGGTGCAGGTTTCACGGACCGTCGGACAGCTCTCAGCGGAAGACCTCAGTTTCCATCACACCTCCACCAACGGCTTTTCCGAACAGCTAGACGTACAGACCAAGCGCATTATCGCACTGACGAACGCTGTTATCAAAGCTGCCACCGCTGACACTGATGTCAAGGGTCCGACACTTCAGGATGAGGACTCAATTGAGGATAATTGGCGCGGCGTGGTGGATGTGATTGATTCGCTGTTGGAAAAGGCCGATGCCTGTTTGGACGAGTTCACGGGAGTGATCAAAAAGCTCAGCCCCTCACAAGAAGAGCAGGCGCCGCCCCCCGTGAAGAAGACGCCTAACTTCCCGACTATCTACGACTACGGGCCGTCCAAAATTCCTAAGCCGCAATTGCTGTTCGAGCGCAAAGTTGATAACACCGATCTGGGTCCGTTTAAGCCCCTTTTGAGGTCTAAGCCCCATGCGATTGTGCCGTTGGAGAAGTGCTTGAAGACAAAGAAGCTGGACGGTGGAATTGGCTATCCTCACCCCTACGAGACGGAGATTCTTGCTTCAGAGTACCCGCAGTCGGTTTACCAGGTCTCCCCTCCGGTGGAGTATTTGCCTTTCGAGAGCACCACGGCTACTTTTGTGGATACTGTGGAGGGGGTCAAGGAAATGCTTGAGGAGCTCAAGCAGGCGAAGGAAATTGCTATTGATTTGGAACATCATGACGTGCACTCTTACCATGGTCTTGTCTCTTTGATGCAAATCAGTACCCGGGAAAAAGATTGGGTGGTGGATACTTTGCAACCCTGGAGAGAGGATTTGCAAATGCTGAACGAGGTTTTTGCTGATCCGAAGATCTTGAAGGTCCTGCACGGCGCTACGATGGATATCATCTGGCTGCAACGTGATTTGGGCCTGTATGTAGTCGGAATGTTTGATACGTTCCACGCTGCATCTGCGCTTGGGTTCCCAAAGCGAAGCTTGAAATTCTTGCTTAGCAAGTTCGTCAACTTCGAAGCTGATAAACGGTATCAGACGGCAGATTGGCGAGCTCGCCCCCTTCCGCAAGCCATGTTCGACTACGCACGGTCGGATACGCATTACCTTCTCTACATTTATGACCGCCTACGAAACGACCTCATCGACAGTTCGTCCGAAGAGGCGAGCCATATTGATTACGTCAATGAGCGATCCAAGCATGAAGCTCTGCAACGCTATGAACGCCCTGTTTACGATGCTGTCAATGGATACGGCCCTGGAGGCTGGTATGATCAGTTGTGGCGCAATGCGAGCAATCTCTCCAAGGAGCAATTTTCTGTCTTCAAGGCTGTTCACCAATGGCGCGATGAAGTAGCGCGCGCTGAGGACGAGGGATGGCAATGTGTCTTCCCCAAGCACATGCTCTTCAAGATTGCTACTGTCATGCCGTGTGAGATGGGAACTCTTTTCCGAACCCTATCACCCATGACCCCCATCACCAAGGAACGGTCACACGACCTTTTGGATGTTATCAAGAAAGCCAAGCTTGCCGGTATTGATGGTCCAGAATGGCGCGATGTTGCACCTCCGAAACACATTGCAAAGGCTGTAGAGACCGCCAAAACGGAAGCTGCACCTGCCGATTTCCCCATTGCTGAACGCTTAGAAACGTCTCAATTCTGGGGTAACGTTCTGGAAGCCAATGACACATCCATTCCTGCAGAATATGCGCTTGCCGCCACTGTCGAAGCCTTGCGCCTCTCACTCCCCATGCCACCCATGCCGAAGACCGTCTCAGAGACCCGGGAACATGTCCGTACGGCGACGGAACCTGCTCCCGCTCCCACTCCCACTTCCGCTCCCCAGGAGCCAGAGGAGAAGAAGTATTTCACCGTCAAGGACCTCGGCGGTCCTCGCAAACGCAAAGTCACCCCAGTCAACAACCCGGCGCAAGCCCTCTCCACCCCCGCCGACCTCGATGGCACACCCGACGACCCCTACGTCAATCAAAAGAAAAGCAAAAAGTCTCGCAAACAGAAGAAAGCCAAGAAATCGCAATCCGAGCCCGAGGCTGAGGCGGCTTTCGACTACGCCGCCGCCGATGCCGTTCTCAATGCGCCGTCAGCTGCCCCTTCTACCCAGCCTCGCAAGAAGGCCTTCAACCCATACACCAAAGCGATGGAAGCCCCCTCCGGCGCGCGGAAGATCAAGCGGGAAGTCCCCGGCAAGTCTCTTACGTTCCGTGATTAGACGGCTGGTCCGGAGTCAAAAAAGCATTTTACGAATGGGGTTTTGGTTGGTTTATGGTTTTATCATTTTATGTTAGCATAGCGATACCCGTGCGTCAGTTTGGGCCTCTGGGATTCTACTTTTACCTCTTGTATGTATACATGTGTGAATATCAGGTTCTTCTCGACAATGAGATACAGTGTACTAGGAAGTAAGTCACCTATGGATGCAATGATCCAAGGGATCTGTAACTAAGTAGTTACCAGCAACGTCCATGGAGTGGAGGTACCATTCGTCAGCTCGGAAGCCCCAGCCGGCAGCCGGTCATGGACGAGGGTGTATTTCTACAATAATCGGTTTTTATATGCAGGTAACCGTGAAAATAGACTGTGTAGGACAAGGGTACGTTGTCCCATCAGGGGTTGGCAAAGGATCTACAGAGCTTTGGCGTGTTTCATGCAGACGGGATAGCATGCATATTGGCCCGTGTGAATGATCGGCCGAGTTGATAGAAGGCATCCATGGATCTTGCCAGATTTAGGATTCTCGTTATTTTATTTTATTTTATTTTATGCAATTCCAACATGTGTGCAGTTGCATGTGCATACTTCATGTATCTCATGTGGTTTGTCTTTGATAAGGAGAGGGCAACCTTGTGAGTAAGAGAGAGAGTTAATTTTCTTTCCCCTCTCCCGAGTCCCACTATGACTCCACTTTTTGATTTACCCCTGAAGCATGGACCAGGAATGTATGTACTGTTGCACATGCAACGTCTGTGAGAAGAAAAAGAAAATTGGCAAAAGTGGATTCAGGACAACCCCCGCATAGTTTGCTTTTGATATTCTATTGTAAGGTTCAATCATAGAAAGGTTATGGCGGAAATAGGAAAGATGGCGGAAATAGGAAAGACTCTATGTTTGGTTCTTTGTTCCCATGTCCCAGTCCACTGGGACTAACCAGAACCATGGCTAGCGTTATCAATTAGACACATCCATAAGGAAACGTTCAAGGATTAGGTATGTCGCATGCAGTTGAGGCCGGAGTAGTCTGAGACAATTGCTACTCATGCACACTAGGTATGATAGGGAAGAATGAGGTTAAAATATCTAAACGGGTTGAATAATCATCCGTGTGAATGATTCAAATCCCGAGAGGCCATACTAAGGACATCCTCTTTTCATTGGATTTAATCATCGACCTTGGTCCTTGGATGAGCTGAATCAACCTGAAACTCGGGTACTATATCGAGTACTTCGTAGTCAGTTGCAAACACATTTATACAGGAGGAGAGAATATCAGCGATAGAATAAACATTCCTGAAACTCCCACATGGAGGGTCTCGTGGTCTTAGCTCGAGTGAGTGTCATATGGACGCAGGTACCAATTCGCCTTACCCCTGCAGATATGAGACCCGTATGACTTTGGACTTCCAGTATTGGCTTGGTTGAATTGGTTCATTTTTTGGTAGTTGATCGGCGATTTGCTTTTTACTCTCCCGCCAAAGCCGTTTGAGAAATAAGAGCAGATCTGACGTCAACTTAAACAAATCAGTACTTTGTAACGTGCACAGTCCGAGTAGGATGGAGCTAGTGCGCATGGACCAAATCCTCAGGAGAAGAAACCAGGATGTTTGATCGAGATCTTCCTATCAGAGAGGGTTAGGAAGCTTGGAAGCTTGGAATCTTAAGAATCTCCATATTGTGTTCGTAGTAAGGAGAAATAGAGTGAGCGTTCCACAGTTCCACAGTTCCAAACGGCCAAGTGGCAAAATGCATCATTGGGCCAGGGGTAAAAAGATGTACTTTGGATAGATCACTAGACCCTTTCTCCCCTTGCATAACAAAACACAACCGACGTATCATTCCCACTTTTCTTTTTTCTTTAAACATGTAAAGATGAAGAGAAAATCAGAAGGAATATACTTCAGAGAAGAAGAGTCAGTATAAACGAGTAGAAAAAGAGCTAAAATTAAAAAGTCGGGAAAAAAAAAGTAGGAATCCACATCATTGTTTCCCCAGAACCGCCCTAACAGCGAACTAACGAAATAATAATCTCCCCTCTTTACATGTTCCCTCTCTCTTAACCTTCCCCCTCTCTTCTTCAATCCCTTGATTCTCTAATATCTTTGAACCTTGAATCTTGAATCTTTGAATTTCTTAACTAAATCGTTCCCTTCACTCTGATTCGCCCCGCCATTGCCCCGTACCGTGGTTACCAAGAAACTCTTGAATTTGACCCGAACCCCCTGTCGAACAGATCCTCGGTACGGATCACCCTTCACATCCGTTTCCTTCTTTTCCCTTCGGTACACTCCTACCAGGGGCATCTTCCGCTCTCTGGAACACAGTCCTTCCCGCGAATTTCCCTGTGACGTCCGGCAATTCGATCGCCAGTGCCGCTCGACATCAGGCCTACGACGACCCCTCGTCACCTCCCATCAAACACAATGTCCGTTGCGACGATGCTTCAACCTGCATCTAGACAATCGCGGGCATCCTCCTCCTCTTCCTCCTCGTTTCAGCCCGTCGCACGACAGAACACAATGTCGTCGCACGACACTCGGTCGCTCCGCCAATCCAAGCGGATGTCGGTCACGGCCCTGTACCTGTCTATGTCCGCTAAGGATCGAGACTTGGAGATTTCCGATGATTTGTCACGAGGTAGGTCCTTGTAATTCCCCGTTCAAGGGTGAATGGTCGCGCTAACTCTCCGAAAGCACAAAAGCATCTACGGGACTTGAAGTCAAGGATTTCATCGCAATCGAAAAAGAACTTCGTGTTGGAGAAGGATGTGCGATACTTGGACTCACGAATTGCATTACTTATTCAGAATCGAATGGCGTTGGAAGAGGTATGAATTATGGTGTTGGGCAGAAATAGATCTGTCCCGTTGCTAATTTGTTACCCTCTTCCCCTGCTATAGCAAAACGAAGTCGCCAGCCATCTCGATGATACCGCAGACCCACAGGAAGGATTCTTCCCCAACGATGAACGAACCCAAAAATACGGCAATCTTCTTTTCCTCTTGCAATCCGAACCCCGCCACATCGCTCATCTGTGCCGCCTCGTCTCCATGGCCGAAATCGATTCCCTCCTCCAGACCGTCATGTTCACGATTTACGGAAACCAGTACGAGAGCCGCGAAGAACATCTCCTGCTCACTATGTTCCAGTCCGTTCTTACCTACCAATTCGATAACACACCCGAGTATTCGTCTTTGTTGCGCCAAAACACCCCGGTTTCTCGAATGATGACTACGTACACACGCCGTGGTCCGGGCCAGAGTTACTTGAAGCAGGTTTTGGCAGACCAGATCAACGCTCTGATCGAGTTGCGGGACGTGGATTTGGAGATCAACCCGCTGAAGGTCTATGAGAGTATGATTAAGCAGATCGAAGAAGAGACCGGCTCCCTGCCGGATTACTTGGCCCGATCTGTGACAGCCGAGGATGCTGCCGACAACGCGCAGGTGCAGGCTATTATTGCCCCACGCCTGAAGATGTTGACGGACATTGCGAACGGTTTCATCACAACCATTATTGACTCGGTGGACGAGGCTCCGTATGGTATCCGGTGGATCTGCAAGCAGATTCGCAGTTTGTCACGCAGAAAGTACCCCGATGCTCAGGACCAGACGATCTGTACCTTGATCGGTGGCTTCTTCTTCCTGCGCTTCATCAACCCTGCCATTGTTACTCCTCGGTCATACATGCTGATCGATGCCACGCCCACGGACAAGCCTCGCCGTACCCTGACTCTGATTGCCAAGATGATTCAGAACCTTGCCAATAAACCTTCTTACGCCAAGGAACCTTATATGGCCAGCCTGCAGCCCTTCATCCAGCAGAACAAGGAACGCGTCAACAAGTTCCTGCTTGATTTGTGTGAAGTGCAGGATTTCTATGAGAGTCTTGAGATGGACAACTACGTCGCCCTGTCGAAGCGAGATCTCGAGCTCCAGATCACTCTCAATGAGATGTATGTCATGCACGGACTTTTGGAGAAGCACGCCGCGGCGCTCGCCCAGGATCAGTACTCGCATCTGTCTGTGTTGCTGCAAGAATTGGGCGGCGCTCCTCCTCAGGTTCCTCGTAAGGAGAATCGAACCATCACGGTGCCTTTGTTCAGTAAATGGGAGATTGCTCTCGATGATTTGACAGCCGCTCTTGACATTACCCAGGAAGAAGTATTCTTCATGGAGGCCAAGTCGACCTTTGTCCAGATTCTTCGATCACTTCCTCATAACTCTTCGGTTGCTCGCCGACCCCTACGACTTGACCGCATTGCTGAGGCAGCAGCCACCTTGAAAAATGATGCCGTTATGGTGCGGAAGGGCATCCGAACGATGGAACTTCTCAGCCAGCTCCAAGACATGGGTGTGATTGATCGCTCCGACGAGTTCAGTTTGCTTCGAGACGAAGTCGAGCAAGAGCTTGTGCACCTGGGCTCCCTGAAGGAGAAGGTGTTGGATGAGACCCGGAAGCTTGAGGAAGTTTTCGCGACCATCCGCGACCACAACGCTTACCTGGTTGGCCAGCTGGAGACCTACAAGTCTTACCTGCACAACGTGCGTAGCCAGTCCGAGGGCAAAACCCGCGGCGGCAAGACGCCGAAGAATCAGGAACTCGGGCCATACAAGTTCACCCATCAACAGCTGGAGAAGGAAGGTGTCATTCGACGCAGTAATGTGCCAGAGAATCGACGGGCGAACATCTACTTCATGTTCAAGAGTCCGTTGCCAGGGACTTTCGTCATTAGTCTCCACTACAAAGGACGCGCCCGTGGATTACTCGAGCTTGACCTTAAGCTGGACGATCTCCTGGAGATGCAGAAGGACAGTCTCGAGGATCTCGACCTGGAGTATGTCCAGTTCAATGTCACTAAGGTGCTTACGCTCCTTAACAAACGATTTGCACGAAAGAAGGGCTGGTAAATGCGCCGCCCTTTTTGATGAATTATGAGCTCGATCAAAGAGCTCCCCATGCAACTTACCATGCCCTCGGTTCTGTCCAAGTGGACTCGACGGGGCCCCATCCCTTAATCTCTGATGATCATGGACAGAAACTGTTCAACTCCACTGGACGATGGACCTGATGACTCTATACAACGAATCCGACCTATCCGTCCATGCTCGGGCAAATGCCCTGTGTGAATGTTGCTGAATACACGAACATACCCTGAAGAACGATCGCGTCTCACCCCGCTGGTACGGGGGATTGTCGGATCTGGTGATTCTTTTTCTACGTTCTCATTTCTTTGACCCATTACCCCCGTCCTGTCTCTGATATTGCCCTTTCCTTTCTATCTCTCTCCTCATCCTTTCAGTCTATACCCAGCGCATATTGTTTTCTCCATTTTCCATTTTCCTTGGGACTCCGAGTCCTATAATTCCATCATGTCTTTTTGTTTTGCGTGCTCATCACCGCCTAGGCCACTGGTCTCCATGCGCTGTGTATAATAATGTCTGTTTGCGATGTTGACTTTTGTTCTGAATTGAATACCCGTATGTTTTTGTGGAGTTTTTTTGGTTCTTATTGTACAGTCTATATAGCAGATCACAAATTCATTTCGGAATTTCCCCTTGAGCAACTGTGATCTCCTCTCGTGTCTGTCGGTGTCCACTGTGATGCAGAGTGGATATTCGTCACTGACTTGACACCGCCACGTTTGCCCCTCGTCTGCCCCTTTCTTCCTTGTTTCTTGGTCTCGGTGACTTTGGTGACTGGTGACTCGGTCTGTGAGAGAGTGATTTCTGAAACATCTAACGGACAGTGTCTGGTAGGACAATTCTCACGGAATTGAAGCCGGGAAGTATTTTCTAGATAAGAACGACATAACTTCATCGGTGGCCATTAGACCCCAAATACCAACCCAATAGATAAGACGGTGGTGAATATGTAAGAGAGAATGTCATAGTTGATGCTGCACAGTAATTTCTACTAACCCTAAACCAAATATACTGTGTACCGTGGATTTTGTTGTTCGGTCATAAGTTTGGATCTCCCAGAGAGTTTTTGATCTTAAAGACTAAAGTGGCCACTTGCATCTTCCCCTCCGCCTCCCGCTCTTTTTCCACTCTCCCTTCACTTCCCTTGACCCGATACCTCCTCCCCCATCACAGACTCACAATGGCAGCTACAGAGGCTCAGTTGCCCACCGACCCGAAGTACGACCAGTTCGACTTCCCCACCACCGCTCCCGAGGCCCAGCCTGGCCACCCCGGCCACACCTCCCCCGAACAGGATGCAAAGGTGCACCAGCTCCGCGCTGAGCTCGAAAAGCTCGGCTTCACCGAGCGTTTGGATACTTTGACCCTCCTGCGTTTCCTCCGCGCCCGCAAGTTCGATGTCGAGCTTGCCAAGGCTATGTACGTTGTTTTGAATCCTGCTTTCGGAATCCGGAGAATCTGGATTATTTGTTGTTCTCTCTTTCGAGCCGAGTGAAGAGCGTCGAGCCCCGGCTCTTTTGCTCAAGATTTCCATGAGTCTGGTATACTGATCTGATGTTACAGGTTCACCGCGAGTGAGGAGTGGCGCAAGAAGTTCGGCACCGATGACCTAGCCCGCACCTTCAACTACACCGAAAAGGAGGAGGTCTTCAAATTCTACCCCCAGTACTACCACAAGACCGACAAGGTTGGTTCGCTACCACATAAATATCACCACAAACTCGTTACTGACACCGCAATCCCTCCCAGGATGGCCGCCCCGTCTACATCGAGAAATTGGGCAAGATCGACCTGAACCAGATGTACAAGATCACCACCGCCGATCGCATGCTGCAGAACCTGGTGACCGAATACGAGAAGCTGGCCGACCCCCGCCTGCCCGCCTGCTCACGCAAGGCCGGCAAGCTCCTCGAGACCTGCTGCACAATCATGGACCTGAAGGGCGTCGGCATCACCAGCGTTCCCTCCGTGTACGGATACGTCAAGCAAGCCTCCGACATCTCGCAGAACCACTACCCGGAGCGCCTGGGCAAGCTGTACCTCATCAACGCACCCTGGGGCTTCAGCAGCGTTTTCAGCGCCGTCAAGGGCTTCCTCGACCCCGTCACCGTTAACAAGATCCACGTCCTCGGCAGCGGATACCAGAAGGAGCTGCTCTCCCAGGTTCCGGCTGAGAACCTGCCCGTCGAGTTTGGCGGCACCTGCCAGTGTGCTGGTGGCTGTGAGCTGTCCGATATGGGACCGTGGCAAGAGGCTGAGTGGGCTCGACCCCCTAAGTGGGCTGCTCCTAAGGCAGAGGCCACCAAGGAGGTTGCTGAGCCTGTTGTGCAGAATGAGGATCCTGGATACGAGAAGAAGGATGCTGAGGGTCAGGAAGGTGCTCAGGCTAGCGCCTAAGTTGGCTTTCTTTTTTTGTTTCGTTCGATCTAGATATCACCGAGGGCTTGCTGCTTGTTTTGTTTGTTTTTTGCCTGCTGCTCTCCACTATAGAAGGGACAGGATGTGATGGAATTTAAAAAGCGAGTTGATGTTGGTGTTTAGCATGTTGCTTGTTGCTTGCAGGTGTATACACGAATGAGCACATATCGAAATAGCTGCCATGTTGAGGATTTGTGTTTCCCGGTTAAAGCAGCAATTCATGAAGCATAGAAGACGGACCAAGAGTACGAAAGACATTCCCTCTAGGTATGGACATGGCAGACTGGAACTGGCATAGAATTGGACAGGATCTCGACTTTAAAGCCGAATAAACAAGACATGGTATCATGATTCCCCAGGACAAGTCCCCCAAACGCCTTTGCAAAAGCAAAACATAAGAAAAGCAGAAAAAAAAAACCGCTACTCCAAAGCCCTCCCTTACTTCGTCATATTTTCCACCACTTCCGCAGCACGCCCAGCCCTCTCAGCCTTACCAACAGTACTCGCCAACGCATTACCTTCATCACCAACCTCACTAGCATCCCCCTCACCCTGCAACCTTAACAGCATCCGCAAAGCATCCTCATAAACCCCCGCAACATCGCCACTCTTCCACCTCTCCTGTTCCGCCTCCGTCCCAAGCTCAACCTGCAAAGTCCACGCCGGGTCGTACTTAGCGGGTCGAGACTGCGCCGACCCGGCCTCTGCACCCGTAGAATCACCACCGCTGGGAATTGTGCCCTCCGATTGACCCGGCAAATTTCCCCCAGCCCCATCCATCTCCTCGTCTTCCTCTTGAATAATCTTGTTCAACTGCGCAGCATATTCCTTCGCCGCCCGTCTCGGCGCGTCCCGTCTCTGCTGCGCGACTGTCGTATTAAGCGATTCCAGCTGTGCATACAGCGCTGCCACGCGCGCTGCGAGTTCTGTGTCGAAGGGCTCGTACTCGATTTGTTCGGTTGGCGCGGTGAAGGCTGCCGGGAAGGGGAATTGGGGGGATGAGGAGTCTAGGCCGTTGATGCTGATTGATGAGGATGCTGATTCGAAGGTTTCGTTTATGTACTGTTTTTTTGGTGAGTTTAGATATAGGTCCTGGTGGGATTGGTGGTTCTCACCTCGTCGACTAGCTCCCGGACGCGTTCGCGCATCGGATCTGGGGCTTCATTGTCTGTTGCGGAAGGGGGGAGGTGGAGGTCGAGTTTTTGGCGGGAGAGCGCGACTGTGTTGGCGTAGAGATAGGTGAAGTCTGCTGGAGACTGAAGCTCGATTTTTCGGTAGTGTGGTGCTGCCATTGTTTACTTGGAGAGGTTTGTGTTTGGTTTGGGCTTTTCCGCGATTGTTGCTGGGAGTCTTGGCGCGAGATCCCCGCAAACGATGTCATCGATGTTGCAGCCGGACTGGTCTTGCAGCTCTTTATTGCTTCTTTTCCTCCTACTACTTCTCTATTCCTTTTGTTCGGATACATCATTCTGCCTTTTTTATTTTTATTTGATCCGAGTCATACCACCCTCTCTTGAGATAATGCCAGCGCAGTATACTCAGTGATAATCCATAGGGCTCGGCAGTCCCTGGGAATGGGTCAACACTCTTTGTATGCTTAACGATACACCTGCCCACAGAGAATATGGAGAACGAAGCGTCTATCTCCCTCGTGGATAATACTGTCCCACAGCAACCTGCCAGCGAAGGACCCAGACCCACATCCACACTTGATCGACAAGTGAGCCTGTCGAAACACCTGAGTCGCGCATCTGTCCACAGCCAACTTGCAAAGCGGAAGTACGCAAAGTGGCAGCCGGATAGACTCGGCATCGCCACAGATACGAGTGGTTCAGCTAGCCGCGAACCGTCCCAGGTGCGTGGGGAGCCGTTATCAGCAAGCTCCACCGGAGAAGGCAGCGGAGCCAGAGATGTCGACACAGCCGACTTTGCACCGTCCCGAGTCTCGACTAATACCGGGGATGATAGCGGAAATGGTCAAGTGAACGGGCCCGGAGAGCAGACCAACGGGCGCGAGGATACAAAACCGCGCTCGGAATTGGACATCTTATATGAGAACCAGCGGGGCTGGTTCTTCTTCGGTGTACCACGCTACTCTCATAGCTCGCTGCTGAACTTGGATCCCAGCGCCTGGATGACCCAGGACCGCAGAGCCAGTCCTGTCAATATCACGAATGCCCAACTGCCCGATCCGAGCTGGGAATGGGCTTGGAAGACATGGTATGTCGACATGTCCGGTGATACCGATGAGCAAGGCTGGCAATACTCGTTCTCCTTTGCGTCCTCTTCGTGGCATGGTACACAGCCGTGGTTTCATTCTTTTGTTCGGAGGAGGCGATGGGTGAGACTACGGATTAAGGTTGCTGAGCGGCGGCACCGCGGTCGTTCAGACTTTGAGAAGTCGCATTTGCTTACTGAGGACTACTTTACGATTCATTCATCTAAGGACAAAAGCCGGGAGCAGAGCATTGAGGCACTGTCCCGGGTGGAGTCTGGGTTTTTGAGCCGTGCGAATGTGATTGTTGAGGAGGAACCGCATGTCGATGAGATTGGGGATATACCCAGTTTGATGCATGCTTTGAAACTAGCTTCTATTGACCGGGAGAGGATTCGTGTCTTGAAGAAGTTTGTCGAGGATGGAGGCGAGGAGCTATATTACTTGAATGACAAGGTGAGTTCAGATATTCCGACCCATTTACTCTGGTCGAAATGGTCTAATTCTGGTGAAACAGATACCGGCAATCATGTCCATGTTCCTGTTCCAGACGTCTCGCTGGCAATTCGTGACGTATCTTTCTAATGTCATCAGCGAGTTGTCCAAAGCTCCCACCGATTCGGACAAAGACGCAGATGCAATCCAACGCAAAAGGGATAATCTCGCTCGTGCTGCCGAATCTTGCAAGCGGCACATTACCGGACCAGATATCTTTAAAGATGACCATGGAGAATCAGCAACAGAATTGTTAGATTTGTCGTCGGTAGCCAAGCATGACACACTCAAGGCCCAGCGGCCTGTCTCGGAAGAGCGCTCAAGACCGAGGCGGAGTTTCAGGGGGATTCCCAAGGCTGCTGAGGTTGGCCGTGAAGGTCACATATATTGAATTATTGATGTATGAAGCAACCCTGTACAGACGAAATAGATTATCATTATGCTCCTATCAGTGTGGGAGAATGGCGAAGTACGCAGTAGACTCCGTAGCCGTCGGCGATCCGGCAGAGCCAAGCTCCACCACCGCCTTCCCGTTTAGCGGCAGCCAATTTTCGGGGCAAAAAAGGTCTCTCGTAGAAAAACACCTCAACAGCAACGCGCCCCAATCCTCATCTCCTGTTCATTCATGTCTCCGGTGCCATCAGAGCATCGATCCTTATGCTCTCGTCTGGTGGCCCGTGTCTAAGGAGGCGTCTGTCTGCCGTCTTGGACACCGTCGCGACTGGCCCGGATGAACCTCTTCTCTTCCTCTATCCCCGCTGGGCTGCGCCTACCTTACAGCAACGTCGGGTGTCTTCCTTGAAGCCGGTCAAAGCTTCAGGGGGGGGAGGCAATAATAATTCCGGTGCCCCATTTCGCCCAGCAGCCCGCCCCTGTCCCTCGCTTTCTCGGCACTCGCGCCAATGGATCTCTGGGTCTGCATCCCGATTATCTCAAGCCTCGAGCCCGCAATTGTCTGAAACGAGCAAGGATATTGAACATAATCTGGGTGAGAGACATGGAGGACAGGTCTCGGCAGAGCGGGAAGCCTCTGCCAGCTCACCCGCGGATGCCAAAAGCGCGACTGCCAGACCACTACGTGGATTCGCTCTTGTTAGAGCGAAGAGAATACAGAAGAGTCGAGCGCACAACAAAACGCCGAGTGCCAAAACGCCGAATGCCAAACCTTCAACTCCCACCAAGAACCAACTGGCTCTACGCAACACGTCGATTCGAGATCGGAAGAAGTTACGGTTTCGTGCATATATGAAGAAACAATATCAAAAGCGTTCGACGACGCTCATTGACAAGGCTTGGTTCGATACGAAGGACGTGTTGGACGAAGTGTACCTCGGGAACCCAAAATACGCCAAGAAGGTATCACAGAACAAGAAGGAGATATATGTCCCAGAAGAGACCCTTGCTCTGTTTGCAGGTGTGACTCGGTATACCCTGAAAGAGAATATTTGGTACATCCCGCTGCATAATGGGTGCCGTGTGCACATCCTGCCTGCGAGCCAGAGCAAGGGATTACTTCGTCGAGTCGTTCTGAGTGCGACGGATCATATCATGGAGCTAGTGGAAGGGCATTTTACCCGCGCGCAGAGCTTACAGGCTATGGGAGACCCCCTCGTTGACATCCACAAACCACCAGTTCCGATGTGCATCTCTCGGGGCGCGATGGAACGTTCGAAACTCCCTGTGCCATTGATCCGGGGACACTGGCATTTCGGTGAACCGTCGGGTGGCAACTCGAATTTGGATGAGATTCTGCTGCATCGTCCGAACATCGCCACTGTGAAAGAGTTCACCGAGTACGTCGAGGATCTCACCTCTGCGAGGGCCCCGACCCTCGATGAAAAAGCCATGTCTCGATCAAAGCTTCCGCACGTGGTTCGGATTAAGCAACAGCTGAAGGCACTATTCTTGCACGAAGCGAATTATAATTATATCTCGACTGCAGCTTTGAATGCTGCATTGGATTACCTGTGTCGACATGAGTTCCTGGATACTGCCCGAGATTTGTGTTCATTCACAGAACATGTGGCCACAACTGATACATACAACATACTCTTGCGGGCCGCTGCGCGGCGTCAGGATGTGGCTGTCTTCCGTCACTTCCTGCGGACGATGCCCCGATTACACATGCGTCCAAACCCGGAGACATGGCTTGCATTACTCAGCGCCCTGGTCAACCCCAGTGAGAAAGCTCAGCTCATCGAACATATGGTACAGGGTGGTCACATGTCCAGTATCTCGACCATCCATAGCGCGCTCCAGGAGACTATACAAGATTCGCTTTTGGTGCACTTGGACAGCGGAAAAGATATTGACTCTTTTGTTGACCTCATGACGAGTACATGGGGAGCCAACTGGTTCAGCTCTTCGGTGATCGGCCAGATGTTCAGCGTGGTTGCTCGATTGAAGGATTTCTCTTCCGTTGACCGGCTTATGGAAATCTGCATCGACAACAATCTCGCCGTTGACAGTTATGCGCTCACCCACATCGTGCAAGCGCTGGGTTCAAATATCCATCTCGCTTTGCAATATACTCTCCGCTTCTTCGAAATCCCATTTTTCAATGTGTCTTCAAGGAATTGGGAGGATTTGTTCTTGGCTGCATTCCGGAATCGCCACTACAACCTCTGTCTCGTGATATGGCGGTATGCATGCATGAAAAAGACCGTCACGTACAAGATGCAGCAGGCTGTCTTGACTTCACTGTGTCGCAATGCGTCCCGTGGCCACTCCAAGGATCTCAGCAGGAACCTGTGGGATTCCGACGCGGGTAAAGTCATTATCGGTATTGACTTGCATCATGAAAGTTACTCGCTTCCCGATTCCATTCTGAACGATCTTCCCTCCGAATACCGGCACAATCCAGTCCAATATCTTATTGGATGGAAGCCCAGCGGCGAAAAGCGGAATCTCCAAGTGCGGCTCGCCAATGCCCTCGTCAAGCGTGACATTGCGCTCGGTGCAAGCCGCTATCTGCCACAATATCCTTCTCCAATCATGTTGGATGCAGCGTCAATCTTGGATAAGGAATGGCGTGGTATCCCGCGTCCTTTAGCTTGGAAGATGCAGAACGCCATCCACATTCCCATCGTGCGCAAAAACCAGGACCGCGACTAAGACCAAGGTCGAGGCTTTGGTCGTCTCTTTTGCATTTGTGCATTTTGCGCATCTCTTTTCATTTTCTCCCATCTGTTTGAAGCTAGCGTGTTGCATCATATCCCATCTGGCGGACCTATCTTGGCTGTTCGTTTCTTGTACTCTATCTAGTCCGAGATTCCGCCACCACCTGTATATTATACCTGTACATCATCTGAAAATATAGAATCATAGAGCTGTGTTGTGCAGAAGTCTCTCAAATCTATTATACATCCTACATCCCATTGTAACCCAGACCATTCCCCATCCAACACCATCAAAACCTAAGCAAAGCATCCAAATCATTCATAAACACATCATGTCCAACCCCAATACCAATACCAACACCAACACCACTACCACAATGAGCTTCCTCTAAAGCAAAATCCCTACACAAAAGTCTCGGATCACAAGCAGCTGTCCTCTCCAATCCAACCCTTTTATCCAAAGACACTAATGACTCGTCCCAAGGAGAAGTCATAGATACACCACTCCCCTCCAAACAATCCATATTCCCACAATCACCAGACTTAGACCTCTCTTCCACAACCTCCTCCTTCTCTGCCCTCACAGTCCCCTCCCCCTCCGAAGGACACAGAGAAGATGGCAACAACCGACTTATCTCCGAGTATGCCGAATACAAAGCACTCCAACGTGGTACCACGTGATCAATTCCCAGCGGCAGCGGCAGCACATCTGCCTTTTTTTGCGTGATATCTTGGTTTTCGTTGTGATTCTTGGACTTGGACTGTTGGTAGTGATATCGGCTGGGTCTATAGTTCAACTGAAGTTTAGTTCCGGGGTTATCCGTACAGGTATGAAAATTATGATTCATAGCTGTTTCCATCCACGTTCATGTCTGTACGAACCTTTCACTCGGTATGCGTATACATGGACGCGCTTCTTTCCGACAATGCGTGCATTGGGAAGATGGTGGTGATATCTCGCAGCGCTTCTTGCGCGCGTGGCAGGCTGTACAGGCTGTTTTGCTTCGGCGTTTGGTTATCCCTGCTGGATGGAGGGTTTGGAGGGAGGGTGGATTCATTGCTTGTGAGTTTGGGACTTTTTCAATGCCAATGGGGTAGGTATGTGATAAACTGATAATGTAGCTCGTTCCATGGCTCTTCAAGGTCAGAAAAAAGTGACTATCACATGTCAGTGCGTGCTGATGCATGTGATAGTGCATTGTGAGGCCTTGGTGCCTGATTTGGGTATACACAGTAATTTAGTTCCGGTTTCTTTTTTTCTTTCTGGATGGAAGTGTATAAGACAAGACGTCCCGCACTGCGGCACTGGTAAGTTAGGTAGACTTGATTACCTAGTTTGATTCCATTTGGACGCGAGATATGTACACATATTTCTGCAGTCACTGGAGTTTGTCACTTTGTGCTCTCCGGGTGGGAGATGGAATCTCATAGGGAAGAAATTAGGGCTACAGACTAGACAGACAAGCCCTACTTACCTAACTATTCCAAGTCTGATAGTAGATTGACAGTCAATCCAACCATGCTATTCGCATAATACGAACAAACCATCCACCTGATCTATACCCCGCCACAATAAAGTGCCAAGACAACAATTCCCAGTCTCACCCATACGCATTGGAAACAATCACGCCTTCGAACCACTTCCAAGTCTTCAGAAATACCTATTTCCTACAGGCATGGCATCAGAAACCACCAAATTATTCCCCTACACCGGCAGCTGCCATTGCGAACAAGTCACCTACACAGCAAAGCTCTCATCGCCCATAGAAGAGCAAGTCGTCAATACATGCAACTGTACAAAGCCCCAACTCCCCAAGTACCTAGCAAGACCGAGCAATCCAACAAAAGCAAGCCAACACTAACACATTCAGGCTCGATCTGTAGTATCAATGGCTATATTTTAGTCTACGTTCAAAAGGACAATGTGACATTCAATGCTGCGGATGGAGTTATCAAGGTCTGTACATCTATATTGGTCTCGTTCATGGATTACGCTGAGATAGGTATATGGAACTACAGGAGTACAGGTTCGGAACCATGAAGTTTCCACACGGTTTCTGTTCAAACTGCGGGACTAGTGTTTATGCTCGGGCTGACGGGGGAGAATATGAGGGGATTGTGGCTGTTAATGTAAGTCTTACTGTCTTGTAGGGGAAGGTTGTGACTGGGTTTGTTGGCTTATGGTGAACAGGGACGGACTTTGAGGAATGTTGATATCAGTACGCTGAGGATTGAGGAACTTGATGGGAAGAAGATCAATGTTGGCTAGGAATGGATCTATGTGTTGATGCTACAGGTAGGTGGAGGATTCAGGATATGTATCTGGTGCATTGGATGAATCAAACCTAGGTAGAAGCTCGAAGCAGTCAGGGGCTGGAGCGGGTGTATGCCGTAGCCCACAACACAACCTACACTATGCCCGGAACTTCGTTATATCTACTTGGCTCACTACATAAGAGAATTGGATGGAAGAACCGCCATATAACCAAGTCATCGTGAAAATCATGAGGTAGTCGGAATTACTCTAATGGTCGTGTATGAGAGGATCAGAGATCTAACTAAAGGGGTATGTCGCAAACCAACCGGGTAAAATGCAAATAGAAAAACATCGCTCAAACGCCCATATCAGTCATCTTGAAAACCCCGATCAGACCACTTATCCAAGATCTTCGAGACATTCTTGAGCGTGACAGGCTTGGTCAGGAACATGTCCATCCCTGAACTAAGAGCTTCCAGCTCGTCGTTAGAACCGCTTAGTCCGGTCAGCGCGATGATAACGGCGGGCTGCGAGTATGGGCCGCGCTGCCTTTCCAGAGTGCGGATTGATCGCGCAGCATTGAAGCCGTCCATAACTGGCATGGAGATATCTATGGTCTACGTTAGTCATTTGCTGGAAGATGGCGATGAGAGACTAGCTTACCCATGAAAATGATATCGTAGCCTTGTGGCGCTTGCTTCACCGCATCGACGGCGAGCTGGCCGTTCTCGGCGGAGTCAAGGGTGTCAAGTTTTCGCTTTTTGAGGAATGCGAGCATGAGGTTGAGGTTGATTTTGTTGTCTTCGACTACAAGCACCCGAGGTGTACAGGATCTCGGGGGCATTTCGGCGGCCTCAGTAGATGAGGGGACTGGAGCGGATTCGGGGGGTTCGGTTCCGATGGAGGGAGGTGGAGTAGGTGAATTGAGTGAAATGGAAGGGACGTCATCCAAGTGTGATGTTTCGGCATTTTCCTTCGGGGCCATATCTCCATCAGACGAGACTTCGACAGACTCCGATGAAACCTCCGTATCTTGTTCAGACGTGATCGTTCGGTCCGGGAGACACAAGGAAGAACCTTGCTCAAAGCATTTCCGAATGAATCGAGCTAGTTTGTGCGGGCCACATGGACGACTGACGATGCTCACGACCTTGGCGAGCGAGGACCATTTCGCCCGAAGGGAATTGTGGCCGACATACCTGCAGCTCAGAACGAGCACGGCTTGCTGCTTATCCGAGAAGCCCCAGTTCTTATCCTTTTCCACCGGCAACTCTTCGACCAGGATGATGTCGATGGGCGCTCGTGACGACGACGAAACAAGCTCGAGACCATACCAGCAGGTCAAGTAACGAGACACAGGGCCCCATAATGGATGGTTGGGGGCGTCATCGGGTTCCACGCCCAGGATGGCGACTTTGCGACCGGCGTTATTGTCCCGCAACAGTCGTACGTCGTTCGTGATCGAGTCGGTTTCCTCCTGCGGAGGCGATGGTATGCCGTCAGAAACCTCACTGTAATCCTCATGCTCTTCGCGGGTCAGTGGTAGAACCACCTTGACAGTTGTCCCCTCGCCCGGACGACTGTCGACATTGACACTTCCGCCTAGCGTTTTGACGAGGCTGCGGACGATAGAGAGGCCTAGACCGGTTCCGACAGACAGACTGTTCTCTTGTGCGAATGGAACAAACAGCCTTCCTCGCAGGAAGTCTGCGGACATGCCCCTGCCTGTGTCGGTGACAGTCAAAGCAATCAGATCTTCTTTCATCCCTTGCGGTTGAGACCAGTTCTCCGGTGCTTTTTTGGCCTCCAAATGCAGCGAAACGTGACCAGAATCGGTGTATTTGACCGCGTTGCTGAAGATATTCATAATTATGCGCCGGAGAGCACCAGGGGGCGTGTAGTAGACCCAGTCATTTGGCTCGATGTCAATGATCACGTCGACATGCAGCTGGGGGATATTGAGGCCCTCTGGGTTCTTCGTTTTAGTCAAGGCGGCCCCCGACGGGTCAGCGGGAGCCACGGGCCGCTGGCTGTAGGAATGTCCCAGACTAACACCCTCCACAACCTCTTCAGTCAGGAGGGAGATGTCCGTTGTCATGTACGTATCCAGATGACCGGCAGAGCGCTGCATACTCTGGATATCCATGTGTGGTGCAAGGTTCTTCTTTAGATGGCGTAGGTCCTTTTCCAACGAGACGAGCTTAGTATAATCCAAGACCTGGTTCATCGTGTCAAGTAGTGTTCGACCACATGCATTGATGGTTTCCAGAAGGGAGCCCTGGAAATCATCAAATAGAGTGCTCTGTAGCAACTCCGCTGCCGCCATCACTCCATGTAGTGGGCTGCGCAGTTCATGCCTGAAAAGCAAAGTTAGTCATTGCAACCGGGCAGAGCTAGTGTTCCAGCCATGAAAAGACTTACGATACGCTGCCAAGGAAGTCTGCCTTTTGCCGATCAGATATATGTGCTTCGATTCGATTACACTCAGCCATGATTGAGGATCCAAAGCCCAGTACCGAACTCAGCTCCACAGAGGTATCGAAAACAATGCTTTCGACATTGTTCCAGCAGAAGCAACCACCAAACCATTGAGAGTTGGCCGCGTTCCACAAAGGCACGAACATAACCTGAGTCGCACCAGGGAAAAAGCGATTCAATAATGTGTTTTCGGTGGTTTTCCATTTCTGCGGTCGTTTCGATCTCCTGTGCTCTTTCCGTATCCGGGAACGGCTTTCGCGGGGCGAGTCTTCGCTATCCGAGCTAGAAAGCAGGCCGTCTCGATGGAAAGACCATATCTTACCCTGAGCATAACGATTGAGCAGACCATGCATAAAGACCTGGTCTATCCCGGACACCGGGAACTGCGCCATTGAGCCCGTTGCAGGGCCCAAGGCGTTATCACCAGTGGAGATACTCAAGACAGAGGCAGCTCTGCTACCTTCCAGGGCATTATCACTGTTCGCCTCGTAGTCGAGGGCGGTATCGCTGCCGCCTTCCACGAAGACAACACCGCTGTCGCCGTCTAACTCTAAACTCTCTCGGATCAAGTTTGCCGCTCGTTGGAAAGTATAGGTGTTGTCTATGTGCTCGTCTCTCGATTTGTGCCTGTTACCGGTTCGCAAGCCGGGGAATCGAGAATCAACGCTAGAGCACAAGGAGCGATCGCCTCTGCTTTCTCCCATCGAACTAGTAGAGCCGGCGTCGCTGGCGGGGGAGCCGGATCGCCGAGAAGACTGGTTCTGACTGGTAACGGATAGACGACTAGCCCTTGATCTGGAGGTGGGAGGCGTGGTATATTGCAGGTCGATGGTATTTGAAGCTGAATCCTCGAATGTATCCAGGAAGCTGGATCCTCCCTCGACAAAGCAGCTGAGGCCCCGAGACAACCGGGTTGCGCGGCGGCCTTCGGAAGCCTGGCGACTCACTTTCAGGAAGTCCATGATGAGTGTGCTCATGGTGGTCATGATTTCTTTTTCGGATTCGTCGAAATCGGCGTGAGGTTTGGTGTCGAGGACAAAGAAACAACCTATATTGATATTGCGTTCTGTGGTGAGAGGTGTGCCTGCGTAAAATCGGAAATTCGGTTTACCCTGCACGAAAGGCAGGTCTTTGTATCTTGCATCTTGGCTCAAATCGTTGGACACTATGAAGTTGTCTGTTCCTTTTCCTCGCTTTCGATTGGGTAGAGAAATGGTATCCTACCGCCTGATCAGTTCTGTGCGCCGGACAAGCTGAGAAGACCGACTTACCTGACAAGGTGTCCAGGAGCCGACATCGAGGGTGACACATCCCGAATATAGTGTTTGGCCGGCAGAATCATGATCACAGTTCTCTTTCGCGGTTTGAAGGGACTGCGCAATAATGTATTGAGATTGGCGATCCGACACGCTGTCGGGACAAGATGGTCAGCCCCGGGAAAGGCTACTTCTTAAGGTAGGCGGTGTTCTCGTCTTACCTGACAAATACTCGGTCCATATTTAGTCGCAGCGCAGCCAACTGTGCAAACGAGTTCAGAGTAGCATTCGCACTGCCTAAGGACAAGGCTTCAGACGTGCGTCCCCCAGGAGCACTTGCGAACTGCGAAAGACCTTTTGATATTGGGGACAAGGATAGGGATGGTGAACGGTTATGTGTGGAAGCAGAAGCGAGATCGCGGCCAGTAGAGCAATCAGCGCTCCGACGTCCATCGCTCGCCAGTGACCGATTTTCATCTATTGGCGCGAGTCGATCCGGTTGAAAATAACGATACACCTCGCGGGCCCGACGACCAGCGTGATGGTCGTCGTCCGTGGACGACTTCATAGTGAATATACAGACAAGGTGTAGGGAAGACTAGTAGTCTGTCGAGTGAGGGAAGTGTCGAAATCTTGGTATGAGCGGGGAAGATTAAAACAAATTTAACGTCGTCATCGTCTTTAGTCAGAGGGGTAAAGGTAAATACAGTACTCCGTAGGGCTTAAAGACAGGAGATTCGAAACAGAAAGAGTTTGTACGCAGCATATGAAAAGTTGGAATACCCATGGGAGCTTAATCATCTCAACCGTGTCACGAAACCGGTTGTGCCTCGCCGAGATGCACTCTGTATATCAACGCCCTAAATGGAAGAATGTTTCAAACAAATTTGTTAGTCGTGGCGATAGGTAAGTTTTGTAGTCCGCAAATAAGCGTCTGAGTAGTAGATGAAATATGGGCTCAGTGGACTTATTAATGAAAAGGCCCAAGGTACGGAGTCTGCGTACGAGTACATCGAAGGGAGAATTCAAGGCACCGCCACATTGCAGGATCGGGGATAGCGCAGTGGGGTTGGCCATTCTTCAATGTCGTTGGATGCATCTGGGATGCCTGAATCACCTGATTTAGCTCGATTTTTCGTGAGCCGCCAGGGGGCAGGGGCAATCGGTTAGGGCATCCACCAATCAGAGATCACCATCTGTGACTTATTGCCGTGCATAACTACAGGAGTCATTATGCACGTGACTTACCCCGGATATTAATCCATTGTGATTTGTGTACATAACTACTACGCAGTATTGTTCCATCGTCATAATCAGAACAGCCTTTGAGACTGGGTTAAGACGCCAGAAGTTTGCTGATAGTGCTATCAAATTGCTGAAGAACTTGGGCTTTGATGGTATTGATGTAGATTTCGAGGTGGGCATGTTACCATGTTTCTCAAAATTTGATGCTGATATCAGATAGTACCCTGCCGATGATAAAGAAGCGGGTCAATTTGTGGATACCCTACGCCGTCTTCGTGAGGTATGTTTACACGTATCTTTTGCTGACTCCGCTAACTCTTTCAGGACCTTGATTTGTACAGCTCAGCCAATACTGACGGGTATCATTTCTTGCTCACTGCTGCACCCCCTGCTGGTACGTGTCATTCCACTGAAACAACTTAACTAAGCTAGCTAGCTAACCAAGATTAAAGGCCCTACCAATTACCATAAAGAGCATCTCGCTCGGATGGATGAGTACCTTGACTTCTGGAACCTGATGGCCTACGATTACGCGGGAAGCTGGGACACCGTTGCTGGACACGACGCCAACATCCACCCATCTAACGGCAACCCAGGAAGCACACCCTTCAATACGGATCAAGCAATCGATTACTACACCTCGCACGGAGTGGACGCACACAAGATTGTTATGGGTATGCCACTGTATGGGCGGGCCTTCAGCGACACCAATGGTCCTGGCCAACGAGCAGAGTGCTCGCGAGGTTGCGGGATGTACGCTGTGGCGAGGTAGGGTTGATGCAAAGCAGGTAAGGCCGGTGCCTGCGACTGGGCCTTGACTTGCGGTGAGGCGTTTCGGATCCTCCTGGGCAAGTTCAGTGGCTCGTCAGGTTCTATGTTCTCCACGAAGGCAGGATCTTCAAGGTTGCGTCTGAACGCGGTGCTTCTCTCGCTCCATTCCTGGATCTGCGCAGGGTTCCAGAACTGGTACTTGTCTGCAGTAGCAACTCTATGCAGGACCTTAGCAATTCGTAGGCCGGCCTTGCTCTCCACGTAGACGCCATTGTCGGTCAGAAATTGGCGCAGGTATCTCTGTACCTGCGACGTTGTATCACCCCATTGTTCTTCGTCCCACTCATCAAACTGTTGGGCGAAGGCATTCCATAGGTCTCTGCCTACAACTCGTCCCTTTTCCCAAAGGAGAGTGAGGTAAACAATGTAGCCCGTAGTTTGTTCTTCGGTCGGGGAAGAAAGCTTGTCGTACTTAGGGATACTACCCCATGTTTCTGGGTCAACACCATCGACGAAGGCTTCAGGGACTTGTAGGGTCGTGCTCTGGGAAGTACTCCCAGCCACCGACGCTGCCACTGGACTCATGGGGAATCCTCCTGCTATTTCGCCTGGTGCCATTTTCTTGTTCTTGGCCGCGGTAGGTAGTCTTGTCTTTCAGTGGGTAATCTTGGGATCTGGCAAGGGCGCAGAACGCGTAGAAGTGGTGAGATGGAAGATTGAGCGAGAGAATGAAGGTTTCGCGATGAACCTTGTTGATCTGTAGGTTGAGCAGGTTCAACCACTGATCAGTGTTGGTTTTACACAGCAATTGCTTGTATGAGAAAACGTCGAAGACTACGGCGATTACTGGGCAGAGGGCCTACTCTCGTGGAGGCTCCTGCTCGGTGTAATCTTGTGTAGTTAAGTGAGTGATGAATGACCTTTTATGGGTGATAGACTACGTAGGGTCATGATTGAAGAGAGGATGGCCGGTTCGATACGGCTACATCTGCACAGGGGAGGCCTTCGTTTTCCTCCATATTCCAGAGGATGATCCTACCGTTGTTCAATATTTCTTGTGTGTCCCGAAACAAGATGCGCAAGCGGACGATGAATTGTGCCTCCACCGGACAGCCATCGGTCAGGTGCTTGCGTTCACCATCATATCCCTTTTTCCTGGGCGGGAAATCGCCGTCAAATGACCAGAATTGGACGCTAAACTTGGAAGCCGTGCGAGCCTCTATACGATTCGCAATCGCTACGGGCCGACTCGACGCCGCCTAACCACGTCGACCAACACAATGACACCCTCTCTTTCACCAACCTACACCTACCACCTTGTGCCAAAGATGGTGGACGTGCTTCAACTGACGAAGATAGGATGTTGAACACTTCAAGAAGCGCCTTCAAGCCAGTCAACTCACCAAATTACTAACCCACAGCGATACCTATGATATTGACAGCCAAGAGAACATATACGGCAAGGATCCATGTATGGGCTCGAAGAGGGCACAGCATATGTATGTTAGGACCTGCATTGATAGATCAGGTTTAGTTGCCCTTTCGGCTTAGCCGCCGGGCGTTAATGAATTGTGTGTGTGTAGCTAAATCCTGTCACTCAACAGTTCTTGCTACAAATGTTGACGTTTACCATCGATGGACCAAATGTGGCCAGTTGACGGTGGGCATATAAGTTTTGTTGATGTGCCACTACAAACAGACTGGTCAATTCCTTTTACGATAAATTTGGATCTGTTTGCAAACACTGGCCTAAAAGACAAGAAAGGCCGTCAGGCATGGGAGTGTCTGTTTATCATGTAATGCGCACGTTCTGGAGTGGAGAGTATGTTTTTGGCCTAGTTTTTTCGGCGTCAGAGAAGGAATATAAATTGATTATCAATTTATTTTTTCTTTTCAGCTAACTCCTAGTCGGATTTCTGAGACAATCCATTTGTTGAATCGCCGGCTGCAAATATTCTCACGCTCGTTGACCTCTACGCTAAAGCCATTAATCCATTGATTTACGGGTGAATATTGCCCGCATATAATAGGCCACAAGGCTCATATGTCTATCAGTATGTCTGTAAGTAGGTACGAAAAATAATCGGAAAGGCATTTTAGTGCCTGGCTCCATGTACATCTTGAGGTGCATGACTCGGGAAGCAGTTCAGCTCGACTTTCTGCTTGAGACCAATCCAGCAACGTATTGCATCTCAGGAAAATGAGCGGTGTCATTTGAATTCGAAAAATACTAGTATCTTCGAAGAGCATGGTTGGGCTCTCGTGTTCTATAAATTGGTCCATGTCTCCATCATCTCGGTTTCATACCTTGAGAACCTTGAGAACCTTTCGGGTCAAATCCAAAGCATTTCATATTTATAAACCTATACAACTCTTCGTCGTGGGGATTACAGACACAAGTACAACGGCACCTCCCACAGCAAGACCAATACACCATTCTGGGTTCCGCGAAAAGGTATGGCGCCGAACGTGTCAAACGTCCACACAAATGGAGCAAAAAAGAGGTGGAATAATGGCGATTCAAAACCAGCTAGCAGAAGGACTACTCGATCGGGAAGTCGAGTTTCACAATTGACACTGCTAAAGGATCTCCAGAAAGAGATCAATGCGACCAAAGCACTTATGGATAAGGAAAAGGATAAAGAAAAACAGGGTGAACTTGAAGTATCTTTGAAACAGTTACTCTCGAGCTACGAGCAGGTCGCAAGAAATTTGGCGGCCACTGAATCGGATATCATGGAGATTGACACGGACCTCAATAACATTGGCCAAGGCGTGCCAATGGATGTCGATGACACCGATGAAAACAGCGGGGAAGGACCAGATAAAGATCAGCAAAATGAAATTGCAGACCAACCAGAGCCAGAAGCAAATTCATATGGTTCGAGCTTGTCTAGTACCGCAAATCCCGAACGCAAGGACCTCAATGACACCACTATCAGCCACGATAGCTCGGCAAGCCAGCAGTTTGTTGACCAGACCGCACGGCCTAGTGAGACCCAAGGTGCAAGCCAACAGGATCACGAAAAACCCAAGGATTATAAAGATTATCCGTTTGTTGACCTAACTTTGGGTGACGACGACGGACCAAGTGAGCGACTCTTTGAGAACGGCACAGTCATTTTGAAGAAGAACGCTCGGAGTGGAGTTGACTACCTTAACTCATATGGGCCCTTGAACTGTGCGATGACCATTTGGAGCTCGAATGCGGCTCCTAATAAAGTGGAAGATTGCACGTACCTTAAAGGTAGTCCTCATAACCAAGCTGAACTGAAAGATGAGACTGGAAAAGCCTTGTACAAGGGCATGATTCGCAATATCAAGAAAGTTGCCTGGCAGCCCAGGCGGGAAGGAAGTACAATGCTGGATTTACTGGAGTCAGTGGAGGAGCTGAATCCTGAAGTCAAGAAGAGAAACACAAGATATATCTTCCCATTCACTACCGTACTTGTTGACTGGAAGCAGGGGGTTAACCTGCCGCCTGTTTGGATCAGCCGCACAAACTACAAGAAACTGAGCAGCACAGCTAAGAAAGAAGGCCTAAAAACAGACCGAAGAATCTACGCGGTAGCTTTAGTTCAAGTGAAGAACTACCGGAATTGGGCAGGAAAGCTACTTGACAACAAGTGGACAGGAATGCAAAGAATAGGCTTAGCGCAAAGCCCTACTCCATTCCCAGAAACATTAGAGACAGAACAGATCTTGCTCCGTGGACAGTACGACCATGTCCAGGACGAAAAAAGCGAGAACAACCAAGACCAGAGAACTCAAGGCCCAAGCTTGGGACTAGGGAACAGCCAGAACCGGGGCACCCGGAGCGAAAGCAACGAAGGCGAGCACAGCCAGGCCCAGAGCAATGCGATTAAAAGTGCCAAAAACCAGGGTAATGCAGCAAGTCCTACAGATTATCAATTTTCGAATGAAAACCCGGTGGCCCACGACAAGAAACCCGAAAGCTCTCCTCAGCAAACCTTCAACCGAAAGAAGTTCTTGAATGACATCTTGAGCATGATTGATGATTTTAATACTCTTCAGCTTGAAAAACAAATGGAGATGCGCACTCTTGCGCTGGCCCAATACGATCTCTATAAGCGAAAAATGGAAGAAGGCGGTGCTAAGGAAGAGCCGGTCTAGCTGACATCGTTATTTGGAAGAAACTGACGGGACCCGCGGGCGGGTTAGCTGCTGAATTCTCAGGAACGAAAAATGCTTCAATCTGACCACTATATGCACATATATATCTTTATTTTCTGTTCCCCTGTTATTGATTTAGGACAACTTTAGTTGGCCAAGTTGTTGAGCCTGGATTTGCCAAAAACGCCAAAGATTTTGTTGAAGTAGATTTCTTTATGCGCTTTGCACTTTCGTTAGCCGTTAGTTAAAAAAGAATGAAATTTCTAAGAATGTAATAGCATGGATGTAATAGCATGGATGTGGCTCCACCGTTTGTAATAGGGAACGTGTAGAGGGTGCAATGGTCGCCACGTCGCCGACAGCTTAAAAATAAATGAAAATAGGATCGGGAATACAGTATATTGAAAGTATAAAGCCAGTTCTGACTTTCATAAGCTCAGTGATATTGTACACAAGCGAAAGGGCACAGTAGCATTTTCTCTGGTGTCAACAAGCCGGTCTATGGTAATATTCACTTGGCCCCGAGAAAAATGCAAAGATCCAGCAGAGTTTCTTTCGCGGACCCATCACAAGGTGTCGAGAATAGTGGGTCACTGGTCATGTACATACACTATTCTAGATATACCTTAGCAGATGTTGAGGTGACCTATGGATCAAGAGTTCAAGACCACCTTGAGACGCGTGAGGCCCGAAGGCTCCAACCATCCATTGCCAGCCTGGTCAATCATCCTCCATCTCCATTATCACGCCGGCACACCATCCATTGTATACATAACGTTCAAGTTGGCACTTGGTTCTACTGGAAGTAAACTTCCAGTCCATTTGCTAGCCTTTATTTGCCATGGATTTCCGGCAACTTCTCCATTATTTCGGTATTTCGGTATTTCAGAGGTTAGCAGTTGAGTTTGGAAATCACGAAATACCAGTGAATATCTAGTAGGTTTACACCAAACACTACGTGACATCACTGGGGAGGTTCGGGTGAATTATCTCTTTTGTCAATTATCCGGTGGGCGACCCCACTGATCCACCGGCACCGAGGCTCGTTCCCCGTAGCCGGGACCAAATCAGGAAGCTCACGCCGAAGGATTTGGTAGACCGGGCGGAAAGACAGAGATCCCCCGATGACCACAATCCCCCAGATGCTCTTTGGGGTGTCCGTGTGGTATCAACCCATGCTGACCACCAAAACCAAGACTCGCACAATCTGTAAGCCCTTCGCGGCAATACAGAAGCAGGCAGCATGCATGATCAGCGGAGCCTTTAGAACGACGGCGACAGAGGCGCTGAACCCCGAACTCCACCTACCGCCTATCTCTGTTCACATGAACCGACTGGTGAAAGAAACGGCCCTGCGACTTAGGACAGGACCAGTATTCGCTGTCCCACCGCTGATGCTACGACGCCGACCGGCCGAAGAGAGAGACTGGGCTGGATGGACACCAATGGAGGCGCAGGCCTGGAAGGCGGGCGGATGCCTCATGGTTCCCCCGGGTACGCTGTCGAAGAGCTGGGAGTCTTTCCTTTGTTATGGTTTACATTTTTCTATTCTGGAGGCGACTGGTCGGAAATGCGCAAAGCGAGTTTCCAACAGTCGTCCAGTGGGCTGGCGCCCACACTTTCCAGCTGTCGGCAGGCCTGATAGCAACCCCGCATAGCAGCTTATACTTAGAGCAAGCTACATCGGGCAAATGAGTACTGTTTTCATTAGAATTCCTAGACTGTCAGATACTAATGTGCACACGTCATTGTGCATGAAGCTCATGTCTGGATCGGTATTGGTATCAGAGAAGAGAGTTTGTTAGAGGTCACGTGACCTCGCCTGCTCCCGCAGTCCGCACAGACTTTGTCTCACTCCTGTAGATATCATCTCCCTCCTTTAGACGTTATATGATATATTTCAGAGCACCTACTATTCCACAGTAGTCCTCCTCTATCAGAGTTTCTCCGTCGTTTTTGTCCTGGAAATTGCCACACACGACCCATCGTGCTTTAAATCCGTAGACTTCATCTTTGGTGTTGGTTTTGACTGTGAATCTCCATTGGCCTGGTAGGATTTTAGCCTTTGGTTGTTTGAGAATCAGGCTCCATGTGCCTTTTGCTGCGAGATCATCAAGCTGTTTCTGCATGGCATCTTCCCACTGGGGCCAGAAAGGGCTCTTCTGTGCCTGTTTGTATGTGGGTGGTAGATCGACGTCCTTCGCATGGAGTGGTTTGCCAGTCGATTATTTACTCATTTTCATTGGATTGCATTGGATATTCGCATTCATATCCACCCTCGTATTGGACAGCTTGTATCTCTGCTGTCCTCCGTATCTGTACACAGCCTTACTCATCGCTGTTTATCCATGCTTTCATTGCCTCATTTCTAGGCTCTTAGAAACTAAGTGCTCGCCGTACCTAGATTTTCCCCCGTAGATGGCTTCATTCAGGTGAGCATTTTCGTTCTAGTTCGTTCCCCTCTGCATCTCTGGCAACAGGAGTGAGCCAGATTGGTATGGGGTCCGTTATGTTAACCCCACGTGCTGGAGTGCGGATCGCTCCGTGGCCTACTTTGTGAACTGGGTATGTGTCATTCATATACGCCATCAATGAATCCCAACAACTAAACGGACATGGCTAGGGCACCTATGCACGAAATTTCCAGCCTCAAGATATACCCGTCGAGCGACTGACTCATATTCTCTACGCGTTTGCCAATGCCCAGGCCTCTGGTGAGGTAATCCTGTCGGATAGTTGGTCTGACACTGACAAGCATTACTCCACTGACTCCTGGGCTGATACTGGAAACAACGTCTATGGCTGTGTGAAGCAGCTATTTCTTTCTTCAGTAAGCCCGGCCCGTCGAGATTGCTCGATTTGTACGGAATACGGAGTACTGAGTACTCTCAGCCACCCTAATACTGTGTTGATCTACATCATGGCTTAAGCCCATGCCATTCCATTTCCGCCAATAGCACTTTGTACTCCATACATCATGCACGAGAATGGGGCTTATGACATCGCTAATGATGCAGAGTAGAGACGCCGAAAATGACCGCTTTTGAGGCTAAAAACGGCTGCCTTTCCACCCTTTGACCGCCCACTGCCCTGTAACGCCCTCCAGGGCTCTATTCTGCACCCACCCAAGCACTTTTAGTCAACCCCCTGTCCTGCATGTGATGTTGACGCTAGACTGCACAGCTGTTCCCCTCGTTTCCACTGGAGAACAAACGATGCCAAAAATGGCTCCCTGAGACTCGAATCTTTCTATGGTCAAACAACATGCTGTTAACGCGATTCAAAATGGCACTCATCAAACAAGACCGGGTACAATTGACGCCTCTGATGATCCCAAAATCTCCCGATTTTGACGTCAAAGATTCCCAAATCTTCAAAAAACTTACGACCTTGCCCACACCGGAAGAAGTACGCTCGCAGGCTAAAGCCCAACATCTAGCAGGAGTCTGCCCGGACGATAGAAAAACCTTCTCGATAACCGTCCCTCATGTGCGACCACCACCTGTGATGTTCAAGGATCTGGGGCTGTTTGTCAAATGGGGAAGCGCTGTGAGTATTTCAGAGGGTCAGTGCCTCTATGCTCTCGGCCAGCTCCTCAAAAACCATGTCCCGGTTCCGGAGATATACGAATGGCGGGAGGATGGCGACCAAACTTTCATTTATATGGAGTATTTGCATGCGCAGACTCTGGAGCAAGTGTGGGACAAGCTGGAACCTGATGACCGCGTTTCGATCTTTTGTGAGCTCCGGACAATCTCCGGCAACCTTCGCCACCTTGAACAGAAGCCGGAAGAGTCATTCATAGGTATGTTGCTCTCAAGTGCCTCTGCATCTTCTGAACTGCACAAATACCTCTTTCTCGTCGTATAGGTAACATTGCACGAGCTCCTCTATATGATAGAGCATTCCACGTCGAGTCCATTGCCCGAAGCAGGGCCGTTCAATACCGTCCAGGAGTTTCATGGCTGGTTCACTTTCCTGTATCGAAAACCAATGCCAGATCCATATTCTGTTCCAATTGAACCTTTCCGCCAGGACCTGCCTGATGATAGTGAAATCAAATCTACGCATGGCGATCTCCACCGGAGCAACGTCTTGATAACGCGCTCTGAGCCTTATCATGTTCTTGCAATCGTCGATTGGGAACAGTCAGGCTGGCTACCTGTGTACTGGGAGGCCAGAAAAGCGCAGTATACTGCTGACAGAAATGACGAATGGTCTACAAAATATTTGCCAATGATTTTGTGTCAGTTTACCAGCACTTGGGATCCATGGGACTACTACACCACGGCCATGGGATGTTGAGATAAGACAGCGTTTTATTGCCCCGGCTTTTATTGGTCTGTTTTCTACATTGTATGGAATAACAACGGCGTCGAAACATGAATAGCAAATAAAAACGGAAAGCGCAATGAAAGCAAAATGAAAGCAAGAGAGCGAGTAATCCCCCCAGCGAATAGGTATCTCCACATTGAATATCTCCACATTCACTAGGTGACAGGACGGGATCCTAGGGCCGCCTAGTCCACAGTAGCTTTGGAGCATCGAATTGAGCAAGAAGTATAATATGGTGCTGGCGTTGGGCAGTGAAGTTGTAGTTGCGCTTGAACTCCCGGGAAAATCCAGTAGCTGTAGTCCCGGTGAACAGGGGTGTCCCATTAGCCGGGGGTGTCTTTGTATCTCAACCATTTATTTAAGTACTTGGAATTCTCCACCGATCCTCCAAGACCCAAATTCCATAATCCATTTCCACCCATCAGAAAAATACCTTGAACTCACCGATCTTTTATCATGGCCCGCAGAAGGCGCAAAAACAAAGCCCCTCTGGTACCCTTGGAAGATCGCCTGATGGAAACAAGACTCAGAGCCACTCTGTACAATAGAGATGACTGCAATGCCGCAATCCGCGGCCAAAAGATTTCTGGTTCGCTCGGACTAAAAGTCCAACGCTTCGCTGTTATCCGTGGCATTCGACACCACGATGGTTTCGCCCACGAGTTACGCGGCGTCTTACCGGAGTTCACTCGTGCACTCAACGCGCGTGCAATTATGAGCGGAGTGATCCCGGAGATCAATGACTCCACTGAGATACCCTATTGCATCTGGTATCCGGAACCCCCATCCCAGGAGACCCTTCGCAACTTGGTGAAGCGTTATCCCAATATGATTTATCACGCTGCTCGCTCCTGTGCCGTGGCGGGATATTTTGATCTTTACTCGGAGCTTCAGGTTCTTCCTGAGGTTCATGTTGCTGCCGAAGCTCGTGACGCTAGCCTAGCAAGGAAGAACAAAGGCAGCGAGGCAATATACGAGCAAATAATGTCGAATCATGTGAAATTTGAAATCATGAATGATTATGATCGATCTGTCAATCTTGAAAACCCTCGTCCGGCACATCTGAATGGAGACACGGCGGTTTTTTCCGATCTCACTGCACGGATGCTTCCTGCGGGAGTGGAAACCCACGACAGCGATACCAGGGGTATTGTTCGTCTTGTTGATCACATCGAGTGGGCTGACAAAGAGTACAATACGTATAACCACTTCAACATCACTGAGGATATGGGAATCGACGATCATAGTTGTGGTGCTGAGCCTTTGGCCAGCTTTTGGCCACTTCTGTATTCGCCTCTGCCGGCAGACCTTCCACCGGTCAATAAAGACAACCTGATTCTATCGGCTGCATATAGTGGTAACGTGGATCGATATGTACGCCTACGACGCCCACAGAGGATCGAACAAGAATTTCACGCTATCATTTTGGGGATATACAAACACCCCCTTTGGGCACGATGGTGGAGCACACAGGTGCCGGACCTCCCCGATAAAAGGGACGAGGTATCCATAAGGCGCGCAATCAATGCTCGACGCATCATCAGCGACGATATCACTTGCATCACACCAAGTACTCCGGAATGGCTGGTACCTCACAGAATTTGGTGGCCCTGTGTTGCTTCTCGAATGACATATGTGCGTCTCGCGCAGAAAAGGCCTGATATGCTCGAGTCTTGTCTACGAGCATGTATTGTCGCCGATTACGAGGATGCGTGGGATGAAGTTCTGATTGGGTCATCCGATGGCCCAAATGATTCCAAAACCACTCGACTTTCCAAAGTCGTCAGCTCGCGGATCTATGCCGAGGCTAAAGATTCATCCAATCCGCACTACCTCAACGACATAAACTCGCTTGGCACAGCCAGGGTGGAGAAGCTGGAAGCCGGTATGTACTACTTGGATGACATGCATACTGCGAGATGGATGTATACACCGCGGTCGACTGCCCAGAGATTTGTAATTAAAGACAAACCCTTCGTGTTGACATCGGGGGAGAGGGGTTCGGATGGGATTCCGGATGAGCCGGGTAATCTGGGATTCACAATTTTTGGCATGGATGCAATTGGCTTGGATAATAAGACATGGGAGCGGTTAAGTCTCATTGAGGTCGGAGACATGTACAACATTCTTGATGCCAGAGACCTCTCAACATAGTACATGGAATATGCAACGGCTTCAGCCAACCCTCCTGGGCAATGCCTTAACATAGGTTAGTTTTAAGTCTACGAAGATACACAGATGCATAGTGGATGAGAAGCCGTTCTTTTCTTCTCTTGCTCGCCATAGACCAGGAATCTGGTGAATTTGTATGGCGGAGACAGACGATGTATGAATACTATGAGGCATTTGTTTCACAATCTAGGTTGAGACTTGAGAGTCTTCTCTTTGATGTGCGAAAGATTTGAATATGGGAGTGAATTCAAACGAGAATTGTAATTGGAGTAGGACTATGTACATTCATCCGTACACCAGGCAGTAAAACAGTAGAAAAGAGACTCGCAGAAGACACAGTTGAGCGAGTTAATCTCAAGGCAACAGGCCAATATGGTGGCCTAAATGTCCAGACAACGTTGCCCAGTGATGTAGAACATCTTCTCTTTCATACGTTCTCTGTTATCGGATCGCATGATATCGCGTATGTCGCGCTCGGATTGTTCACATGCGCTTGACTTCACAATAGGGTAATCAAGGCTCTCGCTTGCAAGAGGGACCTGAGCCGCAGCTATATATACCACGAGTCACGCCTTGTACCTATTGGAACAATCGGCTTGGCACGTTTGTCCCCAAAGACAATGGAGATATGGAGATTCGGTTGTTGACTCCGAGACTCCGAGTCTCCGGCTTCCTCCCATGACACAGAATCCCATTATCCCAGCTCACAGACGTTGCGAATGTCACTTGCGAAGTTGCGATGACCTCAGAGCAGGGGCATGCATGGACCCGCTTTTCAAGGTTATCAGGACGCGCCGGCCTTCTACCAGCAGCCATATCCTACAGAGGTTCAACATCTCCCTCCGACCTCCGATGCAGATTGCCCGATGCCAGAGCTCAGGGGAAAAGACCACAAAACACCCGCTCCAGTCCCCGGCACCGGGAGCACATGCCAACAATCCACTCGTCCCCGAGTCGTTAGGGGTCAACACTAATCAAGTCACGAACCCCCCCGCCCCCGCTCCCCGACCGAAGACCCCTCCCGAAGCATGGATCCGATGAATCTGGAGTTCCACGATCTGCCAAGCCTGCGGAGACTATCCGAGACTAAACGAAGATGCCTGAGCAATAGGAGGCTGCTCAGGCTCAAGAGGCCTTGTGGGATTCCGATGTGAAAGTTACACGCCCGTTTCGACAACTGGGAAGATGTGGCGTGTTTGACTGACGTTCTCGTCCGGGGAAGACGTCTCTCGAGTGAACTCTTCAAAAAAGAGATCGATGATTGCTCGAGATAGTAAAAAAAGCAAAGAGCATCCTGTTTCGGCTCACACAATAAGGCTTTGGCTACCAAATCAGGCAGGTTTCCACTCCTGTCGATATCCTCCCACACCATGGAATGGGCAGTTGTCAGGGCAGTGAACGAATATTCGGCTTCACTGTCCCTTACGCCTGTCAAGGCCAACTTGCCTTCTGGCTCTTTGATGTTCGGTGCGTCGGCAGAGGGGTTACTCTTCTCCGGCCTTTGGCGGCGTGATGTGACCGTGTGCAGCTTGTGTGAGTCTTGGTGGGTCCCGCCTGGCTTATGAACTGGGCTGCGACGTGGAGGGCATATAGTAACGTCCTCCATGGGTAATCGGGATGTCTCCAACGGCGCCATTAGGCTCAATATGCTGACTGGGCTGCAGCGCCTCGATGTTCCCATTCACGGGTGCTTGGCCTGTACCAGTGATGCCTGTGGGATGACTACTTGGGGCTTTGGTAGAAGATCACCACTCAGAGGTGCTCGGAACATGGCGCCTTCCTAGTCATCGTTCGAGCACGGAAGTCATACCACGACCTAATTGTGGCGAGTATGTCTGAGCTCTCCTCACCCGACAGTTATATCTATCGCGGCCTGTCGTGCGAAAGGGCAAACACGTTAGCCATCGAACAGTTCATGTTTTTCCGGTTCAGATGGGTATGGATAACTTACGGAGACGTTCGGTCGAGTCCATGCATCACTTGGTCGACTATCGCAGGGCTTCAGCAACCAGGGCGCCCAGTGGCTTTCCCATCTTGACCCCCTTCAGATATCGGTCGAGCATCTCGATTCCTTCCGTACAACGCCACGAACGGCGAGTATGTGTGAAGCCTACGGGAGACTACCCTGTGAGCAAGGTAAATGAGTGATCAGCTCGGAAACTTCTGGTTCAGACGAGGAAAGGATACGCACTTGTTTGTTGTACCTGCCGACTTCGAGAACTTCGCAGTATTGATGGCAGCGTTGACGATGGCCGAGATGATGGCCACGCCATCGATGCGACCGTGAATCAACGTTGCTCATGAGCAGATACCGGCGTTGAGGAGGGCAACGTCAAGTCGGGTCACCTCCTTGTTGACCCGTTCGGCAAAGTTCTTGACGCTGGTGAAGCTGTTCATCTCAAGCTCCCAAACATGAACGAAGTTGCCTCGGTTGGTAACTTTCTCAGGCTTAAAGATGCTGGATCTCAAAGGCACTGAGACAAGGGGACCGAGGATGCATCACTGTTTCTCCGATGGTCCACGATTGGCTCACGGTTTGGCTAAAGGTGATTGCAGTTGTCAGTATCGACTTTCGTCATGGAGATGGTCCGCAGACTCGGGATGATGCATAAGAGATGGAAAGAGGTGGCGGGATACTTACAGAGTGAGACGAGGGGTCGGGCCCCCCTCGAGGCAGCGAGGCAGCTGAGGGAAGGACGAGCTTGGGGCCCTTGATTTTCGACTCGGGCGTCATGAGGCGCCTCATCCATTGATTCCGCGCATCAGATCAATCGGAAACCTCGTTGTGTCAGGTATATAATTGATTGGGTCTGGGGATGAAGGTTGATGGAGGAGGGATTGAGGAAGGGAAAGATGAAGTGAGAGGAGCCCTTAATATACCAACCTTCGAACGACTAAGCGCTTGCTATACCTTGGATATGAACGGACCGTTTAAGGCGAGCCCATTGGAGGGTTGTGTCACATTGTGCTTTCGTGAGGCTGCGTTGCAGGTCACACTTGACGACGACATCATATCCATTGACCTTAGTGTCTGAACAAGAACCTACGGTAGGTGGAGAATTCATCAGGTTCTTTTTTTCATACGGTTGATCTTCTCCCATTTCACTCCGGTACCTACCTATACGACACATGGGGTGATGGAGCGTCCTGGGTTAACTGGTGGGTTTGCTAATCGATCAGACCAACTACAAGAGCCATGGAAAGGTTTTAGTCAACCATGACTATGAGTCATGACAAAGTGAAATGTGTCCCGATGAGTCTTGGGGTGCACTTCTCGTACTGACCTCCATCTCTAAACCGAAGTAGAAGCTGAATGATGGCTTGGCAGAGCACTGAGAGCAGCCGCAGACCGGAGGGGGAAATGAGTCGTTTGATCGATGGTGAATGCATCAAACAACATTCTGCACGCTGCAGGGGCCAATGGCTAGTATAATTACTCCTTGGTTCCTCGCCGACTGATATATACCCAGTTTGGCCATCTTACCTGGCCATCTTACCCGCCTGGTGGATGCTTTACTTGAAGTAAGTTATAGGTATTCTGCATTCGCGTACTGGTTATAGATATTGTCAGAACGGAGCCCTCGAATTACGAGAGTAATTCAAGCGAAATGCAAATGACAAACGAAGCCAAAACCTGTCACACCAATCTATTTTCCGTCCAACTGCCGTAATCTGCGGTCAATCGCTGGACGCTGTTTCAACGGAGTATTCGCATTACGCCTGGGCAGCGTACTTGAATGTTTTCCCGAACACCTTGGCCGGCTCTTCGTTATCAGCAGGAAAAACCGTACAGTGGGCTTCCTCGTAAATCTTCGTCTTGAAGTCGTCAGATTTTGCGCCTCATCTTTCGTTCTACACAGTTGCATTGGCTAGCCCGACTCCCCGGCTATCAAGGCGGGCCAATCACCCTGTTTGGCAGGTGGGTAGCTGATGACTGGGAACTTTGCTCTACGCGTTTTGAGGGTTTCGGGCAGTTGCATGATTTACTGGATAGTATTTGGTGTTATCAATGTTCCGTTGAAAAAGTAGTAACTAGACTTGGTTACAGGAAATTCAAATGGTGTAGTTAGTTAGTTCGTCACTATTTGAGAGGTAGGTAGTGGGCAGTCGGGTGAAGCGAGCCGCAATCGGCCTTCGTAGGGCGTCAAACCCTCGTTTCGCGTCAACGCGTCTCAGAGTTTGAGTCTTGACTGTCTTGTTGTTTCTAATAATGAGTCACATGTTGATGCAAGATTTGGTAGCTTTGGGTTACAACACTGGAAGAAGTAACAAGGTGGATTTATGACCGGATCGAAGTCTAATTCCCACACTCTATGGTGATGGTCCGATCACCGAGGGAAGACTTGGATGGTGCCAAGCTGGGGTAAAAGAAAATCAACTAAACCCAATTCGGGTTTGACAGGCACGCTTCCCACGCTAGTCTTTCCCATTCCCCACATTCAACAATGGTATTTACTATTTAAGTCTCATTTCTCTCTCGCTCCTCTCTCGCTCCTCTCTCACTCCTCTCTCATTCCTGCCTCCTCCTCTCTCATCCTCTCTCACTCCTCTTGTCCATCGTGTCATCACCTCACAACGGCACTCTGTGTTAATTTGACAATCTCCGTTCATCCTTGGAGCCTTGATGGGCGCTTCCTGTCGCGCTCCGAATCTCCTCCGGACCGTCTCCATGGAGCCGCCGAGCGTGCAAAACATAGGATACTACAAGGTGTGGGATGCCAGCAATGGGCAATGCGTACAGACCCTCGAGGGCCATAGCTACTGGGTCTGGTCGGTCACCTTCTCCCAGGATTCTAAGCTCCGCGCCTCAGCATCAACCTCCAAGGTGAACTTGTCGGAATGTTGAAAGCTGGCGACGAAGCTTACGGCACTGGGACAATGACGCTTATGGTAGATATCTTCGACGACATCCAGAATTTCAGAGGTGCTACTAAAGTGCGCATTGCCCCAGAGCCAGTTCCTTGATTTCTTTGTCTTCGCCTTGGAGCCTTGATGAGTGCTTCCTGTCGCGCTCCGAATCTCCTCTGAGCATCTCCATCGAGCGTGCAAAACACCTCTGCTCACTCCACTTCCAGTATGTTATCCTATTCCTCTGTGATATAGGCTCTACACTCTACATTCCAGGCGTATGCTATTGGGATTAGTAGTGTTAAAGACTTATAACACTTATACGTCAGCTGATCCATACTAACGAATGATTGATTAGATGAGTCCAAAATGCCGTCAATGGTAACAGGCCGTGCCCTTCTGAGAAAGCCTCTGCCACAGCTGCATATTTCCTCCAACCGACCCATCTGCCATCATGCCAGGGCGAGCGCATTGCACAACAAGACATTCCTCGGGCCTGTGAGCGACTGGCCAAACATCTTCCAAGAGGTAAAGCAATTTGAGAAGAATCAAGATTGGTCCCCCAGACTGCTAAGATGGAGCCTCCTGGGTAGACAGGTTGATGCAGAATTTGTCGCCATTGCGACGAGCACGAACTCCAAGGGCGATTCCAGCTACACATCATGGAAGGTGTGGTTCGCGGATTTCAAATCAGCCGACATTGCTGATGTATCCCGGATATACCCTCACCCCCGACGTGGCACTGATCTCAATCGACCCGGCCACCTAGCATTGACCAGCTCAAGGCTGTAGGGGAGCTGAAATCTCCCTGGGTGGAGGCGCACAAGTTCGACAGCTACCCGACTGTCCGACAGCCGAGCTCAAGGCCTTTTTATTTGCCCAAGTCATCCCATATACCTATGTTCGAGCTTCGAGTAATGTATGGGTTCATGTCACCTAACTCCATTAGGATGATTAGGTATGAGAGCACGGTATTTCTGCGACAAGAGTTCAAAGATGGGGAGTGGATCGTGGAGTATTCGCCAGACGTACAAGCGTCGTTCGATGGCTCTAGTACGGAGAATGAGCCGCCATCTTGAGGCAATGCTTCGCATATCTGAGCAGCCTAGCGTCTAAGCAGGCATTTGTTGACAAGAGGACCCCTCGTGCTGATTCAAGAGGGTAGGCATCAACTCTAAGACGAGCATCCACGCCAGAGGGCCACTCAGTTCAAGTTCTAAGATAACCGAAGAAGAATTCCTACTCCTGAAAGCCATATGGCCTAAGGTACCGCCAACCGATAAATGGCAGGTCCACACGCGGCTGGGAATGGACGCAGAGTTTCACATAGCCACTGAGCATCTGGAGGGTCTCCAATCATTCAATGACTACCTAATGTGGATCCGAAACAGTACCTCGCCAAAGGATATTGCAGAAGGGACCTTCTGGCATTCTTACGAGCAGAAATATCGAGTGGGCCAGTTGCTAAAGGCAAAGACACGCCGCATGGATCAGGAGAGGGCTTATGGTAACAATGAGGAACTTGTCAATGCGTCCGTCACTCCTAAGTTTCTTGCAATCAATCTGTGCGAGGCACCCTAATGTGGACAGTGACTGGAACGCGGCTTGAGTGCATCTAAGTTTTGATTTCATGCTCAAAAAGCACAAGCGAATACTAGGAAGTCTCCTCCCAGTCCCAGATGCTTTTAGCATGTCTTGCCAGGTGGACGGCTTCCTGGAGTCGAGGTCCACATTTCGGAACCAGGCCATTGTTGAAGCCAAAGCTCAGGTGCGCTCGAAGCATGAACCGAGAGTCTCCTGCCAGGAGACTATAGAGATGGTCGTGGCATCCCTGTGCGAGCATCCGAATAAAAGGCAGATAATCATGTTTTCGTTCAAGGCTCTTCTAGAAAAGGCATCGAATATGAATGAATCATATCAAATGTAATTGCGTACGTATTGTGTTCTAATGTTGTTCTAGGTTGCATGATATTCATCAACTGTAACAGCAGAATACAGAACGTTATAGGAAAGTTGAGCCATTGAGCTTGTCGATTATCCCAAACATACTATTTAATGGAGCCTCCCATCTAACCATTGTGTCAACGACATAGCAAATAGGCACGTATTGTCTATATCGCCTAGCCTTGCGTCGACCTTGAAGGTCCACATACCGCTCCTCAAAAACACCTATGTGCAGAATCTGAAAATCTACCAAAATGTCACCGTCATCGCTGCTAGGCATATATTCGACCTGAACTCCACGGGAATCGCGAATACCGAGGTGGGCAAGATCACCGAAGGGTGTAGTCTTCAACGGAACTGTATAGGATGTTTCGTCGGCGTAACTACCATCCGCGTAGACGGCAGACAAGCTCACAGTGAGGGTCGCATTGACGAGGCCCTCGTCGGGAAGTGCTAGCTCCTTCTTTTTAGATTCAGGTAGATAACCGCCCAGGTAAACGAAGAAGGCACGGTCACTTCATCAGGATATCAAAACGTTATCAAGCTGCACCTTAAGGAGAGGGAGGACCTTACGCGATAATGGGCGTCGGGGCAATCTCGAGGAACTCGATTTTCCATATCTGGTCTTCCTTGGGCACGATGTCGTATACGGCATCGTTGTGGCCGGAGACTCTATCTTTTCGGACCATACCGTCCTCGCCGACGAGCAGATCTTGCTGTGCGGAGTTGGTCTTGCCAAGGACAGCGAGTGCAGCGCAAAGAGACAGGAATTGCGGGAGTATCGATTTCATCTGGCAGATGTGGATTAGATTTTGAGACAACTTCTGGTGAGTGACTCAATGAGCGAGGGAGAGGAGTAGCCGCATGGCACATCCACTACCAGAATGAATAATTGTTAAGCGCCTCATGACGCAGGTTTATTATAAGTTCCACGAGGACACCAGTTCCTGTGCGATGTATCTATTCGCTCATTTCCATACATTTGTCATGACACATCATGCCAGCGGGATAGCTGCACAGAGCAACGAGAAGGCTTCTGGATGCTGATAAACCAAAAGAATCACCAAAGAAATCACATCAACGACCCCATATTGGCATGAGAGTGTTCCACACACCCGTCGGGTATCCCGAAACCTGACGGAGGACCGTAGGGATCAACCGGAGCCGTTCGAATGGCGCCCACACCTTCTTTAAGATAAAGCACAAGCCGGTAGGCTGAATTGCCATTCAGATAGTATCGGTGGAGCTGTTTGCTACGAAGGAAGCCCAGTCGCTCGTACAACTTCATCGCGCCGGTATTGGTGATTTCAGTTTCCAGGACGATCTACCCAAAGCACACCCAGGTCAGCTAACATATCCCCGCCCCCGGCACTAAACCAGCTGGTCCAAACCTAATAGCCAAAGGCTCACTTCTAGTATATACATACCTCGTCTGCATCACGCTCAATCATAGCATCGATAGCCATGCGCACAAGCTTGGTCGCGATTCCCCGACCCCGGTACTCCTCGCGCACGGCCAGCATGGCGATATACCCCCTCAATGGACCGCCACGGTGTGGTTCCAACTTCGACACCACGACCCCAACCATCTCATCCTTATCGTCCATCGCGAGGAAGCACAGGTCGCCCCATTGGTACAGGAAGTAGCGGTAGACGTAGATGCTGTACGGTTCGGAGAGATCTTTGGAAATCAGCTGGCGCATGGCGGCGACGTATTCATTTTCGCGCGAGGCGTCATATCGCACGTATCGAAGATCGGGAGCATTGCTCATCACAGCGAGGTCATCGAAGTGGGTTGTGGGTAGTGGGAAGGGTAGACGGGGAAAGAAAGTTATCGGCCTGCCATGTGATGCCGATCAGCCCGTGCGCGGACTTTATGCACTTCCAAGGTTCCGTTGTTTTCTGCCTTGCCTTTGTTTTTTCTTCTTGTTTTCTTTTCTACTCTTATATTCTGTTGGTCGTCGATTGAGGCTTAATATTCCAGGCAAATCTGGCCTTTTTACCTTTTTGTCCCTTCCTCGCGGTCGGTCGCTATGCTCCGCCGCCGCACGGGCAAGGACAAGGCCCCGTCCTCCGACAACAAGCTTGACATCGGCTCCAAGGAGGAAAAGGAGCTCCGGGATGAATTCGGTGATGCAAAGGTCAAGCAGTTGGTGATCAAGCCTCGGAGCAAACGTCGCAATGGGTTCATCTTCATGCTGGGCGGCATCTTTGGCATCTTCATCGCCTTGTTCTTCGCGAACCAACATGAGGTCATCAGCTTGGAGTCGCTCATGGATCTGAACCTTGAATCGTTGATTGAGGCAATGCCCCAAGGACTTGTGAGTGACGTGAAGGCATTCTCGGTACGTGCTCTCCCGGAAGGAGGCGTGCGCTTCTCTCTTCATCTTGCATCTTACTAACTAATGATCAGCAGCACGAGCGCGACACGGTCAGCTACGATTCATTTTCTGTCGGACTACACCTGCAATCCCAAGGAATAAAAGCGAAACACCCCGTTGTCATGATCCCCGGAGTTATCTCGACTGGCCTTGAGAGTTGGGGTACCGGGGAGAGTTCACGACAATACTTCCGTCGCCGATTATGGGGAAGCTGGAGCATGATGCGTGCGCTAGTCATGGATAAGGCTGAATGGAAGAACCATGTCATGCTGGATCGGAAGACAGGCCTCGATCCGCCGGGGATTAAGCTCCGTGCGGCGCAGGGATTCGATGCCACGGACTTCTTTATCACCGGATACTGGATCTGGAGCAAGATCTTGGAGAATCTAGCCACCATCGGCTATGATCCGACCAATGCATTCTCGGCCGCATACGATTGGCGACTCTCATATCTTAACCTCGAAGTTCGTGATAGCTACTTCACTCGACTCAAGTCCTACATCGAGATCGCGGTACTAGTCCAGGGTGAGAAAATCACGTTAGCATCGCATAGCATGGGATCTCAGGTGGTACTGTTCTTCTTCAAGTGGGTCGAGAGCGACGAACACGGCAAAGGCGGCAAAGACTGGGTGAACCGCCATATCGACTCATGGGTCAACATCAGCGGCTGCATGCTGGGCGCCGTCAAGGGCCTGACCGCCGTACTGTCCGGAGAAATGCGCGATACCGCACAGCTGAACGCATTCGCCGTATATGGACTCGAAAAGTTCCTCTCGAAGGAAGAACGCGCGGAGATCTTCCGCGCAATGCCCGGCATTTCCAGCATGCTCCCCAAGGGCGGCGAAGCCATCTGGGGAAACTCAACCTGGGCGCCAGACGACCAGCCCGGCCAAACCCTGACATTTGGCAACCTGCTCAACTTCCAGGACCCAAACTCAACCTACACACAACGCAACCTTACCACACCAGAGAGTCTGCAGTACCTCCTGGACCAGAGCGAAGACTGGTACCGCGATTCAGTGCTAAACAGCTACTCGCACGGCGTCGCACACACAAAACGCGAAGTCGAAGCTAACGAGAAGGACCCGCGCAAATGGCTCAACCCTCTAGAGGCGCGTCTCCCATTAGCCCCAGACATGAAAATCTACTGCTTCTACGGCGTCGGCAAACCGACAGAGCGCAGCTACTTCTACCAAGAAGAGCCCGATCCACTGGTCAAGCTCAACGTCAGCATGGACACAACCGTCACCAACGGCGAGGGCGTCGACCGCGGCGTCCTAATGGGCGAGGGTGACGGCACCGTCAACCTGCTCAGCTCCGGCTACATGTGTGCCAAGGGCTGGCGCATGAAGCGGTATAACCCTGCCGGCTCGAAGATCAAGGTCTTTGAAATGCCTCATGAGCCAGATCGCTTCTCGCCCCGTGGTGGACCTAACACTGGTATTGTCTCCCTTCTCCTTTCTTTCCCCTCATTCCCAGCTTCAGAATATAGGGCTAACTTGTTACAGGCGACCACGTCGACATCCTAGGCCGAGCCTCACTAAATGACCTTCTCTTGCGCGTCGCAAGCGGAAAAGGCGACTTGATTGAAGAGACCTTCGTCTCCAATATCCGCGAGTATGCGGATCGTGTACAGATCTTTGACGACTAAAGTTCTCCCTTATGACTATTTTGGATTGTTTGCGATTTTGCTTTCTGCGCGCGTTTGATACACACATACCTTTTGTTTTTAAACGTGGTTTTGATCGAGGACAGGCAGGGTAGGGCGTCTGTTTATAACACAGCGTTTCTCTTTTTTTGTACATCTATAATGAACCTTTTGTACGAATACGAAATCTACTTGCTTCAAAGAGTATGTCAAGGAAGATGCAGTACCTGATTACCTATAGGTTGATCGACATAGGCCAGATAATCGATGGCGGCTAAGGCCAGTGGCTCTTAGCCGGTCAATCAGATCAGATTCGATACTAGACGTAGTTACGAAAGGAAAAATTGGCGGCTAGAGCAAAAAAGGATGTTCAAGCAGCTGTCTGGCCGTCTTGCGTTCCTCCGGCATCCATTTCAACATCGATCTAATGAATGTCAAAAAGAGCTCTTTCTCTTCGCCAGTAAGCCGTACTTCTAGTGTTTCAAGTGAAACAGATGGCACAGGCGCTTCATGATGAGCAATCCAGGTTAAGGGAATGGACTACTACCGTGGTCACGGAAAGAATAACAGCACCCGAGGCCGAGGCGATAGCCTTACCGTCACCAAGATTACAACATAAAAAAAGTGTCCATAATGTACAATGATTCATTAACTCATACGCTAGTGATTATAAGAATAATGCTAGCAATACCCAACAGCTTCCCGTCGTCCCCAAGTAACGATAAGAGTCATGCATACATCCCAGCTCAAGCGGGAAGGCGAACAAAAAACCAAACAAGTCGTGGAGGATTCGACGGGAAGTGTGCATGAATATAGGTGTCGGATCAGCCTCATCTTTGAAGCCAGAAGCGAAGAGAATCGGCGAAGCTCGAGGGTGACAAGGGATGGCCTCCGTCAAAAGTATTAATCCCAGTCACTCTGGCTGCCATGGCCACTCGGTTTCTGGAAAGAGTCCCAGCTTTCGGTGTCCGATTATCCTTTCCTCGGATCCTTCCGTGACAGAAGAAGATCCTCGCAAATACCGTGGCCGATTATGCCACCTGCCAGGCAGCAGAGACACGAACGCGCAAGGGTCATTCGATGTGTCAATGCAAAATGTCGTAAAACAACCGATGTGCAAATGCCTTCCAGTGCACAGCGAGTGTGGTGCAGCACAAAGCGCCAAAACTTTCCATCTCCTCAGAAAACATTTCCAGCTCCCAGGCGCCTGTGATGAGCGACCGACACGAATGATAAAGATATTTGTTCATAGGGATGAGCCGAAAGCGAGAAAAATCAGGTGGCTCGCCCAAGTCATAAAGTCGTAGCGAAAGACATGGGTCAGAAGAATAAAGGGGATCGTCCGCAGACGTCCGAATGTGTACAAGCGAAGGTTGCCAACGGTGGCGGTCGGTTGGCGAGTGCAGGCAGGTAGACACCGCATCCCTTCCACCACCGGTATTAATATTATAGACGGAGTTGCCAGCCCAAAGCGGGATGGCGAGGCATGTACAGCCAGAAGGTGAAGGTTACCTTCAGCTCGAGCGGAAATACCGCGCGGAACCGGAGGTTTCTCAACAGTATTAAAACCTTTTAGGGTGTCGAAAAGTGCTCGATGCAGATAATGTTTCCAAAACATTGTCGTCAAGTAAACGCCGATTCAAAGAAAAACAGTAGATGCAAGAATGGACTGGTGTCGAACGGTATGTGCAAGTGAAGCTCGGGTTCAGCGTCCAGCCTCGAGGTCGTGGTTCGAGGTGAGGTGCTGGTGCTCGCTTTCCCACGTGTAGTGGTCGTCTACAGGGCTCAAAGAACCCGACGAGACAGACGAAGAAGAGCCCACGGTCCACTCATCGCTGTCCAGGTTGAAATCACCATCCAAGCTGGCAAGGTCATACCCGAATTCGCGAGAGTAGTCACCGATCTCGACGTAGTCATAGTCCCAGCGGAACATCTTGTCCGCCTGGACACGCGGCAGAAACCGGGTCTTGGCGAAGTAGAAGGCTATGGTGGCGAGCAGACCACCGCAGACCAGATCGACGGCGTAGTGATGAGAAAGGTACATGGTAGCCCACCACATCCAGAGGGTGTATGTGACCCAGAGGGGCTTCAGTCGCGGGAAGACGTGGCTCATGAACAATGCTGCCAGGGTAGAGTCGGCAGCATGGAGCGAAGGGAAGGCACCGAAAACAACCGGCGATTGTTTGAAGCCTGAGGTGTAAAGGTCGATACCGAGCAGCTTGTCAATGCGCGCAAGACCGGCAGGGTTTCCCTGCATGGAGTAGTCGGCCGGGGCCAGACCATAGAGGTTTTCATACCAGGGTGGCGAGCAAGGGAAAGCCAGCTGGATGAAGACAGCAAGCATGCTGATGTAGCCGAGAGTCCGAGCGTACAGAGGGGTGGTCCCCGGGGGACCGAAGAAGAAAAGGAACAATGAAACAACGAATGGGGCTCCGTAATGGCAGAGTCCGTAGGGAATCCAAGCCAGAACGTCAAGCACCACATTTTGGTGCGCCGAGAGGATGTTGCTAATGTTGGCACCATACAGAATATTCTCCATGGCCGGTAGCACCCGAACCCAAATGGCGGGACGCCAGTCGCTAGGAACGAACCTGAAGAAAAGTCTGGTTAGCCGTATATTCTTTTCACGCGTGTATGGTCTTCATCGCCCCGCAGATCCTATGAGCTCCTGACGAGCGCATCTGCAGAAAGAGACAGACAGTAAAGGGGGTGAAACTTACTGGCATCCATAGAAGAAAATGAGCCAACCTGCAACAGGGAGGAAAGGTAGGAAGAATTGCCGCGTGACCGGCATTAGAAGCGAGCACAAAAGCCCAGTGGCGATCGCCGTTTTGCCCAGCGGACCAGGAGACTGGATGATCGTCAAGGAGAAGATGCCCACGATCAGGAGTAATAGGTATTGGAAGTCATATATGGTCCATCGATGTGACTGCAGTGATCTGAGAGTGTCGATGGGCGAAAAGGAGGTTTGCATTCTCGAGATGGACGAGGCGGGCGAGAGGCGGCTCCGGAGCTTGGACCGGAGCTTGCGACGCATGCGATGCGGCACAAGGAGCTGGAATGAGCGCCATGGCACTTGGATCTGAAGTTTTCCAAACTGGTTCTGTGTTCGATCTTTCCATGACGGATAAGAGGCGCTCATCTTCGCGGGGACTCTCCTCCGGGAGGCTCCAGTTGAGTTCAATGATGAAAAGGGGGATCCGAGGTTTCGAGGAATACCAGGACCAGACGGAAGGAAGTCGCGTAACGGAAAGGGGTTTATCGTTGACAAGATGACAGTCTCATGAAAGTCGAGGAAGGGCTGATAGGAAGGCGAAGAACAGTTAAGGCCGAGGGGCGTGAGTCCCAGGGAACTCAGGAGGTCACGTTGACAAGGGTGTCGGTTGGGATGCAAGGCAACAGCAAGGGCGCAACCGAGTAAACCCAGTAGGAACAGAAGTCGAGAAAACCAACGAGACCACTGGAAGCCCTGAAACGAAGATATTAGGAATTAAAGAGATGGCAGGAAGAAGGGGAAGAAAAGAGCTGGACGTGGATGGATGAAAGTGTAATAGAGGTGTAATGGTATTACGACACCTAAATTTTGGGTTGTAATTTTTCTCAGCTGTTGTATGGATTACCTAACTTTTCTTACCAGCCTTTTGTGACCTTTCGTTTACAAGTTCATGGCGTCACTATTGCTAATAGTTCCTTTTGTTTTCCCAAGGTAGTTGATAGATCTGATAGATATTCTACTTCAATCTCTACCATCTCAACCCATTGGCATTTTGACCGGAGTCCTCGGCAGTATTCAATACCCTCACGGCTGGAGGTCATCCGGACTTAACAGTTTGGGTGTCGGGCGGAAGCGGCGGAAGCCACGGCGGTCGGGGTGCATGAAAAGTCACAACTCTGGGCATATCTCGGACTTTACTGGTCCCGACTCGTTACGAATCTTGCTACAGGCGGCTCCGAGGCTGCCGAGGATATCCCTCGTGAATGCGAATGTAAGTCGTTGTGTGCGAAGTACCTTACAACCCAACAAGAGCCTCAACATGTTCCTCTTGACTTTGTTAGTTGATATATCACTTGTATTCGACTCAAACGAGGCAGTAAATGCTGTAACTATCGATATTCAAGTGAATTTTCACAAATTACTTACACGGCATAGCTCAGACGCAAATTTTCACGTATTCTCCATACATAAGATCCATCGTCGGACACCGATTGGCCCTCATTTTTACTGCCCCATCGTTCAGACCCGGTACGACCACCCGATCTCCAAGCCCAATTTCGCTTATGCATTAATAAATTTAATACCAACTGGGCTCTCTACGGAGCTACCGTCGCCCAGGTGATTTCAAAACAGCACTAGTGGACTAGCTACCTCCTGCTCATCTGAATATCGAAAGCTCATTGGTTAACAACCTGTTCAGGCTGTTAAATAGGCAGTGACATTTTAGAAATGACCCCAGCGCGGCTGAGCCACACGCGCCCAGGTAACATTCTTCTGTTCGGAGAATAAGAAATTGATAGTTTGTCAGGGAATGGGGCTTAGTAGCGGACATTGCAGATGTAAACTCCAGAGCTGACAAGCTAGGCCTGTGAGAAATGGGGCCACGCAGTACAGGGCATGTATTACTTCCTAATAATGCCCAGAACTTTAGGGGGTACCAGCCTCTTGATTTTATTGCCCGTGAAACAGGGTTGAACAATGAATCTACAATTTCTACCCCGTGCCCCTGGATTTGCACATGGGTGACGGGTCTCGAAAGTCACCTCTAGCGCCACCCCCGCCAATCACCATCTTCATTTCCAGTCCAGCGCCAATTTGAAGCTCCTCTACTCCGTAGTTGTTCTCTGTGATATCCATACGGAGTACTGTGAAATATGTGATACGAGATACCATGTAGCGCCCTGAAATCCTTCTCTGCTTACTATATATAGTGCATGATTAACTATCCCATGGTTTATCATCATTTATCATCAGTTTCTGCGCCTAGATCTCAAAGGAATACGAAAATTACACTGCCAGCTCATTATTCACCCCGTATTCGTATCTGCTTGAACGTGATGCAAGGCTTATGGATTTTGACTTTATTACTTTAAGAGCTTCGTTCCAAGGTCGATCGCTGCGCCACACGAGTCATGTTGTCACACAGTGCCAAGCCTCAATCTTAGCCCTCGGGATATGTGAAGCATCAAGAATGTTAGGCCTTCTATAGTATAGTCAGATATTTTTGCATGTACTTGCTCTTTCATTGCTACTCATTGAGCCCAACTTATCGCTTGATCACTACACGATGCATGCATCTAGTGGTTGAGAATCCCAGATTTAACAACACAGAATACTGACATGCAAGACTCCGACCTACGCAGTGCCCAGCCTCACTTTATGCACGAATATTAGTTACACAAGGGCCTGCCTCTACGGCGTGAGGGTAGTAAGTAGTTATTTTTAAGCTTGATGTGCCCGTACTCACTTCATACCATGTACGCAATACCAAGATCGACGTTTCTGCATCGTCGATCCTCCGTCCATCACGTTACATCCCCCGCAACCCAAATGCGGTCAGTGGGGATCATTGACTTGGTAACTTCTAGGTTACAGATTGGAGGTAAGGAACCACGAGGGACTGGACTGACATCATGGTGGGATATGCTTGAGTACTTGTAAGCCAAGTTCGTCAATTCATTGGTCTCTCAAAGTGCGCCCGTCAGTTCTGCTTTTGCCTGTTCGAGCCAGGATTGATACCCCTAGGTACAGGGCCCACGTTACATACAGAAATCCGATCTGGGCTGCTCATTGAAAGCACTTGTCTCGCAGATGGCGGGGATAGACATATTGGTTTTCTGGGAGAGCCCATCACGCTCCCATTATGATAGCACCGCCACAGCTTATCACGGCTAGATTCCAGGCCCTGTAGATTACGCAGTCCCTGTAGATGCATTCCCCGTTTTAGTATATTGTACTAATTAGGGCGTCTAGGCGGTAGTTAAACCTATGATAATTGGTCTTGCATAAGCGACGACTAACTTCATCTCACGCGTCACTGCCTACACGGGTAAATGGACCCCAAGTATCAGAGACATTGACATTAGCTAAGACGACCTTACGAATGGAACCATGCAGAAGACCTTATGGAACCAACCGGCACAATGGAGCTATGCGTCTTGGACAAGATCTGATCGAATCTACCTACCTACAGGCCACCCTCCGCCTCCTTCAATCTTCATCGTCGACCTCATTGTCCTCGTAAACCGCAATAATCCATGATGCGACTATCGAGTGAGCATGCAATTGATCTACTTTCTACTGTTATACTTTGGAGGAACTCAGGCGGGGATATGTAAAGACCCCCGTTCATGTATCTAGTTCTTCGTGCTCAATCTCACATTGTTACTTCCGGTAACCGCAATACAGAAACCAGGTTGGTGACTCTTACCTTGATTATAACTTGACATCGATACGATCAGATCAGTACTTCAATATAGCTCTGGCCGTAGTGATGTCAAGGTATAATCAAGATAAGAGTCACCAAGGTTCCGGGAGACACAAGTAACAATGTGAGATTGAGCGCTCTTCCGTGACGCCATCGCAGTTTTCGTACGTCTGCTCTATTATATGCTGGAGGGATCAATTCAACAAGATGTTGTTGATTCATTGTGCAGAATATCTCATGAAATAAAGAGGGGGATGCTGGTGATAACTGACCGTGGCAAGAATAGATGTAGACTTCGAACGCTATCAATTCCTGACCAAGCTAGATGAATAAGGTCGAGCTGTGTCTCTACTACTTACCATGTGCAGAGTATCTCTCACAAACAAGCCACGTACATCGGCTAGGTAGTCGGTCGAACTATATGAAACCATTGCGAAAGCACACAGATGAAGAGAGAATCTTGAATTGGGTGGCCCAGTAAATCCCCCATGCTATTTTAGGTATTTAGATTGAGGGCGACTAACCGTTAACGCCAGGCAATGTGTTATCTTAGGTCATGATAAAAAAGAACCCCATCCGCGCCAATCCATGAAAAATGATACAGAAAAGAGAAGTGGGTGGCCATTTAGTCATGCTTCTGGTCTTCAGGGCCATCAGCCAGCATCTGGAAGCCTTTCACCAGCCCCATCGCAGAACCCGCGGCGATGCTACCGACCAGTACCATTTGAATACCCCCAACGAGACCCTTGCGAGCATTTCGACGGCCGCGCCAGCCACTGACAAAGCATGTCTTTCCATATCCGAAAATGAATAACGCGATTACCATGGTAGCGATGGACCAGCGTAGGGCGACGAAGGCTTCGTCGGGCCCGACAAAGAAGTATGGGATTAGAGGAACAAATCCACCGAGGAAATACCCCAGGGCGATAGTCAAGGCACAGATGACGGCTCGTGACCCGGAAGGTTCGGGCATAGTGTGGTGGAAGTTCATGAGGAAAGATGGCAGCATTGGAGAGGACGACAGGTGATTCTTGAGTTGTTGGACTAACTCAGCAGGCAATTCATATGGCTCGAAGATATCAGAGATGGTCTCGGATATAGAGTTGGGATCCGTTGTTGTCTGCGCCTGTGTTTCTTTCAATGTAGCTTTGTATGATTCCCTGAGAAATAAAAAAAATCAGCTATCGAGTCCGCGGGAAATTCACCGAGGTGATCGCTTCAAAATCCCAAGACTAAGGCAATCTTACTCTTCGCTTTTGGCACCCAGATATCCACCAAGCCCCATGGAGATGGACCCTGCGATGAGCTCTGCAAGTCCACCGAACACGACAATCTTGGTATCTCCCAACGCAGATAATCCAGCAGTCAGAGCAAAAGGCACAGTCATCCCATCTGAAAGACCGATGATAGCATCTGACACCGTGCGACCGTCAATAAACCGCGATGACTTCCGTTCAGAGTCATCGTGTCGGGTGCGGTTGCCGGCCTCGACATCAGGACGAAGTTGAGAACAAAGGTCCTTTTCATCCTCTGAAGCAGAAGGACTGCGATCAGTGAGGGGCGAGTAGCTAGACATGAGGCCGGTTATGGAGCTGATTGACATGGTAAGAGTTGTCGGGGGGGTTGAGAAATGAGACTGAATGAAATGAAACCTTGCTGCACCCCTTGGGTAGGACCTTTTGGAATGTTTGTTTCAGCGGATGCGAGGGATCGGGAATCAGCCGGCAGAGCAGCGAGCTCTTAAGATAAGAGAAAGAACATGCGGTGCAGTCATGGGCCTTTCCCTCATGCAACCTCAGGTCTCGACGGAGAAGTGATCAGCTATACTTGCACCTCATGGCCTATCGAGTGACCCAGGAAGACAACGTGCTTGGCATTTCCCCTCATGGTCAGGCACGTGCAACTCTGATTTGAGGAGGGCCGTTTAATGGTGGGGCTGTGGGTCCCCAAGGCGGGCTTCCACTGCTTAACTTGTAGCAGGGATCCAATTAGATACTGCTATATCCAATCCAGCTCTTTAACTCACGACCTCCGTCTGGTTCACGTGTTGATATAAACTATACCCTAGCCCTACAGAGTTAGTGTCGGCACTATCCTGATTTATGTCGTTTTTTATTGTGACGGGCAACATCGAGCTAGATGGAACCCCTCTTTTTACCCCTCTCTTTCTCCTTACATACAGTGGCATCGGATAACGACCGCGCTCAAGATAAATCGAAAAGACAAGATGAGGCTGCATTCAAGCCCGGTCGGTGGACTATAAGTGTCGCTTCTGTTTTCAGCAAGTGCTGTGCGAATTAATCATGACTTTCGTCTCGAAGGCTCCCCACGGTAGATGCCTACCTACGGTCCACGGAGTACTCCGTACATGAAGCGGTGTGTGCCTATGTGGAGAATAGAAACTAGAAAGCGCAAGGACAAAGCGTCCTTATCTCCCGATTGCTTGCAAGTTTTCCGCACTTTTCGCTTCAATCCGAAGCACCTGCAGTTATCTTATTGTCCCCGGTGGAACATATCGATATCATGCCAGTGTTCGGACACACAAACGCTGTCGGCTTATGGGTGGCGCAGCTACTGTGGAGAATCGAGATTCAACAATTTCTATCAGTCGGTCTCGGTTTGAGTTACTAACAGCCGAACTATGCCCAGTGCTGGCTCTACTTTGAGCGCGTATTTTGTCGGTCTCTGAGAGTTCAATATGATTGATGGCATCAACCCAGAGCAGAACCTGTCAATGTGTACAACGAACACACTAAACCAAAGAAGATTCAAAAGCACGACCACAGATAAGACTACTCCATGCAACCACCAAAGCAGCAATGCGGAATGTAAGATGCATAGGCGTTGGAATCTTGTGCCAGGGCTCGGCATCACTCATGAAGAATTCAAGAAGACCATAAATCGCGTAAAGAATCGGAGAGAAGAATGAACACAGAAATATCGAAATGCTAAAAACTGGCATCGCGTGAAGGGTAAGTGTTGGCGAATTTTGGGGCCAGCCCTTTGCCCGGGAATCGAAGTATGCAGGGAAACTTGAAGACGAAACCGCAAGAGGTGAAGGTGAAAGATAAAAGTAGATCTGCGGATCTGTGAATGGAACGTGCGTCCGGTGGAAACTTGAGGCACCACGAGCCAGTCCGATCCATCGAAAGAATGCATGCAGGTCCGATATACTACTTGCGCTTCTGGGCGCCAGTCTTCTGGTCCGAGGAGGACGAGCCAGTCATGTCCCACAGACGGCTCTTGTAGGCGGGAAAGGAGGTGTGGTTCCACATGTTGACCAGGACACTATAGTTGAGACATCGAGTTAGGCGACACAAACGAGGATGAGAAAAGCAACGATAAGAAAACACACCTCTGAGTCCTGTCCTTGTAGGCCTCATCTTTCACCTCCTTAACCTGCACCTTCATGCCGTCCTTGGTGAAGGCGATATTTTTGCGCTCCATCTTCTCACGCGTGTTCTTGCTCACATCCTGCATGATGCTATAGACGACGAACCCGACCGCCGCAAGAATGCCAACAAAGACGAGGAGCAGGACGAGGGGAACGAGATTGCGGGCGCCCATGGTGGGGTTTGTTTATCGGTGATATCGGGGAATATCGTGTTCAGTCGAGATGTTTGTGGGAAATCCGAAACGAAGATTCGGATGACTAGAGCTCAAAGGAAAACAGTGCGAGAATGATGGTTCATTTGCAAAGATCAGGGCGTCGCGTGTGCAATTTGTGCTAGGCAACAGTCACAGCACCTGGAATGTATCCGAATTCTTGCACGAGACTTGCTTTGTCGATCTCACCTGGGGGAAAGCTGGATATGAGACTTGGGTTCAGGGGAATTAGACCCATCAAACGGTGTTTCGAGTTGACGTTGATTCGAGGGGAAGCGCGGGATAGGTGGCTGTGGCAAGCGTGGTTATAAGGCTGCCTGGTTGTGGCGCATCCGAATGCTGACTCATGGATTCCACGGGCTCGGGCCGACTTGGAGGTTTATTCGTTCAGAGATACTTAAATTAGACTACTCAGTCAATTGATCTAGGTAGTCCATTCTGTTGCAAGTACAGTTGTTCTGTATCACCTCTGATGCACTACTCTGTAGTACACACTACACACTCATAGTATGAATTGGAGCTTCCCCACTCTCCATACTACTGTACTGTAAACAGGACGATCGGTGGAGCTCGATCTCATCTGCGTCATCATGATAGAATCGCAAACTCAACGTCAAGCTCGACGGTGAGCCTTCATCGCGGGATGGAGATTGTAATAACCTTGTCCTTCCGCATAGTCCAGTTCTTATCCCAGTAGTCCTGCCAAGTACGAAACGATGTGCGATATTCCCTTCTTTCCTATATTCCCTATCTGCTTCCAATGCGGCACCGATCAGAACCCATGTCACTGTAAAGTGGTCGGCCCGACACTCGGTAAGCTAGGCCCCTGTCCAGTGATACAAATCGCCAATGAAAGGGCCAAGTCTGACAAGATAACCAGGATTCTTCTCTACTGTTGTGGCAGGAGTAAGTGAAACTTATCCCTTGGCGGATGTATGCTCCAGTGCTCTAGAGCTCATTGCAATCTCTTCTCTTAGGTCTTCTGCTGGCCGCTTTCAATCTTCTGCGGTTGTGGCTGCACTCAAACTGGAAAGGAGTATGTTTTCCTGTCTCTTTTCTTCGTATCTATGCTAACAGCAGTAGCATGCTGGCGTTCCCCGTCAAACTAAATGGGATGGTCAGCAACACAATTCCGTTTTGATGTTGAGAGCTAGGCGCTTGGAGTAGTTTTAATGGTTAAATCAATTGGGTCTCGTCATTCCATCTAACTGAGTCTTCCCGCCTCTCCCGGCAATTCTCAAGCCAGGTATATACCTATCTCCGTACAAGTTCCCAAACATCCATCTTGGAATGGACCAGCTGTGGTGATAGGGCTACCTACCTACCTGGTAGGTTCCTCTCAAAACTGGAACCTGGAAAACGATGGTTGCCTCCGCCTGCCACTACAAAATTGCTGCATATTTCAAGGAGAATCAGGAAGCCTTGTCTTCATGACACAAAGCTCAATAGGTAGCTATCATTGACATCCATTGCGTTGACCACCTCCAGGGCTAGACATTAGAATTATAGATATTATACTGCAAGAATGAAGACCCAACAGCCTGTGGACATATCCCAAGTCACCTTCAAGCAGATGTCTTTTCAGGCTCAGGCAAATAGCCAGCCGAGAACTCCTCCGGCTCATCATAATCCTTCAAATCCAGTCTCTTCAAGAACCCTCCATCGACCAAAACCGTCACACTGGACGTCGCCAAAAGCTGCGAACCAAATCCAGGCTGCTCAAACCAAGGCGTGATAGGACCCAACAGAACATCAAACTCCTTAGTCACTTCGTACACATGATAGTTATACGGGAAGCTACTGTCCGCCGGAGCGAAAAGATTGGAAGGCGGCAGGGCTCGCTCAATATACGGCGCTCCCAGCGGTGCCAGGAATTTCCCTGTTTCACTTCCGAATCTGTCCAATTTCTGGCCCACGCGAAGGGTGAAGTTGCCCAGAATGGAGACATTCTCGGATGTCGTTGCGAATCCGTCGTAGTCGGGGTAGACCCAGTACGCGGTGGGATCAGAGGCGTTTACGGTCCATTTGTCGAGGAACTCGAAGGGGCATAGGTCGCCGAAGCGGGCGTATGTCTCGAGTTCGTTGGAGAGAGGGAAGAATTTGGGGAGATGTTTGGGACCGAGACGGGGATCACCGCAGACTGCGGTGGAGTTTACATAGGTGACTCCTTTGCATGGGTTGGGGTAGCATCTTTTGGGATAGTCCGGTTCCTAGGAAGGGTTTTAGCATATGATAATAACATTGAGTGTTGTAGGGTGTTACATGGGACTGACCTTGCTTGTCTTGTGTATTTTAGGGGTGACAAAGGACGCGGCATTAACTAGAGCAACGGACAGAAACACGCTCCATGGTGAGAGATGCATGGTGATCGGGGAATGGGCAATTCTCTTTATTTACAGAGGGGCAGAAGAGAAAAGTATAGTCATTTATACTACTAACGCCAAGGAGATCTGACCTTCCAGCCTCGCGATCTACTGCGCTATTCAAATGATGCGCCTCGGCTATGCACACAGATGGAGCTTTGTGCCTTGGGATTATGTCGTATTGGCCAAGGAATGAAGTGAGATGCTCATCACTAAACCCAATCACAGCTCCCCTGGCGGAGTTTTTTGATTCGTATGGGATTCATTGTACCAACTCATTGACCCGAGCAATGTAGGGACATTTGGAGAAGTCAGGGGCTTCAATCCTAAAAATGCAGACGACTTTGCATTATTTAGCCCGCTTATTGGCTGTTTCCGGTTGAGATCGTCTCACTCAGTCGATACTAACGTCTAACGGACATGACTGTCATGAGCACGAACCTTCTCAGCTGTGAAGCCAGCTGCCAGGCGTGCAGGCAGATTCCGATATGCGATTGTCTTTGGATGGTCATGTCTCAGACAAACCAACTCTAGCATCATGTAGAATACAAATAGTCAAATACCTACCAATTTGGAGTTAGCTGCATGTAATCTAAGTACTGTGTAGCTGTGTCGATTGCCAGGTGAAGGCGAGCTGAGATCGAGCACAATAGCCAATGGTGGTTAAGTGGATCCAATAGTCGAGTGACAACACCTACAGTAGTTACATGCACTCCGTAAATAAATGCAAATTCTTCATTTGAGTCTGAGCTAGAAACAATTGTATCTGCATTGACCCAATATTGGGATCAGCCAATACTCGGCCATCTCTCTCCCAAATCGAAGTCGGTCTAGCGTTTTGGCTGCCAGACGAAAGTCACGATCGGTATAATGCACTGTCCGATCGATATTGTGATTTTCTTCGCATAGGTTATGCAGTTGCATAGTCTCACTCTGTCGACTCTGACATTTCGACCTATCTATATGGTTGTAGCTGGACGACCGTTACCTCACGCTCACTCACACAGGCCCCTTCCACTCCACCACGACAATCGACATCATCCCAGACTGCCCCTTAGCTGAATTCCCCTGAGCCCAATCCTTCAACGTGCAAACTTCCTCGAAATTGTTCTTTTCAAACACTCTCGCACTCCCTTTGTTTCCAACATAGAAGCTGCCTTTGAGGCAGGAAAGGTTCATCCGAGGAACAGCCCAGTCACCGATGATAGTCTTATAAGCAAGACTCATGATCCCCCGCCCATGGTGAGTCGACGAGAGGTAATCTACCAACATCATTAGCGAGCTGCATACCAGCATTTGGGATGCCTAGTCCTACTTCCTAATCCCCAAACGATATCCTTATGTCCCGCCGGCAAAGCATTATTTGCCTCTTGCGCCTGCGCAAGTTCCGGGCTATTGCGTGGCAATTCATAGAAAGCATATCGCGCCAGTCCAATGTCTCCAATGAAGACATCTTGAAGCGGAGCGCCGGTCGCTGGATCTCTCTCGGTTACTTCGCGTATGCAATTAAAAGGACATTGGTCGAAGAACACTGGTTTCTCCTTGTCTTTTGGATCATCGCGTTGCGGATGACTTTCCGGTGACTCGAGTTCTTGTCGCAGAATGGAGAGGAGTGCTTCGTTCTCTTTTACTTTGAATCTGACCCAGTCTGCGCCATGCTCGGGCAGGAACGGGAATGGGGGACCTTGTAGCCAGACGTAGACGTTTGGATCATTGAGGATTCCAGTCATTGCGGCAGATACTTCTTCAATTTCATGCTCGCGGTGCGGAGTGATGATGATGTTTTTGCATGGCGCTGGGAGCTGGAGGTAAGGCTCTTTAGTGAGCGGGTTGTAGTGGACACCCATTCTGACGAGACCTGAAGCGATGGACTCTTGGAGTCTCAACTGAATGCTCTTTGCTTTCAAGCATCACCACTATATACTCGATTTCGGTGGGGTGCTCACTGTCAGATTCGTGAGTCACTTCGGAGAAAACTCGGGAAGAGGCCGAAGGGCTAACCAAGTGTAGGCGAGTATAGCCACGCCAATGTCACCTTGGGGCTATTAGCTCCAAATGTGAAAAAGGCGACTCCATATTTGCTCAATAGCGCGTGACTCCTCCCAAATTCGTGACCTTCCCAGGCTGCGAAATCAGACTATCTTGATGGTTGGGGAGTTGGATGCCTGGGACTGGAAACTAGACCACCAGAGCGGGCTCAGCAACAGCCTTAAAGACGAATCCGACACATCGTTCGGATATTGTGCCTGTCACAATACATCCCAAACAGACAGCAACGAACCCATCAATCTGAGCCATGCCATTCTGCATAGGCGGGGAGCCACGGCGTACAATGAGTGTCGCAAGCATCACTAGAACCCTGAGGACAAGTTAGGTACACAAATTTGGTATGAATTTGTATCAAATATTGATTAGACAGCTCGTTAGAACGGTTGGGTGTTTCTGCTATGTACGAACCCGACCAGGGGCCATGGCTATCATGGAAAGGGCAATATGCTCTCACTCTGGGTATATGGATGTTAATTTACAGACACGCGACTGGTCAGCTCTTCGAGACGTCCCGCCAACGCTCGGTGTTTGCGCATGACCTCCTCCCATTCATAGGCCATGTCGTCGGTATCTTCCTCCTCGCTCAGCTCTGTCAAAATCATGCCGAAGTCACCGCCAAGGCGACCAAGACTGGCAGCACAGTACAAAAGCTGGGTGAGAAGACTTTCCCTCGAACTTCGGTCTCGGACGTTGGGAAGATATGTGCGCAGAGTATCCGTAAGCAATTGCACAAGGTGCATCGGAAAAGTAGCCAAAGCCGGCGGGAGGCGTTGCAAAGGGTCATCTGAGTGTGCTGGCTTGGACTTGGACTTGAAGTGGGCGTCTGCACCTCGTAGTCCCGAGGTAGCAATGTCGGATTCGGATTGCTCCTCAAATATATTCTTGTATAGGGAGACAATTGCGAAGCTCTGCTCACGGAAGATCTCGATGTATTTTTTTAGGTAGCGGTCAGTCTGCTGACCATCAGACCACGAGGTCGTGTCTGATTTGTCCTTGCCGCCGAGCCTCCGTTGGGTCTCCTGATCTGCTAGCTCTCGGAGGGGATCCAGAGCTTCAAGGGTGGATACCAAATGCGCCAGTCTGCAGACTAGGAAGATGGCCCCAAGAGCGCCTTCTCCAGTCCCGGCGGCCCCGTCACTCTGAAGCATTTCAAGGTCCGGGGATACTCGCCGCAGCCACCCCACAGTTCGTATTCCAGCTGCAAGTCGTAGGTGCTGGGCCCGGAGCCCGATGATCAGATTGCTCGTCATGTCCTTCATAGCATCCTCAGCCTGAGATGCTACATCTTGAATCAATGGTGATTCGGGGTATAATGTTTGAAGTCGCTTGATATGTGCATGCAAGTCGAGTGCAGAAGAATAGGTCGTAGAGGAGGCGCCAGTGCCGGAGTTGGTTGAGGCGGCGGAGACTGCTTTGGACAGCAGACTCGGTAGTTCCAAGATATCAGACAGTCGATCAACATTACGTGACAGCTGCATGGCCTTTTTCCGTCGTTCCAGGGCGGCATTATCTGTGATCTTACTGTATTTGGTGGAGAACCCAACGGCCTCCTCGTCGAGTTTTGGGACGGCATGGCGGAGCTGTTGCGCCTCGTGGGTCAATTGCGGAATAGATGTACGTAACGTTGACAGATTATCGGCAGATGTGATCAATGCTCGGTGTGAACGGTTCGATAGGGCTTGAAGGGACAGAAGGGTCGAGTGGGCGGATTGGGCGAGGGATGAGGGTTCCGTAGTTTGGAGCGCGTCCAGGGACAAGGTGGATAGGCGATTGAGGTATTTGTCGGTGGTCACATCGTGAGAATGACTTGGATCGAGATGTGGAGCCAGCAGCTCCAGCAAGTCGGCCATGGCGAGTTGATGCTATTCGGAAGTTGCGTAAAAGCGGCGCGCTGAATGGATCACCGGCCGTTGGCCCGTGCGGGTCAGTGGCTAGAATCCCCGACTGGAATGAACTTTTTTTTCGTTGCGTCTTGGACTTCTCTCTTTCCTCTCTCACTTCTAGGCTGACTTGTTTTCTGTATAGACGGGGCTTATTATTACCCCTGCTCTTCTGTTTCTTCAGTTTCATCGTTGGTTTCCTCACAGTCTAGATTCTAATACTGGCCCCTCCCCCGCATCTCGAGTCCACTACTTTGCATTCCCCATGATACTTCCACCATGGGAAAGCCACGGGTAAGACTCTGTTTGGGGGTGTTTGGAATATGTATGGGCTCAAGCTGATCTTATGCCTATCATAGATGATCATTCTGGTGCGCCATGCACAGTCAGAAGGCAACAAAAACCGCGACATCCATCAGACCATTCCAGACCATCGCGTGAAACTCACGCCCGAAGGACATCGACAAGCGCAAGACGCAGGGCGTCGATTACGTGACCTTCTCAATCCTGATGATAAACTTCACTTCTTCACCTCCCCTTACCGGCGGACAAGAGAGACCACCGAGGGTATTCTCGAATCCCTGACCTCCGATACACCTTCGCCTTCGCCCTTCCCGAGACATACAATCAAAGTTTATGAGGAACCTCGGCTTCGGGAACAGGACTTTGGCAACTTCCAGCCATGTTCCACAGAAATGGAGCGCATGTGGATGGAGCGGGCGGACTATGGTCATTTCTTCTACCGAATTCCGAATGGCGAGTCCGCGGCAGATGCTTATGATCGAGTGAGCGGGTTTAACGAGTCCCTCTGGCGTCTGTTCGGCGAAGATGACTTTGCCAATGTCTGTGTGCTCGTCACACATGGGCTCATGGCGCGAGTGTTCCTCATGAAGTGGTATCACTGGAGCGTGGAATACTTTGAGGATCTTCGTAACATCAATCATTGCGAGTTCCTCGTGTTGACGCACAATCCCGAGAATGGCAAATACGTTCTTCAGAACAAGCTTCGTACCTGGTCAGATCTTCGAAAAGAGCGAGAGCGCGAAAGTGCCTCCAAAGAGCAGGCCCCTGCACCCACCACCCCAGCGGGGCAGGTCGATCATGTTCCAATCCGGCGCAAATGGGGTGGTTGCCCCGATGGCTGCACTCACGGCATGACTGTAGACGCCAAGCTAACGTTGCGAGCGAGTTTACTAAATTCCATGCGTCATAGCCATGGCTATCCAAAGCACACCGACGACCATGTAGCCAACTTCGGCTCGAAATTGCAAAGATCTGTATCTATAGACGAGATTGTGTCATCTTCTGAAGAAAGCGCAGCTCAAGATGATACCGTTCGCAAGTCCAATGCTCGACGAAGTTCCAATCCGCAGCACACAATTCGCAACGATGTCCATGGAAACACCACGAAGCATGGCGAGTCCAGTTCAGATGCCCGACCAAGTCTCGGCACATTGCATTCAGAACGAACCAGTCACCACGGACTCAACCGAAACAGCGAAGACCATCATGCACACCACCCCACAGCCTCTTCTTCATCCTCCGCGCACCTAAAGTACGCTCTCCTCCACTTGGGCGGTCGTGACGGCGGAGGTTCCATGAGCGGGGCGAACAGTCTCGCCCCATCCGACGACGAAGGCGACGACCACCATTATGACCACCACCGTGTCCCAACCCCTTCTAGCTCCATCGCTGGCGCATTATCCCATGCGAACCAATCTAATTTCGCCTTCCCGTCCAACTCCCACACCCGACAACAAGGACCCTCGCAGGAACTTGAAGACGATGGCGACGATGAGATGAGCGCCAATCCCACGGAGAAATCAAAGAATCCGCGCCTGCATCACCCTCACCACCATCACCACCACCATCACCACCAGCAGCAGCAACACAATCTTTCATCAGGCAGCCTACCCGAGCACCGAATGGCCAATATCCTAGGTGACGGAGACGAATCCTCAAACCCCTCAGAAACACAGAGCCAAAATGCAGAGACGTTCTCTACGGGTTATCCGTCTCATCTGCACATAGAGGAACTATCATTGGAAGAACAGCAAAAGCAAGACCAGAGTATCCAAGGGAGCGTATATTAATACGGCTGTTTTCTTCATCGATGTGTCGATTGATCATATATCTGCATACTTCTTTCCCTGCGTCTATTTCCATTCTAAGTCATGTCCCCTTCTCGATATTTACACTTACGACCCGCGATGACTGTTTGGATCTCGATTACCCACTAGTGCGCATCTTTACATATTCATAGCATCAATTCATTTTCGGCTTTGGCTCTGGTGTGATCATCCTTAACACCTTTTTTACTTGGCTCTGATAATCTGATTGGCTTCTTTCCATTCTTCCTCCGATCAAGGTTCATCCGAGACTCCGACCCGGCCTATTTCTAGGCCGAGTAAACCCTAACCCGCATCCCCTTGGAACCTTAGCAACAGCCTCAACAACAATATCCGACTGCAATATAAATAGCATAGAATGATACTGCAGATTCCCATTGAGACAGCCTCAGCAATTTAATTTACATCTCTCACCATAACAACAATCAAAAATGATCTCTCTATCAGAAGTCCAAGCCTCAAATGCCCAAATCGCTAAGATCTTCCCTCCAGGCCTCGTTGCCGTCTTCGTAGGCGCAACAAACGGCATCGGCGAAGCAGCTCTGAAAGAATTCGCTCTCTCAGCCCGCTCCCCACGCGCCTACTTCATCGGCCGCTCCGAAGAAGCAGCCGGCCGCATCAAAACCGAATGCCGACAACTGAATCCCGAAGGAGAATTCATCTTCATAAAGGCGGACATCAGTCTAATCCGAAATGTTGACCTTGTCACCCGCGAAATCCAATCTAAAGAAAAGAGTATCAATCTCCTCTTCCTTAGCTGTGGGACTCTGCGTTCTGGTAAAGGTACAAGTTAAACCCCATTGACACACATCATATACATTGGTTGTCCATCACCCAAACGACAAATTCATAAGTTATCGTTGGTAGTCCGATTCTAATGAAAATATACAGACACCACCGAAGGCCTCCACACCATCCTAGCAGCCGCCTACTACGCCCGCACACGGTTCATCCTCAATCTCCTACCAGAACTAAAGTGCGCAACCCACCTACGCCGAGTCGTCACCGTGCTAGCGGGTACACACGAAGGCGCCATCGACGAAACCGACTTCCAAGTCAGGAAGATGTCGATGCTCAAGGGACGAGGGCAGACAGTTTCCATGACCGACTTTGCGCTGGAGACGCTGGCCGAGAAAGCGCCGGAAGTCAGTTTCGTGCACGATTACCCCGGTGTCGTGAAGACGGGGATTACGCGGGAGGTTAGCTCGCCGATTGCGCGGGTTCTGTTCCGAGTCGTGAGCGTTATCGGGCCGCTGGTTTATATACCTATTCGAGAGTCCGGGGAGAGGCATTTGTTCTTTGCCACTAGTGCGGTTTATCCGCCCCGTGCTGGTGATGCGGTTGGTGTGAAGATCGTTGGAGGGGAGGTTGTGAGGGGCACGGATGGGGTTGTTGGGAGTGGGGTTTATAGTGTGGGTGAGAAGGGGGAGGCTGCTGGGAAGGGGGCTGTGAAGGTGTTGGATGGGCTGAGGGGGATGGGGATGAAGGAGAAGGTTTGGGGGCATACTCTTGGGGAGTTTGGGAGGATTGTTGGGTCCAGGGGGAGTAGATTGAGGTTCCAGTTGAGTTGTTGAAGACGAAGTAGGATGCTTGCGTTTTGTGTTGCATAAGTCACGATAATAATCAATTTCTTCGAGATTCTCCAACCTAGTTTGGTCCTGGTTGGAACGTAGAACTGCCAGATTACCGACAGCGCCGTTGCTCCGAGTCCACCTTTTAGGGCTTTTATAGGCACTTGCGTATGTTGTCATCGGCGGTGATTCGGTACACTTAGACGGTTAGATCGCGGGAAACTCCGTCCAACCTTGAGCTGTTGTTGAGATAGACGTCATTTTATCATTGTATGAACATGCACGAAGAAACGCTGAACTAATTTCCGCCTGAACAGTCTCACAGTCTCTCATGGACGTCCGAAATTCCCCCGGCTTTTGAGGTCTATAGATCCGATGACGTCAACTTACCTAGTTACTGTGTACACAGTACACAGTAAGTTACCGAAGCTTGAGTCTAATGCATAACGACGGGAGATATGCAAGTTGTCTGTTTACATGGCTGACAGTTGTACAGTTGGTAGTTGTACAAGCCATGCATGTATAGCCTAGCTAATAGTCGCCTAGGTACCAGCATACATACAGGTAGGGCGGGAGTATCGCAAGCTACGCGGGAACCGACAAGAACATGGCTTCTACAAGCTACACCAGAGATCAAAAGTATTGCAGCCTAGGCAAAGACAATAGTTTGCCACTGATTTATTTATTTAATCATCTCCAAAAGGATCTGCACACCAAATGCCCGCCACTATCTGTTGCCACAGACGTCAAGAACGATAATAGGACATGCCCAATGGGAACCGGGGCGATTCTGCTCGACAGCAGCAGGGGGCGAATGGTGGAGAGGAGCCAAAATGAAGAGAAGGTCGGTCAGGTAGACTACATAAATACAGGTAGGGCGTAGGGACTGACCGGACTCTCGAAATGGAACATTGGACAGGCGAAAATGGGCTTCATCAAGGGCTCCAGTTCGCTCCGTATAGATTCCAAGATGTTAACAGGGCACTCGGGATGAAGAGATCGTGATCCGTATAGCCAGTGAGAGTTGGTAGAGGGGTGATGGATTTTCATCATGCAGCTTAGAATGGTTGAAAAGGATCCTTGAATTTTTGATCGCGTTGATCGAAGAAGTCTCATCGAGAAGGGATAGAGAACAAGTCAAAGAATCTCAAAAAAAAAAAAAAAAAAGGAATGAATAGTTGAATTTGAAATGAAGAAGCGAAGAAAATGATTAACCGCGCATAGCGTGTAGCGCGGCCAATGGGAATAATGTACCGAGATGAAAGAAGAAGTAGAAGAAAGAAGAGACTCTTAAGGGTAATCACCGCAAGACAAAATGTCAGGCATAAAACAGGAGGCCGAAGAAATGGACCGAAGTCATGGGTAATAAACAGAGAAGTCAGATTTTGGGAATTCGTGATAGTCGTGACGGCGGCCCCGGCAGCCTTCAAATGGGAGGAGCGAACATGGGATGAAAGGCCCGAACATCATGAATTCGGGGAACATGATGACATGACGATTCAGGTGGCTCAGAAGTTCGCATCGCAAGCTTGCCGGGGGCATGCCGATGTCCGCCGTGGGAGCTTTTTTTCCTTTTTTTCCGGGTTTTGAGTTTTTATACGCTTTGCCGAACGAGAAGCAGCGGACGCAGAACAAAAGTACTTTTCGGGTGACGCGGCAGGCCTGACAATTGCGCTGAAGCGGGTGAAGGCTAGCGAGGCAAAAAGGCGGAGGGCGCAAGATTGGAAACATTTGAAGAAGAAACGGCATCGAAGTGATTCCCATGCGACTCGCCCAAACAGACGTTGAAAGAAGTCTAAGATTGCAGTAAGAAGTGAAAATCAAGGGGGGACCATTCGACACCGTCTGTTGCATCCGGAGTCGTGGGCAGAACAGAGCAATGACTGGCAACTAGGCTGCAATCATTGGCTGCTGCATGGTAGGGAATGCACTGTTGCACATGTAGTGCTCGAGGTGCTTCGCACAGTAGGTGCAGCCACACGAGGAACCGTGACCCGTCCACATACTCTGTGCGAATGGCAAACCGTAGGCTGGAGTATGATGATAGGATGGGGGCTGGGACCGAGGTGGGTGAGCCATGTACTGTGGGGGTGCGTTCCAGCCCCGCGAGTAGGGCGGGGGAGGAGGCGGGTTGGAGTATCCCCAGGGACCAACCGAGTAGTAGTCAGGGGTAGTGGGACCGCTGGAGCGTGCGGAGGGGGGCGAATATTCGGACGCGGTTGGGTTGAGCCAGGAGTTCTCGATTTGTGAGCTGCGCTGGTACTGCGGCGGAATGGGGCCTTCGGGTGACATGAGGGGCTTGACGACAGTCTGGCCGCGAACGACGTTGGTCTCGAGCGGTGCCAAGGTTTGGCGTGGCTCCTGGGACCGAGCCGTGGCCTTGGCGCGCCAGGTGTCCCAGTGCGCACGCCACGAGTTGAACCCATCCTGCTTGTCGTAAGTGCACTCGTGGATCTTCCAATCGAAAGCGAAAAGCCATTCCAGCTCCATGTGATTCAACTCGGCAACCGGGATGTTGCTGACCTCAGCCCACGATTTGTTCTGGAAAGTGTTGTCATCAAGGAACTTACTGCCCAATAAAAGGGCGACAGTCAGCATGCGATAGACCTGGCTACTGTCTGACTTGGTGACGGAGCGTTGGGTGGACAGCAGGCGCATTCGGCTGGCCATGTAGAAGAGGCCGAGGAGAATAGTAGCACTTGGGAGGCGAGTCGAAGACAAAATTTGGAAGACGTATTTCCGAAACTGGGGGGGAACCGAAGATCCTGGGTGAAGGCTTCGCACGAGGTCAATATCTGCTAGGTTGATGTTGGTCTCGAACAAATCATACATTCCCTGAGCCATCTCTGCCACAAAGTCGGACATGCGATCCATCTCATAATCCAGGTGAGCTGCGACACCTCCAGTAGCCTTTTCCTCCTTGCGGGGTTGTTCGGGCTGCTGCATCGGGGCAGTTTCCTGTCGACGGTACTGAGGCGGAATCGTAGCGTCCATGGGCGGGAGCTGAACGTTGTGGCGCATTGCGGGCAAACCGGAGCCGACCATCGGGTTGAACATAGCAGACTGGTTCATCTTATGATGATCGCGAGCAGCGTTCATCTGTTGGGCGGACTGGTGGTGGGCATTTATCGAAAGGGGCTTGCCGTAGCAGAGCGATTGCGAGTATTGTTCGATGAACTCATTGCCGCTTTGGTGGTAGCGAGGAGGGAATCCTGCATGACCAACCGGGTAGAACGATGGGTCTTCCATACGACCACCGTTGACATGGGGAGGTGTAGGCAGGCCATGATGACCTGGGACGAAGAAGGACGGCATCGTGAGAAAGGGAGGCGGGTTGCCAGTTCAGGACGGGGAGTTAGACGGATTCTGTGGCCGGGGAAGGCAAAGAGTCAGCACACAAGACCTCGGGATAGGCGGGTAAAGCCAGATGAACCGAGAGACGAGAGATTCGTAAGAGAATGGAAACGAACCGTCTACTCCACCAGACCTGATCCTGGGGATGGGGGAGGGGGAGAGGGGAGAAGAGCGGGTGCTCAGCGAGCGGGATCGCTCTGTCGTGTTCCTAATAGGCAATCTCTAGTTGAATGACATGGAGGTGTGTTCACAATAATCCGACAGACGAATGACTGAATACAAGACCGGAAGGAGCGTGGGTGAACGGTGAATCGCACACTGCCTTGAGCCGTGAATGACGACCGCAGACTTGCGTAGGAAAGGCGGTGGAATCACAATCCAGTCAATTCAAAAGGTGCTTTGAATAGCCGAAGCGAAGCGGTGCCTAAAAAGCTACCGCGAAAGGGTGAACCGAACGCGCTGGGAGCACGAAGAGCACCGGTAGATGAAAATTTCCCCACGCGATTAATGCAAACCTCACAGAATGAGGTGAGCAACGACACTTAGTGAAAAGCTCGTTGACACGGGAGAGGTTGGGATACAGAAAAGAGGTTGAGAAGAAGGATGAAGAGGAGGAAAAGTGTACAGGGGCGTTGTGTGGGAAAAGGCCGTTGGGTTGCCCCGGTAATTTTACATGTATTTGGGTTACGGAGTATTTGGTCACTCGGCCCAGGTATGAAAATCCTATTTAAAAAAGCATTCATCTCTCACTCCCATTGGTTCTATTGTGTAGCAAATCATGTAGCAAATATGCTATTAGATGAATCAAAATGTTCGATTATGTCTAAGATATATTCATCCGAGCACGAAGATGACTGATTTCATTGAATTTTCTCAATGACGAAGTTTACATCGTGAATACCCTTTAAAAATATCGATGCGACGTTCATCGCACGAGTTCGGAACGGATCAAGTGGACAGGGCACAGTGCATGTAATTTTGTAATGTCAGTATTGTAACGTGGCAGGCTCCATAGAAAGAGGGCCCTAGACCCCTAAAGGCGAATTCGGTGATGCAACGCCCGTGTCACTGGTTCTTAGTATTTTAAGTACGGATATCAAAGGGAGAAAAAAGAAATTAGAAAAACTAAAAAAAACTAAAAAACATAAAAAAACTAAAAAACTAAAAAAAGTCGCTCCACATTAAACTCCCGACTTTAAGGACTTTTCTTACTAAGCTCATTTTTCTTCGTACTCTGTTCAGTGTATGGAGTACGGAGCATCAGGGGTATTGTGAGGTTGAATTTGAATAGATTTGAATTCTTAGCTATTGAAATATTTACTAATTACTGTGTAGTTAGAAAAATCAAAATCTACTGACACACTAAAAAATCTTCAATAAACATCAACAATTCTCACATTCCCTCCGTTGCTCGGCCTACCCCCTTAGTGGCCCGGGTGCCACTTGGTGACTTGGCAAAAGTTGTCCGAACTCTTCCATCCACAGCCACCAACATGATTACAATTTACACACAGACATACCCTATTTCCGACTTGGGTATAACACAATAACTACAACTACATACAACCTGACATCTATCCTTACAGTAGTCGGGGCCATTCACCATCCTGTAATCACACGCCCCCATTACCCCGTACGACCAAGCAAGGAGAGACCCTCTGACAACCAGTAACCCACACTCACAACACCATCCTACACAGTACAATGTACTCTCTAGATTCCTCTGACATGTCAGACACAGTCTGACTGGCCACCTAGCCAGCAACTTTGACTCGGGCTGTGACTCACTAGACAAATTCCACCCTCAGGAGCCGGATGCTGATCCCTGCAGAGGGAATACTAGTAGCGTCATGCCGCATGGGCGGACATATGCCGGAGGGACTTTACCCTTCAGAGGCAGAGGGCTGAGAGGGGGAAGAATCTTGTCAGATACTTGTTCCAAGCGCCAGCTATTTACATGTACCCCTCTAAGTTGTATGTTGGGGACTGTGCCTATCTGCTTAAAAGGCGCATACACCTTTCACTCTGCATGAGAAAAAGGAAAAAGCCCCGCATATATTGAACTTATTTCTTTGCGTCTAGAATGCATTATTAATTACTTTTCTTTTGGCCAAGGCAATAGAAACGTGCATAATTAGTATGACATCGTTCTAGAAAGTCCCTCGGACCTCGTGTTCTCCTATTTTTGTTGGCGCGGGTTTCCCCCCGATTTCTGCACGCTACAGCCTGTCTTTCTCTAGGGCGTGAGAGCATGTTGGTTCTAGAAAAGATGCAAAATTACGGATCAAAGGATCCATAACCCGACCGGCTACTTCCGGCATTTTAACCTGAAAACACCATCTCCATCTTCTGCTGTGATTCGAGTAGGAAGAACTGCCACAGTACGCAGTAATATTCTCGTGCGTAACCCTATCCAAGTAACGTGGAAGAACTCGGGGAAACGCAACCAACCCCCCTTCCCGTCTCAATGTAGCGGGGGAGGCGAATTCGAAGGAAGTACAGAGCGATCTGGATTCATGCTGCTCATTTGTCCTGATCAGGTCTGACTTGGTGCCTTGTTTCTTGTACTGTTGTTGGCTTGTTCCTATGCCGATATTGCATGTAGTTCGAGGGTAGATGTTCGATCCGTTGAGGTGATTGGTGTTGGTTATGCTGCTTAGTTTCGGGGGTTTATATTTGGGTCAGGCGCCCTGGTCACGTCTCGATAGGTCGGTTTGTCAGAGGTGGTCATCAGTGGGAGGATCATAGGATGCACTGCCTCTGAGGGTGGGCTGTGACAACCCGCAAGCGTACTTGCCAGGTGATGAGCGTAAAGAAGATTAGGTATACTACACAGTAGTAGGTTAGTTCACATAGAGATCTGTTGGCAAATGGAACGTCGGGGGCGCTGTTAAGATAGGTACCAAACCTACCTAGGTCAGGTACATATCATAGAATCAATTGAAAACCCATACAAAGGGGAAATAGTGAATGTATTAAGGTATATGACTAAATACTCGACCCGATGAGATTATTCACAGAAGAGATATCGACTCAAAGGAAAAGCGCCAGAGCGGCGATAGCACCTAGGGCAGACACAGCACCGGACACAGTAAAGGACGAAGCACCGTTAAAGATGGGTGACGTAGTCGCCGGGCTGCTGCTATCGGTGGTGGCGCCAGTTCCAGTGGCGACAGGGGTAGCGGCCGCAACAGAAGAGCTAATGTCTGTGACGCCCGGGAGGTTGGCGCCGACGTCTGCACCATTTCCAGTGGCGACAGGGGAAGCGGCCGCAACAGAAGAGCTAATGTCTGTGACGCCCGGGAGGTTGGCGTCGACGTCTGCACCATTTCCATTTCCACTTCCACCAACATGCGAAACACCAGTCTGGACAGGACCAGCCGGCTGGCCCGCGCCAGGTGCAGTGGTTGCCACGGCAGTTTGAATCGGCACCGAAGTGGTACCGACAACGACGGTCTCGGTCGTGACATGCGTCGTCTGGTCGCGAGCCGGGCAGTCGGTCACTGTTGCCGGGCATTCGGTTAAGGTTACGGTTCTGGTAGAATGGATCGTCGAGATCGTGTAGTCGTTTCCATTTCCAGGTCCACTGCCGTTGCCAGATGGGCCTGTGGGGCTGGGTCCATCGGCGGTGGTGGTTGCATCAACGGGGCAGACGGTGGTCGAGACAACGATGGTCTCGGTCGTTGTGTATGTTGTCTGCTGGTCGGCCGGGCAGTGCGGTACGGTGGTGGGACAGGCTGTGATGGTCGCAGTGCGAGTAGTGTAGATTGTGGATGTTGTCATGGTCTGCGAAGGTGCTCCGGTGGTGGAGGTGCCGGTGGGAACCACGGGAGTAGAGGTTGTGAGGGTGGTGGTTCCCGTGGAACCTGGTGCTCCAGAAGTCGTTGCTGGCAAGTCGGTAGTGCCGCTAGATACAGTGTTTGCAGGCCCGGTAGTGGCGGTTCCCGTGGATCCTGGTGCTCCAGAAGTCGTGGCTGGCAAGTCGGTAGTGCCGCTAGATACAGTGTTTGCAGGCCCGGTAGTGGTGGTTGTCAGAGTGACATGGCCGGGGGTGCTACTCGGCGAAGTCGGGGAGACGTGGACTGACGATGAGTGCGATACTGTTCCAGTGCTGGTGGTGCTCGACGAAGTTCCCGACACGCTGGGGTTTCCAGTAGCGGAGGCAGAAGGGGTCACAGAGGCCGACGGGGTCTTGGTAGGGGTCGTGCTGCTGGGCTCGGGAGACGAGCCACAATTCTTTTCAAGCGAGAAGTTGTTTACATCCACTGTCGTACCCGAGGAAATCGCACCAGGGCAACTGATCACGACGAAGACGTCAACATCATGGGCCTCAGGGCTGCTGGAAGCCGTCCACTGCTGGGAGACGGTTGTCCAGACACCGGCTGTTTGAGGACTGGGACCGGAGTCTTCGCCATCGAGCACGATATTCACGGTGCAAGCGGTGGTGCTGTCATCTGCGCTATCTGTCTGGCGGAAGTCGAAAGAGAAAGTATAAGTCTCTTCCGCGTCGACTCCACTGACTGTCTGGACCAAGAGTGTCTGCGATTCGACAGCTTCAGGGCTCAGATGTCTATTCCCAAGAGAAGAGAGTTAGTCCAATTCCTCCAAGAGATTTGCGCGTCTGTATAGATGCCCAGGGAGGCACGCACAAGTATTCATCGTCAGGAGAACGATCCACGGGCGGTAGAACAGTCCACACACTGTCTCCCTGGTCAACGGTTTGCAGAGACCCATCGCGAACCAAGTTCACAGCGTCACAACCCGAGACTGGGGTGGAAGAGGGAGATGTCTGAGCAGGAGCGGTGATAGTCAGCGCAACAGCGGGGAGGGCGTGGGCGAGCCACAGCAACTGGTTTTGTGCTCTCATATTTTAGAATCCTGTACAGAGTAAGTGAAAACGAATGGACGGGCGAGCAAACACCACGAAGCAACGATCGGCTTAGAATTGGAATTCTAGGTAAGCCAAGTACATAAATCAAAATGAGAAGAGGACGGGCTTTTAGACTGGGACTGTATATAGCCCTAGTGTGTTCTGTACATTAGTACCTTCGTAAAGTGAGACCTTTCCCAGGTGCTCGAACGCTGTTTGCCATCGAATAGCTTGTGGCGTTCTCGCTCCACTGGGACGATTAACTGACAGGAAATCCGAAGCGAGAATTGACATGTTTGAGACAAGACAATTGGTCCCTGCAGGGGTGTGATCGATCGAATTGAACTGTCAGGTACACATCGGAGGAGATTGGAGGCTCGTGTTATTCTTCCCCTTAGGGCTTGTGTGCAACGTGGCATGGCTTAATGTCTCGTTTCCTTGGAGTTGTGCTGATTTATGATTCACACTGTTTTCCAAGAAGTACCCACTGGGAATGGGGCCACTAGGAAGCCTCTCGGTTGATCTGACCGTCTTCTGATCCCCCGACCGGCGCTATCGCCGTGGCCAGTGGCCTGGGCCACCCCGGGCCTGGCTCTTCGCTGACCTTTTTTTTTTCTTGAAGAGATTTCGATAAATTCCCCAGGGCTGGCCTGTTGCCAAGCTCGGAAACCGGCCCATTCCCAAATATTAGGCGATATAAGCATAGGGGTTGTAATTTTCCGACAATCGTACTGTGCAAATGATTTCCATTTAATATATAGGTAGCCCATGCCCGGCTGTTTCTCGGCGTCCAGTCTTTCTGGTTTAACCGACGAGACACGCATCTTCTTCAAATTCACAAATGCATTGCATAACCAAGTCCTCATGAGAGGAATGCCATACCCCAAAGAAAGGGTGAGCTCCTATGTATGACATCTAAGCCCCGAACGCCCAGAGAAAAGTCAGCCCTGTAGAACGGGGCAAAGAATGGGTGAATGCGAACGCCCAATATCCCAATGACCGAAATGTACCCGAATGGCAAAAGAGAAGACAATGCTAGAAAAGAAAAAGGAAATGGAGGTCCAAAGACCATGGTCATCACATCATGAATATCATGACTGCCCTCTTTCAGAATGTGGGCAGCAAAGAAAACGCAAAATAAAGCAGTACATATCCATGGCCACGATTAAACGGTGCCATATCGGACTCGCTCTCTGCCTAACAGAGCTTGTCCCTCAGGCAGAGCCGAAGACCGACTTGACTCCCTTTCAGGCGAGGCAGAGGGGATCCATCCGCGCATCCAGCCGGAAACACGTCTCCAGCGACTGCGACCACGCTTCTGATCATCCCCATCACCACTGATGAAACTCTCGTCATCGCCATGCTCCGGACCGTCGCCATACATAAGGAACTGAATACCCATGAATCCGTCCAATCCGAGGACACCAAAGGCACCCAAAAAGAATGGGAGAGAGCGCCCGATCCATTCCCAGCGTTCGTTACCGTGGGCATCGGCCCATCCGCCTCCGCCGTACGGCGCGAAGTTAGACCAGGCGTTTGGGTTGGTGAGCAGCGAACTGGAGTAGAAGAGGTTCCCGCAGAAAGCAGCGATGAAAAGGAGTGGGGAGAGGCCTTCGGTGCTCTTGCGCTGATAGTTCTTATACAGCTGTGGAGGGCGGGAGCCAAGATACAGGAGCGTCGACATCCACGAGAAGACGCGGCCGATGATCTCGACGATAGCCTCTCGAGGCGCCTCAGAAATGGGTGGATGAGGTTTCTCAGTAGGAGCAGCGTTGGCGAGCACAGCACAGAGGAGGGAAGCCATGAGCATGGTTCGAGGAAGTGCAAAAGGCATGCTATTCACGCTGCTGCCCATTCGCACGGATCGACGCGAGGAGCTGAATTTCTCATTTGAGTATGAGGCAGTTTGCCCGGAGGTTGAGTTGAATACTGACCCGGCTTGCACACCTGTGTCCTTGGTCTCCGAGTGCTTGGGTTTCATGTCGACGGGTCTGGAAGTTTGATAGTCGGATGCATGGCCTGGAGGAGGCACGCCTTCAATTATGTCTCTACGAGCCGAGTCATGTGAGTGTAAAAGGCTGTGATACCCGCCATTTTGGCGAGCTTTGTAATGCGTGTACCAGAAGAACTGGATCACCAGAGCGACGTCAACAAAGACATAATAACTGGCGACCACCACCTGCCACCCTGCTTGCCGGGTGTATAATGCTCCGACGAGGTTGCTTGCATCACCGAGACACCAGATCACCAGGAAGAATATTGACAGTCCCGAAGTCGATTGTGCTTGGAAGTTCTTGTAGATTTGTGGCAGTTGTGCAAAGAGCCACGAGACTATGCTGAGGGTTCCAAGAAGGGAAGAGATCGCCGCGAGCGGAGTGGGGACGCAGATGTGGAGATGGGAGGAGACGGCGGTCAGGAAGGGCGATGTCGGTTCACAATGATCCGGAAGAGTTCCAGAGAGGAAGGTGTATAACAATGGAGGAGGCATAATATATCGATGCTATGCCCTTGTGGGTTGCCCGGTGCCTTCGTTGAGCCACCAAAGAGCGACAGAAAGTGACTTGTGCGCTTTAGGCTTCGGCGGCAGAAGCGGGCGTCGAATTATGGGGTAAGAGCGATAAGCGAAGGCGATGTAAGAGTGAATGAAGCAGGCGAAAACAGAGTGCTTTCTAGGTCTACCCAAGCCGAATGAACAGATCAAACAGAATGGGGAAATAGCAGCATCTAAGTATGTGAACGAAAGGAGATTGGGAGTTCAGCTCGGAGCGACCAGGTCATTCTGAAATGTCACGAGAGCTTATCGAAAAGCCTTTCCAGATTGGGGCCAGCAGATTGGATGACTCATGCGATAAGCCGGGCGATCCTTCCCTATCAGGTCTACACAGGTGGCTTATCAGGTGGCTTATCAGGGCGTCTCACATTTGAAATCGCACGAACCCGGGAATGCGGGGCATTGGGGGTAACACACCCTTCTCGGGTTACTCAGGCCTTGATCTAGGGCTCCTGGGCTGTCATGACCTCATTTCATTAGTCTTATATGCGTAATGCCATCTTATCTTAACTCGGGCTTCATCATCACCCCCCGCACCCCGCATATAAGAACCTTCCAAGTGCAATGGATTCATCTGCCGGCTAGGCGCGTCAGCCATTCAGCTGCCCAGAGAAGGTCTGTTTAAGTACGTCATTAGTAGTACTAACTGCTGCAAACTGCATTAAAACACAGAGATAATCACCCGTCATTAGCTTTGAACGCCCAAGCCAAGCCGAGACAGCAAGTCTCCGCAAATAAGGGTATACAACACGACAGGTAAGGATTGAGTATAAGAAATACATGAGGAACACAATACTATACCTCGCCTTTCGCGGCATGTAGCTACTAGCTAGCCTCGCAGTATGGAAAAGCAAAACAAAGAGCAACGAATATCAGGAGAATCATCACGGTCATAATGCAGTCGTTCCAAGCTATTTCAACTCAGTAATCATCCTCACCACGGTGCCGCGAATGACTGCTATGCCTATGGTGACTGTGACGAGAGTGTCCGCCATGAAAACTGTGAGAATGTCCGTCATGTGAGCCATGAGAGCGTCCATCATGACCACTATGTCTCGAATGGCTACTATGACCTGAGCCATGAGAGTGTCCGCTCTGATCACTATGCCTCGAGTGACTCCGATGACGATGATGATGGTGCTTCCGACGATGGTGATGTCCGCCATCATCGTCACGCTTCTTATGATCCTTCACCTTATCCTCCAGAAAGTTACCCAGCAAAGCACCACCGATCGCACCCAGTAAACCATGTTCCTTCTTATGGCCGAGATAATAACCCGCCACGCCGCCAGCGAGCGAACCCCCGAGTCCGCGGTCCATGCCCCGATCAGTCTCTGTGTCTGTATCAGAGCGGTGCTCGCGCGCTGCATGCTGTGCATCTTCTGGCTCTGATATGTACACGGCTGGCGGATGCGGGCTTGCGGATGGTGTGTACCGTGGTTGGTCGGCCGGGTGGTCGTTGCTAGGCTTGGTGTTATTCTTCATCAAGTGACGACTCGGGTGTATCGCTACTCACTAGTATCCTGCGTTCTCAGGGACTCTGACCTGCCCATGTTCGTAGCCTGTCGGGGTTACCGGGACTGGGTAGTCTGGGTGTCCTGTCGGCGTGTAACTTCTCTCTTGAGCAGGTGCATAGGGTTCGGGTGCGAGGTGGTATGCATTTGGCTGTGGAGCATAAACGTGGTTTGGGTCTGGAGGGGATTGGTATGCTTCTGGACCAGGACTGTATCCCTCTGATCTGGGGTTCTGGTAAGGCTCGGTATTTCCGTGTTGCTGGTTGCCATATGCAGGGTACTGAGAGTGACCGTCCGGGGGGTAGTGACCGACCCCACCTGGAGTAGGCGTTGAGTATGAACTGTAAGGGTTGTATGGATCTGCCATGATGATGCAAATGAGCAAGAAAAACTTTTAGTCACGAAAGGGGCAAGTCAAGGTCTTATATGTCAGACGGTCTTATGATCAGCCCTAACATCATGGTGCGGCTGACCAGCCCGCACGACCCTCGATCTTCACCTCTGGAATGTACTTGACTTCCAATCAAATACTCTTGAAGTTGATTTTGGCTTACGTTGAAAGGGGAGTGTGATGTTTCTTTATTTTAGTTGTACTTGGCAACTGATTTTGTATTGATGTACGCCAGTTTAACCGTGAATGACAAGATGTAAGGAAAGAAGGACAAAAGCTGAAACAGAACAGGGATGACTCGGGGTATTCCGGTGAAAAGTGAGAAAAAAATAGACAAGAGCATGGTATGAGAAGGACTGGCCGTTAAAAGTTTTGGGGTCACACCGCTCACTGGTGCGATGGAATGTAGGACAAGGACTTGCGCCAAGCAGTGGTATCAAATCAACAGGCCAAAAGAGAAGTGAGATGGAACGGAAAAGAAGGGGGCCAGCCAAATGCAATGCGCCCAGCGCATTCACAGGCCTCCTGGCCGTCCTCGCCAACGAAGGCGGGTACATCTATCGACAGGGGGTGTTGAGAAACTCTTTCTAACCCGCTTAGGTCGATGCATTCTGCTATCCACACACTGTGCTAGAGCGCTTAGCCCGCTGTGCCATCCAGTTTACAAGCAAGTCATCAAGCTGATTGTTCATCTCCTTGAGTCTCTTGCTTTCTTCTTTGAACAAACGACCGGTGACCGGATGATCAGGACCAGCAGGGGGTACATTCGACTTGTCATGGACAATGATGAACAAATCCCGAATGTCGTTTTCTTCGTCCAAGTACGATCGTAGACTGGAATCACTCCACGTGGGGGTGTCAACGGAAAGAGTGTCTAGAGATCCAGGAGCCGCTGTGTCACCCTTGGGATAACTTGCGTCATTTCCAGATGATGATGGCGGGGATGGTGGTGAGAGAGAGCGCACATCATTCGTCAAGCCACCTGTACCTGTAGAAGTATAGCCTTCGACAGGAGAAATATTGACAGGGGACTCGGGTTCATTCCCAGCCGCCATAGTAGGAACAAACCTCTGGGGTGGAGATGTAACAGACACAGATCCAGCCGTCGGTCGGTCCGCATTATTAGGTTCTCTCCATCGTGCTTCACTGGATGGTCGATCAACAGGTGATGCCAAGGGGTCCATGGACTCGAGCGGAGTAGCAAAAGGATCCGTTGAGGGACTTGGCTGGCTGATAGGCGATTGCAACACAATCTCGCAGTCTTCGTAGCCACTTTCTTCCTGTTCTTGAATGGGCACCTGTCGGAGGCTCCTCTCAGCTTGCCTCTGGTTGATAGCGTCATTTTCTCTGTGGAACTCGGCCATTGCAGGGTCGAGGACAGGGTCGACCTTCATGATTCCAGGGGGCTGCTTTTGTAGTTTATTGACCGACTGTTTCTGGGGCTTCGAGGGCCGTTGTTGTTCGGGTGACATGGATTTCGATGAGATGGATTCCATCGATGTCTTGGGTTGGGGTGATGTGCGGAGTGCTGATTCTGCGGGAGACCTCTCTGGGTCGTCAAAGTCATCTTTGCTCTTCTTGCGCTTGAACAACCCGCTGAGCATGCCAGGCTTCTTATCCTTCCGTTTCTTCTCATCTTTTTCTTTCACTTTATCCTGCGAGCCGGAACCTTTCTCGATAGATTCTGAACTGAGGCGAGGCTTCATGAAACAGTTAACCGCTTGATTCTTACATTAATCCACGCTAAGTAACGTACCTCTTTCCACTCAGCCAAAGTGTTGCTGCTTTCACCTTCGCGGATATCGCGTAGAAGATTGGGAGTGAGCGAAATCTTCTTGGGCTCGGCAGTATCGTCTTTGAAGAAGGAATCGGTGTTTCGTACAGTGCCATTTCTGGATCTACTGACAGTGGGTTCTGTTTCGTGCGCATGAGTTTCAGATCCGACTGAAGAGAAGTTGGTTGTGATTGATTTACCTTCGGCCTCAAAGAATTCCTCGCTTGACGGCCGTCGTTCGGAGCTGGTACGTTGTGAGTCCTGTTTCTCAGCACCGTTGACATCGACCTGCTCTGCAGAGGGCTCTTTCTGAGCCTTGGTTCTCAAAGGTTCCACGACAATATCTTCAGCTTGCTCTTGCACGTCTTCTTCTTCTCCATCCAGGGTCTCGTCGTCATTGAAGAAGTCACCGTGCTCGGAGTCATCGTCCGTGGAATACTCGACGTCGGAGGCTTCGATGTACGTTGGAGGTCCAAAGTTAACAGTTTTCGCATTTCGACGGCGCATGGCCTTTTTCAAGGGATTCTTCGACTTCTCATTGTTGTCGCCCAACATGGTCGCAGACAGATCCACATTCCTGTGCTTGTTCAATCGTGCGAGTCTTTCGGTCGGCGTTTCGATGTGTTCGGCAGGAAGATAACCAATGCTTCCATCCTTGACCACGCGCACAAGCCACCAGTAGCTGTTGCTATCGTCGAGAAGAACCATGGTATCACCCTTGGCGGCATTTGCTTGTCCATCAACCGTTGCGACGAAGTTGTGAAGCGCGTAGACGAACTCGAAATCAATATCCTCTGTATCACATCAGTCAACGTCCACATTCTGTATACTTCCCGAGCATCCGTACCGTCGTCGATGGAAGGCGAACTAGACAACTTGTCCATATCGTCGTCCATCAGGTCGTCACTTTCACCATCGGCCAAATCGCTGTCCTCATGGTCGTAGTGATTGTCATCGCCGTCATCTTCCTCGTCATCTGGTTCCCGATATACCCGTTTGTCACCGCGGTAGGCATGGTTCTTGTCCGGTCCACTCCTTATCTCCGCATGCGAATCTTGTTCAGCATTGCGAATCGAAAGCTCTTGATGGGGAGCAGGCCGGCCGCCCCCAAGAGGTTCTGGAGATTCAGGTTGTCTAGAATGATCTTTGGCGGAGGGCGCGTCGTGGCTTTGAAGGTCCAAGGTATCTAGAGGTAGACGTCAGCCCTTTACCTTCGAACCAATTGATCTCGCGACCCGGAAACATTGGACTTACCAGCTCTGATCATTTGAGGTCTCGTCATGTTGCGATATAAATGAATGTGGCGTCAAAGCAAATGGGGTTCAAACAAGTCGTGAATATAAGGAGTAGTGGCTAGCGATCCAGAAACATGAAAGTTGGAAGACCAGCGTGGGACAAAAACAAACGTAACGCGCAAGCTCCGTGGAGTTCCAGTACTGCAAGACGCGAGTACTAAGATGTAGAAGAGTCGGCTGGGCCCCTCGAACTTGGCGATTGACCTGAATGAGAGACAGTGCCTTGAAGGAGAATGGTGGGGGGGGGCTGGTCTGCACTTCGTTTTCCAGCACGGAGGTCAAGAAGAAAATTAATTACTGCCAGAGCGACAAGGGAAAAGGATAGAATGAAATGAGAAAATAAAAACAAACAGAAGCAACATCCAAGGCGACGTCGAGTCTGAATGTTCCTTTGACATCTCCAGAGTCAAAAAGGAGACCCCAAAAACAAGCGCCCCTTGCGCGCGGTTAGAACCATGGCTCCGTTGACCCCTGAAACCCCATATGCAGAAAATAGTGGCCAATGCTTATACTTCATGGCTACGGAGTACATACACGTTGAATAATTAACTACATGCATAAGTACTTGTTTTTGATAGGAATATGTATAGAGTATATAGACAGTCATCCCATGAGCAATACGGAACTGTGTAGGTCAAAGTATCCATACTGTGTGGTTATGTGGATAATTCATTCAATGTTGTGGAGAAATAATCAAAGAGACACAATTAACCACGTGATGTCCCTATTCACTGCTGTATTAATTATTATTCTTGGCCAGGGTTGTTCAATTCACCCTAATTGTGCAGACAGTGCAGTCATATGACCTTCCGGTCAGTTTTCGTCCACAATGACTAATCCCGTATTGTGCACCGGAGCTTCCCGCTTTTTTCCGACTTTCCTCCCCTCCCACTGGACTGGACTACTTGACGAATACCTCACTTGTGATTCCTCTTTCACTGCCGTTGCTTGTACCCACCGTGTCTCACCTCGAATAACTTTTTCCGTATTATACGAATCTAAACCTCATTTCAAACTCTCTCTTGACTATAACTTCCTATATACTTCACGACTTCTACAAGCGCGGCGCCCCCGCTTTATCATCACGCCACAATCTCTTTGACTCCGACCATCCAAAACCACACAGAAAACACCAAGCAGGGGGTTGTATAACCCTACTGCAAGCCTGTCACGATCTCGCAATAACGTTACTTTGTTTCGTGCTCCTCCCGGGAGCATGGCACAAAGCGAGAGGGTCGGATTGGCGAGCGGATTGGCAGGCTTAAGGATTGAAACGCAGTTTCATGACCGAAAAAAGAACCCTCGATGGGCAGATCTTAGCAGGAGGGAGGCAACAGCAGTGGGCGATGGTATCGAGAGCGATCACACCAATCAAACTCATGATTATGCGCATCGCCGCGATACTGATGAAGACCACAGTTTGTTGAGTGATCTACACTCAGTGACCCCTCCCATTTCTGTCCCTCGTCACGATGAACAGCCTCATCTTGCGGACGATGCCGACAACTTCCCACACAAGCCCGATGATGTGCAAGGATCTCCACTCGACAGCTATCTACAGGCTCATCGACCCTCGATCTCTTTCAATCCGAAGGTCTCCGTGGAATCCGGAAACCAAATTCCGTTAGAGGAGCCACTGTCAACCGGAGATGTCAAGAAGCTCCCGCTACAAAGATTCGAGTCTCGAAGCTCTGGACTCCGAAATGCTCTCTCGCAGGACGATGACCATCCTGAGCCGAAGCAGGAATCTCCTAGTTGGAGTCCCAAACGGTCTCAGGCTCGGAGTTTCCCGACCGGACAATCCCGAGCCCAGTCTTTCGCGAAGCCTGAGAATGGCTCAACCGTGGGCTCAGAGCACGATCGTCCGACGTCTCTGACGTCTCAATCGACAGTATCCCCAGTCACGGATGGACTACGAACCCCTCCCGACAGTTCTTCCCACTCGATATTCTCGCCATTTTGCGTTTCGTCGCCATCTCAACCTTTTCCATCGCCCGAAGAACGATGTAACTCTTGGTCGGGTGGTATTTCAACTCCCTTTGGAAGCAAGCGCAGCTCTACTCTCGATCGTAGTGGCAGTCTTCGGAACTCGACACAGCACAGCTCCCGCCGATCGACTCTATCGAGTGGCAAGTCGCCCGCCAGCATGTTTCTTTCCATGTGGAGCACCAGCGAGGAGCCTGCTCCACAGCCTGATGACGAAGGGCAGATGGTCGGGGATGATTATGTTCTTGGAAAACAAATCGGCTTTGGCGGCTTTAGTACCGTCAAAGAGGCATACAAGGCCGAAAAACACGGTGAAACCAAAACCCTTGCAGTCAAGATCGTCAAGAAACAGATCACTGGGCGAAGTGAGCAAGAGAACGACGAAGTGCAAGCGGAATTTGATCACGAAGTCCGAGTCTGGCGGTACCTCAGCCACCCGCATGTATTGACGCTTGATGCCGTGTACGAAACAGATTACGCCACGTTTTGCTTCACCAAACTTGCTATTGGTGGCACTCTTTTTGACCTGGTCCGACAAAATCGATCTGGTCTGGAGATACAGCTAGCAAAGAAATATACATACCAACTAGCATCTGCGATTCGTTACTTGCACGAGGATGCCAGGGTGGTCCATCGAGATATCAAACTTGAGAACTGCCTGCTCGATCCCGTCGAGGGTCCTGATGGCACGATATCTTCGAACTTGGTACTGTGTGACTTCGGCATGGCGGAATGGATGTCCATTGACAACGGCGGGGACTCTCCCGATCCGTATGATGACGCTGCTGACCGTCCGCCGCCGCAGCAAATGGGCCCTGCAGGATCCAGTACCAGTGTCGCTGGTAGTCTGGAATATGCGTCCCCTGAATTACTCCAGTCAGTCGGGGGTGTCATTCACCCATCCGTTGACATTTGGGCCTTTGGCGTCATTGTCTATGCTGTCGTCGTCGGCTCCCGGCCATTCCAGGACGCTTTTGCGCCCCGCATCAAGGCCAATATCATTAGCGGTACCTGGGACAGCAATGCCGTATTTGGTGGTATCCAGGAGGACCACCTCCGTCAGGATCGCCAGAATGCCCTCGACTTGATTCGCGGATGCCTTGAAATGGACCCCAACAAACGCTGGACTATCCGGGATGTACTGGCATCGCCCTGGCTACGCGAGGTTCGTGAGACGGCCGAACCAACGTCCCCTGATACTGTGTGGAGACTATGAGCCTGCTCTTCTTCCATCAAAAGTGACTCTAATCTCATATCCTGGACTACCTTTCACCGGCTCCATGGATGACGGGATTCGCATAACGTTCTAACGTCAACATTTCTGCTTACGACGTGGTGGCTCTCAGTTCTCCAGCGCCGACAATTCAAGCGCTGGTGCTTCTGAGAACCTCTACGGTCAAAATGATACCCCTGCGTTCTGATCTGGTTTGTCTTTTGTTCTTGCTTTATTCGGGCCCAAGATTGGCACCATCTGGCTTTTTCCTTTTCGTCCTGTTTTTTTTCTCTCGCGATCTCTACTCAATATCCCCACTCGCAGTGTGTTTTCGGTTTCGGTTTTTCGGTCTGGTTTGGTTCGGCTTTTGGCATCGCGAGACGTTTTACGATTTTTATGGCTACAGCAGGCGCGGCGTTCTCTTATTATTGCCCTTTGGTCTGATTCGGTCGCATGAGCATTCTTTACTTCGGGTTATTGGTCTGATTTTATGCGGTTATGTGGTTTTATGTTGTTATTGGGTTTCCTGGTGTACGTTTATACCCGCGGATCTTTGCTATCTTTTTCTTACTGATCTCGCTATGTCTGTATTCAATTTGTTGAGGTCTATCTGGGGGACAGGGCTTTCCTAAAAATAGGAAGACACAATAAGAACCCATTCCGGTATTCAGTTCATGTCTACGTATCTTTGCCTTTGATATACCTCCGGTTACCTAAGATAACTAGTCGTCAAACTCATGTCTTCAAGGACATTCTATATGTAGAACCTAATAGACTGGGAGAATGTAAAGAAAAAGGCCAAGGGCCATTTAGATAAATGCAAAGCCTAACATATCGAACAAACCATATTTATACAGCAGATCGGCCTAAACCAGCCTCAAATACAAGAAACCAAAAAACCATTCTCAACCCCTTTAGCCACAAATCTACCAAAGCCTATTCTCCGGCAAAACCTTCTCCTTCTTAACACCAGCCGCCGACTTCCTCTCCTCAGGAGACTTAAAGAACAGCGAAGGTCCCTCATCCGGCTTAAGCAAATGTGCCAGATAGCCCCTATGCGCCGGATCACGATAATACTCAATATCGCGTCTTTTCGTCGGATCCGGCAGCCGATACTTCTTCGCATGCATATCAATAACGGTCGACCACTTCGCCGTAGTCTGCACCTTGGCCAGACGGTGCAGATTCTCCGAGCCGCTGGCACGGTCCCACGCCGCAGAGAGGAAAGAGTGCGTTTGGCCGTCGAGAATGCGGCGGATGGACGAGGGCGTGTAGTAGCGGGTTGTGACGGAGCCGCCGGCGGCTTCGATGGCGGCGATGGCAGAGGCGGAGGCGCGTGAGGCGACGACGTGGATGGGTTGTTTTAGGGCTTCGCTGCCGTCGCCGAGGATCTTGAGCCCGTCGATGGGTCGGCTGGTGCATTTGCTGTCGTACAACTCTTTCATTGTTATGGGTCGGTTTGGGTCGATGCGGCCTTGGTCGATCCAGTATTGGATTCGGTCGAGGTTGACGACTGCCATGTCGACGGAGAAGCTGGATTGGAGATTGGGTTAGAGAGGTATACTAGTGTGATTTTTCTCTGCTTTTGTTTCTTTTTTTCTTTTTGATTTTTTTCTTGGTAAAACTTACATATTGACACCGCCGCGTTCACCATGAACGATGATATCTTTCGTCTGTCCACCATTGAAGCCAGCAGGGACCTTTCCGTGCTGGCCCTGACCCTTGTGTCCGCGACCGGAGGTCTTACCCTTCCCCGAGGCAGGACCGCGGCCTCGACGGATGCGCTTGTTGTAGGCTCCTGGGGTGTCGGAGAGCGAGGCTAGAATGGAATTGGTGCGGGTTTGCTGGGATTGGGGGAGGAGGAAGGCGAGAGGGGAGGCCTGGTGAATGGGACGGGCGGCAAAACGTGCCAGCTGCGTAGGCAGCCCCATCAACCGGGGAGTCATGGTGTGTTGTGGTTGTGGCTTTGTGACTCGATGGTGTTGGATTCGCGGGTTTGGTGGTGAGTTCCGAGATCTCTGTCGGAGCGGGTTATGTTTGGTCCGTTCCGGGGCCCCTGTCTAATCCTTCTACTCCGTACTATGCGAGTACACGACCTCACCAAAATCTTGCTTTTCGCTTAGATTATTTGGAAATTGGTTTCAATGTTCCTGTGAAGATGATTAGATGAAATAAGGGTTTTCTCCGTTCATTTCACAAGCAGTTACAATGTGCCTCCAGACTGGCAATAAACAATCTACGTCAACCCTAACCACTGATCTATTCTAAGGTCCTACTAAAATTATAGAGAAATCCAAGAGACTGAGTACTTGTGGTAAATGTAAAATTGATATGCTGCAGAGCTAAAGCTAGTCTGCTAAATAACTCCTTTTGTATGCAAATGCAAGAGCAGCAATACGCCGCCGATGAGCTCAGGGCTCTGGCGGACACGATGAAGCAAACCCATGAATAACGCCGTAAATGCCATCCCCGAGGTAGTTCTCGTCTGCAGGGAGGCCGAAACCCAGTTTCCATCTAGTATGAAGCGCCGAAGGTATGCACGATGCGTGAAAAGGAGTAAATCTGTACATGTAAAAGGGAAGAGGAAAACAGGAAAGAGAAGGGGATAAAAAAAGTGTACAGTGAATGAGAGGGGTTTTTTCTCGTGAAACGGGTCGTAGCGCGGTAAGTCATAAACTTAGGAGATGGAAGTGGCGAAAAGAGAGGAAGTGATTAAGCAGGGTAGTTGTTGGATGGGTAGATGGGGTGGAGGTACGGAGCTTGGGACCACGCGTCGGGTTGGATGTACGGCAACAGGCCGGTCTTGCGGGAGGTGGTACCCTTTGCAAGCGGCTGATAGTGCATTTGATCAAACGGAATGCTGCGCTGTTGCTGCAGGGAACTCGACGGAGGTGGAATGAGGAGAGTGTTGACAGAACGCACGGGCCGGTAGGGCGAGTTGCGGTCGGCAAGGAAGAAAGAAGGAGATAGATGTGTCTGCGGAGTGTGGACGGAGTAGGCCGAGATGGCCGGCGAAGCGGCAGCAGAGGACACGCCGAACGGGCCCTGGTAGTGCCGGCCTAGGTCGGACAGCGGGGCGGTGTTATAGACGCCCGACGACATCGGAGGCACAGAGAGAGGAGGCATCTGTTGCCAGTTCGGGGGCCGATTGTAGATCGGCGGTATGATGGCGGGAAGATGGGAAGCCCCCTGAGAAAGCGTCTGAGGTGTAGAGTAGGAGGTTGGAAGGGGCGGAGCCTGGTGAGGAGGCGGGAGCCGAGAATGATTCATTGCTGCCACCGGGGCAGAAGTGGGGGTCACGACGGGAGGAAGGGTGGGCATCGCATTCATGGCAGTCACCGGGACCGTCATCGGAGCTGGCGGAGTAGACGTGTTGGAAGACAAAGCAAGCCGCTTGGTCGGGTGAAGCTCATCAGTCTCATCGCGACTTCGTTTCCGACCGCCTCCCATGGCGGTCTCGCCACCCATGTGTTGGGGTGGCAGAGAGTACGGCAGCCCATTGAGTGGCATGTAGAAATTGGGTTGTGACTGAGGCCGGAACGAGTCGGTGCCAGGCGAGGGTAACTTGGACGATGGCGAAAGCGATTGCATGCGGGGAGGCGAGACCTGGAGCATGGCGGCTGATTCGACCGGCAGCATGGAGGCCTTATTGAAGTAGTCGCCAAAGAGCCCCAGCTTGGTTTGCCAGCGGGACCATTCCGCCTCGGACGAGAAAAGATCATAGCGAATGTTGCTCAGGAACTCGACCTCCATGATGTGAATCTCGTGCACCGCGATGCCCGATACCTCAGCCCACGTCTTATTGGTGTAGGTGTTATCGTCGAGGACTGTGGATGAGTCAGCAATTCTGTCCAATCAAACCATGTGAGGTGAAGGGCGGTGAAGCTGATAAGGAGTACTCACATTTATTGCCGAGCATCAACGCAACCGTCATCAACCGGAATTCGCTGCCTTTCTTGCCTTTCACCCCCGAGTTGAATTTCTTCAAGCGGTAAATAAAAAGCAGAGCCAGGAGGATAACATTCTGGCTGACTTGTGTGGTTGAAAGAATCGTTGCAACCCATTTCTGGAATCCAACGGTGGGGATCGCCTCGGGCACGAGGGAAGGAACGGTGTATTGGCGATCTTCAATGGCCTGCAGTTTCGAAGTCTTCTCGAACCAGAATAGACACGTCATCTGATACAGAAAGCGTTAGATCATGCTATGGCCTCCCAAATGTCAATCTATAATCTTACCTGAGCTGCAAACTCGGCCAGACTGCCCTTGCTGTTGTTGATGGACGAAGGAACCCGGAGTTGCGATCCTCCTGTCGAACTGGTGGATTTCTTCTGTGCAGTTGGTTCTGTCGCGGGAACCTCCTTAGTCGAAACGACATGTGATTGGGGCTTCATGGCAGCCATCATCGACGAGGAAATTGAATCGAACTGGGGTCGCGAGTGGGCGTAGTGGTGAGATGGCCCATGGAGATTCCCTCCATGTGCAATAGGCGGCATGGCATTGTAGGCGACGCCGGTCATATCGAGAGGAGGGGTAGGCAGACCGTTCCGAATAGGAACGATCTGACAGCCGCCCGAGGTCTCCAAGGCTTTGTATGGGTGATCTGCAGTCAGGTCGATGGTTGAAGCTCCCAGTGTCGAAAAGGAGGAGTGGAAGTCCACAGTTGAAGACATAAGGAAAGAGAGAGTGATGGATGTAGAGGTCGACACATGGATAGTATTTAATATCTTTTTAATAGATTTTTTGAAAGCAAATAAAGGTGTCGGCGGAGAGAACCGAGGAGGTTTCAATGACCCATGTTCCCTATTAAAGGTGAATAGTGCAAATGACAGGCAACGGTCGACAATGGTTGAATGGGTTCCTGCCCAATTGGAATGCAATCAAGGAGGGAAGGGCGTGGAGTTGATGAGGAAAAAGTGAATATAGAACGATTCACCTAGGGAGGTTTGAATGATGTATATAGAGTAGCCACAATAGACCCCATTGAGGAAAGTAGTGATAAACCAGTTGAGATCCTGGTGACTCCACTTTGAGGAGAGGGAAAAAATAGACCCGAAAATGGTTGAATGGAAAATAAAAAAAAATACGAAGTAATAATCAATAATAAAAATGCAAATCACAAAATCAATTTGAAGTCAAGGCATCATCTCCAAGTCCACCCCCCATCCGGAGAAAGCGATAGCGGCCATACACAAAGTTTGACCCGGACGCAGGTCCAGGTTGATCCTCCTTTCTGGGCTCGTTTGGGTTCCGGGTTTAGTCAATTTACGGCATAAAGGTAATTAAAAAATTATGAAAGGGAAATACCAGTTGATGTCAGAGCCACGGGGGAAGACAGTGGATTCAACTAAAAAGGGTAGGTCGTAGAATGTTTACCTGATCTCGGCCTCATGAGGTACGATAAGCCTTGAGTTGATTGGAATAGCGGATTACTAGTCAAAGCGAAAGAGAGAAATAGTTAAAATAAACCAAAACTATGCAGGCAACATATTGAATAGAACTACGGAATAAAGAGCAAATAAAGAACAAAAAAACAACGAAAGCTGAGACCCATATCAGATCCAATAATAAGTTAGGTTTAGCGGCAATAAATTACCGAAAACCGAGTGTACACCGTATGCGAAGTGAAGGGCTGTGAGGGCACAAGGAAAAAGGGCTAAAGGGGGTTGCCGGGAAGCGCGAGGAGTGAGCACGGTGGCTGGTTGTTAGTCGGAGTATTGGGGAAAGGCAAAGGAATGGAAGGGACAGAGGGAAGTGGAAAACCAATCAGCAAAGAAGGAATGGAAGATCAATTACCAGAAACGAGTGCAAAAAGACGGTCTCGGTAAGAATGGTAAGAAATGAAGAATGATGCATTCTTATGTAAGAAGGCAGAATTACCGGCATTCAACCAATCAAGTGGGCAATATTTCACCAGACTTATACGCTTGCAAGGAATGGCCCACTCAAAAGTCTCAGGTGGACCATAATTTCTGGTAATCCTCTCTCTGGGAAAAGTGTGTTAATTTTTCTCCCGTGTACGACCGGACCATGGTTGGCCCATCTGCTATCACACGGTTACGTGATCGGGCATGTACTCCCCGACCTTCTCCCAGCCGGACAGCCATTGGTTCCTCATCAATTATGGAGGCTATGGAAATGGGTTCAGGACTCAATACATCGTTAAATTAGGCATGTTCATTCTGTTCAATGTTGGTATGCTCTGACATGCTGGAGTCAAAAGTCTTGGTCTCATCCCCGCCTCATCCCCTGCAACCACTGTTCCGGACGACTTTCCTGTTTACGATTTAGGGGGGAGGGTCATCTCATCATAATTACAGGATGCCCAGTGATGGACCAATTTGATAGTCTAGGAGCCTCCGGGGAGGCACATCGAAATGCCACTTGCCACTTTGATTCGTCCGGCTTTCCTGCACTCAGTTGCCCAAGGTATTTCATTGCCTCCTACAGGTTGGTGTACATTTACATTGACATCGTACTGCCCCCGTCTAAGCGCCCTGTTGGCGAGTCTAGAGTGCCCTATGCCGGGACTGTAGGCCCCAGCGAAAGAATGAGCCCGTTTCACTCGAGACACTGTTCGACCTAAGTGGGAACAGCCGCACGTAAGGTGGCATGTACAATATGGTGAGTTGCACTTGTGATCTAGTACGCAACACGGCTCGAAAGCCGAGAGTGCGACGGGTCCAGATTGGCTTGTGTGGAATTGGAATCCATCGCCCACTCGTGGCGCCCCAACGGCCATCCCTTGGAGGAAACACCGAGGTTGGATGTGTCTCGAGATGGACTTGCATGGCACGATGAGCATAGTGCGCAAATTACAGAGTGGATTGATATTCCAGTACCATGTCACGGAGGGTAGAGTCCCCTTCGTATGTAGCAAGCACGGAGCACACCCTCTCTGATGCAAAGGGCAAACGTATTTGAGCTATCCACTCGAATCTTCAGAAACATTCCCGATATGGACGAGTGGACTCTTATCCGGGAGAATAAAGGAAGAGAGAGAGACAGTTGGGGGAGTCCACGCCACCAGCTAATGACCGAAACCAGGCAACGGGTTGGATAACGTCCAAAACTTGACTGGGGACGATCCGAGTGGTGGTCAAATCACGGTCAAGCTGAAAAGAACCCGGTGTTCGGGTTATCGGGGATCTCATAGAGAGATTGATCGGGTGAAAAGTGAAATGAAAGGGAAAAAAAGATTAAAATAAAATAAAAAAGACCAATGGCAATCCACTTCTGAGCCACCGCCACGGAAGTTGTTTCGTTTCCAGAACCCCAGACAGATGAACAGGAGGTCCTGTCATTCTGTCTCTTAGATTGCTTTAGACTGGCTGACTGATATCACTTTCTGATTGGTTTCAAGTTGGACCCCTGTCTTTTTGTGTGTCTCGTCACAGTCATACAGAAAAAACAATCAACTCGGCTCAAATATTGGGGTTCAACTGGGTCTTTGCCCGGGATCTTTCCTTTTTGTTTCCCATCGCCGTCTTTCGATCTGCACTTCTAAGCAGATTCGAACTCTCTCTCTGTTCTTCTCTTTGGTGGGTCATTGATTCCCGGTTGCGGCAACAGCCATTTGCCTGCACAATTCCCGACAGCCCACTTTTACCTATCGCCTTTCGCGGGTGAGATTCCTCGGCACAGTGCTACCTGCAGAGTTCACCGTCAATATTGGTGTTTACTGCGTACGGAGTCAGGAGTGGAACAAATTCTAATTTTCTTTGATTTCTTTTTTTTCTTTCTTCCCAAAAGTACGGAGTACTTGAGCTTAAAGAAAGATGATTCGTCTGGGAGTATCACCCCCTATGTTAGCTACCCAAGTCTCCCACCGATGATCCCTTTCAGACGGGTTGCGCCCTCTAACCATTGGCGCATGCAGTTAGCTGCGACCATGATATTCCGGCAAAGTCAAGCTAGAGCTACATCACATTGTCCACTTATGGGAGAGTCATATACGCAGTACATCCGTGTGTCGACTTGATTGCACGCGCAACTCATTTCCATGCCCGGGCAACCAACCGAGCACACATCCATCTCAACTCTCAAGTGCTGTTTCATATCGCCCAAATTCTACGGTCATGGCACTCATGGGGCTCTAAACCCCGTCTCCACAGCGCTTTTGCACTTTGCTATGTAAATCAGATTTCAGTCTTGTCACCTGATTGGTGAAAATACAATAGGCAAAGTTTCCGGGTCATCGTACATAGTGGGGGTGCGCCGGTGCGGACAGAGAGGATGGAGTACGTGAAATCTACTTCGTACTGTGCATCGTATCTCTGTGATCCGTGGACCACGATAAATGGGGAGGTTATCCAACAGAGCAATGCTGTAGTGGATCTCTCACTTAGTCTATTCTCTGCTTTCTTCCAGATAGAAACCAGAAGAACACACCTGAAAACAACTGTTGGCTTGAGCCGGCGTACTCCGTCTCGACTATCACGACCGGGATGCTTTGGTGGCTCTGATCAGATTAATTACGCGGTAACCCTGACGCCTTTCAGCCATTACACAGCGGGCCCGGGGTTCCGGTACACGCGCTCTGCGCCCGGCATCGACTTCCAGTGGATTTTGTAGGATATTGTGCCTTTATGCCTCGCAACTGATGCATTAGACAGGGTACTATGTAAACAACGGAAAAGGACCAATCCTCGCTACGAATAGTCCTTGTCCTGGCGGTTCCAATGCCGTGTTCGCCCACCTTGCTGTCTTCTTACCCAGCACGGCTCCTTGCATGCTCCATCCTTGCGGTAGAGACGCCCTAGAGTCTCCCCAGAAACCCTGCTTATTGCTTCACCATAATCACAGGATTGTGATTCCACTATCCCATACTTCATCCTTTGTACACATTGATCTAGATTCTTTCTCCGTAACCAGGTACATACGTTGGTTCAGAATTCGGTGCATGGGCTCATATGCCATTGCGGATTTCTGCGGTTTGACGCGCCCGAGGCGAGATTCAGTTTTCGACTTCTCTTCCATCGAGGCGCTGCAACTATCTCTTCTGGGGTGAGAAATGGGATCGTCGCTTCAGCTGGTTGAGATGGAAGGATTCTGTTCTATTTTTTGTTTGTTTTTTCCTTTGTTAAAGTATAACCAGTATAACCAGTACGAGTAATGAATGATTCTTGTGAAGAGCCAACATCGATAGTTATCGGAAGTTAATGGGATTAATTGGTCCGCTCGTAATTGCAGATCAGATCTAGTCCTTTGATCGGAGTCAATACTTTCAATGTCAACACGTTGATTGATTTCTAATCCTCTGACGTCGTCCACGGGTAGAAGTTCAACCACGAGATGTAGTACACCAATACAACCATCTTACCAAGTCTCCAACTCTAAGACTACTTGGTCCAGATCCACAGATACCTCACCTGTTCGACTCCGATGATCAGCTAGAGGCAACTGCACGCCACCCATAGAGGGGGGTTGCCTGCTCTAGTCTCAACCTAACAGTCCACTGCTCCGACCTTCACCCAGGGACCCAGCCGCGGAAGTTTGCATCCTACCAGAGTTGCCAGAGTGCAGATTCGAATGCAAAATGCAAATGGGCTCGGGCACACGGGAACCGTGTGCCAGTCAAGAGGCCATCAGTTGGGCCTTTGTGGCTGGTCCCGCGATTCCAGACTCGGTGCATCAGCCCCCCCGCGCGCAGGGGCCAAAGATGAAAGCGTTG